TATGATGTTAGCGCTGACGAGTCCTACGGAGTACGCCGCACGCATATTGAGGTCTTCCGGGGCTTTTTCCCAACCCGGGAAAGCTGTACGCACAGTGTACTCAACTGTATTGTGTATATGAATTCATAATCTAAATCCATTGTACCGGTACTATCGAAGGAGTTTACATTGTTAAATAGCTATCATAGGCTGTTGCCAGGAAATATTAGAAGAATGAATGGATACTTGTAGGCGCAATGTCTTAGGGAATTCACTTGACTATGATCAATCAGCAAGAAGTTGCACTGTCGAGCTTCTAAAAGTTTAGCCGCAACTCGTATATACGTACATTACACAGGTATGTACGGAGTAGTACACTATCACATGAGAATAAACACGGTTTATGCAACCAAACAGGCAGAGCGCGAGACCCATCCTAATTAAGCGTGCCAATAGGGATGCTTCGGATGGTTTAATTAAGATTTTGCCATGTGGAAAATTGGCTTTGGAGCCAACGAATGTACCGCTATGTTTCACTGTTTACGAGGACAACGAGAGGGAACGATACCATAGTCTGGTCGGATGTCATGTTGGTTCTTCGTATTCTTCAAAGGAGATATGTATGTAGAAATGAGGAATAATGGCAGGGCTAAAATCAACTCTGTTCGATTAGAGTGCGTGGAATGGAGACTCGGTACTGTGTAGCTGACCAACTAAGTTTACCTTTTATCATTGGACGTTGGAAATGATTATTATTGGACCAACGCCAACAATACTTCTGCATTTCTAATTTACCGTATTGGTTCGTTACCTTCAACCACTCCGTCACATTCCGTAACCCACCGTGGCTGAAGACTTGAGGAAAAAAAGCATAAAGGGATCAGCTGGTCAGGAGAGAGTAGAAACGAAACAGGAGATTGGAAGTTGCGTAATCTAGTTACCTGCTATGTATACATAGAAACTCCGGACAGCCAACAAATTACAGTTGGTTGAGTATAGAGTGTCTCGGATATAAAATTAGGAAAGTGCTTGATAGCACAAAGCCACGTAAATTTCGGCCAATACTTAAGATTAGCGAGCGCCGAACATGAACACTAACTTCGATAAACTTCAATTAGTATTTATACATCTGGCAGATTCCAGATCGCTATCTGTATGCCCTTCGGTGTTTGTAAATTACTTCGACACTTAACTTAGCACTCTCGTAGCTCGCATCTGGATACTTCTTCCCTTTCCAATGGCACATTTCCTGTTGCGACTCAGGACGACCACTTTTAGCCTCATAAGTTCGTATAGAGTGTTTACGTCTCAGTTTAAGTATTTTTTGGCCAAGTTAGTGAATTACATCGTACGTATACTCCAACCTATGACTCGGGTCCCAAACCCCAAGTCTCGGTCCGAATAACATGTACGCCGAATGACAACATCTTCATGTGCTGCGTAGTCAATACAGTCCTTCACTTGTTGACATGTATATTAGACAATTTAGAGCCCGTTTCAGTCAGCCTCACGCAGTTGTATCTGATCCAGTAAATGGTAAGTCCCAATGATCCGCCTGGTAGATTATAGTTCTACTCCATATCCCACACTTAGTAAGTTATTCGGCTCAGGTGGTCCACAGCATTATCAATACGTATAAAGTATGTTGGTTACGAATAAATTCCAATAAAGTGATATCCACATATGTACTTCGTATTCGCTTTTCTTGATATGCAGTAGAAGGTCATTCTGGCATGTAGAGTTCCGATGGGTCGCCTCGTGGTTATTGTCTCGTCAACTAAATAACTAAAGTCAAAGACAAATTAGTCTTCACTTTGTCATGTGCTCCTACGCATGCCAGACGGATTTGCTTTACGAGTCATGGATGCTAGTTGGTTGTATTGATATGATATCCTAGTGCATACCCTCATGGTTGAAAAGTCTGTGTTCGGTGTCCACGACAATACGAAGTTAGACGAATGGACTCGTCTGAAAACCTTAACGCATAACAAGTCTAAAGTTGATAGTACCAGTCCAATGCTAAAAACTATTAAGTTTGTTCTTCTTGAGTTCGTTAAACTTCGGGCCTGAGCACCTAGATCTGGGTAGCTGATATGCTGACTTAATCTGACTTACAAGTAACTAACTAACGTATTTAACGGGTAAGTGACGCACCAAAATAGAATTCCGGCGCGATATCCAACCACCACTTTTCCACCAACACCTACGCATCCAGAAAAGGGAAAAGCACGTGCAAAAAGTGATTCTGGCTGTAAAGGAGGCTTCAATTAGCTATTGACGCGATTAATACAAAAAGAATCGACAAAGTACGTCGAGCTGCACGTCTTTTTGATGTATCCGAAGCAACTTTACGAAGGCGCCTCAAGGGGGCTACCCGATATCAACATAAAGCTGGTGTTTATGTCTTGTGGAAGGGAAACGTCCCTTAGTAAGTAAGTCAGTCCTTGATAGACCTTCAAGCGCCAGCATAGTTGAGGACGATTCCGAACTTATCCTCGCATTCATACATGCTACTTTCACTGGACGCAAATCTCTTATGATAAGCATACTTTTCGACTGCCCTCGATTGTCTTCGTGCGTAATTATTTAAGTTGCGCCCGGACGTGGGGGCTAAATCTAGATGCTTTTTTCAGGTTGGCGAGGTAGGGCAATAAGCTACGAAACCCTAGTTCCATCACCACAAAGCACATCTCCCAACTCCAACATTGTTACCCATGTATCAATCTGTCTTAAATATTAGGAGGATATTATAAAATCTGCCTGCTTCTTTTCCTTTACACTTTTCCTTTTTTCAGTCAAATAGATAAGCAAGTCTAGATGTAAGCACAATCTAGTCCTTAGACCATTCATACCGGGCTCTGCCGGGAACAAATTGGGGGTGGATGGTAGCGATCCTTCAGAGTAGTAGTTGGTAGCTTGTTAATTCGACAAATAGATTCGATAGACATGGGAGCCGACTGGTTCACTACACAAAAATAAGGTTGATAGATGACGGTACATGAAATACAACGGCACTACTTTGATGGCTGCGTTCAATAATAGTACAAACTCATGCTCAATACTCTAATAGGGGAGCTTTCCTACACCCTAAGAACTTCGCTCTTGTCTTCCAATGGAATTATCACCAGTAAAGGACTGATTGCATCTAGTCTAGTTTCGGCTCCTCATGGTTCGGAAATGAGTTATCTCGACTTCATCCTACGAAGATGAGCCCGTATCCTCCGTTTTGTAACGGGTGTCTGTTACGCCTCTATCCATTGTACCTACGTACACTGACACCAGAGATGATGTCGGACCTTTGTGGTGGTACTATCAACGACCTGGCTACCTCTATCCTGTCATCTCACCCTCAAGTAATAGATTTCGAACAATGCTTGCTCTTGTCAAATATATCCTACCCCTTCCGTCTCAGCAGATCTCTTTTCACATATTCCTCCCAAGCTTTGTAGTATCCGTATCAGCAAGTTATCTGGATAGAAAGACACAAAGAATTTACAACTCGACCAAAATCATTCAAACAAGAGCGTCATGTTTTTGGAGCAAATATCTTATTGTGTATATGCCCTGTGGTAATTGGTTTTGTCGTTCTAGGTAGTCCAACTCTTCGCAACGTTAATATAAGTGCCACGGGGTCAGAGGAATTCTTAAAATCGCTCAATAGAAGAGCCTAAGATCTCAGTAGAGGCACTCCACGTCAATATAAAATCTTATTATAATCCATCACTTAGTCAAAGGAATTCGCTGCATTATTCGAAGATAGATGGATCATGTCACGCAACAAAGACGCAGGCGAAGGTTTGGAAATTAGGGTTCTGAAGTCACGAGGATCCTATGTCTGGCAGCTGTGACTACGAGTAGTACAGGTATATTATTCGCATTGATTATAAGCATACAGACGCTGTGTGCATGGTCCCCGCGAAATATGAGTCTCCGGTCTTGTGTATAACCCTCAAATTCCCATCCTAGTATGAACGAATCTTGAACGTCCACGATTCCATCCATGTCGTTGAAAATAAACCCGCGTACGTATCAGCAACGCCCCAACGAGGGATGTCAAGATGTAGACCGGATCTGTCGGATCTATCATCCTACTTAAAGTCCGTCTGTATTGGGATTGAGGCATTGACCCCGGAATAAAGGGTGACTACATTCCTGGCTGATGCCAGAAACTCTTCCCATTGGACCGTAAGCCAAAGACCTTCTGTTCGTAGGCCTGTAAGAGGCCATAAAATATTTTCTAACTGTTCTTGCACATTCTGTTCCAGTTTAGAAATTCTGATCTGTCTAACCTTGCAGAGGAATGTTGTTAACGTCAGATGTATACTGTACTCTCCTGAGTCATTCACTGGCCTTTGGAGCGTCTGAGCTCCACTCAACTATGTCATTTTAATGAATAATCGATCTCCTTGGAAACTACATGTGTTTATAGGTCATGTGTTCTTAGAAGAGAGCAATTTGTGGCTTGAATTCTAGTATTTATAGTGTCAAGGAGGAATAACTCTCCTTGAGAGAAGACGTAAAAAGGTCAAAGTCTCAGCGACTACTGCATGGAAGCTCTTTCCATTAAGTAATATCTTGATAGGGATATGCCATCCGTCCAATAATAACAATCTGCGCACATGATGCGCAATAGAACCCTTTTGGGTGTATTCCAAGTTCATGACTGTTTTTTCTTATATAGAGCGCTATTTGCTGGAGGGACTGAGTACTGCACTCCACTCGCTAATTTCGGGGTAAGAAGAGGTAGAGTTCGATATTTTCACGGAAGTGTTTTAAATGGATATTTGATAGCGGTAAGATACTTGGCCTGTACAGGCATAGATGCTGTGTTTATTGGGTAAGCTGAGAGTAAGTGACTAACGTGGTTCTAGATCCTGACTTACTCGATATTATTGGTACATCATTTCTATTGATCGGTGTCAAATGAATTTTCCTGGCGTTGAACTATCCAACTTGTCGAGACTTTAATTTGACCTTGGCGTTTGCCAACCCGCTAAACGGCGGAAATCTGGTCACTAAAGCGACCTCATCTCCAACCTGGTCCGGTTCTTATCAAGTGAAGCGCGAAACTAATCTCAACACAAGACCAAAAGAAAAACGATCGCTAGCTTAGTGAGAGCTAGTATTTGAAAGCATTCGAGCTCCAATAAGACATCTACCTGTCTACCTGACCTACAATGGAGGTATCCGGTAAGATATGCAGCTTTAGGAGTTTCTGCTGTTACTGACCCAGACAGTTGACCAGGAAACACCTCCGCCTAGAAAGCGCCGGAAGGTCGAGGGAGAATCTTCCGAGCCTCTCTTCTGGTTTGGGCAAACTAACGGCGTGATGAAATTTGGAGTAGGGCTTCTGCAACCATTTTCTCAAGCAATTGACCCTCACATTGATTCCATTAGTCTGAATCTGCTAGGAAGAAACCTGTTCCCTGCAAAGCTATCAAGAAACCAGTTCGTTTCAGACGACAGCGATGGGCCACGCTCCAAAAGTCTATCGCCGAGGACCGCAGATGCAGATTCAACAGCTCAATCTACAAGCGAACGGGCAGAGTGTGCACCCATGAGACCAAGACAATATCAGGAATTAGGCGGCTCATTAGCTAAAAATAGTCTCGCAACACAGAAGAGTCGGGCTCTCGACTCACAATGCACATTACTCCCACCCCCTCGAGTACACGTCCGAAGTAGCTCCGCATTCCCAGAATTGAATGACATAAACGAGAAACATATTCCAGCCGCGGCTCAGTTTGATAGAAGACGGCGCGTGAATTCTCAGCCTGCTTTATACCACGGCACCGAAGAATGGCCTCACAATTCTGCACTTCAAAGCAGAGAGGGAGGAATACGAGATCGATCTCAACGGCCGAGTGAAGACTTCACTTCCGAGAATTCTAGCGAGCAAGCTCCTCTTCTATCACGGTCTCGGCAGCTTGGCTCAGGCATGAACGCACCGCGTTCTCAGAAACACCAATCCTTAGGCGCAGGAACGGCTGACGGAGTCAACGAGACCCGTCAGCATATTGGAAAGTGCAAAGGTCTTTGGTTTATGGCAATAGCCATTTTGGTGGGGTTGTTTCTTATTCTCTTCTTGTATGCTTTTCATATTATACAATGATTATCATGAGGCGCTGCGTTCGAGCGAAAGAGACTGAACAGATATCTTCGAGTGGATATCATCAAGGGGGACTGTCAATCGACCATCGCATGTGTCTAAACCATACTTATATTCAGGTAACAGTGTGTAGATCATTAGCAAAAAATCATGTCTCAAACAAGTAGATAATACCTGTCTGAGCTTTGAGAGATGATGTTGAAAGACGCTTGTTGTGATTGGCTCAAAACAAGGAGTAGATGATTAGCGCGACGGGGTGCAAACAATGCAAACGCGCTTACGACAAAGAGCACGCGGCTTGTCAGACTCTCCAGGTTTCTTCGTCAATTCACTCTATCTTCGAAATTAGCTGCAAAGGCCATTTGGTTATGAATTAGGATCTTATAGTTTTCAGTCGTCGCCCTTGAATAGTCAGACACTGCAACCTGTGCTGATCGTGTGGACGGTCCCTATTGAAGTCGGCACCATTAGGTGGCCGTCTTCAAAATGTTCACGTTCACGCCCCTTCTGGGGGCACAGTTCTCGTCATCAAAAGCGTCGCAATCCATTCTTGAGCTTGAAGGAGGAATCAAAATTCTTGTTGATGTGGGATGGGACGAAACCTTCGACGTTTTGGAGCTAGCAGAGCTAGAAAAGTGAGCAACACCTTACCCTCCACACTATGTTTCCCAGCTGACGTGACGCGAATTATGTTCCCAGACATATTCCCACACTATCTTTGATACTCTTGACTCATGCCACGATTTCCCATATCGGCGCTTTTGCGCATTGCTGCAAGACGTTCCCGCTATTCACACAGATTCCAGTCTATGCTACAGGCCCGGTTATCTCGCTCGGCCGAACGCTTCTGCAGGATATGTATACATCGGCGCCGCTCGCTGCTACTTTCCTACCTAAAGTATCAATATCGGAGCCGGGGGCATCCACATCTGCGGCATCAGCAGCGGCCGCAACAGTGTCTACAGAAGGAGATGGAAGAAGCAGCAGTATGCTCGCTACAACAGGGAGAATTCTACTTCAGCCACCAAGCGCCGAGGAAATTGCTCGATATTTTTCGCTAATCCATCCGCTCAAATATTCACAACCTCATTCCCCTCTTTGCTCGCCCTTTTCTCCTCCGCTTGATGGTTTGACCTTGACCGCATACAGTGCTGGACACACAGTGGGAGGGACAATATGGCACATTCAGCATGGTATGGAATCTATCGTCTACGCCGTTGATTGGAATCAAGCGAGGGAGAATGTTGTCGCCGGCGCTGCTTGGTTTGGAGGTTCTGGCACCAGTGGTACTGAGGTCATCGAACAATTGCGCAAGCCTACCGCATTGATCTGTAGTAGCAAAGGCGGCGATAAATTTGCACCTCCTGGTGGTTTACAAAAAAGAGACGCTTTATTATTTGATATGATTCGCAGTAGCCTGGCAAAAGGTGGCTCTGTTTTGATACCTACGGATACTAGTGCGCGAGTATTAGAACTATCATACGCACTTGAACATGCATGGCGGGATGCAGCGGATTCTTCAAATGGCGAAGATGTGTTCAAAAAGGCTGAGATATATCTGGCTGGGAAAAAAGCGCACAGCACCATGCGCCTGGCTAGGAGTATGTTGGAATGGATGGATGAAGGTATAGTCAGAGAGTTCGAAGCCGTAGAGGGCGGAGATGCAGCGGCGGCTCGTGGCCATAAAAGAACCGACAGTCAGAGTCGCACTACAGGTTCTTCACGGGATAACAAGGCAACAAAATTGGGTCCCTTCACCCTGAAGCACCTGAAGATCGTCGAGCAAAAAAGGAAATTGGAAAAGATTCTCGGGGATGGTATCCCGAAAGTGATCATTGCCTCAGATACTTCATTAGACTGGGGCTATTCGAAAGAGACATTCCGCACTCTTGCAGAGGACTCACAAAACTTGATAATCCTGACCGAGACTCTTCCGAGCCGCTATCAGACTGATGACCCAGAGCAGCCCGATAAGATGACTCTGGGGCGAATGATATGGCACTGGTATGAAGAGCGAAAGGATGGGGTGGCTATGGAGACAGCTTCCAGTGGAGAGTTGCTTGAGCAGATACACTCAGGTGGGCGAGAAATCACGCTCGTCGATGTAGAGCGTGCCGCTCTTGATCCGGATGAGCAAGTACTTTATCAACAATATCTTGCAACACAAAGGCAGATACAAAACACCTCACAAGCGCGAGGCGATGCGAATATGGACAATGCAGCCGACGCTCTGGATGATGGTGCTAGTTCAACTTCATCTGAGGACTCTGACTCTGAGCAGCAAGGAAGGATCCTCAATTTCTCGACATCATTAGCACATTCCAACAGAAACAAAATCGGGTTAAGAGACGAAGACCTAGGCGTTAACATCCTTCTACGACGTAAGAATGTGTTTGATTACGACGTTCGCGGCAAGAAAGGACGTGAGCGAATGTTTCCTTATGTCGCTCCCAAGAAACGTGGGGATGAATACGGTGAATTTATCCGTCCTGAGGAGTATCTGAGGGCAGAAGAGCGTGAAGAAGTAGATGCGCAACAGCGAGATTCAGGACCACAAAGCGAGATGAAGCTTGGGCAGAAGCGGAGATGGGACGAAACAGGGCCGAATGGCCGACGACTATCTGGTGGAGCACACAAGCGTCAAGCGGTGTCTCCAGATGGAGTCCTAGGAGGCGATGTGGGAGATCTCGGCGCACGTGGTGAACTAGCGGCAAGTAGCGAGGACCTAGAATCTGAATCCGAGAACGAAGTGAACGAACAGCCATTCGAAGGACCAGCTAAAACTGTGTATAAACATTCCACTGTCACTGTCAATGCGCGTATCGCATTCGTTGACTACATGGGTTTGCATGACAAGCGAAGTCTCGAGATGCTGATCCCCCTGATTCAACCGCGCAAGCTTATCCTTGTGGGTGGAATGAAAGAAGAAACGACAAACCTTGCAGATGAATGTCGGAATTTGCTTGCCGGGAAAGATGCAGGAGACCGATCTGCTGTGGTTGACATTTTCACACCTAGAAATGGCGAGTCGGTTGATGCCAGTGTGGATACTAATGCCTGGGTAGTGAAACTTAGTAACAACCTGGTCAGACGACTCAAGTGGCAGCATGTGAGAAGTCTTGGTGTTGTAGCTCTGACTGCTCAGCTCAAGCCGCCGGAGACAGTGCAAAAAGAGGATGAGGCCATCGAGTCAATCAGCAAGAAACAGAAGCTCCTAGAAACTGAGCCGGATACCGTCTTAGCCCCTGTGGACGGAGCAAATGCGTCGTCATTATCGAAACCAGATACATATCCTATACTAGACGTGCTTCCAGCCAGTATCGCGGCAGGAACGCGCTCGATGGCTCGCCCGCTCCATGTAGGCGATCTTCGACTTGCCGACTTGAGGAAACTTATGATATCTGCGGGACACAAAGCAGAGTTTCGCGGCGAGGGAACCTTGCTTATCGACGGTACGGTAGCGGTCCGCAAGTCGAGTACGGGCACTATCGAAGTTGAGGCTCCAGTACAGTCCTCTTCCTCAGATCGCAGAGGTGTTTCTGGAAGTTTCCTTGCTGTGAAACGCAAAATCTATGAAGGTCTTGCGGTTGTTGGTGGTGGCTGATTATGTATCGTAATGATTGTATTATACCATATAAAATCTATCACACGAACTTACGAACCGGAAGCAGAGGAATTCCCATCAAGTTTCTCTTCTGCACATTAGACGATTATGAGGGGTTCCAGGGCGACGTATCATCGTCCGCACCAGCACGAAGTCACAAGCTTACCTGAGAGACTAGACGAACCCATTGAGTCAATTATCTACAATGACATTGAGGGCCCTGTCCACTCATACATCGAGTCACACGGTGGCGACCTGAGTCTCTCTCAGTCCCTATAAGTATGAGTGATGTAGCACGTCTGAAAATGTCAGAGTTCTACTTCTCTATTCATCGTTCCCAGAATCGAAAACTACCCAGAGATTACAAATTTCCAGGAACGAACTCCTCCTTTTTCCTGAACCGAGAATTCTATAGAACCCCATTATATACTCCAAACATGCCTTCATATCACTACCGGTATATATACAAGTGCACCAGATACGCTCCTGTTGATGAGGAACACCGTCATGCCAGACATCAGGACGATAATCCTGTGAGAAGACGAAGAAAGCATCACAGCAGCTCCTTTGCTCCCGGAGAGGAGTCCACATCAAGAAGCAACGAGTCTCTCCGTTTACTGTGGCTGTCTGTCGACAAGTCTAAAAGCAATCATTGCGTAAGCCACGTATTTTTCAATTTGGTCCCGTGCTGTGACTTAGATGAGATCTTGCTGATTGTTAGTACGTATCTAGCCGGACAGTGGTAGGTATCGGCGTCGAGATGATGAAAGGGAACAAGACCGTCATCATAGCCAAAGACACAGAAACTGGACTTCTCGTACATCGAGTCACAGTGACGGCGTCTCTGAAGATTTATGCGTTGGTCAGAATGGTCTGCCAGCACCAAGACGATGGCCACTAAGTCCCGAGTCACCATCAACACCACTACCCCCAAGACCTAAACTACAGTCTTTGGTGGGATCAGAGATGTCCTCTGTGCCTGGCTACGTTGATGCAGGAACCAATACTCTAAACCGCTGGCGCTACCTCGCACAGAGCGTTGTTAGTCCTGATCCCCAAACATTGTGCTCGCCTCCTCCACCATATACGACAAATGAGTCATTCTATGCAAGCGGACGACCGTCGACTTTAGAAGCTCCCACATGTGGGTTGGCGTGTTGCGGTGTTCCTGCAGGAGATGAGTGTGTAACACTGAGACATGGCCATGTTCCTTATGTTACGACTCCGATGATTACGTACAATGCATGCTGTCAGCCTTCGATCTCACTGGGGTATCCATGTATTGGAGCGTCGCACATCTGAGCCTATACATATATCACGGTCTTCCAGATTCTTATACCCCGTATCCCCTTCGAAAGCCTTTATTTATATTCTTACATTCTTGGGACATAGAAGGTGTTGCGAGCTGAGATATGTTTAATGTACCATGTCTTTGATAGCATCAGATATCATTCGATCATAATCACTATTATCAACTAGAGAACTATGTGGCTCTTATATTTGATCTATTTATTAATGATATGCTTTTCGGACAAACATTACATGTAGTATCTATGTAACAGTTCATGATTCCATAAGTCGCAAACCTTTTCTCCAGCGAAGAAAAGCTTCGTAGGGCACATAAGAGTACGAGAGATAAAGCATGCATACTAAAAGGAAGATTGACTCAAGAGCAAATCAAATCAACCTCCGTTTAGGTTAAAAATAATGTGTGTGGATGTACACTGTCTAAACTTAGTCCATAACTATCACTTTAACTCTCATGATGTTTGCCTTCACGATCCATGAGAGGAATACCTTCAACACCATCCTCGTCATCGTCAAGGTCGCCACCGATATCGAAAACCTCTGCATCGGCAATTTCTTCTAAATCCTCTTTCGGAATGGCATGTCCACGTTGCTGCGACTGGCGACGCTGATGCTGCAGCAATACATAGCCATAACCAGCAATTTCGATGCACCAAATCACGAACCAAGTGAATAAGCCCAGAGTAGACCATTTCCGGTAGTACATACCGACTCCTACGTTCATGGTACCAAATAGAAGAATTCCACGTCCAAGCCATCGATGCACGAGCGTAAAGATGGTTTGTCGGCGAATCTTGACAAAGTCAATGTGATGCTTGTAACCCGCAGCAGCCTGGATGATCAGCGAGCATAATATGGTAAGACCGATGATTTTGTGCGGGCCGAAATGGGTTGAGCGTAAGAACATATATAGGCCGTTTCCGAGGGCCAGGACTGACGCGCCGGCTTGGATCATCCAGTGATACTTAAAAGCGCGAACAACTGGGGAGCGAATGGCCACACTGCCTGCAAAATATAACCCCATGAAAGAGATAGTCATGATGGTGCCGTGAACTCGGACCGGAGTGAAGAAGCCTTTAGGTTTCTTTGGTGAATCTGGAGAGTCACTGGCGATTCCAATGATTTCATCACCTTGGATAGATGGGGCTGAATTTTCGGTAGTATCTTCGGTATCGACAGTCATGTTACCCCATACCTTACCCTTGAACTCGTGGTACATCAGGCTCGAGTATTTATCAGCCGAATGAAAACTTTGTTCTCTGTTTCCAGCAAAAATGTATGGCGATAATCCCTTAACTTCCACATCTGGCGACCAGCAGGAATAGCAGATGAACTCCGCAAGATACTTGTTATCCGAAACTGTAGCTTGCAAGACCGACACTTGGTCTTCCACATCTTCTAGAACCTTGGGCATAACATGGCCGCTCGCGGATCGAACGCTGGTGATGAGCGATCTGCTCTCTCGATCTTCATAAATAATGAACATCAAAGAACCTTTCATTTCCCGACCGAATCCGACACCAATCCAGCCTCCATTCCGGGATGGAGTTGCAGAAATAGTTAAATAGACATCATGGCTATCACTTGAGGTGTTGTGCTGTTGAGTCGCAGCAAAACAGAAATCGGCGCCGGTATGGCAGTATTGGATGCTGGCGACGAGAGTTGATGATAGTAAGAGAAGCACGGCGTATACCAGTGCTGTGGGGGTGTGTAAAAGGGCCATTTTGCGTGATCTATATGGTTTTCCCTGAGTTCTCGCTGCGACCGTGTCCTCTCCCCGCGATTATGAATCTCCGAATTCTCGACCACTCAGATGGAGCCGCGTAAACATTTGGAAGAGCACGCTTACACCGTGAGTGCCCCGTTAGTTTCGTAAATACCCTCGTAGTTGATGCGGGGTGAGGTTATGTTCAAAAGAATTGAAGGAAAGCAGTACATAACATGAGAATTTCGGTCAGGTATAGAGATTTCAGGACGAGATGAATGTCTCAAAAAGACACAGGTAAATTGGAGAGCCCGAAATTCGCTATGGCCCCCAGCCAATCATGCTCAACTTGGTAATCACAACGCACAGGAGACTTCAAACCCCCAGGCGTTCTGAACTCAGAACTGACGGAGCTGATTGGTATACGCTTATCAGATTGAGCATGTCTGATCCCCGAATGACAGTGATTCGCACGGCATCGAACGGATAAGAAGCGTTAAGATTGTCGGAGTACGTACGCGGTGGATCTTACCCCACAGAATAAATATGTTCTGATTTGTTATTCGCCTCAATTTCAGCCAATCACCAATCCTGAATGGATCTACAATCTGCTCTATGATTGGTCCAGACAGATTCAAAGATCTCTCGATATCGTATGGAGTAAACATTTCAGATATTACATGCTACTCTATGATCGAGTCAGTGAGTGCTAAACTGAGGACCAATCTACGGGTCTAAAAAACCTTCCGTCAACCACGGGTCACAACATTTCCCGTACAAAGGCCAGGAACCAATCTTTATCTTCACCTTCAAGTCTTTGTTCTAATAGTTTAAGATTAACATCAGGAATAGGTACGAGGCCTCTACATTTGTCTGCAGCCAGTAATCGAGAATGGGTAATTGCAATTGAGGCAGTTAGTTCGACTGGATGGGCCTTACCTTTGTGCATAGTTTTCAAGGCAAAGAAATACACGCGGTTAGGCTGGTTTGAGGATCTTTCAGATGGCTGAAGAATCAATATTAGCGATAATGGATGGACTGCAGATAAGATTGGATTAAAATGGCTTAAAACTCATTTTATTCCTCTTACTGATGGCCGTACAATGGGAAAATATCGAATGTTGATTTTTGATGGTCATGGAAGTCATTCGACTGCTGAATTTGATCGTACATGCACTGAGAATAGTATTATTCCAGTCTGTATACCTCCTCATTCCTTATATATTCTACAGCCTCTTGATGTTGGCTGCTTTGCTGTTTTAAAACGACATTATGGGCAGCTTGTTGAGCAGCGGCTAAGGCTTGGATTCAATCAATTGACAAAATCGACTTTCTGATGGCGTTTCCAAAGGCTCGCACGATGGCATATAAAACTCAGACTGTTCGGAATAGCTTCACAGCAACTGTATTAGTGCCATTTAATCCAGATCGAGTTTATCAACAACTTACTATTCGATTAAAGACCCCAACGCCCTTTCCAAGTCGATCAAGCAATACACAATCATCTTGCTTACAGACACCTCGAAACATACGTCAATTTACACGTCAATCGACTACAATTACGAGGCGTATAAATCACCGTATGGGAAGCCCCAATGAAGTGATTAATCAAGCAATTATGCAGATTTCAAAGGCTTATGAAAAGACTACAAATGACTTTTGATCGTACGGAAAGGAAATCAGGGTTTACGAGCTGCACATGAGAAAGTGAAACGAAAACGTCAAAGATCTCAGCAGCAAATATCTCATGAGCAAGCAATTACTAGAGAGGAAGTTCAGGCACTCGTACAAGGTCGGATCGAGGCATTTCAGGCTGTTACTACTACTCCGGCCGAGCCTGAGCTTCCAGTCTCTCGTCCACCTGTACGACGTCAATTTCGCTGCAGTGGTTGTGGTGTCGAAGGGCATAAGATAACTGGATGTCTTAATCGTCCTAGTAGCTAACTTTTTGTACATAATTTGTATGTGGGTTAGAAATTAAGATTTAAAAATCAATATGGAACTCGTTTTCGGGAGAGGTGGCCGGATTGCTCACATGGCTGGGCCGCTTACCGATTACTAGTTATTGGTTGTAACGTGCTAATTCTCTGACAATAGTAATGGATTGTTATGAGATCTAGCTTGATACCTGTTGGTTTAGCTACGGTCCGTATCACGAAGCATAGACGGTAGTAAGGCGCGAACACGAAGCGGCCTAACGAGCCTGACAATATGAAGCTATCTTGATTCCTAATATTGTGACTGATCCCCAAGAGAGAGGGGGACGGGGAATAGCTAGCTAGATATATACGCGGCACGCACGTGCTGTTAAAAGAAGCTTTATATTTATCCAATATATTCAATTATAATAATAATAATATGAAACTAGGCGTGACAGCTCGGCGTCGACACGGCTGCAACTAGGGCACGTTCGAATAAAGCCCTATTGACGAATAAGATTATCGATATGGCACGTGGCTAGACACCTTATCCAGATGTCGTGGGGATAGATTCGAGCGACGGTAGTTACCATAGTTCTTCAGTTGCACCGCTAATGAGGCGATATGGGGGCCTATAAATACAGGCATGCCGCCATTTCCCCTCGATATATAATTTTCCTCTTCATACACAGTTTCCTTGTCGATGTAGACACCGCACATAGTGAATAACATTCATTTGTTTGGATTGGTAATTTGTCACATTAAGATAAATCTAATGCCAAGACGGCGCCCTGTGACAATACAAACCCTAACGTCAGCCAATCAGAGCTGCTGAATGGGTACATATACGGGGCTCCGATTATCTTATTATCTAGAGATTTTTCTTTGATGATCTAAGTTTAAGTTCCATCTGCGAAGTAAATAGCCCAACTTTGCAGAACAAATATCCTGATCACTGCACTTGCAAAGCTCAAAGAGAGACAAAGGTCGCTTCTGAGCGCAACCATGGCCGATATCGCACTGTCGGACTTGACAAGAACAAGTGCATCTAGAACAAATCATCATACTGAAATCCAGAGCGACAGGGACATCAATCTGCTAACTTCAGATCGTGCACTGACAACATCCTCCTCATTCTCAACGCCAGCTCACAACGATATCTCACTTTGGCAGTTGGCCAATATAGTGCTGGCGGTTTCTGGAATCAGTTTTCTCAGTAGTTTTACTACTGGACTTCTTACTATTGGTCTACCGCAGACAGCACAGGATGTTGGGCTCTCAGAAGATTTGATATTATGGTATTATTCAGTTTTCCTTCTGATATTAACTTACATCGTGCTAATCAAACTCGACAGGCCATCCTCTGTTTATTCGTGAGTGTAATCTGGCAGGATTCTGTCCAAAATCATACTTACCAGTCAGACTGGCAAGCGGCTCTTGTCTCCTCCTAGCAGGCTCCATTGCCGACATAATAGGAAACCGCATAATTAATCTAACCGGCTGTTTCCTGGTCGGCTGCTTCGTTACCGCATGCGGCCTATCACAAACAGCCATTCAACTAATCATGTTCCGGACTTTACAAGGTGTTGCCGTATCGCTCTGTCTACCGACGTCTGTAGCTATTGTCTCTCAAGCGGTCCCTGCAGGTAGAAAACGCAATATCAGTTATTCGATTTTGGGATTTGTCCAACCGGCGGGCTTTTCGGCTGGGTTGGTCTTGGGCGGTATCATGGTTAATACCATCGGGTGGCGATATGGGTATTATATCTCTGGTGGATTGACTCTGGCGTTGTTCGTGGTTAGTATTTGGTCTCTACCGGCCGACCGTCATGGTAATGCAGGACGAATCGGTTGGGCCAGGCTCCGAAACGAGATCGATTGGATTGCCGGCGTTCTATCATGTGCTTGTTTAGCCATGTTATCGTACATTCTTGCGTGAGTCTATGACCGATAGGAGAAAATTTCAAAGCTAACGTCTTATGATCCAGAGCTCTGACGAATGATGTCTCCAACATTAAGATCCCCGGAAATATCGTTATTCTCGTGATCTGCGTGATACTTATGCCGGTGTTCATACTTTGGGAACAACGTCAAGAGCGACTCGGAAAAGCGGTACTCATTCCAAGCTCACTATGGCGCAACGCCGTTTTCACAAATGTGTGCTTGATGGTCATATTTTCATGGGCAGTGATTAATGTCATGGAATTGTATTGCAGTTTGTTGTGCGTCTTAATCCTCTGTGATACTGATCTGCGACAATACTGACGACGAACAGTTTCCAACAAGTCCAAGGCCTATCTGCACTTCAAGCCTCACTTCGCATCTTACCCAGCGTCGTGATCGGGTCGATATGTCAGCTGAGTACAGGACTATTAGTCCATCGCATATCGGCATTTTACCTAGTTGTCGGATCAACCCTACTTAGCGCAGGAGCACCCCTATTAATGGCCGTGATCAACGTCCAATGGCCATACTGGTACGATGCCTTCTTCGCACAACTATTGGCCCCTCTCAGCGCCGATATACTCTTCACAGTGGCTTTACTGGTGATTTCGGACGTATTTCCTCAAAAGACGCAAGCCTTGGCTGGGGCAGTTTTTAATACTGTCTCTCAATTTGGGAATTCGCTTGGTCTGACGGTTATGGCTGTCATATCGTCCGTGACTACGAAGCATGCTGCAGCATCACCAGCAGATGACGAGTCTCGGGAACCGCTTTTGGTGGGCTATAGGGCTGGATTTTGGGGTGCGTTTGCGTGGATGATGTGTGCTTTTGTTATTGGGGGGTATGGGTTACGGAAGATTGGCAAGGTTGGATTGAAGAGGGATTAATCTGATACTGTTTATTGATTCATGTGAATGGGGCAGAATGTACATAATATGAACGCTTACCGTTTTTGACAATTTGGTCATTGCTTACTGATCGTATTTTGGATATACGAAGGAATGCACACTCAGCTCTGATTCACGGCGCATATTCACCGCTATTCTCGAACAATCTGCAAGGATTAGGTATCGTATATGCGGTCAATAACCCAGGAGAATCCTAGGTACAGCCGCCCGGTCCATATAATTTGACATTGCCCGTCACTTATATCCATCCCTGATTTTGTTATACTTCATCTCAGCTCTTCAACATGACAAATATTTGACTGACAATGAATAATCACCTCGTAAATCAGGTAAGTAAGTCCATATCGTAATAAGCATTAGCTCGGCCTCACAAATACAATTTGTACAAGAAAAACATAGTATCAATCAGTTATTTCTCATGAGTTCCCTAATCAGGCAAGTCGTCGTACGTCCGGGACCATCAAGACGATCGATGTGTGGGGACCCCGCTTTTTGTACGACGGAGAACTCCGTACTCCGGACGTACGTACAATCGCGTATTTACGTATGTATATGTATGTAATTATGTTATTACTTTGTTAGGTAATAGAAGACGGGCGTATATCCATCCCTATTTCCGTGTAAGATTGGGTATTTCATGGTGATGTACTGTAATACAGACATAGATTGGTACGACAGTCACAAATTCTAGACTTTAGATGTCTTACGGATTCCAGCAGCGCGAGGATCATACACAGTTTGGTACAGGAATATTCATTGGCCACAGAAATACCTCTGAACGTTGAGGAATATTGCGAGTAAGACCTATGTTACGTTGTACACAAGAGGACTCCTTGTACACTGCTTAATTTACGGACTGATTACAGGTCACATGTATGCTCTACGTCTGTACCTACCTATGTAGGTAAGCCTAGCCTTGTCTTGTTCGCCTCATCTCGCCAAGGAAGTCAACGAGCAAATCGGAGAGAAACAGAAGCATATTCACAGCCCGTCCTCAAACTACTGACTACGTAAGTACTGCCTAACTACGTAGTGATCAGAATGAATGTAAACCAATGACTCAGATAGATACACAAGTCAGCAACACTTGCACCGGAAGGGTCGGGTCATCATTAGAAATTTAGGTAATGTACAAATCAGGCCCATGGGTCAATAGCCAAGAAGCGCTGGAATAACCAGGTAATGTATCGAATAGGTATGGACGAACGCTATGCACAACACAAGGCATCAAGTAGTCATCCCAGATACAAAGACATAGACAGTAAGATGTAAATGATAATCGAAACAGAAAATAAAAATAATTGATACACAGAATCGAAGGATATGTACGTTAATATATGTAATAAGAATCAAATGCATAGATTCAGTGTGCATTCAGGCTCCACGATCAGCGGGTGTAGGAACACATTCCAGCCAATATCATCAGCTTCATCTCAATCAAAGAGATGAAGAAATGCCCCTCGACATATTCCTCACCTGTATTGAATGATGCTCCGCAAAAACTCCAGACAAAGAAAATCCCCCTCCAAATATCCCACAGATGAAACGAGTAATTGTTTTTGTCCATTTTCCGAGATTTCCACACAAAACCTCCCAAATTTTTGCACCTGTGGACAAGAAACGAACACTAGATGCGCCTGATCCGAATCCAAATGACTGATAACAAGCAACCTGAAAACGTGGACGTATAACACAAGTGCGTATAATGTGACAACAGAAAAACAGAAATCGCACCTACGAATGCTATGCAACAAAACCAGAGAACCCCGGTCATAACAAAAAACATAGCCGTATTCCGTACAAATCATAAAAAACAAGTAAACATGGAGAAGAGAATCAAGGTGTTGTTCTTGTAGTGTTTCCTTTTGCTGCATTTCGAGGCCCTAATCACCATCTCAGGTAATTTGTATGGTTGCGTACCGATCAAGTAATCAAAAAATCCATATGCATCTCTTCAATAATCTTCTCCCAATCCCAACTTTCCTCCATCTTGGTGTCCATGACTTGCCAGACCCGTTCGACCACTTTCAAAGCTGGCTCGATATTTCGTAAACTGGAGTACTGTTTCATTGCATCAAACCCTACCTTGATCCTCTCACGTTGACGCGGCAGGAATGCCGAACATCCAATGAGGAACAACGGCATGAGCATGATACTGTATGCTCCTGCGTCTTGAGGAAGGTGATCCAAGTACTGCAAGGCATCGTCGACAACTTGGCAAATCTTTTCGCTAGGACGTGATGGTCGGATCGTTCGATACAGGTATACCCATGTCGACTGTCGGTACAGTTGCGAGGCATACCAATTCGGCGTGTCCTTGGCATATGACGGTTCCCAAATTCGCAAGGCGTTATCGATCCTCACTGCTTCACTAAGGGTCTGATAGTCGACGGCCGGCTCAAACCCTTCGCTATGACGCGCTCGAATGCGATCCCTGATCCGAGTTATCTCGGAAATATAGTTGAACAAACCATCAAATATACCGAGAAACGTCCCTGCCTGAGCGTGAGGCACAAAGTCCGGAAGTCGAAGATCACCATCAAGCTGCACTGGTCGTCGGTCCAAGGAAGTCAACGAATTGGATACGTCATGATACTGGAAAAACTCGATGATGAACTGTCGAAACTTTTCGTTCTTTGGCTTCTGATTGACTAGGAGAAAGCGGGCAGCATCCATATGAGATCGGTACTCTCCGCTAGTCTCTCCTTCGCAGATAGTGTTTAAGCATAAAGCTAGGGTTGACGCTATAATGGGGTCCTCCACCAGTAACTGCGGTTCTTGAGCATCTTCCGCCAAGGGAGCTGCATTGATACTTTCCCGTAGATCGGTGATGGCTCGATCGAAATGGTAGTGTTTTCTTTCCTTGAAGCGTGGTTCGGGGTCACGGGCTGATAGATGGGATCCTGACAAACACATTAAAGAATGCATCAAACCTCTATGCTGAGTAGCCATAGGAAGTAGGATTTCTTTGAACGGGTTGGAATCGTCATTGATTAGTGTGAGTACTCGACTAAAGTCAAAGACGAAATGGTCGAGAAATCGCCTGTCAACCTCCGTTTCAATCCCGTCAATCAGGATAGGAAGTCCTCGTGGGAGCAGTGAAATGGAAGTTCGTCGGACCGCTGTTACAATAGTTAGAACATGTTCGTAAAGAAATTAACAGATACCTGTACGTACCATCTGCCATTTTCTGCTTCCCGCTTTTCCATATTTCTTTCGGAGGATAACCTTCGCAAACAACAGCATTTTTCTGACAGTTCAGACCTAGCATATGCACATTAGCCTTCAAACTCCTTCTGTCGACGCCCCTCCCGCTCAAGTATTATCCTTACAGGCTGGTTTAGTCTCGTCGCATTTCTTCTTCCTCCTCCGACAGGTAATGCACCCCGTCTTTGAACGACCCTTGGCGACTTTCATCTGGCCACCTGGCACGGGTAGTGGGTGCTTGCGTGGTCGACCTCGCTTTCGTGGCAGGCTGGTTACGGCATCGCTGGCGGAGCGGTCATCGCCTGGCTTGAGGGTCATCAGAACCTCACCATCGTCATCCAACTCCTCGATCTTCGGCGGAAGCCCATCGGGCGAATTGGCATCGATAACGTCGCAGACATTGTTGTGGTTGAGGTCAGCGCTAGCAAATGTCGCAGACGTGGCAGACGAGGGGGATGTCCGGTCGGACTCGCGGCGCATTCTGTTATAGGCATTCGCGGACGAAAAGATTTGATGGTTGTCGGCCTGATGATGCCAATTATTCACGAGTTCGTCGGCAGCATCATCGTTCAAACTGTGCGACTGAGTGTCGTCGGACGAGGAGGGGCTTTCGATAGCACTCCCATGAACATGAGGCTGGAAAAGCGACGTTGTCGTTGTGGTTGTTGGCGCGCAACGGAACGGACCGGCTCCACTGCGGGCAGAAGGGTTTTTTACAGCAGACGATAGATTTTGCACCGAGGACTGAAGATTGTGCATGGCCAACATTGGGATGTCGACATAAGAGACGGAATTTACTGGAGTCGATCCAGTGGTAGGTTGCGTTGGGAACGAGCGAGCGAGCCAGGTAGTATATACTATATACTAGTATGCTAGTATACTTTATACACGGGAGTGGGTAATAGCTCGTGATGGGAGGGGAAAGGGCAGTCTAGGGGCGCACTAAGAGGAAGCCTGGTGGGAACAGCGAGAGCAAGTTATATAGACAGTCATTCAAGCGTCGCAGTGGGAGAATTACACCAATTAGAGCTGGCAGGTGACAAGCGGGGAAGAGAGTCGAGGTCGAGGGCTTGGATATTCAGATGATATGAACCGGACGGACACGAGGCTCGCTCCTTAGTAATGTTCAGGCTGGGCTATTGCAAGGTTCTATTTTGAAATAGAATTCAAAGAAGAGGAACTACGGCGGACTCAGGTGGGCACTGTCGCGTATTTAATGTACATTTGCAGAGAAATTTTCTTTTGTCTGCAACGTCGCTATGGCCGGAACATCTCCTCCGTGCGTTGAATGCTAGTCAGTAGGTAACGTAGGAGCAGAAGGGAGTACGCAAAAAAGAAAGCAGTTCCGATGGTTGCTTTACCTAGAGAATAACCAACACGTAATGGTAATGGTCATGGTCATAGTAATGGAAACTAAGTCAGATGAGACGGGCTACATAAAGCGACCCAGAGGCCCAAGCAGAGAGCGTAGAGGCCAGTGTGGTGCCAGTATATACAACGGTACTCCATACTTGGGCAGGCCGTACGAGTGACTAAGTGAGTATGGGTTTGTGACGCGCCACAATCAGATTGTTGCCGTCTAGCTTGCTGCATATGCACTGATTTGGCATGCGGGGATCTCTCTGTACTTACAATACGGAAATACATCCATACAACTGGTATTGATCCGAAACAGAGCTTAGCCAGTGTTCATGAATTCATGACTGTAAATGCCTTGCTGCCTAGCACCATACCACCTAGTTAATTAAGACTCACAATACCTTGGCGATGATGTACTCCGTAGAACTAGGGATACTTGACCAGGATCAGGATGAGTCGCTCCGTTGTCGCACGTTGTACTCCGTCCAGACAAATAAAAAAAGCAAAGAGATGCGACGGACGGACAAATGAGCATGGACTTCGCGTGGACTCCCTTGCATGAAACAAGAGGATTTGCAAGGAGAATCCGGAGGGCGAGTATGGGGTAGCGAGACTCAAAAGGGATCCATCTTGGCTGGGGCGGTATCGTATTATGCGTAATATAATACGGTATATAATACATAACGTATTGTGGACAGAGATCTGGTAATCCAACTATGCCACAGTAATAAAATCATTGGGCAGACAGGCAAACTCCAATCATGCTGACAGCCAACCCACCCTGGATGTGCCCCAGGATACTTACAGTAGGTGTTGCCCTTGTGTTTCACTCAGCTGTTGGAGACTCTTTTTATTCAGAGTAGCGTTCAACAGAGCTCTGGGGAAACTCAGCCGACAGATCCTAGCTATTTCCGAGTACGATTCAGATAATGTAATTATATCTACAACATTCTTCTCGAATAAAACGACTAGCCAGCTACATAGTACATACTTTAATCATAGTCATGTCAAATGTAGAAAATAACTGCAAGCAAGAATTCAACATCCGGGGCCGACAATAATGACAGACAGCAAATCCACCCCCGGAAACAGTCTAGCCAAATTCTCAATTACGGTAAAAGGGGTTCTGTCTCCACCAAACCACTTATTCCTTTTCCTTTCTACATTCCTACGATATTTTGACAGCAGGAATTAGAATTCCTGGGGATATAGTTGGGTAGAGCACATATTGAATATGGTGCCTGAATACAATAGTTGATTACTTTAAGTGATATGCATATTTCCTGGATATGTACCACACACTTGATATGAAATCGTGTATGGAGAGTTTGAGACTAGCGATACACAACAGCAAAACGAGTAGATCATCGTACCTAGAAGGTTTAAATTTGTACAAAAAAAACGTTGGTTTCAATGGTTCGAATGGTTGTATAGAATGAGATTGATTTGGCTAAGCATGACAACGGTCACATTTCATTAGCTGTTCAGGTACGGAGCAGACGATACCCGTATTCAATGTATTGAGGCATTTATTCGGAATCTGAGCTACAGCAGATGAGAGAATTTTTTTCTGCGTCCCGAGTATCTACTGAGCCACAAAGGAGCAGCGACTTGTTCTGCCATGAGGATCGCATGTTGTGTCTATTCGGAATCTCTATGAGATGGTAATATGGATACGGTGGGGTAAGTGGAGGTTTGGTTCCGGCCCATCTATCCGCTACGTTCCGTACCTTACTTCTGATCCAGAATCAGATCGTGTTAATCTCAACAAATGCGATCATCATGATGGTATTAGATAAACATATCAAATTTGAGCCCTAGGAGCATGCGTAGGATATCCTGGACTCGATCTAAGTCTGACTTGTACGAGGACAGTCACATTAATAATGCTGTATGTACTTGCCCTCGCTTTTTTGCTGTTTAAATACTGTTATGTATTCATTGAGCTTTGTATTAACGCACAACACACATCGACTCTCGCGCTTTCCAAACGCATTCTCTGTTCTAGAGTGTCTGGTCTCCTTCTTTTACTACACATACTCGTAGTGAGGATTCCCTCCTTTTTACTTCCCTCGGATCCTGATACGGAGTGCATGTTAAATACGTAGCCAGAGCCGACAAATTACTTTTCTATTTTTGTAGCGTTTTCTTGTCTAATGCACTCTTTACGAATAAGGAAAGAGGGAATGGGGTATGAAAAATTTTTCGTTAGCTGTTCAACTCTAATTCGTTCTTGACATGCATGCATAATGACACTCGAATTAATTTAATATAACTGATGAAGCGAGGTCTCCACTAGGCAAATTTCTTGGCTGACTGGCTAGCTATATACGTGCGAGCGAAAAAAGTATGGGGAAGAAAATCACGTACATATACTAGCCATGTATATCTACCTAGATCACTCTAAGTATGTATTCGTTGGCATCTCCGTCAGTACCTACGTCTACATACATAGAAAATTATTGATTCAACCTTTAGAACCAGTAGGTTGAAAGAGTCTGAAAAGAACGCGGCAAATGAGGGAAGTCGGGATTAGTAAAATCTAACTCACTATTCAATTAAGCGAGCACTGAATGCGTACGAAAAGCTGAATTGCTTACGTACTCGATTATAGGTCAATTGTAGCCTACTGAGGTCTAGGGCAGCCTCATCTTTTTCGGTCCCTTCAGATCTACGACGCACATACGTACTACGAGCAGAGCACGAAGGACCTCCGCGGAATTAAAATGGGCACATGACCTATTTCCTCGTCTGAAGCTGTCCCTTTTTCGATTCTTAATTTCCAGGGATCTGGTTGAATAAACATGACCAGCGACTCGATCATACGGTTGGCGGGAATCGCTGTCCTCTGATTAGACACTGACTCAACGAATATCAAATTTGACTTTTGAATTATGTGCGTACAATTAAGAAGGATATTCAATTTGACTTTTCACTCTCATCCACTCGATCCGTGACGACGTCAGATCAATATCGCTCATAGGCTACCACTGGTTACCAACGAGGTGGTTCTACATCATTTTTCCTTCTTTCGGCATCTATCTTGGGGCCGGAGAACAGTACACCGGAATGACTTGTCTGGCGCGATGCTTACTTTTGTAACGACTCAGTTTTGAGCATCAGAGGACAAGTAGTCTGCAATTTCTTAAGTTAGTACGCATGTAGTACTATTCACGCCAAGTATGGTAGGGTTTCTCCTCGGAAGGGCTCTTTCAGTCTTTTACCACCCGCTCAGTAATGATTCAATTTTTGTTTTTTGGTCAATTCAATAGTCGGATATTTCTTTGTAGTCATCAACCTATAGATTCTGATATGAACCATCAGATTTCTTTTTTTTTGTAATTGTGATGGCGTGATCAAACCCGACCTAAGGGAAACGACCTTCAGTAGTTGGTCGATTAGATTAGGGCATATGTACCCCATACGGAAGCGCCAGATCCCCCACGCCTGCTGTTATTGTACCACCAGACCTGTATCACCGTACTGCGAAGCTTCTGGACTACGGAGGATGCCGGGGAGACAATGTCGGTACTATGCATGTAAGACAGATTCCCGCAGAATTCCAAAGTCAAAACTTACCGGTCGGTACCTGGAAAAGAAAAGAAAAGAAGACGTTTCTTTTGACTTGTGAATAGTTACGGAGTCCTAGTTCATGATTCCAGACTTTTCGTTATGCAATAAAAACCAACCTCGGGATGGACTCTCAATGTGGCTTCTGCAACAGATCCAAGATTTGGGTACCTACTGACCACGGGAAAATACTCCGTGGAAGGCTTGGAGTCCATATGATCTGGTGGACGAATTTGTACACTCATAATCGACTTGGATACTACTGCGTCCGGTGTTCGGTGTACAATATTAACATGATCATGAGATCAACTGCATCATACAATATCCCAAACCTTGGGACCCAAATGTTTAACTTAGCTTCAAAAAGCTTAAAGTTCAAGCCAAGAACGTGACCTCGTCTGTTTATACTTTATTCGAACTAAACTTATTGAAGCCATACGTACTACCAATAGAACGAAAGTAGAATGACACAACGGAAACACCTGTTCAAGCAATCCGTCGGTCAGACAGACTAGCATAAATAGATACCTAGGTATATTAAAGTTACTAGTCGAAAAGCCCTTTAACCTCAAGGCTGTCAAGGGCTTGAGCCACTGGGAACGTCCCCGTCAAATAAATCCAGGGCTTAGGGTTAGCCTCACTTGGCAAATCGAACAAGTTCGGTCAGAATCTGAATCACCAACAGTACTTTTTTTGACTTAACTTCCCAGCTTAACCCGCTTATACTCTCCAAATGCAGAAAAGCGTAGGATCAGACCTGTTTTTGGCAGTCTCCTACTTGCTTATTAGTAACTTAATAAGTGTTCGAGCTGCACTGCTGAAAGCCTGAAATGTGACTAGGATTCCTTGGTTTTCGGTTACAGTTAAAGGGTCACAAACTGTGCGGGGAGATAGGTTTGAAACAAGCTAGAATAATCCATACAGTAAATACTCACAGTACAAAGTCGGAGTTCGCCGTCATCGCAAAGCGCCATTTTCTCTATCCGTTCAGCTCATATTTCGTACTTCGAATTCTCGAAGAATTTGCCCCATTCATGGTAATTCAGCTATTTACTCCGTTACAAGTGCGCAAGTCTAGAATAGTCTCTCCGCATTATTGATAGCTCAATAGAAAAAGAAAAGAAGGTAAAGGCAAAACAGGACCCTTATACGCAGTACAGAGTACTCCGTAATTAATTACTGTAATAATTTATCCACTACGGTCGCTAATGCTTTCCTTCCCGCAACGGCTGATGATCGCTTGAGCGTATTTCGTATACATAGGTAATTACAATACCAAATACGTACTAGACATACAATACCCAGGTATTTTGACTCGTTGTTAATTGACAGAGCATTAACTAATTGACTATATTTTGGCCTCGAATTGTGCATGTATTTGCGAAAGAATCAAATTTCTCACTCAAATAAGTCTACCTAGGTAATATGCAAGATCGAGGAAGCCTTCATACATCGAGGTATTGACTTTTACGTAGTGGGCAGTATGATCCACAGACTAGAAATGATCATGCATTTATGTGGATGCGATTCATATTTAACTCCACTCGATGATTAGGATGTCGGCTTGGAAGTTTTATCCGATGTCCGGAGATATTCGATCGTATGTTGGTAGGTTGAGAAATTCGTGAAAAGGAATCATCATGATAGAAAGAAAAAAGTGGCATGAATGGGATTATATTCAATATGATAGATATCATGCAAATGAGAAACAAGCAGATTCTGGCTTCATCAAGAAAGTCTGCATTCAACCGAGTTCAATGATATGCACTCAGCGTAAAGTTCTCTTCACAGTACGCCACTCCACCAACGAACGAGAACTCCAATTTTTGCGTTGAAAAGGACAACAACAACGGACGGCACTAGAAAACATTGTATTTTGCTTAGTTATTGAAAGTACCTTGGCTCATCAAACACATGGTACCGATGACCACGGACACCTTCACCACGGAACAGTGCTGGGAAGCGTTGGCCCTCAGGTACCATTTCCTCCGGGATGCGAATCTCCTCTTCAGATTCCGGTTGACCGATGACAAATTTACCAACCTAACAATATTATTAGCAGTGTTTAATGTCACTCAGAGAAAAGACTTACCTGAAGTTCGGTATCGGTGATGGTGCTTCGAGAAATTCTAGCATAGCCAGTTCGCTTCAACTTCTTGTACAAAATGTACTCGCACCACCTATCCCAATCCGTCGAGTCGATGTCCTTCATTCCACTCACGTCACTCACATATGTGTTGTAGTTGCCTTCAAGTGGTTTCGTGACTAGATAACTGAGAAGGATCAGTGGTCGGGGTGATGAGCCCATGAGCTTGGAGAGATATTCAGTCTGTAGCCGTCGGTCCTCGGGGTCTTCTTCCTGACCAGAGTGAAATACGACCACGTCTACCGCCTCGCCGTACATGTCGAGAGTTGCATGAATGGCTGGGGCCAGTTCACCGACAGGGGATGGCAACAGATGATGAGTCGAGTTGAGAATAGGGAACTTGGAGAGTAGTGCGGCTCCCCAGGTGTGCTTGTTGGGCCCCGGGCCGTAGTCCACGTACATACCAAGTTCTTCGGCAAGGACAGCGGTGAAGTCACGGTTGCCCATGATGATGCGCTGAGTATCGGACTCTAGCAGACCAACGACATCAAGTTCTGCCTCTCGGATGAGATTGATCATTCGTCGTTCGGAAGACCACATGTCATTGTCAAGAGAAAAGTGAATCGTCCAGATACCAGCCGTAGCAACCTTGTCTTCCTTGTGGTAAGGAGTATAGTCGTTTGTGGGGAATCGGAGGTAGGCAACAGCCACGGCGAGAAGCTGAAGGATTGCAAGGGCATAAATATAGTATGAGCGCTGTCTACGGCTGTTGGGGTTGATGAAATTCTTCTTGGAAGGGCCGGAGTTGGTAACTGAGCTGGAGAAGACACCGGCACCCACAAACAGCATTGTCACAGTCATTAACCAATCAGTGTGTTCACGAACTAGAGGACCACCGGGAACGAAAGCATACGCCACGACCCAGACGTGGAAAAGACACAAAAAGACCCAAACCGAGAATGCCGTACCAAAGGTAGATGCAGGCGAGTGGTGGACGGCAGAGGCAATGAACACGGGGGTTATAGCCATTAGGTAAAAGGCAATAGTCAGACCACCGTAGAAACCAAACCAATGGCTGTAGCAAGTAAGCACCGCAGCACCGAGAGAACCAATGCCGAACGCTGTCCATGAACCAGCTAGACGAGGGTAGTACAAGCCAAACAAGTAACCTGCGCTCATAGCAAAGATTGTCAAAGCACCATGAGGAACTTGAATTGGGCCCCGGATAGGGAAACCTTCCCAAACCCAACTGATCATGGTGCTAGAATCGGACAGTAGTGAGTGCAACCCAAAGATAACACCTCCAAGCCCAATACCGGCAAGAATAGCGGAACCTTTCTTACCAGCTGGTGGGTAATAGTCACCTCCGCTTACAGCTGGCTGTCTTGCAGAGCGTATCGCAGCGAGAATACCCAGGAAAAGACCAAACTTGTTCCATCCACCGTTCTCCGCGTTCATTGTCGGCCAAACAGGGTTGTTTGTCTGGAAGGCAAATTTGGCCACGCTCGACATGATGAGACCAATGGCAAAGGCAGAAATGCGTGACTCTAGTCGGACATTCAAAGCCCGTTCGCCATAGAACGTTGCGGACCATATAAGACAGCCCATAGCAACAGCAAATCCTGAGATGAAGAGACGGTAGACTGGGTCACGGACGAGGAAAGCCATCAGACCGGTCAACGGCAAAAATTGAAATACAGCCCTGTTACGAATCACCAATGACCGGATAGACGGGATAGCCAAGATCAATGGAGATACAGTGGTAACAATGACAGCCTCATATCCAGAAATACCCATGTGCCAAAGCGGGAAGTCTGCAGATGATTAGACGCATCTCAACAAGTTAAGAGAGGAAACATACACCACACAAGTAGAGGCATAGCAGTATAATTGGACCAAAAGACAAACTGTAATGTGTCAGCGTAATATCTTAGATGACCATAAACTCAAACTTACGCCATTGTAGATGTCGGCAGCAACGTCAAAAGCTTCAGGCCAGGAGAAGCCTGTACCAAAAGTGTTCCCAATCGGCTTATCCTTCCTAATATATTGTTATTACCATATCATCCTGGGAAGCGTGTGATAGTAACGAAAACATACTCTTTTTCAATTACTTTGTCTGCCGTCGTCTTGAGTTGCCTGTTGAGGTATGGTTAACCCATTTCGTTTCAACCAAGTACCGAACGCTATGCACTGTACATTTCAAATGTCTACTTCGGAAGCCACTGCACATACCCTCTGCTAACTCCTTTTACATCCCTCACCACTAACTCAAAAGCGTCGAAATCCAGCGCTGTTACCGCGTCGAAACCGACATCGAAGACGATCAAAGACCATTCAAAGAAGGCATACTTGGTGTAAGCTAAACAAAAATCAGTGCAAGTCATTTCTTCTTACTGGTAGTAATTCCTTACCTCCGGCAACCTTGTGTACCTTGTGCTGAATGAAGTAGTAGATCAAGGGAACCAAGGTTCCAAAGAAAAGACTGGCGAGAATCTTGCGGTATCTGACAGCACGGCGGTTCGCAGGGCTCAGAGCAAGGCAGCCCAATGTCCATGGCAGAGTAGCGACCAAATACGAGATCATGAAAATATCATGCCAGTCATGATCGTCCGTCGATGTCACATAGGTCCAGCCACCACACGTCAATGTTCTGAACAGACCAGTAAAGGCGACAACCTTGGGTAGCGTTGAACCGGGTCGAGCCGTCATCAGATACCAAAGGAACACGAGAGCGAAACGGGGACCGGATGTGATAGCAATGAAAACCTGAAAGACTGATCGTTCGGGATACCGATCACCAATTGTCGCCGAGACAGAGGGAAACCATTCATCAGGGTAGCCGAAATGCTCGTTTTGCACGATTTTATGGAAGTGTAATTGCACGCCGACAACGAAGGCGCCGATGAATGCGATGGCCGCAAATAGGGTGTGCGCGTGAGAGATCCATTTGCCATTGAGCTATATACAAATTGCATGTCAGTGTCACCGTAGATAAATTTCACTCGCGATTGAGGGCAGCGTACGCTCACAACGGCATCCCCGTCTCTGAATTTGGGTGCCATGGCGGCAGAACGGGAAAGGGAAACAAAGCGAGAGGCTGTCCACGAGTGGACAAATCAATTGCTGGTGAAAAAAAAACTGGAAACTTATAAAATATAGATGGATAAAAGAAAGTCAGGAAAAAAAAAGAGCAGTTGGAAACCTGCTTATAGGCCTTGAAGAAAGAGAAGAAATCAGCGGCCCCTGAGACATGTGTAGTCTTGAGGAAGGCGTGAGGACGACTAAGGCTTCGGCATTCGGTCCTCGACTGACACTAGTCCCGGTTAGGGGTAGTGCATGTTGGAGCTTAGTCTTTGTGCACGGACCACGCTCAATCGATCATTTTTTTTTGAATCAGTTCGGATTGATCTTTGACAGTCTAGACAGGCCTGAAAATAAAATCAACGTCATGGCGGCTGAAAAGGCTCGTTTTTATTTGGAAAAGGCAGTTCCAGAGCTCAAGGAATATGAGCAAAAAGGCATATTCACCAAGGTATGTCTCAATGCGCCAACAGCAACTACAGTATCAATGCTAATCTAATATCGTCTAGGATGAAATTCGATCAATCGCAAAGAAGCGCTCTGATTTTGAGCACAAAGTCAACACTCCCGGAGTAACGGATTCCGACTATGTCCGTTATATCGAGTATGAAATGAACCTGGAGGCTTTACGGAAGAAACGTTCAAAGAGATTTGGCATCAAAGCCACCCCCCAACATGCGGGACGCCGCGTCCTGTTCATCCTCGACCGTGCCACGCGCAAACTGCCCGGGAGCTTAGGACTCTGGATACAATATATCGAGTACTGTCGGCGACAAAGAATGTTCCGAAGACTTTCCGATGTTTTTTCCGATGCATTGCGCCTCCATCCTGCCAATGCGGACCTGTGGGTTTATGCTGCCAAATATGCCATGGAAGACCATGCGGATATGACTCAGGCGCGGAGCTATTTCCAGCGTGGTCTCCGTTTCTGCAAAAGCCAAAGGAATATCTGGATTCAGTACGGACGGTTGGAGTGTATTTACATTGCCAAGCTCTTCGCTCGTCGACGGATATTGGGTTTGAATGAATCTGGAAAGGCCGGCGATGTGCCTAGTTCAGCCGCGGATGAGGATGCAGATATGATTGCACTCCCCGCAATCACAGAAGAGGACATCAATCCTTCAAGCAAGAAGAACGATGAGATAGACGAAGGAGCGTTGGAAGCACTCAACTCGACACCTGCTTTGACGGGAGCTATTCCGATAGCGATTTTTGACGCGGCCATGAAAGAGTCGAACGACAACATCATTTTATCGCATGAATTCTTTGATATGGTTTTTGAATTCGAAGATCTTCCGTGTTTGCGCAAAATCCTGGATCATATTGTAACACATCAAACGGCAAAATCACCTCTCCATTATCGCACAGCTATTTGCCATATTAAAGTGCCTGTAGCAGGACTAAAGGTCACTTCACCAGAGTTCCCGCAAGCACTTGGAATTTCTCTCAACAATATGAAGAAGTATCAACTGGACCCCAATCTCGCGAAAGAATTGATCAATTGGCTCAAGCCGTTGTCGGAAATCGAAGAGTTAGATCCTTCACTCCAGAAAGTGTTTGAAATAACGCTGAGTCGCGCCCAAAAATGCCTTCCATCCATGGACGAATAGTTCTATACTTTAGATAGCATGGCGTCCATTGAGTGTGTCTTCACGAATGATATCCAAAATCGATTCTCAATCATCATATTTACTGTTACGACGATTGCTTTTCTTTGCGCTATGCATTTTTTTAGATTTAATTCGTGCCTCCGTCTCAGCTTTTCTCCTTCAAGTCCTGTCAGTATGAATATTCGGTGTTGATCAAGTATATAAGAACGTACAAATTCTTAACACGCTCTTTCTGTTCTTCGGATGTTTCTCCCGGAATTACATCTCGAGCTGATTCTTCAACAATCTTGTATAGCTTCTGATAACAAGACTCGATGTTCGCTGATTGCTTTCTAGCCTCATCGGACTGAATCACAAGTGCATCAGCCCTGTCGGCCACATATCGAGATGTTCGTAAATTCTCATGAAGTATTGATGGTACCAGAGGTAACAAGGAGCTCAAGGGCACTCTGAGCGTTGCTTTTGAGTTCACCCTATTAATCTGTCTTAGCAAAGTTTGTTTTGCCGTTTGAATGTAGAGAGGATCAGGACATACTTGTTGACGTTTTGTCCACCGGGACCGCTCGATCGACTGAATGATATGGAACATATATTGCGTGGAATTGAATTGATATCAAACTTTGCAAGCCAGTCTTTGGCCTTACTTAGCTCGGATTCATTCCAAAGACCAGATTGCGTGGCATTCCCCTTTTTGGACGCAAAGTGTCTTGTAATTGTTAGGGTAAATCGCGCATTGTAACGTGACAGGAGTGACTGAAGATGAACAAATGCCATATCTTCACATGTCTGGACACTTGATCCAGTCAGGTATGGCTCATAGAAGATCTCCAAGGTTCTTGAATGTGGAGACGGTTGACATAAGAAGGCGCAATCTACTCTGGCCAATCGCGGTGGCGGATTTTCCACCCCAGCCTTAAGGATCTGGCGCAGTCGTATTCGATCATGATCACTCTTCACTCCCTACAGATCTACACGGACTACACGGCCATATGCTATCGCTCCGGTCGACTGCGGTCTTGCTTATTCATTCATGAATAATATCGAGATACACTTTACGTTGGTTCGAAGCTCATTTATATCGTCTGACAAAGTGCATCCGGCCCGATAAATTGGAGCATCATACACCCCCAGCAAACGTAGAGCTCGAGCGAAACGTCTTATTGAACCATACCACATGCGGCTATATATATTCGATACGAAATGGCCTCGAATAATAATACTTTCTCTATGAAAGACAATGGCCCTAAGCGACATGCCGCTTGCGATGAGTGCCGTATAAATTCCATGACTATAAACAATCAGTCCCTGATAATGCTGACCATTCTCCGCTCGCAGGTAACCGCAAATTAAAATGCTCAGGCGAGCAAACCGGCTGTCGACGATGCACCGCCCAGGGTCTTTACTGTCATTACTCCATACAGAAACAAATGGGTCGACCGCGAAAGAAACAAAAACTGGATGGCCGTAGAAATGATAACAGCGACGGATCAGAACCACGTTTGTTAGGGGCAATTTCCGACATAGAGAAGGAGTGGACTTCGGCAGATTTGGGTCCTGACACGACTCTTCTATGCCCACAAGTATATCTCAGCCGTTACGGTGGTTACCTCCCTTCCAAAGACGTACTCCACTTTGACTCTTCTTCATTACCACAACCGCCACAGCTGCAACCCATCGCTGCGACGATTGACCCCTGGCCTGATTTTTCGACGACCTCAGCCTCTGCTTCAATGCTGTCGAATGTGCCATCTTCTGCTGCATTGGGTGAGGACGCACCCACTTGCCCATGTCTATCTTATCTCTACCTCTGTTTGAGCACGCTCTCAAGTCTTAATTCATTCTCGATCAACCGTGAAACTACCACGTCCCTGTGTACAGCGGCTAGAACCGCACAGTCTGTTATTCGTTGCGAAATATGTCCACTGAGGTTTGCCACTGGCATGCAAAACGTGATGATGCTGGGGACCCTCCTGAGCGTCATGGCAGACGCCTGGTACAAAATATCCCTCACTGATGCCAGTACTCTAGGCCGAGAACTTGCCTCCCCCGAGTTCAAACAACTGGTCATGAACAACAAAGACCCTCACGCAGAAGAATTGGCATGGAATCACTGGCTACGGCGATTCCTTCGCCGCGCTATCATTGGTACGCCCATTGATCCGAAGTTATGTCCACCAACAGCTGTTCATAACATAACCCCGGATCTGTATTCGCTCATCCGGGAATTGGAGGATCGTCAACGATACTGGCATGCGGTTCGGATTTCGCATCCCACAAATCCGTTCGATACATTGAGAGCTTCCTACGGGTCTGTGTCTACACCGCCATCATCAACATCCACATCAGACTGCTCAAAGGAGAGCAATGCGGATGCAAATTCTAGTTCCTCTTCAACGGCGAATACAACAGGTGAAGGAGTGTCGACGGCATTGCCGCCGGATCCGGCTGAAATTCATCAAAATGCTCAAGAACATGATTATTTGTGTTTGAAGATTGTTGGCGCTGCTAAACACGTTATCAAGAAGTTTGAGTTTGGCCCTGAAGAGTATCCAGAGGGTGTACCGCCGATTTTGTTGTCAGACTAATGATCGATGTCTTTTTTTTGGTGCCATGGCTGAATGAAAGATAGTTTACATATTACTTGACGATCTTTTGCGTCAAGGGTGCTTTTTATGAAGAAAGATATGAAATGTTTACCGTATCTGTCCTCGATACATTTATTTGACAGGTGTGAGCGTTGCAACTTGTGGCTTTTCTCATACGAGTACATCCTGTCTGTACCCAAAACGGAAATAATAGACAATTAGCAGCCTTGCAACAAAGCCCCAGAACCCCCCCACCCACGACAATCTGTGGTTATATGTATAAATATAATAGATGGTATCATTGCTGGAAGACGGATAATTCAGCCTCGTCTGTGTGGTGGCTCAGTTTAAGCTGATCTTGGGTGTCCGATTAAAAGGCCCATGTTGCCCGCGATATACTCTTGCCCGCTCAAATCTGAGGTATAGCTCTTAATATTCATTAATCCAAGCGCTGCGCAACATCGTAAGTGTTACATCGCAGTAGTTTCCAGTCTAGACTCATTAGCTAACACAAAACGGCCAGACTGTTCGACCAAGATGAGCAAAGAATCCGTTACCGATAATCAAATGCCCCTAGAGGAAGCTGTGAGAGATCCAGATCCTGCAATGTTTGAATCGATGCTTAAACAACTCATAGATACTGGAGCTGGGAAGATGGACAAACAGAAAATTCTATTTATAGCTGCAAAGAGAGGGGATGTGGCGGTGGTGAAAAGGTTGCTTGAGAGAGGCACAGATATAGAGGCACGCGATTCAAGTGGCTGGACACCGCTCCTTATCGCAGTGATGCGACACCAGACTTCAGTGGTACAGCTGCTTCTCGAGCATGGCGCTAAGACAGACGTCAAATGTAGTATGGGTCTTCGAACACCTTTACACCAAGCGACTGAGGCCGGGCATGAGGAGATCACCGAGTTGCTCTTAGCTCACGGGGCCGATCCAAATCTTTACAATGTTAATGGCCGCAGACCTTTGGTATTTGCTGCCGCCGAAGGCCACTTAGTACTGGTAAAGATGCTGTTGGATCATGGCGCTTATCCGCAGACTAAAGAGGATCCTTCAACGCCTCTGTGTTGGGCCAAACGGCACGAATATGATGATATTGTGAAACTGCTGGAGCCGCTCTCCAAGATCGAGCCTGAGCAACCGTCTAGTGAGGTGCCTGAACCTGAGAAGAGTCAAAAGACCAATGCGCAAACCACTTACCTCAACCGATGCTTGATTCAATGACTCCAGGCAACCATGCTGCTGTTCTATATATTCGAGATTATTATATCGCTGGCTGTTACACGGTACACTCCTCTTGGGACTTGTCCTCTCCTTTCTGATTTCTCTCTGTTGCTGCTCTATTCCAGCACAGCAATAGAAAGACATAATTGATCCAAACGCCACATACCTTCCTAGTCACTGTTACAAGAAGCGAGAGCTGTTCTTCCAAAGGTCTTTAAACATTGGTCTATGAGATATGATGCCCTGGCTTCTAGTCGCACCTTCCAGTCATCCGCATAGTCGGCAGTTCGACGCTGTTTTTCGAAGAATTTGTCGCCTTCTGGATTATCCCATTTCCCCCGCGTGCGCCACCAGTAGTAAAAGAGTAGGCTTTTATGTATAATGGGTGGCTGCGCAGTAATGATCATAGTGTATCCAGGGACTAGTCTAATTGGATATAGGAAGACTTCCTTTGCAGAAGATATTATCATGTTACGTATTGACCATATGCTCTGACAAGCCAAAATCAAATTGAAATAGACCTCATAATAATGCAAGATGCTATTCCTCGTCGTCATCATCCTCAACACGATAACGATTCTTCTTCCTCGCAGGTGGCGAACCGGAACCACCTTCACCGGCATCTCTCCGTTTAGGTGATGGCGCACGCTTTTCGATTTCCTCATCATCATCCTCTCCTTCAGCATCCATTTCATCGTCAGGAAGAGATTCTTCATCCTCAACCTCTTCTAACTCTTCGTCGTCATCAGCGACAAAATCGTCAACTTCATAAGAATCCTGTCGACGTCGGCCGTGCTCTTCTTCATCATCTGAGTAGATTTCACCGTGGCGATTGGTACGAGGACGTCTTTTGGCCGGTCTTGTAGCAAACATGCCATCATCGTCTTCCAATCCGGCAGCAGTGAGCCCGCCGCGAGATGGGCGATATGTTCCACGGCGGGCAGTTCTGTTCTGTTCGCGGTCTGCATATTGTTGTCGCTTTCTGTCTTCCCTCATTTTCAGTTTTTCCGCAGCTTCAGCCCTCTTCCCAGCTAGTTCGGGGTCTTCCTTGATATCGATGATAGCAATTCCATTGCCGTTGGCATTGGCTTTACCGCCACGCCCAGCAGCGGCCAGATTCTCTTGTAGACGTTGAATAGCGTCGTCGGTCTCTGAATTGGTTGGTAGAGGTCTTAATTGGTGAGTCAAATGCGACGTGATTTTGAATACTGAGGCGGTCTCGGCGGCTGCTGCTAAGTATGTATGTGTATCAAGAGTAGAATCGTAATTTCCTGCCTTGTTGAGTGGTGCCAGTGGTTTCGATGCGATCCTGTACTGTTCCTTGGGATTAGATGCAAGTTGCAAAGTAAGTGAGCCGTCCTCCCATTGGATGATACGAGCGTTGGATTGGAGGCTCGTCTGGTCTTTGGGATCGTATCGCCAACACAAGGAAGTCGCAGCTGTAAAGTACGGTGGCGCCACATATGTTTCAGGTCTGAACTCTTCCGTTTCCAAAGAGAGAAAATTTGGAATTTCCATTGTATAAATCTGAGGCCAGATGTTAGGACTTTCCAACACAGTATTGTGAATTGACCTACCTCTTCGTTCGTGGATCGCGGCTCCGGCGCCCTTCCAAGACTGAGGTCCATTACTTTCACCTCGCCGAACCCCTCCTCTCCATCTTCACCCAAGTCCATGCGATCCTCTGTCCTGTCATGGCGTCCCTCGTCGTCGCCAGAATCTAGGTCCGAATCGTCAAGAGTGCGATGTGGCCGTCTGCGAGACGATTAGTTACTGCTTGATTTACATTTGGCGGTAGTAATATGAACTCTTCCAAGTCAGGTTCTGAGCCCGAGCCAAAAAGATCTTTATCATCATTTTCATCTCCAAACACATTGGCGTTGTCGTCTTCGTTGCTCACGTCCTCGTTGTAAGCTCTTCCGCCGCGACCTGGACGTCGGACGGCTTCATCTTCGGACGAGGACATTTTGTGTCGCAGATATCCTCGTAATAAAGCCAAGAATTCGTATCTGCAAGAAGAGAAAGTAGAGGAGAGGAGACAGTCAAGTTGAGATGGAGACAATGAGTGATTGAATGAGTCTTGGCGGCCGAGTGAACCTTTCCATGGCGCTATTCCTGATCAGGGCAAGCGGCGGTTGGGAGTGGATTCTGCTCCACGCTGAAACGAACAACAGAGGGAGGAGCGACGGCCAGAGCGAACAACAGCTTCTCTCCTCTCCGCTTCTTCGTGTCCCCCTTTTGTCTGCTGCTATTGTGGGAGCACCCATCATTGACCTGATCTTTCTGCTTCGTTTGTCGAGCTGCCTTTCTATTCACTATTCAAGATGGCAACCTTCTTTCAGAGCGTGTAAGTCGTTCCCCGCATCAGCATCGGCTGTTCTGTACACCCAACCGACCCCTTAAACCCCCTCTGTTCAGACGTTTTAATATCTGATGTCAAGCTTGATTCTCAAGCTCGTATTCCTGCGTTCTTTCTTATTGCTTGGACTAATCTTTGGTGCTATCTACAGTCGTCAAGGCTTTGGACGAGGGGGGAACAACAAGAACTCCAATAACCAACCCAAAATGAATACTGGAGGCCAGGGTCAACAAGTGGCACAACCGCAACAGGCTGTGCCTGGTGCACAGGGTCTCAATAACTCGCCTTCGATTGCATCGAACATGTCTGCCGATATCGTATCCAATAACGAAGATGCTCCCAAGTATTTCTTCCAGGAGAAATACGCTCCATTGAATGTGAAGGGCAATTTTTTGACGCTTTGTGCTTGTCCTAAGAATGTTGAACTTGGAGAATGGCTTGCTCATCAAAGTAAGCGGCTACGAATGAAGCTTCTGCATGGATCATGCTAACATTCAATTGCAGTCGTTGAGCAATATCGTCTGCTACATGGCATGCTGCAAGTCATCCAGGAAGTCAACACCGTGAATGGGTACCCAATCTGCAATGAAAGCACATGCCCAACCATGTCCGCCGGCCGGTATTACTATTTCCGTCTCTTTGGATTGAAGTATACATATACTGATATGTGTATAGATTGACCTACACTTGGCTTGTGGACGGCCGAGCAGCAAAAATCTCCGCACCAAAGTTCATCAACCGAGTCGAGAAATGGATCGTGAGTAAAATCCACGATCCCGTCATGTTCCCCACAGATCCCGTCCAAGGAGCCCCTCATACCTTCGCTTCCGGGGATGTCTCAACCCCCCCTGCAACTACCCCGATTGCGGCAGGTCCCACGAACTTGAATGCGTCCTTGACTACCCTTGCTGGTCAGGATTGGATCGGCAAATCTAGTGGATTTCCTCCTACCTTTTACAAGGATTGTCAAGGAATCATGAAGCAGATGTTCCGTTGCTATGCTCACCTTTACCATGGACACTGGCTCGACCCCTTTTGGCATATCAACCGTCATGAAATGCTGAACATGTGTTTTGTGCACTTCGTCACTGTCGCCAAATACTACAAGCTTGTGGCCGATAAGGAAATGGAGCCAATGCAACCTCTTATTGATCTCTATATGAAGCAGGAGAAGATCCCTCCAGAGGCTATCGCAGGTCATTGGGCATCTCAAGAAGCCGCTGCTGCTGGTTCGTCGACACCCGCAGCCAATGTCCCTTCTACTTAGAATTGCATACCTCATGAGGATGGGATAGTAGGCGCGAGCGCCTAGTCTAGGTGTTCAAGAGGAGGATTCCATGAGGTCAAAAATCTTCTTTTGCATTTTCCTTTTTGGTTTTATACATCAGTTCGTCTATGTCCAGGGATAGCAATGTTGCTACGTCTCGCCCTACCATATGCATACTATTTGACGTTGTCATTTGATTACATAAATTTGGCTCTGACAAGGGCGACTGTGATTTGACCGTTCTATCATGCTCATCTCTTTTTTGGCCCTGCTCTTTGTTTGTTCACGGGTGCCTCGTCATAAGATAGGAAGTTTGGAGTTTGCAACCATAGTCAAGATACACTCTATTCGCATATTGAGATACATATACAATGAAGATAAAACTCATAGATTCAAATATAGCGGCAAAAACCAGGGTATCATTTTCCACTCATTTAATAAAAATATAGATGCTTCGCTATTTTTACAAGTAAATACCTTCATCATCCTCGTCGTCACCGTTCCGCTGCTCTTCTCCGTCGCCGTCTTGCCGATTCGACGGATTCGTAAGCCCATTAACACGCCTCTCACTATTATCATCTGTAACCCCATCCACTTCATGCGACGATACCCCATTTACCAAAGGTGGAGACTGAGCATCCTCTTCTATCTCGCCACCATCACCATCTTCCAAAACCTCCTCCATCCACCGCTGCCCTCTCCCTTCCACCTCAACCTTTAACAATCGTATCCTCTCCGCCATAGCCTGCATAACCTCTTCATTTTCAAGAACGTATGCCTCTAATTCCTTGTTGTCTGGCGAATCGGGCCCTTCTTCTGACTCGATTATGTAGGTTCGCAGCTCTTCATTGGAGCGGGTTAAGTGTGATATTGAGTTGCGGAGTTCGGAGACTTTGGCATATAGGGAGGAGAGGGGGAGTTCTTTGATAGCTTCGGCGAAGGCGATTGGGGAGATGGGTTGGGCTTCGGCGGACATTTTGAGACTTGAGACCCAGCGGGGTAGCTGTATAGCTTCGATGTACGTGGGTATAGTAGTGTGGATCTCCTGGCTGAGATAATATCGTTGCGACGATTTTTAGGTGAACTTATGAAAAGTTAAGCAGCTTCAATGGTAAAGATCAGCTAGCTGCTTGTTAGATGAGGTTGAGAGGAGGAATGATTGATCCCACTTGGATTCCTTATCGCATGCGTACCATCACGTGAGTATGAGCTTTCTTTGTAGTCAGCATAACTTGGAGAAACAGATAAAATTTCATACGGACTGTAATAGCTGAAATTGATCATTGAGAGTGCTATCTTATAAAAGTTAGATTCTATCAGAAGACTGTCGCATGCTATGCAATTGACATTAGATCAGCCAACCAAAGCTCCGCACGGAAACTACTCGGCATCTCCATCACCGCCGCTCTCTCTTCCGATCTTTCCTCCGTAAATAAATTCAACACTACTATCAACCTCCCTTCTCAGCGTGTAAACACAACACACGTGGAGATGAGCAATGTGCCCTCGGTAGCATGGCATGGTTCATGCCTTGTTGGCATACGGGCATTGTTCAGGTCGCAATGTGCCGTTCAATCATCAGCCAATTCGATTGCGAGACATTTGCGACGATGTTGGACACAGCAACAGCTCTCATATAGCTCATTAGGATATCAACAAACATGGAAATCAACTCGACCTACATCACATACTGTTCCTCGCCTATCAAACGCTTTATCAAGGATTAGATTTGCAAGCTCCGCCGGCAAACAACAAAAAGAACATGGAGTCCCCCTCGACTCGCAGCCGTTATCCGCCGCCGAAATCAAGGCAATCTTCCGCTCATCCACCGTCACACCTGAAATGGGAAATCGGATATTATCCGTCATACACGGTCGACGATTAGCAGGCACTCTAGACCAGGATCTTCCTTCGGACATTACACGCGCAGTCCGCTCGAAGACAATCGAGAATGGCTTACGATGGCTCCGCGCAAACCATCCTCTAGACGAAGATGCAGCTATACTGGCCCGTATCGAGCGAGAGGAGAAAGAAGAAGAAGAACGATTGTTGCGCTATGTGAAAGAGATGGGTCCGCAAAGCGGGCATTGGGGTGCACAATTGGGTGAAGGGAATGATATATATGGTCGAAGCACTTTCCAAGAAAAGAGGAAGGTGAATGAGGCGAGATTATTGGCTGAGCAGGAGAAGAAGAGGAAGGAGTGGTTGGAAGGGGAGATGAAGGATCGGGAGAAGATACAAAAGCAGTTGAAGGGGAATACGGAGTTGCAAAAGTATAATCCTTCGGCGGTTGTAGAGGGTGAGTTTCCCTTTTTGCTGCTACTGAAAGAGGTCATAGAAACACTAACTGAATGTAATAGCTCGACCACGAGCTGACCCCCGGGAACGGCCGTTTCTCGCATGGGCTCAGAAACATTACATTCGAGCCGAGAATACAGATACAGATTTCACCTCCATGACAACAGTAAGCCTCTCGACTCTTTTCTCGCAACGAATACCTAACACAAACAGGCCCGTCGCATCCTACCAGCACTTGGCGTAACCCTCCTCGTCTTAGGACTATGCTACTTCTACGCCGAGACCTACCAACCTCCAGCATACGGAACACGAATGTGGCGCGATATTCCCCCCGCAGCAGCAACAATTCTAGGAATCATAGCCACGAATGTATCCGTATGGATGTTGTGGAAGATACCTCCTGCATGGCGAATGCTGAATCGGTACTTCATCAGTGTGCCGTTGTATCCTTATGCTATGAGTGTTGTGGGGAGTATTTTTAGCCATCAGCAGTTTAAGCATTTGCTTACGAATACTGTTATTCTCTGGTTGATCGGGTTGAGACGTGAGTTCTTTAATCGCCTCATCAAGAAGCAATCTACTAAAGGCTGCAGTCCACGATGAAATTGGCCGCGGCAATTTCCTCTCTTTATACCTTTCCTCAGGTGTCATTGGCTCATTCGTCTCTTTGACATCGCACGTCCTCCTGCAAAGGTTAACAGTAACCTCCCTCGGAGCCAGCGGTGCAATCGCCGGTTTAGTCGCAGCTTGGTGTATGCTACATTCAGAGTACGCCCTTCCCCTTCTCCCTTCTGAATTATCACTAAAATAATATACAGCGACAAACTTGTCCCAAGCTTCCTCCCCAACGAATGGCGCAACTACCTATCCGCCAACGGCTCCACCGTCCTCTTAGCAATAGTCGCATTCGAAATCTTCAATCTGGTCTCTCCATTCAAAGTAGTCGGGAAACTGGACAATTATGCACATCTAGGTGGTTATTTTGCAGGTGCCGTGTGGGCGGCGTTGTATAAATCGAAAGGGGAACGGGAGAGGCAGCGGAAAAGGAATGAACAGAGGGGGTTTTTGGAACGGTTTGGTTCTATGTAGATGAAATTATCTGATAATAATATGGGTGGTTTATGTGAAAATATGTATGTACTATTAGTATGAAATCAATATACAATCACTGGATTAAGGGATTTGGGGGTATTCGCGGCTTAAATAATGATACAGTGGATTCAGGCGAGATATGAACTAGTTCTAAACTCTGTAAATAAGCCAGACGTCATCTCCTTCGCACATCAAGCCCAATGTTGATATCATGTTTTATGATTTTCAATTAGTTGTACATTCAATCATGATCACCCTAGATCCGTAGTGGCAGTGACGGTCTACAGACCGTCAGAAGCGGGAGGTCCTTTGTATGCTAGAAATATCGGTCAGCATCAACTATCATAATCAAAACAAAAGGGGTCTCACTCTTCCGCGCATAGATGCCATACCACACCGCTGCAATTGCCATGAATCCCACAAACACAACAGCTGCGTAATTCATCGAAACAGCAGTTACTGGTAAAACAGTCGGCATGCAAAACAACACCAACTCAAATGCAATCCACAACAACGCAATGATGTTAACCACCAGCCCCAAGACAGGCCCACAGTTGAATTTGGCTTTGTTGACTTCTTGACGTTTGTGGAACACGCTGGCGCCAATGGGGATTGCGTAGCTGATTGCAAGAGCGACGACGCCGACGGAGACGAAAGCTGTGAAGGCGCTTGAGCTACCTAGGTTAATCAGACCGAGCAGCATCTGGACGACAGTCACCAAAGCCAAAGACCAGACGGGCACGCCCAGGCCAGAATGGACTTGAGCCCAAAGTTTGGACATGGGGAGAGCCTCGTCACGGGCAAAGGCGTATGTTGTTCGTGATGCTGCCACCGTGATACTGATTGAGCAGAACAGAGTGATGGCCAAAACCAAGAAAATAAGCCCCAATCCACCACCGGGTGAGCCCATAACAGCTTGGAAGATGTATGGCAACGCCTGTCCAGCGGGGGCCAAAATGATGTCCTCCAAGGGGGGCAAAGTGACGCAGATGGGGATTATGAAGAACAATCCTGCAATTCCACCGACCGGAACACATAGAGAAATGGCTTGAGGGACTTTGACGACGGCGTTTGAGCATTCCTCTGCCATGGAAGAGATCATACCGACCGCTGAGAAACAGTATGCAGCTGGTAAGAGCCCGATGAAGAATGTAAAACCACCCCAACCTGACAAACTGGTATCGTAATGACCCAGAGAATATGAAGCATCATGGCGACCCAAATCAGCCTTGACGGAAAGTGCAATCATGATGATCAGGATACTGATAGCAGTCCAAGCAGCGCAGATAGTGTCAATCATAGGCAGGAACCGGTTTCCAAACGTGCAAATGACGAAGGATGCAAGACAAATTGCATAGAAGATCAGAAGCAGCTGCCAATCATTCGCAGACCAGTCGGGATGATACATGGAGACGGTTCCGGAGAGTAGAGACGCAAATCCAAAGTTGACAGAGAGGGTGATTGTCCAATTCCCAATAAGCCAGACCCAGCCGTTGATAAAGGAAAGCACGGTTTTGGCTCGCTGAGGCACAATCTGAAAGGACCAGTAGTATGGACCTGCAGAGGTAGGCCAGCGTGAAGCCAGCTCAGCGAGCGAGAGAGCGACACATTCATCTAAGATGCAGACGACAATCCAGCCCACAAAGATGGAGAGCGGACCACCACCGTAGATGGCGCTCATCAGAGGGCCTCCCTCGCCATAAGGGATGGCGGCGATGGCGAGTGTCTGGAAGAGAAGGGTGAAGAGGGATCGATTGCGGGTTAGTTCCTGCACGTATCCCAGCTTTTCAAGGCCTTCTGCTTGCCCAGTGCCATTTGTGTCTTTGGCGATGAGACTTTCAGATACTGGCGCCAGTTTTTCGGCCTGTTCGGTGGACATTTTGTGTTGATTCGGTTCGGTGTCAGTCAATCGGTTGAAGAGAAAGAGGGAGAATCTTCAGAAGATATCCTCCTGGAGTTGAGTTAAGGTTGACTCTTGACTTAGGGCTCACTGCAGACTCCCGGCTCAATGCAGGAATGTTGTGTTGTCGGAGCCAGTCTGGTTGGGAACCTGGCGTTTGTAAAGAATTGATTTGATGGATTGGCTTCAGGGTGAAGATGTGAAGAAATGTAGGTGAGGGAGTTCATGTGACACAAACTCGCTTGTTTGTCATTTGGGGAAGGAGGAAGACACCACCAGGGCGTACACCCGGGACAAACACGCCCAGCAGAATTCTTATATAACTATTTCTACATCGATAAGTATATCACTGCTATCATATCGCAGCACTAAGCAACCTAGGCTCACGCTATCGCCGGTATCTGCATGAGGCGCATTGACCAGTAGAAGACGCAGATAGAGCAGTCTCCCAAACTCTAGCCAGGAGCTATGATATCGAAACGTTGCCATCTTATTTTATTACCAGGGTAGGCAGTTAATTGAGCCATCTATCTATTTACAAGGTTTATCTGATAAGAATTGTTACCCATGACCTTGGATATGTTACTGAGAATTTGTCAACTGTTGAGATATCTACTACCTACACAGTAATACCTGCAGAATTAGACAGCCATCAAGCCTGGCCCGAGTGTCCTGCAGCAACAAGAGTATGTTGATAAATTGCCTCCTTTCATTATTGTATAGAAATCAATTCCTTGTCTTTCTTCTACCTGAGCAAGAGATTACCTTTGCTCCAACTCTCCTCTCATTATCCGGCTTATCAGCCATCCATACTCCGCACATTGAGCCATGGATCCATATCGATTATGAAATCCACTCCGGCTCGAGTCATCAATCTGTCCATCAGGTTAATATATTTTTCTCCGCACATTCTGCACGCACGGGATCTGCAAGAACGGCGTAGGACGTAGTAAGAAACGCTCCAATGTTTTTCAATGGCCTTGGGTGCCACTAGCCTTGTTTAGGTAGCTAGATAGGCCAGACTAGGGTTTCGTTTTTGGTTAGCTTGCCTCAATAAGCTACTTCGCTGCGTAGTTGTGTATTGCTGGTTTGGCATTTATATCGACAGCCTCGAAACTCATAACTTATGCCCTGTGATCCTGGTAAAGTCAACATGCCACATGGTCGACATGCGGATGTACCATGTAACCATCCCCGCGAACCTTACTCTGCAAATTAAACCAAACTCATAAATAATGTGTAAAGATACAAGTATTAGGGCTGTGGCCAGAGCACAACCTGTAGTACGACTACATAGTATCGTCACTCAATACCCTCGGTTTTGATTGCTCACTGTATCAATCGATGAATCAGTCATTTCCAGTCCTCTCGCTATATTATTGTCCATATCAACGAAACCATATCCCCTCATGAGGGACAAGATTCATATAAGGAAAGGTTTCCCTCTATCTTCCCTGAATCTCCTCGAATCGAAACGTCTCTGGTCACGACTTCTCAATTGGGAAGGTGGAAATTATTCCTGTATTAGGTATAGCGGTATTATAGGTTGATGGTTTGAAGACGGTATTTTTGTCATCCTCGTGAGTTAAATCGTCGTATCGCTGTATCAGTTTGTAAGCAATTGTTAAACACTGTAATTATGTTGATCACATGAAGCTCCTAGAAAAGTACTTTGAGGAGATTAAGTAGCATATTTCTGCTAACCGCATAGTCCAAGTAGTTTATGTAGTAAGATGTGAATCAGGTTACAGCTCTTGAACTAGTTATACCAACAAAGAACCTCGCCTTCATCGAATGCAGACCTTGCAGATTACCTACGTAAAAATATCTAACCAAATACCCCATTTGGAAAACGGTAGTGCTCGAAATATTCCAATTGGCCCATCTGTGTATTTAGTTCCTGGGTATCATCACTTGGACAACTAGCCAGTTCACTTTCTAGTGCATTGCAGGTCATTGAAACCTGGAGCTTGCCACGTCTTCGACTCTTGAATTAGAAAATTATTCGCTATCATTAATCATAAGAACTAAATCCTTAAATATATAAACACATTCAAAAAAGAAAAGAATCAGAAACAATTCATCCAAACTCCCAACATGATCAACCTGCGGAGTTGAGCAGGTCGTCATACCCAATCACCAACGCCTCGTAAGAAGGATATACCCCGAAAGAAAGCCCGCACTACCCGAAAAGAGAGAGGAAAAGAAAAAGGTCTAGAAAAGAAATGCCCTTTCCGATATGGGTTTAAAACATTCCCACCACGACTCAGACTCAGACGAGGAGGAGGATAAATATCGCGCCCACAGCCCTTTCAAGAAATTCTCCATCACCCTCATGGAGCCAAAGTTCAAAAATGCAGCCGTTGAACGCATCGCAGTTAGACTTGCCTTTTGCTGTGGTTCTGTTCGACAATGAGCTCCGATCACGAGTGCTGGGAAGAGAAGACAATGCGCGAGTTTCCCCCTTAGACGTGGTTCGCAAATTGCCCTTAAGCCGTAGGAAGTGGCTTGTTGAACTAAAGGGTGTGATGTGTCGAGTCCGTGGAAGACGCGGTATATATATATCAATCCTGCTAGACGGTAGCCGTTGCAGAAGACGGTCCAGGATTGATCGTGATCAAGTTGGGGTTCGGTTGAGTACATAGGAGCTAAAAGGTGAGGTGCGAGGGGAGCTTGTGTGTTTTGAGATGTTTTGAAGAATTCATCTTGTACCAGAGACAGAAGATCTGGTCCATCCGCGGTTGGAGTATGGCCACATAAGGTCATGGAAAGAGCGTCTAACTCGTCGGTGAAGAGAGAACTGTCCCCGCTGCTATGCACAGCATGTCCCATCTGAGCCAGACGGGAGAGTATCCGCATGATGTCCAGGAATGGATCACACGGCTCAAGTACACCCCACCAACCATCACTACCAGCGAAATGAGCCCAGGTAGTATCGCGGAAATACTGCTCCTCACCACTGAGAAGTGAATACGTCAAATCCATGGTCGCGAAACACGACAACATCAAAGCCGGAAGACCTCGTTTCTGTCGTTGCAGAAGCTGTCGTTGCAATTTCCATTGACTCAGAATGGCACGTCCGCCGCGGTAATGGACTTGGGAGGCGGCATCCTCATCGTTGGGATCAATCACACCGTCGAGAATGCAGAGAAGAACATTGGCAATGAACAGATCTAAAGGGAGGTAACGACGTGATATTCGGACTTGATGTTGGTGATTTTGGGTTGGACTTTCTAATTGTGTCCGAAAATTGTAAATCGCCTTCAGCCGCGCTGTCCTCTTGGATAGAAATGCATCACGACGTCCGGGACAGTAGGAAAGGTGTTGATGGGCGTTGGCAACCGCAGTGACTGAATATAGAAGAGCGGGATACTTGTATACCGAAGCCAGATCTACCAGAACCGGTTCTGTCGACAAATTGAAGCGGTCAACCACAATGTGCTCAAAGTAGAGCATTGACTGATCGGTTGTTATAAGTGGCGGCATGGCTGTAATATGACAAGCATTGCTGTACTCTGGCGACGACGGAGGGATCTCTTCATCCTCTTCATTACCAGCCCTCACAACCTCCAGACTTGGTTCTCGCGTCAACAACAGCGGAGATGACTCCGAAAATGACCACGAAGGCGACGACAACGATGACGGTGACGGCGACACCTGCCAATTCTCAGATTTCTGATATTTATCTCTTTGCGACTTCTTCTCATTAACCGCGACGTCAGAGCCACTGCTTGAAACAGGCATATTCTGACCTGCAAAACGACCCCTAGCAGCGACACCATTACACCATCTCAACCGCAACTTGCCGTACTCGCAGACCTGATCTTCGGCGAGACAGCGCGAGCATTGCGGTCGTTGCAAGTCGCATATAACGCGACGATCTTTGCAGGCCCAGCATGAGCCTTCAACTGTTCTCACTCGTTTGGGCGTCATGGAAGTAGTTGTGGTGTATGGATGTTCATATGTTCATATGTTCATATGTTCATGGGAGGCATCAATGAGTATGTGAGTGGAGTCTTGTCTTGTGCCGAGATAAGCTCGGTACCCGTGAGGTCTGCACTTGGGCTTGAAATTGATCTCCTTTCTCGATGCGTTTCTCTCTTGACTATGAGGTATGGACTACCTTCATCTCTCTGCTTCCAAACAGAGCTCTTTATATACACTGACCGTCCCTAGGAATATGTAGCGGATAGTCAAATGGTGAGCAGAGATAAGTACGAACGTCCAAACTAACTCGACTATCAATCGGAAAGCGGAAGCGCTAAGATCCGAAGCGGGATAGCGTGCTGTTTAAATTACGTGCGTATCTGCCCTTACCTTTTGTCATTTTCAATTTATGTATGCAGTATGTTACACAGCTTGTCGCATGGTCAGAGTCTGTACTCCTTGACCTACACTGATTACCAAGACACGGTGTGGAATTGGCGAGTATGGTTGCACATACTAACAAAATACCTACTTTCTTCTTTTTTGATCGATATCCTATTCGGCCATTAGTGTGTTACCTCAGATTTCCACGGAGTATTTCATTCACCTACGGCTCATTCACAGATCGACGCCTACATTTTAGGAATACCTAGGGTTGCCGATCGAGTCATGTCCTATGTCCGTGACAGGAGACGGGAATATATCTCCCCTGTAGATCGGGTGGAGCATGCAAGTAGCACACACGGTGCCTATCATCATGCTTGATATCATGAACAGAAAAGGAAATAGATGCCGTAGAAGAAAGAAAGGCGGTCTTCACGAGGAGGGTATGCAAGATCGAGAAGATGCAAAATTGAAATTTGGACTTGATTCGATTTCTTTCATGCGATCCGGATGAATGGATCTGAGCGGTCTGGCTATATACAAACCCGATTTTGCAGTCTGGCTTCCTTTTCTATTCATCTTCTCTCGGTCGTGCATTAACTACGTATAGATTCGTATACACTACCGCTCAGTGTAGAACATACATATAATCAAGTAACTACACCGCTGTCCGGCACGAACCTTGGTCAGCTACAGCTTCAATAAGATGAGAGGGATTTACATTTACATACATGGAAAGCTTTTCAGGATAACATGCAACGTTACGCTATTTTACGATCCTCGCCAAAGGTCTCGTGATGATTACCATATAACTGAAGCGCCAAGCAGTTGTGCAAAAGTCGGACAAGGCTGAGATTAAAGACCCGGGCGAAGGGCAACGTTCCTGGGTTTCACAAATTTACGTATGAGTTATCATCATTGGGTAAGCTCATGTAGCACGATTATAAATACTAGGAACCCCTCGTCCAAGTATGTTGGTAGACTATATATTTATTAGGCGACATATAGAAATAAAGACATGGGGGTATTGGTTGGGTACACATCAAGGTCAATAATAATTATGAGTAATAATCAAAGAATGCATCATGGATGTCCATGTACTACCACGGACTAGAATTATACAGCAATAAGTTGTGGAACTATATTAAATGTCAGCCAATTGATTTCTCATGTAGTGACGATAACAAAGATAACTTACTGCTCAATCCATAACCCTGCGCATTACCGTCACGGTTACCTTGTTCAATCTCAACTCGAATCGCCACGTCCAGTCCACCGGCCAATTGACTGGTGTTACTATATCCATCCGCAGCTGGATGGCTTGTTCCAGTGCCTTCTTCACCTATATGCAACGGTGAGTGGCCATCCTTGGGTGCAGTACTGGGCGCCAATGAGTGGGGCTGTGAGCTCGAGCCGTTCGTAGCAGGCGTCACAATTTCGGTGATACAGGCGTAGTTGCGCGAAGGCATGGTGACCTTGTTCCAGGATGCGCTCTTCTCCACGCCACCGGGAGGGTTGTCAAAGAGTGGCATAAGTGTCTCATCTGTCTCGTGGTCAAGATGATGGATCTTGTTCCTTCGTGCAAGGAGATTGGCCACTGCCTTTGGAGGTGGTTTATTGGTGATGGCACTGCTGATAATGTTTGGCATAAAACGAAAGTCATTCTCGACGGGGATATTCAAGTCGACTTTCGAATAAAACCGACCCAGTGCTGCTAGGTGGACGTCGCCACCGAGGATTGTAATACGCACTGAATGTTCCTTGGAAAAGTGCTGAAGACGATGGATTAATTCTCGGCGCTCAGCTTTATGATGTCGCGCAGTGTAGTGATCATCAAGATCGTCCAAGAGATCCACTTGACCATCGAACTTGTTGAAGAGACCTCCGGCAACACCGAATCGCTTGTTGAGCAGGCGAATTGGCGCAATCAACGGAGATGTGATAAGATTCTCCAGCCAAGCGAGACGAGGATAAGCAATAGGAACCCCGAGCAGTAGAATCATATGCTTGATCTCTCCATTAGCCTGACTAACTTCTTGATCCATGCGCTGGAAGATCAGATCATAAGTCTCGGGATAATTAACCTGCATACGTGTACGCTCAGTGCGCGCATCAATACCAACAAATGCGATTCGCCGTCCCAGGCGCATGTATAAGTTGCGGCTTCTCTCTTCAACGTACGGACCCGGCGTTTTGCCCATTATCCATCGTGGATCAGCAGTCTGTTCCTCGAGAACGAACGTATTCTCCAATTGACGAGGATCAAAAGGCTCTGTTGCATCCGTGGTAAAAGTAGATTTTGGTGGTGCGATATGATGCTGGAAGAGACAATAGTACTTGAAGGCGACTCCTCCGATACCCCTGAACACTGCGCATCTCATGAAATGGTCAGTGTACGACCCAAAGCCATCGATGATGTCGTGGTCATCCCAGATATTGACCTGAGGGATTTGTCCGTTGGCAGTCTTGAAAGGCTCGTGATTGTACCATCGCACATAGTTTTTGTAGTAGAATTCATCACATTCAGCCCTCAATTTGCCATTAAAGTCATGCGCCTGTCTCTTGATAGGGTTTTTGATGTTTGTCCATTCATTAAGCGGCCCATCAACACGAATGCCATCATTGTAGATTTGGTCACCGCCACCAATCATGACATGGAAAGGCCGCTTTTCGTGAACTCGCAGGACATCGTTCCATAATGCGGGACCAGCCCAGCTTTCTGTATCTGTACCAACCGAGAATCCATTGCACGAATGGAACATGATACGCATAGACTGATGCCAAGCGGGGACCACAAATGTCCACTCAGACGCGTTGGACGCAGATTCATTGACATATCGGAACCCCGGAATGGTATATGCCCAGCGAGCTTCATAATCGGCCAGGGGAAACGAGAATTGGAATCTCCAAAACGCTTTCACTGGATCTTCATACAGCTTGACACCTTCGTATGTGCTGGGCGCCTGCGATCCTGGCTGCACATTTGCAGCTTCTTGCGACACGGGTCCAACGTGACGTAGGGATAATTGCGGTTGGGACTGCCCGGGATTTGTAACGATCAGAATACTGCCGTAGTACGTCGCGGAGGAGCCATTGGCGTCCATGCGACGGTAATTAAGTAATGGACCGGCTATCACGTCCAGAAAACCGGCGCTGACAGTATGAGTACCGTTCGTCTCTATTTGCGATTGAGTCATGTTAGCGCATTTCACCTTGGACAAGAACATGCAACATACCATAATTCTGTCCAGCCGGCGCAAATTGGCCCGGCGCTTGTTGATTGTTATATGCCATAGATGTGGTATACGTCGATGCAATGTTTTGTTTAGCGACTGGCGCGTTGGTTAGATTTGCGAAGCTCGATCGAGGAAATCAACTCAACCTTCGAGGACAAAGAAAGACGAATAGTGATTACAACGGAGATGAAAGAGAGAGGGAGAGAAAGAGCGTTGGGAGTGGTAGAAATAAAGCTGGGAGGAAGAATGAATCACCAGGTGGCAGCTTCCTCAACCGCCCCAGTAACTTAGTCAACCAGCTGAATTGCGACTTATCAGGCAGTCACATACAACTCATCAATTAACTCATCAATCAGACGAATCTGATTAGTATTCACAACTCTAACCCTTCAGACAAGAGAGTAGCTCCCGTACTCCCCAAGTGTATATTTGTGACACCTGTTGTTTTTGTTCTCATGATTTGTATCGATTCCTCCAAAATTCCAATTGAGTCTTGAGTCTTGACGATGCCAAGTGCCCCCCTGATATAGATAACAGCCAATTAGCAGCAGGCATATTCTGCACTAAAGCGGTCGCCGACTTCCACCGGCGTCACTAGGCCGACTAAAATGGACTAGTGTCACTAGCCTCTCGATTATCATCTAAACTGACCAACCAGGGTTTAGATGAAAAGGGCATGAGCCACAATGCCAAGCGCGCCAAGCGCCTCTACCTAGGTAACGCCTCGGAGATGGGTCGAACAGAACCCCTAAGAGCCAATGATTATTCTCCCTCTGGCGGATCGAAATCTCTCATCCTCCGAACGCTGGGACATCGTCATTATGTGGCTGTGCGACCAGTCTCGCATATGCGGGCTAAGCCACACTGATATGTTGTCGCCTTGTCCTGCATACCATTCCTCCCACTGCTCAACATTCAGGTGGCTGAATTATCGAATCGGTAAGATATTTTGGCCTTGGGAAAGTACTCCGTGTGTGGAGGTACGAACTGTTGGGCCGTGGGGTGGCATTTACGGCTGGACCGGGTGAGGATGACATACATATCCAGGTTTTACACACATGCAACTTACATGAGTCAGTATCTGGGCAGTAGGTATATTCACGAATCATTGTCTTATGATCGATACACCCAAGAATATAGCTGGAGGCACGGCATGTGTATGCAGCCAGTAATATCGCAAATACAAGGAGCCCCATGCAGTTAATGCATAATATGTATCATGACACCGCAACTATTCCACGGACTCATGTCCGATAGACCTCCGCTTCCGTAGAACGCCTTCATTCGCTCCATGTCGGTAATGGGGAACAACAGCCGGCTGCTGACTGACGTCGCTGCGGCGCCGTCGGCGCCGGACCATCTGATAACAGCGATCTAATTCAATCTCAATAGCACATCTCACTCTCAGAGCGCTGACAGCAGGCCACACCCCTCGCTCGCCTTTGCGAATCCAATAATCTAGACCGGCCTTGGAAGGTGCTTGAAAGAGTTTTAGGAAATCGCTCGTGGTCAGGTCTGGAATGAGTGTTAAACTCGGGCCGGGAATGTTCTCGTCCATGAGGAGTCGTCGGAGACTCATGGGGAGGAATCCTAGATAGTCTAGTTGTCTTAATCGATGTCGCATTTCGAGCATAATCAATCGCATAAGAGGTCGATTAAGACTCGGGTGATTACTGTTTCTTTGGCCGGGGTGAGTGTCGGGGTACAGAAATGGAACGATGTATGGCCGTGTTTGGGAAACGATGAAATGGTTGACATTAAATAACTCGGCGAGTCGAGCTAGCGGCGATTCTCGTCCACTGAGATTTACCTGTCGCCAGGATCGGAATGTGACATCTTGTGTATGCGGCCAGGGGACGATTGCACCTGTCTCGTCTTTGCAGTGGAGTGTCTCTGAGGAGGCATTCGAAGCCAGGGTAGCAGACCGGATGAGCTGTATAGTCAGTAACCGCATTTGACACAGCAGCAGGGGGCAAAACTTACCACATTAGGTGCCGTCAGGTAGTTCAACAAGTTAGGAAACGCGCCTTTCACTGAAGCCGCTACTGTAACATTCAATATCCTTTTGGTCTTTGCATACGCCTCCTCAAAGGTCATATCGCCAACATATGTTCGAACACATTCCTCCAAGACAGACTCATCAAGAAAGTTTCCTTCCACAAAATATCGCCGTAACCGGCCAAAACCTATTCGTGATTGTTCATTATGTGTCGTGCTCCCTTTCCCTTTCCATTTCCCCTTTTGGCTTTGACCTTCGAACACGCAATATTCAAGGATATCACTATCCAAAAAGTCCAGTAGTTCGTCTTCTGTACGCACACCGACGAGCGCAGCAACTAAAGCTCCCGTGGCAGTACCGGTGATAATACGCGGTAAGAGACCGCGTAGATGCAACGCCTTGACCACGCCTAGATGACACAACCCAAAGATAGAGCCACCTTGTAGAACGAGAGAGGTTCTCCCGAAAGCCTGGCGAGTATCATGTAGCAACTCCAGTTTGGCCTGCGACGTGAAACCGCTCACGTGCATAGGCATAGTCTGTAAAGAAGTAACATACTGAATCGATAGTGCGACGTGTGTGATATAGTCGTCAATCAACAGTTTTGTACCGGTATAGGCGTGATTGAATAGTCTCATGGATGTAATATTTCCAAGATTGCGAACCAGGCCCGAGCGAAGGATGCTGACCAATGTCAATATGTCCTCCGACTCTCGAGCACTCAAGATTGATTCCAATCTTTGAAGAATAAGTCTGTAGTCATAATGTTTGCTTGTTGGGTTTTGGCGCCTGTATATCGAAGAGACAGTGAGGGAGATGTTCAAGGGTCTGGGCTCAGATGTCCGATATAACATACCATAAATCAGCACTGGTTAACTCGTCAAGTCGAAAGGCGGTCTCTTCCCATTCTTCGAATGTATCGGCTCTAGCCAGTGCATAAGATAATTGATCCTTGGGGGATCTTGATCTTAGCCATAACATCCATCTCTTTGTAATTAAACGGTTAGCAAGTCAAATCGGCAAGACGATATGACATCACATACATAATTCCAAAATTGCAGTACGTCAAGGATCATGCCCACAATTGCTGCTGACAAGCTCCATAATTTGGCACCGAGTGTAAGCAGAGGCATGCTGTAGCGTCTAGCATATATCCGGAAACAAGTAAGTCGAATAAACCACCGACATGAGATGTATCTATGAGACGAAGGTCTTCATATCATCATCAACGTAAGGAAGAGAGGTACGATCCCGGCATATTATAGTACCACGTGAATTATATAAATTTAAAATAGCGAATAAATGATGAAGAATAATTATAGGTGTAACTCAGCTATCTCGTGAACGGAGTCCAGCTTTACATGTGATCGGAGTCATCTTCAAGAGTCCAGCCAATAGGGGGGACTTTACATTTCCCCGCAATTGCAGTAACCGCTAGTCCACTTTCGGATAAGGGCTTAGGGCTTGCTATCGTAAGACAATCTTTACTGCATGACCAGATAGTAACTGATACGGAGCTCTCCAACCGTGAATGTGTGTAGTTGTAGAAGTCGTATCATCTGTTAACTGAGTATACAAGAGTACGTGGTACCTATTCAAGAGCGAAATAGAGAATGAAGACATTTTCTCGGTTCAATATGTGAAATTGAAAGTGTTTGATTTTTGAAATTCCGCGAGAGACTCCCCAAATCGAATGCTGGTCTTCCTTTCTAAAAAGAAAAGACATTTTATGCGAAACCAAAAGGAGCAAGAAGGAAGAAAAAAAAGAATATGAAAATAGTATTTTCTTTGCCTTCAGGTATAATCTCCTATTTTTCCCAGAAAAGGAACCCGGTTCATTCCTCTACCTCCCACTTCACCGTACAAACAAGAAAAAAAAATTACATCATTATCGTCAATGCTTTTTTTCTTTCGCGCTTACTCGACAATGATGTTGGTTCGCTCCGACACGTAAAGACCGTCAAGGAACTGTGATATGATGTTAGTATAGGCGAAAATGGCTATCTAGGAAACGAAGTGGTTGTCTCACCTTTCGGATATCCTTGTTGCGGACTCTGCAAATCTGCTGAATATCGGCGGCACTCTGGGAGACGGCCTCGAGGGAGTTTCCGGACAATTGGAGCTCATCCTTGACGTTAGGGGAAGTAATGACCTCAACACCAGGCTGAGCAGTGATACGGCGAACAATCTTCTCGCCAAGGAAGTTTCTGCATTCAAAACCCAGTCAGACTCTCTCTCATGTAGCAATCCGCAGATAATAACATACCGGATCTCAACCTCAAAGTTACCAGTCTCGGCATTCTTCTCAATGTTCACGTTGATGGGAAAGTGAGCATAGACGTAACGCATCTTGTACAAGAAACCACGGGTGACACCGATGATCAAGTTGTTGATGATGGTACGGACAGTTCGGAGAGTGGCAACACCCTTGCGAGCACCGTGGTGCAACTCGATGGAGATGGTGCTCTTGTTGGGGCGACCGAAGCTCACGGCGATGTGGGAAAGGTCCTTTGTGAGTTTGCCCCTGGGTCCCTCAACGGTGACAACCCGCGAGCGAATGTTGACGGAAACTGTTTAAAATGCGTTAGTCCTTGAAACTTTGTTGCAGAATATTGAATTTTTCGAGTGTGTCTGTTCCATCGGGGGGAGGTCCATGTCGCAATATCTGTCCGCATGTACAATCGAACTGTCTCCTTCATGTTTTGTCCTTTCCTCCCTTCTCTCTCGAATTATTCCTTCGTTTTCAATTCGACAGTCGATGTCCATATTCCACCCTTGAAATCGTCCTTATATCATATCATCCATTTCCTTCCACATCTTGACCTCCAAACCCCGACAGAAACAGAGCAAACGAAGGGGAGAAGAAAAAAGCGTATAGCTTACCATTCTCGGGGATTGGCAGCGTCTCCTCAGAGTGAATGAACCTCATTTTGCCTCTCTAAATGGTGTTTGTCGTGGGTTGAGGGAGAGAAGAATTGTCGGATTGGGCGCGGTCGTCGAACGAAGCAATCACAAATAGAACGAGCAGCCGCTTTTGCTTGGTGGAGCGAATTTTCGAGGTTGTGCGTCGCTTAGGCGTACCTTTCTGGTTAGCGTATTGGATCATCACGTGATTTTACCGGAACTAATATTGCGCAGCATCAGCCTCTCTACAACTGAATTTAGATAGCAAATCTTTTTACGGTCTGTGTAGGAATGTCTTTTGAATGATAGATTCGATCAATCTATCGCTGTTTGTCCTTTCCCGAGATCTATCAATTACGTCTCGCTAAAGGCTTAGAAAGAACATCGTCTCTACTGACAGGATGCTACAGGCTTCATTCATTCACTTTCACAATTCAATAAATACATAGAAGACTCAATGAAATACTATCCAGGATACAATAACCAAATCCAACGCCGGCCCATGCAATTCAAATCCTCCATACACAAGCTGTCATGGACGTCAACACATAGAGAAAATATATACCTTAGCCTTACGGGAATAGCGACGACATATCAAGTTTGAAGAATGGTTCAAATTTCATGTTCATGTCCTTCCATCACCCGCATGCGCTCAATCTCCATGATGCTCTTGCCTCCCACTGACTTGATCTTCGAGATGAGCTTATCATCTTTGTCAAGAGCTTCGACATCATCACCTCCTCCGATACTTATACCATTTATTAAAACATTAGGAACGGTACGGCGACCTGTAACTTTGCCCAGAAGTTTCTGGAGGTTAGCCCCGAGCGGGTGCTCGTTTAATTCCACGACGTAAGGGGCCGGCACGATACGGTATTGGCTCAGGATTGACTTTGCTTTGCGACTATAAGGGCAGTAAGACTTGGAGAAGACGATGACTACAGAGGTTTTGATCAGTCACAAATGCTCAATGCGCAGAAAGTCGTCGAGGGAAAAGTGCGAATGCTGCACAACATACTCGGAGACCGTTTCAAGATAAAATCAAGCTCAGCGCTAGCCTCTTTTTCTTCCTCGTCCTCCTTTGAAGTTTCATGCTCTTTAGGTGCGACATGCGTTTCAGCCTCAGATTTCACAGATGGAGTGTCCACGCTATCCGTCTTCTTATTAGACAGCGGGACTTGATCCTCCTTTGGCTTCGGAACTGACATCTTAGTTCTTCCAGCGACAGAAATTTCATCGGAGGTGTCGATCTTGTTGTGACTTGAACCTATTGATTTCTCCTGCTGCTTGTCATTGAGGGCACTCGGCGAGCTTGGTGTTTTCCGTGCACCATTATTGTTGTTATTGTTATTGTCAAGGTCGAGTCTCTGTATATGCGATCGATCCTTGCCTTCGCTATTCTTCTTCGTAGTTGCGACGTGCGCATTGTTCATGGCGGTGACGGTTTTCTTATAAAAGCGATGGTTCTGTATGCCTCCACCCGTATCGGTCTGTAACCAATATAGAAATCAGTACGAGAACTTCAATGATCGGGGAATTAAAGGTGTGATATACCGTGAAATAAGTAAAAGCCACCAGGAAAACCACGACAACAACCACATAGAGTCTCAGTCGGCGTTGTGACCTCATCGTGCCCGGAAAATGCGGTTGAACCGATAATCAAACTAAGTAATTGTTTATGGCCAAAGTAATTCAGCGAATGTGCAGACAGACAGACAGTGTGCGTTTAAGTGCCTTGTAGAATCTGGAGAACGCTGCGCAATAGGGGATGGGGGGGTAATCTGGACTGAAACGGTCGGATATGATGACTGATGAGAGAACGAGCGGACGATGAACTCCGGTAGTTCAACGGATCGATAGAAACATTTGAAGTATAAACGAGAGAAATCGAATCAGTACGATGGGTTGTACACAGGGAAGAAGAATTTGCGGCAGTGAGACAGAGAGACGCAAGAGTTTATGGGCTGATGCGACTCTTATTAATGCGACTCCTAAGTTCCAAACGAGATGGGGGGGAGGTGTAACAGAGAGTCTTGGATTTTTGTTTAGGGCCGGGGCTAGTTCATGGTTCTTGCAGTCTAGGCTTATCGCCGACCCACCGGATCAGCTCTCAGCCTCTCCCATCTTTATTCACAATGTCGTGAGAAAACAGTCATGGTACGACTCATGAAGATTGGAACTGTATTTCCTCTACACTATCAATAAATTTGATTTTGCGACTTTATGCTATGAAGCTGAGCCATGCAAAAGAGAACACAATACACAATACATCTGTATCTGTGCTGGAGCAATCTTACACTTTTATTAAGAGAGAAGGCTGAAAGAACTCATCTGAATTGCCACACCTTGTCAGCCCTCAAACCTGTTACCTCACGAATTGATGTATTGCACGAAAGTCAACGACTCTGCATCACATTGAATCCCAACCTTTTAGCGCAGGAGGTCGATCTCAGGACCGAGGACCGACGCCAGGGAAAAACTACGCCTGACAGCGATGGAGACATGAAAGGATACGACCAATGTTTCGAGAGACTTCATTCTCCCTTTTATATTCTGATATGGATCCAAGCAATCCAGCAGAATGAGATTTGTTTATCTCTCTTGTCAGAGACTTCCAGAACTTGGAGAAAAGGCCTGGAGGAAGCAATACATGCCGAAACGTGTCAGGATGCTCTCTAACCCTGTATTGAAGAGTTTCAACATGAGGTTATTTCAGCATTCAAGGTCCCCCCGGATCCAAGTCAATATACCCAGAGATAAGTTTGATTCAGGGATGGAGAGCACCCCAACATACTAATCTATTTGATGACTGGTAGGTAATATCGACGGCAAAAGAATCTGAAGGAGTGAGCGGAATATGCCAAGAATGAATTCCTTTTGAACCTGTTGCTTGTCTGGGTTGCAATGTGCGTCCGCTTGGAGACGTCAGGTTTGCTGGTTTAGCAATGAAGACTGCTGATGGCAATGCACACCCGCTCATGGGGTGAAACTCACAATTATTGCCGAAGGAATTGCGCGTGATATACAGGTTTTTATTGCACCTCATAATAACTAGGGTCACCTTTTCTTGCTGTTGGGCATTCCTTGGCTATACTCAGTGGACGCTAGGATTTCCATACGAGAATCATCAATCACCATTGATGACAAAAATCTTGGCGAGGAACCTCGTGCTATCATAGGTCCTGAGCTTGTCCATTTCCCTCTGTATCGGCTTTTTTCCTTATGTGTCCCAATATTGAATCTCGGCAACAATCCAGGGACAACGTATATGATGACGACAGTGACAGTGTTGAGGAGCTTTCTTCTTCCGACGATGAAGAAGCTGAGGCCGGTTCTGACTCTGACGAATATCCTGAATGGCGATGAAGTATTTGAAGTATGGTAATCATGTCCATGTGGGAACTACTCAGATCTCCCTACAATGTTAGGACGACGGTACCTTATGAACACCTCCTCAATAGAATTGTCTACAGACTCTACAAGTAAGTGTAATATTTACATATCCGCTGCATAGTCACAGAGTTCGTTAAGTAGAGAAAAGAAAGTTGCAAGGAATCTAAAGATACGTCGAACTTCATGTCCATTGGTATCAAGCGTGTAACTATACTTCCATGAAACAAGTTTCCATCAACTTGGGTCATCAATAACGCGGCTGCTCTGTATACAAGCTACGCCGTCGACTGCTGCCGAGAGCGTCCTCCGTCTGTTCCTCCGAATAGAACAAGGACTATTTCGTCCAAGATAGTAAAGATCAGGTGAGCATTTAAGCGTGGATTATTCAGAATATCATATATCTTTCGTGACGCGGCTTGGGCATTAGCTCTACCGACGACATTGCCAGCTAAATCGGGTATGAGGGCAGCTAGCATAAAACTGGCTTCGTTCTTTGTTTTGGATTTCTGTGACGGCGTCCGCACTACAGACTGTCTCAATACACCGCCAGGCCACATGGTTTCTTTGGCAAGAGATAGGTACCGAAGCAAATTATCGTCTTGAACAAGCGATTTCGCGCTTTCGCGGACCTTGCGTTCTATAGTTCCGCCAAGGAGTTGATGAAGGACCACGACCACTGCGCGACCACGGAGCCAGTTGTTTCCCCGATTGAGCTCGAATGCTTCCAAGAAAAGATCGCAGATAGGCTTAATGAATGGTTCCAGCTCTCGATCCTCAAAAGCGTTCAACTCAGCTTCAGCTTCAGCAGCAGTCACTGCGTCTTCAGTAGCAAGTGCGGGTTCTGGCCCAGTAAGCTGGCTCGTGGCGGCAGAGATAAGATTTTGTCCGGCGGTGGAAAGCTGGTCTAGCATCGCAATATTGCCCAAGAAATCATCCATACCGTCAGCAACTGAGTTGTATATGCGGGATACGATATCCTTGGTTTCTCCCTCGGTTGCCGGTGCGTCATGGGGTAGAAGCGCTTGCTGCGATAAGAAGGCTCGGAAATCTCGACTTCGACATACTTCAGGTAACAGCAACAGCTGTTGTAAGTATGCTTCTAGTGCCGCACGCCTCTTCTGAAGGAAATCCTTTTGTAACTTCATCATCATTCGTCTGCGTGGAAATTCCAGTTGGCGCACAGACGGATAGCGCATGCGCAGTTTCTGATGAAGTTCGTGAAACTCGCTATATCGGCGTGGTACTGCCCAAGTTGCTGCAGGCATCTGTTCCCCAGCCTTCCGACGTACTTCAATTACATCTGGACTTTGATATTAGCGTACGCGGAGCAATTGCCAGCGTGGAGATAAGACATACAGATTGCGAATTCATTTCCATCATCCTCCTTGCCAACCATGATAGATTGAATGTGAATAGTAGATCGGCCGTAGAGACTGTTGTCACTTTCCTGAATGACGTACTGTTGTCGCTGCATCTCTTTGCGGCGGATTTCGCGCTGAATACTTGCCTTAGACTTGCCCAAGATCCGCAATTCAGCCGTGTTATTGGTGAGTTCCGCCTTTCGCGTCAATGTATCCAAGACCGACTCCTGTGCGCTTAATTTCTCAATCTCCTCGGTCAATGCTACAATAGCTTCTGTCAATCCAAGATCACCCGGAGCTGCTTGGTGGATTTCATCTGCTGGATCCTTTTCATCCCCTTCTGGGTCAGCGTACTCGTCCTCAATGAATTTCTTCTCATCAGGAAAGAGTTCATCTTCAAATACGCCGGTTCTGGACGAGTTTTCGATCAAGCCTAAAGAAGCGATGCTTGGCTTATTCTTTTCACCTGATCGTACGTCACTTCGGGGAACTTCCGAGGAACTTCTCGCTGATATCTGTTCTCTCTCGGGAAATAATGATGATGATGATGAATCCGCACCAAACAGCCTCGAATCCTCGGACCTTCCATTATTTGGCTGATCAACAATAATCTCATTAAGCGCTTGTTCCATATTCTCAATGACTTGAGTATTTTTCGCTTCCGAATCTCCATTTTGAGAGCTCATGCTAAAACTATGTGAGAGAGGGTCGGTGTCATAGTCATCATCAAATAATGGTGCCGATCTGTCGGAATCAACGGATCTCCTAGGTGAAGAGTCGGCATCGTCAAACAATTTGCCATTGCTTTGCACATCGTTAGAAACTGCAGCTCGACGAAGATCCTGTGGCTTTTGCATACTGGGCTGAGACTGAGTTCGCGTCATAAGTGGTGGAAGTGGTCGACGTTCGCGTTGCTCAGGTGCTGGAGTCGAAGCACGAGGTGGGCGTTCCTGTTCTGCCGAAATTAACGAGGTCTCGTCAGACGCAAGATACTTGTAAAAAAGATCCGAATCCTTGAACTTGGGATAGTACTTGATCTCCATCTCCTCAAGAATTGCAGACTGGGTCATCAGTATAGCAGTCCTTGCTTTCCGATATTGCTCCGGATTGGCTTTTTTCCCAGCCTTCAAGAAAGCCTTAACTGCATCCCGAGACTCTTCTGGTACATTCAGCTCAGGTTTTGACAGATATGTTTCGTTAATGAGGATCATATCACTGACATCGGCAGATGTCCAGACTGCTGAAGATGCGGAATTTTCGTCACCAAAATCGTCCTCTAAGGGGTTGCGAAATCCATCTACCACTATCCAGAACTGCACGAGGCTCATTTTGTTCTGGCGATCCATAAATTCCATGAAGTAAGATAAGCCTGACGCATCATGCATCAAATCAACCAACGAGACATCCTTGTGGTTTGGTATACTGTCACGTCTGAATTCGGGTTTCATCGAGGCGGGACGACGAATACTAGCATTGGCTGCTAGTTTAGAGACTTTTTGGTCCAAAACACGTTTCCCAGTCTCAAGGCGCCTAATATAGACTTGATCTTGTCCTTCGACCATGCTCTCCCGCTTCAATTGACTCGCAACTTGGGCACGGAATTGCCTTGCATCGGAGAGATTATTGCAGCGTCTAATGGCCCTGACAAACCGCTCAAAAGCTCGCTCGGAGTCATTTGGGCCAAGTCGAGGAAAGGAAGGTGAGCCCTTTGGCTTGGACGGTGATGCATGTTTGTCGAGAGCGGCGCGAAGCTTCTTGACCGTCTTCCGGTCATTCAAGGCTGTCCGTCCGTATATCTCCAATATTTGATTCCACGTGTCTGGGTCAGACAAAAGATTTATCACAGGAAGGAGCACGGCGCACGCAACTATTTCTCTTATCAAAACAGAAACTGTGCGGCTTGTCAGTAGGCTGTCGGGAAGAAGTTGTGGCAACAATCCCATAACCAGCTTGCGAACATAGTCTTGCTGGATCAGTTTCTGATCCACAAGAGACACCGTGACTGCTGGATGAAGCCTCCCATCGCGGTATTTACTGGCAATGGCGAGTCCTAGTTCTTCCGACTCTGTCACGCTCCGAGCTAGATTCCTCCCTCTGACAGCTCTTTCGGCGCGGTCGAAGTCTTTGATATGGGCCGTCAAGATCGGCACAATGCGCGATACAACAAGGGATGTCACGTCTTCGCTTGAGAGTCGATTGCGGATGTTTTCAAGAGCTATGCGCAAGGCCCTGTCGATCTCGTTGATAAACTTTCGGTTCTTGCTTATGTTTCCATACCAGGACCCGATAAAATCTCGAGAAGCCAATTGAAGGAGCTCATCGATAGATTCCGACACCACAAATGATTGGGGGTATAATGATTTCGCTTCATACTCGGTAGCTTTCCTATAGACACTAACTTCCGTGGACCACGCGTCAGCTGCTAGAAAGCGCAAATTGGGCACAGTTGTGCGTCTGTCAAAATAGTCGGATCTCGTCTTGACTGTCAGTAGTATCGCACTGCAAATGCACAAGCAGGTGAACAGAACACCGGCGATGAATGCATATCCTAGATAGCGGAGGAAGGGTATCCAGTTGACAACCAAGCCCCATGAGACAAAACCACTGAAGCCAGCGAGCAGAAGATGTCGTTGACTGAGGGCCATTGTCCTCTCAGTGATGAGCAGGCACCGGAAGACCCATGACGGGTTGCTTGGAGAGTATCCAAGTTGCAGTTGTAGGAGTAATTGGAGTAGAGTAGTTTGTTCAGATGATGCTCTCTAATGGAAAGCACTCCACAAAGACCCACCCAACCCCGTGACTCGGACAGCCCACTGTGCTTTCACGTCATCGGCCAAGCATGTGAACGACAACAAAAGAAACCAACAAACCTTACACTCAATTAACCTCAGTCCTTCTTAACGACCCTGCCATCCTTCTCAGTAGCGACATTTGGAAAATGTCTTCTATCACCGATTATATTGATTTCTCCCAGCCCAGCTTGCAGAGTAAGTTGAAGATTGCTATTGTTTACAGATCGCAACCATTCGGGTTTCTTCCGAGAGAAGCGAAAGATTCCGGCTGACGTTCCTAATAAAGTCTCTGCACTGGCCATTGCTTTCAACCCGATTTTCTGGAAGTAAGTCTTCTTGATTCGTCTATGACTTGAATTCTGTTCTCGCAAACTAATTGACTCCTCTCCATTAGTATTGTCGCGCGACAGGGTATGTGCCGAGGATGTGGTCACCACCGTAATCATTTGAGCCGCACGACTGACTTGGAAAAAAATTGCAGAATACAAAAATCACTTCCTAACACGCATCTTTGGCAGTCCTTACTATGGCTGTTACTTCCTCGCCGTCGTGATCTTCTCTATAGGCATTCTGCGTGACCATCTCTACCTCAAAGCTCTTGAGGACCAACCCTTCTACGAACCCGTCCACCAACCCTATATCGCCTATGGCCTGTTCGCTACCGGTAACGTCCTCGTCATCTCGAGTATGTGGGCACTCGGTGTTACAGGTACTTATCTCGGAGACTACTTTGGTATCCTGATGGATGCCCCCGTTACTGGATTTCCGTTCAATGTTACCGGCTCTCCCATGTACTGGGGCAGTACACTCAGTTTCTTGGGCACTGCCTTGTACTATGGAAAAGTTGCGGGATTACTTTTGACGCTCGAGGTATTTGTGCTCTACTGGTTTGCGTTGCAATGGGAGGAGTAAGTCTATTGCTGACCTTGTTCTATACTAACTGATGTCTTGGAATTTATTAACTCCTCCTTATAGCCCATTCACCGCCGAGATCTATGCCAAACGCGAGCGCGAGAGGGCCAAAGCCTCTAAGCGCTCCTAAAATTAAAGCAAATACTGAAAATGTCTGAGTAATATCCATCCGCGTGACTATGCCTTCGTGATATGGATTGGATTCGAGATTTAGCATGGATACATAATCTCACACGCAAAGTTACTCCACGACAGGACCTAGGGCTAGAAGATCCGTTAGATTTTCAGTACTTCTTCGGCAACATACCCAAGATCCCATCAATGGACTGTCAGACTGTCAGAATTGACTGACATCGACATCAGGGAAGGGCTACCCATCAAAAGACACCCGTACCGGGGAAAAGGAGTGAAGAAAGAGCGGGGGAAGGTGAAAAAAAAACAAATGAATGATTAGTTGGTCTTAAATCATCATACATTCTAATATTTCAGCTTTGAGTATATATTTTATTCATCAAAATGACATTGAACTATCAAAACAAGAAAAAGGCAGCCCAAACTCCTGATCCCAAATCCCTGATCGCCGTTTATGATACATAAAACTAAAACAGAAAAAGCTCAGGTAGGGTATGTAGTTGATGCCTCCCGCAAGTAAAGACAAGCAGCATCCAAGTCTGATCACAAGTGATCCTAATGAAGGCTGTGCAAGAATTGAAGAAAATGCATGGAGGAAAACCTGTCTACTGACGTCTACGACCTCTCTTCCCCGTAGTTCTTTCTTCATGAACAGTATTCTCAACCTCATCATCATCGGCACCCTTTTTCAAATCCTCGCCTTCTGCCAACCCCAATTTCTCCCTATCATACCAATCTTCACCGTCACTCATTTCGCCAATATGTCCCTCTGCCTTGCACCATTCAAAGACATCTTCTTTGAGTTGGTCGGCTCGACGTAGGGACTTTAGCATAGCTGTGAATCCGCGGACTGTTTCTTCTTGCTTTTGGATGTAGGACCATAGTAGTCGACGCGTTTCTTCTGCTTCGTTCGGCGGGAGGCCGAAATCTTTGTCCGGTCGTATGTTCTCGGGTACGAGGAATAGGGGGTGGGCTGTTGAGAGCTGGGTAGCTGCGTCGGGAGATGGGTATCGTGAGCTACTGCTTGTGATGACTTCATTCTCGTTTGTTGCGTTTGCTTGTGCGCGAGTTGTCATTCGTCTTGGGGGGTCGGGAGTTGAGGTATCTTCTTTGTCTCTCATACTTTTTGATTCTGATGCATCCTCCATAACGATATCGCCGCCCTCGGTATTTTGCGCATGTGGAGATTCTGTAGTATGAGGTGCTTGTTCTTTTTGATCGAACTTGCCGTTCTCGGACGAATTGGTCTCTCTGGTCGTTGAATCTGCATCTCCGTTTTCATTATGTCGTAACACGTCTCTTAGGGAAGAAGAGCCATCCTCTGTCTTCAGATTCTTTGTTTCTGCATATTTATCTGTCTCGGACACAGGAGCTTCTGCCATCTCAACATCGTCACCTGCACTTCGTTCATCTTTATTGCTCGATGCTGTATCCAATTGGGTATTGTCGCCACTGTTGACATTACCGGCATGGCCCTGCCCTGTTTGTGATCTCTTATCTCTGTGTTGCTGATTAGATGCCTGTGCATGCCGCGGTCGAAATATAAACGGATCATCTTCTGTTTCCAGGGTTCCGCAAGGTATCCAGATCGAATCTCCCAAAAATTGACGATGCAGGTTATGTGCCCGGGCGAGGAGTGCACGTTCTTTTCGAAGTTTTTCGTCAATTGCTTTGATCATTGTAGGCAATGCTTTTGATCTGTAAGGTTGAGATAAGGTAGGGTGATCGGGAAGCTCTGAAGCTTGTTTAAGAGGACAGAGAATTTCTATGCAGCAGAGAAATTAGCCGCATGACGATTTCAAATGCTGTCATATAACATACGTTCAAGTGCAATTCCTGCAAATGGATTATCGTCTGCCGCCTCGGCCTCGACCTCAGAATCCACTTCTTCATCGCCATCAATCTCGTCACCGTCAGAATCATACCGAGGAGGGTTCCGGTTCAAGATGTAACGAGTATATCCGGCATGTTCAATTTTCTGTATTCAATTCCAAAATTTGGTCAGACAAGTAGTTCTCGTAAATCTCATTCCCTTCCTGCTAAGCGCTTGCATGGTCTGAGGAGAGCGGGGCGAAAACACACCTGTTTATAGAAATCGCGCGGATTCGAAAATCCTAGGGCACCTTCATGAACATATCTCGCATTCACTCTTAACTTATTTCCTCGATTCGTAGGCTGCGTAATAGCTTCGTCGGATCCGCTGTCTATTGCCGAGAGTAAATTAGTACATGGGGGCAAAATCGAAACGAATAAGAATTTCTGGAGCGCACTTGTCACTTACAGTCATTTTCTCGTCGCAATGCTTTTTTAAGTCCAATAATGGTCTCTTCGATCAGAGCTGCTTGTGCCGCCATGTTGACAGACTCGTAGCCGTGAACAGCCTCTGAGCCGATTTGACAGACCGTAAGAACTTTGGAGTGTTGCAGGAACAAAAGTCAAACAGAATTCGACATGTAGGGTGGGGAAAAAAATCAACTAAACATTCTGCGATAGCTCAGTGAGTGACAGAACAAACGCTCCACGTAGTGTAATTTGAGGTTGCTGTCAGCAGTTGTTTGCAAGAAGAAAGGTCTCTTCCATGTTCGTCCTCCTCCATAAGTGACTATCGCTGCACGCGTTCACCGCCTTCGGAGGCTTCTGGTTCGCCGATCTGTGACGTTACTTCTATCAATAAGGGTTAGGGTTGTTATCTCCCTTCGATATATTTCGAAGTTTGCTCGTCATAGCCATAAATATTCTCTCCATAGCTCATTTAAGGACAAACACATTCGATCTGTATGCATACCATACACATGCATATCAATGTTTATGTTCAGTTATCGTAAATTACCTAGATATAGTTATACTAAAGTTACTCCATCCGCAAACCACCCAATTCGTCTATAGACATAAATCATTAAGACTCATAAGCATCAACCCATACCAATATTCCCTTTTTATCTGCTCTCATACCCTCTGTTGGCAACACGCGTAGAGTCTTGTTGAAGTAAGTATCAACAACAACAAGATGGGGCTGGATCCACATCCCAGATCTGAATGCAAATATATTATATCGAACTGTGTGCCTGCTTAGAGGGACCAGTTGAAGAGCTCTTGTCTTGGCTCCACTGAAAGCAAAATGCTCACTCGCATCCATGGTGAGTGAGAATGTTAGAGTATGCATTGACGGGTTTTCAAGGGTGTAGTCTAGATGTATTAAACCAGGGAGTTCTTTGGATGCGGATGCAGATGCAAGGACACGGGGTTCGCCCATCGGGATCATGAATCGTGGCATGGCCAATGATGTTGCTGTGGTAATAATTTCTTCATCTCCATCCGCCGACGACGGTCTACGCCACTCTATATTGAGAGAAAGATCGAGCGCCACAGACCTTCGGTCGTCTAGACTGATTTTCTGCACATTGAGAATAAACTCGGAAGTGCGAAGTTCTTCAGGCAGTATTTGCTTTGCCTCTGGAGTGGTCAACTTTTCGGGCCCAATATCACATATTGCCCCACCGTGAATCTCCAGGAGACCAACGTTGACTTTCTGAATGACAAGAGGCTCGGAAGCAAATGAGACGATCTTTGGGCTGACACACCATCTCTGCTGCAAGCCGTCAGGTTTGTCACCGTCTGAATCAGTGTTTAAGTGGAACAGATTAGGCCAGGCATTAGGATTAATCCGAGGTAGAAAGTCGTAGTTTGCTTCAAATGGTCTGATAAATACGAGAGTGGCGGATATTGATTTGGATATTGGTGTCTCCGGATCGGATACCAGAAAGTAATTGACCGATATCTCAACCTCGTACTCCAAAGCATCTGCTGTGTTAGATAGGATGATTGGGATCTCAGATATAGCAGCTGGAGACAGGGTGCCCACAGAACGAGACTTCAAATGATTTGTACTTTCAACACTCACGCCGTCAAACTCGGTAGTCTCGTCAGCGTCGTCAGACCATGATATTTTAAGTGGTGAATCAGGCTGTCCACGGACCCTGATCTGCATGGCTACTTCTGCGGCATCATCTTCATTGTTCTGTATAGCCACAGTCAGACTGACGCGTTCGCTAGTATAATAGTGCGGTTTGAGATCCGGTAGTTGAATTTGTATGTTCGGGGGCTTTGGAAGGATCTTGCATGCCGTAGTATCACGACCTTTGCCTATTCTTTTCTTAGAGGGGCCTCGAAGGCCGTCTCTCCACCAGAAAGACATGCCTTGCTCGTGATTTGTGATCACATATAGGAGATTGAATTTTTCCTCTTCAATCGCTATTGTGATTGAAGCTATCCGTGATTCACCAGATTCACGGGGAATTGCAGTCATGTTGAACACTCTGGCTTCTGAAGGTCTGAAAGTCAAGTCGGCCTGTCCTATCATGGATGAAACGTGGCCGGTTGGCGACAAAAGTGTTGAAGACTCAGTGGAATGGGCTGAGTCACGTAATTTGATGTCAAAGATCTGAGATGAGGAACTGTTGGGTTTCCCCGTGGCGTCATCTGCCTGGATTGTAATGGGGCGTAGACCACCTTCGAAGATAACTTTGACTTGAGATAGCTTTAGTGGTGCGGCATGTTGGTGCGCATGCGAGGTGATAGCCATTTGTAGCTGTAGTGCTTGACCGACATTGCCTTCGCCTTTTTGGAAGACCATTGAAGCTGACACTGTTGCTGTTAGATGATACCGCAATTCAAGTAGGCTAGCGCGACTTACGACAGGTGAGAACATCTTCAGCTTTGAGGACTATGGTGGGTTTTGGACTGCCAACTGATACACCATCAAGACATCGATGTAAATTGTAGTCCCAATCAGGTCGCAACGGCAAAGCTAATACATGCAAGATTAGCGGATTTTTCAAGTCCAAGGAGAAATATTATCAAACCTTTACTCAGAAGTTCCCAGTGGACCCAAAACAATGTATCAATGTCGTGTAGCTCAAGGGCGCACGATCTCAATGCCCAAGCGAACTCACCCATCAGATCCCACCAGTGACCTTTTCGCCATGTCAGGTGAGGCCAAAGTGGTTTCAGGATATCATAGGCCTCTTGCCATTGTTTTGCAATGATGTGAAACTGTGCGATCTCCAGACTCAAACTCTCGACTTTTCGTACCTGATCCCGTGCCGCAAAATGTTGTAGAGCTGCTTTTAGCGTTTGTAGTATCAAAGTGTTATGGTCAAATCCGGACCCTTCGGGATTCGGGGCTTCTACCGCTGGCTCAGGTGCTAAATAGGTATCATAGAATTGTGACTGAGCAACGGCTTGCGATGCAGGCACTTGATCGATCGCAACTCTGTGTTCCTCTGGAATCTGCTCCGCAAGTTGACGACGCCGAACAGTATGTCTGGCGGAGCGATCGAGCCAATACCCCTGGTGATGGAGATACTCCCAGGGGAGTAGGTTTCCGTCGCTCGAAGTGCCCTTTTCAGGAGGATGAAATATTGAATCGTAGAGCCGTGCAGGATTTTGAAGAAACTCTGCCGAGAATGCAGGAAGCTCGGCCCGTGATATAAGTTGAGCCATTACCATTGACCACCGTGCAACCCATGCTTCCCACCCGTAGTTCTTCGTTCCCTTGCCCCTGCGATTGACAATGTCCTCTGTATTACTTTTGTGATTAAGCCAAAATCGAACGGCAGCAGTCGGTTGGCTAGTCCAAAGAAGACAACGGATGATACGAATAGCCAGAACATCGCCTAATAGTCGCGCCTCGTTGAACCTTGGGCTCCATCCCGCAATCGATTCAAAGACTTCTTGTCCGAACAATGTCTCATATGCAGCTTCAAAGTTACGTTGAGCTGCCTCCATTTCCTGACGGAATTCAGCAAATACTCCCAGTTTAAATTCATACCGAACATTCCAGCCTTGCGTTGATAAAGTCTGCGATGTTCCTTGTGTAGGTGGAACTGTTGGCGGTGGTATGGTCCCTCTGTTACGTTTTCGCCGGGCATGCTTTGATAAGTCTCTATAGTAGTCTACAAGCGAAGCTTGGATAGACGACAAGAATGATCGCACAAAATCCTTGACCTCCACGGGCGACAAATCCGCATTCAAGACATGTAAAGACCTGGGATCCAAGTTTGTAGCCCTGCGAATGTTTGCAAGACGGTCTTCAATATCCTGCGATGAGATGCCATCTTCAGCCACAAGTATCACAACAAATCGAGATCGATAACCGGAAGCAGCCCATGATTCTTTCAAATCTCGTAGTTCGATTTTCAGCTGATTGTCTCTCAACGTGCTCATACTAGGGTCGGAGGTTAATGGAAAGACATTGATTGTTGCGGCTGGTACCAGGTCCTGGTGCTTAAGCATCCATAGCGGCGTAAGGATACCATCGGGAAAGGTCGGGGAGCCTGGTGTCAATGGCGAGATTGGGGAATGCACGACTGGTACGACAGAGGAAGAGGAGAAGTCTGCATCCGAAGGAAATTCCGCTTTTTGCGGGGGAAGGCGATAGGACTGGTAATTACAGTGTTAGTCTCTGAGTCGTAAACGAGGTGTGCCCTTTGTCTCGAGGCTTATAATGCAGGTTCTTAGGAAAATCCCCGGAGGGCTGACATACCCTTCCAATAGTCTTGATTCTTAAAGGAGATCCATTGAATTTTCCAGTATCCGTCGGGGGTCGCCAAGCGGCTTCAGAAGCGTCATGATCAATGAATGCGGAGCGCAAGATATCGACAAGAGGCCCCGTCAATAGCGGAAAATCTGACTCAATTGCCGTGCCTCTTTGTTGAAGGGATGGATATTCGGGCCTCGAGGCTGCTTCGTCGTGCGCAATGCCGGACAGTAGTATTAATGGCAGATTATGCACGATATAGTCATTTGGATAAGCATCCATGGCGTGAAAGGATGCGGTTTCCTCTGTGCAACAGATCAATGCATGTTTGATCTCGAATATCTTCCACCCGCTGTCTCTCAGCTCGAGTGATTAGACACGCATCGAATCGCAGAATGGTGGTTATCACAAGCGACGACGTTGGTGTTTACTGTTGGTGACTGCGGATGTCGGACGTTCACAGCTTGGCAGCTGTTCATTGTGGCCTGAGGCAGCCACAATCATATAACCCTAACCCTTGATTGTTCAGCCTTATTCACCCCTTGAAAGTTTAACTCCAGCATGGCTTACCCCGACAAGGCTTGTTTGGAATAGTATGGACAGTAGAGTATCACCATTCAGCAACTATAAATCCTTGTTCAAATGAAATCGATATGAACCACCTGAGAGGGATTCAATACTTCTTTCTTTGACCTTAACCCCAGCCCTAATATGAAATAATACGTGTAAAATACTCGATACATGACAATTACAATACACGGAGAATAAGCTATGTTCAAGAATTGGCACAGTTCGGCAAGGTGGGCTGCGCTAGTGGGACCATTTACCCAATCAACAAACGCCTTATCCTGTCCCTGGCGGGGTCGGAGTTGCATAAGGTAGGGCCATCTTAGTCTTTTGCATAATAATCTCTACTAAGTGCTTCCGGGTATTTCATTGGCTACACTCTGAAGCGCTAGAGCCAGATACAGCTAGTACGGACTGATTGCTCCTTTCCTAGACAGGATGATCAATTCTTCTCCCTGGCATCATTTACATACTTTGACGTCTGTCATTCTTTTCTTTCATGATTGTCTTGATGCCTGACATTCTACCAGCCCTGTTATTTGTCTACTCCTGACATCTTCGCCGTCAAGTGATGCTTTTACAATCCGACTGGCACTAGCTGATCGGGCTGTGCGACTCCACTGATACATACCCCCTGGGAAGGACTTCGGAAAGGGGTAACTTATCAGACGGCTGCACTCCAAACCGGAGGGGGAAGAAATCCATCAGACAAGCACGCAGTCAACGTGCTGCATATTAGTCGTCTATCTCGACCTGCTCGAGTCGAATTTCTTTTCCTTTATTACCTCGACAGCTTGTTCCCGCTTATCAGCGCACCTATTGGGGTCCTGCGGTGCGACATTGGTCCACCGTGATTAAGAAGACGACAAGAAAAATGGCTCCAACACAGGATACCGTACCACCTGAGTTACCGCGCAGTCGCGGTACGCAGGATGCGAATACTTCCAGACGTCGCAAGTCACTACCGGGTCGATCGACGAGTTTGCCGCGACAACGGCCATCTGGCCATGTGCCTCCAATGCCTCCCGCATCTCCCGAAATAATATCGTCATTGATATCGTCTCTTTCCAGCATCTCATCCCCCGCTCGAACCCATTTTGATAATTTGCCGCATATTAGCGCACAAACAGCGCCTTCTTCGCCCGGGTTTCACCAGACAGAGTTCGCACAGTCGCAAGTTTCCGGACAAGGATTTGGAGTGGACTATGGGGCATACAAAACGCCGAATGATGCCGCCGAAAGCCCGTTTTTACACCCTGACGATGCCGCTTTGGCTCCTGTTGTTCGCATGGCCCCCGCACCCACGCCTAGCTCTCCACGGTCGCCGCGATCTCCTAAATTAAAGAATAGCTTCGGCCGTGATCGCTCTCCATTAACACATAGATCAACAAGTTCATTCTCATCGTCACAAGCTGCTATGGAGGAACAGTCGCTATCAGGTTTTGGAATCATCACAACAGAACCGGGCCCTCGTGTTTCGCGTGCCGGTAGTGTTGCGTCTACAAGCTCCGATGGTCGAAGGAGCTTGAGAGGTGCACTAGGAATGTTACGAAGGGGATCTAGAGATTCATGGCAGGATAAGGAAGCCGAACGCAGTATCAAGTCTTCATCGCAGAATGAAAACCTGAAACCAAATCTTGCTCGCAGTCGTACTAGCCTTAAGTCGAAGAATTCGATGGCAGATGTTGTTGAAGAGGGGGCGATCCTGAACCCCGCTGAAGATCTCAGTTTCAAGAACATCAAGGACGCTACGGCTACAAAACAGTCGTCACATCCAACACCAAATCCATCTCTACCTAGCCCTGGAGGTATTGGAAGCGGACGTATTATCCCGACACGCGAGTCGTCACTGAGGCATACCATCAATAAAGCTCCTCGAAAGAGCAGGCATAGCCGATCAACTGAACAACGGCCTACGACTAGCAAGGAGCGTAGTTATGGTGAATCTGCCAAAACATCCGAGGCAAAGGCTGCTACTGAACAAACGACGAAAAGGATCCAGCAGGTCAAGGAGCAACAAAAACGAATTAAAAACGAACTGGCAAAGGCTCAAGAGGTCCCTGCTGGTCGGACATCAATTGATACATTCAATTCACGAGCCAAGACGACGCAACCTGTGGTCGCGGAACATACATCTACACGATTATCTCAAGACGATGCATTGATCTCTCGATATCTACAACACGCAGAAACTGATCCCTTCGAGGAGAGTGCACCTTCTCCAGCAATACAAACGCGGAGGACGAGGGAGAAAAAGAGACAATCACTCGACAGAGCGGATGTACCACCCAGCCCATCTGTACCTAAAAATCACAAACGTCATTCCTCTGGGGCATTTACGATGGCCACTCGTCAGTCGATAGCTGAAGAACGGCCTTCTAGTGCTGATTCTATCGACCTTGCTGTAGAGGCATATGTTGCTTCGCCCAGACTGACGCAAAAGGTGCCTCATCCGCGCTCAGGAAGAATGATTGCATTTTCAGAAGTCGGCGATCCTAAGGGGCACGTTATATTTTGCTGTCTTGGTATGGGTCTCACTAGATATTTGATGGCATTCTATGATGAGTTGGCGCGGACATTGAAACTACGTCTGGTGACACTTGATCGACCGGGTGTGGGCGAGAGTGATCCTTCAGGGGAGGGTGAGGGGACTCCATTGACCTGGCCTGGTGAGTATTCACAAATGTGGTGTGGAAGAAACGAACTAACTGATTCTAGACGATGTTGCGATCGTATGCAATCATCTCAAAATCACCAAATTTTCTATTCTGGCACACTCAGCAGGGGCCATATATGCATTAGCCACTGCGCTTAGAATACCCCAACACATTCGCGGCCGTATCCATCTTTTGGCGCCTTGGATTCCTCCCTCACAAATGACGAATCTGGGCACGCATAAAGAACCACTGCCGAATAATGCAGTGCCTTACTCTCAGAGACTCTTGCGAGCCCTTCCAACACCGTTTTTGAAGGTAGCAAACTCGAGCTTTATGAATGCCACGAGCAGCAGTCTGACGACAAGTCTACCGAAATCACCTCGACGAAACAATAAACGAAAGAGCTTCGGACGAGACACAGTAGCTCCGACGGTGACAGAACTCACATCATCCAACAACAATACCTCTACCAACACGAACGGCAACCAGACAAAAAACGACCGCAACTCAACCATGACAACAGCCAGCAACTCCACCTCAACACCATTCCTCCGCAACGATCAGCGAAACTCAACCCTCTCTCAAACCTCCGCCATCAACGCCAACCGACCCACTGCAGCTGAGGAAGCCGCAATCCTCGCCTCACAACAAAAAGAACGCCAAACCGAATACGATACTCGCCTTACTTATCGAATCTGGGAACTAGCAACCACCAACGCCAACCCAGCCGTTGATTTACTGATTTGCCTCGAACGCAGACAAACCATCGGGTTCAGATATGTAGACATCAACCGCGAAGTCGTCATCCATCACGGGACAAAAGATACGCGCGTCCCCGTTGATAATGTGCGTTGGCTCGGAAAAACGATGCGAAGGTGCGAAGTGCGTGTGCTGGAAGGTGAGGGGCATGGATTAATGGCCTCTGCCGTAGTGATGAGTAATGTTTTGACGGAGATGGCTAAAGAATGGGAGGATTGGACGACCGTTGTGCAGGGGAGGGCTGGGAGGGGGAGGAGGTCTACTGTTACGGCGACTACGGCGCATTATACGTCGAGATCTGTTGCTGTTTAATTCCTTTCCCCCATTCGAGGTTCTTATTCTTTCGATTCATTTTATACCCCTTTTTATTAGTTAGTGGTTTATTATGTGCATTTCCCCCCCCCTTTTTAGTTCATGGCTTGATCTGTGTGTTGCGGTTAGTATTCGGGAGCATAGCATGTTTGCATTATTGTGGCATATTAGCATACCTAGGTATCTACGGATGAGAATCAGACTTGTTACTCGAAAAAAAGTTTCATGAGGGGATATTGATTATCATTGATTCCGTAGTAGCGATAGCTAGGGTAATCAATCCAGTCCCGAATGAAGGAGTGACGACAGGACAACACATTGGACGACAAAGTAAAGCAGAAATAAAACATAAGATACACAAATAGAACCCATCCTTTCTCCTAATCAATAAACACAGCTCTAGGTAGAAACAAATTCTACTACGTAGTCTGATGATTCGATCCATAGATAAAAGGTATCCGAGGTTTGTATGCGGGCATAGGAAGGATTTGAGCTCAAGTTACTGCTCCTCCTTCTCCTTCTTCTTCGACTTCTTACTTGTAGCAGCTGGCGCACCAGCCTTCTTTTGGTGAACGATTAGTTTTGTCCATGACTCTTCGGGATCCCATTCGAAGCCGGCGAGGTAGGGGTTTTCGCCTAGTTCGTCGTCCGCCTATACATATTTAGTTGGCATATTCTATAGATAGGCAGATGGGTAGGAGGGAAGGTACCTTTTTCTTGAATTGTTTGTGAATTGCATCCAGGGCATCTTTAATAGTGACGCCCTTCAGATTTCGGGCGGTGACTTCTAGTCCCAACGGGAAATGTAGATCGATCTTCTTTACGGGGGGTGTCACGAGGAACTTGCTCAGGATTTCCCTGTCGTCGATTGTGGAGGGTGATGTGTTTAGTTTCCTGTGTATGTCAGTGTCATCCGATATATGAGCAGAGAAAGGGACTGACTGACCAGCCTGTCTTTTGCGTTTCGATGGCAATTTCAATTGGGATTTGCTCTTTCTCTATATGCATGTGTCAAGAGTCGAAGCATAGATATAGTCAGTAAGGAGTCTTACCCAAGTCCTTGATGTTCCTTACCCCTTCTGCCGTTGATCCAACACGTTTATGTGTCTTGGCCTTCTTCTCCTTCTCTACCGTCTTGGTTTGCGTCTTCTCGTCCTTGGGGGATATCGAGAGACCGGCAACGGCGGAATCGATACGGGTGAGCTCTTCCGTCATGGTTGATGGTGTGACTAGGCTATTCTTCTCAGTATGTCAAATAGATTGATGTAGAGGAAGGGTTAGCTTTAGCTACCTGATAGCTAGTGATGGGTTGATGGGGTTGAATTGATTGGTGATGGTGAAGTGATGAACTGATGGATGACTGTGAGAAGAGAGAAGGAAAGAGAGGAGAGTATAAGAGAGGGATCCAGGGTCACGGGGCCAGAGAAAGAGAGGGGGAAGGCACCTCCCCCCCAACCAACTGGTGATCCTCTACTCTAAATGTCGCCCATCTATTGGCTCTCCCAGCGTATTCTAATGCAATCCTCCAATCATGGAATGCTCCCGGTCCGGGGCTGAGCTGGCAATTGGCTGCTCACCCTCCCAATTTCCTCTTTGGGATGCGGCCTCTACTGTCTCGACTCCTCTTTCTGTATACCCTGCATCTCTCTACTTTGAGTCTTCAATACATCCACATACCTCTCTATGCATCTATACGACTCTCTAGGACGACACCCCGGAACGAGCGGATCGGCTACGGTCGAAGGTTTGGCGAAACGAAGGGTACCAAAACAGCCAATGATGGTGTGTGCTGGGTGAGAGAATGGCTGCGTCATATGTCACGTTATCTCTAACTCAAGTCTACTATGTTACATAGTGAGACTATTGAGACTAATGATTAGGGCTAGTGCTGCACCCCGCATTCCCAGCGACCCCATTTGCTCCACTCGTTAATTCTTATCCGTCCTGTGGGGTATCAATCATGACTCCATGACTTGCTATTCTTTCAGCCGTAGTTAGGCACTATATAGGGGTGCGTATATACTGTCGATTGCTGAATACTTCGACCAGCAGTTTCTTCTCGACACGTACAGGACTCTGCACCCTAAGTACATAAGACACACAGCTCACGTGAAGCCATTTCGGTTTACAACAGCTCTGGCCAGTCTCGTATTACTCTCTTCCTATTGGTTGGATAAGTAGAAGTCGTACGATGCGTTTCAGGAGACCTGTCTCAAAGATGTGTACAGACCGCATATCGACGTCCAAGCCGAGGCATGTACTCAATCATGTAATTAGTATGGGCTGCACTCACTGCATGTTGATGTAGCATCAATGTACCAGGAGATGTGTACATCAGGTAATGGTGTTGGCCTCTGACTGGGTGATTCCGCCACGAATCAGCAGACCATCAGGTGATTATCTCCGCCCTGCTAAGTTCTAACGTGACCAAGTCACCTGACGAGCTGTCTATCTGGTCTCATGTTGCCCAGCCTAGCTTAGATAAGACGAGCTCCAACTGCCAAATCACAAATAACGTCAGAGGTAGTCCGGTTGTTGATGCCTGGGGCATCAATATACCATGTAAAGATAGCTTAGTAATTCCGCCCATCTGAGCGTATACGCTGATAAAGTAGCTATGGCATGTCCGCAATACTTCTGCAATGTTCCCTTTTCATCCCTCTCTTCTTGACGTCAACTTTCCTGAGAAATGGCGAAGATCGATTTGTCGAGTAGAGGCAGAGATTCAGCATTTGTGGATCATGTCAGGAGTTGGAGCACCACTCCTGGGAATACAAAAAAGAATGATATACCAATAATGAGAGATTGCTCTAGGTGAGCGACATGATAATCTCCAAAACTCTTTGCTGTTATGTTGTTGTAGGGTTCTGGCGGTAGGAAGAGACAGAAAGAGGAAAGCTCCTTGTTTGCACTGTTTGCACTGGCCGCCCCACTGATCAAGCTAGTGTTTTGCTGAACTCACGTCTCCAAGAACACTTCATCTGCGCGCTTGCTCTAACACAAAAATCCACCACCATCTCTGCCTCACCTTTCAACAGTCGTTTCCCAGTCATTATAATCTTCAAGGATACGAGATTGAACAAGAAATACAGCAAATCCAGTTGAATGTCGGGCCTCTTTGGAAACGTCGGCACGACTGCCACCGCGACATCAGCAACAAACACAACTGGCGACATTTCCAAAGATGTTGCTCTAAACTCCCCTCCCGAAGACAGTATCTCAGATCTCGCCTTTTCGCCCGTCAGTAACCATCTCGCCGTCTCGTCGTGGGATAAGAAAGTCCGCATCTATGAAATCAACGATCAAGGGCAGAGTGAAGGAAAAGCCTTGTTTGAACATGAAGCTCCTGTCTTGAACTGTTGTTGGTCTCCGGTAAGTTGTCCCTTTGGACTATGATGAGTGTGAGCTACGCTGACGGCCTCAGGATGGAACAAAAGTCGTTGGTGCCGGAGCAGATAAAGCTGCACGATTGCTCGATCTAGGAGCCAACGCCACTACCCCACTCCAAGTCGCTGCCCACGACGCGCCTATCCGATGCTGTGAAATGATACCCAACCCTACAAACTCAGCACAACCACTTCTAATAACGGGCTCATGGGACAAGAAGGTGAAATACTGGGATTTGCGACAGCAGACCCCCATCGCGCAGGTGGAATGTCAAGAGCGTGTTTATACCATGGACGTCAAGAATAAGCTCCTCGTCATTGGCACCGCTGATCGTTACATCAACATCATCAACCTGGACAATCCCACCACCTTCTACAAAACCATGCAGTCTCCGCTAAAGTGGCAGACGAGGGTGGTTAGCTGTTTCGCAGACGCCACCGGTTTCGCTGTGGGTAGTATCGAAGGCCGCTGTGCCATTCAATACGTCGAAGAGAAGGACTCAAGTTCAAACTTTAGCTTCAAATGCCACCGTGAAACACCCGCCAACAACCGTGACATTAGCAACATCTATGCCGTCAACGCCATATCGTTCCACCCTGTCCACGGCACTTTCAGCACTGCTGGCAGCGATGGTACTTTCCATTTCTGGGATAAGGATGCAAAGCACCGATTGAAAGGATATCCGAATGTTGGTGGAACGATTCCCTGCACGACGTTCAATCGGGACGGTAGTATCTTTGCGTATGCTGTTAGTTATGATTGGAGTAAGGGGTATACGGGGAATACACCACAGACGCCGAACAAGGTCATGTTGCATCCGGTCAATCAAGAGGAAGTCAAGCCTCGACCAAATGCACGCAAACCTAGGTGAAGTGATTGTTTTAGATGAACAGAGATAGATCTCGATAGTTACATTACGAATACCTAATCAGGCATGAATCTGTCTGACTTGATCTATAAAAGTTCGTAGATGTGCACCTGTAAGTCTTGCTATGTATTCCATGGATACAATCCGCCCGGCAGAAAAGCATCAAAATTATCTCCACAATCTTCTATTCTTAGAACCCCTCACAACCAAGCCTTTTCGACGTATCACATTCTACGGCAACCACAATAAATGAGATTTAAAATGGACACCGACATACTTGATAATATTCTCTCCCTGGAAGAACAATTCTATAAAGAAGGCTACGACCTCGGTGTCATCGATGGTGCTCGTGCAGGATACACAGAAGGAAGCGTCTTCGCCGTTGAAAAATCATTCGAGAAGTTAGTCCAACTAGGCAGATTGTATGGCAGAGTATTAGTCTGGAACCAGAGGTTAATCAGCTCATCAACAACTACCGAGGGCATGAACGAAGATATACCCTCAAAGGATGAAGATGAAAACGCAATCAACACCGATATATGCAACTCAATGCCCGCATTGCATCCCGGCTCAAGACTAGCAAAGAACATCCAAACACTACTCGGCTTAGTCGACCCTGCTACACTGGTTTTACAGAATACTGAAGATGCGGTTTCGGAGATTGAGGAGAGGCTCAAGGGTGCTTTGGTGAAGGTTAAGTTGATTCAGAGGGCTTTGGGGGAGTCAACTAATGTTTTTGTGGAGGAAGGTGGTGTTGGAGCTGGGGATGGGTCGGGGAGTATTGAGGATATTAGCTCTTTGCGTGTGAGGCATTGAGGATTCTTTGGTGGAGGATGAAGACTACTATGGATTTGTGGACAATGTGCGAGTCACTGGTTGGGGTATCTGGACAGACAGCATGTGATGCCAGATCCAGCTTTTTCGTCGATGGGTTGCAGGATCCTAGGCGCTCCTCGTACGACATCTAGGTTGTATGCAACATTATCTGAGATGGGACAATCCCCTTGATGGACTGCAGTCCACTAATTTGACTGCGATCGCATTCCTATGCGACGACAGACAACGCATGAACTTTGATTGTGGGATTGTTGCTTGAAATCCTACTGAACAGTCAACAGCAAGTCTTGAACAGCCTGCCAGCTGTGCTGACTATCAAATCTGAAATCATCACTGGATTGTTTCGGTCAACCTGCTTATAGATCATAATTTGAAGATCCCACTATTTCAGCAGAATTCTCTCTGACCGCTTCATGGTGGCAGATGGTTCATGCAGAAGTGGAGCGACTAGAACTTGTCGACTTGTCCAGATGCAGCAATGAGAATAAGAAATTAGCAATGATGTTGGATTAGATTTACACCGCTTTAGAATACATATTTCACAAGGGAAGAGCATAAAGTCATTATAATCCATTGAGAAAACAATAAGAATCCATTCAAGCTTTCATCATCTCAAGGAGTAGTAGATCTGGCACGTGAAGATACGGTGTGATAAGATCGCGTGCTTATTTGGGTTTATCAACATCCGCCTAGAACTTTCTCAGTCTCAGTCTACACCACAACTTTTTTTGACTGTGTGTGTCTTTCCTGGTCACTGCTACTTCATACCAGGTACCAACAGCTGATGACATCTGGCTTTGAGTCTGGTTAGAATACATTCAATACTCCTCCCTGCTAGGCAGGGGTTTATCACTCTTGTTGACAATTCTGGCCTGTTTGTCAGTCACCCTTTTATTCCCCGCGACGACTTCCAAGTGATGATTGACGACTGACACCGCTCACCAGTAACAGACAAGAACAGAAAAAAACAATGTGGATTCTCCGTGTCTTCTCCTCGGCCATCTACCTGACCGCGATCGTCCTCTCGATCCCACTCGCCTTTGATGTCGGCGGCAAAACTTGCGGTCTGGCCTATTCGCTCTCTCTCGCCAGTTTCTACTTCTTCTTTTCACTACTGAAATTGGCGACACCCGACTCGTCGCGGTTCAGGAGATTATTCGTCATTCTCGTGGGGTCAACGCAATGGATCATCGTGCCGGCGTTGTTGATCTGGTCGCTGAATTTGTTTTCGGTGGATTCAAAGAGTCGCAACAATACCAACGGGTCATGGGTCGATAGATACACCAGCGGCAGTCATGCAAAAGAAATTGACAGCGGTTTATGGAATGGTATTTCGACATGGGTTTTTGGTCCTGGCGGTTTGGTGGAATCGTTTGCTATTGGGAGCTGGGATAAGCTTTTGCGATGGTCGTCGCCTTTCTTTCAGCTTGTTGAGGGTTTTTGCAGTCTGCTTGTTATCCAGGCTGCTGGGCAAATTACGCGTTGGCTGGTCAATAGGAGTGGTGGTGATACGTGGATGGTAAGGCAGTCAGTTTCTATGGTTCATCTTGGATGCTAACACTCCACAGATCAGTCTCCTTGTCGTATCTGCTTCGATCATTTCCAGCTCGGTCTATTTCCTCTGGCGCATTCTCCAGTTCCCCGAAATTTCCAACGTGGATGCCGCTCTTATTGGTGTCGCGATCACTAGCGCTGTCATTTTGTGCGCCTGGGGAATTGGAAGTGGTCGTGGCAATGCAGTCGAGAGCTCGCTTCTCTTTGCTTACATTGTCCTGTGCGTCTACCAGATCTTCACCGACTATCAACCATCTGCACCTGTCGAGCAAGCTCCTCCAGCCCAAGCAGCGGATTTTCCCCCTCTGCCACCTATCATCATGGCGTCGTATAGCACATTGATGAACCTGCTGTCGCTGCTACCGTCTATTCTCCATGCTGCGTTCAATGTCATTGCTGCCGCTTTCAGTGCCGTCACACCATCGATCTTGATCACCCTTACCTATCGCCTATTCGTGTTCTACGCCTCCACGCGCATTATACCTGCAGTTCGCGAATCCGGTGCCCGAGCCTTGTCGCAAGAAGCATCACTCGACGACGATGATGGTGCCAACAAGCTTTTGGGCTTACTAAGCTGGTTTTCTCCCAGTATACTCGTCGCGGTCTATACCAGCTTATTAATGCAGCATTTTGCCGCCAATTCGCAAGGCGCAGCTGGCGGTGCAGCGGGTGGGCAGTGGTGGTTGAGTCAAGGGGATGTAGGCTCGAATTTCTGGCGATGGATTAATTTGGCTTGTACGATGGCGCTTTATGCGTTTGAGTTGTGGATTGCTCAGGAAGATGTTGATACGGGGCTGATGGGGCATTGGAAGACGGATTGATCGACTGACATGAAAGTTTGTTTCGTGTTTTCTTTTATACCCTTGACTGGGGATATATCCATATGTGCAGCCCAAACCCTGCCAGTCTCAATCACGACTCTGTAGTGAGTTCGGTCGCCCTTGGATTGATCAGAAAGACATACGCAATCTCTGAATAGCCAGCACACAGTCAATGTGCCAGAACGGGTCCATTTCCAGACGCTCGCCGATTTTCAGTTCTGTTCCACGTCTTGCCACTGTTGAAGCCGCACTTTTCGCTTCATCCTCGCAACCACCCCTCCCATTTTCTTTATATCTTCCTTTGTCATGATGATACCCAACTAAGAATGTCGCGTTTTCATCCCTTCCGTCTTCCTACTTCTTACATGTCATTTCGTGATGTATTCGATGATTGACTGTTTACGCACTAACTCTGAGAGACGGTGCAGTAACCCTTTTACATCCTAGCTAGCTAGAAGAACAAAACCCAGAACAAGATCCTTTCCTATTTCCTACTCCGGAGGCCCCTGAATATATACCATTCAGGGACCTTTCGATTTTCCAGTTTCTTATCAAAGATACCCACTTCTCCAGCTATCCCCTTTGCCATCTCTTTGTTGATAGCATTGCACCGCACTCCCTATTTCATTCTTATTCTCTTCTCGCTCGATTACTCCCTGACAGCAATAGCTAAATTCATGCGGGCTCTTTCCGTTCTTGTATGTATATACATACTTTTCTGCTTAGACTGTTTGAGATCTTGCGATAGACCTTACATGTAGCAGCAATGAAGATTCGAAATAACTGATCTGGAGGTCCTTTCAGGAGTTATTCATAGTTCCTCAATTACCTAGGTAGTCAATGTAACAGAAGACCCGTAGTAATGCGTTGTATATTTTTCTCTCAATGGCATATTCTATCTTCTTTATCTCATTCACCAACTCAAGCAGAAACAGCTCCAGCAGCAGCAGCTTGTTGCTGAATCTGTGCTTGCAATTGAATAATCTTTACATTCAAAAAGCTCCAAGTCAGATATACCATCACAGCCAAAAGCAGCAAAAAGAAACTTACCTCGGTCCTCTTCCTATCACTCTTACTATTAATCTCCTGAATCTGCGTCTCTATCCGTTTTCTGTCCTCGCAGATTAGCTTAAAGATAAGAATTCAGAGAACGGAGAAGAGGCGTACATTTCCTTCTCGATGAATTCCAATCGACCATCAACAGCCATGACGGCTTCGGACTTTTCCTGCTTTAGCAGGACTGGTCCGACGAGTTTGTAGATTTTGGAGTCGTCGTCTAGGGATGCGAATTCCTTTGACGGTCAGTATGTCATTCTCGACAAGACCAGTAAATGTGTAAGGGAAGGCTTACTTGCTGCACGGCTTGGTTTTCTTGTTGTTGCGATTCGAGCTTTTGTCGTGCTAGGATGATGGATTCTAGTTCTGTATGTCTGCCGCTTAGCATTTTCTCTTCTCATTTCTTCTCCGCAGAAAATGGTAATGAGACAATACCTGCTTGAAGATTTTGATATTCTTCTGAGAGCGCCTGTAGCGCTTTTTGTGCTGCTTCCATTTTGATATTCAGGGTTGAATGTCTTGTGGATTAAGTTAGCGGGGAGGGTTTTCTATGTATGTCAAACTAGTTTCCCCGTCCGATGGCGGCAGGCACTCGAGTTCCAAACATAAACATCTCTCTGATTCCGCCTTCGACTTATTGAAACTTCCTCTACGATATTTTCTCACGATATTCTAGCTGCAAAGACTTGTGTCTTGAATTGATCATTTCTACATCTAGTGATCCTATCGTCCTCTCGAGTCTTTGCGCGTGCGTTTGGAGTTGGCAACCCCACTCCAAGCGGACAATCCATCTCCAAGTCACCTATCTTTCAAGTCAAAGACACAAACTCTCAGCATACACAAAATGAGTAACACCGACTTCCTCGGCCGGGCCATCGACACCGTAAAAAAAGCCATCGAACATGATAATGCGGGCGAATACGAAAAGGCTTATCAAGGCTACTACGCCGCGCTGGAGTTGTTCATGCTCGCCCTCAAATGGGAGAAGAATCCCAAGTCGAAGGAGATGATTCGAGCAAAGACGGGTGAATATATGGATCGCGCGGAGAAGTTGAAGAATCATTTGGCGAATGCAGATAATAAGAAGAAACCGAGCGCGGTGGGCGCGAATGGGAAAGTGGCGAATGGGGGTGGGAAGGGGTGAGTTTTCTTCTTTTCGATAGACTTGAAAATATGCTAATTTTTACTGAATATAGGAAAGAAGACGAGGACGGCGAAGATGCAGAAGCTAAAAAGTTACGAGGCGCTTTGCAAGGGGCCATTCTATCCGAAAAACCTAACGTGCGATGGGAGGATGTTGCCGGTTTGGAAAATGCAAAGGAAGCTTTGAAGGAGGCTGTTATATTACCGATAAAATTCCCTCATTTATTCACGGGCAAACGACAACCTTGGAAGGGTATATTGATGTATGGACCCCCTGGAACGGGAAAGTCATATCTCGCAAAAGCCGTTGCGACGGAAGCAAACAGTACATTTTTCAGCGTTAGTAGTAGTGATTTGGTTTCGAAATGGATGGGTGAAAGTGAAAGGTTGGTCTTAAACCTAGGTTTTCTTGTCGAAAGGAGCTAACATGTGTGTAGACTTGTCAAGCAATTGTTCAATATGGCAAGAGAGAACAAACCGGCTATTATTTTCATTGACGAAGTTGATGCCCTCTGTGGACCGCGTGGAGAAGGTGAATCCGAAGCATCTCGACGCATCAAGACCGAACTTCTCGTGCAAATGGACGGAGTCGGCAAGGATTCAAGAGGAGTTTTGATTTTGGGCGCAACGAACATCCCCTGGCAACTGGACGCTGCCATTCGACGACGATTCCAACGGAGAATTCATATCAGTCTACCGGATATCAATGCACGTATGAAAATGTTCATGCTGGCCGTGGGCAGCACGCCGTGCAACCTGACGCAGGCCGATTACCGACATTTGGCGGAGATTAGTGCAGATTATTCCGGCAGTGATATTAGTATAGCGGTGCAGGACGCGTTGATGCAGCCTATTCGGAAGATTCAAACAGCCACACATTACAAAAAGGTATGTCTTCTGTCTTATTCTGTTGGTATTATCTAACTGACAATGACTTGTAGGTCCTCGTCGACGGCGTCGAGAAATTCACCCCCTGCTCACCCGGAGATAACGGCGCAATGGAAATGAATTGGATGGAAGTTGATTCTGAGAGACTGCTCGAGCCACCTCTTGTCTTGAAAGATTTTATCAAAGCTATTAAGAATTCCAGACCGACTGTCAGCAGGGAAGATTTGGAGCGGAATGCTGAATGGACTAAGCAGTTTGGGAGCGAGGGTTCATAATCATTACATCTTAACTTTTCTTTTCACTCAATTCAATTCAGACCACCTCACTTCGTTATGGGTCCATCTCGTTTCTCCGTACAGTTGTGATATGACATTTCAAGATCTGGAGTTTTGGTCTCAATGGTTATGTCATCTGTTGAACGTGTTTTGTTGGTCTGGACAGGCGTTGTCATCCACTATGCTACTATATCCCATACCTAGACATCATTTCATATAAATACATTGACCAGGATCCTTAGTTTGATCAATTAATAAAGATCGTAGATAGATAGTGAGCTAAACTAAATGAGGCCTAGTGTCATCTCTGCAAGCGGACTAACGTTTTGGCTGATAGGCAGTCACCCCTCACGCTCATTCATCTCTCTCTCCAGAGAGAGAATCCTCGTCTTCTCGACCTGTCACTAGACTGACCTCATTATATTTGACCTATCTACTAGTTATCCGAGCTAGAGAACAAGGTTGTTGCCATTACTCAGCAATCTCACCAACAGATTGCGCCACTTTCGGCATTCTTTCACGTTCCACTATCGTCCGAACTAATCTTGATTACTCGTCACGTTCGCATCTGAAACAAGCACGGACTGACATCAGAAACAAATGTCAGCATCCTTTATATTCTCGACATTCTTCCACTCTTAAATAAACGTCTTGTGATCCTCCTATTTCCAACAAAAGACCGGATTTCAGATTGCACCGATCTACATACTACATGCGTTCATATCATGCCGCCATGATCCGACGCAACTCCGATCTAGAAATCCATCTACCAGATGCAGATGCACCTTCATCCGCTGGAATCAATTCCACTGATGTAGAAATGCTCACATCCGACGACGAAAAGCGAGTTCTCTCACTGCCCCCTCATATCGCGGCTCGTTTCTATCGACGATCCGCCAGCGCTCGACGCGCATCCGATAAGCTCTCACGCCGGGGTTCTGTCTCTTCGATTCACTCGCATCACTCGAATACATCTGCACACGGCGGCCCGCAAAGCGACCACGTTGCGCAGCATCTCCGTCGTGCCTCCATTCTGGAATCCCGCAAAGCACGCCTAGCCGACCGCGCTGCTTATGCCGAGAAAGTGAGACTCCGGGCAGCTGTTGCGAAAGCTGCAACAAGGAATCTCCAACGAGAAGAAAGGGCCCTGGCTGCGCAGCAGGCTCGTGAACGACTCCTAGCTGAAATTACCGCGAAATGTGAAGATGAAGTCCGCCGGGCCAAGAAGAAAGCTGAAGAAACTCGCGAATTGAAAGCTGCAAAGTACGCTCGTCTTCGTTTGGAAATGGCGGAGAAGTTTGCCGAGGCTGAAAAGAGACGGTTACAGTATCAGCAGACGCACCGGAGGCCACGGACGGCTAGTCTACCTTCTGGAGAAGAAAGCAAGATGGTGAAAACGGTGCTCAATTCATTGACGCGTGATGCAGCGGCTCGGATTATTCAAAAGGCTTGGAAGAATTATGTTGCGCGAAAGGTGATGGGTTCATTCCGATCTCTGAATCTCTCACGAGAACAAACTGCTATCATGTCCTTCGACGATTTGAGTTCGCTTCTTTCGGAGGATACCGTTTTGGAGACAATGGGGAGAGTGCTTCGACTCTGCGGATTGCAGGACATGGATGGTGGACCAGTAAGCGAGCGAGGTGCTGTCCGGACATTTTTAAGCAGTTACTTGATTCTATCGCATCCGTCTTCGGTGATGAGCAGCGGTGGCGAGCAAGAACAAGACTTGACTGAGAAAGCGCGCGACTTGGTTGTGTCATTTGAGCAGATCACGGAGCGGCTTCTGAAGCATCAGTCTATCACTTCCATGTCCAGCGAGCTTCAGGTTCTGCGGGAAGCATACGGGGTCTTTTTCTCGGCTTTTCATGCTTGGAAGACTCACGATTCTACCGTGTTGATTGAGATCATGCTAGCTCAATTCGTTGAGTTGGAGCTTATTTGGCAGACTGTAAAGGAAGATCGAGCAGGAGGTGCCGCAGATGAATATTATCAGGGAATTCGACACAATCAAATTATGCTTTTGGCTAGGTTGAAACGACTTGCCGGTTCCGATAGGGCTCTGGACATGGTCAAAGAAGCATTGAGAAAGGCCAAGCGAGAGAAGAAGCGCTCAAAGTCGTCTAAACAATCGATCCCACGGTCCGCAGCAGTTTTGAATAATGCCGATGCTCACGCGGATAGCGTTTCGTCTCCGATCAGTGAGACATTCAACAATGTCGAAAGTGCCGTACTGCATGAATTGGACAAGCAAAGATTGTCACCTCATGAGAGCTTTACGAAAGCCTTGACAGCTTTACCTGAAAACCGTGTTCTAGTACACGAATTATTGATCAACCGGGAGTTCAGGATTGAGCAAACCCAATACACCGCTCCTCGCCAACAACTCATGAAACATATGACCGACATGATGAGAAGTGATGTTGATGCAGGTCTGGGAACAAAGTGGATAGTTGCAATGGCCACTGTTATACAAGACCGACTTTTGAGGTCCTTGAGACCCGGAAATTCTCTGCATGTTTTGATCAGCGAGGCATTGGACCCGAAGTTGATTGAGAATCAATGTAACGCCGGTACATTCTCGTACGATTTTTTCTTCGAGTTTATGAGTCGTATACTGCCTCAACTTTGCGCCCCTGCCCGTGACGCTGAAGTCAAAGCTTTTGCTGAAGACAAGTCGGCTGATCCTATTGATCGACTTTCTAAGTTGATGGGTATTATTGACCTGTTATCTTTGGACCATACCAATTTTATGATTCAAGTCGCTGCTCCTCAGCTGATTCAAGAAGCACCGGGTTATGAGCAGAGGACATTTCAAAAGGGACTTGAGGATGGTACCATCAACCTTGACAAGACCAGGCGATTCTGGCAAAAAAATCATAATCTCGTGGTTGACGATATGAAGCGACGAGATCCGGAAATTGCAGAGAGACAAATACAACCTCCAGCTGCCAAGGTTTATGCGCAAGGCCTGGTCGATCTTGTACTCAGTAATGCCCCTGTTCCGTCAGATCTTGTTCCTGAAACACTCGAACTGGACAATGCGCGACTTGAAAAACTGCACATGACTGCATTCAAGATTGCTGCGACGGCAGCTGTCCTCCTTACCGCGAAAAACTTATTGAAACGAGATGTACGATCACAATGGAAAGCAGAAGCGGATCGCATCTTGTCCCTTGATTTTGCCGAAATCAAACCGGAGAGAATCCAGTCGATTATTGAATCTACTCGACCGATGCCAGCTGCTGCTCGGATACAATTGTTATCGACTATGAGACGGGTATTGAACCCAGTTGCCACAGCCACTACCTCTGTGGACTACACATTGAGTTCTCAGATGCCATCAATTGAATATGTCTCGGGAGCCGGTTCCTCCTCGTCTTCTACTACTTCCGCCTCCACATCCACCGTGACTGAGAGCACTACCACATCATCATCTTCCTCGTTCACAGACCCGGTAGCACGACTCATGCTCTCCCGTCTTCGCACTCACATCTTATCCCGACTCAGCGCTGCAAGTGCTAGCGAACGAGTCCGCGCAACAACCACGGCAAGTCAATCCCTGGCCGCTGCGGGGATGCCCGAGTTCGTCAACGAGGTTGGTAAATTGGTCGATGAGTTGAGTAAAGTGAGGGATGTAGACTGGACGTGTCACAGCTTGGTCTATGAGAGGGTTATCAGTGAATCTGTTACTAGTTAGACGCACCAGAAGACTCGTTGATGCTTCATAGAGTTTGCATTGGTTTTCGTTTCTGCTCAATTTTGAATGGATTTGGTTTATGATTTTATTCCTCATTTGTGCCATATTATCGATGCATACTAAATTGTTCAAGAATGATATCATTTGTTGATCCTATTCCAAGACTTCCAAGACTGTTTGAACTCATCGTAGAAACTATGGTACATTTCAAGTAGCTATTCTGCTTCTTTTGGGAGTTGATATCTCTTTGGGACATCTTCCCATCATTTGTTGATCCTATCCCAGGGCCGATCAAACTAATTCTGGAATGTCTTCTCTAACCCATAATGCTGTTCCTTTTAGGAGCTTGATGATATCTCTTTGGGATATCATTCTCACTCCACGCGATCCGTACCCGTAATCGCCCATATGCGCACAGCTTTTTGGCCTAGTTGGCCAGTCCCAACAGGCAATTGTTCGCAAATTCGGCGAGAAGTGGATGCATGCGGTATTGGATGTTCAAAATCACCTGCTGGGTTGTGGGCGTTCAGATACCTGGCTAAGATCTCCGCGCATATTGGGGACCGGAGCCGCTTAGTCCGGATGTTGTGGACATAGATAAGGAGGAACGCTGTTCAGGTTCCCCGAATCGAATCAAACGTTTTAAATTTCTGCGCATGATGTGGAAGCAACTATCCAAAACTGCGTATCTAGGCTTATAGCTGGGTCATGCATGTTGAGGTGCCTCTCAAGGAGGGGCCGCGCATACTGGGCCCAATTCACTTAACTTGGACGTTGTTGAGACGGAGAAAAGGGCAAGTTGCTCAAGATCCCCAAATCTGATGGAGCCGGTTGATTTTCTGCGTGTGTCTTTGAAGAAACCTATGGTACCCAAGCCCTTGATTCTGAGACTGGCCGTCGTTTGAGAATGTCACGCGGATGAGAAATGCACCCTGACATTCATAGTGACGAACAGAGACTTTCACTTAGCGTTGTCGAAAAGAGTGTCTCTCATACACAAATGATCTGGCAAGGCAGTAGTTCGAGATTAGTAATCAGGAATCCGTATAACTTATCGTGCATGACGGAGAATCATGTACCAATTGACCTGGTTCAACGCTTGGCGATATTCGTTACGTTGGGTAGCCCGCGCTTCATAAACCATTCAAATTGTCACCCCCATAACGGTGCTCCGTTTTTGGCGCAATGGTCGAACTTCTGTTTCAACACGTCGTTTGGAAGGAGTTTACTATAGCAGCCGGTGGGGAGTTGGGCAATGGGTCTGGTGGGAGATGAGCCTGTACGAGGGCATTCTGATTATCTTTGGAGGATTGTATTCAAGTCGAAATCATTCCATGGAGTGATATTCTGAGTCCCAGTTCTCTTCAGCAAGCCAGTTCCTCTTTTTTGGCATTCCAATCGTGACAACCATCAATGAAGATTTTGCGTTAGGCGAACTTTCGTTCCTCGTCTGCCATCACGGCAGCTCCGTGTCTGTTAGTTCTGCAAAATGGTGATTAATTAGGCTCGACACAGCCATTTTGGGTGAAGGAAATACACAAAATCTTAGAACATCGCCTCATTCGACATGATCCATGTTCAATCGTCTAGTATGCGCGCAGTCCAGTCGATATTCCTAACGATTCGAATTCATAGGTCCCTCAGTTCCACTGTTCCAGACATCCTCGCCAGGTTTCCCCATTGTAAACAGTAATGGCGGTATCCAAGTACGAGTCCTTCTCATCCACCTTGGAGGTTAATGCGACGTCAAACGGTCAAACGACTCGGTTATTCTCCCTGAGGTAGCGCCAATGCGGTACCGCCATTGGATAGCGGCCCGAGTCATACATTTACCCATGGGCATACCTGTGCCCACGGCCCCGAAAACAACAATGGGTGTATAACGGACGCATTATAGTGGGATGATGATGACTTGATTGGTCTCTCTCTAGGTCTCCGGTGGGGAGCTGGTAAATAACTAAGTAATTTCACGTGATAGGGTGCGGCTCGAACACGTGTGAGAGCAACAAGTGCTCGCAGATTGTCTCCCACTAATCCCAGACGCCCGCCAGCAAGGTTGACCCAATGGCAAATTACTATGTTGGATTCATGGCCTTGTACGGAATCAACCATGGTAATGTGTAGAAGTTCCTGGAACGGAAGGCCAGTCTTGGTCTTGAGTGCTCGAATAAAATCATAGTAACGGGTGATCTGTGCTTTGTACGGCGTTATGATGGTGAGTTGCCATTGTCCTTAAAGAATAGCCAAGTGAATATAACATTCCGGCAACTCTTGATTGCCTGCTTGTTTTGCGCTGTAATCCTCTCAGGACCTAAGTCAGCGTCCAGAGGTGATTTCGATGAACGAAAGGAAGGTACTGCAATATAGTAACTTCACTCCCAAATCAAAATATTTCAGGCCGAGATCAGTATAGATATGGAGCGGCCTTCCTTCGTTATAGCCAGGTTCTGCCACGATGGTGTAGGACACATTTGATCAATGTCTTCTTCATAGATTTCCAGCACTGGTCGACCGAAGGATCTCAGCGATCTTTGCGTCCTTGTTGACTGTGACTATCTGCACGATCGCGTGTGAGAGCAACAATTGCTCGTCGATTGTCCCCCCCGAATCCCATACCAGCCCCAGCGATAATGTTTATCCAGTCGCAGATAATAATGTTTGATTCGTGTTCTTGGATTGCATCAACCGTGGTAACTTGCGGAAGTTCATGGGACTGAAGGCCAGTTTCGGCCTGATTGTTTGCTGTTTGAGGTATTCACTGATAGTCGCATACCGACTTTCATATCAAATGAGAGCTGATGGTTGCCCGCCTTTGTAGTGGGGATATTCTCTAATCTCTGATTGTCATCCTTCTGTAAAGAGAGGAGCAGACCCTGCGACATCTTCTTTTGCTCACTATCGCTCAGAACAATCGAAGTATGGACGGTGTATAATTTGAGGTCATCCATTCTCAGGTGACTATAGTCATTGAGACTTGCGAAGTTTGTATGTCTTTTAGCACCCTTCTCAACTTGAACTAACGAAGTGTCTTGATAGATAGAATCTGATGTTTGCGAACAACTTCATATCAGACGAAACAGGCCAACGTACACTCCTAACGGGGCCTCGTTTTTGGTCGAACGGTATATGTTCCACTCCCATATCATAGTAACGGGCGATCTGTGCTTTGTAGTGGGTACGGAAATTCCTCGTAAATAGACTGCAGCAGATCGCTCACGACGTTCGAATTCTTCTCATTGTATCGTGACGAAGTCTTGTGATCGCGTCCGGCTTCCGAATCCACGACATGGATACCGAGAAGTCAAACAAATTCAGGATCCAACACCATGTTGCTTGAATGCTTCGAGATTTAACATTGGATTTTTTCAGAAAAGATGATATCGATGTCCACGCAGGCCGTGTTTGTCCACCAAGATCGGATTCGGACTTGCCACGGGTCTGGGCCGGGAGGTCGATGTCGCAACCGTTTTCTGGAATCTGAATTCGTAACGATCACCAGATCCAAAGTGAGAAAGGCAATGCCCACTGCCCAGAGAACTGCTGAGGTGGATCATAAGTATGCGCAGCTTTTCGGTCTAGTCGGGCAGTTTCAACGCATAACGACTTTCGTATAGGCCGTGGTGCTCTTAGATAAACATCCAACGCTTTCTGGAATGTTTTGGCTTCTTGTTTTATAACCTCCTTCTCGAAACTCGTCGTTGTCTTTCTCAGAAGCATGGTGAGATCTGTATTCTTGTTTTGAAGATCCACCTCGATTGCTTCGTGTTTCGTCTTGGAACTCTTCGTCCATGATGAGTCGGGTGCGTTCGAATTCAAGTTTCTTCTCTTCACGGTGGAATCCCTAGACGAGTTCATGACATGGTTTTTCAGCTGATATCCTTGCGGGACGTCGTATCTAAGCCCACTCGCAGCCACAATTTTGCACAAGGCGAAACTCGGTATCGCTGTCATCTTTTGAAGAATCGTCGTTCTCTCTGCCCTTGCTTGTGTTCGTTGTATCTACCACAGTCCTAATTGCTTTTTCATCAGGGTAGTTGTCGAGGAGATTGTCTGAGAGCGACGTAGGACTCGCAGACCCTAATAAATTCATCTCGCAGGTGGTTGGGCCCATTGTGACAAGCTGCATCGATTTCATCGAATGTAATTTTGGCTGCTATCAGAAGCTGAAATCGTTGAGGTCGCGTTTTCTTGTCGTGGTCGTTGACTTATCTTCTCGACCGTTATCACTCTTCTATCGTAGTGGCCACGCCTTCGCCCGAGCGCTGTGTTTGTAGGAGCAACAATCATAACACACAGATCGAGATCATATAAACTCTTCGCTAGCGTAGCCTGGACTAGCGTCTTTCCACACCCAAAGATGCCTTGGATAAGGGCAATTCCATTCCCTGGAATATTCCCAAAAAGATCAAACGTAGCTTGTTGCTTGGGATTCTAATTACGCAAATTCATCACTTGTTCGTGGATGCTAGCTGTTGCGAGCCGGGAAATATGCTGTTCAACGAAGAACAAGGCCCGTACAGCCAAATTCTCCGAAGTTATGAGCAAAGTTGTGCACCAGGAGAACACATTTCTCGTTTTTAGGAAGGGTCATGATATCCTCCACACCCAAGAAATTTTGGAATGTTGGCAACTGCTGTATGATGGTCTTCGGAGGTTGGGTTATTCGATTTATCTTGCAACTTCATTCGTTGTGTCAGGTAACGCGAGCGTTCCTGCAGTGTTGGCTTTCTCCATAGTGTGCAGAGCAGAAACATGTCAGTCGTTATTCGGCCAATTTCTGAGACTTCTGTAGGCGCATATAGACATATTTCCGGTCGACATGTTTCCAGTTGGTGCTCCCACGGGACGTTGTATCTCATTCCACGTGCAGCCACGGTCTTTGTTGTGTGAGCTTGAAACTCCAGCTCGCATGAAAATTTTACCCATGGCTTCTATTTGGAAGGCCAGGGGTTGTGAGAATCAGAAAATATACTGTTCTTCCAAAACGAGTCCCTATTTAAGAGGACAATCATTCAGTGTTGCTTAAATCTTGAGCCCAGGAGCAACATCCCAATCAAAGAGGAATTATGCTTCAGGAGTAGGAGCAACTTCAGGCTGTTGCAAATATTAGCCGATGCTATAACCCATAGAGATGTCTTCAGAACATACCAAAAGAAGGATAACTCTTATAATTGGATGTAAAGCAATCCTGATGTCTACATCTATGTAAGTCAGCAGCTTCTTCGGAAGCTCTTTTGTCTGAGGGACTCACCAGATTGATTTGTATCCATTTTTGTTACTTTCCATAGCAGATTTGATGGACAGCAGAACTCATAGCACAGATCGTTTATGAGCAGATGCTGGGCTCCACCAACTAGACCGGGAAGCTGCGCATACCAGATGATCTAGTACGGTAGTAAATAGCTAGGAGAGGTGATGCTCCAGACGATCGAGTGCATGTCCCAAGAGTAGATGTTTTTGAGAAAAGGAAAAAGGAAGAGAGAAAAGGAGAGGCAGGAAATAAATAAAGACAAGAAAAAGGGAGGCGGGCGAGGGGTTGGAAAATTTTTGTCGGGTGTTTCCAACCCCCGTGATAACGCCCACAGAACAAAGGAAATAATAATGAATGATGATAAATGACTGAAATATGACCTCAAATTATGGAAATGGGATGGTTCATGAAGTTTGTACATGTATGATAGAATAGATTGGAGGAATGGTTGTCAAAAATGCCTTGATATAAGAAAAGGGGAAAGCCCGTAAAGAGCATGCATCGTTGATATTTGGCCGTTGAAAATTGTCAGCAAAAATATACCTTCATAAACCAGTCAAATTGCGAACACTGTAACGGGATTCCGTTTTTGATTTCTGGTTCTCAAAAATGACTGTCTGGAGGAGAGGAAAGGAAGTCAAGTTCCAATGGGGGGTTCCAATGGGGGGTTCCAGGGCTTTTATATCCATCAACCGGGCGCCCAGTCCCAATGATCGCTGAGTAGTCGACACCGGTTCCAAAAAGGAGTCCGGTGAATTACTATGTCAAGTCATAGCTCTATTTGTACTACTTGAGTGTTGCTACTTGAAGTTCGAGTGTTGTCGTCGATATTCGCGGAAGTCACCTGATCTCCCTTGCCCTGCCAAGACTCGTCCTATTCATACACCTAAGTCATGAGTTTTCAAAAACAAAGAGAACCGGTCAAGCTGTCTTGAATATTTCTGGAAGTTCTGACTAATGTAATATTTGCATGTAACGACAGGACCATTGGCACTCACCGGTCAGGAGAAAAGGGCTTCTGAAAACAGCCAACCTAGACGGACTCCGGGCCTTGTCGAGAGCCGGTGTTGGCTTGAAGCTAATACATGAAAGAAGTGATTGATCTTGACGTAATAATCTGGTAATTGTCTGTAACTCCAAAGTAGATCTTTCTGAGATTCGTTTTCGACATTGAGAGGCAAAGTTGGCAGAGTATTAATGCGTTTATGTGACCCTAACCCTAACAAGTGTGATATATCTCTCGAGCAAAATTAATGTCTAAGCTATCAACCAATAGGCGAGCTAGACTAGAAATCTACCCTCGTTTTTCTGTACGATTTCTGCACAGCTTCTAATTTTATTTTGTTTATTAAAAGTATATGATCTAGTTAATTATAAAAATGTAAAGCTTCAGATCCGACACTGTGTATAACAAAGTAGCATGGACAGATAGTTAACTATAACTAACTTAACATTAGAATAGATATGTAAGCAGCTGTATCCGCCCCGCAGTTCAATCTCCAACTTTTTTTCTAATTCTGCGCTATGACGATCTGAATCATCCCACTTCATGTCACGACTTGACAGTTGATACTGCCAGCAATAAATACGATAACGGACTGGTAATTGGAGATTTATCAATGCTATGCGAACATAACCGGCGGTATATCATCACCGAGAGTCGTTAACCTGTCCAGTATCCATACCGAAGCCGATATTCGACTGAATAACCACAACGCATGACGGATAATCCAACCTAATAAGACTCTCCCTAGCCGATCTAGAAAACAACAAAACAACACTAGAAGTACAAAGGAGGGAAAATGTGGAAAATATCCCTAGTCTCAGACCTAACCCCTCCATCCCTCGAACGAATATGGCAATCCTCCCCGCACCCAACTCTACCTTTAGTGGCAACCAGCAGCGCCGACAAAACCGTCCGAATATATTCGTTGGTCAATTATAAATTACTCTCTATTGTATCCGGGGGACATAAACGGAGTATCAGGAGTTCGGCCTGGAAGCCTACTCCTCCTGCTACTACTGGTAGTAGTGGAAGAGGGGAGAGTGTGTTGGCGACGGGCAGTTTTGATGCTACTGTTGGAATTTGGAGGAGATGGGATGATTATAACAACCACAATAATGATACCGGCGCAGAGGAAGGAAAGGATGACGACGATGAAGATGAAGAATGGCGCTTCGCCGTTCTCTTGGATGGTCACGACAGCGAAGTAAAATCCGTCTCTTGGTCTGCCTCGGGCTCATTATTGGCGACTTGTTCGCGGGACAAGTCAATCTGGATATGGGAAGATCTGGACGACGGCGATAATAATTTTGAGACTGTTGCGGTGTTACAGGAACATACGGCGGATGTCAAATGTGTAGCTTGGCATCCCGTGGAGGAATGTCTTGCGTCTGGTAGTTATGATGATACTATCAGGGTTTGGAGGGAGGATATTGATGATTGGGGACAGGTGGCTTGTTTGAAGGGTCATGGTGGTACGGTCTGGTTTGTGGATTGGGAGGGTGTTGATTATGCTCCTTTTACGTCTACAACACCATCAACAGAGCCTGATGATGATCAATCCGCAAAGATAAAAGAAAAATATAGAGAGCATTACCGCCTCTCGGGCCCCAGGATAGTCTCCTGCTCATCCGACAAAACAGTCCGAATATGGCGTCGACAAGCAAAACAGGCTCAAATATCAACAGCGTTCTCGGCGTCGACCACCGGTATACCCAGCATCATTCGTCCGACCGGTCTGGATGAGACGTGGCATCAAGACGCGACTTTACCGGCTGCGCATGATTTGGCTATTTATGCGGTTGCGTGGAGCAAAAGGTCTGGATTGATTGCTTCTACAGGTGCAGATGGAAGGATTGTTGTTTATACAGAGGAGTTTGTGGACAACAAAAAACAGAAGGGAAATGATGAAGAGATGGATACTTCTCCCGATACGCCGTTTAAGACAGAGTGGAGAATAGTCGCGAGTATTGAAGCGGCTCATGGAATTTATGAAGTGAATCATATCGCCTGGGCGAAACGGGGTGATAGGCGCGGAGAACAAAAGGAGGACGAGATGTTGATCAGTACTGGTGATGATGGAAGTGTCAAGGTATGGTCAATAGAGAAGGAATGAATATAAACAGAGCTTGATAGATATTGAATGCGATATACCTATATTTTTCGAACTACCGCAGTGGAATATCATAATGAGACATTGACAAGTTCAGGAGGAAAATCGCGCCACACCCAATTTGATGGGCGTTTGAAGATCATAAAAATCATTTTGAAAAAAAAAAAAAAAAAAAAAAAAAAAAAGAACCGAATCCACAAAACACATTAACGCCGCTGACATGAATCATGAATCGATCAGAAAACAAAACAGAGTAGAATTCATTACTGATTGGAAACACCCTCTCTGCCCGCCGCGTCATCCTTCTCCGCCTGTCGTCCTCGATCCTCTTCAGTATGCTCGTCGTTATCCTCGTTATGAGAATCACGGTTTAAACTCGACTTACGCTGCACGAATGATCCTTCCTTTACGGGACTGCTGCGACTCTGAAACCCGATAGAACCCGGATGACCGCTGACTGTGCCGGGGATAGGTTGGGATGTAATTGTTCCGGGCGCACTGGGTGTGCCGATGTGAGTACCGTTACCGTTGCCGTTGGCTGGGTTCTGGGCACCGGGTGATGTGGCTGTTAGATGGGGGATGTTTTCGGGGACGGGGTGACGAGAGCCGATGTTTGTGACGCCGACGTCTGAGGCTTTGCCGGCTTTGCTGAGGGCATAGTCGCCTGAGTCGAAGTATTTTCGCTCCTAAATTCATATATCATTAGCATTTTCTTGTTTGATACTAAGATGCGAGTACGTACCTTGAGCTTGTTCTGGAGGAGATCTTTCTTGGTAGGGACTTTGCCGTACAGACGGAGCAGTCGCTGCTCATCGGGACTGAGAGACTATTGACGCAAATATATTAGTGTAATAAACTCCAAATAGAGAAGTATAGAGCATACGCTGATGTCGACTTTGTTCGCTTGGTGGGGATTCATTTTGGTGATGCTTGCTGTGCTCATGCAATTAAGTTGAAGTGTTGCCTAGTACTTCTGTACTTCCAAGTAGTGGTATTGGTCTGATGTACTCGCAATCGACTGCGCAGGTATACGAGGGAATATTTTCTGATCGTATCGAGATTTCTTGAAGAAGGAATCGTTTTGTGTTCAGACAAAGTGTTGTGGGAGAATATTGTATTGTAGATGGATGGTAAGCCAGGAGTGACGATGTCGATAGGCGTTGCGGGGAAGTCGAGCCGATCCGAATCGAGGGATTGTCGTGGCAAGGGAAGAAGAAGTAAAGAAATGAGAGAATAAATTCGTCTTGTCTAGACAGAATATATGTCAGGGATAGTGAAGTGTTGGCGGATGAGAGAGAAAGAGAGAGTGAAGTTACGAGTCAAGTGGTTGGGTGCTGAAACAATCAGTCCTACATAATCGGAGGTGGGGTATCTTCTTAGCTCTGCTTCTGCACTCACTAAGTTACGACTAAGTTAACCTACTTCAAACTACTCTGTACAGTTTCATTTGTTGTATTCTTCCTCTAGTCGGTACTTTCTATCAGATGATCTCGTCTACCGAATATTTGAGTATTTCTAGGGGCGAATCGGTCTGCGTGGACTGTTTACGTCAGATGCTAGCGGAATTGACTCTCGTGCAATCATCTCAGTTGCTGGAAGAGTGGTTGAGCCATAGTGCGAGATATATGCAATTGACTTTATCTTCTTATCAGTGAATTTTACCTAGGTGAACCTGTAGACTATTTGTATCCTGGCCATTCGCTGCTCTCAATCCATCATCAATTCATGCGGTAGCCCCGCACCATGAAGTATCCCTATCAGACTCCTGGAACGAGTTACTATATGTTTTTGAAAACTGCATGGATAGAATAAATATTGTTATCCCATTTACAATAAAAGTAACTACCACGCTCTCTACCCCGGAATATCAAAAAGTGGCTCGGATATCTTCCGCAGCGAAAATCTGTCCGTGACGTCCTCGACTCCGCCGCAAAACTTTTTTTTCACCATCCAGCAACCACAATAAACATTCCGCTTGAACAGGTACTGGGTCGATCGAGACAGACAAGACTTTCAAGTCGAACCGAATTCAAGAAAAAGTGGAAAATACGTTCTCCATCACAGAAAATGGCACAGGCTCCGTCCCAAAGGATGTTGACTTTTGTGGTCGAACATCTCGACCCTGAACTAGGACCCTGGTCTGCCCTGGAATATGCATGTATCGCACGGGAATCCAAAGAGTCTGGGGCCCAATTCTTATTGACATCGGTGCCCGAGGCGCTGCAAATGCCAGATAACCTGGCCCGCATGGAGGAACTCAAGGTCGAACGACGCAACGTGGAGGAAATCTTTGCAGACATCAAGTCGAGAGTATGCCTACTTGATCCGGCCGCAAAGACGGAATTGAGTCCTGCCGATGGAGATGATTTTGACGTGTTTTTGTTTGGTGGTATACTTGGTCGGTCTTTCTGAGTGTGTTGCAATATGGGCTCGAGCTAACGACTTCTACACAGGCGATGACCCCCCGAGAGGTATGACGGAACTGCCAGAAAATCATGAGGGTAACTAATATCTACATAGACCGCACATCTGAGCTACGAAAAAAGGGGTATACAGGACGACGACTTGGCCCTGTACAAATGACCACAGACACCGCCGTACGAGTTACTCGTATGATTGCTCTAGATCGAAGTAAGTTCTACTGCTGCATCAATGTTGTGACTATCGCTGACGAATATGACAGTTCCACTAGACAAAATCCCCTATGTTGATCATCCAGAACTGCGCATCAATGAACATGAAAGTACAGAAATGCCGTTTCGATATGTTCGGGACAGCAATGGGAAACCCATCATGCCTGATGTATGTCGTTTGTATCTGAAGTTTGCATCACGTTACTGACGTCTAGTAGGGCATGGTCGAGCTGATCAAAAAGGACGCGGACAAGTCTCTGGATGATTTGTTCTGAGGATATGATGAAAAATTAGAAGATATTGATATGTAGATACAAACAATGCAAACACGCCAAGATCAGATCCGCGGCTGGCGGCAAGACCCACCGGCAGTAGGCTCCTGCCGAAAATGGCACAGGACACTTTTCGTCCGGATTCAATAATTCAGTGCTTTCTTTCTTCAACAACAACTATATACCCCTTTCTATGACAAACATAACCTGTTATAATAATTATTTTCCAGCTCATAGAGGTTTTCTGCCAGTTCTTTTTACGATATTTTGCCTGTGAGCTCGCCTGTACGCCTCGGATTGATGACAACTCCGAGCTCCCTATCATCGAACCCTTCGATATCCGGAGGTTTGTCCTCCACCGTCTGAACTACGCAGCGCGTGATTTATTTGCAAATAATTCAACATGCTCGGAAAAGCGCTGCTACTGCTCCTGAGCAGTCCAATATGTGCGTTGGCGCAGTCGGCAGCTGACTACTATGTCAAGTCGATACCGGGACAACCGGACGGACCTCTACTGAAGATGCATGCTGGGTATGTTGCCTCCAACTTCATTTTGACGATATAATGCTGATTAACTGCTGTGGACAGTCACATCGAAGTGGACGCCCAAACAAACGGCCACCTATTCTTTTGGCACTTCCAGAACCGTCATATCGCTAATCGACAACGCACTATAATATGGCTCAACGGCGGACCGGGTTGTAGCTCAATGGACGGGGCATTGATGGAGATTGGGCCGTACCGTGTAAAGGACGATCATACGTTGGTTTATAATAACGGGTCTTGGGACGAATTCGCGAATCTCCTTTTCATCGACCAGCCAGTGGGCACGGGGTTCAGTTACGTCAATACCAATAGCTTTTTGCATGACCTCGACCATGTCTCCTCTCATATGGTTACTTTTTTGGACAAATGGTTTGCTATGTTTCCAGAATACGAAAGCGATGATGTCAGTTTCCCCGAGGCCCCAATCTGTATGACTGCTAATCGGACTCGTGACAGCTGTATATTGCCGGGGAATCATGGGCAGGCCAATACATTCCGCACATTGCCCGAGCAATCGTCGCGCGAAACAAAAACATTGACTCGAAGCAGCAGCCGTGGGTCTTGAAAGGATTGTTAATTGGTAATGGATGGATATCACCCCTGGATCAGTACCCAGCAACCATGCAATATGCATATGCGGAAGGTCTTGTTAAAGAAGGGAGCTCCACGGCAACCAGTCTCGACGCGATGAACGATGCATGTGCCCAAAAATTGGCCGATCCTGGTTCACAAAACATGATCAGAATCGGACAGTGCGAAAGTGTCCTGGATAGTTTAATGAGATTGACCAGAACCTCGGAGGAGGAATGTGTCAACATGTACGACATCAGGTTGAAAGATGCGTCATGTGGAAGAACCTGGCCTCCGGATTTGGATCCGATGACACGATATCTCCAGAGGACAGAAGTGCGCTCTGCACTCAATCTGGACCGCGAGCAAACGAATAGCTGGACGGAGTGTAATGACCAAGTGGGCTTTAATCTTCGCTTGGAAAACCCTGGCGTTCCTGCAGTTCATCTTCTTCCGGATTTGATTGAATCAGGTGTCAAGATTCTGCTCTTCAGTGGAGACCGAGACTTGATATGTAACCATCTCGGAACGGAGCAATTGATTCACAACATGAAATGGAGTGGTGGAACAGGGTTTGAGACAAAGCCAGGTGTATGGGCACCTCGTCGGGACTGGACATTTGAAGGTGACGCAGCGGGATACTACCAACAAGCCCGCAATTTGACGTATGTTCTATTCTACAACGCTAGCCATATGGTACCTTACGACTGGCCACGGCGCACGCGGGACATGGTCGATAGGTTCATCAACGTTGATATTGCCAATATTGGAGGGACACCCGCAGACTCACGTCTCGACGGAGAGAAACTCCCCCAAACCTCGGTGGGCAATACAACGTCCTCCACATCCGAAAGTGACCAAGTCGACCAAGAAAAACTAAAGGACGCCGAATGGAAAGCATACGCCAAATCCGGCGAAGCAGCTTTGATAGTGGTTATCATCGGTGTATCAGTATGGGGCTTTTTTATATGGCGTGCTCGTCAACGCGCATCTAGAGGCTCATCACCATCGAAGAAAGGATATCGATCCGTCTATCCGGGAGGAAGTAATAATACCTCGTCTTCCGATGGTGCGGGACTTCTCAGTCGATTCAGGAATAATACTAATAACAACGCCAGCAGCGACCTCGAAGCAAGAGATTTCGATGAAGCAGAATTAGACTCGTTGTCTCCTGGCCTACAGAATGCGCGCGAGAGAGATCATTATGTCATTGGTGAGGAAGATGAGGAGGATGAGGATATTGGGAACGGAGCGAAATCTAGTCTGCATTGATGGGATAGAATAACATAGTGTATTATGATTCCTTAGCTTTTTTCTCACTTCTTGGAATATATATTATATTTACTTTATTCATTTATCTACATTAGCAGTTTTAGTGCCTTGCACACTCCTACCAGGTGCAGGTGGTTGTGTATCTACCTAGGTAGGTACCTAGCCTTTTTGCCTTCGAGTACGGTTGCACCAAGGGAGCCAAATACACATGATATACATTTGGCACAGACAACATCGAAGGAGCTGTACCCGGATGAAGGGGGATTCTGGTCGGAGTTCGATATATTGAGCGGCTTTCCTTTCGTCATAACCATGTTCTAACTATGATTAGGTATGGAAGTTAAGATGTCATTACAGTATTTCTGAAAAGTATTATAATATATGTGTAACAACGTTACAAAGGATGTGTATAAATACGTTCGAGAGGGATCACTAAGGCTGAGTACACAAGGTAGGGTATGGAATGTCCATGTACTGAAAGCTATCTTCCGCTCTCCTGGAGCACCTGCTATCTTTATAGACATGTAAATTACACCAGATCTTCCTTCTCCGAATAGCTCCAATAGTCAAAGGTGTAGTCTGAGGAAGCTGAAACCATCCTCGAACATGTAAACCTTCATCTGGTGTAGCTGAAACCCAACTTGAGACGTCATGGGCGTATTTCGGAATAGTGAGACCCCAAAGCCTGCTGGTTGTTACAATATGCCTAAGAGCTTTTATAATTGAGAGAATTATTGGCAAAGAAGATATTAGTTAAGATAGAGAAATTATATATATCTGATTCTGTGTCTGTCTATATTATCTAGGAAAAGTAGGCTATTCTTATAGATATGATGCTGTACTGGTTCTTATAAGATCTGTGTAGTGATTTGGAATAGTTCATGTATATGTCGGAAACTTCGGTCAAACTACCGTCGAGTATATCTCGGATAGCTTATAGCGAACTGAAGTTATAAGGCTTCTAAGTACGAAAGGCTTCTTGAAAGCAAAGTCTTAACAATTGGATGAATATACCATTCTGCTGTCTGCGGGCTAGTTAGCGCACCCTGCATAATACCTTGTACATAGAGGAAGTTCCATCAGGGCAATTGAATACTACTACTACTACGTGCTTCAGGCCAAAGACAGCTTAGCGTGAGCAATTTATCCGAGCGACAAATACGCGGAGTGATGGAAAAGGTTGGCAAATATTCTTTATACTTTGGCATGTTAGTACGCTGCACTATCCCCTTATAGGAGTGTAACTGCTGATACTTCATGTTTCAGGAAGCTAAGTGTGAAGCGGGTCGTCTTCTTTACTGGTAGCTGGTATCTACCGTGTATCATATATCAGGCTATCGGTTTTACAAGTGTGCAGCATCTCATCAACATACGCAGGATCTGGAAAGAGAGAGGAGAAGCTTGCGAGGGGGACCACAAGTTGCAAAGGGGCAGAAAGTACTCTGTAAACAAGTCTTTGATAAACCTTATCTTCGCTCCTTGACGGAATATCTAGAAACCCCTCATCTACGTTGTACCCTTAGCCGCCCCTTGGAAAATCGATGCAACAGCGTACAAAGCGTGTCTAGTACGTCGCTCAGCATGTCAGCCCGGTGTGTTCCTCCCGTCACGGTGATGTGGAGTGACTCGCCTGCTCAGCGCCATCAGTCCTTCCTGCAATGGTGTACACGGGAAAGCATCTTGTATGAGATCATGTGGAACACCACACGCAGCAGCGGCATGGCTACGTATGTGTGCGAAGCTTATTCCTGGCCGCAAAATTGAGAAGGGAGCGATAGGTTCTGGCAGATCTGATGCTGTTGTCGGAATCTCAGTAGCTAGAGTTGCAAGGCCAGCAAGAGTGGGCTTTCGGAAGATGTCTGAAACCTTGATTGACAGGCCCTCACGCCGCGCAGCAAGGATAGAATCACCACCAATCCTCAAGAAATTGTCGTCTAGACCCAGCTTCTCAGCGCTTGTCTGGAGGGTACATGCCGAAGCCGCTTGCAGACGAAGCTCAGTCGCCGTTGTAGGCGCTCTCCGTCCACCTTCCCCGTAAGTGTTGCCGAGTGAGGTAAGCTCTTCCAGTGTCATAGAAGACCCAATTGCATGCAACTTCTTCTGGCCTGTCTTACCAGTAGCACTCATTGGCATACGTTGTAGAAACACGTATGCTCCAGGGATCATGTAGGATGGAACCTGCTCCTGCAGTGTTTCTGTGGCTTGGGATACACGAGCACCAAGTGCAGACTTGCCAGCGTTGTCATCAGTCACGGATGTGCTGACGAACGCTGTCAAAATTTTGTTATCGCCACCTTTTGGTAAGGTGCGGCAACTACACTGAGTTCACCCTTCTGGAAAGCGAGTGCATTCCGAACGTGATGTTCAATTTCAGCAAGTTCTACACGCTGCCCTCGCACCTTCACCTGTGCATCCTTTCTCTTGACGTATATCAATGAACCGTTTGGATTATAGCGCACCAGGTCGCCAGTCTTGTACAGGCGCCCAGTTCTGCCAGAATGACCTGGCCCACACTCAACAGCCAATCGGGATTCTCGATGTAGGCAGCCGCTCTCTTCTCACGCTCGCCAAAGTAACCAGCACCCACGAGTGGTCCTTCAAGCCATAATTCGCCCAAAGCACTAATGATTGCCAGCTTGTCGGGGTTCTCGGGCTGCGTCACCCAGGAGTTCAGCTCAGTTCCCCAACCAATTTCATTTGCCAGCTTGGATGGAGATGTAATCGTATGCGTGACTCTTGGGCGTACACTCGGCAGGCCCATAAGCGTTGACGGACTCCTGTAAATTCCCCCAGCGGATAACATCCTCAGCAAGGACTTCTTCACCACCAAAGGTAAGGTGTCTAAGCGAGGGCACTTCACTCGGTTCAATCAAACGCGTTATAGATGGAGTAAGATCGACATATGTCACTCCGTAGCGACGTATTGATGCTGCAATATCGCCACGACGCTCCTCTTCACTCGGCACACAGAGACAAGCTCCCACAGCTAATGTGAGTAATGCATTCAGTCACGAAACATCAAACGCATACGACACATAGTCAAAAACTCTATCCTTGGGTTGCATGCCGAGAGGTCCGCGTTGGTGGAGAATGGCAGAACTGAAATTAGAATGGGTGATCATAGCGCCTTTTGGTGTCCCGGTACTTCCAGACGTAAAGACTATGTAGACCCTGTCTGATGGGTCGACAGTAGGCAAATAGGTGTTCGACTTTCTACTCATGGGCCGTGAAAAGAAAGCCTCGGGTATAATCACGTTCGTGTGATCGCCTGCCAGTCGTTCCGCCATCGCTTTGTTGGCAACCGACGATAGAAGAACTTTTCCTGAGACCTGACGAGCAATGCGCTGTAAGTGGGCTTCTGGCTGGGTGATGTCCATAGTAACACAAGCGCCGCCTGCTTTCATTACTCCTTGAAGTGAAATGGATGTCCACATGGATTTTTCGAAGCATAATGGCACTATGGTACCTCTTTCAACACCCTGGCTGACTAGGTAGTGAGCCAAGTCGGTAGACATTCGGTCAAGCTCTCCATATGTAAGCTTACCATCCCAAGCACAGATAGCTGGGGCATCAGGCTGGCTGCGGGCTGTTTGTGACATCAAGTCATGTACGCAGTCGTTGGCCCTCTGAGGGACTGTCTCATTCCAGGTCCAAATGCGCTCCAAATCGCTCGGACCTGTCCAATCGATGTCTGATAGCTTTACACCAGCATTTCTCGGATCGCAAAGTTGCCGGAGAACATGCTCGAGCTGACGTTGGGGAGAACTCGCTTCATCGCGCCCGACTATGCGGGAGCATGCAGTCCAGACCGCATGCTAGCAATTTGAATTGGACCTTCAATGCGAAAGTGCTAAAGAGTGGCCCGTTTTGGGCATTGTCAGAGGCAGAGACATTCTCTAGAGAGCTTGGGTCGAATGGTCCATCTTTTGGATTCAGATACTCTTCCTGTAGATTAACGTCGACAAGAGTCTGAAATTCGCAAGCTCTCTCCGCATCGATGCTGATCTTGCAGATTCTTTGCAGCCCGTAATGCTCAACTGTGTCTAGCTCTGCTGCTGACCGTTGTAGTCTGCATACAAATTCCGTGACAGTAATTTTCTTGGAAAGCTCTACCTTTAATGGTATAGTTGCCATAGTAGGGCCAGTCATGCTCTCGATGCCAGCTACGTTGGCTTGTCGTCCAAATGTAGTTACTCCAAAGACTGCTTCATCTGTAGCTGCGTGCTGGCCCATGAGGACGGCCCATGCCGCCCAGACCATCGGCATCGTCTGGGTGCCGGCTTCGCGTGACCACGGGAGTTCTTTGATTACGCAAGACACCGTCTGATCTGCCTTCGGGCGATATTTGATGTTCGGAAGTGGAGGGTAGATGGGTGCCTCGTTACCATCCAGGTGCTGTTTCCATATCCTTTCTGCGGAAGAGACATCCATCTCTCTAATATGCTTCACAAAATTCTGGAATGGAGCTGAAGCAGCCAGTTGTTTGCCTAAGTGAACATCGTTCACCTTTTTTACAAGCAGTGGCACTGAAGAGAAATCGTAAAGCGCATGGTGCATTGTCCAGACGAAAAAGCGCTGCCTGCGTTTGTGATCACCGATAAGCGCGAATCAAGCTAGAGGAGTCCCTGTCCCTGTGGTCCGCTGACTGTCATGGCGCAGATATCCATCGAGATCGTCGGCTGTCATCCATTCGAATGGCTCGTCTATAATGGTTTGTACCAAGCCCTCGCCGGCGAGATCAACTATGCGTGTTCTAAGGATGGGCGTCGTCGCATAGGCATGGCTCCAAGTGGCTTGTAGAGCGACATCGTCGACGTCTGGGCGCAGCTGTAATTTGTATTGTGCGACATAGTAGCCTGGTAGATGCGCACTCAAAGCTAGTAGACCCTCCTGAAGCGGCGTACATGGAAAGGCGTCTTCGATCTGTGAGGACTGTACACGCAGGAAACTGCTATTTTCTGGCATATGTCGGCAATGCTGAAGTTATTGATGTTGTCCAGCAAGGAAAACCTATCTGGGCAATGCTGCATTTCGGTCCATTTTCGTCGCTCCTCTTTGTCCAAAACGCTCGAGCCTTTGGTCTTTGCCTGTTTATTCTCCGCGAAATCAGTAGATTGTCGCGTACCGTGACTATCTTCGAATCTATTATCGTCGAGATTCATCATGGTATTAGAGCTCTCCATCGTTTAAGACGTGTTCAATCTGGTACAGGGTACAAGGGTCAGTGGGCTGATGGGACTACTTATTCCGTATACCAATTGATGCCAAATAATGTATTTGATCTAGCGGATCTTCAGGCATTGGTCATGATGGCGCTAACTTGATTCATTTTTTTTTTTTGGTTCGTAGTCCGAAGTCTCTTGATGCGCTGGCTGATCCGACTTACCGTCGTCTTTCAAGCCGTCTCGAGCGGATTGCGATCATTCATAGGCTTACCTCTTTACACTGCGCGTTCCCTCTTACTACCAACTGGTTGGACGTTGATCGCCGCTTCATGTGTAGTACAGCGCTCCATCAACAGATGCAGGGGCTCCGAGCACCACATGACGAATTATTGCCAATTGGCCAAGCACGATAATCGTGCGCAGCGGCAACGTAGTGACGGAGATCCAGGTGGTCGACCCGAGAGGCCTATTCCTCAGTTGTCGATATCCAGTCAGCGATGTTACATTTTGCTGGGAAGTAATCGCTCATTCTGCTCATTCTGCTCTGATTTCCCTTGACGCCGGTGGCTCCTTTGCGCTTGCGTTGCAAACTATGGTAGCATGAATCATGCAGTAGTAGCAAAATCTGTGCAACGCCGCGCGCTGTGGCTGCATTGGTGGAGTACAGATTGGTAGAGCTATCTTGCGGTCCGCTATCTGGAAGGCAACCGAAGCCGAAAGCGGGCCAGTCCGTACGCTTGTCTCATGTAAGCAGCTGTTGTGGACGGCACGGCGCCTAAAGAGACCCTTCAAAGCTTAGATGGTGCCGACGTGGAGCTTGCTTCTGTTAAGCCTTCGCTAGATTGACCCTTACCAGACTGTTAGGCTTAATCCCGCACGTTAACCTTGGGACTCAGCGGAAGCACGTGGGTAGGCAGACGTTGTTACCCATCGGTCATCTCTTCATCCTGCAATGGTTCACGAAGAGTACCACTACATCTTGTGACAGCAGACGGAGCTCAACTCTAGCTCAATATACTTAACTAAGTCAGTAACGGCTTCCTCCATTCGAATCGTTTCTTAGGGGAAGCCATATCCTTCCGAGCTGCGTGATACCGGCTTTGTGACTGGTTACTTCCATTGCCGCCAGTGACTCACTAGGGAGATCAGCTACAACGATGGAGTCGGTGGACATCCATAGAGCGGACGACGACAACTTCCGGCTAGAATACAAGCCGACGCAAGAGGCTGGCGTTGCGCATTCAGGAAAAGAGGTTGACCCTAGCAAGGAGACAACATCCAGTCAAAGATCTCAGGATCCTCCGAGTCTCCAAGGCGTCCAGTTGATCGTTCTATTATCGTGCCTTTTCCTTGGTAATTTCACCATTAGATTTGTAGGTATCTTGGTCGTGCAGAATGAACTGCATTAGGCAAACCAACAAAGAGTATGGACAGTATTGACAAGGCTTGTTGTAGGACAGCAGTTGCATTGGCACCCTTCTTGTGATTATCACCGACCACTTTGACGCTCTTCAAGATATTGGTTGGTACCAAACGACATAGTGAGTATTGCACAAAAGCGTAATGATTTAACCTCCTCGGACTGCTGGGCTAATCGTTCTTAACAAGCTTGTTAACTTTGTGTTCGCCTATCTTGATCATGGGCCGACTGTACACCTTCTACTTTATGAAGACGCTTTACGTGCTCTCTTTAACCATCTTTGTCGCCGGCTCTATCCTTACTGCTGCCTCACCAACGTCTACTGCCTTCATCCTTGGCCGCGCAGTGAGCGGCCTCGGTGCAGCAGGAATAAACTCTGGCATGTACATGTTAGTATTAAGTATGATGGATTAAGTCTGTTACTCCCACAAAAGAACCCAGCGCTGACTTGTAGCGCAGCATTATTGCACACACCGTTCCGCTAAAGATTCAACCCATCATATTCGGCATGTGCGGCGCCGTAGAGTGCGCGGCGCTCGCTTTTGGGCCATTGATCAGCGGATCAATCGCTCATGCCGACAATTGGAGGATCAACTTCTGGACTATCGTGGGTCTGGGAAGCGCTGTTGCATTAGGCGTGTCCGGCAGTGTAGGCCATCTGCGCCAGAATGCGGACGACAAACAACCCAGTGTAACTCAAAGGTTGAAGCGTCTCGACTGGTATGGGCTGGCGACAGAGCTTCCCATGACGATCTGCTTGATCCTGAGTTTGCAATGGGCTGGTACGGCGTATGCTTGGTCGAACTGGAGAATTATCCTCCTGCTCACCGTAACCGGTGTGCTTGCCATCCTTTTTTTTGTGGTTGAGCATATCGGTGGCAGTAACAGCATGATCTCTTTGCCAATACTACGACAGCGAAATGTCGCCTTCAGCTGTGTGGTTGGCTTTTGTAATTTTGCCGCTTTGTGGATCTTTGCCAACTACGTAGGTTCCATCGAGAATAATCTACCTCATCACTGCTGGCAAGGTGCTAATGGTTCGGTAGATCCCCATCTATTTTCAAGTAGTGCGTGGAGCAAATACCCTTCATTCGGCTTTGATGTATCTACCGACCACGCTAAGTATGTCCATCTGCGCGCTGGCCAGTGGACCTTTTACATCTACGATCGGTTATTTCAATCCAGCATTACTTTTCGGCAGCGCGCTGAGTGTGACTGGAGCAGCATTGATGGCCACATTCGAAACCCATACGCCTGCAGCACGATGGATAGCTTACCAGATCATCTACGGTATCGGCGTTGGTATGGCATTCCAGCCTCCTTTCATCGCCCTGCAAACCGTGCTCGAGAAGCCACTTGTTCCTGCAGCCTTGGTACTGCTGAACTTTGTGCAGATGCTCGGTGGCATCATTTTCCTATCCATCTCGCAGAATGTGTTCCTGGACAAGCTGACAAACAATCTTACACAAAACATCCCGAATTTTAACCCAGCCATTGCCAAGCAAAATGGCGCGACTGGTCTGAAGGGTTTGGTGCCCGTTGAGTATCAACCGCAGGTCATACTGGCCTACAATTCTGCTATCATGGACGTATTCTACATCGCACTTGGTTTGGTTAGTGTTGGTCTGCTAGCTGCGCTCGGCCTTGAGTGGAGGTCAATCAAGAAGGACGATAAGAAGAAAGAGTGAACTCAAAAGAGATGTGTTGCTCTGCGCAGCTATTGGACAGTTGAGATGATTTTGCGTATTCAGGAAACCATCCCAATGTGTCTTTCAGAGGCGTGTTTCAGTAGCGTACTGTGCTACTTATATTCTCTCGCAAGGGTAGAGACCCCCGAGAAACATGTCGATAGTTATTGTAAATAGATCCTTGGATAAGCTCCATCGAACTCATAAAATATTGTACCACAATCTTTCTTTTTTAGGTTTTTCACCAAGCTGGTGGCAGCTTCTTTGAGCTCGATTCATATGCTCAGAAATTGTGCTTGTCAAGTGCAACAACATTAATCAAATTTTACTCTAGATTCCTCCTGCAGTCATTCAAGCAGAAATTCCAGCATTATCGCTGCTATTACGGCTCCATCATGCGGCAAATGTACTCGGGACTTAGCCTCGTTGTAAGTTTCCTCCCCAAACACAATAGGACCGCGGCGCTCTAGCAACTCATCCGCAATGCTCCTATGGTACTCCGGATGACCCTGCATACTTAGCAGACGGCCTTTCTGGTACATAACTTGCACCGGGCATCGCTCTGACCAACCCAGAAGCTCCACGTTTGCTGGACAGGCAGGCAACATGTCTCGATGCATCTGGTGAAGCGCCTAAGATGATCGATCTCTTGGTCAGTCACGGTGCTCAGTATCGAGAAGCCCTCAGCAATGGTTGTTTGCTCATGTGACGCACCAGGGAAGGCAAGCCGAACAATCGTCGACCCTTCGATGTCATTTCGATTTCTGTGACCGCAACCTCCCATCCATTCTCGTTCCTCACCGGCATCACACCCAATGCTCGCCCGATGATCTGGTGCCTGAAACAGACCCCTATCAATTTCACCCTTGTTTGTTGATGCAGCAGGTTTGAAACAATCGACAAGTTGCAGAATCCAGTTTTCCTCTCCATTTGAGAAACTATCGTATCCTTGTGCGTACCAACATCAGCGAAAACTGTTGTAGTCAAACTCGCAAAAAACATCCTTACTGCTACCTCAAGACAACCGCATCGATGTCACCTAGCAAAGGATAATTCCGCCCCAGACGAATATCATATGAGGATTCGACAATTTCAGGGCCTTCTCTGGAGCTATCTCGCTGTAGGCGTACGCCATCTGCAGCGAACAATAGATGGAACAGGTTGCCAAACGATCCATATTTCCTTTTGGTCTCTCCAATCGGTTCATCGCACTCCAATATGGCAATACGAAACGGAGAGGACATATTCTTGGACTTAGAAACAGAAAGAATTTCTGAAGTGTGACTGTGAATTTTGCTGTACGAAGCTGGAAGGTGTCTGAACGTCTGACTGGGGTGGGCATCACTTTATACCTCACGTTGTAGCAGAGTCACGCACAGACGCAGCACATTATACACGACATGTTCGCGATAAGTGTTGAATGTCTAATCAGCATTTCAGCGTCATACACTATTGGCGATAGTGGCCTGAGAGGTCACAGGAACGAGCTTGCCTCTACGAATTGCTACCTTCTATTGTAGCATTATCGCCTGCTTAAGATATCGTTATGCGGCCTATTGGACGGAGACTATAGTTTGAGCCATCGTCCCTCCTTTCTGGGAAAGGCACAATCGTCTGATCTGCGCTATCTATTGCCTCCAAGAGTACACTATGACAATGTTCTTTAACCACAGCATAACCAAAGACAAGCGATCAAATTTTGCTTCCATGAGCTCAGCCGTGGGGACATTTATCCAGCGAACCCCTGATATCCATCAACACCAATATCAGATCGGCGAGCAGTTCAAGCGTACGAGTAGCAGGTCTCGTCTCGGATCTGTTTGAGGAACGGAAGGAGCGCTGTAACCCCCTGTTCCCCGCGCAGCAACTTCACTGTCCTCGTGACTCAATTCTGCGGTAGTAAGACCTCCATAACGAGGTTTCGAGTTGATATGTACTTGGCATGGCTCGCAAGCTCCCTGCCACCTCCTCGCATTACGATTACTGTTCGCGTCCTGGAGAAGGATGTAGCGATTTGTGATCTGCAGGTGTATATCTCGGAATCTCACCAAAGCAGCGATACAAGCATTATATGAGTTGATAAGCTGTTCGTGATCTCGGTTCATCTCGACAAAGGCTCGAATATTGGCAACCTTGGCGAAGCGGATTAGGAATCGGCGGTGAGGACCAGACATGTAGTCCCGCATGCTTGCCACAAACTCAGACTCTTCCTCGTGGGTCGAATCAGTGAACCGTTTCCCTGCATGGATCTTGGTGGGGTGATGTCTGACACCCAAAGCGAGGTCAATGAGTTGGATCAGACTCGACTGGGCATTCGATCCTCCAGCAAATCGAACTGGTTGCATTGGATGTGTTCCATTATCAAAGTTTACGCCATTGGGGAGTTTTTGACTTCCCCTGCTACCGGCGAGAAACACACGGATCTTGTTGTAGGAGAAGTGTGGGTCGCAGTTGTCATACATGCGCTGTGTCAACGCTCGAGAAGACATATAAGCTGAGCAGCAACCGCATTGACTTCGTTCCCTTGCGCATAATGAACTGCATCCAAAATGACCCTGACTAGTGGATCACCCCTAGCCTCGATAGCTACCGAGACGAGGTAGAACCAGCTCTCATCGATCGCACCCGTGAAGGTTATCTGAGTTGAGAGGTTATCAATACGATAAAGCGGTTTAATGTCCTGTGCAACTGTATAATTTCACAGTACTAATCCAGCATAGGTCACAACGGGAGGCAGTTCCAGTGACTTGCAGATCAACAAGAGCGGGCTCGATACTGATTCCGGGATAACCTAGAGTATGAGTCAGTCGCAGGATTTAAATGATTTCTTCTGCATCATACCTCTGCCGGCTCTTCACCTCCCCAAATGTATGCATGGTAAATGAAGCCCAGCATCGAGTATGCTTTTCTTCGCTGCGATATTGTCTCGAGACGCTCACAGCTCAGGACCGGAATCCCGTCAACGACGTTTCGTATTCGATTGTCCATGATCAAATTTTGTAAGTCCTGAGTAACGCGGATCCATGGCTGGTAGTATGGGTGCAAATCGGACTCGCAAGATACAACTTCGGGCAGAAACCCGGTTCTAGGCGACACATTGTACGCCTCAGGTATAGGTAGCCCAATATCAGAAGCCATTTTGGCTTAGGAATTGGGAACAATCGCATATGAAAGATCTGCTAGTAAGATATGACAAGAGAAGATGCTTAAGAGATAGAAAATTGTTAATGTACAGAATGACACGCAAGAACTGCGTTTGATCATGGCGATTCCCTCAGTATATTTTTTATCATACAGGGATTATCTAATTACTGTTGTACCTTTCTTAGCCAATAAATTACTCCTGATTCTCTTAACAGTAGGCTATTTGATTTCTTATAGCACGCGGTCTCCTATTTAGATATTAATTGGATTATCACATAACCTTGTATAACTTAAGAGTAAAAACATAGTCTTTGGGAGATTAACAATGCATTAGTATAATTATTACCCAGTCCAGCGACAACTTACTTTGTAAATTTCTAAACCGACCCACCCAAACATACTCAATTTGAACGTCAATACAGACCCACTTATAAACACTTTTTAAGACCCACTTCTTGAACACTACTCTGGACCCACTTAATATAAATACTGTTAAGACCCACTAGAAAAAGCTTGTTAAGGATCCACTTATTACAAACAATGTGATCTATGGAATACAGCTTAGTGATTACAGTTTAGCTCTAGTTAACCCTTGATAATTCTAACACAGTCATGTGGTTATTCCCATATTAGGAATTCTTTGGGATACAGTGACAGACTACTTTGACATAAGCAAGAGATTTGTTAGGCCGAACATCTATAATGATGAAGGCACCACTCCATACTCGACTACTGATTTAGGTATAACCAACCTGATTCTGAGTTCTGAACAGACCCACCTGCATCCTCAAATACTTAGCCTGAGAGCCGCATATTGCCATAGAGTACATCTCTTACGTCATTAAACCTTGACCATCTTCCAGCGAAAAGAACACGCGCCCTTGGATGATGATTATGGCAGGGCATGCGACCTGCCACCAACTACAGTCCCTGTACCTTCTGTCCCTTCGGCTATGAGGTCTCTCCAATATTCCAAAATGACCTTTCATTTGTGAGCTGCCTATGAATTTGTTGAAACTGTGATTATACTAGATGTGACTGCGTTCATTCTCTATCCTAAGAGGTAACTAGTCGAACAAAAACTAAGCATGAGGAAAAAAAGGAAAAGAGCACGCTCAGCTGCGAGCAGAGATCTCTTTTGTATGTGTGCGTACGGCTCTCATCGGAGCCTAATCGGGAAATTGTGAAGGCAAAGAGATATCCCGATTTGGAACTCCCTAGAGCTTAGGGCTCCGACGAGGAGCCAACGCGATAGATCTGCCAGGCCCGTCACACTAGACTTAACTGTGCTTCAATAGGCTGCTTAAACTGCTCTATGATGATCATTTCGTACATGACCATCTAAACATTATGAGCAAGTTTTCGATGGATAGATTTTATGGTAAGGAAAAGGTTTGAGCTTGCTGGAAATCAAAGTGTGTAAGAGCACTATATGTAAAACCACCAAAGCAGTGTAAAAGTAGGGTTTCAATGCTTAGTATCGGAAACTTCGGTCAAACTACCGTCGAGTATATCTCGGATAGCTATTAACAGGTCGAAGTTAATATGCTTCTAAGTACGAAACGCTTCTTGAAAGCAAAGTCTTAACAAAATGGTGAATATCCGGTTCGATAGAACGCATACTTAATTCATTGGCTGTGGATTTTTGATTCTTCTGACAATCTCTTTTTTAATCAGCTGCCTGATATTAGCTATCTGTGCCTTGGGTTTGTCTTCTTCTTTGACATGAGACGAGTCGATTGTGCAGAATAGTGTATTAGCGAATGTAGGAGGCACTAGAGGGCCTAATTGTGTACCCTGTTGGTAACCAGATTGGCTATTAGTTATATCTATGAATGATGGCTGTGATTTGGTCTGCATAAGAGCTGCGTTGATTGGCATCTTCGCAATAGTATCCAGCTGCTCCCGGGGTTGCTTGCAATCTTCTGCAGATTGGCTTTAGATTGCTTCCATTTAGGCTTGCAGCCCCTTGATCAAGTCATTTTGTTTCTAGATAATTTTCTCTTGTTTACCGAGCATTTCTTTCAAACTTTTGATTTCCTGATAAGTGCCCTCTAAGTACTAGCACATCTTTCTAAATATCTCTTGGTTTTTGTCTAGGGCGCATTGTCTTTCCTCAAACAGGCTAGCAGCCTTCCTCACTGTAGTTGGCTTTGCTTTGGTCGTTGTCTTCCTAGTTGCAGTAGTGGCGTTGGTGTTGTCAGCGCTTTCTAGAGCTTCTCGGACCCTTGTTGACGGTACTACGACGCGTCCTACACGCGTCGTTACGGCCGGATCTCCCTCCATCTCGCCTCCAGCACTCTTCGTCTCCAACCCAGTTACCCAGGTATCTCTGCTTTAATCGCGCGGATCGTATTTTTCCTAAGGGCCGCTATCTGTGTTGCACCCAGATTCCGTTCTGGAGGCTGAGGTTCCTTGATTAATTCGGAACTCCATGATCTATGGGCTGCACATGAGAAGAAGAAAAGGCGTCAAAAATCTAAGCAGCAGATATCTAATGAGCAAGGAATTCGTACAGAGGAAGCTCAGGCACTTATACAAGGTCAGATTGAGGTATCTCAAGCTGTTACTACTACTCCAGCCGAGCCCCAGCTTCCAGTCTCTCATCCACCTGTACGGCGTCAATTTCGCTGCGGTGGCTTTGCATTGAAGGACATAGAATAACTACATATCCTAATCGTACTAGTAATTAATTTTTTGTATATAATTTGTATGTGGGTTAGAAACTGAGATTTGGATTCGAGATTGTGTACGCGTTTGGGAAAAAATGCCACTTCGCTTACAATGCCGCTTCACTTAACTTACCGATCGCGTTACATGATATATTTCCTTTCGTTGCCAAGCCTGTTATTATGATCAGGATCCTGCATCTGCCTTCTAGTTACCGGGCTATATTAATTCATCCCTTTTCCTAACTAGGTTTAATGCATTATGGTTTCACTCTGAAACTGAAAATTGAAAGTGACTAGTCCCAGAATGCAATTCAATGATTCCATAATCAACGTCCCTAATCTAACTACTTCAGACAGCTTCACTTTTATCCCTGGTGAAAGCTTATACCTGCGGTTTCTCCATTGATTGAAATGTGAACGCAGTTAGATATTTGGAATTAGGTTCTCGCAACACCGCCCATGCAGTAATGACTTACTCAATTTTCAGGTATAAATACACCTTCCTACCTTCTATTCTAACTCCATCAAAAGTATTTCATATCCAAAATATTCATTGATCACGAAATCTTCGAAGCGGCTGCTATTTTTCTATTCTTCCAACGTTTTCAATTTGCACATTTCTCTGTTTCCGGACATTCTTCGATATGCTCGTCTCTTTTAAGTCATGCATAACAAATGCATTACTGGTGCTATTAGCTACAGCTCATCCCCTAGATGCTGGACATCGATCATGTGAAGCGCCTTCTGGAGCTAAGGCAATCTATTTTCTCACAAATGAGCATTCAAACTCGGTAGTTGCGATTGCGGTGGGCGCCAATGGTACTCTGTCAGGTGGCGTGAAAGTAGCCACCGGAGGAAATGGTGGTAGTACTGTTAATTCCACAGGTGGCTCTAACGGTCCGGACGCTCTGGGATCACAGTCTGCGTTGACAGTTGTGGATAATGTAAGTATAGGTTCCGATCTCCAACGCATTGGATACCAGATGACTTACATTTCTGATCTTGTAGTATTTATTTGCTGTCAATCCTGGGTCGAATACTCTGAGCATGATGAAGATTGCAAGCACAGATGCAACAGACTTGAAGCTTATTGGCAAGCCAGTCGCTGTATCGGGTCAGTTTCCTGTGACTGTTGCTGCTTCAAGCAAGAATCGTCTAGTGTGTGTAGGCACAACTGGTGCCCAGGCCGCTATTTCTTGCGCTTCCTATACATCAAAAGGTTTAGGTAGCATGAGCACCAGGGCAGTATTTGACCTGAATCAGACAACGCCCCCATCTGGACCCTTAAATGGTGTTGCACACACTTTCTTCTCTGCAGACGAGACCCGCCTATTCACAACGGTGAAAGGTGACCCTACCTCTAACAAAACTGGCTTTGTGTCTGTGCTACCGATCGAGAACCCGAGTGCTAAGGATACACGGAGTTCTCCTAACGGTACGGCTGTACTTTTCGGCGCAAGTGTCTTACCCGGAACCTCCAATATTTTTGTGACAGATGCTTCCTTCGGGGCTGGAATTTTCCACGTCAATCCATCCACAAACGACGTTTCGTTAGTGTCCAAAGCAGCCATCCAAGATCAGAAAGCAACCTGCTGGGCTGCGTTTTCTAAGCAAAGAGGAAGCGTTTTCGTGTCCGATGTCGCAAATAATCATCTTGTTGAAATGAGTGCAGTGGATTCTCATATCATATCAACCGTCAATCTCGACAATGGCGACCCTGGACTAATTGATCTTAAAGTCTCCGGTCGCTTCGTTTACGCGCTCTCTCCGGGAAATGGTACCACCCCTGCAGCTGTGACTGTTGTGGACTCTTCAGTGGGAAAGCAGATTCAACATTTCCATGTCAGTCAGTTGGGCGCTGGTAAAAGCTCACAGGGCATGGCCGTCTTAGAATAGGCCAACATGAGCCGCAAGGAGATCACTTATAGTCATGAAATCCCCAATCATCCCTTCAGAGATGCCGTTCAGAGATAAGCATGGGGTGGAAATCTGATTGCACAGGACAACGAGATTCCAATTGATATGAATATGTAAGAGAACTTGTTTGGCGACCTCAGGAGCAGTATGAGGTCTCGGTAGTACTCAGCAGGTTTGAGTTTCATGTCTTTGTTATTCTCATAGTCAATACACTCTCATTAAATAACCCGTATTTGCCTACCCTTTAGGCAGGCATAGTCTGGTAGCGTTGGTTTGAACATTATCTCCCAAGAACTCATTTTTGAAGGTCTATAGAATCATACAAAACAAGTAGCGGGCAAACGCAATCGTAGCGGATAACCTTTGCGATAGCTCCTATGTTCACGGTTCGCTAACGTCGGGTATGTGAAGGGTATGACACAGTCGCGTTCCCTGGACCATTGTCAGTCCGCTTGCACTCCCCTATATCATGACCAGGCAGGATGTCACAGCAGCTGGTCGAGCCAGTACGTAATGGCTGGCCAATCCAGCCTATGCAATCTGCAGATATAATATCGAATATTGATCGTTACCTAGATTCAGGCCCCGAGATGTGGTCCCATAGTATAATAGAAGATGGGGATCCTGACTGGGTTTTAAAATAGTAGAAAGCAAATATCTTCAACTATCCCCTAATGTCAAAAGCTGTATGAGATTATTTTCCTATTCTATCTGCTGAAGTAGGTGTCGGAGAGACTATTTAGCAACGCATGAGATGTTCTGGATATTCGGAGACACTGCCTGAATTCTAAGACGCTTGGATAGCTGATGTTCCTTAAGGGGCAATATAGTAAAGAATGCTGGGACTCAGCATAAAAATGCTTAGGAAATAGACTTTTCTTATCGATTTTAGCAGGTTTGCTGTTTGTATATAGTTTTTCTGTAGCTATTTTATATATGATCTTAGGAGCAAGTTGAAACTTCAGACGCCTCTCTCGTCCTTTGTGAATATGAATATGAATATTATTCATATTCGTTTCGGAGCTTTAGTCGCAAGAGCTGACCGGCTTCTTGTAGATTGAGTTGAGATTGAATCCACAGTTATCGAGGGTGCAAGAAGCGATGAATCCACTTTAGAACCCATATTTGTATGATACACAATATAAAGAGGGAGAAATTAAAGCACGTAGATTATTGAGATGAAAGGCCCGACAGATGATGATGATGATTTATTACGCCCGGAGGGGCTAACCTATACTGTACCGTAGGGGCACTAGCGCTAGATATATCCAATTCGTGTGTTTCTGACCTGTCCTCCTACAAGCCCCTGCTTCGACGTATTTATTTTGGTATCTAAAGTTAAGGCCTCCTTGACCCGTGGTTCCCAACATCTTATGTATTAAAAAAGAATTAATAGACTGGGCCGATTATTGTCAATAATTATCGATAGGCAACTTATCGATGACAAGCCTGAGACTGGCTTAAAAGCAGTCTTCTTTATAGGGCTGTTGACGATAATGCCGATATGCCGATATTGTAACAACGTTACGAGGGTCATATTTACTTGGAGGTTTTCCTCTCCACTACAGAGTATAGCGCAAATCCTGGGAAGAGATGTAACAGATAGAATGGAAACCATCAACGCTTACGCGGTGTCACCTTGGACAGATCGACTGCATATGAGAGGGGACTATGATAGAGAGAAGGCCATGAGAATCGCCAACAGTGCAGAAGGTATCCTAATCGCTACTAGCTCGTCCGCCAAGGGTGACATGGTAGGCATGGGAGGAAGTATTAATGAGAGGAAGTATTAATGATATCTAGGTCAACAGTGCGGATGATGCACTGACTAGCTACACGGCGACGCTATTAAGTCGAACAGAATAGAACCTGTACACAGCTGAGCTAGAAGCAATAGCTGCAGGATTAAAACTTATTCTACCATGGATCTTCAATAGGTAAGTGACCATCCTCAGCAGCAATCAATCAGCATTAGCTGCTATTGGATAACCACATCAACAATCTAGCCAAAGCATGATTCAACAGATATATACAATGGCCTAGCTTCTTTAGGGATGGGAAAATGTAGTCAGCTTACTTTAGATCCTAGCAGATACTAATTCTGCACTAAGATTGAAGGCAAAGATGGCTGCTCAAAGATCAATAAGAGAGAAATATGAACCAGATAAACAATTGTACCAGGCTAAATTAACCGCAGTAAGACTTACTATCACTAAACAACAATATAAGAAAGCCCTTCCAGATAGAGTGGGTAAATACTCAAAGATTGTTGACTTAGCATTGCTAGGAAAGTACACTAGTAGCCTATATAATAAGCTGAAGCAGAAACAAGCTGTGGTTCTGGCCTAACTTCAGATAGGAATGACTGGGCTTAATAGTTACCTGAATAGGATAGGAGCCACAGAGTTAGACCTTTACATTTATAGCTAGGCAAGCAAAACTGTAGAGCACTTCCTATTCCGCTGCACAAAGTAGGTAGAAATGAGAGAAGGTATGCTGTAGTGTATAGAAAACAAAAGAGAGAGTCTGTCATTCTATCTTGGAGGAAAGGCATGGTCTGATCCCAAGCAATGGCAACTAGATATCAAAGCAGTACAAACAACAATCAGATATGCAATATCAATAGGAAGACTCAACATAGAATAGGAACAAGAACCAAGTCAATCATAGCAAAGCCAGCATTAACTAACTATTCCCACACTCACATATGATAGACACCGCTGCAGTTGCCGAGGATGGACGCTACACACTTAAAGAAGGCAGCCTTTAAGCTGGTCTATCAATTCTTTTTAACACACAAGATGTTGGGAACCATAGGGCAAGGAGGCCTTAACTTCAGATACTAAGATAAACACGTCGAAGCAGGAAAAGCAGAAGCTTGTAGGAGGAGAGGTCGGAAACACATGAATTGTATATATCTAGCGCACTAGTGCCCTAACTTATAGGGTTAGTCCCTCCGGGCGTAATAAATCATCATCAACACTCATCTCGACGACTAGATAAACCTCGAGTGCGTCGCTCAATGACCGCCGGCCGTGTGCATCCCTATTTTTCTCTACCTCTATAATTTTGTGCATCCATAGCCCTCACTAGCGGCCCATGAGCCGTCTCACAGCTGAAAAATTAATTTTTGACTGTGCTAATGGACCGTGCCATTGTTGCATTTGATGTTTCTTCTCTCTCCATTCACTCCTAATTAACGTTTCAGAGAGTACACCCGCAAGACAGAGTCTCAGGATTTGAGTAAGCTTATCCTACGGAAGAAAAATTATTTATCTGTTGGCTGCTTCGTGCAATCGAGATGCCTGGCACTGGTACGCAGCAAGGAGAGGTCACGTGTGGCTTACACGTGACCTCGTCAAGCAAGGACTATATAACACCGCATCGGTGCCTCATTGAGAGATAGAGACAGAACCGAAGAATTACCTATTGAAATTGACTCTATTGCTTTGTACGTACGTACTTGCACCTTAGTGCACCCACATTATCTATAATTGTAGGGAGCGATCCTATCATCACTTCATGTAGAACAAGAAAAAAAAAAAACAACAACTCGATCACACACATCGCGTCCAGATGTTTGGTTTATTACTTATTCAAAATTCGTCGCAATATCAATACCATGCTGCAAGGAAGTCTATGACTTGATCAAAAGACTGTGGCAGGTCATTTCTCCGGGCTGCTCAATGCCCATGGCAGCCAGAATCGTAGGGGCAACGTCTCCGAGAACACCACCTTCTTTCTTCAGGCTCCAGCCTTCAGGGGCGTTGGCCATGACGAAGGGGACTTTGTTTGTGGTGTGAGAGGTTTTGGGTTTGCGCTGCTCGTTGAGCATTTCTTCGGCATTACTGTGGGACGTTAGTGTGATAGGTATAGAATGTATATGGTATTGGACTTACCCATGGTCAGCAGTGATAAAAAGAATGTAACCATGCTTCTTGCAAGCTTCATAGATATGGCCAATAGCCCTATCAGTCTCGGCCACACCCTGAATAGCAGCTTCATATACACCGGTATGTCCAACCATATCGGGAGGCGCAAAGTTGTTCATGACAAACTCAAATTTGTTCTCTCCAAGACGCTCAACGACTTTCTCTCCAACAGCCCAAGCGCTCATCTTAGGCTCCAAGTCATAAGTGGCAACCCGGGGGGAAGGGATCATGTCACGCTCTTCGCCGGGGAATTGCTTCTCAATTCCGCCGTTGAAGAAGAATGTGACATGTGCGTATTTCTCGGTTTCGGCGATGTGGCTTTGAGTCACGTTTTTCTTTCCAAGCCATTCGGCGAGGACGTTGCCCATGTGTTGGGGAGGGAAGGCGATGGGGAATGTATAGTCGGTTTTGTATTGGGTCATGGTGGTGATGTGGATATCCTTGGGGTAAGGGAAGTCGGGGTTCGGGGAGCGGTCGTAGCCTCCTAGCAACTGGGTAATTTCGCGGACACGGTCCGATCGGTAGTTGAAGAAGAAAAGAGTGTCGTTATCTGTCGCAGATTAGTCTATCTTCCTCCTAACTTGTGGGTTGTGGATAAACATACCCTGGACTCGGTTCTCCTTGCCGCCAACGATGATGGGTTTCAAGAATTCATCATTTTCGCCCTTGGCGTAGCGCTCTTCAATGGTCTTGACAAGATCGCTGCTATCCTCTCCTTCTCCGGTGACAATACCCTTCATAGCAATCTCAACACGATCCCAGCGCTTATCACGGTCCATAGCATAGTAACGACCGACAACAGTGCCAACTTCACCAATACCGAGTTCCTTGGTCTTGTCCAACAATTCCTGCATATATTTCGTGCTGCTCTTGGGGTCTGTATCACGACCATCACCAAAGAAGTGAATGATAACCTTTGGCACACCAATATCCTTGGCGACCTGAAGGAGACCGTACAAATGCTGGTTCTTCGAGTGAACACCACCATCGGAGACCAAGCCTAGCAAGTGAAGACGTCCATTGCCATCCTTTGCCCGCTGGAACGATTTGCGAATGTTCTCGATTTCGCCCAGTTTGCCGTTCTTCAAGGTTTGGTCGATGCGCACGCTGTCCTGCCAGACGACACGACCGGCACCGATGTTGAGATGGCCGACTTCACTGTTTCCCATAAGACCTTCAGGAAGGCCGACGGCCAGAGAGGATGCTTCTAGCTCTGTGTATCCTTGCGCAACCTTTGCATTGGGGTCCGCAAAAGATGACATGACGGGTGTCTCTGCCGCGGCGATCGCATCTCCCTCTGGAGGAGAGTTGGGGCCAGGAATACCCCAACCGTCAATTACGACTATGATAGAACACGGCGTTAGCTTCTAGAAGTTCGGTTGGGTACATTGGAGAACGACAGGCAGCTGAATGAATGGATAAAAACATACTCAATGCGACTTTTTGGTCTACCTTTGCCATGGCGGGGTGATGTATGGTAAATCAAAGCGACCAAAATCTATATTCTAAAATGTGAATATTGACCACGACTATTGAAGACAATAGAATTGACGATCACTCAATTGACAGACGTATTCAAGAAAAGATTAAGAAGGAAAAGAAGTTGTAGAGGGGTGACCGAGGGGCATCCAGACCGAAGCCCGTTTGGGAAGCGGTGCGGGATCACCGACGTCAGATGGTGGCCTCAGGCTCACTTTTCATACCAGGAGATTGTTTTCTTTTGAGCAACACGTTGTTTGTATCTTGCAACTTACGACTTACACCTGATTGCATCTTAACTACGACGTGTTAACGTTACTTTGGTTCCACAGGCATCCGATCTCACCCACCTGTGTTACTACCTCGTCGTAACAGTCAGTCCACCGCCGTCCACCGAATGCGCAAGCAGTAAACAGTGAAATCCAAGAAACTACAATCTCGATCCACAACAACCTTTCCCGTCTTTATTTTACCAACTCCTCAATATTCCGACTCACTTCTCGCTCATCCCAAGGCAACAAATAACCATGGCCTCCAGATCCCCGGTTTCTGCCGTATCGCAACAGCAAAAGATCTCGTCTACGCCCGACGTAGCTCCAGGCACAGTTCCGACATCTCCCCAACCAACGTCAACTGCAGCACAACAAGTAACAACAGGAGCAGTCCCATTTCCGTCGCCACAGACATTCGATTTCCTACCGCCATTACACGCGCTAATACTACGTTTACTATCATCGACGAATACATCTTCTGCTGCTGCTGCTGCTGTTGCAAGTCAATCCACCATTGCCGGTGGGACTACCTCGGGAGCAGCAAGTCAAAGCCAAAGCCAAAGCCAAAGCCAAACCGAAGCCGGCTCACAATCACAAACACAACCAAAACAACCCCAGTCTCAACAGCAGAAACCCCAACCATCGCAAGAAGTCACTAACACCGCAACACCGTCGTCATCTCTCCCACCACTAGAAGCAAAGGACCTCTTCACAGCCGCGAGCGCAATCCGAATACGTATTCAAAAAGCGCGCGCCGTGGTGGACAATCTGCCGGACGTAGATCGGACTACGGAAGAGCAGGAAGATGAGATCGAGGAGTTGCAGGAACGCATTGCAGCTCTGAAAGGTGTTATTGCTGATTTTGGGCGGAGAGCCGCGGGCGTTCAACATACCATTGAGGGGGATGATAGAATGGATGTCGGTGTTTGATCGTGACGAGTGCTTCCGTCTAAGGATCAAAAAGAATTACGACAGTATGCGATTATATCGCTCAGGAAGCTAACATTGCGCTTTCCCAGAGAATAGACGGCATGTCCTTTTCGCTTTGTGAATACAATCATTAAGAGTGCTCCGTTCTGTCACGGGATAATTCAATGCCACTCTACACCAAAGCTTCAAGAAGGAACAACCGTCATATTCATCTATCACATCAATGATCTGACCCGTCTCAAAAAGAACACACAAAACCCCGCAAACCAATTGCGCCGGATGCAGTCTAAACTTGTTGAAGAGAGATGCCATCCTAGCGTGTACATATACACAACATCAAAAATGATACCCAAGGATATTGATAGACAAAAGAAAACAAGATCATTATCAGGTTTTACACCTTTTCCATTTCTCCCAGTGTTTGGACATGAAAATGTTAAATAAAAAGTCAAATAATCATCAGGTTGAGCTTTTTTCGTTCGTCAAGGAAACATCACACGCTATAAAGGAAAAGAAAATATCATCATAGTAACACAGAGCAACTTAAACTGGAAGAGGGAAAGTGCTGGCCCAGGCAGCAATCTCCTTGCGCAGACTAAGGATCTCAGGAATAGAATCGCTGGCGACCTTGGCCTTGAAATCTTTGAGCTTGTTAGCCTCCTTGGGCAAACCAGCCTGGGTCTCCTTGCTGATTTTGATGGCCTTGTCAATGTATCCAACAACGCGCTTGAAGTCCTCCTCGCCGAGACCACGGGTGGTCATGGCAGGGGCACCGACACGGATACCACCGGGGCTGAGAGCGGACTTGTCACCGGGGACGGCGTTCTTGTTGCAGGCAATGTTGATTTGTTCCAAGACAGCTTCGACACGAGCACCGTCAACACCGTTGGGGCGCAGGTCAACCAGGACCATGTGGCTGTCGGTACCATCGGCGACGAGCTTGTATCCGTATTCCTTGAAGGCAACCTCAAGAGCCTTGGCGTTCTTGATGACTTGTTCCTGGTATTGACGGAATTCAGGGGTAGCGGCTTGCTTGAGGGCAACTGCCAAAGCAGTGATGGTATGGTTGTGAGGACCACCCTGGTGACCGGGGAAAACGGAGAAGTTGATGGGACCTTCGAGATCGTAGAGGATCTCCTTGCCGGTCTTGGGGTCGGTGCTGCGGACGCCCTTACGGAAGAAGATCATAGCACCACGGGGCCCACGGAGAGACTTGTGGGTGGTCGTGGTGACGACATCGGCGTATTCGAAGGGTGAGGGAATGACACCGGCGGCAATCAAACCGGAGATATGAGCCATATCGACAACCAAGTAGGCACCAACAGAGTCGGCAATCTTACGCATACGAGCATAGTCGATGAGACGGCAGTAGGCGGAAGTACCAGCAACGAGAATCTTGGGGCGGTACAATTGAGCGTTGGCCTCCAAGGTATCATAGTCAATGATACCGGTCTCGGCGTTGACACGATATGGGAAGGTCTCGAAGTAGGTGGAAACAGCGGAAATCCTATAATTCATTAGTCTCTTAAGTCTCTCAAATTCAGACTTCTTGAACATACTTTCGCTGAGGAGTCTGGTATCCGTGACTCAAGTGACCACCATGAGGAAGATCAAGACCCATCAAACGGTCATGAGGCTTCATCAAAGCCTGGTAAACCTGCAAGTTGGCAGGACTTCCAGAAAGAGTCTGAACATTGACACCCCACTTCTCAGGGTCGAGGTTGAAGGCCTTCAAAGCACGGGCCTGGCAAGTCAACTCAACGGCATCAATGTGTTGGTTACCGCCGTAGTAGCGAGCACCGGGGTAACCCTCGGAGTATTTATTGGACATTGGCGTGCCGAGGGCATCGTAGACAGCGCGAGAAGTAACGTTCTCAGAGGCGATGAGAAGAATGGACTCGCGTTGACGTTGGATTTCTTTTTTCTATAGTACAAACAATGAGTCACTGTTCGCCACTCGATGCGCATATTGAGACTCTGAAGGTGTTTGTTTAACTTACAATGATCTCAGCAATCTCAGGATCAAAGTCCGCAAGGTGAACTTCCATCAACTATATTCAGAAATTGTCAGTCAATTGCTCTATCAAAATCAGCTCAACCACCAGCACTACATACCTCCTTGTGGGAGTCGGACAAAGCGTAGGTAGCCATTACGTCAGAGATTATTTGCACGTATTGGTTCAATGAATTCAACTGATGACAAGAAATAGTTGATTAAGAGAAAATTGAAGAGAAAAGAGAAAAGATTCAGTGAAAGAAGAATCACGAGGTCCTCAAAAGCTTAAGTAGGAATTTTTCGTTCTTTTCTTGGATGAAAATGCATTGTTCCTACTGGAGGAAAGCACGTCAGGCAAAAAATGAGCACCGGTGACTTATGGCTGGGTATTGTATTTACTGTGTTTTTATTACATACACAGATATTATCGCATATATAAGAGGGTGTATTAGGTAAATTACATACGATACACACGGGACCATACAGCAGAGACAGCTGTTTTCGGAGTCCGACAGCTTTTTTCCGGACCAGAAGGAAAAGTTGCTCGATTCATTCGTTGCCCGTAGAATTCCATTATCGTTTCTGTGTCGCTTCTCTAGATAATCGTTCCCCTCGGTGTCCAATGCATACCAGAGAAGATTAATTATTGCTACTTCGATTCGTCCCAAGAAGAGCAGTGAAATAGCCAATTTACTGACGGTATTGAAAAGTATTTTTTATCAGCCCCGCTGGCCGATAAACCCCCGCCAAAGCTTCATATCGGGAATAGCGCGGATTCTGGTCGACGACATCGGAGCTCTCAATACCCTAACCCTTGACAGTTAACTACGGTATGATTCAATGCGAGTTGCCTATTCAACCTGTGTATCTCCATGGAAGTAGCAGAAAGGTTTATCATATCATCAAGAACCCGCAGCAAGGCAATATGCAGTCTAATTAGATAAATGTTCGTTCGTGAAATGTTCCAGGTGGTATATCAGTGTACATGCAGTATGAACTAGGAAAGTAAAAAGCGACATGACAAAATAAGTAGCCATAAACATCATAAAATAGTTAGTATTAAGAAAAATCATTAATCGTCACTGTCCGAGTTCGACGGCTCACTATTTAGCGAATGTCGGTGAAGACGCCGGAGAAGAAGTGGAATCCTTCTGACGGGACGAATTATTCTCGTTCTTGAGGAGCTCTGGATCAGCGTACTCATCCACAAAGGTCCATGATTCTTCTTCTTCCATGTCTTCCGGTTCTTCGCCTTCTTCAGCCGTATGGTTCTCATCCGTTGCTGTCGCGGGACTATGTGGTGTAATGGATAAGGAAGCGCGTTGGTGGGTTAGGGTTCTAGCATATTCTAGGTCTCGATAGATTGCTTGAATGGCGTTGGCGACTCCATTTTCCTGCGCTAAAAGTCAATTTACGGTCATCCATGGATGAAAGAAAATAAACTTACCATACGAATCTGCTCTCCAAGAAGCTTAGCTTTCAAGATCATCCGCTCGCTATGCGTTGCTTCCCATAAAGCCCTCGAGAAAACACCAACGTTGAGTTTCTTCATGCAGATACCAACTCCCAAGTCTTCAATCCGTGATCCAAAGAAGAATTGGTCTCCAAAAAAAGGTTTGACAATAGTCGGAACACCAGCACGAAGACTAGCTCCAGTGGTACCAGCGCCTCCATGATGCACAGCCGCATCAATCTGTGTGAAAAGCCAATCATGCGGTGCTGATTGAATCTGATGGATTTCGGCAGGAAGAGGAACCTCGGAACGAGTACTCTTTGGATCGCCCAGACGATCTGACCAGCCCTTGGACAAGATGCAACGAATGTCCGCTTTTTGCACCGATTCGACTACTGTCCGAGTCAAAGCAGCAGGGTCTGAAACAACTATCGATCCAAAGCCGATGTAAACAATCTTCTTGCCGTCTTCACGAGCCTTTATAATAAAATCGGTAAGCTCCGTTGGAGGAGTCCAGTTCGACGCTTCGTTCAAAAACCAGTAACCCGTAACTCGGATCCAGTCCGGATAATCCAGTGGTGGTGGAACGACCGATGGTGAATAATTGTATAAGAATGGCACTTTATTCGCTTGCATCTTATCAAGAGTTGTTCCTCGAAGCCCCAATTCCAACTTTCGCCATCTATTTACCTGGCCGGATATCGCCCGCCAAAACACATTATCAAACATCACGTATGTAATATAATTGTAAGCACCGCCCATTTTGTGCTCAGGAACAGCAAAGGCATGAGGATAAGCTCGTGTACGTGACCATGGCATAGTGAAGGCGCGGAAATATGGAATTCGAAGAGCCTCAGCAATATGAATTCCTGCCATTGCACTTGGGGATTCGATCAAAACATCACTGTCTTGGCATGCACTCCACGCCGAAGTCAAAAGATCGTCAATCCATCCACGGAACTTGGAAGAAGCTTCCTTCAAGAAAGAGTAAGTGAACATCCCGTTTTCGACACATATCCTCATGAGTTCCGCCGGGTCACCCTCTACAGGCGCAAAATCAATACCATGCTTACGGACCCATGGCTCAAATTCAGCATGCGTTGCAATCCTCGGCCGGTGACCCTCTTCAAGTAACCCTTTACATAGACCGATGTAGGGTTGAACATCACCTCGAGAGCCAATAGTCAAACACGTAATTCGTAATGACTCTTTCGGCTTGAAATTCACAATTGAGGCGCGGGGATCGTCAAATATCGGATGCACCTCTTGCGAGTCCTCTATCAGGGGTCCCTGCATGGCTTCCTGCAGTAATTGCTGTTCAGCCTTTGCAGCATCCGCTTCGTCCTTGTCCTTTTGCGCTAAGATGCTAGATTGAGCAAGAAACCGTACTGACTCAAGCCTATGATGTAGAGTCACTGCACAATCATCACGAGAGTCTGCAGTGTTGAATTCGAAGAAAAGTTCCTCATGACCGCGAATAATAAGGACAAGACCTTGATAGCCGAAACGAAACCCTTTCTCCTTCTCGACATTCTCAATATCTTTGATAGGAAGAATCATTTTTGTCCTGGTCCCAGGCAGCAAACTCCTAAAGCAGAATTTGCTGCTACCTATATAGATTTTACCATAAAGAGGCAGGACCCGATGAAGATACCCATAATATGTTGCCTGGAGCTTCTCAGTCGGCGGGAGTGCGAAGTGTGCACGAAAACGATCACCATAAGAACCACTTGTTTCTGCATCCTCGCCATCCATGAATTGTTCCAAAGCCGGATCTTCACCCTCGGCATAATGCTTCCCTCCCCCAATCCACATACCAGAAACTTTCTCGATGTATCCCATAGACTCAGTAGCTAGAAGGTTGCTCATCTGCCGAGACCTGCTTTTCAGGTATTCTGCAAACCCAGCTGCTCGTTGTAATGGGTAGGTTCCAGCTTTCACAAGTTCGTGAATTGTTGGAGCTGAGGTTACATATGTTTTGCGTTCGATCGAAGCATCTTGTTCTGGTTTTTTAGGTGTCTCTTGGCCCGTTTTCTTGATTGGTTCAGTAGAAGGGCTTATGACGGGATTTTCAAACGATACGCCATCGAGGGAAGTATTAGGATGAAAACTATGAATCGTAGGTGAATTGAAAACATCATCACGGGTCAAGATTTGACTAGCAGTAACGATGGTTTCCGAGTGTGATTGCAGACTAAGTGAAGAATCCGTCCCATGGCCCATGGACTGAACGAATGAATCAGATTCCTGGTGTTGGTCAGAAGTCTCGCTCTTTTGAGCTGAGCCTGATTCAATTTTGGCTTTCTGGGTTTCCGATGCCGAAGAATCTGCTCTTTGACGGTAGCTTTCACCAACCACCTGATTCAACACCTGCGTAGCGGCGGGGTCTTGGGCTATCCTTCGTGCTGCCGTGTCATTTATTAAGCCCTTGAGAACCTCATATGCGTCTTGTCCGAAGTTGAAGAATGAGAAGAAATGCTTCTACACGTCAGCGGATGATTCATTACAACATAAGCGAAAACATACCTCATCAATTGCATATGTCTCGTATATGTCCACCACTCGAATTTTGAATGTCTGAGCCAAGTCCATCATAGGGCTTTCCTCTATATCTATGACATCCTCCAATGGCAGGGATATCTTCACCCTGCCTCCTTCATTTTGTGAACGGAAGATAACTTTCTGTAAAGCTTTCACCCACTCGTTCGCGCTGGATGCACTGTCCGCCCTGAAGTAATAGGTCCGATGATCCGTAGTCACAGTAAAATCTCGAGTGTCTTTACCCTTCTCCCTGTCTGCAAGCGATGCGCTGATCCCATATCGCAAATCAATATGACCGCTTGGGAAGTATAACTTTGAGGGGTCTGCATAGTATGAAAACACATCGCCCTTCAGGGAGAACCAGTAACGCTTATATCTCGGATTTTTGCGACCGCGTTTACCCAATTGACCAGATTTAACAGTCACATTTGACTTCTGCGGAAGATAGGCGTAGAAACAGATATGTCCTTCGGTAATATACATGTACCCTTGAAGTGCGACGTTTTGCATAAGCCAGCACGGATACTCTCCAATGACCGGTTCCGGGTTCTCGAAGCCAAATATCTCCTTCAATCGTATAGGCAGTAGGACTTTTGACTTTTGCTCGTCACTTTGTTTATCGTCGGTCTGCTTTTCTGCCTGAGTATGTTCTTCAGTCGATAGTGCTTCCGGGTCGAACCGGGTCTGGGCTTCTATCATCCGACTTAACACCGGTGCTGTTCGAGGAGTCGTCTTTTTGGTTTCTTGCGCTGGCGTATGGGATTCATCCTGTTGGCTCTGAACTGGTATGGCAAACTGATCAGACTTACTCTCTTTATCATTCTGCTTTGGAGCTAAGCCTGGGATCGATCGTATTAACCTGTTGCCCGAACCAGTTCTCCGATGAGTGTTTACAGAGCTTGTAGATGGCTTCCTGGAAGGCCGTGCGTCTTGTCCAGCCTCCTCCGGTATAGCCTGCGCCGATGAAAGTTCTTTGCCAGTCTTCTGTGATAATTTCCCCACAAACCGCCGGTGTAATGGCTCAGTTCGCTTCTTCCCTTCCGAATCATCGCCGTCACTATCACTAGATTCATCAAATCGAGAATGAAAATCGGATCTAGAGCCGGCAGCCGCAATCAAGGAGAACACTGATTGTTGCATGTAAGGTATGTCTCGACCGCTAAGATTTTTGGGAGGCGCGGTGAAGTCTTCCTGCTCATCATCGTTGTTCTTGAGACGGTCCGGTACATTGTTCGATGATAGACGATGGAGAGATTTGGATAGCGAGCGGATCCTGTGGGAAACCCGCTTCTTCTCAGGGTTGTCGGAGGATGCCATCTTCGATAGACGAATGCTAAAACGAGCGACTTTGAATAGGAGTTGTATGTGATTGTGAAATCGACCGCCTTAAGTACTAAATTGAACTTATTCGTGTTACAAGGCAAGCTTCGCGATGCCTAGTTCGATCTGACTTACGGGCAGAAGATAGATCTGATCACATCAAATAGTCGAAAGGGTGCAAACATCCCTTTGTTCCGAGAACTAACAAAAAATAATGGAATAATTAGCGACTGTTTTGGGTAGGTGGACGATGGGCTACCTACAAGTTACTTAACTGTCCCATGCAGTGTCTAGGCAAGGACCATCCACGATCCCGAACGACAATCAGCCAGCCGCTGTTGTCACGAGTATGGAAGCCATGATGCACGCTAGTTCAGTGGGTTCTCAGTTAGAAGCAATATATAGGCGCCCTTCTTTGGAATAGTAAAAATATCTTTTTTCGACAGGTGCTGTTCGATGTGTTGTCGAGCAGTGAGATGTAACTAACTAATGCCGGATGCACATGACAGTCAAGTGTTCAGGCGGAAGGCATCGACCAATCAGGAGTGATACATGTGATGGTACAGATCAGCCTTGCCAATCACATGCTTACTTTCTGCTTATGTCAGCAATCGATAAGAACCGTTGCCTTGAGCGCTGACGTAGCATATAAGGAGTAGTTAGAACCTGGCTATAACTAACAGATGCTTAGGATTTAGAGATGAAGATCACCTGGGCACTCTAAAATAATAATCTATTTTAGTATCGATAAATAGGATTATAGGATGCTCTTCGGTTCCATATTAAAATGATCCAAGCTGGGATCAGTGGAAATATGGAGCGACCGTCCTTTCCAAGGTTCGTTATAGCCAGTTATACTGTAATGAATTATTCATTATAGGTCAAGGCACTCATCTTATAGACAAGAGAGAAAAAAAAATATAATTACAACTCCCTATTGCGCTGCCCAGCCCAGCCACTCCAGTTCACAGGCTTCCCCAGCTGCAGTTTATCCTGCCATTCATTCGTCATGAGTCCAGCCACATTCATACCCATAAGAGAGCTAGTTTCCATAGTTGAAATAAAGCTTTCGATACCACCAGTGTACCAGATGTTGCTCGCCAGTCTGATTTTTTCGAATGTTACACGCGGATATTCATATGGATAAGGATGCCACGTCTTCTCATGAACCCAAGAAACATCCTTTCTCGAAATGTCGCCGATTGTGCCGTTCTGATTAGCTTCAGGTATTTCCACTCCAAGGACAGAAGCTAAAAACCCGGCTGTTGGCCTCTCCGGTGAAAACACCTTGTAGACATAGTGCTGCTGGTGTGGGCCCTCTGCAGGCGCCTCGACTATTCGCAACAAACTGATACTCCAAAAGCTTGTGGGGCCAACCCCGTCTTCGCGGGATCCCAGGTCAAGTCCTTTGGGTAGCGTCGTTAATATCATGTCTGGGACATCTTTCTGTTTTGATAGATTGAAGTATTGTGGAGAAATTCGGTGAGGTGAGGCGAACAGCGTCACGTAGAGTTTGACATATGGGACTTTGTCAGGAATGCTCTCGAGCGATGGCGACAACTCAATATTGCTATACTGGAATGGGGCTGCAATCACGATATCATCAAATGTACTGCTTGAGATGCTACTACCATTGATTGAATAAGAGAGTGTCAAAGTCTCGTCGCTGTTCACTTCAATGGCTGTCACCGTAGAGTTCAACCTAATGTCCGCGCGAGAAGAGTCCAGCATTCCCGAAAAGATACGCCAATTGCCATCCTCAATTGCGACAGCTCCATCAGTTGCCATACAGACCATAGTCTCGAGACCATGAATAAGACCAAGATTCTGCCCGTAGTTCACTCTAGTGCTCGACTGGATAATTTCATTCGAGAAAGATTTCGAGATACCGTTCGTTTCCAGAAACTGAGCACCAGTTACCGCAGTAGCCTGGAGAAGATCAAGGGCTTGCACAGCCGATGATAATGACGAGAATGGAAAGTATGGCGGTTTGTACATCTCCAGAAACTTGTTTACTGTATTCTTCATGAGGCTTTGGATGCGAATCGGAGCCAGCCCGTATCGCCAAAGGAGCTTCGCCATTTCCCACCAACTCAATGAATGGCCTTGCGTGTAGACAAAGCTGTCGCCGTCCCAAATACCGAGCATTTTGTCACTATCTTTTGGTCGATCGCCCCCGGCACTCGAAATTTTGAGGCCCAACTCTTTTGCAGCATCCATCAAGTTGTGGTTTATTGAGACAAAAATTGACGCTCCCAGTTCCACTGGATAGGAAGGGTTATCAAAGACATCAACAGTGGTCGACCTGCCTCCAATATAGGTTTCTCGCTCAAATACAGTGATGTTGGGTGGTACTCCTGATAGTTCTGCAAACTTTCGTAAATAGTAGGCAGTCGAAGCTCCTGCAGATCCAGCACCTAGCAAAGTATTAGCACATAGCTTCAAGACGTCGGGGGACCATCTGATGATTTACCAATGATTGCGACATTGCGCGATGCCGTATTATATTTTGATTTCAACGGTGCCTGTTCCTTCGCATCCGCGCCAAGCGCACATACGCATAGAAGCAGCAGCAGAACCCCATACAAGAAGCCCCGAAGGGAATGCATCTTGTTTATCTTCTTTGCAGTGCGCAATTGAACTAGATGTGCTGAAAAGAGAAGAAGTCTAATCTATGCTGAAGAAGATATGAGAGATTGCTCATCAGCAGGGAAACCGTTGTGAAGCAGGAAAGTAAACTATGACGAGCGACACATCCCCGGAAGCAATATGTGCCTCAATAGGCTCCGGTCAATAAACCTCTCAATAAATGAGGAGATGAGCAATGCCTGCGTGGATGTTGAATGCAAATCTAACAGGCTATTGAACGGAGCGTAATATAGAAACGCCTTTGATTCGAAAAGCAGAATTCGTATATTATGATGCTTAGCTCGATGACCTAGGCCAGCTGAGGTTATTGCTAAGGGAGCTGAGAAGACGTGGGTAACTGATAGCGGGCACTAAGCCTTATCGGACGGGTGGGGCTAAATAGTTATCCATCATCGATCATCGACATTTTTTTCTCTTTTTGATGAATAGTTGGGGAGAACAAAATTTCACGAACTCTTCACGCGTATTGTTGTGTCTTCGGCGGACAGTCAAGCTGATATTAGGCGACATCATTCATCACCAATAATTCTGAAACAAAGTGCTATGGATCCATACGATAGCGACTCGTCGGGTTTGGAGGATGCGGGGGATTACACAGAGACTGGAGTGTTACTGGGTTACGCGAGTACAGAGCAAACCGATGATACAATCAGTCATCTAGGCGGATGGCCGGTAAGCTCGAAGATATCTCTCAATGGCTTTATGAAGAGGCTTTCAGGCTAATTGTTCAACTTTGTGTGTTCAAGACATGGCTCGATAAAAATACCCCTCCTCCCGGCGACTTGGCCAAATGCAAAGTTTGCAACAACCCAATGCTCTTACTGCTACAGTTGAATGGCGATCTACCAGAACGATTCTCAAATGATGAACGCTGGCTATATATATTTGGATGTCCTCGAAAAGCTTGCAGTCGCAAGCAAGGAAGTATTAGGGCTTTACGAGGGATTCGAAAGATGAAGGGCCAGTCTGAGATACAAAAGAAGGAAGACAGCACATCAAATGGAGTTAGCACCGGTGCGACGCCTGCTCCAAAACAAGATCTTGGATCTGCACTTTTTGGCGCGCCGTCACAAGGTGGTGGTCTATCATCGAACTCGAATCCTTTTTCCACATCTTCATCCCCTGCAGCGCAAAATAACAACCCATTCGCACCACTACCACCTGTATCCACATTGGCCGCGAAACCGCCACAAAACCCAGCACTTAATTTTCCGGAAACATTCGCCGCAAAAGCGCGGATATCAACACCTGAGACACTCTCAGAACCTGTAACTGCAGGTCCAGTTCTCCCGTGGCCCGATAAATCGGTTTTCCCAGCTCCCTATACAGAATATTACCTGGATGCCGATTACGAAACACTTTCTCGTCCCTCGACTCCTACAATACCGACAAATACAACCGTGGAGAATGTCGAAGAAGAATCAGGGGGTACTGCTGATGTCAAAGATGCTTTCGAGTCATCAATGGATAAGGATTTCCTTCGTTTCTCCACCCGCTTAGCACATAACCCAGAACAAGTGTTGCGATATGAATTCTCAGGTACTCCACTATTATACAGCGGCACAGATGCTGTCGCAAAGGCTTTCCCCTCGCATCAAACCCAGGGACGGGGGGTACAAGTAGCTCCAAATGCCGGTACGAATAATCGTATCCCGCGCTGCCCATCATGTGGAAGGGAACGTGTATTTGAGCTACAGCTTGTCCCGCATGCTATCACAGTTCTTGAAGATGGGCGTGAGGGCATTGGTCTTGGTAAGAATGATGCTGGAATGGAATGGGGCACAATCATTCTAGGTGTTTGTGCCGCCAACTGTGGGACAGTCAAGGAAGGGGATCTGGTTTGGAAAGAGGAGTGGGTTGGTGTGCAATGGGAAGAAACGAAATAAATTTTGAGATGAGAGACATTCTCACTATTCGGCGTTTTGATGCGGTCAATTTTGGCAGATTTTATTGTAGAAGACCATCCGACTAAAATGCTGTTCAACTTGAAATTATGTACATATATTATTGTGTCCTCGAGAGGGATTATGATCATGGTTTCATAGCTACAGTGCATCATTCTACTAAAGAGCCTGACTGTATGTCTCATTGCGAGACACGCAGTATGTGATAATACCCTCGAATGGCCTTGGCATGCCACATTCTTTGAGTCCCAAGTACAGTATCTAGATATGATAGATCTATGAGTGATTTAACAATTGAAAACAGTCTATGTATATACAAATCAAGGTTTTGGAGTGTGGCAAGAGTTGAGATGTGACAAAAGAACGCAACGAAGTACAGCTAACCCTAGCTGAACATGAATGAAACACCTGGGCAGTATAACCTCGGTAAGCCCAGGTGTAATCCACGAAGTCTCTGTAAAGGAACGTCTGATACATACCACTAAGTCCTCCCCAACAATCCCTGCTTGGTAGCCAATTTGGCAGCAATTACAACCAGCCCACCCAACAGACACATAGCACCACTGAACATAGACACTTCAAAAAACCCTCCATACTTACCCTCAATGGCCCCATTTATTGGAGGTCCTATCAAAGCACCCAAACCCGAAATCGCCATACCCATACCCATATAAGTACCAATATCTCGAGGATCTTGCGGACAAACCGAAAAGGCCGCAGATCCACCCGATATAATCGTACCAGAAGCGAATCCAAAGGCGACAGAGTACACGATCAAGCTGTCATTACTTTTTGCGCTATTCATGCAGAAAATGGCAACGCCGCTGGCCACACCTCCGATGGCAAACATGTTGATTCGGCCGTATTTGTCGGCAAGAACGCCGATGAGGATACGTCCGAATGTCGAGGCGGCGTTGATGATGGCGATTAAATAGCCGGATAGAGTTTTGCCCATACCCTGAGAGACCGCGTATGTTGGCAGGTAGAACAAAGGGGCAGTCATACCGACGAACATGAATAAAAATCCCAGGATCAGCATAAGGAATTTTATGTTTCTGTAGGTTGATGTAATCCAGAATTGAGAATCCCGTGGCGGCAAGCGTGCCCTGACTGTCACGCAGGCGAAGACCATAAATGGTAATATGATAAAGCCAACTATACGAACTGACCATCCAAAGCTGAGAGAGGTACCGTTTAGCAGCTTCGACAAGACAATAGGTATGATGACTCCACCAATGCTAGAACCCGCGACGGCCAACCCTAGGGCTGCGGCACGCTTTTTATGAAAGTATTGAGACACAGCTATTGGAGGAGACCCATCACTATGCCCATGAGAAGGCCCTGAACAATCATGAACTGCCAGTAAGTCTTACACAGACTCAAAATCATCATCGCAAAAACGTACACAATCGTTGCCGGACGGATGATCTAGATTACCCAAGACAGAATCAGCACATATCCGAATAAAGCCCTAAAGACTAAGAGGGGAAAACATACCTTTTCACCATATCGATCAAACATCGGCCCTGCAACCATACCAGAAAAGAACGGAAGGAATGATCCTAGGGAACCGATCCAGGAGACCTTGGAGGCAGATTCGCCGCGTAACTGGTGCGTAATATAGTATTCTTCAAATGTGCCAAAGGAATTGGAAAAGCCCAAAGTACTGAAGAAGATGGCAGCAGCACCTCCTGCAGCAAGCCATGCTCTAGTACCACCTTCAGGAGCGTCAAAGATAGCATTCTCATTTTCGTGCTCCGCTTCGGTAGTAGGGGGTGGATGTGTTTCTTCAGTATTGATTGAGGTTTCAACATCTCCTACTTCTTTCGCCATTGTCATTCACGAGAAGATCTAATCTGTATTTGGAGAAGTAGGAAATGCAAAAGTCATAAAATTTAGTAGACGAAATTGACAACGAAAAGCATCCTAAGAGCAGGAACATTTATAACCAAATTCAAGGAGTCAAATTAGGGCAAGGATGCGTCCGAAAGAGGAAAGGTGCAATCGGAGGTAGCTCAGAATCGGCTGACGAACTCGGAGAATGGCGAGCCTTACGGCACAAAAGTGCAGTTTCCGGATTTAACTAACTTACTGTGTATACCTTGATATGTAAGTATTTCTTTCCTCTTTTACCAAAACTGCAACTATCTGTTATAATCCAAGCCTGAATTTGTGTCTCCTCTCCGAGTTGCTCGCAAACTGCCGGTTCACGAAGGATAGCGTTCGGTCATGGCCGGAGCCGAAGGCCGGCGTAGACGGCCAGCTGTGTACTATCAATACTCATGATATCTTCCTTGATGATTTCGGGCTGATGATTGACGTCTTCTAGATCATGCATTCTATGTCGGAGGAGAAAGATAAGATGTAACCGCGAGACACCGTGCAGTAACTGCGTACGGTCCAGAAGTGCGACATGCATCTATGAGAATGTCTCATCTCCGAAATACAACATCGGTCAATCGCAGCAGAGTTTCTCCAGCCCAAATCACAAGTCAAGAAATTCGATCCCTTTTGATGGACAGTCTACCGCAAGCGGTTCGACATTTCCTAGCGATCAGTCCAGCTCACAGATTGACGGACCAGTGGGGCAATCGACAGATATAAACCAACTGTCGGTTCGCGGTGAAGAGTCAATGAGATTAAAACTTCGAATCAAAGAACTCGAAGAACAGTTGTCGAAGGCATCTCTTAAGCCAACTTCGAAACCTGTGGAGACCCCACGTTTGAGCATTGAAACGCTAGTTTCGCGCCTAGGGGGAACATATCATGTGCATTGCGAAAAGTTGGCTGGTCAGACCGAGACCATTGCGCGGGGCATCACCCATAAATCGCGATTATTTGGTCAAAGTCACTGGGAAGTCAATGTTATCCTCATGGTGTGTTGAATAGCTCCCAATATCCATTAAATTCAGGGCACGTTGCTGGGGAACGGACCATCTAACGAGTACAAGGTCCGCGATCTTTTCGAAACGATTGAAATTCACATACAAAAAGCAACACTGAAAGCTTGGCCCGGCATGGAAATGTGCAAGTCTTTAGCAAGAACCATCAAAGCCCTACGAGCTCCCCCATGGCCGTCACCACCTACCTTAGTCCTCCCCCCTAAGGAGACCTCTGACGCCCTACTTGACTGTTATCTTCAAACAAGTGAAGCGGTTCACCGAATACTGCATATTCCCACTTTTCTAAGGGACTATGAAGCATTCTGGGTTTCTGGCACGACGCCTGATATGGGCTTTCTAGTCCAGGTCAAACTTGTACTTGCCATAGGCACCCTTACTTACGACGACCGATTTTCGCTAAGAACATCGGCCATCCGTTGGATCTATGAAGCACAAACCTGGCTGTCAGAACCAAAGTTCAAGTCTCGACTGAATATCCAGTTCCTGCAGACCTATCTTCTCTTGCTGATTGCTCAAGCACAAGTGGGCGCCGGCGGAGACTCGATGTGGATTTCGGTTGGGGGACTTTTCAGAAAAGCCGTGCATATGGGCCTTCACAGAGACCCAATTCATTTACCCAAACGAACCATATTTGCGGCTGAAATGCGTAGAAGACTATGGAATACGATATTGGAACTCGCGTTACAGTCCAGTCTCTGTTCGGGCGGTCCCCCTTTCATATCACTCGACGACTTTGACACAGCACCTCCTGGGAATTTCGACGATGACCAACTTGTTGCTGGTGATCCCATCGCCAAAGCCGAGGATCAATTCACGCAGACTTCCATTGCAATAGCACTTCGTAAGACGTTTCCTATTCGTCTTGCCGTTGTCAGGTTCCTCAATGACCTTCCTGCTTCTGGCACATACGAGGAGACTCTCCGGCTCGACGCCCAGTTTCGCACTGCCTATAAAGATTTGAGTCGAACTTTACAAGCATGCAATAGGTCCTCATCACATCAGGCCTCAGCCTCAGCCTCTCTTTCCTCTCTACTATTCGGCATACGAGTAGTGGACATGATCATGCTTCGGTACCTATCATCTCTCCATCTCCCATATTACGGCGCAGCAATTCATCAAGCAACCTACGCCTATTCGCGCAAAGTCGTGGTTGATTCTTCGCTCAAAATTTGGCGTCTAGCATGTCCATCACCATCACCATCAACCGTGACGACGATGACAAAACCGCATCATGAGAAGGATGAGTCGCATAAGTTTAATGACACTCTGGCGCAGCTCACCATCACTAGCTCGGGTTTCTACCGCTTGGTAGCCATCCACGCAGCCTTTCTCATCTGTGTAGAACTCCGAGCACAATTACAAGAGGAAGAAAGTCTCGGCCCTGTTTCCGTACGCCCTGATTTATTATGTGTGATGCAAGAGTCGAAGATATGGACACTCAAGTCCATCGCAGCAGGCGAAACGAATATTAAAGGGCTTCTACTCATGTGCCTAATGACGGCACAGGTTAATGGGCTCATGAACGGTCTGGAAGCAGATGGTCTTGCTTTGGAAGTGGTGAAGGCTGCTGAATATGCTATTGAGACGTGTTTGCCGATGTTGGAAGAGATGGTGGCCGCTCAGAGGCGGGAGAGTGGTGGTACGGCGAGTGGGGATGAGTTTCAATGGTTGTCTTCTTTGGGTACGCCTCGTGAGATGGAGGATTGGAGTTTCATGGTAAGCTGCATGCATTTTATTTGTTGCGCCATTACTCATTGTAAAGATAGACGCCGGATGCTCTGTTCAGCTTGGGAGACGATGATCCGATGAGTTGGGTGTTGAAAGAGGGTATGGATACGACAGTGCCGTCACTCTGGTAGACTGTCACGAGAATATGCGTAATTTCCCTTCATAAAGCCGACTTCCTGAGGTCAATAACTATGTACAATATCTTGTGACCTATACAGTTAGGAATCTGTACAGGTGAACACAGCCCAGTTCGCCATATAGAAACATCAGTCAAGCTCGCTATCACTACTGATATAAACCTTCTTTCGAAGCCTCCACGTCCCATTCTCCGGCTTACCCTCATTCTGATGCAGAGCACTAGCATCATCAATAACCTTCAAATACGGCAATCTACTCGCCGCACGAACGCATTGTTGCAATCGTCGCAATTCTTCATTTTGTCCTTTTTGTGTTTCGTCATCATCCTTGCCGTGACCTTCTTCCTTATTCCTCTTCGTATAAGATAATTGTGTCATAATGAAATCTTGCTCGGCGTTGCGTGCTGCGTAATACTCCTCACTGAAAGCCCAGTCCGGGCTGTCTATCATGCCTCTCACGAGGACAAGGCTGTGTCCTTGATTGATTGCCTCCCGGATGGAAGAGCTAGGTATCGGGCTGATCAGTTCAAGTTTCTGTGAAGACACGTCGATTGAACGGACAAATGCGAGGCCTAGCGAGCGGGAGGCTTTGGGATCTAATGGGGTGCTACTGCCTGCGCCCCAGAAGAGATATGGAAGGCCGCTGTTTGGACAGCGGGTAATACTATTATTTAAGAGACTCTTCAGTTGTTGGTTGCTTTGAGGAATTACTGAATCGTCGACGTTGGAACCTCCGTTGTCGTCAATGAGGTCTTCATCTATAGCGTCAGTGGGCTCTTCTTCCGTGTGACTATCGCCGTCTCGTTTCGCTTCAGTTTCTGAGTAGCCCGGAATTGCACTGACATTTTCGACCGCAACGACGGCCACAACCGATCCGTCTATAATATCTCGTAGAACTTGTGGGCTATAACGGTTTCCTAGAACCATGATCCCAGATATCCCAGGCCGGGGACCTGAATAACTGACGGAGATGGCCTTGTTGTGTATAAGGGGTGAATCCGTCCACAACGGATCTGACAAACCCTCAGGCTGCGTCATGTGGAAGTATGACTGCATTTGCATTGATCGCAATTGGGCACTCGACCTTGTAACCAAATCAACCGGCTGAGAAGGTAAGGTGGTTAGAGTAACACTGGCTTCTGAAGCTGCGTGTCCCAATGGCTCAATGACCTCAGCAGGACCCTTTTCACTCATGTATACAACATCCGAAAGCGCTGTCGATCGTATAATCCAGGTAGCAACCTCTAACCCCAACCCGAATATCCAACCTGGAAAATTTATGATAAGAGGACATCGGGGATACATCGCAGATAGCATGCGATACTGATCAAAGAGATTCATTATGGCCAACGCATAGTTATCGGGATCTTCTTTCGGAGAAGTTGCTCCTATATGATGGCACCGAACAATCTTTCCATAACGTGAACTCTCCAAGTTCGGGTGAGAAAATGGTGGTCCGAAGCACGGCTCGCGAAGATGCGCAAGGTATATGTTTCCCATAGGCGCAAATTCTGGTTGTCCGGGGTCAAGGTCGAGGAAGGCAACTCCATTTAGATTATCAGAATTTCCGTCTGGCGCAGGCGTCAAAAGATGGTTCAGCAGGTAGCGCCCAAAAGTCGATTTCCCGGCACCTTTTGGGCCACATATCAAGGCCCGTAATGAATGTGCACGGCGCGAAACAGATTTGATCGTGGTGCTCCATTTTTTCTCCAAGTGAAGAGGACGCAACGGTCGATTCAGCGGATCATCCGATGATGTATATAGCTGTTCCACAGTAAGACGAGGGACCACTTATGTAAGAGTGGTAGAAACTTAGAACTCACTATCGAGAATGATCGCTTAAAGGATCCGTTAAGGGTTGTGCTGTCCCCGACAGTCTTACTACTATTCCAAATTCTTGAATAATGAGGCGATAGCGCTTTGAGTCCGTATAAATTGCTAGAGCAAGACTGGAGTTCAATCTCTGCAAAACCCTCAACACCGGATACACACTTGATGACAGGGAGTGAATGCGTAGATGGCGCATATACCCTATAAGTCTTTGTGGAAGGATGCAGTTTCGCGCCCATTAGGCTGATGACACCTCTCTTAACCCAAATATCGTAGATACCTATGAGAACCAGTGTCTATATCTGTATGTTAGATCATGTCTTTGCATGAGTTAGGAGAACTCCAATCATACCATCTTCTCTTTTAGTCGCACACATAGCATGTGTTCATCGCTATAGACAATATCGCTCTTCCGTACGCGATTTTTTGAAAGTGTGAAATTTTCAGAGATAGTAGATATCCGTGACGGAGTACCTTGGCTGCGCATTGTTAGCTCCTGGTCTAGACACAATAGATTGCTTGCTCTTACTTTGCATTGTCACGGAGATCTGTACCCTCCTCTTCTCCGACATGATCGTCGATTATTATTTCATCACTTCCACTCAAATCATCTTCTGCGGCATCGGCATTGCTCAATTCGAAAGCTAGGTCCTCCGAGATAGCTTTCACTGGAGCAGCCAGACGGCTTCCTTCCAAGCTTGTATGATTTGACGGCACATCTTGCAAGTGTCTCTCTGGACATGACCGCGCCTTTTTCGTCGGTGGCTCACTTTCTTGGTTCTCGCTTGGCGCGGTATCATGCGAGGAATCGGACTGTTGTAGTTGCTGCTGTTGGCGAGCTCGACGTGCAGCAACAGCACTAACAGCTGAGCGAGGGGCTGTAGGGAAAGCTGTGAGCCAGAAGTACGCAAATTTAGCAAATAAGAATTACTCACCAGAGTTCTGCTGCTTATCTGCTTTCCTCTTCATTGCTTATAAACTGCATTGGTGGTCAGATTTTATCAGTTGCGATAAAAAGTTGATAGCGGAATTTCTTCTAATCTCCGGTGGAGCTGCTGGTCCGTGCGTGTTTGCGGATAAAAAAAGTTGCCCGCAAGAATCTCCAAGTTCGAAGACTACATATTGCTCAACATTACTGTACACGATCAAAGCCACACTCTCTACTTTCAGGCGGTCTACACTACTATTCCCAGGTTTATCAAACTGCAATTTGCGTCAAATTTTGACTGGCCTCAGTCGCAATGGGGAAGAAACTGAGCGAAGAAGTCGTCGAGTCCGACAGTGACGAATCGATGCAAGATGCCCCCGAGACGACAGGCATGAACGAAAAGAAAGATTCAAAGGTATCTTTCAATCAAGTATCAACGAGTCCAAGCTCGGAATCTGAGAGCTCCGACGAATCAAGCTCCGAAACACAAAATAACAAGTATGTGCATGTTGCTTGTCAACTTGACATCTCACTAATGACTTCTTACTATGAAAAGTGCGGCATCATCGAACAGAAAGAAAACTTTTGTACCACCCGCCGGGTTTAGACCATCCAAATTGAAGACTCAACCGTCAGCAGCCGTATCATCAGCCCTCTCCAACCTTGAGGGTAAACAAGTGTTCCATATCTCAGCACCGTCATATTTACCATTATCGGAAATAAAACAAATAGACTTCGGTAAGGCGACGTCGGGAGAACCGATCTTGTCACATAAAGGCGTGGATTACGGTCTTATGGAAAACAGTCGACAACAGAAACAAGGCTTGGAGACGTTGCTGGTCTACGACGAGAAAACGAATACATTCTTACGGAAACCGGAATTGAGGAAAATTGAAAGCTACAATATACAGGAAATTGTGCGACTACCTGGATTGGATACATTAGTGCCGTCATCTACTCAACAAGATGCGGCCAAGAAACAACCCGGAGCACGACCACAGCCCAAGCATCTTAGAATGCGATTTCATCCCGTTGGAAGTTCAAATCATCCTCCAGAGACGGTGGGCTCTAGCTCCGAGTCGGAAGCTGACGAGCCTCCTACATTCCGCGTCCCACCGGGAAGCTCAAAGGAGAAAGAAGAGAAAGAACGCAAGAGAAAGACAGACGGGAAGCAAAATGGAACCGAGGAAAAGGCTAAAAAGTCCAAGAAAGAGAAGCAGCAACCATCATCTCAGGTAGAGGCAGAATCGGGGGGTCGGCGAGACAAGGAGAAGAAGTCATCCAAACACCGAGATGAGACGAGTCAAGAGCGAAGGGCTCGGAAAGAAGAAAAGAAGAAGCGCAAGGCTGAGAAGGGGAAGTAGTCATTTGACAAGTGTAACGGCTGGGAAAAGTTTATATAGGTAGTTTGTATGCGGTTCTTGTTAATATTTACAGCGCTGCTGGGATTTATGTTCGATTCTGAGGCGTATAATGATTGAAGACCCAATGCATTCCTTATGTATGTAAGCTTAAGTCCCTTATAAATAACGCCCTATACTGTATGGATTACCATTCATCAAGGAGCAAGTTCATCGAACCCGGAGGAGGGTTAGGGTTGTAGTGAGACAGAGTTAGTAATCAGACTAGGTGATAACTATATATGATTGGCTGTAAAGCTTCTCTCAACTGAAAGGGGATTACCGACGTTTAGGAAACGCTAAATCCGACATCATCGGCATCAAAACGCAACTATGAATGACGATGGAGGGTAAGAGGTATGCCACCTCGCGCAGAAAGGCGTGTCAGCACTGTTCAAGCGCCAAGGCTAAATGCGACCTGAGAGATGGAGGTTGCTCGAGGTGTGCGCGACGAAGTCTGTTTTGCGTTTATCCCAAGGGTTTGGGCTCGAGTGGTTCTCCTGCCTACGATCTGGATGGGAGCAGTCGAGCAGGTTTGGATAATTCGCAGGTATTTTCTTCTGCTAGACGAGACTTTCAGTCTGGAGGATCGGTAGCACAAGGTTCAATAGCGAATGTCAACGGTAGCCCGACAAACACCTCTCTTACGGCGTCCAGTGAAGGTCATACTCCAAACGCGTCTCTACTCAATATTAGAAGACATGTGGAGACACCCGAATTCACAGAATTGGACCTCGTCTGTCCTATCAATGTCGAGGACATAAGCAACCGCTGGATAAATTCCTACGTCCCTCTTCCAGGGCAGAAACGGAAGGATTATCCTGCTTCAGTCACGGCTTTTATGTATAGGATCCTCAACTCTTACGTAGCTGTTGCAGTACACGGTCGTGGACCTCCACCGTTCGTTCACTCTTCGCAGGTATTGCCTACATCGACTAAGCTGCCGCTATCAACATGTCTAAGTCTAGTCCGAATTTGCGAAAAACCACGACCAGGAAGTGAAATTGTCGCGGCAGATATGCTCCGCAGAGAGATGAATAATATCTACGAGCAACGCAGCGAGTACGATGACATGACTCTTCTTGCCGCTTTTCAGGCTTACATGATCTACTGCATGGCTCTGTTTTTCACACTCAACCAAACCTCCGATCCATTCCTCCGACAAGCAGTCATGAATCTTCAAGAACTTGCATGTGCAACTTGTCGACAGGGACTCGTCTGCACCGCTGAACAACAACATACACGACCGAAGTGGGAAGCATGGATTGTCGCTGAGTCAAAGAGACGCACGTTGTACGCAATGTATCTTCTCGACGGTCTACTCTCAACTCAGGACGGTCTTCCAACTTTTCTAGGTACGGAATTGTATGGTTTACCTGCGCCGTCAGCAGGGGTATTGTGGAAGGCTAGCACGCGCCAGGAATGGGAAAGGGGGTATAACATTCATCTTGCAGATTGGGTTGAGGCGAGTCTGTATATACATGAACTTTGGCCGATACCTCCAGATATGGATGATGATGGGGTTGTTGAGCGGCGTAGTCGGGTAGATCAGTGGTTGGAGAATGTTGATGAGTATGGGACTATGATGTATGCTGTTACGAATTGTACACATGGCGGTTGATGTGCTCTCGTGAATGCAGCCACTATGTATGATATTCATACAGGACAAAGGCCGAAAAGGGTCTACCTAGGTAAAAGGCCATCAATACCCCTCAGAGGGTCTTTGGACAAAATGAGTCGGCGTCTTTTGGGCTGATTCCTTGGTATTAACACCCACTACCCGCAGGCTATATAGTGAGAATGTTATGAGCTGACCTCATGACCATGTTTGGGCGAAGCCCTCACGGATATTGACATATAGAGTTTCGCTAGATTATTGTTCGGCAACCCCGAACATGAAGCTATTCCCAGATTACGAACGGACACCCAATATCCGGCCGAATATTGACAATAGCGCTCTCTGCCGATCCCCGGCAGCCCCGATAATCTCAACAACCCCGGACATGAGGCTATTCCTAGAGAGAAGCCCATTAGAAGCTCCCAATTCCCCTTGCCTATATAAGATTGTATGCGCGTGAAAAACTTGTTGTTTTCTTTCTCTTTCCTTTCCTCATGTTATGTTTTCTATTCAAATATGCCCTTATAGTGAGCATTAGGCGGGACTAGCCCGTAACAGAGAAGGTATGATATTTCTTTACATTTTCTGGCTCGGGCTGTTTACAACCACCAGTTCTCATCCGGACAATTATCAGCTACAAGAGCATGCAAGGGCTCCAATTCTGATCCCATTACTACTGCGATATCATTGACAAAAGGAATGGACATTACCTACTTTTTTCTCCGCTCTCGCTCACGTCTCACCTGAAGAAAAAGCTCCATCGGTCTTTGTGCGTGTATATGCATCTCTTGCGAAAAGCAACTTAGTCCTTGTATTATCAAAAGTACCAGCCATGACGCGGTCATTGAAACAGCTCGGTAGATATTCCAAGGTTGAAATTTGTCCTCCAGAAACATTGGCCGATCTGGCATATAGTATCCATGTTCTTGTGCATCAGATTGAAGGGTATGTACAGAGAACAAGGAATTGGCTTCGGGTATAATAAAATTATCTAAGGGATAGATAGGCCTTCGATAGAAGAACTGAGGGGAGGACAAATAGTTGAAATCGGCCGTGGTTAGTCCCTGCATGTTATCTAAGTTAGCCTCCTTGGTCGATTTTGCCAGGAGTAGCCCTAACCCTGAAAGCGATGCATACATTTTACGAACAGATACATCTACATCTTCTGAGAAGCAGCAGCATTAGATTTATAAGTATGTATCTTGGATTCCACGTGCTAGATGAACACAGTTAGGGGGTGTCGCTACCCAGGTATTATTTCTACCCGTCTCGTCGCTTCCCCCTACCTTTGACCAAGTGGTAGTTTGCCAGAGCATAACGTACAAAATACAAAAGATCTCAATCCTACATTTTCCAACGCCCAAAACACCACCAAATGACCGCTGAGGAATACAAAAAAAAGGAAATAATTGCCAAGGCTGTTAACGCGTATAAACGCGGAAAAATCAAAAATATATTGCGTTTAGCGCGTGAATTTGGAGTCTCGCGCTCAAAGCTATATCGACGAGTCAGTGGGACACCCTCTTGCTCAACACGGCCACCAACGAACAGATTATTATCGCTTGATCAAGAAAAGGCGCTTACTTCATGGGTTCAATATCTAGATAATATGGGAGCAGCGCCTACGGCCCTACAAATCGAGGAAAATGCGAATTGTTTGCTCCTCAAAGATTTCACTGGTCCGGGAACGCCACGGAGAGCTGCAAAGATTGGGTATACGAATATCTCAAACGTTTACCAAAAGAATATCAACGAATCGTCCAAAAACCTCAAGGAATTGAACGTACGGCTTCCGGGCATTATGGTTAGGTTGAACGGTGGTTTATTGATCTCAAACTGGTTATGGATGACCTCAAAATTACCCCCGCGAATCTTTACAACTTTGACGAGACTGCATTTATTGTTGGAAAGGGGAAAAAGGAGGCAGTGGCTACAGCATACCCAAAAACATCAAAAAGGATTTCTAGCCTGTCTTCTCGAGAGTCTTACTGTCGTTGAGTGTATAAACGCCGAAGGAAAGGTTATACCACCTTTGATTATCCCAAAGGGTGAAAAGCATATGGAGGAATGGTATAAGCATATAAAAGATGAGGATTAGCTTATTGCACCGGCTTCAAGTGGTATCATAACCGATGAGATCGCATTTGAATGGCTACAGCATTTTAATCGGTTTACAGACGATGGGAAGAGTTGGCGATTACTTATTATGGATAACCATACGACTCATCTCACTATACCGTTTCTGGAGTACTGCAAAATGTGTCGCATTCAAGCATTTACTTTTCCTCCACACTCAACACATCTTTTACAACCGCTCGATGGAATCCCGTTTCAACAATATAGACGTGTTCATGGACGAGTGGTGAATCAGGTGGCTCAGCTCGGCGGCTTCGGTTTTGATAAAAACGACTGTTTTGGCGAGCTACGTGAGATCCGTTTACAAACCTTTACAACACGAACAATCCGACATGGTTGGAAAGATCGAGGAATTTGGCCGTACAATCCTCGCGCTGCATTGGATAAAGGATGCAATTATTGATAATGGGAATACGTTAAAAATTTATGGCGATGCTGATGATACTATTCCCAGCTCGCCAACCATTAAATCGATCTCACCTTCATCCATTCAAAAACTTCGTCGCTACGTCAATATTATTGAGAAATCAATCGACCGTATAAAGGATATCTTGGATGAGGCAATCCCGGGTCTTGCACGCCGTATAGAAACATTTAATCAAGGCAGCTTCATAATGGCCGATTTGGGCGAGCTACACCGTGAGAGCTTTGCAAAGGTTCGCGATACAACAAAATGCAAGAATAAAAAAAGGCCAAGCGCCAGGTCAAAGCTGTTGATGCTCTTTATGTAAAGGATGCGAATCGCCTCATAAAACGCCGTCATGATGGGGATTTGCTGAAAATTCATAAACAATATGTTCTTGATGAGCGGCAGCCGGAGGAGGAAGAGGTTACAATAGAGCCTCAAAACTTGGGTTTTTCTTTTATTAACACTACAGGCAATAGGTCACTTGTGTATGGTATTATTAGTTTGTCTAGTTATTATATATAAAATATATGGCGTTGGTGGACTACAAAACATTTCACAAATATTGGTTGTCGATCTCATGGGTCACGATACGTGGAGACAGAAAATCACCACGAGCCTCAAAGCTCACTAATATCACTCTAGTCATCTCTAGGCTTGATAAGATATCTCTACGTTTGTTATGCAATAATTATCGTTTAGACATTTTTTGAAATTTGGAAGAAAGGGAAGTTTCCTTTTTTCAACTTTCCCAGACTCCAGTCTTATAACCCTATGGCAACGGTTCGATTGTTCTCACCAAGTTAGCTGGATTATGAGAGTTCATGGAGCAGATACGTTCCTTTTTCATAAGTAGTCTTTCCTGGCTTGCCTTCTTTCAGTCCACAATGCCAGTCCAGCACCCTATGACTCCGGTATCTTCGCTATCAATCCCGGGAGTGATTCCTGGAGAGTCGAATCAAAAATTCTGTCCTGAATCCCGCGATACTGATCTGTTTCAAATCGATCGAGTCGAAGTCCATCCAACACCTTCATTTGTGTAAGTGCCTATTTCTTGAATATTTTGGTACCTATGTACCTGCGTCTCGCCTTGGATCAAACAACCTTTTTGGGTGAAGAAGATCTTGATATCTATATCTATGGTAATCTCTTTGGAAAGTGCATTATCAACAGTCACGCTAACTAATAATTTCAGGAGTCTTCCTCTCAGATATCTCAGACGACCCAGTCTGGAATTGTATGCGCGAGAGAACTCGACTGATAATCCAGGAAGGTCCGGATCAACGCCTTTCTGCGGTTCGATGGATACCATTGAGCAGCCATATCCGGATCGCAAAAAGGACTGCCGACCACTGAAAGGGTTTGCAATTATGAGTCTTCATGCATATGTACTATGGTTTGTAGGCACAGTATGTTGAAATAACCCTTATTCCTTCTCTCCTCCACTCTGGATGTGTACGAACTAAATCTACAGAATAGGGCAATTCCACCGTGAAATTTGATGCAAAAATGAAGGAGGGAGAGAGGACTTGTTGTTTAGATAGGGAATTTGAGCTGAAATACCCAGAGGAAAACCACTAGTAGCGGAGGTTGGGAAATTTCTCAGCAGGTTCCATTAAATTTACGCAAACTTCAGTAGCTCCAAACAAGAGAATAGTTTCTTTGATTCGTTTCATCTTCACATATCTCATAATTCTAGATTTTTGGCCACGCTCCTCACTTGAGGTCTTTCACTTCCTAACAAGCTAGCAACCCCGTTAAAATCCGAGACTAGTCATAGTAATCAGAGAATCTGCTTTGCAATCACATTTATCAGAGGATTTGAATACATATTGCCTGATTTTTCCTGTGTTTCCATTCCTCGCAGTCTGACCACTCACATATGGCTTCTTTATCAGCAATATAAGCCTGAACCGTAGTCCCTGGTCAAATATCAACGTTGGAGCACTTACTAGAGTAGCATGGTTCGCCCCCACTAGACCATACAGCGCCGATATTTGGTATAAGTATAAACTAGGTAAAATGAAAAGGTCCAAAAGCATAGCCACAAAAGCAAACTATAACAAAACCGTATAATGTCCAGGCTTCCCTCACTCGCAGCAGTCAAGTTCAAGGGTGTTGTAACCATGATTCTCAAGAAATTGATGCTAAAGTAGGCATTCCTTAGTAGAGTGCTGTAACTTCCCCAGTAGTACGGCGGCTAAAGCAGGAATGATGTGATAGGAGAGGTTTTCAATGGCACAGATTTGAAATGATAGCCAATTGCTTCAACACATGTAACGACTCAACAGTATACACTTGAAATTAAACTTCCATAACTAGCACCACTATCAGGAGCTAGATCACTAATGCAAGCCCCTTTAACCGAGCTTTAAGCCAGTGGATAATGCTCAGAACGGTTGAAGGTGTCAAAGGGCTCCAAAAATACATCATATTTGGAATCCAACGCTCACTCAAAGCCCACAGTGTACTCGGATTGGGTTCCTGTATAGGTCTAGGAGTAGTATCAATTAGATGAGAAAATAGGAATACTACCCTACATTCGAGTTTATAAACAGTGGAACAATCTAGAATTTCTCTCGTACCTTTCGTCCCTATTGTAAGATTCATAGCTAGGCATCTCCTGAGGCTTTGGGACATGGACTGCAGTATAAATAGTACATACTTGTCCTGTCTTATATAGTACGCAAGCGGTCTTCGAGAATAAACGAGACAGGGACAGTTAGATCAAGAACCATGTGGAGATATCCCTTGAGTCTTTCTCTTTCCTTTCAATGTGTCTTCTCCCAAGATTTCGAGTGGACTGCATTAGGGGACTCGTATGCCTCGGGAGTAGGGGCGGGAAACTATATCAATGGATGGCGATGTCTGCGATATGATTCAGCTTATCCAGTATTGTTGAACGGAGACGCGAGCATGTCCCCATTGAACCACGTCTTTAACAACGTCGTATGCTCGGGAGCATCTACTGAGGAAGTCAAAGCCTAGTAGTTCTACGATGAAGAACAAGGGGGGCGAACCGAATTGGGAATAGTGTAGGAATCCTAGCTATTACATGGTTATTTTGGGGGAACTTTCTGATACAAATCAACATTACTGATTCTGACTAGACCTTCGCCCCAAGTTTGGAAATCCACAAAATGGCTACTTTGTCTGCTGGAGGTAATGATATTGATTTCAAAGGTATACTCTTCAATTGTATCCTCGAAACTACGGAATTTGGAGGAACCCCTACAAAGCCATGCGACCAGCAGAGACAGGATACTCATACTATCCTTCAAAGCCCAGACCTAATTAACAAGGCTGATCATCTCATTAAGAAGATTGACACCAAGGGTAGGTCTAGCACGATTGGTGATGACTTCAGAGTACACGTCACTGGCTTTCCAGAGTTTTCAACGAGGATGATCCCGGGGGTGTTGTGTTGATTTGGAATGTGGATGTCGCTCCTGGTAGAGAGATTCCGACTGAAGCCTGACTCGATTAAATTGCCGATCTGCTGGCACATAGTTCCACTGAGAATAGTCTTTGTTACGAATGAACTTTGTGAGCAATTCAATGGCAAATGGGTTGACAGACTATATAATTAAACTTCTCTAATACGGAGTACAAATGTTGCTTTATCAAACAAAAAGGTTATGTCGCTGGTCATATTGCAGTGTTATTTAACCTGCTCTGGATTGAATGAATCCTCTATGCTCCACTGGCCCTTCACGCTTCAGTTGACAAAAGTGTATCTGTGCTGATGTTTGTTAGCAATGTAAATGAAGATACTGTGTCCCGATAATTGACTCATCTCATTGAACCGATGGCTATCCCTAGTCTTAGTATTATGATCTATGCTTGTCTTCCGATACTCATATCGGCGGCAAGTTAGGGCTTGGTAGATCACACCCCTAAGGCACCAAGGCATCGGATTGCATGTTGGCCCCACCCGATCCAAGATTTCCAAAGTTGCAAATCCATCTGCATTTTTACTACGTAGTACTCTGTAAAACACCATGAACAGATGGCACATGCATCAGTAATATTCAGATTAATAATGGATACTACATTTTTCACTCCATTTTAATTTTTTAATAGAATTTCGGTGGTCGGGATCCATTCTCGGGGTGGATATGCTTCCACGATGCTTCCATGAAAGCTTCCATGGAGATTAGAGTGGATCCTTTTTTTTTTTCTTTTTCTTTTTTTGCTTCTTTTTTGCTTCTTTTTTGGGCTCTTCTAGGCTATGTAGTATTTCTACGCTTATGCTCGGCAATTCAGCGAGCGATCATGATATTAATATATTAGACGTATGCTTATCCATCCCACTGGTTGCGTTACTCATCATATTCGAGGCTACCGTAAGCAACATCTGATTCAATCGATGCACGATGAGTGAGTGGCGCATGAATTCTTGACTTGAACTCAGAATGCCCTACTCCGGATGTACTCCAGCCGCCACGCGACAGTCACCGATTGACGAATCGACAACCAACCCCATCTGCCCAGTGCCGAGGATGAGATGCTTTCCCCAACCGACAGCCCGAAGTCAATTACTCCGGACTTTTATTGAAATGGGTTGAAAAGCAAACGGCAGCAAACGGCAGCAAACGGAACAAGACGAAGATACAAAAGTTACCATCATAGACGCTAGGGAGTGGGAGTGGGCGGGCGGGTCGCTGAGTCGGATTGTCGGGATGCCTTCACATTGGTTGGCTCGCGAAAAAGAAAGGAAAGGGAGGAATGATAGTTCATTCTTGTGCGACGTAGATAGAGATAAGCATGTCTTCTTTTTTTAATTGACAAGTATCAACGTCAGGTCAGGTTAACAGGACAGAATAACAGGTTTACACAGAGGAGAGAGGATATAATTTGATGTTCTATCCGCAGGGATCTAGACAATAGACGGACGAGGCGTCCAATCAGAAATGCCGCAAAGGGGACTTACGCACTCCATGTATTTTTGGTATTGGGACTGTAACCGATGAGAATTGCCTAACAGAGTAAGTCTTCTTGTGACTGATCTCCACCACATCCTCGACACGGCTGTACAATGTGTCGACGGATGCCGCAGCAAGATCGGTAAATACGTAGATTTATCTTGATAGACCGAGACAGTAATAACTCGTCCAATATATATACATATCATGTGAACAACTGGTTGAACAGCCCGCGGAGAAGAGACGGCGCCAGGATCTGGGACGGTAACATCCCGTCCCGATCACTCAATCATAGATTAATTAAAATTGTTACAGAGTACAGAGTTACCATACATTGGTACCTAACTCCCTTATATCGTCAGTCTGCTCTGTAGAGAACAAAGATTGACCAAACACTCTGATCAAACTCTTTCTTTCATGGAGAACTGCATTGTTACATGTTTCAAGTTTCCCCGTTTCGTCTTGATAAACTATCGATAATCAACACGAACAGGCCAGCCCCATCGCGCAGGTCTCTGATTCGTGCATTCAATCCCGCCTCGACTCCTCCGTATACCGGCTGTGGTTCTTGTACTTACATAGCACTGGACCAAGATTGATAATAATCGTCTGCTCGCCTCTGTTTCTTCTCATTCTTACTTCCTCCTGACACGCTCAGCAGTGAACACCATCACCACCGTGGCGGCATTCTCGCCCAACCCTCCCTACCTAGCCAATCCATCATTTCGCCTCATTATTACCACAGTGTGTGTTCAGCTGGAGTCATCATCCCTTCAGTCCCCGCCGCCCTCGTCTTGTCTCCCCCGTCTTGTCTCCCCCGTCTTTTCTCGCCGACCCGAACTGCCCTAATTCTGATCCCTATTTCATATTCCTACATATCGCGCCGCTGGTTAATTTAAAGAATACGAGCCCATCAGCCGGGAGAAAAAAAAGCAATTTCGTCGACTATCTACTTCCCGTTTTACCGCTATTCCCCGTTCGACGATCTACTTACTACTTTAAAGCAGACGGGTTCCCAGCAGCCTGGGTCTGCCGCCACCTTGCCTATTGTAATAGCACATCAAGCCGGTAATATTTACACCCGACAGTATCTACATTCTACATCAGCAATACAGCACAGCTATTCCTGGATATCGCCATTATGTGTTCGAGGATGGTGGCCAGGCGTTGAATGAGGGGAGAAGAAGTGTTGAAGTATATGGTCTACTGATTGTATCGACCATGGATTTCATTGTATGTTATCACCCTTGGTGCTGTTTTCTTGGATCTCGTGTGTCGCGTCGCATCGCATCGTGTACCTGATTCAGTCACCGCCATGGTCATGTGCTCGCACTACATCGGGGAACACACAACTACCACATTAAAAGGACCTCGGCTGACCTGTATAGCTCTCCTTGACGCATTTTTGCGAAGTACACGGCCCTACCTCGATCCTCTGCTCCCAAGTTCTACCCTTTTCATGCACCCAGTGCCATCCCTCAGAGGCCGATGGCTCGGTCTCTCCCTCCGGTACCCCGTCTACCTCTCACGAGACCACGTCCTCAACGACTTCATCACTCCGAAACAAACTATCCTCCTCACTCACAGCAAGCATAAAATCAAATTCCGCCAATGCTTCCCAGAATATTGAGGACCATCCATATTTCTTGAAAGCGCAAAAGTCGCAATCGCAGATCCGGGTGGACCCGGCCTCTGAGCGTGTGAATCGCGTCGGCGGAGTCAACGGCGACACATGCGCTAGCTGTAGCATCTCTTTGCCTGAAGATGTCAGCAAGAAACTACCGGCCAGCTCATCAGGCCAATCCGACGGCGAGAACGGCCGAGGCGCAAAAAACAACAGCCCTGTATTAAGGTCCAGGGAAGTCGTGCATTCATGCGGCGGCGGTAACAGACACTCGGATATCTGTGTTGCTGAAGATGATGATGGTGCGCATGAGCACGATGCACAACATGCATCCCTACCGGACTCTGTCCACTCCGTTTCCGTCACATCTTCATCCTCCGATACCTCGTGTCACACTCACATCCTGACCTATCTTTCTCTTCACGGACCCCCTAATCCAGCTGACTACGCTCTGCTCCGACAATCGTCCATCCGCACCCTGAGCTGCGAATTGTTACCGCGCGGTCTTTCGTCCGGTCCCCTGTGTTTCGGTGACCCCGTGGCAGGTTACACAATCGCCTACGTATTCCGTCTACCCGACCCAATGGCGCGCGGAAAACGTCGTAGTTATGCATTAATCGCCCTGGCTGGGAAAGATGCTGGGCGCGCCTTCCGAGCTTCTCCGATCATCTGGCGCATCTTCCAGCGCATTGCCGCGGGTATTGTAACTGCTGCAGAGAAACACCAAGAGGAAGAAAAGATGAGAGAAGAGCAGGCATTCCGTGCATCTACTACCTCATCTACTACTGGGCGTCATGACTACACCCCTATTTCTTCCTTCTTGACGGGCCGCACATTAGACGCCAACGGCAATCCGCGGCGGGCGGGTCAGATTCGAGCTCGAAATCTAGCCGAGATTGTGGGCAATGAATATATTTTTGCTGAATTACATGCCCAGTTCGTGACCCTCCTCCAACAATTGGGGAATATGTTTGGCGGCGTCCCCATTTCCGACGAACGATTCGTGTGCAGCACTGTCTCTTCATCAGAGTCACCCGTGAGCCAGTCCCGTCGCACAAGCGTGGCCGTCCCTAAACAAGGGCACAGTAGACAGCCGAGCGAATTGGCATTGTCGAGTTTGAACATTTCGTCTGCTCCACAACCGATTCCGATCTCGCCTAGACGACCTATTGTTGCTTAAATTACTGGAACCCGACGACGGAGGAGATGTTCTGTTATTACAGATCTAATGAGTCCTTTTTTTTCTTTTCCCTCCCGTTTGTACATACATCCATGGACCGGAGTTGATACCTATAGACCGGGCGGTATTTTGTTCGTTGATTTTGACCATTTATGTTGATGGAAGCATATTCCGGAGTTGTGTACGATTATCTATGTTGTTTCTAGCGCGTCATTTCTGGCGTTTGTTTGATTATTTCATTCGATTAGGTATTGGTAATAAGACGTTATTGAATATCCTTCCTTCCTTCTTCCATCAAATACATGTAGTGAGTCAAAACCCCAAGAGAGAATTAATTAGAAACAAAATAATTAACACCCACAACATCCCCCAACTCCAACTCCTTCACCACCGCACCAACATCGAATCTTACCCTCTGCCTCATCCCCATCTGTTTCCTATCCTTGAGTTCTTTGGTTTGTTTATACAAGTAGAAAACATATCGATGCGCCGCCGCACCCGGAGGCGGATTCGCAGCTGCCCAGGGAGCGATTGGTTGCGCTTCGGATTTTAGTTCTGCGCCATTTGTCGACCTAAGGTCTGTCTGGATCCAGTGCGCGATTGGACTTAGGAAATTGAAGGTTATGAATGGGGCGTCGAGGTCGATTGCTATTACTGTATATGTTTCGTCGTTTGCTGGGGGGAGGGCTGAGGGTAGGCTGATGGTTGGTGTGGGTTTGGTGTCTATCCCATTTGTTTAGCAGCATCTCATGACTATAAGTTATGAGGATTGTTTGGGACGTACCAGCCTTGGGAATGTGATCCCCTGGATTTATGGATTTGTGTTGTGATCCGAGGCTCACGCCGACGGTGGGATATGTGCCGTCTTTGAGGGCTTGGAGGTTGGACTCGTGGGTTGATATGTCTGGCATTTTCTCTTCTCTGTCTTGGATTGTAGTTATTGATGAGAAGATATGTTTAATACTTTGTATATATCCTGCTTTTGTAATGTGATAGAAGGGTTTCCGGTTCCGGGGCGTATGGCCGGGACCGGCTTATATTATTGTAGGCTTATATCATAAGAGAAGGTTATCGACTGGATATATACAGGATATATCTGACGTGTGAAGTCAATTGTAGGCTGCGTTAGTTGGTTGTTTGATATGCTGACGTCTATGCCTGTAAAAGAGAAGATGTATACCGGAGAAATATACTCGATATATCAAATTAATCCGACAGCATCAGCCCCACCATGAATCCGAGCACACACCAAAATTACCTGATCGAATCGAATATCAACCTCATTTTTCGTGATTGACCATCTTCAGACCACCAACCTCACCTCTCACCCTTTTCCAATCCTTTTGCGATTTCCGAGAAAGGACAAAATGGTCACCGCATTCGATAAATGCGATACGCGACCAGCGCACATCGACGCCATCCTCAACGGTCTGGATCGATACAACCCCGAAACCACCACTGTGTTCCAGGACTACGTTGTGCAGCAATGCGAGGATAGAACGTTTGATTGTTATGCCAATTTGGCTTTATTGAAGCTGTACGTCTTTCCCTTCGTTTGGGTTCATATGACAATGAGAGGAGGGAAAGAGCTCGTCAAGTCTATGATGAATATTATTCTTTTTACCACGTTTCCTATTACCTGACATTCCGATGGAATATGGAGAGTTATATTAGCTCTAGCTGAGACTTGTTTCCTCTCATATAACTTTTCTCTGTTTATTGGCGATATCACCATACTAACAAGAAGAACAGCTACCAATTCAACCCCCACCTCCTCCAAACCGAAACAACAACCAACATTCTCGCAAAAGCGCTCACCGTCTTCCCCTCCCCAGCCTTTTCGCTCTCCCTCGCCCTCCTCCCCGCACATACCCAACCCTTTGGCCTCTCGGACGATAACGCCGCCCAATCCTCGGACTTTGTCGAATCAATTCAAAAACTGGCACATCTCAACACTTTACTCGAATCAGCACAATACGCCTTGTTCTGGTCGACTTTCAACTCTGATGATTTGTACGCTGATCTCGTGGCTGATGTAGCCGTATTCGAGGAGTTGGTTCGTGTGCGCATTGCGGTGGAAGTTGGGAAGACGTTCCGTGAAATCAGTGCGGATACGCTTGCGCAATGGTTCGATCTTAAGAGTCGCGAAGCTCTTCAGAAATTTGTTACCGATGTTTGTGGTTGGGTGGTGGAGGGTGATCTTGTTCGTGTTCCTAAGAACAGGGAGAACGAGGCTCGATCAGAGATTAAGAGTGAGAGGGTTGGAATGGATATGTTTGGGAGAGTTATTAGACGGGGTTTTGAGCAGCCTGCTTGATTTTTTTTTTTTTTGAGTTTAGATATGTTGTCACGGACTCACGGGTCGGATACTACTGACGATACCGTACCTATTAACTATGGGTTGACGAAAAGTGAGGACAGGCGTGGGCGTTTTGTTTTTGTTTATTGCATTTGACGGATAATACGATTTGATATCGGTCCATGTACTGTACTCAAGTAAATAAATCCTGGAGTATCAATTAACCATCCGGCTCCTCCTTGTCCTCATCATCCTTGCCCTCGGCCTTTTCCTTTCGTCTCTGCACCACATCCCAGTTATACACTCTTGCAGTCGCGACTTCAAGTGTCTAAAATCTCGTCAGTACGTAGGCATAAAAATATGTATGTAAGAAAAGGGGGAATACAGTAATCTGCTCCCTCAAAAACTCCAAATCCTCCTCACAATTCGCAAGACTCAACTCCGCCGCCGACAATTTCTCCGTTAACATCGTCTCAGCCTCCTCGATCGGATACGCAAGCATAACATTCGCCCCAAGCCACAGATAAACCTCCTCCGTATCCTTCGTCGATATCTTCGCCCGCGCATACAACGTATCATTTAACTCGAAATGCGTCTCAATCTCTTTCGCCCCTTCATCATCCTCATCCGACGCATTCTGCTGGTTCAATTTCAAAAATCGAACCATATCAAGCGTCTTTTTGATATCGGGAATCTTCTCTTTTAGACCTACACTTCGTCGTTGAGTGTTCATTTCCATAAATTGGTATTTGGAGATCATTTCTTGGAAGGACCGTAAAGTGGATTCGACTTCGGAGCGGTTGGAGACGTAGTCGTTTACGTTGTCGACGAAGGGGGCGTAGGGGATGCCGCGGGGGTTTGTCCTGTTCATTATTATAAGTAGTAAGTATATATATGTATTTTGCTTGTGGTGTGGTGAGGTGAGGTGGTGGTTACCCCTCGCCGGGTTTTTGGGCGGATGTCATGATATGAGCGAGTAGTGAGATGATCTCAGAATTAGTATCACTGAATAATCATGTCTCAGTCCCCCTGTTCTATAAAGGAAGAATTTTGTTATAAAAGAAGAATTGTGGTGTAGAGCTAGATGCGGAGAACTCGTTGTCCCCGCGGAAGATTTGAATTTGTTTGGTGGTGTTCTCGTTCCGTCTAGCTTCATTGGACAAGCTGCTTACATAGTATGTAGTTACATGACGTCTTACCACCTCCTCATTTCTCCTCCTCGAATCAGACAGACATCTTCAAGATCAATAGAGATGGTCCTCCTCACCACAACACAGACAATAATTACAGCTCTACAAGATCTCTCACCATCTGCCCGAACTGAACTGCATCTCCCAGAACCAATACCTTCGACCGGCGCACCAATTTCACACAAACAATTGATTTCACTGAGTAAAGCGTTCACCACCGACTCAGACTCCTTAAACGCAAACAATGAATATACACTCAACTCCCTCCTTCGAGGGACAAAGGTGTATATACCTCCTCCACCAGCAAAACCAGAACCTGTACCCTTCCCCTCCCTTTCGCATATTAGCGGCTTGTACTAATGATAGACAGTCACCAGAATACCTCGCCCTCAAAGCGCGTCTCCAAGCCCTCGCCGACGAACAAGCATACAACGCTTTAATTGCGCCTTCTTCAGTCCATACCACTTACAAACCATCCCCCATATTCTCCGGCATCCCTTCCACCGATACAATCGACAAAGCTGAAGAAGATGATATGATCACCCCTTCCCTCGTAATCAACATCTTCATGTCCGTCCTCCTCTGCGGCTTTGCCACGTTCTGGGCCCTGAAGAATTTCCAAACTCCTTCGTTTCTGAGTTGGATTCTACTATCCAGTCCTTCTGGAAAAAAGACTACGTCGACGGCGGCAAGTAAAGACCCCGTCTTTGTGCTGGTTTCAATGTTTGTCGGGATATTGGTTGGTGTTGCGGAAACGGTGGTTTATGCTGCTTATTTGAGAAAGGTGAAATATGCCAAGGAGACGGAGAAGAGGATTAAGGAAACGAAGGAGGTTGTTTCGTCGGAGGTTTTGGATGAGTCGAAACATGATGATCATGGTAAAGAGGAGGTTAAAATATGGGGGAAGGGTGTTAATGGGGGAGTGAGGAGGAGGGTTAGGGAGAGATGGGAGAATGCTAATGAGGATTCTAGGCCTGAATGTCAACAGAATTAAGAATAAGGTAAGGTATATGCTATGCCGCTAAGATGAATACTATATACATGCAATAAACCGGTTTTCCTCGACAAATGAAACGACAATCAGCTCATTAAACAGTCCTCTTTTCCAAGAGCAACTTTCCCTGAGGCACCCGACTAAACCCTTCACTACGCGAGTACACCTTCGTCCCTCGCAACCACGTCTCCTTGACCATTCCCTTCAACGTCCGACCCTGATACGGCGAACACTTATTCCTGAACAACATCGTACTCGGCTCAACGACCCATTCTGCCGAATCATCAAATACGCAAATATCAGCATCAAATCCAACCGCCAGGTCACCCTTTGAAGTGGATAAGCCAACTTGCGCCGCTGTATTGGTGCTGCACCATCGGACAATATCTTGCAAGTCTTGCTCGATTGATTTGGAACCCCCGGGAGCAGCGATTTGTTTGCGTCGAGAAATTTCGGTCCATAGGATTGGAAGACCGAGTCCGACGGAAGAGATACCGCCCCAGGCAGAAAAGAAGTTTCCGTCAGGGATTTCTTGTTCTTTGGATTCAAAGTAGTCGCTCACGCTGCTGCTGGAGGATGAATTGTGCAATGGAGTCGCGACGGCAGATGAATCGCTTGACCCAACGCTAGAGAAAGGGGTTGGTTCTGGTGTCATGATATGTGAAGGGAGGAGTTTGAGGTCTGGTGTGCATGGGGAATGATCTGAGACGACAGTTTTGATAACGCCGTCATCGGCATAACGCTCCAGTTCAGCCCATAGTCCGTCTTGGTTCAGTCGGGAGCGGATGGGAGGGCAGCATTTGTGTCGAGTATCGCCCTCGGCGATTTCTTCTGCTGCCAGAGATAAGTAATGGAAGCATGTCTCTGCGGTGATTTGGACACCATTGGCACGTGCCTCTCGTAGCAAGGGGATTGCTTCTATGGCTGACAAGTGCACAATGTGCAGCGGCAAGTTGGGCGCCGTTGAAGCGAGTTGGATGATCTCTGCAACGGCATATGTTTCAAAGGATGATGGTCGAGATGCGAGGAATGTCGAGTAACTCTGGAGCGGGCCTGCGGGAGCAAGAGGTGGTAATGAGGTTTGGACATCGTCACCGACTGAGTCTGTGATGGGTGGAAGCATTTCGGCGTGAAACATTAGAGTCGTTGGCTGGTCTGCGAGGGCTTTCATGGCCAATTCAATATCCGGCGAAGATACAGCCGGGAATTCTTCCACCTACGCCAGTCAGTACTGCATCACTTTTTTTTTTCAACAAGAGACAAAACATACACCGCTATCAATGAGAAACCCCTTGAATCCACGGACACCCATCTCCACCAAAGACTTCAATTCATGCGCATTCCCCGGAATAACACCACCATAAAACCCAACATCCACCCAACATTTCCCCTTTGCCGCACGAATCTTCTCCTTAAACCCATCTACCGTGGTCGTGGGCGGAATAGCATTAAGCGGCATATCAACAACGGTAGTCACGCCACCAAATGCCGCGGCCTGGGTACCCGTATAGAAACCCTCCCATTCCGTCCTTCCGGGTTCATTCAGATGGACATGGGCATCCACCAGACCGGGCAGCAGCACAAGAGGGGAATAATCCTTATAAGAGTCGCAGTCGGGGAAGTCTGAGGCGGCTTTGATGCTATCATAGACCTGTACGATTTTGCCGGTTGAGGGGGAAATTACGATGGTGGCTGGTGTTGTGCGGCCTGAGATGACGGCTCGGGAGGAAGCAACTACTGTGACGGCCATTTTATTTTCCTGAGAGCAAGAAGACGCAGTCTACTCCGGATTGAGTACGGAGTAGTGGTGGACTAGAAGCGGATCGAACGAGGGAAGATAGAGATAAGGGGTGAAACGCGGGGGATAAGGGTAAAAGAGAAAAAAAGAAAAGAAAAGAAAAGAAAAGAGCAAAAGAGGAAGAAGAAAAAGAGTCTAGTATATCTAAATAAAGATAGCAGCCACTGACTGGATCGAATAAGCACCAACGCCGCAGTGACCTTATCGTGGCAATCCGAGATAAGGTGATAAGAGTCATTCCAGTCCACTCCGCCATGATCAGAGCTCTACATACAATCAGCAATACGATAATCTATTACTCTCTGTCTGAGTCAAATTTCAAGCCATGAGAAAATTCTTCCCCTTTCCTGGAAATTCGGTGGATGATTTGGTAATGGTAATACGGGAATCCTTTCCTGGTACGCGCGATACTTTCCGTCCCACCGGCCGGACCAGACGATACCGGACTACCACACCGTCAACTACAGTACATATATCGTGTATACGTCCTGACAGGAAGCCCTTGAAGTGAAGTAGTACAAGTCTCACCAAACAGCAATACACATCTTACATTCTAATACACACATGTGAACAGAAGAACTCTCACGATGGTAATATGACTGAGATCCGATCTATCCGTGCTATTACTCGATAGAATCATGCAAACTTCTGGCTGGGAAGAATCGATCGAGTAATGAGAACTCAAAAAATTTCAGATTCAGAGGGGACTACGCCGTACGGGGATAGGGTCATGCTTGCTTTTTTGGGTCAGGCGTGTTTTGTCACCGCAAGACTCAATACTACTAATGCAATAATATTGTAGACTACATAGGTACATATAGTATATAGATATGTATATGAACGAATACCCCAGACATACTCCCATGTCCTACTCTCATCCTGTACTCCGTAGATATGACCGATAAAGCCTTATCATGGAAGAATCGTCTTACTCGATCAAAACAGACTAAAAAGACTAAGATAAGCTAATTTTTGCCTCGGCCCCACGTCTCCGGTCCTTTTCCGTTTCTTAACGAGAAGACTTTCTGTGGACTTTGTGGTTTGTTTTAGATTGTTTGGTTTGAGTATTTTGTGGTTATTGTCGGCCGGCTCCGGTCGATGGGTTGGTTGTTAATCGAGTAAGAGTTTATGGATGTACTTCTTCTGCTAGAAGTCAAGGATGAGATCATGGTCTGAATACTGCAGAACTCGAAAGAATGGAAATATTCAACTCGAATGCTATGATAGGTTCAGTGGTAATTGAGAGCTCATAATTGTCCATCTTAAGTTGCCTCCGAACCGAGATAGGGTTAGGGCTTGATTCTATGGGATCTAACTGCAATAGGAAATTCCTTCAGTCTCCTTTTTCGAAGTGAAGTCCACATCGACCCTCGCCCAGCTCAAGGTTGATCGCTGCAATCAAGACAATGTAGACATATCGTCCACAGCATCAATCTCCCCCCGTCGCCATTTCTCCCACCCTTCATTAACCTCCACCGGCTCCTCGATTATGAACTCGACTTCCTCGTACGAGGGATCGGCGTGCACCTTGTCCAGCCACTGCAACATATTCTTCCATGAAGAGACGATGATGTCTTCGTGGTCGAGGCTCTCGTTGCCAGAGTAGGTGTTGCAGCCGTATTGCAGGGTTCCGGGGACGGGGCATTCGAGGGGTTTGTCGGAGAGGACGTAGGCGCGGGAACGGGTTGAGATGAAATGGGCAAGTGTGCCTGATTTTGTGGCGGTATCGTCGCTGTCAGATTCATCTGGTAGGATGAGGTGATGTTTGTGATGCTGAGGTCTGGAGAAACAGATGGCTGAAATGGAGTTTTTCCATTTATCCCCTAGACGAGATGATATCAGCTTAGATTAGGGCGATTGACCACGACAGGCTTACACCTCCCAACCAAATACTCCACAGCAGCGAGACCGCCCTCTTCAACCCCGATAATATCAATCTTTGCCTCTGAGTTGATCACTTTGTTTCTTGGAGCCAACACGTCCTCAAAAATACATGCGACATGCTCATTCCAATTCGCATTTCGCGGAATCACATTTCGATACGTCTGTCTCGGTGGCGGATGCGCAGCCGTCTCAACAGGGAGAGCACCCCAGGTACGTTGAGACAATGCCTTTCCCGAGCCACAGTGATACACGAGCTGGCCTAAATTCGCAATCACCAATGCAGTATCAGCCTGGCTGCTCAAAATGGTTTGGGCAATCTCCACCATTGAGCCCTGGCTGATGCCTCGTTCGGCGATGCTGCGATTGGTCCAGATGCCAAGGTCTTGGTCGGGGCTGCCCAGGATGAGGATGATGCGTTTCGCCGTGCTCAGGTTGGAGGAGCATAGTATTGGGACGTGTTTGTCGTTTGCCTGAACACCGAGCGGCAGACGCAAGGTTGATAGTCCGACGTCTTCTAGGCGGGAGAGGACAATACGGCGGATACATTCTGGCTGATTAGCATTCACCATGAAGAGTGCAATCTGAGACTAAGACGTACCGTTGAAAGAATTGCGACGGACATCATTCCATCTCTCGTTGGTGTTGACTCGGTATTTGAATCCCTCCTCTGGGTTGGTGATCTGACGGATTTGATCTTGGTCGTTGATGAAGAAGCTAGTCATGTTACCACCGGTGTCGAGACTGGCTGAAGGTGAACTTACCCCAGTTTCTCCAGATCAACAGGAAAGACAGGATCAGCTGGAATATCTTTTATCTTGTAGACGAGCATCGTGAAGATGATACTTGACAGGATGTCAGCTGAGAGTGTTTCTGAAGCACAGTTGAGATTTTTGGAAGGGAGATTACTGACTTGACAGATAGAAATAAAGACAGAAAGATATGGTGGCAACAGGAACAAACACGGGCGAGCAAACAAACCGTATGAGTGAATGGGGCAATCAAATAGTAATCAGATGAAAGAAGAATTTTTAGAACTTTCAACGACAAGTGTGACTGGAGATGCATCTGGGGATGCTTTAGAGTAAACGCACTTGACATTGATATTCAGATAGATCTCATATCTAGATCATCTTCATCCAAGATATCATCTGATAGATATATGTTCACACATCTTGGATCTCACAGACCCCAAACATAATAGTCAGAGAACAAAGAATAATATTGAAACAGATTCAAATACAATATACATCTTGTCAAAGAAAAGAATAAATCATCCAACTCCAAGTATGAACCATCCATATCAAACAATGCTAATCGATCTATACCACCATACTCATCACATAAGTGGTAGAAGCCTTTCCATATCTAACACTCCTTTTCTCCTTACCACGACGCTTTCTTAACACCCGGTAATTCACCCGCCAAAGCCTGTTGACGGAATTGATACTATAGATCCACAAGTCAGTCCACATCCTCACAAATATCTTATTCCCAAACCGGCGGGGGAGGAAATACCCTCGCAAGTCTAAAATCTCTAAAGACACCCCTCGCAATCCCGCCTGCGACACATCGATTCTTAATCTGCGTTGAGCGAGTATAGGCGTGCATCTGCGCGAGTTGGAGTTGTGCCTGTGCGCGCACTCGTTGAGGGAGGGATGTATTTCGGATCGCGTAACGGAGGGCCTGTCTGTTCGATTAAACAAAATCGTCAGTATATCTGAAGATCATACGAGAATTAGAGGTGGTGTATACCTCTCAGGTTCAAACTGCTCGTAGACTTTTCGCTTGGTGTGGTCGCGGATCACTCGGGCGTTTATGAAACAGCCGAGATCGAGGCGCTTGGCTCTGAATTGAGACATTGTGACGGTTTCCGATGTCTCTTGAGGCAAACGCAAGGTATTCTAGCTGATAGAGAAAGATGTGAGGACGTTCGGGGAAATGGCGTGGATGGATTTGAGGTTGGCTAAATTGGGGATAGCGTTAGTCTGGTTAGTTGGTGCCTCAGGCATAAACTTCAAAAGTGTATGATTTAGAATAGTAGCAGGACTTCAGACTTTTTCATTGTATACATGTACAAATACTTTCGAATGCTTTCGAAATTTTAACCTCATTAGACTCGCTGTTTTTGTCTTGTGGCTGTGGTTTATGGTCGCAGTATCTATTCTGTTCATCTACCTGTCGGGACATCTCGGCAGTGGCTCAGGACATGAAAATCATGAAGCAACCGTTAACATCGATACTTGTAGTCAAGGAACATACCCTGTGGTCTAAACTATATGAATACACTGGGCACTCGCTACTAGCATCATCAAGTTGGATAGAGTGAACAACACATAGGAAAATTTCAGGTGATAATGGTACAACTAACTCTCTTTCTGCCGTCCACGGACGACAAATCAAGTCTATATGCTTTGTACAAATGACATGGATTCAACAGTATGAGCTGCTCGGTGGTGACAAGATTGACGTAGCGTCTTATTGTAATAGCCACGCTATGAGATCGATCCATCCGTCCAGGCGTTGATTTCACAGTTGTTTTTTTTTTTCCGTTCAAACTCTTTCACATATTGCCCCCCTTCAAACCCGCAAATCCTCTCCAAAATCCGGTCGATGTATTGCGATCTGTTTATTGCTTGCCCTTGGGTTTGGCATTGGGATTTCTTGGGTCATCCTTCCATTCGTTGGCTATTCGAACGCCAAAGTCAATATCGCGTCACTTTCGGGTTTCGTTGGATCATATCTGCATCTCCGAGGGAAACTTACAGGCCATTGAAGCGTTGGCGGCGGCGTTAACACCGTAGAGAACGATGAGACCTTAGAGCATGAGTCAGTATTCCATATACCTCTCGAGTCGCACTCCGACGCTGGCGCCTGTCCCATGATACCGGTAACAGGCATCCAGTATCCATTTCTAATCTCCAGGGATTGATTATCGCGACATACCGGCAGCGAAAAAAGGGAACATAGGCTTGGCTATTAACAATCATTCATTAGTTACCGATCACTTCAATACAGCCACGTCCACCGCAACGGAACGAAAAACATACCGACAGGCACCGGCCATTTCTTTCCGAGAAGAGACATGATTGTAGAGTTTGTGATTATCGAATTGGTATTAATCCGAGGTTGTATAGCGAGAAAGAGGGTTGTGACGATGTACCTGTAAAGTTGAACGTCGAGCGGAAGAAGTCGAAAGAGGTCGGAAGTTGCTTGCCAAGAAGGCTAGTCCTTATATGGAATAGTGGGGTTCTCCACTATCATTATTATCATAATCATTGGATGCCCCTCGTCGTTGGTGAATGTAAACATTGAAGATATTGAGCTTTAGGATATTCAGCAGGATTGAAAATAAACGACACAATGGTCGACTCCCTCTCATCATCAGTCACATCCCTCCGCACCTCCCTCCAACTCCTCGAAAGCTCAATCGACATCCTCGACACAGGCGTGAATGACTTTCCGCGATTATCAAAAGTTCTACAAACAACCCGAGTACTTCCCCCTCCTTCAACTCCACTATATAAGAGCTAATTACCTATGGGCGAATAATAGCACTTTGAACTCCTCCCCGAACCAACCCTCCAAGAAGCGCAACAATCCCTCCTAGACGAAATAACGCCAAGTATTGCGCACCTCCTCTCCATAACAACAAACCACGTCGAAAGACTCGCCCGACGCGAGGACTCGTTACGCGCAAAATGTCAACTTCAAGAAGGGAGGCTATCAGATGAGCGACGAGATCCTAATTCTACAACGAAAACGGCGGTGGCAAGCCGGGCGGGAGAACGATCAGATGCAGGCGCAAAGGCGGCGCAGTTGAGGAGATTGGTGCAGAAGAAGGAGAGATTGAAGTATGCGGTTGATAGACTTGAGTTGCAGAGTCGGCAGAAGGAGAGGGAGTTGAGGAAGAGTATGGCTGCGCAGTGATTTGTCGTTCCATTGGTGATGATTCGATATCTTTACAACCAGCCCACGTTCTTCGAGAAGCATGCGGCTCCGAGCCGACGTCACAAATATCAAGACGAGGGTTTACTGCAACGGCAGTGGCTGTCAGCGAGTACTAGACCTCCGTGCTACCAGTTCAGATCAATGACGAATCTGCCGCACGCCTAAAAGTGGAAATTGCACTCCCAGTCTAAGCGGCTATCTTAAGTATATGCAGCTACGCGGCCAACACGAGAACAAGTTGTGCAACAGGATTGTACAATGTTATGGGTATGATTGAGTCGTATTCGGTTAATGTACAATATGATGATACATAGACATACAGTCGATGACAATACGTCAACTAGATGAAATCCTCCCCAGCTGTATTCGAAGAAACCTTCCTCACAGCCTGTCGAATCCGCTTCTTATCAGCATGTCTCTTCCAACTAGGAATATTATGTCCCTTCTTCCTCCGCTCCAGAGACCTAGCCTGATTTTCAAGCGCATCAGCCAACGCCGGAGCAACCTTTCGTTCCTCTGATGCTTCCATCATATTAAACGCTGCTTCCTGTTCTTCTCCATCCATCCCAGCCATTTTACTAGCTGCACGACGTTGTAATCTCTCTTTTTTACTTTCTGCGCTTGCTGCACTGCCCAGTTTGAGGTTTCGTGGAACTCGCGTCTTGGCTCCAAGGGCCCAGAGATCGCCCCAGCGCGCTTTGCGGGCATCGTGGTATGCTTGACGGCTGAATGAGCGCGGCACGGTCCATCGTTCGATTTTGCCTTCGGGTGTGCAAAAGTCAAAGATGACGTGGCCGCGTCGTTTCATTGGTGGTAGCACTGTACGTGGAAGTGATAGGGGATTGACAGTGCTAGTAGATGGGGGTCCTGTCTCTCCATCTTCCGACGTGGAAATGCTATCTTCGTAGCCTTCAAAGGCCGCGTCTGTAGCAGCTTTGCCCTGCACGACAGATTCCGTCTGTCGCAAGTCAACGCCTCGCTGGACAGCGACATAACTAAATTCAACGTCCTCGTGGTTGCGATCTTTTGCTCCAATAATACGCTGTAGGAATGGGGGACGGATATAACGTTGCTCAAAATGGCAATAGTCGCTTCGACCCTTGGCATGTCCGTGGATATGATACATGGGGCATTTCCCATGGTTTGTGCAGGGAGCGATAATCATACCAGCTTCCTTTTGGATAGATCCTTGATCACCAGACTCCGTCAGGCTTTCATATTCGGTTGATCCGGAACTTGAAATGTGCTTTTCAAGAAGCATTTCACGGGCACCTGCTATAGCCTCAAATCCCTTTTGACGACCCTTTTCCAACAGAATCAAGACGCCACCGTTGGGGTTGAGCATGGTCCATAAATTCTTCACGTGTTGTTTACGCATATAATCCTCGTCGATCTCGAGTAAAGTGTGAGGAGCGATAATCACATCAAATTGCTTTCTTTTCGGCGGTGCTCGGTCGTCGTCTAGAGTGCTGCTATCACGTACATGAACATAATCCGGGAGCCGAGGAAGAAATGTTGTATTGTCTAACAGTACGCTCGCCCGTGATTGCAGGGCATCAGATCCTGATAGAACGGTAGACTTACCCGTAGGAATCGGTGCATCTTTCGGGTGATCAGGGACCATAGTTTCGTACTCGGCCCGAAGAACATCCCTCCAGGCTAGGATTCCCGCTCCGGAGCCACCAGCATCCAAAACTCGAGGTCCAGATTCTTGCGCCATCAAATCTCGCAGCCATTTACCGCCAAGCCGCTTTCTAACCTCGACAAGTACGCTGAGGGTCGACGCATAAATGCCAGGGTAGAGCGCAGCGAGGTACGCATTTGCTTCCATGTCACTCATTTGGTGCTGAGATGCAGAGAGTGGGATTGGTACCTGAGCAATTTGGGCACTGGGTGGCAAAGTAGTCGTAGAATGCGGGAGTCGGCGGCCACCAAAGATTTTATAAGCGGCTTCTGCGATGTGTCTGTTGGAGTAGTTGGATAAAATCACTGAAATCGGACCAGTCACGGAGTCTCGAGGTAAGAACACAGTCCTTGGATTAGTAGAGTATTTTCCAGCTTCTGTCAAAGGGTGTAATCTAGGGCCGCTTTCAGATTCTTCTTCCTCTGCAATTTCTGCTCCAGATTCCAACAAAACACCGCCCAATCGCTCTGCGACTTGTTTCGCACGGTCAAACGCAGAAGAATCCTCATCTTCGTCCAAGATACCTTCCGTTTCGTACGCCACAGAGATCTCCTCCTCCTCCTCCTCTAAACCATTTTCAGGTGGAACGTCAATCTCCTCAAACCCTCCTTCTCCATCATCCCTCAACAGTATATCCGGCTCACGTTCGTCAATCACTGCCTCCGATTCGGCCGGTCTCATAATAGCCTCGCCATAAAGTCGATTATAAAGCTCTAGTTCCGCTTCATTCAAATGGTCTTCTGGGAGGTATTCGCCAAATTGTTGTCTAGCACCTCGCACTTTATTTTCGAGTGATTCGTAATTCCTGTGGCCGATAGTGCCGCTAAACACATCGTCCATACCCCAACTTCTTGTGTCGACGATATAATCCAAATAATTGGACGGTAGTAAATCATCCAATAACTCTGCAAGCTCATCTTCATGCTGATGGATCGTATCAATCAAAGTATAAATCTCCGCTTTGCGCCCTGTCGAATCCTGAACTACGTCGGTGGAATCCGACGTTGTCGTTGCTAATGCTCGAACTCTATCATTCCTCCAATTTCTCCCGTGTAATTTTGCTCTTATCGTGTGTTCAGATCTGATATAACTCGTCAAAGGAAGCGCGGGCCGTGAATTCCGTACGAATGAACCAAATCTTCGAATTCCGCCGGACCGTTGCGACAGCTGGATGATGTGCTGCGATGCGCCAGGAGAACATATCCGGCATGATGTTGCTGCTCGACATGAAAAAGCCATACTGAAGCTTACTCCTGACCAGCACGAGAGTTCAGCACTATATGTTATCCATGGGTGTAGAGGTTGAATCAATATTTATCTGGACGAGGAAAAAAAAAAAATATTTTGTCCGCCACTGACAAGCTCCCCGAAAAGGATGCCAAGCCAGGGTATGTAAATACGGAGGATATCATTGGATGAAAAGGTATCCACTTGCTTAGGTAACTACAGCCATCATATGATTGGTCGACCACCCTAAATCAGAGAAATAAGAAGACGTTCTGATTAGCATTGTCAAGATGGATAAAAGGGATAACGCTTCATTCCAAGTCGCTATCTTCATCACCCATGACAATCTTCAGCGAGGCTCTGCATTTCAAGACCTCATGCTCTAATGCACTCAACTTAGCCATTACAGCAATCAGACTGGGATCTTGAGTTTCCACTCGAATCTTTTCTTTGACTTTGACTTCCTCGCCTTGCCATACAAAGACGTCGTTTTGTTCATCATGTGATGGCAGTCGAGGACCGAATAGTCTGTCTCGTATAGATAATCCAATTTCCGCTCCAAAGGACCCTGAAGCTTGATTCGCGGGATTTGGTTCTAGGGTTCGTAGATGTAATACCAATGCGGCATCTACTATCGTGAGATGGAAAGACAAATATGGCGGTAAAGGAGGGTCGAAAACCTGTTGCGCGGTTAGTATTATCAAACCATACTGTCGGTCAGTACATACGCTACTATCTGCACTATGCTCCCACCATTTTGACGTCTCCGCGTTCCCTTTCAGGGCTGACTTAGCCTCGGAAATATGTTCATATAGCAAACGTAGTTGACCAGATATAAAACTAGCATTGAGAGGGTCACCGGTAAATGTACTGACGTCTACCACGTCTAGTCCCTGGTTTACCAGGTTCCGGACTGCAGCGAGCTGGTCCAATACAAGCTCAGGTGCCCCTGGCACACTGGAGACGTTGAGGCGAGTGCTATTGGCGCCACGCGGCGGTGGAAGCGATGTCAATCGTAGATGAATGTCCTATTTTCTGTAAGCTATAGTTCGGTAATAATGCAATCTCCTGCATGCACATACGCCTTTCACAATTCTCGTGCCCACTCTAGTCACAAATCCCTTTACACTCTCTGATCGTACTGAAGAAACAACCAGGGTAGACCCTGGTTCTTTCGGTGCCAATAGACCGGCACATTCTTGTAGGCCATCTCGTAGTGAAGCCAGAGACTCTTGGAGAGAAGCTAGCAGCCATTCAAGCTCTTTAGACTAGGTCTTGAATTAGTATAGTTGGTTCGGCTTGGATAGGCTGAGAACTCACCAATGCAGTCTCTTCCTCGTGCCTCAACTGGTCTGCAGGCAGCGGAGGATATGCCCAAGTAGCCATTTGATGCCACTCAAAGGATGATAGAGTGAGTATCGAGGTGCTGTGATTGGCCGATATGGAAGAGCGGTGGTAACGAAAGCGTGACGTTAGGAGATGACGTTGCTTCGATTGAGTTGACAGTTTGATGCCTGAGGTGGACAGCTCGAAGCCCGAGACTTCGAGACTTTTCCCAATACGGCTTGACGCAGCCGTTTAGTGGCTGACCGATGATGCAGCAAGCCAATCAGAAGCTTCACTCTTTAGAGTTCATCAGCTACACCCGATTAGGCTCTAGCGTTCTGGTTGCAGTGAACACGACGTCATCACGAGATCCCAACTTCCTTTCTCTTTTTCTTCTAGGCTCATCTCCCTGTCCTTATAACTCTTGCCGTAATTCCCAGCCTCTCATTAGACATCTCATTTCGGTTTCACTTTGCGCAAGTCTAATTGAAGCTTGATACAGGCTGAAACTTCGTCCTCTCACCCTTCTGTCAATCACCGCAAGCTCTACCCTGCTTAGCTTGGTGTTGTTGTTGTTCGACACGTCTAAACACAGAGAGTTTCAAACGCCAGTACGCCACTCATGGCAGCCGGACGTATGTTTATCATTGAGTCTTTATCGTAACAAGACCACTAACCTCTTGATCAGGACCAATCCTCGGCTTTTTGGCCCTGTTCTTCGTCGCAGGAGCTCTGTTGCTGATGTTCTTGACTTTCCTCGGCGGAGTCAACAACCACGTTCCTCTCAACGACATCTACTTCCTCCAAGCAGATACTTCACGCATCCCGGGCGCGCCATCCACATCGAGATGGACATTTTGGAACGTCTGCCCTGTTTCCGATGGCAAGAGTCAATGTGGAGATGTTCACCCCGACTTCCCCTTTGATCCTCCTTCTTCACTCAACTTTGGCACCACTGAGAATGTTCCTCTCGAATTTATCGGGTAAGCTTTCTACGAACGGCAAACTATTTGGGTTTATTTTGCTAACTTGTACTAGAACACGCCATTATTTCCTGATGTCCCGATTCATGTTTCCCTTTATGCTCATCGCCTTGTTTTTCGCAACGCTTTCTCTATTCCTTGGTCTTTTGGCTCTATGCACTCGCATCGGAAGTTATCTCTCCAGTCTTCTTGCCTGGATTGCATGGGTCTTCCAGGTCATCACAGCCTCTCTCATGACGTAAGTATCCGATACACCACAGTTGTATAATCATATGATTCTAATTAGGATTTAGTGCCTGTTTCGTCCAAGGTCGCGACCACTTCAACAGCTTTGGCGAGTCCGCTCGTCTTGGTCGCAAGGCTTTTGGCTTCATGTGGGCAGCCGTTGCATGTTTGACCCTTTCCACCGTCTTATACTGCATGGGCGGCGCAGCAGGTCGTAGCAGTTCAAGTGGATATAGCGGTCGGGAGACGAGACGACGCGGCTTCTTTGCTTCTCGACGATCTAGCACCAGGTCTCGCGGTAGCTTCCGAAGCAAGCGGGAAGATGCTGTGTAAAGGGTGATGTTTTCGACACAATTCTTTTCTCGAGTTTCGATTTTTGTCTATATCTCAGTGACCGGTTCCCACCCTTCCCGGTATTCGACAAGATGAAAACGGACCTGCGAAACAAATGTTATCACTTTTCTCTGCGCTACACAGCAGAGAGAAACATTCACGATCTTTTCCTACATCACGCAATTTTATGACGACCAAGCTAATCCAGGTATTGAGCGATTTCGATCTATTTGATTGTTCAAACCAAGAAGAGAATTTTACGATGATCATGCCTCCCCCTTTTTTTCATACTATCCCGTTAGTCAACGTGCGTGGATGGTGATGTTTCTATACGATCGCTTGATAATAGTAGCTAATACTGTAGTTAATTTCACTAATACAAACCTGTGTACCAACACGTTAAATCTAGGATTACCTAGCCAGCGTATTTGACTCCAAAATGCTGGGCCGTACACGCTCAGTATCGTAATATACTTGATGAGTTTTGGAGCACCTGACCCGGTACCTAGGGCCTCTCGATCGTGAAGCGGGCTACAGTTTGAAGTGATACAGATGAAGTGGAGGAATCAACACCGTAAAATGCCTTAAATCTATCATTCTATGTGTGTGGAAGAAAAAAAAAGAGAAGAACAGGAAATTCGTATATACCACATCTCCAAAGACATTTTACAACGCACTTTCTTTTTCTCGACTTTTCTTCATATCATTTGAACCTCCACTTCAATGCTTTAAGCAGATCCATTTGCGCTAGCTTGAGGAGCTTCAACAGCAAGTCTCACACCACCCTTTCCACCGACTTCGCGCGCAGTAATTTGCAATCCGAGATCAGGGTTAATGTTTATAGTAACCTCGACTTTGCCACCAGCCTTGACGCCCTTGATAGCAGCTTCGGCGATGGTCTTTGTCGATTTCCAGATAATTTCTCGAGTTTCTTCTTCCTCGTCTTCGTCGGAGTCGAAGTCTGAGTCTGAGTCTGAGTCTTCCTCGTCCTTTTCGGATTTTTCGGCCTTGGGTTTGGGTTCGGGTTTGGTTACTTTGATTTCGCGTTCGCCTTCGCTGATGCGCACAAGGACATCGCCGCCTTCCTTGGGCACGGTGTATTGAGCCACTCGTCGAGCTGGGAGGGCTGTCTCGGCGTTGACTAAAGGAGCGAAAACAGCATCTTCGGCGTTTTCGTCGGCAGAGACGAGTTGTACGCCGATTGTCTTGCTGAGATGAGGGGTTACGGTGACCATGGGGTGGAGTGATTGTTCGATGTCCTCTTTGTCGAATTCTTGGATCAAAGAGGCTTGGTAGGCGGCGCCACGCGCAGAGAGTTCGGAGGGGTTGATGGCTGAGGGGGTTGTGGAGGGGGCCAGGACTTTGGTCTTTTCGGGGAAGACGTTTTGGAGGAGACGGGCAATCTTGGGTGTGTGGGAGGTACCACCGGCAAGAATGACCTTTACATCTAGAGTTAGCTATAAGCTCAGACAGTATTATAGAGAAAGATTGCCATACCTCGTCGATATCCAAAACATCGAGTTCGGCCTTCTTGACGGCAGACTCAACCAATCCAGTGAATTGAGAGAAAATCTTTCCAGAAAGAAGCTCATATCTTGTACGGTTGATAGTCGAGCCATAGTCGATACCATTAACCAGACTTTCAATACTCAATGTGGCATTGGTACCAATACTCAAGGCCTTCTTCGTAGCCTCACCTTCGAGCTTCAACTTGGCCAAACCACGAGCATCCTCACGAGGGTCAACCTTGTGCTTTTTGATGAACTCCTTTGCAAAGTGGTCAATAACGACTTGATCGAGGTTGGCACCTCCCAACTCGTAGTCGTGAACTGTCGCAAGGACAGAGTACATTCCACCGCGCGAAGCGACAACTGCAACGTCAGAGCGGATTCCACCGAAATCAGCAATGACAACGAGCTTGTCCTCGACGACAGCGTCGGGGCGAGCGTCGTAGGCCAATAGAGCAGCGACCGGTTCGTGGATCAATTGCAGGGCCTCGATGTCGGCATTCTTGGCGGCTGCAACAAGCGCCTCACGTTGTGCGTCAGAAAAATTTGTGGGGACTGTGATGACTGCCGCGTTGACTGTCTTTCCCAAAAAGTCAGAAGCAGACTGCTTCAGACGACGGAGGTGGCGGGTCGTGATTTCAGAAACGGTGACGGTGCTGGGTGTTTCGGCGTCTGTGTCTCGAATTGTGAAAGCAACAGTGGATTCGTGTTGTTGAGGGTGCGCCGACTGATGAGCAGGAGTAGGATCTATCGACTTGAAGCTGATGCAGCTGTCAGTAGTAGTTCCGATACAAGCCTCAACAACCTAACACTTACTCTTTTCCAAGGTAATCCCTGAAATATCCGACAGTGTTCTTCGAGTTACGGACCAACTGTGCTTTGGCCTGTGTACCGTGGAACTCTTCGCTATCGACGTAGGAGAGGATAGATGGGATTTGACGGTCTGGTATATGAAAATGAGTTCTCCCTGTTCGTCTTCTCTTAGCTGGGAAAACTTTTTACCTCCTTCTTCGTTGGCGATGACCTCGGCTTTTCCATCCTATACCACACAGCGATATCAGAATCATATTCAAACCCGAGTAAACGTCTAAATGCGCAACTCACCGGTCCTGTGAACGCAATAGAACTGCTGGAATTTCCAAAGGAAATACCAATGGCAAAGCGCTCGCCTGCGCCGGTCTCTTCACTCATTGTGTAGAATAATAATAATATAAAGACAAATCAAGCCTTTAAAGAATGAAGCTAGTGAGAGCAAGCAAGCCGTATTAACACGAGGAACGTAGAATGAGAGAATGAAGAAATAAAAGAGCGGGGTGGATTCAGAGCGATAGTCTTTCCGCTCATTTTTTTTTATGTTTTTTTGAGGCGGGAATTGGGCCATGCGGCGCTGGCGGGTACTTTGGTTCGTCAATGTTCGACTTTGAATAGTGCAACTACCAGGATACAACTAGAATAAGTGTCAATATGAACGTTATTCGGTTTACATATAATACTTATTTTATTCGTGACTTTTTACGGACTCTCTTAATTGCTTGTCGACTTCCACTTCATAAGAAAGTCAACGTTATCAGCACGTGACCCTATCGATAAGAGATACGAATTTTGAAGATCCAAAAGACTTGACTTTGATCTGACCACATCTAGAGCGTTATACACCAGGTGTATACCTACCGATTTCAACTTACAGTCAGTCAATATCAATAGCATGAGCACAACATCCATCGTCCTACCGGGCGACCAAGTCCCCTCAAACATCCTTCCCTCAGCAACATCAACGACTCCCTTACGACTTGGCCCAGGCCTCCGATTATTACAGCAACAGTCACAAAATAGCAAGAACAAGACATCTTCTCCCACATCACACATCATCCAATCCACACAAGCTGGCATAATATCCATAGACCATAATCGCAAATCCGTCTCAGTCCAACCATTTCCCAATCGTCGCTATATCCCGACTGTTAATGACTTGATCATTGCTCAGGTCCAGCGCTCGTCGCAGGATTTTTTCCATTGCATAGTTACTCCACATGCACCACTTGCAGTTTTGGGTCAGTTAGCCTTTGAGGGCGCATCGAAGAAGACGAGGCCGAATTTGAAGCAGGGCGACCTGGTATATGCGCGGGTGCTCTCTGTGGGTGTTGGTGCGGGGACAGAGGTCGAACTTACCTGTGTCAATCCGGCCACAGGTAAAGCAGAACCCGGTGGTTTGGGGCTTTTGAGCGGTGGCATGGTCTTTGACGTATCTACAGGACTTGCTGCACGTTTGATGAAAGCGAGTTCATCTTCGTCTTCGGCAGAGGCTGCGTCTGTAGTTATACCCGAGGAACTCGGGAAGAAGTTTGAGAGTAAAGGAGGGTTTGAGATTGCTGTTGGAAGGAATGGGAAGGTCTGGGTGGACTGTTCTGGGAGTGGTGATATTGCGATCAAGATTACTATTGCAATCGGGAGGTGTTTGACGGAATTAGATCAGCGGCATTTGACTTCGATAGAGCAGAGAAAGTTGGTGTCGAGAGTTTTACGAGAATTGAATATTGATGTCTAATTCTGCTATGACTTTATTCTAGTCGATATATTTCCCAGTAAAATCTCTGAACGAAATTGGTAAAGTGCGGAGCGCGGGCACGTCTACGGCGGTCTCTCGTCGCGGGCTCAACTCAACTTCTCAATAGACAACGCGGCTCAATGGACCTTCAAACTCGAATCTAGAAGAAAGACGCAGTCATCTGTACGTGCTTTGACTATTAATGCAGAATGGGACAGTCGTCTTCCCAAGTGCAACACGAAGATACCAACCAACCTGCGACAGACCAAATCAGTAAGCTTCCCCCAATAATTTTTTCTCCGTTCCGCGACATGCGCTTTTTCTCCTCTCAACAATGGCTTTACACCAACACAGCTACTGATAAGAAGGCTTTAAGCTACTCTTGACTCTATTGCAGATGAGAATATTTCTCCTCAACTCAAAATTGAAAGCGACATCTTAACACAATCGCCAACACAGCCGACTAGCAACCAGCCACCCAATCCTTTCCGTACACCCAAACGAAAGCGAAGATTCTCCTTTGAAATTTGCATTCCCACCCCAGCAGAGTGCTCACAAATGGCACGACCATCCGACGTCCCAATGTCAGAACCTATGCGCCCCGCGAAAAGAAAGCGTCCCTCGGATGATCAAGTCACACCGTCCTCTCAGAGGGTAAAGCTCAAAGATAGACTCAGCCTGGGCGACGGTGTTGGCGACGAAGGCAGTGTTGCTTCCACACAAGACTATACTCCCAGTAAGCAAACTCCCAGTAGGAAGCGCAGAAGAGCGAGTACAAACGGTGCACCCCGCAGCTCTCAGGTGCGCCGCGAGGAGGACTATGACGAATCAACATTCCGGCCTGGACATGTCAATGAGAACAACGACAAGAGAACCGGATTCTTTAGCCCTGAAGAAGTCGAGACCCTAGAACATTTCAAAGTCGAATTCTGCAATGAGCACAAAATCAGCGCTGAAACATTCGATGCGTCTGTACAAAGTTCGCGCGTATATAAAAGCGGCATCTTTGAGACTGAGGAGGTAAATATTACATCTCACGAATTCTGGCAGCAGATCTACGAATTGATACCAGACCGCGACAAACGATCTATTTCCCGATTTATGCGCCGTCACTTTTCGACTGGGAGTACACCGCACCAATGGACTGAGGCTGATGATGACGAACTCAAACGCCTCCATGACAGGTATGGAACTAAATGGGCACGCATCGCACGTGAGATGGAGAGGACACAAGATGACGTTCGACAACGATGGAAGAATAAAGTCGAGCACCGATCTACCATGAAAGAAGGACCCTGGGACGAAGAAGAAATCGTCTTACTACTTGACACCATTACCGAAACGCGCAAGATTCATTTAAATCTGGAGAAGGAAAGTCTCGGCAGGGATATTTACGAGTTAGATGAGGATTACATCAGCTGGGGTGCGGTTAGCGATCGGTTTGCAAACACGCGTTCTCGTCAACAGTGTGCTGATAAATGGCGGAAAATAAAACGGAATGTGCAGAAGCGTCGTGCACTTGGGGAAGTGGATGCGATTTATGTGCCTTCAGATCCGCCGAGACCGGGGAGACGAGCGTTGCAGTTGCGGTCTTCTCAGAGTGAGACGTCGGATAACGAAGCTGAGAATGAGCGACGGCCTGCTAAGAAGCCGAAGCCTGCCCAATCATCAAAGCCAGCTTATAAAAGCAAGGAAATTGTAGAGTCGTCTGATGAGGAGGAGGAAAATGTCAATGGAAATGCACAACAGACGAATGCATCGAACGGAGACAATGCAGAGGAAGCTGCCAAAGTGAATGGCACGTCCAAGTCTCCTGCCAACGAGTTGGCCTATGAGTCCTCTGATTCAAGTTCAGACGACGACAGCGACGACGAAAACTCTTCCGATGAGGATAACAACAGTGCTCACGAAGGGAACGCCAATGAAGAAGTTGACGGAACCAACAACACGAACGAACTACGAAATGTTCAACAACCCAATGAACCTTCAGACGACGAATCAATCATCCCCGAAACCCAACCACAATCCCGCGCATCATCTTCCCCGGTTCAAGAAGCACAAACAAACGGACATGCAGACAAACCATCGCCGGAACTCGGCGACGACAATCGCGTAGTCAATGAATCCGAAGCCGAAGATGGTGAACAAGTCGACTCTAAGGTCGCATCACTAAATGTTAAGAAGGAAATCAAATCCGATTCTGAGAGTGGTAGTGACAGCGAAAGCGAAATTGACAGTGACGATGAATCGGAGAGTGGTTCATCAGATGAAGAGAGCGGCAGCGAAGAAAGTGGCAGCGCAGAAAGCGGCAGCGCAGAAAGCGGCGATGACGAGAGCGGCCAGGAAAGTGGCGAAGAGGAAGAAGATTCAGAAGGAATCGAAAAGAAAATCTCCAAGAGAGAACCTAGTGATGATGTTGAGTGATCTGATTAGGTAGTTTTGCGTGCTGGGGTGTTTTCTATCCGACCAGCTACCTTCTTAGCCAGCCTGGAACTTGACCTGATCAAGTCCCAAATACCTTGTGGCATTTCGCCGACGACGAGTCAATGGGGATCAACCACCGCTCCGGTTATGTAGCCAATGCCTTTATCAGTGACCTTGGCAGTATCCCAACCCCTAAGTCCCAGTCCTTGTCTGAAGCTAAAAGGACGATGATTCCCTGGTTTATTTTGATGTCAATTTTCTTTTCCCTGCATTTTCATTATGGGTTTATGTATATTTATTTTTCTACTGATGTCACTATTTCTATGGTTTCAAATCTGTAGTGTATGTGCGGCCTGGCTATAGACCTACAATTTTTCTGTACAAAAATGATTTCTCTTCGACTGGCTTATAAACGATTCTCTCTAATTGATAGGTTGATAGGTTGGACGGTAAATCGTAATATATGTCCATTCCAGTATGAAATTTCTCTACTGTATAAATATATCCAACCGTCTATAAAAACCAATAACTAAACTACAGCTCATCTTTTCTTTCATACACCTTCCCTTCACCCTCTTCCTCCTCTTCGCTCTCGTTTTCTGGGGATGTAGAAGAGGAAGAAGCAACCCTCCTCGCCAACTCGGCAATCTCCTCATCATACACCGTCCACTCAGGAACCTGTCTCCTCGCCCTCTCCAACTTAGGCTCCTTCGTCAACGGATTATTACACAAATCAATCGTCTTGGCCGTCTTGAGCGCCTCATCCGAGCACCAAGTCTCGCACCAAAGCCAATCTTGCGGTAAAGACTTGATCGGGATCATGGTTTGCATGTTATTCGGTAGGTCTTGGTCAAGGTTTGCGAGAGATTCCGGGTCGGCGGAGAGAGTATGATATTGACCTCGTAGACGGTCGCCAGCTGCGAGTTCACGGAAACGTTGGAGGTCGACGACGTAGAGGGCGGAGATGTGGTATTTCAAATTCCCGAGGTAGGATTTCCAGTAACCCTGTTTCCAGAAGCGGAAGCCTTCCATTTCTTCGCGGGAATCGCACATGGGCGTAAAGCCGTAGGGGGCTCCTTCGAGGTCTAATGTGACGAGATCGTACATATCTGTGCGAACGATTTGATCTGCATCCACGAAAATGACTTTATCGAGAGACAGTGGGAAGAGGACATCCAGGAACAAAATTTTATATCCCCATATCTCTCTTTGTTTCTCACGTTGGCCGCGTAGCCAATGCGGCCATTTGTACGTTACCATTTCATAGGTGAAGCCGTATTCATTTGCGAGATGAGGAAGCAGAGATGTGAAAGATGGAGATAAGAATTGTTCGATGAACCAGAATTTAACGCTGTGTTTGGTGTTTTTCATTACCGAGACCATCATGATATTGAGCATGCGTTCGTAGAGATGGCCACTGGCCACGGAGAAGATATTGATTTCTGCGTGTTTCTCAGCCGACTCGCTTTTATCTGTCTGTTTGACGCCGACACTCGACAAGACGCCCTGAGCAAAATTGAGGCCCTTGGATACATAATCCATTGCTGATCCCGGTCTCGGTCCGGTCTCCAATACTTCTTCATTCTCTTGTCCGGGTTTTCGTGACAAGCGAGGGAAAAGTGTCTTTCCCTGGAACGAGAGTAATGCAACTTCATTCGTACCAGAGCTCTCTTGTCCGCCGCCAATGCTGTCTAGCTGGAAGATATCCCGACTGCGTCCTTCTTTAAGCTCAATCTTCCAGAAACCGGGCTGTGCTTTGAATTGGAAATATCCCAAGTTAGCCATGACAATGGTATCAGCAAAGAAAGATCCCTTCTCGGTCTCTAACAAGAGCTGGACACCGCGTGGTGGGGATCGGAGCGTCATGTCGGTAGAGTGTCCCTCAATCAGGATATGCTCCAGTTCATATATTGCGTCAACATCAGAACTGTCTTTTATCGCACTAAGCTTTATATTGTCCAAGTCGTGAATAGACCACTTGGGTGCAACAAGCCAGGAGGAAGGGACATCCATTCCCAGAGTCAATAATGCGTCTTGAGGTAACCCATGGAATGAAGCTTCCGGGCGAGCGAGAGCTCTATTCTCATCAAACGTCGGCTCAGATTCCAATACGTGTCGATAGAACCGTTTGATCGGAAGTTCTGACAATTGGCCATTTGGAGCTAGGTAAATTCGCACATTGACACCAGCCAGCTTAGAAAGCGTCTTGAGGATAGGAAGCCATTTCTGCGAGATCTCTGAAGTCGGATCGATAGCTGCTGCAATATTGATCGAGGCATCCTTGGTATTGGTAGAAGCATCAACAGCAGAATGGGTACTGTTCCATCTCTTCCAAACGTCCACTCGGTATTTGGACCTCTGCTCAAAGACGCCTTCAGGGGCGTCAGAGTTTGTCGACAACATAACAAGGGAAGTGAGCTTGGCAAAGTTCAAGGGACCTGCTACTTTGCTCTCTATACCGAGGTCCTTGAGAGCTGTGGAGACGGGCCCGAGTCGTTGCGAGGTTTCGTAGGAGAAGAGGGCCTCGATATCTTCCTCCTTGAAAATCACGGATGATGGAAGTGGTCCAACGACCCTGCTGTTGAAAATGAGACTGGAAGAACCGGCTGGTAAGCCAATATCCGTGACTAATTGCTGAACTAGAGTCCAGTAAGCCTGTTCTTCCTCTTTTTTATCGGCTTGATGTGTGTTATCACGCGACTGTATCTGAGTAAGTACATCGGCAAAATCCACGGGTTCTGGATGACGCAAAAGCTCATAAAGTTTTGACGGAATGCTTCCCACTTTCTCACCTGCATCCGAGCTATACAGAGGAACTATCTCACTTCCCGGATGCGTCTGCCGAAACTTCAAAGCAGATAGCAAAAGGGCAAGGCCATGCTCGGTATTGAAATCCGCTACAACAATAAGCTGCACATTGCTGGCAGTATGTTTGGGATCAGCAGGGAAACGAAGGATTTCGGCAAAATCATTGTGTAAATCAGCGACACCACAAATATCAGCGATGACAATATCGCTATCATGTTCGGGTACGATCCATTCATTACGACTCTGTGCAGCTTTTGAAAGGAAATAATCTGGAACATAGTCATCGTCGCTGAAAGCTCCTTCAATGAGACCCTGCTGGATGATTTGTAGATCTCTGCTTAATTGCATAGGAAGCTCTTGCATGTAGTTCCCTCCACGAGACATGGCAACTCCGTTCACCAAGGTTGATGGTGAGGAGCCTTTGAGATCCAAGCGGTTCAGATACTTTTCTGTATTGCTGATAATGGTATCTAGTGCATCGGACTGAAGCACTTCTTCAAACGAAAGGTTTTCTTGACCAGATCGCAGAGATCGCTCTGCAATAGCAGCGGTAAAGGACGGCTTATGAGCCCGAGAGACTTTTTCGGCAGATAGAGACTGACAGAGTTAGTAACTGACGGCGACCTGAGAATAAAAGACTTACTGTCTCCAAATACTGCAACATTGAAGCCAATCCGTATGCCTGATGTAGATAATGCGCGATCTTTGCCTGAGCCTTGGACTCTTCAGAGTTTGTTGTCAGAACCAAACCAAATCGAACTGGTATCATTCGTTTGATGAATGCGTAGAGGTACTTGGCAACGAACTGAACATCGTCAGTGTTTGCAAGGTCGACAGGAACAACGACGTTCTGGACATCTCGACGAACAGCAGGGAATTGTCCTGGGTATGTGGGTTGCAGTAGCTAGATAGACTTATTAGTATGTCATATTGGATGGAGAGGCTTCTGTCCATCATACCGCTTGAAGAGTTGTAGGGAAATTGGTGTATCTCTTATCCTTTTCCAGATCGTTCAACCAAACAAGCACTCCGCCACCCTCAATCTCGTCACGCCAGTCATAGCGTTGCACTTCACTGTTCCCCTGCACCTCAGCCAATGCAGGATAAGACAAAAGATCAACAGCTTCGGAAGCAGACAATCCAATCTTTTGAAACTCGGCTAACAGCCGTCTTTCCCTTCGTAGATATTCCAACAACGAAAACGCATCAATTTGTCTAGCATCAACATGCAACCCATTAATCCACATCGCATTTCGACCTCCAGGTAACCCAGCCTGCCGGTTTCTCTTATATTCTTCCAAAAACTGCTCTGAGGCGTTATACGCCGCAATAGAAGAGGAATATTTCGGGAAATCCTGCGAAAGTTTGACAAGCGTCGCAAACGGATCTGAACTATCGAGCACAAAACTGGCCGCACTCATTCCTAGCTTCGCTACTTCGGAAGATGATAATGGCTTCAAATCTAGAGGCGATTCGTCTTCTTCCGCATCCAGATCTTGCGCACTTGGTGTCTTCGCATTAGACTTGGTGGTGTCTTTCTCTTCAGCTTGTCGGTCATCAATCACGATATAATCAGTTCTCTTCAGCGTCAACTCGACACCATATCCAGACACAAACAAGGGCCGAGAAACACCATCATGAGCCGGACGATACCGCACTCTATACGCAATCTGACCCTCATTTGCTAATCCCTTCAAAGTCCGATGATAATCCGCAAACATGGGTGAAGCAATATCCGCATAAAGAACCGCCGGCGTAGCAAATCGATCTCCTAAAGTCCGATCAAAGGGTAATTCACGAGGGTCCCGATCACCAGAGACATCCTGCTGAGCGCGTTCAAGGGTAGAAGAACAGTACTGTTTGCCATCCATATGCACCCAAACGGGGCAAGCAGCGTCCTGAGCGGTTCCCAACGTAGATTGTACGGAGGTATTATAATATTGATAATGGGCTTCAATTCGCGGCGCAGCGGAACGGATGGCGAGTGCGAATTTAAAGGAATCCAGACTTTCTTTGCTTTGTAGATGGTTGTCTTCTATGAGTACTTGGAGGAAGGTTTCGTAGAGATCTTTGTCGGTGGTGGCATCTTCAAAGGTGCCCGTGGCGATGCGGTCGAGGAGGGGGAAGTATGCAGAGGAATTCTCTTGGGCTGCTGTTTCTCTGTTTTTAATACCATGTTAGCTGACACCTTGTCTGAATTCGTGTTCCTGTATACGTATATATAGACGTACAAGAGTTCCACGAGGTATGGGCCCGCATCGAATGAAGCTCGCAAGGCTACGTTGACATCTGGACTTGCGACAACTGATTGCGGTTGCTGTAGCAGCACCAGTAGGCTTGTTGCCAAGGCGAATAATGATGCCCGCATCATTTCTGTTGGATTGAAAGCTGTCTTTTGTTTTCTCTTCGTGGTTGGCGATTGGCGATTGGTAAAGCTCCTCCAGTTGAATCCGGCTCGGTCTCAAGACCTGCGGTACATGAACATGATGCTTGCAAGAAGGCTTGCAAGCGGTAATGAAAGAGATTCGAAAATTTCAATCTGACAGGGAAATGGTCACAGAAGAAAAGTCAGCAATAAGCTGTATTGATTGATTGAATAGGAAAGGACGTTCGACTGGACACCTATCGATAAACGTGGTGTTGGAGCATTGTGATTGGTGGGAGCTACCCCTTGTCCATATACATACATTTTTCATTTTTTTACACATGATGCTGAACTACTATTTTGCATACTCTTTAATTCTTTCTTGTAAATTTCCATTAATTTCATTCGCTCAAGTCCTAGAATACAGCTCCTTCATCTTCTCCAGTACAAAACTCCCACCTTCTCTCCTTCACCTTCTGAAACATGCCACACCAAGGAACTCCGCCATCAAAACCAAGAGGATACAAAGAGATCAAAAATACAATCGTGTGAAGGTTGTCTCTCTCCTAGAAAGACAAGATCAAATAAAACTCCGCACCGAATTTAACTCCAAATCACCAGGTCCGCCCAATGCTTATACGCAATGCAAAAAGACGATCAAATCGTGCAAGTAGTTTTGTTTCGGGTCTCCGAAACCCGTATCTTCTCCAACTCTTCAGGGTAATTCTCTTCTCTCCTTTCGCTTTCTTGTAGGATTGCTTTTTTTTTCGTTAATCGTTTCAAATCATTCAGTCATTCGTAATTTGGTGCCGTGGAATGGCAACCATAAGGGATATGTCGCCTGTATCAATCAAGATTTCACACCGCGTAGCCTAACTGTGGCGTTCCTCTTCCGTCCTCAGTAGCCTGAACTTCAGCTTGCACTTTCTTTCTCTGTTTGGCTTCCCAGATCATTTTCTGGCGCCTCATCTCATCCACGTCGAAATTTGTCTCGTTGCTAGAACTGCTAGCCGATCGCCTACTGACCAGGGCGCTCAAGGATTTCTTCTTGGACAATGCCGGCTTGATCTTTGTTGTCTCCTTGATATCTGGACGAGAACGGATCTTGCGAAGTTGGTTGCTGATCCTCTCCAGAGTGGATTTACCGGGCCTGCTGTCTGGGGTTGGAGAGCGAGACTTCTCAGATGGCGTTACCGCACGGCTGTTTGCAGAAGAGAAGGACTCGTTCATCGAGGAGGTGAAGCTGACTCCAGAGTCGGCATTGCGCCTGTGGGTCTTGCTGCGTAGTTCAGCCTCAAGATAGTCGCGATCTTTGACTCGAGTACATTCATGAATCGTGTCATCCGCAAGATTGAGGAACTTTTTCAAAAATCCGTGTACTAGGGGCCATGCGGTTTCATCTCCGGGACGAGCTCCCGACTTTAATAGGTTTTCGAGAGCGACTTTGCCATGTTTTTCGAGAGTTCTGATATTCTCGAAGAACAACTGGCGTTGACGTGCAGTCTCGACTTTGTCATCGTAGTCGAACTCTGGCTTAGGAGCTTTTGAGTCTTGTGCTTGGAAGTTGAATAGAGTGTTTAGCATTGACATGCAGGCAATCTTGTCGAATGGTTCCAGCCACAGCTCATTGATTAGAGTCTGCAGATTGGAGTCAGCAAGAATCACTTTCATGATCCACAAGGAACACAAGATGGAACTTACCCAGCGACGCAGGCTTAAACGCAATTTCCTGTAGATAGCAACGGCGTCACGTTCTTTTGCTTCAATGGACTCGATCCAGCGTACCACCCCAGGGTATGTCTGCTTGAGATCCTGTTTGTAAACTTCAGAAGCTCGAATAGTCAAAGATGGAGAAGTGCTCAATTCCACGCCCAAGCTCTCAAAGGCGGCGAGAATCTCCTTCTTGCGACGAGACTCGAGATTGTTAAGATAGTCCAAAGCTGTTAGCGCTTGGGGAAAGTCGACATGCTCCAAGGTCTCTGCAAAGACGCGGCGCACAAAGGAGATCGTGAATCCCACAGGGAGATTGTATTGGTGTGGACCCTTGGAGATGTGTGAGATTAGCTGGGCCTTGAACTGAGACGCAGCATCGGCAAGCGGCTGAGTCGAGTTCTGCATGGGAGGGTTCGCAAAGTTGGACTCTCTAAAGTTCGCACCAGGTGACAGAGGAAGAGTCTGACAGTTAAGAGCATAGAGACTGCGAAGAGGGATCTCGTAAGAGGTGGGATTCAGCATGTAATGCTCCAGGATGTAGGGCATAGCTGAGCCATCTGAGCCAGCAATCCCCTTTGGTTGGGGTTTGGAGGAAGAAGACTGCTCGTCCATGATGTTGAAGATAAGTCAATTTGAGTAACTAAGTAGAAAGTTGCTGCACAGAAAAGAGTGGCTGGACAAGAAAGTTACAGTGGTGCTGTGTCGGCGATCCAGAGTGTAAGCGAATGAGACGAAGCTCCGCGACGAGGTTGATATAAAAAAAAAGAAGAAGAACAGTAGGTTATGTGTGGGAGGAAATATTTCAGTATTTCATTGACAGTGCGGGGTGATATCAGCTTTGTTGCTGTTTGTTTTGGCGAGATGTCGTCAGGAGAGGTGTCACGAAAGATGGTGGTTGTTTGCAATTTTCAGTGCAGTGCTGGTCGGAAGGAACACTGGTTCATGACTTTTTTTTCCCAGTAAAAATGAACGAGTGGCTGGGGATATGTCATGTAGTAGACTGGTTTCTTGAGACCAATTCTAGACGAAAAAGGATTGTTGTGGTTTAGATGACAGCAACGTCCAGTATTTGAAAGATGGACGATGTCAATCGGGTGCGATAGTTCCAACGAACGAGAAGTATCGACTAGCGAATGAAAGAACTGAGGCTTCTAAAAATAATCCGATGTTTGATTGTGCAAATCCAATCGAATCTTCAAAGAAGGATGGATGAGCAGAAGAAAGAAGAGCAGGCAGATAGAAGAAAGACGTCCGTCCAGATGGGGAAGTGGAGACTCTCGCGCACCAGCCAATTCGTGTGGATTGATTGATCTGGGGTTTTGGCAAGAGGCAGAAGTAGATATGTACGTAGAAATAGAAATAGAAATAGAAACGAGAAGAGAAGGAGAAACAAAAACGTTCTGATGGAGAGAGACTTGGAATATTGGAAGTGGGCAGACGATGGGGGAGTGAAAGGCAAATACAGACCGATTACAGTACAAGGTACCGAAAACACGGGATTTACTATGTATCGGGCGGCTTTCTAGCGTCCGGTCAACGTATGAGAATTCATAGAATTTTTTTTAGTGTTTTTGTCCAGTTGAGTCTTTTTCCCACTGGCTAGGCCCGACATGGCTAAGCATGTCTTGCTAGTTCGTGCTAGACGATTCCGACAGGCTGGCCAGCAGGAGCCTAGATCCAGACAAAGCAAACACAAAAAATGGGAAATTCCGGGATGGCCTAAAGCAACGACTCTTTTGAGATGGAGTTGGCCAACTGTCGCCGTCGTACAGATGTGTACGTTTATTCTGTGATAAAGTTACATGTAGTAGACCCAGAGATAAGGGTCAAAGTAAACAAGCGACCCATGGGGAAGCAGGTTCTGGTTCTGGTTCTGGTTGACAGACGCGTACCGGTCTTACACTGACTGCCGTTACAGATCCACTCAGGAAGTGGCTGCATCTTCCGCGACGCGCTAGAATGACATTTCTTTTTCATCGTAGAACCCCAATCTCTGGTCTGGTCATCCCGGGCAAAGGAATATTCGTACCCTATCTCGAAGGTTTCACAGCGAGGCGTTGATATCAATATCAATGTACTCCCGCTGTGCATTCCTCGTGGGGTGGTCTCACAATGTTCAAGTTGATGGATGCTCTACCCAATATAGAAGCAGCCCCAGTCTGTCGGGTCGGGACCACGGAAGCCCAGCGCCACGCCATCCAATCGACTTTTTGTGTCTCCTTGCCTCGCTAAGCTGGAGTCCATCGCAGCTTGCCGTCCATGACTAAACTTTAATAACGTCCATGATCGTAAGTTGGCCAGTGCGATATACGTATTCAGATCCCGCCGGGCAGTGGAAAGTTCGAAGCAGCGACATCGGTACCATGAGGTCAGAGGCACAAACCCTGTAATAAGTACGGAGCACAGAGACAGAAAGAGAGAGAGAGTGAGTGAGACTGAGAGACTGAGAGACCGAGAGACTGAGAGAGTGCTACATCACATACTGTGCTACCTTTCCCTGGTCTGTGTTGATGACAGACAGCAAGCGCCCCAAATGGTAGATAGTCACCATATCGCTGAACGCGTTACCATCGGATTCGCTCCAGCAGTAGTGTTGAAGTTCGTGTCACATGAGAATCCCATCCTGTCTAACTCGAACGGCTTTCAGAATACTCCGCCACGAACATCTCGGCGAATCGCTTTAGGTGCGGAGATCTTGACATGATCGTATCGTCTGCAGGCATGTAATCGCACGGACGACGTATGTTTCGGAAACGCTTAGCGATGCCGTGGATTAAGTGATATATCGTATGCTATACGGTACTCTTCAATGAGTCCATGTCGAAGAATGTGATATACCTTTCGCACTCGTAGGACACTGGTCTTGCATCCGCACATGGCCATATAATCGATCGACACCTGCATTAGCCGTGGCGAGCGTATACTTATAAAACAGTAGAACTAGTACGTGAAGTCAGCGTCAGTCCTCAGAGTATAAGCAGCCGTACTGAGGTTTCAGCCACAGAACCTCTCAGGTCGCCAAGACTTGAGAGTTGATGATGGTAGTTTTTGCTCTTGCTGTAGATGCAAAAGAAGAGAAAGAATGGCCGAGCAGAAGTGACCGGATTAGGCAGTGCTTCCAAAGAGGGAGGAGGGTGGGTAGCTCCTGCCATATCTGATACTCTGTTCCTGGATGACGCCGCTATCTCCGCCAGGCAGAACAGAACCTCATTTCTCCTTCCTTATTATTTTCTCCTCTACAATATACACAAAATCACAACTCCGAGCTTATCTTTGCTCGTATCCGATATTTCCGAAGAACACTGCCGTCAAGTAGTTTAGGGCAGCTTACGAGAATGTTGCTAATTGCAAACTGATACAACTGGTGAGACCAGCATGGCTGCTATCTTCAGCGCTTCTCCACGCTGCACCACGCCGCACAACTTACTGAGGCACGAGTCGGTTACCGGCATGCCAGGTTTGGACAAACCAAGTTTTATCTGATCCACCGGGCTAATGAGAGTTCTTCACAGGTAAAAATAAAGTGCAACTCCCTGAGCCGCAGATTGAATGGGGTAGAGTCCAAACCATCCTGCGGCACTCCCTGTTTGACCACCTCCGAGTCTCAACCGCCAAATGCAACCCGCCTTCCCGCTTTAGGCATGTATTATACACCCATTTCCATATGAGGCCAAAACTGCAATGTGTACCTTGGCGCCTACTCAGACATGGAATCAATCGCATTGATATCTCCGCGTCGACAATGGTACCACTTTAATCACAATCCCATCTATCTCTCGCAGCCCGGTCGCGGAGATCTGCTTATTCTGCGACGGTCTCATCCTCAGAATAGTCACGCCCAGTACTCTCCTGGACGGTATGTCTTAACCGAGATGAGTGTTCTTTTGGGAGAGTGCACTGGCTTGGCACATAAGTAGGGTTCTTTCTGTCCGGATTTGAGCTCAGATTTTCTTCTCCTCATCATCGCATTCACTCTTTGCTCTTTATCGATCTTACTTTCTTGCAAACAGCTGGCTCTGTTGCTGTGTGCTGGGCTACTCTCTTTTTCTTCGATTCGAATACTGGTTGGAAGTCACTCTTTCACTCTTTGCAATTTTGCTTCATTGCCTTTTTGAACTCTTTTACATTTCCACGTTGATCGCGGATATTCTAAAGTTCACCAACTCTTCTACATTGGACATCTACCCTCGCATTTACCAACTCAACGACTTTTCTCAATCTCATCAACATGATGCTTCCTAAACAGCTTCTCCTCGCTCTAACTCTATCTTCCAGCTTCCTCGGAAGCGCAATGGCAGCCGGGAACGGTTTCAATGGAGGAAACAAGGGAAACAACGGAAATAACGGTGGAAACAATGGAGGAAACAACAATGGAGGCAACAATTTGGCACTGTCCCCCAATCTAGTTCAAAAGGGTAGCCAGCAAACCGGCGGTAATTCCGATGGAGAAACAGCTTCTGCTACGTGGGTGACATTCCCCCTCTTTTCTAGTAGTTACATGCTAATGCTCTACTCTTAGGGACAACGCCAACTTCATCAACTTCTGTCAGGGAAAGACCCTGACAAACGGTGCTCAGGTTCAAGGTGGATCTTGCAATGGCATTGGTGAGTTGTCATTATAGTCTCTCTGCATGATCATACACTAATACACCATCCATTAGTTATGGGTGATATTCCGGCAAAGAACAAGATGGTCTCAACCGTTATCTTGAACCCCAAGAACATGCAAGATCTCACTCCAAATCAGCAGTTCAATGTCCAACTGCAGGTGTCTAATCTCCAAGCTGGTGCTTTTACGAACGCCACCAGCACGTACTACGCAGCACCACAGGCTGTTAACTCTCAGGGCGAAATCATTGGCCACGTTCACGTCACCATCCAGGACTTGGGCGGCAACATCAACCCTACTACCCCCCCTGACCCGACAACCTTTGCCTTCTTCAAGGGTATTGATGATGCTGGCAACGGAAACGGTCTCTTGCAAGCCACCGTTACTGGCGGTCTCAAAGCTGGCGTTTACCGTGTTTGTACCATGTCTTCTTCTTCTAACCACCAGCCAGTTCTTATGCCAGTAAGTCATGTCATGTGTCCATCTAGGATATGTTACTAATGGGAGCTAGGTTGCCCAACGAGGTGCTCAAGACGATTGCCGATACTTTACTGTTGGCCAGGGTAATGGCAACAATGGGAACAACGGTGGTAACGCGAACAATGGAGGCAATACCAATAACGGTGGTAATACTAACAACGGAAACAACGCCAATAATGGAGGAAATGCCAATAACGGTGGTAATACCAACAACGGAAACAACGCCAACAACGGAGGCAATGCTAACAACAGTAACGCCAACAACGGAAACAACGCCAACAACGGAGGCAATGCTAACAACAGTAACGCCAACAACGGAAACAACGCCAACAACGCCAACAATGGAGGCAATGCCAACAAAGGAGGTAATGCCAACAAGAGTGGCTTCGGTGGTTTCGGCGGCAGCAAGGGAAATTCCGGCAACGGTAAAAATGTGAACACCGACAGTGGATCCGCTACGTCTGGCAGCGGCAGTAGCTCTAGCGACGCCGCAGCAGCAGCAAGTTCCAGTTCTGCCGTTAAGCGAGGCGGAAAAGGCCGTATGAACGATGGCAAGGGAAAGAGATCGAATGATCGATTTGTGTTGCGGAAGTTCATTGCTTAGGCTTTCAATAGTTGAGCAGTCCGAGCGATCGTGATGCCGGGGGAGAACTATGGATTGGAGAAACGTATGGTTTGTTCAGTCTGTACAGAATGTATTCAATTCGAACCTTGGAGATTGAGCTGTCTGTATGTGGTGGTTAGTTAAGGTCGATATCTGCTGGTTGGGTAGTGATCATTACGGCTTATGTCCCTTTTTTCACTTAAATCAATTAAATCATACTTATTGTCGAATCTACTATAATGCTGGAAAAGATCATTGCTGTTGATGTTTGATGCATGCTACAGTGCGATAACATAACTTAAGGGTTTAGATAAGATTAGATAAGGAGACGTCTCGGGCCAGTCAAAATAATATCCGCAACTTCCTTCACCTTCAGTATTCCAACTGCACGTCACTATATGACACATGTCTCCAGCAAAACTTGGGAGTAATCAAATGAGATAATATTGCATGCTAACGAAAGAACAAGTCGAAATACATTGCCAAGCTGTCGGAGAGTTTTTAGCCTGGACCTACAACCTGCGACAGCGCCAATGCAACTTTCGCATCACGACCATTGACTCGCGACAACCTTCGAATCAGCCAAGAGGCGTGGAACATCCCTGCCGTTGGGCGTATGATATACACCACATTATACCTCTCCAGCTCCAACAACGACGCGCAACGAAAATGACGACTACGACCCCAGCAGCTCCGAGCAGCACCACCCCCAAAACAACCCTCTCAACACTAACCTTTGAAAAAAACTCAAACACCAAATTTCTCCACATTCCCTCAAACATCAAGAACAAAAAATACCGCATTGAGAAAAGACCTATCCCCCGCACACCAGTGGCATCACCTTATGCCGGCGCTAGGGTCCCGAAAATCGTGTACGTGGGTACCAAGACACCGTTCATGAGTGCCGTGAAACGGGTAGAGAAGTTATTACGATTAGCGGAGCGGAGGGCTATGGGGCCTGTTATTGGAAGCCGACGCTCGTATAACAATAATCAGACAGCTGGGAGGGGGAAAGGAGGAGAGGTATTGGAGAAATGTCAACGGAGACTTGGAGAGGATAAAGTTCTTGTCAAGGCTACGGGTAGAGCGATTGAGAGGGCGTTGAGTGTGGGGAGATGGTTTGAGGAAGGGAAGGGTGGTGGCGGAGGGATTGAGTATGAGGTTGTTGTTAGGACGGGGAGTGTTTGTGTTGTTGATGATATTGTTGAAGAGGAGTTGCAAGATGATGAAAAGAAAGAAGAGGAAAAAGATGTATCAATGACAAATACCGACGAGAATCCGGAGATGAGTTCAGAAGAGAAAAGAGAAGGAAAAGAAGAATCCAAACATCAACGCCGAAGACGTCGAAGACGAGAACGGATTCGAGAACAACGTCTCAAAGCCTTTCGGGACGAAGATGGGGAGACGCCCGAATCGCGGACGAGATGGGTTAATATGGTTGAGATTGCTATCAGCATGAAGTAACTGACTCTCTCTTGTCTAAGGTTCAGGCTGGGTTGGAAAGACTAATGGATTCATCAGTTCAAGGTCATGTACATACATACAACTAGTCAAGTGGAATAAATAGATACAAATGAAAGGAAGAGTGTGGCAATTCCTCAATATTTCGTCTTCGTCTTGATCTGTATTGAACGGAGGATACATATTATGCAGGAAGAATACATGAAATAAAAGAGGGAATGACTGGTCCACTGACTGAACTCGTGGATGTAGGAGTAATAAGAAAAGAGATGATTTCAAAGACAAGGACAAGACAGGACTAATGATGGAAAAAAAAATCGCAAACACAGAAAACAAAACACCGTACCCCAGAACGCAAGAGAGATAAAAATTTCCTTGAGTCCATATCCTCATGAAAACAAACTTTATTGAGCAATGCAATCAATATGGATATTTAACAGACAACCAACAAAAACAAAACACGAGGAGTATAAAGAAAAGATAATGATTCTAATTCTCCCTTCGCAAATGCATTGCAAACCCATAATTATTCCAAGTCATAGTTCAAGTCATTTTTATACAAGCTCTGGCTCGGCTCGTTGTAGTCATGGTATCGAAAGGAAATTATCTCTCGATCTTTTGCCAGCCGTTAAGGTATGCCATCAATCCGATTCCGAGAAGGACCACTCCAACCATTGACGCGTACGGACCCGAGTGCTCGAGCATATTCGGTTTTCGTTGTTGCGTCAATGATGTTACTGCATGCTCTAACTCTTTGATTTTGTGCGGAGAGGGTTGCTTGTGGGTTGCGCGGTTTTCTTTCTCCTCTGATTTGCCAATACCACGCAAATCGGTGACGGCAGCATCGACTTCTTCATCTGTAAGAGCAGACTCCTTTGTTTGGGCGGCAAGTTCGCGTTCTTGTCGGATCGTTTCAATCATTTCGGCAAGAGTCTTGCGCACTTCAACGGTTTCGCCTTCTGCTTTCTCGGCACGTTGCTTGAATGTTTCAACTTGTTGTTTCATCTCTGCCAATTCTGTGACCATATTATCGAGTTGTTGTTGCAGCTTTTGGGTTTGCGCATCAAGAACGGGATCTTCCAGGCTCTTGGATTCTACGACCTCAGCCTCAGTACTGGGGGCATCCAGAGTCTTTGTAGCTTCGTCAACCTGCGAAACGTCTGGCTCGACATCTTCACGCTGCTCATTGGGTTTAGGCTCGGTTGGATGCTCAGCAGCTTCTTGTTTTCGTGATTCTTCTGCATTTTCACGGGCTGATCTTTCCTGTCGGAGAAGTTCTTCCAATTCCTTTACACGACTGTTCTGGGCTTCTAGCTCCTTCTTGGTGAGCGACAATGCCTCGATCAAAGAAAGAATCTGACTGGACTCTGTCGACACTGGAGATTTTGATGCACTATCCTTTGAAGGTTTCTCCGTGTCTGACCGCTTCAAACTACCTGTAAGCGGATCCGGGGCCGATCGACGAGCGACATCTGGTTTTTCAGGTAATGGTTGCTGGGGAGGCGGGGCAGGAGGTTCCGAGAATCTAAGTGGATCAATACGAGACATCTTCGCTCGCCCATTCATCTGTCTGTGGTTGTTCTCAAGTTTATGATTGAGTTTATCCTTATCAGAACCGTCTGATGAAATGAGCGTCTGCAAGAATTCGTCTGTTTGGCGAAGGTCTAAAGCTTGCTGCTTCGCTTGTTTGATTTCGGTCTAAACCAGTTAGTGTAAATAACTCCTACCTAGAAGATAGACACTTACAGTAAGCCGTTTGACAACATGTTCGATCGTGATGGGTGAAATCCAATAGTTCATCTGCCGTTGTTGATGCAATGCGCTCATCTGACTGCTTGCTGCACTTTGCACGCTGCGGTTGCTTAGTGAAGAACTTGCTCGGCCGCGCAGGTGCACGACAGGTTGACTCAACGGTGAGGGTAAGAGACCTCCGCCAGAGGTGGGATCGATATCGCCAAAGTTCAAGTCGAAGATATTCGGTCCTGTGTTATATATTCCGGCATATTCAACTTTTGCCGAGACCTTGTGATGAACAATGGATTTCTGATCCTCGCTCACAATGTCGATACCAAGATCCAGCGCGTCATTTTCCCGAAGCTCGTGCGGTTCGGATTCTCGACTTTCAGGAGACAAGCGTTGGCCATTGACGAATGTTCCGTTCGACGACTTTATATCACGAATCCAGATCTTTCCCCTTCGATCGGCCCAAATCTCGGCATGTTGTCGTGATAGAACCTTTGAATCAAAGTATCCATTGACAGGCGTAGGAATAGTCTTTGCATTCGTCTGGCGACCAATGCGAAGCACTTCGGGCATATAAGGCACAGTGATATGTTTCTTCTCAAATGTGCCGTTCAAAGGGACAAGTGTGAGAATGGCAGGCGGGTCTGATGAACCCTGCATGCCAGAGGCAGCGGACAAGCCATTCTGCTGAGGTGACTGAATCATATGTTGCGACGGCACAGGCGACGGTTGGTGGATAGCGGACATGGCAGATGAAGCCGTGGGACCACCGTTTGTTGACGTGGATGCTGATACCGGCTGAGACCTCACATTTGTTATGCCAGAAACTGGCTCAGATTTTGTGGCAGGCCACAAGCCACGACCGGCTTTCCTTTTGGACGACCACGTAGCTGATTCGCCGTTCGTGGATGTACCATTACTGATATGCGACACAGTATTTGTCGATGACGTCGAAGCGTTCGACGATAGCGATGAAGAAGAATTGGATCTTTGCACACTCTTTCGCGGCATAAACATACGGGACACGTCGTCGGTGTTCATTGAGCCAAGAGCCGCCTGTCCTCCGTTACCAGAAGAATACCATCCTAGACGAGGCCCCGATTGCACGCTAGGCGGCGAAGCAACAGCAGTCATGAGGAGAAGGGATAATTAACGGTAGTGTGAGTTGAAGGTGATGGCAAGACGCGCGTTAAACAAAAGCCGGCCAACGATATTATCTCATGTAAAAATATGCAAATTGACGCAGAGACGCTAATGTGACCAACATTAGGATCGTAAGGTGTATATGAGATGAAACTATGTGTCGGGGAAGAACGCGAGTTCGTTATCTGTTCGGGAGAGTAACTGCTGACTTAGCACATATTCGCGACTAAGAAATGCCGGACAGATATCATGATTTCGAGAATCCACCACCGGCCCAGTAAGAAAGAAATACCTGAGTGAATGCAACCGCCGATTTCTGTGCAAGACGTATATTCAAATCTGTGGGATATCCGAATTGGTTATTGCGTTTTCCCGAGTTTTGGGTCGGTTATTATCTCCGCAAAGTACGTAGGATCGACTCAGGAGGGCCAGAGACGGTCGGCCACCAGATAGGACGCCGGACACGCCTTCAGCCAGCTTTCTGAAGTATGCGAGATTACGTGTGGTGCAGATGTCGACTTTAATCAGTAGTAGATGACAAGATAGAGATCCATAGATCGACTCGCGGGGGTGGTTTTCGCCTCAGAGAGAGGTCTCAAGACCAGAAAAGCGGGATAGTTGATTCACTGGACGGAGTATCTCGCCTCACGTTCCCCCATCCTCTGTCCGTTGCATCGGCCAGGTCACGTGTGCTAACGTTCCAGCCAATCAGAGAGCCAGCGCTGCCGCACAGATCACATGCTTTCCGTATACGGTATAGCGTATGTAGAGATATTGCCATGACATACCGCCATGCAAGAAGGTGTTGGCGACCAAGGAAACATACGATCATCGAGAATCTTTGCGCCTCAGCAGTAACCGCTACTTTCTATTTACTCTGTTCAAGGTCATTTTCTCGAAGTGAAAATTTTATTCAATATGCCTGTCGTCGCCGGTCCGCCCCAGGCCCATGGCCCTTCTACTTTTGAGAAGAGTGAGCCCAGATGAACTATACATGCGATGATTGCGCTTGTCATGCTAACCTTTGCGTCTCTTAGTGAAAATGGGAGCTTTAATGGGAACTTGTATGTTAAGCTTTACTTATTTCGAATCAATTGAGCCAAACTGATACCGACTCTTTTCTTCCTAGCTGTCGGCATGATTATGGGCTTCATCGGCGGTATGCGATTGCTATGGCACACAACGAGATGGATTTGTCTGACTGGAGGTTATACTAGGAGCCGTTTCTATCTTCCAATATGGTGCTGGACCCAATGGTGTTATGCGCACTTTGGGAAAGTTCATGCTAGGTTCCGGAGCGACTTTCGGGTATGGGTTTATCATTCTTTCCATCACTTGTTTGTCGCTTGAAAGTTATGGAACTTGAAATACTAACTTCTGGATTATAGAATGTTCATGTCTATCGGTAGCATCATCCGGACCGAAGGTCCCTACCACGAAGCCTGGCGCCGAGCCCACGCAAACCCGATTATCCTTCCTCGAGAATCCCAAGGACGACGATGAAATGGGACACTGACGGGGTTACGATGAGGGTATATAGCTAGGAAAATAATCAAGTGTACATTATATTATACAAGCGTATTGGGGTCAGACTAGGACCTGGAAACTGGTCACTTTTTCTGTCGATGTAGTCTATCCCATGGCTACTTTTTTGTGTGTGTGTGTGTGTGTGTTTTTCTTTTTCTTTTTTTTTTTTTTCCTTTTCTTGCCTCGATCACAATTCATATCTAATCTTGACGACGAAGGAGAGCAGTGGTAGGCGGTGATAGCTTCGAGTTGTGAGATTGTATATATTGGATAGGAGCTTGTGATTGACAAGTTTGGCGAAATTGAGTGGTAATTTCAATAAAGATTCGTATCCCGGCAATTAGATACGGAAAGAAATGAATAGCGAGCCAGGACTCTGTTGATGGTATGGATATAGATCTAAAAGTCAAGAGAGAGCATACCGTCAAAGGAGAATGGTTGCAAGACTAGATTGCATGACAGCTTATCTGTCTTCTCTGCGTCATAATCGCATGTGCTGGATCAAATAGCCACCTTGAACATTAGTTAGTCGTGCTGATATCATTAACAATCTTTTCTGAGCGAGATGGAAGCGAGCCATGAAGTGATTGACGGGAGTATAGAAGCACCGATTTTTTGTAACAAAACTAAGCTGTCCGCTATAGTCTCATCATACTGACGGCGTCCTCACGGCTCTGTTGCTGTTCAGTCTGGAATAATGCTGCTTCTCGTTGAAGCAGGATCGTCGGTTGTTCAACAAATCAAGTAGTAGTTCCAAGTTGGCATGCTCGTATTGAACTTCTGCGCAACTGCTTACCATTCCTAGAAAGTTGCATAGTAATATTACCGGTACTGTCGATCGTGACCATGCTGTACAGCTCTAGATAGACAAGAACAGCTGTGAAGTTGGTGTGTTGACTGTTGAGCTCCCATGTATGAGAGAGTCAGAACAAACTGGATGCCGCCGAGGGGACGGCTATCCCTCATTCGGAAAGCAATCATACAATACATACTATGCAAAATAATACGTAATACGCGTAAGTAACAGAATGTAACGCAGGCAGTGTCGGTAACTATCGGTAATAGACGTACAGACAGTCATGTGAGATGCTAGTGGAAGCCTAAAAGAGCCTGGCCCAGGAACGCGCCACGCTAAGGCACCAATTTCCGCTGGCAGCCAATCGGAGTCAGCTATTCCCCGAGGGCGCCATTAGTATCTTTTTTTTCTCTGAGGCCCTGGAACTCTCTCTCTTGACTTGGTTGCCCCTGGCAGACCACATTCTGGTGATTCAAACATGGCGCTTCCTCCTAGAAGGGGCTTGACGCGATGATACAGCTGGTGTCGCAAGATTTGTTTTCCGATGTCGACCCGAAACAATTGGCGCGCCTTGTTTATTTTCGGGCTTGAGAAATCAAAGAGGCTATTCCAGGGCCAGTAGAAAGAGTCCGAACAACTGGCCACCGTCCATTGATTGGTATGCATCTTACGTCAAGACGTGATGAATCACGAGAAAAATGACAAGGAAGAAAATTTCTTCATCGCTTCGTGGCCCAATGAACGAAGAACTCCGTAGGGATCTATGATCCACCCGGGAGAACCCACATGGATATGGCCCTGTTTGGCCTGGTCTCTTCTCAATTGAGGTTCAGATTTCATGCTTACTATGTAGATTCTTTGCCTTCTTACGCGGGGTGAATCGGACTAACTAATCTGGCTAGCCCGGGCCTGGATGGCTAATAAGAGGCGCATTTCCCCTGTCACGCTCCCTCCTCTCCTCCTTCCCTCCCACAACGTTCCTTGCAAGTATAGCGTCAACCAAGGCCTACTCGGCGCAGTCACTCTTTTGATCAAAAAACGTTCGAGCTGAGCTCATCACCACTCTCTTCCAACCATCAACTGGACATATTCCGAAAGAATATACTTCCAACGGACATACCTTCTTGTTTGCCGACTCGCACTATCCGCCTGTCGCAATCCGAAACTTGTCCAACCATCCAAAATCCGAGTCGGTCGCTCATATCTATCTCCTTTTGTGTACCCCTCGTCGCCTGGCATCCTACGGTTAACACGTCGACCGCGCGATCATCTCGCTGAACATATAACATCTATATTCGATACCCCCAATTCAGTACATACGCGCTTGTCGCTCTACACAAAACCATCAACATGAAGTTCTCCGTCGCTGCTGCTGGCCTCTTCTTGGCTGTCTCCTCGTTCGCAAGCGCCCAGGATACCTCGACCATCACCACCACCCACACCATCACTCAGACTGTTATCCACGCTTCCACCGTTACTGCTTCTAGCAAACCAGTCTCGACTCCTGTTGCGTCGCCTTCTTCCACGCCTGTGCGCTCGCCTTCTAGCAGCGTTGTTTCTCCTACCTCAACCGGTAGCGCCTCGACCACTGGGCCTAAGGTGCCCTTGTCAACCGGTGCCGCCGTGCCATTGGCAGGCAGTGTTTCTGCCGCTCTCGTTGCTGGGTCATTCGCTGCTTTGCTTGCTGCTTTCTAAGCAATGTGCTAGAAGAATAAGCTGATTCTTCTCATCTTCTTTGCTTCTTCAGCCAAAGAACCCTTTATCTTACATTTTTTTCTGAAAGCATATCACATGATATGCCAACCCATTAATTCTCTTTCAATTCTTCCGGTCATGTTCATACTATGACTGCCGGCAATTCATTGCCGTTATACCTTATTATTCTATTTGATATCACGAGTCCATGCTTACTTTGTCTATTCAGCCTGTGGCTGCGACACCAAGTCAATGCTTCCGGGTGAGAGTGTGACAATGCAATGAAGAAATCAAGTCAGCAAACGGATATGGCGTGGGAGTCTTTTTCTTTTCGATACCTTCATGATGATGGTGGCTGGCTTTTTTTATACCAACAATTTACCTTTTATATACCATATGTTCTCTTCTTTGAGCCATGCCATGGATGTATGGATGAGATTTGGGGTTTTATTGATTTATTTGCAACAATATCATGTTCAATTCTTGTCCAAATGAATCTTCAGGTAGTCGTATGTGTGTTCCCATCTCAGGCACACCTTGTACCAATCTCCGTTGCGTGCTTAATCGGGTCGATCTTCGAGTAGCTTGAACAGGCTTCTTTTTTCCATCGTGCTACCCAGTGGGGTGGAACGAACGATCCAACCCGTTCCAGCGGCTTCGCTTTAACTGCCCAGTGCCCGTCGCTATCCAGAAACAGGCTGTTGTGTACATTCGTATCTTTAATAAGCCATTTACGTAACATGCTTGGGCATTTTTGGGAATGAGATGTCATTGACGTCGTCGATAACGATGGCCTCCCCTCGCAGGTCAGCCCAGGATTCCGGATGCGGCCATGCAACGAACCGTTTCAGGGATCGAGAGTACGGTACCAAGTCCATAGACCGTATACTGTCATGATTTGAACCGGCGGGTCTGGGACGATTCTTTTCCAGAAGAGCAAAGGTGGTAGTCCCCTTCAAGATCTTCAATATACGGCCAAGTGTCGGTGTCAACATCTTATGTTGGCGGGTTCAAAATGAGCGGTGGACAGCCGACGTAGTAGAAAGCCACATTTTCCCAGGCAGAAATTCAATCACGAAATTCAGTGAAAATTTTCGGGTCTTCAAGAAAAAAATCTTTCTCATACCCCAAGTCTCTCTTGTAGAAAACATCGGAGCTTGTCAGGGTTTCAAAGGGAAACACCATTCGGGACTGGTATATACACAAGGAATCATAGGCATATCTGTAGCTGGGGAGCAGCGCACAAATCGGCGCTTAGTATTCAGTTCCCATTGATTTTCGTAAACTCCGAGTAATTTGGGATCCCTCTCAACGACTATGTTGCGTGATTCACGACAAGACAGAGTAAAATTCAGCATGGCGGTTTCGGTATGTTCTGTCTCTGGCTTCGGAAACCATGGCGAAGCGTGAAAGAGTCCGAGTTTCATGTTTTGTGAGGGCTCTTGTCTTCATGAACCTTCTCCTTTCCCTCGCAGTTTGCATGTTTATCGCAAGACTTCCCGGTTCGGCGCGCCAGCAATAGTGTTATGTTGTTACATTGTGGTAGGCGACTGTGGCGTGGATGAGGCGCCCTGCTGTTGCATTATCGAGGGCATAGTGCCATATTATCTGCCTAAGCTCTAGCAGCAGCTGTGGGAATAGGTAAAAAGATTGTGGAGTTGATTGTCTAGTGGTCGATATATTGGGGCTGGTAGTTGTTGATGTTTTCTACTCTGGAAACGTATTGATATATTGTATTGTTCCGGTATCAATACATGCATAAATACTAGCGTCTGCATAACAACTGACTGTTACCTGACATCATCCCCGCATCTTTTTTTTAACCCATCAACAATGATGAACCACTTCTCATCATCAACACTCCTTTCATCCCTGGACAGTCGCATACTCATCTCCGACATGGGTAGTATTATAATGGAGGAACCATGAAAATCATACCAGGCATGTTGTCGACCACCAGAACAGAACCAATCTACATCCCCACCGAAATCATCCTCCAAATCGTCTCCAGACTCGATCGCAGTTTGCGTGGACAAGAACGTCAACGAACGTTATACAACATTTGTCTAGTATCGCACCAATGGTACTCCGTAGCGTTATCGTTCTTGTATTCACGCCCGCGGCTGGAAAAAGGGAATGCATATCGAAAGTTTACAGACGTCTTGTGCCCTCCGGCCGGGCTGCCGAAGACGAGCAAGGATTATAAGGATCTGGGAGGGTTGGTGCGACGGTTGAATTTGAGTCGATTGGTGCATCATAGTTCGAATAGTATGACAGCTAGGTTGATTGGACGGGTTAGGGAGAATTTGGAGGTGTTTATTGCACCAGCAGCGGGGTTTTCGTAAGTGACATCAAGTCGAAGTTCTTGCTTAATTATGCTAACTACGACATAGAGTCAACTGTCTATCCCCATTATCAAAATGCACAAACCTGCGATACCTAGACCTCTCTTTGGTACATGAACCGCTCTCCTTCGAAAGCATAATTAAATCCATCCGCTCCATGAAACGCCTCATCACTTTCCGCTCCCCAGCGTCGATGCGAATCACCCATGAACCATTCTCCAAACACACAGAATACCCCAAATGGCCACCAAACCTAACAACGCTCCAACTTAGCGGCACAATCGAAACTTCATCAATGGATACCTTCCACTGGCCCGAAAACATAACCCAACTCTGCCTCAAAAACTGCCTCACCTTATCCCTCGAAGTCATGACCGCTATACTAAGCAATCCACAACTAGGCACCAAACTCAAACGACTCACAATATCAACTTATAACCGCGGCCTACAACCGGAATGTATCCATCTGATTCCAGCGTTTTTACCGAATCTAGTCTTCCTCAGTATCCCCGGCGATTTGGTGCAGGATATGTTCTTCTCAATGATCGCATACCAATGCACAGAGTTAGCCCTCGAAGTCCTTGAACTTGGGCATACCCACACCGGCGAAAGATTCGATTTTGAGATTCAGTCTCTTATCGATTTGTTGGATTCGAAATTGCCGTATCTTAGAGCTGTGGGGTTTCATACCATGTACGGCGAGTATCCAGATCTTGACGACGCGCTATTGGAGAGGGCTGAGGAGCGAGGAAATGATTTAAGGGTATCTGAGGAGACGGAGGAGTTTGATGTTGGGACGTATTATTTTGATTGAGCGAGTTTATACCCATTATTTCTTCCAAGTTGTATATATTAGGAACGTAGTTATATCAAGTATATATTATTAAAACACTGCTCGACGAGTAGATTAATCGCTACTAGGTAGGTTCGTCTCTTCCAAGGTTGTTTAGAAGGATAAAGGTAAGTAATATTATTATCTACAACCCTAATGCAAAAGGGAGGGGGAGAACAGAACAATTATCTACTACCCCAACCAGAAAAACAAATTCATAATCATCACCCAATCCTAACATAGAACAAACCTCAACCTCTCAATTCCCTTTTTAATAAAAAGTAAAGAGACGATATAAGGACAAAACGAACAAATGGCTAAAAAGGAGAGAAAGAATATATGCTTTTCCTATAACAAGAAAAAAATGGATACGGAAAAAGGGAACATTCTTCTCATCTAACTAACCGATGTGACAATAGCAGCTGCGAATCCTTCCTCCTCTGATCGGATAGTAACCTTTGTCGTAACACCTGTTCGAGCCGAGAAAGCCATTTTGACGAGTCCGGCCACGCGGCCGCCCGAGACTGTTTTGCCGTATAGTTTGAGTGTATGTGTGGTGTTACTGAGGGCGACGTCTGTGCCTTCGAGGGGTTGAAGGGATAGGGCTGCGATAAGTTGTTCGGTTGCATCTATGTCCCGATTAGTAGGAGGGTAATAAACAAGTCAATAGGATTGAATCTTACCGGCAATACTCTTAACATTGCTGAGTTGGAATGTCTCGCTAGCTTCCTCGCCGTTGGCACCAGTCTGTTCCCAGACATGGTCAAAACTTCCGGCAAAAGCAGGAATGACATAGTCACTGCCTGTAAGGTCGAGATCTTCGACTTGGTATTCATCTTCATAACCGGTGTCCTCAGGCTCGCCAGTGGTTGGGTCGACCTCCTTGCTGGTGAATTTGAGATTGTTCGTAAACGACATCGTAGGGAAACTGTGCTCTCCACCGGTCTTCTTGAATGCTACGTAGACAATACCAGGTTCGTTTGTAGGCAGTTTCGGGCATGGTACAATGAAATCTTCCTCCAAGTCATCCTCGTCATCAGTCGGTGTCGCTACTACCGTCACATCTTCTAGAACAGTGTCTGGTAATGTGTTCTTAAGGTCATATTGCAAGACAATATGCTCCTTGAAAATATGTTTGACTGCAGAGACAACGTATTCGGTCTCGCTCTCGGTGAGCTCGACCACATTGGAAGATTTGAGGAGTGTGCCGTACTCCTTGAGCTCTGGGATTTGCATGAGCTGTTCGGCATATTTCTGGGTAGCAGCGACAGCAGCTGCGCCCTCCACAGCACCATTGGCCTTGGCCTTTGTCGGAGCCGTTGAGGGTGCTTTGAGAGTGGGCGTTGCTGATGTAAGCTTCTTGGTTCTTTCTTCGGCAAGTGCTTGCTCATGAGAGACCACAGGAATAGATGAAACGTCAAAGGCCACTGAGAAGGCTTCCTTATCCGTAGCAGTGACATACATAACCAGTTGGTGTTCGAATGTGGAAAGCGAGTACATAGAATCTGGCAGAGTTAGTAAATTTTCAACCACGACGATATATCAGGATACGAACCATTCTTGACAAAACGATTGGCAACTTCATCCTCCTCTTGCATTAAACGAAGATTAAGTGCCGCGCGATCTCGCACTTCATCATCTGTGTCATCAAGGCATCTAGTGAGCAGTACGGAAACACTACGCTTCACCTCCGGATCTTGCTGGCCAACACCAAACTTGGCGAGTGCGGTAACAGCGGCGGCACGAACAACAGCGTTTTCGAGGACGACACGGTTATAGATATACCGAATGTATTTTGTGGGTTGAGGAGTCTTGGGACCTTCCACGCCAAGTAGATGAAGAATTCGGACAGATAGCTTGGTGAATTCGCAGTCCTCAATGAACTCGCAGAGATGTGCAAGAGCTATTATTGTCAGTACTCAATGTTCTTAAGTTCAATATATCCGCAACAAAACTTACCATCTTCTTTGCTGCCTGGAACAAACTTGATAAGATCAAACATGCTTTCAACAACACTACGCTTGAATTCATAACCACCTTCGTCGCGCAGGATTCCGCTAAGGAAAGTGAGCATGCTAGCCTGCTTGCTAGGGAACTTCAAGCATAACGTTCTGATTGCTTCCACAATGGTGATCTTGAACTCGTCTGTGATATCTGCCATGAATCCAGAGATCTGCTTCATGAGACGATCAACGCTGGCTTCGTTTCCAGTCTTGAGTAACGTAGTAATGGCGAATGTGGCGATCGAACGGTTACTGTTAGAGATGAGCGATTCGATATCCGGATTGCATTGGTTGACAACATGTGGCTTGAATGAAGCGAAGCTGTGCAAGATTCTGATTGCGGCGAATTTGGTAATGGCGCGCGGAGACGAAAGGAACAATTGCAAAACATGGACAGCTTGCGTGGCCTCTGCATCGGTCACGTCCTTCATGTCACAGATAGCCTTAGCGGCCTCAAAGTTAACCATGTCGTGCTTGTGTCGGAGCCAGCCATCAAGCAATTGCATCATTGGTTTCCTCAGACCCGGGTCTTCCTCTGCAAGTTTCGCCGCAAGACGCACAAGTAAGATCACAGCAGCTGGACTCTTGACCGCACCGGCCGCTGAATACTGTTGAACCATCTTCACCAATGCCATCCTGTCATGAGACCGCATCTGATACAGAAGACCAATGGCATGATATTGTGTCATGTAGTTGGTCTGCGAGATAGCATGACTCTGGCTAGACGAGAAACCGAGAAATCCAGTCGACGTCTTTGATGCGGAAGCAGCTTCTTGTGTCTCGCTCTGCCATCGTCGAACAACATCACGCGCAATCGGAAGCAAGTGGTATGAGGACACTAAAGCAGCTGAAGAAACGGAAGGTGTTTTGTCAACAATGGCGGTCTTGATCAATCGTTCGATACCTTGGACGGTAGTAGCCTGGTCGACGAGCGTTAGAGAGTAAATCTTAACACAAACCCAACTTCAAGCTTACATCAATGATACGGCACAATCCACGGATGGCGTTGGCTCGGTAAACAACGTCGCTTCCAACCGCAGTATCTTTCATGATAATACTCGTTGACATGATAACATCTTGGGCTGTAGTTGCGAGTTCCTTAAGAATTAGATATACCATCTGACGTAAAGAGGGATCTTTATTCTGAAACAGCTTGGAAATGCCGAAGAAGAGAGTTGTGGCCTCGTCGGATGGGAATTTCTCGCCGGTGAATAGGAGGACGGCGAGCTTTGTGAGTAGGGTGCGACATCTTCGCGGAGAGATCGGTGATGAATTGAACAATCTTGCTGTATGTGTCGTCAGATATAAGTATATCTAGCTAACTAGCAGCCGGAGCTGTTGGTCGACATCCAGACTTACCTTCTTGGAAAACAGTGGTGCGATCAAGCTTGATCATAGCTTGATCCGCATCTTCGTCCTTCTTCATATAAGTCATTTTGGCTTGCGTGTATTAATACCGCAAGGTAAATTATCGATCGTAAACAGCTCTATCCAGCTATATCGGAATTGTGAGTCGTATAATTTCGCGAAAGGAGTATTGGGTTGTGGAGGGGGCGGTGTAACCAGGCCTACCGCGCCTGCATTCTCCGGGAAAGGATTCGATTGAGAGTACGGGTGTGCGTGGAGTAGACGAGATGCAGAGTCTTGCGTTGACGGTCAATTGAGGGAATCGTGTGAATTGACAAGGAGGCGGTTGTTGTTGTTGCTGCAACCCACTAGTAGTACACTGGATCTATCTCCAGGTGTCCTTCCGAGACTCCTTGTGTGGGCACCAAACACGGGACTTGCCAAACAATGCAAACATGCGGCGTAGTGGTGGCAGCATGAACATTAACTTCAACGTCAGGCAACATTCTAAGAATTGAACAGATGAGCTTGGTTTAAGAGACGGTCTACTTTTTTAATCCTAGTAATTGATCGAGAACCTTTATTCATTATGGATATGCCTGTGAATGTCCCGGTGGATAATCCCGAGGCGGATACTGAGTGGTATGTATGCTTCGCATTCATCGACAAGAGTATCAAGTCTAACGTACAACGATCACAGGAATGATATCCTTCGAAAACACGGAATTATACCTGAGAAGCCTCCGTCGCCGACACCGATCATTGAAGAAGCTATTCTCGAAGCTCAGCGACGGGCTCACGAAAACCGACTCGAGGACAAAGACTTAGACGAGCTCGATGCTCTTGAAGATGAAGAAGATGAGGGATTTTTGGAACAATATAGGTGCGATGATCAAGTAAACTGTTTTTTCCAGGAGGGTACTGATGTTGAATATCAACCAGAAAAAAGCGCATGGCTGAAATATCCACCCTCCAGAAAGCAAGCGTCTACAACCAAGTCTACCCTCTACAAAAAACAGACTACGCCAAGGAAGTCACAGAGGCTTCTGCAGATGCCTTTGTTCTGGTCAATTTAACCTCGTCAACTGGAGGAAACACAGAATCCCGCGTACTGAGCGAGATATGGAGACAGCTAGCACCCAAATACGGCGAAATCAAGTTTTGTGAAATCAGAGGCGATATGTGTATAGAAGGATATCCGGATCGCAACACTCCTACGATATTGGTTTATAAGGATGGAGAGATTCGGCGGCAGTATGTGACGTTAAGGGAGCTAAAGGGCGTGAGGACGAAGGTCGAAGGTCTGTTCTTCTTTCGACAGGAAGATAATCATATGCTGACATTAGCACAGATCTAGAAAAGGTTCTTGTGGATCTGGGTGCGATCAAGGAAGGAGATCTGCGACTCAGGAAGCAAGACGATTCCGACGACGATAGGAATCGGGCTCCTGAGAAGGAGGAAGACGATGACGACGATTGGGATTGAGGCTCTCTTTTAAGCTTATATTCTCAAAATCCTGAAACTGCAGAGGAGAAGATATGAGTACTACCATTACCGAACTCAGTTGATTCCGCAGCGCGCGAGTCGAAAACGCGGGGCAATCGGCCTATGTCTAGAGACCAAGTTCTTCGCTCGACGTTGTATACAATGAAGGGACACATCCTCATATTATGTACATGTATTATAATGTGCTAGTGCGAAGCAAGCTCAGAATTATGAGCGTTTGAGTCTCACTCTACGACGATCTGCAGCTCTTTCAACTAACTTAACTTATGTTGTATCAGTCCGATTAAATCAGCGCAGTAATTAATTTAATGGGATATAGGTTTAATGGAATACCATAGATCAAATTAACCTGAATAGAATCATTTGTCAATGTGGTGGATGAAAATCTGTGTCCATAAAAGAGTTACCTAAGTTAACCTTTTCACTTGTTATTTAAGATACCGCAAGCCCTAGCCCTAGCCCTAACTATGTTCAGTCTTTCAGATTAATCTTAAACCTCTTCATTCAATATACACTTTCTTATACAACGAAAGTATATCTTTAGATCGAGGCATTTAGACCCAGGGTTAAACATCATTTCTACAAAAACTTTAAGCTCGACACACTATAGGGTCAAAGACATGATAGTGGTACCAAAAAGACCTTCAAAGTTCGTGATGCACTAACTACCTAGGTGAGCAGCGGTGTCCAGTACAATATGGATCAATTGCAGTAATATAACCATCTCATCAGCTGGGGCACTCTATACCCATTTACCTAGGTATACTTAGTCCAACGTTTTCCGTTTCTCGGGCGCAGCGAGAGCAGACAATGAGATCAGTATCACAATATTGCCTGAATCTTGCTTCACAACATATGAGACCTAGTTAAGACGAGTTGATTGCGCTGACGTGATCTGTTACCAAGCAAGTGTAGTCACTACTACCGTAGAATATGCTATACTCATCGTTTGGAGACTGCCCGGTGCTCAAAGCATCGCCCCATTGCCAGAATAGATCCGCACCAACGGAACTTACAGCGGTTGATTGCCAGGGAGCCTCAGAGCGGCAGTGGCTTGTGGATCCATACTCTTCGAGAAGGCATGGCTTCCCAGCGTTTTTGCAGGCTTGGCCGTGGGCTGTAAGCCAGGAGGAGCCCCATGAATCCGTCTCACTCCCTATTGTGATGCGTCAGCCCTTTACAATTTTTTGAGAGGAAGAGAGTCTTAACTGACATTGACTTGGGTAGAGGTGAATAGTTCCAAGATCGATGGTGGGAATAGTCAACGTTCTTTCGAAATCATTTCCTTCGGAATATCCAAAAGGATAGCTACCATCCGAGCCAACCTTCAGACCCATGCCTTCTACAAAGAGAATCAAAATTAGTTAAGATACACCAGTGGACAAATTTTTAGGACTGAGTATAAAATTTACCGTCGCCAATGCACACCATGCGATTCGGCTCAAGTGACTTGATATACTGGCTTGTTGATTGAGCCCAATTGTAGATGATGTCGGTGCTACATCCATTGCAGCGGGGCTCATTGGCCAATTCCCAAGCAAATATGGCAGAGGAGCCAATGTAACTACTGATAACCGTCTTAATATACGTCTTATAGGCGGCTTGAGCTGCGTCATTTGTATACCATCCGGTTTGGTTGCCTCCGTAATTCTTCACATATGCATTCATACCACCGTAGTCATTCCAATTATTCACAAAGTTGATAATCAGCTTGATACCATGAGCTTCAGCAGACTTCACAACATAATCCAGACGCTGCAACCCATCAGGGCCTGTATTGATCGTCTGCTGACCATTTGAAAGAAGCTGAAACCAAACCGTGCCAGAGCTGGGCATAGAGTTAACGTCGTTGAAGCCCCAAACCCGCAATACCTTGAGGCCCGACTGCTGCAAATGGCCCATGACCAAATCAACATCGGCATTGTTTGTGAGAAAGGGAAGCCAGTACGAATTGGTGCCGGCAAAGTACCCCTTTTTACCATCAATCACAAACTGGGTTCCGCTAGTGCTGGGGAAAGAGCTGGCAGAACCAGAGGAGCTACTACCTGCTGGACTGGTAGTGCTGATGGAGGATGTCGATGAGGATATGACAGTGGATAGAGTTGTTGCTGAGGAAGAAGGGCTTGACTGTGGAACGCACTGGCTATACCACTGGTTTTGATACGAGCAGTACCAGCCTGCATTGCAAGTGGTATCTCCACTCCAGTTTGTGCCACCACACTGACCCCAATCCGCTGTCTGAGAGACAGCGAAATGGGCTAAAGAAGAAATAACAATAATCGAAGACTTCATCTTGAGGAATTCGGGAATTGATTCCTTGAATATCTGTATATCAAAATCTCAGCACGAAGGCTAGCCAGGTGCCTTATATAATTTTCTCTACTTTAGCTGAGTCCTAATCCCTTAGTCTCTCATGGCCCTTTTCTTCTAATGTACAGGTGCATAAACCAAATTAAACTTCCTGTATTGAAACCTCCTCATTTTCTGGGATCGGCAGCTGTAACTCTACCCCAGACTCCCCAGATTCGAACATGAAAAAAGTTTGTCGCCCGCTAAATCCCCGAGATCATGCCATGCTGCCAGAAACATAATTGATTCCGTTCTCGATTAGGATATGGTGGGCATCCGGTTTCCAAATTCAACACGGAGGAGACGGAATGACCAAAACAGGAACTGTATACCACGAAACCCCGAACAATCTTGTGCTTTTCCTGACGGACGGTCGTTTTTGGATGTCAAAGTCCGTGTCCATTCTGGCTTAGTATATTCCTGGGTATGAGTCTTTTAGAGGCTATACCATGTTCAATATGACTATAAATCGATTCCCCATGGCTTCCCCGGATCTTGATCATGCGTGCTGCCCCTTACTTTCAAGACTACATATCGAAAAGGTCTCTTGATTTGCAAACAATCTTAGAATGGAGCGGAATGAGAACATCGAAGGCAATAAGGCCGCTATAGCCTCGGAGGAAGTGGTAGGTACAAAGAGGAACATTCAATAGCTGGATATTGCTGAGAAATTACTTCAACTATAGGAGCACACTACTCTCCGGGTGGTTACTGGCAGCGGAGCATTCAACGAAGCCCTGGTCCAGGAGCCTCCTAAACTGAGCCATCCAACCACCATCTCACTGTTCCTCTGTCTGCTGGTCGGTTTCTTTTGTCAGACAATGAACGGATTTGATGGAGCGCTATTCAATGGACTTCTCGCCAACACGGTTTTCCTCGACCACTTCCACGGTAAAGATTCAGGGATCTGGGCTGGCATTGTCTCTGCTATGTATCAGATTGGTGGTGTCAGTGCTCTCCCCTTTGTTGGACCTGCAATTGATACCTGGGGTCGTCGTGTTGGCATGTTCCTAGGTAGTTTTCTGATTGTCCTCGGTACGATCGTGTGTGGTCTCACTATTTCCAACGCAAGTGCCGGCCAATTCATGGGAGGCCGCTTCATACTCGGCTTCGGAGTCTCTATCGCCGCTGCAGCAGGCCCTATATACGTTGTCGAGACAACCCATCCTGTCTATCGGGGCATGGTGACGGGTTACTGCAATACCTTTTGGTTCGTCGGTTCGATTCTTTCGTCTGGTGCTGTTCGTGGCGCGATTACTTTGCACACCAACCAATCCTGGCAGATTCCCATTTGGCTGCAAATGGTCTTTGCTGGCCTCATTATTAGCTTTTGCTGGATGATCCCTGAATCCCCTCGTTGGCTGTATGTTCACGGGAAACAGGAGAAGGCTATTGAGACTTTGACAAAGTGGCATGGCTATGGAAATCGTGATTCCCTATGGGTCAAATTACAGATCTCTGAATATGAGACGCATTTGAACGTTGATGGCTCCGTATGTTTTCTTCCCTATCTCTTAGAACGCACTACTGATATACCGTAGGACAAAAAATTCTGGGACTACCGCAGCTTATTCAACCGCCGAAGCAACTTCTACCGTCTCGCGTGCAACTGTGTCTTTGCTATTTTCGCCCAATGGGCTGGCAATGGGGTCTTGACCTACTACATGGTTCCAGCCCTCAAGGGAGCTGGATTCACTTCCGACATCACCCAAGCCAACATCAACTTGGGTTATTCTTGCTTCCAATTCTTCTTTGCACTTTGTGGTGCAGCCTTTGTCGACAAATTAGGTCGTCGCCCTTTGATGCTCGGCGGTATGGCTGGTTGCTGTCTGGTTTGGGTCGCGGTCCTAGCTGCCTCAAGCCAGGTATACAATTCCAGTGGAGTTCTCAATAACAATGCTTCCAATGCTACACTCGGATTTATTTTCATTTTCGGTGCAGTCTTTTCGTTCTGTCTCACGCCACTTCAAGCCTTGTATCCGGTTGAGGTTCTATCATATGAGATGCGTGCCAAGGGCATGGCCTTTTCTGCCCTTGCCGTTAATGCCTCCGGTCTCCTCAATCAGTTCGCTTGGCCGGTTTCTCTTGAGAAGATTGGTTGGAAGACTTATATCATCTTCGTCGTCTGGGATGCCATTCAGACGGTCATCATGTACTTTTTCCTTCCTGAAACCAAGAACCGAACAGTATGATCCCTTCTCAATATTTATGATTCGGCTTGCTGACTACTTTCTAGCTTGAGGAACTTGATCAGATTTTTGAAGCACGTAATCCTGTGAAAGTGTCGATTCGAGGTACCGAGATAGCAGTAGACCAGAACAGCCGCGTGGTAGCAGTGAAGGATGATGCTTAATCTCTCAAGTTGATTCATGGAAGTCGGTGTCCGAATTCTCTCCTGGAGAGGACCTGGCAGTTCCATGGCATAGTCTTGTATTTTCATTCTAACCTTTTCGAGCTGGATATTATGATCTAAGAAGTTGGAAGTATAAATACAACATGGACTACCTATGTAGTATACAGTCAGCTGACTTTTTAAACCAGCCTAAAAAAATCAAAAGAAAGACCTTGTATCCTATAACGTATCATTAACATATGCATGTATGCCTGAAATAACTTTTCAGAGAAATACGAAAGGTTAATGTCCACCCCATAATCTGATGAGGTGGCTGGCTGATGAGACGCAACTTTATACCGAAGTGGTATCCTCATAATTCGACAAGTATAAAGTCCACTAAGCGTAAGGATTCCCAGGTTTCCGTAATCAACAGGACAATATTTCTCTCGTGTAGAACTATTCAGAAGACTTCGCTCCCGGCTCTGGAATCATCACCATGAGCAACCAAACCTCCTCTGATCCAAGACACAAGCCGATCTTATTACAGAAACATGAAGCCTTCAAAGCTGTCATGTTCAACAATCTTTCTCCGCCTCTCGTATGAGGGCACCTCCCGGCTTGACCCTGAGCTGAAGGAACAATATGACAAGCTGCAAAACATACTTTACGACATGGTAAATACGATCAATACCGAGATGGCTAGCTTTATCTCGGACTTCAAACTCATGACTGGGATGGATGTGGCCGAAAAGTTGGAACAAAGATTAACGGTGGCCAAGCAGAATATCAGCAACAAAATGACCCAGCTGACGGATCAGGCTATAGATATAATTGACAGCATTCCGGGAGAAGACAGTCAAAATTGTGCTGCTGACGTTTTTTCGGATGGATTTGATTTGGTTTCGGCAGCAGTCAACAAGTATGTATGAGCCTTTAATGAAGTCATCAGAGGCGTCGTTAGGGAGGATGAGGATGTTTTTGAGAGAGATTTCGACACAGTCAAGGGGGGTTGTCAATAAGACTCTCTAGGACATTGCTTCTATATTTGGCTCGGAGATGTAACACGGTCCAAAGATGCCATGTTTCATTCCCCTCCATGTTAGCCTGACTTACTCATCTTACTCATTGAGAGAAAGCCCTAGTCTACTCGGAATAATACGTATATGCCAGGAGAAAATAATGTAATTAGCATCGCTTCATGTCTATGCCGTGAAAAGGAGGGGAACATCGACCTCCGCCTCCCACTTTCCGAAACAGGGCAAAGAATCTAAACTCCGTGACCCTTTCGATTAAGCATCTCCACATCCCAGTCACTTCGCCTACAGAAATACGACAACAGGCTAAATAGATGCATCCAATATAAATGCTAGTGGCGGTATAAAGGTCATGAACTTTGCTTAAATCGACTTCTTTGTGCGCGGACATTATCAGGCGGAAGTGACGGTAAATATGGCCTTTTTCGAGAAACGACTGTCCACTGGATGGACATTCAGAGACGTAGATGATGAGGGATCAGATGCGTGGATGCCAGTACCATCAATTCCCTCTACAGCCCAGCAGGATCTTATCGCAAACAACAAGTTGGTCATCAGACGACGTTGTCTAACACAGTAATGGCTAACTCCCACGATACAGGTTGGAAAATCCCTATATCGGATTCAACGAACTCAAAGCCCGCTGGGTCAACGAGAAATCCTGGATATACCGACATGAATTCGAACAACCCGAAATACCCGCCGATGCGACAGTGGCCCTGGTATTCGACGGTCTAGACACATTCGCCTCCGTCACACTTGACGGCCAGAAAATACTCGAGAGTGACAACATGTTCATGGGCTACCGGGTTAATATTACCGATATTCTGATTGCCAAAGGGCCGCATGTGCTAGAGATAAAATTCGACTGCGCTCAGTTTAGGGCACGGGAGATACGCAGCCAACATCCTGATCATAAATGGGTTGGATTTAATGGCGATATGGCGCGTTTGGCTGTACGCAAAGCCCAGTATCATTGGGGCTGGGATTGGGGTCCGGTCATTATGACGGCTGGAATCTGGCGTGAAGTTCGCTTGGAGGTGTACTCGGCTCGAGTAGCGGATCTCTGGCCGCAGATTACAAGTATTAGTTCTGATCATCAGAAGGCGAGCGTCACGATGATTGCAAAGATTGACGCAGCGGGAATTTTGGAAAGTTGCACTGCTTCCTTCCGTCTGACTCTACGAGGACAAGAACTCGCACATCAGGATAACATCTCCGTGAATGCTACTGATCAGACTGTCCAGGCGGAATTCCAATTGACTAATCCAGAACTGTGGTGGCCCCATGGCTACGGTTCTCAGACATTGTACGAAGTCTCTATATCACTTTGGTCCAACGGGAAAGAGCTTCATAAGAAATCCAAAAGATTCGGTATTCGGTCCGCTGAAGTCATCCAACAGCCAGATAAGCATGGAAAATCATTCTTCTTCCGGATTAATGGAGTCGACATTTTCTGTGGAGGGTCCTGTTGGATTCCTACTGATAGTCTGCTGCCTAGCATAACTGCAGAGCGGTATAGGAAATGGATTGAGCTTATGGTAGCGGGCGGACAGATGATGATCAGGTATGAAGAATCATCTTTTCTAGGATTTCCGGCTGACCGTTTCAAATAGAGTCTGGGGAGGTGGTATCTATGAAGATGATAGATTTTATGAGGTTTGTGATGAGCTAGGCGTCCTAGTATGGCAAGATTTCATGTTTGGTTGTGGCAACTACCCAGTCTGGCCTCGGATGAGAGAATCTATACGACAGGAGGCCATCTACAATGTACAACGCTTACGCCATCATCCTTCAATCGTAATCTATGTCGGTAATAATGAAGACTATCAAGTCCAGGAGCAGGCGAAACTCACCTATCACTATGACGATAAGAACCCTGAAAACTGGCTCAAGACAGATTTTCCAGCACGTTATATCTATGAAAAGATACTCCTAGAAGTGGTAGCAGAGCACTCACCAGGAACATTCTATCATCCGGGTAGTCCCTGGGGCGATGGGAAAATCACATCCGACCCTACTGTTGGAGATATGCATCAATGGAATGGTAGCCCTTACCCCCTATTGTCTTTGACTCTGTGACCCTTGCTAATGTGTAGCAGTATGGCACGGAAGCCAAGAAAAATATCAAATCTTTGCATCCCTCGGAGGCCGGTTCAATAGCGAATTTGGCATGGAGGCATTCCCGCATATGTCGACGATAGAATACTTTGTCGAAAACGAGGCAGACAAATTCCCACAATCGCATGTGTTGGATTTTCATAATAAGGCTGATGGACATGAGCGGCGATTGGCGACATATTTGGTGGAGAATGTGCGTACGGCTACGGATTTGGAGGTTTGTTGTCTGTACCTATCTATTGATAAGAAATACTCATGTTTTATAGACGTACATCTATCTCACCCAAGTTATACAAGCCGAGACAATGATGTTCGGATACACGGGCTGGCGTCGACAATGGGGTGATGAGCGACACTGCGGAGGAGCATTGCTGTGGCAATTGAACGACTGCTGGCCTACAATCTCGTGGTCAATTGTAGACTACTTCCTACGCCCAAAACCGGCCTATTATACAGTGAAAAGGGCCCTAAAGTCGGTGGCGATTGGTGTTCGGCGTGAACACCATGACTGGAGTGTTGTGCACGCTCAACCGCCGACAAGTAGTCGATATGATGTGTGGATTGCTAGTAGTCGTCAGGAGGTGTTGCGTGGAAAAGTCGAGTTGCGGTTCATATCGGTTGTGTCTGGTGAAGAGCTGCGCAGTGCGATGATCTTTGAAGATATTGTCATCAAGCCGAACGGCACTACAAACGTGCTCACGAACGGGATGATAGATCACATCGCCGAGCCAGAGCCACACGTCCTCTCTGCACGGTTATGGGTAGGCGGGGACATCGTGGCGAGGGACATCGACTGGCCGCAACCATTCAAATACCTCGATTTCTCAGACCGTGGACTGGAAGTAAAACCAGAAACAAGAACATCATCAACCGGAGAGAAGCAACAGATCCTCAAAATCAGCGCACAAAGGCCCGTGAAATGTCTTGTATTTGAAGAGAGGGATAACGTGCGGCTTAGTGATAGTGCTATGGATATTGTTCCCGGTGATGAGCAGGTGGTTATAGTTACGGGACTTGATGAGAGTTCTGCTCCGTTGAAGTATCGGTATTTGGGTCAATAGTCTGTTTGTAAGCAAAAGTATACACTAGTTAGAATTGAAGAAATCCGCACCCTCAATCTGACTATCCTGAGGATCGAGATTGGTGTACAACTCCGGCCAAAGATCATTGCTTTCACCCCAGCTTAGATACTCCCACATATGCTGAGAGGAGAAATTGTCGAATGACGATGAAGTGGTAGCAGCAGCAGTCCAATCCAGAACTCGATCTCGAGTAATCGGTTGATGCTCCGTCATAGGAGGCAAGTTCTGAGATTCGATGTTTTCATTGAGACCTGCTGAATTATAGGCTCTCACAGTAGAAATACCCAAAACAGTATCCAGAATAGCCGAAATCATTTCCAGGGATCTCTCGGCTGTATGTCCATACACCCTCATACGATCCAGAGTTGATATAGCAGTCTGAACCTGCACTTTACAACTTTCAACCTCCCCATCATCTTGTGTCGCAGCAGCAGCGGTAGAACAAGTAGACAAGAAAATCAACGGAACCATAGTAGCCTGAAAAACTAACCAAACCGCATTCCACGCAATCATCTGATTCATCCCGATCGTCGAAGTCGTCGTACCCGAAATATCCTCAATCGCCATCTTGGCAATCTCACAACACCGTTGAACCACCACTCTCTCCTCATCTCTCACTGCCACAAACGGGATCTGTCGCATGGCATAGTTGAGTAACGAGGGACGATAGAGGAGGATACGCTGATTATAGAATCGCCAACGCATAACTGTTCGTACCGGCCAGATGGACTCTGGGCAAGGCGAGCAATCCTTCAGGACGGGAGGGAGATTGTTCCACCATGCTACGAGTTGAGAGTCTAGGGTTAGCATTTCCGAGTATGTTTTGGTTGGTAGTGCGGCGAGCGAGTCTTGGATTTTAGAAGCGAGGCGTATGAAGTGCACGTTTTCGATTAGGGGGAGGATTTTGATGTAGTTTTCCTGTTACTGTCAGCATATCAAAGTCTTCGGAGTTGTGAGACAAAGGGAGAGAGAGACCTTATCAAGCACCCGAGGCAGATTGACCGTAATGCTTGGACTAAAGAAATCCATACTCGGTCTACCAAGCGTTTCATGACCCCACGTCTCTAGACAACAAAGAGACCACCAAACCCGACGCTTAAATTCCTGATACCCGGTTCCAATCACAGGCAGGTTTCTATCCAAAGGGGGTTCCCGTTGCAGACCCAGAGTAACCGCCATCCGCAACGATGCACCCATGAGCGCATATGCAAGATTCGGCTGGCTGATGTAGTGACAATACCAGCCACCCATAAGCCCTAGGGTTTGAACGACTTCGAGACTGGGATTACCCAGCGTGTTGATGTTCAAATAGCTTTTTGAGCGTTCGTAGTATGTTCGATGGTTGTGGTTATCCACACCTGCAGCTGTGATGCTGCCCAATGCGAAGATGATGTTGAGTAACGCTAACCATTTGTCGTCCTTTCGGCGGTTGGACAGAAATGTCGAGCGAATGGTGTCTTCATCTATGAGTGGTGCAAAGGACTGGAAATTGGTAAAGTAGGCATCTAGCATTTGCTCTTCTGTAGGTAAGACGCCGGGTTGTTCTTGATGACGATGATGCTGACGACGCTGGTCTTTGGAAGAGAGGCGCGAAAGATGCGAGTCCAATTCTGGATGGAGCCACGCAATGACTTTCAAAGCAGCTTGAATCGACGATACACCCAGGTACGAAGTGAGATTTCGAGCCGGTAGAGATAATGCATTGACGTCGTCGGATATATGTTCAATAGACTCCTCTTCAGAACCGTCGATACATTGCGTTTCATCGTCAAGGTGGATTCGTTTCTGCTGTTCCCCCGGTATAGAATGTAGAGACTCCAGCCCAGCTGGCCTTTCAATCGACAATGTTGAATGGCGTGTCTCTACAGATGCTGAAGTAGCAATTGTCATTGAATCATGATGCTGCGATCCTGCAGCTGAACTCTTTGATATCAAGCCCAGCAATTTCTCCCTTGATAAATGAACAATATTCTCCGGCGCAGTTTCCGGAAATAACCTCTCCAATGCTTTTCGATAGTCGGATGATGAGTGTGCCGGCTCTTCTTGACTATTCTATTCATTTGAGTCTATAGTGCTCTCCTCCTTGAGATGTTAATATCTTACCCTTTCTCTCCCCATCCCCCGTTCCCGTTCGGGATAAGAACATAATTCGGCCTTTTTGTACCACCGACAAGCTTCACAGGGCTTTTCGCCGTCGCATCTTATTTTCCGTTGACGACATGATGTGCACGCTCGTGGCGTGGTGCGGCGTCTGTTGAGTCGCTCGCTTCGTCTTGTTGTTATTGACGTGGGACTGATTTGCTTCTTTGGGTTACGGAGACCGGTCTTGTTGGCTTGAGAAGATTCAAATGTGAGAAACATTTCTGACAAACGCCACTGTCGAGTGAGGACATTTGCTGATTCAGTCTAACGAGAGTATTGGCTGATTGAGTATTGAAAAGTCTTGAGTTTGTGACAGATCCAATCTTCAGGTCCAGACTTTTGAGATGCGGAGTCGACTAGGTTATTGGTAACGCAGCGGGGTTCCACTGTTGACACGTCCATATATGACTCTCACAGATAGAGCATATATTAGCGATTCCCGGCCGTTTATTCGGGATTTGCTCACTTGAAATTGAAAGAATATAGCCTATCACGTGGAAATTTAAAGGAAAGTGTAGAGACCAATTTCCGTTTTGGAAACGGAACTTCCGTGTCAATTCGGGTATGAGTAATACAAGAACAGTTTTTGGTAAACACCTATTTGGGCAGGATTATTGAGCCATTCAGCTGACATATATTTGGATTTTGGATTAGTTATAGGTACTCGGTATAGAGAAATGATGAGTCAAGTACAGCTTTAAGCTGAGCAATCTGTTATGTAACTATATGCACGTAAATAAGAAAAACTATCATTTGATATATATATATATATATAAACGCCAACGCTAAAACGCAAACCCAGAATATTTCATCAAATATCTCCCCACCAGAAAGTGGAGGACTGCAATATCCATAAAATGCGCAAAACGAAACAGGAGGGGGAAAAAATAACATATATTATATCAACTCGTCATTCCCACACGCCACACTCTCTTCGATAACCTTTCGAACTCTCCCCTCTTCAAACACCGGCCCTTGCCCGTCACACTTGGTAAAGGGTTTTAATCGTTCACAGACATCGCCGATATCGACCAGACCCTTTTGAAACAATGGATGGTTCTGTATCAGATCCCACGTCGCTTTTGTGTCGAGTAATCTCTCACCGTTCTCCGCACTGAGGACCACTCGATGCGGTAAATTGCCGGTTTTATAATCTGCTGCATATTGTTTACGGACGTCGAGGGCTGCCCAACCTTTGGGTCCGTTAATTATTGCTGTTGTCGATGACGATGCTGCTTTATTGCTGTCGTCATCGATTGGAGAGTTGTGATTGCTGCGGTTGTTGGTATCGTCGTTTATGGCCTCGCCGGTCGACGACGTGGCGCGGAGGATCTCATTTTCCGTGGCGACTTTTGCTAGTTCTCGCTTGAGACGTTCGTTGTCGGCGTGTAGGGTCATGGATTGGGCTTGGAGATCGGTCAATTTCTGCTCTAGTTCCTTGACGCGGCGTTCTTTGCGTTCGCGGAAGGCTCGTTGACTGTCAACGTTTAGCATCCGGCCCTTTGGCTCAGAGGATGGTGAGTGACAAAACATACGCAGCTCTATTTTGAGCCTTTCGTCTATCCTGTGCAGGGGTGGTGACATCCTTCTCTTCACTACTACTCCGCGTCGACGTCTGGGCGGCTGCCAAAGGATCCTCAAGAAACTCAGAAAATATATACTGTCCCAGATGGTCCGCGTTGGGATTGCTCATATCATTTGAATTGTGTCGGGAATAGTTTGCGGTGGAAGGGGAATGTTGATGTTGTTGCTGGGGAGGGAGAAGGACTGCGCCGCCGGGACCCGAGAAGTAGGATGAGCTCCCCGGGAAGGAGGTAGTATACTCAAAGGGTGTCTATTAGTAGTTAGTATATTAGTCAAGTTAGATAATGAAGTAATTCAGTTAATGTAATAAGACCAGACAATTCGAGCCCTATCTTCGACCTTCGATGGAGAAAAAAAAGAAAATTGGAGATGTGGAGTAGATTTCCATTCGATCGGCATTGCATAAGGTGAAGCACTTACCGAGGACTGTGACATGGCGGAATCATTATTTGTATTCCTATCGTCCACATTCGGAGGTGAGATTGTTGCGAACAGTTGATAGGGCTGTTGTAGCGCCGCTGGATTGAAGTATGAATAGTTCATTGTAAAAAAAGAACGAGCGGAAGGGACGAAGATTAATTAGGAGAAGCGCAAGATGTCTTAGATCTTAGGGAGGAGAAGAAGAAGATAGAGGGGTACCCGGTGGTTTGTTACGAAAGCTCTAACTCAGACTTCAATACAGATGCATTCTCTTGTCCAAGCCCGACACGTTGTTCGTCCCGTCTTGTGGAGGCAAAATATGTTTTTCCAAAATAATGATAATGATAATGATAATGATAATGATGATGATGATGGCAAAAAAATAAGAGAAAAGAAGCGGTAGACGAAGAAGCTTTGACTAAGTTGACAGACTATATATGATAAACTACCTTAATGTAAACTAGCCAGCTAGGCAGGCCATTAGAGGGAAATAATGGAAATGGAAATAATAAAAAAAAAACGCGGCTAACTCTAATTCACCGACCCATGTGATTTTTTAAATTTAAGGCGAGCAAACCCAAAGGTTCCTCTGGCAGTTCATCCTGATCCACTACGAGCCGGGAGTGGTCGAGTATGGAAGTCTCACATACTCTTACCATAGGGTGGAATTATTATGCAAGAGCGGTACACTACGGTAGTGTGAGAGACTCAGAGTGAGCATGAGCATGTCAGCATCACGTATTCCTTTAGAGCCTGGGACTTACGAGGACGACACCGGCGATTAGACTTAATCACGAAAGAACGAGAGCGAAGGAAACAGAGACGTGGACAGCGAACCACTTGTATACCACGGCCTCGGAGTGTCGACATTGTCGAGGGCGAGAACACCGAGAAGAAGCCGAGAAGACTCAATTGCAGCAGAGGCAGAATAATAGGGATCGATAAGGTGAGGATGACAGACAGACTTGGAAATAATTAACTTATCTTAACCTCTAAGTTAGGGGCTTATCGACTACTGTAAAACGGGCTTGGATGTTTCAGACTGCTGGAAGGCTTAAGTAAGGAACATGACCTTCCCTGTCAGGCTAGAAGTGGTACAACTAGAACAACTAGATCTATGATTCATCGATTAGTTACTAGCCCGCCAAGTAAAGTAATAAGAGGGCATCTTACGAGACCGTCCACGTAAGATGCAAAGAGCAAGATTAAGACGAACAGGCAATTGAACGCGACTACGGAACCGTTCCGTAAATTTGTCAGCGGGGTATACCGAGACTAGATCCATATGCCAATTCGGGCAGATATGACTCTTTACGTACATATTCTGTTTCTGGACTTAGCTGTCTGTCTGATGATTGGCGAGTTACCACCCATTGACTGTTGGGTCTGCAACTAGTGTCAGCGTATTGACCTAAAGTTTAGGCTCTGACATGCCAGAGATGAAACTAATGCAGAAGAAAGGTCCCTAAGGTAATGTTAGTTGCTAAGCCGGCTTATATAATTCCTTGATTACAGTCGTCCGCAAGGCCGTTTACGTATTTGTTCAAGTATAAAATATAGGGCATGAATATTCGCGAGACCTGCCCTAATTCCTAGTGTCTTCCTAGACTTTGATTGAACTCTATATAAGCCCATCGTATATCTCCAGCTCACGTACAGATCTACAATCTGCGTGGTGCTACGCTAGCAACGCTGCAACGGGGGAGTAATATACCATACCTTATCTGACCATTGCCCGAGTTCCCAGCAGCATCTCCGCATATGCTAGTCTGAGTAGGAACGTCCGTACGGCGTCAAAGCTGCCAATACTTAAATCACCGGCACTCAACACCACGAGATGCAAAACTCAGGGCAATTTAAGTTCCTGTGCAAGCTTCGATTTTGATTAAAACCACGGAGTCTCCGTACCCGTTCTTGGGTAAGTCTATGGAGAAAATACTTTGGCCACGAAATAGACCGAATTCCGCACGCACTAGCCCTGATAAGGTAGGATCAATGCCCGAAACGTTAAGCGGTGAAAGCAATTAAAGGGTGCGTTAAATAAGAACAATAATACCGAGACTGCTGTCAATTATTAGCTCGGAATAATTATTTATATAGGCACTGTATCTTCACCTCACCAATGACTCATGAGATTACTCAAGGAGTCGTAAATATATATATTAACAGCCTAAATATAAATATCCCAAGAATTACTATAATATACGAAGTACGCCGTACTGATATTTCCGGTAACTTCACCAAGCCACACGGCATAGCCGAGGACTGGACTACGACGAGATCACTATCGTCTCCAGCCATTCTAACTGACACGTCCTCCACACCTCCGCACCGGTGTTCACTACATAATCATCAAATTCCATTCTAACGGAGTAGATCTAAAAGCCCTACCGGTGAATAATCAATTAAATCATTCCTGTTCCTCCGGAGTGAAGAAATAAACTACGTGCTCCGTGTGTTGTAGATGGCCGGTCGTACATATTCCAACCTTTTTAATTAGCACGTTTACCTGCATTACATCATTGCACTGTACCCTTGCAATATTGCATTGCATTGGACAGCGCCATTTACCGCATTAACTCATTAACTCATTAATAATATACTACATACCCAGGTGTCAAGACTCAAGACTAAGACTTGTCACCAAAACATCGAGAAGAATTCCGTGCTGCGAGTAGTTCCTCCAATCTATCCAATCAGATAAAAGTTGTGTCTGGAGTAATCAGATGAGTCATCAGAGTGCTTGGCGTAGACAGGGCGGTTGGGATGATTAGTAAACCAAACTAGGAGGACTTGGCGCTTTGCTGGAATTGATGAATTCGAGAAGGCCAAGCGTTTATTCATCTCGGGGGGTTCTAGTACTAGTCTTCTACTCCGTACGTATATGTAGAAGGTTTTGTGTATAGTGAATGGACGGGTACAACTACCTATGCACGTGGGCAACTACCGACTATGCAAATCATACGAGAGATACGCGAAGCAACTTGACTCGTAGAAATAGCTGACTAACGTAATACAGATAACATGCTCGACGTGAATCCGAATACCACCCCGGAAGCGACCCTATTCATCCATCGCCATCACCAACATGCAACTTGTCATATTCCATCGCCAACAACGAAGCTGCATATCAATCCAACTAACACTATTTCCCCTTGGTGAGCTCTCTTCACTCCACTGAACTGCACCCGTCCCCTGTCATCAAACTCACGTCGACATAACAAATCATCAAAATCAATATAGCAATCTGGGGCAAAACACATCGTATCGCGAAATAATAATGAAAAAGGGGAGGGGGATGGGCAAAAAAATGATGATCAAACAAACACACAAAGATGAGGTTGATAACGTCTTATTGTCGTATCAACCACTCATGGTCAACTCAATCCATCTCACATTTCCATTCCGCATAGCCGTTCGTGGAAAACAAGAAATTGATGTTTCTTCCCACATGCTTCAGAACAGAGCAAAACTAGCCGAGGAAATGGGTTGTATGAGAATAGCGCCACGACTTTCATGTTTCGAGATTAAGAAAACGCAAGACACAGTCGTTCTGGATGGAAACGATCGGTAGGCGAGATCGATAGAACGAATTGATACTGTGTAGTCGAAATCGAAGTCGAAAGAAACCAGCTCGAAGATGCTTCGTCAATCGACACATCCGAAACCGCGTCCATTAACCGAATCATGAAATGTGAAAAGTCGAAATATCATTCTGGTGCGCGTCGTGTATGAATGAGAAAAGAGTCCATGAGAAAATAAAGAATGGAGATAATGATCCATAGGTCGGTCGCTTGTTGTCGTCCAACAAAAGCAGAACCAGGAGCATCAGCTCAAAGAAAATGGGGTTTAGGTGTGCTCAAGAGCTAACATGCTGCAATGTATCAATACCACTGGGCTCCAGTACCATCGTCCCGCTTCGCACGGTGACCAGCAGATCCATATGCACCTGCAGCAGCACCCTTAGAAGCAGAACGAAGCCTAACGCCGAAGACTATGAGATTAGTCAGAGTCTTGAATTTTTTTTTTTTTTTTGGTTTGTCAAATTATCCTCCACGGCCAGCGTCACTCAATTCCAGCAAACGCATAACGCATAGAGGAGAAAGGAGAAAAGGGGGCCCCTACAAGGAACCTTGATAGCATAGTACTCACATCCTGTCACTCCCTCCAACTGCACGGTTGGTGTCCGGGGTATCGACGGTGCCACGTTCAATGACCTTGCGGCGCTGGCTGGAAATAGCACCGGGCTTGGCAGCAACCTGACTGGCAAGCGCTGGAGCGGCCTGAGCAGCACGGCGTTGCTGTTCCTCAGTCTCCTTATCCTTCTTGGGATTGTTGGCATCGACAATCATGGCGGCGTTCTTCTGGTACTTGTAGACGGTCCAGTCAAAGACGTAGTCGTATTGGAAGGACTCACGCACGAACAAGTCGCGGAAGATCTTGCGGAGGTAGGAGTAGTCGGGCTTGTCGTCGAATCGGAGGGAGCGGGTGTAGTTCAAGTAGATAGCAAATTCGTTGGGGAAGCCACGGCAAAGGACCTCGGTGGGGGTGGTCATCTTCTTCTCCATAATCCGGTCGTACTTTTGCTTCTTAGTAGCAGCCTTCAGTCCCTGCCAAGGGAGGGAGCCACGGCAGAAGTAAAGCATCACGTAACCTAGAGATTCCATATCATCCCGACGAGACTGCTCGACACCCAAGTGTGTGTTGATACTAGCGTAACGAGCAGTACCGGTCAAGTTCTTGTTCTCACGGTAAGGAATGTGGAAGTGAGTTTTGGGGTCACGGTATTTCTTAGCCAAACCAAAATCAATGACATTGACCTGGTTGCCACGCTTTCCAATACCCATAAGGAAGTTGTCCGGCTTGATGTCACGGTGAATGAAGGACTTGGCGTGGATGTATTCGATACGGGAAATGAGTTGATCGGCAAGAAGTAAGACAGTCTTCAACGAGAACTTGCGGTTGCAAAAGTTGAACAGATCCTCCAAGCTAGGTCCAAGGAGATCGATAACCATAGCGTTGTAGTCACATTCGGTACCGAACCAACGCACGAAGGGAATGCCAACACCACCGGCAAGGGATTTGTAGACACGAGCTTCATATTCGAGCTGGGGGTGTTTTGCTTTGACGCTTTCGAGCTTGATAGCGATTTCTTCTCCTGAAATGATGTTGGTTCCTAGTATTGGGTTAGTTTTCCACGTCTTCCCACAGTTGAGACAAGCCGTCTTACCCAGATAAATGTCACCGAAACTACCACTTCCAATCTTGCGTCCAATACGGTATTTATTACCGACACGCAAGTCCATGGTCGTCATCTTGAATGAGAAGCAGCCCTAGCTGCCGAAGTATATTGATGTCTGATATAATCAAGAAATTGTTAGTAGGAGGCAGAAGATAAGAGGAAGTAAATAGAGAATGAGAATAGTGAAACAGGTCCAAGTCAGTGAGAAAGAAAAACGATCAGTGGGTTTCAGGTAAGGTTGACCCTGGCTGCCAGCCTTGCGTAACGGTGATAAGGATGGGTGACTGCCTTGGCCAGACCGACTTGCTAAAAGGGCGTGTCACGCGGGGACTGAGACACCAGGCTGGCCAGGATTGCAATACCACCCAGAAGCCAGAGGATAGCAACACACAGGAAAAGATAGAAAGAATCGATAGTGTTTAAGAAAACCAAAATAAACAACGTACCTGTGTATCGTAATCCCACTAAGGGTGAGTGAGAGAGGGGAAAGCTGAGAGTTGAGCAAGGCCCAATGTTGGTTGGGAAGGTCGGTCGGGTGTGGTCGGTCGGGTTGCAAGGTGGGAAAACCCGATCGATGGGCTGTTCCTTTGACGACGAGAATTATCGATATTGACGAAAGAAAAGAAAAATTCTTATCAGTCGAATACAAAGGAAATCAAGGACAGGATGTCTTGATGTCGAATTTGATGGGAGAGAGAGAGGGAAGAAGGAGGGTGAGAATGAAGAGGGTGAAGAGGAGAGGTGAGAGTGAGAGATTTTGTTAGTGGTTTGGGGTTGGGCCGGCGCTAAGAGCGAATAAGGAGGAAAGTCCAACCCTGATTAGTCGGTGAGCGCCTGAGGCACTTCGCCGTCTGCTGCTCTTCCCTACTTGATTATATTTACAATTATTAGTTCTGTTTGCTTGAATTCTCTAATCTTCACCCAGCAAATTCTGAATTACCCAGACAAAGTTACACTGTGGAAGAGGTGCAGATGACCTTGGCGAGACTCAACCCTTCTCGGTCCTAAAATTAGCCTGCGATAAGATCACATATTAAGGCCCGATTACAGTCACTTTGCCATCCAATAGTACGACACGATGAAACTGATTGACTGAAGGTCAAACATCGCCACAGCGGACACTTCTTTTTCTCTGAGTCTGGCCTGATGCTGATCTGATTCACTGAAACACGTGGTTTTTGTTCATTCGAATGCCAACTGGATATTCTTCTATGTATCTTCTTACATTGATTATGGAATCTGGCCTTGGGCACTGCCGCTGAGCCGCTTCACAGCCTCCCTTTGTTCTTGCCCAGCCTTGCCCCTACAGGGCCTACGGGCCATATTAGGGTGATCTCTATACATATGTAATGCAAGTACTCTGTACTGGCTTTGCCTTGGCAAATGATTTATGCAAGAGACCAATGCTCGAGGGTTTGGTAAAGTGTACTCAATAAGCGTGATGTGAGATCATCAGCTATGAGGCATTCAACAAAAGTATCGAACCATGTTTTTCCATTGACAGCAATGATATCTCAGAGACGAGGAAAAATAAATGCAGCCATAATTAGTTCATCATAGTCCCTAGAAAGACAGTTTCGATATCATGAAACAAGAAAAGCATCCGGGTCAATCAGGCGGTAAAATAAATGACGATGAAGATGTGTTACAAGACGCAAAGAGTGATAGGCGTTAAAATCAAAGAAGGAATCAAAGACACAGAAAGAAACAAAGAGACAGACAACATCGAATGATGGTACCTGCCATTACAGGAAATAAAGAACAAGTCAAAAGGCTAAGAGACCAGTTTTGGAAATAAGGTGGGTATAGAAGTACATAAAAATGTAAAAACGATGAGTGTGGATAGAATAGTCAAAACGAAAAAAGCAAACAGTGAAACGCGGGAATCTTTCATCTTCAAGACGGTTCAGCTTATATCATATTGTTGCCAGAGTGTTCCGACGCGTTCGCATGACTCGTTGCAGTTGGCGTTCTCAACCCTTCAGAGAAATCAACAGCTGGACTACTCGCGCGTGCCTCTTCTTCCTCTAAACGCCGTCGCCAATTACTGACGCTCTCACTCAATGGGGTCAAGGTAGTGCCCTCATGGGTCTCCCTGGTTGGAGTTGCCTCCAGGTCGAATGTTGTAGAACTCAGACGATGACTGCGATTGGTGCTCTCCCAGTGACTGCGAAGAGCATCCAGTTCGTTGGCTAGCGAATCCAATGCCATTGAGCTGCGGTTATCTAAGAATAAATCGTCACGAGAGACGTTGCTGTTACCTCGAGGACGGCCGCCATCGGGAACGCCGGCCGTCGCCGTCGACGCATTACTATGAGTTCGTGAGATGCTGCTGAAGCCATGTCCATGCTGAGATTGACGGCGATGATTGTCAACAGACGTCACCATCTGCTCAAGAAGCATCGTGACCCGCTGTTCTGCATGTAGCGCTCGGGACTCTAGCAAATTATTTTCCTCCTTCAACTGCTCAATTTCAGCACGCGACCTGTCTGCCACGGCAAGTAGCTCTTGCTTGACAGCTTCATGCGCCGATCGACTCTCATGGCTCTCAGCTTGTGCTGCGGAAAGGTCCTCTCGAAGCTTGGTGATCTGGCTCTCCAATTCGTTGATAGATCTGCTCATGTTCGTCTGGAGCTCCGAAAGTGATTTCTGCAACTCGGATCGTTCGCTCTCCCAAGAGGCCGGAGCCGGTGAGTCGGATGATTTCTCCGCATTCTTCTGTACAGTCTCCAACTCGCTTTGTAAGGTGGCGGCATGCGTCTTGTATCTAGCCAGTTCGTCCTTCATGCGCTTCAACATCTTCTCTGTCCCCTTGACGTAATGAACAGCAGACTGATAGTCGTTTTCAAGCTGCTCCAATTTCTCGCGGTAAGCACGGTCAGCTTCTTGTTCACGTGACTCAAATGTAACTTTTGTTTCTTCATGAGCCTTTAGGCTGGCCTGGAGTTGCTGCTCGAGCTCGCGGAGACGTGTTTGCTCGGGAGTACCAAATCGAGACCCAGGTGAGTCAAGAAGAGGAGACCTTCGGCTGTCCGATGGATGGACACCCCGTTCACCCAAAAGATCCTTAAGAGCACCATGTTGGATGGCCAGAGCACTGGTGTCGCGCTGTTGACTTTCGAGCTGCGACTTGAGTTCCTTGTTCTCCGTCGCCATAGTCTGGCTTTCTTTGATGGCTGTCTGCAATTGGCGGCGAAGCTGAAGACCCTCACGACTAACTTGCTCCTGGTACGCCTCAAGACCTGCAATACGTTCTTCCGCACGTCTTAATTTGTCCGCTGCTTCATCAGCAGCCGCCTGATTGGATCTGGCAAGCTTGGTAGCTGCTTCGACTTGCGCCTGCAAAGCTACAACACGCTGGTCGCTTATTGAACGAATCGAGCTATCAGAATCAATTGACGATGCACGATCAAGACCTGAGATAAAGGCAAGTTTATGGCTCTCTGCCTCCCGAGCATGACTTTCTGCCAATTCCTCAGCCTCTTTTAATCGGCGGTGTGCAGTCTCCAACTCAGCACTCATCTCTTCATGATCGGCTCTCAACTGTAGTAGTTTCCGCTCTAGTCCTTCCCGGCGCTCACGCTCCTCCTCAAGATGTTTCTCCATCAAAGAAGCCTTCGCTGCAGATGCTGCAACAGCTTCACGAAGCGATGCCATATTACCACTGTGGTCCTTGAGACGTGTTGTAACGTCTTCCAGTTTCTGGCTCAACTCTTCCTTATCAATACTGGCCTGTTTGAAATTGGCCTCTGCCTCCGAGCGAAGCGCAGACTCCTCTCTGGCATGGGTTTGCAGTTGATGGAGTTCAGCTCGCAAACTTTCCAGCTCCAAAGCATGATTTTGCATTTCCAGTTCCGCCAGTCTCTTTCGTGTCGCTTCGTTTGTCCCTTCCGCTAACTCGCGAGCCCTCTTTTCTTGTTCGAGATCAATCGCCATGGTTTCTAGCTTCGATTTCATCTCGGCCTGGGCGGCTAGGGCTATGGCCAGTCTTCTACTCAGATCTGCGGCGCGATCGGAACCGGTATCATCATCAGCACGAGACGTTCCTTCCAACTGCGGAGTGCTACGCTGGCTGCCACCGTGCGCTGCTAATTTGGCACGAGCATATGCAGCTTCACTGATTGCGGCATCACGTTGGTGCTCGACCTCGGCTACTCTCTTGGATGCAATCGCAGCCTGGCGATCTACCGTCACTTGCATCTTAGCAAGTTCTGCCCTCATTGCAAGGAATGCCTCTATCAATGGTCGATCTTCATCGCCAAACACATCGGGAGGACGCTCATCAAGTGCCGATCCGGTAGATGGAGTGGGGTTATACCCAGCTTTACGGGCCAACGCTAGCTCTGAAGCATACCAAGCGTTCCGATTTCTCGCCGCTTCAAGCTCCTTGATCAGCGCTTCTTGATGAGGAGTGAGTCTGGGTGACCTAGGTTCATCACCTAGGATGCGTGAATTCCTATAGTTTCGAGACTCAACAGAGCCATCCATGCTTGGCTGCCTGCCTAGAATGGATTCGTCAGTACTGTCCATTGAAGCTCGTTGCCGCTGCTTCTGAAGTGATCTTTGCCTGGTCGGTCCACTCATGAGTGGAGCGGCTTCCCCGGCCTCCATTGCCCTTGCAGCCATCCTTGATGGAGGTTGACTACTCGGAGTATGACGACCGCCAGAGACAGGGCTTGCATTTGCTGTGGGTCGATTGTTGTCCATTGGAGAGCCCCTCATAGTTGGAGATGGCATGTCTCGATCCACCGCAGCAGCACGTACTGTATCCACTTGAGGGCCATAGTTTCGGTCTTGCTTCGTTGGCGTCTTACTCCTAGGAGCCTGAGGGCCCTGCCCATTCATTCGTGGGTTAGGGGTTGGCGCTTGACCTGGTGGGGGCGGTCCTGCCGGTGCCTGAGCAATGGATGCTCGTGGGAGTCTTGATCCTACCGGTCCTAGAGACGGGTCGCCTTGTGGCTTCGCATTGGGGCCGGTTATGCTTTCTCGGTATGAGGATGTCATTCGCCGCGGCTGGTCCACTGGGGCATTTTGCGCTTCCCTGGAAACTCGACCAGCGGGTATCACAGACTTTTCACTGCTCGTTTTCCGTCCATCGGTAGCTTTCTCGCCATTTTGAGCGGGTTCGTTCGGGTAACGGATTTTGGATGTGTCCAAAACATACGCCATGCTGAGTTCTGTTGGATCTCTTGGTGCTGAGCTAGGTTCACCGGCCATGACGATAATCTGTCTCCCGAATGCAGTCATACTATGACCAGATCTAGGAGACGGCGCAGGTCCCATGTTGTGAAACGAGAACCACCGCCTGTTGCTGATACGAAAGGCAGACAAGTCACCCAAATCCATACCGTCCTTATCACGACCACCAAAAATATACATTGTGTCCCCTATTAGTGCCGCAGCATGTCCTTCACGCGGAGAAGGCACGAAACCTATACAGTCAAGCTCTGACCAGCTATTTGTCCTGGGGTCGTAACACCAAACATCATTAAACCAAGCCGATCCGTTCGTGCCTCCAAATCTAAGATACCCGTCAGCATAAAGTGCGAAAGAGGGACTGGTGAACCGGAAGATGAACTTACAAATACAGTTTGTCGTTAAAACTGATGGTCGTGTGATTTGTTCGAGGTGGAGGAATTTGGCCGACAGGCGGGCCACCATCGTGCGTGTTGCGGATTAGGAACTCCCATTTGTTATTAGGACTTTGAAGAGCGTTTAAGTCGAAAGCAACAAGGTCGTTAAAAAAGAAGGCTTCGACTTGTCCTCCAAAAACATATAGTCTTGAGCCAAGAATGTTCAATGTGTGGCCATATCGTCCAGAGGGTCGAGGACCGGGAGGAATCGCTCGAGACCATTGCCGAGATGCTGAAGCGGCGAACAAAGTCAGTTAAAATCCAGAATTTCATCTTGATCTCTGCAATACTCACATGTATTAAGTAGATAAAGGGTATCATCCAGAATGTCATTGTCATTTATTTTCGTATCACCACCGAACACAATGAATGCATTCCCAACTAGGAGACTCGCATGTCCAACACGGGGGCCTGGCCCTTCCGAGACCGTTGGGATCGGAAAACATGAAAGATTACCGCCACTACTTTCTACCATCCACAAATCTCCCTTCACAGTAGAACCGTCAATCAGACCACCCATCATGTAGATGTCGCCCTCTTTCGAGGCAATTGAGTTGATTGCAGCGCCATATCGGGGGAAAGGGTTAGCGTTTGCGGAGGTGAAATTCAAGCGTCGTTGGGACCAAGGATAGAGAGCAGCATTTGTTCCTGTTGTGGGTGACCCGGTGGCAGCGGATGATCCTGATCGCTGAACCTCGTACATAAATTAGAAAAGATATCCTTTATGAGAACTGCGTGCGTGTATATAATTGTGACGTACCTGTGTTTCAGAGTCCGCTCGTTGCCGCACCCGACTTGGGTCAGGGCTGCCGGAAGTGGTGACGGAATTCAGGGAGTTGTTTATACTTCCGCTGGGTGTTGGAGACACCATTCTGGCCATATCTCGTGGTCCGCCATTCGCAAACGGTTGCTTCTCCTGCACTACACCCTCCGATGTATGTATGTTCCTGCTTGTGGGTGGCAACCCTGCTCCTCCCGGTTGTGGTTGGTTCTTCTTCGATTTGAACAAAAACGCCATGGTTTAGGGATCTTCGGGGTCGCCCTCGACGACCTCCCTTTCTGCGGTATTATTGCTGTATTCCTGGGAATAGCGAAAGCCAACAGGTTTTAATGGCAACTATATCTCGTCCGGCAATTCGTCAGTGGAAACGTACCCTCGACTCCGTTACTGATTGTCGAGAAATAATGCGGAAGGGGCCCGGGATGGTCGCAAAGGCATCTGACGGGGATAGTGCGGAATGTTAGGCGTAATAACGGTAAAGGGCAAAGGGAAAAAAAAAAGAGACCGTGATGGTTTTCGAAGTCTGAATTGCTGTTCCTGAACAGTGCGAAAAGACAAATTTCGACGTCTTGTGGTCTATCCAGCACAGCCCTCGTGAAGCTTGACCGCACTAAGCGGGAAGCATGGGAAAAGGGCACTGCTTAGACGAAGGAAGGAACGAAATAAAGCATATAAGCACTAGTTCAAAAAAGGGAGACACACACAGAGAGAGAAAGAGAGATCAACTCTCGAAAGAGGTAGTCCGTGGGGATAGACGTTGAACAGGGGGAGGCTCGAGGAAAAGAGATGACAAGAACAATTGAACTGTTCCTGGGCGTCTGGAAAAGTCTCGGCTGCCTCACTTTTTGGGGCTGGTGCAGTACGGCCAGGGACAGACAGAAGTCAGTCACAGATGGCAGGTTCCCAAGAGCCAGGGGTGGTCTTTCCCACTTTCACACTGGGCTGCCCCACAACTCGAGCACCATCCATTCCATCTGAGCACTCTGATTGGCGGATGGCAGCCCACTTATGGCTCGGATCATGGCCGGTGCGGGCCTATGGGGATGTGTAGAAATGCAGCACTAGCATCAACTCGTGCTAGCGCAGAAGCACCACGAGCAGTGATTTACCGTATAATTACCAGGACATCTGTTCATTTACATAGTTTCTGGGCCGGATTCGTGTATTGTATGTATGACCCGTAACACTTAATTACTGTAAGAACAAACAACGTTGAACACGATAAAAAGATAAGAAATGCTGTTCTGGGCCGAACTGGCAACCTATTCATTTCGTCCACGTAGGCCGAAAAGAATCGTGAGAATTGCAGAAATCTTAAAGTGCATATGCTCCCTAATCCGGACATTCCCATTCCATGTGGGTGCTACTTACTTCAAGCATAGTAGAGCGAGCTAGGTATTGTTCGTTCAACCACAGAACTATTGGATCCTAGGAACTTGCGGGGACAATCGTGGCAGAAGTTTCCTAATGGTAACAAACTATATAGACCCTATATCAGAGCAGTATCAACGCGCCTTAAACCCCTATACTTGAGGTAGGACTGGGAGTCGGTTCAGGAACCGTGGTCAAAGGCGGGTTAGGAGGCGTCAGCGACCAGCCTTGGATCGGACCACAGCAATAGGCCGTCCCCGTCAGCAGCTCGGCGGTACAATTATTCGCCGACAATGATGGATTGACTGCGAGGAAGAGGGAGTACTCGAATTTTTCCTGCACGCAAATCGACGCACACGTATCCCCGTCCACCGGGACATGCCACCGACCACAGTTCGTAGTCGTCCCGTTAGCCACCGTAGCATTCTCGGGAGCTAAGGTGATGGAGCTGGCGTATCCGCTACTCGAGCTGGGAAGAGAGGTGACACCGGGCGGCGGCACCGTCCCCGTGTGCACTCCCCCTTGAGGTGACACGTAGAGCACATGGCCAAAGGTAGGTAGCGCTCCAATCTTGCAGATTGGTGCATCCGCCGTTGATCCAGGGGCTAAGCTGGCGGAGCTTTCCCGAATTCATACCCAGCGCTTGCTCGATGGAGGCGCAGGTCTCGTCAGGGGAGAAGCTGTAGACGGGGTTGCATGAGAAGGGGAGACAGACCGAGAGGCCAGCTTCGATGTTGCTGCAGTTTCGGATCGTCTCGCTGCCAATGAAGAGAGCCGCGGAGGAAACGGTGTTGGCGAGAGCAATAGAGTCGCACGTGTCGCCGTCCACTATGGTGTATGTGTCGGAAGCGCAGAAATCTGTAGAATCCTCGGTGCGATCCTCCACAGCCGGTGGGATGTCCGTGGACCCAACGACGCCGCATCGAGAGTAAACAAGTTCGAGGACCCTCTGATAATATTCATCGTAGAAAGAGTAAGGCGACGCTTGTGCCAGCTGCAGAGTCGTCATGTAGCAGTACGAACACATTTCCGAATCGGGCATGTCGCGCTCAAAGTCCACTGCTGTGAACTTCTGCATCACATCTAGGCGGAGAGTTAGATGCTAGCGGAGCCATGATTTGTCAATGGGGAAGGAGAATGTACTACCACAATAACTCCCACTATTGGGGTCCTTGAGGCAAGTCTGGTTCCACCCAGCCCAAAGAATGCCGCCACGGTAGTTCATAACATCTTGCTTGGTATCAAACTCGCTGCAGTAGGTAGTAACGTCTTCATACCATGTTTTGATTGATAGCTCACAGCGGCTGTCGCACACCAGATCGGCCAGGGTATCATTTGCGTAGGCTTGGGGCCAAGCTGGCTGCAGGAAGGAGTATGTTTCATCAGCACATTCGATCAGTCGAGTCATTGCAGTCTTGCAGGTGCTGGAAACTGTGTCGAGCAGGTCATCATAAGCCGGGCTGTTGTAGAGATAGTAACCCGTGAAATTGCGCTTGCCAATCACTTCAGTTGGTTCACGGAACCATCCTAGCAACGACGAGGTATAGCCATTTTTCGTATCTTTTGCGTATAAGGGCGTTTCTCCTTGAGGGCTGATGCTCTCACGGATTGCCTTGGTGACAAGGTTGAAAATCCAGACATCACTGCTTTCTTCAATGTAGAACCCTCGATCCTGGCAGTCATCTGTGGTAAGACAATCCTGGGAGTAACTAGAGAACCAGCTATACATGCCAGAACCCAAAATGTATATCGTAGACGACTCAACGACCCAAACGGCCCATGAGATAGCGCATGTAAGCGAGCTCGCAGAGCACTCGGAGAATATAGGGTCATTTGGGAAGAGGCCGATGGTGAAGGGAGCTGGGGCCTTGGGTACAGGTTGGAAGTAAGGCGACTCAGTCTGGAGCATGCCCATGACAAGGTTTTTTGCATTGGAGACCGGTACTGATAGAGGACGTTATGTTCCGATGCGGCTCCACAGAGCCATGTCGGACCTTGACTCTCGATAAGAATGCCACGACCAGAGTAGATATTTATTTGATCTTGGGAAGCAATGTCTAGGTCATGGTCTGCTGTCCACGCCCAGACGTTCTCCATATACGCCGATGCGCTGGGAGTGATATGCAGGAGTAATGAGGCCGCAATGTAGTTGGGGTTTATAGCAGATGCCTGCTTGGGACAATCGGAGCTCTGCAATTGAGACCCTTTAGCGCCACCAACGCGAAAATGCGAATCTAACAGTCAAGTGTTAGATATCCTTGGTAATAATCGCAGACAGCAAACTTACCCCAAAGTCCGGCAGATCCTTGGAAGGATTCATGAATGTTCCACTCCATAAGAATCACTCCCACCGTCGGCCCAGAGACGGTAAAAAGCAAGTCTTGAATTTCAACAATGTTAACATCTCCAGGACTTCCAACTCGTACTGCGACATGGGGTTGATTCACGTTCTGGAATTTCGGTCCCTTTGCCATAATCTGCGGCCACGCCTGTCCAATAATGCGCGAACTTTTTGGGATAGTTAGAGTATCCTGAATGACATAGATTCCGTATGGGAAGTATACAATTGCGGATAAGTTGGCTGCAACACCTAGAATGCTGTTCAGAACGACCGTGTCATCGGTCGTTTCATCGCCCTGGGCACCGTAGGAACGAACATCGAAGACCTGGCTACCCTGCAGGTTGTAATACTGGGGACGGCGTCGGGTAAAGAAATTAGGCTTAACATATGATTTGCTTCCGACAAGCGCCACATTTCGCTCCATCGTTGCCAAATCGGACTGTTGCGCAAAGAAGGTCCCGCTGGAGTTGGCATACATTCCGAATCCCCATGAATCTACCAGGATTTCATTTCCCCCGGCAAGAAGTGGTTCCGTCATGCGAAGCCGGTGTGTGCAATAGTGCTGTGAGCACCATCCTAGGCAAATCAGGCACGGGAAGCGGGGAAACCTACTGCCATGACCATACTCAACGGGAGGATGTCTTCCCGGCGCTTCAACTCGGGGAGTAGAAGTACTGCTGCAATACGGACGCCCCGGACCGTCGGTGGCAGAACTGCGAATGGGTCTCAAATGTCGGGATCACGACTAAGGACATGGAATGTGTCGGCTTCTGCCCCGCGGGGAAGGTCAAGGTGGCCATGAATACATATAACCATAGCTGTTACAACCGCGGTTACGAGTCCTACTGCTGTGAGCCGAGCTACTATACGGAGACGACGCGACTCTCCGACGACATTGCAGCCTTTCAAGATGCTCTCGCAAGCTATGGAGCCAATCCCACATGCTCGACGACTGCGACCCGAGATCTGGTAGGTCGTGATGACTCCCCCGTTCAGCAAGTGAAGTCATTTCTGACGTCCTTCTTTCTAGCCTGTAACCTGGACGAGCTACAGCAGCTGAAGGGTAAGATTCAAGTCTGGGATGCATGGGCGGTTGTCAGGGCTACAAGTATCTGGTCTCCACTGTTCTGGCTAAGATTCTAGACAACAAGTCGGGGGACGAATCCTACGAGGACCTCGCTGGTGGGGTGGCCTGCGACCCAGCGCTCTGGAACACGTACCTCAATGACGATGGAGGCGATGTCACAATTTCTTGCGACTTTTGACCTGTGCGCAGGCGATAATTTTCTGTGCACTGAGGAAGGCTTCGACAACCAGAATCTAATCTCTGGCGGCGGCTCGGACGAACTAAAGCAATGGCTTCAATGGAAAGCACAGGTAAGAGCATTCGCTTTCTTCATGTCTATCACCATTATTCACGGCTGACTGACACCGTGACCTCGCTAGAAACGGGCACTTCATCGCCTCGAGAAGAGAGCACAAGACGAGCAGGACTCTTTTAAGTGCAACGATGGCACCATGATAGTCACGATCAATTTTTGGCGCCACGGATATCCTAGTAGTGGGAGACTGGAACACCGACGATAGTATTTATGACGAGGCTCTGGACAATGAGAATGTGGAAGACTGTGAGGACTGTAAGATCAATATTGAGTCCGTCGTTGTGGAGCATAGCACGAATTTCCACAGTGAGCATACCCATCTCTCCAGCGGTCTTGTTGAGCTAGGATGACTAACGGGAATAGCTGAGCATATAATTGAGCTGCAGAGTATGTCTACATTTTTCGCATGGCTGGTCACTGAAAGCAGCTGCAACATCGACTGTCAATTCTTCCTTAAATTCTTCAACAAAGATGTCTTGAAGACCACAGCCATGCCCGGGGGATACAACTCGGGCGTCCCGTCGCTGCGGATTATGGAAGCCCTAGGTAGTTGGAGCAACACGAACCAGTTTCGTCTGCTAGAGAAGAGACTCAATGGAATCAAGGCATCAGTATGTTACTTCAGACACGCAACCCTGATTTTAATCTAGACTAATGCACAATGCAGTTGTGGTCATTAGACAATCTGAAAGCTCCTGACAAGTGGAAGGCGGCTTACGAAAGCGCTGCCCCTGACGAAGCAATCACCATCTTAAAAGGAGTAAGCTCTTCATGGTAACATACAGCTGCAGCCTTGAAGCTAACAATATCTCTTAGGTGATCACGGTTTTCAGCTATTTGAATTACCCCAGCGTGTGGGAACGACTCAAGGCCACCAACGCGCTGATCCGACAGGAACTAGAAACGGCCCAGGACGCATATAACGACGCAACTGGGAGCCAGACAAAGATTGCTGACTGCTGGGATCAATAGCTGGCGGACCATCTGGCCAAGGTCTTACAGCACGGCATCAACTGGACCACCCAAGGGTTGGCGGACCTGGAGAACCAGTGGCTTCTGCAGAAGGGCACCAAGCTCGGGGCTACAGTACTTGTCACCATCCAAGGGCTCCGAAGGTCGATGGCGAAGCACGTGAAGCTTGATCTCACCGACCTCGTGTAGATGAAATTCCAGACGAATATGATCTAATCGTCATGGCATCGATAGCGTATTACACGAGTCAACTGGCCAGCCATCAATATTCAATTGATCTGTTTTTAGAATAGAAATATTTCCTATTCCCTTTTGAGAGTTATAGTGTTATATAAATACTAATACATATCAGAATCAAACCAGGGAACGTCATTGGGTCCTTTCATTCTTCCACAGACATCATCCAGCCCGAAAGCGCGCCCAATACGAGTAAGGCTCCAGAGATCACTCAGATATAAGCGGAAATATCCTGGGTAGTATTGCGTGTTGTAACTGCTGCCTCCTCGGTAATTCGGGTCTACCACCGTGACCCAACTAGGGTGGCGGTTAATAGATTGTAAAGCGCCTTCATCAATAACTAGACACCACCGAAATCGAACTCCCTGATTTCCGTTGGTGTTACTTTTCGGAACGCCCTGAAATGCTTACGGATCTCGTCTAGAGTTGCACCGTCGAACTGAGCAGGATCATTGAAAACTAGAGGGCGGTATCCCTCTTTGAAGATTCGGGATGGCTCATCGTCATGGAGATCTGGGCCTAAGCCTGTGTAGGTATTCTTGGGTATCGCTTCGAGAAGGGCATCCCAGTGCTGGTCAGATTTTGGGGTATAAACGGTGCAGTAGATGGTATATCCCCATGGCCATTGAGAAGTGAGTTCTTTGTCTAGGAATTGCACAACTTCGTTTTTTGTGTTTTCCCACCACGGCTCTGACCTAGGTTGCGAAGTCTCTGATCAATTTCCTTTTCGCTTTCACCCGCCGGAAAATCATCCGATGACCAGGGCTCGTCCCAGGTCTCGTGGTGAAAGCGCCAGATGGCTTCCATTGGGAGAGTCTAAAGGAAAGAAATAGAGGAAGCCTGAAGGAAATCGTAGAGGGTGAAAATGAGTGGAAGAGATGGGAAAGATTTGGAGAAAGTGGGAGGTTGCGGGTTTACCTATAATAAATAGTGTTGGAACAAAATTACCACCGGTAAGCTTCAGCATGCTTCTATCTTGGCAAAAATCATAAGTCTAAGTCGATCAATTATAAGTAGTAACATGGTAATTACTTCAAGCATATTCGAGTCTACTAAGATGATATCCTCCTATCTGTGCCCTGCAAGGTACGGAGTACACGCCTCGGAACTATTAGGACTCGAGGATTCGAGGAGTCTTTGCGTTTATCCATGTCACTGGATCAGCGCGTATAGATCAGTCAGAACTGCGCAAAGATGATGGCCGAATCAGCGGTGTCTCACTCATCACACAAACGATCCTAAGAGTCACCGCTCTCGAGTCGTTCTAGTCAAGTCTCAACGCAAATCCCACATGGGGATTCCTTATCCTTATCGATGATTAAATACCCGTCCAGATCATAATATGTGCGGTGCCTGGATAAGAATATCATTCGTGTTAAGGATAAAGTCGGTCCTTTATTACCTGCATCTCTTCGCATGCATTTATGGAGTCGAGAAAAGTGCGAAGCTATCTTCTTTGAGTAGGCCAAGCTTCCTTCACCTCAACATCTGGGATTCGGTCCATCAATACGTTATTGCCCAGTTACTACACCTTCACTGCGCTAGCTAAAGTCGAATATGGCACGTGCCACTCGACAGTTCGTAATTATGTCTTATCCCGGGTGGAGATCTTCTCCATTGAGCACTGGTGAATTGATGAATTTATTTCAGATAGACTGTGAAGACAGTCTGAGGCAGATGAATAATCACTATGACTCTGCGATAGAGATAATCGACAATAAGGTAGGGTACCTGAGAGCGAAAGCCAAGTGTGCCCGGATTCATGCTTGGAGCGGAAAATCTATAATCCGGGAAACACCTCAGTCGCGCCAAGACTTTCCACCAAGCTTAAATCGTCACCTCTTTCCGTCAGCACCGAGTCTCAGACATTGGAAGCTGGCGAGCTTTCCATGTCGTTTTTCGAAGAGAGATCACACCCTTAAATCTCTCGTACAGTCCCGTTACAAACGGACTGGTTGGAATCAGGTTTCCCATCTCAACGTAAAAGCGTCAGCCTCGGCTGTGCCTCCGCGGACCTCGCCGACAAATGCGCTGAACAAGAATGCGCAAAACAGGTACTGGCCGTTCGCAAGACCGACTTTTTAAAGACTACTGATTATCTGCCATATCAACCATCGAGTGATTCAATAATAGCGAATAACTTGCGATAGTTCCTCGTTTTTGCAGAGAAAGAATGGTCTCTTCGTCATGAGAGACCCGGATCTTATCATGGAGCACAGCAACCATAACGGGGATACTCAGTCAGGACCGGCGCCCACTGTCAACGGGATTCGGAGAAACCAGAATCGGTCGGTTCGAGTAAGCTTTGAACCAGGTCCAGACTCCGTTATTCCATCACGCGACCGCTCGCCCACACCACTGAATAGCCACCATCGATCACTCACCGAAGTAGAGCCTCAGGAATCCTCATTAGCACAACCGCGAAAAGACGGGTCATCTAATGATAGTAATGGCTCCGCAGCAACAGAAAATCCAAGTCGACCTTCCTTGGGCGGTCGTCCAGGTACACTTCAACGCGCAAAAAGTGACTACGGACCTAGATCAGTGATGAGCAGTCAAGCTACGACCAACGAGGAGGATGACTTTGCCATGAGGCATGGATGGCAAGAAGAATATACCTCTACCGAGTATTTGAAACTACTCCATTCTGTAGGTTACTGTGTGAGTTGAATGGTTTTGATTAGTGAGCTAACTTATTTGATGAGAATTTCTATATGTACTTCACTGAGAAACGACATGAAACAAGCGGTCTTCCACGAGAGCCAGCTGGAAGCTGGGCAATTCAGGAGTGGCGGATGAGAGATCGTTTAAAGACAGTGTCCGCAGCACTGGCGATTTGTTTGAATATTGGCGTCGATCCTCCAGATGTTGTGAAGACAAATCCTTGCGCGAAGCTAGAATGTTGGGTAGACCCTACTTCCACAACAGGCGGGCAGAATAAGATGATGGAGCAGATTGGGAAGAAACTGCAGGAGCAGTACGAGAATCTCAGCTTGAGAACGAGGTACAAACAATATTTGGATCCATCCGTGGACGAGACCAAAAAGTTCTGCATTTCTCTTCGTCGAAATGCAAAAGACGAGAGGGTTCTCTTCCATTACAACGGTCATGGTGTTCCATTGCCCACCCAGTCAGGAGAAATCTGGGTCTTCAATAAGAATTACACCCAGTACATTCCAGTATCTCTATACGATCTTCAATCTTGGCTCGCAGGCCCCAGTCTGTTTGTCTTTGATGTATCTCATGCTGGAAATATTATACAAAATTTTCACAGCTTTGTCGAGAAACATGAACGGGAGAATCTTGAAGCCAAGAAGAGGGATTCCAATGCGCCTATTCAGAACTACGGCGACTGCATCTTGCTAGCGGCTTGCCAGAAGAACGAAACACTCCCGACAAACCCCGACCTTCCCGCTGATCTCTTCACCTGTTGCCTCACTACACCTATTGATATTGCACTGCGGTATTTCATCCTCCAGAATCCCCTCGATGTCAACCTAAAATTAGAAGATTTCAAGATTCCTGGGCGTTTGCAGGATCGAAGGAGTCCACTCGGCGAATTAAATTGGATCTTCACTGCCATTACCGACACCATTGCTTGGAATACTCTACCCCGGCCTCTATTCAAGAAGCTCTTCAGACAAGATCTGATGGTTGCAGCTCTTTTCAGAAACTTCTTACTGTCTGAGCGCATTATGCGAACTTACCAATGCCATCCCATGTCGTCTCCAAAGCTGCCCGAAACTCATAACCATCCGCTCTGGCAAAGCTGGGATCTTGCAATCGAAATGGTTCTCAATCAACTTCCAGCTTTGATTGAAAGCGAGGAAGGTCGAAGACAGTACGAATATCAACATTCCACTTTCTTTGCCGAGCAATTGACAGCATTCGAGGTCTACCTGTCTTCTGGGCCAACCGAGAAGAATCCTCCGGATCAGTTACCGATCGTTCTACAGGTATTACTAAGCCAAGCTCATCGCCTAAGGGCTTTGATTCTTCTGAGTAAGTTCCTTGACTTGGGCCCTTGGGCTGTCCACTTGGCACTTAGCATCGGGATTTTTCCCTATGTCGTCAAGCTGCTACAATCGGCCGCTCAGGAATTGAAACCTGTTATGGTTTTCATTTGGGCTCGAATTATGGCTGTGGATCATTCTGTGCAGAATGATCTTTTGAAAGACAATGGCATTCATTATTTCATCACTATCTTGAACCCTACTTCGCCCATTCCAGTCGGCAATGCAAGCGAACACCGAGCAATGTGCGCCTTTATAGTCTCAATATTCTGCAAAAACTATCCTCAAGGCCAGAATGTTTGCCTTTCTGCTGAACTTTTCGACTCTTGTTTAAACCATCTTATGGATGTGGAAAATCCGCTGCTCCGGCAATGGTCCTGCCTATGCCTGAGTATGCTATGGGTAGACTTCCCAGATGCAAAGTGGATGGGTATACGTTATGCTGCACCACAAAGGTTGTGTGAGCTGTCTCTCGATCCTGTCCCTGAAGTGCGCGCTGCGATGCTGCACGCACTCACCAATTTCCTCGGCATTCCGGACTTGACGGACCAAGTTGGCAAAATCGAGGAGTTTATTGCCATGGCAGTTCTTCCAATGGCAGCTGACGGCAGTGTTCTTGTAAGGAAGGAGCTTTTGGTTTTCTTCTCTACATTCGTTAAGCGATACGAAAACAAGTTCCTTGTTGCTGCATACGAGGAGCTTGTGGAGGAGAAGCACTCATTGCTTCGCCGGGCACAGAAAGAGCCACAACAGCTTGCACTGCTTGGTGAAAGTGCCGACGACTCTGATGAGAAGCCTCATTTTCTGTCGCGTAACACAACTTTTGGAACGATATGGAAGCAACTTTTGATTCTGTCTGTGGATCCCCATCCAGAAATTGCTCGAGACGGCAGTACTGTCGTAGACTATATTCATTACGCTCTGTTGCAATCTCCCATGGCCTCAATGGCTAACAAAGCTCGTGACGAAATTATGGACATTGCATCTCGTCTAAATTTGAACAAGCCACAACTCGCAGAACCGGTGGAATTCAAAATGACGCATCCCGCCCCTCCAGCTCAGCCTCAACCTAAAAATGAGGGATATTTCTCCTTGAGCATGAGACGTACCGCTAGCGTCGCGGCATCACTCAAGAATCTTGCCTTCGGCCCATCCACTTCAACTGACCAAGAACCTTCATCACCATCTTTGTCTCAACATAAAGCATCGCCTACCAAGAACAGGCCACCCATGACTCCTCGGGGCCGGGCCCCACCTGAATGGACTCGTCCCCCTGAGGTGAATGATCAAGTAGCTCCGGCGACAGCATATCATCAAGCGCCGGCTCCTCTTTCCAGAGGGTTTGAGTCAAGAGATCTCAATGTTCCTCCGTCTATACCACTCAAGAGCCGTTTCTTGGATTGGTCTACAGAGGTAAGTGTAATCCATCACTGAAAGAGTCAGCTCACTAATCTGGTTTTGGTGTAGTACTTCCGCGAACCGCAGATGAAGCCTAATGAGCCTGACGAGCCAGGCAGTGCCGACTACAATGAACGTCTCTGGCGCAGAAGTCGGAACGAGAAAATCATAGCCGAAACTCAGCCTCTCAAGGAGAAAGCTGGAAGCAGTCGGTGGCAAAGTTCGACGGCACTGTTAACAAATGACAGCCAGCCTATGAAGATGACGTTTCACCAGTTCGAGGATCATCTCGCTATTGGCGATGATCGTGATACTATTTCGTGAGTTGGACCGTTTCGTCTCCGCGGGGCTTGGGGACTAACACAAATATAGAATATGGGACTGGCAACAGAACCAGTGCCTTAATAGATTTTCGAACGGCAATCCTCCCGGGTCGAAGATCAACGAAATCCGTTATATCAATGAAGACGACCAGGCACTGTTGATGACGGGATCTTCGGATGGAGTTTTGAAGGTTTACAGGAATTACGAGAGACACAAGAAGATCGAGATTGTTACTGCATTCCGAGCTCTACCAGAACTTATACCAAGCAATAGAAATGCGGGCCTGGTCTTTGATTGGCAGCAAGGTCAGGGCAAGGCTCTTGTTGCAGGTGATGTTAAAGTCATTCGAGTGTGGAATGCTGCTACAGAAGTCTGCACGAATGTGAGTTACCTTCTGCATGTCTTGGAAATACTCAATGCTAATCCCCCGACAGGATATATCTGCACGATCCGGTTCTTGCATTACCTCTTTGACGTCTGATCAAGTTGCAGGAAATATCTTTATTGCAGGATTTGGAGACGGCGCAGTTCGCGTTTTCGACCAGCGACTCAAGTCTACGGCAGCTATGGTCAAGGTATGGCGAGAACACAAGCAATGGATCACAAACGTACATATGCAACGCGGGGGTGTGAGAGAACTAGTATCTGGAAGCCGAAACGGAGAGATTCGGTTATGGGATCTCCGCATGAACGATCCAATCAATACGATCCATGCCACCAAGGATACTCTGCGAACGTTGAGCGTTCATGAGCACGCCCCTGTTTTTACAGTGTAAGTTTATCACATCCTCTCCTACTCCTAGCACGAAATGTATTGACAGAGTCATAGTGGAACGAACCGACACGAAGTCAAAACGTTCAACGTCGACGGCACATTCCTATCCAACTTTGAGCCATACTCGAGTTTCCTTCATCACAACCGCTCGTCGCCCATATCCGCCACGGCGTTTCATCCACATCGTACACTTCTTGCTTGCGCCGCCCTGCAAGATAATCACATTAATCTAGTCTCCTGCTAAAGCATCTACACTGGTTCTGCGATTTGCTTTTCTTCTTGTCTTGTGGTCTTGCAGCCTGGCGCTTATGATGTTGTCTTGCTTATACTATGGGCTGCATATTATTAATTTCTATTTATATTTACTCATGACGGCGTTTCTTCTTCATTTGCTTCGCATGGTATTGGTAGATGGGCAAGGTATGGCTTGGCAATGAATCTTTTCGTGTCCTATTTTCCTGGCTATCGAATTTTTTTTTTTTTTTCACATTCTGTTTCACTCGTAACTCATTACACTATATCCATTTTCTTTTAACTACTTTACTTTCTTCGAACTCTTCTAGATTAAGCAGAAAATGTATACATAGAGCTCTCTCAAATTCTTACCACTATAGTTCCCCTCCGAAGTTCCACGGATAGATAAAATACCACTTGCATCGAGTCATTTTACATGAACCATCCCAAGGTTGGTTAATTTGGAGTGCAAGCACTTGCTCAACCGTGGAAGTGGTTGGCTTTGGCTGCCCTAACTTGCATATTGCCAATGTATATTTCCGAATCAGGAAACCACTTACCAAATCTGGCGAGTTTAGGGCTAACTTCTCGAAGTCAGTCCAGCGCTTAACTCTATCACAACACTGTTTCTTTCTCGTGTGAGGATACCTAGTGCAGTAGATTTGACTTTTTATTCTTAGTCAGATCACAGTCTAACATGTGTACTAAATCTTCGAAGACTTGGACATCACCTGCATCTCCCATCTCGTATACGTCGCGCTTAAGAGCTCGGTAGTTAGAGCCACCCAACCCTCGAAATGAATAAGCACCAATGAAATGCTCGTCTCTTCCCCAAAACCCTTCATCGCGTGCATGATCGCATGCATGCAACAAGCATATGTAAATTAATCTAACTCGTCACATCGGATATAATTTCTGATCTCACAATCGCCTAACCTTGAAAATCAAGATCTGATACAGATTGCTTCGATTTCTGACTGTTTATGGTAGTGTTGCTATCTACTGTACTTACCTAGGTACTAGTAGTATGGAGTATCTTTGTATTTCGTAATGATGTTTGTTGTTCCGATCTGGATTCCTCACACTGCAATTATTGCTACTCGGGACTCAGGTGACTACATACATGTACTTGAGATCGACTTATCGTTGCATGCTGATTGATTGGACTATCTTCCTTCGGAGATGGCATGTCATATACATACCGTGATAGTGACTTATTACTAGATCATCATCCAGCGAGTCAGGGAATCAACAGCGAGGGAGATACCTGATTCATCTGTGTCGATGGTCAGACATACTCCAATCATAAGGTGACGATGGACCAAACGATCATAGAGTTTGTTGCTTCTTTGTTCGAGGCAGAGTACCTACCGTTTCTTTGTATTCGTCTAGGTATCGGGGCATGTCTTTTATATCTCTACTTTATTTCCGCCTGAATATTTGCGTTCGTCAAACTCGAGAGTCGATAGAAGAAGGTTTTGGGCGGCCAATATAGGCAAAGCACAATGATATTCTTGCGAATACTCGCTGCAGCAATCTCAGGTGCTCTAGCATTCATCACCTACTTTCATCATGGCGAACACCATCTCCATGGTGCTAGATACTTCATGCAATTCCTCGTAATCTGCAGCATCTCGACAGCATATCTCACTTGGATTCAGGGACATAACCTCAGCGAATCCCTTCAGGCCACGTTCCGAATTGCAACATCCTTCCTGACCGGCCTGTGCACAACATGTATCCTCTACCGCCTCAGTCCCATCCACCCACTCCACAAATTCCCCGGTCCCCCCAATGCCCGAATTAGTACTCTCTGGCTCTTCTTCCAAGTCCTCAAACGGAAACAAGCGCATCTCACACTGCTCGCCGCACACAAAGAATACGGTCCAATCGTTCGCATAGGCTCAAACCATTTATCAATCGTGCACCCCAGGGCCGTGGAGAAGATTCATCTTACATGCCGCAAAGCGCCATTTTACGATCTCAATAAACCGATTACGTCTATCCAGACTGCGCGGGATAAGGCTCTACATGATCAGCGTCGGAGACTTTGGAGTATGGCGTTCACTGAAACCAGATTGCGCGATTATGAAACCAGCATCAAGAAGATTCACAAACATCTTTTAGCGCGGATTGATCGGGATTCGAAGGATAAAGACGGCAGACCAAACAGACCGATAAATGCAACCCGTCTAATCAACCATTATGCCTTTGATGTCATGGGTGAAGTCGCCTACGGGACGCATTTCGATATGTTGGCCACGGGCAACAATCATCAAGCCATTGACCTGTTAAATGAAGCAATGGCTATGATAGGGTTTATGTTGCCGATTTGGTTGATTCGGGTTGCCGTTGCAATACCAGGTCTAACGAGGAAGTGGTGGCAGTTTGTTGCGTATTGTTTTGAGCAGATGGAGATATGTAGATCGGTAAGTCTTTTGAATGCAATGCACAAGGCTCGACTAATACGAAGGATCAGTCAAAGACGAACTTGCCATTTATTGCATCGTCTCTGCTTGGTCCGTGTAAGGATCGAGACCCAACCCCAGATGAGAAGCTAGTACTACAAGGAGAGGCGCAGTTGCTTGTAGTAGCCGGAAGGTAAGCTACTCCTCACTTAACTACATACCACTTGACTGCTCGAGTATGACCTGACTTGTGTGGTGAAACAGCGATACCACCTCCGCAGCCCTAACATGTGCCCTCTACGAACTCGTACTCCATCCTCAAATCACAACTCAACTCCGCGAAGCCATATCTGCATCCCTACAACCCGGCGACACAGAAGTTAGTGCATGCAATGTCCAAAATCTGGATATCCTAAACGGCATAATCAATGAAACACTCCGTCTCTATCCGCCTATACCTACTACATTATGGCGATTGACCCCTGCGGATGGCATATGGATAGATGAAGAGACATATATTCCGGGGAATGTCGTGGTATCAACGCCTCACTATGTCTTAGGACGAAGTTGGTTTTCTATCACTCCTCTGACTTGCACGAATGATCTGACTAAAATCCTTGTGTCTTAGGTAACAATATATACGAACGACCCTACGACTTCATCCCAGAACGATGGTACTCCAAACCCAAAATGGTCAAATATGCAAAAGCATTTGCGCCATTCACCATCGGTAAATAGATCCTGTCCGTAAACCTGAAAATCAGGGACTGAATACTAATCGGAACTTCGTTACTTCGGATATAGGATCATGTAGCTGTGTCGGTAGACCCCTAGCTATGCTTAATCTGCGTATGACTCTGGCTCAACTCGTTCATACATATGATATTACACTTCCGACTTCAATGACAAAGGACCAAGCTCGTGACGCGATGGAGGGGAGTATGAAGGATAATTTTACGCTTTTGCCGGGACAGTTGAATTTAGTGTTTAGGAGGAGGTGATTCTCCGGATCGGCCCGTATTTTTGGTTTAGGGGTACAAGGCGACTAACCATGGAACGGGCGGACGTAGCAAGGTAGTAATGGAATTGATAAAGCAAATCGTAACTAAAGCTTATGACTCGTACACGCAGATTGAGAAAATAAGGGTCATCTCCCCTAGTCTTCATCTTTTTCTCCCCTTCATAAACCCCTTTTCAGTCAAACAACGATAACAATAACCAGCTGATTCAAAACCAAAGCAATGTTCAATCCAGGCTTTTCCAGTGGATCCAAAGGGCACAAGAGAAAAAGGAACATACCATCCTATCCGTAAAGCCAGCCGTGAGATAAGTAAGCCATCAAACACCAATCTCCATCGTCACGTTTCATGGAAGGCTATTGTGGATCTTCCTTGATCTTTCCAGAACACATAATAGGCCAAGGAAGCAACAACAACGATACCAAGATCCAAAATTCAAATGCCATCACCTTCGAAAAACACACTGCCGAAGACATCTTTATTAATGATTTCACTGCCCGGAGCGAGTCCTTCTTCCTTCTCGTACTCACCACCACAAACCCGTCTACGACGAGAAGCTCCTTTGCCACGCTTCTTTTTCAGGTCAGTCTCACGTTCAACATCTCTGAATTGGAAACCCCTCTTCTCGTTTTCCTCAGGATCGAGGTATGCAGTCACGTTGTCCAAGATGCGTTTGACGAGCTCAGATTCATTGGCGTTTTTTGATAGTTGTGTTTCCACTGGCTTTTCTGGGTGGTTGACCAACGTGGAATGCACCTGGCTGAGTTGCTTCTGGAATTTATTGGTGGGTTCCTCTTTCTTCTTGGGAAGGCTTTGATGGAACCAATCGTCGGCCTCTAGAATTCGGTCGTAGTACACAGCAGCACGATTGCCAGAGTCAGAACCCGGATTCCAAGGATCAGGACGAGATACAAGTGTAGGACCTGAGACTGCGAATCCTGGAGGAGGCACGAGGAAGCCAGTGGCCCTCTCCCGCTGAGCATTCTCGTTAATGACAGGGAGCCGCGGAAATCCTCTGAAGGGGCCTGGAAAATTCTTCACTCTAGGCCTATCACAGTATTCCAGCCACACTTGGCCGGATTCGATTTTCCTGAGTTCTTCCGCTCGTGATTCTTCAGACGCAAAGACGTTCCGTTCGTATCTGTTGACAATAGGTTCGTAGTACTCCACCGGCGAACGAGGACGGGACTGGAATGGCGACTGTAGTCTTCTCGGTGCTGCCCTTGGCCTCTCTTCACCGTTAGTCTCATCAGCCATCTGAGCCCCATGTAATAGTCCATCATTCTGTTGGTGAATGCTTCCGGGGGGATTTGTACTACGTCCTTTGTTCATGTGCCCAATCTGCAGTTGCTGTTTGGCTGCAGTGGCATCATTCAAGCCGGGTGGAGGCATAAGACCTGGTGGGAAGGACGGAGCAGATTGCATCAGTAACCTTCTGTGTGCCTTTTGCGCCAAAGGCGAGTCTTCCAAAGTAGGTCGACGGCTTCTTGCTTCGGGATGGGCCTCTATGGTTGATTGATCATTTAGGTTCAACCCTCGTATGCCATCCACTAGTCCTGCTTCTTTTTGTGAGTGATGCTCAAGCTCATTGCGGTATCTTGATCAGGAAGCTGTAATATACTCTAAATAGTGGACTCACCTGAATGCTTTATATGAGGAGTCAACTGTCCATTTTTGTCAACCTTTCCAGGGCGTTTGTCTTTGTTATGGCCATTGCCACTCCCATCTCCGTTAACCGATTTGGTCTGTGATTTTTCAAAGGTATTTTCTTGCTCAGCATTGGCTGTAGGTTGCTGATCGTCACTTGGAGGCACAAGCTTTGCTTCTTCGGCTTTGATCTTTGCAATTTCAGCTTTGAAGCACATGATATCCTCTTCCATTTTGGAAGGACTCAAATCATCTGGCGCGAAGAATCTCGGAGCCTCTTTCTGAAGGACCTTCCTCAGCAGCTTACTTGGGCTTGGCTTTTCACTGAGTTGTTTCCTTGGACTTGGGCTTTGAGGCTTTACAGGTGGTGGAGTGGCAGGCTGTACGCTCTCAGAAGGGTTGGGTTTCGTTGGTGTTGCAACAGGACGCGACACAGGACGGGAAACAGGACGCGAAGGAGTTTGACGTGTGGTAGGGAAACGACCTCGAGGCGGAACAGGAGACTGATAGTCGTTCACGTAACTCGGATACATTTGCTGATAGCTTTGCATTGGCTGGTACATTGGTTGATAGTACTCTGCTGCACCAGGATAAGGTGCAGAAGCGTACATAGGATGTACGACGCCAGGGTCAACGTACTGTGGTTGCTGGTAAGCATACAGAGGAACAGTATGAGGAGTAACAGCAGGTGGATAATAACGATCAACAGGACGATTTGGTCGCCTGAAGCCTTCGACAGTGGCAGGCTCGATATTGACTGTTTGAGATGAAGACCAGTCGCCGTAGGAGTATTGTGCCTGGGAGTTCCTAGGTCCTTTTTGCTTGTAAGTATTTGTCTGAAATCTGCCATGAGAATTGCATTGACTGCAGGCAGCTTACTTGGGTCTGAGAAACTGCTATTCATCATGCGAGCTCTGGCTGCAGCTGCAGCATTCAGTTCAGCAGCTCTGGCTTGAGAGGTCAAAGAAGGACCTCCCCTTGGAGCCATCGTGAACAGAGATAAAAGAATTTTCTGACCCCTCTTTTTCACGTCACGCAAGGCCCAGAGCACAAAACTTCCTTAATTCCAATTTCATATGATTCTGGATAGGAGTGAATTTCCAAAGGTTCAACATCAAAATTGAATAGATGAAACAAACAACAAGATAAGAATAATAATAATGCATAGGACGAAAAAGGAGAAATAAGATGATAAAAGACACTAAGAGTTGAAAAGAACGGTGTTCGTCCCAAAGAGGTCAAGGACGGTGAAGGATAAGTTGAAAGCTTCACTAAATGTTCTGTTATTATTACATGTTCCCAAAAGGGTAGGCACGGGGCGCAGGGCGCAAAAACATAACAGAATTTTCAGGCATCATTTGGAGGGAAGCTTACCGCCTACATGGTAATACTTCTTTTGTCCAGTACATTGCTGTATCCCAAGCTTAATGTTATGGTGGACGATATTTACTACCTGTATCAGCTGTCCTAATTGCTAGATCTCGACGATTCCGTAACGAATACCCAACGTCTACTCTGTTAAAATACAAATACCAGATAGTAATGTTGGAATGAGTTCATATTAGGAATGCTGGAACTATAGTACAGGTTATAAAATAGACTCGTAATTCATAAAGCAAACTGAAATCAATTCATGGGGAATCATGCACATCTAGTATTGACGCTGGGTGTTTCCAACGGTACGACTACCATCCAAGTCAGAGTCGATACGAGGATCAAGCTTGTTCATGAGGTTGGAGTTGTGAGGACCAGCACTGCCGTAAGTCTGACCAGTTCCAGTGGAAGCATAGCTGCTACCTGCGGGGGCAGCACCAGTAGTAGTTCCCATGTGGTGGTGGCGAGCACGGTTATCCATGTCAGAGTCGACGCGAGGATCCATCTTGTTAGCCATGTTGGTGTCGTGGGGTCCGGCGTTGGTGCTGCGAGTGTTGTAGCCATGGCCAGTGGTTGTGGTTCCATAATTTGCTATTCCTCATTAGCTCGAATGTGAAGAGTATGATTATGAGGGAGGTACGTACAACGATCGCTATCAACACGAGGATCCATCTTGTTGGCCAGGTTGGAATCATGAGGGCCAGCAGTAGTAGTGCCGTAACCGTGGTGGCCGTAAGTCGTGGTGCCCCCAGCACCAGCTCCCATACCGCCAGCGCCAGCACCCATAGTAGTACCAGTGGTACCAGAGTGGCCGGTCATGCCGCTGTGAGCAGCATGATGGTCTATAACTGATTAGACATGTCCAGGCATTAAAATAGTTGGATGTACTTACCGCGGTCACTGTCAACACGAGGGTCCAACTTGTTCATGAGGTTAGAATTGTGAGGTCCGTGGTTGGATGAGTGTGCGCCATGGGCAGTAGTGGAAGTAGCAGTAGACTCGTTTTGGGACTGCTCAAAGGACTTGGTAGTGGTGTCGGCGGAACCAGCAGAACCGAAGGCATTTCGTCCATCTGAAAAGCTGTTAGCGGCAGTCACGACTACTAATTTTTGTAAATGCTTACCACGGTCACTGTCGACACGAGGGTCGAGCTTGTTCATCATGTTGGAGTTGTGAGGACCAGCGTTGGTGGATCCAGTGCCATATCCTCCAGCGACAGCTCCAGTGGTGGTACCAGCGGTGTTGTAGCCAGTGTTGTGGTGGGTAGCACGTCCATCTGTCTCGGGGTTAGCTAAGTTGATAGCAATATTCCTGGCTTTACATACCTAGATCACTGTCGACACGGGGATCCACCTTGTTTAGAACGTTGGAGTTGTGAGGGCCAGCATTGGTAGAGCCAGTAGTACCGTATGTGTTGCCCACACCAGCGCCAGTGTGCGTGCCGGAGTATCCAGTGTTTCCATGGACAGCACGGCCATCTTGTTGAGGTCAGCATACTAGGCATGTGTGTTCAACCTCGGGAGGTTAAATCTTACCAAGATCACTATCGACACGAGGATCCACCTTGTTGGCAACGTTGGAGTTGTGAGGCCCAGCGTTAGTAGAGCCGGTTGTACCGTGTGTGTAGGTGTTTCCAATGTTCATTCCAGTGCCGGTAGTGCCGGTAGTACCAGTGGTGCCATAGGCAGCACGTCCATCTGCGTCCGTTGTCAGTAATAATCATACATGTTTGACATGCAGACCACATACCGCGGTCACTGTCAACACGAGGGTCGACTTTGTTGGCCATGTTGGAGTCGTGAGGGCCAGCATTGGTGGAGTAAGACGGCTTCTCATGCTTGTCATGAGTGACAGCGTCCTTGACTTTGTTGATGATGCTGGACATGTTGGCTGATTGATAAGTCTAGTCTGTGAGGAAGATATGATATAAAGTCTTTGAAGTTTTGAGGAGGTGTGTTTTATTCAATGTTCAAGATGTTGTTGAGTAAATTGAGGTCGAAGTCGAGTCGATGTACAGGCTCTTTATAGATGTTTGTTTTTGTCCTGTGACGACATCGAAAAGCCCATTACGTCCTGTAGTTCCACTGAGGTTGTACAAAGCTCATTTAGCTTGCTTTATGTGATTTGACTGATTGGATTTCCGTATTCCACGGTACGATCTGGCAGGGGAGCTCCCAGCTGTCAAATCAGGGTCCACTAGATCAGCGTACTAGCCACGATGGGGAATCGACGAGCCACAAATGTCAGTAGCTCCCCGGAGTTGCAACGTCATTGTCTCTAGATCGTCCCGCGATCTGCCCAGATTTGCTGCACGTTTTCATCAAGCCACACTCAGCAATGGACGTAGCAATGACGTTCTGTCTCAAGTTCCCAATTAACCCAAACACAACGGTCTGCTTGGCATTCTTAGCTTACATAATCGTCATAATGAGATTTGACTCTGCCAGCTTCGACTTCGCACAGCAATTTTTTATGGGCTGAAAGAACGTGTCTTGTCCAAAATAGCTTCAAGTAGATCGATATCACGTGATATGACGCAGTGCTGACTCACTGAGTGCTGAGATTCGGATCATGTGATTTTGCGTCAGCTTAGTAAGCGGGCCAGTTTCGGTAAGGTCGTACTTTGTTCCGACAGCAAGTCATTTTATGCATGCGATACAGACACCCACAAAATATAACCACTCCATAGGTATACGATGACTCGAAGACTTTCGAGTCATACTCGCACTTTGACTGGTATGTTGCTTGCAGTCACCCGTTCTGAAAGTGAAGAGAGAATCCGAGTAATGATCACGTGCCACCAGTGGGTGCTTGGCTGTGGCTGGCTTGGCGAGGAGTGAGCAACGCGGCCGCCTCTTGCGCCCCTCATACGACTGCGAGTTGATACTCCTCCAGTCTCTCCCCGAATCGACGACACATCACAAGTGCACTCTTTGTTTCTATCCCCCTTTTTTTGCTTTCTATACTTGGCTTTTCTTGTTCTCTATATTATTTGTATAATCTCCGTGCGTGTTTCTCGATGATCGACTATCCCTTCCGTTCCGTGAGGCCTCTACTCTTGGTCTGGGAGTTGTAATCAATCCATCTACATACTTATACCCGCTGATTCCTCCGTACTCCCCGAACGCAATCTATAGGGCCAGCTGTAGTCTGCTCATTATGCGTCCGCCACGGCTTTTGCTTTTGATTTTTTGTTTCATCTTTCTGCCTATTCTGCTGACCTTATTATCTCTCGTCACTGCCGAGCCTCGTCGTGGCGTTGTCGAGGGGGAGGCACCCATCGCTGGTCGATCGAGCCGATTACGCGCTTTATTTTCATTCAATACGCCAACATCTTTATTCCCACCTTCCGCCATTATTAGTTTGACTGATGATAACTCGACATTTTTCCTCGCGCGGCCGGCAGCATTCGGGCCCCTTCTCCCGTCGAAAGGCCTCAGCGGCCAACTGTGGATAGGCAGCGGCTTCAACGAGGACACCCTCAGGAAGGGTGTAGGTACTGCAGGCTTCCAGGGAGAGCTTGGCTGTTCCGATATACCTGGATGGGATAAGGATGAACAGTCAAAAAAAGATCAAGTGTCAAAAGCAGCGCATACCAATTTGCCGGCTAGCCTTTCCACGGACAAGGAGATGGTAGACAAGCGCAAAAGTGCTGATACCAGCGCGGCGGACAAAATCTCTGGACCAGCGCCAAATGACGGAACCGATGATCATCTACATCAACCGATTTCCGCGAGTAAAGATGAGAAAGCAAGTGAGAAACAACCTCCCACGCACGCGGATATCCAGTCGTTGCAAGAGAGCGCCGAGATCGCCGGGAAAGTTGTCCTTCTCAGTCGGGGTGGCTGTGGTTTCTTGGAGAAGGTGAAATGGGTGCAACAACGAGGTGGCATCGCACTGATTGTTGGAGATGACACCAGAGGCGGTAGCTTGATTACGATGTATGCTCGTGGCGATACTTCAAACATCACTATTCCAGCGGTATTCACCTCTTATACGACCGCTCATTTATTGTCTTCTCTGATCCCGGAAAGAGCTAGCCTGGAGGGGAAAACGGACTCGAAGAAAGTTTCTCCGAAACAAAAACGTCCCGCTCAGCCTACGACTACCACGACGAGAATTGCTAGTCAGCCCACAACTACTAAAGTTCCAAAAAAGGATACTTCAGAGAAGAAAGAGGTGCGGAAAACAAAAGACAATTACTTGTTCTCCGCGCTATGGTCATTGTTTGGCTGGGGACGAGACAACTCGATAACAGATGATAGCCATCGGCCACCAAGCAGTGGCAATATCGACTGGGTACTGATTGATGAATATGACGAAGAAGACGTCAGCAAATCGAAGTCAATGCAGTCTAGCAAAGACAAGGGAGCGAAAACGGATAAATCACCGAAAAACAGCGATAACAAATTGGCGAATGACGATGGCTTTGAAATTGGAGTACATGACTGGCGGGATCCAGATCTTGTACCAACTAAGTCTCCAAAAGGAAAATCCTCATCCGCTGGAAAGACCGAATTTAAGGAAAAGGTTGAGAAGGCTGATAGCAAGATGGACGCTAACTTCAAAGGCGGCAGTATCACGCCTGGCAGCGGGGAGTATTCACACATGGTCAAGGTCCCAGCTGGAACTGACAAGGACAAAAGTGTGATTGGCAACGGTGGAAAGCTATCAAGCGACAAATCCAAATCTGACGAAAAAAGCTGGTTTGCAAGACACTTTGGCTGGAACCAAGGTCTTGATGATGAACTAGATCAGATACTGAAGAACCGAGTACAACCGGCCAGTGATGAGGTGACATATGTTCGCGAAGGAAAACAAGTCTTGGATGATCACCCCGGTCTTTGGGTTACTCTCACTCCGACGAGCATGTCGACTAGCCCATTTTTTGATACCCTTCTAGTGCTCGTTGTAAGTCCATTGATCACCTTGACCGTCGTTTATGCACTACTACTTTTGCGGTCTCGAATCCGCCGCCGACGCTGGCGTGCACCCAAATCAGTAGTCGAAAGACTTCCAATCAGGACATATCATACAATTACCACTCACTCGACGTCAACATCAAATAGCCCGCGGTCACCGAGCCCTGGATCTGTTACTTCGGTTACTTCAACGTCCCCTCTGCTCGGGTCGAGACCTCGAGAAGCGCAGGGCCGCTCTCGACAACGCTCCCAGACTGTGTCTGGAACGAATATTCGGACGCATGACGCGACGCCGGTCAAAGAAGGAGTATTCTCTGGATCTGATCTCTGGAGACGAAAGTACATTGGACGTCAGGTCGAATGTGTGGTTTGTTTGGAAGAATATGTCGATGGTCAGAGTCAAGTGATGAGCCTCCCGTGCGGACACGAATTCCACGCGGAGTGCATGTAAGGCTACCTTTTACCATGATTTAGTTGTGCTCTATTAACATGTCGCTACAGTACACCATGGCTCACCACACGTCGACGCACTTGCCCTATCTGCAAAGGCGACGTTGTCCGATCAATGGCCCTCGCTGAACCTACAACGCCCACCCAAGAGCATACATCCTCTACCCGCACAGCATCTGTACATATCCTACCCGACGTCAGCGACGACTCAAATCTAGAAGAAGGCCGAAGAGCAGACGAACCTTTACCGTCAGAAAGCCACAACGTAAACGATAATGCAGCTTCGTCTTCGACGCCTCATCACTCTAATTGGCGCAATATTCCATCCATGACCTTCTCCGTTCTGAGCGGAGACGGCATGTGGCATTCACGGAATGATCGCAGTAGATAGAATATGTTTGGGTTGGGTTGGCGTACTTTGCGTGTACAACTGCCTTTTGTTACTTCATTTGATGCTTAGCGATTTCTTATTGTTTACTCCTTATTACATACGGTTGGTATGGCGTACAAGGGAGCCTTCAATTCATACACGTCGTTTTGTTTACGTATTCATCTTAACTCCTCGGCTTGATAAGAGTTTCTTATCGGAAAGTATATGATCTCGTCTTCTGATTGGCTGAAAAGACCTGTCTGCAATTATATCCGTAACGACGTCATAACGATTCCTCATTCTAACATCCCTCAACTTCTTGATTTACTACATATACCTTGAATTTCCACACCTCTTTCCATCTCATTAAAAATAATAATCGAACCGTCCGACAAAACAAAATGGCAGACCGCGTCAAAACAATCGCAAAAAGCGAGATAGAGCGAATATCCTCCCTCACCTACAGGGCCATCAAATCCGGCGCATATTTGTATCCATTTCATGTACTTCCCTTTAGCTTTACAAAATTATCTTACAAGAAAGCTAACACAACAAATCAAAGGGAATAATCTATCTCCTCTCCCATCGCACATTATGGTCCCCGCTCCGATCCCGCCTCGTGCCCACCTTAATGCTAGGTATAGGCATAACAACAGCCATGTTCTTCCTAACCTACATCCCGCAAATGACGTTATTAGCATTCACATCTGGACCCTTCGTAGCGCCCATATCAGCTGCGTTGCTCGTGATCAATGAATCGTCTGCAATAACCGGGTTTTTCGCCTCGAGAGGGATGTTTTTTGGACTCGATGGGCAGGGGAAGTCCTCGTCAACCTCGTCAGTGACACTGGATGCATTCGATGCTACGCTCATGTTAAAGGGACATGAAGCCCTCGTCCGTGGTGGACGGGAAATCAAATCTCCGGCTGCTGATAATAATATTTTATCAAGATTAGGCGGTTTTGTTGGGATGAGTAAGAGGAACTCGTTCAATTCCGGCGGTTCGACGGCTGATGGTCTCATTCGCTCATTGCTGTATCTACCGCTTAACTTCATACCAGTCGTGGGAACGATTGCGTTTTTGACCCTCAAAGGGAAGAGAATGGGTCATAATGCGTTGGATAGGTATTTTGAGTTGAAGGGGTATTCGGCTAAGGAGAGGGAGGAGTGGTTGAAGGATCATGAGGGGGAGTATATCGGGTTCGTTCCCTAACACCTTCCTCCCTTTATTTGTGGGGAGCTGGCGAAGTGGTGAGATGTTGATGCTGACTGGGTTGATAGTTTTGGTGTTGCGTCTTCCGTCCTGGAAATGGTTCCGTTCGCTTCGTTCATATTCGCATGCACGAATACCGTTGGTGCGGCGTTGTGGGCTTCGAATATTGAGAGCAAGTCTGGTACGGCACCCGGGTTGAGGGAACAGAGTAAGAAAGCTGCATAGTGTCTTTTCCTCTTGTATGCGAACATACAGATACTGGGTATTGCTATCTATTATGTAATCTATATACATGCATCAGTCCGAGAAATGCCGCTTGTATGTACCATATATGTACTACCAATGCCAAAAATATATGTAAGGAAATACCCCAAATTGTTTTCACGAAACAACGTGTCTGTTGTTATGACTCGTCCACTTGAGGAACGCATCCCCAACTACAACCCCTGCGCAAGAATGGCAATGGACGCAATTCCGCACCTGATGCACGTGGGAATTTCAATCCATTCTCGTACGTAGCACAATCCCACCATTCAATCCATTCTGTGCGCGGAATCACAAAACTGCGATGACACACAGAGCAAGACATGCCACCAGCATTTCGGACAGAAACCGCCTTTCGTAACAACCGAATCACAGGTTCTGGGTATTCTACCGAGGTTGCGTCGCCGGCGAGGAATTGGTCTAGATACGGAGCTTTGCTGCATTCGAGGAGCGCTAGTTCACGTAGGGATGGAACTCTGCTTCTTGGACTCTTGTGCGAAGGATCCTGGAACTTGCCGGATGATTTAGTGTTCAGGACGGGCTTGCCCTCTGCATCGAAACGTTGCACGCGGCTTGTGGCAATGTGAATAGGTGCCCATGCATCTTCCGGCGCCGGTCCTTCATATTCACAAGATCGAAGATCGTCCTCTGGTCCATCCCCATGGTGCCAATGCTCAATATCTGCTGCCGCTTCTTCAAGAGACATGAAAGGATTAGGATGGATAGTCAATTGTTTCAGATCCCCCTTTCGTATTAGCCACAGTACTTCCCAAGGTAGCGTAGTCAGCTGATTCACAGAGAGGTTGACCTCTTGTAGATTCGTCAGCTTGCGAATAGCCCCGGGGATTTCGACAAGCTCGTTGTTCCGCACACTTAGAACATTCAAATTGCCCAACTCAAATAATTCAGATGTCAGCTCCGTTAGGTGATTACCCGCCAGGAAAAGTCGAAGAGCAGGCGTCAATGATGTGAATACTTCATCGGTGACGGGTCCATCCGCTACTGCCGGTTGCTTCGTTAGGTGTACAAGGGGTCGGAGCAAATCCGTCGGGATACTCTTTAGACCGAAGTTACTATAGCTAGATCAGTCGAGCGAAGTTATCATTAGATGGCTAGAATTTACCTCAGATCAACACTCTCCTGGCCTTTGTCGAGACAGTCATTGACCATTCGTCGAGCATTTCTGTGCTCTTGCGACTCATCTGTACTCTGTATGTTTCGAGCGGCAAAGACTGGACCGGCTACCTGGCCAGTCTCGTTTTTGATACTCTCAGTATTCCAGTGTGGTAGTTTGAGCTCTCCTTCCTCGTTTCCAGCCCATGCACGCGCAATGAAATCTTCACATGACGAAGCTTCCGAAGACAGGAGACAATCAGACGAAGACTCATCACTTCCCATCCACACACCACTGTCTAAATTCCTCTTCTCTTTAAAATCAGCTCTTTTCCGTTTCGCATCCTTGGCCATCTCCCCCCACCACGTGCCACGGTAGCGTCGCTTTCGGGAATGCTCGAGTTGCTGTCCATAATAGTTCTCCAATGACGATGATGGGATGTCGTCGCTTGAAAAGAGTGCCGGGTCACTGGACGGGAGGCTGGATTGACTAAGTCGGGATGAAAGTCTTTTGGGTTTACGAAATGGGTGCTCGGGAGCTTTGGCGGGCGATCTGTGACGTATGCTCCGTAATGGAGGAAGAGGAACCTCTTGATCCATCTCCTTGATAGCATACAAAAAGGATTCACTTCCAATGGCGAGCCGATCCGTTTCAGAGCACACACCACCAAAGCTTCACAACGATTCGCGTCAGCTACGGTATCTGGCGGGCACTTGGAACAAATGCACCTAATGCATGCACATCAGTTGGAGGAGACGATCTCGGCCCAGGAAGAATATGCCAGCGTAACAGCTGGATAAGCTCCTGGAGATGTCCTCGAAAAGGTTCAGGAAATAGTATGTAGAGGATGGTCGCTTGACTGTTTACCGCGAAGGGAAGTCGCGAGTGGCGGAAACGACGCGTTATAGTTCGTCCAATCATATTGCCGGATGGCTTCGCGATAAGATAGTGTTATCAGCAGAACGGCGACATAGCGCATTCCATCTGACGCCAGCCAAGGCTGCAGTTTCTAGAGTGAAAACGTACCTCGCTAAAAATTTATAATTTGTATTTCAAGTGAGAGGACATTGTCAGATTCGACGAAAGGAAAAAAGAAAGAAAAAAGAAACGAGCGACGTGGGACTCGAATCCACAACCTTTGGTGAATCAGTACAATCAATCATGAGATTGATTGACGCCGAAAACCAACGCGCTACCATTGCGCCAGCCACCCTGGGAAGAATATGCCACAATTTACGATATGAAACTCTTTCTAAATCGTCGGTGATGGTTTCCTACTTTCGCACAGGAATTCTTAGCTGTTCAGATAGATTCTAAAATCCAAAGTAACTTGGCTATATAGCCCAATGGCGCCGCATAAATTCTGGCGTTATCTTTCCTCAAAGTTCTGAAATTTGACATTGCCCAGATGGTTCCAAGGTTGCGAGGAAGGAGCCTTCAGATATGCATCCGGACTTCCCGTGGATACTGAATTCCAGCCACCCACGTCCAAAGATTTCTTATTTAGCAGATGGGCGACCTTCAATGTTGACATGACCTTGGGAGATACCGATGAAAATCTCAAATACCCATTGATGCAGGCACTAAATGAGTATATCCTGTATCAGAGAATCTACATAGTACCATATCCACTTGTATTCATGGTACTACCTATATGCATGAAATTGGCTCCAGACACTCCCTAGCTACGTAGGCAGGCTGAATAAACATACCGAATCTGCCCCAGATCCCTGCCCAAACTGTATACTGCTCAGGTGCACATCGGAGTAATAGAGATTTTGACGTTCAAGCCATGTTTCATCGGTCATATAGCGTACAGCATTTCCAACGGCAAATGTTCTTATCTCCGAATATCCGTCGGTAAATGCTCCTAACTTCTGTACTATGACGACTACGAGGGTGAGTGTATGCCCTAAGTGTACACGTTAGTAGATTTTAGTACGAGTCTGACGACTGTCTACTAAGTATCTAGGACTGCAAAACTGAACGCTCATTCCGAAATCCGTGCTCGTATCGTGGTATAAATACCAGAGTAGACTCCCAAAGGATGTAGTAACAATCGAGTAAACGTATGTCCCATACGAAGATCGTACGTATCCAAGAACTACGGGCCAAGCATTACCGACATTATGGCCCAGCCAACTAAAAGCCGCATATTCATGACCGGTGCCAGTGGGTATCTCGGCAGCGTCATCACAGAACATGCCATCGCCCATGGATACGAGGTTCACGGTCTTTCTCGCATAGAGGCCAGCGACGAAAAGCTGAGAAGTCTCGGGGCTGTACCAGTTCGCGGTGACCTCCAGGCTCTCGACGTACTGCGCCACGAAAGTGCCAATGCCGAGATCATCATCCACCTCGCCGATGTCATGACGAGAAACCCGGACTACCATGCAGGCCTGCGTATCGATGCTGCTGCAGTCGATGCAATCTGTGAAACTATACAAGGAACCGATAAACCTCTGCTGGTCACTTCAGGGTCACTAGTGGTTGAAGCCGACCCCAACGGTGAGGAGACTACTGAAACATCGCCGTTACAGAAAAAACCAGTAAATGACCGATTCAAGGCCGAAGATCATGCTATCAACTGGGCTAGAGAGAAGGGTGTTCGCGTGATTGCAATTCGCCTGGCCCCATACGTCTACGGACGCGGAGGAAGTGGTATACGGCTATTCATGCAGATGCATGCCCGCAACGGGGAAGTGACATGTGTCGAGGACGGCAGTACAAGAACATCGACTGTGCACGTCGATGATGCGGCAAGGATGTACATTCTGGCAGCTGAAAAGGCAAGTGCCGGAGAAGTATACAATTGTACCTCGTCCACGGATGTTACAGCGTTGCAACTTGCAGAGGCAATGGGCTCGATTCTGGCGTTGCCTGTAAAGTTCTTCAAATTCGATGAAGCGGTAGCAAAGTTTGGTCCTTTCTTCAGTAAATTCCTTTGCGCAGTGAATCGTGCTTCCAGCGCTAAAGCATTTCAGAGATTGGGATGGCAGCCCCGTGAGCCGGGGATCATTGACGACATCAAAAGTGGTTCATACTTGGCTGTGACTGAGAAGTTGCGTGGAAAACAAGTGTCTAATACTTGATACAAGTCTCGATTTCTGTTCGATGTACAGAGTACGTAGTAAATAATAGTGTGGAGTTCAACTCGAATGCAGGTCGTTGGTGGTGAAAATAAGCATCTGTGTCACCATGTGGGGCGCATTGCAGTACGTATGTCCCGTGGTTATCCGTCATCCCCAACCACTCTTTCAACTTCTTGAAACAAGAAGCAGACACCAATTGACAAAAGATGCTACTGAATCGCTTACCACGATCAGTTTTCTTTTCTCAATTTCGCTACAATGCAGGACTAAGGATACTTGTCTCACGGCCCGTCCAATATCGCCGTGATTTCTTGACATCCGCTACAGAAGCCCCTGATATCGCATTTGCTTTCGAGTCAGTATCTCGATGATTTCTTTGGATGATTCTTGCTGACTTCTATGTACGAATTTAGTATCGATGGCGTCCTCCTTCGTTCCTCCAAACCTATACCTGGCGCTTCAGATGCTCTTCGTACCCTCCAAGAACGCGGGATCCCCTTTATCTTGTTGACGAATGGCGGCGGAAAGCATGAGACTGAAAGAGTCGCCGAGATTAGCGAAAAATTGAACATATCTCTAGATCCAAGCGTCATTATTCAGAGTCATTCACCGTTTGCTGAGCTGGTCAATGGCGCATTTGGACAGGAGGCATTAGAGAATAAAACTATTCTAGTAGCCGGCGGTGACGGTGACAGTTGCCGCCAAGTCGCCGAAAGGTATGTCACTGTTGCTGAGCTGGATTATCGATGGTAACTGGTCTAATATCTGTCGGACAGGTACGGATTCAAATCAGTCGTGACGCCAGCAGATATATTCGTTGCGCATCCCGGTATATGGCCGTTCGCCAAAGTCTTCAAAGACTATTACAAGTCTTTTGCACGGCCGCTTCCCAAACCAATTGACCCAAGCGATCCTCAGAAAAGTCTTAAAATTGACGCAATGTTCGTGTTCAATGACCCACGAGACTGGGGTCTTGACGCCCAGATCATAATAGACATACTTTTATCTTCGCAGGGTATCCTGGGAACGTTGTCTGATAAGAACGGCAAGTCTAATTTGCCAAACCGCGGATATCAGCAAGACGGCCAACCTCCACTGTACTTTTCGAATCCAGATTTATGGTGGGCAGCAAGTTACCATCTTCCGAGACTCGGTCAAGGAGGTTTCCGTGAAGCTTTGGAAGGAACCTGGTCAGCCGTAACTGGAGGGCCGGACTATGGAGTCGAGCTTATTAAAACTGTGGTTGGAAAGCCATATGCGCTTACATACAGATTTGCTGAAAACCAATTACTAAGGAACCGATCGAAGATATTTGATAGTGACAGTCTTCCTCCGATAAGGAACGTTTTCATGATCGGTGATAATCCGGAATCTGATATTCGTGGAGCGAACTCTTACAAGAGTGAACATGGTAGCAAATGGCATTCGATCCTTGTGCGGACCGGCGTGTATGGTGGTGGTACTCCCTCATACGAACCGACAATCATTGCGGACGATGTGAAATACGCCGTAGAGTGGGCGCTGAAGTCTTCTGAATACTGAGCAGTCTCTACTAGCTATCACCGTCGAAACCTGGATATGTAAATATACATTGCATACCAAAACTTGTCAACAAATGCCGTTGAGATATATACCAGCTTCATAGCCTTGAAATCTAAGGCCGACAGTCTCACATATCACAGGACTCTGTATAGTTACAACTATACACTAATACAATGATATCCCAAATCAATCTTTCTATGGAGTAATGTATAATATAAGAAACCATTTGCGAATAGCGCTTTCTAGTTTATTTGCATGCGACTCTCGTTAATTGGATGGCGCTTCAAGCCAACAGCAGCCCGAACTCGGCTGATTATTTCATATGAGAAGGAAAAGAATCGTAAAATAGTACTTTTCCAATACTACTAACGGATAAACCTATTTTCTCGTCCTGGGACAAGGATATTAGAAAATATGCACGTGATGTACGAATCAGGACTTAGGGCTTAGGGCTGGGTTAATGAGGGGCCGTTCCAGACAGCGGGGTGACAATGGCAAGAAGTTTTGAGCCGGAGACTTTGTGAATCATAAGACATTATTTGATTCTACTGTGAGTCACTACAAACAGCCAATTTAATTAAAATTTTTGTGCATTAATCCTCTCTCATACTAATTTGCATGGTGAAATAGCTATATATTTTTCTCGTCTTATCGTCGAAAAAGCATCTGAATATGGCCGACACAACCCTTCCCCATCGACCGAAGCCTGAAGAGAGCTCAGAAGATTCTCCTGCGATCGAAAATGCTCCAATCGCGGAGGGGGGCGCCGCTGCTCCTAGCAAAAGCGCATTGAAAAAAGCCGCTAAAGAAAAAGCCAAAGCCGAAAAGGCTGCAGCTCGTGCTGCTCAGGAACAAGCCCAGAAGGCCGCTAGTACAGCAGCAGATACTGCTGTTGGATTATATGGCAAGCTCCCAGAGAGCGAAGATCTTGTGCCCGCTATCGACTTTTCGAAATTAGGAGAAGAACATTATGAGAAGGAAGTTACTGTTGTTGCACGTGTCGACAATACCCGATCACAGAGCGCCAAGCTTGGTTTCCTCATGCTTAGACAGAAAGGAAAGAAGCTTCAGACAGTCATTGCGGCACCCCAAGAAGGTCCTGTATCGAGGCAAATGGTGAAATGGACTACTGGTCTTAATGTCAACTCTATCGTGCAGGTCACCGGTATCGCAAAGAAGCCCGCTGTTCCTATCGCATCTGCTACTTTGACCGAGTTGGAACTTCAGATCAAAAAGATCTACATGATCGCAGAAGCCGCCCAAGTACTCCCGATGCAAGTCAAGGATGCTGAACGACCACCACCACTTACCGATGGTATCGAAGGAGAGCCTGAACTCGACGCTGAGGGTGTCCCTGTTGTCACACTCAAGACTCGTTTAGATAACCGTGTGCTCGACCTACAAACAGAGACCAGTCAAGCCATTACCTGGATCTCAAGCGGAGTTGCGCAATTGTTCACGGAGTTCATGCTGAAGAGTGGTGCACGCTGGATATTTTCATCGAAGCTTAGTGGATCGTCAACGAAAGAGGAAGTGAAGTTTTTGAAGTCAAGTACTTCAACAAAAAGGGTTACTTGGCGCAGAGTCCTCAACTTATGAAACAAATGGCCATTGCTGGAGATATGGAGAGCGTTTTTGAAGTTGGTCCTGTGTTCCGTGCTGAAAATAGTAATACTCACCGTCATTTGACAGAAGTAAGTATATAGAATCTCTTTTTTCTGTGGCTCGGTTGTTAATGATTCGTATAGTTCACTGGACTCGATTTCGAGAAGACTTTCAGACATCACTATCACGAGGTGCTTGACTTCGCCGAAGAACTGCTTGTGTTCATCCTCACCGAGCTCAAGGAACGCTACAAGGACGAGATTGCCGTTATTCAGAAATCATACCCCAAAGCAGGCGATTTCAGGTTGCCCAAGGATGGTAAAGCTCTCAGATTGAACTATATGGATGGTGTTGCCTTGTTGAAGGAAGCCGGCGTCGACACTTCTGAACAAGAAGCATTTGAGAACGACTTCACCACCGCTATGGAGAAGAAGTTGGGACAGATCATCCGTGAGAAGTACGATACCGACTTCTATGTGCTCGACAGATTCCCCATGGCAGTCAGACCATTCTATACCAAAGCAGACCCCAACGATCCCACGTTTTCACACTCATACGACTTTTTCATGCGTGGTGAGGAGATCATGTCGGGAGCTCAGCGTATCAACGACGTCAAGGAGCTGGAAGAGAGTATGATCAAGAAAGGGGTTGACCCCAAATCGGAAGGTTTTGAAGATTATTTGAATGCTTTCCGACAGGGTTGCCCTCCACATGCTGGTGGTGGTCTTGGTCTGAATCGTATTGTCATGTTCTTCTTGGGTCTGCCAAATGTTCGTTTGGCGACTCTATTCCCTCGCGACCCTCAGCGCTTGAGACCATAAGCGTGTTTGTTGAATCGGAGAAAGAACTTTATTGTATTAGAAGTAACAAACACAAAAGGAAATATGACTTTATTCAACGTTAGCTGTTCTTTTCTTGCCCATGTTCCCCGGTCTCTGGTTGATTGGTCCACTTTAGCTGTAGGCTGTAGTAGCTTAAGCTTCCATGTCGCTATTCCGCTTTTGGTTCCTGTTATCGATAAGATGGCACGGAGACTTTTAGACCGTCTGCCTAGCTTCATACAAACACCAACTTCACACTCAGTTGTAAGAATACCTTATACAGCTGCATATCGTTGTTTAAAATAAAGGGGAACCATGTTTTGATGTCTCCTGAAATACCAAGATGGCTGGCCTAGTTTAATTTTAACTCTCTGCAGACTACGCCATCTCCGGAACCTCAACAAGATTTAGCCAACTTCAACTGGAATCCTTCATAAGATGCCCGAAAAACGCAAGACAGAGTCCGTGTTGGAAGACAGCCAACACAGCTTCCTTGCGAAGCGTGCGCGACAACAAATTTCCTATGATGACCTGGACGAGTCCGTGCATACGCCTCCTGTGGCCCAACCCGAACGATCGACGAGGAATGACCTTGAAGACGATGTCGTGGACGCGGACGCATTCGGAAACGAAGGTGAAGAAGAACACTTGGGGTATAATAGCAAAACTACCACAGCTTCAAATAAACAGAGCGGCCGTCAACGCAATAATCAGCAGCCCCGGGTAGATCCCATTTATGGGCAAAGAAGTGCTTTTCCTGGTTTGGATGATGCCGGCTTCGATGAGCTACTCTACGGCCCACCGGAGGATGGATTGGAATACTTGCGCCTGGTCAGGTAAGCTCAGATCCCATTTCTCCCGGTTGTTCTACGCAATGGGCTAAGTGCATATGGGTTTGATCTTGAGCTAATAAGATTGTGTTCCTCATTGTTACAGGTCCGAAGCGAACTCCTTACCTCCTCTCTTCGTTGCGCCAAAAGCCAAGATGGAACAAAAAGAGATTGAACAAGCCGATGTAACAATCGATCAGATTGGAACAGAGCTCGTATATCAGACGAAAGGAGAGACAGAACAAGCCCAAGACGAGTCCGGCTATGTCCTCATTGACGGGGTAGTGATTGCTACATCCACCACCAAGGACGCAACCGAGTTTGATGGCGAAGAAAAACGAGACGCTCAGTCATCATACTACAATCTACTAAAGCATCGCTTCGTTCTCCTTCGGACAATGTTACGATGCTCCCCTCCGGCCGCTTCAATTGCTGATCTCGATGAAAGTCACCCTATCACACTCCCGTTCCACTCCAAGGCTGCTCGGACAGCATGGACGCAATTATTATACACTGCAGAACCACAAATGGCACAGCTAGCATGCATGGACATGGAATCTGTGCTTGGGGTTATCCGACTATTAGGGCCTGTGATGATAAAATGCGTTAAGGATAACGATGCAAATCAGTTACGACGTATTGGTGCATGGGCATGGGGTCTGTTAGGTCGATGTCGAGATGTAGGCGAGCTGGGCAGTGAAGAAGTCGGTGAATTGAGAATTTTCGGAAGGAAAGCGCTTAATCTCCTGAAGAAGTTGAATAGAAATAAGGACACTTCTATTCCAAACGCCATGGTTGTGGATTCTGAATCTGAAGACAAAGAATCTAGCGATGACGAGGAGGAGATTGCAATGGAGAGTGTGGAGTCAGCTGAAACGCAGGCAATTAAAGACCTCGAAGCGGCTAAACTTCAGTTACAGGCACAGTTTCTCGGAAAAGATACTGAAGAAGAGGAAGGTGAGAGACGAAGGAGGAATACTTCATCTCCGCTTGAAGCAGGTGTGAGCGAGCAAGAGATGGTTACCCTCCAAGAGACTACTATCAGGAAATCATTACCGGATACCACAGTCACTGGAGAAGAGCAGTCTCGTATTCTCCTGGACATGATCATCACCATTGTGGGTGAATTTTACGGACAGAGAGATCTTCTACAGCAGAGAGATATCTGGAATTAGCTATTGGGGATATATAATAGTGAGAATTTGTTCATGATACCCAGAATACTAATTAATCGAATACATCCCAAACTCATGATGAAGTCAAGATCGTATATACATGTATACATTAGGCGATACCGCATTGGACTTACGAAATTTCTCCGAACTGTTCCCAGATTGCTCGTCGAGTACAATCATCTTGAACCCATTGCTCAATTCTAGCCGCAGTATCATTGACCAGCCACTCATAATACAACCCGTTGGGTAAAAATATTGATTGATGGGCAACAACTTGATCAACATCGGGCATGAAGATGCGCACCCATTGCGGATCGACGGGGCTGGGCGGTAGGGCGCAGAATAGACGATCTTTTGGTAGTTTCGTTGATGTTGATTGTGTTAGTGATGACGATGATGTTGGCTCATGTATGTAGGATGGTGAAATGGGATTGGTATCGGTCTTGGTCGTTTCTGAAGGTACCATTGATGACAAGCTTTCCTCTCTGATGGATGTCGAGGTAGAAGGCGGCTGTCTATCTTCAATATCGTCGTTTTCATTGTATGGAATAATGCTATTGTCGAGATCACCTCTGCTCTGTGATCGGAGGGATACTGTTTCTGGTTTTTGTTTGTTCTCATTCAGTTTCTGCACAAGCTTTTCACGCTCTTTAATAGTTGTATCGAGCTCTTTCTGAGCTCTTTCGTGGAGTTTCACCAATCGTTCATGTTCTTTTTGCGCCTGTTTAAACACTTCTTTATTGGTGTATTTGGATGGATCGAATATTGATGGCTTTGGGGGTATTGTCGGTAGAGGCGGGAGGGATTCGAGCACAGACGTGTAATTTTTGTTGTCCGCGTTATCTTCGTAGTCTGCGTTCGGTGACAAATGCTCGGGTAGGGTCTCAAACGACCATTTTGGTGAAGGGGACTCCTGCATGGGTGACGGCTCAACTTCAGTTAGATGCTCATCGGTATCGTTGTCACCTGACAGTATGGGGCTGGGGAGCTTGGTCAAATTTTCAAGTGATCCCGTAGCTAACGCTCGACTCGACGGGGACCCGTCTGTAGAATTCCTCACCTGAAGACTTTCTGATGGTGACTTTTTAGGGAATCCAGAACTTGCTGTGTAGTAGTTCACAAACCTGACCCGTTTCTGCAGCCGACCATGCTTATCAACCTTTGGTTTCAAATCATCTATACCATCCAACTCTTTCAACAGCGCATATCGCCTGCGAAGCCCTGAATAGTCGGCAAGACAACCACCAAATTCGAAGTAAGAGCTGGCATATTCTTTGACCGCCGTTCTCAAGTTTCCTGAGTTCTTCTTCAAAAAATTCATAGCACCATCTAACTGGTTACGCTTCACGCGATGCACATCATTCACGAATGGAGGGTCAAAATTCGAATCAGGTATCTGCTCATACCAAGAAGACGCTGTCGATTCTGTCGAGTATTGAGAGCTTTGGTCGCTTGGAAGAGAATCTGTTGTTTTTGGTGAAGTTGTTCGATTTAGGTCTTCCTGAGACGGATCTTCTATACGCCTCGGATTGAATAAACTGGAGAGTCCAGTGCTAACAACACTTGGATGCATTCCTAGAAAAGGTACATCGAAGTTTAACGTTCCAAGCAGGCGATGTCTATATCTGCTGGGACTGCTTTCATTCTCAGATCCAGCCTGGGCCACTTCTGCGGCCAGTATGCCACCCAGACTGTGTCCGAGTAAGATAACATCAGTTTGGTCTGATTCATGCGGTGATAACCTGACATCAAAATATCAGTTCGGCTTCAGATAAGCAGTACTGAAACATTTAGCCTACCAACTGCTGAACTCATCGCGAGCAGCACTCATTGGACGCCGTGATTTATATCGTGGGTATATCTTTGAATACACCACGTGCGACTCTGCCAGAGCATTGGCGACTAAATTGTGCACGTGAGCTGGAAATTTTCGAAAGCTATCTTCCGCACCCATAAAGCCGTGGATGTAAATCAGTAGTAACCTTCGTCGTCCATCCCGAGGGTCTCCGGGTGGACCCAAAGATATCGTTGAGGAACTTGCGTCCTTTCTCAGGGGAAGCGGAGGTGGTCTTTGAGCGGAGCTTGCATATCTGTCGCCGGATGTGTTCTCTGTCGAGGAGATATTGGATAATGTCATACACAGTGATGCGTCTTGATTGTTTGTTGAATCCACCGAGTCATCAAGTTGCACTGGAGGGTGCACGATCATGATGGGCCTGTCATGTGACGATGGCCACTGCAACGTCTGCCTTCGCGCTTTCGTAACCTCAACACATATGTAGCACTCAGGAAGACCTAAGAAATCGACCTAGTGTTGAAGAGAGCTTAACTGCCTGCTATAAGGATCGACCTGAGAAGACTTGAGGTGTAAATAAAGATCATTCCGCAGAAGATCATTGGTCCATCTAAGTCGCTGGCTGCGTCATCGAAAAGTGGGTCTCTGTAGATAAGCAGAGCTTAACTTCATCTCAGGCAAACTCGACGCCCAACTTCACTCTTCACTCCAATCATTTTTGAATTAATGAAGCTTGCTATTCGATTTATTGATCATGCCGTCAAATGTTGAAATTACCATACCCACAGCAACTCTAACGGGGGACTACACGACTTACAACATAACTGTCCGACTACCTTTGCGATCCATAGTCGTCCAAAAACGTTACTCCGAATTTGCGACTTTCCACGATGATCTAGTCCACCAAGTCGACGCACAACCTCCGGTACCGCTCCCCAAGAAGTCCTGGTTTTACAACACAAATTCAAACGAGAAGCTGAGAGAGGAGCGACGACGAGGCCTAGAGAAATACCTACAAGCAATCAATAATTCGGACGACCAACGATGGCGGAATACGAGCGTATGGCGGTCGTTCTTGAATTTACCTATACAAGCTTCTGCAGGAGAAAATACGTCGTCTGCGAGATTACACAAAGCAGTTACTAGTCCTGGTAGTGCGGGATCTGCGCCGATAACAGATCCGGTATTGTGGTTGGATTGCCACCGCGAGATGAAATCCCATTTGCACGACGCTCGCCTGTATCTGACGAGAAGGGATCAAGCCACAACTCCTCAGAAACAACATGAAAGTTCAGCACATGCAAAATCGAGTTTAGCAAAGGCCGGATCAATGATTACAGCACTTGAAGACGGCCTGAAGAATCCAGGGAATGAAAATTGGGCTGGTAGTGGTCTTGGTGAGGGCGAAATAAGACGACGAAAGGATCTTCTTGCCAGTGCAAAGAAAGAAAAGGACGGATTGGAAAATTTGCATCATGCAATGCTGCAGAAGAGTAGATTGGATACCGCAGTGGCCTCGATACAAGACAAGAATGAACTCATGAGCAGTAGTAAGCCCCGCGGAGGCGGTCGAGTTCTTGGGAAAGAGACAGATAAAACACGCGAACTGGATAACCAGGGAGTCCTTCGGCTTCAGAAACAGACTATCGAATCTCAGGACAAGAGTGTCGGCGAATTGCTCAAAATAGTTTCTCGACAGAAAGAGTTGGGCATCGCTATAAACAATGAGCTGGAAATTCAAAATCAACTTTTGAGTATGGCAGATGAGGATGTTGATAGGTTAGTAATCTCGTTTCATATCTCTTTACGGGGACGCTTACTGATAATACATTTTATAGATTACAAAACAAGATTGATATTGGAAGCAAGCGAGTGGACAAGATATCATAAATGAGGAGACGTGTGCATTGAACAGCGTCAGCAGATTGACCTAGATGTGACCAAATAACGGTATACCCTGGTGTAAATAGATATGATCATTTGAGTTATCTTCTTGCCTCTTGTGGCGCATGGCGAATTTCAAATCTTTGTGAACTGTGGGCGATTACCAGAATCACATGTTCTTCACCAAAATCACGTAGTTTAGCTGAAGAAAAATATTGAGATCTTTTTGGCCTTAGCTCCAGATGTCAGTAGCCAAGAAGCATAAGCAATTTGTATGATGAGGATGCTTATGGGTTCATCTCTACTAAGGATGATTTGCCCCTGCAAAGTGAACACCAACCCTCATGAAAGTCGGTGAAAGAGAACATAATGATCAAATTCATGAAGGGTGTCAACCTTGGAAAACCACAAATTCATGACCAATGAGCCCTGAGATTGGAAATGGCAATGGAATGACTAAAGGATATCCTGTAATCGCCGCTGTCGAACGCAATGGAGGGCATGCCGACTACTACTCGAAAACACCTCTGAGATAGTCTCAAGTGGACGGCCTCTTGTTTCTGGCATGAAAAGTGCACAGACTACAACGGTGAGAAGAATACATCCACAGAAGAGGAAGTATATGCCGAAAGACGATTTTGGTAGTAAAATTGGGGTAATAAGCGCGACGAAAAAGTTTGTCATCTAGATCAATTGATTGATAGAATCATATCTTAGCCAGATGAAATCTTATAAAAGCAGAAAGTCGGCAAACAAATCCAAGAGAAAACGATGTACTTACACAATTTGCACTTTGAGCAAGGCCCGTGACTGTCGCTCTGGTTGCTACTGGCTGTATTTCACTGGCATAGACTTTGATCCCAAGAGCCCAAGCTAGTGAGATTTATCAATAATGTTAGGAAGGAGCATCTGATAAATAAGGAGAGGCGAACTAACTCATGCAATTTGAAATTGAGAAAAGGTAAATAGAGACTATTACCACCCATCGGCCGGGCCCAGAAGTCTGATGAACGCTTCCAGAAGCATATAGGGATCCTATGATTGCCATAATAATTGACAGCACTACTCCACCATATAAAGTGGATGCTCGACGGCCGATTTTATCTGTTAGAAGAAATGCAGGTATCGAGGTCGCAAAGATCAAGATGGCCGAGACCCCCGATGCCAGGAATGAGGTTTCAGATGAAGATAGCCCTGCTTGCTGAAAGAGAAGGGGAGCGTACTAAAAAGATGTTAGTATAACAGAAGACACTCGAAGTAGCAAAGGAAAAAAAGCTGTATATAGAGAACACCGTCAATTCCACTTAATTGCTGCATAGACATAAGGAAGACAGCTAGAAAGGCCTGTTTCTGAGATGCAGGGCCCATCACTCGCCGCGTATTGAGAACAGCATCATGATAATAGCTGCGGAATCGAGTAATGAAATTAGTATCTAATTGTTGCTCATGCTGCACCGACTCCTGGAAGGTATCCGGTCCTCGATCAGCTCCAGCTACCTCTAGCTTGTTCCAAGCCCTCTCTGCTTCGCCAAGATGACCACGATGATTGAGCCATTTAGGAGACTCGGGAAGATAGTATAGCGCTGATAGAGCTAGTGCAAAAGAGATACCAGCTTGGAGCGCAAGCGGAAATCTCCAAGAAAAACTGGTAGAGCTTTTCACAGTTCCATAACACATGAAAAATCCAACCATCAGCCCAATGGTGATGAAAAGTTTCACCATTGACGCAAGAGGTCCCCGAGTCTCCGCTGGCGAGATTTCACAGATGTAACTAAACGGAATTCAGTAAGACCATGGAAGTGGCGAAGGGTCAATACTGACACCACTAGCGTACTAAGAAACAGTCCTTCGCCGGCTCCAACTACCAAGCGACCCAGTATCAGAACTCCCAGTTAGTTTGCACTAGCTTCAATGACAGCACCGACCCCAAAGACTAATGCCCCCGCAGCAAGAGCCCGCGTGCGGCCCAAAGTATCCGACAACGTCCCTGAAAATAGCGAAGCGAAAGTCGCGGAGAGAAGTACGCATGAAACTATTAGACCTTGGAGCGAGAAGGAAATTTCGCCGAAGGTAGCTGTGAAACTCGACATCACAGTAACTGGTCCAATTACTCCTGTGTCGAGCCTAAATTGAAAATTGTAAATACTTAATACTACAGCTTTGCGTTTTGATCTGGCCGATTGAAAGATGGGGATTTCGAAATACTGGAAAGGGAAGGATGGATGCATTACCCATTCAAGAGGCCACCCAGCGACGTTACCACAGAAGAGACTAAGTACCGTGGAGGCAAGGACACTTTTATCTTCATTTTTGTATTGTAAGATTTCTCTTCAGCAAGCGAAATACTTTTTCTCTTAATGGGAAACGTGGAAATGAGAGAATGTTGGAACGAAAACGAAAATAGATGCTACATATATAAAGTAGCATGGATGCAGATGAATGAGGAGAACGAGGGGAACGAGGGGAAGCAAAAGGAAGAGGAAAAGAATAATGTTGGCATATATTAGAAGCACGTGAGGTGGCCTAGTATGTCCAGCCACTTGATGACATTAGATTAACTAGAGAACAAAGAACAAATGAGCTAGTATAGCTTATGTGACTATACTCGAATATGCTTGAAGCTTATACGTGGTAGAGTGTCCGTATCTGGACCTAGAAATATGAGTATGATTGGCTAGAGTTTCCTGGGAATTGCAGTGATAGTTCAACGCTAAGAAATCAAGGATCAAGCCGATTTGCGTCGGTGAGACTCCAAATTCGATATGTAGTTAGACAGGGATCTTAGATACAAGAGTCACGAAAATTTGTAAACCTTTAAACCCGCCTAGAACCGCTGTTCAAATGCTGTCTTATACCAGCTTCATGTTCTCTGTTACCGATACTTGAAATATGAATGCCATGCTCAGAGTATCTTATCGAAGAAAGTAATGCTAGGGTTCCTCCTGTCTTCGTGGGGTTGCCCTCTACACTACGACTAGTTGCATGACTCGTGTCTAGTGTCTATCCTGAAAATAGTGGAATATAATTATATAACTCATCATGATATGATTGATATCTACTAAGATCATAAAAATTCATGGAAAATCCCAACTTTTGGCAGAATATGGAAAAATTTGTGTCAAAATAGGACTGCCTAATCGGGAGCCGAAGCCCTAATTTCCACTTGTATATGGTCTAGCCCAAAACGGAATTCGAGGTAAACACCGAAAACCTCAAACGAGCAATAAAGAGAGTTTTCGAAAGACACAATAGAAATATCTATTAGGCTACAATTAAATAGCACAAAGGGATATCGGTTGGTGTAACTAGCATGTGCGTACACTTGAAACTTTCGGTTTTTTAGTTACGATAAGGCAGAGAAGAATGATAGTAGCCATTGCCTTTTCTTCTCAGGGATCTATGAGTCACGCATGAAAAACATTGATATTGATAAAGATGCCAACAAAAAACAAAGAGCAGTAGAGGCCTCTGAAGATCGGTCATGATTATCTGAAAGACATTGTAAATACTCAAGGCCTCGAATAATCATTCTCTTTGTGCAGACTTGCCAGGGAGTTACCGTTTATCGCAATCCCAACAATGAGCCAGACAATAGGAGTAGTACTCCTCAAGGTAATGTGTATCTCTAGAAAAAAACCATGGTATTTAATCATTTTGGGATACCGGGCAACATTCATTGAGATGGACATTGCCCTGAATGACGGAAAATCCCATCCTTCCCCTGGGCGCGAAAGAATCCGTTTGTGTCATATGCGAGTCTTAAAAAGGTCAGCATCTCCTAGAATTTCTTTTCTTCCACAACAGAAAATTCTCCTAGGATTCCAGTAAGACCAGAATTTTTCTTCCTCCTACACAACTCATTTTGAACCAAATTTGACCATCGAAATCTGAAGCCCTTCATTCTTCCACTTATATTTTCGTAAGATTCATACATCAACATAGATCCCCTATCTATTTGCTCGTCCATGTTGATACTTGTCATCTTTGGGTTCAACTCAGAGAGCTTCCTCTTCACAGATTCAGTAGGCCTGAGGGCCACGGTACTCATCGACCGTGCAGCAAAGTCGTTTTGTGGATCAGTCATGCTTCATGGGGCTGATCATTTGACTGGTATTCTTCTTGATGGTCACAACCAAACCATTCAAGCTGGCGACAGTGACAGCGACGATTTCGAGACTGCGAACGAGACGTGCCCGTGATCTTATCGCCCTGATCCTCATACATCAACCATACTTGAAGACTCTGCTACCACATTGGTATTTATGGAGACACCAGCACGTTTACCCGGTTCAGACGAGATCCCGGAGGAAACTGACCCCTCATGTACCGTGAGATCGAGAAACGATCGAATCCAGACGCGTTTTCAAAGATGAGAGATTTTGTGGCCCTTATGTTTTGTCTCATATTGCTGTTCAAATTTTTGCGATGGCTTTACAACAGAATTTGGGCTACAAAATTGGCGCAAAATAATGTTGGGATTCAAACCGTGAATGTCACCTCAGGGCCAACGGACCCCTTGATCGCGGAACGATTAGGAGCAATTCTCAATCATGTGAGAGCAACGCAGGCAGGATCTGGAGGTCACTCTGAATCAAATGCTCACATTGTCGGGATCGACGGAAGGGTTCTTGAGGCAATCACATCGAATAATCAAGCCCATATAAAAGCCATAGACCTTGTGGCGGCACCACTACAACGAAATGCCAGTCAAGGATGTAGCGAAAGAGACATTGAACAAAGAGCCGATAGCCGCACTCAAGAGCGACTGTCTAAGGTACTATCATCTTCGGAGGAAATGGAAAGTATCCTTGATAGGCTCTTCCAAGAAAGGATGTCTGAAATACAGAGACGGCTTGAGACCCTTGAAGACAGAATCAATGAGCAAACCAGACAGTTGCAGAAGCCTGGAAATGATACTCTTCCAAAATGTGCGTGTGCGTGAAGAGTTGGAAAAGAACTTTGAAGGCTTAGTGGACAAGAAGCTTGACCAAATGCGCAAAGAAATTCCAAACCCACCAGTCGTCGATGAGAAGAGATTGGAGGCATTAATGGATGGGAAGCTCGAACAAGTGCGCAAAGAAATTCCTGAAGCACCAGTCGATGGAAAGAGGTTCGACGACTTGGTCCAGAAGGTTGAACAAGCTCATAAAGAAGGTCCAAAAGTCTACGAGAAGGACTTGCAAACCTTGCTAGACAAGAAAGTGGAACAAGTTCTCGAAGGAATCCCGAAGGCATTGGCCGTCGACAAGAAGATCAAACAAGTCTGCAATGAGGTTCTGAGAGCACCCGCCTTTGGCAAGAAGGAAGCAGAGGACTTGGTGAACAAGAAGCTTGAGCCTGTGCGCAACGAGTTTTCAAAAGTACAAGCTGTTGACAATGAGAAAGTTCAGGATTTGGATAAGAAAACTGAAGGAGTGTAATAAGTACAACAGCAGCATGCTCCGGTGGTGTCTAAATTGGAAGGTGGTGTTAAAGAGTTGACCGAACGAGTCAATACCATGGACGAAGCGTCTAAAGAAACGTTCCGTTCACAAAGTGAGTCTCTCTCGAATCTACGCGAAAATGTCGAGAAACTGGAGAACGAACGAGAGCAGTTCGAGAGCGGTAGGTAAGCTCGTGATGAGTTGATTGATGATCAAGGGGAACTGATCAAAAAACTAGACGTCCCACGTCTCCCAAGTCGTCTCAAGAATTTCGAAGATAAATATGAAAATCTCGAAACGACTGTCAAAAAGTGCGAGAGACATTGATGATTGCAAGACGGAGGTTGGACAAGATATACGAATGGGCATTGACGGGCTTCAATTGGGTCGAGAAGCTCATGACAAACGTCTCAAGGGAATAGATGAACGAGACAACCAAGTGATCCGAGACATAATTGAGTTACAATCGACGATGGAAAATCATCAAAGGTCGCATGAACAAAACATTCAGAATCTGCGAGAGTATCACTCGGAGAGGATTAGTAGCTTGGAATCGAATCTTCAAAGCACAACGGACCAAATTCGAGGAGACTTGGACACCCTATGGAGAGAGCATAATACACTGCAGAATATAGTTAACGCTTCAATAAGCGATTCGCAAATCACAGCACCCATTTAGGGAAGTTCTTTAACGGTGCCTCAGTCCAGCTCTGGCAATCTGTCGAATCCTTTTTCGGGAACTCGTCCGGATCAGCAGGCTCCCACGATCAGTGACCAAATGAACATTGATCAACAGACTCCAGAATCAATCCATCCAAATGCTCCGGCTCCCCAGTACAGTTCGGCCCTTCAGTCTAATCTAAATCCTCTACTCCGAATCACTATTGCGCCTGCTGAACAGACTTCTACTGCAACAGACGAGATGAACATTGATGAACAGACGCCAGCACTAGCACCCATTCAGCAAAATATTCCAATGGTGTCTGAGCACAATCTTCCTAGACTGACAACAGTAACCTAGCAGACTTCCCCTGTTCAACAGGCTCCGCAACCACAGGTCAAGTGGATATTGAGGAGCAAGGCATTAGGACACATATTCTGCCACAGGTTTCAGGGACTATTCAACCCAGCTTCGTTCCACAGTTGAATCCTGTCTCTCAATACCCTCCTCCACCGCAGGCACCCGTTGACCAGACGAACATTCATCAACAGGCCTTGGTACCAGTTCAGTCACATGGCCCAGTGACCCCTCAGGACAGCTCGGTTTCTCGACCAATATCCTTTTACAGCCTGCTCCTGCCAAACAGACTACTGCTAATCCGACTACGCCAACTACTGAATCCGCTACGGGTTCCGCTAGTTCCCCCCCCCCCTCCATCCAACTCCGAAGTGTCTAGAAATCGTCACATCATTAAAGCCAAAGGACAGTTGAAAAAGCGCGGTGTGCTACAACAATCCCAAGCCGAGTTTACCACATTGGCAGACAAGAAGAGGACGGAGCAGGTCTCCCAGGTAAATCCGACGCATACACCACAGGCCGACCCAGAAGCTGTAAGTATCCGGAGTCGGAGAGCCACCTTCCAGATGGTCGCGCCATTACATACGGCCGAATTGGATCCTGATTTGGACGAGAAAGAAATGCGGAATGCTCAGCAGGAAGCGCAGGAATCATCACATATCTAGAGAGGATCGTCGGTCTCAGGTCAGGGTTCTCCTTCTTCTCCTGGATATGTGTATGCTGCAGGCGTACCTTATGACGCTGATCAGGCTGGGGCAAGGCAAGATACCCAGACATCTCCACATGTCCAAGAACAATCATTAACTCGAAGTCTAGAGACTGAAGAAAAAGGACAAGAACAAGAAAACGTGACTTCACAAGATAAAACGAGCAACCAGTCACGACTTCGGGGCAGCAAAAGGTGACGGATAGGACTACTACGACATTGTCGCCATCGTTATACGCCAGCCGATGGGCTGTCAAAGAAAGTACTGTGGCACCGGAACATCAAACAACAAGCCAGGCAGGTGAGACTTCTGTCAAGCAACAGGAGGAGTCTCAGGGTATTGAACAAGGCCCTTCGCAATGGAAACATCGGTGGCCCAACAACAGCCAGCGACAAGCAATACAGCTCTGGGATTGAGCAGTCGGGAGGAGACAGGTGAGACCTCTGAGAACTCCCTGTCGAATGTCTCAGGACAATCGTTAAGCGAAAATCAATTGGGCCCATCAGAGGAAAAGACAGAAGAGAAGCCATGGGGTGCAACAGTAAGCAAACCAATCGGGGTATCCGAGGAAGAGAAGAAAAAGCGTGATTTTGCTGTTCAGCACGTGATTTCAAATATGAAACTAGAAGTCACTCACTGAAACTCGATGGGCGGTACTAGAGCAACTGACGGACACGCCGCCGAGGAACGAAGAGACAGCTGAGGTTTCAGAAGGACATGATTCTACGCATTCACAAGAGAAACATGTGGAAGAGAAAGATACAGCGTCAAGAGAGGCAACAGCAACCGGACCAACGATGGAGTCGAGCGAGGAAGACAAGGTTGCACATGATGCTAGCAGAGAGGAGTGCTCGGGCACCTCAAGACCCTTTTTTTGCCCAAAGCCGTTGGGCTACATCCAAGCAACAGGTGGCTACACCACCAAGGAATGAAGCACTAAGTAAGCTAGCTGAAATTTCGGAAGTACAAAGTTCTTCTGATTCCCAGGAGCAATCAGTGGAGAAGAGACGACAGGAGCCAGGCCAACGAGCGGGTCGAGCGAGCAAGACAAAGTTGCGCATGATGGCGGCAAAGAAGAGCTTTTGGACTCCCCAAAGCCATCACTCCCCCAAAGTTGCTGGGCTACAGTGGCTACGATATCAAGCAATAAGCAACAGACAGCTCAGTTGAGGATTCAGGCGCACAAAGCCCGTCGCGTTCCCAAAGCCAGGGATTGACTTCAGAACAAAAAGAGGATACAGCAGCGAAGGAGGCAACGGTAACCAGCCCTACAACGGAAATGAGCGAGAAAGACAAGGCCGCACATGATGCTAGTAAAGAAGCGTCTTTGAACATCCGAAGACATTTTCTTGCTGAAAGCAGCTGGACTACATCGGAGGAACAGCAGGTAGCTACACTGCCAAGAACTGAAGCAGCAAGCGACTCAGCTGCACCTGATGTTAGCAAAGAAGAGTCTTAGAACACCCGAAGACCCTCTTTTGCTGAAAGCAGCTGGACTACATCTACATCGGAGGAGCAGCGTGTAGCTACGCCACCAAGGAAGGAAGCAGGAAATCCATCTGTGGGATCGGGGACGTAAGGTAGGTGAAAAAGGATATGCTTTCAGCACATACAAGGATGCTTGCTAAACAGAAGGCGATAGGCTAAATCGAAGAACAAAGGGTGGCCGCAGAAAATGAAATGGCCAAAGATTCAGTTGAGGACTGCGAAATCTTTATTTACTAGCAAATCAATCAAAATGTCTGTGCCGGCCGACGCAATCAAACCATCCTATGCATACTTTCTGAGAACGGCTCCAAATAATCCAATGCCAGCTACACCAACCAATTGCTTAGCCTGGGATGATGCCCGCTCAGGCGAATTCGTAGTCATGACTCATGTAAGTATCTATTATATTTATTATATATTATACTAACAGATAAATATATGTATAATTTCTGGCCTGGCTGACTGCTGTCCAATTACATAGAAACAATATCCGCGATCTCGCCGTTAGCAGCGAAGCTGGCCAAGACTGGTTGCATGATTTCTATGAACTGGCTCGGCTCTTATATACAGCAATGAGCCTGCGCGACTAGGCTGCCTTTAATGATATCCTAGTGCGGTTGAATACTACGTGGAACATAAGTCAGTTACCTAGGACGCTTGAGAGCTGAAGCTTCCAGAGATTGGTAACTTCGGGACGGTATGAATTATGTCCGGCGAGATCGTCATCATTTGGGTCGGAAAGGTGTCCAATACATCCTGCGCCTTACAGTCAGAGGTATGTGATGAAAAGAGTCCCAGTACGCAGATAGTCAGGGCTCCAAGCCACAAGCCGAATGGAATGGCATTAGGCAAATTCGGGGACACCAAGAATGTTCAAGACGATCAGTTTTGCGAAGAGAGTGCACAATGGAAGATTGACTGCCATCCCCTGCAAGGCTGATATCATGCTGGGGTCTGAACTTACGTTGTGGTATATCTGATGAATAACCATGTCAACTTTCTGCCCTATCAATAATGTGAAACTAGTTAGTGACTCAATGTTACCTCGACCTCGATTCAAGCTCAGAATATCCACGTTGTCGTCCAGGTTGTCCCTAGTAGACATTGCCCTTTTCGATGACATTTTGTAACAGTAAGTATCCCTGCGTAGTGTAACAAGAGGAAGTCGTACACTATCACGCAGTTGGTAGGGTGGAGGCAGGAGCAATATGCAGCCTCAGGCACCAAGGCAGCCATTCTTTTCCTTCCATACATGTTTCCATTCTATGCATGCAAAAAGATCGGCCAAAAACGTGGTCCATCTGATTAGTCATCGCACAATCAATGTTCCGATCCATGGAACTGCCACTGACCACCTGACCTGGCCGGAAATAGATCATGACGTTGTTAATCAATATCAATCTGGCTACTCCGTACACGGAAGTATAGCACCGGAGAGACGGCCGAACCATCAATTGTATTGATTACGGAGTATTAGAAGGTTCTTGCTGTCACAAGACTTTGTTCTTACGAGGATGTCAGCGGCTGGCAGACTTCCGAAGTGTGAATGTGCACTGCAATTTTAGTGTCTAGGAGATATTGGCCAGAGAATATCCGATCTTGGCTGCCGATTGATCCGAGTGGGCAACTCTTGCTTTTTCCCTAGGTGAACCAACCACTGGCAACCGCATTCAGAAGGGATGGTCGCATTCGCCCAGGAAACAAATCATCCCAATGATATGCAAGTCTATTGCCGCTTTTGAAACTAGTATGTGGTGGCCTGAACTGGCTGAGCTGGGGTCGATGCGCCTCCCCCATAATGATAGTCCCCAGACATTGATTTTCTAACCGAGATGCATAACAACCGGTACATGGCGAAGCAGGGCAGTCGATACAAAGCAGAGCAAGAATAAACGATCTTTCTCTTCGACAAACTTCGTCTATTGTTGGAAAAAGCTAATCGCAGCCTCTGACGCGGTGGCGCAGCGATCAGAGGGCGGAATGGCTTGCTTTGGACCCTCACGCTATTCAGCGCTAAACTTACCGGTTGCCGGAGCTTTGATGTTACATGAAAGGAACGACTGCCCTAACAATAAGCCCTAATTCTGCCAAGGGCCGCCAAGGATTCGACTGACTGTCAATGTTCCAAGAGGCCTCAGGCAATCCCCATGGGCAGCCTCCATCACGCCGTGGGGTTCTCCACTGCCAGGCTTTCTATCAAGTCCATTCTCCACCTCCATTTCCTATGTGTCTTGTCTCTCGAGTCGTTTCTTGACCGATATATGTATGATTCAGCCACTGAGGAAATCCCTTGAGCTCCACTGCCGTCCCTCCAACAGTCGGATTCGTAATTTCTGCCTCTGGGTAGATGGCCTTTTCCGTGCTGGGCGGGAGCTTATCGTTACATGCTGGTTCGGCTGGCAGCCTGCCTCCGTTTTCGATTAATCACGCATCCTCATTCAACTAGTTGGTCTTGGGTGTGACGTCCAAGAGCCAATTAGAGAATCTCAGGCAGGCTTCCATTTGAGTTTCCGTGCTTCTACGGGGGATAAAGAATGAACACCTTGACCGGGGGTTTTCTTTCGACATGGATATTAGACCCACCCCCAGTCTGGCTTATGAGGGGGCCGATTTTTGTCTTTCCCGGAGATTCAAGCATTGCTATTCCCACTTGTCTCTTGAGTGCAGGTGTCAGGTATAAAAAAGACGCGTCATCCCCGCATAGCCTTGTTGCTGGAGCTTCTTCCAGCACATCTTTTCTGGTCTCCATTTCTTAGCTTTGCACCTTCGCTCAGGGTATGGTAGAAGCTACCGTTCGAAGCTATTTTGTTGTCGATACCCTCCGCTTTGAGTGATCCTCATATCTTATCGTCCACAATATCGGTGCGTCAGGCACACCACTATGGCAGAATCGGAGAAGGTCGTGCAGACCGATAAGGTCGTCCGCGAGGACAACTCCGTCCGTTCCGAACTGGCTGAGAATGTCAAAACCGAATCTTCAGGCATTCTCGACGCCGAAAATCTTCACAATCGCCCAGCAGACAACCTCAATGTCGTATTTGAGAACCCGTTGGCGAACGTCCCTCGCGAGAAGTTGTTGAAGGACGTCGAGGATTTCTGTCAGAAATTCAACCTCATGGAGCATGTTGACGATTTTCGAAAGGGGGCATTGGTCTCTCAGAATCCTGCTGCCGCTATGGATCTAACTGAATTGACTGATGAGGAGAGAAATATTCTCCTTCGCGAGCATACCCATAAGTGGCACCAGCCGTGGGAGCTGTACTGGCTCGTTAGTAAGTACACCCAGTTCTTTATACTTTCAACACTGCATGCTAATACAAACATCCAGTCATGTGCTCCTTGGCCGCTGCTGTGCAAGGTATGGACGAGACTGTAAACAACGGTGCCCAGGCTATTTACTTGAAAGTACGTTCCTCTCATTGAATGATTTTTGCGCGTGAGAAATACGTATTGACTGATGCAGAACTTGGGAATTGAATCGAAATTCTCCGGGAAACAGTTGAACGACATCACTGGTTTGATTGTCGGCGCTCCTTACCTCTGCTGTGCTATTATCGGTTGCTGGCTTACCGAACCCATGAACCGATTCTTCGCTCGTCGGGGCACCATCTTCATCTCTTGCTTCTTTGCCGCTGTTTGCTCCATCTGGGAAGGCGTTGCCAATTCCTGGGTCAATCTCTTCATTGCTCGTTTCTTCCTGGGTTTGGGTATCGGTCCAAAATCGTCCACCGTGCCCATCTATGCCGCGGAGTGCTCCCCGGCACCAATTCGAGGCGCCTTGGTCATGATGTGGCAGATGTGGACTGCCTTTGGTATCATGCTGGGCAATATCATGGGTGTCGCATTCATGAGTCTTTCCGACGACCTCTCCTGGCGCCTCATGCTTGGATCCACTGTTGTTTTACCGGTTATTGTCTGTACACAAGTATACTTCTGTCCCGAATCTCCTCGTTGGCTCATCCAACACGGACAAGTTGAAAAGGCTTTCAGATCATTCCGCAAGCTTCGATCGCACGATATCCAAGCTGCGCGTGATCTCTACTATGCCTACGTTCTCGTCCAGCTTGAGCGTGAGATCAATAAGGGCAAGAACTTTTTCACCATGTTCATGGAGCTTTTCACTATTGGTCGTAACCGTCGTGCAACAATCGGTAGTTGGATCGTCATGTTCATGCAACAATTCTGCGGTGTCAATGTCATCGCCTATTACTCAACCACTATCTTCACCTCATCCGGTTACTCTATTCAATCGGCACTGCTTGCCTCCATGGGTACTGGAATCTTGAACTGGGTCTTTGCCCTTCCAGCTACACTGACGATCGATACCTTTGGCCGACGTAATCTGCTTCTTACCACATTTCCATTTTTGGCAATTTGTCTGCTCTGGACAGGTTTCTCATTCTGGATCGAGCCGGATATTCCTGATAGCAAGAAACGTGTGGCCATGGTTACAACAGGTATGTACCTCTTTGAGGTATTTTATTCCCCTGGCGAAGGGCCGGTTCCCTTCACTTATTCTGCCGAGGCTTTCCCATTGCATGTACGAGAAGTTGGCATGTCCTGGGCGACTGCTACATGTTGGTGCTTCAACTTCATCTTGTCATTCACCTGGCCGTCACTTTTGACGTCGTTCAAACCTCAGGGTGCCTTTGGATGGTATGCTGCTTGGTGTATCATTGGATGGTTCCTTGTTCTGTTCTTTTTGCCAGAGACAAAAGGTAAGCCTTTCCCTCTATATTTTATGGAGTCGTATCTAACCATGACTGAACTTAGCTCTCACGTTGGAAGAACTCGATCAAGTCTTCTCTGTCCCTACTTGGAAACACGCCTCATATCAACTCAAGAATGCGATTTGGCATGTTCGCACTTGGGTCTTCCGTCAGAAATTGGAGCCTTTGCCTCCATTCTACCAGGGCATTGAAAAGCTCAACGAGTCTTGAGTCCGTTACGTGAGGAAGACCATTGTAACAAGTCGGGAACCCTGTGTAACAATTGCCTAGTAAGACCTTTTTTTTTTTCTAAGTTATATGACGAGATTGGGTGGATTGATTAGTCTCATGTTACGCCACTTGCTTGGTTACGTATAACAGCTCTTTTTAGGTGATTTTATACCCCTGTTTCTATTACCTAGGCATTGCTCTGCCATGCCTTCAATTAGTTGGATTCGAATTGATTCAAGTCTCTGAAAAGTTGAACATCGTATCGATACAATATATACTACCAAAGTCGTCAATAAGCACCGAATATAACTTCCCAAGCTCGTAACTATTCACACTGGGAGTTCAGAAGTATCCAAACGGAAGTCATCCTGGTGTTTTTACTCGGTGCACTCTATGATACCCCCCTGCGGACTTGCCATAGTTGCGAGCTCGGGCGAACTATGTTCAGCGTGTATGAACCAATTACACAATGCTGAACAGCAGCTTGCTGTCCTCGCTCAGTGCAAACGATTACCCAAGTATACCCCATAAGCAATCGTGGCAATCAAAGCACCCATATTCAACAAACTCGAAATGCCATGCAACTTGCCAAATCTCTTGTTGAGTTCCGTCATCCTCTCAGAATGAGGAGGAGCATCATATGCTTTCTTGTTGTCAATGGCTTCTACAGCCATATATCAATCCAATCAGTACACCTTCAACAAATTCAAACAAAATATAGAGGACAAACCCTGCTGAAACCGCTCCTTAATCACCTTGCCCACCAAAGGCGTCAAATAAAACATATTAACCAACCCCGACACCGAAATCAACGTCAACGGCAATAAAACCGTATACCGATTCTCTTCCGCAATCACGCCATAGATACTCGATAAATCGCTTGTGCCGAACTTTCCGGGGAAAGTTAGGGCAAGGGCGAGCGGTAATGCGCTCTGGAGAGAGAAGTAGATGGGGAAAAGCTTGTTTTGGAGAGTTGAGAATTGAGGGCGTGGGAGGGCTTTGTAGGCTGTTGTGCCGCCTATGAAGGATTGGTAGATTTCGGCTCCGAGGAGGGTGCCGTAGCTGTGATTTATTAGTATGGAATAGTCTTACGTGTTAGACCGGAGATAGACGGGTTTACCTGAGGATGTGAAAAGGGCCAAGGTAAGACATCTTGATGGTATACTCTATCTTATCTCCCACGAAGGTCGTATACAAGAGTACGAAAGTGTCGAAGAAGTAGAAGAAGCAAGGATGATACAAATGGTGTCGGAGAGTTACGCCAGATGGAAGCTCGGCTTGGCACATTTCATTCCGCGCAGGGAGCTCCTTTCAGCCAATCAGCACCTACAACCATCAATTAGGCTATTCGACGTCATATCAAGTCACATGACTTCGCGTTCTCACGTGTCTCCCCAAAAAGGAAATATCACGCGTCTACCTAGACCGCATCACAAAGCCCCAAAGAGCCTCACGATTCTCTCCTAGAATTGTGGACGTCACTAGCATAGCCAACCACTTCTGCTCTGCAGGCTTCTCAGTCAGACATCATGGCTGAGAAAGAAGCCACCGTCTACATCGTTGATGTAAGCAAGTCAATGAAACAGCATAATCATGGGCGAGACATTTCGGATCTTGACTGGGCGATGCGCTATGTTTGGGATAAGATTACGACGACTGTATGTTGGATATCTCTCTACACGATACCAGCTCGCTCATTCTCGTTAATAGGTAGGAACGGGACGTAAAACGGCCGCGGTTGGTGTCGTTGGGCTTAAGACTGATGGTGAGTCACTTGTGATTTTTGGGCGCATAGTGATTGGTCCTGATTCTTGCGATATAGGAACGAAAGTACCTTTGGATGATGACGAAGGTTATGAGAATATTACTGTTATGCAGGATCTTGGACAGTGAGTTTGAATATGAATTGACGAAAGACTGTTGGTCACTTACGTCGGAAAGGGTGCTTATGCCAGATATACGACGCTTACGCGAGGAAATCAAACCGAGCCATACGGACGAAGGAGACGGTATTCAACATCATTGATACTACTGAATCTCTGCTAACGTTACGAAGCAATCTCTTCACTCATCGTGGCCATTCACATGATCAACGTGTACACCAAAAAGTTGAAATACAAACGGAAAATTTATCTCGTCACTGATGGCAAAGGGGCAATGAGCTCGGACGGATTAGGGGACATTGCCTCTAAACTCAAGTCGGATAATATCGAACTTATTGTGCTGTATGTCACTTGTCCTCGATGGAATATTCGGAAACTTACGGTTGATAGTGGTGTGGATTTTGATGATCCTGATTATGGCTTCAAGGAGGAAGACAAAGACCTAAGAAAGGTAAGTCACAAATACTCATTTTTTGCTCGTAACGCTAATGGAGTGTTAGGCGGAAAATGAAGCTTTACTTCGTGGTCTTGTAGAGGATTGCGAGGGCGTCTACGGCACCTTAGCACAAGCGATACAGGAACTTGACACTCCCCGCGTCAAAGTCGTGCGCGGTATACCTTCATTCCGTGGGGATCTTAGACTAGGTGATCCAACTAGATACGATACCGCTCTCCGTATCCAGGTAGAGCGTTACTATCGAACATATGTCGCCAAGCCTCCCAGCGCTAGCTCCTTTGTTCCAGGTGGAGACCCAAGCCAACCCTCTGCATCGATACAGACTTTGGAGGCCGGTAAAGATCTAGATGCAAATTTGACCAATGTCCGGTTCGTGCGGACCTATCATGTCGATGACCCTACAGTTGCTGGTGGCAAACGTGAGCTTGAACGAGAGGAGCTAGCCAAGGGATACGAATATGGCCGCACAGCGGTTCATATCAGTGAATCAGACGAGAATATCACAAAACTGGAAACGACAGCTGCCTTGGAATTGATCGGGTTTATCCAAGCTGATCATGTTTGTTTCTATTCCACTTGATTACATCGGTCGTTGACTAACCATCGATAGTACGATCGATTCATGAACATGTCTAATAGCAATGTCATTATTGCTCAAAAGACAAATGAGAAAGCAGCCTTGGCACTTTCATCATTGATTCATGCTTTGTTTGAGCTTGACTGCTATGCAATTGGAAGACTGGTTGTGAAAGACGGCAAGAATCCATTAATTGTCCTCTTGGCGCCATCGATCGAACCAGACTATGAATGCTTGCTCGAAGTGCAGCTTCCTTTCTATGAAGATGTCCGGTCATACAAGTTCCCACCCTTGGACAAAGTCATTACTATATCTGGCAAGGAGGTAAAGGAGCATCGAAACCTGCCTAATGAGGATCTGGTGAATGCAATGAGCAAATATGTCGATAGCATGGAGTTGATCGACAAGGATGAAGAGGGGTAAGTTGAAATCTGCTGAGAATATTTGAAGGTTGCTAACAGGTCGTAGAGAGGTTATTGATACCATCCCAATGGAGGACAACTATTCTCCTTTACTACATCGAATCGAACAAGCGGTTCGGTGGCGGGCTATACATCCGAATGAGCCTGTTCCTCCACCATCGGAAAGACTTACTCGACTCTCGAAACCGCCTAAGGATGCCCAGGAACGTGCACAGAAATATCTGGATCGAATCATCCATGCAGCAGACGTAAAGAAAGGTAAATACTGCAACCTACCCGAATGATATGAGTACTAAGACAATTTAGTACCTCCAAAAACAAAAGGCCGCAAACGCAATCGCGATGTTGACAAACCTCTTTCTGGACTGGACGTTGACGAATTACTTCATCGCGAAAAACGTGCAAAGATTTCACCGACCAACGCGATCCCAGAATTCAAGCAAATGCTTGCCAGCGCCGAGAATGTGGAATCTATCAAGGATGCAGCTAGTCAGATGCAGAAAATCATCGAGGATCATATCCGAAACAGTTTCGGGGACTCAAACTACGACCGCGTCGTTGAAGAGCTAGGTGTTCTTCGTGAAGAATTGGTTGATTACGAAGAGCCAGGTCTGTACAATGAGTTTATCCGGCCGCTGAAGGAGAAGATTTTGAAGGAGAAGCTGGGCGGGGACAGGCAAGAATTGTGGTGGTTGATTCGACGATCAAAGGTTGGATTGATTGATAAGTCGGTGTCAGATCGATCTGAGGTAACTGAAGAAGAAGCTAAAGAGGTATGCATTCTGACCCCATTAAGGAAGTGATATTGACTGATTTTGATTCTAGTTCCTTTCTTCAAAGTAGGTCGGTGTGTGTATCAATAGACAGGGTACTGTTTCTATATAAGATATATTCTGATTGAATTTATTATTGGCTTCATGCTTAGTACTATGCTATAATCACTCAAGCAAAGGTATTGAAGTTAATCTTCAACAATGGGTCCGAGAGTGCCTGTCAGACAATCTATATTGTGCTAGTCCTCATATGGTTAGCGTATCCACTCTGACACAGCAACTAATCCCATTCTGTCTTGGCAGTCTATGGGATACACGCCAAACCGCAAACGGCTAGTCACCACTCACCAAGAGCAAAAAAGTTTCTTCCCATCTCGAAATTTCAACTTCATCAACCATATATTCACCAGGTACAAAAGGCCGTGATCCTTTGTCGTGAGCCATCATCATAATGTCCGGAGAACCTAATGCAGGTGAGTTTCTTTTCACTTCTATCTTCCCTTCTTTCCCACTCAAAAGAACACATTCACTAACCTTTGAAATACAGCCTGGCCCGTCGCCGACGAAGCCCTGACCCAAAACATCCTCGATGTCGTCCAGCAAGCATCTCACTACAAACAGTTGAAGAAGGGCGCAAACGAAGCTACCAAGACTCTTAACCGTGGTACTTCGGAGCTCATTATTCTTGCGGCTGATACCAGTCCTCTGGCTATTTTGCTACATTTACCTTTGCTTTGGTAAGTCTATTCCCTCCCTTTCACTTTTTTCTTGATCGTGGCTAATTTTTTGGGGGGGTTATAGTGAGGATAAGAACGTCGCGTACTGCTATGTTCCTAGCAAACTTGCTCTCGGCAGAGCTACAGGTGTCTCTCGTCCTGTGATTGCTGTTAGCATTACTACCAATGAGGCTAGTGACCTTATGCCTCAAATTCGTGCTATCAAGGACAAGGTTGAGCGTTTGATGATCTAAGGGATTAGGTTCGGGAGCTTGGGACGAGCGGCCGTTTCGACTTTTGACAGTACGAAAACTGGACTAGTGGCTCCTGTTACTTATACCGCTGCGTCGTGAGATCTGAATCTTTAGCTAGATTAGAGACTAATATCGACCAACGATTTTATATACTGGATCTTCTCAAGATTAAAAAAGTTACTAGATATGCAATATATTCATAGATAAACTAGAAAGGGTATAATACTCGTACAAAACGTAACACATGCATATACAACGATCATCATCACATACCACATCCAAAGAAAACCAAATCTATCGATCACAAACACAACTGCACTCCGCAACGGGACATACCCTATGCTTCGCAAACCATGCCTTGGCATGATTTGCATGAAATCCATGATTACAATTGATGCAAAACACCACAAATCGACGAGTAATATCATCTTCAGACCGCCCGTTTCGTTTTTTGGTACCAGGAGCATTGCTGTTAACCTGAAGGTTACCTTCCACTTCTTCAATGTTTAGTTTCTCCTCTTCTTCTCGTTTGGCGTCTGCTGCAATTGCTGCGCGGGACATGGGGTCTGGAGAACCGAGCCAGAGTGAGCAGACGCCGCAACGAGGCATGTGACGGAAACATTTGGGACAGACGGTGCCAGACATTAATATCGGCCCCTGTGCACCGAGATATGAGGATTGATTGTTGGCTAATATGGCAGCGGCAGGATTGGGAGTAGTAGTACCCCCGCCTTGTAACAGATCACTCGCAGCAGAGGCTGTTCCGGCGGTGGATGTCGATGTGGATAGTCCGCCGGATATAGTCGAAGAGATTGATTCTGTTTGATGTAGAGGTCGTGTGCAATAGTTGCAGGTTAGACTGACTTGTTGAGGTGCCGGCGCAATCAGTCGCCGACCGTCCCAGGTCACGGCGCATCGTCTGGAGCCAACGTCAAAGCGAGTTCGTTCAATTTGCATTTTCCATGAATTGATCTGTCGGCGATATGTTTCACGCCACGCTCTAAATATCGCCTTGCTGGTCTCGTCGTCGATGAATCGTGGTGTGGTGTGACTCATTGCCAGCACGGCAGTTTGCACGTCATTGAATTTGCGAATATAAGATTGAAATAAATCGAGTGCTGAATGTCGCAGACCGGTTAGCAAGATACCTTCAATATCCCCCTGGCGAATCACTTCTTCCTTTGTCTCCTGAAGGTATGTCGTCAGATCGTCGTCCGGTAGCCAGCGCAGAGCAACCTCTACACGGTATTTCAGTGGAAGAGTCGTCTCTGCTAGAACTGACTCCCATTTTCCCTTGCTAACTAGAGCGAGAACTGCTCTAGCGTACGGGTCGGTCAGTTCCGTCGCAATCTCGTTACAGGTCTCTTCCCAGTCCTTGTCGCTCTGTTGACCCTTTGCTGCACCCACAATAGCCATGGCAAGAAGCTTGTGTGCTTGGGTAGGCTCATTTCGGCGAAGAGCATGGAAAGCTACCTTAGCCTCATTCTGGAAGATGGCCAACGCTGCTGCTTTTGTGTGCTGTCTTTTCTTGACTAGATCATCAACGATTTGCTCGAGTTCTTTTTCAGATTCGATAGCGCCGCAAATATGGAGACACAATTGGCGATGTTCCCAAAAATCTGTCTCGCATCCTTTTCCTTCTGGAATTTTGAGTTGTTGAACCATATCTTTAATCATTTGATCTGGGGCCAGGTCGACGGCGTTTATAGAGGAATGCTGTCTGAGTTCTTTCGAAGAGGCGCCTTTCATGATGTTAGCTGTGTCAGAACAATTATAAAGTGGCCCTTACCAATCTCATTGAACCACACATCACATATACCAAGATAGCTCATATCAATCCGATTAACGATCGTCGACCCATTCGCCGACTCCTCCCGAGAATCTATCGTCGCGTTAGCCAGACACAGTATGTATAGTAAAACACACTCAATAGCTTACGTCGAACCCAGTTCCAAAACTCTTGCAAGTCTGGATCATCCGAAACAATCCGTATATTCTTCTCGCAATCAAAGAGATAGCCCTCCCGACAGCGGGCTTGACTGACACTCAAATAAGCCAAAACATCGGCAGCTTTCAGTTTAGGCTTGACACGGCCCAGGAATAGAGCCTGCTCTCTGCTTTCACGGCTGGACAAGCATTTCTTATCTTCTTCCGGCAACCCGTTCATTTTAAAGTATGGTATCTGCGCATTATCCCTCAATGACTGAATGATGGTCGATATTTTCTCGCGCAGTGGTCGTGGGTTAATTGTTTTGAAATCGCGTTCTCCAGAGGGAGTCCCTCGCACCAACACATTCTGAGACGATATTCTTATAGGAGGCGCTGATGACTGCACTGTCACAAACTCCACCTTTCCAGTGCCCAGCAAAGTAACCGCAGTAGGTTCGTTGGCACGGCTCATATTCAGAAAATCAAACGATACTACTCTGTCCAGTTTGTTGTAACCCCTGGTATGATGATGGTAAGGATGTCGAATGTCGCGAATATTCTTGGTGTAAATTTGCTCTGGATAGCTCGAAGACGATCCTTGTCCGAGAGTCTCATCAACAGAATTTCGATCACCAGCCGATAAGTACTCCTTTGCAATGTCAAACATTTTGAACTGGCCATTACTCGACAAGACTCCTAGGCATCCTCTTTTGGTCCTTGAGAAGCGCAGACTCCATATAGATGCGTTCTGGACAGAGTTTCCCAGACTTAGGCTCGGTCCAACCTGACCGCCGTCAGGATTCGGACCTGCAGTGAGGCGCGGACCCATGCGCCGGTCCCAGATGCAGACCGTAGCATCGGCGGACGAAGAACAGGATGCAAAGTAATTTTCATCCAACCAGTCTACAGCTGTGTTGTGAACACATTTTGTAGAGAATGTGAGAAAAGCTTGTGAAGAGCTATCTGTGTCGAATCAGTATCTCATTTTTATAGTCCAGGAATAATCATACCTCTCAGATCAAAAAGCTTAAGGAATTGACCCTTGACACCAGCCACCAAAGTATCCGGCTGGTCTCTGAAGAACTTGATACTAGTAATAGGATCCGAGCTCAACTTTCTAAGCGGCTCAGCACCCTGCCTATCACTCGCGAGCGTACCCCTCGAGCTACCAGTCATAATACGATGATTGACATCCCACACATTCAGACAAACATCATTACGAACCTTGTCCAACCCACCGGCCAACAATCCATGCGAACTGAAAGCAACAGCATTACAATACCGCTGATTTCGAAGCGGGAAAGACCAAGACTCATTCGAATTACCATCCATGCGCAAGAGGTTGACTTCACCGGAAGATTGCCCGACAGCGATGAGTGATTCATCTGCAGCGGACCAATCAAAGGCTCGGAAACCGGGAACCCGGACGTGGGTTGATAGCACGTCGTATTCTAGGTCGTTGCCTTTGACGGAGGTGATTCTGCATAGTTTGAAGGATTTGCCTATCACGTCGACGTAAAGGAAGCGCTGTTCCTGGGTGGTTGATGAGGGTGACCACCGGATAGCTGTCTCCATTTTGCCTAAGTAGTCGCAGGTTGCTGTAGTTTAATGTCCGTACTGGAGCTGAGTCGTGGATTGCTTCAAGCCATGATCTATCAACACATTCGCTCAAATGACGGAGGCAGTCCGTAAAAGTGATAAGTGCGTATACGAGGAAGCTTGGGCAAGATCGCCTGCCAAATACGGTGATGCTGTTTCCGGCCCGTCGTTAATCCGGAAGCCTCGCCTAAACCTGCCGCGGCTGGATCTCTTATCAATTTATCAATTATTTTTCTACGGTCAACAATAATGCTACACAAGCAATTGCGATAGATTCTACATTCAATTGACGCAACAGCATACACCATGTCCTCCAAAGAGGGGCCCGCTAGATTCCATCCCTACGATACAAGCAAAAAGCCCAAAATCCATAGATCCAATACATCCAACACGGAGAATACCACAGGATCAAAACGCAACCACAATGCATCCACCACCCAAAAACAGCCAGCAAACAAAAACTCCACAGGAGACAAGGGCCTATCAATCAACGACCTAAAAAAGCGAATCCGCGACGTCAAGCGTCTCTTGACCCGTGTCGAGCATCTATCCCCCGAAGCACGGATTGTCCAAGAACGAGCTTTGAAGGGTTACGAGCGAGATTTGGAACAGGAGCAGGCGCGTCGTCAGCGCTCGGAGATGATTAAGAAGTATCATTTTGTGCGGTTTCTAGGTTTGTCCTTATTTTCACCTGTTAAAGGATTGCTGCGTTTGCTAACATACGGAGAATAGATCGAAAAACAGCAACAAAACAGCTCCGAACCGCTCAACGAGAATACGGAAAAACGAAACAGCAACAAGAAGAAACTGGTACAGTGGATAACACGAAACTTGCTACGCTTCAGAAACAGATCGATATTGCACAGATTGATGTTAATTATACGATATATTACCCGCTTACGGAGAAATATATATCACTCTATCCGCAGGAGAAGAAGCGGCGGGTTGTGAAGGATCATAATGAGAATGCTGCCAATGGCGATGATAATGCCATTGAGATCGATGAGGAAATGCAGACGTCTGAGGATGACACTGGGAACGGGAAAGAGGAAGGGAAACCGCCAATGTGGGATATCATTAAGAAATGTATGGCTGAAAAGACGCTGGATCAGCTGCGAGATGGAAAGTTGAATATTGGGTTTGATGGGAAACCGATACAGAAATTGGATACTGCCACAGTGACGAACGTGTCGACGAGTATCGGTGCCAATGAGGTTAAGAAGAAGAAAGAGGAGAAGACTGAGACGAGGAAAGAGGATGACAAGAAGAAGAATAAAAGGAAGAGGAAGGAGGTTGAGGTTGAAGAACGGAAAGAGGATGAGGATAGTGATGGTGGGTTTTTCGAGGAGTGATCTTTGTCACGTTCAAATGTGTATGCGTTGTTTTTCAGCGAATAGTGGTTGTAGCGATCAGTATATCATCTCTTTACCCGGTCATATTGAAGTCACCATGGCCACGAATGTATCAATCAATAATGCATTGGAAACCCCATCCATATATACATGCTTTATACGCAATTCAAGAATGATACCTCGGTACACCAAATCAAACATGACAGAAACAAACCCATCCAAGTACCTGACTCCGCCTATTTCGTGGTCTATAAAATGTGCAAAGAATTGAAAATAATCCACGCCATGCTGGTATAGCAAGATGCATGGAACCTTGACTGATGCGAGAGTCGACTCCTGCCATGGGTGGATGATCAGATAGAAACAAAAGGGAATGGTAGATACGGAGAGCTCCCTAGCTCAAGACAATTCTTCAACAGATAATGATCTTGCATGACTGAATGAATGACAATCACATCACTGTGCATCCGCCGCTTCGGGCACGACGTCTACCTCCGACATACACATCAAGACTCAAATCTTCTTCTTCTTCATCAAACTGATACAATCGTTCGGCTTCACGCGCACGGCGCCTGCGTCGTCTTGCGTTTGCACCCCCTGCGCCGGCTTCTTCTGTCGCCATCATATAATCTGCCCATTTGCGATCAAGATTGTTTGCGGATGCAAGAGATCCGCGGAGGACACGTTTGTTATGCTCGTTGGCAGTCATTTGCCAACCGTGGAAACATTTGAGTTCAATAATCTCCTTAGGATAGTAAGAGACAACGACTGGGGGTGGTAAGCTAGTGGATGACGAGGACGATGAGGATGGTGAGTCTGTTCTTGATTCTTTGACAGTCACTGTGGCTTGGTTTTTCAATGAGCGAGGTATATAAGCATTGCTGGATAAGACCTCCCGCACACCAGCCCAAGTTACATTGACGCAGTCGAATACCACAATGCGCAGTCCGACTTTGGGTAGGTCCGTTCCATAACCCCTCTTACGGACGAGGGAACTAGCTTCCATTAGGCACAAATCTGATACTCGGGTGTTGTCCATTTCGAGAGATCTCAACTGGCGACAATGTTTCAACACCTGCAGCATCCCGATATCTCCGATGCTATCGCAATAGCTGACATTAAGATGCTCCAAAGTATCGGAGCACGGTGATTTGGCTAGCTCGACCAGAAGGTTATTTGTGACGTTGTCAAGATCTTCCATATCGAAGTGACTCAGCTGTGGGGTGGTCTGAATCACATCGACGACGGAATCGTCTGTGAGCTCCGTGCATTGGGAAATCTGAAGACCTTGCAGAGCGGGTACATTGTGGGCAAGACTGCGAAGACCCGCGTCCGTTATGCTTGTACATTGATGGATGTCCAAGTGTCTTAATACGCGTGGTGGAACAATAGGTCTGTCCGTCAAGACGTCAATTTCGGGATCTCTGCCAACCATGAGCATTTTCAAGCTTCCGTCTGTGACATCTGTGCGATGGAGAACCAGTCTCTCTAGAGTATTCTTCTCGAAAAGACATTCCATGATACTTTCGTCATCGAATCCCCGAATCTCTCCGGCACGCAAGTCTCTGAGCTTCGAGCAGGATTCGACGACTCTTTTGAGACCTTTGGTATCGACGTTACAGCACCACGACACAATCAGTGTCTCCAATTGAGGACATGTCTGGGCAATGATCTTCATAGCAGAGTTGGTGACGGTGGAAAGTCCTGAGACATTGATATATTGCAGCGAAGCGTTCCGCAGGAAGAATCCATTGAGTGAGATCTTGTCGATTCGACAGCCCTCAACAGAGAAATTGACCACATTGCGACAGGCACTAGATATCTCCTCGCCCTCAAATAGCCATTTCTCTCGCAATTGCACACACCCTCGCAAGTTGAGATCTCGTACAAACGGTCCCGCCGTCGTGATAATCTTCATCAAAGCACCACTTGAGATCTTGCTGTAAAACTCCGAAGTGTCGATCTGAGACCATAATTGGCCATCAAAACACATGTCGTGCCACGCTTTTGACACCAAAGAGCATCTCACAATCTCCTTGGGGGTCAAATAGCCGAGTATCTTTGTTTTTATTTCATTGGGCATATCGTTCCAAAAGTCCACCGTTCTTTTCGCATATTGGGTCTTCCTTTCAACAACATTGACAGTAACTGACTCTTCCTCAGCGAGTTCAAACTGCAAATTTCGAGACGACGACGCTGGTCTCAGGTCCGCCGGAAGAGGCACAGTCGTCTGCGACGCATTTCGAGGAGAACCGCCAATCATGCGGATTCGCGCATTTCCAGCAGTTGATAACGGAGAGGCGGATTCAAGATCGCCTGGTATTGAAGTAGTAGGATCACCCCAGCATTGAGCCGGTGACAATGAAACACATGAAAGAGACGCCTTGCGGTCTCTTTGGTAGCCGGTAGAATGGGATCTCGTTCGTCGTACCAGCGACGGGCTGGAGGACATACGCTGTAGATTCTGCAACAGTCTCTTCCGGCCTTTCAACTTTGGGGGTTGCTCGATAGGCATCTGGTCGGATGCTGGAGACATTGGTTCAGCGCTGGAGCTGACGATCTCGTCGGCGAGAGTAGAGGCCATGGTGGACGAGACGTTCGGATCTAGCCGGCTCTATGCAAAGAATAAAACTGAAGCACAATAAACTGAAACGAAAGAAAAAACCAAATGCGCTGTTTACGGCGGAGAAGCGAATAGGTGTGGCATTGGCAATATCTTGTCTCAGACAGTCATAGCGGAAAACATCAGGAGATCTGTGCGAGTCGAGAAGTAGTAGAGACGGATCCGACGATCTATGTAATATAAACAAACCAATCGATAAGTCCAATTGTCACCGATTTGGAATGATAGAGAGGTCAAGAGAATAGATGGAAGTATACGAACCGGATGAAATCCAACAGACCAAGAGCAAACCGATTGATTACTTGGCTGGGAGAGAGTGGAATATAACGAAAGGCTAGACAAGAGACAGCCCCAGAAAGGCTGGAGCAAGACACTCAAAGTGGCCGCTCGGTGGGCTGGAGAGTGTGCAGCGATTCGTTGGCGTGGATCCGTGGTTCGGGGAATAATGCTTGGAAAGTCAGGGTAGAAACAAGCGATGCGGATTGGAGTTGAAACGAAACAAGATCGATATATCGGTGCGTGTGGGTTTTACTGTCTCTTCTTGTCTTCTGAGTTTGATTGTGAGACGAAGTCCTGAGGATGAGTTGAAAAGAAGAACAGAGAGAAGGAAAATAAAGGTGTCAAAAGTGATAAATCGGACATGACAGAGGGGAAGGAGGGAAGGAGCGGGGGCAGTGGAGAACTGTTGGGAACGGTACACTCTACTTTCCTTCTGTACGCCGTACGCTGTCATGTCCAGGTATACAGTACATGCTCAGCTAAACACATACGACATAATAATCCCTCCATCTGACTGAAACAACTACCAGAAAAGAATATGAGTGTATCGGTAATACGCACAAACGTTATCTCTTAGTCCCCCACGTTGATTGGGTCCTTATCAGCACTTATCGATAGTCTAGCGCACCGTCTCATTCGTTATCGATAAGTTGGTTTTGGGGCTAACAAACTCTATGCCAAATACGAAATCTGGAGGAATCGAGCGAAATGTCATGCAAACACGCAAAGAGTGTGCGTGCTCAGACACTACTACTGTTACAGTAGAGAAAGTTGCCACAAAGTTACAACCAAACACACACACCACCGGTTACGAACTGAATGGGCCCCGTCTCTTTACAAGTTGTTGGTTGGCGTGATCTATTGTGGCAGTGACCCGAGATAAAAAGCACGCGAGCACGTCGCCTGAGCGAGTCAGTCAGGAGAGTTAGAGCCTCGATTAACGGAAAAGATAAATACAAATGTTCGCCTGATCCTTTGTTAAATTCTTTTTATTTGTTGAAGATAAGAGTTGTTCTTTCGCAATGTCTTCGTCGATATGCTCTATATAGCTGCTTATGACTAGAAGAGATATGTCTAGTTCGGAACGAGGCAAATTTGGCTTAGACATAGACACCTAAGGTACCAAAGCAATTATAACAACGCCATCTCATATGATTCCATTTTTTATGTAGTATGACAAAAACATCAAGGAGGAAAAATACAATAAACCATGAAATATAGATATGGATAAAAAAAAATAACACTAGCATGAAAAGACCGTGAATAGCAGACCAATGGGTATCTTGCGTTTTGATGCTTCTATCCAATGAGAAAAGCACACTCTACTCGATCGATTTTCTCTCCTTCGTTCTCCTTTCTTTCGTTCGTCCTTTATCAAGTATCTCTTATCACTTGTGTATGCGAACATACAGACGAGTATCGTCAATCGTAGGTGAGTGTTTGTGTTCATCAATGTCGGATCAGGGTCATAACAGAAAAATAAGTCATAGGCGAAAAATAAGAAAAGAATATATGACAGCACCGTTGTCGTAATTGAGCAAACACGTGCTCAGTTAAATCGTAACCATCCAAGGGTGTTCAGCCACTTCGGATATCGTGATTCGATTGTCGACATCCCGGTCGAGCATTCTGCGAATAAGATCGATGCAGTCCTCCGAAAATGGTAGAAAGGGTACTCGAAGCGGGTGATCGAGAATTTCGTCGACGTTGTAAAATGGATTCTCCTTGTAGACAATGGTATAAAGAAGGATACCTAGAGCCCAAACGTCTTGTTCTTTGCCGCGGTAGGATTTGCCTTGAAGGACTTCGGGTGCTGCATAATCTACAGGACTTAGTAACAGTCTCCGGAAAAAAAAAGACAGAGAACTTACCAATAGTACCCACGAATACGTCAAAGGGCCCATTCTTGATATATGCTGCGCTCCCAAAATCAATCAACTTGATCCGTCCTTCGCCGTCGAGCACGACGTTCTCGTCTTTAATGTCTCGATGTACCACCAAAGCCTTGGTGTGCAGGTGATGAATAGCACCAACCACCTGTTTGAAAATGTTTCGACATTCTCCTTCATCCATGTTGGATTTGAGCTCGATGTAATCGAATAAGTCCATACCCGGAAGGCCATGTGGAACCATCTCGATATAGTAATTGATCTCGTCCTCAAAGAACCCCTCCATCTCCACAATGTTCGGGTGTCGGAGACCATCTCGTCGAAGATAGTCCAGAACGTGAATCTCGAGTGGAACGGTTCCTAGTCGTCGATCGCGGGTCCAGGTATCCACCAAAATGCGCTTCTTGGTGACATACTTAAGGACCATCTTCTTGGTTGGATTCTTTTTCAGTCGGGCGAGTTTGACCTGTCCGTACGCTCCTTGCCCCATCTCCTCGATAATGACATAATCGGAAATCGTTCGTTTCTTAGGCGGCTCTTTGATCAAGGGGGTTGCGCGAACTGGTTCAGGCATAGATCGATCAGCCAGCGGCGTAGATGCCGCCTCATTGAGTTTATGACTGAGTAAAGACAGCGGAGTTTTATTATCCAACGATGGAGTATTAGAATGCGACGGCAATGTTGGAGTTGGCGAGGGCGTACGTTGTCCCGACCGGGTTTGGTGAATGGATGTGGTTGGCTTTCTTTCCGTTGTTGCCTGGTCATTGGCCGAGAGAGCGCTGGGGTTTCCAGCGTGTATCTGCCTAGAGTACGTAACCCACAGAGCATAAACGACTTCAGTTACTGCGATTGTATCCGCCGATTCATCATCATGATCGCTATGGTTATCCAGTGACGCGTCTTCCCGTTTACTCTGAGTATCGGGGAAAACGGTTTCGCTCTTGACTATCCGCATTTGAACATCGATAGAGAGCTGAGATCCGTCTCGATGTCTCGCTGGCAGACCTTCAGACTCGAGAAAGATGGAGACGGCGTTGGCTCTGTTTTCTCGAAGTAACAAGAGATCCCGCGCGCGTCGGAAACTATGCTCCGGGATCACCATACCGTCAACGAGCGACACTTTATCTTCCTCCGTCAAAGTACTGAGAAGCTTCTCAAAATCGGGAATAAGCTCGGAAATGTGATGCCCTTCAGGGCGCTCCTGTCCAAAGAGGGCAGAGGAAAAGACCGAATTCGAACTGATAACATTAAGCGTGGATGACGACAGGACCATCATACCGGCGACGTGAGGAAAACTAGACACACGTAACGACCTTGTATCCCCGTTAGGGTTCTTCGTTACCGTCGTTGGAATGTTGCTTTTTCCCGGGCCACATGCGCCAAAATATTTCAGGTCGACCAGTCGCTCGAAATTACCGACGCATTCCGCCGGTAGCTTTGGGAAGAGCTCCGTAATGGGGGTATCGAGCTTCGCAACCTCGTGGCCCCAAATATCCTCGGTATCGCCCTCGACTTTTGTCATGTGTCCATTCTCATCATAGGTAAGATATGCCACATTTTCCGTGATTTCTTCAAGGACCCAGATCAAACCGCCACGCTTTTCCATTACCCATAAACTAGCCGACCCGGTTGTACCGTTACGCTTCTGGATAGGAACAACATCGCCGCACAAAAGCACTCCGCGAGACTTGTTTGCTGCATGGTTCGGTTTTCGTGCGTTCCTCGTACTCGATCCATAACCATCATCTGTTTGAGCCCTACGACCAGCCTTTTGGCGAGACGACGGTTTACTCAACAGCTGTGCTGTGACCCCATTACCCTTGGGCATATTGAAGCGTGGTTTAATGTTCGAATTCGGGAACTTCGCTGTCGCGTCAGTCGTTGGGTCCTGAAGCTTCGATTCAAGCCACTGTCGCCGCTCTTCTTGAACCACCTCAAGTATGCTCAACTTTCGGACTTCCGACTGCGTAACTCCGAAAACGAGACAAGCTAGATCGTTGGCGGCGATTATCGTCCACGGAGCCTTTGACTCTGTCCTGAAGACGGCTTGAGAGACCGGCGTCCATTTGCTGCTGTGAGTATGAAGTGTAGGACCAATACCCAGCCCTAGGTTGTATCCGGAGGCAGACAGAGAGTCGTTAGCAGAATACGGTTGTGCCAATGTTTCCATGAGTTTACTTTGTAGAGACAACGAACTCAGATCGGTAAATGTACGTTTCAAACTGACCCGCCTGGAAGCCGGAGCAGATCTCAGATCTCTTCGGCGCGAGTATACGTTGTCATCATAGAAGGGACTCAAAAGTTGACTATCATCGACAGCTTCGGCGGCATCCCCAGGGTAACTCGGAAACGGGGTGCTATGACTGGGAAGTGTGGGACTATGAAAAGACCTCTCGAAAACGTTATCCGATTCGACTTCCGGCGGACTGGTGATAGGCCCTAGACTGCCTGATTGTCGGCCTTGTGAATCTCGGTCCAACACACTAGCTTTGGATAGCAGATCGACCATACCCTGGAATTCGCTGTCGCCACTTATTCGAGCCTGAGCATTGACAACTCCGGGACTAGTAGCCGCCCAACCCAATCGATCTTTCATAAAATCTATTGACCGCTTGAGAATGTTCTGTCGAGTAGCAAGCAATTCCTCGGACCGCTGAGCGAAAGAGAACGAATGCAGAGATTCGGAAGGGAAGCGGTGTAGATCTTCGAAGGGAGGTATTGATCCGCCTGCTGTTGGGCCATATACTGATGGAGCTCTGGAAGACACACTCGACCGATGCGGGGGAGAATTGTGCTGGCCCACAGACGACGTGGAAGGGTTTGGAAGCGTAAATACTCGAGATAGCGGCTGCTGTCGTATACGGTCTAAGCCGGAGGGACCGAGACCAGCGTCAGGCTCGAGTAAAGGTGACCTAAATCAAGAAATCTGCGTCAGACTCCGGATACTTGCGAGGGGAAAGCGAGCCCAAAGGGAGATCCTCATTCTAAAGGCTATATAGCCTTACCGACTGAGCTGATCATAGTCATTCGACGAAGTCGAGGTATCCATTGAGAGCCTCAACGGGTCTCCGGGAGAGGGAATAGAGAGATTCCCATCGCTTCGATCTTTGAGATTGAATATGGTCTGTTCCGGTGAAGACGAAAGTGCACCGAGAGCGGGCGACGACAGAGGACTGAGATCTCCTTTTTCTAAATTTTTTTCCTCGCCGATGCATTAGCCTAGACCCTCGTACATCTCTCACGCATACATTGGAATGCTCGATACGCGACAAAAGCCAATCAACAGCTCCTGCCGCTACCCTATCTTATCGCGGCAGTGGACAGTGGACAGTGTGAAACATCATTCCACTTATTTTTGAGAGTAGTAGCTTGCTCGGAGATAAAAAGAAAACATCCCCGGAATAATTTGGGATGATCGATCAAAGATTTCACTCACCATCGTGCTGTCTTCCGCGTCCAGTCATTATGGTGGCTTCGTATCAAGCCCCCTTCCCCCTAACTGCGACAGATGCGAGGCAAAGGGTTGGAAAAAATATCGGAGACAAGCTCCACAGCGAGAAAGTGTCAAGCCTGGTGTAGAGAAGTTGAGGTATGCATGGGCGGATTAATCGTCTGTCAATATATTATTATAAAACTTGTCGCCGATGAAAATCCCAATCTCAGTCACTGTCGGCTTTCTGAAGACAGGAAAGTCTAGCACGGTTCGTAAATACGTAGTCAAAAGGTTGAAATTGGAGTCAAACGCGCCCCCGCCCGGGAGCTCCGACTGAATTGTTCAAAGTATAGAAGGAACGAATCAAGGGTGACTGAACTAGACTAGTGTAAAGAGAGATAAGTGAGCTCTGCTGTGCTGTATAAGGATGTATGAATGATTGAGAAAGGAGGAAAAATGCATTGCGGGGGAAGGATACCGTCGAGGTTGATCCCTTTACTAGTTAAGTGGTCAACCTGAGGAATTAGGCACAAGAGGGGCTGCCAAGCGTCGTGGTCAACAGTGGATGTCTGATAGGCACACTGCTAACTTATTGAACAGTATAGCTAATTGATGACTTGAGTATGAAGGATATTCATGCAACAAAGAATTTACAGGGAAGATAACTGTCATGGTTCCCTGACTCAATAGCCGCTTCGTGCGCTCTCTGACAACCACTTTGATGGCTCGCTCCTCTGGTGAGTCTTATGCGTACAGTAATACTGGCCCAAAATCCACACATGATGATTAAAGAACCTCAAAAGCCCACACAGCCTGCAACACAAACCAAATAAAGAAATTACTACCGGTTCTACAGTCTTGCGTATCGTAAACTCTGATAATGAAAAAAAAAACCCCCCCGAAATAAGTCACATATGATGTCCAAATATTACTTTATCAAAAAAAAAAAAAAAAGAAGGCCCACTTTGATCTTGTATGCGTCCCGACTACTCCGGTGACCGAGCTGTGTGGCTTTTCGCCGCGGACGATCCTTTGACTTCTTCCTTTTCGGTTTGACTTCTCTGTTCAGACTTTGAACTAAACATAATTTGAATAGCGAGACATTTGGTGGACATGGAATAAAGATTGGATATGGATTCGTACTGAATGGAAGATGTAGAGAATCGGACTATACCCTGGCAAGTGGGTACTTGTAGCATACCAGCTCGACTATCAACAGTTACATATGACGCGGTGGTTGGAATCAACTTGGACAGCCTGCCCACAAATTGCACATGCGAGATAAGAAAATCAAGATCGTGTACAGGCTGGAAATGCAGGTGGTGTGTACCCGGAGGTTGGACAGCTTGCATCTAATACTACACTTCGTCAAGCGACCAAGTCAAATGCAGGCTAAGGACCCTGTCCAGATTGCGAAGTCAAGAAGAGGAAGTGACAAAGTAAAAATATGTATATATAGGTTTATATTAGAGTTCTGAAAAATAACAGATATGCGATGGCATGTGATAGGTTAGGTCATACCACCCTAGGTGAAATCATTCAGAGATAGGCTATCTTCCTCCTTCTGAGACTGCTCCCGCTTCCCATCTCGACCATCTCCAAAAAGAGATCCTTGTCGCGATCGTGACTCACTTTGTCTGCTTTGATCTGGTGGAAGTGACGTGGAGCTGACAAAACTAGATCGATGTGTATTCTCGCCTAACATCCATGAGAACTCGGATTGTGCCAAAGGCCGCCTAGGTAGTGGTGTATGCGCCGAACGAGGCGGTGGAGAAAGAGCAGGTGTACGGAAAGAGGTGGAGGAAACTGTTCCAGATTCCGTGTCTGCATTCGATACATTTGCTTGCTGCTCAGCCATTTTGCTTTCGCTGACCGGTGCCGTTTCCGTAGGTCGGTGTTGTATTGCCTCCGGCTTCTCTACTTCTCTTTTGATCGTTTCCGGCCTGTTGGGAGCGACCTTCTCATCCTCCGTTGTGAAAGATGTGGGCTTTATTGCAGTTGCTCCGCTTGAGCCTTGAAGGTTCGTCTGGACAGTCTTGATCTTCTGAAAAGCTCTGTCGAGTGTCTCGGTAGCCTCGGGACCCAGGTCCGTTGTAGACTCTTTAATAAGCTTCAAATCATGGATCGCTTCTGACAGTAATCCTGCAAGGGTGTCGTCTCGTTTCTTCAAAGAAGCCACCTGTTGTACTAGATCCACTGGATCTGAGCTCCTTGATGCTCCAAGTCTCGGTGTCCCGAATCGAGGACTGCCACGCCAACCTCTGGACGTTGGAACCTCGGCGTGAGCCATATTGCGTTTTGCCTCACTGACAGCGCCTCGCACGGCTTTTGCAACACCCCAGCCTTCTGTTCGGCGCTGCAATCCTTCTGAAACATCCTGGAATAATGATTCGAGCGTCCGTTGATTGTTTCTAGCTGGGGACTGTCCAGAGGAACTTCCTCCGCTTAAATTCCGAGAATGACTTCGACGGTCAACCTTTCTCGGAGATGGTTCCCTAGGCGGTAGTTGCAGCGGGTCTTTTGCAAGCTCTGGAGGGCGACCTGAATATTTAGATACAAGAAATGCTCCTCGCGCAGGGCTCAAGTTCTGCTCCAGATATAGTCCATCATGAACCAATGTCTGCGGTCCATGGTCTTGGAGCGCAGGATAGCGCAATAGTAGCGTCAAAGCAGATGAATAGTCTACCTCCAGTACTATGGAAATGCTGTTAGCTTTCAGCAACTTACATCAAGTAAGTAAACATTAACTTACGCTGCCACCTAATGCGAAGAAGCATTGCAACACAAATATGGTCGATCAAGGTTGCCCTCAGGCCATTCGCAAAAAGCAAATCCCAGATCAGTAACGTGTCGTCGAAAGAGAATTCTCGACCGAAAAGCAAACGAATCCAACGACTAGGCATGTGTTAACTTGGGGTATTATGATAGCATGATCTGCAGCAACACCTACGTCAGAAATATTTGAGGTAGAATTTCGATTGTGTTCAAGTGTGTGGCTAGCTCATGATCCGCAGCCATGAGTAATTCATTGTGGATGAACTGAGAACGTGCAACTATAGGTGCCGTTTCTGCTTGGCCATTGACTGTTTTGTTGTCAGTGTGCTCGTAAAATGACCGAGCAACCTGCATGACACTGCAAAAGAGGTTGAAAGAATCGCTTTCAATGTAGCTGGCGTCTAGGAGTTGCAACATAACGCTTTCGTCGTCAGCTGCATCGGCTGGTGTGATTTTCGACGACTGCGAAGCAACTGCATCGCGCTCTACTACCCACAGTATCGGGGCCAGCAATTCATGCATTCCTTGTCGGTATCCGAGGTCGGGGTTCAATTTTGAGTAAACAAACAATATATCTAACATCATTGACTTTGTTGATGCTTCGCGGAAAAAGAAGTTGTCCTGTAAGCATCTTTCCACATCTTGATAAATTTCAACTCTGGTAGCTTCATCCTGACGTAAAACCTGCCAGGGAGACTGTATACATCAAGAGATTAGTTACGCATTATGAGATGAAAAGATCGTGAACATACCTCTTCATCCTCAGCGAGGGGGTCAACTGCAGACTGGAGATCATCTGGGTGCTTTATATACTTGAGAAAGTGCTCTCTGAGAGAGTCATAAGCACTGCGTGTATCCGATAGTCGATCTATCCACTTTGACCGGTCAAGGTCATCGCACAGCAGAAAGATCTAAGACCGTCAGTCGCTGATTCTGTACGGAGTATATGTGCCACATAAAACATGAATAATGTTCACCTTCCAGCAGACCGATCGAAGACCCGTCTCACATGGGTTCTCACCATCTTCAGATATGATTGCTTGTTTCAGATCATATGTACTCTGGCCATAACCGAGAAGGGTTTCCCATCTCCGTCTAATCACGATGATCAGCGATGGGTCAAGACGTAGAGTAAACAGATGACTATCATACCTGGCTTCTTCAATAGTTTTCATGGCATCATTCAAATTTTCAAACTTAGGGAACAGTTGTAGCAATCAAAGAGGGTGGTTAGGTGATAATTGGCAAGTTACATGCCACAAGAATCAACAGTTCAGATAACGGAAGGAGGAACCAGGGCAACAAATGACGTGGAGAAGGCCAGCCAAAGTTTATGGTAAAATTACCGTATCATATACGTCACATAACAGCGCACTAGAATGTATCAGTACTAGTGGTCATAAATTTGTACTTCCCGTCGCTCTCCCTCTTTGCCATCGCCAAATCAACATCGACAACCACGAAATTCGACAAATCGCTATCCCATGTTCTTCGGCTTCAGTGCAGCATAGGCCTCATTTGGGGGGTCTCAAATTTCATGTTCTACCGCACAGTTCTCCCGATGCGAGGAACTGCCGTATCATTATGATACCCCACCGAGCAGCATCCTACCAGCACCTGTATACACATTGATTTTATATCAAAAGATATTAGCTTGTGATGTCTGCAGATTTGCTTGCTGAGTTTGGGACAAACTCAAACCAGCCCAGTTCCGCAGTTAGCACACACGGATCTCATCAGTCACAAGGAAACGATTCATTCTTTGACGATGATTTCGACTCTTTTGTTTCGCCAGAGCCTACAGATGACAGTGCACTAGGATTTCAAAGCAAAATCTCCGGTGCTGAAAAGCATCATAGTGGATCTCAATATGCCCTGGATACAGATACATTCCCTCCGGTCTCGGAAGGTGCGGAGGTATTATTCGACGCGGCTGCAGAAGTGAGCTCAGGCAAGGATGATGAAGACGATTGGGGTGCATTTGAGACGGCCAATCTTACTCCAAGTTGTCAATTGCTTGATATAGAAAACGACATCCAGCCATTGCCTACGTCCATTAGCAGACCAGATTTAGTAGTATCTAATGTTTCGGTGTCTGTTGATCTCCTTTCACTCGAAGACAAGCCAGAGTCCACTCAAAGCATTGTCTCGCAGATTGCTCCAAGCTCAAGGCATCTTCAAACATTGAAATCACCGGCGTTCAGTCAAAAGCCCGCTGCTAAGAGCAAAAGTCGGCCTAATGCGTCTGAGGATGACTTCTTTGGTGAGTGGGATGATTTTGAGGATGGGACTGCAGAGAAGCCCCAATCGCAAACACCGATCTCAACATCTACAAAAGAGGCGAGAACCAGTATCAGCACATCTTCTACTAAAACACGAAAATCTTCACAATCGCAATCCATTGTTCGCCCGACCAACATTCCCCCGCCCTCGGTCCTACTTCAGATCATACCATCTCTTTTAGAACAATTCCGCGGACAACTTAATGATTCAAAACGAGGTTCTACAGCTCCCAATCCTGAATTTATCACTAATCTTATTCAAACTCTTCGGGCGGCTTCCCGAGTCATCGCAGGCCGCATTTTACGGTGGAAGAGAGACACTATATTAAGCCAAAGCATGAAAATTGGTCCAGCACAGTCTGGCAAAAGCAGTGGAATGAAACTGAGCTCTATCAGCCGAGGTGAATCCATCAAAGAGGAACAAGAAGCCGTTGGTGTCCTTGAAGCCTGGCGCCATCATGCATCCGCACTCAATTCGGCGATTCAGGCATCTGGTGAACGACCTGTACCCGTTATCACGGACAAAGTCCGCGTCATTACTGTGAGTGCAGAGCAAGGTGCGCTCAAGGCTTCCCATGCTTGTGCTTTGTGTGGTTTGAAGCGGGATGAGAGGTTACCAAAACTAGATGATGATGCGCAGGATAGTTTTGGAGACTGGTGGATTGAATACTGGGGCCATACGGATTGCAAATGGTTTTGGGAAGAAAATTCCAACAAGCTTAATCATCGTTGAGCTTTTTGGTACTATCATAATCCTCAGTCCAAGTTCAAAATTCATCGCATCAGAAGCGGTTTCTCTTCTCTCAGGCTGACAAGTCAATATCCTCCACACATATTTACTATATTGACAGTAGACATAAGATATTGAGAAGTAGAATTTCTTCCCAAAGCCCTCTCACGTTGCAAACTGTATACAGATGACTAAGGTCCTATCATGTCTACCAAAACTATAACTTACCCGTGATGGACGTTACACCTTTCTGAATTTCTCGGAGAGGTAAAAGTTCTCTGCCGTACATACTGTCGGCGCCTGAAAAAGACGTTCGATTATATATAAATCTATGGATAATGATCTGATATAAACTTCAAAAATCAAAGTCAGCCGAGGCTTTGCTGTCAATTGCTTCCAGGCTTGTCCCCACATCACGGCATTCATTCCGAAACGAGGGGAATGTTAAAAGTCTACCTAGGTATATAGTCTTACCTTTTCAGCTGCTCCGATCTACATTTCCACTCAATGTGCAGTTGAATCCTCTACATATAGCTTGAACGAGTGCGCAAATTTCTTGCAAATATGGCACTCCCAGAGAACATGAAAGCGGTCGTGTTTCACGGACCATACAAAGTCGCCGTAGAAGAGCGGCCAGTACCACGTATACAAGCTTCAACGGATATTATTGTCAAGGTCAGATATACCGCTCTTTGTGGCAGGTGAGTCCATCACTTATCCATAGATAATTCATAGAGGAAAAGACAGAAGAAACTGAATTGTTATTACAGCGAGCTCCATGTTTTCCGTGGTCATCAGGCTTCCAAAACTGGCTTTATTATGGGCCATGAATTTACGGGTACTGTCGTCGAGGCCGGGGACGATGTGAAGACTTTGAAGGTTGGAGATGTCATCGTCAGTCCATTTACGACTTCATGGTATGATTTCTAAGACCCTACGTAAAGAATGTGGATGATGGTATACTGACTTTCACCTGACTATTTGAAGCGGCACATGCTTCTACTGTAAGCAGGGGTTCTCCTCCCGTTGTGCGAGCTCTCTCTTATTTGGTTGTCCTCTTCTTGATGGTGGCCAGGCTGAATATGTACGTGATCATGTCCGTACTATTACAACATTGAAACCATGAAATTAAAAGGCATCACAGGTCAGAGTTCCAATGGCAGACAGCACAGTCTCCAAAGCTCCCGAAGGCATTGACGAGAAACTCCTCGTCTTGATGGCCGATATATATCCAACGGGCTTCTTTGCTGCCAGCAACGGGTTCAAGGAATATACAAAGGACCAAGCCGCAAATTTAACCGTAGTTGTCATAGGTTGCGGTCCAGTCGGTTTGCTCGCCATTGTCAATGCGCTTGAATACAAACCGAAACATCTTTTGGCGGTAGACTCTGTTACTCCTCGTCTTGAGCTTGCTAAGAAGCTAGGCGCAGAGCCCTGGAACTTTATGACAGATCGCGAGGGACTTGACAAGCGGGTTCAGGAATTGACGGATGGTCGGGGTGCCGATGTGGTTATTGAAGTTGTGGGATTAAGTCCGGCTTTGCGCACAGCTTTCGACCTTCTCCGTCCTTGGGGTACTATCAGTAGCGTTGGCGTACACAATGCTGAGGTATGACTCATTGCTGGTGGTAAAGGTTGTGATAAGCCAGACTAATAACTCTACCCAGATTCCCTGGACCGGCAGTGAAGCGTACGGCAAGAATCTGAAACTTCAAATGGGCCGATGCCCTGTGCGCTCGGTATTCCCACAAGCTCTGGAGGCATTGAAGAGAAATCAACATCTATTAGGGTCAGTACTGGACACGTCTTTACACTCTTTTGTAGTCAATGATTAACAGCCTCTTTGCAGATTCATGGCGGACAAGATAATGCCCCTTTCCAAAGCAGTTGAGGGGTATGACTTGTTTGACAAGATGAAGGCGCAGAAAGTCGTCTTCGAAGCATAGTCTCAGTGAAATAGAGGAAAGACATCAGACTGCCAGTGGGCCTGTCATACTTGAGCCAATCAGGAGTAATTAAGCTTTCCCCAGACCCTTACCGTATTAGGGCTAGTGGTTTTGTATCAAAACATGTATATTTCAATCATGTATTGCACCACCTCACAAGTCCAAGTGCAGAAACATCGTAAAGCATTAAGAAGAGTTGAAATATCTTGAAACCAATAGTCGGATGTTTCGGAAGCTATTAACATTAAAGGATGGCAGTTCTGATATATCTTTCTTTGCAAAAGTGCTTTCTCAATGATGAGCAGCTAATCTTCGTACAATACAGTACTCCGTATTCTGTATCCAAATACTCAACATGAGTGAAATCACAGTCCCTGATTGGCTGTGCGCAGCAGTCTGTATTACCGATTCATCTGGTCTCCACTCTCCAGCGAGTAAGTTAGCTTAATGTTAGCCCACCACCACTAAATATTGCTCCTCACTTCTTCCTCCCCACTGATCAAACATTATTCCTGTCCTCCTCCCTCTATCCTCACCTTTCCTCATCACTCTACCTCTTCATCTACATTTCTCCCATTACCTCCTTCCTTTCCCCTCTTCTTTTTCCCTTCTTCTTCGAGTGTCTCGTCCTTCACCTCCATTCTTCCCCTCAAATCCTCCCTTTTATCTTTTCTCTCCGCCCGTTTCTACCCCTCCGTTGTCCGCTACCACCTTTCCCCTCTCGCCATCCTCGGTCATAGTATCCTCTATTTTCTGCTCATACATAACCTTGTGTAAGTCTTATCTGACGCATACAATTTATCCTCCAATTCGAGGTGTCATGCAGCGTGTGTTAATTGTTTCCCCCGTCTAGCCGGCTTTCTTTGCTCCTTTGACACGGACGATATTCCGAAACCCCGATTTGTCTCGCTTCTTTGAGTTTATCTCGCAGCTTCATTTTCAACAAGATCTCTCAAGAATCTCTCAAAAATGGCAGCAGCTACCGAAAACCACGAAACATCTGTGCCTGGCGAGGACAGTCTGAACGAGTCCTTCGCCCGTGTCAACATTGGCGAATCAGGCGAGCTTGAGGAACAGCCCAAGACTGATGAAGAGTACGCGCAAGCAATTCTTACTCTGCGAGCCATCGTTTCCTCCAAGGAGGCTGGTGTGATTATCGGCAAGGCTGGCAAGAATGTTGCGGATTTGCGCGACGAGACTGGTGTCAAAGCTGGTGTCAGCAAGGTTGTCCAGGGTGTGCATGATCGTGTTCTCACTGTGACTGGTGCCTTACAAGGATGCGCCCGCGCCTACTCTATTGTCGCAAAAGGACTTCTCGAAGGCGCTCCGCAGGTCGGAATGGGCGGCGTCGTCCAGAACAACGGAACTCATCGTAAGTAGTCTACAGTCTCCTTGTATATTTTCCAGGGCTTACAGATTTCAATAGCAATTCGCTTGTTGATCTCACACAATCAGATGGGCACCATCATCGGTCGTCAAGGTCTAAAGATCAAACACATTCAGGATGCCTCGGGCGTCAGAATGGTCGCGCAGAAAGAGATGCTACCACAGTCCACCGAGCGAATTGTGGAGGTGCAGGGCACGCCAGAGGGTATCGAGAAAGCGGTCTGGGAAATTGGAAAGTGTCTCATTGACGACTGGCAACGTGGAACAGGGACCGTCCTGTACAACCCGGCCGTGCGTGTCTCCATTGGCGGTTCTGGTCAACTCAATCACAACGGCGACAGGACCGGCGGCAGCTACGGCGGTGGACGATCCTACAACCGAACTGGCAACGGCGCAGATTTCAGCGAGCCAAGCGGCGGCTACAATCGTCGTGGCAGCGGCGATAATGGCAACCGAAATCTGCCGCTAGTCACCGATGATGGAGAAGAAGTACAGACACAGAATATCAGCATCCCTGCAGATATGGTCGGTTGCATTATTGGTCGGGGTGGTAGCAAAATCAGTGAAATCCGTCGCAGCTCTGGAGCGAGAATCTCGATCGCCAAGGCACCCCATGACGAGACTGGGGAGCGCATGTTCACGATCATGGGTAGCGCACAGGCTAACGAAAAGGCGTTGTATCTTTTGTACGAGAACCTCGAAGCTGAGAAGATGCGTCGTAGCCAGCAGTCTCCTGAATAATTCAGAGGCACATTCGCACATTCGCCGGAACGGACTTCGCTTCAGGCTGAATTGCAGTTGTTTTACCTTCATTTTCTCTACCTCTCCTTCAGTCAGAGGTAAAACTTTCTTTATTTATCGAACTTTTTCTTATCTTTCACGATATCGTCTCGTCGCGTACCACTTCACTTTGTCCCCTACTCTTTCTACAACATCGCCTGTATTTCTCAAGACGATGGGTCTCTAACATTCATCTCACCGGATTACGAATTAATGATGTCTCCTCAAAAAAGAAAAATACCAAACCGATGTCTAACACAGACTTCTCTCCCTTGACTTGACTTTTCATTCATCACCCACACCCTCGATCCGTCTGTCGAACCTTTTTTTCCTACTCTTCTCAAATCTCCTTGTGTGTATCGATACTACCTATCTATCTATCTCGAAAGAACCTCCGTTGTCATCATCAATACCATCTCTCGAATCTTTGATCCTCATTGTCTTCTGCCTTGCGTCTTCTCATAATCTCGCCACTTGTCCCTATTCCTTTTGAAGGAAGCAGAGAAAACTTTGAAAGCTGATGATATCCACCACCCACCATGGATGTGTGTGAAAGATACCCAAACGACGATTTAGATTTAGCTAACAAGGACAAAGCAAATGAAGAGAAGGGAAGATTCTAGAGAATACCTATTTGAATGATAAAACAACTCTTAGTATCTAAATAGTATCAAATCCTATAGACAAACATTGTCGTTGCTTCCAAAATTATCATAGACATTTAATTTTTTTCTTCGATTCTGACTATGTTACAATGTACATATAACAATTGAGTATAGTTTCCATCTCTGTACTCAATACCAGTAATACCAGTACATGGAGTATAATAGAGAAACTGATTCCTATGCCACAAACACAAAAGTAGAGAGGAAGGATGGAAGGAAGAAAAAGGACATGGTGTTAAGAGAGGAGATCAATAGTCAAAACAAACAGAAAAGAAAAGAAAAATACATAGGTGGATTTTTTTCTCTTTTCTGTAGCAATTAACACCGCGCCATGGAACCCATGTAGACAATTGATAGATAGATATTTAAGGTCTTGCGAGGAGGTAGAGGAATCGGGATCGGATCAAGATCTTATTGTACATAAAAGAAAAGGGGGAAGATGGCAAGATGACCTAAAAGAAAAGGAGAGAGATTGAAAGCGTTTAGGTAGGAAGAGGAGTTTGATCACGACCATCTTTACCCGTAGAACTTTCATCAGGTTCATGAGGTTCAGGTGGTGCAATAATACCTCCACCGAAATACTTCGTAAACTCCCCCGTATCCGGGAACGGTCGCGGACCCAAAAGACGAACCATATCATCTCGCGACAGGACTTCCTTGGCCAACAACTCCTCTGCCACAAGGCCGACTTCCTTCTTCTTCTTTGTTAGAAGATCTGTGCAACGCTTATATGCTTCATCGACTATACGGCGGATCTCGAGGTCGATGTTTCGTGCTGTCTCCTCAGAGAAGGGTTTGTGGAGTTGTTGTTGATCTTCTTCAAAGTGCAAGGGTCCGATGGTCTTGGACATGCCGAATTTGGTGACCATAGCGCTGGCCATGCGGGTTACTTTGTTGAAGTCGTCTGATGCACCGCTGGTGACTGTGTCGAAGTGGAGTTCTTCGCTGACACGGCCGCCGAGGGTCATGGCCATGCGATCCATGAGTTGGTTGACGGTCATCAGATAGTTTTCACTGGATGGGAGGTATTGCGCATAACCGAGAGCGCCTTGTCCTCTGGGAATGATTGAGACTTTGAGAAGAGGATCGGCCCATTTCAGATACCAGCCGCAGATGGCGTGGCCGGCTTCATGGTAGGCTACTGTTCGTTTCTCCTCGGGCGAGAGGACGAGAGATTTCTTCTCCAGACCTCCAATCACACGCTCAATTGCCTGTTCGAAGTGTTTCATCTTGACACTCTCGGCTTGTTCACGGGCAGCTTCATAAATGTTAGTAACACGAGACGAAAAAATAGAGCATGGTCGTCAGTACTCACCAACCAAAGCAGCCTCGTTGACACAATTGGCAATATCAGCACCAGCGAATCCTGGAGTCAAAGCAGCGAGACGGCCACAAAGATAATCCATATCCTCCTTCGTAAGAATCTTCTTCAAATGCACACGGAAAATCTGCTCTCTTCCCTTCATTGTCGGTCGGTCAATAGTGATATGTCTGTCGAAACGACCAGGACGCATCAATGCCTTGTCAAGAACATCAGGTCTGTTGGTACCGGCCAAAACAACGACCTGCTCTGATGTATTGAAACCATCCATCTCAGTCAGGATTTGGTTGAGTGTACTCTCACGCTCGTCATTGCCACCACCAAAGTTCTGCTTGGATCGTGATTTACCGATGGCATCAATTTCATCGATGAAGATAATGCAAGGTGTGTTCTTTCGAGCATTGGCGAACAAGTCACGTACCCGAGAGGGACCAACACCAACAAACATCTCGACGAATTCAGATCCACTGACACTGAAGAATGGCACACCAGACTCACCAGCGGTGGCCTTGGCGAGCAATGTCTTACCGGTACCAGGAGGTCCGGACAGAATGGCACCACGAGGGATCTTTGCTCCGAGTCTCTGGAACTTTTCCGCTTCCTTCAAGAAACTGACAAACTCCATGATCTCCATCTTTGCCTCGTCCATACCGGCAACATCGGCGAACTTGATCTTAATGTCCGTCTCATGATTGAACCGCCTTGCCCGACTCTTTCCAATACCAAAAATGCTGCTCTGACCACCGGCACCGCCACCAGCTCTCCTTGAGAAGTAGAACACTGATCCGATCAACAAAAGAGTAGGTCCAAAGGACAAAGCTGTAGCGAGCCATGGAACTTCATCGACATAGGCTACCGGGATACGTTGCGAGGTGGGGATACCCAGTTCATTGTGAGCTTCCTCTAACTTGCGCTCAAATGAATCAACCGACCCGATGGTGAAGTAGTAGTGGAAGTTGCGTTGCGAAGCGGGCGAATCCGGCATTTCGCCAGCAACCGCCTCTCGGTTTAGGTCGACCCGTACACGAGAACGATTGATGACAGTCAACTTCTCGACAAGGCCCTTGTCGAAGAAATTTGATCGGAATTCTTGCCATGTAATATCCCTGCTGCTTTCACCGGGGAAGAAGGTCGTGTATAGCATATAGGAAAGAATGGAAGTCACAATAAAGCTGCTAGGATCGAATTTGAATTCGAACACCTTCGGCCCATTCTTTTCATCCTTGCCATCCTTCTGCTTTTGACCCTGTTGACCGCCGGTCTTTTTCTGCTGTTGTGCGCCCCATCCACCAAATCCGCCCTCGGCTTTCTCTTGAGAAGCCTTTTCGAACAAGGCCTTGACTTCCTCGGCAGACTGCTTCTCAGCTTCGGTGGCCGTTATATTATCCTCTCCCAAACGCTGTATCCAAAACCTCGAAAACTTATCAAAATCCTCCAACGTCATAGGTTGTGACTGATCCACATGTTTTCTGAAAAACTCCTCCATCTCAGGCGGCATATACTTTGCATCAGCCAACAAGGTCTGAATAAGACGCAGAAGTTGCACCTCCCGTGGCGGCATTCCAGTCTGGTGAACCAACTGCTCAATGAACTGGGCAGACTTTTCCAGAAATTCCTTCTCATCGGCTACACTGTTGAACGTCTTCTTCGGTGCAGGTCCATTCTTCTTGAGCGACTCGAAGAACTCAGCCAACTCCTCATCTTTGCTCTTTTCGACTTTTTTCTTCTTATTTTTGTCGTCGTCCGGACGTTTCGGGTCCCCTCCGGGGTTAATGGAGGCGTACGATCGTGCCTGTCGAGCGTTTACTAAAGACCATAGCTGCGGTCTCGTGTGATGTGGATATATCGATCTAGAGGTCGTAAAAAGGTCTGTCGCACTTCTGGAATACCGTGCGATATGTGCAGGCCGTCGTAAAAGACTGGCCATCTTTTTGGGGTTGATGGAATAACGCGGAGCCTCTATATGGCCGAACGCAATCGTCCAAAGGCTCTATCAAGCTGGAAAAGCTACCCACGGAGCGATTTGAGAATCAATAAGAAGTGATGGAAAAGCTCCAATATGGACCACCGTTGACTGGCCCCCTTGCGAAGCTTGCTTTCTTGATAGAGTGGAATGTCGTTGATTCCCCGTAAGGTGACAGCCACAAATCGGCTAGCCTTAATAATCCATTTTTCCAGACCCGCTTAGTCATCACCGGCCGAACGCGGGCCGAGATCGATCTCAGTCTATATGTTTACACGATAGTTATATATCTACACTGCTCAAGGGTGGAATCATGTATTATTCAGAATCCGGGATCAACGTGTGCAAAGGACAGCAACCTCAAGAGGGGAGAAAAATCAGGATATTATTACCTAGGTATCCATCCATCCGCATAAGAGTGTTCCTCGAAAATATAAAAGTAATGTACAGAAGCGAGAACATGAGACATGAATTAAGTCTAACCCTAGACGATCGGAAACATGCACAGCAAATATCCGATATATCGTCTTCTTTTCTCAAACACCAAACTCCTTCCTGGTCATTCTAGAAGAGTCGTTTCAGGTCATGAATCCAATCACATCCCATTGTGCATAGTCGCCTGAAACATATCAGGTTGATCCATATTCAGTAGATTCACGTTGGAAAAATCCGCCCAGTCCCATTCCAGTCCCATCGGCATCTGCCACAGATCCTGCGGCACGAATGATTGCTGGAAAGGGTAGAACTGGGTATCAGAAGGTGAGGCCATTGTCGGTACTGTGGTAGTTTGTAAATTCGGCGCATCTGCAAAAGAAACTTCGGGATTGAACATGGGCATATTTGCGCTTGAGATATCGCCAAAGGTACCGGACATCATATCGCTCGGATTGGGTGATACAACCCCTATAGGAGGTTGGGTTGTGGGTTGTGTGCCTGGCGGAGTGGCTTGTTGTTGCTGCTGTTCTCGGAGCGATGATGCAGTGGTATCTATATGATTCTCCGCGTCCGCAGCAGTAGCAGCCGGTCTGTTAGATGTGTCGACTCTCTGGGTATTGTTGGTATCTACATCCTCTGTAGAAGCTTTGCGTTTTCGCTTTGAGAGCGCTTCTTTCTCTGCCTTATCGAGTACTACTTTGGCAATTCTTTCAAACTCCGCACAAACACTTAGCATCCGTCTGACACTTCCATTCGACTCGTCCGTGCCCAGCATAGAGAGAAAATTAACCACAATGTTCATTAATTTGATGTCTGAGCGAACACGGGCGTCCTGCGGGTTTTGTAGGATATTCGCAAAGAGGGTGACAAGAGCGGAGACTGGGTAATATAGGACGAGCCTTCGATCGTCAGTAAAAAAGTACATATATCAATGGGCAACCACCAACTTACCATACGCAGGCAAAATCGCCCTGAGGGATATATTTTATCAAGTTTATTGATGCTCTTGCAGCGGTGACACAGATATTGGCAGAAGAGAAGACTCGCGGGTTCAACGGTCTTGCATACAAGCCCTGTATGGCATAATTGGACAGACGACTAGTCCAATAGCCGTGGTGTACTGCCATTCGGTGTATCGTAGTCAAGCAGTTGTAGTATGCAAAGTGAAGTATCATGACATGCAGAATCAGAGGGGGATGTGTTGCTTTGATTTCGTGTTCTGGGCGGTAATCGACCGGTATGCTATCTTTCCACTCTTCCAGCTCTCTGTCTAATTCACCAATGGTGTTTAAGAGCTCACCATCAGACTGTTTTGCGGCTTTGGTGGAGTATAACCTTTTGTAAACTCTGCTTTCAATGATGGCGAATCTGCACATCAATCTGAACATATTAACTGTGCCTTCCCCTATCAAGGGGATAAGGCCAGCGTTATCGGGAGGGATTTCACTGGGAAGCTCGACGTTCATATCGTCATCGTCCTGTACCGGGGGTCTACCGGATCGTAGGCAGATACTAAAGACATTACATTAGCATATATTTCCACTAACAACGTGTCAGATACGTACTCTTTGTCTAACAAGTAAGCAATCCAAAAGACTCTTTTACGCTGCTCCACCTCAACAGGATTCAAGTTGAATAGTGAACCTCGTTTATGTAACCCGATACTGTGTGAAAGTCTGATGGCAGCTGCCACCAAGAAGAAAGATGGTTGGGGGTTGGGAGTGCCTTGCAAGAACAGCGACTGTTCGAATTATTAGCAAGAATGACGCGGATTCAAGATTCGGATCTTACCATTCCCAAAAGTGCTTGAACACTTAAAAGGTCTGTATTGCGCATTGTGAGCTCTGTCAAGACACCCATCGCATTTTTCAGGTAAAGCCAGGCCTTCTTATCCTCTTCCTGAGGGACAAGATGGCTCATGACACGAAGTCTGTGTGCGATCGCCAAAACAATGTTGATACTAGCCCACCATCCCGAACCTTCATAAGGATCTCGCGAGTACTGTCGTTCAACTAGGTGCATGAATGTGGGTTCGTGAAAAAGAGGTAGTATGGCATTGAAATTATCGAAGAAGTCTCGGAAGAGTGACATGGCCTCTTCCTTTGGAGGTAATGGCTTGAAGACTCGTCTGGCAAAGATGTCACTGAAAATCTCGGGTTTCCAATACAGCCATTTGTTATCGTCAATATAAGCGGCTTGGATCATATCGTGGAATGAAGTGTCGCCAGTCTTCTCATTAACCCACTGAATACCGCGGGGCGAGAAGATTGAAAAGCCAGAGGAAGAACCTAGCACGTTTCTTAGTCTTAACAGAAAGGATTATATCAGAAATGCAGGTCGACATACCGATATATCTAGTCTCTCCGCAATTGGTGGTAACAAGCGAGCACATCATATCCGACAATGCCTCAACCTCATGTTCTTTGTCCTCCTGTGAGGTAGGGGACTCTGCTACTCTAGAACTCGAGTTTGAGTCTCGTGGGGTGGAATGAAGTGAGCCTGTACTCGATTTTTGTGGATTTTCAAGAGAGGAACGAGCGGCGGCGACAGCAGCAGAGAAAGTGTTCAGATCACCGTGTTGAGATTGTTGCTGGGCCTGTTGCAGACGGCGCTCGATGGAAGGAATATCACTCTCGTTATCTGCTATCCCTGCCATCTTCAATAACCCTTCCAGCCGCCTCATCCGGTTTTCTAGTCCTTCGATATATTTGGCCCTGCATGCTGTCAGTCGCTACTCGCTCAAGACATAAGAGGTAACGCGCATACCCTTTGGGAGGGTTCCTCTTCTTTTCAACCTGTGTAAAGATACATTCCGTCTTATAGTTGATGCAGTGGGAGCATTTGGGCATCTTGCCGTCGCATTTGATCTTTTTCTTGCGGCACATATCACAAGCCTTGATAGAAACATCCTCGTCAGTCACAATGACTATAAGCAACGTTCTGATCCATCAAAAAGAAACCCACTCTTGCTATCCTTCTCCTTTTCGGATCGCCGTCTCTTTCCTCATCCTGAGTCCCCTGCCCGGGCTGATTCGCATTGAACGGGCTGCCGCCAGCGCCCCCATAATTCGGGTATATGGGGGGTGGCATCTCGTACCCTCCCCCATCTTGCGAGTCGTCTCCAAAACTCTCCATAGTGCGCGTATCTTCAGGATTGGAGGGCGAATTTTTTGGTATATAGGCCGATTTGTCAGATGACGCCGAGACTCGAATGTAACAAAAAGATTTAGAATTTCAACGCCACTTTCCGAGCGTACTCGACCTCTCTGCGAGACGTAAAACGGGAGGCGCTGACATCAGCAGGGCGTCGACGAATAATAAGTGAATGAAAGGAACACAACAGGAAAGTCGTTCAAACAAGCAGAATCTGCTGCAGGGGGGTTGTCTCTACGCTGAAATTCGCGTGTAAGTACGGTAAGGTTAGCTTGCGAGTTGCGACTTGTACGGCCGTATTTTAGCGGGGAAGCAGCAGTCCACCCAGTCCAGTACCCAAAAGAACCCGTAGGTGTGGATCGACTTGCCATTAAAAGAATATGGAAGCCTAACTATTCCTCTCCTGGGAGCCAAAATCGAGAAGAAAAAAGATCAGCTTTGTGGATGACGAGCTGTGGCGCATGGCGGACTTCGCGGTGTTTTCGTCCGCCGAATCTACGAGGAGGTCTCGTTCTGCCGGATCCGTGATAGATCGGGGTGGAGTTAGTCAGCAGAGCAATCGATAAGGGCTCGGGCTTTTCGGGCGATGAAGCTCAATTCTGGCCGATTCGATGCGAGATTCGGATGCGACCACGAGAACGTCCCGGTATGGTCACAATGAGTCAGTGTGAGTATTACACGTGATTTGCTGAACAAATCTGGGTCATTGAATAATATACATGTTACTTGAGAAATAGGCTAGAGAGGCGAGTCTGTCACAGATATCATACATTGCAATCAAATCAAAAAACGCCATGCTATGCAACCCAATGTACAACCAAAGTATATATATGGTGACAAGTAGAGGCACCTTCAACTGATACCATATCCTTGTGCAGGCCGTGTCTAACCACCGGGTGAGTAGACACGCAAAAGCCGAGACATGTGTATCATCATTATAGAGTCTTATCGAGCAATTCCTTCGCCTCGTTGATTTTCGTGGCCAAGTAAGGGCTTCCGCCTCGGTCGGGATGGTTAAGGAGCATGAGCTGGCGATGGTTTTTGCGGACTTTGTCCTTGGTCAATGTTCGCTCTCTGGTCGTTGTCTGTTAGTCGCTATGACACTATAAGGAGAATATAGGGAGGAGACATACGATAGTTCCAAGATTAATGAAGCCTCGCGACGGGTCATTTTGGGTTCGAAGCCACTGCGAAAAGTGTCAATAACCTATCAACCAACACAACCAGCAGGGAAGATCAGGTGTACATACCCCTTGTAAAAAGCACGGCCGACCTTATTCACACCTCCTCGGTAACGCTGAAGAGCAACATATCCGGCACGACCCTGTGGAATATGATATTAGTATGTAGATTTGACCGACTAGAGTGCATGCGCTCGCTCACCAGAAAAGCGGAGGTGGCCAATCCAAGGCCAACCAGGAACGCGGAAGCCATTATCAATCGATTTTTAAAATAATAACTGCGACAGTAACAGAGTTGTGGTGCTTGAGACTGGGTCAGTGAGCATAGTCCTTCAGGGCGAGATGTAAAAAGTGAACAAAGTCGGGTCTTGGCATTTGGCGGCGATATATACCCGCCATACCATAAACAGCTTAGCGTATATAGCCCCACATAATTTTCTTTAAGTCGAATTTGCGTTCTTCGACGACTCTAAACATACAACGATTATAAAGTCGTTTTCAAGGAACTTCACCAGTAAAACCATTCAAGATGAGGTACGTTAGCTGTTCAAAATACACTTGAAGAGAGATTACTGACTCGGACACAGGGTGGAAGTGTGCAGTTTCTGTTCTCGTCCGTACGTTATCGACACCGCATCTACATGCCTTCGCAATTTTTACTGATGATAATCCAGCGTATATCCTTCTAAAGGAATCACATTCGTCCGAAATGACGCCAGAAGTTTTCGCTTCTGCCGAAGCAAGTGCGAGAAGGTCAGTCGTTTATCGGCATTTCAACAGGTTCCGTCAAGATTGGTACACAGTTTCTAACATCTAGTAGAACTTCAAAATGAAGCGTCAACCCAGAAAGGTGAAATGGACAAAGACTCACCGTGCCCTCCGCGGCAAGGAAATGATTGTCGACTCTTCACTTCTTCTTTCACAATTCGCTCAAAAACGCAATGTCCCCGTCAAATACGACCGCAACCTCGTCGCAGCAACCATCAAGGCCATGGAAAGAGTCGAAGAGATCCGCCAGCGCCGAGAACGGGTGTTCACAAAGAAACGACTTGCTGGCAAATTGGCTCGCGAACGTCAACGCGAGGAAGATCGTCGGGTGGTGGCCCAGGGAGAGCATCTTATTCGCAAGGAGCTGCGGGAGATGCAGGAACACAATGTGCCTCTTACCACATCGGCAGAAAAGGAGAAAGCTGTCGGTACGGTGTTTGGCGAGGAGAGACCGCGGCAGAAGAAGAAGGCCAAGATGTTGGTGGATGGCGGTATGGAGGAGGAGATGGATGTGGATTGATATACGACAAAATAGAGTATATGAGCGGCGATTTTATCTTTACTGTCCAATTACATGACAACGGCATGGCGTTATGGGTATTTACTTTACTTGAGACTTGATGTTTGATATGCAAAAGCTTTGAATCACAGTTTGTTTCTTTGAATATAGATTGACAATGGCCTTTGTTGACCTTCAGATAGGGCTGATTGTTTGAGGTTTGAGATTAGCCACTGGAATATTACTGCTGTCGGATCAGTATCTACAGAAGGCTGAAAGGATATCTGCCGTGGTCTCACAGACTATACATCGTGCCCCAAAGGAGTAGTCGGCCCCTAAAACAGAAAGTGTCGACAAACATGACATCTTCACCCTTCCCAATCCAGCACCGTTTCATGATCTCATTGAATGGCTTTTTTTTGTTCCCTGACAGGCAATGAAAAAAGGCGCACATGCCCTGCAGTTTTCGAGCTGACTCCGGGTCTTCTCCATCGTTATCTCAGGGCATACCCGTCAACCTTGACAAGATATCCAACCGAGCAATCCACAAGCAAACAAACGGGGCAGGGCATACTGAAGAAAAAATTTGCTCGTCTTTTTGTTTGTCATGGGCAATGCCGTCAGAGTCATGCACCAGCCTCCTAAGACTAGAAATTCACTTCCTCTTCCTCCGTCTTCATCATCACGCAAATCTCTCCTCATATACATACTCGTCAGCTCCAAAGACATCTTTTTGCTTCGAGAATCATACTTTCAACACCAACACTCATCCTCAACGCTTTACTAGTGCCTTATTATCCTCCTCAAGTCTATTTCGACCTTTTTATCCTCTCACAAAGGCATTTCAAGTCTCTGGCCATCGTCAAAATGTTGGTCAGTCCTTTGTTGATCATTTGTGCTGCGTCACTTGTCAGCATCTTTTCTCCCTGGTTGAAGGAACTTCAGGAACCTTCTTTAGTACTACTCCAGTCTGCTAGTGAAGCGTCACGGGACTGTGTCAAGACCGTTTTTAGCGATTGGTTACACATTTCGACAACAGGTACCATTCGCTCGCCTCCTGTGATCATCTCTCTGTCTCCCTCGACTGCTAGTACCGTTGTCCTGAGCCGCCCTTGGAACGGCACAAAAGATTACGTCTTGTTTCCTAGGGAATCGGCGCTGGCGACTGTCACTTCGTATATCAGCTCGCTTAGCTTGGTGAATCCGTTCAAAGTTGATCCTCCTCGTTTTCCTTTACCATCTCGTCGTTACGGCAAGTGTGGAAGCGCGGTCAACGGGGCTGGTAGGAGCGGTTCAGGAAAGCCTATTGCCGATGTGAGCGTCGATGGCATACCATTGATCCTTGCGCTGACGGCTCTCATTGTAGTGACCTTTAATTGGATGGCCTTTTGTGCCTGGAAGAGGGTTCTGGCAAAGGCAGAGCGAGTTGTGGATGAGGAGGCAGCGACTGCCAAGCCCATAGAAGATCTCAGGAGGGCCAAGATAGTGCTCGGCAACAAGAAGGAGTCTTTCCTGAAGGGAGTTCTGGAGGATATCGACAAGATATCCAAGGAGTCGGAGGCCAGTAATGATGATCGACAAGTCACAATCCTGGAGCGCCTCTACTACATTGAGGATCCCACATCGTCATCTGCTGGGCCAACGCTCTTTTCGGAGAAGCGGTGGACAATCGCCAAATCGGAATTCGATTCGACTTACGTCTGGCGCACTGTTCTGCGAGTCCCGTCAGTTGATCCCTCGACTGTGATGTCAGACTTCCTCGTCGATGCGGCTTCTTCAGGCGTGGTCATCGGTGAGCGTGAACAATTCAGAGTGCTCAGACGTCCAACGGGTATCTTTTTCGACACGCCGAAGCGAGTCGTCGGTTCTTCCAAAAGGCTTGCAACGCCAGCAACCCCTCGGCGCATACCTGTGGCAGAAAAATCAGAAGAGTCCGATCTTGGTGGACAAACACGGCCTGCAGTTACCAGCGACGTTCCACCTTCTGCTCGACAATTCGACAATAACGATGACCTCTGTCAATCTTTTTCTCAGAGTACCCCTGAACGGACCTCGACTGTGGTGTTTGATTTCCACGTCAAGGAGCCTTCAGACCCTCAAGAAGAGCCATCCGTTACCGAAGCAGTTGATGATCGTCAGACGTCATCTCTCCCAAGTCCCTCGGTTGTGGTCGACACCCAAACCGAGTGCACTGCAGAAACAAACGTGAGGCGACGAACAGAAAACACCACAAACTCCTCTACGTCGGTAGACATCCGGTCGAGGACGCCTCAAGCATCCGAGCCAACTTCACCGACCGACCAGACACCATCCTCGACAGCAACATCCCCGGCCTCGGCAGTTAACGACTCCTCTGCAGGAGCATCTTCTACGGATGTGAAGCGACGCGAAGAAGACGTCACAAGCCCCCTGTCGTCGGTAGATATCCGGGCGAGGGGACCTCAAATTCGGCACGGCGATTCTGCGTCATCATCGTCGCCATCACCGCCCGATACAACAAACACCAACACCACCAACATAGTTGAGCCGGGAGACAGTATCCAAGTCGAGGGCACCTCTGTTGCCAATGACGAACCGGAGCAATCTGGTTCTGCCAGTATCGACTCAGAGGCAACTGCTGTTGTTGAGGAGGGCAGCAGCAAAGAACAGGACGGATACGAAAGTTCGACTTCGGTCCAGACGGCAATTTTGACTCCTGTCGTTTCTTTGTCGGTGACTTCGACGACATCGACAACCCCTCAACCCGAGGCTAGCTCTGCTCCCGAAGAGACCACGCCTTCACAGACTCGTCGAAGGAGGAATAGGATGGGCCAACGACAAAGAAGACGGTTGCATGAACTCAATGAGAACCAGACGCAAAGGGCGACTCGTGGTGAATCAGTCATCACCACCCATTGCTAGTGCGGAGGGCTCACCTGATGGAGAGGGAGATGGAAAAGCGGAGGATTGATTGCTCGGCATGTTTTGTTTGTTCTTGGGGAGGTATCCAGTTTGTATTTCTTGCTACTTGTATGGAGTTGGAGGTCTTTTCAATCTCATCTTGTATTGTTGTTTTGTTACTCATGTTCATTTCTCAATACCAAACTCAAAACGTTGAAACCATTTCCCTGATCCGGTCAGTAACGTACATACACGTAAGCACTCTTCCACTTCCCCAGACTTTCTCAACATCCTCGGCTCTTCCCCAGATTTCCGTTCATTTTGTCCGTAGAAATTTCCCTATTCCTATTCCGGTCACTCCTGGATCCAAGGTTTGAGAACTCAGACACGAAAAGAGAATAATTCATCCCTGGCATGTAAGCGAGTGCCTGTGGCTTGTAAATACACTTCGGACTTTGATCCTACAAAGTGGACATTGTGGGGAGACGTAGTATCTTATACACTCACTATCTATAATGTCTCCGCTGGAGATGGGAAAGACTCTCCGCACTATGAATAATTAACTAGAAACCCCAACTTTTTCCTACATCTTAAATGCTGAAAAATGAACCGAGAGTAGTTATAGAAACTGATACAGTGTACGGAAACCATACTTTCAGCGAAAAGAAATACCTCGTACCGTTCATCGCCCTGCCAGAAAGAAGGGGGGGGGGAAAAAGGTCCACTCGTCGTCCAGCCAGGGTTATCCATCGCATGTGACCCAGCCAATTCAGAGTCAGACGAGCAAAAAACAATGTGGAGAGGAGAACCATTACCTGATTCCTCCACTCCACAAAGAAAAAAAAAATATTGACAGAGTGAATCTGACCGGGACAGAAATAGGAAGTTTTAATCGAACCAAGGCAGCGAGTGGCAAGTTCGACTCTGTTCACGGAGATAAGCTGATAAATTTAGTCGGTGAGATGGTGATAATATTCAATGGCAATGACAGCAGTCAGCCAGGGGCATTTGAAATGTATACAGAGATAATAGCATAATACACGCTGAAAATGCCTATTCAGTTTGTCAATAAGAAAAAAGGGTGGAACGACGTGCGTATTCACATACATACACGTATACATACACTAGTTATGAATGATGTTTGCTTTGGCTAGACACATACAAAAGAAAAACATGACGCAAAAAAAAAAAGTATCCAAAAGAGGGACAGAAAGTCAAGGCAAGAAGCAATTGGGTTCGTACAGTGTCGTAGCGGATGTGGATGGTATGGTATGACCGATCGAAGAGAAGATAAAATCTTCTAGCGAGTAGACAGGAGATAGTATTACTCTTCCATTCGTCCAAAGACACCGTCATCATCGTCATCGTGCATTTGGCGACTGCCAAAGTCGACGTCGTTGTTGCGGCGATGTCTCGACTCGCGATCTGCGTCACCCATCTTCACGTCTCGCTCGTCCGAAACTTTGTAGGATTGCGAGGGATCGAGGGAAAACGATCCAAAAACAGCCGCGTTAGATCCGGGGACACCAAGGCTGCCGGCGTTGCTGATTCCGCTTTGTTGGCTCAAATAGCGAGCTGGGAGAGGAGGTACGGGTGGAACATCAGACGATCCAGCGACGGCGTTCGAACGAGGGGTCCCGAAATTGCACAGTCGGATGGCCGCTGCAAGGTCACTCGCCTCGCTGTCTTCCTCGTGGATGCCCGTAGTCTCTGCAGTCGACGGGCGAGTGTCGATGCTGGAATGGCGGAAGTGAGAAAATGCAGGAGAGTGTAGAGAGCCGTTGTCCGCATACGAGCTGGATGCAACGGACTGGTAGGATCGAGAGAATGCCGAAGGGTGGTTGAAGCTGTAGCTGCCGTTGCGAATGTACGGTTTCTCGTCCAACTCAATCTCGTCGTCCTCGTCCATGGGCGGCGGAGTCGTCTCTGCAGAGCTGATACCATCGTGGATATCAGAAGATGCACCGGGAGACGCGGAAGACATGTCCGACTCGATTTCGTTGGTTTCTTCCACCGATGCTGCTGCCGCCGCCGCCGCGGTGACCTCTGCAGCTGCGTCGGCAGTCTCTTGGTTCATGGCCACCAACACAGTAGCTGCCTCAAGTAGCTGCACCTGTTGGTGCTTGGAAATCAAAAGTTTCGACGTAACAGCCCATGCCGGATTGTGTTCCCACCTGTGTAGGTCAGCACTTGCACCGGAAACAGCATGCCCTGTATGTGTAGGGTAAATCAAGGTATACGCACATGTGCTTGGTCAAACAACTGCTGTGCTTATACCCCTTGCCGCATTGATCACAACGGATTTCCTTAGACACGCGCTTGCCTTCTCCGCGCACCAAGTGCGAGCCTTCACTGGCTCGTCGATTGCGGTTCTTAGTAGCGACGTGCTTGTCCTCTTGGCCAGACCCTTCAACTGCGATGTTCTCGTCGATGACGACGGGGGAGGGTTTGCGTCCGGGAATGCTGTCGGGGCTAGCTGCGTGGATTCCGCGCGAAAGGTATGAGCTGAAGCCTGAGGTGGCCCCAATGGAGGTTGATTCGGTTCCCCTGCGACTCATGCTTTTCCGACGAGTCACACGGTGGTTGGCATTAATGGCACCCAGAGATATGGAGTGAGAGTGCGATCGTTGAGCTTGAGGCTGTCGGACAGGTGTACCCATATGCGGGACGGGGCGGGAGACGGAGGTTTCCTATTGTCAGTCAGCCAGGCCAATCCCATTGAAGCGTGTTTGTAGATGAGTTGTACTTTGAAAGAGGCCATGCTGGAACAACTCCTACAGTCACAGCCCTTCACTGGGGGGATCAGGGTTGCTGGCTTGACCGAGGATGGCGCGGAGATCAGCAGGCGGCTATATAGATCCGATATATATACAGGAGTATAGATAGGATCTGAATTTGATTCCTGCGAATGGTCCTTGGAGAGTTAGATGTATTCGATGTTCGTGCGTGGTCGTGGTAGTAGTAGTAGTAGTAGTGGTGATCTAGTAGTAGGTTGATGGTATAATGGTGGGTGACAATGGCTGAGATGGTGTGGTGTCGGAAGAGAAGTGGATGAAAGAAAGAAGTACGTACTCGGGAAGGATTGTCAAATTGTCAAATTGTCAAGTCAAGTCAAGTCACAAAAAAAAAAAGAGGTAAAAAGGGTGTCGCAAAAAAAAATTATAGGTTGGTATAGCAGGAGAGAAAGTATAGGAGAAAGTAAAGTAAAGAGAGAGATGGCGTGAGAAAGAACAGAATGAGGAGAGCTTCAAGGCAGGCGGGCGTGGGCGATGGGCCCGAGAGGGGAGGAGAAAGAGTCCGAGAGAGGCTAGCGCAGGGCGATGGCTGTGCCAATCGCTGAACTGGATCGACGCATTTCGCGGGGATACGTTACCGTATTATTCTATTATTACTCTTCTCTCATTAATACACTCAGTACTCCGTAGGGAGTAGTAAACTATTAACTCAGCTGATCGCGCGCCAACACGCCCAATAAAATCGTCTACTGACTCGGGATTTTTTTTCTTGTTGAGAAGCAATGTTAATAGCAAGGTACTTGGAAGAGGAAACACTGAGTCACCTGGCGAATGGGGGCAATCTCGGCCTAGTTGCGTCCGGTGGAGCCGCGATAAGTCATTCCATAGATAGTATCTCGTGAATACGCGCTCAGCTCGGTCAGAGATAAGCATTTCAGCATACATAAAATAGAAAGACGTACTCCTGAAAAACACACGTTCTAGGTAAGAATGTGTATGCAAAACAAAACATTACATGCACGAATTCCAGCAGCCATAGCCAGATACGTACTCCGTACATGAGAAACAGCCCGAAGCAGCTGACTTGGCCAGGCCCTATCAGCCCCACCGACAGCTGTCCTACTGATTTGGTGACTAATCAGGTTTGTGTCCTTAGTAAAGATGCCTTGCTTTCAGGTACAATTAACTACCGAGTACGTATGTATACGTATGTGTACATATGGCATACAGATGGTGTACATATGGCATACAGATGGCATACATATTCAGGTAATAAGACTGTATTGAAAAACATACATTTGCTAAGTAATCTGTATTTGGTCGAATTCAGGTCGTGTTATGTAAGCGCAAATGACGTGCCTGTATTCTACCGCGTATCGTTGACGTATCAATCTCGTTCCCTCTGAGTTTCTGGAGATACTGAGATAGAAGGCAGATCGACAGGTACAAGAGATTGTCCCTTTCCCATTGATCAACAAGTTTAACTCAATATTAGGAAACTGTCCCAGAGTATAGTGATAATCTGATATAAAAAAAGATACCCTGTACAGTGTACAGTATGATCCCTATCTTCCGACAGATTCTAGATTCTCAATTTACATCATTCTGTATGCAATGCAATGGGGTTAGGGTCATTCCATATTTTACATAATCCCTCATATGACGTACGTTAGCTAACTAAGTTAAGCTGCGCCTTTTTTTATTATTTTGTAACAAAAATATTTTTTATTTGACAGGGAAAAAAAAAAGAAAAGAAAAATCTCAAACAAGGAACAAAACAATCGGATACCGGCTAAAACATCTACTGTTTTGGATTGACGTCATCTGGAGAATCATCTATGTAACTCGGTTAGATCTGGGAAATTCGGCCTGAGGACACGGTCATTTGTCGTTGTCATACAGTGTCTATCCGACACTGAGTTAACCACTAGTTAACTAGGTCAAGTTCTATTCGAGTGCCTTGAATTCTACTTTTGATCCGTTTCCCTGATGGCTAACTTCCCTATCTAACCAAGTATTTATCTTGCTCTAATTTCATCTTGTCTGTTAACACAACAGACTGGCATTGAACCTATGACTGTATACCCGCATATTCACATAGCAATTGTAGGATTTGCACCACCGCCTTCTCCTCGTCCTCAGGACAGTTGTCTTTCAGGCCTACCTGAGGTTCGCTATCATAGGGAAGAGCTGAAAGTGGATCTGCCTTGCCGTGGGAAATCAAGAGGGAACACATTTCCAGATCGCCAAGCCGCACAGCCGTCTGCAAAGGCTCCCTTTGACCATCTCGGTAATGGCTACTCCAGTCGGCGCTGCTTTCTGAGAGCATTATTCTCACCGAGTCATACCGACTTTGTCGTGAAGCCGAGGAGTTCATAATAACCCGTACGAGTGCCGTATCACCCTGATGGTCCACTTGATGGTCCACCTAATGCATGCCTTCTCGGGAATGAGGGATACAAAGGCGGAACATGTCTGGGTTGCAGATCTTTGATGCCAGAATGCAAAACGTTCTCACCGCGAGAATTTGGGTACTGGAGGTGGGTTTCAATGTCTTTTGCTGCCAATATGCATTCTACCTACCACGCTAACATGGTTTCCCAGTACAGCCTCTCCTACTGATTGATGGGCTGGCTCATCAAATGTCGTCGTGTTTCGTTCGTGCCGTGATTCACGCAGCAATCCACTCCGGAGCTCTGCATTTTGCTGACCGTTGGCCAGTGGCCGCCGGACCAGGAGCATACAACCGGCCCGGGCAGCTGTGCACAACAGTTCGTTTCCCCAGTGTTCCTGCGCCATTTGATCCGACACATAGGTGACAAGGTCAAACACAGCATCCCAATTGCCGTGTCTGACTCTGGGATGAAACCAGTCTCGGATCACATGGCGAAAAAAAAGTCCGGATTTTGCAGTTGATGACAGAATTGATCATCCAAAATAATAGCAAAAACCAGACGGTCAATAGCTTCTAACAACTTTTGTAGAAACTCTCCCATAATCTTGACATTCGTTGTCGGATCAAAAACCCCAAATACCTGGGCCTGCTTATACATCCCGAAAAGGCGCTTTTGCAAGTTAGGAAGCTGTTCAAGGAGCGAGAGTATCAGAGCCGAAAATATATGGGTAGCTTGACCTGTCTCATCGTCCCGGCAATATGGGCTGGGGTCCTTGAAACTTATTCCTTCGATTTAGTTCGTCCACAAGGAATGCCATATCAACAGTTTTTCCGTGGCCCTTATCACCAAGGATCACCAGTTGCTGGGATTTGGAATCGCAGTACCAGTTTTCGAAATTGGCATTTGTCAATAGGGATTGACAGGCCCGATCAGCTCAAAGATTCTGCAATCCTGCGTTATATTGACTCTGGCGGCTCATCATGTCACTACCTAGTCATCGAGCAACTGAAACAGAAACGCATAAGAACATATGCAACGGCTTAAGCGGTATGAAGACTCACTTTCTGAATGATGAAGAATGGCTTGAATATCCTGCGTAATACCCCACATCGATGTTTGGACAAGACTTCGCAGAGCCTCGGAGTATTTCAGGAATTCTTGCACAATATTCGGTAGGCGGTCGTTCCGGAATGATTTTCATGATTAATTTCGCTCCTCTTCTGGTGAATATCTCGAACGCAACTTTGTAGAACTCTAAGAGGTTCTCATATACTAGCACGAGTGTCTGAAACATGTCAAAGAAATGCTTTTATGAAACAGTTCTGAGAATGATTACCTTGTGTATATCCTTGTTATCAGCTTTTTGACCGAGGGTGTCACAATCATCGATGTAAGAGATCCGCTTTAACATTTCCGCAATCTGCTTCCCAAACTCCACGTCGGCAGCTGCAACACTGATAGCGATCTGTGTGGGAAAAGGTCGGTCAGTATCGTGTGATGGTCTCTACTGGATTTGACGCATGTAAAGGAAACTATACTAACAGGGCTTACTGCTGTCACACTTCTGAGCTCGCCGACAACCGTCGTTGCAAACGCTTCAAGATTTGCCAGAGGACTAGCCGAATCTAATGCTAATTTTTGCATAGAATGCAAGTATTTTACACCTCGCACAAAAGCGGACTCATGAGTGACATCCTTGTCGATCTCTTCAAGCTTTTCGAACAACTGTGCAACACTCTTTCCCTTTAAAATAGTAATATCTAATTCCTCTCGCAGATTCTCAACTGCTTCACGATATGCCGAACTCCAAAGGTCCGAAAATGTAACAGCACTATCGATGTCATCAACCTTGGCCGGCCCATTGGCACTACGGCTGCGCTCAACATTGTTCGGATGGAGATTGAGTTGGCTCGATTGAATCTGAACCTCATGGACTGCGCTTTGTCCTCGGTTGCCTAGGAGTATCACTGGCTTGCTTGAGAGATAAGGAGTCAACGACGGAGATTACAGACTGCGAGGCCGAATTCGATCTGTTCACCAGGTTAGTACAGTCCGACTAACGGAATGTATCGCCCTACTCGGTCGAAAGACCTGATTCTGCTTGCTTGTCACCAATTGGGCGAATCTCGGTGCTGTTCGTACGATTGGAGGACCTATGTCGAAGTCGGTCAAATCGCTGAAATAACCTGTGGTTTCTGTTGTTGTGGGCGTCGTGGTGACCTCTTTTCTGGAAATCTGAAGATTTTTGGACGGAAATCCGACTTCGTGAACCTCCCTTCGCATGTAGGAGTAAGGATCATTTTGCCTTTGCTGTGTATGACAGAGCTCCCTTTAAGATAAAAGAGTCTTGGTTGTCTTCAAATCAAACATTCCACATGAACAGTTCAACAACAGAAAAGGAAGCTTCTGATTGGATGACGATGTGATTTTAGCGCCCAAACCGTAACATTGCTTGCTTGCAATATGATGTGGATATTTCAGAATCTCAGCCGCTAGATAGGTCAGACACAACGCAAAAGGGTATCATTTTGAAACGGCGCGGCTGTAGCGTCCGGAGCCGTGCAAGGATGATTCGGACAACGTTTGAAGTATCATGTCTACTTGGAAATTTGCGGTTCACTTTTCAGAATGATGGTTCATCAGGCGAATTGATGGTCAAGACGTGTATGTTGTACTCCACTAACGCTATCCCTGGAAAACAAGATATGAGCAGTCTGGTAGTTATATAGTATGCGAATATGAGAAATGATAGTTACCGATTATATGATGTTTGCATTGTTGCCATCTTATCAGACAGATCTCAGCCGAGTTGACCAGAGACGTTCTCATTGAAATAAACAGTGGATGTCAGCCTCATGTATGCATCCTGCAAACAATCTTATAAGTTAAAGAGTAGCTGAAACTTATACAGACAGTAACCAAGGTCACCAGATCCTCTAAACCAACCTAGTCCTATTACAGCCTAGCGCGTGTACAGTGTCATTGGCAGTGCTCAACTTCAACCCTGTACAGCAAGTAAACCTGGTCAACTCCGATTACTTTTTCGTCTCAAGCATATTTTCCTGCAATCTCCGCCGGTTGTGGACTTATCATCCAACGGGCAACTATTAGAATCACCTACGCGGCGGTGCCGGATTCTGTCTTTGTTCCCCGCATCTCCAGCTTATCACGACGACGATAAGGATTTCTACATTCTGTAATCCATCTCCGCGAGCGGTCTTTCCTACGAAGGAGATATCTGATTAGGACGATTTGATTCGAACGAGCTTGGTAGGAACAGCCAAAATGGGCCTCACGTACAACGTCTACCTCAACGCCGACAAGATATTCGGCTGCCGAGAATGCAAAGCCCATCTCGCCGATTACAACGACATAATCAGCCGTGTCAGTCGTAAAACAATCCATCCATATATTCTTACAAATAGGGAGGACTAACAATCGTAGAACTTCCGCGGCCAACATGGCAAAGCCTTCCTCTTCCTCCGCGTCGTCAACGTCATCGAAGGCGCACCTGAAGAACGCAGCATGACGACGGGCCGCCATCTCGTGCGCGACATTTCGTGTCGTACGTGTTTAAGCGTTGTGGGATGGAAGTATGATAAAGCATACGAGTCGTCGGAGAAGTACAAGGAAGGGAAATATATTCTTGAAGAGGCGTTGTTGTGTTTGGTTGATCAGAAGTGATCTTCTCTTTTCTTTTCGATTCTAGCATGATGGGTGGCTGTTATGCTTCTCTTTTTCTGGAGGATTGTACGGTCTGGCACTGGCGTTTCTCATGGATGGAGTTTGTCCCTTTAGTATTTAGGCAAGCGAGTCAAAGTATGTATGTCGAATCTATCACTTTCTTACTTTCATGTCCTGATTAACTCCCTCCGCCGAAAACACACTGTACAAACTCCCTGCCCTTCCATACCCCCAAACCTGAATCGCGGATACTCCAGTTTGTGCCAAACCTCCAACTCCGTCTTGCTTCCGGAAGTAAACCAACGCACCAACTCATCCTCGGTCCAATTACAACTCGTCACAATCAGAAACCCGCCTGGGCGAACAAGTCTGCTCGCGACGACGGGGTATTGATGACATATGCGTGAGTTTGCTGTGGTTGTCTCGTCGGATAATGAGACTGCGTCAAAGGTGCCTTTGTCAAGGACAATGTCGAATCCTGCTGTTTCGTAGGGAAACCATGATAGTTTCTTCTCTGCGGTGGTATTGCTTAGAAGATTTTCATTGGCCGGGTCGAGGATATCCCACTCTTCGAATCGAATGTCTTGATCTTGCACTGGTATACCTTCTTCAATCTGGACGGTATTTGAATCATTCGTAGATGCAACCACCACTTCTTCTTCTTCTCTCTCCTCCTCCTCGTCGTCGTCGTCGTCGTAATCATCATCATCACCACTCTCATAAGCACTATGCAGCCTCAACCTCTGCAACTCCCTCGCCAATTCAACACTCTTCTCCGAATAATCCACACCAACCATCACCCCCTTAAACCCACCCCGTTTCCTTAACAGGGCCAACATACTACCATTCCCGGTGCCCAAATCTAATATACTCGGCTCTCTTTTTCTGCTTCCCTTCTGAAGAATATTTCGAGGCGAAAGCGGGAATTTGCGTGATGTTAAATATCGAAGGATTTTGCTCGGGGCGTCGTGTTCGGAGAACCAGGATGTGCCGGGATCGTCGTCGTCATCTTCTTTCTCTTCAGTATTATTGTTGGATGGGTTCGTTCGTGTTTTCGTTTTGGATGCGATGTGTTCTAGTGACCGTTCGTAGTATGTTTCCCAGCTACATCATCGTCATCAGTCGGTTATATGCTATAAAATAGGGAGTGTACATACTACTCCTTAGTCCCCAATTCGCTTGGTTCGAGGTATTGCGGATGTTGATTGTCCATTGTTTGTCTTCCTTTCCTCTTCCTCTTCGACTCGGTCTAGTTTGATTCGTGATAGTGTGAAATTCAAGGAGAGGCGCAGGTATAGAGAAGGAATATCTATGTAGAACAATTCATGCGACAAGCTTTTTGTGAAAATGTTGATAGGAAATCGAAATTTTTGATATCTTATCACCCCACCAGTACATAACCCCACTATAATGATGATATGACTATACCCGAATGGATCAGAGTACATCCATGTGAATCATCTTTGTGTACAAGAGTTCTACATGTCATACGTATACCTGACTAAAAGCTGAACGGCATCTATCATCAATGCATTAGATATGTAAGTCACAAAATGGATGAGTGACCACAGAATATGCAATCAAGATAGAAGGGTCAGTAATAGGTACTAATATTACAACTAAGGTTCCTCCCATACCAGCCCTGTCATTTGTAAAAACTCCAAAAACGCCATTGACCACATGCTCAACCATGCTGAGCTAAATGCTAGCGTGAAAATGAAAAGAAAAGTATGTTGTATCGACGAGCTGATGAAATGCTCGGTGACGGAATGAAAATGTCCAAAAAGAAGGAAAATCAGACAGCAAAGCCCGCTTTGATCGTAAGCCTGAAATGAGAAAGAAATATTAAACGATTGAACACGTATTAGACAAAGGTTCAATTATAAAACTTCGTCAATGCTTCGTGTAATCAGTAATTCTTGACGCTGAGGTGGAGACCGAGGATCGAACAATGGCTGTCCAAACCCAAACGCTGCAGGACCGTCTCCTGCCAGGTCTCCAGCAAGAGTCCGCGATATTGATGAGCACATAAAAGGAGCCGCCCGGGGAGATAGTATCGATGGCGACGAGGGAACATCCTGCATCACAAGATCCATCTGAACTGTTGGATAACGAACATGTGAGACTTTTCGCGTCTCGGATTTGTTCGACTGGGCTAATGACTCGGAACTCGGGTATTTCTCTCGGAGCGGCAATGGTCGTGGTAATAGCCCTCGACTGTTAGAACCATGTTGCTTTTGTAGCGAAAACGGTCTGATAAAAGGTTGTGTAAACGTAGGTTGCAACGGCGAAAATATCATTTCTGCCAACGCAGACTCATTCTGAACCTGTTGCACCTGCTTCTGAGCCGGTTGGACCGGTTCTGGCTGAGAAATCTCCTCACCAAAATCAGGTTGAACAGCCCGAGTAAGATGTGGTGTTTTGAACCAATCCGGATTTGGCGCCTTGATTGGCTCGTCACGTTGTACTCGAGAACGAAAATCGGTCAACTGATATATAAGACTCATATTCGGCCCGACCCACCGACTCTTGCCCTTGACAATGCTATACATATCGTTGAAATCGAGGTCCCGGTGCTTATATAGGCCATAGGCTATAACCAAAGACGCCGACCTGCTTGCACCAAGTTGACAATGAATCAAAACAGACTTTCCCTGATTTATTCGATCGTCAACCAATTGACACAGCGTCGCCAAGTCGTCTAGAATTTCCGAATTATGGTCCCACGGAACATGTATGTATTCCGGTGTCGAGTTCTTCTCCACTTTTGGTGTAGTCGGACTGTCTGACTCGGGTAGAGACTCAAATGCAGAGTGAAAAGATTCTTCAGATATAGCAGTCATTGGTTCTGCCATTGACAGCCGCTTGGCAAGTGACACAGGCCGCCGAAGTGTTGAGACAACAGTATCTGGTTTAGACTCTGTTTCAATGGCAAAAGGGTTCAAAACCTCCTTTGCTACGTTAATGACTACATCAAATTTCGACGCTTCGTCCCGCGTAGGTTCCAAATAGAGATATACGCCCGAGTCGTATATTTTGATTGGTCCATCAGGATAACTCTGTTCGGTGCGTTTAGTCGACTCTCGTGAATCGAGATTATAATCCTCTTCTTCCGTCACTTGCTGCAAACTCGTGCCAGACACTACTTGCGATTGTCGTGGAGGGGATTCTTGCCAGCTGCCAGGCATTAAAGGAGCGCCGTCCTGTGTAACTGGCCTGGGTAGTTGCATGCTATTCAACGGCGCGGCAGTTGGAGAAAACATAGATAAAGAAGGCGACGACTCGAAATGTCGAAGAGACCGTTGCGGAACACCTGGGGTAGGAGGTATTATATCATTTATATTACGAGCGAATGTGGTTTGATCCGATGCAGGTGTACGAATGGTGAGGTTTGCAGGTTTTCGCCGAGCGGTCTTTGCCGGTCTGTGAACTGGTGACGGAGGAGCCGAATAGTTCTGACTTGTGGCCTCAACCACGGATGCCGTAGAAATAGCTGGTCGTGATATGTGACATGGCATATTCAACGACAAGTTTTTCAGGTTCCGTGCTCGTCTTCCAGGAGAAACTGGTCGAGAAGTAGACACCACGGCTGAAAGGGGAGCCAGAGCAGACGCCGACGCATCCGAATACATGGCCATTCTTTCCGTAATCTCAGGTATCCTGGTCGACTTCGGATAGGGCAATTGCAGCGCAGAGGGTGACTCGGGGGAAGAGCTGGGTGATGTGTCCGTCACGGATGTAGTATCAAAGGTAGATATCGTAGTTGTAGGTGATGAATCGGTCGACTCTGAATTCCCCGACGAGGATACGCTCTCACGGTGTTCGAAGGAAATCGGGTTCTCGGCTGTAGGATCCAACGAGCGTGTGAACAGTGAACGGTTTTCCGAATGCTGTTGCGAGTTGGTCGAGGCGTAATTGGCCGAGTTTTCAAAGTCACGGGCAAAGGATGGGATCGAGGCGTAAACGAGCGAGGGACCTGTTTGGACGGGCATCTTGAGGGCTGAAAGAGTAGTCAGACGGCGTTTGGTTGGCAGCGCCCGTCCACGGTCACTTGCGCCTCTCTGCGGTCGATCACAAAGAGTAGAAGAACTGTGGCATCCGGAAAGATGACAGTATATATAAGAATTGGTATTTGCGGTTGCTACCTGCGCAAAGGATCTTTTCGAATGAATGCGGTCAGTCTCCATGACCGATGATATAACGAATGGCAACGGTTGCAGTATAGAAATCGACAAGACTATGGCAGGCTATGCGAGACAGAAATTATGGACGATTGTAAAGCATGAACACGCCCAGCTAGGCTTTTTTTTTGAAGAGAAGAAAGAAGATAGCAAGGCGCACTCATGAATTTGACGACTGTTGTTGACATCAGAGCAGTGAAACATACCAAAATAAACAGTGCCCCGCGAGGGTGACAAGTTGCCCAATTCTCAATGACAGGACGACAGCAGTCAGAAGGAGTAGAAGACGAAACTGCGAGATCCACCAGGTGGTGGTCGTTATGTTGAGTGTGTATGTGAGCGAAGGCGGGGGTGCTCGAGTGAAGTCGTTTTGGGTGTGGTGGTACCGGGTGTATAACAAGACAGTTGAGAACGGGCTGAAACAGACGATCCGCCAGGGAACGATACGTAGTCGAATATGAGACAGATATGAATACCAAGGAAGGAGGGCGAGTGAAGAGAGTACGTAGCCGCCGAGAATTGAAATTATTGCGGCGGCACAGTAGGGCGTCTGGAGGCGGAGCAAATGAAAAGACGGGTTGTCTCAGCCTTGAGATGATACAAGGACCCTTACCCTAGAAAGGTGGAGACGGGAAAGATTGTCTTCTCTATTCGCGACGGACCAGAAAGACAAAGCAAGAAGAAGAAGAAGAAGAAGCAGAAGAAGCAGAAGAAAACAAAGTAGATACAAAAAGCAAGAAGTGGAAGAAGATGAAAATGGACAGGAAGCTGAATGAGAAGAAGTTGAGGCGAACGCCGAATGGGAAAGCAGGTAGGGCCGCCGGGGACGTGGGAAAACCGGCAGGAACGGTATTGTGTCTTTGTCAGTAAGGCGAGAATGGGTATTCTCCGTAATTACTCCGTACGGGGAGGATTTTGATACAGGTGTTACGCTTGGTTTTGGATTTACGAGCAGGAGACGGGGAGGCGCAGAGCCCAGCCAATGAGGCGCCCGATCGCCGGCGGGGACACACTTGCCGTGGTTGGCCTTGAGCCAATCAAACGCGGTAGCCAGCTAGCGGCATGGGAAGGAGCTCTAAATTTAGCCCTGACACACTTATGGAAAGTGCGATGGGCGGCAAACCCAGGTTCATCAGAGGCCCGTTCGACTTGACGCACTGCTTGTCACCTAGATCAAGAGGATTGTTCTTATGCTTACATACTCGGTGTGATTGTACGGAGGATAATAGTCAAAGAGTAGACAGACAATTATGTATCTCTGCGACATCACGTACATGGAAAGAATTCGTCAGTGCAACCTTTTCTGATTGGGAATCTGGGAAGCGCGGAAAAGCTTCCATAGCCTGTAATTGGCCGATCGGGGACTGTATTACTGTACTGTACGTACGTAGTACGATTACGGATAGTAACTATCGAATCAGCCCTGCAGAAGATCGACTGATAATTGCCAGATGGACAGCATGAATCTAGATTCAGATTCTTCTACATAAATCCTCTCAGAATAAGAATTTCGAGTCGTAATGGACGGGCGACTCGAGTCTTTGCAGCTTGCATTGATACTCGATCTGGTATTTCATTGGAGGATTCTTATTACACTTACCAACCAATCAGAATGGATATCTGGTATGGTTCCAACATGAAACACACCGTTCGTACCAAGAAAAGCAGGCAATACAGCCATCGTCTGCCTTTCTTGAGATATAATTACTCCGAACTATATAATTCTGAAACGAACCTTTCAGAAGTGAAACAAAAGAAGAAAAAAGTGAACGACTCGCACAGTTCTCACGCACAGATGATAGATATGACCCTTGCCTGTTTGGTTGATTCAAATAGTCAAGGGTTAATAAGGAACCATTGGAACGAGCTGCGAGCCCCTTCATAGGGATTCAATCTATTGAAGGCATCATCTGTGTTAAGCATGTAACTTTTGTATTGTATGTAATACAATTAATGTATTAAGAGTGGGCCAGCGGAGCCAATCTGAAACACGCCGGCTTACCTCATACTCACGTGACGGGAGTAAAATGTTTTGCAGTAGCTTCTGTCACTCTGGAGATCTTGACGACGACGACGATGATGTTGTACAGATGGGCTTCTTATGCTCCGTATGACCAGGATGTTATAGCGTACGCACGCATATGGCATGTCCATCTACATCTGAAGATCCAACTCCTTCAGTGATCTACCAGCCAGCCTGTAGCATGCGATCAGCTCACCTCCGGGTCTTGACGACTCGAGTATCTACCGACTCCCCGAATACTCCGTAGCAAACTACCAATAAGCGAGATCGTCAGATCCATATTCCATAACAAGAATAGAAGAATAATCCGACTCGTAAGTCAATTTAGCCTCGGAAATCTTCAAAGCGGAAGCAAAAGCCCCTTTCAGGCTTTCAAGGCTTGAAAGGAGAATAGAATCCATGGATCAAATCATCAAACCCGTTGGCTTCCTCGATCTAACGATGGATGAGGTTAAGCTTGACTGAATTGAGTTTTGACCATGAATCATGTTTATGAACGGCGTATGTCAGCCCTTGATTTGGTGGGAAAGAGACGAGGAGGTCGGAGAATTATTTACATTTCTCCTGTCCCTTTTCTTTTTCCTTTGCTCCGTACTCATTTCTATTTTTTTACCTTCACAGTTCACTGTTTCCTGTACTCCGCGATCAATTGTGAAAAAGGTTTGGACTAAGCTAATCGACTCGGTTGTGGCCAATAAATCGGGAAGGAATATCGTCAATTTTCTCAGAACAGTCTGAAACAGGTGCATAGACATGTCTATCACAATAACAGGGAGATCACTCCGAAAATTCTTGACGATAGCTTAGCTACGTCTCTCAATATGCGGACAACTGAACGAGCCAAGAAGGAATTAGAAAAAAAAGAGAAAAGAGTCCCAGATATCGATGGCTGTCTTCGGAGAACTCCGTATAAGCAGTTTGTAGGCACTTCGCACGTCTAAGGACGGATGCTCAGACCATGCTCAAGGCAATCGCTATATCCCATCCGTGCTCAATTGCACGGAACCATTACGCCTTGAAGGAACACGTTAGTGGTAGTTACCACTCAACTATGCATCTACCATCGATCAGGCAATCAAGCACGTTAGCAGGGCTGCTCTGCGGTACGTTGTGTCCGTGGTCAAGCACAGAGGCGTAGGGATGTTTCCCACGTGGCACGGTCTATCTAGATTGGTGGATAGTGCATAGCGTAGAGCTCAGCTTGGTCAGCATTGCATTGGAATGAGTAAGTTAGTTCACCTTCCTCGTCTGTGGACAGAACTACGTACTACAATACTGCGAGATTGGATTTCCACTCGTCCATTTTGAGATTGCTGTGTGCATTACCAAAACTCAAAGCGACAGGTCTTGATTCATTCGATTTCATCCTCTTTGAATCTACTGGTAAACAGTTGGTTACTTCGTAATTCGTTTGAAGTTACATGTTTCATGGTAGGTAAGTAAGCACAGGGAATTTCAACTATTCCCGAGCGACATCATGAGAGTTAGGGCTAATTTGGTGCTATGCCTGAGGCAGACACAACAACATGGGTTCCAAAGAACTGATCATTGACCATTGTCATGAGTTTCCACGAATAAATGTACCATGATGACCATTCATATGATGTCGTTCTATTTCATGTGCCTTGACAGGTTGACAGATGCGACAGGCTAGATAGCTCGTATACAGCTAAATCATGTTGGATCGCTGACAGGTCGGTCTCGTAGCACACTGATATGATATATCTTCAACTGCCTGTCCTGTGGACGTTGGTCCAAACACATTGTCATTCATGCTATCGACCTGGGTAGACTGACATGTAAGTTATATCAAACCCAGCCCACTATAAAATATCTAGCAGACGTGATAGGTAGGAATCCTTGCAAGTTATGCACCGTCATCGCCGTTCGACCAGTGATTCTTTAGGTCCGAATCTGAGCTGGCCGCAAACTAAATCTTTCCTTTCAAACTGTTTGGTATGCAGTAGAGGCAAATCTGCGCGGCCTTTCACAAGGCCGACATGCATCTGTACAACACAACGGCAAGCGAGCAAGCGCATGGCATGCATCAGCGCGAATACGCTGCTCCGTACAACCCGAGTCACCTACACAGCTCGTCGGATATTGATCAGTTTCAAGATGTTGAGCGAGATAGATTAAGATATATTTTGGGTATTCATTCCTATGGCAGTAACATATGGAACTGGGCGTATCGCCGGCATTGGTTGTGTACCCACTTGGAGATACAAGTCGGTAGGTCAGATGACCGATATGTCGTCCAGTCTTATCCTTGATACATAAGTAGTTACATAGTCAGATCGTCCTTTGCTCTCAAAATTCAAGAATCTGTTGTTCTTGAAGTGTCGCTTTGTTCGCAGTATGGTCTCTTATGCGTCAGACATAGAATCTCCACACAATTGTCTTTCTGAAACGGCGACTTTTATTTTTGGCTCCACCAAATTGATTCTCATGAGATTTCTGGGCTTTAGAAGTGTTCGGTATTCTCAGTCCACTATCGATGAATGTCTAGATATGCATAATATCGAATCTATGGTGTAGCCCTGCAGTAACTGTGATATGTGATCGGAGACGAGAAACAGAAAATGGTGATGGCGCCGGCAAGTGACAGAGTAGCGGGAAGCCCATCACACCGTCTTTTAGCTGCGCTGTACACTCCCTATAACAGCCGTACTAATCCAACGCTTTTGGGCCTCGACCACCAGACACAAGAGCAAAAAACAAAACAGTCATCTCACTCATAAATCTTACTTTTACACGTATCCACACCAAATCTTTGTTTGTGTATAATTGTTGTTGCTTTTTACCATTTTTATCAGATTTTTATTATCGCGCAACAATGCGACCGTTGGCATAAGAATTCCCTTGAAGCAAAAATATCGGCACTTTATGCCACAATACCAATGTCCGCCATGTCGCCGTCGGCTCTTGCGGCCGTGCGATTAGACCTAGAGAGCGATCCCAACTGGACGCGACCGCGACGACAGACCAACCCAGATCTGATTCACCGGCCATCTGTATTACTTCGACAGGCCACACGTCGCAGCGCCGATGTGTCGACCCTTCAGAACAGTCCCAACCACAACTACCCTTCGTCGCCCCTGGCGGACCAGAGACCGCGTACCAGCGGGAGCATCACCCACACGTCGGTGACCTCCAGTAGTGCCACGGTGACGCCCACGAAAAGAACGTCAACATCGTCCCACCGGTCGTCGCTGAGTGCAAGTGCTTTGTCTAATCCCGCGTTGGCAGAAATACCCTCTCGAAAATACAACGCATTACGGCTCTCGACTGGCTCGATTGACGGGTTCGCCGAGAATACTCATCATCAGCGTCATAACAATCTCGGTGGAGAGCCATGCGCTGCACCCCGTGATCCCGCGGCAACTAATGCACCTGCCACGAGCACCTTCAACTCGCCCAATTCAGTTTCCAACTATCCCTCTTATTTTTCCCAGGCCAGTCCCGGTTCTGAGACCGTACCACCGTCTTCCGCATCTTCATCAACTACGAAAAGACCACTCACAGCTCAACGCCTCGGTTCTGCGACCAGCCCGTCAGTTGCGAACAGCAGTGCGTTCAACGATCGCCTCTTGCGCCCACCTTCAAAGCAAGCCTCGACACCTCAAACCGCGCGATCAAACAATAGTAACAGCCAGAACTCTCCCAGTATAGATGCCGTCTTGAAAAACAAGTCCATCCTGAAAAAGGCTGGCTCATCTGCTGACATGGCGTCACCTTCACGGCATCGTCGAGAGTCCACCCCACTGTCTCCTCGAAGCGCTGCTACTGCGAATAACTTGCGAGGTGACGGCGCATATGATGATCCAGCGGCCGATGAGCAGAAAGATTACAGCACGGACGACACTCGCTCGAGAAGCGATGATGTCTTCCTCAATATCGCAAAGTCAAGCGTGAATAGTCGGCGCAATTCGCTCGGCAAGATGGATAGACGAAGGGTAAAGACTCCTAGTACATTTTAACATCATTCACTAATTTGGGTTTACAGAAACTGGGACTGTCGGGCATATCTACTCGAAGCTCTCTTGCAAAAGAGCAGACTCCTTCTCCGGAACAGTTGAAATACCAAAGCAGTCCGCTCTATCCTCAAAGTGCATCGCAATTATTCAACTCTAACAACTACTCAACTCCGTTATCAGCAGCATCAGCCCATCCGTTAGACGACAGCTCTCGTCTCCGTCGTCCCTCCAATACTGCAGGCTCCAGATCTGTGGTCGGCATGCCACGAAGCCGATATAACCAGGAAACTTCCCCGGAGTCACCGCACATTGATTTCAAATCCTCCCTTGCGGATGCGCGCTTGAGATACTCCCAAATATCAAACCAATCGTCACGAACTGTTCGACAGTCTTCTACGTCAGATGCCGCGGAGCGCGCACGGCTGGATGGAGAGAAAGCCAAACATGATGGGACTACGGAGTCGACCTTGTCTACGACCGCCCCTTCGACTGTATGGGATGAATTAGATGATCTTAAATCTCGGATACGAAAACTTGAATTGACCGGCAAGTTCCCCTCATCGTCGGCTGCCGCCATGTCGAATGTTTCAGGCGAACGACCTCGTACGGCAGCCACAACAGCTACGACATTATCTTCGTCACCAAAGCAAAAGCACACTCGCAAATCTAGTATATCACCAGAAGTTATGGCTGGCGCGGCAGCCCCCAGTTCTATACAATCGCTCTTACAGTCAGCCCTAGCCAAAGCCAAGACCGCAGTTGGCCCAGAAGTATACAATGCGCTTGAAGCAACAGCAACAGATGCGTTGACTTTAACCAACATGCTAGCCTCGTCAACAACGGTGGTTTCCGGGAACTCGTCGACTGTGACTGGAAGCGGTCTTTCGGAGCGTCAAGCTAAACGCAAAGCGGATGGTTTATGTCGCGGATTAACTGAAGTCTGTCTTGCACTGACAGAGGAACAAACCATTACTCAGCCGAGTAATCAGCAGCAACCGCAGGAGCAGATCCGACCGCGAAGTCGTCGTCAAGCAAGCGTGGTAGGGGACAACAGTGATGCTGTGTCTTCAATTTCTACTCGATTTCGTCGAAGTATGAGCCACGAGCCGGAAACTACTGGTCAGCAAGACTCTGGACTACGAACATTCAGTCGATTAGAAGGCAACCGAGCCAACACTATCAATTACGGGTCTGTCGGACGCAGAGAACGATTGTCGCACGACGAGACAGCCGCTTCGCCCCGTACCCCATCATTGGCTGCGCCCAGTTCTCGTCTTCATCGTCTTTCCGGGTCTCATCGAGTCAAGCGAGAAGAAGACTCGGACGATCGAGGCTCAGTTTTCAGTCGTACGATTACTAGTCGGGCCATGACAGAAGCCGAAGGCTACAGCACGGACTCTCCATCGGCTCGTTATGCTACGCCTTATCAACAAACACTATCTCAGCCAGCCAAGGCGTCTCCATCCCTGTCATCCTCAATAGCACAACGCCGCAGTTATGCGACACCCCCCAGTGCAGGCTCAGGAATTCCGACAGCGTCTAGTCTGAAGATCCAGCCAGGTTTTCGGCGCTATGGAGCATCAATGATGGCGGAACGCGGCGCGTCAGAGCCTCCCGGTCAGATCACCAGCGCCTTTTCTCCAACTCAAGGCTTACCACAAACACGCATCTCGGCCCCATCTAGCAAGATGGCTACCAGCTACACTGCCATACAGCAGCCTCGACTACGTAACGAAACCCTGGGGTCTCGTCGATTATTGCGAATGCGTCCATCAATGATCGGCACCAACAACGACCATTAACCCTTTCCCAACATCACGACTTGAACATACATATTATTATTTTACGATGCATATAACATATTCTTTACATATTGATGTATCTTACCCAGCGCATATGCATGAATTACAGTTCTATCTATTCCTAAAGGGATACGAGTCATGTCTATTTTACAAGCGAGTCTTATGAACCATGAATGACCGTTTCTATTCTTCACGCGGAGTTGTTGTTGTTGTTGTTGCATTGCTTCTTTGTTTCTTCTTGTATCATTTAGCGACATCATCATTCATACATATTTGTATTTGAGTTTGTTGTTGTTTTTGTCTTCGGGAAGAAGTTTTGAGTCGATGCATTTTATTATGGCGTTTGTGGGTTCCTTATTATGTTTTTGTTGTTTTTAATACTGGGGTGTCTAATTGGATTATTTTTCAATCTCTTGATGAAGTGGTTAGTGAGTGTGTTGTAGAGGCTGAGTAGACCTGAGCAAGTTTATAGAAGGGTTGCTCATCACTAGCTAACCAGTCTATGGTTGATTTCTGAAGTCATGGGAAGCCTCCTCAATGCAAACGAATCATGATTCTCAGAAGGATGGACGAAACGAAAAAAATATACTCCATAAGAATAATAAAAGTAGAACACCAAGCAGGAAACTGAGACAAATCCAAGAGTTCAATTCACATAACCCGGACGCACAACACCAAACACAAATTGAACTGAAATAGAATACGCCCAAAGCCAAAAACGGAACCAATTTTACAATGCGGCTTAGAAGATTACAGATGAGAATCACTCCTTCTTCTTCTGTTCAATCTTAGCCTTCGCCTTACCCTTTTGTCCCCTCGCCTTCACAGACCACCTCGGCACAAACTTGCCTACACGAGCCTGATATTCCACATATTCGGGATATTTACCCAAACTCAACCTCTCCGTCAACCAGGTACTACCCTGAAACAAAGCCAAATATCCCAACGCACCGATACCAGCCCAATTGGGCCAGGTATTCGTCTTGTACGCAGACCAGATGTACAGAGTTAGCCAGATAGCTTGCTCAGCGGCGAAATTGGGATGACGACTATAGGACCAGAGACCCGAAACGACGAAGCCGCGATCGAGGTCTTCCTTGTCGTATCCCTGTGTGACGATGCCGGTGTCACGGTATTTAGTTTTGGCTTGTTGATAGCGCCATTGTTGTTCGTCGGCGACAACCTCGATTAGAATGTAGAAAAACAAGAGGCGCGAGAAGACGAGATCGGCGATGTCGAATGTTGCGCCAGTTTTGGGTAGTTGTGTGAGTAGAGTGAAGACATAGGTTGGTGCGGTGATGGCACATAACAAGAGGGATTGGGTGAGGGAGATGAAAACGACGTCAAATACAAAGAAGAGGAAGCGATTGTTTATTTTTTTCCGGATTATGGGCCAGCGATAGTCTTCGGCACCCCAGCTGTAGCCACCTTTGCGCCAGTAGTTGTATGTTAAGCGGACCTATGAAGTGGTTAGTAGATACAGAGTAAGAAGAACAGAAAACGTACAGTCCATAAAACACTAATCACCCCAATAGTCCGCAACCGATCAGTCGGTAATCCATTCCCATACGCCCAAGCATAAAAATGCAGATTGTAGATAGTCGGCAAAAGGGACCACCAACAATCCACCTGCGAGTAATTGTTGCGAATCTCAGCGGCAAGGACGAAAAAGGGGCAAAGAGCGAGCGCGATCGCAACGGCCTCTAGCATAGGGTTTGTGCCTAGATATAGCTCTTGGAGATTGTGTAGTACATCTGTGCTGTTGGCGGCTTCGACGACGCGCGCAGGGAATTCAAGAATTTGCGACGAGAACACGTATGGTGCTAGTGTTCGGCCGTATTGGGCTGCCTCTTCGGGGGATAGAATGGGAGGTAGCGGGAGCGCCATGATTGATTCCTTTCTCGTAATTTAGTCTGGATAATGGAACAGAATATGAGTTTCTCTGCAAGTGGTGGTGGTAGACTTTGAAATCTTATGTAGGTTGTCAGTTCTTTTCTGGGGCGAGCTGTGGAGATTCCCACTGTTTATATCAGCAGCTAGCTAAGTTAGCTCCATGACAACGGACGACGTAATCCATTCAAGCAATATGACGCGCATAGAGTGTGTGCTTTGAATCAATAAATATGTGGCAATCCAGTAGAAAATCTCAGATATGAGGCTGCATTTAATGCTTCCATCCGTGGGAATCGATCGGAGTGATCTTTGGGATGAGATCATAGCCTCGTGCCTGTGATGCCTCAGATCTCAGGCAGAAAAGGAAGATAAATTATCTTGGCGGGCGCGTCCCACGCGTTCCTTCCTTTTTTGCTCTTTCATGTGACTTTGTCTTATGTAAACCGAACAATATTTCACTCGTGCTCTAGATCGACTCCAGCAAGGATGCATAGACGCTACTACTCACTCGAGCGTGATTGATATACAGAGCCATGCCGGGTAATAGGATTCTTTGTGTTGCAGAGAAACCTGCTATCGCCAAGGCAGTTGCTCAGCATCTTTCTGGAGGGTCTATGCAGACAGTAAGTCTTTCAACTGGTCGAAACGGATGCAAGGTTTGACGGTATCCAGATGAATATACATGGCCAGCAATATGTAAAAAACTACGTGTTCAGCTTCAACTTTGGCGGAGCATGGGGAAACTGTGAAGTGACCATGACCAGTGTCATTGGCCACTTGACGGGGCTGGAGTTTGGCAAGGAGTACAAAGGTTGGACATCGTGCCCACCTAGCCTGTTGTTTGAAGTGCCCGTCTTCGAGAATGTTGATTCAGTACGTTGATCGTTTCTGGGTTCATCTTACTGTCTCTGTTACTGATACTTGGCAGGATAAACTAAGCATTGCCGACAATATCAAGAAACAGGCTCAATACTGCAAAGCCCTGTTTATCTGGACGGATTGTGACCGGGAAGGAGAGCATATCGGAACCGAGGTCAAGAAACAGGCTCGCCTAGGTAACGCGCGGATCGAAGTCAAGAGGGCTAGGTTTAGCAACACCGAGAGAGCGTATGTATCAATATGCCCTTAAACTTGCAAGAACCAAGAATGCATCTTCGCTGACATTGCTAGTCATGTATTGAGAGCGGCTCGTGAGCCCATCGAACTGGACGAAAAGCAAGCAAATGCTGTAGCTGCCAGAATTGAGCTAGATTTGCGTGTCGGCGCTGCATTCACTCGTTTACAGACACTTCAACTGCAGACTCTTGGAAGTCCTTTAGATCAAGGTCCAATTAGCTATGGTATTTATCATTTGTCAATTTTTTTCAACGACGCACAGACTAACTGTGGCAGGTTCATGTCAGTTCCCTACACTAGGGTTCGTCGTTGATCGGTATCTCCGAGTGCAAAATTTCAAGCCAGAACCTTTCTGGGCCATTGCTGTTGTTCATAAACGCGATGACATCAACGTCAACTTCAACTGGCGCCGAGTGCGCCTATTTGACCGGGCTGCCGTAACGGTCATGCTAGAACGATGTCTGGACGCCAAAGATGCAAAAGTCACCAAGGTGACAAAGAAGCCGACGAGCAAATGGCGACCGTTGCCTTTGACGACTGTCGACCTGCAGATGATGGGCAGTAAGTATTTACGGATGACTTCTCATCAGGTGATGCAAATCGCGGAGACATTATACACACGCGGGTTCATCAGTTATCCACGAACAGAAACAGACCAGTTTGATAAAGCAATCGACTTGAAGAAGCTTATTGAAAAACAAGTACCTGACCGGACTTGGGGGCAGTATGCTCAGGGGTAAGTTATCATGTCCCAATTTATCAACATAAGCTAAGAATAATAGTCTATTGGATGGCAACTTCAGAACACCTCGAGCGGGCAAAAATAACGATCAAGCTCACCCGCCTATCCACCCTATCTGTGCAGTAGCTCCGTCAGCTCTCAAAGACGAAGAGAAGCGAGTATTTGATTTTGTGGTCCGCCGCTTCCTTGCATGCTGTTCAGACGACGCCAAAGGTCAGACTTCCGAAGTGGAAATTCAATATGGCGATGAGTACTTCCATGCCAAGGGATTGATTGTTCTCGAGAGAAATTACTTGGATATCTACGTTTACGACAAATGGGAGAGCAGTACTCAGTTGCCTCACTTTGAGGTGGGCGAGGTCTTTGAGCCGACCGAGGCGAAAATCACTGAAGGAAAGACGACGCCGCCGACGTATTTGACAGAACCAGAATTGATTGCCCTCATGGATGCAAATGGTATTGGTACGGATGCTACTATGGCAGAACATATTAACAAAATCAAGGAACGCCAATACGTTGCAGCACGTCCTCGTACTGGTGCGAGCAACAATGAAGCAGGTGGTAGAGGCCGAGGTCGTGGCCGAGCAGCAGGAGGCAATACAGGAGTCCAAGAACTAATACCCACACGATTAGGCGTTGCTTTGGTTGAAGGATACGACAATGTTGTTGCCGGTCTCGCAGATTGCCCTTCGCTCAGCAAACCACACCTGCGGAAGGAAATGGAGCAACTTATGCGTGACATTTGCAACGGTACCAGGACACGCACCGAGGTGGTCGAGCAGAGCTTGGACATGTACCGTGGAGTTTTTATTCAGACGCAACGAAGAATTGATATGCTTAAAGAAGCGTGTCGGAAATACGTCTTTCAACAATCGACAGTGACAATGACGACCACAAATACGAATGGGGCAAGAAGGAGGTGATCAGATGTTCACGACCGAGACGGACTGACATGGTACCCTTTCTTTACTTAGCGTTAATGAGACGACATTGTTTACACAGTATATATGTCGGGATGCTTTCTCTAACTTTGATTAAGATATCTACCTATGGCTTCGGTCCGTACGATAATGAACATTCAAAGTTCCACCACCAACTTGGTTGCGCTAACGCCCGCTTTGCACTTGTGAAGCGCCTCGTCGATGGACTCCAAGCCCTTTCCGACGACAGTGGGATGTGGAAGGCATTTGAGCTTTCCCGTCTCCAATGCTGGGGTCACGTACTCTGTCCAAACAGGAGTAGCAACGTCATTAACCGCAAAGATCATGCCCGCTTTGATGCTGTCCGGAACATTCTCAGGTGGAGGATGCACACACGCTAGATGGACTCCTCCCAGTCTATTCAGAATGACAAGGTCGTTCGCATAGGTCTCCTGAGTGGAAATAGCATCAAAGATGCCCACAAATTCTCTCTCAGGGTCTGAAGCTGCTGCGATAACTTTCTCAACAAACGTAGGGACATGGTAATCGAACACTTCAGTCGCTCCGCAATCCTTGCAAAGGTCAAAGTTGCGCTCACTCGCAATGGAGATTACTTTGATTCCTGCCGCCGTGGCTAGTTGCGTAGTCGTCGAACCAACAGAGGAAGAACCACCGTATACGATGAGTGTTTTATTTGATGACACTGACCGCAATGACGGATACGGCAGACCGAGAGCAGGGGTAGATACGCCAGGCATTGCGGTCCCGGCCTGCTTGACAAAGAGCGCACAGACAGCAGCTTCAATAGCAAAAGCCACTACAACTCCTTGAGTGAATGGGATGGCATCGGGCAGAATTGCAGCTTTGTCTTCCGGGACAGCTGTATATAGAGCGAATGCTCCATCTTGAGGTTTTCCAGTGACTAGATTGATTGCGTGTCTAGATATGCCTCGTGAGCACTCTCAGGGGCAATCCACGAGTAGCAAGGAATTTTCTCTACGTACCCAATAACGCGATCGCCTTTCTTGAAACGTTGCACTTCCGATCCAACTTCATACACTGTGCCAGCCACATCGCAACCGAAAATGGTGGGCCATTGCTGGACAAAGACTCCGGCGTCTTGCATGTGGTTGTCTAATGGATTGATGGCGACTGCGGAGTTCTGAATGATGATTTCGTTTGGTCCAGGAATCGGCATAGGTGCATCACCGACCTCCAAGGGAGTCCCAGCTTTTTGAAGCCATGCAGCTTTGTTTGGTGCCATATTCATTTCTAACAAGGTTGATAGTTACGACTAAAGTCTTGCTGGGAAAGAAGTGATGGTACACTATGAGACATGATACGGCTACGTATTTATAGTTGTTATATCATTGAAAAAGCCACACTTCTATCTCACGATAGCATGAGGAGAGGACCGTGGATTTCAAAGGCATTACAAACCTTGCATTGAATATTCTAATCTCGTTTGAAATCGGACATCAAATCTCCATTGACTTGATATTAGCCATGATGTACCCTGATCATAGAAGATGGAACCGCATATGCCGTTCCATCGACCCACTCAAAGCGACCCGCCTAAATTAATTAGTCAGGGCTCTTTCTATCATTGCACTTCCTCGACCGATTCACATATAACATTCCAAACCGCCATTTCCAAAGTGTGACTGAACATAGCTCCTATGCTGTCCCTCGCAACCTCCCTCCAGGATGAACATCACCTTCGGTACGGATGATTTTCTACACTACAACGCGCAGTACAAACTCCTAATCTGCCTCAAATGCAAGTACGCTATCCAAAAGACCGCCGTAGGAAACCACTTATTACGCCACAAAATCTATCGTGCGGAGCGACAGAGACTGTTATCAGCGATCTCTGATCTAGAGCTTCTAGAACCTGATGATGTGCAATTCCCCTTGGTGCGGTGTGAGCCGGTGGAAGGCTTGCCCGTTATCGCTGGATATAAATGTACGGCGACAGACTGTGGGAGTTTGTATGCAAGTATTAAACGGATGAGGAGGCATTGGAGGGAGAGTCATGGATTGAGTGATTTGCCGCAAGGTTATGCCTGTGCTGTGTATTTGCAGACTTTTTTCCGTGGGACGAAGCTTAGGTATTTTGAGGCTACTGGGGGAACACCGAGCGTAGCAGAACCAGTGGTACTCGCTGACGATAGAAGACCGGAGGAGCAGAGGCAAAAGCGGCAATATGCGAATACCATGTCTCATGCACAACCGGACATTTCCAATCGAAGTCCCAAATCCGATTTAGGCTTGGATCAATCCGACCTACTGAAAATGAGATACTTTCACCACTTTATTACCACGACATGTCTCACACTACCTGCCGGAAGCTCAAATCCAGTAAATTACTGGAAAACCAATGTTGTTACTCAAGCTCTACGTCTGGAGTGGTTGATGTACGGTTTACTTTCTATCTCTGCCAGTCATTTGGCAGTGCTTTCAGAAGATAGAGTGCTGAAAGATACCCATGTACGGCGCTCAAGACGGTTTTATAGAAGATTCGAATCTGGAATGGGTGAAACAGACTACCTGGAGATGGAGGTTCAGATGCTTTGCATTCATCGCCTTATTTTTTGGACGTCTGAAGGGCGTGTCCAGCTGCCTGTCCCATTGGATTGGTTGGTGGCTACTGTTAAAGGCTGCACAAATCCAAAGGTTACGCTTGACTCGATGGCTCGATTCAGCGGCGGTTATGATGTAAATTTGGATAGACTGTGGGCAACCCATCCACCAGATTCGAACACTTCGTTACGCACTGATATCTCCAGGTCCTCCGCCTTAAAGCGTATCTTCAACCTTCCATATCGCTTGACCGAGAAACTAGGAAGACCAGACGATGTCACCGATTTTATAGCAGTAATGTCTGCTATCAGGATATTGATTGAATCCTACCATCAATCCTTCGATGCAGAGAACCTAGAAATCGTCTGGATGGGTATGAACGGGTGGCTGAGCAAGGTGTCAGATCGTTTTACTCGAATGGCCATCGTCGAGAAGAAGCCAGCTGCGCTCACAGTCTTTGCGTATTGGTTACTATTAGTCGCGAGAGCGGAGCAACTCTGTTGGTTTTTGAGAGGGTTGTCGATGAATCTGTTGCATCAAGTTGCAGAGGATTTGGGTGAAGATAGTGGTTTGCGAGATCTAGTCGAGGAATTGATCTAGGTGAATCGAGAAATTCGTACTGAAAGAACTTCCTTTTTTTCCTTTTCTTCGCTTCTATCAAATTCTTAGAACATTGCGATAGCTGTGGCAATGTGGCTCAGTTATTCACACTTAGGGTTGCTTAGCATACCCGGACTTTACTAAAACCCGAGGAACCAATTCGGGAAGCACCAAGTCCCGAGCATCCTATCTCACGGAAAGTGTATGAATTTTCGGCTGACTGAGTAAGTTTTATCAAGTCATATTTTTCGACTAGCCCAAGACTTGGTTAGTGATTTAACGTGAGGTTGGACGTGGTGGATCAAGATGACCCCTTGTCGTGGTTGCCTGGTTAAAGCAGGCCTGATGGGATATAAATCCTGTGCAACGATGGATGTCCTTTTTTCCTCTTCGGATACAGCAAGCATTCATATTTGTTCATCTTTTCAGATCGCTTGCTAGTTGTCAATTCCAAACTTCATCATGAACAAACTCTACGACGTTATCATCGTCGGCGCAGGACCTGTCGGGCTCTTCCTTGCTTGCGAACTAGGTCTAGCACGCATCTCGGTGCTAGTCCTAGAACGCGAATATAAGCTCGAGTCCCCCTTCAAAGATGAACCGTTGGGTTCTCGAGGAATGAACACATCGTCTGTGGAATCCGTCTATCGTCGCGGTCTGCTAGGCGAGTTTGCTGACCTCAGCAAACGGGCTGCCGGTCTCCAGAAGACTGCTGGATTTACGTACGGTGGACACTTTGCTGGTATTGGTCTCAATGCCAATAAACTTGAATTGGATCGTTGGAAGTATCGTTTTCCCGGGCCGAGTCTGGTACCGCAACCAACGACTATACAGCTAGTGGAAAGTATCCTCAACAAACGAGCTGAGCAGTTGGGTGTGACGATTCTAAGGGGTCATGGTGTTGAAAGTATCACAGCACAAGACGACAATAGTGTCACGGTAGAAGCTGGAGGAGAGAATCAATCATTCCGCGGCAAGTGGCTTGTAGGATGCGACGGGGGACGAAGCGCAATTCGCAAAGCTGCTGGATTCGGCTTTGAAGGAACAGAAGCAAGATTCACGGGTTATGGAATTAAATGTGACTTGGGTCATCCGGAAAAGCTGAAACTGGGATTCAGCCATACAAAGACTGGAATGTATATCAGAGGACAGAAGGATAGTCTGCATTTGCTGGACTTTGATGGTGGATCATACGATCGCACCCAGGAAATCAGTATGGAGCACCTACAGGAAGTACTCAGCCGCGTGACAGGCGTCAGTGACTTGAAGATTGAGAAGGTCCATCTCGCATCGACATATACTGACCGCTGTATGCAAGCGACAACCTACCGCAAGGGTCGTGTTCTACTTGCTGGTGATGCTGCACACATTCACTCGCCGCTCGGGGCTCAAGGTATGAATCTCGGACTGGGGGATGCCATCAATCTAGGCTGGAAGCTAGCTGCAACAGTGCGACAAGAATCCAAAAATGACAAAACGCCCGTAAATCTGGATTTATTGGACACATACGAAGCTGAACGCCACCCCATCGCAGCTTGGGCCCTTGATTGGACACGCGCTCAAGTCTCGATACTGCAACCAGATGCATTTGGCGCAGCAATTCGCACGTTGGTTCGCGATTTCATCGATACAACTGACGGGACGAATATGCTCATGGATCGATTTTGGGGCTTGTCGCAAAAATACAATCTCGAAAAGGATGGCGGCACTCTGCATCCCCTTGTCGGACGCAGTGTACCGGATTTTGAGTTGGGCGATGGCTCAAGGTTAGGCAGTAAAATGACAGGGGGGCAAGGGTTAATTGTAGATTTCCAGGATAACATCGAGCTGAAGAACTTGGCTACAGGAAAGTATGGAGGCAGAGTCGATTACTTGAGTTTGACTGCAAATGATAGGCGCGGCCTTGGGGCGTTGATTGTTCGACCTGATGGCGTTGTTGCTTGGGCCGTAGAAGAGGATGAGAAGCCAGACATAGATGCAGCGAAGGCTTCCTTGGAGAGGTGGTTTGCTTTCTGAACCAAAGGACAGTGATCATATTGTATAATATTTGTGCTATAATACCCAGCTCCAAACATTAATAAAATAGACAATATCATCTCATTCAATATCTTGATTCTTGCAATTCTTGTGAATACTGCTCACATCCATGAAGAGAGAAGGTATGCAGAAAAGTGGACCGTGTGTATACCACCGCACAGAGACAGTCTAAGCTATAGGTCCAAAGCTGCAAAGAATTGAAAAGTAAGTTATTTTGTTGTGCTATAAGTCATTCCTACTCTTTGCTATTCTCTCTTTCACTATGGTGTGCAATACCTCACGTCGAGCTTTCCGTTCTGTTAGTGATTGTCGCAATTGGGACAATAATCTCTGGTGTCGCACTTTCTGCTCAGATATGTGCTGTTCTATTTGGTCAAGGAGCTCGTGTTCTCGCACTTTCACCTGCTATCGTTCAGCAAGTAACTCTTTCTGTCGAGATGTATTCCCTATTATTTCCTGTTCAGATGCGGTAAGGTATTTCGTATATCGAGCTTCTCGATCATCCGACTGCCGCTGTAAAGTCTGAAACATATTTTGCGATTCCGACAGATCCTGAGAGGCGATGCTCTCTTCTTGCGTCTTTTTATCCACTTCCTTATCGGCATAGGAGAGAGATCTATCGGTTCCCAGATCCTTGCCAGTAAATCCATAACCTTTTTCTTGGAATAGTGAGAAATTCGCGGTCAAGATTCCCTACGAGACGATAACATTTCCATTTATCGTGCTTGTTCCAGATTGTGAACCGTTCAATCGTCCACCGCTAGAATGCGACGTCGAAATCATCGATTTCGGGATAGTGGCCATAGATTTGGAGCCTTTCTGAGTCGTAGGATATAGAGAAACCGAGGATTCTACGATGTATCCTTTCCATGGAATTGGATATTGAAGTCAAGCTCCACACTGCACGCATAGCGATACACATGCTGTGCATGTTTTTCATGTTGACCACTGGCCGCGGATTGGGGCCATAGATCGGTGCTACGTTGAGCCATTTCTCATTATAGACGACAATGGCATCCTCCAACACACTCACTTCTCCCAGGTCCTGCTTTTCGACGGATGGTACAAGAAAGCGGGCGTAGGTCGTAAGGAGCCGGGATTTTGATTGATTTCGCAACGCGTTATGGAATCTCTCAATGGCACCATCGTCAAATACGGTCCCCTGAAAGATGTCAACCGATTGACGGAGGAGTCGTTCGCGAAGCGCAATATCTTCTGAGACTGAACCTGCGCGTTACCGACGCATGAAGCAAGCCCTATATGAGCGCTTGGAAGAATAAGTGACTGGATAAACCTCCGACTCGTCCTGTTCTGTCCATGTGCTCTCATTGTACGAACCCGAGTCGTCACTCGCTTGCAGTCGCGGTCTTTTGGATGGACGCTGACTCATCTCGTCTCAAAATCGCTAATAGACTGCATTGAAGCTGGAGTTTCATTTCGCTTTCATACGCGTTGATCGAAGAGTCCTGTTGTGTCTACTTGGAGTATTTATATTCGAGTAGAAGTTTGTAGGCAGCAAGGCTGTGGGGCTTGAAGCTGACCCACGCGCCTTCCCAATAAAGTTAGAAGCATTGTGCAGCATTTCTTTCGCTTCGACATTCATCTTTCTGATCTGATATATTAATGACTGACGACGCTTCCAACGAATGATCTCGAATAATACAATTATTTAATACCATCGATGTCGACTAGGCCGTGTTGGTAAAGGTACGTCCTATGAGTCACGATGACTCCGATCTTGCTTTAATTTTCGCGGCTGATATAAACTTATAGGACTGCCAATATTGCTAATCCAGTATTCATAAGAAAATTGCAATTATCAAAAAGTTGACTACACCATCCTTGATCCTCAATATCAGAAGCTTGATTGGAACAATGTCCCGTAGAGGTGGCGGGAGAGCCATGCCTCGCGAGGTAGTGCTTTCGAAGGCACTCTCCCATCTACTCCGTCACTCCGCAGAAAAGGAGAATCTGAAAATCAGCAAAGAGGGCTATGTGAATGTGGCAGATCTAGTACGTGGAACCGTCCTATGCTTTGCTCCCGTCTAACAAAGGACGCAGCTCGAAACGAGAAAAGTGAAATCTCTCAAAGTGACGTTACCGGAAATTATACAGGCAGTCGCTAGCTCGGACAAGCAGCGGTTCTCTCTGTTTTATATCTCTCCAGCAACCATAGAATCAGGGAATCAGGAAAGTCAAGAGCAGCAAGAAGCAGTAGTGGCCACCGCTGCTTCCGAAGAAAAGCAGAAGAATGCGACAGCGCATGCGTTGTCTGTTAAGGATAATGATCCATCTCATTTCCTCATCCGGGCGACGCAGGGACACAGCATGAAGAGTGTTGACACAACACTCTTCCTGGAGAAACTGAGTCTTGACGATACAAAAGAAGATGGTGCCGCATCAAACCTTCCTGATACCGTGGTACACGGTACATATCATGGCGCTTGGCCGCTAATTCTCGCATCTGGGGGTTTACGGTCTATGAGTAGGTTACAGGTGCATTTTGCCACTGGTCCGACAATGGACGAGGTTTACCCTAACGGACGAGATGCACCAATAGCATTATTAGACCCTAGGTCGAAAGCAACGGTAATTTCCGGAATGCGATCAGATGCGGAAATTCTAATCTATATCAACCTACGGAGGGCACTGGAAGCTGGCTGTCCATTCTATAGGAGTGAGAATGGTGTCATTCTCAGTGAAGGCATGAACCTCGGTGACAGCGGCGAGGGAAAGATTGTTCCGATCGAATTCTTTGATCTCGTCATTGAAAGGAAGACCGGGTTGGGTGTCCTGTGGGAAGATGGGAGTGTAGTTCAAGAACTGCCGTCACATTTGGCGGAGAAGAGGAATCCGAAGGCAACGAGAGGAGGTGGCAGGGGAAGAGGGAGAGGCATGGGGCAGCCATGAGTTGGTCATAACCGTTCATCGAAGAAATTTCAACATATGATCCCTGGACATGATTACTTCAAAAGAATTGTCACATATAAACAGTGCGGGGATGAATAGAGAGGAAGCAATCCGAAGCGGGGAATACGTACGGACCGAACCGTACGGTGCTTTAGCCGATGTCCCTTCATGGACTCAATTGATCCAAATTCGGTGAGAATACTAAAGTGCGTTTGTTTCGTATGTTATTTTCTAGCATGATCCATGCATATTTTGCATTCAAAATGAGTAAATATCTGCTTTTAGGAGAGGCAGAGTACATAGAAGTATGTAATAAAGTACGCAAATTAGTTAATTATGGTAAGCTTACTAACAAAAAATGAGTAAAATTGTATTAGCGATACTTTTATTGTTGTGCTAATTATCCTGTCACTTGAACAGTTCACACACTGCTACACCAAGGTATTATAAAAAGTCGTTCTCTATTTGTTGCGCCGAAACCTGCTTGTGGTTATTTATACCTAGATGGTGGGCTGGTTTAGAGAGTTGGTATTGTTATAGCCAAAAACGGAGAGAGTAGCATAATCAAAATGGCTACCCATACATATGATCCCACATTCACTGACCGCGTCATCAACGCCATGGGCCCCAAGACAAACTCCCGTCTACGCCAATTGATGGCCGGATTCATTCGACACATTCATGATTTTGCACGAGAGAATGAGTTGACGGTTGACGAGTGGATGATGGGTGTGAAAATGATCAACTGGGCAGGACAAATGAGTGATGACAAACGTAACGAGGGACAACTTTTGTGTGATGTTATTGGGCTTGAGACGTAAGTACTGGTTGTATTCAGAAACGTATTCGCAAATGTAAAGGTGGTTTATACTAATGGATAATAGATTGGTAGATGAGATTACCTACAAAGTAGCATCCGAAGCAGATGCTCCAACAGCAACAGCCATTCTAGGTCCCTTTTTCCGAGCAGACACAATGGTTCGACAGAACGGCGACAGTATGGTCACGGGGGTCGACGATGGAGAAATGGTCTTTATGCATGGCCAGGTAATTGACTACAAGACCAAGAAACCTATTCCCGGCACGACAGTGGAAGTGTGGCAAGCGTCTACCAACGGGCTATATGAACAACAGGATCCGAATCAAGTTGAGCATAATTTGCGAGGAAAATTTACAACTGATGAGAATGGTCGCTATTGGTTCTATTGTATAAGGCCAACTCCATACCCTGTCCCTGGTGATGGTAAGTATTCTCCTGCTCCCTTTTGTGACAATGATACTCATTGTAGTCTAGGCCCAGCAGGAAAGTTGTTAGAACTCCTGGACCGGCACCCCTATCGGCCGGCACATATCCATATATTGGTAAGTATAAACTTGTATCTGTCGAAAAGCAGCAACAATCTGACCAGGGATCTCAGGCCACACATGAAGGATATAAACCCCTCGTCACACAGATATTTGACAGACAAGACCAGTACCTCACCAACGATTCTGTTTTTGCCGTAAAGGATTCTTTGATTGTGGACTTTGTTCCACGAGAAGGTGACCCTAATGCTTCCCTAGAGTTGGCTTATGATGTGAAACTAGTTCCAAAAGATTCTTGAGGGGATGAAGTCGGCCGGCTTCCAAGGTTGGCTTGCTTAATGTTACGTTTGAAATTGTGATTAATGTAGTTATCTTGTCGGACTACTTGGCTATTATTTATCTACATATATTTTTGTTACTCGGGTACGATATGCAGAGAGAAATTGTAAATATGAATCAATTCCATACTGAGTCTCTTCAGTCTTTCTAGGATCTTTTAATCTCTATGTGACCGCGTAAACTTCAAGATTAGATTCCCAACCTCCTCGCTCGCTTCAATGCAATGCCAATGGCCCACACCCGGCAAAATATCAAGTGTTTTCAAAGAACTAGATACACTAGAAATGATGTGCTTGCACCCTTCCAACGGCGCCGCCTTATCCTCAGCACCGGCAATGATCAATAACGGAACATCAATCGCAGCATAATCCGGTGCGGTCGCTTCCGAAATAACGTGACAGAGCGAGATGTATCCTTCCGGAGATTGTCCTAGAATGAGTTCTCGGATGAACGCTTTTTGTAAGGCGGTACTTTTTGATCCGGTTGCTGCGTTGGGGATTGTGTTGGCCATTGGTTCCATTCCATCTGTACAAACAGCGAGTTAGCTGGATCTGACAAAATATACAACATGATTGGCGCGGTGTGCATACCCTCAGATACAACTTGAATCCTCTTCTCAAAGACCTGCCCCGTACTAGCTGTTGGATGCACAGGCCCAATAGCCACCACCGCAACAACTCTATCCTTATATTTGGCCGCAATGTGCAAAACCGTCGTTCCGCCCATTGAATGACCAACAAGCACCGCCTTTGAAATTTTGAGTCCGTCCATCACTTTCACGACATCCTCGGCAATGGTGTCGATTGACTGGCTCAAGCCTGTGAAAGCAGATCTTCCGGAGCCATAGGTGTCAATTGCTACGCAGCGATGGTTCGGAGTTAGCAGTGGGATTATCGCATAATAATAATTTTGGGATGAGCCTAGGCCGTGAATGAAGATGTAGGTTAGACCGCCGGCTGGGGGACCATTGGGGTGAGAATCCGAATAATTGAGATGTTTTTGGTTGACGTTGATGTATGGCATTTTCGGGCAGGTATATTTATTTATTGTAAAGAGTAGGAGAGACAATGGTTTGTGGTTTATTAGAGACTGGATGTTCAGGGTACTCCTACTGTAACAGGTTGTGTCATGCAGACGAACATTTGACGTGTATCCGATCTGATGGTCAGATTAGGTTGGAGCCGTATATCCGGATTTGTATGTCTACAACCGTCTTTTGATAGTATCTTGGATGAAAAGAATAGTGATCACGAAGGAGTAGAATATGAATTGATAGTAGGTGACATACTAGTTTCTTTAATCAGGAGAATGCATTTATAGTATAGCCCCACTACTTCACCGGATCGCACCAATCACAGCCCGCCGCCTCACCTTATTCCGACTTCATATCTAAGCTCACACTCTCTTTTCAAAAAACACATCTAATATTCTAATAACACTATATCAGAGGTGAGAATGCCAGGCATTCTGTAGGAGAAGCTCGACCTGCTTCGGTATTTAATTTCTCCGCTCCTTGATTAGTGATAACCTTAGTAATCCCTCCATGCCGTAAGTAGCTTAGCTTCGGCAGCAGGCTGTTTACTAATGCCGTTGAACTGGTCGGATCTGAACACACTGAACAGTACGTAAAATCGCTCTTAAAGGTGGTGGAAGTCTGATCTGATACAGTTAGCCGAGAAGGGCACTCCATCTATGTTCACTGGCAGGAATAATATTCATTTACCAAAGCTGCGAGTCAAGCGATCACCTCTCGGAAGTAGGATCTCGGTCGAGCACGATCCGAATACCTGTCGGATGTCTGACTTGCTCGCACACGACTGTATAGCAGTGTATGCGACCTTAGTCTGACTATTGTTGCTGAGTCCCTCTCATCGGCCTCGCGGCAGCGACCGTCATGGCCCGTCGAAGGGTCGCCCCGGAAAACCGCGTTCGAGCTGCACAGGCCTGTGAGAACTGCAAGAAGCGCAAACAGAAAGTATGCTCTATCAAAATCCCCGGACGTCATATTTTTGTAAACTACTATTGGTCGAGTAGTAGACTAACTTTGAGCCACTCATTATTGGTGCTTCGTTCAACAATAGTGCAATGGTACATTTCCTTGCGCGAACTGTAGCAAGCGGCAGGTTCAATGTTTCTTTGCCGGCTCCGTGCCTGCAACTGGATCTTTTCCGGCAGTATCCAGCACTGCGATAGAGCAGCGTAGCAATGGCCAAAAACGCAAGTTCTCAGACTTGGTTGCGAACATGGATGCGACGAATCGATCAGAAGAACCCACAAGGACAGCTGATGATCAACCATATCAGGGCTCTGCTTTTCCTGCCAACGTGAATGATGCGGCTTATCATACGACAGACCGAACGGTCAGTGTATCGCATCACGAGCAACAACATCGAAATCGAGATTCTTTGCTTGTCAGAAACATACCCACAACATCCTCAGATCAAGTCGAGCAAGCTGCACATGATGAGATATCAGACGAGACTGACGAGGCTGAGCTACAGGGGATGTCGCGGATGCTAGACGATGGCAAGGGAAGAATGCGTACGTAACCCCTGAAAGAAAGAAGAATTTGCCCTTGACTAACAGGTGAAACGGTGTCCTTGAAGTCTATATTGGAGATTCTGCCCCATTATCATATCTACAAACCATTCGTCAACTTGTTGGTAGTGTAATAGGGACCTCGATGTTCACAGTCGATCCGCGCCGACATAATATCCTTGAGGCTTCAATGCAGGCTCAATCCACTGGCTTCCAGTATGCCTTTACGCTCCCGGACCGTGAAGCTGCGTTGTATCTGGTAGATTCGTTCTTCATCAGCGTATGGTATTCAGCTCACCTACTCGTCATAGCCCTTGTTAACATCAATATAGACAAAAGGGATGGTCCATTTATTCAACGAGCAAGTCTTCAAACAACGCGTCGAACGTACATTTCAAAACCCCCTTGCGGCTGATCAGTCGTGGATGTGCATTCTATACCTTGTTTTCGCTGTGGGCCTGCAACTGCGATGTGTTACGCCTCGCCCATCACCCAAGGAAGCTGCAATACTCAAAAGATTGCTTTCCCCCGATGTCGATCGCAGCGAGATGTTTTTTCTTTGCGCAAGGCATCTTAAAGACTCTGCGTCAGGAATTGAGGATGGAGATTTTGCCTCGATTCAAGCACTACTGCTTATGACTTTGTACATGTTATCGGTGGGAAAACGTAACACAGCATGGGCTTATATTGGTACAGTTTCCTCTCACGGAGTAATGGTAGGTCTCATGCTGACCTTTTTTAGGCATGGCTGTGCGACTTGCATATGCTTTAGGATTACATAGAGCCGAAACGCAACGCGCATATGATGAGAGGGAGAGACAATCTATGTCTCTACCAAGGTAAGTCTCTAGACCCCTCTTCTGTTTATTTTAATTGCTTTATACGTAAGCTGATACAACTCAGAGTTCTCCTCTGGCGTAGCCTTTACGTGATGGATCGATTCCTCGCGTCCTGCCTTGGTCGACCAACTGCAATTCAAGACGAAGAGATTTCGGAAGAGCTTGTCCCTCATAGAGAAAGATTCAGAGACCTGTCGCCAGGATCCGTGGAGAACTTTGAATTCGAAGCCCTCTTTGCTTCTGTACAAGCAGCTCAAATAAATGGTAGTATCTTGCATCAAATTTACCGATCACGCAAAGTGTCTTTGAAAATTGCACGACAAATCGCAGTTCAGATCCACGAGTGGACACAGTCTCTCCCGGAGATACTGCAATGGCGTCCGACTCCCATGCCTCATGACGACACTGGGAAAGCCATGGGTCAATTACATATATGGATGACATATTTCAGTACAATCATTCTCCTCACTCGCCCGTTCTTACTACTTCACGTCAAGAAAGTCATTGCTCAGGAACGACGGAGGCCCAATCCTCCACATGCTCATAAATCACCGGATTCATCAGAGGCGGTTGCAAGTTCGCCCGGAGAGATTCGTGTAGCGGAGAACCCTGAACTCAAGAAATATTCTGCTGCTTGTGTTCGATCAGCGACGCATATGATTCGTGCCGTGCAGACGATTCGGGTGAAAGGGTGCTTGCCGAGGAGGAATCCTTTTATAATGTGCGCCTTCTCTCCTTTTGGCTCTCAAACATTTTACTAACCTTTGAATTAGAAACTGGATGTTCATTGCAGCCCTTATCGTCTTGACAAATTCATTTTTCAATGTCTACGAAAACCCCGAGAATGACTCAATCGCTCAAATGGCAATATACCTTCATCAACATTTCGCGGAATTTGATCTATTAGCAGCTCGATACTTACATATCCTAAAATCCTTCCAGAAAACTATTGCCGATCGTCGGTCAATGAATGGGTTGCTGCAGACGAATGGTAGGAACTATACATTAAAGGATCCAATCGAGGATCTTTTCTCGGGAAAGGGACTTCCTTCCCAGCGCCGTGGTCACAGTAACAATGAAACTACTATGCTATCTACGGATCAGGCCTCAAATTTGGCACCACCAACACAACCCCCCGTGTCATGGGAGTGGCCTGCGACTACAACTTCTTTACCCCGGGTCACCAGTACTAGCACAACAGGTGGTATAGATCTAAACTCTGTACCCAACGGAATCTCCGGTGACGGCAGCAATGGATTTGGTGACAATGTCGAAGGACTTGTGTTTCCTGGCGCGGAGGAGCTTTTAGGCCCTGATCCGGGTCCTGTGCTTGAGGAAGTTATCCACTTTGATATGTTGTGGCCGCTCAACCAGGATACGGGTTTGTATTCGGGGAATATACCGATGTATGGGATGGATAGTTATTTGTGAGGATTTGTATAATATACCCAATGAAAATGTGTGGACATATTTGTCCTCCCTTCAGCTGCCTCGCTGCTCTTTCAATCACTACCGAAGTGCCCACCAAACAGACTGAATGCTTTACGTTCCCAAGCAGTCATCTTCAAGATGCTGTATATTCACGCTGAACCCACTTGCGAAGCAGTATCATTAGCCTATAAGTCTAGTGAAAGGGCTGTATGTCCTGTGCCCCTCCCAACGCAACGCGAAAATCAAACCTATCCAATGAAAGAATCCTATGCAGTTTCTTTGACTTTCTTTGTGCCCTGAGCTTTGTTAGCCTGTTGCCTGTCTGAGGGTCATGAAGTGGCATAGAGAAGGTGAATTTCTCACATATAAATAGTCTTCCCCTCCTTTCTTTCCTGCCAAGAATTTCTCTCCCTTTCAACTCTTCTCTTATACGACACTTTGCACACTCCTAGTCTAGTTAAGGGGTTCCAATATTATTTCATTATGAATATCAGTCAAGAAGAGATGCACAATCTCTAAGCAAGCTCAACAGCCACTGTACCCTGTCCGCCAAGCATCTGCGGCTTCCACAGATGCAACTACATGGCCAGTGGTCAAATGATTTAGTTGACCTAGCTGATATGGGTGGCTCTCGGTACCATTAATTGAAATTCGACACAGAATTTTCGAGCAGCAACCAACTTGTAGGACCACACCAATTTGTATCATGGGTTGACTAGAAGTTGCTAACCAGCTTGTACCATTGAAACAGCATAGTCAGGAGGAAGCTCGAAGGAGCGAGCCATCGACAGGGGAATAGGGCAATATCTCAACAGTTCTATTGACCTTCATAGGTATCTGACACAGTGTAATGTCAGCAACCATCCGTACGAGCTAGGATGGATACCGCTAAACCATCATCCACATAGTTTCCGCCAGACGAGAATTGCCTTGGATATGCAGACATCATCCACAGGTGCCTAGCTCTTTATATCTCCTAAAGAACTGAGTCGCGATTACCGTTTCTTGAACTCTTACTCTTCTTTTCTTCCTCTCGGACAGTGATCTGTTCCCAACAGCCATGGCAGCGCTGATTTCGCGGCCACCTAACGATCATCGGAACAGGCTGGAGCATCAGCGTCCCACAGGGGGACTTCTATCCAACAGCAGCGGGAACTCCTCAAACAATCACGAGGGTTTATTACCTAGCACCTATAGACGCCCCACCACAAGATATTTCTTTGCAACAGCCGTTAATCCCTCCGTGACAAATCCCGAGTATCATCTCTTCATTCCCCTTAGAGTATTCTCTTACAGAGTCGATGGCCACGACTACGCGAGGAGTTGCTGGTACTGACACCTTCGGCAATCCAGGTAAGCATTAGACACAAACCCCCAAGGCTAGTCTATCTTGCCTCGTATGTGAAGTTGATAAAGCAAAAGACGTCCAGAGACCGCCCAGAAAGAATCGTAGTGATAAGGGGACGAAGCGTGAGCCGAGACGGATAGGTAAAACTCCCACCGTTGCTGCCACCATCACTGTTACTGATGTTAATACTTCATTGACAGGAAACTGCGAGCGGGGTGATACGTCGAATACTAGCTCTCCCTTCTATGTCTCGCCGCGAGACAATTAGATCCGTATACTCGGGCAATGAAATCAAGCATTTGAAGAAAGATGACGGCATACCGCTATGGCGCAAAGGCATCCAGGACCGGTTTCTCAAGTTTGTCTTTGAAGACCAGACTTGGGTATTTACTCGACAAAAATCGTAATGAGTTGGCTAATATTATGGAGGAGATCCATTGGGAAATAGTTGGTGAGTGCTTTTTTATTTCCTTTTATGACTGACATATGCTCTTACTTAAACCCCATAGATGGTCTCACAGTTGAAGTCAGGGTTGGAAGAACTCAACTATTTCTCCAACCACGTATCACAACCCGCCCACTACGCTTCAAAGTTCATTATCGAGGATGAAATCACCCAGAACGAACTTGAAGCTGCGTGTAAAGACTGACCATCACAAAAACGCGGCGAATTCATTGCTGAATGCGAAGATTTCATCACCAAGCAATGTAAGAAAGACGACGCCTCTGCCAGCTGGTCTTACAATAGACCTCCGAGGACCTTCCCAGACTCAAGGTCTTTGTCAAAGAGACGAGATACAACTACTTCGAAACTATTATCGTCATAACATTCCTAATGAAGCGACGCGCAATCCGAGGCAGAACCTCCGACTATAAGCCGATTCCGGAGCCAGAGGAGCAGATTCAAGTTGTCGCCCAGAAGGGGAAAGGAGGAAGAAAGCCTGCATGTTGTCATGCCAGGATTCATATGTTGTCCGATGTCTGATATTCGGTCCAGATTTATGTGACATCAGAAGAGCGCAAGCAATGACATCTATCTATTTTGGTGGAACACTCTCATTTTATGGTCAACATCAGTTGAGGAATTCGGAGTGTGATCTCGAGTTCAATCTTATGGGCCGGGTTGGCTATGGAAGAGGTATGTAGACTAGCTGGGCAGTCCTTGTATAGATTTATCAATGTCTACCATAGCAGAGAATATTCTCATTACTCCACATAATATCGTATTTAATTATTTATAGAGTAGCACTAATCACCCTTTCTTTGATCCTAGATCGTAAATTCTCGATCCAGTTCTAACATCTAACTATCCCTATACCTAGGTACACTTTTCCATTAATCTTTATGGATGCAGATTCATATATACTCTAAAACAGCGCTAGGTAGGTCAGCAACATCAGGGAGTTCATTCCAGAGTTTGCTGACTTGATCTGAGTATATTCTATAAAAGTCTGCTTGCCAGCTTGAAAGTGGATGAATAGTATATTTCTAGACCAAAATGAGTCAAAGTTCTAGGTGACCTATGACTTCTTCACAGCAGCCTGTTGTGCAACAGTATCCTAATCAGAATTAGCCCAGATTACTCTATCTACAGTTCAACCCAATGGATCTTGAGGGGGAACGTGCCAAATAAACCTGATAGAACCTCATTTTGGGATTCTCTTCATCAGCATCAAACTCCGCCCTCGCAGCCCAATCAAGCTGCACTGTTGATTCCGGATCATGTTTCATGACATATGTAACAGTCCCGTAGAGCATCATATCATTCTGGTCACCGAAAAATAGTTTCGACACGACATGTTTGCGTGATGAGACAGTTGCCCAGATTGATTTGCGGAATGCAAGGATTTCTTTTTCCAAGGCGTCAGCGTTGGGTACGGTTTTTTTCTACAGGAACGAAAGAGATACCGTCAAATCCATCGGCTCTTTTCCCGCCCATGATTAAGGTTGCAATTGGTGTGAAGAAGTCTCTTGCATATCTTTCGTGGGCCGTGGGGTTGTCGCTTGCTGTGTAGAAGGAGGACATTAATGATGTCAATGCTGATGCTTTTTCGAGGGTTATTAGAGGCGCGGAGGGGGAGGAAAGATTTGTGGATTGTATGTTGGATGTCATTTTCTCCCTTATCTGTCGTAGGTGAATGTGATTTCTTTAGATATTGTCTAATAGGCGAGTGGTGGTTCGTAATGGTGGTTCTGATTTCTTAGGGTTCAAGGTTGTTGTATTGGATCATTCAAATGTTGTTAAACAGACTATGGTATTTTAGACCTTAAAGCATACAAGCCTATCTTCCAGATGACATGTAAACCCTAATGAGCTTACTATGACAAAATCTACTATGTAGTCACTTACCTATTACTATCAGCCAGGCGGGGTAGACCTACAGCCGATAAAATCGGATAGTGTACCGTTTACAATACTCAGGTTAGGGTTAGATGATATAATTCACCTTCCCGAATTCTGTGATTGAAATGCCAATTTATCTATAACCTACAGATCAACCCACATCCAACCCTTGTTATGCATCGACTGTAGGCGCAAGACGATTCAACAACCCTAAATCCGATAGTCCTTTTCGTCGGCCACAAAATCCTCCCAAACCGGTCTATCACTCCCATTCGGCCGACTGGCACGAACAAACCCATTATCCACACCTTCAATCTGCGCCACCGGCTTCACAATTTCAATTTCTTCACCATACTTTTCCGAGAACCATTTCTCCGTGAATGGTGACGGCGAATAAGAAGAGTCAGCGCTGAATAAGTCCGGAAACCGCTTTCGAAGCATACGCAACGTCGTCGCTGAAATACGATCGACGCTGTCGTGGTGTCTCAGTGCGAAGAATTCGGGTGATTGCTCTCTGCGTAGCTTTTCCTGTATCTCTGCGGAATATTGTCCAGCGGCAAAGAGTAGAAGATCGTAGTGCATGAGTGAGGATTTGCCGTGATAGGATCCTCCTGTTTTGGCGCGGTGGTAGAGACCTATCAACGCGGCGATGGCACCCATACAGCCTGTTCCGTAGTCTGAGATGGGAAATGGAGGGACAACTGGGGAGTTGAGACCCATGAATTGTCCCTGTGCCCATGCAACGCCAGTCACCTATATAGACAGTTAGCTGTTTCCCCTTACTGAAGTATCGGATATGAGAGAAACATACGCAATCTGCAATCTGTTGCCATCCCGGACGGCCTGCCCATTCCCCCTTATACCCGAAACAATTCTCATTCACGTAGACAATCCCCTTCCCTCGTTTCTCTGCTAATTCAGCCAATTTCTCCGGACCATACCCAAGTCTCTCCAGGGCACCAGGTCGATACCCATCCACAAACACATCGACATCAGCCAGCAACTTCTCAAATTCAACTTTTCCTTCAACAGTCTTCAGATCCAGATCAGCGGCGTGTTTGCCCATGTTTCCATCAACTTGGAAAAAGGGTACGTCACTCAGATTTGGGCTGGTGATTTTGAGGACATCTGCCCCGTATTCGGCGAGGATACGGGTGATGGTTGGACCCGCGATGATACGGCAGAGCTCGAGGACTTTGATACCTTGGAGGATTTTGTGGTTGCCTTCTGGTGAAGCTGGGAATTTGGTTGGTGGTATCTTCCCTTTTAATGGGGTGACACTCCATGGCGATTCTTTTACGTTAATTTGTCCCTGTGATTGGTTAGAGGACTAATCTTCAAGTTGAGACAAAAACTTACATGAGGCGTTCGTATAAAATCTTCATATTTATACGCGGTAACCCCAGCTTGTCTCTTTTCGGCGTTCAGGGCTTCAAGTTCCGCAGCCGTAAACCTTTCCACTTCCCCTTCAATAGTCTTGATAATCTCCTGATAATCGGTTAAGTCCGGTCTATGTCCTTCCAAGCCTATCATATTAAGTGTTGTAGTGGCTTCCAGAGAACCATGAATGTGGAAATATTGCCTATCTTTAGTCCTGTAAAGATTCGCAGACATTCTTCGATATCCATTTGATTGAGCAGCTAGGAGATCGGTATCTGAGCAACGTTAACATCCTGTTCTTCTTCTCTAAATAAGAGATAATACCTTTAATTTTGACCCGCACACCAGGGTCCAACTTTCCAAGACCACCGACTTTTGCCATATAAGCCTGACAACCAAAATACGTAGCTGCCTCCAAACTAACCTTGACAGACCTCTTCTTCTGGGACGTTTCTCCATATCGAAGATTCGCAATCTCCCCTGCTACTAGCCCTTCCACAGCCTTCAAAGCGGCCAGTGTCTCAGTCTCCTTGAAAGGAATAGGGAAATAGATCGAGTCGGTAGTCGAGTGGAAAGTGACTGCATCCTGGTTCTCAACTACCTCGTCGGGCAGATTGAGAGCTTCCGATTGTTTGCACAAGAAACCTAGGATGCGAAGGGCTTCATTGACAGGGGAATAGCTCACGTTGCTGATGGAGCCCATTTTGAAGACATATAGCTAAAATAGGCCCAGTAAGGAATAATGAACCCTTGGACCATTTGTCAGTTATTACATGAAGATCCAAGTCATCTGGCTCTCGGTTCCTCGGTAGCTGCAGTTAGTCGCCTCGAGATTTGACTTTCCTATATCCAGAAAAATAATCGTACTCGTCCATATACTGGCACGGCGCTACATATTTCAGAGCATAAGATGTTATGCCCGATGGGATAAAGAAAGATCATTGGGTGAAAGAGGGGAAGTCGATGTCGGATGCTGTTCAGGTGGAGATGTCGCCACTCGTTCCGACCCTCAGTCACGGCCCGAACACAGATCTGTTGAACCGAGTAGACTTGAGATCCTCTTATAGGGTGAATAAGTTGGATCTATGATCTTGACGTTTCATATATCCAGTAGGTATATGACAGCAACCACTCAACTTGAAATGAATTAGGGTACAGGAAGTCCCGTGATTAAGGTTCAAAGGCATGACTTCCCGAATAGGAAGGAACGGAACGATGAGCCCTAAATTAGGGCTTTACGCACGATCTCCGTTGTCAGATCTCAAGTCTTCAGATATCGGTCTTCCACCAAAAGTGCCAAGTTTCAACTAAGTTATCGCTAGCATCTTCGAATGCAAAGTCAACCAGCTATGACATCAGCAAAGAACAACTGAAACAACCGGAAAAGGAAATCCTGAGTCGGTACAAGACGTCATGTCGTTGTGGTAGTGCCATACTAAAATTCCCTGAAATTGTTCGAAAGATGTTCCTTGAAGTGCCTGAAAATCGGTGGAATTTGTCGATCAGAGATGAGGTAATAACAACAATAGCCCAGCCAGACAGGTTGATCCACGTGCCTGATCTGTCTGCTTACTGTCAACTGAATCATCGGCTTCAACAAGTTTAGTGCGGGACATTCTGCAGTTCACCCCTCTTCAGTCAAGCTGAGTCTCGCGTATCGCGGCCATACGGTATGACGCTTATGCAAGTCATGGTCGTACTTTCTTACACAGTTTACAGCGTTAGGTGCGGTGGAGAATGTTCGAGAGGGTACATATGCTGAGGTGTAGTATACTCTCTCCTTGGCGTAAGTGGCAGGAGTCGGGTCACCTAGCCTTTGAAACACCGAAGAGCGCGGAAAGTTAAGTATGATTAAAATGCCTCAGTCGAGCATCCAGCCAGCGCTAGCAATAACTCCGTAGTCGCGTCCCATCAGGCTGTCGGAGCGACGCGCTGATAAGTTTGTGCTGATAAGTTAAGATTCGATCAAATCAGATCGTGGAGGGCACCCAGCGTGCGCATGACCAGCGCTGTGGATTGACGGTTTGACCTCAGGCTCCAAGGCACCAATCCGCGGTCCCCGTCGTCCGAAAGCACCCGCGCTGGCTTATCGCCAATCAAGGCGGCCATGTGTATACATTCTTAGCATGTGCGCTGTCTCTGTCCTTTCATTATTCAGACTGTGTATCGTACCGGTAACGTCCAGACCCGGAATCACTGCAAGAATCTCACCGAACCACGGTAACACTGGGGTAAATTACTGTCTCGTACAGATCGCATACCTCGCCGTCATTGCCCCCACCCCCGTACTTGACTGTAGAGATAGACAAGAATGCCTGATATATCCCTCCCTTCCGTTCTTTCCTTCTTTCCTTTCTCTATAATCAACCATCAAGAACTACTCTACAGCTACGAAGATCTATACACAACTGCTCTCGTTCAGTCAGGAAATCTCTTTTTTCTTACTTGCAAGACAGTTGCCTGTTGCTTGTCGTCTGCCCTACCTCCCTTGGCGCGTCGCATCCGGTCTCAGCCAGCACCTATATCGATCGCTTTCAATAAGTAATCGGTTCTATCAACCGTCAGCTTATATATAATCTCGTTTAACTCTTCTAAGAGATAAATAAGAAAACAAACACGAGAAGTTGCGACATACGTGACGTGAGTTCTCCTATCTTGTCGCATCGCGCGCTCGCCCCTTATCTTGCACGGACTCCGAAAGACTGACTCACACCTCCGGGATACACAAACAGTTCTTTGCACCCATACTCGAACGCGATCATGGCTCCCCAAATGACTGCTGTATCTAATATAGGTATGGCACTCGCTGCTAAATCTGCATCCGTGGATATTCCGATCCCTCGCGACGCTGTCAAGGACGGCAGGGGCGGCTTCACTGTCGCATCTGCTCGTCTCGTACAGCCGGCTATGCTTCCAACTCCTCCCAACTCCATCTCTCCTACTCTTCCGCCTCACAGCTTCAAGAATAAATCTCGTCACCATGTTGGAAACTTTCCTATCTCTCCCCCGGTTGCTCCCATGCACGTCGACTCCGATATCGACTTGGAGGATGCTGTCGACCACGCCAAAAGCCAGGATCATCATCCTCACGTGTCGACCAGTACTCAAAACGTCGACAGCGTGGGTGCCATCACTCCGGCAATGTTGGCGAAATATCATTTGCCCGACATCCTGCTCGCTCATGGCCCGCTAGCCATCCGCCATGTCATGGGCCACCTTACCACCACCGTGCCAGGCTTTGCAGGTATCCCACCTGCCAAGGCACGCAGATTGGTTGTAGGAGCCCTAGAAGGTCGAGGCAATGGTGGCGAAGGTGGTGGCGTTGATGGAAACATCATCTTCGAGAAAGTCGGTTGGGGTCGTTGGGACGCTCGTCGAAGTGGCCAGCCGCCCCGTGAACGGCAAGCCTATACTTCATCTTATACTTCTACGTCACCGCCGTCCAGTTTTCCTAGTACTACTGGAGGAATGCAAATCCCTCAGCAATCGCAATGGCGAACTACAAATGATCGACCGGTTTACGGAACCAGTATAGCCGACTCGGCCATCTTCTCACATTCTGATCTCGACTATGGTGACCACGAAGCTGATAAGATGTCACTGGACGGTGACGACGTTCCTGAATATTGCTCTTCGTCCGACATGCCGGAAGACGTTATTCCAGACGACGAATGGGACGAAGGGGATGTAACCGACGAAGAAGACTGGGCCGGCATCGGTGCCGACGCCCTCCGCGCTCGATCCCTCAATGGAGGAGGGATTGTAAATACTCACAATTCTGTACATACACGCGTGCAACATCACCCTGGCGGTCCTGCACCATCTGCCCTGGCCAAATCTGCGCCAGGCGTTACGCTTCAACAATTGGGATTTTCATTACCGGACGGCATTGACGCCGATTATGAAGAACGCGCGGCAGTTGAAGCGCTCTTACGTCTGGGTTCTATGTAACTCGTCCCTTTCACCGTGCATCATCTGTTTAGTCTACACGACAGTACCTTTCTTTTGTTTCGTCATGACGAGGCTGGCCTCTTTCCGCTTTACATTTGCTTTCATTCAGCATACGATACGATACCACTTGCCGGCCGCTTAATCACTCCTTTTGGTTGGACTGGCGTTGGTACGATATATAATTATTGTTTTTAACTTGGGTTATGGATATGGGATGGGATTATCGCCTTTGAAAGGCACGGCGGCGTTCTGGCTTTCAATCTTTCTGGGTTGGGATTATATTGGCTTGGTATGACCTTGAGCCTACGCGAAAGCAAGCGTCGAATGCTCGGTCTTGGATCTCTACTCTGCATGCATATTTTACTTTTTACTCGTTAATATGCTACGAGATTAACAATTAAACGGGGAAACATGTCTCCCTGTTGCTTGATAATATTGGTCTCAAACTGATGCATCTTGAAACAAACAGAAAGAAAGACACTCCAAAAAAAGAACTCGCGGTTGGTCATCTTGACTGTATTGAACTAGTCGCTTGTTTTTGTGTTTTGCTTGTTTCTGTGGCTTGGTCATCTTTATTGATTGTACTGAGTTATGCTATCGGTTTCATGACTGCATATACATTCATATGTTTATAACTACTATATATATTACCTACGTTTGACCGTGTCAACGTTGAATAACACATTTAATACGGTCAACCTTTGTCATAATCATAAAACCATCTAGCCAGTTCATTAAGACTTCTTATTAACAATCCTCCAAACCTCCTCCTCCGCTTCCGCCAATTTACTTCCCGCAGACGCCATCCACGACTTTGCTGTATTGAGTATATCCTGTCCCGTCGACGCATCAAACATCGATCCTCCGGTAGCAGTAGTATTCCCTTGTGATGTTTCAGGCTGCGACAGCGGCAGTCCAGGCGTAGACGTATACGGCGCTGTAGAAGTAGGAGGCTGATACGTCGACAAATACGGCGTTGATGTCGAATTGGGTACTGCTCTTTGCCCCTGGGTTGGTATCGTTGCTTGCGATTGTGGAGGAGGAGCGTAGTATGAAGCCTGTTGTATCGGTTCGCCGACTTTGGGGGGTGGTGGGATATTATTTGCTGGTCTGGAAGGTGTTGATGTTGATGGAGATGATGAAGAAGGGGGTACAGGTCTGGAACCGGGTTGAGGAGCGGGAGGTGTGGAATCTATCGTCGTTGAGGTTGGGTATGTCTTTGTAGGTGTGTATATACTACTCGTAGACGTAGACGGAGACGACGTCGGTGCTGGAATCGCAAGCGCACCTGGCCTCGCAGCTGGATAATTGCTTATGTTGTTGCTATTCTCTGCTATAGTCGTTGCTGAAGTTGGCGTCGCTGGTGCCCATGCCGGACCTTCTCTTTCGGGTTTCTCATTTCCTTTACTGCTAGAGATAACGACGCCTTGTTCTGCTTGTTGTTGCTGCTCAGTTGCTGTAGTTGATGGCGGATTGTTTGCCGTCGAATGAGGGTTTATAGGTGCTGATTTGAATGTTCGGATTGGTGGCATCTTTACTGTTATTTCTCCGTGATCAAATCTTGATAGATGTTAGCAGAACATATATAATGTGTGATGTAGTCTGTTGAATAGCAGAGACTATAATAGTCTAGATCGAGGATGCTCCATCCCTGCCCTAGATACGCCACTACGTCATATCACGTGCCTATCGGACAGGTGGCTCTACAGTCAACTGCTACCTACGGTAAGCACGGAAGTAATAAAACAATTGCATCTTGATATGAAAGTACAGAGGATAAAAGTAAAAAGGCTGGCAAGCAGTAGTAAAGTACAACAAATAGAAAATTCCAGTGCTCTATGCTTCCAGTTCACCCAGATGCATATTTCTATCCTGAATAACCCACTCCCCGACAACACTATCTATCCCCTCATCCCCGTCTTCATGAATTTTTCCCAAATTAAGAAAGCTGTTTAACCAGAGCCACCCTTGAACTTCTTGCCGAAGAGGACGAGCTGAACCTGGTCGTAGATGGACAACACACCAGCACCAGCAACACCACGGAGGATGTTAGCACCGGCACCCTTGAAGAAGGACTTGACACCCTCCTTGGCGGCAATCTGGCGAGCAGCATCGAAGGAAGACTTGTACTTGACGGCTTCACCAGAGGTCATCATCATACGACGACGGATGGTGTCAAGAGGATAAGAAGCAATACCAGCACCAGTGGTGACAGACCAACCGAGCAAGAAGGAAGCAAGGAAGTTACCCTCAAGAGGTCCGACGAGGATGACAGGCTTGAGCGAGTCGTACATACCGAAGTAGAGACCACGGTAGACGATGATACCAGCGACGGAGACAGAGAAACCACGGTAGAGACCAGCAATACCATCAGCAGCAAGGGTCTTCTTGTAGACATCAACGAGACCGTTGAACTGACGGTCACCACCGCCCTTGGCAGACTTGGCGTCGTTGGCAAGACGGGTACGGGCGTAGTCGAGAGAGTAGACGAAGAGGAGGGAAGTGGCACCAGCAGCCTGCAGGCGATTAGTATATGGATATTGAAAAAGAGATCAGAAGAACACATACACCACCAGAGGCCAAGTTACCGGCCATCCACCACCAGTATCCATCACGGTCCTTCTTGAAGGCGAACATCGACTTGTAGGTATCACGGAAAGCGAAGTTCAAAGCCTGGGTAGGGAAGTAACGGATAACGTTGGCAGTGTTACCACGCCACAAGGACATGACACCCTCAGCAGCAGCGGTACGACGGAAGCAGTCCATGATACCACCATACTTGCGGTCGAGACGACCAGCGCGAAGCATCTCATCCTGTTTGTTGTTAGATAAGTTGAAGTTTTGAAGTATGAGCATAGCAATCGATCGAGATATAGCGAAAATTTTTTCATTTACTCTGCTCGACCCGAAACTGCTGTAGGACTTCTGATAGTGATTCTAGCTTACCTGGTTCTGGATGAGGAGCTTGACACGCTCGATGGGGGCGGCGGCAGTCTTGGAGACGGCAGCGGAAACACCACCCACTGTTGTATACGTTAGCTATCCGGCCGGAAACCCGCGAAAACAAGCCATTCAACAGTTCGGATTGACTCAATCCGATCCAATTGAAAAGGCTTTTGCTATTGTTGTGATCATGACTTACTCAAAAAGTCGACGACGAATCCCTATCAAAATAACGTGTTAGTGACACGGCACGGTAAAAATCGAAACCAGGACCGAAATAGCTGCGCCAGCTGGCATCAACACCGGCCAAAAACCCATCGCTGTATCAATTGCAAGAAGCTCACTCGATCCTTTGGAGTAATGCGATACTATTGCGATGGGTTTTCGATGGATTGTTGATACAGCTGGTCTCCGGATTGATGGCGGTCAGTGCTATGGGAAAAAACTTACGGGCATGCCGAAGACGGTCTTGTCGCCTTGGGAAGCCATCTTGGAAAATTATCGTCTGTTACAGACGAAGAATGAGAGGAGATGGATAGAAAAGAAAACAAGAAACAAAAAAAAGACACAGGTGTCTAGATGGCAAAGCAAGACACTGCTTGAGGATGGTAGGGGGAGAGGAAGGAGAAGAAGGAGAGAAAACAAGAAAGAGATTTTTAAAGCGGGAAGGGAAGGAGCGAAAAGCGGCAAGACGAAAGTTTTCAGGCGCTAAGGCCAAACAGGGCGACCTAGGTAACTCGAGTAACGGGCGGATGACCGGCCAAGCGCTGCCGGAGAAAATTTCTCAGTTGCCGACATCTCCCGATTGCCATTCGCCAGCAGATAGGGGTTCTACCATTCTATGTCTTTCTTATGCTTCTTGATCTCTTTGCTTTCCATATCAGTGAGCCAGCGATAGTTACAGAGTTATATACTACATATGTAGCATCAATGGCAATTTGCTGGTGTTCCGCGACAGCCGCAGACGCGCCAGTCTGAAGATAAGAGCATAGGGACATCTCTACGACCTATCAATTTGGTTCCAATGCGTGCGGTTCATATCTGTTCTCGTTGGGTACTTCTTCATAGCCTATAATCCTTACAACTTCTTTCATTCGCATTGTTAGGTCAGGCTATTGAAGCAATTCAAGTTGAAGTGACCCTAAATCCTTATGGAGCTCCTTGCTCCACTTTGACTTTTCCGCCCTCTGATTGGTCAATCTGGGTTCGGTATGCAAAATTTGTATGGAGCTTCCCCGATATTTTTGTCCGATTCACGGTCTACCATGAAATATCATCATTGTAAAGCAATATAGACCCGAGTAGCATACATTCATGCAAATATAAGTGAAGATATACACACGCTACTATTCAACAAAAAGGGACTACCCAGTCAGACTAATGCTTCTTTGACCTCTTTCTTTTCTTGCGAGATCCTCCCTCGCGGATATCAACCTTCATCTCATCGTCATTCTTCTCGGGTGCAGCAGCAGGCGCCTGTGGTAGCACAAATTCCGGCTCTTCTTCGGTACCAAAAGTATCCTTGCGCCATTGACGAAGCCGGGCTTTCTTGCCCATCTTCTTCAAGTCGCGGCGTTTTCGCTCAGGGTCACGGAACGTGGCGAGCTTCTTCAGCCCGACGAATTGATTTAGCTGGGCGTCGTCCGCCATGAGGATATCGCGGGCAGTAAGGCCGAAGCTTTGAGGGGATGTCTCTCGGTAACGGAATTGAGATGCATTCTTCCTGGTTGCACCCGGTAGTAGGGTGGGATCAAGGTCTAAATTGCGGTCGACTGCTTGTTCAATGAGTCGTTTTTCTTTACGCGCTGCTCGTTTTTGATCGTGCTTTTCTTTGGTGCGGCTCTTCTTCGTAGCACGTCCACTTTCCTCATCGTCTTCTTCCTCGTTGGCGGCTTCTTCGTCGTCGTCAGTAAGGCTGACAGGGGGCACAGCTTCGTCCTGAAAGTCCGGTACCAGATCTTTAATATCAATATCATCGTCCCATGTAGGCTTCTTGGGTTTTCGTTTCTTCTTTCCTGTAGACTCTTCATCCCCGTCTAATTCGGCATCGTCCTCAGCATAGTAGTCCTCACCGAACCGCTTGGCCATCTCCTTCTCCCATTTTTCATCATCCCAATTGTCATCGAGAAACCGTGCCCACTCTTCCTCCGTAATATCAGCCGCCTTGAGTCCGGCAGCTTGTTTGATTTTCTGCACCTTCTCTTCTAATTCTTCCATTTTCAATTTCCGTAGTCGGTTCTTTTGGTTTTCCCGTTCCCGGCGCTCCGCTTCCTTCTTTTCACGCTCAGCCTCCCTCTTCTTCTTGCGACTGCTCATCTCTTCTCGGCGAACGGAAAACTGATTTGCGGTATCGCGAGCATGTGTAATGAGCTTTTCGTTTAGCTTGTTAGGGTCTTCGAAACGGAAGTTGTAGGCTTCTTCAAGAGCCTCCGCTCTCTTTTCTTCTTCCTCATCATCTGATTCGAAAGGCTGGAATTGAGCAGTCTTTGTTGGTATCCAAGCTCTAGCAGACAGGAAATTAGACAAGAATGTTTCAGGATCCTTGTCCGCATTTTCAACGTCAAGCTCAATATCGACTTTTTTCTGGGCTACTTCATCATCCTTCGGTTTTGGTTTCGCAATTAAAAAGTCACCGTCTTCTTCTTCATCTGAGCTTTGGTCATTTGCAGCAGCTTGCATCTCCTGAAGAACACTCTTCTTAAGATCTGCTTGCTCCTGCGCGAACGTCTTCGGGGTATCCTTAGTTTCATCTGCAACACCACCATTCAAGAGGTTCTGTCTGTGATAATCGCGAAGATACATTGGTTTTTCCGTCCTTTTCTCTTGGTCGGCTGCTGCTTCGGATTCTGTCACTTCCGAGTAGAATTTTGCATTCTTATCGTATACGCGAGGGTCTTTGGATCGAATGGCGTCCAAGGTTGCGAAGATCTCTGTATCAAGCGCTTCGGTAGCGAGTTCTCCGTCTTCATCCTCCTCTTCCTCATCTGAGCTGTCCTCTTCATCATTGGATTGTTCGTCGCCGTCGCCTTGATTGCGTGAGTTTATTGAAGTTTTGCCTAATTTTGCTTCCACTATTTGCGTCATTGTTAGTATATAGTATCAGATAAAATAAGCCAAGTCGAAAGAACATACACTGTTGTCGTTCTTCTCTCTTCTTGTTATACTCAAATCGACGAGCGTATTCTTCGTTGATTTTGAAGCCAGCATCTGGAGCCACGGAAACTCCTCCTTGACTGTCGGAATCGCTATCAGACTCGCTGTCCTCGAGAAGCTTTCGCGGTTTCTTTGAAGGCGGCTCCATGTTGTATTGTGAAGCGATGTATGTATAGAAAACTGAGTTGTAGTGTGAGATTTAGTCCAATTTCTCCCATAACATTTTAGACTCGTTATCGGAAAAATTAAGACTGGTGGGGCGGCAGAATTTCCACACCGCCTTTTAAGATTTCCATAGCAGTGGGGCCTTGAATAGCCCTAACTACCAGTTGCTATGGTCGGATTGTTCCCAAGACGGTCTTTACGATGGATGATACTTGACTGAAAACTACCTGATAGTATTCTATTTGCTAAATTAGCCCAATAGCTACTACGAAGTGAGACGGCTGAGTAATTGGATCACGAATGGGATATTTCTGGGCTTGCGATGACCACCACGATAAAGCAAAGTGAAGGTCGGCATGAGCTTTGTACTGCTCAACTATAGGGCCCTCGCAATATAATCCCACAGGAGTCATTCTCTTCGGTGTAGGTATTCTCTTCATTCATTCTCCCCTGAGGTCTGCTGAAACTTCTTTTTTTTTGGCCTTGAATAACCTATGTTGGACACAAGCTGTCTCCTCGCACTTCGTTAGAGAGACAAAAAGTAAAACCAAGTATCAACGGGTAAAGAATGCTTCAGTTCTGTGTGGCAAGTGACACTCTCACCTGTGTCAGATGTTTGAGCAAAATTGGATTCCTTCATACGTGGTATCATTAGGGGATACCTAGGTACAAGTGGGTATGAGGCCTCCGATGAGCGTACAAGTTTGAGTTGCAGAACACTGTAATGAACGGCATAAATCAGTAAACTCTGCTCTAACATACATTGCTATCTAGGAAGGATAGACATGTTCTTAGGAAGAACTTACACATATTCTCACATTAACTGGGAGGTTGATACCACACACCTGTGCTAGTGGACAGCAACCTGTAAGTGTGCATGCTGGTGATGTTGTAGCGCACTATATCAATGCTCTTATCAGTACTTAATTCATTTGCTAGATATATGTATTCCTGAAAGGATTTCTTGGAGTATAACTCACACAAGAGGGGGCCGAAATTGGGAATGGACAGAATGACTGTCCCGTTGGGCAGCATACACCATTACTACATTGCTGTGTGGCAGGTGTACACTATTTGCCAATTCTGTTAGCTTTATAGCACTCAAGAACATTGATAGACAAGCCAAAATATGCTGTGGATAAGTAAGATGACTTACAATATTGCCACAACTGCCACAATTGTTGTTGTCTGTTAGGAAGTTCACGCATCGTCCACCACAGCAATTTGGGTTCACGGTGCCAATACACTATTCAAAAGATGGTTAAATATGTCATTTACTTATATATTTATATTTATTAGGAAATAGGGGTAGGAAAAGAAACTTACAGAGTTACCACATGCACCACAGTTGGTAGGGTCTATTGATACATTTCTGCATGCCCCTGAACAGCACAGTTGACCAGTAATACACTATTTTAGAACCGTGTTAGCTGTCTGAATGCTGAGGAGGAATGCAACTTACAGTTGTGCCACATGAGCCACAGTTGGTAGGGTCTGACAGTACACTTTTACACAATCCAGCACAGCATTGTTGACCAAAAAGGCACTGTTGAAAATAGTATATTAGAGAAATAACCTGTAACAAAGGGACCATGGGAGAAAGTCCAAAAAATATTGATAGAAAACTCACACATGCACCACATGCGCCGCAGTTGAACTCGTCTGTCAGTGTATTTACACAGCATCCACCACAGCACTCCGGGTTTGGAGAGCAGCACTATTTTTTAGACTAGAGCATTAGAGACATTCAACTATTATATGAAGTAGAAAAAGAAGTATCAGAACCGTATACATACCTGATGTCCACATGAGCCACAATTCGAGGCATCCGTTTGTAAATCCACATGTTGTCCATCACAGCAGCTTGGGTCGTCGTAGTCGCACTGTGTAGTAAAAGTGTTATATTCTTGCCTTTTTTTTGCCTTCGAGTACAAAGCTGTCTCCCTACCTCATTTGGACATCCGCCACACTCGTCACCACAGTCACTTTGTATACCTTCTTGATCATCCTGCGAGGTAGTCAGTATAGAGACACCGAATAGATATCCAGGTATGACGTGTAAGAGAAAGAGTATATTGGGAGAGACCTAACCAACTCACCTCACAACTGGAAGTGGACTTTGTGTCAGTTCGTTTGGACCAGTGACCATTTTCTCTGATTGAGGCCTATTGATGATGAGCTCTAGTTTTTGAATATATTGGTAAACCAGTAAACCTACAGCGTTCTTCCATGCAGATGCTGAAATGGAATCAGACGGTAATATGCTCATACTTATGGTATTTGTAGGGCTCGCATTTGGTTGGCAGTACTTTGTTGCTGTCAGAATGACTACATTGAGTCAGCAGCAGGCAGTGAGGGATATAGAAAAGGGAAATTCAAAAGAACGTACCCCAAACAAGAAAAAGGAGCCGCATATTATCTTCGCAACACACGAAAGTTCAGTAGTAGAATTGATTGCAGTTCAAAGCCGAGTCTCAACTTGGAGATGATTTCGATTTTGGGGAGCAGGCCACGATATTCTAGAAATGGGAGATGAACCCATCATTTAAAAAAGAATTTGGTTGGCTCGAATACAGCATGTTGCATATTCACATGCTACTCATAACGATCTGCCTTTCCTCCACAGATTAGAGTTGGTTGAACAAGATACTACCTTCCTGGGGTCGGATGTGCTGCTCCCTTGGTCCGCAATACTACGATGATCTAGAGGAGGCTATAATATTGACTATCCCATTGAATACAAAAGTAGTCGCCACAGTAGTCAAAGCGCCACTTCACCTCCCTGGAAGCGGTATACTTAACCTCATTCATCAGAATGGAACAGTAAATACCTGTAACCCGATAAGGATTGTACAGCTTTGGGTAACGCGTCAGATAAGAATCTGGGGGAGAGTGGAAATACCAGTGAACAAGAGGTGTAGTAGTTACACCATTTCCAAGGTTGGGTTGGGATTACATCTCTTGTAGAAGATGTTACATCTCGTCAAGCCGATCCACAAGGGTAAGAGCAGAGACTGGCTTCCATAGAAAATTCAATTGGCGAAGAATTAATTGGCCAACAGAATTGCCGTGACATAAAAGCCTGGAAAAATCAATATAAGTACGAGAGTCATGGTGGTAGTACCTACCTCGTTGATGTCACCCGTCTCCTGACTCCTGGGAGCTGACGATTGCAAGGAAGATGACACAGACAGCAGCCAGTCTATCACTTTTAAGCGATGGAAAGTAGTACTGAAGCAAAGAGATTCCCAAAAAGGTCCGGAAAGAACAAGGTTATAGTATCAACAATTCATGAGGCGGACTACCTCCTATCATCCTTGAAACTGGGGTTAAGGCACTGACAAGATTCAGGGAGAAGTTCCAGAACATGTGATGGAGATGAATATGGCCGAGCTCGACGTAGGACACAGTATAAATCTGACCACTGAGCAGCATGTTGTAAGGGTAAGGCTTGAAATTCGCTGCATCCTGCAAAATGCCCTCTGTCGTGCCAATATCAAAATGTTAACAGGAGATTGTTGAGGGTAGGGTGGGTCTATGCCCTTTATAGTGGACTGTATGACGGGTAGCTATGTTACTGACGTGATAAAAGCAAACATAGGCCTTCTTCGTGCTTCATCTGTTATCGTAGGCTTGAATTTGAGATGGTCAACTATAGACAAAGACAATGGTTTCAAGGCTGTCAGAGACTTGGAGGCTCAGGCGACCAGGCAACAATTGTTGTTACCCCGGAGGACCCACAGGCGACTAGCGTATCCTATCTACCTAGCGTCATTCATTGTCTCGTTGTCTACAAATTTCACTGTTTTATTCTGTCGTCTTCTATCTCCAATATATCCGCTCTGTTGTCTATTACATTATTTTAATCTTGACATTTAGGGAAACATCGAGTTTGGAGACTGCGTTGTATGGCTGTTCCCTAGCTGCTGTAAATGGCGGCGTCACCTCAGCCGACCCCCATCCCCCAGGTCGGGAAGCTCGTCAGTGTGGTGTACGGATTCCCCTCTTATGACTGCGCATTGCAAGCTCATTTCTAATTATGTTTGCTTAGACCTGTCGGTCTTAAAGAAGCGGCCCTCGATTCCCCGACGTTTCGTGCGACTACGGTACACTTCGCCGATCAGATCGAGTACGTTGAAAGATGGCTGGACGGCTACGCAAAGGCAGCTGGCAAGCTCGCATCAGAGCTTACGGTTTTTGAGCAGTCGATGACATCCTTTATGTCTTTCATGATCAATTCTCTCAACGTCTCCGAGGCTGTCATCGACCATGACTATACCCTGTTGGCTGTGAAACGAAGTGGAGACTGTTTGAAGGATACATGGGGATCACTTTTAGGGTCTATCAGGAAAGCGGATCGTTTGGTTGTAGACCCGATCAAGAATTTTATCCAAGGAGATTTACGTACCTTCAAAGAGACTCGTCGTACATTGGAGCACACCCAGAGGAATTATGACCATCTCCTATCGAGATATTCCGGACAAGCAAAACAGAAAGAGCCATCTGCTTTAAGGGAAGATGCGTTCCAACTACATGAAGCTCGCAAAGCTTACCTTAAAGCCTCCTTGGATTTCTCAATTCAAGCGCCGCAAGTACGCAACACATTGGACAAGCTCTTGGTGAAGATATCGTTCGACCAATGGCGGGAGACAAAATTAATTCATGATCATAACATCACAAACTTTCCAAAGTGGGGTCAGGATATGGACCGTATCAAGGGCTGGGTACATGAGATGGAAAACAGTGAGAGGTATTCTCTCAAGGAATTGTTATCTGCTCGCAAACAAATCGAAGATGCAGCGGAATTAGCGACGAGACCTTCACGTGAATTAGATGACTATTCTGTCTCTACTGTTCCTTATCTTGGACAAACACTTTCGATTAAATCCACCGGCGAGAAACCTTCGAAAGCAGAGAAACAGGGCTGGGTTTATTTGAGAACAACTACCGGTAAACCTACGAGGACAGTATGGGTTCATCGTTGGGCTTTCTTGAAGAATGGTATATTCGGATGCTTGGTACAAAGCTCAAGGACTGGTGGTGTCGAGGAAACAGAACGTATTGGTGTTTTACTCTGCAACATTCGTCCCGCATTCCAGGAAGAGCGGAGATTTTGCTTCGAGGTCAAGACTAAGAAAAATACCATTATGCTACAAGCTGAAAATCAGAAAGACTTGATGGAATGGATCGGTGTCTTTGAAGCAGCGAAGCAAAAGGCACTAGAAAATCCAGCAAGCTCAGTTGCTGGGAAGCTCGTTGTTCAAGATCCTGCTTTCTCTATTTCTCAACCTCCAGCTCCCGAGTTTACATCTGATAGCACTGAGTTCTTGACTTCCAATGCTGGAGACGATCCATCCAATCTGGAACGCACACCAACATTGCCTGTTCCTGACCGCGATCCGTCGTCAGTCAGAGCCAGCGGTGATTTTGCTAATTCTGCTAGACGTATACCAGGGCTCGATGGCGAGGCAGGCAGCGGCAGAGATCATGCATCGCGGATCATTCAGAAATTTGACATTCACCGGAAATCGACTTCGCCAGTTGCAGGGTCTCCTATAGGTGGTAGTAGCGGCGGCATTGCAAGTCTCATCACAGCCAGCCACAGTCTGCTACCGTACAGCCCTGCTACCGTTTTAACGCGGTCGCAAGCAGAAATTGATGCCAGCCAACTCGGCCGTGACGACCAGGCAACCACTCTTGCACCTAGTACCTTGGCAAATCCACCAGCTCCGACTAGTATGAGCAAGGTTGCGGTTGCCGTGAGCAATGAACGTGGTATTGGTGTAGGACTTGCAGATTCTACAGGGGGCATGCCTAGTGGGATGATGGCCAACCTCTGGGGTAGTGCGAACTGGGGATTTGTGAACACATTCCATACTGAAGGAATTCGACTACGTGACCCGAAAGCCTCCAGCGAGGAGAGGGCTTCAGCGGCTTCGTCGAACACGGTGGTCGACGATTCTAAAGCTTCTGCAGCTGCACCATCAACCACGCGACCCGCAGCTGCTCGACATAGACAAACAGTCAGTCTTGACGGAGATGCTAGCAAGCTACAGAGATCCGTCATTGGCCTCACCCATGAATATCCCAGTTACTACCCTCAACAGCTGCGTTTTCAAGACGCCCAATTTCGGCTTCTGTTCCCTCACGTCAAAAGGGAGGAAAGCCTTGTTATGGTCTTCAGAGCGACTTGGAATCCCAACGACAATCAGGAGTTCCCTGGTCGTGCTTTTGTGACAACTCAAAACCTATACTTCTATAGTCACCATTTCGGACTCGTCCTGACAGCAAGCCAACCACTTGATAGCGTATCCGAAGTGACTGCTGCAAGCGGAAGAGACTGCGATTTCTTGTTTCTCCACATAGTCCCCATGCCCGGCACTGAGACTCAACGCCGTGTGACAGTAAAGACGTTCCTCGAGCCCTTACGATTATTACAAAAGAGACTGAATTACATGATCAAGGTAGCTACGTCAGAGGAGCCGACGGACTTAGAAACGATTTTTAAAGCATTGGTGAAAATGGAGACCGATTCTCTACCCAGATCAGTCAGCTTGGATAGCTGGGAAGATGTATCCTTGGACGTCCCAACAGATAGCCGAGCGTCTCGTTCTGGTACAGGTGGTTACAAGGATCTCAAGGCCCCGGTATATGTGGAGAAAGACTTGAGCGCGGATTTTGAAAGAGCCGGTAACGGCAGAGACATTCAAAAGTTCAAATTGCCAAATCAGCCGGTCCAATATGTACCACAAGGCAACTTGCATGTTGCTGCTGAAAAGGTATTTGATATCAGCTCCAAGGCCCTCTTCCACGTCCTTTTCGGTGATAAGAGCGTGTTGTGGCAGTCTTTATTACACGAAAGAATGGCGTCAGGTTCGTTAATCACTTACTATCAAAACTTCTGACATCCGGCTAACCGATAGACAGATATCAAGCAAGGGCCATGGAGAACTCTGGACTCCGGACACATGAGACGGGACTTTGATTATTTCATTGAGAGGAATGACCTATTTGGTAAGGTTTACAATGTGAACCTGCAGCGGGTTGTCTAAAACGAAATCTAATTACTCAAACCTTTTGAATAGGGCGATTGATCAAGACGAGAGTCTCGGACTACCAAATCATTGATGTCCTTAATGATCATCTTTGCTATGTCGTTACAGATAAACGGACACCATGGCACCTACCCTTCCGGCGAAATTTTAGACTCGTCAGCAAAATTGTTGTCACCTACATTTCAAAGTCCAAGTGCAAGCTGGCCATCTACACCAAGGTTGAATGGCTGTGGTCGCCTTACGTTTTGAAGAGTGAGTCGTATGCACGGAGGAATCCAGCTTATATTAACAATATCATACAGGTATTATTGACCGGCAGGCAATGAACGATCTAGAGCAAGATGCTTTAGATTTAGTAGACTTGATCAGTGATCAGGTCCGGAAACTGGGTCCTCGCAGTCGAACCAAGCGGGCTATCACCATTTTTGGCTTGATTGGGCATGAAAAAGGTGTATTTCAATACTCCACAGCGGACGCACGAGCTATCACGCAGGCACACAAATCCCGGAAACAACGCTCGCTGACATACTTGATCTTTGAATCTACGGTTTCCTTTTTAGAGAGTGCAGTCTCGGCTCTGATGATGTGGTTCTTGGCCCTTGTACGGTGGATATGGAAAACTTGCAACGCTCATAGTCTGATTCTTGTATTATTGGGCTCAAGTCTACTGATCAATGGCTTTTATTCAACACGCGATACATATGAGTGGTGGCATGAACGCAAAGCTACCAGTCTCCTTACTCGGCTGGGCGTTCATTCCGATAATTTCATGAGCAAAGCGATATATGTCAGAGACCTTGAAGATGCCATAGCTTACGCTGATTCTGCGTGGGCAAGAGGTCCTGATAGCAATTCCAGCTACTGCTTCTCGACATTCCATGAGCAGATGATGTTCAACAACGACAATCCGCTATCTTTCTCATCAAAATACCCGACAGACGATTACGTGGAGTGGAACGCCAACCGACGTCTGCGGGCTACTCGCCAACGACTCGGTACATATCGACACGACCTGGTCGTTGCGCTGCGAGTCGTGAACAGAATCGAAAATGAAGTACTGAAAGGCGAATGGGAACGATGGCTTGAAAGAGAGACGTCGCGATGCGATCGAGTTTCGGGGATCTTGGAAAGCCAAGTAGGTGATCGTGAGAAGAACGAAAGCGTTCTTTCTGGTCATGAGCAGGATGTGAAACGGTGGTACGACCAGTATTGCTCCAGTTGCCATGAGGAATTGCAGCAGTTGGAATCGTCGCTTGTTTAACTTTTCGGAACTCATCCCCACCGGTTTTTCTTTTCTGTACAGCCATTTCCCCGGAGTCTTCTCTGCTTCTAGATAACCCCGTCGGCATCATTTGTACATATATCTGTGTATCCCTTGTAATAATTGCTGAAATATAACAACAATTCTGGACATATCCACAAATGTGCAGACTGCCATGGCAATGGCGCATGTATCCACGCTGGTAATCGAGATTCGCCGTCTAGTATCAATTTATCAATTCTGGCGAGGTTTCACATGGCCTTCTTGAACAACATAATAAACAACTGTCCCGTCACCTCCAACAAGTCTATCGACCATAGCGAGTAGCAAGCGTTTCCCGCCCCATTTATTCTGTTTATCCGCCTCTTGCTTTTTCTCGAAGTATTTTGCCAGTTTGGCTTCCTTGTCTTTGTTAACGTTTTCTTTGATTTCTTCAGCAGTGCCAGTTGAGATGTCGGCCCCAGTCCTTGGCGGAAGTGCATCGAAAACAGTCGCTAGTTTCCCCAATGTCCATGTCTGACCCTGTGTGCTGGGTAGAACCCATAGCCGTTCGGAGGGGAGATCCTCTTCTCGAAGGCCTAAGTCGAGTAGGCACAGTTGTTCGTCGGGATGAGTGTACATGCGCTGCGGAGGAATGCCAGAGATCAACGGGACTGAAAAACCTGGTAGTGAAGAATAATCTGAAGGGTTGTGGATCCTTAGGGATGTCCATAGATGTTGGTGTTGGAGGTTGTGATAGACCTGGGTTGTGAGCGCATGGAGAGGATCCGGAGATTTGGTCTTGCTCGTTGTGGAGATGAGCGTTGTCAGTGCGGAGGGCTTGGGAGCGTCCTCCGTCGAGCTCGGCATCCTTCTGAGATATTGTGTAGATGTCTACACACAGATGCGATCAAGAGAGAAAAGTTAAGCGGGTTAAGATAGTGGGGCGGATCACCCCTGCCGCAAGCTCCAGATTCTTTTGTTAGCGGCATCCGTTGTGAACATGTGGCATCTGCCACTGTCACCTTACTGTCCGGATATAAAATTGTGTCTTCTTTCTTTCTCATGATAGAATATTCTCGATGATTTGAACCCACTCCTTTATATTTCTTTTCTCGCCATTAGATCTGTCCTCTTCCGGTCTCGAGTTGCGATTTGTTCCTCCGATAAGTAAATACGGTACGCCAACTTTCGTACAAAATGGCGCGAACGAAACAACAGGCTCCTTTACAAAAGACACCGTCATCAGATATTATGGAACGATTGAGTGATCTGCCAGAATCTAATGCTACACTTCAAAATGGCCATTCCACTCCGTCCAAGCCCAGCGCAAACGGTAGTGCAAATTCGAAGCCAGAAACATCGGGGACGGAGGACAACAGTCCCGGTCTGGTTCAGTTGGCCATTTGTGTTGGTGGAATTTATGCTTCTTTGTATGACCTATTCTCGTTACCATGTTTTATTACTAGGCGGCAGTCCCGCTAACTCGAGGTATTTAGCCTTCTATGGGGTGTTCTGCAGGAAGCTATTACGACTACTCACTATCCCGCTCACGAAGCCAAAGGAGAATCAGAATCCGCCGAGCGCTTTACGTTTCCGATTGTTCTCAATACTATTCAATCATGCTTTGCAGCGGTGACAGGCTCTCTATATTTATATTTTTCAACACCAAACGGACAACCGGTGCCGTCGATCTTTCCCAACCGGAGGATTCTGTTCCCCTTGATTTTTGTTAGCATTTCGTCCTCGCTAGCGTCACCCTTTGGCTACGCTGGCTTGCAACACATTGACTACTTGACCTTCGTCCTCGCCAAGTCATGTAAGTTACTCCCAGTTATGTTACTTCACATGACTATCTTCCGGAAGCGTTACCCCTTGTATAAATATGTGGTGGTTATGTTGGTGACTCTTGGTGTCGGAACTTTTACTCTGTATCATCCCGGAACTTCGAAGAAGATGGCTGCTTCCACACACAGTGGGCAAACACTTTACGGATTGTTCCTTTTGTTTATTAATCTGTTGCTCGATGGCCTCACCAACTCTACACAAGACCACGTCTTCAGCTCACCGAACCTATATACGCGCTATACAGGACCGCAGATGATGGTTGCCCAGAATTTTCTTGCAACTGTTCTCACGACTACATACCTACTCATTGCTCCGTACTTGACAGATAACGGCCCTATTGTCTCCTTGCTACCATTCCAGATCCCACCCTCGGCTGGTTTGGAATTGTCGTATTCCATTTCATTCCTACAACGCCACCCGCAAGCCCTAAAACATGTCTTGGGATTTGCTGCGTGTGGTGCAATCGGTCAGGTCTTTATCTACTATACGCTTTCCAAGTTCTCGTCATTGCTTCTTGTCACTGTGACTGTCACCAGGAAAATGCTCAGTATGATTATTAGCGTGTTCTGGTTTGGACATTCTTTGACGCATGGCCAATGGCTCGGTGTGCTTCTCGTCTTTGGTGGTGTTGGCGCCGAGGGAATTGTGCAGAGACGAGAGAAGAAGGCAAAAGAGGCAGCAAAGCTGAAGAAGAACCATTGATAGTTTTGTACTTTGATAGACACTGTCCTTCTCTCTGTATATATCTCGATAGACGTTTAAGTAGTGTCAACATGCATTATGATCACCATAAATTCATTTACACTTTAAGCTATACGTAGTCAGAGAAAGGACAGGGGTTACTTCCTCCCTTCAACCATAATAATATGATACCCAAACCCAGTCTTGACTTCAGCATATTTCGGATTTGCCGTCGTGCTCGGCTCAAGTTCATATGCCACTTTCTCAAAGTCACCGTGTAGACTTCCTCGTACTTTCCAGCCTAGTGAACCGCCTGTAGGAATCCTCCCAGAAGGGCCGGGTGTGGTTAGTATAGCTGACTCGAAAAGTAGTTGGTTGAATTTGTTCAAATTACGAACCTTGTCGAGCTTTGTCCTCTGAGTATTCTCTGGCAACATCGTCGAATTTGGCGCCGTTGCGGAGTTTTTCTAGGGCTTCTTCCTTTTTGGAGTGTTTCTCGCACTGTTGTGTAGGGTTGCCCCATTACATCGATTAGTTGGAAGTTCGATTTATACTGATGTTCGGCATGGTATATCAATGGAGAGGGCGTGTAAATTATCTCACTGCTCAATTTCTAGAATGATTCGACGGGATTGCCGAGGCTAAGAACAAGTCACGAAGGTATACATACCAAGATATGTCGAACATTAATCGAGTTCGCGGCCTTTAAGCCCTTGCCTCCTTTCCCTTTGTCATCGCCATCCGAGGAGTCCTTTCCCTTTCCTTTGCCCCCTTTTGTTTCCTTTTTGGGGCCCATCGAGACAGATAGTATGGAATATTCAATGAACTCGGCTTGTAATAGATGACAGCCGACAGGAAAAAGTTAACGATTGCATCAGATCAATCTGATAAAAAATGTGTATAAGAAGTCCGTTGTACTCCGTACATACTGGGAATGAAGCGAATTGTGGGGTATCAATATTTCTGCCTCAGGCATAACTACAGTTATCACTTCCTTGATTTGAGGGTCATCATAAGTAGTCTCAACGACAACATTACCTTCAATACGCATCAATCTTGAGAAGCATCTCTATTCCCAGATAAGCACAGAAGGAAATACAGTCGACATATCAGCGAACAACAAATGACAGTTCTTGATACAGCAAGTGTCACCAGCTTGCCCGAACATGCATATTATATCCCAAACTTCATAACAGCTGATGAGGAGGAGCACATTTTGAAACAGGTGAATTATATCATATACCATATTTTTGGATTTAATGGTCAAAATGGGTTCAAGTTGACAGTATATAGATGAATTCCGTTCCTCTTCCAAGATGGACTCAACTCTCTCATCGAAGACTACAGACCTGGCCATCTGCATTGACTAAATTAAATGCACTCCTAGCAGCACCTTTACCTGAATGGTTACATGACCCTATCATCAGTCCCAGACTCGAACAGCTCGGCTGTTTCTCAGATGCACCTCACAAGGCCCCAAACCATGTGCTGATAAACGAATACTGTGCCGGACAGGGAATCATGCCACATGAAGATGGACCCGCATACTACCCGCTTGTGGCGACGGTCAGTCTAGCAGCTCCGATAGTTCTGGATCTTTACGAGAAGAAAATGGGAAGGGAAAGTGTTGGTGTTGGTGCCGGCCAAGAGGGTATGGGGCCCAAGTATCGAGTTTTGCAAGAACCTCGGAGCTTGTTGATCACAACTGGTAGTCTATATACTCAGTACCTGCATGGAATTGCAGAGACGCTGAGGGATGACAAACTGACACCAGAGTCCATATGTAATTGGGACCTCCTCGGAGACCCGCAGAACTACGCAACAGGGACTTACGAGAGAAAGACTCGAATCAGTCTCACCTACCGCGATGTACTCAAGGTAGCGAAGTTGGGAAATTCAATCAAATTCCTGAATCGAGGAAAATGATGTCGATAACTTCTCTCAACCTGTAATACGTTCTTCTCTGGGGATTTTATCTCTTCAGAATATACCAGGTATCATCTTCCACTTCCCACGAACACTATCTTCGCCGAACTTGGCTTTGTACCATTTTTCCGTGTTGTATGCTGTGACACCCAGATTCGCCACGACAAACAACAACCCACATAGAACAGACTTGTTGACTATTTCTCTATGCGGTGCTGCAAGAAAGGCTAGAGAGAGGTATATCGCGCATTCTGCTGTATAATGAGGGCAGATTATCCATTGAAACAGGGGATGTTTTGGAACGGTATATCCTTTCAGGGAGGAAAGGTAATGATGGGCATCATGCTGAGTACCAGAAGCTATCAGGAAAATCGGGAGACATAACAGCGTCCTCAGAGATGGAACTTGAGATACTCGCAGATCATGGATGGTGAGCGTTGTGGATAGCACAGACCCTGAATTCTGATTAGAACTTATCGCAACCAAATTCATCGACTTTACTCACCCGACCCTTCAATCCAAACAGCTGTAGTGATACCAGCGTAGAAGCATAGACCCAATAGCCAATGCACAACCCACATCCGAGACGACGAAGGTTTCGCAAGCGCAAAGCTCTCATAAAGTCTCCTACCGCCTTGAATGAGCATCAGAGTCGTACACAGAATAACCTGATGTACGGTCATGGAGTTTTGTAGATGCTCTTCGCTCATGTTGGACGCAACGAAACGGAAAGCCGGACCTTTCGAGAGAAGCTGGCTGATCCAGAATGCGGAGGACAAGACAGAAAGCACGTAGTAATGCGTAAAATATCGATGTGGTACCTGCCACGTTGTCAACGTATCCATCAGTTGCGATATGAATCCGGCATTGTGTGACGGCGTCGACGAAGATTCATCAGTGGGTTCATGAGCGGCCGATTTCGATGGGACGGCATTGTTTCGGCCGCTTGTGCGAGCACCGTAGTTGACAAATCGGATATTCAAGACAGGTATCGAGAAGAAGGTGAATGTCTAGACAGAAGAGTGGAATCAATATCTGCGAAGGAGTAGGACAAGATGGATTGTTTCATGGGATTCTGCGCACTGTACATGCGGCGAAGATAAAGCATAAACGAATCAAATCCGCAACGTCCATTCCCAATATATTCTGCACAATTGACGTCTCACTTGATGGCATTGTCGGCTGTTCTTCTGTTGTATTAAGTAGATGAGTGCGGTGTGCCATACGGAAGCGGCATTAAATGACGGAAGGTTGAGGCTGAAGGCGTCTGTACCGAGATGACAAGTAAATACGCCAAGTGGTAAATTATCATTATTTGTTGTAGATTTATTAGGCAAAAACAGTTTAAAATATTAGCGTATCGTATAACCTTCGTATAGTAATTTTTGAAGGTAAATTGTAGCTGGAGCTAGGCGCCACCAGTAGCTTGGCTGCGCTCTGATTGGCCTGTTGCCCTACAACACACAAAATTCTCGCTTTTCACAGATACCACGTCACGCATCGCTTTGAATCTTTTGTTCGTGTCACCGACTAAATTACTCACTATGTAATTAATGTGTCCCAGTCCTCATTTAACCCCTCAATCCCCGGCAATTTCGGCGTTCTACGGCGGTCGTGCATTGGGCGCGCCAGCGTGATGGTCGCAGGATGAAAGCGGCAGCAGGGATCGACAGAAGAACCGTAGATTGGTTGCGACCATTGCGAGCCTTAGGCCGCCTAACAGTGGAGAGCGGTGAGACCCCCTATGATAAAGGAGTGCATCTTCATGCCTAACGTCAAATTTTTTATTTAAGTGATATCTAAGCTAAATACTATTCAGCATGAAAAGATAACAAACTGATAAGATTATCCAGTTGCTGATCGGACCAGCCGAGAACGTTGAATGGTGTGTTTCGCTCACTCGATCGAGTCGATCCAGATTATGGCGAAACTAAGGCTGTATTGGCCACTCCTCAGGCACGGGTGGCGGCACACCACCAAGAAAAATTCCTCCTTGTCGGTGTTGTACATGGCATGAGCTCTCATAGAAAGCTGGCCTATTAATCACGAAGATGATAATCTTGTTTGGCCGTCTAGACTGTAGAATCTCGACACGTTATCAACAGCGAAAAGATCAGCCAATCCCGCGGCGAAGAAGGTTGGCCAATCAGTGCACCGCTCGGCCGTACCAGCCCCATCTTTGACTCAGCTAGTCTAGAATAGGCTTAGTGCGTCTGGTGCTGGTTCGCTCTTTCCAGCTTTGAAGCACTCGCCCTTGCCCAAATGCGATCTTGAGACTCCACCAACTCACGTTTCTCTCTCTTCTCTGTCTTCTCCCGTTAACTCCTCTTCTTTCTCTCCCTGATCTTTATTCCTCTTTCTTCTCTCCCATCTCGACTCCCTCTTCAACTTTCTCTTATAAGTATCGTCTCGTATTAAATTATTTTACATCCTTCGTCACCCCTTACGATACCTATTATCTTCACACACATCCTCCACGCGCCAACTACCGTGTTGCCACCACCCGCTCTAGCGCATCGGTCCTCTTTGTCTACCTCGAACTGTCTCCGCTTGTGATTCGGGCCTCGACAATTTTTCACTGCTACCGATAAAACCCACAATCCGGTAGTAGTCTTAATTTCGCATCGAATTTGTCCTTCACAATCGCCGCCACGGCAGTCCACTATGACGAGCACATTTCAACAAAGACTGGTTCAATCGCTATGAGTGATGCAGACGGCCCTCCGTCGTCGTCGCTAGATGCTGCCAGTACTGATGGCCCCGATATGGTACAAAGGGACAATGTAGCACGAAAGTCTTCACCGTCTCCTCATCGACAGGATGAGAAACCGTCGGCTTCTCCGGATAATGTCAACGTGGACCGAGATGAAGGCAGCACAAGGGCAGACTCTGAAGCCGAGACCATTATTCAATCCGGTCGGGAATCTCTTTCGCCAGAGAAGAGAAGAAAACATATACACCATGCTGCTCACGTAAGTGCTGACAAAGGGCGCCATGGGGATGGTTTGGCCGATAAAGAGTCGTCTCCTAATTTGAGAAAGCGCAAGCGTGCCGAGGAGGATTTGCGAGATAATGAACAATTTGTATTTGCGACAAAACCTCGGTCTCGGACGTCATCTTTGTCATCTGTCGTGAAAAGAGAAGGAACAGAGACAACTGAGCCGGTCAAAGCTCGTCGAAACTCGCTACGCTCTCTTCCCGACTCTCGTCAGAATCCTGATGCTCATCCGCGTTCTCGAAAGCGCAGTCCCAGTGGGAGTGTGATGGATGTTGAACTCACGGATCATGATACTCATAATCAAGAACATCGACGTCGTCATTCAACTAAAGAGCGGGAAAGGCGGGAGAATACTCATCCAACAGCAACTTCCACATCTTCGGTGTCAAAGAATCGTTCAGTTTCACCTTCATATCACTCTCATAAAAGAGCATCATCAGGCCCGCAGCAAGGATCGAGTGAGATTCGAAAACGGAAACTTCCGGCACCCTTAGCCAATAACCATCGCCGACAAAGTTCTGAGGATCGACGGTCGGTTTCATCATCTGCCAGCGCTTCTCCAATGCCATCGGCGCGCTCACGGCGACTTACTTCTGAAGGTGCCCATGTTTCTTCGGCTAAGCCCACAGCACACAAAAAGCAACGGGATCAAAATGGACGTACACGCCTTGCAAGAGCTTGCGCTGCTCAGGAGTTTGAAGCTGCAGTTGCACGCCATGCTGAGCGACCAGAGGATTTGAATGTCGCAGATAACGCGGGGAACACACCTCTTCAAATCGCTGCGCTGGAAGGTTGCGCTCCAATTGTCAAGTTTTTATTGGATGCCGGGTGTGAAATCGACACGAGGAACATTGATAAGGACACACCTCTTATAGATGCCGTGGAAAATGGTCATTTGGAAGTCGTTAAGCTACTTCTCGACGCTGGCGCAAATCCTCGATTGGGTAATGCGGAAGGTGATGAACCGTACGATCTAGTTCCGTCTGATACGGAGGATTATGAAAAGATTCGAAGGATTATTTCTCATGCCAAAGCAAATCCACCGCGTAAACGACGCTCCGAAGAACACGGGACTTCATCGTCCGCTAAAGGCTCCGTTCCTCGTGCCACGTCCGGTGCCAGTCCAAGAGAGTCATCTCCCGCACACATGATGATCAGTCCGCCTCCAGGATCGAGTACTTTTAGCAGGCGAAAAACCGTCCGAAGCGAGGCAACGCGCAATGACCTTCTATGGACAAAGGCGACGCCAGAGAATCTTTGTAATTTCGCTGCGAAGGGTGACATGGCTGGCGTAGCCAATATATTGAATGTTATCCAAAAAGCGGACACCGAATCCCTGATTGCGGCTGCCAAAGGTGGACACGAAGACGTCATGTCTCTGTTATTGGGAATGGGTGATGCGGATGCAGATCCAGAACCTGTTCAAAACTCAAATTGCAAGCCTGGTTTTAATACGCCCATGCTGGCAGCTATTGGTCGGGGAAATCTGGCTATTATACGTCTGTTATTGGAATATCCTGGATTTAATCCCGCGCGACGATTGTATAGAGGTCTTGCGTATTACGAAATTGCGGAAGATCGCAAAGGCGAGAATTGGGAGGAAGAAGTGGAGTTGTTGAAGAGAGCATATGATAAGTATAAAGGGATGAAGAAAGCACGGAAGGCGGAGGCCAAATCTCCCAAACGCTCGCGGGAACAAGAAAAGAGTTCTAAGAAGCCTGCCAGACAACAATCTTCTTCTCCGGTTAGCACTCTTCGCAAGCCTGTTCGCAGTCCGGCATCGTCTCGTTCTGTAGATGTTGGCAAAGAGAGTATCAAGAAGCGAGATCCGTCGTTGCAAAGAAAGGAGAAATTTGCCACTACCGTCCGTCAAAAGCCGACTACCCAGGATGACGTTCTTAGCGAGCACTCTGTTGACCACGAAATCTGCAAGCCGAAGAGATCTCTTGCGCATAGACGACAAAGTGATGCGTCCACAGCAAATCGTGGCGATGACGTCCCCAAACGGCGCAGGCTGATTGCCGGGCGACCCCCGGATCGTGACCGACGCAGGCTCAGTCTTATGTCAACTGATTCCGTGTCCTCACGTGAAGAACCACCCAGGTCGCATATTCGTGTTACAAAGGACGGGAAAGAGATTAAAGATACCCTGGAAGTTCCAGTGAAGCTGAAACGTCCGCGCAACAGTGTTTCTCCGGAACGATCACGCTCGCGAGGCTCGGAGCGCGGCAGAGCATTTGAAGATATTTCGCAGAAAAAGAAACGTCGCTTGCAGCACGAAGAAAGCTCCCGCAAATTGGTCAATGGCACTCACAAGAAAAGTGATGAATCTTCAACAGAAGCTACTAAGGTTTCCGCTAGTAGAAAGGATCATCACGAAATAGGCAAGAATTCCAAGGATGCGGTTTCAGAAAAGCGTGTTGTACGTACGGGTGAAGCCTCGATTCCGGTGAAGCAGGAGCATAAGAAGCAAGATGTAGAAGAGCTTGAGCGCATACCAATGGATGAGAACTCTGGTAAGGAAGCTGAGGCATCTGCTGTCAAAGCGAAGGAAGAAATGCTGCGAAAAGAGCGCGATGCCCGCAAGGCCCAAGAGGAGGAAGAGAAGAAAGCAGCCGAACAATTAGAGAAGGAGCGTGTCGCCAAAGAAGAAAAAGCAGCACGTAGAGCGGAAGAGCAAGCTCGCATTGCCCGGGAACAAGGAGAGGAAGAGGAGCGCAAGCGTAAGGAAGTTGAGCAACGACGCGCCAGACAACAAGAGGAAGAACGACAGCGCAGGGCAGAACAAGAGCGACTGCGTATTGCCAAACTTCGCAGGGAACACGAAGAACAAGAACAGCGGCGTCGCGATGCGCTTCCAAACCGACTTCGAATTTCTGCGAACCTTGTGGGAGCCAATGACCCTCGCGCAAAAAGCCATTCATGGTTAAAGAAATTCATGCCTGTGGTCACTGCACGAACCATACAACTAGACTCCTCGTGCGGGCCTGAGGTCGCAGAGGAGGTCTGGGTTCCCAACTTCTTAGTGGCGCCTCTTCTCGCAACCAATGACTTGCAGCTGTCTCAATATGCCAGTTGGGAGAAACGGCAGGCGACTTATACACAAAGGTTGAACCTGTGGCGTGTGACGCGACGAATATTGGTTCAAGGAGATGATATGGAGGTGCCGTGCTCGTCTTTCGGGGAGGTAATTCAACGAGACGGCGAAACACGGCCAAAATACTTCGGTATGGAACATATCTTCTGGGTCAAGTTATCCGACTTCATGGACCTAGTCCCTCATATTCCTCACCTCAACGGCCTTGACATTGAATTCCTGAAAATGCACATCGACCAAGAGCCTTCTTCGCATGAACTCCCCGACTCTTTAGATGGGCCCAAAGTCAATGGTAATGGGTATTATCCTTCTGATCGCCATGAAACGACAGCCACTGTGAATGGCTTAACGAATGGATTCGGACACAGTCGTCCAAGTACATATGTTTGATTCCTGCTGTTAGGCGACTATTGTTACCGTTGCGAACCAATAATGCTGTTACGTTGGGCTGGTAATTTCATTTGTATTACGTGTATGATTATGATACCTCTTACTGTTAGCAACGTATATGACAGTTTTTTTGATTAGAGAATTTTGGAATGCCTCCAACGTGTGTTCGGTACTTCGCTTCAATAACCTGGGGATGTGCGTGCCTAACGTAAGCGGTAAGCGAGTTGGCTAACTTAGTTACTTCTTCCCGAAAACGCGCTCTATTGATTTCAAATATCATTTTCTAACCTACATACAGATTATATACAAGAAATTAATTACTAGTACGATTAGGACATCCAGTTATTTTATGTCCTTCAACACCACGACCACTGCAGCGAAATTGACGTCGTACAGGTGATGAGAGACTGGAAGCTCAGGCTCGGCCGGAGTAGTAACAGCTTGAGATGCTTCAATCTGACCTTGTACGAGCGCCTGAGCTTCCTCTCTAGTAATTCCTTGCTCATGAGATATAAGCTGCTGAGATCTTTGACTTTTATGTTTCTCTTTCTCATGCGCAGCTCGTAATTCCTGATTTTCTTTCCGTATAATCAAGAGATCATTCATAGTCCTTTCATAAGCCTTTTAACATCCGCATAATTGCTTGATCAATTACTTTAGATGAGCTCCCCGTACGCTCACTTATACGTCTCTTAATTGTAGTTGATTGACGTGTAAATTGACGTATATTCTGAGATGTTTGTAAGCAAGATGACTGCGTGTTGCTTGATCGACTTGGAGATGGTGTTGGAGTCTTTAATTGAATAGTAGGCTGTTGATAAACTCGATCTGGATTAAATGGTACTAATCCAGTTTCTGTGAAGCTATTCCGAACAATTTGAGCTTTATATGCCATCGTACAATCCTTTGGGAATGCAGTAGAAAAGTTGATTCTATTGATATGATTGAATCCAAGGCTCATTCGCTGCTCAACAAGCTGTCCATAGTATCGCTTTAAAACAGCAAAGCAGCCAACATCAAGAGGTTGTAAGAGATGTGAGGAATGAGGAGGCATACGGACTGGAATACTATTATTTTCAGTGCATATACGGTCAAATACGGCTGTTAAATGACTTCCATGACCATCAAGAATCAACATCCGATATTTTCTATAATACGGCCATCAGTAAGAGGAATAAAATGGGGTTCAACCCATTCTAATCCAATCTTATCTGTTGTCCATCTATTATCACTAATATTGATTCTCCAGTCATCTGGAAGATCCTCAAACCAGCTTAATCGAGTATTTCTTTGCCTTAAAGATAACGTATGAAGGTAAGGCCCATCCAGTTGAATTAACTGCTTCGATTGCAGTCACCCATTCTCGGTCACCAGGCTGTAATAGATTTGGACGATTATATCGGTCGCTTACAGTAATAACCTTAGCAGTTGCACAAAGTCTCATAGCAAAGCCAGTCTCATCAAAATTATAGATATCTTCTGATAAGATTCCATATTCTGCTATAACGTCTCGTACGCGATCAAGATACTCTTGGGTTATCTTCGGATATTTGCATTTGGCACGCTCGTAGTTATATTTCCGTGAGAACCGTGATTCAATCTCTGGGCGGCGTTGAATAAGATTATATACCCATCTCTCTCCAACCTGTTGATTTCCGCGTTGTGAAAGAAGACAATTGGCCATCTCTCGTACAAGAGAGCATCGAGGAGATAACCCACATTTATCTAGATCTGAGATCCATTTAACAAGCGATCCCTCCTTAGATTGAGTCAATTTATGGCTGTTGGCGCGTATCGTATGTTGATATTGTACTCCCTTTAGTCGGTCTTGGAGAGCCGTACGAGGGATTGTGTAGATCCTTGCAGCTTCATGAACAGTGGAAATTGTTCCATTGTTAAGTTCAACATAGTTAATTAGATCTTCCCCTCTATATGAGCTGATTTTAAGGCATCTTTCTTGCGAATTAGTGGCATGGTGTCGCGTTGAAGTTATAATATTTATACAGAACGCGTTTTCGGGAGGGCCGGATGCGGGCCGCTTATCGATTACGTTAATTGGTAAGTCTAATTACATAATCAAGACCCGCACTTACGGGATCAGGCTAGGGCAAGTCGGCACACTGATTTAGCGAGCATCAAAAATATTCGGAATTGCTTCAAGCACTAAATCTTAAACGAAATTCTCATTCAATCATCACCATCACTCTTTGAGGATAATCCGACATCAAAAACAACAGCAGATAATACAGATCAAAATGGTGCGCCCAATCGATTCCATACTTGCTTTCCAAATTCAAGAGACAGAACACAACCATGGCTAACATTTGATATGTTTTCAACAGTCGGACGGAGAAGAGACTATTTCCAACCCCCCCGTCGCTGAGGCCGAGGATGTTGAGGTCCCCGCCGAGTCCAGCGGTGGACAAATGTCCATCAACGATGCGCTCAAGGGTGTCCTCAAGATCGCCTTGATCCACGATGGTCTCGCCCGTGGTCTCCGTGAGGCTTCCAAGGCCCTCGACCGTCGTCAGGCGCACATGTGTGTCTTGAACGAGAGCTGTGAGGAGGAGGCTTATAAGAAACTTGTTATTGCTCTTTGCTCTGAGCACGATATTCCCTTGATCAAGGTTCCTAATGGAAAGGAGCTTGGTGAATGGGTTGGTCTTTGTATGTTCCCTTTTCTCATTGGGTTGTTAGAACGATTTTATTGGAGAAGAGGGCTAATCGTCGTTTCTTTCGGAAAATATAGGCCAGATCGACCGTGAGGGAAATGCTCGCAAGGTTGTCAACTGCTCTTGCGTCGTTGTCAAGGACTGGGGCGAGGAGTCCCAGGAACGTTCCATCCTCCTCAACTACTTCCAGACTGAGCAGTAAGCGTACAACCGCAAACTACCAGAGCCTAAATTTGTCGCTCTAACTATCGACTACGTTTGATACGAGATGAAAATCCCTTTTTGATCTTAGATCGGGACTTGAGATGATGAATTCGACTTGAATTTCGGCGAAAAAAGTACGGAAACGGGTTTCGTCAGTGTCAGCGCTGGCCTTGGCAAGTTTGATCAGACATGAGAAATGGAACATGAATGAAAAATATCCTTCATGGAGTAACGTGCTATGCCGGTAAAATTTGTGTATAGAGTAAAGTAAGCTTATAGTCGGTTTGTAGTCGCTAATCGTCCGATTGATAAATTGATTTGATTTGCCCAGCGGACAAGCGACATCTGGTATATTCAAGTCTTGAATGATATGTACGTTAGGTGCTGCCTACAATGAAAACAGTCATGCTAAAATGATTAAAACAACACGCTACATAAAACTGCTGTTCTTTCCGAACAACGTCATGGCCCTTGGACAGTAATCATAGCAAGAAGAAGAAAAGCTCAAGTATATGCAAGAAATCGAGAATTCTGCAACAGAATTATCGAAAATCAATTGCCGGAAACGCCATGGTCGGTCTTTCCGGCTTCAGGGACAATTGCTGGTACGGCGAACTACCGGGATCGTAGTATAAGCCTTCTATCTCTCCGGTTCCGCGATGTAAGGAGATGTAATAAAACCCAGATATCGTGAGACCCTGACGAGCATCGGTGGGTGTGATGAAGCAGCGTTCTGGATAGAGACAATTGTTAGTTTGGTCAATGCATAGGCAACGAAACAGGTGGCCTACCCTTCCAACGCATCAAAATCCAATTCTTGTTCATTTCATCAGTCACCCACTTCTTACTCAACAAATTCTTCGTCATCTGATCATCACTAAGTCCTCTGAACGGTCGTAATTCGCGCCAATATGTACTATCAATATCCGCATCGGCTTTAAAACTCGTCGTCTCCAAACTGTGTGTACTCAGATCAATGATTTCTCCTTCCAAAAATGTGACAATATGCGCATCTCGAGTCGGAGATGTCTTGTCTGGAATGTTGTAAGCTTCCATTGTCCCCGTCAAGGTCATTGTCGAATAGTCAATGCTGTGAATGGTGACTTTGACTGGCCACAGTTCATGTTTGCTATTCTCTCGCCGCTGGGATGGGAAATGATGACCTGGTAAGGGGGATAGAGAAGAATCGTTTGCCCAGTATCTTCGACCACTGCTTGTCGACACACTGATGCGGGTTGATGAGCTATCGTGCCCGGAAGATTCCGTGGGTTGTGATATTCGATGAGAGAGCATCTCAAAGTTGCGACCTCCAACGCTGTTGACCGCTTTCTGGGACCCGGAAAAGACCGTCCCCGGCCGCAGCCACGAGCTCGGTGTGGGTGGTTTGATAAAGGAGGTATCGAGTATGAAATCGCTTTCATTGTATGCTCCCTTGAGATGGTCGTATTGTACGACTCCGCCTCTGACAGCAGACTCAATGCTCTCTGATAGTGAGCTGGAGGTACGAACCCGCTCTAAGTACTTGATCGTCTCCCTCAGCTTCGCACTAGGAGGGTTGTCGGTAAGGAATTGTCGATGCGAGTTCAATCTATCTCGAAGATCCCCAGATATATTCCTCAGACTCATTCTCAAAGCGCGCGACGAGGAAGAAGATGCTGCTCCTGTTCTGTCCCGCTCACGATCACGTTCTTCTCGATCCCGCTCATTTGCTTCCTGACGGCTAAGCCGTTCCCGGTCTAAGAGGTAATTCTGGATAGTCCGTGTTCGAGAGGCATATCTTGCACCACGCCTCACAGACTGCAACAACGCCTCAGTGAATGTGCTGCTATTGTGGTCCGACCAGTGCCGGCTGTTTGGCTCTGTGGTTTCCGTAGATTCTATCCTATACGACGGTAATATTACCCCGCTTCCTTCTCGTCTCGAAATTCGAGAAAGAGATGTATTGCGACCGGCCTCTCGATCCAAGCCTCTTCCCACAGTCCAAATACTATCCGGAACTTCGTTCTGCGCAGTATGCTGGTACCCCATGTATTCATTTCCATGTTCTTCTTGAGAGCCTGGCGCCCATCCATACAGCGATCTTGGGCCTGAAATCCGTCCTTCGGAACTCAAATTTGTATTGTATGCTTCATGCGAGCGACTGCTAGTGGGTAAACGCGGAGTAGCCTCGGCGGGTAAAAAGCGTCTTTGTTCGTCAATGTCCATGCTCTCAAGATCCACTTCGGGAAGGAGCGCCAATCGTCTACGTCTAGCGCGACTCGATGATTCGGATGGCGAGTGAGGGCGCGTCCGCAGAAAATTCACGTTCTCATGGTGGGCGTCATCAGCCTCTACTGGAACGCTGATCAGTGTAGCAGCCAAATTGGGCACCGGGTTCGATATCGCTTGTAGTTCACGTAGATATGGATTTGCCACGGCACTTGATGAAATGCCAGGTGTCTCCTGTAGAGATGCGGCGCAGTTAGCAAAAATTTGGGCCATCGCACAGTCAAGCACAACACTTCTGATAAGTAGAAGTGTAGGCTGATAAGAAACACCAGCTGGTATTCGCTTACCGTTGAAGAACTCGTAGGCGGCATTATGGAGGGATATCAAAGGTCTATATCCACGTAAAACATGACGAGTTGTACATACCCTCGATGATAAGAATACTGAGAATCGGCCGAGTGGCGAATGATGTATATTGACGGTTGTACTATCGTCGAACACTCAACAGATAAATTCAAATTCACGACAGAAATAAAGGCGAAGCGTCGCAACGAATGGATCGGCCTGTTGAGCCAGATGGATACGATCTTGAGGGGGTGGTGTTGGCTGATGGTTCGTGATACAGTCGAGGGACATGGTAACATAAGGCGGAGGTTTGCGACGGGGGAACGCCCGCTGACGGCATTGCGGGCGGATTTCGCAGCCAATCATCATTGCGTGATCTCCATCCACTCAACATCCACTATCGAATAACAGACTGTACCTTCGTGGCCGATGTGAATGTCAATTAACTGATGTTTATGAGCGATACAGACGAAAGGACTAGATGAGCTGAATATGGGCAGAAGTCTGATACGCACATGTTGACCTCAACCCAAACAAATTATCGTCGGCACTGATGAAAGGATGTACCATAAACATCCTGTTTACGGTTACTGGAGATACGACTGCATCATTGGCATCGCACTATCATGGTGCTGGTCGGCCCTACCGGAAAGCTAATCCGCGATGCTGGGTCACCTGAAGTTTGTTTCAACATCAGAGTATCCTGGACAATGCCATGATAAGAGTCTCCGTACACGAGGACTCTTCACAATTTAAAACACTAGTTTCAATTGAAATGATAGGGATCAGTTCTAACAATAGAATCAAGAAGGATGTACACATCCTCCTGACCGAACCAAAGCCGCCAAGTCCCCGTCTCTCGCCTTATTTGCCGAGCGGAGTACACTGTTCGGCACGCTCCAAGCATAGAAGGACCAAGTCCCAAAACGCATCATTATCCACAGCCCTAGGGATGCTTACCCCTTGGCCTTCCACCGGCTTTGCTATCGTACGACCTAGCTGCCCGGTGACTGCAGTAGTGCTCCCATGTTGCCCGTCAGTGACAACTTGGACGGCAAATCGCTCTCCGTTTTTGTCGTTGAATCCGAGGACAGTATCCGGATGTGCTTGCTGGTAGTCCGAGTTTAGGCTCGATAAGACCACAGCTACTGCTAACGGATCGTGCAATGGTGGACCCTCCATACCAAACCTTGAGTGATAGGTGTTTGCAAAGAACACAAGCAACTCGTATAGCATTCGACGCAATTTGCTTGCTGTTGATGCTTGTGAGGTGGTGGTCTTCAGTACTCGTTCCTGGATAGGAACAGTCGCAAGCACCTGGTGCGTCAAATCCAATGCTATCAATGTCGTTTTTGGGCTGAGAATTGGATTCGATAATATAGATTGGGCCGCTTCTGGGTCACACTTATTTTGTTATCAGCAATGACCCTGGTGACCTTGAACGATCCAAAAACACGGCTTTGTTCGGCACTTACGTATATATTGAACTCCGCCCACGGCGTAGTGTTTCCAATGCGAGACTCTTCTCCGGGCAGCCGGCTCATGGGCACATCCGTGAAGCCTTCCCCAACGGCTCCACCCATAATACTCAGACCTCTTATATGGTCTGCAACTTCAGGAAAGGTTGCGAATAGCAGGCCAATGTTTGTCAATGTGCCTGTAGCCACGAGCCATGCTGTATTTGGTGGTTGAGCTAGCAGAGCATTGCGCATCGCTAATATTGGGTTTATATCCAGAACAGGGGGTCGGCTTGCTTTAGGTAAGAGGTCTGTGCCGTCGAGACCAGAGTATCCTGTGCAAGTGAAATCATGTCAGACGCTGTTCGTTCGGACCTGTCATGCCCAATTACCTACCATGGATATCCGGCGCATGTACTGCAGCTCGACTAAACGGCTTCTTTGAGCCGGGATAGACTAAAACGTCTGGTCGCCCGATAGCCTCTAAAACACTGCCAGCATTCGCTGTAGTGTTCGCTAAAGATGAGTTGCCATGGACTGTGGTGATACCGAGAAGGTTCAACGATGGATGGTGGGCAGCCAGAAGAATCGCAAACACGTCCTAGTCATGACCGAATGGTTAGGTTAGGAGCCAGAGTCTCTGTAGAATATATGTTTCTCACATCGTGTCCTGCATGCCTTGTTAGTTTTTGTTTTTCTTGCCTAACGTTCCACTAACCTGGATCACAGTCAAGCCACACCGGGATAGTAGATGGTGGCATACCGCAATAGATAGTGAGTGATACGGGGAAAAACGCTCTGACAATGTATATACACTTTGATCCGAAGATTGGATATAAATCGAATAAACACTCGTAGTGATAATTATGTCCATTGAATGTTGCAGGAAGAAAAGAAAAGAGATTATCGCTTGTATCCCACTTCGCGCTGATAGGCTGCTGGGGGTAGTACCTTCATCTTTTGTTAGCTTCCGCGGAGCCACGTCGACTCCGCAACTCAGAAAAAGCTACACTCCATCATCTTTCTTTCTACAACAACCATTCCCTGTCAATTCAGTATTTGTTCTCGACGTGTCCTCCCTCAGTTTCTGATTGCGGAGTGCTAACAGCGATGCAATGACCACGAGCCTTCCACGGAGAGGTCCCTCTCCGTTCAACACTGCTGCAACGACGTCACAATCAAGACCCTCCAACGGTCCCTATACATCCCAGCAGCCCGGTCGTACAAAGTCACGAACGGAGCATCGGAGAAACACACCTGACGCGGAGTTGACTGATACATCGGGTGACAAGAACACCGTTACCTTGATTCGCCGTGTTCTTTGTCCTGATGCCTCCGCATATGGATCGAGCGCACCGCGACCTTTGCAAGACCTCTTACCACCGCTGACCAGTTCCAACGATGTAGATTTGCAATTATACGCTCTGATCGCAGTCATCATCAAGGAGTTTGTTTATTCATGGTACGCAAGGATTACGCCGGATCATGTTTTTGTTGACGAAGTCCTGCAACTGATCGCTCACTGTACGCGGGCCTTGGAACAAAGACTCCGGCGGGTAGATGTTGCGCAACTCGTCCTGGACGAAGTAACTGGGTTAATCCAAGCTCATTTGACTGGTTAGTCTCTAACCCCTTTGTCTTCCTTCTAGATCGTGATACATTTTTATACCTCATTTTGTTTCTAGCATACCGGATCGCAGCACAAGGCTCCGACTTAATTTCACTGAAGTCATCAACTCCGGAGATTTATCACAATCTACATGCACATCCCGCGCTTTCCCCAGTCCCAGACGTGTCGGCGGCATCACGAATATCGGAACAACAGGAAAATGAGAACGTATACCGTCATTTGCTAGCGCAGGGCGTGTTAGCGGTACTTCTGCCGACTGAAGATCTAGAGAATGTCTGTTTGCGAACACTGGTTGAAGATGTGTTGTCTGATTTGATTCTGGGTAATCAAGTCAATGGGAGGGTATGCGAGGGGTGGTTCATTTGGACCGCGATAAGCAAGGTCATCACCGTGGTGAAACAGCGAAATTCTGACTCAACAATGACCGTAGGGCAGAGACTGGATGTTGTAGCAGATGCTAATCGCTTGGAGCGATTTGGTCTTTTATCGGACGACGGAGACAGAGATGAGAATGCCCGGGAGTCTAAACAGTCCACAGTTTCGCAATGGCTATGGAAGATACTATATTCGGTCTATCTCGCATATTTTACGATGCGCTTCATAATCGGAGGTTTACTGCATACTGCATTGTCCAATCCAGAGGCAGCAACCGCAGAGATACTACAAGCGGACCCTGTCACTACAATAAAAACAGCAAACCAGCCAAGTCTATGCCGCCCTGTGCTTCGCTACAGAGCTTTCAGTTTCATATCTCAATTAATGGGGGTGCCACAGAAAATGCCATGGCTCACTGGCTCGGCCTCGTTGGTCCAGAGCTTAATTTTGGCAGGTCCTGGCAAATTAGGCGAGACAGGTAGCGTTCTTGATCGGTAAGTGCAGTTTTTTGTTGCAAACTCTATGTCCACTCCATCATGTTTATGCATCAACACAACCCTGAATTATGTACTCGTTTGCGCTCGTTTTGTTACGCACGGTTTAGCACTTCGAGGTATAAGTGTTACCCTGGTGTCCTTAATTTCTCTCTTTTCCTTCCGGATATAGCGAATCGCACGGCGGGAAGAGGACAGTGCCATCGCCGGTCAGCATGTCTCAAAAGTCCTACGAATGGTGCGCACTGCGCAACAAAGTGTATATCACGGGGAGACTTGACGTTTTGCATGACTACGTCCAGCAGTCACTTCACGAATCTGATTGGAAACTCGCTATGTCATCAGCGTAGCCCAGTTTCGGCTACTCGCATAGCGTTTCGGTCACTTGATCTGCCAAAAAGCGCAAATGGGCCAATACGGTCTCTTTGTGACTAATGATTGCACGCATTTCTGCTTATTCCTCGGCCTCGCGTTCCCGGCCCTACACCCTCGAGAAATAACCCTGGCCAATCTTTCAGTGACGGTTCTTACATACGTGATACCAGTCCGTTACCATACGATACATACAAGAACCGACATGGGTACGCAATTACAATACCACCATACTATTTATTACGTTACATTTTGAGACGAAGTAGCATGGTGGGTCGCGGTTCACCATACACCCACGATGAGGACACTACCCATCGCATTAACAGACATGTTATTACTATTATTTTCCTTATTATTCAACTCATCGGCTCCTATCGCAATGATCCGCAGATATTGGGCACCATTCTGAAATCGAATATTTCATAACCCATTGAAGAATCACTGAGCGGGTTACATTCCATATAACATTGAACGAAAACGGGCCGTTATTCAGGACCGCCGCTACTGGTACCCAAACTGGGTATAGTGCTTCAATATGTCAGTTACGAGTCAAGTCAGGCCAACAGGGGGTCGATGCGTCTGCCCACGACCAATGCGTATGGCCTGAGCTAGTTGATCATTGAACGGACCGAGGTGCCTGGATCGGCCCTTGCCTTCCGTCTGTCACTGGAGGCTTCTGCCCAATGGAAGCTACCAAAGATCCGTTTGAATTTTGCTTGACCCTGCTGCGCCGCAAAATCGGTCTCATCTTGCATGACGTCTGCCACCACCCCGCAAAGCTCATACCTGTTTTCTATTTTCCCGCTGAATCCGATTGCCGATCGCGATTTAAACTTGGGAGTTTTCAGCTATGGCATTATTTCGTTCAAAGCCATTGTGATCATTGTTATGTGAGGTAAACAGTGACCGAGTACCTTAACATATGGAAAACAGGACAGAGTGGGAGGACAAGAAGAATGCCCATCTACTCATCATGGCTAGTCTGTGGAACACATGCCAACTCGTTAGTATGGACCTATGAAGACAAGGCTAGTGCCAATTGACTTTGCTTGTTTGAGAAAGGCGAGTTGCGATTGCAACCGAGTTCGGTTTCCCCTGATGCTACTGCCCATCACCAACAAATTACACCACATTGTCATTTGAGCAAACCAGTTTGATTTGTAATAATTCCTGGTTGGGACAGACTTAGTGGCAATTCGACATTGTCGAAGCCTCTAGAGCCTGACATACATTTCCGCAATTTTTGGTCATACTACTTCAGTGAAAAGCCTAGGCTGGTTCGCAATTGCAGGATGGTTGATGGACACTGTTATTTCCTCCTGAAAGTTGATAGGCATAATTCGGCGGTCAGCTCGCTAGACCTGCGATTCTCTCGTTTCTTTTTCCCCTTGCTTCGTGTATTGCTTTTTCTCACTCGACCGGCGTCCATTTTCCTTGTCGGGCTCTTTTCGCTATGATCCCCCATTCGGCAGACTTTTAGCACATCGGGTTTCCACATTTGTCTTTTCTTCGCTAACAGTTTATTATGTCTTCCAATCAGGTACCTGCGCGATTTGATAAGCACATATGTACTTACCCCCACCGTTTTGCCAGTGTTGTTATTCACCGTCAGAACGACTCTTTTCCCGTCGAATGCACGTCCAGGTAGTGCGTCAACCAATAACAACGTTGTTGGTCAACAGCCTTCTCGAATGAGTAACGACGCATCCTCTCCTGTTCAGCAACAACAGAAAGGCCAACGTTCGAACGGCACAGACCCTCAGACAGATACTGATAATTCTGATACTAAGAATTCATCTATTCCAGCCCCGGCAGATAGTACTCCTTCACCATCTGAGATTGCTGCCATCAAACGTCAATGCGCCGCGGAGATATTGTCACTAATTCCGAAGTCCATCGCTCGAGCCTTCTTCGGCGGAGGTGCCAAACATCGAGCCAATAACGATACTACTAACAATAGGAACGAAAGTAGTCATGGCGAACTACCACCCTCCACGGTCAACGGCTCATCTCGGGGCTCATCAGCTGCTACAAATCATACTGATGAGAATAAGGATGATAAAACAGAAGAGCTCTTGGAAGCGATAGAAAGAGATTTACTGGACCCTTTCTCTGATGCGTACTGCAATAAACATCTTATCTATGCCATTGTTGAGCTTTTCCTGATCAAATTGATGCCTGAGTTGTCAGAGCACAGCATCAGTGGTCTCATGGAAGAGCGCGGAATTGTCTCGTGACTGCTTCCCTGTGGTTTCTGTTCTCCAGCCCCGACACTTTCTGTTCTTCCCAGCCGTTTAACGAGTAGCTAATTCTTACGATAAGACGAACAATATGATGGAAATATATACTTTGACCGGCAGTAAGCTTCGAATTGCATATAGCCGCCCAGTATCATAGGTTACATACACCATAATTACTTCCTATCATGAGACCCTGAAGTGTCCCAGTATGCGAGTAGATATGAAGGAAAAGATAAGAATAGAAGAGCGACGGTCCATTCCTATACCAGGCAAAGAGCCAACGAAGCTCCTCAAGACGACGTTCAAAATGATAATAATAAGCGATATGAAAAGGAAAAAAAGGAAGCACGCGACTAAAATCAGACATCGGACCAGATAGTGCTCGCAGTTCAGGAAAAAAGAAACTCAAAAAATAGGAAAAGAGTATAGGGTGAGATATCTGTACTGGACGCAGCGTCTCTGTTCTGTTGTTTTGTGTGTGTGGTTGCCCAAAATATTGTAATGATGCATCTAGTTGGTCCCTTCGTAGATAGAAACCCCTTGTTTCCCTGAAAATCGAAATCTGAAAAAGAACAAAGGAAGAAAAAACTCATCCCAATGCGTTCAATAGATAAAACTAAATAGAAAAGAAGAAGAATAAAAAAACTCCGGGCAAGAATGGAGGTCGCCCTCCATGGTTATGATCTTGCCATCCCACCTCTTCTTAGAAACCTGAAAGATGTCCCTAGCCCCTTTGTCATGATCATGCGTTTGCCTAGATATGTATCCCGTAAAATAGAAATGAAGTAAAAAAGAAGAAAAGAAAGACGGAGAAAGGTATCAAAATATGGTAAAAAGAATCGAAAAGTCGTGAATGAAGAAAAGAAGACTGACTATGCATAACTAAATCAAGGAGGAAAAAAGAAAAGGAAAAAGACTCGCTTGACTATGTCAAGGAATTAATACTCCTCTTTTTAGTCATCTGAGGACCGTCCGAATCCTCATCGATGCGATGAAGTCTCCCGGAGATGGATTGATTGTTATGAACCAAATCAAGCTTCTCCATCAACTTGCCCATTGTAACATAATCCTGCATCTGTAGCCCTAAACCAGAGGGCTGATTCTGAATATAGTTCATAACCAACTCCAAGGCACGTCGTGCTTCGTCCTGTGTAGGTGATCCTGGAGAGCTCACAGGACTGCTCACTGCGCTGGACTTGGATGTCGGTACCGGTGGAGGTTGCATAGATGTAGTGATTGATTTCAGATCCGAGTTGCTTCCGCGGTGTTTCATTGAGTTCTTGTTGTCATAGTCAGAGGTGATCTCGGTCGGATGTTTGTGTTCCTGATCCTCATCCAAGGGTGAATCAACCACAGAAACGGAAAGTGATCCGTTCATAGAGTGCTTTGAGCTCGTGATATTGTGTTGTTCACCATTTCCACACTCGGCATCACCTGTAAGTGGGAACGTCTGGCTACGGGGTCGACTGGCGGCAGAACTGATTGAAGGGAGACGAGACCGCACAGTTGGTGTATAGGGGCTTTCAGAAACCAGGGGCGATGTCGGGCTGGCCACACCGGCAGACAGCGATGGAGTTGTGTCGAGGGAGGTCGTGCTCTGTGAATGACTGTGTCTAGCGGGATCTTTGGAGAAATCGAGAAAAGCACTGTCACCAAGTTCCCTCTTTAGAGTCTCCTGGCTTAGAGAAGGCGAAAGAGGTGACGGGGTCAGTCCAGTAGGGGAGACAGGCGATACGCCCGTCGATATGAGCGTGCCAGTTGGAGATTGAAGATGAGGCAAGCCTTCTCCATCACTCGCGACCGTATCCACGGAGTTTTTGCGAGACTTGGATCCGCCCAGGTTGTTTTTCTGCTTGAATTTCTCCAACCAGCTTGCAGTGAGGAGCTTCTGTTTCCCATCCGGACTAGCACAGGTCGTGGCGAAGAAATGTGCTTTCTCCTTGATCATAGCATCGGTCAAAACAAAGCCCTGGCGCTGATAGTTTCGGGCCCAGTTGGCGAGGGCCTTTTCAATGTCGGGTACTTTTCCTTTGCTTCGCTTAATAGGTGATCGACTTCCATCATCCATACTCAGATACTTTTCCTTTTGTCGTAGGACCTTGGACACGGTACTATTCGATGATTAGTATGAAATAGATATGTAGATTAGAAGATAATGTTTTACCTCCTCTCCACGCCAAATAAAGCTAAATAAATGATATTAGAAACCTTATCTGTCTGTTTCGCTTCTTCAGCACACGGGAAGGAAACTGACCTCCAATATCAGTCTGCTTAGCTGACTTGTTCTCTTCATGATACAAGCACATTCGACGACGGTCTTCATCCGTTAAAGTCCTGCGAGGAGTTGGAGCAGAAGGCGCGGGAGTCGTATGCAAAGGCCGTATAGGTACCGGCTGGGGTATTGACAAAGTCGGAGTAGGCGCAGGAGACAATGAAGTCTCCGGGAAAGGTGATTGAGTGGTCAACATACTAGGCCAAGGATGAGCTGGCATGGTCAAATTGATAGTCGAATATGGCGGAGGAATAGACATGCTGTACGCCGGTTCCAGCGGCATGATAGGTGAAGATCCGTAGCTGAACCCATGGAAATCCGGCAACGGCGGGCTGTGATGCGAGCCTGGAGACTCGAAAGCTCCTAGATCAACCCATGGAGAACTTCCATAATCACTCTCCTGACCATTGGGTGCATCCGTATCCATGGTCGAAGAGGTTACTTCGTCCACAGATACGAAGTACACCGGGGAGGCGCCCTTTTCGTTGGCAAAGTTTGCGTAGATCACTGTGGGGGAAAGAAACTCCTCGAGTTCCAGTCAACACTTGATTTATTCAAAAAAGGACTTCGGTAGGGCAGCTAGCAGTATGATTGCTTTTGTAAGTGCCGACTAATGAACCGATTAGATGTTCCTCAGACGCACTTTGATATTAAATGTTTAGCAGCGAGACGATTCATTGTTGAGTGAAAATACCAAACCGCGAGATAACTTCCTTCTCCGGTGTGGTTTCTCGAAGTCAGGTACGAGTCGAGTCGAGTCCAGATCCCGGTTCCAGATGAAGGGAGGATAGTTGAGAGCCTGAGGCGAATGAACGGATGGACGAGTGAGTGTATATGTATGTATGTAACTAGTCAGCATGCAGTATAGTAATGTATGTATGCAGGCTAGAAGCTAAGATCAAAGACAAAGCTTTTGCCGCGAGCTGCAGGTTTTTTTTCGGGGGAGGGGGCAAAATCGGCGGGAAATTCAAGCCTTGTCGAACTGAATTCTGAGGGGCAACCTTAGGCAATAAGGCAATAAAATACCTGCTGGGTACAGTAGCAGTAATAATGGGATAGCCTGCCAATCAGGGCGCGTGAAGAAACTATTATTTAGCCTTGGGCTGTGGCAGGGAGGGGGAAAATATTAGGAAGGGAAAGTAAAATAAGAAGGCGACCCATGTATTAGTAGTTATTTCAATTCAGGCGTATATCATGCAAACAAGAACGAAAAGAAAAGGAAGAATATCATCTAAGAATATCTATCTTATATTACTGTTTGCTTTCCCCCTCTTCATTGTCCTTGTGCCTCGTTGACTACCAATGTCTACTTAGTGGAGGACGAATAATAATACATTGTCTATCTACCCAGACGAGAAAGGGAATTCACCACATATCTCTGATTCGCTTTGTGCCTAACCAATTGACGTCTGGAAGGGTAAGATCATTCGTAGCTTCGACTTAACTTTCCAAATCCTACCTAATCCATTCATAAGCATTTACAACTGACAGGTACTTATGGAGCAAGCTAGCTTCCTTTTCAAGGCCGAATATTTGGATGGATTAGTTGATCTAGGGTATGGTTGGAAATGAGCATACGGTATGTTACCGTCTCCGTATTTTATACAAGTCTAGCTCTCCCAGTGCAATTCTAGGTAATTACTACATGATAATATCGAAACAGTCCAATTAGCTAGCGGTAACTTGCTTGCTTTTTGCTCATTTAGCTCTGAGCGTGGGAGTCAAAATCAGTGTCAAATAGCAGGGCAAGTATATAGATCAAGCGAAATAAAATGGCTGATACGACACAATGGTTGGCTGGAGAGACGAGAAAATACAGTGCGGAGACCTCAAATAATTGGTTGATTCTTACGGAGCTATTTTGACAGGGATATTTTAGTTTCTCCTTTAGTTGGTTTTTTTTTTTTTTTTTTTTTTTTGACTTAGGGCCAGGAAAAGAAGCGATGCCTTTGCAATTTAAGACAAGCCTCGCCGTCGTTTATTCTTACCGTCTCAAAACGGTAGTTTTCCAATTACATACATACCGTACGGAGTAGGATACAAGCGAGAGATACCACCTTCCCGCGTATCGCATACCCCCGTAGACTATCTACTACGCTGTTTGTATGGTTGACGATAGACGAATCAGAGAATAACTGCGGATTCTTGCTTTACTTATGGATAGATACAGATAATGAGCAACTCCATTTTGAGGGGCTGGAGAATCTTGAATCAACCCATCTACAACTTTAGACGGAGCCGGGATACGCCATTCTCATCCATCAGCTAAAATGTCAGATGACGATTGATTCCTGGGGGAAGATAGGTACTGTATCATCGCCGATGCTACTATGATATCTTAGTACGGTGTGTCGAGTCATTTGAAGCATGAATCTAACTTGGATCTCGATGCCTTCATCCAGTGAATGTAGGCAGGCGCAAGATATCCGAGCAAACACTTTGGTCAAGAAAAAGATGGCACGGAGACTAAAGAGTATGCTCAGTGGAACGAGGGAAATGGAGTGCCTAGTAGTGTGTAGACGTTCAACTGGTCTATGATACATAGACCCATCAAAATACATTGATACCCGTGGACTTACCTTATGACACTTTTTGAAAGTTTTCACAGGGCTTTGGTCATCTACGCCAACAAGGCATATGAAACGAAGGCGCCCAAATGCCATGCCTAATTGCACATCCATGTGGACCACTTTTAACTTTCCACATGTTCATACCTCAATCTCCACGAAACACATTAAAAGAGAAGTCTAGGATACTCTCGGCTGTCCGGATTTTCCCTCTCTTTCTGAGACAGGGAAGATCGACATATGTACATTGGTTCGGTGGACGGATGTAGTTGATTAAGAAGCAAATCTACTCCATATTAGGGCATTTCGGATCTTCTTTCTCTTTTCTTTTCCGGCACGATTCATGGATCGTCACTAGATGTATGAGGATGTTTCGTCTATTCACTTAGACCGGATACAGTCAAACAGGTACTTCAACTCCGTGCTGTAGCCGCAAATTACATAACAAGACAAGAGATTCTTACTAGATTGTGTAAGCACTACGTACATAACTTATGTAGTTAGCAAGGTTGAAGGAAGTAGGTAACTACGGAGTAACTATGGATGTATCCACTTCCCTCATATTCGATGCATGACTGACACTCAGGTGAGCGAGTTTGGCTGCGGGTTCATGAATCGAGCTAAGGAACGAGCACTAAAGAAGCGACTTCAACCGCCATGCTTGTACGTAGTAGATTACGTGGGGACGTACATATCTTGCGCCTCTTTGCGACGTCACCGCAAGCTGCCATATTGCATAGCCATATTCCGATTACGGAGCATTGTGACACTATGTATTTCTTAAAGATAGGCTCGTGGATCACAGTCGCTTACTCTCTATCACAGCAATATGCGGTATTTTCAACATCTGGTCTGGTCTCAAATGGCACGGAGGCTAGGAATATACGTATGGACTTTTGATTGAGACCAAAACAACAATGCTAGCTTACTGTATGGATATATTACTCCGTGCCATGTTCCTTTCCTGCGTCGTAACTATGTAGTACGTAGCTACCCAGGGTATCCTGGGATGGTCCTTTTTCATGGCAAATCTACCAGGATAGTTATGCAGGGACCAGTAGTATATCTTTACCAACGTGGGGAGATTTTTCTTTGCATGATGGCTTTCGCCTCCACGATGTACTGTCAAGTGAAGAGGGGGGAAGATGGTCATCTCAGGACAGAGGCGAGTTTGCATAAATCCGATATTCCTCCTGTTAAGCTTAATGTGAGTTTAGTTACATGTATTGTCCGGGTTTCGTTACGTATGTATGTACGTAATTTTTGTGTGGCCTTGTATTTATACTGAAATTGCCAAGGATGATGCGATGAACCAATCAGATCCCGAAACTGGCGATTTACTGCGCGATAAGAACGTACCTCGGACGTTGGGTGGGAAGTAGGTCCGGGCCGCAAACCTTGATCTGCTTCTTTCTTTATTCCATTGTTCTCGCGAACAATCTGATTTACTCAGACTGTTTTATTGTGAATTGATGTGATCGGTCGGTCACTCATCGAATTCAAATGGCCTTTTGCGTGCTGAATATAAATACTCGAGCTGCTCTATGATTAAGTAGAGGGGGAAGTCAATGTCATATGAGCAAAAGACTATTTATAGTACGGCGAGGCTGGCTGGAACATCCAGTAAGGTTCTTGAGAAGGGCTTGATAAGTACGATACTGTACTCAGAGAGTACCGCGGTATACGTACCATACCGTATATAATACACAAAACAGAACTAGATAAATGTAATCTCATTGGCGGAGATCAGCACGCAGGTCCACAGAAGCTAAGCTAGAGCCTACGGCATCCATGGAAACTAAGCACGCTACCCGACTAGCGCCCTTTATGTACCGCAAATCCATGGGGAAGATGAGATGCTAGCCAAGCAAGATCCTTGAGCGGCGGTTCGTCAAGGCGAGTATGGTCGTACTGCTAAGCAGTTAGCACCATCGACCACGGTACCGTGAAGTGGGTAGCAGCATAGAGGAAAAAAGGAGCAAAAATCAACAAATGAGAACTCGTGCTAGGATAACTCGATTGCAAGGCTACGAGCCCTAACTGGCTGGCCACCCTCCTCGAGTCTAGTTTAGCGCCGTAACTCGAGGGAGGGGTCAGAGACAGGGATTTGATTTAAATTCATGTTAAAAGAGGAAAAGAAACGGACCAATCCGGCTTGTTAGATGCGATATATCAACCGATTTTTCTGGCAATTTGACTTTTCTTCTTCTCAGCCACGGGGCTAGCCCTTGGATTTCATCTCATTCTGTGTCGGGAGTAAAAGTCCATGATTCGAGGCATGGACTTGGACAAAGCTTCCGACGGAGCGAGCCACTGCCTTTTCGGGCCGCTGTGGATGACTGGCCGCATAGTGGACCTTGCTTATTCTCAAGTGTACTAGTCTACTTGCTGTATACGGAGTAGACTACTATTCAGATTCCTTTTTCGTCCGGGCACCGGGTATGTTTCTTGAGCTACGTACCAACAAACACGGTTGATTCCGGAATGCCTACTAGGGATTAGAAGTAGAGCAGGTGCAATTTGAAAAACGAGAATGTATGAAAAATCTTGCCAAGCAAACAGTGTTTGATAGCAACGGCGCATATCCGGCATTCGGATAGTTTGATGTCTCACCGTGCAATGAACTAACCGTTGCAATTGCCGCAGTTGCCTCTAATATTGAGATTGGCGTGTGGACACTCACATTTATTGACATCTTGACCAGCTAGTAAGGTCGCTATTAAGCTATTGAGACATATATGCTTATTATGATTGATATTGACAATGGCAAGATGAGGTTTTCAAATAGGGAAACAATAACAGCATGTTCTATAGGAAAGTATACATACTGATATTTGATAGCTTGGTTATTTACGTAGTACGTACTCTGATCACCTCTAGTCCGTTAGTGGATACTAAATAGCTAGAGACTCTAGACTAGGCGCAACATCGTCTGATTCAAAACTTTTATACGAGCAACTCGGATTGTTCATTGGTGTAATCATATCTTTAATTTAATTGCCTCGTTGGTTGGTTGAGTCTGGATTACTCAACACTAGTAGCCTTAACTAGTTTAATCTGTGGAATATCTACTTCTAGTTAGGTGTCAATTCAAACCATGAAAGCAACAGCAATGATTCAGTATCGTAGGTTTCTCCGGGATGCATTAATGACCGATCCGGCCCGCGAGACTAAGACTTGTTTGTTCGATAGTATCTTGGACCCTTGGATAGAAATAGTAACTGCGAGTCAGTACTCAAATTGACACCTTTTTTCAAATCACGCTACGATGTCAATGGGAAAAACACCGCGCGAGTTCAAATGAGTATGGAGTCTAGTTTCCGTGCAGAGAATCCTATGTCGAGGAATCCAGGTTGCTCGGTTCAGGGAGCTGATCGTGATGGATGTTTCAAGATAAGTACTTATGTCATTATCAAGCTCACACGCTTCTGTAAAAGAAGGTGTCATTGACAATGCTCAGTTTAAGTTTCTTAGTTGATTTGTCAAGATGGCTGCTATAGTCCGTGTGTAAGTAGTGGATACAAGATCCGCGGTGGAGATCGCCATTACTGCGTACAGAAAGGCATAACTCCGTACATACCATAGAACACAAAATTAACGGTAGGTACGTATACGCATTTCAACTTATCTCAGCACCAGACTTGAATCCGTCGAACCTGGACCGGTCCATGATGTTATTTCCAAAATAGGAAATAATACACGAGCTGAAGCCCTAACCCTATCAAAAACCCTAACATTGTGAGCTCACTAGCTGCGAAGTCAACACCGGACATCTTCCGTTTCTGGTTCATTCATCTGATCCTCGTGATATCGAAGAATGGAAATCAATCAAGAGATTTAGAGTTCAAGACCTCAGATGCTAATGAATCAATAGCACATCGACGATAGACTAACAACGTAGTGATTCCCGAGGTCACCTCATAAACATAGCTAAGTAGTAGGGACCCTGCTAGTCATAATAATTAGTTGGAGTGTCGGGCTGAAATGATGCGTTTATTATCTTTAATTGTGAATAAGCTTCTTCCAGTCTATGGCGAAATTAAGTACAGTGAAGACCGAATGGAGTCTTCTTTCATATATTGTTTCTCTACTATGCACTAAATCAAATCTCGGTACGTACAGATACATTCATCATATATAGATCTCTATATCAAGGTAGGTATATTCGGGTACATGCTATTATAGTTATGATATAACTACTATATAGATACGAAATGCACATCAAAAGCCAAAATCCAACATGGAAGGGAATCACAAATATTTCGTCATCAACAATCTTAACAATCTAAATGGTAAAAATGGCCGACAAATTCCATTCACCGATAAACTGACAAATCTAACAGCTGATATAGCGGTGTACATAGATAGTTACATGTCTTACCCTCGGCTACCCCATAGAACAAACAGGTACCTGCACCGTTCCTTTCCGCAGAATGCTGTTGGTACCTGATGACCTTTTCACCTATCCTAGATACTCTGTTCTGTACCATATGGGCGAAAGAGCGGAAAGAGAAAATTTAGACCATCCGCATGACCGACACTCTCTGCGACCCAAAATCAACCACCCTGTCATTTGTCAGGGATTGTGCAGTAGGATTTCAAACTGGACCAGGAGGGGTAAAGTGTTTAATATATTCATCCCTTTCCTTTTATCTTTACCTTTTAGTACGTATCTAGGTCTCGTAGGTTGAGTGGGAAAAAAGTACATGGTCTATAACGAAATTTCAGTTGTTAGTTGATTTTTGTTTCAAAATCGACTGCCTAGGTATGACCTTGACACCAACACGTTTGACTATTGAGTTATTTAGGCACGGCATGATTCATGAATTGAATATTCAACCGACTGGGTACAGAGTTTAGAGACGTACTACCTATGTAGTACGTAGGTATCATATCGTAATCTATGAGAAAGAGGTAAGCATACGAGAAAAACCGATGATAGACCGATACATGTAAAGATTCGGGCAAGCGTAATACAAGAAATTAATAAATAATACTTTAGACAAGACGCAACCGGCTGAATTCCTCTTTATTTATGCAAGAAACTGCTCCAGACATATGATATCCAACAACTTGTCGCACTGCGTAGAAATAATATGATATCCTATCCAGTATCTACAGGCATTGTCACGAGCCGATGTGTAATCTACCTCAATCCTATTAAATTTGACTCCGTATCGGCTTGAATAACTGTACGACGAAGGCACCTGGGCAGTCCTAGACTGCCCAGATACATATATGCGTAGTTTGGAACAGGGCCTCAATCCATACAGACCCCAGAAGAAACCTCCCCATATAAGTCAGTTATATGCTTCATACTCATGTTGCTATTATCCATGATAATCCGAAAAAGCGACAGACCATCCCATAAACAGGCACATGCTAGTTAAATTTCTGACATGTAGCATGATTATCAATCGGCGAGCAATTGACGATCATCTTTTGTTCTTCTCTTCACTTTGCTTTTTTCCCCAAAGGAGCTCGAAATGTTGTTCAACCTCGACGAAAAGAGGGATTAATCAGAGAAATGATACTAGCCCTATGATAGACTGACTATTGACTGGTTGCGCTCTGACCTTCGGACCCTGGATAAATGACTAGTTCTAGGCCGGTCGGAGGGTCCATTAATACTATAAAATATGAAGGATAATATCATGATTCTTTTCAATAATGGCGATACGACAAAAACGACGTTCCGGTTACTTGTTCCTGAAGAATGACTTGAAGGAAACGAGAAAAAGCAACGCGGTCAGGCTATCAGCTTGTCCATGCCAGGGACCCAAACGGTATGGAGATAAGTACGATGAAATTGTATTTGTAATGCTCATTTACTAAAGCATGAGATATTTATTGCAGATAATATATACAAAAGTCAAAAGACTTTCTCCACAAAAGGCAAAGCTTCGATTTCGATTAGGGCTGCAGGTGCCACCAAACTCGCCCTCCGCTGCTCCCCGGAGAAGACCCCACGCGCTGTAACCGAGCATGAGCATGCAAACAAGAAAAGAGACGATATTACATTAATCATGATTTTAAACAATCCTTTTCCATATTTAAATCATTATAGGGACGTAGTACTAGAGTGGTACGTTGACTGGATGGTGTGGTGACACCTCCTAGACTCCTTCACTCGTTCCCCAAATGTAAGGCCGAAAAACACAAGCAAACACAATTTACCATTGATCAAGTCTAGAACATGTCCGAGGTAGATATGTATGTATGTCAGTGCGCACCGGCGACCTGCATCTGACCATAACCTCCATACGGAGCTCAGTCCGGTCGCAGGGCATTGAGCACTGACTGTATACGTAGTAGTTATACGTCGTATACTGATGGAAATGCCTAGGCAAATAGTGCCTCGCACGCAATATTATCTATCACATGCGAGGTGACCAGCTGGCTTGCTTGCTTTCACGCCGAAGAAGGTTGAACTTTATCGTTTCAAAATCGTAACTGTTGCAAAGACACATATTAGTCAGGCACGCCGAGAATCATAGAACACGGATATGACTAACTGATATCTTCATCAGCGAGCTCATGGCTAAGTCCAACGCGCTGAGGTTGATGTTTGACTGAACGTCCGTAGACAATTGCCACTTTGAATTGATCGACGATAGATTTGTGAATTGCGTTACACTGTAGGGAGAGACAGCGTCAGCCATGAAAATATTCAGCCAAAAGTAAATGAAAAAAAAAACCTACAAAATCTTCCACTGTACAAGCTGTGCTTCTCAGCACAACAGGTGCCGAATAATCAGGTTGTTTGCCCTTTGGTTTCGTGTAGACTCGTCGAAGATTCAACTTTTCCCACATCATCTCCAAGAGTTCGTCGATATTCCACCCGTGTTCCGAGCTGATCGGACAGGCGTTGGGAATTCGATATAGCAGATCCAGTTCCTCGATGGAAATTGAATCAATCTTGTTCAATGCATAAATGACGGGAATGTAACGTCTGCTCTTTGCCTCAAGGACATCAATAAGGTCATCAATCGTGGCATCGCATCGGATTGCAATATCCGCAGACGTAATTCTATATTCACCCATAACCGCTCGAATTTCCTGGACGGTAGTTAGTCTCGCCGATTGACCATTGGAAAGGTAAACGACTTACGTCGTTGTCAATATGTGTTAGTGGCACTGTGCTTGAGATCGATATTCCTCCTTTCTCCTTCTTTTTGAATACAATATTTGGTGGCTGTTTATTGATTCGAATGCCGAATCCCTCCAATTCGTTCTCGATGATTTTCTTATCTGTCAACGGCTTGTTGACGTCCAAGACTATAAAGATCAAATGGCACGTCTTTGCAACGGCTATAACTTGTCGACCACGACCTTTTCCGTCTTTGGCACCTTGAATAATACCGGGCAAATCCAAGATCTGAATCTTGGCTCCGTTATACATGACTTGTCCAGGAACCGTTGTTAGAGTTGTGAACTCATAGGCGGCAGCTGATATACCGTCAGTATTCCAGACCATAATATATCGATTGTAATGGACCAGATATGACTAACCTTCAGAATGCTGGCCGGTGAGTTTGCTCATCAATGTACTTTTGCCAACCGAAGGAAAACCGATGAAACCGCTTTATCACAGTGATCAGCCAACTTCCACCGAACAACAATGAATGAGAGTTCACATACACGCTCGCAACACCGGTACGAGCCACATCGAAACCAACTATTATCCTAGATTAGTCCAGCCTGCTCAAAAGGGTGCGAACTGTCCGAGAACATACCACCACCCCCTCCTCCACCTCCCGAAGGAGTTAAAAGTTCTCTTTTTAGCTTCGCGAGTTTTGCTTTCAATTGTCCTATAATCCACAATATCAGACTCCTGGTCCAGCAACTCGAGCGAATCGATAAGGAAGTCCTTGTGCGTACCCAAGTGAAACGACGTAGCTTTGTTCTTTTGAGTTTTGGCCATCTGCGATAAACCGTCAGCTTTCTATCGCATTGTATAGAATAATTGAAACGGCGAACCTCGGCCTCAATCTCTTTGATCTGTTCATTGGATAACAGTTAGCATTCGGTCATGGTATTTGAATGTCATGGAGTTGTTCCAACCTTGTCTACGGTAGTCGCCATGGTGTCGCACGCTGCGGGGAAGGCTGTTTTTCAGGGTTTGATTTACTGTGAAATATGTAGATATTAGATGCAATAATTGTGTATAGAATGAATGTAGACTATGAAATCCAGCGAGTGTATACGCAAAAAAAATTGTCTTGACGATTCGTACCAAAGGCGGTGGCAGATTCTCTTGTGGCGTGAGTCTCTCTGATTGGTTGTACGTGGCGGGGTTCTTCATTTGAGGGCCGGCTGCCTCAGGCACAACGGCAAGAGGCTATCAACGGCTCATCGGCTCTTATCGGCGTCATGCGATAAAGATCATCGGTCAAGTAGGACAAGTTACTCTTCCTCTCTTTATATAACATCAATTGATTCCCAGGATCATTGTCAATTTATTTTGCAATTGCATGCAATTATATCGCACTCATTATTGTGCAACAGCAGTGTGTGACTGCTGTACAAACATTTGATAACTTATTATGGTGGTTAGTAGGTATAACATCTGATCTTCGTCCATCCTTCTCCGAGTCAACACTGACTCAGTCACCGACCGCAGCAATCGGCGATAAGATATCTCCACTGAGATTGTGACAGCTCATCGGCCACAAAGGTTCAATTGATAACCACCTTGACCGACGTTTCGACTTGATATATTCCCCATCTCCGCCTGCCGAACCACTAGTACGACGAGACTTGACTTCCCACTCATAAATAATGCCGTACCTCAAATCCGACAGCGTACAGGGCCACCAAGCCGACAATGCCTTTGAGAAACTTGTCAAAGACCTCAGTGCTGCTCTCGGCCCAATGTCGGGTCTGGACTCCGAGGATGTAGATCCTCTTGACATTCAACGTTTGATGGAGAAGTACGCCTCCGATGAGACGGAGTGGAATGTATACGCTTTGGCGGATCCGAGCAGATCATATACGCGAAATCTGGTTGACGAAGGGAATGGAAAAAGCAATTTGGTACTTCTCCCTTTTGTCCTACGTGCTAATGAGCCCTGCTGACTCGATGTATAGCTTATCCTTGTCTGGTCCCCTGGTAGGGAAAGTGCAATTCATGATCATGCTAACGCCCATTGTGTTATGAAGGCGGGTTCTACATAAGCCAAGTACTCAATTAAACAAAACAGCAGAAAGCTAATGCGAGATATCTAGATTCTCAAAGGCTCTCTAAAAGAAACCCTCTTCTCATGGCCGGAAAAGACTAACACACCCAACGCCCCCTTACAAATCACCAAGGAAACCGTCTATGGCGAGAATCAAGTAACATACATGTCTGACCAGGTATATTCCCATTCTCGAATCCGTATTTTGATTGAATTACGCAAGCTAATTCTTCCTTCTAGCTCGGATTACATCGTATATCAAATATGGACCCCGATAACTATGCTATTTCCCTCCATCGTGAGTCTACGAGTTTCTTCGTATACCTTATTCTCTCAATTCATTGTACTAATGAATATAGTCTACACACCGCCCAACGCGGCCAATTACGGCTTCTCGATATTCGACGAAAAGACCGGTAAATCAAGTCATATCAAACAATGCGATTTCTATTCTCGTGGAGGCGAGAAAGTCTAACCCTTTCCCCCCTTCTTTCATATTTTGGTTGTTTTCGGTCATGTATATTCGATAATTTAGGAGCAAATAAATGATTTTGATTATAGTCAATATGATGATCGACTGTTTGTGCGTCATGGGACAAAATCAATGTATGCAAATAACGGTAAAAACATGCTTTGGTCCCAATCATGAGATATACACAATATATACAAAGTTGCAATGATAGAAAGACATGTGAAAGTATAACTTCAAATGAAAACGATGATAGCTCGGATTCACTAACCATAAAATCACATAGTTGTACACGGAATGCACATTGTCAGAAGTGATGTGCCATGATATGTATGTAGGCATGTTAGTCTGGCGGTGTCGACATATATTGAATAACTGTGTACGGGAAGGAGAAGGCATAATATATGGATTGCGACAAAGACCTGAATGTGTCTGACTGACCCACTAGTTATCAGCTCTAGACCGCTGTTCAGTCTCGTCGGACGACTCTGTTTGCCCCTGAAGACTTGTAGTCGTCGTCTTGAAGAGTTCTAACTGGCGCTGCCGTAACTCCTCTAGTCGATCGAGCGGGTTCTGTAATTTTCCAGTATGAGTAGATTGCGATCAGGAGTTGCAAAAACGCATCGGTCGTGACACCCACCCAGTCGCATTGGTTTGGAACTCCCTCAGCAATAGGAAATTCACTTGACTCCTGCTGCTGCCCCTCTTGACAATCCCAAAAGGAGCGGCGTATTGGTGCTGGCGTCACTGGAAGACTGGGCCGATCTACTTCCGTTGGGAAGTCTGTGAGCTTGAGGCTTTGAGGTCTTTTAGTGCTGCCTGCTTTGCCACCACGGCCATTTGTAGTCTTTTTAGACCGCTGCTGTATAGCGTCAATATACTTGTTTATCTCGGGAACTTCATCCCATGCGTTGCCTCTTGCAAAAGTTTCCCAAGATTTTGCTGGTACAAAATCTGGGGTGGTGTATTCACTAATGGCTGTAATGCCCGATAAGGGCTGTTGGGGTTGCTCGGGTAGCCGGGGTTCAGTCTGTAAAGGCTGTTCAGAACGAGGTTCATTCTCTATAACATCACTAATTGATGGCACAAAGCTCGTCTCTGGAGGTTCTTCAGCAAACACTCGAGTGGGTTTGGAAGCACGAGCTTCCCAGGGAAAGATCGGAGCAAGTTTTTGAGGCTCCGGTTTCGTGGATGGCACCTCATAATACATATTTTTTGGAGCTTCTGGGTACGATGGCGGTGGTCTAAACAAATGTGTATCTTCAGACATCGTATACGTCTGCGTCTCCAAGCTTAATGCCTCAGGCCGCGAATGACGTGGCGGCGGTTCCCTAAATTTTTGTAAGCAAAGACACCCTTTCCTTCCAGACTAAAGAACCTTCCCTACCTAGATGCATCCCATTCCGATTTCGGCGGAGAGAATGGCCGTTCCTCTGGTTGCTGTGGCGGTGGAGGAGGGGGTGTTGGTGGCTTTTGTGATTGCGCTTGAAACTGCGTAGTCGCAGGAACGTCATTGAATGGTCGGTGATACGGTGCGAATGCTTTTTCAGTTATGAATTGAGCTCTGAGGTCCGTAAAGTTCTGAGTCCCCGTACTCGGTACCGTCACGTAGACCGCAGACTGCTCTTCACCGTGGACATAGAGTGGAACTACACTCCTAACTTCTGCTGGTACTTCCATTGGTGCATGGTGATGATCATGCCCTCGAATCTCTTGAGTTGCCGAAGGGGGATGTATGGGCTGGGGATGAGCGAGAACCGGAGCAAACGCTGTACTGACATCGTCAAATCCTGCTGACACCGGCGAACGTCGCAAAACATGAAGGTCTTCTGCAATTTGTGTAGGTGTCTTTTCCCGGGATCTAGAGGGCTCGTGATGATGAACTTGATGCTGATATACCTTATGAACGTCTTGAACTGGGATTGAACTTTGCGCTGAAGTTGTGGTGTAGAATGGTATGTTTTTTTGTGGAGTTGTGCTGGCATTATATGGCGGTTGAAACTGAGAGGAAATAGGGGATGGTGCTGACAGCAATGAAGCGGGCTTAAAGAGTATTTGATTAGAGATGTCACCACAGCGAACTTCAGGATTACTCACCATGGACCGATAGTGCCGATCGTACTCAGCCCACCATCTCCCTAGTAGCTGATAATACGGAGTACCTGAAGCAAAAGCGTGCCGCGACTGTGTCCAAGGTTTCTGTTGCCCAATAAAGTGGATGAGAGTGATGGTACTTTCAAAGTGCCTGTAAGCTGGCATATACTGATAGTTTCCGCTAGGCGTGCAGTTGTAAGTGAAGCTCAGACGGTGCCATTTCTTGAAATAGGTATTGAGTAGACCTTGGTCTCCTCCGTCGAAACTGGTGCCTCGCTCTGCAAGCGTGCGGAGTGCATAGTAGTCCTGTAGATTGGGACGTAAAACCATGACTCCACTGTTAAATATATCAGGCCACCCGATGTCCGGTGCAGCAGCAAAATCTTCCTGTAGAGATAATAATTCATCGGGGGCCCTCAATGCGACGACGTCGGCGTCCATATAAACGATCTTGGAGTATTGCGTCTGCCGCCAGAGCTCGATTTTCGTGAAGGTGGATACGAGATCAAGCCGGCCCATCAGAAGGAGATTTGCTGGTGTGCTATTCGATAGACGCTGTACGGGAACTATCTCATCGAACACGGACTATATCATCTTCATTAGCTTCAACTGTCGTATCCATTGGCCAAGCAGGACCAAATACCTGGAGTTCTCTAATGGTGGATTCCTTCAAAGTCTCCGGGGTAAAAAGAGCGACAATCTTCGCCCGCGTCCCATTGTCGCGTAATGAATGAGCGAGCACAACGGCACCTGGTCGTTGTCAGTGTACTTATCCACGTATGACGATCGAACATTCCGGACGCGTAGGGGGACCGTTTATACCGGGAAGATAATGATCGGATGTGAGGAGCTAGAAAATGCGTCAATCGATTGATATGTAATTCTTCCCCGATTTGCGCGATCCGAACTCACGGTGCAATAAACAGCTTCTCCAGGTGTTGCCATGTTGACGGTGCAGTCGCCCACGGAAGGACTAGGGTGCAGGATGGAAGATACGAAAAGAAACCCGCGATGGTCCTTAAACCAGCATTCTCTGGAAATTAATTAGTGACCAATTCGAAATAAAAAGCTGAGTTTAGCTATTGGAAGAAGTAAAGAATAGGAACGTAGTCTGAGGGTCTCCTCATTTGCTTTGACCTTGACCAGGGTCAAACTCACCGGAAGGATCCGCCGTGTACAGCTCACGACAGCAGAAACATGCCTGTCGCACAAGTCGAATAATTGAAAACGCAAGTCAATGAGCTCGAGAATGACAAGTCTTGAGTGACAGAAAGCAGTGCATGTCTTAGAAAAGAGAGAATGACGACGTATCTGCCCCGCCTGGAGAATGGAGGAGGTAGCATCACTCTACTATGTACAGCAAAAGCCAACAGCTGACCTCCGCCTTTCGCAGCTTTAGCTCCAAAAAAGTCGGGGAAAGCAGCTCGGCAGCTATCATGTGACCAATGACATCGCATATCTCAGGAGTCGAAATACTTCCATATATGTCTCAGTTCAATCAACATGTGGCATTCTCCTGCTATCTATTTCTTTGAATTAAGTAAAAATCAGTTGTATGTGCTTTGTCACTTCTTGTTCAGCATGCTCGCACCGCTTACCAGTAACTAACCCTAACCCTACTACCCGCTTGTTCCATCCGCATCCGCATCCGCAATCCATGGCACCATATTGAGATAGTTAGGACATATCATGAACACAGAAAATCAAATGACAATGCTAAATCAAGATGTCAAGATGATGGGCTAGAATATGCCCTTGAAGCTGAATATATAAAGGCCGAACCCAGCCGGTCTACTATCTACTACCTGGCTATGACTGTCTACGATTCCACCAGTCCTTGGATTACTAAAACATAGAGAAACAGATTCTGTAACTTCTATATTTCCAATTATGACAGTTGCATTGGAGTCATTCGTGCCAAATCTCTCTGGAAGAGTGGCCATAGTCACCGGCGGACATGCCGGGTTGTAAGTGTGCCCCTTTCCTTCGATTTGAAAAATGTCCTGACAAAGTCTCTCCATGCAGAGGTTTCGGTACGAGTATCGAACTAGCTAAAAATGGAGCTCGTGTATACATCGCAAGTCGGTCAGCCCCAAAGGTTGAAGCTGTGATACAAGCAATTGTGGCTGAATGCCCTAATGCGGATGTTCATTTCTTGCGCCTGGATCTCGCGGATTTGACTAGTGTGGTTGAAGCAGCACAAGAGTTTAAAAAGCATACCTCTTTCTTCGTACTATCCGCTGAGTTAAGAGTATTGCTAGCTTGTTCCAAAGGCGAGAGTCGGCTCTTCATTTGCTGATCAACAATGCCGGTGTGCGAAAAGTATGTTTATCGCTCCTTTGCGTGGACCGGGAGCTCCCAATTCGACAAGAGGTTTGATAAAGCTATACAGGGGAGTTGATGAAAGAGGGCCTTGTGAGAGGTTCCTAAGCACCAGATCAGTTTGCTTCTCTTCATAAATAACTCAGTCCCTCTTATCGAGCAATGCTGACGTTTTCACTGTTCCGAGATGCAGAGATATTGACAGAATATCTCCATACCTCTTCGCCAGCTCCTTTGTATGCAACACATTGGCAAGCTTTGAGTGTCCGTAGCGAGTCCAAACGGTGTATTCCTTCATGTTCATTTCGGGGAACACGATCCCCTGTTTCGGTGCCAATTTTACGTGTCCGTCGCTTGATACATTTACGATCCGCACCTCTCCTTTGGGTGCTAATTTGGATGTAGTGACAAGGATCGGTCGCAACAATTTCGTCAAAAGAAAGTGTCCTATGTAATTGACCTTCCAACAACGGTAATAGGTTAGCCTTGAGTCGTTTCGAGACATTTATATCTGCATCTTACCGCAAGTTGCATTTCGAATCCGTCTTTTGTTTCTTCATAAGGAACACACATGACCTATTCCCATAACAGGTATGAGCATTTGCCACTTTCTGGCTGAAACGAGAACTGCAGCAAGTTACTTAGCTGTATCAACCTCACTTGATATCAAATCCGCTAACGGAGCGTATTTGCTGCCGGTGGGTAAAATTTCCGAACCCAGCAACGCCGCAAAGAATCCCAAGATGGCGTTTGATCTCTGGGAATGGACTGAAAAGGAGCTGGAAGCACGAAGAATTGGTCTCGAATAAGTGTCACATGGAGTTGGATGTTATTCGTTGATTAATCCACTCCATAGATAGAGTCGGCAGACGATCGACAAAGTCCGCTGATTCTTCTCAACAGACAGAAATACTTCCACCCTTGTGTCATGAGTGTAAGGTTTTCGTTATCAACAGCTGTTAGGATAGTGCTAGCACGGTGAATGAATGTTCCACGGTCATTGGCATCAATACATCCCGCTGCTCCAGTAAATGTAATCCAGGTAAAAGCTTCAGGAGCTTTCCGGATCCAGAATGAATAGCTAATCTTGGCCATTGATTCTTTAAGCAGCTTCGCTCTTTCGTTAATAATGAGTATATTTGTCATTGTTTGTGAGCGACATTGTAGCAGCTCCCAGAAGATCAGGCAAGAGAGTCGACAACAAGCATTCATCCTGCTGGCATTATCCATGGATAGGTCTTTTGATTCCTCGGAATAAGAGAGGTTGTCGTTTGTTGGAGTGATAGCCTGCACCAGTTGCGTGGTTATAGTAGCAGCACTGGCGTTGGATAGTTGGTCCAACTTCGAGAACGCTTCATACACGTCCAGTACTGACTCAATTGTCTCTTTCTCGAACAGTAATCCCCCGATACAAAAGGTGCTGCTGGACACAAGGCTCCGAAGAATACTGTTGCTACGACCGAACTCGGCATGCAAGCAATCCCAAACTGGAGGTGTGTCGAATACACATGAATAAGAAAGCATTGTCCTATACCCTCGGTAAGCAGCTGATTGCGAGAGGGTGATATAGCTAGGCAAAACATACATCTTGATGACTCCTATCAGAGGTCCCATTTCGTCAATCAGGGGCTTCGGCGTCGAGAGGAGCATCTTTATAAGGCCTTTTTGATGCAAAATTGCTGATTTCTGATCCAATGTCACCATCTAAGTCACATTGTCAACGGTGTTAGCACATAATCCATGGCTAAAACGCTTGCGTACTCACATTATAAAAGATCAACGGGAGAACCGACCCCAGAGTACCATAAGTCAATAACGGGAATTCTTGGTTTAGACGTTCACTCAACATTCCAATCGTCGAGGTTTGATGATACAATGTAACTGCAGTAGCTTTGCGGCCCATTAGTATATCAATGGATGCAGCTGCACTAAATAGTGTAGCGTGGAATAAGCAAGGGTCTGCCATTGCATGTCTCATCCATATAGAGGCGAGGTGCCGTTTGAGACTATCTGCACTCGCAGTGTCCGCTGGTAAGTTTGCGGAGGTGCCGACTATTCCAGTTAGATTTAGGTTCACGTAGCACTTCTCATTTATTTCAGTTAGGGGTAAAAAAAAAGGGGGTTACCTTACAGAATTGTAGTAACGTTGGCATATAGGGGCGGTATGCAATGGGAGGGTCAAATGGGACATTAGGCCCAAGAAGTGAGTAAGAAATTCCGCTAGTACCCGAGTAATGAATGAGAATACCCTTCCCAGCACAACCAGGAAGGGATTGTGACGACACAGACTTTCTAGCTCCATAATCACAATCCAAAGCCAGTCTAGCGGGATGTCAGTGACAAATGAAGTGGATGTTCATACAGCAAGTCGTCCAGGCATACCTTGAACAACGAAAGCAACTCGGTGCAAGTCGATCACACTTCCGCTTATAGATCTTACATTTCGTGCAAGATTGGGCCGATTCTTCTTGTGCAGGAATTGCTGTTTTCGGCCCGTTGATTGGCGTAGTAGAGGTAGCTACATATTGACATGCTTGATTGAGTCTAGACCAGCTCGACCGTTGATTTTGATTAGTGATTCAGCATTATTCCCAGCAAGGTAGACATACTTTTTGCAACGAGAACAGCTGGGAAGGAGCTTGTCACACTGTCTTTTGCCGGCTCGACATGTCAGGCACACGAAGGGAGCTTGGTTATGGACTCTTTGGACCTCAGTCATAGCTCTTAACCAGATTGATTGACAATGGGCATGAGAATCAGCATGCCAGCAGACTCAAGTGAATAGCAGATGCATCGGATCAAAAATTTGGCGTCTTGTCGTTGGCGGTTTTGTCATCGTCACTCCTTAGACCATAGTAATCACCTTAAATCTGATTGGCTGATTGCATGTACCTAGATCTTGACTAGTATTGGCGCACGTCTTTCCAGTGTCCGTCGCTGCGCCTTACACCGTTGCTGGTGTCGGTCGGCCCCCAGCTCAACGGAATCGAATTTTACATACAAATTGACATATTTGAATACCCTCACAAACGCGCTTCCCCCTCTATATCTATAAAAAGAAGTGACGAATCGGGTAAATAAGATACGGCACTTTCATCTATAGGCTCTTGAATTGCCTGTAAGCTTTGTTGCTGTGCCATTTCTCGAGCTTCTCTTTCTCTCGCTCTTTCGCGCTCCCGTTCTATCCTCCTCTTATTTTTCTCCATCTCGTCAAGCTTACGATTCTCAATAGCCGGATTGGTATCATTTACGGTAAGAACTCCTCCAATCTGCACCTACCGCTAAGTTTCTTATGGCTGCGGCGCCGGTTGACCTCTGTAAGCAGCTCTATATGGTGCTCGTAAAGGTCACTTTGGTGAGCCTTAGAAAGTCCAGCATCAACAATCCTATTGACGCGGCGGCTTAAAAAAGGGCTTATCTGATCAAAAAAATCGGATATAGCGGCAATATCACGTCGTAATCTTTTGACATCTTTCTCAAAAGCTAGGGTGTCTCTCGGTGGTGAGCGAGATCCGGTTGTTGGTGAACTTGGAATGTTCCGTTCCTCTCCATCAAAAATTTATAATATAGGACTGCCACGTGAATATATTTTTGCTTGCAGTGGCCTAAGCACAACCTTTGGATCATAAGGATAGATGCCTGCATTCCGAAAGCCTGCCTTGATTGTACGCCGTGTAAAGGCCTGTAAACGCACTTTATGAAGCCCATGTAGAAAGTCGCTTTTATCATAAGATTGGCCTCCAAGGCGTGTCTGACGGTTCACCGCTCTCCCATGAAAATGCTTATATTGTTGAAAAAGCACGCCATTTAATGGCTGTAGGATATGAGTTGTATGAGGTGGGAACGAATAACATATAATCCGATGCCGTTGGCAATAATCGAGGAATTGCCAGGTCAAATGAGCGCCGCAATTATGCATAAGAAGAAGTCGATATCCCTTATTCTCTTCTTCCTCTGTAGATCTGTCAAAATGCATGAGCCATTCAGCAGCAAGCTCGTCAGATATATATCCATTCGGGGATATTGCAAGAACGTAATCATCCTCTAGATCGCGATACCACTCTTCCATATGGGCCTTGCCAGCGAGTATAATAAACGGAGGAAGTACCTTTCCGAGTACGTTTATACACTCAATAATTGTAATTGATTCCCGGCTGCCTGCGCTATCAATGACCTCATTGCGCTCATATGCAGTAATTACTGCCTCCCTTTTTCCCTGTCCGAGCCGGAATCCGGTTTCGTCGAAGTTGAAAATGTTTGACGGCGTAATTTTATAGGTATCGATTTCAATCTTTAGACGATCGAACCAGGTTTGTAAGACACCAAAATCCTGCGCGTTGAATCTATTCGGGTCCATTGGCTTTTGTACGATTCGTGCGTAATCGGTGCCTAGGCGCTCGAAAAAGCGATTTGCCCAATTAGGCCCTACAACGCGTGGCACATCTCCGAGTGGTGTTATATTGCGTAGTATAAGATTGGCCTGCGTTTTCAAGAGCTCCGTCGTAAGAGGGACTCCTATGTTGTCAAGATAAGCTAACCATGCTTTTAATGCGCGTTCCTGGTACTCTGTAAATAGGCGGTTTGTTGCTTTGCGGGTCGATTTAGATGCGCGGCCCTTGACGCGGTTGTAAAGAGTCGTATATGGAATCGCATGAGCTCGCGCCGCATCTTTGATATTCTTGAATTTTTTTGCCGCTAATTCCTCTGTTGCTATTTTTATAGCGAGTTCCTGTTTTTTGTACGAATCAGACGGCATTTTGGTGGTGATTTTGAAGCTCAGTTTGGGTCAATCTGTACTCCGTATGTAAAAATTGATTCCGTTGAGCCGGAGCCGACCCACAACCACCGAGAGGCGACGGGTAATGCAGTAAAAGGGGTGAGCGCGATTAGGGATTCACCCTAACCCTAACTAAGCTCTTCACTTCCTTAGTACCTAATTAGGTATAGTCGAAAAGGCAAACCCTACCTCTACTCCCTAGTTAGGAAACGGTCACATGATGGCAGGGCTACTCTTTCATCTCAAGACCTGTGACAATCCTGTCCAATAACACACGATACAACTAGTATCAGAAGGGTGGTGGGCGATCATGCCAAGATAGACGAAAGCTAGTCGTCTGTTTTAGCTACGAATTCTCGCAAAAGGATAAAAGCCATGAGCCGTACAGGCCTTAGCTCTCGATGCGGGTGCGGCGTGGACCCTTGGGAATTTTCAATCGTCTTCATTCTAGAGAACATCACACTAATTGATTAAAAATGATATATGTTCCTTTTTCTTACAAGATCAATATGCTACCCAAGACAAGCATGTCTTGTATCCCATGCGGAACCCGCACCCGCAAGCCACCATGAGATCGTGGTCTTTTGAGGATGCCGATCATGGCAATTGACGTATTGCATACGGACTAAAAGTGTCCGAGGTATGATATAAGAAGCCCTATGTACCATTTGAGATTGAGAGGAATTCAGTTGTATCGTCTTTTTGCTTCACACCCCTTGTTCAGAATCGCATCTCTTACCAGAGCAGCATGACTTCAAGTACTCCTTTTGTTCCCCCCTATACCGGCTCAACAGTAGACGTTTCCGTCATACTGGCCGATGGAACCGGTGTACCATGTGCATGGATGTTCAAGAACGCAATTCCAGGTCACAACATCTTAGACGTTCCATGCTTCAGTTTCTTGATCGAGAACAAAAGATCCGGAAAGAAGATCTTATATGATCTCGGTATCATGAAAGCATGAAAAGAGAAACAATCTCCAGCGAGTGGGCATTTATCATCTCCCTTTATCATTAGATGCAGGGAACGGAATAGGTTCTAATCCCAAAAACAATCCTTGACCAAATTGAAAAATCCAAAGCAGCAACATTCGACGTCCAACAAGGCGTAGCAGACCAACTTATTGCTTCCAACATCCCAATCGACTCAATCAATGAAATAATATGGTCTCATCATCATATGGATCATACCGGAGATCCATCCCTGTTCCCTTCGAGCACTTCACTCATTGTCGGATCAGGGTTCAAGAGTGACAAGACTACATTCCCGGGATGGCCCAGAAACCCCTATGCTATAACCGTCGATGATGCTTTTGAGGGAAGGAAGGTTATTGAACTGGATTTCTCTTCGAGCGACTTGCACATTGGGGGGTTTCCGGCCTTGGATTATTTTGGTGATGGGAGTTTTTATATACTCCAGACTCGGGGACATAATAAGTTTAAAACCTTCTTGTCTACGGAGTTGTTCCTAGCCATGGAACTAATCAATTTGAATTTTACGATAGCTCACGATCATATAAGTGCGCTCGCACGCACTGCGGAGGATAAATTCATTTTCCTCGGTGGCGATATCTCACATCACCCGGGCGAGTTTCGTCCAACGACCCAGTTACCTATCCCGTCTCAAATCGATTCATCCTTGCTCGGCAATCACATCCACCAAGGAGCTTCACATCCAGCAATTGTATTCGAAAGCATCATCTCGCAAAGCAAAAAGATGATGGCTCTGATTGCAAAACTAGTCCATTCTATGAACATAACCACATGACGAATGCCTCTCCACAGGAAGCGCAAGTTACTATTGAGAAATTGCAGGGTTTTGATTGCGTTGCTGATGTGTTTGTTGTCATTGTGCATGATAGTAGTTTACTTGATATCTTGCCGTTTTCCCGTTGAAGTTGACGCAGTGGGATGAGGCTGATTATAAGGATCGGGGGAGGTGGATGTTTTTGAAAGATTTCCTGAAGGCTATTCAGTGAAGCGGCTGTCTGAAGAGGGGTGACGTTAACAGATTAGTAGTCGACTTGATAGGCCAATGGAGTTCCCAAATGGGCGTACGTGACTGAGTAGTCACCCATAAGACGCTTAAGCGATACCGTAGAACCAACACATAAATCGAACTTCAAGTGTTCATCTGGTTTGAAATTTAGCAGGGTTATCAACTCCCGATACATCATTCAATTAGAATATAAATTTCAAGCCGTAACTGTCACTACTGCTCCAGGATAAACGGCTTTAGCCACCGAACCCACATCGCCCTCTTCCCCTGCCACAGCCCATTCGACTACCTTCTGCAACGCAAGCCGACTCTCCTTCTCAACCGGTGTATGATGACCCGCTCTCGGTAATGTAACAACTTGACTATCTCTACTAAGATAATCCGCGATCCCATCTAGGTTGAGATGAGGATTCAAAGCAACGTCTTCCATGCCCCAGACAATCGTGGCTTTGGCTTTCAGTGAACCCTCGGGTCCCTCGTCAAAGACGCCGGAATGACTGCTCTTGCGCCTTATTTCGCCCCCGTCGCTTAGACTGTAAAGTCCTGTGATGGTCTCGAGGGACTTCTTCCATCGACCGGTACTTGTTCCCTGTCGGTAGTAATTGGTCATGCTGACATATTTCTCACCGTAGGATTGTTTGACGACGTCCTTGGAATATCTTTCGGAATCAGATGTCTCTGTATTCTCTTGTCTGAGGGAAGGCCCCAGACAACCTGCCACTCCCTCAGCAATTTCTTTCGCAGAAGGTATGCTGTTCACACCGTGAGCCATTTTATGGATCGCTCGTAGAAGTGCGGTGTCGCCACCGCTTCCCTGAAGACGCACTATGGGGAGTGCAAGCTGCAATGCAAAGACATAGCCCGAGGCCACGGCCTGTCGAATGACTGGATTCATCGTGTGCAAAGCTTTCTTCACCATTGACCGCGATTGTAACGGAGAGTGAGAAAATAGCTTTAGCATTTTGACTGAGGAAGAAATGAGCCGTTTAATATTCGATTGAACCAGGGAAATCTAGCCCGTAGTCAGCTCCGATTCATCAGCAGTAGAGGCAAATGGTATACCAAAGGTCCATTGGTGAGAACAAATCGATCCGCCAATTGTGGCGCATCCGCTGCCAGGCGCATAGAAATAACACAACCCCAATCATGAGCAACAATAATCACTCGTTGTTGAGCACCAGTTCTCTCTGGATTATCAATCCCATAGAGTTCCCTCAATGAGATGATAAATTCTGTCATTTTCTCATGGACTTCAGTCGCAGAATACCGCTTCAGCAAATCCGAGCCTCCATATCCAGGAAGGTCTACAGCCACGAGATTGCTTGTTTCGCGAAGCCAGATTGAGCCCATGACGTATCGCCATACCACCCAACTATCTGGAAAGCCATGCACAAAGATCACCAGAGGCTTTGAAGCAGGTGTTTGAGGATCCGGGATGGCATTAGTAACATAATGAAACTTGAAGCCATCGCGCAGAGTCAAGAAACGATGATGCAGATCAAATGGTTGTTTTGAGAGGTTCCAGAAATGATCTCGAGCTGTACTTACACATCAGCATGCATCGTTCTGTTTCGAGGTCGAATTATCGCACGGCAGGGATTACACAAGAAAAAGTAAATAGCCTACCTAATGCCAATTCAGATTTATACTCTGCTGTCGGCTTTTTGAAGAATTGACCATTTATAATAGTCAAAAACCAGTAATAGAGCATAAACATCAAACCAATGGCTTGAATGAGCAGGGAGTTCAGAGCTCCCAGATACGTCTTCGCCATGGTCGATAGGTAGCTTGAGTGGCGAGTTGGAGCTCGCTCAGAGGCGAGCTATGAAGAACGGTGCTATCCAGAGAGCGACCTGTGACGATTGAGCAGTGTCTCAAGTACCTTCTGATAATTTATCGTGACTTCAGGCAGTTGGGTCGATAAAAAAAAACACAAAAAGAACAAATGTTTAAGTAGAGGATCAGGTGGTGGCTTACAGAAATGATCGCCCCTAAGCTCCGAAAGTTAATGCCTAAAATCTGAGGCTCGCTTGACGTAGCTATACGCTAACCTCGGTCCCTGCATACTTAAACTTTACATGCCTTTTGATAAATAAACAAGTATATACAGAGTAAGCAATTTCTCATCAATGGACCTACTAAGCATACTGAATGCTCAGATAGGCGCCTCCCATTACGCCAATTCAAACGCCATCGTCGCATGCCCCGGTGTGCAACTTCCATAGACTTTGAGATCATTCATATACACAAAACAACAAGTGGTATATAGCTGGATACAAGACCAAAAAGAGCAACAAGAAAAGAAAGTAGCGAAGGACCATGTAATTATATAAGTGCTCAGCTCACGGCATAAAGCCAATGTTCTCTCGGTCATCGTCAATCAGTCGTCCGTACCTTATGTTCTGGTTAGTATTTGTGGAACGACACTAGAAGAACGATAAGGATAGACTCACTCTAACAACAACCTGAAAAACCAGACTTCAAGATCTTCGTTTCGGAGGACTTTCTGTGCCCATTCCTTGCCCTGTTTGGCCAACCGTGGCGCCTGGATCTTGCCCTCCGCCTCCTGTGCAAAGTAACGAACACTTTCCACAGCATCAGTACCCTTCATCCCCAAGGGCACATAATGGACCCATGCATCAACCCACTCGTCTTGCCATTCTCGGAAGAGGGCCATCTTGTAGATCAGGCTATTGCTGCGAAGAAATGCATGGTAACGTCCACTAAAGGCATTCCCATCAATGTCTAACAGGTACTTGTAAGCCCATGCGTCTTGTTGGTCGACGGATGGGGAGATATCAAAGTATTCTTCTTGGGCGCGACAGTCGCCTGGGTCACACTGGCCGACATAGGTGAACGTGACATTGAATAACGACTTGACGTCTTGACGTGGAACATTGCTAGTGATCCACCTCCCATCTTCCCTCTGAGAGAAAATTGTTGCATCACTTGCAGAGTTGACGTTCTTGACAAATAATTGTCGATGTTGTCGGCGCCATCCTCCATCGCGTGAAAACCCTCCAGTAGTCGATCCGCGCCAATACATTTGAGATATCTTGTCCTCCCAGACGTAATCGCGAGTCGCATTGTAGCTAACTTTTCCAATCCAGTACCATGGACTGGGATATAATATATCCTGGAAACTAGATATTTTGCTTTGCGAGAAAATCGGGAAAAGGTCCTGAACAATGTTGAAAGCATTCGGTCGGTCGAAGAATCCAAAAGTATTTCTCAACGAAGGAGACAAGCAGATATCGGTAAAAGCAGTAGTATTGTGAATGAACCCCAGATCGCTTGTGGCGTAAGGTTCCATATTATCGCGTGGATTCTCTTCGAGCGAGCGTGCAGGACTATCTACTGGGCAGGAAAGACGGGAATGAGTCCAAGTAGGCTGATGGGCGAATTTGTTGAATCGAGTCGTCCTGACCTCCTCAATCCGGTCACCTTTATTCAAATCCGACGGCCTCGGTGACCACTTATTGTGTAGCGAAGTCTTCTCTAGAGTAGCAGGAATCGCCGTATCCTTTGCATAAGAAACCAGTCGATGGAGATCCTCGTGCGGAACTACCACGCGAGGTTCATCGTGTATATTGAACGCCAAATCCATATCAGGTAGATATTCCACAAAACTCTCCAACATGCCAACAGTGGCCTCCCGCTGCCACTGATAACCATCTCCTCCACCTTCGACCTTGGTAACTTTACCCTCCCGAATCAAAAGACCGATGAGTGCGTTGTCGTACCCAAGGGCTTCATGGACCCGACTCCGAATAACACGAGGCGATAAAGCCCAAAAAGGGAGCAGTGAATGGTATATTGTATCGTATTCATCAATCAACTGAACACCTCTCTTCTTCGCGAATGCAAACCATTTATCGAAATGCGGCGGCGGCGGCATTCCATAACGACGACGATATTCTTCGACTGCCTCCGTCAGAGATTTGGACTGACGAGCCAGTTTCGCATCAAAATCAGTATTGGCATCGTTGATAAGTCGTGCGATCGGGTGCGAATCCTCGGTCGTCGGTTGTAGTAGGTTCTCAAAGTCGGCGGGTAAGCTCTTCTCAAAGGGTGCTTTAGGCCCTGTGTCTGTTTCAGGGCTTCGGAGGAAGAATAATGTGAAAGCGGCAATTGTGAGAAAACACAAAAGATAGAGCGTTCGCGAGACCCTCATCCCTGCGGATGTCGGGTATAATCTATAAAACGGACAAAGGAATTGATGAAGACAGCTTGCCCATGGCAAGGGATGCCGGGCGGGCAATGCGCGGTGGGAGAAACCAAGTCACCCAGATATTGAAACACCGAAGAGAGAAGGATCTATCGGGTTTAATACTCTGAGACGTCGAAAGTCGATACACTAGAGGGACTGGAAAAGTCTTGTGTTGTTTGGAATACGAAGGAGGGTTGAAAAACGGTCTTGACGTAACGCACGTGCTGTGGATCTGGCGGATGGCCAGAACTTTAAAGGGGGACAGTTGACCTCCTATCTTCAAGGGTCACGCTCGACTTAATGCTTACTGATAATAGGAGCTATATTGACGAAAGCTAAAGGAATATACTATATATATACTTTTTGACAGAACATACTAAAATATGAAATATCCATTTGCTCTCTATTTGCCTCCCAACATAGAATACCGTACTATACGGTGATCATCGTGCTCTACCCCTGTATGCGTCTCAGCGCGAAGCCAACAACTTACAACACACCAAATTAACCGTGGCAGCTCCCATAGCCTCCAAAACAAACGGCCGCGCATACTTGACATGAGAATAAGCCAATCCGTAGAAAATACCCACGAGTACAAGATGTACTACGTAAAACAACTGCCGTCGCGCCTCCGGTCTCGAGGCGCCGATCAAATCTCGTAATTTCCATACATTGGTACGACCAAGTACTAGAATGAGGATAGCGAACGACGTCCCTGCTAGGCCGTATTGAACATCTGAATCCCGAATGCGTTTGAAGAAGACTATGCCAAACTCAGGATGGGGCACTTGGATGTAAAATAGCAGAAAAAGAGCTGCATGACTGCATACGAGAGGCACAATGACGAAGCGCCCAAGAAGACGATGGTATGCTGTCAATACTGGCTGCGGAATCGAGGTCAGGTAAGAGATGATTGACGGTAGCGTTGAGTTTGAAGAAAAGATGAAAGAGGTAGGAGCCAGTAACACCAGAAAGGGTAGTTGAGATAGACCGACATGACCCAAAGCTTTTGTCAGGTGAATGTAATCTTGCATCGAATCATTAGGCTTGAGATTCCAAGGTTGGATTGTGTCTGAAAGTAAACTCACCATCGTCTGTCCTCCATATACTGAGAGTCACAAGCCATAAAAGCCAAGATAGGGCGACAGCGTACTGTCGTCGGGTCTCGCTAGCACCTTTGATGGCGGGTACATCCCACCAGGATTTCCCTCTGTTATACTCAAATCGATTTCCTTTCCCAAGGCTAAATAGAAAAAAAGCGCCGAGAAGAATGAGTGCTGAGAGCTGAGCGTAATGCCCGCGGTTGTCGAGGGTAGTGCGCCGACGTTCAAGCTCTTCATCGGAGAGGGATAGGATGAAGCGATAAGGCCAAGCCATGGTTGATTCTGTTTATACTTCTTTAGCAAAGTATATCGTGTCGAATATAATTGAGATACTGCTTATTTGATGCAAAGGTTTCGATGATTGAGAAATAGTGCTCTTCAATATCAACGTGGAAAGGACACGTAGGGCAAGAATACAGCCTCTCAATGCATCATCAACGATTGGACTCCCCGGATTTCAAAGCACAAAGGATAGTGCTATATATATTAATTTGAGATCATATCTGTTCGGTGTACATTCGGGTATCGTAGTCCCGATGAGTGAAGCCCGAGGGGAATTTCGGTGTTATGCTGACAAATGATTCTAGCCTGACAGGATGCTAAAAAAGAAAAGTGTGGGAAGCGCCTCGTATCAAGCTACGTGCGAGACAAACTCTTGGATTAAAGTCAATGCATTTATTGACAGGGATACCTAGTCATACTCTTTACATGGAGGGTTGGCGCACGTGCAAAATTTCAAGAACCATAAAACCGCATCTCTTTTATTCCGACATGAATGCTGATTATGTTGTAAGATTGATTGAACAGTCCCTCTTGATTAGTAGTCCGAACCTTCTGCGTACAAAGTGATTAACTGATCACTTGAGCTTTCAGTCTGTAAGAATAGCTGCTATATGGGCTGAGTGTCTATGGTGAAGTTTGCATGGCCTCGTCCTGTCCACCCGCGGCGGTTGTGGCAAAATACCGAACATCGACATCATCATCTTGCTGCAATTTCTCCAATTGGGGTATTATGCGTTGCTGAATGAGTTCTTGGCCATGAGGTGCCGGGGTACCCGACTCGCCGGCCTTTTCCAAATCTTGTAGCGTACCTGATGCAGGGAGCCGACGTAAAGTGTCAACCAAGACAGCATAGGACTTTGCAACGTTGAATCGAATGTTGGGAATATCATCAGTAACTAGTCTTTCTAGGATTGGAAGGATTGAGTTTTCAATGATGTCAAGGTTGAGCACAGGTGCGAGAGTCTAACAAGAATGTTAGCACATCAATATTCATTAAATCCTTATCAGGAGTTCTTACCGAAACTGCAAAGCATGTAGTCATTCGGTAAAGGTAATTGGGGTGTGCGCCCATGGCCACCACCTTGGGAATAATAGATTGATTCGCCCAGTCAACACCAAAAACTTCTGTGAGTTTCTTCAAGTTCTGTGTCGCAGCCTCTCGAATGGAGAACACCGTGTCACCCAACCAGCCCATGCAGAGATCGCTGAGCTGTTCGTCGAAAAACTTGACGCCGAGTTGGCTCGCAAGAAGAGGTATGTATTCAATGATGGCTAAGCGCACGCGCCATTGCTTGTCCTCGGCCAATTGCACAATAGCCGGCAAGAGCGATTGTGAAAGCAAATCAATTCCGATGACTGAAAGTACTAGTCAGCAGCGATTATCACCAATGATTATGACTGTAACTTACCTTTATTGACGATGTCGAGTTTTGAAATGATGTGCAAGCGGACTTCTGGATGTTCATCTTTCAACATCTGGAGGAACATTGGTAGGAGATGAGAAATGGTCCTAAATAACTCTTGTCAGCTCTCTTAGACTGCTTGAACAATGCATGTAACCTACTCCTCTTTTCCAAGAATCGGAGCAAGTCCGCTAACTTGGGTTGCCAGCGCTCCACGCACGTGTTGAGACTGGTCAGACACAAGGTCTTCTATACTGGTCATAATTTCATTAAGAAGGGTATCACGATCGATCAAATTGCAGAAGCCTAAAGAGAAGTTAGTTGCAACGAAGGTAGAAATAAGCAAACAGCAGAAAAACACGCACCAGGAATTTGTCCAGCAATGGCAGTTCGGACTTCCGCCTCTGTATCCTTCAAGAGTTTGACAAATGCTGGCACAAGGTCCCGTGTTACGACCTCATCATCCACAGCTTTTGCAATCTGCCGTATGCATTAGCAATTGTTCGCTAGTAGGACGTCCCGCAGAACTTGCCTGCTCGAATCTATCTGCCACCATGTACCTGACTCGCCAGCTCTTGTCCTCGAAAAGATTTCGCAGAGACGTCAACAGAATACCATGACTTGATTGTTGTTCCTTTGGGATCTCCTGCGCAATGGAAATGAGAATCTCCACTGTCAACAGTCGTACACTGTCCTGATCATCACTGGTAAGGTATTGGAAGTGAGGAATGATTTCGTCGATGATGACTTGGGGTGTAAGTTCCTTGACGAATTTAGAAAGGTTGTTGGCGGCCTGTCTCCGCACCATGGGTGTCTCGTCGCGGACCAAACTACCAAAGTTCTGGCGGAGGGTCTGCTGCATGCCAGCTGTGGCTTTGCGATAAGGGGCACAGTAGAGACCAGTAGCCGAGACTTTGGACGTGAACCAATCGGCCTTGGAAAGACGGAGCACTAAAGGTATGAATTCCTCCTCGACCTGCTTTGGAGAGAGTTGATCGCAGATTTTGTTAAGAGACTCAACGGCCTATAGTTAGATCCTTGTTGTTAACAACTATTGGTCATTCATTTGGATTCAGCGTTGTTCACCTTCTCTCGAACCAAAGGCTCCTCAATAGCTGCCAAATTCTCGAGAGGCGAAAGAAGCACGTGCCCATATTCTGGACCACCAACGTATTCGACGAAATTGCCCAGTTCCTCACTTAAAGCGGTCAGGACTTCGTCTTCGTCTTCAACAGAATCTAATAGTAATTGTTATTAGCGGCTGGTGAATTTTGAGTCCTAGCAATGGTATTCTCTTTCCACTCACCATCGAGGAAAGGGATGAGCTCGTCCCTCGTCCTCTCTGGACCAAGAGCTAGGGCGATTGTTGATAGACGGTGGATCGCATTTAAACGTAGGAGGACATCATCGTGCTGGAACGATAAATAAATTAGCGCAAAATCTTCTGCATGGAGATGTCACGGAAAATAAACATACCTTCAACTCATCAATGAGAACGGCGATGGGGTAGAGCTCATCGCTTTCAGCCGTCGAATCCATTGTGTTTGATGTTTGTAAGACCGGCAGCTGCACAAGGAGAAGAAATTAAGGATTGGGAGTTCCAAATCCAATGATGCCGACACTGGGATGCGAGTCGTGTCTGTGTTTCAACCCAGTAGTCAAACAAAACGAGGTAACTAAGTAGTGTTGAACAGGCTTTGCATGGACGCTGCTAACCTGATCAGAGGGGAAATTAGAAGTGTAGTTCAGAAATTCAACTCAGTAAAAGAAGGAATGAGGAAAGTGAAAACGCATGTGAGGCTGGTAGAGAGTAGAAGGCGACTGGTTATCGAGGGGAGAATATCGTGGGGTCGAGCGAAGCACAAGCACACGGGTGGAATATATTGGTTTGGTGATGATGTTTGGGCGGGTAACAAAGCGCGGATGTACGCACCTGAAATAGCAGAATTGAACAGTGATGAAATCGTAAACTGATGAGAATTCGCGAGTTTATTGTTTTGGACGTGTTTTTCGAATAGGGGAAGTTGAGATAACCAGGAGAGAATCGCTGAGAGATGAGGCTCGGGGTAGTTGGCAGACAAGGCAGGTAGGCAAAGGCGGGCAACGCAGGCAAGAACAATGATGAGGTGTGGCTGGTGAGGGACCACCTTCCCTTCCTTCTTTTTTAGACGAGGGGTCAGGTGTGGCTGGTACGGGCGGTGACTTTTATTTTATGTGTCATCCGAGCCTTTTCTCCCCAGGAAGCAAACCACCAGCTACGAAAAGTACTGTTGTCAATTGCTTCGGCCTCGTCGTCGCGAGTGAAATATACGCCTTTTGGTCGTTATCGGTTCCCTCCCGGTCGTCGCCAGTTACTCTACAGCTCTAGTTCCGCACGACTCACACTGCCATCCCACTTGCCGCTTCGAGTGCACAACCATGCCTACCGTTTCGGTGGATAAAGCTGCTCTCTTCAAAGAGCTTGGGCGGGAGTTCGTTCAACTTGCGCTGCCTTGTTCTTGCTTGGATTATATTATACTAATCATATTGCCTTCCCCAGTTACACTACAGAAGAGTTCGACGAGCTATGTTTCGAGTTTGGTATGACTCAACCCGATCTTTAACTATGAAGACCAACATGCTGACATTCTGTTCCAAGGAATTGAGCTCGACGAAGATGTAAGTTCTCTACGCTATCACAACTTCCGGTGCGAGATGTCTCGTTAATACCTCTCAAGACCACCAACCAAGAACGACCCGACAATGAACCCCCGCAACTCAAGATTGACATACCCGCCAACAGGTGCGTTCAGTGGAATCGAGTAGAAACACGCTCGGTGGTATACTGATAGAAGCTTAGATATGATCTGCTTTGCTTCGAGGGTATTGCATTGATGCTCAACGTTTTCTTGGGTCGTAAGCCATTCCCCAACTATCGATTAGTGCAACCTGCAAGCGGACAACTGGAGAAAATTATTGTCAAGGAAGATGTGAGCATATCTCATTCCTTAGAAGAGTCTCGGCCTAATTCTGGATTTCGTGGCAGACAACCAAAATAAGACCTTACGTATCGGGTGCCATTTTGCGGAATGTGACTTTCGACGAAGCTAGATACCAATCTTTCATTGGTTTGCAAGACAAGTTACATCAAAATATTGCTCGTCAACGGACGCTCGTCTCTATCGGTACTCACGATCTAGACACCATCAAAGGCCCGTTCACGTACGAAGCTCTCCCACCGAAGGATATCCGTTTCACTCCCTTGAACCAGACAAAGGAAATGAATGGCGAGGAACTCATGGCTTTCTACGATGTAAGAGGATGTTCGAACCTATGTGGGAACTAGTCACTAACTGTTCTGTTCGACTTATAGAAAGATAGACATCTGGGCCGATACCTCCACATTATCCGGGATTCGCCTGTGTATCCCGTGATTTATGATTCGAATCGCGTTGTCTGCTCTCTACCCCCTATTATCAACGGAGATCATTCCAAGATCACATTGGACACAAAGAATGTCTTCATTGAGATTACTGCCCTGGATAAGACGAAATTGGAGATTGTCAACAAGATTATGGTCACCATGTTCTCTCTGTACACTTCCGAACCTTTCACGTGAGTCGATTGATCATATTTACCAAAGTGTTTGCGGAGTCTCACACGAAATTGCAGGATCGAGCCCGTTGAAATTATCTCGGAGCACAATGGTGAAACCAGAGTGACGCCTGATATCTCAGCGCGCACTACACAAGCCGAGCTTTCGTACATCAATCAATGCTGTGACCTGAACCTATCCGCTGAAGAGGTATCTAAACTATTGACGAAAATGGCGTACAAAGCGCGTCCTTCGAAGACATCCAGCAATCTCATTGACGTCGATATCCCTCCAACCAGGGCGGATATTCTACATCAAGTGGACATCATGGAAGATGTTGCTATTGCATATGGATTTAATGAGCTGCCACGCAGCTTCCCCAGCAAGTCAGGCACTATTGCTCAGCCTCTACCAGTCAACAAACTTACGGATATCATTCGTTTGGAGGCGGCAATGGCTGGCTGGTCTGAAGTGCTGCCGTTGATCCTATGCTCACACGACGAGAACTTTGCATGGCTGAATCGCAAGGACAATGGCAACACCGCAGTTAAGCTTGCTAACCCTAAGACACTTGAATTTCAGGTTGTCCGAACCAGCTTGCTTCCAGGTCTATTGAAGACCCTCAAGGAGAATAGGTATCATACCGTTCCCATGAAGATTTTCGAGGTCAGCGATGTGGCTTTCAAAGACTTGTCTCTTGAGCGTAAAAGCCGAAATGAGAGACATTTCGCTGCAGCCTGGTACGGCAAGACCAGCGGCTTCGAAGTTGTACATGGCTTATTGGATCGTGTGATGGCTATGCTGAAGAGTGCATTCATTACTGGCGAGGAAGGGTTAGAGAACACAGCTGTGAGTGAGTCTCGCTACTGGATCGAAGAACTAGATGGTAAGTTGTATATTTCTGGTGGTAGTAATCAAAGTTTGCTAACAGGGTCGTTGTCAGATCCCACTTATTTCCCTGGCCACGCCGCCTCAGTCCACGTCAACATTGGCGGAAAGGAACAGGTCATTGGTTCTTTCGGTATTCTTCATCCCACCGTCTTGGAAAATTACGAGCTCAAACTACCTGTGAGCACCCTTGAGATAAACATTGAGGCTTTCTTGTAACGCATGGATGTTATCGGGTATAACTGAAAAGAAAAGGGATTAAAAGCAGAAATCTAGATGATGAATGAATGCAAAATGTTGTTAGATTCTATGTAGGAATGCCCAAATTTTGAATCATGGATTCATATTCCAAAATTTATGCTTATGATTTTCATGATTCAATTTCCAGACCGGCTTTGCAACCTCTAAATTTTTTGGTGGAGCAAGAATTCAGTCTATGTACATCCTACATCTTGAAGTCAATGGCTTCCTGACATCCACAATGATTCATATAAAAGTTGGTTGGTCATTCATGTCATTTTCTCAAACTTTTTTGTATCTAAGGATATAGGTAATCGAAGAGTGAGTGATAGGGGAGTCATTTTATGTCGGGCATTCGAGGAGGCAGAAGCCAAGAAAAAGACATGATACGACATGCGGAGCCCTCATATGAGAACATGACGAAAATAAATTCGTTAAGGAAACAAAGAAAAGGAGACAAACACCAAACAACACGAAAAGAGAGAATTAACTAATTTACTCCTGAGCGTATTCCGCTGGTGCAGCACCTTCTTGACCTTCAGCCTCCTGCTGCTCTGCCAATCGTTGCTGTTCAGCGAGTTGCTGGGCAGCGAGAGCCTTGGCACCGTAGTCCTGGCTGACGGGCTGGAGGATGGGTTGTTCTTCCTTGGGCTCAATGATGGTGACGGCGTCGGGGAGGGTCTTTTGAGGGCCAGACTTGCCCTCGGGGTCGGATCCGCGCATGATCTTGACCTTGATACCGAGGACGCCTTGGCGGAGGAGGACGTGACGGGTGGCGCTGTCAATGAATTCTTTGGCGGGTTGACCGGAGTGGATCATGAAACCGTCCTGTAGATGGGTGTCAGCGATTGTTATGACCATGTTGGGTCTTTTTCCATTTAAATGCAGATATCTCCTGATACGGAACAAACTTGAAAATATGAATAGACAAGGACGTACAGTGAACTTCATAGACTTGGCACGAGCAGCACGGAGCTTGCCAGAAACGACAACCTCGCAACCCTTAGCACCGCTCTCCATGATGAAACGGAGGACACCATAGCAGGCTCTTCGGACAGCAAGACCGTTGAGGAGCTTGTAGCGGAGGGACTCGCACTGAGCGACGGCGGAAAGACCACGGTTCTGGACCTTGGCGGCATAGAGAGAGACGGAGTTCTCGGGGAACTTGAATCGCTTCTGAATGAGGGAGGTGAGCTCACGGATGCGGCGACCTTGTTCACCAAGAACCTCTTGGGTGTGGGTGGCGCGAATAACTGTGTAGAAAGGAAAAAAAATCGACCATCAGCATTCAATTCGATATTTCGTCTTAATTTCCTTCCCATTCCAGCCTTTTTCTCTCCCTCATTCCTCTTCTTTTTCTCCTCCAATTGACCCCATTACATATCTTTCTGCTTCTCCCCAAAAAAAATCCGAACAAGGAAGTAAACGTACTGATATCGGTCACAGTGGGAGTGACACGGACTTCGACGCCAGAGTAACCCTCCTCAGCAAGTTCGCGCTGGAAGAACTCGTTCAATTCGGCGTAGAAAACGCCGTCAGCGACGAACTTGCGACGCTTAGAAATAGCACCCTGTGTAGCAGCCATGATTGCAGTCTTGTCGAATCTGTTCGAAAAGATCGAGGGTGTATCGGAGGGTGGGTGGGCGGTTTGGCGTGAGGACTCCGAAGAAAGGTGAGTAAAGATTCTCGGTCCGCTAAGATTTGATGATATTAGAGGTTTAGTGGGGGAATTTTTGAGGATAGGGCTTGGGGTTTGTCTCGCTTGTGTTGGAACTGTTGATTGGTGCGCTTGGATCCACAATTCTGGCACTAACCATAATTGGAGCTCTATGCTTTAAAGAGGATAGCGCGTTTTCCATCTATTATTATCAGGACGAGAGAAGATGGCTTGTTGATTTATTCATTCAATAGTTATTTGTAAGTACTGAGTCTACTGCATCTCGAGCTCCATCTCCTTTCTGGCGCTTTTGTCGGCACTCTGACTGAACTTCGGGATACTCATATTCGACAGCTCTGTAGTGAGATTCGAAATGCCAGCCGGTATTGGCTTACTAGGAGGAACATCGCCTATAGTCGTATCTGTGGTCTCAACACCGGCAAGCACAGGACTGTTTCTACCCGTTGTCTGACCAGAGCGATGGGGGAAGGCCGTGTTTGAGGTCGTTCGAGTACCATTCATTTCAGCATCTGTGCGTCCAAAGGCCTCATTCCACCAGCGAACTTCATCTATGCGAGGAAAGATAAGTCGTTCATGGGCGCGCTGCTTATCATCGACCAAAGGATCATAAATTGGGTTGATAAACTGCTCCCTGCGAGCCAGAAAATAGTCCCAGACACTTCTCGTTCTCGTCTTTGCGTTGCAGTCTACTCGTTCTTTCTCACTGTTGTAGAGAAAAGTCCCGTATTGGCACGAGTAGAGATGGTACAAAAGCCTGCGCAGGAAGCGCTCATTAAACTCAAATCGATGTGGGTATTGGTAAAGAAGTTGGTATGTCGCATCAAGAAATTGGTGGAAAACAGGACTGGTTTCTTTGACCTTGGTCGTCTCCTTTTCGCTGACTGTTGACCGGGGTGTTGAGCTGGTTTTTCGAAGCGGACTGTCAGTGTCATAGTTCGATCCCTCGCCATCATCGTCAGCAAGGGAGTCTCGACTGTTGTTCTTTTGGTTGAAGAAGTTTTTAGCGCTGAGAAAAGCATTCTCCAGAGCCTTTCGTGGCTCACTAGTTTCACCAAAGGATCGGTTTGTATCTCCACCGATTCTCTCATTCTCGATCTGGAACCACTTTTCACTGTTGAGGAGACCGGCTCGATGGCGGAACATGTGACCAAATGAGAGCCAATCTTTTTCAACCAGTACCATGAATCCTTCTAAGGTACGGTAATAAGGATCGAGACAAATTTGACTGAGAGCGCTAAGCTGACTCGTGCGATCCCATCCATCCGAGCAATGGATGAGAACGTGAGAGTGCTGCAGTCCGACCTGGCGAGCAATAAGACTAGCACCATCCAGAATCACCGAGATATATTTCAGCCAATTGCTTTTCGCAAGTAGTTCCCTGTTCGGACCTAATGGTGTAACATCAGACTCCTTCAATGCCTCGACCACCTTATTCAACGAATCCCTCATCACGTGGATATTGTCAATCCCCAAATAAGCTTTCGTGGCAAACTTGTAATTGTCCATATTCTCAGATCCGAGTCCCACGGCTTGCATTGCAAAGGCGTTTACAGTCGGTCTAGCGTCGACAATCAGGTTACGCTGCTGAGCGCCATACACTGATGGTTTCTCCTGCGTAGCCCCGCGAGCGGCAGAGACAACTTCGTCCTCCAACTCTTCGGCATTTGTCAAGTCGAATTCTTGGCTTTGTATAGAAGCGCCCTCTTCCCAACTTGAATTGGTGGAATCTTGCTCAAAAGACGGAGGCGTGAATCCAGCCAGGGGCCTGTCTGTCTGAGACGTAGAGAATATAGCAGCCAGCAACTTCTCGTCTTGGATACTTCGGTTCTGTCGCACTCCCACTAAAGGTTGCGAGCTTCTCGTAATTGAGCAATTATTCACTGGATGGAGGTATGTAAGCACGGGTATTCGTGCCCTTGAGCGATATCTCCCTGCATAGTTGAGAGTGTTATCGGATATGTTGGACGGGACAACTAGTAAAGCCGGATAGGTGGGAGAAAACTAATCTGTCAGTAACCTGCAGGACGATGGAACAATATCAAACGGAGTCAGGGACCATACAGAATAGTCGGCATTTATAGTCGATATGCGCCAGTTCGCATTACTTCCTTCCCTTCCCACTCCCTGCCTGTTCCATTCCTTGCGAGCATCATACAACTGCCATCCATTGAGTCCTTGCTCGGGAGGGGGCGGCTGATATGTAAAAGCATATAGCTTCTCAACTCGCCCAATCTTGCAAGTCCACTGCTTTAATGTGTCGTACACATCGCGCGCCTTGGTCTCGCTGGCGAAGTAGAAGCAAACAAACGTGAAATCACGACAGCGTAGGCGGACTGAGGAGGGTTGTCTAGAAACGGTCGGCGCTGTACGGAGCGTGCAGAATGATATTATAGGGTATGTGATCCAGAGTTCCCTTGGACGGATGGGAGTGCCTGATGCCAGGGCTTCCTCAGAGACATGCGGGGTATGAGAGAAAATAAGGTGATGAGGAGTCAAGTGTAGAGTGCCTGTAACTTGCTCACCCCTTCGTGCAAGGGTGACATCTTCAACCTAGAAGAGAGAAAAGTCAGCTTTGGAATCAGTTGTTACAAGACCAGGCTTCTAAAATATAGAGAACCAACCTTGGCCACTCGTGTCCTGTCCATGCTCAGCGGTCGTTACTGAATCCTCATGTTGTGTGTGCTAAAGACAGCGACGACAGAGCTGTGGAGTAGTGGTGAAACTCGGCACTGTACGTTACTGGGAATGCATGAAAAGGTGTTCAGATTGGCATGGGATGTGGCTTGTAGTAACGATGAAGTGTCAAAGGCTGCACCGGATCTCTGCGCTACGTCAGACAGACCTGCGGTTGACAGACCCGACAGCCCCAAAAAATCTCTTGGCAGATATTTACATCGATTGGATCTCTCCTAAAATCCTTTTACCAACTGCTATGCTTTTCAGCAAGTTCATAAATACTAAAATGGATAAAAAGGGATCCATGATATTATACTATATATTATTAGTTATGCCATAAAAAGATTATAGAAGAGTATCTACTAGAATTCCTTGCGCAACCCAGTCCTTTACGCATTCTGATGCTTCAAGCAGTCGTACACTAGCCTTCGTACGATCCCATGGGACACGACGATGATAACCTGAAATAACTCTTTCTGGCTTGCCACTCATTCCGGGTATCGAGAGAACTTCGATTGCAAGCTGTGAGAGCCGTGGATATCCTCCATGCAAAATAGGCCGACTCCACCATTGAATGGCTGTTGTATCATTTTCCAGTATAACTGGGTTCTCACCAACATAGATATCGAACTCGTCCTGGTACCGCGGACGAATTCGCTTCAAAATGTGCATCCGGCGAGTTTTATGGAAGACAGAAAGATTTTCCTCTGGCTGGAGAGCATGCTTGCCTACACTTTCAGACTCGTACAGTACAGCTGAAAATGGTATTCTGTCGCGGAATCTCTCCCAGAGCTTCCGTACGATGTAGAGCTTCTTTTCTCCTTCGGTGGTGATATTCCTGTTCCCGTCCTTTAAAAAAGCTGTCCGGCATTGTGGATTGGGAATGCGCGCTGCTAGATAGTATGGAGAAGCATCTAATCTCTGGACGTAGGTGCGCACTTTTCCTGGGCACGCTGGAGCTGAGGAGCCATAAACTCGTCTTTAGCCTTACTGGCTGTCTCCTATAAAGAAAGAATTAGTTAAAGAAACACAGTTAAAAGTATCGTACGACTTACCAATGTGGTTTGTATTATACTCTGAAGAATGTCAATTGATTCTAAAACCCTTTCCAACGTTGTGTGATCTCCCTGAAGATACAGGGTTGCTTCATGAAAAAATTGAAGGAAATCATGAATTGACCGGAGTTGTACCCATTCACTTGTTGTAAGGATATCATCTTTTGAGACATCATCTTGGTAATGCTCAACGTAAAGTTGAAGCCCAGCCTTGACTTTATCCTCTAGAGCCACACTTAACATGGCAAACCAGCTTTTCCAACTCGTACGGTTGTCAAGAGGAATGATTTTACCAGCACGATCTTTGAACCATGTTGTACGATTAGCAGACTTGCGGATGTGGACAACGTTGTTGTGGAGTTTTCCCATTGGTCCCATGATATCTCGAATGTTTTTGCCTCTTTCGTCAGGTTCCTCATTTTTCTTCTTCCTCTTGTCTTTCGACTTTCCTGGTAGTGGTATTGATTGTAAGGCTTCTTCCTCAGCCTCCTCTCCTTCCTGTTCCTCATCTTCTTTATCGTATAACTCCATGAGCTTTCCATCCCCTTCTGAACTGAACAGAAAGGCCTGAACGATGAGATTGATGACCTGTCCTTGACAGTGAATTCTTTGATGCGTTGCGGTTCACGTAATCTTAAGCTCGAGGCTGAGCCATTGGCCTATCATACGACAGAGAACGTCATTTGATCTGGCATTATCTCCAACGAGGGTTCCAATTTTCGTTTCAATTCCATACTCAATTAGAACCGGACGAAGTGCCTCCCACTGATCTGCTCCACTTTGACTATGTACTGTACGAAGGGCAATCAGAGGGTTCTGATATTTATCCTGGATGTCGACAAAGCTGGCACATATTCCGAGAAGAAGGGAATGACTCGGAGAAGTCCAAATGTCAAGAGCAAGATGGATGTTTGTCTTTGCAGATTGAAGTACTTTCCGCACAGTATCCTGGCTTTGGACGAAGTGTTCAGCGACCCACTCTGTTATTGTTGAATGATGAATGGGGATAAACGAGGGCGATTCTCAATTTAATGCTTTAACGAAAGCATGAAATTCTGGCCATTCTACGCAGGAGAATGGAAGACGTCGTACGATAGTAAGTTTCAAAAGTGTTCGTTTCACAGCATCTTGCTGTACCGCCCGCCTTAGCACCTCACCTCTCAAGGCCCTGAACTTCTGCCTTTGTTAAAAACTTTCCATACAGCTCCTGAACTGAATTCTCTCCGAGATTTCTCGCCGTCGTACGAATACTACTCTCTTCCGGGCTCCATTGAATCTCATGGTGTCTCCGTAGACGTTGCAGCCCCTGGGTTGACGCATGGTGCCCCTTTTGATCTTGAGGAGGGCAATATCTACAGAAATAATGTTTTTTGGTCCGAATCTTTCCTCTTTCGTTGCGGTACGGTAATGCTTGTGGATGGAAGAGGATAGTCTTGGGATTGGTATAGAACGACCCGTTGAGATAGAGTCCACATCAGCTTTGGTGTTAACGGCGCTCAAAAGAAGAGAAGAAGATGTATTCACGTCAAAGAAATCATTGTCATGCAGAGTTTCGCTATAATTAGCCATAATACTTTCGTTTCTCAACTTCTGTTACCCCTCCTAACACGACAGTCTGTCGGCTGCGTCAGATCCAACCATGGCGCACAGGCCACCTGATCAGCTTTGGCCTTGATGCCTTAGATTTGATATGAATCAATAAATTTCATTTAAAGACAAATTCTGCTGGTTTTGGAAGTTGTTCATAGTATATCGATATTATTCATTTATCCAATTTGTAACATTGCAACTCAGACTCTGGCTTAGTGGCAGGCAACTGACCGGAGTACATGGATTAAGGGTTGTCTGATAGTTCGTCACAGCTCACTGCCACCGCTATAGAGAATGCTTTAAAAGGCTGACCATGTCAATAGATTGCGCATCATATATCTTCTTAGGCATATCAAAACTATTGCTTCAAAGTCATGCAGTCAAATCCAAGCCCGCCCACTGCAACAGATATCTTCCGCTACCGTTACCAACATGGTACAAACCTCGGCTCCATCTTCGTCCTGGAGAAATGGCTCCATCCAAGGATGTTTGAGAAGGATTCTAAGGGATCTAGTGAGATAGAAGCCGTCACACAGTATGCATCCCAAATCTCTCAAGAAGCATACAGAACGGTCACTGAATCTTATCAAGATCCTTGAAGAGCAATGGCCTCCAGGCCACACGGCAAAAGTGGGAACACCATTGGCAATCTGCTCTCACTAAATTAGACCTTATCTGGCTCACTGATACCGCAAAGTGTAACTCTATCCGCTTGCCAATAGGCCATTTCAGCCTTGGTCCCCAGTTCTGCAAAGGAACACCGTTTGAGGGAGAAGTAGCGCAGGTGTACATAAAAGCCTGGAGAGCAGTGAAGAAAATCATCAACGACTGTTACGACCACGGTATCGGTGTCCTTATAGACCTCCATGCCCTACCAGGCGGTGCCAACATAAACGCGCACAGCGGAACAAATAGTGGTAAGGCTGAACTTTGGACGTTCGATCGTCATCTCAAACTTGCAACAGAATGCATCAAGTTTATTGTACAGGAAATCGTCACTTATCGACTCTCAAACGTCATTGGTGTCGAACTCTGCAATGAACCGTCTCGAGCCGCAAGTTCTGCTGTGTTCAAGTGGTATGACGATGCCCTAGCTATGGTCAATACGATAGACTCATCGATTCCAATCTACATCGGCGACTGCTGGGATCTTCCTACTGCCATAAAGTATGCCATGAAAAAGAACAAGCTCGACAATGCCAGAAATCCTGTCATCGTCGATACGCACAAATACTATACCTTTGCAGCCCATGATCACTCCCAAGCACCACAGCAAATCATAGAACGAGTCAAAGGTTCCCTTGGCGACATCACAAAGAACAAACGAGACATTGCATCATGCAAGACAGCACTTTCAGTATATGTAGGCGAATACAGCTGCACCATGGATGGGAAAACATGGAGCAAAGTCGATAATGCCCATCGGCAGGCACTAACCCAACAATTTGGTCGCGCTCAAACCGATAAATGGCAGAACATGACAAGTGGATCGGCGTTCTGGACGTTCAAGATGAACTGGATGGATGGAGGAGATTGGGGTTTTAAACAGCAGGTTAAAACTGGTGCTGTGACGCCTCCGAAGTGTCTGACTTTTTCTGTTGATGAAATCAAGTCCAAGTGTCATAGAGCCAATGAGTGTAGAGAGCAGCATCGAACGAGGGCGCTCGTGCAGCATTCGAATTACTGGGATAAAACATCGTCGGGCACAAAGTTTGAGCACTGGCGTTATGAGCTTGGCTGGGACCTCGGCTTCAACGATGCCATGGCATTTCTTTGCAGTAAACTGGATGGAAAACTACCAAATATCCGCCAGGTTGCCGGGGGTGACAAGATCGGAGCTCTGGAGCTTTGGATCGGTAAACGGATGCTCGAGACTGGACAGTTAAGTAGCCCTCTTGCCTGGGAATGGGAGCACGGATATCGAAAAGGTGTGAAAGACTTTGACAAGCTGATTTATACATGAATTTCCATGTCATTTGGTTATGTCGATGGAGAAATAAATATAGATATTATACAGAAGAATCAAAGCTTATAATAATACACTTGACCTCTTCAGGTCAAAAAGAAAGGCCCAATAGAGTCGTCCTTCATCAGCCCGTTTTTTTTCGGGTACTGTGCTGTGTCAGTTCTATCGCCAACTGACAAGCTGTCATATAGAACGCACGGAATTCCTGCTCCAGAGTGTCACTTGCAGGATCAAGAGTTTCGTCAACATTGTTGCGACGCTGCAGTCGTGTATAATACGAAGGCATGCTATTGACAAACATCTCAAGATTGAGATGGTCACTCTTCGAATCTAGAGAGCCTTTGACGTTGGGACTGTAGCAGAGTCTCTCCCCGGAATATTCGTACGTCCGTATCATGGTTCCTATTGCCTGCTGCACACCAGGAAACCAATAGGTTCCTTCTATGGTGTCGGTACCTACTTCGGCACGATTGGAAGAATCTTGAGCCTGAGTCGGTAGTCCCGGGACTGGGACATGACAGCTGGGTGGAAAGGGCTTCCTTGGATCGCTGAGTACCTCGTTTAGAGACGATAGGAGTGCGACCCGCAAGGCTTCGGGCTGCTCAGTTCCTGTCACATTGAATATCTCGCGGGTAAGTGTACGTGTGAAACGAATATCGTAGTTGACCTCGGGGAGGAGATAATCTATACTAGACTCTTCCACAATGGCCTTGACGCTCAGGAGCTCTGGTCCTGAGAAGGGGAATTTGGCTTCCGGAGCATTAACCCAGGGAACTGAAATTTCGACTTCAAGAATAGGTAACTTGTGGTTATTTGGTTTGCACGGAGTCATCCTAAATCGATGTAGCCGAATCTGCGTCCTGTCTCCTGGAAATATACGACGCGTTTTCACAAGAGATTCGCCTTTCGGGTGAAGCCATCCGTGGAAATATCGAGGAAATGAACGTTCGCCCAGTTGAGTAGCGTTAATTTTCGTCAGACTGTCCAGGCTGTTGGGGGTTCGGAAAAGGCATTGACCGATTGTTGCCGACAACTTCTCCTCGAGTCCGCCTTGGTTAGAAGGTTTTTCTCTCAGTATCTGAAGAATCTCAGATGAGAAAGTAGGTCTATGCTGGCTGAATAACGGTGGCAGTTGATTTTCGTTGTAGTCTTGAATTGACGTCGGTATAGCCCATCTCGACCACGGCTTTCCTCTTTCCAATAGAGACATGACTTGCCTACGCTTCGTTGAGATTCGTTTCATGAAGCCAGCGGCGCTGGACGGCACGTCGGTACAGAATGGGACTTGCTCGTTTGCAGATTGCGTGGAGTTTGCGAATTCTAGATCTCGCTTGAGTCGGACAAAATCATCTTCCTTCGCAGTATATGCCGCAGAGGTGACCGAACTCCGACGTGGATCATTTATGAACACGCCAAAGGTCTCGGCTATTGACTCCAGGAACCTATTCTTCGCCTGTTTACCGTCGACCACCCATGACTTGTCATTGAGAAGGGGCTGCTCGAATGATTCCGTGCGAATTTCTGCGCCGTACGACTTGACAATTTCCCGAACAGATTCACAGGCACTGCGATTGCCAGAGACACGTATGAAATTCAACGAGCCGAAGGGTTCAATCTTTGTTCCATGGGAATGCGCCAATTCCTCCAACGAATATTGTTCCGACGAAAGGATCACAGATATGACCTGTGACGGGAGATGTATGTTTAAGCTTCCCATCTCGTCATGTACTTCAAGCTGCCAACAATCTCGGAGGATGCGCTCTGCAAGTATATCCTTCCTAAGCTTCGCTTTATTGTTTTCACGGGGTTTCGAGGGTTTCCCATTCAATGATGTATCGTTTTCATCTATTATCGGGTCGGTGCTTTCAATGGCCAGCCACTGTTCGCCGTCACTAATCATGTCGCTATCATTCGGAGTGGCTTCAATGTCCTCTTTTGGCCGTAATGGTGCAGATGGTCGTGGGAATGTAGAATAATATTTTGACAGCTGTCCTAGCGTAAATCCAATTTCGATCTTGGCCTGAAGCTCTAGGTATTCTTCTCTCGAAACAGTGTCGCCAGGTGAGTACGGAGCGTGGAGTTCGTCGAGATAGGCTGCATAATTGGAACTGTCAACTTCAATCTTGTGCGTTCCAAACAAATCAGCCGATACAGGTGAGGCATCGTTCGTAGATGTATCGTCCGATTTGTGGTCATTTTGCCGCTTGACCTTTGGGCGTCTGCGTTTCTTAAGTGGAAGAACAAGGATCTGTCCAGGTTTCCCTAAGGCGTCAACATCGAGCTTGTGCTGTCGCGCTTGGTGCCGCCTATATCGCTCAGTATGAGGGTCTTCATCATTATAGTTGGAAGAAGAATATGTTTTATTATTATCGTCTGGTCGATCGACAGAGCCGTCGCTATCAGTGATGGATGAAAAGTTCGAATAATGACTCGACACTCCTACAAGCCGCCTTGTGGGTAAAGGTGCTATGTAGGGTCGTAAAGAAAATGTTGCATATCTTGATGACCTGCCAAACATGAATAACCAAAAGAAAGAAGATGAAGTGAAAGGATGATGAATGAGCAGGTGGTGAAAACAATTGAGAGTTGTTGCGGTATTATCTTATGGATCTGCGCTACCTTCGAAAAAAAGTTTGATGCCTGAGGCAGGAGCCTTCTATCTTATCGTCAACTTAGTTTCTATGTGTGGTATTCATGGAATTTTCAAGCATGTTTTCTCTTCTCATTTTCTTGGGCTAGGGCTATTATGTTTTGCCTACACCAATCTCCATCTCCACTGTTAGGAATCCACGGCTTGAGCACATTTTTAGCCTCCTTTGCGGCCAACGACCTGGCTACTAGCCAAGGGAATCTACTATGGTTTCTCTTCAAGTCGCTGTAGCTCCTTGATTCGAGAATATCTTGCCACCGAGAATCTTCACCGCCGATGCGTGTGCAGGTTTCATGCACTATGTCCCACATTTTGACTCTGGAAAGCACAGATGCCCCCCGTAGAGACATTGATTTTAGCTTACTGCCTTGCTTTACGCCGCCGATGATACATTCGACAACCGCTGTTGATTCGGGGCTGATTCGTGGTTTGTATTCTGTTTGTGACGTATGACAGACTTGATAGGGTTCGAGTGACGAGGGAGATGCGATCCAGACAGCGGAGATGTTGCCGGGCTTACTAGCCTTCCCTGCTTTATTCGCTAGATCCGATCTGAACTTTCCGAACGGCCACCTAGGCACTACTATGTCCATGGGTACAGGTAGTATCTCAAAAGGTCGAAAGCGGTAGTCAATGTCTGAGTTCGACGCGTCAGTTGCTGGGAAAGTCTGACCGACAAGTGCTCTCATTCGACCTGTCGGACCGCCTCCAAATGCTCTTTCGCATCCCACTTGAGATATCTCTTCTTCTGGGAGAATCAACGCAGCAATATAAGCGCTACTTGTGGGCGCAATCTGTATATTAGCAGGATACGAAAGGAGTGAAGTCACTTGTCGGAGAGCCAATTTATCCGAGCATGATTTGCTGAGAGTGGGTTCTGCATCTGCTCGACACGGTTTCCGGCGAACGACGCCGAGGACCGAAAAATGGGCCCTGCCGTCTAGAAGAATTGGCTGATCACCCTTTTCGTAAGTTGCTGGTGAGATAACCCAGGGCGTTGGGTCCTCTTGCTCGGCCATGCAAAGTTCCATGCTGCAATCACCACATGGAGCACATGTTGAATACATGTAGATTTTGACATCTGGGTGTATCTCAAATGGAGGATCCATATCATGGGAAGCTGTGTTCACTCGTCTTCGAACGAATGGTATCTTTGGTTTGATCTGATCACGCCCCGAGGCAGCATCTTGCTGCTCCTGCTGGATGATAGCGGAACATTCATTAATGAGCCAGTAGTTCAAAGCCCGGACAACCAAAACTTCAGCATGACAATCATGGAGTACCATTCCATGACATAGGGGAATTTGAGATGCGGAGAGACATCTTGCCCCAGTTCTGTATATAAATCAATAATTGGTACGAAGGAGTTGAGGTTGATTGCCCACGTACGCAATTGCCACACAAGTCAACGTTTCTGATGGAGTGTTCTGTCCTTCTCTCAGTCAGTTTTGACTCCTCCACAGTGAATTGCCATAATCCGAAACCAATAGAGATAATAGTCTGCTTGCAAAAGTATGAAGCTCCGTACTTCACAAAGTGATGGCGGATTGCAGCATTAGCGTACCTTGAACAACAACAAAGCCACTCATTGGAATCCATTCTCTAGATCCATCATCACGAGTCCGTGGCTTATACCGTGCAGGTAAAGCATCGAAGTGGGCATGAACGAGCGCCGCAATGCGAGTTGAGAGGAGGATATGTTTCTCTCTCTCCATCACATTGGTTAGTGCGGTATATAATGAAATATAGATTGTATCGAGACCAAGTACGTAGCGATCATCCCTAGCAACCTAGTGCACGAGAGCCTCTACATTGGTGAGGATGTGTTGAGATCCAAAAGAATATTTGGCTATAGATTTTTACTATTCCTCTTCTGTACTAGCGCATATATGCTTGATGAGGCCCTAAAAGCTAATCCTCAGTCCTGGACATAGTTGACATAACAGGATGCCTAAAACCGTTTCGATTCTATTGAAATTTTGTTTTGAACCTAGATCTAGAATATCAACTCTCAGCTGACAGACAAAGTAGGAGTGAGCTACTGGATTAGGAATATCACGAACTAGACCATATCGGGTCTAGCGTCAATGACCCACTAGAAACGTCAAAGTTCCAGACTTCTTCACTTCAACTTCAACACTCTCGCTACTCTCTCACCATTGCACATCAATAAACAAAGCCTCTATACTACAAAACAACCAAAATGGCCGACAAACTCCGCACCCTCCAAAACCTCGAAGCACTCCAAACCCGATACGTGGGTACCGGTCACGCCGACACAACCAAATACGAATGGACCTCCAACATCGTGCGCGACAGCTACGCTTCGTACATTGGTCATCCACCTTTGCTTGAGTATATGGCTATTGGGATTGGCGAGCCTAAGGAAAAAGTGCGCTCGATGATGATTGAGAAGATGATTAGGGGGGCTGGGAATCCGCCGGAGGTATGATCTCTTCTTCTTGTCGTGGGTTGGGATGCGTATGGTATGCTAATGTTGTTTTGTGGTGGATAGGTGCAGGATTAGGTCCTACGACATAACTTTCGGGTCAATATTAGGACACTTCCTATCCGACGTCGTTGGATATGGAAGGGATGAGAGCGGTCACGATCGAAGATGCTGAACGAAACTCGTCGCGCGGACTGGCGTGCAAGCATCTACGATGTCAAGCCGAATGCTCTAACCAGTTATTTTCGCACTGGCTTCGCTCTAGCGGATTGATGACCGAGTCAGCCAAGTCGTGTCGACGACTCTGGGGTTGGCTGAGCGAGAGATAGTGATACGAGAAAGAAAGTGTCACAAGAGTGGAACGTGGCTATACTACCTTTAATATCTTGGAACTCATTGATTTATTTGAAGAGGTTAGAAGTCAATCAGCGTCATATCGGAAGTCATTATTGTCATCACATACAGTACACAGCATGCGTCTTGCATGCTCAAATAAACCGTAAAATGTATAATCGTAAAGACCATGTACAAACTCCAATTCGACGCCCAAGTCTCAATACCCTTGCGCCAGCCTCAAATATACAAGTTATCAAAACCATCTAGGTATCATCAATCCGTCCCATAACCCGATGCACTCTGTCCACTCTTCTGCATCCTTGCAACCAAAGTTGTATTCTCTTTTTGCAACCTCCCCACAATATCCAACCACTTGGCCCTCTCATCACGTAGTTCACGCACTTCCTGCCTAAGACTAGTAATCTCCTTTCGAAGACTATCAACCTCCGATTTAGTTCGCGTCTTCTCCTCACGACCCGCAGCCTTGCGTTGATCCGCTTCCAGTTTCCGAATGATCTTGAGCTGTTGAGCCTCAATCTTACTGAGTCTCGAGACCAATTTCGATTCGGAGCGTGAGAGATGGTCGATTCGTTTCTGTGTTTCGCGCGTAGTACTACTGCTACCGCTTTCATCTTCGTCCTTGTGTTTGGTGGCAGGATCGGTTTTGGAGGATTCGACGCTGATCATGCTTCCGCGGTTACTGTCGACGTCGCTTTTTGTGGTAGATCTACTACCCACGTGTCCGACAAGTTCTCGAATCTCGGACTGGATAGTGGCTAGCTTGGCCTCAATCTCTCGCTTGCGAGAGTTTAGTTTTGCTAGTTCTTTTTCCTTTTGGGTTGGTTTGGATTTGGCAGGGTCTGTCTGTGGTGTTGTCGCCAGGGCAGCTTCAGAGTTTACTCCACTCGCTAGCTGAGGTGAAATGTATGCAGCTGAGTTTTGATTATCGTATATCGGCGGTCTTACATCCCTGCTTAGAGTTGGAGAGATGTGCGAGCCAGCGCTGGCAAAACTGTCGTCGCTGGCCATTGAGGAGGTATCGTCGTCAGCTTCTTCGCTGTCGATGTTTTCTTCCCCAGGTTCATCGCTTATTTCGCCTTCACTTCGTCCGGATTTGGCGTCTTTCATAGTAACAGTTCGGTTCTCCCGTTCCTCGCTAGCAGCGGACGGGGTCATACTACCAGGTATGTAACTGAGCACTGCCCTCGGCGCATACCCTTGCAATCCATTTTGCACTAGTTTGGCAACACTAGACAGTAAACTACCGTCTGCCTGTTGCGCTTCATCGGTACTATCATAGATCTCGGTTTGTGATAATGACTGATCCAATTGTTTTGCACCCTTGTCTCCAGTTCCCACAGCATCGGGTTCCTGGTCTGCAACCATCGTCCCGTCTTTGCTTGACACTCGCCCATCATCAGCTCTATCTCGTCGTTCCTTTTCCACACTCTCGGTTACTTGGCTAATATCAGCAGTATCATCCCCTTCTCCAAGCTCGTCTGGTTTTGAGGCCCAGTTTAAGAATTTAACTGCGTCGCCGGTAATACTCTTTGGTGTTCCACGCTCAACCATCCATCTAGGTACACTGCCACCGGGGTCACTTCGCGTGATCATGATCCATTCCACGGGATTGGGAGAATCATCATTTTTGTTTTCGGTCTGTCCATCCAGGTCAAAAGGTACAGGAGGTTCAGTCTTCCCTCTAGGTCTTCCTCTGCTGGTCGATTTTGTCCCGTCATCTAATGTTTTGCTCGGCTGTAAAAGCTCATCTCCGTAGGTAGTAACGCTCCGGGCACTTGTTGGACGGTGTGCATGACCCCCTTTTGCCGTGGATTTCTCTATTGGCAGTTCCCTAATCAACTCAACCGATTCGTATTGACCGCGTATATAACCCTCACGCTCCGGTGCATCAGGATGCCGACAGGGTTTGGAGACAATCATATACGTAGGCGCCAAATCAACCCCCCCCTCCGACCCATCACCCAGCATCACATCCGAAGTAATCATCAAAGTAACAAAATCACGCGGCGTAGTCGGTCCCGGAAACTGAGCGGACAATTCATAAACCTCCACTTTACCAACCATCTTATCCGTATTGGGATCTCGAATATCGACGTCCGCTAACAGTCTATCCCCACCAATACCCCGTATACTCGTCGCCGGTGTCCGACCTTGTTTAATCTCCTCCTGACGCGCCTTCAGCGTCTCACCCATTTCAACCTGCATCTTCGACTTCCATCTACTAAACGGCAATCCCTTATGAACACTCCTCCGCGCAAACCAAGCACCTTTCCCATCCTTACCCGCTAATTTATAAATCGGAATATTCAAGGGATTCTCCTTTGCATTATTCATCTTGATGGGTTTCCCCCATTCTTTCCGTAGGGTATCGAGTTGTTTCTGTGAAAAGGATCCTGCGGGTGTCTGTTTTAGGATTGACGCTGCGCTCGTTCCGATGTCGCTTAATGATGCGCTGGAGGGGTTTTGTTCGGGGACTGTTTCGGCGACGAGGCGCGCTTTGGTGAGGATTTCGCGGATGTATTTGTGTAGGTCGCTTGCTGAGGAGGAAGGGGGGATTTCGTCCCAGGATACTGGTTTTAGGTATGAGAGGGCTTCGTGGAGTTCTGTCATTTTTGTCTTTTTTGCGAGTCTGTCAAAGATATTATTAGTTCTGTCGCAATTAGTTGTAAAACAGAAGAAGCAGGATACTCACAATCTTATCTACCGCCTCTGCACAACCTGATCGGCGACTCGATAAAAGGATTAAACAAGACAAGTATCAGACATATCAAAACTATAGACAGTAATAACAATTAGAAGAATAGCAATGAAATGTCAATTATAAGTCAGGTCGTGATGAATGAGAGATGTATGTACGTAGTCAGCTACCGTAGGTATACTTGTTCTTAGCCACGACGTCATCGGTCAACAATCAGACGCTAGCTTAATCGCCCACTTCGTCCTTCAGAATGTTTATATAACTCCTTACAAATACAAAAATACTCATCGTACGATGGGTAGAACAGAACGATTCCTCGGGATATCGGCGGCAAAAAAGTTCTATCTATCAGTGTGTACCTAGGTACCCAACCCCCTCAACGGCGACTCCAGGTTTTTTCTCCTCGCTATCCGCTGTTTCCGAGTGTACCATGAAACTTCGGCCTCGGCAGTACGGTGTGCGTATATCCGACTTGATTAGAAAAGTTCTACCTCCTCAAGGAAAAGAGATATATCCTACTAATTCAAATTACAAGCTCCGTTCCGAATGAAGTAGATATACTTAATTATTTAATCAAGTTCAAAAAAAAAAGGCATACAGAAGAAAGAGCCCGTCTCTGTAGCAAAACGTTTATTAATCGAAGACGAAAAAAGAAAAAAGGAGATGAGTGTGATCCAAATTCAAAGGAAATAAGCTCAGTTATATATGTTTATATGTATCCAGCATCCAATTTTTTTAAGACTCGGTTTCTTGAACTCGAGCGCAGTCTCTGGTAACCAGACCAGAGACAGTGATAGGAGGATGTCCCTATCACGCACGCACAAATGGTATGTTGTCTTACCTGGGGGGAAGAAGGGTAGAGATGGTCGGTGGTACACTACATACTGTAGCAGTACCTAAGGACCCATGAAGGTATTCCAGTCGCGGACTGTACAACCCCGAAGGTCCCTCTTGGCCAATCTCAACCCCAAACCCTTCCCTTTGGCAAAGACAAATTGCGGCCGGGTTGTCATTAACCAGATGAATCAACCCTGAGAAAAGGAACCGCGCTGTCGCTGAATCTGCCCATTCTCATCGTACCCTTTTGATAAAAAGGATTCTGCCAGTCCCGCATACACAGTATGTTGGAATGAGAATAGCTGGTCTCGGACGAAGATGGGTGGATGACAACAGATGGCACAAGCCTGCGAGAGACTGGTACCTGAAATGGTCCAAGCCATTTGTATACCAGTCCACAACAAGACATGTCCTATCTGCTGGCCCAACCCATCATCGTCGTGCCGTGCAGAAACATGTAGTGCAGACAGCAGAAACAAAAGACATAAACATGCAGTCGTATCCAGCCGCGAGGCTAACAAGGTCTTTCATGAACATGAATAATCCAATCCCTTATCCACATCTCCTCCAGAGGAAATGGCCGGGACGGTAATGTAAAAAAACAAGTGGTATATCTCAGATAGCCCCGCCGGTGCTTATGCAATGAGAAAGGAAAGACAAAAAACAAAAACAAACGCTTGCTGAAAATCTCACAGAATCGAAAACATGCAAAAAGCGACATGACGTGATGCAACGAAATATATAAAACAAGAGGGAGTATCACCGCTGGTGGTTGGTATCGTATCAAACGCTAACGCCTTCATTATGCCTTCTGAATGCTGATGCCTGCATAAAACATTGTTCTTCTCGTGGTTGGTTTGGAGGCTCGACTCGAACTCTGTCGTCGAAGCTTACATGGTTGTGCCGTAGGACAAGGCCGGGAATTCTTGGTAACGTTCGTTGTAACCGCCGAATCCACCCATTGATGCTGCCGTGCTGCATGGTTGAATCAACATGCTAGGAAGTGGTAGCGCGGCAAGAGCAGCCATGGTGACGGGAGCACTATAGTATTGAGCTGCGTCGTACGGAGCTGTGGTGTACGGCTGGCTGAATGACGGTGCCGGAGACGGTAACTGAGCTTCGGCCATTGACATGGACATAGTGGTCCACATGTTCGGAGCGGCGTCGCAAGAGGACACGGGACTAGGACTGGAGGGTATCACTTTCCAAGCTTCTACCGGCATGACGGGTTGCTCGACGGGACTTGACCACCAATCCTCCGCAATAGTAGAACTGGGTAGAAGAGGTGGTCTCACCACATCAACGACCCGAGGAGGAGGAGGGGGAAGTAAAGGGACGAAAAGATTGAGGATGGCAGTCTTCGCATCTTCGCTTCGGCCGCCCAGCAGCTCGCCGGCGCCATCCTCTTCCATTCCTTCCAGAGCCTGGACCTTGGTGCGGTAGATGAACTTGTTGGCGGACTGCACGAACTCTTCCTGCAGTTTCTTGAGTTGAGTTTCCTTGTCGGGCCAGTCCCAGGTACTCGCAGCTGTGTCGACGGAGAAGATGTCCTTATGGAAGTCGACCAGAGATTCAATAGTTTCCGGAGTCAGCTTGAAAGCAACCTCGTTCTGCGACACCATGTCAACATGTACCACATAAGCCTCGATATGGATCATTTGATAATTGAATATGGCCTCGACCAACGGGTTCTCATCCTTGCGAAGTTCCGAGTCCGGGGCCTTGGGGAACATGAGCGAGCAGAGAGTCCAGATAGCATTTGGCGAGGAGAGAGTTTCTGTCAGGCATCGTGTGTGTTGCGTTGGATTGTTGAGTGGTCTCTTGACGCGGTTGACCCTTTTCAGGGTGAGGGTGAGCCATTGTTCAACCTTGCGACCCAACACAACATTCGGATTACCACGGGGGGCAAATGCTGCCGCAGAGGCGGGAAGCAGAGCTGTAGGCATTATTATTGAGAGGGAAAAAAATAAACCTCAAAAAGACGTCTGATGCGACGACGTTGATACAACCTCTTGTAGTATATTTGTTGCGACGAAATTATAAACGCGACATCCGCCCACTCCAGGTGATTGAGATGATAGATTGACACACGGAGATAGTTCCTTGGGTTTGTATATAGCAGTATTGTGTTAGTCGGATCGTGGTGTGTTCGTAGTGTTAGCCGAAATAGGGAACTTTGTTTGGTTTCGTGGTGTGGGCGAAAGCGCGGTTAGTTATTAAGAAAGTAAAAAGTCATATAGTTAAAATGAAAAAAAAAGAAAAGAGAGGACGTCAAAAACACATTTGAGTAAGTTGGAAATGAAAAGAAAAGTAGTTGGTGAGAAAGGAAAGTTAATAAGTATAAGGTGAAGAGGAAGAAATGAAAAGGAAAGAGGATTTGGGTTCAGAGTAGGACGAATGACCCGAACAGGTAAGAGGAATCGGATTATGGTTAGGTTGCGTATTAACCGTATGTACTAAACAGTATGTAAGAGTTTTTTTTTTTTTCGCTTAATACTAAGTGGAGGCAAAAGCATTGATAGACTAGAGTGTAACAATGTACAACGTATGACTATGTCACTATGTGGCATGGACTAAATGTACAAAGCGAGCTGCGCGGTGGGGAGATCGCCTGAAGTTGCATCTGGATGTTTTGTATGACAGAGTTAGCGTAAAGTAAAAATAACTTACTCATCTGCTCTAGCTGGCCTAGGGCTAGCTGGTCGATTTTGATATCTCCGTATCCGTAATTTCATGTATGTCAGTACATACATGAAATTACCATATGGTATTACTCCAACAATGTTTGGATTTCTATTCTTCTACAATTTCTACATCTTGAACAGCGCTCCATACATCAGAATCCTGAGACAGAATCTATTAACACAATGTATCAACTTGGCATACAGGCGGCTGCTGAAGAAATCGACGTCAAGCTGCAGTCTCAAATTACTCCCGTGCTCATGGGGGCGCGTATACAAGCAACGACACTCGTTGAAGCCCCGAGCTTGAAACAATGTCCTGAATGAATATGGGGGTTGGTGATGCACACCTCGGTCCTGAAGAATTTCGAAATCTTCCGGATCTAGAAATAGATTTAATTGATCTCCAGACAGGGTGTATAAAATGCTATCCCGGATAATAATGATGCATAAAATCATGATCGAGTTTGTAGACGTCCTTCCGGATTAGGGTTGTGTGAAGCACACCTCGAATAAATCGTCTACGTATTTCTTAGAGAGTATGTAACTTACATTGGTATTGCAGTGACGGCAGAATCTACATACATCAGCACTGCCGCAACTTAATCTCGGAAGAATCAGAATTTTCTCTCAGTGTAACGCATTACCACCAATACCGAATAGGAAATCACTAGCCCTGCAAGCAAAGACTCGGTAGAAATGATATGCAAATCACAAACTCGTCTACTTCTAGAAACCATACATGCATGTGTCCCACGAGGCCGAGTCACAAGGCCGGGTACCGTCTGTAAGTAATAATATAGTCGTGGGACGTAGCAGAACCCGTGATTTATCTAGTACTTGATCTACTCATATCCTGCCAATAGCCGAATATCGGTGATATCCTAGCTTGCCATCGACATATTCATGTCTCCTGAATCAAAGGACAATTTACTACTGATCACGTTGCTTATGTTCCCGAAGCGGTCCGCAAGTCCTGTATTTTATCCTGTATTATATATATACGTAATACATAGAAGACTATAAACGGTAATTTTGTAGACACGGATCGTTGCCGCCGGGTTCCCTCCCCTGATCAAGACCATGGATGACTTTTTGCACTCATTTATGGGCTGAGATTTTGACATCCTTGGAGTCTCACATTCCGAGTCTGAGGGCGCGTATATCTGACATTCAGGAAGCAATCCATGGCAGTATCCGAGTCTCTCTCTGTTCAATGCGTATCAACCAGGCCAAACCTTGTACAGTGTATTTATTGTCCATAGACAAAACAGCCACCGACAACTATCAAGTAATCAGGAGAATAGAACCCCCGTGTCAAAGCCCTTTCTTCCTACACACTCACCATCCGTAAAGAAAAAGACCAACCGTGGGGCAAAACGTTCATTTCATGCGATTGGCCTGGGCACACTCGAGCTGAGATCCCCGCTACGATCTACAATTGGGCCGTCGTCCGGCGATAGAATCGGCCTAACCGACGCCACCAGCGCTACGATTCCTTGTTTCGTCGGGCTATTGGACGGAGCAACACTTCGTCCGTGCTTTTTTATATAATGCCTTTTTGGCGGTCTCCTCACAATCTTCGGAGGCTTTTTTACCCTTTTTGTATGCTTGCATGTTGGGTGCTTTGGCCGATTTGGCGGCACTGAGTTGCCGGAAAGGGAGGAGACCTGTCAAGTTTTGGGAGAGAGTCGGCACGGAGAATTCTGGTTGAAATGCCGGGCTTGTGGAAAATTGTTGTTCCTGGGGATCGATATCGTGAACTACGAAATCTACGCATATCATTTCATCAGAATCGCCGTCTGACTCTCATCAAGCAGAACATCATCCTTGACACCACAGCGAGATTAGCATGCCACGTAGCATAGAAACTAAACTTGCAAGATATTCAACGCCTGCCAGTTGTCAAGCATATGTGGCGGTGGGTACTGCGCCTCATCGTGGCGGTGCCTTGAAACAATCTGATTGCCGTTAGCCCTAACTTGCCCTAACAAGATCAACGTCCCATCATGAATAACATTTAGTCTCGAAACGTAAGGTAAGTACACAACAGAATTTTCGTGACCGAGACAATCAAAATACCAATGTAATTACATGATGCCTCGTACTATACGGAGTATTTTTCTCAGCGTGATGGTTGTTGGCTGCTAACTACCCCGCTACTGGGTCCCGATAAGAAGAATACGTATAGAACTTATGGCCAGTGGCCACAACGTCTTCTCCAAAGTTGAAACATGGCCGTATACCTATCAGACAAGCCACATGACTCATCGAGCACTGACATATTATGTGTTCTATATCTCCATAAGAAAAGCAGGATGTGGGAGATACATCCGTTGAAAAGACAAGCGGTCTGCGAGATCAAAAAAGAAAAAATCAAAATCGGCTAGGGACGGAATAGCGTCATGTCCAATAACGGTCTGTGGATTTGACGATATCAGTCAAGACAAGTGATAACTTTAAAGTGACTCACACATACAGAGGTACAAGTTTTGGATTGATTTCTCCAGTATGGAACATGTAACACTCAACGCGCAACGCGTTCAAGTATACGAATGCGATTTGCCAGCGACGCGTGAGTGTCACGAAATCAGGTGTCTAGAAGAAAAGAGGCTTGCAGATCCATGTTTCGAAACATTTTTCTTCGCTATGACTCTTATCGATAAGCCGCTCCGATTCGCGGGGCTATCTGTTCTTTCTCGATAAATGCTGCTTACATATTGACTGACTTATTATCGCAAAAATGACTCATTGTCGGCTGTTTCATATTCAACCTACATACATAGTCGTAGGATAGAACCAAGGAATGGAGTAAAATCGCGGCTATTCCCGCTGAGCATCCCGCAGCTTTTCTCATCCAATACGATCCCAGAAGAGACTTATGGGCAACTTGTCTTTGATCACTAGATTCTCTCGATGCGAGCAAATCAGATTGTGTATGTCTACATTCATGGCTATGACTGGTTCATAACCCTAAGTCAGTGATCCCGGTTATCTAGTTTTGATGGGTTTGTTCAGTGGTCCCGGTTTGCGTTCTACCACGTTACCCTCATGCTTTGGTGGTCTTATAGGATGATCAATCTGCGATATGTATTACTGGCAGAGAGCTAGAAGAGGAGACGCAATGTCCCGAATCAAGGTTCATAGCATCGGTCATCTTTGAGTAAGACCTCAAAAAGGGTAAGCTGGAGAATGCTCTCGAGGCCACTCGTGACGGAGTCAGGGGGAATGCCAATCATCTCGACTTTGCTGTGTACTATGCTCCAAAGATCAGACAAGGTAGGAACAATAGCTTCCTTATCCCTTCAACCAGGGTGGAACTGGAAAAGGGAAGGGAAACGGAGGGGATTCCGTGTATGGTTTATAACCCTAACCCTATGGTTATTTGCTCACCCCTTATATCCTCCTGTAGACTGGAAAGACGGCGTGGCCTAAACCTCCAGTGTCGATAGTGGAAAAAGAGGCAAAGAGCAGGTATGATATAAAGAACGGACTCGAGAACAAGATATAAATACCATTACTGACTAGGAACTACAAGTTAGAAACAAGACAAAAGGGGAAAAAGAAAACAAAACAAAACCGTGAAATGCGATGAAGGACGAAATATAGATATCAACTCTTTTTTTATTTATTTTATCCCAAGTCTATTCAAGAGTAGAGATTTTCAATCTACATGTTATACATTTAAGTTTCTCCACACAAGGAGAAATAGAAGCCTCGAAAGCTAAAAGGCTGCATAAGCAATCTTGACCAGGAGTAGAGTCTGAGTGAACTCTAACAGTCTGCTTTTCAGTCTTCCAGAAAACCCCATTAGCAATTCAGCTGTTCCAAGTAAGTTGATAGCTGACACAAATGCTTCCGATAGCTACTTACCTTACTTCATCCTTAGCCTCTGTCATCTATTAGCAACGGCGAAAAATACCACGATGCCAGCGTAAGCTGTAACGATCAAGAAGACAGCCCGTAGACAGTATAGATAGCCCTGTACAATGCTTGGAACAGCATCAGCGGAGAAGACGTGCCGGATTTCCATGGCACCTGTGGCGAGAACGCTGAGCGGGTTGACACCAGGGGCCGTGGAGGGAAGTTTTGATAAGAGGAGGTTGCTCAGTACGGATTGACCAGCTCCCAGGGAAGTCGATGAGCTGATGCAGAAGGAGACTGGGTGAGTTGTTAACAATTTGTTTTAGGAACAGCTTAAACCAAAGAGTGTGGGTGACTTACATAACAGCATAGCTGTAGTTGAAGCAAGTTCTTCTGGCTGAGACTTTGCCCTGAGCAGCAATGATTGCCAACAGCAGACCAGACCCATAGGCAAGCCCGGCAAGAACCTGATAGTAAACCCATGCAGCAGCCGGGGAGGTAGCATTAAGGGTGTAAATAAGACCCGAGCCAATGCAGCCACCAGCACTTGCCCACAACATAAGCGGAACATAATGACGATAGACCGAGACGGGGATACCAGAAAGCCCGGAGTCTATACCACAATTAATGAGCAGTGGAAGATTGTGGACACCCACAACAACCTGAAAGTAGATAGAGGCGTAATAGAGAAGGGGATAGAAAGCACCCTCGTAGAAGAAGCCGTAGGCCATGCCAACAGCGACAAGACGTTTCCGGAGGAGCCTGGACACCATATTCGATATATATGAAGATATGAAATGAGGTAGTTAACAGAAGGGCTGGAAGCAAGCTAGAGCAATAAAGAATACCGAAGCATGCCGCCCAACGAGGTTGATGGCTTTGCACTCATCAGTAATGCGAGGAATAGTCGTCGCAATGATTGTCTATGGAGACCAGAATAATAAGAGATGCAAGCGTGAGCGAGGATGGGGCTAATGAGGTGGCGGAGCGAAGCTTCTTTATTTCATCCTGATCAACCATGTGATTGCGTTCGAGGTCTCTAGTTCCTTCTCAACCCAAGAGTGGAAACTTGTGAAGAAATTGAGTGAAAAGAACGACCAAGATAGCAAGAAAGCATGGGAGGAGGAGTCTAGCTACTCCCCCATGAAGGTAACGACTCCGTTCTGCTGTGCCGACTCTGCAAACCCTAATACATCGGCTTTTATGAAAATCTTCATGCAGTCTGTATATCCTCGTTTTTGCCTTGTGTGTTTGTTCATGGAGACTGACACATCGAGTCACTAGGATGATCCCCGTTCGGTATCATTAAGGTTCTTGTTCAATGTTAGTGGTGTCCCTGTTTAGTGTAAGTAGTATTCTCGTTCGTGTCAGTAAACTTCCCGTTTGGTCTCAGTGATGTTCTCGTTTCATTTGGTGACGTTAAGTTCCCATTTGGTGTCAGTAAGATTCCCGTTTTGTTTTAAGTGTTCTCCCGCTACGATCATTGAATCATGGCCAATTCATAACGTTCTCCCTTGAATTGTTTTGGACCACTAGATGTATATTTATGTCAGATCATCATGCGTTTTATTACTATGCTACAAGCAATACCCAACAACTTGGACATTGATTTTACTTATTTTCTTTGTTTTTGATGCTATAAATTCATTAAAGGCGGAGATGTGCGAGGCAGACTGCAAATAAGAAAAACAAGCAGAACTATAGTAAACTTTAGGGGATACAGCACAAATCGTTGTGAAGACCCCGATTCATCGGAGCATATAAAGCATTGACTAGTAGTTCTATAACCAACCAACCCTTTACAGCATCTAATATCTACGAGATCAGTTATCTAGTATGTCTCGAAAGGAGGCTTCCCGCAAGACCATCCTTCCTAAAACTCTTAAAGACTTGCGATCTGCAAAGGACATATTGATTACTCCTCTTGATACTGCAAGAACGACAGATCAACCTCTAGATGACCTGTTATGGAAAGAGGAGGATCCGTCTACGAAATACATTTTATCTCATAAGTTTAATCAAGTGGGCGCAGGATGGATTGGTTTCGAAAACTGTCAAGGACTCCGCACGGTTTTTGTTAAAATTGTCAAGGCTACGGGTCACTAAAAACTTCAATTCCATGAAACCGATTAAGCCAACCTGATCAACTTACAAGAAGTGTTTCATTCAAAGAATGTCACTTATCTGATTTATGACTTTGATCGCTGTGATCTACCGTTGTCCATGGTCCACGCTAGTCCAAATGTCCAATTCACCGAAGCTGATATCGCCATAGTCTGTCGCCAAGTCCTCACGGGTCTTTAGTATATCCATGAAAGACTTAAGATCAGCCATGGGTCTATAAAACTTTTAGACTTGGTGCTAAGTCAGTCAGGACAGGTCAAAATCGGTATGGTGCCCAATTGACCACGGATGATGAGAAGCTGACCATATCTAGCCAATATTGGAGAAAGCATGCTCTAAGGCAAGTCTTTAGAGCACAAAAAAGGAGATCTACAAGGACTTGCGCTGGTTTTGATTCATTTGAAAAATCCCCACACAATCTTGGAAGATGTGTGAGGGCGTTCATTCTCTATCCTAAGAGGTAACTAATCGAGCAAAAACTAAGCATGAGGAAAGAGGGAGAAAAGACTCGCTAAGCCGCTCGTAAGGACTCTTTTTATATGTGCGTCCGGGGCCTTGTCGGTGCCTATTTAGGAAATCCTGAAGACAAAGGAGGATATCCCCGTTAGGGCTATCCTCTTAGGGCTTAGGGCTCCGTCCAGGTGCCAAAGGTCCGTACGATATCCTGCTCCGTAAACCAGCCGTCACAGATGGGAGAATGCATGTAAATGATCCAAGAGATGTGTCGCGTGAAGCTTGCAAGTACATCGAGATGACCAAGAGCGCCACCTATCGAGAACTATTTCAAGTCAATTCTAGAAAAGGCAAACCTTTATTAACAAATCGCGAGTGCGATTTTCTCCTGAAAGCCCCTCCCAAACTAGCAGCATGATGTTTGAAGCCTCATAATCTGACTGCTTTTCCGTTTTGTGAACGCTGATACTTTATGCATGAGGAGAGCAGAGATTGGTCAAAATTGAACATAGAATGAAGTAACATGGAACTTAATTTTTGAGTTTGGCAATATAAAAGGATGATAGCCTCTATTTCTGCTTTGCAAAGAAAATTCTATACATTATTATTATGGATACTAGCTCATCAGAATTGTCTGCATATTTTCACGGATTCATTAAAGTACATTTAGGTCACATTATTAGTGATATATACAATGAAAAGAATGTGCGTCGATATCTTTGGCTTTTCAAAGCTGGTCAATATTCATGAGAAGACCCATTGCATACGATTGTGGTAACCATAGCGTCAGAAATTCTAGTTAGAGTGGTTTTACAATATGGCATTGATGTGAACGCGCTTTACGATTTATGAACGCTACCATTTCTCACCCTAGAGTAAGATATTTAACTGCCATGTGTCCAGGGGCAGGACCTCCTGGAAGCTGCTAAGTGTTCCCTAGGCTTTAGAGAGAAGTGGTGGGTCGTTCATCTCTTTTTGACTGGTAGGTCCGCCTTGCTGACAACTAAAAACATGCTGACATTTACACTCAGATATTCCAGAGCATCTCAAGCAGTATTTAAATGAGAGCTATTGTGACGTCTCAATAAGCCTATTCTAATGATAATCCTAAGCTTGGGAGAAGAGGAAGGGAAGGCCTAAGTTACAAACAAGTTGGTTGATATGATCTTACAATTCTGCCATTTTAGACCGCTTTCCCCATAAGGCCTCCATCCCATGACAGAGTGTATTTGGAGAGCCTCAAGGCTCAGCGCCAGTTTTCCCCTTTCTTCTTCTTCTTCACACTTAGTTTTCTTCGTCGATACTGCACTGCTACGCTTAGAAATGAAGTTGTTTCTGGGCCTTGAGCGTCCATCACAGCTATCCGCTTGCATACCAATCTACAGATTCTGAAATTCTTCAGTCGTTGTGGTCTTAAAATAACCCAAGTGTTATAGATTGGAAAGCAAAAACCGGCACTAGTTATACCTATGTCAGACGCGTTTACAAGAACTAGGAATTGCGATATGCGATTGGAGTATTACTTCTACACCAGGTCTATGGAATTCATTTACACTCTGCAAACTAGACTATATGATAGGATCACATAGCCTTGAGGTAAGATCTAAAAATACATTTCTTGCATTGGCTAATGTACATTAGGAGATGGCATACTATTTGCAAAATATTTATAAACAATGGTCAATTTTTGAAGCACCTGTCGTCGATCTGAACTCCATCACTTTAATTGAGGGTATGATGCCTTCATATTCTATCCATGACAGGAGTCAAATTCAATCATTAATGGATGATGGTACTTTATTTCCTCGACTACTCAACGAGTCTGAGCAAATTAGGGTCAGGGATTACTTCCTAGCAATGAAAGGAAGGATCTTATCATTAAAGCTTTTCTTCTCTGACGCCTCGCTAATCAAGTGGATTACGCAGCCATTGTGGGAATTTTCAGGCAAGAATTCCAAGAGAACATTACGTCAAGCATTACTTGGCTTGTGGAATTAAATACCAGGCGAAGCTGTAACAGTTCAGGATACTGAATTTTACTTTAATAAAATTCCCCTTGATAGAATAATTTCAAGACAAGGACACTGACACACAGCCTAGGTATCATACTTGCAGCTCTGGATGTCTGCATTTCGATATTTCATTGATCTGCGACGAGGAAAACAAGACGAAGAGCTTGGCGTACAGCTGTTGTTGGATATCTAAGGAAAAGCAGATTTTGAGTTTACAGCTCATAAACTGGGATTTGATAAGTGATTTCCATGTTCCGCAAGATACCCCGTTTTTCAATATATATCTAAGACATTAACGAACAGCAGTTCTGTGGAATCCAAAAAAGTGAGCAATGTTAGAAACAGATTTGTTCAAGCCTTCCCAGAATCCCAGGATATCAGTCGCTCAAGGGAAGCTCATCCTGAATAGAGTACTGATATTAAGGAGAGAAAAGCCACATTTCAAGCTAGGAGGCCAGAAGTCAAAGAATATCAAAGAATTTGCTAGTACTTTTATTTGAAAAATGTTGGTAATAATAATCAATTGCCCAAGTCATACCCGACAGCTATTGCTGTTATGAGAGAGATATTCTTCGACTTTTTTGGAAGCTTTTGGCTGCAATCGATCTCAAGTCCTGCAGAGATGGAGCCTTATCCGAGTGGCTCGCCATCTGTTTATTCAGTCAGCACTGAACTGGCTGAACCGGCTCCTCTAGTTATCTTAGGACCAACGAAGTCACAACTGTTAATAAAATATAAACCTTGGAAACGCAAGCTTTGGTACCAACGAACAATATAAGTATGGAATTGGCACTGCCAAAAGCAGCGGGCTTTGAGGACGATAAAAACATAGGTCCACTTGCAGAATTATGTTATATTTTACACTACCGCGGAAGCTGTAAGATGATAGAGAAGTGGTACCACGATCATGATCCAGAGCTGGTAGTGCTATTCTTGTTTAATCAAAGAGCTTTTTACAATGTTTCGACGAAACTCTAGTAAGGAGCTCAGCGACCGAATCCACTATTTGGCTCAGGAAAATTACTTTTGTGCAATCTGCAATAACGTAATATCTATACCATACCAAGAGACTGTCGCAGCGCTGCTGAGGTTTAGTCTTTTGTTGGTTGGATCAAAGGATAGTCCTACGAGGAGTATAGCTCGTGAAGGACCGTTGACATTGAAAGATCTTGAACAATATGTTCACTGTCTTCAAGAGATTTGGATTGAGTTTACGCCTCAAAATATGGGTGAGGAAGCGGAAGGGTACCCTTGGGATAGGATGGATAGGCTTCACGAGGAAGTTCAGTCTTCTGGTCTGAAAGTGAGGTATAATGAACCTTTGTATAGTAGGGATGAATGGAAGGAGGAAATAGAGCGGCAGAGAGAATGGAGGATACAAAAGGAAATGAAAAGGAAAAAAATACGTGGGTAGTCAATTACTTTGACCGCAAAGTTGGTTATGATAAAAAGGTAACAACGAAAAGCAATTAAGAGCGAAGAGAGTAGGAAAGCAGGTTGCTCAACCGTCAACTGCCAACACAAACTGCCAACTGGCAACGAATTTTCCAGCTCAATTGATGGATATATCTTGCTTAACTACGAGCCTATGACGGCCAGTAGGAATATAACTAACAATCTACAATTGGTCTTCATAGTTCTTATACAGCCGATTCAATCCTAGTCATGTACATCGTCTCTTCTGGGCGGATGATTCTAGATTCATTCTCTCCACCAACGGTTGTTTCCGCGACCAAAGCTAGACCTTGAAGCCAAGACATAAATGCCATTCCCAGCTGATGGCTCAATATTGCATCCGGCGCTCTTTAACATGCCACACTGCCTCCTTTAAACCTCGAGCATAGATTGTCCCTGCTATCCACAATATATGGCTTCCTTGCTGATCCACCACCTTCTTATTGACCCTGTAACCCTGCTTAAAACCACTGCTGGGGAGATGGGCCCAAGAGATCGCAATCGCTGTGTGTCGATAGTAGGTGATATTCCATTTAGTTTGGAGATACTGCCGCGCCTCTTATTCCAAAATCTTGCTAAGATAGCTGCTATCTTCCCCTTGATAAGCCTTAGGCCAGAGAAATAGGGAGGGCGCCTCTGTCTTTCTATAGGCCAGAATCTCTAGCTTTTCACAGAAGGAAAGAATTAGCTAGAGATAGTAGATCATTATCTTACTCACTTGCTTTGGCAGATACCAATAGGTGATCTTGATAGATCCAGTGACGTGATAGCCCTTATGATAACTAGTTACCGTGCTGACCAAGCCCTGGAGATACTGCGATGTCGCCCATGGACAGTATTGCAGTGGCGCAGGCTCAATATCTCTATCCCTTGTGCGGGTTGGCCCCTAGTAATATGGCACAGCAGCAAGAGTAGTTCTAAAAACTAATTACGATCTTGAAGATATGCTTGCACTATAGGAATCTTCTATTAGACCTAATAGCCAGGTTACTGGATATTAAGATATTAAGAAAGTCCTCCTGAAGCCACTCGGTATTTAGCACTTAATTTAAGAGCTATCACTGCCTATTTAGAAGAGCCTCTATATTTTGTGCATCTTGTAGAAAGTTCTAGCCACAACGGCTCTCTGTCGGATTGTCCTTTAATTAAGAGAGAGGAATAGTAGGGACTATATCCTCTCGAGACTCCTTACCGTGGAGAAGAAATAGTGTCTCTAGACTTTTCTATGCCTGCCAAATCTCAGTCTGAATAAAATACCGGAAGGATTCCATGGTCATATCTAATCCCTTGTAGGTAAGCTGTTCTTGACCCTCTGGCTAATAGATATAACTAAGACTAGTTATGGTATTCTGGATCCTTTTCCCGTAGGTCCGGAGTCGTGTGATCCAGGCAAATGGGCTTCGCATTCCATGGATTAAGAATCGCTCTCGTGTCTTATCAAGAGCATCTGCAGGGTGCTCCACTCGGTCTTCTTCAGCCTGGATAATAGCCTCTGAACCACGAGCATCTGGGCCATCTTGACAAGACCAGATAATGATGGAATGTCACCCAAACACTGCTTGCGGACATCCGTTGTAAGCGGTGTCATCAGTGAGTAGTGATCTAGACACTTTCTGAAAAAGTCTTCACGATCAAGGTCATCTAACGGAAGACATCAAGAAGAGAGATCAACTGTATATGACCTCGTCGGTACGGGGTGGAGACTGAATTTGCCGAGTTTGCTCCAATTACACTGTCTTCCGTACTCTGCGACTACTTAAATGGAAGTTTATTGGAAAAATGGTGACTGAATGTGACATTGGTTATATGTATATTATTACCCGGAGAGATAGGCAATTTGTTTGATCTTGAGCTATTCATCTTCGTTTCATCATGACATTCAAATAGCCCCATCCCTCCGTTCTTAACTCCTGACCCTCCCGCCACAATATGATAAATAGTGGCAGAAACACTAACCCAATAAACGCCAAGAGTGAGTTTCCCCATCCAAGTCCCAAATTCCGATACAAAGACGGACCAAGCAATGGGAATATTGCCCCAAACAAGGCTTTCAGTGTAGCGTCTGCAGACAGGATTGATGCAGATGTTCCCTGCGGAGCAAATGCGTCCACAAGATAATTATCTGTTGGCAGTTTCGTCAGCAACATGCTGAGCCCCACAATGCCCGTTCCAATCAAAGGTACACTCCACTGGACATGGAAATGTGCTGACCAGCCGTAGAGAAACAGGCCAACGGGCAATAAAGCAGTCCCCAGAATCATTAATGGGAGACGGTCCTCAGGAATTGAATTGCCCGCTTTGCGACGTCGATATTCTAGATAGCGATCAGATGTAAGGCCGTACAAGGCTAGACCAATGAGATTACCAATCGCTTTCCCATATATCCAGTTAGCTGAGGTGTATTAACAATGTAAGGGGAAAGCATTACCTCGACCGAGGAAGGTTAATCCTACAGGCCCCGAGCCAAATCCGTAGGTCTCTTGCATGATCTCCGCAAGAGTGGTCAAGATGAGATAAGAGAAACCGTAAATGAGAGACGTAAAAAGTGAAGTCACTAAGACAACTGGCGAAGAGAAGAGTAAGCGAACCGGGCGCAAAAAGCTCTGAAGTTTTGTCTCTTGTGGCGATTCATTGCGAGCGATTTCCTGAGCGGGAGGGCTATCCGGTCCAGAGTTTGGATTCCTCCGAGACTGTTTCTCCTGGATCTTTGACTTGTACGTCTCCTTAAAGACAAGTAAAGAAAACATAGATACACATCCCACCGCAATAGCTATCAGCCAAATAGCCCATCGCCATCCGAGGGCGCTCGCCACGTATCCGCCCACGATTGGGGCTACACATGGCCCAATCAATGGCACTGAGATCGCTACAGCCATCGCTGTACCTCGTTCTTCGCGGACGAAAAGGTCTCCAATGATACTCGGCGAAAGAGTGAGAACGGTGACTGCCATGCCGTTGATAAAACGGAAGGCCACCAGCATGGAGACGTTGACACTCAGAGCGGACGCAACAGAGCAGAGAATGAAGATGGCATTTCCAATATGGTAAATGATTTTCCGACCGTATCTCTCTGATAAAGGCCCGACCAAAAACGACCCTACACCTTCACCTAGTTCCCAGATGGAGACTATTAAAGGTTGGTATAGTTTCCCAGATTCGTTGAACTCGGAGAGAATGAGAGGTACACCGGGAACAATTATAATGGTTCCAAAATTCCTGATTGGGGTTGTCTTAGAACGAGTTAAAGTATTTAAAAACAGAGTCGTCACTCACGCCAGCATGTACATAAGGGCTACACATATCACAATTGACCATTTTCGCCAAAGTGGCCATGCGGTTGGGTCATCCCATTGCTCGGGGAGCGGTACAATCTCCTCGTCTTTCTCTTTTACCAGGGGCTGAGGTGTAAAGTTGTTGTCCGCATCGTAAGCTATGATCTCTGAATCTTTCAAGTTGTTGATCATGATCTCGATTTAGTCTAAATTCTGGATTCTCACCGGTCTTTGGTGAAAAACGTAGACAATGAGGTTGTTTTATTGGGGTTGCCTCACGTGACGATCATACCGGTAACTTACTGCGGGATTATAGTAGTCATTCACCTACACGTTCTGCGTCCTGCGGGGTTTTTCTTTCTTACAACTGCCTCACGAGATTCAGCCGCTCGCCTCCGCAAGTTACTCGTCATCTCTAAAGCAGTCAAGACTTGATTTTCCCACCCACCTCCCTATGTACATAGATTCATAATGCCACTACAATACAAAGACAATTACCTCCCACAAGGGAGCGCGGACGGGGCCCTCTCTGACGCTGCGCTCATACGCGTTTGCACGCAAGACCTCAACGACATGTGACCCGTTGCGGCCAAATTATACACACATTGCCTATCTTGACTGACTGAGGTCACCAATAGAAAAGGGGTTTAATATTAGGACATTGGATAAGACTTATAGTCAGGACAGCTGGAAGCCGGGGGCTTTAATTCCAGGGGGGCCGAATTCTCAAGTAAACACGTGAGAAATGTTGCTTTATTGCGAATTAATCTAAAATGAACAAAAAGGGTCAAACTTGGCTCCAGAGCTCCATGTTACATTAGTAGGTGTCATAGAATGAAGGGCTGACAAGTTATCATACCAACTTGTCCATGTAGTTTAGAATCTCCTTCGTTTTTCTCTCCTTTCTTAGGTTTAGGATTTTCATGAGTTAGGGTCTAATAACATTCAGTTTGAAGCCCTTTAGTGTTCTTACAGTAGGGACCTGGAAGAAGGACTGTATCTACGTGTCGGAAACTTCGGTAACTACCGTCGAGTATCTCTCGGATAGCTACTAAGGAGTCGAAGTTAATAGGCTTCTAAGTACGAAAGGCTCCTTGAAAGCAAAGTCTTAACAAAAGGTTGAATATCCGGTTCATTATCTGGTGTTTAAATGAGCTTCTTGGTGTTAATTCAATATTGATTAGAAATAGTGGAACCAGAGCTTGTATGAGCGAGGGTTCCGGGACATCAGTACTAAAGACTAAAGAGGCCGTCGAGCCACAACCACCACCCGAGGAAAGCATAACGCCGCGCCATTCACACTCTCCTGATAAGAAGACTGTATCAAATGAGTAAATCGAGCCGCAGCCTCCGTATGGCCCTTGCTTGCCAACGAGGTCGCGAACTCCTCCATGGTCAACAGATGCTGGTCATTAAAAGCACGGACTAATTCAGGCGGGTCATCGTAAAAATGAATCTTAGCGTCCTGAAACCCTGCCTCGGTTAGCAGACGTGGCAATTCCAAGATCCAATCATGGCGCCCGCCTGCATGCGATGCTTCTTTGATTTCTTGCAACGCAGATGCGCGGATAGATGAGTCCACTTTTTTAATGCACATATTCACAGTATCTAACTCATCCCACTGGAGATAGCCGCCGGGCTTGACTAGTTGAAAAAAATGATGCAACACAGGCATAGGATCCAGACCAGAGAGTACCAGTACGAGAAGTCGGACATGCACGAGGTCATATTTTGCCTTTAACCCTGCTGGCACATCTGTAAAAATATCCCAAGATTGAAGATGGATATTGGAGGGTAACCATTTTGGGTGAGGGGCTTGAGTCAAATCAATATCTAGCCCGTCGAGTTGAGAGTGGGGAAATCGCCGGGAAACGTCGATCAGCCACAATGCAGTCCCACATGCCACGTCGGCTATCCTTCCGAGATTTGTGGGGACGGAAGGATGAATGTGGAAACCAAATACTTGGCGCCAAAGGAAGTGTTGTAAGTTCAGTCTGATGGCAGAGCGGTGATTCTGCTGAAGAGCATATCCCAGCCCGTCTGCGAGACGGAAACTGGCTTGCGAGTTGGTTGTATTGGATGACTGGACCGATTCAGGCATCTCGTGCGATTCTTCCGAAGTGGGAGAGAAGAATAACTAGTCAGATAAGTGGTCAAGATATCATTTTGTATTGAGCTCTATATATAGGAAAATAAATTTCTTATCCGCTATTTGGCCCCCATTGAAAGTAGCTGCTTGCAGTAGCTCTTATTGAATATATGACAAGCCATGCAGTAACCCCTGTCTGTGCTTCACCGCATGTGAAAAGCAGAACATGTGCATTGAATTCGTCATCCTAAGAGAATATTGGCCTGTGGAGTTCCTTTCCTACAGGGACTAAGTCAAGTTTTCAGTAAATGACCCCCAATGTAAGTGGTCAGAACGAAAACTCATAAGTGAATGTAGCCCACGAACCTGGGCGGGGGTTTGAAAGACATGAGACCTGCATGGGGGCCAAAGCTTGGGCATTTCCATCGGAGTGGCTCCCACAGCCAGCCATATACAGAGCACTTAAGACTAGCCGCTACACAGCCTGAATCGGAGAGGGGACGAAGCGCAGGGAAGAAGGAAAGAGCAAGAGGTGGTTGATGGTGTGGTATCCAGGTCTACTTGAGAAGTCGCTACAGCAGACTAAACCTATATGTGCTAGTATGAAACGCATTCAATATCGACTCGCATGAGATGTGTGCAAAGGAATAGATACTGGATACAGGAATAGTGGGCGCACCGATCCCTACCCGCCTATCGCTCTAACGCTCTTGACTCCTCCTCACCAAGTCAAGTTGAATCAGAGGAAGTGACTGAGAAGATCGACTCTTCTTTTGATATAGGGAGGAGCCTAGCGAGTTGGACTGCCACTGCTTGCGCTGATTGCTCTCATCAGGGGACAGTCCATGCCAATAGGGTAACGATGATGCCGTTTTCTTAGATGACGGATACCATGATCGAAGTGAAATGAGAGACACCATTGTGGTCAAGGTGGTGTGGAGTCGCATGGTTGGCAGACAAGACGCGATCAATGCGAGTCCTGACTCCAGCATACTCCAATACAACAGGATCGTCAAGGTCTCTGCGCGAACATTTCCGTTAGTGCGACGCTACCGGCGGCAACAGGGGTAAATGAATCCTTTGATCGACATGAGAAACTTACGATCCACGTCAGTATGTGCCGCATACCCGCCATTGGTAATTTGTTCTTGAACTATCAGTCTAACGACTGCCGCTGCAAGTGATCTAGTTCAGTCGTAAGTAAAGCACGTCACCTATGGTTTGTGAATAAGAGCCACTCACATCGTAGCCAACAGCAGGACCCCAGTCGCTGCGACCTTACGGCCAAACTTCATCTGCGTTCTCCAAATCTGTCGAGTACCACGGTCAGCTGCGCAACGTTCCCACTGGAATAGGTAAAGCGAGACCAACCATTGGCACTGGGAGTATCCAGACAAGAAGATCAGTGATCAAGTCAGAGATCATCAATCCTTCCAAGCGGACATTGGTATTGCAGCTGCTAATTTCCACCAACGGTCCCCACGGGTAGTCGAAATGTCGCCCGCAGCCAAAGATGGTAGCGAAGAAGAAGGCTACCGTCCAGAGGGCGCAAATGCCAATCAATGCCCAGCTCAGAATATTAAACATCCTCTCCTGACCAGTCGCGAAGATCCGTCGGTAGAGAAAAATTGAGCTGAGTTTGATCAGTCCGTTCGCTGGGGTCATTAACACCCAGGTGATCCAGTCCACCAGTTCCACCGTCCTTTGAGGTTCTGAAAGCTCGGTCAACTCTGTCATTACAGAATCGCTAGAGTATGTGGGGGTTGGGTAGCCCAAAGCCTTTTTAGCACAACCTAGACTCAAAATTGCATTAGAAAGTTGGAGCAAGATAAAGTGCCAATCAAAGGAGAGAGTTGGACCCGCACCGTATATCTGAACAGTGCCCATTCCTATCACAAACACCTTTCACGCTGGTTAGCGTTATGCTACAGAGCGGAGAGTCAATTCCAGGCTCACTAATGCCGCCACAATCAACCAATCGTCTGTCTTGACTGATATTTCATGCCTCAAGCGAAGATAAATTCGCGCGAAAACGCTCGCGATGCCCACACATGGCAGGACTATAGCAGCAGCCAATACCTGACTTGCAGGTATAAAAGAAATGGATAGCTCGTTTGTCAACATTTTTAAGTGTCAGCAAGTATAAAGATGAAAGAAAGCAAGAGGATAATTCTTTCTGTGACCGATTGCGAATGCTAAATCCTTTTAAATCGCAACCATGATGGGGCGAGAGGCGCATTCCTCCTATCGCCCAACCTGATGACATTGTAACGTTTTGGCCCCAGAATTATTGCAGAATCACAGAACGCTATGACATCGAGCAGCTGGGGTGTAGGTGCCTGCATACATGGATGTATGCCATTCTGAGATTCCTCCGAGTCCAGATGTTCAAAACTGAAAGTTATATAACAGTGGCCCCGAACATCTGTTTTGGGCCAGCATCAACAAAATTCCTATTTGAACCAATTCTATTCTCCACATCCTCTGCCAAGATACGAATCGTTACGTGGTCAACATGGCGTCTTTCTACAGACTCATCTCCCTTGTCATCCTCTTGACTGGAGCCATTGCCCTCCCGCTGGACGTTGCTCGCTGTAAGGCTCACTTTCTATTTTCAAGTTCCTTGATATCTGAGATTAGTTAATTTTGTCAATGGAAACATGGGTTAATGCCAATTACAGCCGCTGAGCCTTTTGAGTTGAGCGACGAGGCCAGTTGGAAGGCTGAGATTCTGGAGACCGGAGCAGAGCCAACTCCCCAGTCAGACCTCAGATAGACCCAAGATATTCTGAACAAACCTTGGTGTGTTGGATGACCTTATGACCTTTTGGCTGGAGGGACTTAGAACTAGAACCTGCAACTTGATGTATCATAATCCAGGGTCTGATCACATACCAATACCAATTTTCTAGTTTATGGGGCAATTAAGTGCGAGTAGATCATAAACACTATTAGAACCACTATTAGAAATTAAGATAAAACTGCAGATCCCTCATTTGGACGGGACCTACTCGAGAATTCATTCAGATGACGACTGAGTATGCGATTCATCAGGCCTTATTTCCACCAAATGCCACGCCCTGTCGTAATGCCATTAAGGAACGATCCTTTAACTCTGGGAAGTTGGCAAAAAGTATGTCCACCGGTCCCCACTTGTCTATTTAATAAATGCCTTGCCCCAAAGCTTCCATCATACTCTATACTGTGAACATGTTTTTTCAAGGTTACCTGAAAGTACCGAATTCCGGCCGTGCTGAGGCTGAAGAGTACGGTGGCGATGTGGAGGACAAATTAATAAATGGAGATTCGAGCGAGATCTCCAAAATTACAGCAAAAAGCAATAGGCTACAGATTCCAATGGTGCTCTCGATCGTGGTCAACCTCTTTCTCCTGGGTATAATGATTTTTCGGCACGAGTCGCCCCATCCACTGTATCGCTCAGAATACGGTTTGTCTTCCAGATTCCTTTACACCTAGTAGGCTACAAGTCCTAACATAGAATCCAGCCGGTTTAGCCCGGACAGTTCCCCGACCGTGGGGCCCCAATACAGCGGTCAACGACACTGAACAAGACGCTCTATGGGATGCAACGAGCTACGACCTGGGTAACATCGCGCTATCAGACACGTACGCCCGCTCCAAGGGCCTACCCCGCGCCCAGCGCTTTCCATGGGACAACAAAAAGGGAATTTACCTCATCAATGCATACCACAACCTCCACTGTGTGAAGACCATGCGGACGGCTCTCATAGAGTTTCGCGATGGGAAACCCCAGAGCTCACCTTTCGGTCATTTGGAACACTGTCTGCTTGTCCTTCGCGATGAGGCTATGTGTAATGCAGATGACACGCCACGATATACGGGCTTCCAGCCGAACCAGAAGAGTGGACTAGGACAGGTGCGGATGTGTCGAGATTTTGAGCAGTTGGAGCAGTGGGCGCGGGATCATACGGCGTGTTGGAGACACGTAGGTGAGATTCATGAGGAGGGTTTTCGGGAGTTAGATCGGTATAGGTTTTGTCCTGAGGGAAGTCCGTATAAGGAAATGAGTGAGACGATGTATCTGAAGGGGGATTGGTGGAAGCAGTACAAGGATGGCGGACTGTAACATTCACGTTTGGAACCACAAAGCATATATCTCACTTAAGGATGCAAGTGTTTTGTTTTCTTTTTCAATTCAGATATCAAAGATCAATATCAAAGATTTTTTAATTACTTCTTGTAAAGAATATGGTCATAAAATCACGTGATGACTAGTGATTATTGGAATCTTTTGGTACTAGTCCGAACGGGGTTAGGCTTTGATAGGAGCGTACAATTTGGGTGAGGAATAATTGACTCTGATTTGCACACTCTAAAATCCCCTCTAGATACACATCCTGATCCTCTTTATATACAAAACGTAGTGGCGAAATTCACGGATTTACGGAATAAATAACAATCCTGACTCCAAAATGTAGTCTGCTTTTTGGCGCTCTTGTTCTCGCGGATATGTTGCTTTTCCGAGGATTCAAAGATTTAGTCAGTGCATCCGGATTGGGATTAGCGTATTGTTGGATTGTATGTAACAATCTCTAGCAGTTTATCTCAACGTATCAAATTATGTATGCACAAGTATGGAATCCTTGATCCCCTTGTTGTCATTCTTCTTCTTGTCTCTAAGTACAGTCCAGGTGGAAGATATCTTTTTACCCCCTATTCGGTGGATCAGTGTGTGGCTCGCTATTATTGGCTGACAAATCCCTTCTGTCTGATTGGTTGAATCAGCTTAGCTAATCCAACACGTATCAAATAACTAGAAGGTTGGTCCAGAAGACGAAGCAGCATATGCACTCTTTGACGAGTTTGGGAAGCTACTAATTAAATATCTCTCATAAATTATTTCGATAAATACTGAGATAGCCCTAACTCGTCACAACATGCGAATCCCAGACTTGCTTGTAAACCCTAACCATCTTTCTCGGTATAATTAGCCCAGCCTTTTCTATACCTAATAGAGACCATTAAAGGGACCTTGGAACATAGCTACTCAACGGTCTCACCAGCATCAACATCCTCCACCTGCTTTGCCTCCAACTTTTGCTGATGAGCCTGCGCCTGCGCCTCCCTAATAGCAGCCATCTCATCCAAATCCTTCCTCTGACTCAATTTCACCACCTGCCTCAAACTCGATTGACTGGCAAACAAGAAATCGATTTGCTCCAGCGTCTTTCCTGCCGTCTCGGGATAGAAGAAGTAGACGACGACGATAGTGGCCCAGTTGAGGATGCAAAAGACAATGTAAAGTTTCCAGCCGATGTTTTGGATTCCCACGGGTGTGATTTCGACGACGAGGAAGGTGATGAGCCATTGCCAGACGACAGATAGCGCGGAGCCGGTTTGTCGGAGACGGATGGGAAGGATTTCACTAGGGTAGGCCCACATGTTGGACATCCAGCCCCAGGTAAAGAATGCCTTTTGAGAGTTTATGAGCATTACTGTAGCTCGACGGGATATTTAGGATAAAGCGGGTCTTACTTGGAACATGTAGAGAACTACCACGGCGCCAATACCGTTATTATGGCCGCCGGCACGAATCGTCAGGCCGGATATCAACATGCAAGCACCCATACCGGCACTGCCGAGGAAGAAAAGTTTGCGACGTCCAATCTTGTCAAGGAAGAACCTAATAATAAAAGATTGGTCAGTGCAATTGAGACCTAGACCAGGGAAGAAGTGAACATACCAAGGAAGAATAGACGCAACAAGGAACCACAGCTGAAGACCTCCAGACAACAACAAGGATTGGTGAGCATTCAATCCGACACTATTCACCATAACATATGGAGCATAGTAAGTAATGATGTTGGTGCCAGTAAACTCCTGCAGAGCCTGCGCTGAGCACGCAATAGCAACACGCTGCCAGCCCATGACGCCTCCATCACGAAAGCAGTCTTTCCAGCTACCGGCTTCCTCTTCCTCAAGAGCAATGGCATCTTTAATCTCCGCCATTTCGGCGCGAATATTTTCATCCCCCGGGTTGCCGTCACGAAGAAGGCAGATAATCTCAAGAGCTTCCTGCTCACGACCATGACTTGCAAGCCACCTTGGACTTTCTGCTCGAAAGAGTCAGCATTGCCAGTTCGTATTTCGTCTAAGTCAAGGTGCGTGTCAATCATACCGGGTAGAAAAAAGCACATAGCAATCAACATAATCGCAAACACAATCTGGAACGCAATAGGGAACCTCCACTGAAACCCATTCGTGTACGAACTTGCACCGTAATCGATCCAATAAGCGACTACGATACCAACAATCAAACATGACAATTCAATCGCCATCGTCCTCCCACGCAAATGCGCGGGTGTGGTTTCACACTGCCAAATCGGGACCGCAGAAGTGATACACCCCATACCGAACCCAGTCACGATTCTGCCCACAATCATTTGCGCTTGGTCATACGATGCACACTGGATCACGGTACCAATAATGAGCCATACGGCGCCGGAGACGGTTAGCCAACGACGACCTAGAGCTTCGCCCCAGAAGAAAGAGGCTAGAGCTCCGACGAGACAGCCAAGTTCATAGACGGCCACGATAAAGCCGAGTAAGGTGGAGTTGGGGTTGCCCATTATTGTGAGAAAGAGTTCGTCGGTTGTAAGGCCTGACAAGACGCCATTGTCGTATCCTATATGAGAGTCAGCGATGTCCTTCCAAGAGATAGTGTTGAGGTCGAACAGACCAAAGAGTAAGAAACCAGTAGAACAAGCGGCGGTGATGGCTATCACCAGGGGCATGCCCCGGAGGCCAAGATAAGGGCCCATGTTGATCGAGCAGGCCCTAAGGCAAGGGGAATTGAAAGTAAAAAGCGGTCTACCCAGGTAGTAGGAGGAATATAGATGCGACCGGTTTTACACGATCTTAGAACGCTGAGGAAAGTAAAGGAAAAGATCAGCGGCGTCAGATCTCTGGGGAAGCTTGTTCATTTAAATATTTAGTATACTCTCGCTAACCCATCTTAGCAAGATCAGTCTTCTACATAAGTAACTACTCCGTATGCAGGTCTCAAAACCCCATCCGGGGTCATCAAGCACTCCAGGCTATATGTATGTACTCCACAGACCAAGCATGGAAGACATGAAATCTGAAGAAAATGAACAAACACGAGAATCTATAAATCAAGCTTTCGCAGATGACTCGCTTAGTTTCTCTTTCCTATGGAAAGGATGAGTACGAGTGGAGTAGCTCGAGTAATGTCCCTCACGGAGTATATAGACGTAGGGCTATTTGCGTATTGTATTGGCAGGCAAATCCGAGGGAAGATGGAGGCCGTGGGGGTTCCTGGTGTGCACCCCCAACCTTTCTCCGCATGGAGATACCACCTATAAGAGAAACATGGGCTGGTTGGTATAAGAGACTGGAGTTGAGGCCCGGTGATAAGGTCCGGGGTGACTGGGGAAGGTTTGCCGAGAAATTGTACCGACTTTCCAACGGAGAATACTTGTATTGCGAGGTAGAAAGTGCAATAAAAATACTGTGTGCAGACAAGAGGATGTAAAGAAAATAAGCTCTATCTCAGATCTCCGAGAGACCGAACAATAGAGAGTAGGACGTGAAGAAGAATGATGGTGCGTAGTTCGGGTTACCGGCTGTCAGTAAATTTCGGTCCATCTCCGAGTGTTAGGGTTTATAACCATCACGGACTTCTGCCCGGTATCTCGTATCTCCCCGCCTAGAGAGAAGCCCGCCAAGTCGGCATTAATGCTTATTCTAGGGTCAATGTGTCGATGATGGTTCCCTGGTATCATTGATATCAAGTAATAACTTGATATAATAAACGTGGTTGATGGATATTCATGAAAGAAACCAAGCAGTTTCGGACCGGTCTCATGAAATAGAAATCGTGGATAATGCGTAGTTTCGTACTGTCCTTCATCCAAGTACGACTTCTACTTTTCTCTACAAAAGGGTTTAAGCTAAAGCCAAGGTTTTTCTCTTTTGGGAGCTATTGGAGGAGAGCTTATTAGGTGTAATACGATTCGGCCCAATGTCCCAATACAATTGCTGCGACGGCTACAAAATATGGTTTATCAATATCTGACCAATTCCGAAGGCCCTGAGTTGACAACCTAGGAAGAGACACCAAACCAATACATAATCTTGTCACTACCAACAAGTAGCGTAGCCCCAACACCCAGTACGAAGCTCAACAAAGCCACAAGTAACAACAAGGAGGACTGTAAATTGGCAGCTCGTGATCGTTGATGCTTTACTACTAGTTCTCGGCTTGGTATGCCTGGATGTTTTGGGGCCAGTGGGCCAACCATTTTTCCCACCGGCTTGATTTTCTCTTCTTCACTGACCGCTAGTGCTGTCTTCATGGATGGAAGACCATCCATACTCCATGTATTTTTGGATGCCCAGTACCTAACCCAGGATGAGTGACATTGGTCAGTTAAAGAGAAAGGAAAAAAGCAGAGTTGGACTGGGAAAAAAAAATTAATCGAGGGAAGACATAACAAACCTCGGAAAGCTCTCCTTCTCATTCCCAGCATTATATCTCTTCTCCTTTTTAACATGATAATCAATCAGGGTATCCCGAAACTCTTTAAACTCATAAAACGGCACCGAAAACCCACACGAAGATCCAACCTGGTGAATATCCACGATAATAATCGACCTGGTCCCGGTTACGAGGTTGACGTTATTTCGCTCCACAAACTCTGTGAATTCTCGACTTCCATTATTCTCCAGGACCCTGCCTTTCCCCCACAGTCTAACAATGCGTGGAGCACCTTCAAAGGCATTGAACATAATCGTGATACGACCATTGCCGGGCTCGTAGATGTGGCTGATTGTCTCGCTGCCGGAACCGGTTATGTCTAAGTACCAGAAGGTCTTGTCGTCTAGCAGGCCGAAGTAAGGGCCACCCTTGGGAGAGACGTTGACATGCCCGGTTCCTGATAATGGGGCCGTGGCTACCCAGAAGATCTTTTGGGCCAGGATCCAGGTGTAGATGTTTTGGGGGATTGTTTCATAGAATGCACCCATTTTGTTTTTGTTTCTCTTATTTCCGGATTTATTCAACGCGGGAGCATATTTACGAGAGATGAGATGGTATTTTGGACGGTGAAGAGTGAGTCATGTTGGAGTTATGCGAGTCAATGCCGGAGTCGGAGTCGTCGACCAATCAGAGAGATTTCACTTTGTTAGGATTTTGAGCATCTTCTTATCTTGGTGAAGTTGCAATAAATCAATAGACTAGAGGTGTTTCTCCTCTCTAAACTGATGGTGTTCCTTTCAAAGTCTGTTTACTTGTCAGTCTTTACCATACTAAACTACTTCACAGATCGAGCACAACCACCGGAACAGCCATTCCTAAGCCCAGGTCCAATATCACTTTCAACGCCTGGCTGTACTCCTCAGCAATCTGACTGGCATACTTTTCTGGAAGGACGAATCGCGCAGCCAGAAATGGCCCGGATATCATCTGGAAGGATCTTTGACCGTACGATCGACAGTCGACGAAGTTATCCAGCTATGCTTGTCCGCTGTCTCCTCTGAAGCAGAGACGAATGAGCCAAGGAAAGTTGACAGAAGAACAGGAAGAAGAGAAAAGGGGGCTCCAACCTGCTTTCTTTCGCGCTTCGCCGTCTTCGTCGTGACCAGCCACTTATATCCACGGCACTCGCCTTCTCACCATTTTTTCTGATTTCGCTTCATGGATGTTCATCGGATATTTTCCGGTTTGCTTTATACTTGATGTTTGCTGTTCATCGGTTACCCACGTTCAGCAATACTGTTCTACCTTCAGTGGCTATTTTTCAATTGGAGGCATTTGGCATGAATCAGCATATTGGAGATGCTCTTTATCACTGCATTGAACTCACTCCTAGATATATTAACGCGGGCCCCGAGAGGCCTTTTGCTCATTATAGCCAGGTTCTACTGTACCATGGACAATCTGATACTTATTCTATGACCATTAAATACATCCCACAAATTATTTCAACAAATACTAAGATAGTCAGCTTGCAAGAGAAAACAGAGTGAAAACTATATATATTTCCATAATGCCCGACTGGGGTAGTCGGTGTACGATTCCTGTTTTGGGCAAGTCTTTTTTGCAACTTCTAAAACCCTAATCGGTCGATTTCTGCAAAAGGACCTAAAAAATACCCGAGTTCATCGCGGTTCGCGCTTTAATTTTTTTGTTGCACTCACTCTCTAATACGTATAACAAGTGAGAATTTCTAGACTTTTAGCTGTAAGCTCCAACTTTCTTTCCCTATAATAGGCATAACCTTTTCTACTTCGATAATGAAAGAAAAACAAGAGAGCGAGTGATGTCAGTGGCTATTAACAGGATCCGTGAATTAAGGCAGTAAATGTTGGTGGCTGGTGCTAGAGATAGTCACAAAAACAAGGAAATGTGTACGAGGGTTGAAATAGTTCATGTTCTTCTGGTGGCTTTATTTCATGATCTCGATTGGATCAACTGTGTTAGTAGGTACCCAACTAAATTAGTCAATTGCAGGGGAGAATATGACTCGCGAAATCCATTCCTTTTCCCTTTTCTAGTTATCTCGGGAGAACTGGAAGGAGGAGTACGTACAGGGTACGGAGATGCTAGTCCTCGACTATTGTTATTGTGGACTTTGTTATGGCGATCATTATTTGGTGATATTGCATGTCTTAGATACCGGAGTAAAGAGATGACCATTTCCTTACTTTGTTGAGTTCTGGCCCGGAACACTGCTTGAATGGGATACAATCGCCATTGAATGCCACGGAACTCAGAGTTGAAAAACTTCAGTTCGTGAACTCTGTTGTTGGTTGAAGGCTGAAAGTGCGGGGGCGGGATATGAACCCCATGGGCACAGAAAGTCAAATCGACTTGCTCTGGAGTCCGTACACTGTGGGCCTTGAGATACGTACTCTTTCAAGTCGATAACGTTGGATAAGCGGAAGAATTCTCTCGTCTAATTTCGACTCGAAGTTCTAAGGATCTACATCAGATGCACGAAGGTATCCAGTTTCTGTAGTCTCCCGCGCCGGACGGTCATTTAGACCATAATCTGTATAAGATCTTCACATAAATCTGTCTAGCTGTGTCAAATGGCAGATAGGGTTCAAATAGAGAGCTGCAAAGCGGTAATGCTTGTGCATCTGATGGTAGCAAAGCACGTCCCGAGATCTCAATCTCGTTCTAGGTACTACATTATTCTGCGGTGTTGAAAGGTTTAGATTAGAAAGAGTCACCATCCACCGAGGAAGAAAAGGATGAAGCAAATCTTACTTAATCCGGTAATTAACCCGTGAGAACGGTCCCGTGCTCAAAAAGCCAATGCCCCTGTGAATCTGGACATCAACACCGAGAGTATCTCCGTATCTGGCTGGCCATCGTATAGTCATACAATTCCATCCAGCTTCAAAGGATCCCCTAGTTCAACCCGGCCTCTGATTTGACATAATTCAACATCCCCAATTCGAAGCTCGTTCCATCCATGAAGATCTGTATCCGACTCATGTGGTAAGCGATGGTCCTCCTGGTAATCCTGCGATTCCCCGGCCACGAGAGCCGGATAAGCCGGTGCCAGTAACCAACATCGTGCCACGGCCATGAACTTGAACGTAGAAGTGAGCCAATGGGCAATTCCTCAATTCCTCGATTCCTCGATTCCGATGAGCCTGTAATGTTCCTCGGTTTGTCCGAATAGGCCAAGAGTCTCAAGCTTCAAGATGGAAGCGTTAAGCTCGAGCTAGTTTAAGCCGCCTCCACCAAGGTTGCAGTCGAGTTCACATGTTGTGCCGAAAAGTTCAGCCAGAGAAGATGCCGAAACTAGGAATGGTCTCATAACGATCAGCATTGTTTACCCCACTTGGGTTGGGTTGTTTAGTTGACGAGTCGAGCATCCCCGGTCAGTCCACTAACAGGCACAATGCCAAAGTCCAGGTCTTGCCGACGCTTTTCTTTCGGTGTACAGAGTCCAGAAGGACGTACCTCCACTTGGTGAAAGGGAGTAATAATTTTTCTCTTTTTTTTTTTTCAAATTGCGATAAGAACGTTATTAGTCGAGAGAAAGCACAGATGTAGTCACGAGAGCATGATCTGACAGATCAACACTGACAGTCATGTTGGTTGTAAGATGGAAAGATTTTTGGTGTTGGTGTTGCTGGGAGTAAACAATGGGGAAGGCGCCTTCCTTCCCTGTGGAAGGTGCCACCACCATAATTGACAACTCGTGATTTTTATCAATTGTATAGTTACCACTTACAAACCTCTCCCGACAGACTCTCCTCTACGAACTACACCCGAGCTATCCGTGGATTGAGCACAACGAACTCACCTGGCATGCGACAAAAATTCCTCTGCTCCCCGCAGCCATCATCCCGTAAAAAGACCCCATCCCTCCACTTTTTGCTCGAGCTAATTCCTTTGATCAACCTCATCTGGTTAGACCAGCGCAGCTACCCCTGCCAGTCTATCAGTTTGCTCCAATTTCGCGCGTGTCATGCTCCTATTGACAAGGGTCGTGTTCGTTCCGTCTGTCGACAGAAGATCTGTTCGCCAACGAAAGCTCCGATATCCTATTCGCAAGAACAATGTGAGCTCAGGTTGCATGCTGCCGTTGTGGTTACTTAGTCTACTTCATCGCACAACTTTGCGTGGGAAACGATGAATCCGGGATAGCATGCCCAAGTACCTCGGAACTAGTATAGCCTAGCAGGCACCGTGTTGTGCACTAGTGATAATGGCCCATTCAGAGTTCGTCGTGCTGTTGATCTTACCAAAACTCCATAGTTGTACAGTTGCACTATGCATGCGGCGGATAATTAGTGTATTCTGCCTGAGAGGGGAAGTTGAGAGCCCGTGGCTGTCGCCAAGCTCAGATTTTGCTGAGGCGCGTTGACATCATCTCCATGCTTCTGGTGACTCCTTCAGGCAGGAGACTTAGAAAGAGAGGAAACAAAGATCATCACATGTGCCATGCGGGTCAATAGCTCCCTCGGCCTGGTCTAGGGTACCCCCAGAAAGCTCCATGTGGGCATCCGGGGCAAAGATGGAGCTAATTTCCCTGCTTGGTCCCTTGAACGTCCGAGGAATAAAAAGGAGAGAATTCCTAGCTTCACTTAGCTTGCAGTCCCTTTTTGACTCTCTCCGCTCGTCTTTCACTCGACGAATTCGACAATTGGAGGGTGGCAGCTGCAATCAGGGGTCTATTGAGAGTGTGCTGTACGTGCGTGTGAACCAACCTCGACTATCACAATGCGCGTCTTCTCGACAATTGCCACTACCGCAGTGTTGGCCAACTTGGCTGTTGGCTCCCCAGCTGTGGGAAATGGCTCTTCTTCTGGCATTGTTCAAGGTGCCGCCGCTGCGGTCATCTCGACCAGTGTAACCAGCACCACTGCTCCTCCAGCAGCACAAGGGCCAAATGAGGCTGCTGCATCAACCGCACCTGCTCCAGCTTCCCCTACACCTCCTGCCGACACATCAGCGGCAGGTTCGGATACAGGAGCCGCCAACCCTGCTGGTTTCACTTCAGCACCCATTGTCTCCGTTCCCATACCGTCGGCAGCAGATAGCACTGCAGCTGCTCCTACTGCCCCGGCTGCAGCTGGTAGCAGCGCGTCCGATGCTGCCACCAGCGTCGGCGGCTCTGTCGCAGCCTCCGGCACTTCGAAGACCTCGCCATCCGGCACCGCTGCCGCCTCGGACTCCTCATCCACCACATCCAGCCCTAAACCTAGCACGACAACTTCTGCGAGCGCTGGTGACCTTGCAGGTCTCCTCAGTGGTTTGTTAGGTGGCAGCAGCACCACTTCAAATGGTCTCGGCAATCTCATCACTGATCTCGAGAATTTTCTGAGCGGTATCACCGGCTTGCTGAGCCCCACGTTACTGAAAGACCTCGAGTCATTCATTCACAACTTTGCCTACTTCCTAGATGCGCCTACCACTGATCAGACTAAGGAGATTATTGCTGTCGCGCATCAGCTCATCAACAATAGTACTGCTTCATCGCTCGTGAACTTGTTGACGTCTGCTGAACAGCTATTGAACCCAACGTTCATCAATGAAACGACCAACTTGATCAGCAAGGTATCGCCATTGATCGATGAGTTGGGTCCATTGCTGAACTCGAAGACTGTCGATCAAATCGAGGGTCTATTAACCAATGCTGCCGACTTGTTGACGCCAGAGTTCGTCAAGGACACTCAGGCTCTTATCACGGATGTTGCGCCGGTCTTGAATGATCTCAAACCGCTCTTGAGCAACCAGACTATCTCCGAACTCGAGAACTTGCTCACAAACGCCAATGGCCTGTTGACCCCCTCGAACACCAAGGCCATCATGTCATTGCTCAACAACGCCAACGGCTTGTTGACTGCTGACAACACGAAGGCCATTTCATCATTGCTTGGTAACGCCAATAATTTGTTGACGCCAGAGTTCGTCAAGGACACCCAGTCTCTTATCACTGAAGTCGCACCGGTCTTGAATGATCTCAAGCCACTATTGAGCAATGAGACCATCTCTGAACTCGAGACTCTCCTCACCAATGCCAATGGTCTGTTGACGACTCAGAACACCAAGGAGATCGAGGCCTTGCTCTCCAACGCCAATAACTTGTTGACCGCGGATAACACGAAGGCTATCGAGACTCTGCTCACCAATGCTAATGGCTTGTTAACTGCCGATAACACCAAGGAGATCGAGGCACTGCTGTCCAACGCCAACAACTTGTTGACTGCGGATAATACCAAGGAGATTGAGACCTTGCTGAGCAACGCCAACGGATTGTTGACTGCTGACAACACCAAAGAGATTGAAGCACTGTTGTCGAACGCCAATAGCTTGCTGACACCCGACTTCGTGAACGAGACCAAGAGCTTGATTGGTGACGTTTCGCCACTCCTCGGTGAACTCGGCCCTGTTCTCCAAGCCGCTCAGCCCTTGTTGACCACTAAGAGCATCCATAACATTGAAACACTGTTGACCAATGCAGGCAACTTGTTGAGCGATTCCAACACTCAAGAAATTGAGAGTTTGCTTGCAACTGCCGGCGGTCTGCTCACTCCTGAGAACACTAAGGATATTGAGTATCTAGTCACCAACGCCACCAAGCTGTTGACTCCAAGCTTCGTCTCGGAGACAAGTGGCTTGATTGGCGACGCTGCACCTCTGCTCGGCGAAGTTGGCCCGATCTTAACTATGGTCAAGCCGTTGTTGACCAACACCACCATTGCAGAACTCGAGGGTCTACTCAGCGGTGCTGTCAGCCTCTTGACACCCAAATTCATCAACGAGACCCGGGATCTCATCGACGGAGCTGGACCTATCCTCGCGACTGTCTCACCATTGATCACACCCAAGTACATCGAAGAGCTTGGATGGCTGTTGACCAACGCCAGCAACTTGTTGACACCATCATTCGTCAACGAGACAAGTGGCTTGATTGGTGATGCAGCACCTCTGCTCGGCGAAGTCGGCCCGATCTTGGCGATGGTCAAACCGCTGTTGTCCAAGGATAACATTGAGGATATCGAGTACCTCCTCACCAATGCTACCAACCTCCTTTCACCCACGTTTGTCAATGATACTCGTGGCCTTATCACTGAAGTCGCTCCAGTCATCACACCTGATCTCCTGGCCCAGATTGGCGGTCTGCTAAACAATGCCGGTGACCTCTTGACGCCTACATTCGTCAATGAAACGGGCTCACTTATTGGTGATGTCTACCAGGTAACCCATTCCCTTCCCTTCCAATCCATCCGTTGACGATTCAGCATGCTAACTTTTTTCCAGCTTCTGCCATTGCTGAGCAGCCTCATAAACGCTTTGTAAGGAGTTTGGGAAGGTTAATGTATCCCTGATTGCATCATCCCGGTGGTTTTGTTTTGTTTTTCCCTTTCTCTTCCCATGACATTTATGAGAAAGTATCATCACCCACGCATCTATGATTATGACGAGTCAACGACCAACACTCGAACAAAAATCACTCTCCAAAAGAAAAGAAAAAGACAAAAACATACCTTTAAATAATGTTTGTGTTTCTCGTTCCGGCATGTCTATTTTTCTCGTCCCGGATTAATGGCATAATGATATAATGTGAATGGCATATATACATATATAGGGCACATACCAATTGAGAGTTGTATATATCGAATGTCTTCTTCGTCGTTGTCAATTTAATAAGTGTTAATTCAACTGTAGAATATAAGACGAAGACAGAACTGTGTCTTAAGAAAGTTGAGAGAAGAAAGACCTCAAGAGCCTCGGCAGCTGTCCGATGTCCTGACGTCTCATTGGTCAAAGTAAATATGCAATGCCTTCGGACCGATTTTCGCGTGTCGGAAGCAGACTCAGAACAGAAAAGGTACATAACTTCATGGAATAGGGGGGAAACGGAGAACACTCCAGTCTTTCAGATTGGTGATTAGGTCCTAATCATTAGATTTTCAAAATCAAGTTCTTTTATTCATTCTTTATACGTATCTGAATGGAATTGCTGGGGAATGTCCTTAGTTATATGCTAGCCTAGCTAGGTACGATTCCGAACCCCGAGTCGGACTTCCCGATAATTTCACATTTGGCTTTGGCGACAGCCGAGTCCGATGAGTTTTATTCGGCTTGAGTGATTGCGACGCGCAAATACTAGTGGGAGCCCGCAAATACTTGCGCATTACGTACTATGGGTCAATTGTCGATCACTTTGACGAAATAATTGGGCTACGTATTGCTATGGTACGTAATACATATGGAGTAATCTGTGCGAGCTCATCGTGTCTTTGACATGTGATTGTGTTACTTATCTGTGAGATCGTGCCGATTTCCCCTTTGTCCAGCTCGAAGCCCGTAGTAGTGTAGCTAAGTACGGATTGGAGCTCTTTCGGGGTTATGAACAGAGCTTGTGGATCGGTAAAAATGCCGATTTGCACGTGCTGGTTGATTTCATGGCGGAAGGTATTAGACAGCTGGATATTTCTTGTTCTTGTTGTTGTTGTTGAACTATTGTTCGTGTATTGCCTGTCGATCTTCGATTTCTCACGTTCGCATGGATCGTGTAGCCGTGTCGTGCCGAGTGTTGACAGGATTTCGGAAGCCCTCGTAGGCCATCCCGACATTCTTGATTTAGTCGCACTGTGGTGCGAAACAATGAATAAGACTGCCTGATCACATGCGCCAATATTACATGCGCATCAGCGATGAGATGAGTACTTCTCTCAGCCAAAGATAGGAGATGTCACTCCCGGAAGCCGAGTTCGAGCATCTATCATAAACCTAACTCTTCGAAGCCTGATACTTCGACAAAATCTTATACTCCACATCCCATTCTTTAACCTTCTTATCCAACGCCTTCTGGATCTCATCCCTCTTCCTGTCCTTCTCCTCCAATTTCTGTTTGATTTCCTTCACGGCATCTTCGCGCGCCTTGAGCATTGCCGTCATCGACGGGTACTCTTTACGTAGGTGTTGGAGTTGCGGTTGGATTTCGGCGATGTTTAGTGGCTCGCATGTTACTGGGTGGTAGTGAGTAGATGGTATTTTTGCATCGTCCGGGATTCGTATGTCTGGTAGTTGGGGATGGATCGGGGTCGTTCGGATGGAAGAGGTGAGTGGCACGGGGTCGAGGGCGCGAGACGGGGGTCTAGCATTATCCTCTTCGGATGGAGGGGAAGGTAGTCTGCTCATTTCTTTTCGATGCTCTTTGATATCAAGCGATTTCGGTTTGTCGTCTATTATTTGTGCAGTTAAGCAGATGTGAATGTCAGAATTAGAGTTGCGAAGTTGAAGCGGTGACGTCTCCATTTTCTGCCGGTCGTTGCTACACCGCCTTCGTGATCGCCTTCAACTGCGTCACATCCCCATTCATTGTTGACCTTTGAGTAATTCATCATAGTACCAATTGTAATCCATAAAGGCTATTCAGGACATATTCAAAATGCAGGCTTTTGGTAAGCATTCAACTCCCTCCCGCTTATCAGACTTGTGCTTACACGAGACAGTACCAAAAAATAGAAGAGTGAGTGAAGTTGTCCTGTCATAGAGCAGGTTGACCGCTTACTAACGAGCAGGGATCTAGCCGAGATTCGAGCTCAAACTCAGTGTATGGTATGTACCATCTCATACCGCACAAATCTTGTTAATACAGGTGCAGATAATCGACCTTAATAATATCCCCCTGGTTGCCGGGACGTCATATGTGAAATGGCATCTCCCATCCTCTATAGCCGCCGAACACCGCGGCCACACAGATCGAGCTGTGATTCAAGACCATCGCGCATCATGGGACTATGAGAAAGCGATACCTGTTAAACTCACAATAGATCGGAACCACATGCTTCAAGAATGTGACATCTCATTCGAGATAATCCAAGAATTTTCTTCGGGAGGTCGCGGGGATCGCATCACGTTGGGCAACATCAAGCTCAATCTCGCCGAATATGTCGATAGAAGCGAGGATGAGAATGGGATTGTGAGGAGGTATTTGATGCAGGATAGTAAAATCAATAGTACTCTCAAAGTGGGGATATTGATGCGGCAGGTTGAAGGGGATAAAAACTATATCACGTCAGTTTCAAATCATATTTTGTGTTCTTTTGTTCTTTTTTCCCTTCTGTGAAGTTATTCCATCTGACATGGCGCAGACCCCCTCTCAAGTCAGCCATGGTATTTGGCGGCATCGCCGGCATCCTTCCACCAGAGCATGGGGAAACGGAAGAACCGGGTAGTCTCCCATCCATCAACGCCAGCCGCGAAACGGGGGATTTGCAGGACATGTACCGTCGCACACTGGCCGCATCATGGACCACTCAAGACGACGAGCTGCTTCCAGACCAATTAATCGAAGACATCTTTGCTGGTGGCCGCGGAGTTCGATCTTCTGCTCGATCGGGAGCGCGATCAGAGCGCGCAGATTACGATGATGACGGTAGCATAAGCGATACCGCTTCTCGTACTACAGTCCAAGAGAATCGGGCAGACGGCAACACGAACAATAAAAGACCCAAAAGCGTGATGAGTAGTCGATCAAGGACAGATCTGCGAGATACGGAAAGTATGCTAAGTAGTAGCGGTGGAGGTAGTGGACGGGGCAGTCTGGAGAGCTCGTTCCAGGAGAAGGCTTGGAAGAGTTCGAAGGCTACCCACGAGATTTCCGAATTTGATGTTCGAGACGATCTACGAACATGGGAGATCACCGTGAATGATTGAGATTTGGAGCAATTACGTATGTGATAACTGGTCGGTTATACGATTATGGAGGTATAGATCCGAATCTGGGGTCAGATATCCGCATTATTATGTTGCCGGGCGCTATGTGACACCCGAAAACTGAGTTATATTAGAGGTCACTCGGGGAGCTAGGGCCAGATAACCGGCTTATTGGGTTCGGCTTCTAAAACTTGTGCTGGTACCTTAAGTGACCTTAACAGGTATTTCCGTATCAGATCCGAATCCAAGGACAGATATCCGTGCTACGTGTTCGTGCTGCGGGGAGTGTCGCGGCCGCTACTACTGGAGGAATAACCACAGCATGTGCAGTTAGGGGTTGCTTATTAAATCGCCTAGAGGATGAATACGTAATCAGCTCCCAATATGGTAAATGGCCTTACACATGCTTTAAAGTGTCTTGGCGAACCTTTACGCTGTTTACAGAAGGTCTTAGGGCACGTCTAGGTCTGTCTTAACCAAAAGTCTAATAAAAACGGTCGAATCTTGGCACGCAAGCTTGACCTTTTTGAGGCATGACTTTATGCGGTGCGATTGGCTGCATACTATATACCCTGCTTTGGGGAAATGCTTTAAATCTGTATATTGAGTGTTAGTTGCTAAGTCATGATAACAAAAGTGCCCCCAACCCGCAACGAAGACCCTTGCGCCGCGGGTGACGCCCTCTGCCCCCAGGGATTCGTCCAAGTCTCACTCCATTTATAAGCCGGCCGGTGATATTGATTTCGGATATGATTCCTTTGTCAGCGTCTACGAGCCGGTGTCATGCAGCCCTGAGGCTCAACTTATCCCTCTTTGGGAAATGCCAAAGAATCTGGTGATTGGTTCAACCTTGTTTATGATTTTATCGCCCATGTCACCTACGTAGCTACGTAGTAGCCGAAGTTGAAGACTCGAAGAGTTGAAACCCAGTATAAAGACAAGGCTGATGCCCGGCCGAGAAAGGATGACTGTACACTGTTGACGAGAAGACCATTCAGGCCAAGTTACTTTATAATCTTCATATAATCTTTCCTCGTAAAGAAATGACCAACCTGATGAACAACGAACATCACTTTATGCCCACCACCATGACTTCTCACTCTACCGTACCGTCACCCACGTCTCGAAACAACATGGGACCAATTGATCTTCCTCTGAATTATGTGAGCACACTCCTGTCGTTTATGAGTATACAATTTCTGATTGGGAATGTTAGGATATGTCACGCTTCTACATGAATTTCCAGTCTCCACCTCCTGTATCGGCTGCAATGCTGCGTCAGGGCCAGGCGACTCCTCCAATGTCAGATTTGGGTGATTCCACCGAAGACGACTTTGGACTTGACTGCACATTCTATTCCCCTCCAGTATCGGCAACAATGTCCAGCCAGGGACAATTGACTCCTCCAATGTCCATTTCAGATCTAGATGGATACACCGAGCATGATTTTACGACATTTGATTGCACGCTTCCTGCCGGAATGACTCCCAGCAACGGAAAGGTGAGTTTTTTTTAGATAGGTTGCAATTTACACGACATTTGTCTAATGTGGATCTCTAGTTCTATCTTCAAGAAAAGAGGCGTATGCAAAATCGGGAAGCGCAGCGTCGATTCCGTGCCCGCAATCAGAAGCACATCAAAGGTCTACAGAAAGAGCTGAACGATTTACGCGCGGAGAACACTAAATTTCTGGAGGAGAACAACAAAAAGGACGAAGAAATCTCTCGTCTGCAGAAGAAGATCAAAGAGATGAATAGAGAGACCAAGGACAGCATAGAGTCAATGGAGACAGATACAAAAATGGACAGCGACATGCCAGCACGCTGCCAGTGTTGGACACGCAACGGAACCCTTGCGCGATTTCGACCCACAGATCTCGTATGCAGAAAGACCTCCATGCCGGGGTCTCCTGACAGCACAGGAAAGGAGGATGATTGTCGGTCAGGCTACGGTATTGTCATGGAACTTGTCCCCGCAGATCGCAGACACTCCGAACACACTTATGAGTCCTTTCGTAAAAGATTGGAAGCAAAGGCCGGGGATGAGTCTGAAGAGACGCCGGAGACCACCGATAATGACCGAATGACCGCCAATGAGCCGGAGGGGGAGTACTTTTTGCTTTCGCCGTTGACTGTACACTAAAATACTTAATACTTGCTGTTCCATTGTACCTAACTTACGTTGTCACGAATCTAATAATAAAAGTGCTCTTCATCTTGAGTTCCATACGTATCTATCCTTTCACCCGTAAGTTTGTTTCGTATTCGTTACTTTTTCCTCTGCGCCAATTCTAAACCATGAAGTATACGCCCCAGATAGGCACGTCGGTCCTCAAAAAGCTGTCGCGGCATGCAGCACTGGGCGGGTTAACACGCACATACGGAAGTTTTGGACTTTTGATTGACTTTTGGTCAAAGCCACATATCCGAATAGTTGCACCCAATTTCGGGAAGCGGCATGTAAACAAACTTTTTCTCATGATGGAAGCTGGGATTTTATCCTATTGGCTATGGATAAACAGTTATCAGACGATCGAATGAGTTTACTAACTTTAGTTTGATATGTCACTGTGGGGGCCTTCGATTACAGATCATATTTGTAATAAATCCAAGCCCTACAGATCCGTCATCTCACCGAATTTAGCCGCTTCCGAGCATATTATTCTAGTCTTAACTAATAGAGTAATATCAAAGCTTCAAACGTCCAAGTTTGCCACCATGACGTTGTCCTCTCAACGGCAGGGATATATCTATGTGTGGCATTGCAGCTTCAATTATCCTACAATGCCACCATGAGTCGCCCACCAAAAACGATGTCCGGTGGAACGAAGCCGGTCTCAGGATTCCTGTTCATTGACTTTGAAGCCGATACATCCAACGACCCTGAAGTTACTAGACAAAAGCACACTTTTATCCAGAGGAATTTTCATCAGAAACTCAAGCAGACCCGATTGGAGAAATTGAAGGCGTCTAAACCCCGCATTGGATGGATCTTTCAACCCGTAAAGGGTCCGGTTCTAGAGCCACCCCAAGCCGACGATGCTATCAAGGTCGAGCCGGACCGTGATCCTGTACAGCAGGCAAACTTGCTGCCTGAGGCATGGACGGTCAACCAATACCTCGACGCAAGCTTCGTAGACCCATTTTCATCGCCGGTCCTACCAATGACGGACGCAATGAACTTGTATTGGAGACACTGTGCGTTGCACTAACTCAAGTTGTGGCACTTTTTCCTAACCATATTGCAGTCCGACTTCACACTATTACGTCGAGTTACCCCTTCGACACGGCCCGAATGGGCATGTGGTGGTGGCAGAAGGCCATCACCGAACCAGCTCTTTTGCAGGCCCTACTCTTCCTCAGTGCGGGCCACAAAGCGGCTTTGGAGTCCAATAGTGGAGTCTCGTCGATGGCAGTGCGGAAGTCGTTTAAGGATTCGTTTCGATTACGGGGTGGTGCGCTGTGTAATCTGAAATATATCTTGCAGGATCCAGTCATGGCTGTAGCGGAATCGAATACACTTATCGTTGCTTTTTTGCTCGCAATTGAGGTTAGACTCCTTGAATGCAACCTTCTGCGAGTATTTTGGCTTCTTACATTCTTTTGTATAGGGAGTTGATGCCAATGCGAAAGCTGTGGAGGCGCATTTGAAAGGACTCAAAAGGTTGATCCAGCTCCAAGGTGGCATTGACGCTCTGGACCACATGACCGTATCCGAAATCTATCAGTGCGTCTCCAACGAGACAAAGCTTCCAGAATAAGTTGAGCTGACGTCCCACAGAGCCGACGTTAGATGCGCCAGCTTCAAATGTTGCCGTCCACACTTCCGCATGTCCACAAAATGGCGCAGCGAAGTTATTTCCGACAAGAAGATCTTTAGGTCTCGCGACGACGTCAACATTCCAGGCCAGCTTCCCTTGCTGGCCACCCGCTTTTCAACTACCAATTGGTCCAGCGACCTCGACCTCCCAACTCACTGCCTCATCTTCGGCTTCCAGCGCCTGGTGCGCTACTACGAAGCCGCGCGACTACAGCCGTCAATGGTCGTCCCAACAGACAACGACCTATTCGTCATCTTTGAACATCAGTTGCTGTCAGTATGCTTCGATCCAGCCACCGCATCCACCACCACCGGCCTAATCTCAGAATGCGTACGACTGTCTCTCTTCCTGTACTCCAACATCCGAATCCGGGATTTTCAAGCTTTTCCCTTCATCGGATGCATTGTAGCGTACCTAAGACAAATGCTAGAAATGTGTTTCGCCGACATGCTCCTCGCATCGGTGGACCTGCTCTTCTGGATCTGTTTTATTGCTGGTATGGGAGCCAAGGGTTATCATGACCATTCCTGGTTTGTGGCCCAGTTGGCCGATATCGCTCATCTTCTTGGATTGCATGATCTGTCGCAGGTTAATGGGCTCCTGATACAATTCTTCTGGACGGTTCGGGTGAATGAGACCTCTCAGCGTGAGTTATGGGAGGAGGTCCTTCTGGAGCAGAGGGGCAAGTCAAGGCCACAGATCATGAATATAAAGACGTCTTGTGAGAGCGCTTAAGTTGGGTGTTCCAAAGTTATCGCTCAAATATAAATTATTCCTCGGAATCATTTCAAGACTGAAGTATGTACGTAAGGTCTGTATGCCGCGAAGAACTTTAAGAAGTGGCCCAAGTGGAGCGAACAGGATGGACTAGCCATAGTAGGAATATGGGGTCAGCTTTTGCAAAGTTAATCTTAAAGCGGTTAGCTCACCCGATTTTCGAATTTAGCGTTTGAGGCTTGGACTCAGACGTTCAAGCCCTAAACTCACGGCCCCATAGGTCGTACAATGCCCTAGTCACGTGGGAGCCTGATTACGTACGCGGTGTATGAAGGTTAGTTACCTCGGTTGTACTCTCCTAAATGAAGTGCTGTGCTCTGTACAGGTCTACAGGATGTATTTGCTAGGAGAAAGAACCCTAATTAGGAAAAAACTACTTCATTCAAGCTTGGAAAGTTGTCTGCGACCTCTATCCCATCGCGACAATCATTTAACGTTTCATACTGATATTAAATATGCCAACACATCCATGCATATACATCCTCATCTCCGTGTCATTTATGATTCATGACTTATAATAGCTATATGGTTAATTCCAATATATTAAAACTTTTAGCATCTGAGCACCGGACACAACCACCGGTGAATTCCTAGTAAATACCGGGAATTATCTTACTTCGGACCAAAGAAGTATACCTTTCCCAATCCTTGCCGTACTTCCTGTGACACTTCTCCTCATCTCTCCCCTCACGATGCAAGAGCAGAATCCCAAAGTACAAAATATAAAAGTATGTAAAGATTGAACCCCAACCCCGGGATTCCGGCGTCTGAACGGCGTGTTTTTCTAATTCTTTTGTCGATGAATTGATGGCTTCAATGATGGTGTAACCCGCAAACCCCGTGGGGAGACAATATGCCCAGGACATGAGCCAGTCGCCGAGATAGTTGATGTGACGCGCAGTACCCCACCAGCCAGAAATAAGTAATTTTGATCCAGATGCTGTGGTGATATATTTGAGGTGAGCGACTCGTGGGTCGTTGGGGTCCGTTCGGAAGCGGTTCTTCTCGTTGTTGGCACTGCGGAAGATGTAGTATCCAAGTCCAGTGACAGCAAACGAGAGCGCAATTCCTTGAAGACCCATTTTCGCCGGGAACATTGCGAGGTATCTTGTCTGAATCGAGTACAGGAATGGTACCCATACCAGATCACCGAAGCAGAGCATGAAACCGAAGCCATCCATGATGATGTCCATGGTGGTCAGAATAGCGGGCTCCATGTAAAAAGCATCCAAAACATAGAAAGCTTGCGCAATTGCTACAAAGAGAATAGAATCGGTGACGTAACCATAAGTCCGGTACTGATGTGCAACATTCGACAGATCGAGAATGATATACCCAAGGAGACCCGGCCTGATTTCACAAAAGACGCCAATATCAATTATGCGAGAAGCTTCGCTGACAAAAGGTATAGGCAAAGTCACACGAGAATTGAGTTCTCGGCCAATGAAGAAATCATAGAGGACATTGCCGGTATGGCCACCAGGAGCCAGTTCACGAAGGTCGGGGTTTGGCTGCCCAGGTTCTGGGATGGAGAAGCTTCGCACGTATACCAAGATGGATAGAACCACGACAATGAGAAGATTAGCGGTAATCACCTGCACGTAGTTGTCCCAGAGAAAAGTCCAGATAGGGAATTCGGCTCCGTAAATGAAAGTTCCAGCGGCAAGGCCTCCTAGAATCAGTAGGGAAGAGCGGAACGCTAGACGATATATATCAGCTTACGAATGTCTTTCATCCCCATAGGCAAGATAATCTTACTGTTGAATTTGTATTTGTGTCGTCCACCGCACGCCAACTCAACACCTTCCACTTCCTGACCGGGTAGGAAGATCTGCAGTAAGAGAAGAAGGGTATAGTATGCCAAAACCCACAACGTCACTTCTGTGTCGTACAGACCGATTATACCATTCTCAGGCCAGCCAATTTCCTGTTTCAGTTTATCCCATGTCAACGTCGAGGGGTGAAGGAGAGACGGCGCAGGGCAGCCGGAAATATCGTTGCAGAAGAAAGTGAAGCAATAGATAAGAACTGGTAGGCCAAAGACGATTCCTAACGCGCCTAATCTACTAATTATCAGTATATACGCCAGGGTAGGGTGTAGGATGTGATGACGAACGGTCCCCCGAATTCATAACCCCTTTTCTCCGGAACAACCTGTACAGGCACAGTAGCCTTGGGCCCTTTCTTTGGGCCCATTGTGATGTTGCACAGAAATAAAATGCGATGGCCGTCAAACGTTGACCGAAGAAATTGAAAGGACGGGCAGAGAGGTGTGGAGAATAAAGAAGTGAGGATCGTTCAAGTTTTTATATGCGCGATCTAGCGCTCGGTAAGCCACGTTCCGTGTCGGCCGATGCGATCAGACGTCATATAGCTTGTTTAGGATTTGCTGTATGAAGATCGAGTATCAAGGATCGGATTCAATAGGAGGTAGAAACTCAGCGGGATGCAGTCGAGATTGAAATGTAGTTTACCTGAGCACGGGGTAGTGATTATTTTTATTTTGGAGCTTTCGTCATGCTCTCTAAGATGCTAATTACGCCTTACCTTAATAGGCCTAGTGACATCTCCAACCTCCGCATGATATCCGAGCGGCCAGGTTACAGTAGACCAGTGAAACATCAGACTGTTCCTGGCGTCTCAGGTGCTTGCAACCTCACTCTCTACACGGTTATCATAGTCAAGCGGTCATCGAACATCATCGCCCACCATCAGATTTAATTACCGCTTGATTTCGAATTGATCCCAGTGCTATATCGACCGTCTGTCCTTTGGCGCATATAACCATATCTCTTCCCAGCACCATGAAGATGCTGACGCGGCCTACGTTGCTAGCAACCTTCAACGCCATCCTTCTACTACCACTTTCACAACATGTTGGAGCTGCATCAGAAGCTCCCAAAAAAGATACGAATCCTCCCTGCACCGTCCAATCCGTGACAACAGGCGCATTTTTCGATTTAGGCACAATCTCTCTCTCGCCGCCGGAATTAAAGGATGGTAGGAAAGTACACAAGAACGATCGAGATGCGAGCTGGGAAGCTCGGGGACATGACTACGGGACGAATTTTACGATTAATATTTGTGCGCCGGTCATTGAGAGTGTTGCGGATGTTGTCGGTGTGGAGAAAGCAAGATGGCAGAATGTCAGTGCCTATTACGAACAAAAGGGGAAGGTTTATTCCATCGGGTATGTTACTTCATCAATCATAACTCAGGCTTGGCTGATTATGGCGTAGAGAGCAAAACTCCGAACCTATATTTCGAGGCAAACGGCTCGTGTTAAACTATACCAACGGATCACCATGTCCAAGCACAGATGCATCCTCACTCAACTCGAGGTTCTATACGGATTATAATGATGACGACGACGATGATGATTACGCCGCAGCACAGAACTATAACCGAAAGACCGTCGCCACCAATGCGGCAAGCGATAGTAAATCAACCCGAAGAAAGTCTACAATCATGTCATTCCTCTGTGACCGAGAAGCGCCTGCATCCCAAGCCACGGTCTCCTTTGTCGGAACAATGGATTCATGCACTTATTTCTTCGAAGTGAGAAGTTTTGCGGCTTGTGGTGGTGTTGCTGCGGCTCCAGAAGGCGGTCTTGGACCTGCTGGTGTTTTTGGTGTGATGTAAGTATCATCGAATCATTCGTTGCCTGGGACTTTCTTGACTAACTGTTAAACAGCGCCCTGATTGCAGTCTTTGTCTATCTCCTCGGAGGCTGCGCATATCAACGCTCAGTGATGCATCAACGCGGTTGGAGACAGTGTCCTAACTATAGCATGTGGTCTGATCTGCTCGGATTCTTCAAAGTAAATTACCGTACATCCCCTCGTTTATTACAACAGAATACTAATTGAATTCTTCCAGGACTTCGTCATCATCATACTCTCCTCTCTCACACGCTGCTTCACGCGAAAGGGCTCTTCCAGGGCCTATTCACGCGTCAACGGTCAAAACGGCCTCATTGGCGCCGTCGGTGGTCGACGAGGCAGTGATCGAGGTGGGCGAGGGGACGTCGATGCCGAGAATCGACTAATAGATCAACTAGATGAAGAGTGGAACGATTAGATCGTTTTGACGTTTTTATATGAGTTCAATGTTTCTGATGTTATGATTTTTTTTCCTTCTATGCCTGGATGCATTTACTATATCACGTTTTGAAATCTCTTTTCAGATAATTGCAATGCATAACAGCCTGCAATCGAACCATTTTTCGCTAACTATGCAAAAGGCTAAAAAAAAAAAGAGTCAAAAAGTGCAAAAAGGAAAGCCGCTTTGCATCATCCGTGAATCGAACACGGGCCTCGTCGATGGCAACGACGAATTCTACCACTAGACCAATGATGCTTGTTGATGTCTAAGCTGCAGGAAAATTGTCTCATATGTCTCTTTTAATGGTTTTGTCGTCGATGAAAGCAATTCATCATATTAACCTATTATTGAGCATGATGACCAGCAGGTTATAACTAGATACTACGTAGAGGATTCTTCTTTCTACAGAGAAGACTTTGGATTTCATTACCTGTGCATATATTTGACATGCAAAGACCATGATGTGAAAGTATTACATTTCCATCATCTGTACGATTATAAACGTGTGGATATATATATATACATCGCTACATCAAACGATACGATAAATCATTACCACCATTCATATTCCCCGCACCACCACAACCAACACCAGAAGTATCTACTTCTGCTGTATTGCCGCCAGTACTATCACCAAGCATACCCGTCGAAAAAGGATCAAGATTAAACGGCAAAAACCATGCACTCGGTTGATGAAATTCGCCTGTTCCAGACGGCGTAAAGGGATCTGTCCATATTGTTGCTGATACACTATTATTGGCATTGGAATTGGCATTACTCGGATTGCTGGTGTTGTCGGTTGGAGTTGACATGAAATTGAGATGGTCTGCTGCAAGACTTGATAGGTCCGTGCCTGTATATGCACCGTGGACGAAATGACGGTCGAGTTGAGGGAGAAAATCTGGCATCATACTGTAGTCAAAAGTTGGCATATTGAAACTCTGAGGCGGAGCTGCGAAGATATCCTGGCCGTTGAAGTTGGGATATGGGGTTTCAGGATCTATTACAGTCGTCGGTGTACTTCCTACCGGCGTCTTGCCAAGTAGCTGGGGCTCTTGTTGTTGTTTATACCTCGAGGTCGTGGATTGCTGATCAACGTCTGCAGATGGTTGCGATAATGGTGTTGTCTGAATCGATGAAGCTTGTCTCGAGTTCCTCCTAGCTAGCTTCTGATGCTTTCGTGGCCCGATGTTCGACTGATTAGGAGACAGGCTGGCAAAAAAGTCTTCCACACTTTGCAGGTCAGGTCGCTGGCCCATCACGGCATCGGCACCAATCTCTCTCCTCCTATTGGTCTCTGGACCATCCCAGTGAGAACTAGAAACACCATGTGGATATTTATCAAACCAGTCGCCGTATTGAAACATCGAAGGCGCCTCATCCGTTGAATTCGGTTGCGCAGGTAGTCCTCGAATTGCCGCGTCAGCGAATTGGCGATACCGGTCTTTGGCACTTTCTACCATGTAGTGGAACATGCCCCAGTATCTTTTCATTTTATTGAGATAGCGATAGGTATGTCTCAAATTCTCCTTGGATCGCGCTTCCAGCTGAGCATTCTTGGAGAAGATGCCCCATATGTGTACTGTGCTGGCCGAATAGGCACAGTAGCCTGCAAAAGGCACCGTCAAAGAGTAGCCGCTCGCCTGATCAATCAGCATTGAGATATGGTGCGCTGCTTCTACCGCGGCTCGGCCCGCATCACTCAAGAAGGACTTTGGCATACCCTTAGGTGGTCGACCTCCGGGTGCCAAAGGGATGGCAAATTGGTTGAGAAACAATATATTTTGGTGAATGATAATGTGCAGAAAGATGAATTGATTGGCAATTTTCTCCGCTGCATGAACTTGCAGGTTATCCGAGTTGAAAACAAGTGAGCTCGGCAGAGATAGAGCAAAATTATCAATCTCTTGCTTGAGCCTCGTATATCCCGAGGCTGGATCCCATAAAGGAACGGGCTCCTTCTTCTTCCCGCCAAGATTGAGGTAATCAACTATGTGGCCCCATATAACAATCGCACGAATTATGTACGCAGAAACACCCATATTCGCCTTTGGATCAGACACTTGGCCTTGACCTTTTGGTATTGGGTTGGGTACATCGCCATTTAAATCCTCAGTCGGGCCAGGAATTTCCATCAAAAAGTGTGATTCCTTCACTGGGAGCTGAATCTGTATAAATTTTTCATTCCCGATAGGCGGACGCTGACTTCCGGAAGAATTGTATCTGTCCATCAAGAAGGATGCCCACATCGTGCGCCTCCGGATCTCTCTGTCTGTGAAACTTAGGTCTGACAATTTCCCCTTTTGACCGAGTGAATCATGATCCACTTCATGGTGTAATTGCAAAGCATACGCCATCCTCAATGCTTGCCCTCCAAAAGACCAACTCCGTCCGCCGTGGCAAGTGCCGAATTCATGCAGTCCCAGAAGTAGGAAGACGGTTAAAATGGTGATATTTGGCTCGTCATGGCGATCCAAAGCTATTCTCGCTGCCGGTCTAGCCCAATTCTCGCCTCTAAGAAAGGCTGGCTCTGTGTTAATTTGCGGATGTGATGAAAATCGAGCAGACACAGCGCAAACAGCCAAGATCAAAACGGGCGGCACCGTTCCAGCTCGCAGTCGTCGCATGAAGCTTGATCGATGTAGCAGGAGATACGATTGACCGTAGACACAGTCAAAGAACACTTCAGATAAGTGTTCTTGTATTTCCATTGAAGGAAGATATTCAGCGCCTTCAGTTAATAAGTCAGTCCCTTCGTGGGACTTCGTCTCCCGACTCATTGGCACTAAATCTTCGGCCGACAAATCTTGTTTAGGGTTTACCCAAGAATCCAATTTCGATGCGAAAGCTTCATCTGCCGAACGCTTCTTCTGTTGAGCTGCCTTTGGTTGGTTCGGGGTCTGCCCTTGGGGCGGTGGTTTGACCTGACTCCGTCCTATTGTACGCATATCTCTTGTTTCGCCAGCCGGTATGATCTTGATTACTCGTTCTTCCATGCGCTTGAGTCGCTTGTCCAGCATAGCCATGTAATCCGTCCGAGGCGCAGCTTTCCGCGTCGTGACCTTGTACACGCACGGAATGCGAGACTTTTGGCAATGCTTGCAAGCCGGTTTCTCGCCCGAACATCGAATCTTCTTCCTCCGACAAGCGATACATGCAAGTGGGAGACGTTTCCTTTCCTTTCCGGCCTTTGTCTTCATTTCTGACCATGCTGGTTTTTCCGACTCTCCTCGAGCGGTACCTGTCCCGGTATCGCCGTTTTGGCTTTTGTTGGGGACGCCTTCCTCATTCTGTCCATATCCATTTCTATCTTCCTGATCGTGATCGGGGGTACTCGTCTCGCTCATATTTTCGTCGTTATTGGCTCTGTACGTCACCGGGTTTTGTATGCCATTAGCCTGTCCTTCAGTCGCCATCGGGCCGACACCCGTAGGTCCCGCCGCATACGAAAAGGTGTAGTGCACAAATGCTGGAGAAATGAGCGTCGGTGAAATCTCGAGTTCAAGCTCGCGCGATCGATCCTGCTGGGTAGAAAAGGAAAACTGGTATATGTGGTGGACTGAAATGTGAGAATGGTGGAAAATGGAGAAGTTTATAGAAGGGCGAGCAGAGCGGAGTAAGTTGACTGAGTATCAGAGTATGGGGTAAGAACCGTTATTAGGCGGCTTGGCGCGCATCCACAACGTCTTTTTTTCTTCAACAATTTTTGTAGATTTGAACTGCTTGCTCTTTTGATAGTTTCATTGTTTGTATTTCTCTCCATACTTAACCTGTCTTTATTGTGTCCCTTTGTTTGCGACCATTTGATAAGACTTTTGTCGTCGATCATCACAGCTAGTCATTGACCAATTAGGGCCGTCTTTCGTAATCATTATTAATTATCTCATTTTGAGTGTTCGAGTCGTCCCCGAAACGGTTGCACCTCGATGCCGTTGATAAATTGATACTGACCATGCTTTGAATTGAACAAAGGGAAAGTGATTAACCCTGTTGTATGCAGTGTTAAATAATCTCTTGATCCCAGCTCGGAAACAGGTTCGAGTTGTTATCACAGGTTACACGCCTAAACTCAGGACGTTGCCATATACACCAAACTGATTCATGCGAAACTACATACTACTCAACAAGGCAATTAAAACCGATAATTCCGACTGACAATGCCATGACTCGAGAATTGATTAACTAATAGACTAGCAGTAGACTACGTAGAGTACATACTTAAGCTAGATGGTTGATTGATAGTGGGTTCGGTTTCGAAAAAGGTCCACCTCACTAACCAGAGTAGTACTGCCTATACGAAGAACGGTAGTCTTCTCACCACCTGTAACTTCACAAGCCTTTTCCATCTTCGATTCTGATTAGATATGTTTGTTGGCGTAGTGGAGCTGAGGAGTATTGTTGAGTGGAGCGACAGAGTGCGGCTCGTAACTCCAGATAAAGTCCGGGCTATGTCCGGATATCACTGAAGAGACTACTACGGTCACGGAAGTACTTATGTTGGTAGAGATGCTTTATAGACAAGAAGAAATCGAATGGAACGGTAAACAGATATTAGTTTCTACGAATAACCATGACCGCAAAACAAATCATCACTCTCATTACCGGTAGGAAAAACCCCAGCTCATCCAAAATGTGTTACTGACGACACGCAGGTGCAAACCAAGGCCTCGGGTTCGAAGTTGCCAAAAACCTCGTCCTCAGTTCGGGATCCTACCACGTCATAATCGGCAGTCGAGACCCCAGCAAAGGCGCTAAAGCTGTCGCAAATCTCCAATCCCTACCAGACATCAAGGGAACGCTAGACACACTCGAAATCGAAGTGACAGATGACGAGTCCGTTGACACAGCTGCCGAGGCTGTTGCCGCAAAACACGGTCGTCTTGACGTCCTAGTAAATAATGCCGGTATCCTCGGCCAATTACCCTCACTGCGAGACAGCCTCCGCGCGGTATTGAATGTCAATGTCATTGGAGCAGCGAGCGTGACCGAGGCGTTTTTGCCTTTGCTCCGAAAATCAGAGGAGCCGCGATTGATCTTTGTCGGGTCGAGCATTGGGTCCATCACTGGTGCGTCGGATCCGAGTTCGCCGTACTATCGCCCTCAGGGGACGGACTATCGTGTCAGTAAGGCAGCGTTGAACATGTTGATGGTGCAGTACCATCACATACTGGGGTTGGAGAAGAAGAATTTCAAGGTGTTCACGGCTGATCCTGGGTTAAATGCCACGAATTTTACGGGTGATGCGGACTCTCTCAGGGCTCGTGGGGCAGCAGAACCTCATGTCGGTGGAGCGGTCATTGCTGATGTTGTCAAGGGAGTTCGAGATGCGGATGTTGGCAAGATGGTGGGCAAGTATGGTGTGTCGCCTTGGTAAATTTTGTTGTACGTAGTTCAAAATGAAAAAGGATCAGGGTTGTTGTTTGGCCGAATTCTCAAGCAATTGCATTCTTATTCTTTTAGCTATGTACAGTTGGAATGCATCAGTGATCGATGCCGAAATACGTGTCGTATTTCTGGATATAAGTCTTGTGAATGGTTCTCTCCGATAGACCGTGATAAGGGCCCGGTGTGTTGACGTCATATGATCATATAGCAAGATGATCTCCCACGAGGCATGCCTTACTGATTCTTCGAACGACCTACTTTCGGGGGTCGTGGGTTTGAGCTCTCCAGAGCATACAAGATCTCGCCTCCAAACACATAAATCATGTATGCTGGAAACACAATCCATAGACCACTGATACATGTTAGCATTTCTCAAATACGTCGTACCTTTTAGCAACTTACTTTGGAATAATCCACAGAAAAATCAAGTTGAAAAGATTGTTATGACCAATATTTGCAAACCCGGAAAATAGTTCATTGCACCCTAAGCAGCGATATTAGTATATGATAGCGGTACGACCTGCCTCGAGGACACTCACAGTACAAAATGGTCTTGCTGAAAGTGGCAACACTGCTACTGAACGCAATGAGCAGCGCAAGAGATCCAATGCGGCCCGGAACCACCTTCTCTTCAAATAAAAACCACGGTAAACTCTTCTTGACCTTCTTTGTCGTTGCGCGACCGGAACTAGTTGCGGTGGTGCCGTAAAAATAGACGACAGCAAGATAAAGCACATAAGCGGCCGTCTCGAACAGATTCAATAATCCCTGTGCAGCAGTAAATCCATTTCGCGCATCGAATGCTGGCCAGCCGTAGACGTAGTCGATAGTTCCGTAGAGCGCGTATGGCGTCCAGATGGGCGAATGGAATTTCCCACCAGGCATACTGTGCGGTCGCAAAAGAACATAACCGGTATCCCAAAGGACGAGTGGCACGGATATCGTGAGCCAGGCCAAAACGACCATAGACGGAGTGTGGACGCCTTTGCGATTACCATTGCCGGGTGTTGATGACGATCGCACGACATACTTGGTACCGTCACTCGCACTCGAGGGTGTCGTGGGAGGGGGGAAGTCTTTTGGATGATGTCTCGTGCTCACCATGATGACGGTTAAGTCTTAGCAGTCTGATAATGCGAAATGTAAGAAGCTGTATGCGATAGTAGAAGCAAGAGATGAGTATGCAAAAGGAAAGGATGTCATGATGTACTAGGGGCGGATCTGGGGTGGCTCCCTTTAGTCAGACAAGCATTGCGGGTGTGACGTCGGATCGTCGCTTCCTTAGTCCAGAGGCGAACCTGCTGACACAGTTGCACGCATTAACCCTGTTCAGTTCCATGGATGTTTTCGGAAACAATTGAGTGCTGCTACCAGGTCAATGGTTACTGATTAGGTAAATCATAAGCTGCAATTCTTTGAGGAAAAGGAAGAAAATGAGAAGAAACGAGATAACAGCACGTGCCATTTGCTAGTCTACAATAGGACTAGCGCAATGGCGGGAGCATGGAGGAAACGTCTGCTCTAATTGGCTAATAGCACAATAACCTTGTCTAAACCTTCGAGTGCAACCGAACGGCATCCTTCGTGACAAGCAAACTACTCACTGGAAATCATAAATCGCAAGCCGTCACAATGAGTTGCAAGTCGGAAGATGCCGATGAGGTAATTTTTTTTCCTTCTGCTCGCATCAGACATGCTCGAAATAGGCTAACATGCTGTAGAGGCTGAATCGCCTCGCGAGAGTGCGGGAAAATCAACGCAAAAGTCGTGCGCGAAGGCAACAGTACATCGAAGAACTCGAGCAGAAAGTGGCGGTATGCAACGCGCAAGCTCAGCAAAGGGAGATTGAACATTTGATTGCGCTCCAGAAACTGGAGGCTGAGAATGCGAAACTACGCTCGCTGTTGCAACGAGTGGGACTCGCTCCCAACGTTGTGGAAGACTTTTTGAAAGACGCATCGCAACCGACTGTGTCAGAAAAGATAGCGATTCCACGACTCAAGGTGACTACATCTCTGCAGCCTTCCTCAAGTCAATACCATACCCCTACGATCAAGTCCGACGAGCCATATACACCGACTTCAGTGACCAGTATCACTGCAACCTGCACTACCAACGTACCTTGTGCGCCGACAAACAATTACGATGTCACGAGGAAGAAACCCGACGGTTGTTGTGGTCCAGCTTCGGCGACAGATATCACTGCATCTTGTAGTAGCAGTAACTCTTGCGCACCAGCAAGCCAGTACGCCGCCACCATGCAAAGGACTAACGAGCCATGTATTCCACCTTCATCGGAAAGTGCAAGCTGCAACAACAATGTATCTTCCGAGTCGTTGAACAATTCTACAACGCCCAAACCTCTTGAGCCACCCGTGCTAATTCCTGTGGACCCTGTGGCGACTCAACAGCAGAACATCAAATTACCACCGATAGCCTCCCTATGTGATTGTGGACCAGAGTCGATATCCAAGTGGCCAAGGATTAATAGCCCTACCAACACCACTCTCTGCGAAGTCGCCCAAGATTTGATCGATCAGTATAATACTCACGGAGTGGACCTCAATGTCATAAAGCAGAGACTTTGGGCGGGTTTCCGTAATGGCGATACCAATGGTTGCCGGGTGCAGAATAATGTGTTGTTTGAGGTTTTGGATGAGATTAGTGGAGATGCGCCTATGTCAGGTGGTACTTGACTTTACGTTTCGAACGCGCTTTGGATACACATTTACCATTGCCTAAATACTGACTCTTGATGAGTCTCGACAAAGTGAAACCGGCAGGCGCCGTCAGCTCTAGGGTACGCCTATATAAGAACGTGCGGTTCATAAGCTAGGGAACTACGGCTCTTTTTTCCCCCCGGGTTTCACGGGTATTTCTACGACCGAGTCTCGAAGTGGAACAACATAACGACGGTACCACTGACTCTGAGGAACTCGAAACAAACTCTCCCGACTTTGGGAGTGCATGCGCTGCACTCGAGTTAAACCGACACCAATTATGTGGTAGAAGCTATATCGACATACAGTATTTACGCTGCGAGGTAGTGGATTGTCAGTGGACTGTCCGACGAATGAGTGAGCCCTACATGCAGGCAGAGACATCAACATTTTGAGACATACCTGACCACTCATTGTCATATGCATCTGTACCTCTCTTTCACAGTATGTGTCTCTGCAAAAAGCCAACTGGGATTTTCAATGTTTCGGTTTTTTATCATGTTTCGGGATATCTGCACTGTTGAAGATGACGAGCCGAATGTTTAGCGGGTTGTCATCGAGCACATAGAACATACAACTGTATATAGAATATGATTTTACACGCTAACGAGTCAATCCAGAATCGTTTTCTACTATTAAAGTTTCGTAACATCAGTCAGTTAGCTTCTGGCGATACGCACTTATTCCGTGCCAAGGTGATTGTGCCCCAAAGCGGCCCGTCTATATTGACCCCACGCCCCACTGGCGATTGTCAATTCATTCTTGGGATATATACCCCAGAGTACTCTGTATAATCTGCAGTAAGCCCTCAAATCAAGCATCAATCAGCCAATAGGCCCGGAACGAGTTATTTCTATAGCAAGGCGCGTATAGGGCTTCCCCTCAATAAGGGATAGTACCAAAAGAGGAAAGTACATCGAGAAGTCGCAGCATGATGCGTATAGGGATATGAAAGGTGTAGTTTTCGGATCTGAGAGTTCCCTCAAGTACTTCGAACCTTGAACTACTACAAATAATATAGACATAGAATAGTTTGATGAATATTAGGCAGCAAAACTCAACTTCAGTAACGAGAACAACCAAACACAAAATGACAAACCATTACATATTTAGAGAATAAGCTAGGTGAATTTCGGCCCGCTGGTGCATGTCTAGGGTATATTTTTCTCATGTATACTGTCGGATTGATGGGTTAACTCCAGGTCAATCCTGAATAATTGCTTACAAGGATGGTAAAAGAAGAAGTGACTAGCAAGATTGTATGTATTCTGTTGTCTTCTCTGAGTACATGAGGTTCCAAAGCCAGGTTTTTTATAGACCTTTCTTGGTGGGATGATTTGTGAGCTATTATGAGGGGTAAATATTGGACTGAAATCTAGGGGCCCAAATGGGGATTGATGTAGTTGATCTCTGCCTTGTTGGAATAGATGGATTATCCAACATATACATACTTGGTTTCAGCCTGCTGCGCACCTGGGCATTAGGGTGTCCACGTGGGCGCCTCAAGACCTCAAGAGCCGCATGCACCAGCAGTGAGCCGTGAATATGAAATGTCAGGGATGTTTGATATACCGAGTTGCTGATATTTGGAGCTAGGATTATGCTTTGAGTCTATCGGTGTGCTTACGGCTCTTTGAGGGCATGCGACTTCAATATTGGTACCAAGGAAAACAATACAGAAGAAGACAATGGTTCTGCACTCATCACATGGAGCTGACCTTTACTTTCCAAGGTTTCGGCTCCCTTACCTAGGTATGCTCAACTCCGTCCTATTTTGCATCTTATACTTGTTGTTGTATGCGCTATTCTCTTGGCCTCTACAGGGACTTCTCGATACAAATTAGCTAACGAGCGGACTACCTTTTAAGTGAAGAAATTTCACTTATGTGCTAGAAGGAATGCGTCTAGCTCTTGTTCGATTTGTAATTGCTTAATTAGGCAGTGAGTCAGGGTTCAAATGTCACGTGATAGAGTCCTTGACGGTTCTTACGTACAAAAGTTCCAGTGAGAGTTCAATTCTGAGATTAAGTATTGAAAAGACGGCTTATCACGTAGAGTTACAATGAATCTAGTGCATAGAAGGTCAAGTATCTTCCATGCGAATGTGGTGTGGCGTGGCGTGACGTGGTATTCATCCTAGTCCTAGACCTTGTGGCCTGCCAATATGTACACTTGTTCAAGGCTCGGCGTACTAGCGCAGCGCGCTTGGCACCAGTCGCTCGATGCTCACATCCCTGTACTTCGCTTGGTGTCCGACAATATTGCCTGAATAGGGAGGTACAAAGTACGGTCACCTGCTTAGGCTAGGGCAAGCAAGCCGGCACTAGGGTTAGGGCTCTAAACCCTAACCCTAATAGAATTTTCCAACCTTCATCAAGAAAGTCGCCCCCAGATTCTAGAGCGCACGCGTCACCTAGTCCATAAACACTCTTAGCCCATAGTCGATCAGAGTCTAAATCTGTTTCTCGCGGAATATCGGCCCAGGAGATATTTTCTTGGTGGAACGTAATGTGTGGTCAGTTGTAAATTGTCCATCTTTTGTCAGACTTTGAGTTTTTGTGAACCCGGCACTATTTCTGAGCTCCACAAAGCATATGGAGAGAGAACTAGGTACAACAAATTCTCCGGTTAGGAGTGACATATGATCATAGCATAATGTGGTTGGACAACTAACTAGGGTTTTAGTATGTACCATATCAGGCTTTCAACACGTTCAATCTTTACGAGAAATTGTGGTGGGATTCATGCGCGGCACTCGGTATCCCGGTTTGAACGCTGTAACTTAAGTTGAGTGCTAACTTCTCCGCCAAAAGCTTGATTTTAAGCCACAAACAACGTGCGGAGATTATTAGTGTTGCATTCACCATGCTATCTCTGGCTCTCTACAAGACTTTTCTGTAGCAGCCTGAACGCAGCTTTGCTTGGACCAAGTCCATACATGGAACCGTATATTATTATTAATACTAGCCCTTCATTCCTGATCACGACGTAACGTACCGATAATTAAGGCAACATGCCCGGTAAATTATGTACCAAACTTTAAAAAGACGCGAAAGACTCGTGTCAAGAATTTTCTAGATCACTTCTCGTGTCTGAAGGCGTGCTGCTCACCTCATGGCTCGCTGATCCCTTGTCTCTCTGATCGGAGGATCGGCAGGGGTTGTGCTACTTATGATCTGGTGCAAATTGCCTTACGAGAATTTTATAGCATCCGGGTTGAAATGTTCGAGTATAAGTAAGTCTGATTGTGCCGTGTGTTCATAGACAAGTTCATTGAATGTGCAACAGGCAGCGGATAAACATTAACACCGGTCAACAAGAGGAGTTTCTGCTCTGGGCAGGAGACAAAGCTGGATGCCTGATCAGGCAGGTCAACTCGGCGATCCCCCGCGGGAGAGTTTCCTTGGTATTACGGAGAAAGACTTCGACCCTCTTCCAAGGCATCTATCACGTAAAACCACAACATGCTGTCCCACAGAAAGGTCACGCTATGCAGAAAAGCTGAAAGAACAAGTCACAAGTCCAATATCCCCGCATCTGCATGATTCGTAAGTTGCATTTATATATCTCAAGTGGTGATTCATGAGTAAGAATTGATGCAGTCCAAGAAAATACATGGTCCAAGCAGGGGCACTATACCCAGGGTAGCTTAGTGCCCGGGGCCCCATGTGGAGACTGGAGTAATACGGATAATACGGAGGTTGTTTGTTTATTGACTCGGTGACTATGTAGTCCTGTAAGATGTAGTGAGTATACTGCTTTCGGTTGAACTCAATCTCAGTCTAATCACTGGCGCGGAAATTTACAATTTCCACTGGCACAAAGAGGCCCATTCGGCATACCGGTCTCCAGAAAGAGTTGGGCTTTGGCCCACGGTACCGTACGGTAGACGCGGGGAAACATCGCATGAATATGAATAACTACCGTCCGTGGAAATTAATGTACGACTGATATTGTCCCGGCCTCATATGCCCCTTCCTTGAGAGGACGTGCTTGGCGAGAAGGATAGCATGTTTGTTCTTGTTTTCTCTTGGCCCTACCTCGTTATTTGTAGGTTGTCTACGTATCCCGTAGAGTCTGTTCATTCTCACAATCAGCCAAGATGCCCAGGCCAGCAAGGATCATTCAATAGACTCGGTAAGTTGCCCGGCCGAATATTGGTACGTACCATGTAATCCCAATACGCACATGTTTGTTTATATGGCCCCACTTCTACCGGGCCCAGCTCGTCCGTATTGTAATTTTGGTATCAATGGCGTTGTTGATCACTGAATCAGCTCCTTCCTTTCCCCAGACACTGGGCGCAATGCGCCCAGCTCCCATGCAGAGTGTCATCATCAGGTTGTTTTTATTTTCTCTCCTCACCATGTCACCTTCTCCTCTCCTTTCTTTCCACTCATCCAATTTGCATATAAATACATAGTTACCCCCCCTTCTCGTTTTAGTACTTACTGGGGGTTCAATAATATCTGATTGTTATTACTTCCACCGTTCAGCCAGTCGTCTCTTTGGATGGTCGCAATGCGAAACAGTTGGTTGATTCCACTTGCTGCGGCAGCAGTTGCCGAAGGCAAGGTGAGTACTGTCGCCAATTGATCTGATCAACAATGACTATTGTACATGTTCCATGAGCTAAACGTTGGCATCGTTCATCAGGCCTACTCTCCTCCCGCCTACCCTGCTCCCTGGGCCAGGGGTGCAGCCGAATGGGCTGAGGCTCACGAAAGAGCTGTCGAGTTTGTCTCGCAATTGACCTTGGCCGAAAAGGTCAACTTGACTACTGGTATTGGGTATGTGGAAATCACAATGAATACAACATCGAATGATATGGACTGACAATGGCAGATGGGAATCGGGACAATGTGTTGGTAATACTGGAAGTATTCCCCGTTTGGGATTCCGCAGTCTCTGCATGCAAGATTCACCTCTCGGTGTGAGAGATAGTATGTCGTACCCCTATTCGTTTGCTACATGGGAATGACCAAAAGAAAGGATACAGCTGACTCTCTATCTGCAGCCGACTATAACACAGCGTTTCCTGCTGGCGTCAATGTTGCTGCTACCTGGGATCTCGATCTTGCCTACCTCCGTGGTCGAGCAATGGCCGAAGAGCATCGTGGCAAAGGCGTGGACGTGCAACTTGGCCCTGTTGCTGGTCCCCTGGGAAGAGTCCCAGAGGGTGGCCGTAACTGGGAAGGTTTTGCTCCCGACCCCGTGTTGACCGGCCAATTGATGGCAGGCACTATTCAGGGCATGCAAGATGCGGGTGTTATTGCTTGCGCAAAGCACTATATCGGTTATGAACAAGAGCACTTCCGTCAGGGCTCCCAGGGAAACTTCACCGTCGCTGATGCTATCAGCGAGAACATTGATGACAAGACTATGCACGAATTGTACCTGTGGCCGTTTGCCGATGCGGTCAGGGCCGGTGTCGGTTCTATTATGTGCTCTTACAATCAAATCAACAACAGCTATGCCTGCTCCAACAGTTATACTCTGAACCATTTGCTCAAGGGTGAGCTCGATTTCCAAGGATTTGTCATGACCGATTGGAGCGGCCAGCACTCTGGTGTTGGCGACGCTCTTGCCGGAACTGACATGGATATGCCCGGTGATGTCGCTTTTGACAGCGGAACTGCTTTCTGGGGCACCAACTTGACAATCGCTGTCCTCAATGGCACTGTTCCCGAATGGCGTATTGACGACATGGCTGTCCGCATCATGTCTGCTTACTACAAGGTTGGCCGCGATCGTACTCAGGTTCCTATCAATTTTGCCAGCTGGACTTTGGACACTTACGGCAATGAATACTTCTACGCTGGCGAAGGATATAAGCAAATCAACGAGCACGTTGATGTTCGTGGTGACCACGCTCAGCTCGTCCGTGAGATCGGCGCTGCCAGTACTGTTCTCCTCAAGAATGTTGATGGTGCCCTTCCCTTGACTGGCCAGGAGAAATTCGTTGCAGTCTTCGGAGAGGATGCTGGTTCTAACCCTGATGGTGTTAATGGCTGTTCTGACCGTGGCTGTGACAACGGTACCTTGGCTATGGGATGGGGTAGTGGTACGGCTAACTTCCCTTACTTGGTTACCCCTGAGCAAGCTATTCAAGCCGAAGTACTCAAGAATGGCGGTACTTTCTCTGCGATTACCCACAGTGGCGCCTCTAACACCACAATTCAGGCTGTGGCTTCCCAAGCTTCGTAAGTGCTCCTCTCGCGAGAAGCGGATGATCAGATCACTAACTTGGAAACTAGCGTTTGTCTGGTGTTTGCCAATGCAGACTCTGGCGAAGGATACATTACCGTTGACGATAATGTGGGCGATCGCAAGAACTTGACATTGTGGCAGAACGGTGAAGCCACGATTGCAGCCGTTGCAGGCGCATGTAATAACACCATGGTTGTTCTTCATACTGTCGGACCTGTTCTTGTTGAAGACTGGGTGCACCATCCTAATATTACTGCTGTCTTGTGGGCGGGTTTGCCAGGAGAGCAAAGTGGTAACTCCATAGTCGACGTTCTCTATGGCGCTGTCAACCCTGGAGCCAAGACCCCTTTCACCTGGGGCAAGAAGCGGTCTGACTGGGGAGTTGATGTTTTATACACACCCAATAACGGAGAGGGGGCTCCACAACAGGACTTTACTGAGGGAATTTTCATTGATTACCGGTGGTTTGACAAGTACAACATTACCCCTACTTTCGAGTTTGGTTACGGTCTTAGTTACAGCACCTTTTCATTCTCCAACCTCAAGGTGACTCCCGTAGCTGCTTCTCCCTACAAGCCAGCCACAGGAAAAAGTAAGCCGGCACCTGTACTGGGCAAGGTCCTGAACGCCACGGCCTATCTGTTCCCTGATTACATCAAACGCATCGAAGCCTTCATTTACCCCTGGCTCAACACCACTGATCTCAAGGCCGCATCTGGCGACCCACACTACGGCTGGCCTACGTCGAAGTACGTGCCTGAGGGTGCTCAGGACGGCTCTCCACAGCCCGTCAACCCGGCTGGCGGTGCTCCTGGCGGTAACCCTGCGCTATGGGACACTGTTGCCGAAGTCAGCGTGACCGTCAAGAACACCGGCAAGGTCGCCGGTGTCGAAGTGCCTCAACTCTATGTCTCGCTCGGTGGTCCTAATGCTGCACCCAAGGTACTGCGTGGCTTTGGTCGCGTCTCTCTCGGTCCTGGTGAGGAGACTCAGTGGACTACTACGTTGACCCGACGTGACGTGTCAAATTGGGACACTGTCAGCCAGAACTGGGTGGTCACCAATTACACCAAGACTGTCTATGTTGGCAACTCGTCCCGCAATTTGCCACTCAAGCAGAACCTGCTTCTCAATATTAAGAAGTAATGGTTTTGATATAGTTATTCTTTTCTTGTACAAAGATTTGAACAGGCTTCTAGCTATTTGATTGAGCAAGAAGCTGTTAATAATGGAGGCACCTTGGTAATTAGACAGAACGACTTTTGCCAATTTCATAACTACTTCAATAGATTCTAATTCAAAACAAAATTGATGAAAATAAAGAATATTCAAAGATGTTAGATTTTGTGCTGTAGACAACAAGATCACATGACTGAACCGAGCAGCCGACGTCATTCATCTGCCTAGTTGACTTGACCTTAAATAATTCCATCATTCGAAGCTCTCTGAACAAGTCTGAATCAATTATCATCAACACTCTTCATGTCATTATTTCGCATACTGCACTAACACTCACTTTTGCGATTTTGATGTTTAGCGAATGAGTGTTTTTTCTTGACTTTTTACTCATCATGGCAACATCCACAGCCTATCCACGCAGTGGCTCCCCATCACAAACCAAACGACACACAAATGCAAAGACACATCCTCCCGCGACAGTCCTTCTAATATACCCTCTCACCCTAATCCTTGGATCGATATACTCTGTCATCTCCCCAACAGCGCGTTCGTCTCAGAACTTCGGATCATCCAGTTCCCTCACCCCAACCATAGCAACGGACATCAACCTCCCAACCTCCCAACGACAACACCGTCCCAACCCCGTAAACTACTTCGCACGGAAGAACAACATCTTCAACCTCTACTTTGTCAAAATCGGGTGGGTATGGATCACATTCGCATTCCTGTCCTTACTCCTGACGCGACCGTACTACACCAAAGCGCCGGGAAACCTGCGCGGAAAACGATCCGTTCAAGCTCTACTTCGATATGCGATTGTGACTTGTGCCTGGTTCCTGACGACACAGTGGTTCTTTGGTCCTGCGATTATCGATCGTACCTTTGTGATTACGGGTGGGAAATGTGAGCGGTTACCTGCCGCCATGGCTAATGCGGATGATAATACTGCCTGGGAAGATCTCAAGGTTGTTTTCACGGCGGCTGCATGTAAGGCTTCGGGTGGGTTGTGGAAGGGTGGTCATGATGTGAGTGGGCATGTGTTTATGCTTGTTTTGGGAAGTGCGTTTTTGGCATTAGAGGTTTTGGGGACGTCGCAGTCGGTGTCGAATGGAACGGCAGAGAATAGTCAAGTTCATGATAAATGTGAGTCGGATGGCGAGTATACGGTGGTGAATGAGCATAGCTCCACTGATCCGGTTGCGAGATATTCTACCAAGTTCGTCTGGGTTGTAATTGGATTGAGTTGGTGGATGCTCTTTATGACTGCGATATGGTTTCATACATGGTTGGAGAAGGTAAATCTTCCCACTCTCCTCTACACTCGTTTCTCTCTTACTAATCAATGTTCCTTTACTAGCTATCCGGACTTCTGATCTCCGTTTCCGTTGTGTATATTACATATTTCCTTCCTCGGAGTCTTCCAGCGTGGGCGGATATTATCGGCATTCCAGGGTTTGAGCCTGCTGTGCGTATAGAATGAGAAGCTATACTATTTAGCATTTGTTTTCCCTCTTGCGTTTGTATTAATATAATGGTGTCTCTACTGACTAGTATATATAATTGTTTGTCTTTGTGTGAATTGCTAAACTTGGTTCAGGCTAGGTGTTGACAGGTCTATGTTTTAAACTTGTAATCAATGATCCTAGTACTAGAAAAATCGGATGAGGTACAGTATCAGTCTATCAGTACCTCGGATTAGGGCTAGGTCTAGAGCTACACGGCATGGTCATCACTACTCCTGAGTGGGTGATCTCGAGTGTTGGGAGTAGCTTCATTCTTCCTTTCCTTTTTTTTGCTCACTACGTTTATCTAGATATCTAGTATTCTTCCGTGAAAAGCCATATAATAAGTATGTCCATTGCTTGACCACTATCACAATCACCACAACTTAAACCCACCCGGAACACTGTTTTGGAACACACCATAGACATCATACTTCTTACTAACTGTTCGCAACTCCTCCACACTGGCCGAACCATAACCGCTAATTACCTCTTGGGAAATATCCGCATAATTGTAATACTTGTAATTTTGGTACACACCTGCGGCACGAGTCGCAGATTCAATAGACGAAATGAGACTCTTTGCGGCGGCGGCTACTGCCGCATCATCAGAAGCGTTGGACCAACATGTTGTGAGGAGAACGTTGATGAGGCGTGCATTGCCCGGTTTAAGGCCCAGGCTATTGGTGCCGTTGAGGGCTGGAGTGGCTTGGATGGTGAGATACCAGTTTATACCTTGGACTTTGGATACTGAGGTTAGGGAGGTGTTGAAGATGTCGTAGATAGTACTATAAATGGATGGGGTGTGTAGGAAGGATGTTGTGTAGTATCCCTGTCTGAAGACAATGTCAATAAAATTTCTGAAACAGAGATGGGGAATGCTAACCTCATACTGTAAGCCTGGTACTTATCGGTCTCCGCGGCAAAGCTGGACATGTTTGACGTTCGCAAGCTACTTTGCATCAGGGTACTGTTGTCGACAAAGTCCTGGTATACGGCTGGAGTCGATTGTACGTTCTGGGTGTAGTATATTCCGTCGCTGATAACGGTCATCTCCGAGGAGTAACCCCAACTCTGAATCATGGCAGCGTAAGGATCATAAGGCTGCGTACCCAGAAATTTCGACAATGAATCGATTTGTTGGCCAATTGAAGTAATCGGATAGACCAGAAATCCACCCCAGAAGTTGCCCAAGGGGTGAGTTTTGAGCGTGAAGCGAGTGACGATACCAAAATTGTTGCCTCCTCCTTTAAGAGCCAAGAACAGATCCGGATATGAATCGTTGTTGACATTCACTACCTTGCCGTCTGCTAGGACTACCTCGTATTCCACCACGTTGTCGCAAGCCCATCCGGCCAGGGGTCCAATGTAACTCATTCCACCTCCAAGAAGGTATCCCCCAACACCAACATCTGAATCTCGCCCACCGGAGACTGTGATCTGTAAAGGATCTAGTACTTCGTAAACTGCACCCCATTTGCCGCCTGGTCCAAGGTCAACGGTGGATTTGTCAGGACTGACAGTCACTTCATTAAGAGAACTCAGATCTATGGTGACACCACCTTGTATATTGGCCGCTCCAGCATAGATTGAGTGACCACCCCCTCTGACGGCAAATTGAGCTCCAATCCAAGCAAAGGCAGTCATAGTTGCAACTATTTCAGAGACATCATTGGTACTCTGAGGAATGACTACGCATTCTGGCTTCACTTCCTGTTCTTGGCGGCTGAAGTAGGACGTAAGAGCCGCTGTGTAACTGGCCGTGTTGGAGTTGAAGACTTTCTCTGGCATGAGAATTGCTAGAGCACCGCAGGCCATTGCGTTGGCCAAAGCTAGTGAATAGACCATCCCGAGGGAGGAAAATAAAACAACGAGAAAGAGCACACGGCCGCTCATCTTGACGAAACCAATTGATCCGGCTACCGTGGCTGAGGTAGTAGTCGAGCTCGGACAACGGAGATGAATAGGTAGATGATCTGTTCCCCTAGGAAAATCTTGTTCTTAAATAATTCCCATGGAAAGATTCGTCCGAGGCCTTGTAGCTCAATAGTCCAGATAAATGAGTGTTCAAGCTAATTCAAAATACATAGTTCGAAACTGAAACAGACCCTTGGCCTGCCACGTTTTCAGCATGCATCAGTGCCAATGATGGCCCAATGGAATCTAATTAATGTTTCCTGTCTGGCCATGATTCTGATCCCTAGTGCCCGGTAGGATCCATTGCTGGCATGAGGCGAACCGTGCCTTTGACAACCATGTTGACGGGCATCCTTCTAGAAGCGGTAGAGACAGGTAACTCTAAGTCCGGCTAATACGGCTTTGTGTATTATACATCAATAGAACGGAAGCTTGGATATAGTACTAAAAGTTAGTGCAATTAGTGTCAGCATTTACGATACATGCATTTATCATGCATCTACTACTTCCCCGAAAAGGGGTTTACTCACATGGCAATGACGTTCTACTGGTTATTCAGACTAACAAAAAGACTCTATCATCCTCACAATGATGACTATTCTCTCACTATCAGTCGCTTTCACGAAGTATCAGACTGATATCATCACCCATCATAGGAGACACGATCCCCGGAATCGGCTTGGAGAAGTCAGCACGCGGAAATGCTGGTTTACGGCCACCTTTATTATCCCCTACTGTTTCTTCCTTGATGTGAATAGCTGAATATCGAACAAGCAGTACAGAGATAAAAGTGAAGATTGTCTTCTTCGCAAAGAATCTACCAGGACAGAGTGTGCTGCCACCTCCCCAAGGTCGGTAGCTATTGTTTGTCTTGAGGCTTTTGTCTCGCAAAAATCGATCTGGTTGTACCAGTTCGGGAGTTGGTCCCCAAACGTCAGTGTTCAAGTGCAGCTGACGATAGGATACCTGAGGTGTATATTGTTAGGTATCTTGGACCTGCCTCCGGGCTGATGTTGCTTACCATAATTCTATTCCCCTTTCGCAGCTTTTTCCCTCCTATTGTAGTAGTTTCTGTTATGTCACGAACCATAGGACTGCTCATTGTAGCGCGAAGTACGTCTGCATAAAGCGAGTCAAGCAAAATGCAGTCCTTTGACAGATACTGATGATCAACCTCTCCTTTAGTTATAGCCGGCGTAACCTCAATGCGGATTGCTTCAAGTAAGCTCGGGTTGTAGACCAGGTGTGCAATTATCCAGAACGCAGTCTTATACATATTTCCTAGAATCCTACACAATGAGTCAGCTACCGAATACTCAGATGGACCAAAGTCTAGAGAAAGGATGGCGCACGCCCAAGAGTGTAAAAAGAATATTCTTCCAATCTCCTCATTGCCCATTCCTGCCTCCCGAAGCGTATCTTCTACAGAGTTTACAAAGAGATTACCACAGTCCCGTTCGGTGCGGTCCATTTCGAAGTAAGTGACAAACGTATCGACCAAGTCACGTTTTGCTTCCAGCATATCCTTACTCAAGAAACCCGGTAGCTGGAAAATGTACTTCCAATTAACGCGTTCCCACATCATAAACGAGTGCACGAAATCCGGGTTTATCTTCCAGAGGGCTGGGCCGTAATAAATGTCTACTACACCACTGATAAGAGCTTCGATACATAGATGCTCTAACGAAACTACGAGAGAATCGTCACTATCGTTGTGTAGGACTGCTGAATGGGCCGGAGTACGATCAAAATCGAATGCCTTCAGAATTGCGGGAATAGCGGCTTCGTTGACAAAGCGATCTAGCGATTCTCCCGGGGACAGCTCCCAGCGAAAGTATTCCATCGAAATGTCAATATAGTGGAGGGGACGCGGGAGTCCTTTGTTATGCGGCGATTCCGGGTTGGCGATGAAAAGTCGATTGACCTTGTCCATCGAGATTCCGGTGCGTGAATACAGGTCCTTCACTACCATGTCCATGGACAGGGTATCCTCGTGGCGATAGGTTTCCGCAATATCCTTCGGGTTGGTGAGCAAGTAGATGGGTTTACCGGCCATAGTAATGGCGAACGGCTCCTTAGAGCTTCCGTTCTTTTTACTAAGGGATTCAATTAGGTGACTTGCTGTTGTCGTCGGGGGGAACCTACATAGCATTTTCCAATGATCCATTGAAGTCAATAAAGAAGGAGATAGCATGTCCTGGGATAAGTCATATTAGAAACGCGTATAGATATGCTTGAATTCGTAGTCCACCATACCGACAACTAGAGTATTTCGGAGTCAGTCTATTTAGGAATTAAGACTTTTCTGTTGCAGGATTGGGATGACTTCTCACACGGGATCCAGTAAGGTAGCTCCTTTGGGTCATCCGGATGAAGCAAGGGTCGGATTGAGAAGCGCCATATTCGCCAGCATAGTAGGAGTCCGATGGCTATAGAAAAAGAGGGAAAGAAAAAACTAGATAGATCATCTGTGGTCGGAGCAAGCAAGGAGAAAAACTTAGAAGAAGACATATTGCTGAGTGCCTTTTCGAGCGATATCAAGAACTTGACCATATAGGAAAATATCCCTGGTCAGGTGAGTCCCTTTATGATAGAATTCCACACCATCTCTATACGAAGGCTATAAAAACGAGACACTTGAAAATAAAAACTGGTACTAGGTATTAAAGACTAACATTGGTAGAGAAGCAGCTCTTCAATCACCTAGAAGTGTCATGACTAGTGTCGGTGCAATCAAACCTGGATAAATTACTGTTTGATGATGTTTCTCTGTTAGCTCGGTATTAATAAAGTAGCAAAATATAGCTTCCTTGCAGTATTAGCGCCCAAAACCGCGGCGTCATTACCTATCAAGGAGTCTAGAAGCAATCAGACTGCATAACTAAAGCATGACATTCTTAGTTGGCGCACATCCTTGCAAGTCAGCTTTTGTCCAATACGACCTTGGAGGAAGCAATTTCATTCGGGGAATATCTTTTAGCCCTCTGCCCCATTTCTTAGACGCTTTCGGTATTACGTACAGGCAATTTTCCCCTCCCCTGCCAAATCAGCATTCGTCATAACATTGAGCGCACCTGGCCTTGTTGGCGACTCGTCAACATCTGATCCGGATATTGCTTACTATGTGGCCGATCATCTACTCTCGAGGTTAAGGTAGCAGTAGCAACAGTGGGAATCATCTGTAGTGTCTTTGAACATATTCAAACACTCAGTATTCTGCATTTTCAATGTTGGAAACAAAATTGCACATTCCCTTCAGGCTGTAGATGCTTATGGCCAGCTCTATGACTCCTGAGGAGTTGGCAACCACGCCTGCGGGAATCCCGCCGCCGGGAGTGGTGCCCAACCTTATCGATCCGCCCTCAGATGGCAATCTTTTAATTATCATCGGCAGCATCATGATGGCCCTGATGCTTATCACAGCAGGGCTGAGTTTTTACACAAGAATTTTTATCAGACGGGGAACCGCACCGGAGGACTGTGAGTGATACTCGCCTATCACAGTCAAAGAAGAAAGCTAATCAAGTCAAATTCCAGGGACACGTCTCGTTGCAGTGGTAAGCATCTTGGAAATTCCAATATACGGTTATATGTATCCTGCTTACAAATCCGCGCAAAGATTGGTGCGATATTCTATTTCGTGATTTGTGTCATCGGTATATCTAAACCAACCCTCTCGTCTCCGTGTGCCCTATCTAACTGATCGTGATAATAGCCGTCGTGAAAGGAAAGTTCGGGACACACATGTACGATCTCTCACTTGCTCATGTTTCAAGCGATGCATTCATCATCGTAAGAGCGCACACAATCGACCCCACCACCACAACGGCGCGTATACTGACATGATGTCTAGTCAGGGTACTTTGCGAATTGGGTAACTTCGATCGTATGGGGTTTTGCAAAGACTACTTTCTTCCTGATGTACCTCTCAATGTTTCAAAGCATTACGTGGTATCGATACGCCATCTACTTTGGACTCTTTGTGAACTGGGGGTTTTATATCGCCATCATCATTGCTACTCTCTATTTCACCAGCCCTGCACCGGGGCAGACTTGGCAGGAGTCATTTGCCTCGCCGCGATACGCAAAGTCCTTAACAATGACCATTCCCATTGCCTCTGGCAGTCTGGCTCTTGACCTGTACATTTTGATCCTACCCATGTTCCCCATCTGGGGGTTGCGTATGGATCTGAAGAAGAAGCTTGGCGTTTTATCCATCTTTGGGACAGGCGTACTGTACGTTCTCCTCACTTTCCGTCTTTTCTTCTCATAATAGTGATCTATTACTAATTTTATCCCAGAGCTTGTGTCGCATCGTCTCTCAGTATCTACTTCAAAAACAGGCTAGACCACCACACTGAAGATTTTAGCTATTATACCCTGCCTGTCCTCATCATGTGCTTGGTTGAAATGTGTGTCGGAATCACAGCAAGCTGCATGCCATCCATGGCTCTCTTTTTCCGTACCAAAGGCGGCGTCCTGAGCCGGCTTTTCTCGCGGATCATTCCACATTCATCCAGGCTGGGGTCGAGTAAAGCAAAGCGCATGAATGGCGATCTCTCGATCGAATCTTCTGATCAATGGCCACTGCGTCCTATGCCAGATAAGATCCAGTACAGGCGAATGGAAGACGCTCTTCTCGACTCAACAACCTTGAATAAGGTGGAGCCGGTGCGCACGACGATCCGGGCGGAGCCACGACCGCATAGTCTGGCTAATGATGGGATTCGCTTAGAGTACGAGATTGATCATGGCATTCAGTACAATTCAAACGCTGTCTAATCAATAAAAAGTATACTACTGGGCGAGAAATGATTCTCAGGCCGTGCATCGGGCATCGTACCTTGTATGAGTATAGTATACAGCACATAAATACTCCGTACTCTGAATTGGTTTTTGTAGGTGATACAACGTTTTCAAAGCGCTAACTTATGCTGGAGGTACGGAGTAGAGGGTCAAATGATTTACCGTTACGAAGCATGCTAATATTGCGTGCATTGAATAACATACTAACAGGTAACTAGCGGCTAGGCTAACCTTTGTTCTTTATGCTCTGATACGTATCCGGCGCCATGCACAGACCGACGGGTAGCTCGGAGTACTCGGGCCTAACCTAAACTTTAAAACACCAAGTGGGTCAATACAGAAATACAAACCGGTACGGTACTGTGAATTCACTTATATGGGTTTTTAGGGTTGGCAGCAGATAAACTTCCTCCCCTACTCACCTCATAATACCCTTGAGCACCATTTGGAAGTTCAAAATAAGACTAACCATCCGCTCCATATTATCAACATTTATAAGTTAAATCATAGTTATACTCTATATTAAATCTGCTTATGTACTTCGAAGATCCGCACACTCAGCCACGTTATCTTAGGTAACACCGGGCTAGCTCAAGACATTTACTCAACCTGGTCCGGAATGTGTACTAAAGGGACATGCTGATTCGTGTTCTTATTTCTCTTACATATTGGTCGATGCGTTATCTCTCTCTTTGTATAACCAAGAGAATGATTGGCTTGGGGGCCAAGGACGGTGGATTGGTGAAGCCAGCACCACGTCAAGGTAATATTATCGTGTAATAGGCAATGCTTAGACATGCATCTTAACACGAAATTATAATAATATAATAGCTAATAAAAGGACGTATCAATATCAAGATAAGGGAAGTGGGGACTGACTCTACGTAGACAAAGAATGTTGGACCCTGGCTCTGCTCTGCTTATATCCACTCCGGTATGGCCATTTGATTGATGATTAAAGGAAGGACTAGGCTCTTGTTCAATGGTTAGTTATTGCTTGTACTGCTACAGATTTACTAGTGCCAACAAATCAGTCTTCCACTTCGCACCTTCATATTAGCCTAGCGACAAGCCTCTTGTAAATCAGCCGTTCCACAGTTTATATTTCAGGACTGAAGCGCCTACCAAGTTTCCGTTATATAAATTAGATTTCTAATAATCCTTCCAATCATACTAAGTCGTGGCCCTTTATTGTTCTAGCAAATCTCCGTCTTTTTACTTGCCGCTCCTATTCACCTCAACTCGCTCTGCTCACCATGCCGCAACAGTCCGTTCTCATCACTGGATGCAGTGACGATGGCATTGGCTATGGACTCGCGCTTACCTTCCAACAACGGGGCTACCTCGTCTTTGCCACCACTCGTGATGCCAAGAAGATGTCCAAGCTGCAAGACCTCCCGAACGTCACCCTCTTGGCGCTGGATGTGACGGAGCCTAGCCAGATTGCTGCAGCTGCCAAGGTGGTCAGCAATCAGACAGGGGGTACTTTGGATTATCTTATCAACAATGCGGGTCGCAACCATTTCATGCCTATCCTGGATGAAGACCTGAACGCTACCCGTGCTATTTTCGAGACTAATGTTTGGGGGCCAGTGGCAGTCACTCAGGCTTTTGCACCATTGCTCATCAAGGCTAAGGGCAATATCGTCTTCATAACTTCTATTTCAGGCTATGTTAATGTCCCGTGGATGGGTAAGTTAGCTCCATTGTGCCGACGTGTTCGAATCCCGCAGGTGTGGAATGTACATTCTTGTTCTGAAGTCTAACTGCATGACTTGGCACAGGAAGCTACGCCGCCTCTAAACGCTCCATCGAGATCATTGCCGAGACCCTTCGTCTGGAACTCGGACCTTTCAATGTTGGCGTCTTGTCCATTGTGACGGGAGCTGTGAAAACGCAGGGTCAAACTTATTTTGGAGACTTCAAGTTGCCCTCCGACTCATTGTACCACTCCATCGAGGACACTATTGCGGCTCGGGCGCAAGGCAATGATGGTACGACCCGAATGAACTTGATGACCTATTGTGATCAAGTCGTTACCAAGATTACCAAGGGCGCCACCGGTAAGTTTTGGTGTGGTGATAGTGCTGGTGCTGTCAAATTTGGCTCCAGCTATCTACCCACATCTATCATGGTGAGTTGGCGATCCCTAAAGTACAGACCTTGGCTGCAGCTTTCAGCTAATACTTATCATTATAGGACAGAGGCCTCGTCAAGGGTACTGGGCTGGATAAGATGTAACAAGTAACTGTATCTTCGAGGTACCATACAGAAATCCACTGGCTCGTCTTTGGGCCACATAATTCGATTTAATCTCTAATTGATTGAGAAACCGGTGTGAGATCATGTAATAATATCTGGATTCTTGTTTTATCAAGGAGTATCATCGCCTCGGGTACACCGATAACTTCTTGAACGTGCCTCATAGTGGGGGTTTTAGATATCCAAATCTGGGATAACCGTATCTCTATTTCTGTATTCATCTGCAGTATCCTAGTCTCCTAACGCGTAATACCCCTCAGTATTACTCATGGTCATAGATGGGACTGTTTTCATCACATTATAGAGACTGTCAACTAGCCGCCCCGAGGGACATAAGCGTCACCCGCACCGCTCAACCTGAATCGACAGCGTTAGCAGGACTTTATCGTGATTGATCTCAGCTGATACGTGTGGCACTGTTGAAAGCCCAATTCGGCCCCGTAAATTAGTCAAGCTAGCCACTCATAGTAATGGCTGCGTGCAATGTGTCGTCAATACCCGAGGAGAATAAAGAGAGAGGAGATGGATGTTTTCTTTATACTTTCACATAACGACACACTTGGTGGCAGCGTATATATGCTTCTCCATGAGAAATCATAGTTTCGACGCAATGGCTATCATAGATCTTGAGAATCTTACACCTTGGCTCTTTTGGCTCGCTGTCACAGGATTGGTCTTGTCTGAGCTCTACTTTGCTCTGCAGGTACGAGCATATTCTCTGCACGATGACTCTAGTCACGCTGGAACGAAGTGACACCGAAACTGATTAATGAAATCCCAGAGCTCGAGAATATCTAAATTCACTGGCTCTACCGAATCAAAATTGAGATCTGTAATAAAAGATTTTGTGCGTCACCCTCCCCTGCATGTACATGGCGGGGGTAGCATGTTACTGACCACATGGACAGAACAATGGTAGGTTCTACAAACCATGGGGCACACCTCCAATCATCATCGACGGAGGCAAGAAGAGACTGCTGGAATTGAGCGACACACCTGTGCTATCTCAGCGAGCGGTGTATGCAGATGTAAGAAGACCCCTCTCCTCAGAACGTTGAAAGCGGCAACCAATTGCTATCTAGATGTTCGGCTTCAAGCATACCATGAATAAGTTCAACCACACCGAGGTCAACATTATTAAGTCTCGGCTGTTTGGGAGGGTGCTCAACGTCAATGGACCAAATCAAGTTGCACGGTTGTATCCGGTGCTGCAAAAACGGCTTTCGTCCTTCCTCAAAGACGAGTTGGAGGTTTTGGATACTCCGGATTCCCGTGGGTTCCCTCTTCCAAGGTTGGAGCAAATGCATCATAATAATCTATGCTCACAATTCCCAGGGACTACTGTAATTCCCCTGGCCTCCACCGCCAAGGTACTCTCCTCAAGATTGATGGCTGTGACCTTCTTTGGGGAAAATCTTGGTTTGCATCTCCTGTCAGAAACAAATGCCGATTATAATATCTGATGTTTCCTAGGATCAAATCCTGACTTAGCAGAGGCTCTTCTGCGGCATCCGAGCCAAACCATTGCCTGCATGGGAGCTTTTCAGTTCACTCCTTCTTTCCTAATGTCGTATGTCTATAATCTACCAATGTGCTAGCCTAGTCAGCATTGATTAACGGGTTGTTCCACGTTAACTAGGTTGGTTCATAACATCATGACACGAGGGGGTCGGGAGATGCGCAAAATTCAAAGCTATCTTATGCCTATCATCGACCAGGGGGTTGACAGTTGGGATGAGGCGAAGGGCATCAAAGAAGTACGATAGACTCCGACTCTGCGGGGCTTCGGGTCAATATGAATGGTGAATGTGACGTGCTAACTAACCTCTTAGTCAACAGTCTTTTATGATTTGATTGAACAATCACATCCTAACCGTGACTACTGGACTCCATTCACTCTTTCTCAGTCGATCCTTGGCCTCTGGCTAGCAGCATCCCACCAGCCATGGGTGAATCTCTATCATATTTTGTATGAGCTCTGCATTCGTCCCGAATGGCAGCAAATTATCCGAGAAGAGGTGATGCAACACGGAGCACTTAATGACTTCACCAAGCTAAACCAGCTATCTCTGCTGGATGGTTTTATGCGGGAGACTGCCAGACTCAATTCATTGGACAAGAGTAAGTGGATGGTAACTCTTTTCCGGGCTTATCCAGGACTAACCCTCCGTGATTAATCTCACAGTCGCTATTCGTCGGAAGGCATTAGAAGACTATACATTTTCTGATGGATATACCAAAGTCCCGGCTGGGGCCGTTGTCTGCGTTGACTCATATGCTGCTTCCCATAATCCCCGAATTTACCCAAGGCCAGAGACATTCGACGCTGGCCGCTTTACGAACGGCCAGTCTCATGATCAAACTAATCGGTTCACTGACGTCTCTGAAAATTACTTGATTTGGGGCTTTGGATCATTGGCATGGTACGCTATGTTTTGAATTTCTCTAATTTTTGTCTATAGGGCTGACCAGCAACAGTCCCGGTCGGCATCATGCGAGTTTGGTTCTGAAATTGGTGGTCGCGACATTGCTTGTTGACTATGAGCTTGAGTTGGACGCAAAGAGGTCTCGTCGGCATTGGATGTGGGAATCGTTCAGCATCCCGTACAACTCCACACGTCTGGTACTACGTCGTCGTTCCGAACCGACGAGTCACTGGCAGTGAACACTTGACGTTCAAAATACCTATGATTCGTATCTGCAGAGGATGATCCAACACGGTGTCTACTTTTTTTCCTTAATTCTTCTGTTATATCCCACTGAGTCTATAGTTATCATGATCATGAGCTGTTCTTTACTCCGTGGGTTATCCAAACCACAACCCGCTGCTGATTTCGTTCAATATCATGTATGCTTCCTAGCCAGTTAGCATTTATGTCTTATCTCCAATCATCTTCTGAGAATAGAAATGGATATACTCCACAATGGATGGCTTACTGTAAAATAGTCAAACTAGAGAGCATATTAACTTACTCCTCGGTCAATGAAATTACATAATCGTGGTGAATTCTGCGCATCACTAGTGGACTAAGCGGAGCATCAAGTTGGTCAGCATGCAGAAAACAGCTCACAGCTATAAATTGGCTACATAATACCTTGGATAGACGTGCATGGCCCCCAATTTTTAGTTACCCGGGTGCTGTGTACTGTAATACAATGGGGTTTAAACCTTGGAAGAGTCCGGAAAATTTGCCTAGGTGGTTCAATCAGCCGGTGCATATTAATTCGAGTACATATGCGCTGTGGATTAACTTCGACTTCCTTTGAAGGTAGCGCTAAAAATTGACCATCGAGTGGATGGACAAACTTTCCAGGTACATACTTGCAGTATGCACTAAATCGTATGAGCAATATTGCGTTTCCAGCCCTAGAACCTTGCATGTGCCAGGCCAGTCAAATTGCCTTGACCAACTAAATATAGTCGTAGGCGATAGTTATTTACGTACTTTGGGGGCTATCCGATAACGCTGGGCAGCTGATGGAGATGTCGTGAACTGTGCTTAGTATCAGCGTGAGCGGTTCCTCAAGACTGGCTATTCGTTAATCGTGAGGCGATACCTAAGTATCTATATATTATGAGGCAATTATTGATCTCTCATCATAGGAGCTACATAAAGCCCCTTTTGTAAAAGGTTCAAGTACTATCAACTTGAGTGAAATTGTCCATTGAATCATGCGACACTATCTCACTGTTCTGGGCCTTGTCCTGCTGCCGATATGCTGCACTGCTAGCTTTGTAACTGACTGTGCTGCGCTATCTACCCTTCTTCCAGGAAAGGTCTTCTACACTAACAGCACTGTTTACGATAGCTCCGTTAAGTCCTACTACTTCGTAGAAGAACGCCTGAACCCAACATGCATTGTCCGTCCCACGTCCACGTCGGACGTGGCGATAGTCGTCAAGTACACTGCCGACTGTCCATCTGCCCTGCTATCAATTAAAGGTGGTGGGCATTCACCGAATATCGGTGCTGCTAATGCAGATGTGGGAGTCACACTTGATCTGCGAACACTCAATGCCGTCTCAATACAAAGTGGTGGATTAATCACATCCGTTGGTGCGGGAGCGCTGTGGCAGGAGGTGTATCGAGTTCTGGACACTTACGGACTTGCTGCTGTGGGAGGACGAGTGGCAACAGTAGGCGTTGGAGGACTGATTACTGGAGGTACGTGCATACTAATTCTGAATGCTTGGTCAAGGTAATCCTAAGCATCTTGATAATAGGTGGTCTCTCTGCTTTCTCTCCCGAGCATGGCTTTGCCTGCGACAATGTGGTTAATATGGAGCTTGTGCTAGCATCTGGCGCCATTGTTAATGCGAATGAAACCAGTCACGCTGATCTTTTTGCCGCATTAAAAGGGGGACAGAACAATTTTGGAATTGTGACCCGCTTCGACATTCGTTCCTTCCAACAGCCAGATTACTGGGGTGGTGGAGTTGAATATACTAGCGATTCTGACGAGGACCAAATACTGGCTTTTGCCAAATTCAAGGATCCGGAGAATTTTGACCCTCATGCTGAGATCGAGCAAAGCTTTCTCTATACAGCGGCGGATAACTCAAGGATTAGCTCTAATAATATGTTCTATACCAAGCCTGTTGTTAATGCTAGTGCGTTGGCCGACTTCACGGCCATTGAACCGCAATTATCAAACACAATGCGCATCTCAAACACGACTGATTTTGCCAAGGAGATGGCTATGTACCAACCGGCTGATACTTTGTATGTCAGGTCACTCGTGTGTATCTGACTTGAACAAGGCCGTGTTACATGCTGACTGGAACTTGTTCAATATCGTGTAGGGCGGTTTATGCAACAACTACCTTCAACGTCTCACTCCCAGCACTCCAATCCATACTCGGCATATGGAATACGTCTGTCCACGAGCTCTCTCACATCAAATCATTACTAGCCGTTCTCACCTTTCAGGCCATTCCCCCGGTTCCACCTGCCTCGGGACCTCAGAACAGCCTCGGTTTCACACCCAACAGCCATCCCGAGCGGGATCTCGTTCTCTGCCTCCTGTCAAATTACTGGACGGACGCATCCGCATCGGCGGAGATCCAGGCGGCTACCCAATCACTGCTAGAGGAGATAGAGGCAATTACACAGAAAGATGGCGTCGATGTTCGATACAAGTATATGAACTATGCCGCGAAGTGGCAGGATCCGATTATGAGCTATGGGACGACCCAAGTAGAAAAATTGCGAGAGGTGGCTGCGAAATATGATCCATCTGGTTTCTTTCAGGCGAAGGTTCCAGGCGGGTTCAAGCTATCCAGGAGTTGACTTGGCATGTTTTGTTATTGTTAGCAGATTGTACATATCATACAGACACCTGCCACAGCGCTAATAAGACCAAAAATACGGATGACCCTGTCGAAGGTTATGAGGTAATCACTTAGTACAACTACCCAGACCTAGGTCGTTAGGAATAATTGGATATTCAAAAGAGAAAGGAGTTGGGAACTAAACAGTAGCTAAGATCTAGGTTAGACAAGATGAGGATTATTCTAAGAGTTTCTTTCATTTCAGCTCCTTAATAGCGATTGAGATGCTGCTTGTTTGCTTCTTGTCCTCTCTTTGTGATAGTGAATTTCATCAAAATTCTGACGATATTCATAACTACAGAGGCCGGCAATTGGAAAGAAGCTTTCTTGGTCTATGCAACAATAGATGTCTATAATTATAAGTCAGGCTGTCCTTCCTATAGATGAATGCGATCCATTAAGAGACATGATAGGGGCGGCGCTCTCATGTTAGGGCTTTGCTCCGCTCCAGCCTTGAAATTACCGCTTTCGGCTCGATGCGCCCTAATGATCGTCTCTTGGCTTTACGCTGCCTATTTCATGCTTCTAGTACCCAGGTTTTTGAGTATTTCATTCAAAAAACATATATTTGATTCTAGAGAAAGTAGTATATCTCTTTCCTTCGTTATTCCTATGATCCTAAGCAATACTCTCTTGACATATTAGTGCGACTAAATGGAAGTAGAAGCAGCCCAGTTGAAAATGGAGCATATCGATTCTTTTAAGTAAGTGGAATCAATGTACCCTTCTATATACTTGATGAGCCAATTACTTTCCAGTATACAGATGAACCAGCATCTCCCTGAGGACTTGCAATTGCTGTCACAATGTGTTAGGTAAACAGTTGACTACCGTATCGAAAGTGTAATACGCGTATCGGTCCATACGGTATTGTATTTCCTGTTCGGATTTAAACAAGTTCTCCTTCCTAACTCCACGGACCAGCTACTATAGCTTGAAATATTGACAATATATTTGTATATTTTTGGCTTCTTTCCTGTCATTCATATCGGGATTGATACAACAGGGCTACAGTAATACAGTGCCAACTCCGTCGGCCTTGCCCTCTTAATTCCAATGGATTCCTCGGGCTACAACGAAGCCCCGGGAACTGGGACAGGCATTCAAAGGCGAAATCGGAAGCCAGTCTCCTGTACGCCCTGCAGACAGAGAAAGTAGGTCCAAACTCCTCAGCAATGGGAGACATATATCATCTTCATTTACTGGCTTTTACGTCAGAAGGGAGGACGGAAAAAGAGCATTTTCCACTTACCATTTGATAGGTTGCGATGTGATCAGGCATTGCCAGTCTGTGACAGTTGTGTCCGCCGAGGAATCGTGATGTCGTGCTCTTACCAGTACCGCCGGGTGGGACTTCAGAGGCATTGGTCGTCATCGCATGGAAACTCGAGCAGTGTGCAAAGTCGTATGGATCGATTAGAACAGTTGATTTTGGCCTTGATGAATCAAAAAGGACCTTCAGTAGGGGATCCGGCAAACAATCTAGTTATCACGCATCGAGATGTCCAAGCTCCACGTTATGAAGTGCCCAAGGAGGAACTTCTTTCAAATCGAAGAGTTGGCCCTACGACGACTCGGATATTTCGAACGGACACTGACAATGGTGTCCCTTACACCGTCGGAGAGGCCCCATGGGCTGCGCTGCTGAATGAGGTCAGAGATCTCGTCTTGAGCTACCTTTGCATGAACTAAATTCAAAATAGATTCACGAGGTCCGCGGTTACCTTCAGACACAACAGAAACAATACGAGTCCCAGTCGCAGAAGATTTCTCAGCGGTTGAAACAGACACCAGAGGATTCAGGTCCATCTTTGCTTTTTGGGACTTCTCAATCATCAGGCCATGGGGAAATACTCTCACATGTCCCTTCTCGATACATATGCGACTTATTGCTGGAGCGCTATTTCAAGACCTTGGATCCCGCACTTCGTAAGTAGGAAAATCGAATAGTGAACAACTGTCAACTGGAGATTCCTAAAATTTATCAGATATCCTTCATTCTCCTACGTTTCAAAAACAGGTATATATTGGGCTCGAATGTTGAAAGCTTTGAATAAGACTGACTCCTGAAACAGTACGAGGAACATTGGGAAAATCGTAGTCGAGCACCCGTTATTTGGATTGGCTTACTATTTGCCATGATGCGTATTGCGGCAATCTCATGGCAACGTGATGGAGATGAGCCATTGGAATTCCGGGGAAAAGCTCAGGATTTGAGCAGTTCATACCGTACACGAGTGACAGACTGCATATTATTGGCTGATTACACAAAGCCACAGGATTTCTTAATTGAAACATTAGCTCTTCATCTATATGGAGAATATGCATCACATCGAGATGCCGATTCTAGCACTTGGGCTCTACTTGGCTTCATAATCCGCCTAGCTATGCGAATGGGGTACATTCAAGATCCAGACCGTTTGGCATCTCTCAGTCCATTTCAGGTAGGTAGCCTTTTGACCTTTTCCATATTTCCGTTTCTGGGATGAGCTGTTGCTAAGCTGACTAGGCAGAAATGAGACGCCGAGTGTGGACCTTTGTTCGGCAGGCTGATATCTTTTTCTCATTCCAACATGGGTTTCCATCCATGATCAAGGTTGAAGCAACCAATGGAGGTCTACCTCGAAACATCTACGATGAAGATTTTGGACCTTCTAGGATTGAGCTTCCTGCTCCACTTCCGGATTCAGAAGCGACCCCAATCTCGTATCTCATATGTAAAGCTAGGTTAGCCCTAGACTTGGCCCGCGCCTTGAAAGAGCTTAACCGAGAAGATATACCCCCGCCATACGAGAGAGTACTGGAGATTGATCGCAGCATTCGGGAGACCTACGCTAAGGTACCCGAGTATTTCCGGCTACGGTCTATGGCCGAGCAAGAACATGATCAACCATCTCTGATTGCCGCTCGGTTTACCCTTGCAAATGTACACCACAAAGCATTATGTGTGGTTCACAGTCGCTTATTGGAAGCCGCTAGGGTAGATACCAGATTTATTAGCTCGCGTCGAGCTTGCCTTGAATCCGCCATGGCTCTATTAAATCTGCAGGCCATCCAACATCAAGAAATTAGGGCAGGTGGGCAGGTGAGGAGTCTAACAAAGTATATGACCTCCCTGAACGCCCACGACTACCTGCTTGCAGCTACCATTTTGTGCAGGGAGCTATTCATTGACCATAGAAGGCCTCCCCTCCCTTTCGCGGTCAGCGGTCCCACACGAAACGAGATGATTGAATCGCTAGACCGGAGTGCAGCTATATGGAGTCAGATGCGCGACAAAAGCATAGAAGCTTATAAAGCGAGTGATGTCCTTGGTATGTTACTGCAAAAACTACGACATCCAAATAATAACCTGCAAGAGGTCACTCCTCAGTTTCGTGGTTACTCGGATCTTTCTACTGAGTATATTCCAGAAATAAGGAATACGCGAAACTCAGCGCAGATGCGTCTAAAAACTGCTATTGACGATGGGGCGATGGCATTTGCCTCGCCCCGAGAATATGCCCCAAGAGATCAATTGTCCTCTACAGAAGCCACGACTGTCAGCAGAGCGACACCTATCGTTGCCACTATGCCTTTAGTCCCAGTGCAATCCAGGTTTAGTTTCTCCAATGTGGATTACCCCAGTTTTCAAGATCCTGTAAGAAGTTGCCATCCCTACCAAAGAAAGAGTGTCTATCTAATCTGTTTTGCTGCAGCTTGTAACGTGGGAACAGTTCGCTGCACCGTTAGATTTTGGCGATCCTTTATCAACTTTATGGGAGTTAGATACAAATCGGTAGGTCACTTACTGGTGAAATAGTACAATAAGTCTTAGCGGCATTTACTGTAATTTTAACAGTTGCTATTCCCGACTCAATTCAGTATGTTTCAATGTCATTACCATATTTCCTCGAGATTTGGATCGAAATGAAAGTCAGAGTAACGGCACTGGTAGAAAAAAATGCTCATTAGTAATCCCATACGCGAACATAGAAGTTCTTTCCGGTTGAGTAAATTTATAGAACGTCGGGCATGCTTCGTCATTGGCGTTGTTACGATGATACGGAACCTCGTACGTATTTTTGACCGTAAACGCCGCTTGATGGGGCACGCTAAGCCGAAGATACGACGGAAATACGTACGGAGTAGCGGAAACCTGCATTGTCCGGCGGATATGACCCACTTCAGGATCCACTATTTGTATACTAGTAGAGTGCATATTGTATGGAAAAAAAAAGGCATGTCATACGTAGTACGCAGTAGTAATCGAGTTTTGGTGTAGAGGGAGTCCATCCGAGCTCAAAAAGCGGTATTTCATACTCCACAGCAGTGTATTAATTGGGAGTCTGGGACAAGGGTTTCGAGATGTGGTTGCAAAACAGGAATAGGGCTAGACTTGTGTTGAACGAATTATGCCCACCATGATAGCAATAGCTTTGGCCAAAGTGAGATCTTCCTTAAGTCCGGCTGAAGACCAAGATTGGTAATATACCCCATCGTCAGATTCAACTATTCTGTTGGATTTAGTTGGCTCTCACTCGCCAGCTGATACCCCCGAGCAGTCAATTGATGAACGGAAATTGAGAGAACTTGTGTGGTGGGAAATTAGGCCATTGGGCCAAAATTGCAGCCCCGTTATGAAGGTAGCTATTTGAGTGGTTTATGAAGGCATTCTCCGGTTGACAGCTTGGACCTGAGCATCGAAGCTTCGTGCTAATGTTGTAGTATCTCCGAAGTTAATGATCCAGTAAGAGAAACGAGACAACAAATGTAAGATTTATAAGCGGAGATAGAACGGAGTGGGAGCCATTCCGTGCTTGATCCTAAACCCTGAATCAAGCACATACCGTACGTACTTAGACAGATCTCCTTAGCTCCGAACAACCACAGTAGCTCATTCAATTCAAATGGCTATGGAATTCTGGTATAAGTATAGTGACAGTGTCTTGTTCTCAAGAGGCGTTTGATTATTCAGAATCAAGCGAGTTTTTCCTTATTTGAAACATCATCCTCGGCCCTTGTTTGCCTTCTCCGCAGTGTTCAGCTCAATGTCTTCAGAGAAAAGCTTTACAAGCTCAAATCCTGTAGTAGATAATTCTGCTCTCGCTAAAGTCACTACCGACGAGGAAGTAGCTCTAGAAAATGAGCAGGATACTGCACAAGGTGCTGCAGCTACAACCGCAGTTGATCCGGTATTCCCTCGAGATGTTCACGGATGGTCGTGGGCTCTAGTCATCCTCAGTATCCTCTGTTCAACATTTTTGTTTGGGTTGGATAATACAATTGCTGCCGACGTGCAACCCGCGATTGTTGAGTCGTTCAATTCTATCAACAAGATATCATGGGTTTCTGTTGCGTTCATGATGGGAGCTGGATCCACGAATCTTTTCTGGTACGTTGCTTGTAAGAAGTTGTTCTTCATAAACAAGGAGGGCAGCTGATTGAGTGATACAGGGGTCAAATGTATAGTCAATTTAACCTCAAATACCTTTACATCATCTCAATTGTCCTATTTCAGATCGGATCTGCACTCTGCGGTGCAGCCCCAAATATGAATGTTCTGATTGTCGGCCGTGCAATCTGCGGTGTTGGTGGTGCTGGCTCTTACGTCGGAGTCATGACACTAATTTCAGTACTGACCACAGATCAAGAACGATCAGCTTACCTGTCAATTCCGAGTATTACTTGGGGTACAGCTATGGTTCTTGGTCCTATTATAGGCGGCGCTTTCACTGTTAGCAAGGCCGGTTGGAGATGGGCTTTCTACATCAATTTACTGATTGGTGCAGCCTGTGCCCCAGTCTACCTCATTCTTGTCCCATCTAAAGATGCCCGCCCTGGCGTCTCCTTGAAGGATCGCATCAATAAGATTGATTTTGTCGGATTCTTCATTTTGTCCGGAATATTCGTCTCCCTCCTGATGGCTATCTCCTTCGGCGGGGCTGTCTACCCCTGGGGTAGTGGTCATATCATTGCGCTCTTTATTGTTTCTGGAGTTCTGGTAATCTTTTATTGGCTACAGCAAGGCCTCAGCATCGGAACACCTAGAGCGAATCGTATGATACCATTTGAATTCATTCGAAATGTTCAATTGATGCTTGTGTTCCTCTGCGGAACGACTAGCGCAACTGCCACATATATCCCCGTCTACTTCTTGCCACTATATTTCCAATTAGTTCGCGGCGATTCGGCTCTGATGGCAGGTGTACGGTTACTTCCTCTAGTGTGCTTCTTGATTGCCTCCATTTTGATTGCCGGTCAAGTGGTCAGTCGTACAGGACATTGGCAGGGTTGGTTCCTAGGCGGCTCAGTGATTGTACTAATAGGGGGCGTATTACTATATGCTATCGATGAGCACACCAGCAATGCAAAAATCTACGGCTATTCCATTCTCGTTGGTACTGGAGCCGGGTCATATCTCCAGTTACCTTTTGCCGCGGCACAATACTCTGTGGCACCCATTTGGATCCCTGTTGCGGTTGGTCTGATCTCTTTTGCGCAGCTTGCTGCACCTTCAGTGGCGTTGTCCATTGCAAATACGGTCTTTGTGAATAAGGCCACCTTGAACCTGTCCGTGTACCTACCGGATTACTCTGGGGACCAGATCACACGAATCATTTCTGGCGTTGGGAGTCAGTATCTCGAGCTCATGTCTCCTAGTCAACGTGAGGGAGTGAATAGCATCATCACTCATGCAATTGGCAAGTCTTATATTCTTGTAATCACCTGCGGTGGTACAAGTCTGATTCTATCCACTTTTCTGATCGGTCTAAGCATTGTGAACAGAAGAAAGAGCAAGACGGCAAGGAATGGCATCTATTAGATATATACCAATGGGTGAAAGTGTCAGGTTACTGTTCTGTGTTGTTTGGGCTAAATGTCGAAGTATGAGGTTGAGAGATAGTGAAATTCATATTACGTATTTTGGTTATTGTGACTATAGCCTATTGCAGTCGGGTTGGGCTTCAAAGGATTCAGCATTGATGATGTAGTTGACTGATAATTATGGAGCGAGAAAGAAATTGTGGACATTACCTCTCGAATTGTTATTGAAAAACCTATATAAAGTAACAGCAGTTTATCAATTGTAAATAAGGTACAAGAAATGAAATCATCTTTTCAGCATCAAGCCCATCTCAGGGAATGGTTTCGGGCTCCGGCCCAAGATAGCCAGAGCGGAATGCTACCAGATGATCAGTATATTTGACAGATAACAGTATACAATGATTCCCGTGAGATAGATAGGGGATGAAAGAACACTAACCTCCAGGAATTAGAGCCGAAGAATACATAACCCTGGTGATAGGCCGCAAATCATCCGCCAATAAATCACCATCCGCCCGCAGCGATAGTGCCATGTACGGTTCCCACGAGTCAATGATAGATTCTGAATATGTCCTTAAATCGACGGATCGTTCTGGATTCGCTGACTTCGCATAGTGGCAGCCGATACCGAGGCTGGTGCCAAATTCGCGGAAGGCGAGACGGTATTTGATGTTGCGGGCTAGGTAGCGGTCTATTTCGAAGAGTTCGTCTGCTCGATCATTAGGTACGTTTCATAAGAGATAAATAGAGACAGGGAAAATACAGATTTGTTGAAAACATCTTTCAGCCAACTTTGCAGCCCATTTCTCCTTATCAGAAAACCAATGACATGTCCACAAAGTCATGCCCAGATCCAACGTATCGGCAGATACGAAATGCTCGCCTTTACGCTCCATGACACGCTTATAATCCGCAATCTCTTCGTCTAGGATGCGACCCTTGCTATGATTAGCACTACCACCTTCAGTAGGATTCATTGCTAGGGCTGATGCCTGCAGTAATCGATATACAACGTAGCCATCAATAGGATCCAAATTACCCTCCGAGGGGACGAGTGCCGTTGTCAGGTCCATACTCATTTTCCACACCATGCGTGGCCGAGTAGAGGTTCTATTGACGAAAAATCGGGGGTGAATTGCTTGCGCCAATGAGATGGCTTGTCTATTATAAGTTGGATCTCCAGTGGCTAGTGACAGACGATTGAGCGCAAACATCCAAATAGTCAGATAATGATGATATTGGCCGTCCCCGTCAACTCCGGTTTCGTCCAATTTGCCAATACGCAAACCTCCTCCTAAGGGGTTTTCGTCTGTGGCGCCGGGCAGTCGTGACTTGCCATCCCTAGTGCGACCGAGTATATCATGCACAGTCTCAACGAGACGACGAGCAAGAATCAAGTATTTATCTGTAGTGTTGACAACACCTGTCCATCTGGACCCGGGACTTGATCCCGAAGCTGCCGCCGAACCTGCAGCTGCAGCTATTTTGGAGTATTCTTGATATAGCGTCAAGAAATTGACAACGCCGAAAGCATCCGTCCAGAGATATCTGCCTCGATGACCACCAGAATTAGGCGGCGGGGTCCAATTTTCCAGGTTTTTGATGTTGGAGAAGTTGCCATATAGTGATTCCATCGATCTCTCGAATCGGTGGAGTCGTGTGGTTGCTAATGTTTCCATGGTGTATGATTTAATAATGCGTCTTGAAATCAAGGCTTTTCTCATGCACTTCAAATCATTTGGTAGACGAAATGTTGTTCTCTTCGCGGCCGGGAGTATCACGCGCCTCAAGATCCGGTCGTCGCACATTCATACTCAACTCAGACTCGTGAATTGCATCAAAACATACAACCCAAGGAGATGAAGTCAGGATATTGTATTCCTTTAGTTGAAGTCATAATAATGTATTCATTTGTGGCAGTTGACGGATAGATGATCTCATGCTCAATCATGAATGGTCGGATTTGTTATACAGAGGCAAACCGAACGGAAATCCCAGCCAGAAGCTTAACTTAACAACGAGAAAACGTGAAACATGTTTTGTCATTTCTAAAACTGTTGTATCTTCTCAATCTGCAGATTCAACTAATATTCTTTATCGCGAAAATGCCGGGACAACTGACTCAATTAGTGCAGGCCGCAGCCAAGCCGTTGCCGGAAATCAAAGATCCGTTGTTCGGACAGATGTTCGACACATTCCGCAACTATAAAGTCGTTCTTTTAGGCGATGGTAGTCACGGCACATCCGAGTTCTACAGTGCTCGAGCAGAAATCACAAAACATCTCGTCGACTTTCATGGCTTCAATATGATCGCGCTCGAGGCCGATTGGCCCGACGCGGAGGCCATCGATCGCTATGTACGTCTTCGTCCTGGACCTAAAGGGCGTATAGGTGGTAAGAGCAAGATCGAGCCTTTCAAGCGATTTCCGACATGGATGTGGAGAAATCGCGAGATGCAAGATCTCGTCGAATGGATGCGCGATAGAAATGCCAAGGTTCGTCCAGAAGAAAGAGCCGGGTTCTATGGACTGGATCTGTACAGTATGGGGGAATCTATCAAGTCCGTTATTCAATATCTCGACCTTGTTGATCCGGAGCTCGGCAAGAACGCCCGTAAACGATATGGTTGTCTACAACCTTGGGTTGACGATCCGGCTTCTTATGGACTCGCGGCATTGCAAGGAATGGAGAACTGTGAGAGCAAAGTTGTCCATATGTTGAAGGATCTCCTTAAAAATCGGTTAGAATATAGCGCATCTGAACATGATGGTGAAGCATTCCACAGTGCTGAGCAGAACGCCCATGTGGTACGCGACGCAGAAAAGTACTACAAGGCAATGTACTATAGCTCAGCGAGCTCGTGGACACTACGTGACACCCACATGTTTGACACGCTGGACCGGCTGTTCCAGTTCAAGCCTCCCAACAGCAAGGCCATAGTGTGGGCGCACAACTCGCATGTTGGAGACGCTCGCTTTACTAGTATGGGCCAACGACGTAAAGAGATCAACATCGGCCAACTCTGTCGTGAGAGGTATGGCCGCGAGAACGTTGCCATCATTGGGTGCGGAACGCATACAGGAACGGTTGCGGCAGCCCATGAATGGGATGAGGATATGGAAGTAATGCGCGTCAATCCATCGCGAACAGATAGCTGGGAATACGTTGCGCATAGCACTGGTATCCCGAACTTCTTGCTCGACTTGCGTCCGGATTTCGCCGGTTCACAACTCCGCGAGGCATTCGCTCAAGAGCCACCAAAGTTGGAGCGTTTCATTGGCGTCATTTACCGGCCGGACACGGAGCGAGTCTCACATTATTCGCAGGCCTATCTACATAATCAGCTGGACGCGTATGTCTGGTTTGATCGGAGCTCGGCTGTGAATCCTCTTGAAAGAGCCCAGCCTCGGACACCCCTGGGTAAAGAAGAGACGTATCCATTTGGACTGTAGTAAGGCAGAGACATGTATGGTAGTTTGAATCAGATTGTAATATGGAATTCGCGAATATCGAGCTCATTTGTACGGAGTAGTTTGATGAGGCAAAGACAAAGACCGGAAAACTAGTGGAGAGACGACCTAAACCGTACAAAGCTTAGCGCGTCTTTTATTTGTTTTGGTCTTGCTGCAAGGAGCAACCCACAACGTCACCGCTTTCTCCTCGTCACGCTTCCCCTCGATTACTTCGATCAAATATTTGCTTATTCGACTCTGTTCGCATTCGTGAGCGAAGAATACTATCAAATTTATCCATTTTGACATCCGTAAAACACAATCACTCGAGCCATTCCTCGAGTTCAGAATGGCACCGCGTCGCTCAGCACGTCTGAGAGGCAACACTCCACTCACTGAGGTAAGTTGGCGCGCCAATTCTTCAACATTCTTGGATTCCTTGCACCTGGGTTCTGATAAACTATACAGGACCAATTTCCAGAGGTCCCTACTACTACTCCCAAGAAGCTCTCGCCTGTCGCCGAAAATGACGAGACAAAAATTAAAGATACCGATCCCAAACCAAATACCACCCCAAAGAGCCAATCCTCTTTGAAAAAAGCCATACTGTCGCCCAATGGAAAACCATCCATCAAAACACCATCAACCGTCGGTGCTGTGCGTCCAGCTCACGAAGAAATGCATCCTAGCAAAGTTCACCAGAGCACAACCAAGCAAGCCGACTCTGGACTTATCCTTGGCTTTCAGCCCATTAAACGTGATTCGAACGGAAGGGTCATCAAAGAGGATCCTGTCACCAACACACCTTCAAAAATCATATCGTCTCCTCCAAGTAATCTTGGCACTCCATCCAAATTTGGCTTCAAATTTTCAAGCGACGACGCTCAACTCAGCGAAGAAGCAAGAAAGTTGATGGCAAGTGTTCGTGAGGATGTCGCTAGAATTAAGGCACAGATGATACTCGAGCGGGGTGAACAACAGCGAAACGCAGAAGCCGCAGAGCAGCCGCTAGGAAATAGAAAGATCATCAAGCCCAAGGGCAAGGCTGGACGTTTCAGCGACGTTCATATGGCTGAATTCAAAAAGATGGACTCTATTGCAGGACATCCCTCTGCTTTTAGAGCACAGCCGGGTCGTTTCACTCCTGCCACCCAGTCATTGAAACGAAAGAGCTCGAAGGCGAAACTTGACGAACCTGAGGCGAAACCTGCACCTTCAAAGTCTCCTGGCATTGCTGCTAAACGTGTGAAACGCGCCGAGATTCAGACGACTTCCACCACTCGGCCGCTTGCGAATATTGGTACCCAGCGGAAGACGGGTATTCCACAGCCCGGCACATCTATGTTCCGTAGTAGCTCTTTAATGACACCCACAAAGTCTTCTACTGCCCGTTTCGCGTCGGCACGGCCTTCGAAGACCTCCATGATCCCTTCTCTGGCTGGCTCTCCATCACGCCCAGCTGTACCCCAGACACCCAAGACTGAGTTCAATCCCAGACTCAAGAAATCACTTCCAAGTCTTGGAAACCTAAAGTCGATTCTGAGACGCCGTCAGCCATTGTTTTCAACTGACCCTGCAAAGATCGCTGCAGGAACACACATCACAGCTCCAAATTTCAGTCCCGACATCGACTTGAAAGGTCTCCCCACGGCAACTTTTGGCAGCGTTGACCAGACCCCTTCTCCCAAGAAGCATGTTGAATTCACATCAAGTACGAAATCTCCCCGTGAATCGATTCTCGAAACACCAACAGCAATAGGGCCCGCGTCTGATGCTCCCGTTGCATCTACGTCTGATATTATGTACCCGACTCTCCCACTAAGAATGACACCCGACAAAGAAGTCATTGATACTCCCACGATTCGACGTGTTCGGGAATCAATCACAGCTGCCCAACCTGCGAGTCCTCTTCCGAAGATACCCGCTATACCTCATGGTATTCCGAATAAGGAACGTAAGCATGATCACGAGAAAGAACAGACTGTAACTCTCTCCTCACCAACCTTTAACCCGACTTTCTCAACTCATCCCACGGCCAGTCCTTTCCCTAAAATGCCGACAGTGCCACATGGAATACCGAACGAGAAGCGTGGGCGTGAGGAGCACAGCAAGAAACCAGATATCAAGTCAACTGATGCAATGTTAAAGGCTCCGATATCACCTCTGAAGGCAAAGAGCCCGTCGATTTGTCTCGTTGCAGTGCCCCATGGCATTGTTAACAAGAAACGCCAGCGTGCAGACGTGAGCGATGACGAAGACACTGAGAACATCCCACCTGCTGATGATGAACGTAATGCCAAACGTCTGAAAGCCAGCCCCATGAAGTTGAATCCCGTCAGCCCCAGTCCAATCAAGAAGCGCCCCATCATTACTCCTGGGCGCATGACAGGAAATCGCGGCCGAGGCGCTACCCCAGGCACTGCGTCGAAGAAGAGTGTTCTCAGCTTGAGTCGCTTGAACATGCTGTCCAAACCAAAGTCTCGTTCTTGAACATGGACAAGACACAGTTGGATGGACTATCTCATCCTCGATTCTTGCCTCACAGACACATCACAACCCCATCCTGCATTATCACGACTATATAGGCGTTCAGCGTGGGATGAAGAGACACGGCGTTACTCGGGTTTCGAACAGACTGACTCTTGCTCGGCCTCTTTATTTGAAGGCGTTTATCTGGGAGGACAAATGTTTGATTTGGTTTAATTTTTCTTTTCTTGTACAATACGAGTTTTTATTCGTCATGTCTTGTTTGTCAGACTGATTACATTTTTGATATTCTTGTAATTTCTTGTTTTTCACGAGATACAACAAGGGGTGGAGAATTGAAACCTGAAAAGACGGAACGCAGCATACAACTAGACGCTGTGGTTTCGTGAGCTTGTGCAAGTACATATCATGACTTGATGCTATGCTATGCTTTGCTTCTTCTATGCAATCCGTGTATGTAGGAAGTATTCTAATGGAAATGTGTCTCACTTTCAGTTGCACTCACCTTCGCAGATGATATCGAGCTTAATGGACCAATGATTCATGAATAAGGTAGGTAGGTACTGAATGAAAATACATGAACACAGGTCATCTAGACGATGACTTCAGAAGAAGAAAAAAAAAACATGCAAACCCATTTCCAACCCAAAGTCAAAGGGGAAAAAAAAACGAGAAGGGTAAAAAGAGAACCCCTCGCACAGAAAACACAAAACTCCATGCTAAAAAGCCCAAATCTCATCTCCCTACTCCATCTTCCTCTATAACCCCAATATTCGAGAAGAATGATCAAATCACCCTTTCATACTCGCCAAGAAAGAATCCAAATTATATTCTTCTTGATACTGACGATCATCCCACAACTCACCCAAATCATCCAACCAGCCCTTTTTACCTTTTTCTTTGACTTCGCCATCGATATCGACCATGTCGACTTCATTACCTCCGGATCCTGCTCCTCCCTCTAGAGTTGGTTTTTCGGCGCCTTCGGCTGTTTCCCCGAGATTGAAGAGGTCGAGGAGTTGATCTGTGTCCATTGTGTTGAGGCCGGCGTTCTGTTGGTTTACTACTGTTGATGCTACGTCGATTTTGAATCGTTGGAGACTTTGAAACCAGAATTAGTAGGGGATTGACGCTAGGGTGGCGGTAGGAGAATGGGGCTTACCTCAAAATCTTCTCTTCTAATGTGCCTCTCGTGATCAACCGGTAGACGTTAACAACCTTCTTTTGACCGATACGATGAGCGCGATCCATAGCTTGAATATCCTTTTGGGGATTCCAGTCATGTTCAACGAAAATAACCGTGTCGGCACCCGTCAGATTCAAGCCTAATCCACCCACACTCGTGGTGAGAAGTAACACGTCGTAGCTGGGGTCGGTATTGAATTGATTGACGATATTCTGGCGTTTTGTGGCTTCAACACTTCCATCCAACCGTAGATATTGAACGGAAGGGAGCATCTTTTTCAATACATCTTCTTGGACTATATCAAGCATCTCTTTCATTTGGCAAAAGACAAGAGCACGATGAGGACTGACGTAACTTGCTCCGGTGTCTAATTCACCTTCGGTGTTAGGATCAACACCGATACCACAATCAACCAACAAATCCCGAAGAGCTGTCAATTTGGGCGCATGTGCGATATCTCGAATATGCGAATTCTTTGCATGTAGCCATCTCTGAACATCGTCGTATTGTTTGTGGCCTTCTTTAATGACCAAGGCAGGAGAATTGCAAAGTCGACGCATGTATTGCAGAGCTTGGAAAATATGCTCTTTAGCAGACTTTTCAGTACTACCCATCTTTGATTGAAGATCCTTTTGCTCTTTCTTGGAAAAGTCCTCAAATAGCTTTCGCTGCAGATCACTCGGATCGCAATAGTAGTTTTGTAAGATTTTGGGCGGCAAGTCATTCAGGACCTCTTCCTTCAAGCGACGTAACAGGAATGGAAGGACCTGCTTGTGCAGAGCTTCGATCGCTAGAGCACCAGCCTCTTGTTCCTTTGATGACGACTTGCTAAACCGACTTGCGGCAATAGGTTTCGCGAAACGATCCAAAAAGACCTTCTCTGTACCCAGGAATCCCGGCATTAGAAAGTCGAATAATGACCAGAGTTCCAAGACGTTGTTCTGGATAGGTGTGCCGGATAGAATGAGTCGATGGTTGCTAATGAGTTGTTTCACGGCCAAAGTGATTTTCGCCTTTGGATTTTTGATGAGATGGCCTTCATCCAGGACACAGTAGTTCCAGCTAATGGGTGTAAAGACCTGCGTGTCATTTCTGCAGATATCATACGATGTAATGACGATATCAGCCTTTTCCAGTTCGCCACGAAGCTGTGACCGTTGCGATGGAGGACCAACGTATGCCACACAATTGAGGAAAGGAGCATATTGTTTGATCTCTTGTTGCCAATGGCCTGATAAGGTAGGTGGACAGACGATCAAGGAAGGAAGCTTGCGGACTTCTGGCGCTTGCGTACGAGCATATTCTTCTGCTCGCATGTGGTGGTCACTCGCTACAATACATAGAGTTTGTAGTGTCTTTCCAAGACCCATGTCATCGCACAGAATTCCGTGTAAGTGGTAGCGATTGAGGAAGGCTAACCAGTTGACACCTTCTTGTTGGTATGATCGAAGCTCGGCTTTGATCGCAACGGGAATTTCGAACGGCTCTATCTTTCGCGGATCCAACATCTGCGACATGAACTTTCTTTCACGGTCACGGCCTTTCAATAGCTCTTCCGACAATCCTGGAGGGTCAGGAATTCCCGCTTCGAGAGGAACAAGCTTGACCAAGGTCGCGAAAGATGTTGTAGATAGCAGTCGAACTTCGTTATCCGAATCACTCATACGACCAAGTACCGGGACGATGAGGAATATGACATATGGTAAAATTCTTTCCTCCATGACATGAATGAGGTGGTAAACACATTCAACAGCTCCTTGACGATGATGCACATCCAATGCATTGTTGACAGTAGGCAGCACTTTCTCGACTAACATGGTCATGCCTTCTACAGTGATGACACTGCAGATTGTCGCAAAACACTTGGCAGCCGCGTATCGGATGACAGCGAGCTGGCATTGCAGTGACTTCGCTATGACTGGCATGAGTTGAATTACCCATGGATGCAGACCAGGATGGAATTTCGGTAAAAGCGCTCTAAGCGTTGACAGTCCATCGACAGCCTCCTGACCAAGTTCGTTGTCAGGTTCCCCAATATTAGCTGGTAGGTCGCCTTCGAGTGCTTCCCGGAGAGGTCTTTCAATAAGAGCAGCGAGATTGGGTATCTTTTCCAGCAATTCACTGCCGAATTTTGTGGCTAACTGCTCAAGCGCCTCCTTAGCTCCGCGTCGCATAATTCTGGCGTGCCGAGCTTCGCGCTCAAACTTGTCTGCATCGACATGATCTCTGCGGTCTTCCTCTTTCCTGAGCGAAAGAATTGACTTTTCAAGGTGGGCATTATGGTGAAACTCCGGCGTCTCCGATGTATCAACACAACAATATTTGACGAGATTGCCTATGATCTTGTCGACTGGACCTCTCTTCGTAGCCGTCGTATAGAAAGCGATGAGGTCAACAATGGCCGAGGCAGAACGCTGTTGTAGTTCGCTGTTATCCTCTTTCTTGATGCTATCCATCATTGCTTTGATGATGTTGCTCGGTTTCTTGGGGATGTCGTGTAAAGCAACCAGGGCGCCAGCTGTCGCAGCGCGGATACGCATGTCTCTCTGGTCCTTGATATTCCTTGCCTCCTCAATAGAAGACTCGGCACTCGATCTTGTATCATTTAAGACCTGGAGAGCAGTGACACGCTGGGCTGGAGTCAGACTCTTCTTAAGACGTTCAAAATCCGGGCCTACAACTTTTTCGGCGTCTTGGATCGAAAATGCGTTGGGTCCAGCTTCGGGGTCACCTTGTACGACAACAGCTAATGTCGGTAGACGTCCGGAAGGTACATGTGCATGGTCTCTGAAAGCGTTGAGTAGAGAATGGCATTGTGCTCGGGTGATCTGTAGGTAGCAAGCTATATCGCTGTACCAGCCAGGACGATCGGCCTCGACAATGGGACGCAAGTTTTCGCACAGCAAGGACGTATATTTACTGTCGGGACCCGCTCGCTTAGCGTACTCTTCAATAATCATGGCAGCTGCGAGTTGAGACGAGGATGCAGACATGGTAAGTCCACCAACAATAGGCTGCCAGAGTGAAGGCAAATATTTTGAGTCCCACATGAACAAGAATTGACCGAGGGCTTGAGCGGCAAATATCTTGGATCGAATCATAGTATCCAATCCGACCAAGTCAATGTCTCCTGATAGCATATGACCGTCAACGTTATGCGCGGAAGGAGGAGGGACTTCTTTTTTCTCAGACTTCCTACGTCGGCCTTTGGCCGACTCTGATACATTGGCCGGACTGGACTTTCTGCCTGGTGTTTGAGGATGAGAGAATGCATACGCCACACCAGACGGTTTGATGAATAAGGAGGCATTCATCGGGATCGGGTAACGAGGAACACCGAATGGACCCATTGCTAATGTGATCAGAGGCTGAACTGATGAGCCTAGCGCCTCGGCTGTGAAGAGATTGCGAGTATCCAGTGCCTTGATCAAATCGTACCAGACCTCGAGTGAAAGCCTGAGAGCGCCCTCATTTCGCTCAACCAACAGGTTCTGGAAGATCAAGCGCATAGCTTTACCGTCTACCCAAGCATTTGAATCATGATCCTCAAGACGAAGAAATGTGGTAAGTGCTCGCAGGGCCGCTAGTCGAACACTAGTAATAGTATGTCGCAAGAAGGGGTATAGGCGAGGCACAAGATTTGCAAAAGACGATTCAGGGTCATCAGCAGCGTTAGCTTTCATGGCCTCTAGAACCTCTGGGAACGTGCACAGTTTGGCTAGCAAGTCCATGACGGAACCAGTACTAGCGCTCAGATCGTCTTGTAAATTCGACAGACAATCCCATACGATATTGATGAGAGCGCTCAGAGAGCCTTGTCGCGATTTGACCAGCTCTTCAGCGATGGGTATTAGGGTGGCTGCACTAACGGCTCGTACATCGTCGTCAAAATCTGCTAGTCCCTTCATCACTGCCTCTAATACGCCGTCCATAATTTGGGCATCCTTGATCAATAGCTCTTTTCGGACTGCTACCAAATACCTCAGGCCGATCATACCACCATGACACACTTCCCAAATAGGCCTTTCAAGCCCAAGGTCCCTTAACATGATGATGCGGTGCAGAGTTCGGTACACTTGGACGACCGATTGCGACGGTAAATGGGCAAGCACAGCACCCAAGGTCTGGCCAACGGTTTCGCGAATAGGCGCAACCACATTATCAGAGATGTAATCACCGAACCGGTCGAGCATAAACACGCAGAGCAGACGACACGCCAAGTCATCCAGCCATTGCCGATTTAGCAAGTCGTTTTCCTTCCTGGATTTACCTAGCTGACGGCCAGCACCCGATCCTTGCACTCGAATCACTTCTCGCAGACCCATTGCCGCACCGTGACGGATTTCCCAGTTCGGGTCGAAAAGGTCTACGATCAGAAATTCGCACATGCGTTCGTAAGGCCACTCCTTGCCCTGCTCCTCGGCTTCAGTCTGGATGACGGGTTTTTCCGGAACAATGGGCCCTTTGAACTCTGAAACGATTTTGCTATCATCGTCAACACTGGATCGCTCGAGAGAAAAATAATCAGGCTTCTTCTCGGCTTCGTCCTCTCCGGGCTCGGACTTCAGGTGGAATGGAGTTGCAACAGAAGGCGTCGCCAGACTATCTGACGGTTTCCGTGAAGACAGGTCGACGACTCTCACTTTGTTGGCTCCAAGCTTCGCGTTTTGTTTGTTTTTGCGTTTCAGCTGGTTCAATTGGCGTTTACTAAGACCTGACTCTTCTCCATTCAAAGATTCATTAGAAGATCCGTTCATCATGCTGTTTTGCCGCGATGGGATTGGAACAGGCTTTTCGCTTTTGGGAGCAGACGTAAAATCGGCCTCGTCAACCAAGTCATCGTCAAGATACTCCCCAGCCAGGCCGAGACGCGCTGTTAGGGTTTTCTTTTGGTGTTGCAACCTTGCAGCTGGATCCATCCCGCCGATGGTATACTCATATTCCTTGCCTGCGCTGCCGAGTAGTTTCCTACCAAACTTCAGGATTGACCCGATGTCAAGAGTCTCCAACCGCAGCAAGTCATCTGAGGTAGGTGTCCGTTCCTCTTCTTTGACTTCTGATTTGATTTCCACATCGTCGGCATCCTCTGGTTCTTTGATTGTTAAGCCGTCGTCTGCATTTGGGTCATACTGCTCAGCATTTGCTGCGACAAGGCCGATGGCTTTGGCAGCAGCTGTGCGGGTGTCCCATGATTTAGACCTGAGATAGGGGACAATGCGGCCTAATAGATTAAATAACTCATCTGGATGTTGCTTCTGCACATCAGCCAGTTGCTGGGCTGCAGTATTCCGAATTACAGGAGTACTGCCAGTCTCCAGTAGCCTATAATCGATCTCATTGGTCAGTCTGCAACAGCTGGAAGTCATCCATCAGAAAAAAAGGAATCTCACGTGACAAGTCGGTCGAGCCTAGTCCAGATATAGTTAGCTGATCGCCCATTTCCCAAATAGGGCTAGACGAGATGGTGTCAGATAGAAAACTCACCTGGAAGTCATCCTGCTGTTCGGCAACCCCAGAGCTCTGAATCTCTATTGCGCAAGAGGATGCAGCTCAGGTAAAGCACAGAGACAGTGCTCCTCGCCATAGACAGGCTGAAAGATTCAGAGATGGGTGAAGCCGCCAGATGGAGTGATCTGATTGGCCACCACAACCTCGATGGACAAGAATCACACTAAAATCTGCTATGACTAACAGATCTCTTTATTGGATAGAGTCACCACAGCACACACTTTTTGTATTATGAGCTTATGGCGGGAAATTTCCATCAAAAAGAGGGGAGAGGGAAGATAAAGAAAAATTAAAATTAAAAGAGTCTTCAGAAAAGAAAATCAGCATAAATAAAGTGATAGTAAGCGAAGTGAACAAGAGAGATTTGACGCGAAAAGCAGTCTGGGGGACACCAAATAAGGAAGAGCGCCGCAGAGGAAGGGAGGGTACATACAAGGTCTGGTCTTTCGAGGTTGCGCCGGGCTGTTTATATCATGGATCGCTCTGCGCGTTTGCTGGGCACCGCGGTTAGCCCTAGCCTGTTTTGGGCTTAGCCGCTCACTCGCGCCGCATAGCGTTTTATTTAAATCACGTGATTATCCGGTGCGCTCCTATGAGTCCTCTATCCATGGCTATCGCTTGATGCTCGAAGATATACATTTACTAGTTTACTAGGAAAATATCATGCTGTGACTGAGCCCTGACTGCTGCTATCTCACCAAATGGGACTGCGGTGTCAGAAAGTTCCTCATTAGTCAGATAGGGCATAAACGTCATCGTAGCTTCCTGTCGGTGACCAAAGAAACAGTAGGGCTTTAGTATTCTCTCTATCTCATATCTACATTAGCCCATATGACTCCGAAAGTGCGCTACAGTACTTCAAGGGGTAAGTCGAGAAACCGGACGGAAGTCTAGATCAAGTGCATTGCGATTTATCCTGTACAAATGGCCACATCGCTAAGACCATATAAAAACACACGGTGACTGCCACATTCGTCTCTATCCCCTTTGCGATCGATCATATTTCTACAGACCCAAAACCTTGGCCGACTCGCTCTCCTTGCCCAACAATCCCAGGTTTCGGATATCTTCAGCTTTCGGTGCGTTTTCTCGGGGGAAGGTAGCCTCGGCTTTGCGGTAGGCTGCTTGGAGTCGTTTCGCTCGGACAATCTATATCATATTAGCCTCGACCATGTGCGAAAAACGACAGCAATTCATTCCGGGATTACTGTCTGATCCATAGCGATTAGGATCGGTCGTAGTGCGTACCTCTTTGCTGTGGTGCAAGCATTCGGAGTAATCTTCCAAGGCGTATATGCATTTCTTCTTTCCATCAACTCCTTCCGAGGCATTCACGACGTAGCATCCGAGGAGTTCTTGCCAGAAGGCGAAGCAGCGCGAGGGGCCTGTTGCGACCGATTAGCTCATCGTAATTCGATTGAACAACCGAAGCAATCGGGTAATTGAAGGTCAATTGAGTTGCAAAACAGTAGATATCGACACGTACCGCCGTTGAGACCGAAACCAGAAGCCATCGTTGAATACTGACTGTGCGATGAGAGTGCGATAGAACCAAATGAGTGGAGGTTTGAGTCTTGACTTGACGCTCCGCCTGGAACGGCAGTAACGGGGTCCACAATGCCATGTTCTATTGGCTAACAAATGCTAGACGTGGATTCCGCCGCAACATACAACATACACCATACACAACAATGCGAACATCTCAAGCTCGTTGTAAGACATATCCTACCTGACCTGAAATTCAGGATGGCAAATCTCGACAGTTTGTCGGACGCTCAAGCTATTCTGTTGGCGTGTGAGCTTTGCACTGCTAAGAGCGTCTCTGCATTGCCTCATCTACAACAACATTTCCCTACGTCACTAACTACAGTGCGCCTCTTCCGCATTCTGTTGTCCTTTTTACCGGAGAGCACACCCCCTCAGCAGTATACAACAGTGCTGGATGAGGTTGATAGAGGAGTAGCGCTTACACCATACTCTGGAGATATCGATACAACCAAAGTCAAAAACGTGGAAGAGTCGGTCGCATGGAAACGTGTCCGACAGTTGAAATTACTCCCTCTCAAGTACCCTCATGCCGACAAGACACAAGCCACAGATTCCTTGACAGACTTCCTCATCCATCGAGCCCATAAAATCGATGTCGAAACTGGTTTACAGACTTACATCCTCGAACTCATTTTACCGTTCTATGATCGTTCAGAGTTATTGCGACAATGGCTCGTCTCGAAGATTCTACCTCTTTTACGGTCCAACTACGAATATTATCCGGACAAGGAAGATATGATCTCGCTCGCTGTTTTGGAGGCAATGGATCAAACGACGGGGATAAATGTGTTGCTCTCTATGACGGGGAATAATCCATCCGTGACGGATCTAACGCGGAATCTGAGGGGGTTAGTCGGGCCGTGGATGTGTGGAACTGTGCAGTCCAAGAGGCGCAGATTGAGTCGTGATATCGACACGAATAATGTGGCTGACAGCCAAAAAGAGTCCGGTGCGGCGGGCTGGGATGATGTAAATGACTGGCTATTGTCACAGAGTTTACTGGAATTCGATAGCGTTGCCAATACTCTTGATAGCTGGGATGGACCCGAAGATGTCGACTTGGGTGGATATATGGACATAGACTACTCAACGGAATCGGGACGATTACGAAGGTCCTATGGACAAGTCGGTCTTGCTATAGTATACGCGACCGAGCCGGCCAGGGGTTCGTTTGAGAGGCTATTTCAGATCACGATGAGGGTTGCAAGATTACTGCAGATTGATACCGCCATGGATACGTTAAATGAGGCATCACTGAACGCACTAGAATTGGACCTCACTACCATTTCATCCGCATCCAAGGCATCATTACTGCAAAACGGGCTTCTCAGGGGCGATAACGCATTGACTATTCCTTCCTCGCAGTCGATAAGTTTCTTACAGGCGATTCTCCTATCGACGCGCATTTTGCGTGATTACGGACACATTACTTCATGCCGATCAGCTGCATCTATGTGTTTACATGGCAATGAAGAGACGCAATCATGGGAAGTCACTGCCGTTCTAGACATGATTGTCAAGCAGCCGATGCCAGTACAGGACTGGAGGAAGATACGGGAGCAGATTCTCTGGCTCCGAGATTGGAAGGGTTCTAATGCATTTGGGAAGATAGGTGAATGCCATGGTCTTTTCTGGAAGGTGTCTAAGACGACTCTTGAGATTGAAATACTCAAGGCAATGGTAACTACTGGTGGTATGTCTTGTACTCCGTTTTGCTTTCTTTACTAACGCGGGTAGAATACCGATTGGTGGCGGAGGTGTATACCGAAGCGAATTCTCCTCTGGATTTGGCACAAGTCGAGACAGCTGTGGTGGATACGATTATATCGTTTTACGATACTGCTAGCAACGGTAACAGAAGCAGAGGCAAGATGAAGAAAGCTGTGGAGATGTAAGCACCATTTTGAGGTTTCAAGACAAGATCTAATATATGTGCAGTCTCAATGCATTCCAACCTCGATTCCCAAAGTCCAATCGGTTTAAGGAGTTGACAGCTCTCATCGCCGCAACACACGCCCTCTCCTTCTACTCGTTAACTCTCCAACATGGAGTCCCGTTTCAACCCGTCAGCATCCGCGTCCATCCCGATCCACTATCCTTGATCGAAAAAGTCCTCGACCAAAACTCAAAGAGCTACACAAAGCTAGAAGATTTGTTATCCATCGGAAGAAACTTTGTCACCGCTGGACTTGTTTCACCCGACAAACTGTCGCAGGCACAACAAGTATCACTCCTAGCCGAACGAAGAATCATATCCATGGCAATATCCTCCGCCCTCGCAGCAGATGACTTTGGAACCGCCTATTCCTACATTTTGACTCGATTAACACCCTCCTCACTCCTCCCATCCACCACATCAGAAATATCAACTACCTCTCCAGTCGAAGAAGACATTTCCTGGCGCGCAGCCTACAACGCAGGACGCTACCGATCCCCCACTCTCTCCTCAGAATCAGACCTAACCTCACAAATCACAAACCTCTCCCAAAGAATGGAACTCCTCTCTCTATCCCTCATCCTCGCTCCAACCGCAGACCCCTTACCAGAGGTATTAGGAGCATGGCGGCGCTGCGACGAAGAAATGACCATCCTCCGCAATCGCGAATCCCAAGAAGCCGAAGAATGGGATCGACGAGGCGATCAACAATCCTTTGTTTCTACAGTACCAGGCAGTTTTGCGCCTACAGATAGAGAATTAGACGCCTACGAAAACGCGCAACGACAAAAATCTCGCGGTTTCAAGACTGAGAGTGGGAGAAGATTTGACGCTGAAGCGCCTTTGGGATTATTTGATGTTGCGCGCGGTGCTGCAAGGGCGTTTAGTAAGAATCTTACGCCTTTGCAACAGCATCAACAACAGACCAAAGAAGTAAAAGAAGAGGGGGAAGAAATGAGTAAATCAACAGAATCCCTAGAAAGAGAGCGCGTACGAAAACGGGATGTTGTCTCGAATATGGTTACGGGTGGATTGGCGAGCGGGATTGGGTGGGTGTTGGGTGCTCAGCCTGTTAATCGATAATTCTTCCCTTGTTGATATAATAAAGAGGAATTCTATGTATTGGGATGAATGATGAATGTCATGCATGTCGTATGTATTGTTTGATATATAATCGATAAATATATGAACCAACCAAACGCCCAGATATGAGGAAAGGACAGAGACGAAGTACCGAAACAGGGACGTAGCCATGCGGTGCAACACACAACATGAGTATAGTCTCATGCAATCAATAGTTCAAAAGTGTCATGATAAAATATTCAATTGCAACAGGCACAGCCCGTCTATATGCAATCAGTGGAATGGATGATGGCCAGCTAGTCAGTCCATCCCCATACTTGCTTAATAAAATTAGCCATATTGACTTTTTTATTCTTAATGTCCTGCATCCATGGATGATCCAGCATCCGCCACGGCGTGGCTCTTCGTGGAGGGTCTTTTTCAAGGCTATTCCCAGATATTAGTCCAGACTTGACAGAAAAGTAAGCAAGGGAACGCACCAGCACTCAATAAAGTATTTGAAATTATCAGACCAGTGAATATTGTTCTCTGGTTCGTCTTTTAGCGTTGGAATGGGTTGTCGGACGATATACGTTAATAAATCAATCAGTCCAGCGCGGGGTTGCATCTCTGTTCCATCTGCCGGGAATGGAAATCGGTGTTGAGCGACTTCGAGTAATGTGACGCCTAGGGACCAGACGTCTGAAGTGATGGTGTACGACTGACCCGTGATTCGTTCGGGAGCCATGTAGTATGATGTTCCGATAAAAGTGTTGGCGTCTCCTTTTGTGCCGAATTCTCCGCTGACGCCGAAATCGCACAGTTTGACTTGACCGTTTCGACAAAGTAGAATATTGGATGGTTTGATATCTGCAAACGTTAGACATGACACCTACCCAGGAACCGAAAAAAAAAAAAGAAGAGAATACCTCTGTGAATGATCTTTCGACTGTGCAGATAGGTCAGGCCATTGAGAACGCCTTCGGCAACCTTGCCCAACACTTTTTCGCCTGTTCGCCCGCCGAGTTTCCTAACTTCACGGTAGATGCTATCCAAACTTCCTCCCTCGCAGAATTCCATAGCAATTGAGATAGTGCCTGTAGATTTATCCATGAATGCACCATAGTATCGACAGATATGCTCAGATGCGCAGTCTTTGTTGAAATTCAACTCTCGGATAATTTGTTTCTTGACGTCGGGGTTAGGGTCGGTGGTGATAATCTACTCCGTTAGTTATATGCTTCTAAAGCCATGGTGAGATGGCATACCTTTAAAGCAAATATGGTATTACCATCCTTCAGTTTGCATCGCGTCACTGCACCACCGGCACCTTCTCCGAGACTTCCAAGTTCAACAATTTTCTTCTGTTCACTAGCTGCCAACCAGCCCTGGTCATCCAGATCTTCAACGTCAAGCGGTCGTCCCTTATCGAGACTCAACTTGTCGAGATCCGGTAGCAAGCTATTGACGCTGTTGTCTCTTTCCATGGATACACCACCGTCTCGATCCGAGTAAACAGAGCTAATGGCTGAGGACGGATCCGGAGTGCCAATAGTCGGCTGGCGTAGCCCCATAGCAAATGACAAAGTCGAGTATGACGAAGAGGAAGCACTACCGGGACCACTAGTCTTCCCATCTTGATGGGTGACACTCCCGGACGTAGACAGACCATTACTGCCGTCACCGAGACTATTGCTGCTCGTTGAAATACTGCTCAAATACGGTGTCGGCCTTCCAACCTCACCAGGCTGATTATTGCTACTTCTCATAGGAGTCGCCAATCGAAGTTGCGGTGGCGCAGGTCGACTTGATGGTTGCGGGAGGGGGATGTCTGATATTCGTGGATCTTCGTTGGAAGGATTGACTGGTTTCGTGCTGGGAGACGGAGGGATGCCAAGGGTAAGACGGGGCGTGCGGGTGCCGCTGTTGTTGCGACCGCCGGGCACTGGAGGCCTGAGGAGAGGTGCTGGGGACGACATGTTGGGTGTGTTGATGGGGTTGTCGAGGGTATCGTACGGCCTCGGAGCCAACCCCGAATTTGACGAATCTGCCAGGATGGATGTGGCGGATGAGAATCTATATGTTAATCGAATCGAAGACGTAGGTCAATAATACGGTAGTAGCTGTGATTGTTTCGTCCAGATGAGATGCGATGTCTCAGGCTGAGAGGTGAGAGGTGAGGTGGAGGGGGATTAGGCGCTAGCGGAGTGCAAGAGGGGGAAGCGGCGCAGTCAAGTTGACAGGGTACTCGGTAAACCGATCTTTATATAACGAGTGTCGAAATAGATGAAGAATGATGGTTTATCTTGACCAAAAAAAAGAAGAGAAAACAAAAGAAAAGAAAAAGTGGATGAGATGAGAAAGAGAATTATTCTGAGAGTTGAGTGAGTTGTCGGTGGAAAAGTTGAAACGTGAATGAACATAGACGATATGAAGAAGGGTGGGCTGGACCCACGGCGAAGCGCCGCTCGAAATGATACATGCACCACTCAGCTAGATGTACTTCAGTGTAGACGATAGAATCAACGCAATTTTCAGTTTGCATCTTCATATACGTCTTCATATACGGCTGCGCTGTGGTCTGTATAGTCGAATCGTTGATCTGGTCCTAATGAATACATTGCTACATGGGATATATAATATCCCACGACAGAAGGAAAGGAGCAATCCAGTTAGATAAGCCGACAAGTAGCCCGATCGCTGAGAGGCTGGTCCGACGCTGCGGGGATTTGATGCCAGACCAGTCATGGACAGTCACAGCCGCTGCTAATTCAGCCACAGTCATGAACAGGTTGACCGGCGGCAATTGCGTTGTCTTCGACAGTCGGATTCGCAGAACTGAGTAGGGGGTCGGCAGCTTGTGGAAGCATCGCACGTGTAGTTATATATTGTAGAATCATCTGTGATGGATGAAGAAGGTTGTCAAGGCAAGGAGTCCTTCCATACATCGATCGATCTCCCTCGGGAAGCCAGCACGTGAGACGACGGTACCTTCTTTCAACTCGACTGCGTCAACTGACTATACCCCGTACAACCCAACACTTCGGCAGCCAGCTGAGATAGTTCGTTAAAACGAACTATCTCAGCTGTCCTAAAGGAGACCCCTTTCTAAGGAGGTCATCTAGCTAGCAGCGATACTACGCTGATAGACAAGCTTCATCCACAGTGGATCTAAGACGTGCTTGCGATGTCCCCCTGAACATCCTCCGAACCTCCCCCCCCCCCCTCCCCTTCTCCCTCCCCTCCCCCAATCGTGGTTTGCTAATTGGTGAGTTAGTGGCGAACGTCTAAGTTCATACTACGGGATAAGTGAGGAGTCGCCAAGGAGCAGACCGCTCCTGTCTCTCACTGGTCTCACTTGGATATATCTTGATAGCATATAGCATATAGCATATAGTATATGGTATATAGTGGTAGTAGTTTCTGATGTACCGTGTATACTACGGGATGTACAGGTACGTACATCGACATACAGATTTCACAGCAAAGCGAGTACCAGTACAGACCCCAGAGTCTGGATAAGGAAGGAGCAGGACAGCACAAAACTCTAAGCAGAATTCATCTCATTCTCAGCCAATCAGAACGCGCACCAGATATCAAGCAGGAGGACATAGTGGGTCCAACCCCTGACTAAGTTAGACTAATCCACACTAGCGGGTCGTTCTGGCCAATCGCAGTCCACACAGAGGAGCACTGTCATCACTTTGCGTGGGGAGGGAATAAAACATCTGCCATTGGCTGTTTCGAAACAGACAATCAATTTGCAGCAGCGCTCTCAATGGCCCAGATGAGTAAACACTAGGGCACGATCTTCCATGGCTAATTTCCCTTCTCCTACAAAGACCCCGTCTCTTCCACTCTCTCTCTCTCTCTTCTTCCTCTCTTCTTCTCTCCTCCTCAGCTCACTCTCACACTCAGACTTTCTCTGCTGCCAACTGACTTCGGTCATCCACACTCTTTTCAAACCAACTACCCCACGCTCTTTCAGCAACCAAACCCTCAACCCTCAACCCTCGACTCAAATCGAACTTCCTTGACGGAATCTTTCTTCAAAAACCAACCATCACAACCGGCAAAATGCGTTTCTCCTTGGCTACTCTTGCTCTCTTCGCTGGTGCCTCCATGGCCCAGATCACCGTCACCAGCGTCGACGTCGAGACCATCACCTCCTGCGCTCCCACCGTGACCAACTGCCCTGCTCGCTCGACCTCTGTCGCTCCTGCTCCTCCCGTTGTCACCCCTAGCTCTGTGGCCCCTGTCTCCGAGACTCTCCCCGCTCCCGCTTCCTCCAAGCCTGCCACTTCTGCTCCAGTTGTGCCTGCTGGCCCCAGCACCACTCTCGTCCCCGTGGCTCCTTACCCCTCGGGATCTGTGTCCACCTCTGTCATCACCGTGACCACCTGCGTTCCCACCACCAGCTTGTCCACCATCACTTTCTCCGCCGCTCCTACGCCTGTGGTCCCTGCTGGAACCGGCTCTCCCAAGCCTGTGTCTTCCGGCGGTGTTGTCCCTGGACACTCCACTACGTAAGTTTTTCTCCTCTTCTGTTCTTCGATAAATGGAACATCCCAGCTAACGAGAACAGCCCCGCCTCTCCTAAGTTCACTGGTGCTGCCAACGCTGTCAGCGGTTCCTTCATGATGGCCGGTGCCGCCGCCGTCGCCGCCGTCTTCTTGGCTTAAATCATCTCGTGACGAGTTAGCACGACAGGCTGGTGGATTAGAGGATCGGAGAATTCATGGTCTGGACAGTTACGTGATGTTACTAGTTTGAGCGCAATCTTATTCTTTGAGGACCTTTTTGAAACTCCTTTTTTTTGACCTTCGGAATATACCTTTTCTGGGACTTGACGGATAGAGAGTTATAATGTGTGTGTGTTTCTTCCGTTTTTTCACTTGTACATTTTTGAAGAATCCAGTCAACGAACCATTTTACTTCTATCCGGATATCTCGATCAATTAACTTTTTTTACACCTGAACTTTTTTTTTATATCTTATCGTACGCATTAAGAGCTTAAGATCGTATGGCTCGCATCTGCATCTGCATCTTGAAATGACCAGAGTCAAGTAATCTGGTGGCTGCTGTTTAATTTAAACGTGAAACAGCGGGCTGGTTAGGCTCTATCCTTGATTCGGAGATTGTACTTGTTTATGATTCCTGTATTTCTGCATCTTTACTCATCGCTTAAGTATGGTAGAGGGTAGTTGTAGAGTGCTGATGAGCGACTTGCATTGTGTATATTATCCAGATAATCGGAAACAGATCAATGCTTTTAATAGAAACAGCCGATAAAGCTCAGACCATACACAAAATGCTGACTCTCCTATTGTCAACTCACCAAGGATAATCATTTATACTTCGTCGTAAGAGTAAATACATACCAACATCCTAGATCCTGCAGGGTGATTGTATGGACATACTACGTAGTAAAAATAGTAGCTGAACCCCACCCACATGATCCATCCGCTAGCCAGATACGACTTCACCAACCATAACATCTCTTTCTACAAATAGGGAAAATACTGTATACAGTAAGTAAACGCACAGATCTGTTTACGTCGTACTCGTGGTAAAATACTAAACCTTGGATTTAGCACATTCGACTGTCTCAGAGACTTGTACAATATTCTCGAATAATATTCTCGGTTCGAGAATCTTGACACATACATAGGCGATATACAGTCATATATTAACGTCAAAAATGGAGGACCTATCCTCCCTCGAAGGACCCCCAATGCAAGATGAGCGCTTTTCTCCGGTCTCCCTTGCAATACAATCTCCCGTCTCCCCAGAAGACACCTACATCGCCTACAATCCATACCGAGACATACCTCAAGGATCCGTATCGCCACTGACATCCGCGACACGATCCGTCGATGCGCGAAGCTCCATATCCAGTATTCGAGTACGTTCCCTTCTTTCTTCTCTTTAGAGGCAAAAAAGAAAGAAAGAAAGAAAGAAAACTGATTAGTTTAGCCAACCCTACGAACATCAAGAAGTCATTCCGCTCTCCGTGAGGATGCGACTGATATCCCCCGCCGGCCAGCAAGTACAGATAACAGCAATAATCCTAATACTCTCAGCAGTAACAACACGACAGCCCCGTTTTGGTTACTTGTGAATGGACGACTGGTCTGGATTGAGGATTTGCAGTTATGGGTTCTCTGGGATGATGTGGTTGCATCGAGGGATTTGAGTGCGTATTATTCTCAGCAGCAGCAGCAGCAGCAGCAACAACAGCAACAACAGCAGAATCACCGACAAGAGAACGAGAGGCAGATTAGGACGTGGAAGAGTCTACCGCCTTTACCGCATGAGATTCATCATTTGTTACCCGTGTCCAGCACAGAGGGCGGTTTTGATGGTGATGGTATACGACGGCAGGATCAGTATTACGCGCAGACCACCAGTGCAGCAAATGCGAGGATTCAGTTGCAGTGGGCGAGTTTGGCAGGACAATTGGGTATGTTTCTTCCATTTTCTCAAGCAAGAAGAAGGAGGGCTGATTTGTTGAAGCACCGCATATCTCATCTGAGCGGTCGACGACACGGCCTTTGCAGAGGTCACAATCGTCACAGCCGTCATATTTGAATCCTCAGTCACAACCGGTTCAGCGAGGTGGTTATCATTACTATTCATAACGGTCAGTCCGTTCGGCGATTATGGGGAATCGGAATAATACTTAATGGTACTCTGTATAATATGCATATGGCCGGAGTTGAATATAGGCTGTTTCTCTGCATTATAGCATGATTTTGAGCATCTATTGCTTTGTCTCTCTTTTAATATCAGTTAGGGGTGTTGTGTGTGGTGTTCTCGGGGAGTGCATTACCATGATTTATGATTTATATTTGAGTCTTATATTAACATATTTTGATCGCAGAATAAGATTAAATCAGCACATCTCGTTATTTAATTTCTGCACACTACCTAGGTACATGAACAATCAGATCAACTAGTTATCCATGGCGCCGGGATATATATATCTAAACATGGTCATATACCTGGGTAAACCAAATCATTTCCGTAGTCCACCTGGGCACGAGCTACGAGCAATAGACAATCAAAATCGATATTCTATGGATGTAATCAATAACCGATCAAAAAATATTTCTACCTACGTGCTACCTACTACGTACCTTAGTAGATACTAGAGAGGGGTACAGTTTCAGCCTTGTTAGTCGGCTTGTCTCAGGTTGCCGTCCTTGACGTAGTAACAGAACCAGAGATATGTTTGAGAATTGTCACTGTCAGTCAGTTCTTGACATTTCTTGTGGGGTTTGATTTATGATATTCTGAAACGGTTGGGTGTGTTTGAGTGTGCCCCTTTAACTGGTGATATTTTGAGTATGTTAACCGTATTTTCGACTGTTGAGTGTCGGCTAAGGGATGATGCGGACAAGACTTTGGTACAAATACATCCTAGATAAGTATCCCATTGAAGAGAATAATACTCCAGTTGATTAACAGTATATTCCTTTTATTAATTTTTCTTATTCTATTCAATACTCAATTACTGATGTTGCACACCCCGCTACTATCTAAAGTGTATCAGATTAGATATGATGAGATGATACACTGGTGCAGATTAGCCCTAATCAGCTCCTCCAAACACTACATCCATACTCCATACTCCAAGTACCACCAATCGACCCATTAGCATCCCAACTTCTAATATCAAGGATCTATGGATATCATTCCCCGAAATTAAAAAAATACGTTTAACTCGTATACGCAGAGCCCCATTTCCAATTCCAGATCTAGTCAACCCCCGAAAAAGGAAGAAGGCGTTTGAGATTCAACGAACCTGTTCGTTGAAAAAGTCCTAGATGAGTAAAGATTGTAACCTGTACCCATGGATAGGGTGGGCTGGAGATCCTGGCGTAATACTAATTAATCTAGTTTTAAGCCATGAATGGGTTCTATGGTGATCTATACTTACGTAGATGTGGATGAGTGGCAAGACGTTAGACTACAGTTCATGGAAATACCAACCCCCGTGGCTGAGGAGTTCGTACTAAAGTTATTAAACTTAAGATCATGGCCTTCGATCATATTACGTTGGCTAATAACTATGTATGGTCTGGAGGAGGGGTGCAGACACATGAGACGCGTAGAGAGTTCTTCTTACCAAGTATTCTCATACCACGTATCTTACTTACGGGTTGTTATGTTCCAAGAGTGTTGTTCAGGAGATTGCCTAGGTTGATATTTACTCTTCTCCTTTCTCTATATTCCTTAATTCCGATTGATTTTTATTACATATTTTGTTTTCCATTCTAGATCTTTCTTCACTTCAACATAGACAGCGTTATCGATTCTCGGAGCAGGCCGGCTTATTCTTGTTTAATTTGTTGATATATACGTTATTAATATATATTAATATTGGATCAACGCACAAGGTTATCTGTGCCGGATATGTCATGACAACGGCAACTGATCAGAACAATATGAACAACCATGCATACAGGTACGTCTCTTCTCGTTCTTGCCCAGTTCCAGGATATACCAAGGTATAGACTCCTCTGATACATTTTTATCAAGAGAATTACCCTCCACAGCGGAAATGGACTCGTCGTCCGCAACCCTACCAACACAGCCACAGCAACAACAACAACAACAACAACAACAATACCATCAAAATTCTCTGAATACAGTCAGAAAAACAATGTCAACCATGGAGACACTCGGTATTCGTCTACCGCCTCCGGGATTTCGTGCAGATACTACATCTGCACCGACAACAAATCCGCAACATCAGCCACAGCAATGGCGACACGACCCAGTGCCGAATGTGCACATAACGCCTCCGAACACGACCTATCCGCAATCCTATGAACAGCCCTACGCGTCTCTAAACGCAGGCTACGCACAGTTCCAAGCGGGTAATGACCATTTTGACGAATGCGGATTATCGTATACACCTACCTTGAGTGGTCGTAAGTCTTCCTTCCTTTTCCTCCTTACACGTTCGTCAAATCCCAAACTGAGCAGGATAGATGACGATGAATTATTGGATAATTTAGACGATGGCGATAATACTCAATTGTTATCCAATTATTATCATAATCCATACACAAACGTCGTCCCCTGTCAGGATGAGCATTATCATTATCCGGGTATGCCGGGTTCGTCGTCTTCGTTTATGATGATGAGATATCCCGATTATCAAGATGCAGAAGGGTTGTATCCTTTTGATCCTTATAATAATCATAATATGATGCAGCAGTACTCTTCTGCTTCTTCGTCTTCTTTGACCTCGTCGTCGGAGATCCATCCGACGATGATACGACCGTTGTCGTCTACGGCCGAAGGGATGAGTTTGCCGGGGTATTCGCTGACTTCGTACTGTGATCAAGCTTATAATCATGCTGGATTGGAAGGGGTGTTTGTGCCGAATTCGAATCCATCGGTAGCGAGCGTGCCTTCGCTGCATATGCCTACGTACGACACGACAAAGTCTTATGAGTCGCGGCAGACTCATTTGAATAAGAGGATGGCAACTGAGGATCCATCTCCGGGGTCGCCGCATGTATCCAAAAGACCGAGGATGACTTTGACTCCTTCGCTCAAGACTTCGTCAGGGGGTATTCAGAAACCCGTTCATCAGCCCTCGCGGAGCGAGGCATTGGCAAAACTGAATACCCCATCGGCAAATACACCCATCTCCAGACCGGCACAATCACCACATCATTATCAACAGCTCGCGCCACCATTCTTACTCCCCTCAAATGCAGATAGTAGCGGCGTACCCATGAAACCACTCCACTCCTCATCGCGAAGAACAGCCTCATCCTCCTCCACCGAATCCCACCACAAACAGGCCGAGAATAACAACAACAGAAAACTATCCTACACCAACTCCTCCAAACCACCCGATCTCCTCGGTCCCCTTTTCGAAGAACAAGAATCCCCACCACTCAAAGACATGACCCCCGACGACCCCGAAATGATCCCGCACAAACAAAACCTCCGCTTCGAAAACGACCTATACACCCCTCGCTGGGTGCGCGGCCATGGAAATAAGCGTGAAGGTTGGTGCGGAATCTGTAAACCGGGGCGATGGCTTGTACTTAAGAATTCTGCTTTTTGGTACGATAAGAGTTTTTCGCATGGGGTTAGTGCTGTGACGGGCAGGGCGTTTGAGGGGCCGAAATCGATTAGGAGGATTAAGAGAATTAAGAATAACCCAGATAGCAGGACCAATAGTTGGCCCGCCGGTGGAGGAGGGGAAGGCAGTGAGAATAGAGGGATTGTCTCGACTAGTCGACTGGGGGGCAAGACGACTACGACTTGGGAGGGGTTGTGTGGGAGTTGCAATGAGTGGATTGCGTTGGTTAGTAGTAAGAAGAAGGGGACTACGTGGTTTAGACATGCATATAGGGTTTGTCTTCTCCATTCCTTTGGGTGATGTTTATACTAATGAAATTACAGTGTCAGAGTCAGTTCAAAGCCAGGGAGAGGGATAGTCGGAGTGCTCTGTCCTCACCGTTGCCATCTACGAGTGGATGATCTGGCGGATTGTGAAGATATATATGATGATACGGCCATAGATGATAAATAGATTTGTATGATATGATTATGATTATGATCGATGTGTTCGTTGAATAGAGACGATTTATACTTAAGCAGGACGTTGATGACGCTAACCTGATATGGGATAGCTCAAAATCTGTAGTCCATGACTCCGATTGGTTGATTCATCTCTAGGAAAAAGTGTCTTTATTTTTCTTTACTCCGTATGATCTGAAATGTTTTAATGGAATGTTGTATATTATGCTGAGAAGCTTGATTTCATGCAATTTGCATGGACTAGTATAGTCATGATTTTACAGCCACCGACTACTGATCAACGCTGATTGTCGGTGATTGACGCCATGCCCTGGAAAGATTGTCACCTTCCAACTAGAGCACAATTCTCAATCTCTCCCCTGATCGAGGAACTGTCAAATCACCTAGTGACAGGCTGACAGCTACCGACAAATTGTCAAAATGACAGGACATCGCCACACTGTTTGAGGTTTTGAGCAATCTTTACTAGGCTATCCGACTGCTCACAGCCCAAGTGGAGCAAAAAAAGCAATGAGTTGACAGTATTCGAGGCGCCGGTGAGAACAACAACAAAAAGATTGGTATATACATCTGATGAGTCTAACGACCTGATTAATGATCTGAGTTTTCAATATGGATTCAGTAGACATAAAGACCATTCTTGACAAGGTACCGAGCAGCTGGCAGTCGAAATCGTTTTCGTCAGATCTTTAGGCATCCTGGATACGTAGTCCACTCACTAACTTAGTTGAGCACTGATATTTCTGATAGTTTGAAACTTCTCCTTTTTAGCTGTAGTCTAGCCTGTCTGTCGGTATCGATTTGATTCCATTGAGCTCTGCAGAATTCCCTGTAGGTGCTAACGCTGCCTGCATACACTAAGCAATCAACGTCGTTACTTCTACTCCGGACATCCACCCAAATCAACAGCTTGGACATCCAGTTTGTCACTTTGATTGTCAGGCATACTCTGCATGCAAACCGGTTAACAATCGAGATTCCAAGGTTGTTAACAGTTGTCGGTATCGATAGAGAGAGATCCCGACCCGGAGGTCCTCTATATTGCCGTCAATTATCATCAATTCAACCACTCCGGTCGCTTCTCATAGTAGTCGCTCTCATAACCGCCGCGGCGCTCGTCTGCAATCATTCCTCGGATTGGACGGTTGAAGGACTTGCAGACAAGTCCCCGAAGCAACGATTGATTGAATAATCACCGTGGCTGGGGACAACAACAGAACTGACTGGCTTGTATTGGACTCCACAGTGCACACACCACAGGAAGTCCAACGCATCTGCTGGCCATCGTATTGGCTTTTTCTTATTCCTTCCATCAGCTTATTCTATTCCCTTTTCCATGCCCCGCGTGATCGTGTTTGGCTAGCTTTGTATTTGCATTTTATTGGGGCTGGCGTCCCTTCTGGCCAAGTGGACATTACTTTCATCTCATCTTGCAGCGTTATTTCTGCACCTTGTTGGATAAGTGCAAGTGTGAGTATATTCTTTTCTCAGTATACGTTGAGAGAAGAAAAAAGGGAAGAAAAGTTCTACCGCTTTCGTCGTAGTTCGATCCCGCTTCCCGCCCCCGTGAGCCATACAAAATTACTCTACATTCTACCAATGGTGCTCCATCAATTCTTTTCCAAATCAAACTCGGAAAAGGACAAGGAGAAAAAGGAGAAAAAGGTCAAATCCAAAGACTCTAGAGAAGACAGCGTTTCTCCCCGACGAAAAGACACCCGATCCAAAGGTCGCCCCCGAAGTAGCGTCGGCGACCTCAGCCTGGACCTGGATCCAGATTCTTCATTTTCACCTTCTCTCTCCAGTTCTCCGCAAAAGTCTGCGTCGTCCTCGCCTCGCAAGTCTTCTCCCACGAAAACTACCCTTCCTTATCCAAACCTAAGACCTACGCACAGTCGTTCCTCCTCCACGACCACATCGAAACCCGCATTTTTTTCTTCTTCAAACCGCAACTCGCGCAGCGAAGACTCACACCCGTTGAATCTTCCGCCAGACGAGCTCCGTCGACATCTTTCCGCCATGGCTGCTGCTAGGGACGACAGCATGCGGAGCTCCATGGACATTGACCGGGATACCACAGCATCTCCTCAACCGGATGCCACACCCATGGGCACAAACGGGACGCAGAATGACGATACGGATCGCAGTCCGACCCCGCCTCCCCATCGTTCTCCTCCGCCAAACAGCGACGGCGGGGAGTCGCACAAACTAGCCGGAAATAAGTTCTATAAGCAAGGGGACTACCAGCGGGCTATACAAGAATACAATAAAGGTTAGTTCCTCCCGAGGCTTAAGAATATGAAGTATATGCTAAACTTTTGATTCAGCCCTGGAGGTCAATCCAAACTCTTCAATCTTTCTTTCGAACCGTGCTGCAGCTTTTCTGTCTGCCAACCGGTTCATCGAAGCCCTGGATGACGCACAGCGTGCGCTGGAACTTGACCCGGAGAATTCCAAAATCATGCATCGTCTAGCCCGCATTTTGACAAGCCTTGGCCGACCAGCAGACGCTCTAGATGTGCTGTCAAAAGTCCAGCCTCCAGCATCCGCCAAAGACCGTGCCAATGCCGAGGCAATGCTGCGACATATTACTCAAGCCGAGGACTCTTTGAACAATGGCAAGGGTGGATCGTTGGTCGTTTTCGCCATTGAGCAAGCCAAACAGATGCTTGGACCGGGTGTCAAGACTCCACGAAAGTGGCAGCTTATGCTTGGTGAAGCTCAATTGAAGATCGGGAATGAGAACGGTTTCGGCAAAGCACATGATGTGGCCATATCGTTGCTACGAGAGAACAACCAAGACCCCGATGCACTCTTGCTACGTGCAAAAGCATACTATGGCCAGGGTGACAACGACCAGGCCGTGAAATATACCAGGATGAGTCTCCAACTCGATCCAGACAATAAAAAGGCATTCACTCTACTGCGACTGGTGCAGAGACTGGTCCGTACCAAAGAGGAAGGTAACGCGGCCTTCAAAGCCAAGGACTACAAACGTGCAGTTGAGCTGTACACCCAGGGCCTTGAAATCGACCCAACCAACAAGGATACCAATTCAAAACTACTACAAAACCGTGCACAGGCCCACATAGCTCTGAAAGATTACGAAAAGGCAATAGAAGACTGCACGGAAGCCCTCCGTCTTGATCCCGGTTACATTAAAGCACAAAAGATCCGAGCCAAAGCCCACGGCGCCGCAGGAAACTGGGAAGAAGCCATCAAGGATTACAAGAATGTCGCCGAAACCAACCCTGGCGAAAAGGGTATTCAGGAAGATATTCGTCATGCCGAGTTTGAGCTCAAGAAGAGCCAACGCAAGGATTATTATAAGATTTTGGGAGTTGAGAAGGATGCTTCGGAGGCGGAAATTAAGAAAGCGTACAAAAAGATGGCTATTCAGTTACATCCTGATAAGAACCCGAACTCGAGTGATGATAAGTTCAAGGAACTTGGTGAGGCGTATGAGACTTTGATTGATCCTCAGTATGTTCTCTTTTCTTATACGCTTCTTCAATATCTTGCTAACAAGAATTTAGGAAACGTGCCGCATATGATAACGGTGATGATCTCCTTGATCCATCTGAAATGTTTGGACGCGGCGGCTCACCTTTCGGTGGTATGGGCGGCATGGGCGGCATGGGAGGCATGCACGGCGTCAACATCGATCCCAATATTCTCTTCAACATGATGAACGGCGGAGGAGGTGGATTCGCTCATGCCGGCGGCAACCCATTTGCTGGCGCTCAGGGTCGTGGCGGTGGCTTCCAAGGATTTCAATTCTAGCCTCTTATCAATAGAGCAGCATACTGGCACCTGAGGTGTCTACTTGAACGAAAGCCCTTGGCATTTATCACATTAGTGACTACGATAGACAATGTCCAAAAGCTATGATGTTTCTTAACCCATCGACAGGAATTTTCGTCATTCAAGCGAATTTCAACAAGACAGAACTTTTTTTCTGGGATATCAGACCCCTTTTCATCAATTTCCTCCAGCATGAACTGATCAATAGACTGTTCTCATGTTTGTGCTTGTATGTATGATGTTTTTTAGGATATTTCCGGCATGTGGCGCACCTCTTTTTTCTTTTCTATCTGTCGACTTGCTCTGAATTCGTTTCTTGCTATTCTCATTCTGTGCATGAGGAACATAGATTGGCGTTTCGTTTCTTCCATTATGAAAGTTTAGGATTACAGCTATGTCATGTCTTGTTCGTCTGAATGGTACATACTTATTTCGCACGAACGACTAAAGTATGAACCTGGAGTCGATAGAATTTCACTAGATTCGGAGATTCTGTGATTTGTATACGGCCAGTCTATCTAATGATAGAACATGGTGCTCATTCATCAATTGATCGATCCAGATCTATAAATATGCTTGTTCCCAAGACATTTCGAACCATGACGATACCACAAGATCTAGTTAACCTTCACGGAAAGCACCTAAGATTCGAATTAGACATGCTCCCGATGATCAGTCTCCGAATCAATTACTTGTGGCGTCTTCTCATCATTATCAGATAACTTCTCGTTATTCGCCGCTCCCAATCGCTCAATCTCCTCATCCATACGGATATATTCCTCTGGTCTCTCGAGTTGAGTGGCCGCTATCATTGTCAGTAAGCCTGTATCTATCAGCGAACAGGAAGAAAGGGGGGACAAGCTCACTCTTATTCCAAGCAACAATAATACCCGGCTTCGTCTCAAAGAACCGATCGATATCCTCCAACGTCCTATTTGCCGTTTCGGGATAGAACAAGTATGTGACAGGGATAAAACTGAAGCAGATAATAGCCCAAATAATCCAGAATTTCCAGCCGAGATTTGCGATTCCCGGTGGTGTCACTTGGACGACCATATAGTTCATTATCCAGTTTGTGGCCATTGCTAAAGACGAGCCCTTTGTGCGCATTTCGAGGGCGTTGATTTCGGTTGGATAGAGCCTTTTCCCTGTCAGCATGTACATCTCATGTGTATAAAGGGAAAGGTGACCAACCAGGGAACACCCAAAACCCCCAATCCGAAACTAGCAAAAAACACAAAAAAAAACGAAACAGCCACAATACCCAATTTGTACGAATCGCCTCTCCCCGTATCCGAGATTGCGAGTACAATGGCAATCACGACCCAACACGTACAACACGCGGCAGCAGAATACATCATGACTTTTCGACGGCCGTATCGCTCAATGATGAAATATGCGAGACACGAAAAGAAGAGGTAATCGACACTGCCGGCTGCGGCGAGGATGCGGGCAAGTAATTCGCTTATGCCCAGGGCGTTGATGAAGACGTAGGACATGTAGTAGCTTGTGATGTTTATGCCGGAGATTTGGTTCATGGCTTGCATCCAGGCGCCGAGGATCATGCGACGGAGGACGCCGGAGGGGCCTATTTCTCCAGTCATTATTTTGCTTTGCTTGAGAAATAGAAAAACGAGAGTTGAGGAGACATACCTCGTCCCGTAAGTAGTTGAAACCATGTATAAGTCGCTACATGCTCACGATCAAGAATATCCTTGATAATATTAAACTGCGACATGACCGATGGAGAATCAGGTGTTGCGCCTCCACCTTGAAGAGCAGCAATGACTTCTCGCGCTTCGTCGTATTTTCCCTTGCGGATCAGAAGACGTGGGGAATCAGGTAGGAATGGGCAGAGAATATAAATGACCAGCGTGAAGAAGATCTGGAAAGCGAGTGGGAATCGCCATGCCACACTCCCGGAGAGGAAGGAGAATCCCAGTGTGAGCCAGTTGGAGAGTGAGAAGCCGGAGATACAGTTTGCCTGTAGCATGTTAGAAGAGAGCACAGAAAGAGGCGTAGGGACGAACCATTTGGATGATAATCAGCTTTCCTCTACTGCGCATCTTGCTAGTTTCGGCCTGCCATACACCGGCGGTAGCTGTATTCATTCCTATCATTCAATAACCTGTCAGTAAAATGTGTAGGAGGTGATAGTTCAGAACGGAAAGAAACTGACCGGTCCCCAAACCAGCAACAACCCTTCCAACCATCATCTGCGCGACACTAAAAGAAGCAGTCTGTATCACAGCACCGATGGCAATCACCGTACTTCCGATAATGACCTGACGCGGTCGACCGAATATATCACCAGTCCAGATGGTCGACATGGCGCCTACGAAACAGCCGAGATTGTACACGGAGGTCATTGTTGCTTGCATATTGGAGGAGGGGTAGTTCATTGTTTTGAGGAAGTTTTCGCCTATGATGACGTTTCCGAAGACGCCCTTGATATATCATCTTAGTTTTGTTTCCCTTGATTTAGGGGTTGAGGAATTGAGATACCTGGTCATAACCGTAGAAGATGATGACCGTCGAAGCGGCGATGGAGATCCATACGGTGAGGGCATCGCCGGAGCCTCCCCAGTATTTCCGGGCCATGGTGAAGATAAAGCCTAATTCGTGTAGTAACGATCAATAAAAAAAAAGTAAGCTGCAGAGATAATAGTCAAAATATATATGCGACAACAGGACTGTTCTCAGTGAGCCGGTAGGCTGGAATGTAGGACAAGATAAGAAATCAATTGAACAAGCCGGGCCCATTCAACCTTGGAAATGTCTCTGTCTACCATCCCCGTCTCTGCATGGAGATAGCCCTCTTTATATAGACAAGTACGTAAGTACCTATCATATGCAACACGAAGCCAAAAATAAAAGAGTTAGCGACATTCCAACGCACGGAAAGTATTCCGATTGAAGCTTAAACCCTCCTCTACCCCGTACCCATCTCCAGATTTGGGGACCATAATGCGGAGAGATCATCTTCACTGATGATATTGGATGTTTGATTGGATTGAAGATAGATCAATCCCCTCAATATGAAGTCTATCTCTCGGGCGAGAGGAATGTCATCGCCCACTCTCCCCGTGGGGAAGAAGAGAGTGTATCCACTGTGTGCACCCCCTCCTGAAGAGGTTTGGTATGCGGGAAAGTGAAGCGAGAGGACCTGAGCCACTCGTCGTGCAACGATCGTCGAGTCTGGTCTTGGAACTAATACGGAGGGCAGGTTTGGCGAGTTACTACGCTTATGCACTAACAATATATTTCATTCATAAGAAACGAATCATTGGTCATGAAGATACAATTTGGAGACCGGCGCGATGACATCCAGCTCAAGCGTCCGCATATTCAATTATCGCCAAGGATGTAAACTTCAACTCCTTCAGACTCCTCCTCATACACCGGGTACGAGCGATCCTTGAGACAAAACTCAATAGAACCAGAGCCCGAGGACTCTAAAGCAACTTCCATATCGCCGCGGCTCCCCCACCATTTGGGCTGTCTATCGTCGTCATCATTGTTGGGCTGCTTGATGCCCACGGCATGTCCTCGAGAATGCTCAATGACTTGAAGGTTGTCTCCCTTGAGAGCGGTCCAGCCGCTAGAGGAGACTGCTTCGACATTTCCGGCCCAGGAATGCGGGTAGCTGACTTGTATATGTCCGGAATTACTGGTGTGCCATGCCGAAGTTTTTGATAGTCCTGTGTCACCGGGGTATGTCTTGCCGGAGGCATCGATGATGAGTGGTTCACTCAGAGAGATTTGTTGAGCGCCACTGTCCGTGTCGGTGGTCAGAGTGGCATGGACAAACTCATCAGGCGAGACAACGGGCACAAATGAAGCTGCAATGTGTCCCGCGTCAGACTCTAAAAGGGCAGAAGTAGTAAATATGAATCTGCCGTTGATCGAGCCGCTCTGCGTCTTGACCTCGACCTCGTACGGACGATAGGGTATCTGGCCCGTGACTTGTGAAATACCGGTAGCCCCCGAATTCTTCAAGTAGTCAAGATCAATAATGCCGTCGACTTTCTTAATATCGCCGTTTTCAAATGTGGCCATGGTATCGATACTATGCTGCAAAAACGCCACCGAAACAGAACCAGATGTAGTTTCTATAACAAGCCGAGCTGGTTCGCCGGGTTTCTTAGGGTCGGCCGGTTGAGGATCAACGACGATATTGACGCTACCTGATGTAGTTTTCAGGTGAAGCAAGTCATATAGAGGATAACGACCAAAGATGGCTTGTGATCCTTGGTCGAGGATGATTTCTCGACCGGTACCGAACTCTTCTGAGGGATGGTTCGAGAAGACAGGTAGTTTTTCTGCCTGTTCATTCAATTAGTTTCCTTTCGGCCTGATTCTTGAAAATGACTTACCCGTCGATGTCTCAAACACATCCTCGTAACCAAAAATGAGAAACACCCAAACAGCATAATCGCTTTAATAAACATCAGGATATGTCTCCGTACTCGCCTCTTCCTATCAGCACATGGACCCGATGCCCGCCGACACCGACGACGAATACATCCCCGTCGCTTGCACCTATCCTCTTCCTCATTATTGTTATGTCCTACCTCCTCTTCTGCCAGCAGACCACCTTTTTCAAGGTGAGTAGGTTCATATTCCGTATATTCAGGTAAACTTTCAGTATCCGCTTTTGCGTCTATCTTTCCTTCATGAACCGGTGGGTCACTATAAACGGTTGATCCGGACAAAGAAGCCAAATCAGAGTCTGAGTGCTCTTCGCTCAGTAGTGGAGTTGTTGCTTGTTCTGAGTTTTGGGCCATGTTGTTTGATGGCTATGTATCATTCAAGTGATTCTATGGATGAATGATGAAGAAGAAGACCATGAACTGATCTTATGTTCGGCTGAGTCGCTCAGCTTTGTCAGGCAGCCAAGTTTATGACGTATTTTATTGGCGGGTGTCTCAGAGGCAGTGTTGGTTTTCAGCCGGTAATAAGGTGGCCTTCTCATACAAATATGGGTGGCTATGTGGTAATCCGATGTATGTAATTTACAGTCATGTCATCCGATGATCCGGGGGATCCGCCGTCAGCCCTAAAATAGTTACAAAAGAGGAATAAGTCGGGCTATGTCTCAGAATCAATAATGAATTAATATGTGCATGTGGAAATTGTCAACTATCGACTTCTCTCTCGCTCAGTCTGGGAGATATATGGTGCTAATATTCAACGATATAATAACAAAGGGCATGGGGGGAATCGTAGACAAAATCATTCGGGTAGGGGATGGTCTGTACAGGGAACTCCTCCAATGATTAATAACAAAACAATAAAAACTCATGATTATAGAAAAGAAATCTCATCGCTAATGGCAGAGCAATGTGTAGAAGGAAAATGGATGCCTTATGCCATGCAAATGCTCTCGGAAATGATCAGAAAAAGAACCAATCATACTAATAGCCAAGATTCGTCAAATATGTATTGGCTTCGTTCTTGGACAACTCCGATTGACTCAAGTGTCGTGCTTGAGAACCGGATTTGAGTTTCTTGAAGCCTAGAGTGACTTTCCACACTTCAGATTCTGCGAGCACAATGACATATCTTTTACCTTCTTGATCGCGGACGCTGGCGCGGACGACTTGTAGGCCTCGAAGTTTGATTGTCTACATATACCTCGTTAGCAAGTCTCTAAAAACAGTAGTCCTAAGGATAATACCTACCTCAATTGACTTCAACGTCCACGCTTTCACGTCCCATTCCCTTTGTGCGACTCCGCGTACATCGTCATCAATGAACAAACCTTCTGTGGTAATCCTCAGAATTAGTCCATCCGTGACGGATCCCTGGCCAGAGACTAGCTGTGCGATCGGAGTCTTCTGGAAAGCGTTGTTGAAAAGATACACACCGCGGATAATGACTTTGTCGGGATCCTTGGTCATATACGGTCCACGATGAGACGGTGGAGGTGTTGTTCGTGCTGTCGATTGGGACGGAGCATATGACGACTCGGAATAGACAGAGGGCGCTGATGTCCCATACGGTCGTCGTGGCCTATCATAAGGCCGGAATGAATAGGCATCGTCCTCGACGTCGGCGGTCCTCGCTGATGGCGGTGGTGCCTTTTTCGGCGAGGGAGTTCGTGGAGGAATCGGGGCTGACGCTGCACTGGGAGCCGGAGCTGGAGTGGCTGCTTTGGCCTTTGCCGCAGCCTCTTTTGCAGCGGCAAACTTTTTAGCGGCAGCTTCTTTGGCCGCAGCAAACCGCGCTGCTGCTTCTTTCTTTGCGGCCTCTTTGGCTGCAGCCTCTTTTTCTGCAGCTTCCTTTCTCGCTCTCTCTTCTTTTTCTGCAGCCTCTTTTCTTGCTCTCTCTTCTTTTTCTTCAGCTTCTTTTCTTGCTCTCTCAGCTCGTTCTTCTTCTTCTTTTCTGATTCGTTCCTCCCGTTCGGCGGCTTCTCTAGCAGCCCTTTCCCTAATCTCTTTTTCTGCCGCTGCTTTAGCTGCGGCAGCTTCCCTTTCAAGCTCCTCCTTGCGTTGTTTCAATTCCCTCTCCATGGCTTCGCGCTCTTGTTGCCTCCTCCGCTCCGCCTCTTCTGCCTCTCTCTTCTTTCTGTAAGCTTCCATCTTTCGTCGAATCTCTTCTTTGCGTTTCGTCTCTTCACGAGCCCTTTCCCATTCCGCTTCTGCCTTTTTAGGGTCCTCTTTTGGGGTGCTGCTCTGAGCATTGTTGGCGGTACTATCCTGGGGAGCGCCATTTGGCTGAGTGCCATGGTTGTTGAATGGCGGTGGTTGTGATGCGCCACCAGGGTTGTATTGACCGCCTGTAGTATTATACTGAGGAGTTGGCCGTGGTCCTGCACCGGGGTAAGCCCCTCCTGGATTTGGCTGTGCACCACCGTACTGGAAGCCATTAGCGAACCCTGCTCCGGGGCGCGGTCTGCTTGATGAACTGCCTTTCGTAGCACCCCCATCATTCTGTAATGTGCCAAAGTACCAGCCGGCAAAACCAACAGCAAGGACTAAAAGTACGATACCCATCCCTCCAGGTGCATTCGACGTCGCAAGCCAAGTTTTTACTATGGGTTGTACCAAAATCCACAAGCCGACGACTGCCAAGGTAGATAACGAGCCTGCAATGAAGCTGTTGCGATGGCACTGCAAGGACGGTAAATAAAGAAACCCCCCTCCGGCAGAATGAGGCGGTATCACAAAAATGTCGTATGGCCCGTCGGGCAAATCCGTCGATTTTCGATATCTCGGGGTCCCCTCGGTCGTATTTGGATTTGCGCCATGCGGCGGGGGAGGCGGTGGTGGTCCTTCCATTGATGGCTTGATACCGTTATACTGACTCCGATTGCTGTTATACTCTGACTCCGAATTGGTTGTGCGACCGACCGTTATATATAGTGATATATAGTTATATATACTCACTCCCCCCTGTCCGTTCTCCCCTTCGATATATTAGCAAAGTTCGGTTCACAGACTTCGAATCACCTTTTCCGGCGTGGAAAGGCGGATATACGAATATTGACGAGAAAGGGTTACTGTTGACTTCATATTCACTGCGACATGGATGGGCACTGGGGCGGGCGGCCCGTCAGTGCATCTGGTATCGTTGTCTCGTAAAGATGAAAGGATGCGTGCGATATGAACGGATATAACTGTATTTTTATGTCGTTTGCCGAAATAAAATGCGAATCGTTGTACTAGAACCGTGGGACTTTATCTCCGACTGTGGAATGTGTCTTGAATGACCAGACAATTCGCAAGTGGAAGCTAGATTGTATACGGAGGTATTTGTGGCTTTCTTGGCGATATACTGGAGAAGCGACTGTTTCTTTGACAAGGAATTTGGATTTGTAACGTTAGACGGCCGTTGAAGAGGAGAGAGGAATGCGGATGGGGAGTGGATAGAGGAGAGGTAAGTTAAGACGTGGAAAGCGAGAGTCGGAAGACCGCCCCTCTAGCTTCTTTAGGCTCTTTTCTTTTCTTTGCTTTTTCCTTTCCTTTTCTGGGTCTTTTTACTCACAAACGCCGAAAGAATGGAGTTGGCTGCTGTGGGCCTACAATCATCACTAACTTAGCTGCCAGTGCCACTAACATGCTTAAAACTAGTCCGGGAAAAAGTACAGCAGCGGCTTGACTTCAAGAGACTCTCGAATCGTCCACAACTGCTTACCATTTCTCCAAGTCAAATCCTTGAAGCTCGAATTGTTTGCTAGACCTTTTTTGCCTCTTCCATCCATCTGTTCTTCGAAAAGACGAAAAGACCAAAAGACCAAAAGAAAGGAAGAAAAAGTCGAGTCGTCTTCTGTTTGTTTTGATTTTCCTGTTTGTGACACGGGTGGGCCAACCACAGCCACCTTACACTAGTGACAAACAGTGTGACATGCTCTGTACACAATGCTACCACAGCGCACACTGTTCAACGGCCAAGCTCTTCTTCCACCCTCCTAGCGAATTGAACTCAACAATCCCCTTTTGGGAGGGAGTTAGAATGGAGACGAATACGTGGCAGCTGCGTCTAAATCAATAATCCAACGACAATCATTGGACTGTCACCATGCATAAGGGCCTGTTCTGTCACAGAGCGACAATCCAATTGAAGAGCAGCCGGAAACAGTCGCCCCGGCAACCAGCCCGTATCAATACAGCCGCAGCCGGCCCGCTCCCGCCGAACCATTCTGTCTGCCTATTGATACAGCATAGTATTGTTCTGTCTCGATGGAACATGCAAAAAGAATTTGCTTAACAGCCTGAACAGGGTTCTAGTTACAGCTCTTCTAACGATATAAACCGTTCAAAGTGTTTCGTTCGTATGTCCCCTGAGGAGTCCCGCCTGTATCATTAACGAGCACTTTGTACTCATACGTATTTGAGAAATAGCAAGCTCAAACACCGTAGAAGACATTATTATTCTTGCTTTCATAATTCCAGGTTTTCCAGTTTATTCTCTGTACTACATAGTACACTGAATATGAACAAGGCATCACTATTCTCTGGCCCTGAGACGAGAAACATGCTGTGCATATATATATATATATATACATATACATATATACATATACATATATACATATACATATATACATATACATATATACATATACATATATACATATACATATATACATATACATATATACATATACATATATGTCACTGACTGCATGACTAGGCATCATCATGCTCCCAGAAACAGAAACTAAACGTACACAGTATTCGTTGAGACTCAGAGTTGACCACGTGGTTTTGATATAGATATGTGGCAGCCTTACATTCCAGGCAGCAAAGCAGTCTGTTGAGCCGCCAAGGCCAACGTGATTGGACAGCCTTGGCGGTGTGTCAACCATCACGTCGCTCGATCATCGACAGTGATCACAAGCAGGCAAGCGGAGCTGGAGCTGCTGCTAGCTTTTTTATTCTGATCTTGCTCTTCAATTCTGCAAAGGACTTTTTCTTTTCTTTTTTTTGATTTCCTTTTCTCCGAGTTTCGATATCTCTGGTCAGACACACTCCCATCAATTAGCTGCTCGCATCTGCCTATCGGCCCCCTCCCCTCTATGTTGTCACGATAATTGCCGGGACCTGTATCTCCTCCTCTCCTCCAGGGCTGAAGGGCCTCCACTCGATTCAGCATGGCTTCCTATCATTCACAAACGCAATCTCGCTCTGCTGCTCCGCACACCTACCACCCCCATCAAGCAGCCAACGCTGCCTCAATGGCCTCCTCCGCGCCAGCTGGCACGTTCGTGCCGGGCACCAAAGTGCAAGTCGGCAACCACCGAGTGGTAATTGAGAAATATCTGTCCGAAGGTGGATTCGCACATGTATACGTCGTCAAGCTTCCACACCCCGTCGACGGCGTTGAGACGGCGGTCTTGAAGAGAGTGGCCGTCCCCGATAAGACAGCCCTAGCAGGCATGCGAACCGAAGTCGAAACAATGAAGAAGTTGAAGGGTCATCGACATATCGTTACTTATATTGACTCGCATGCATCGCAACTAAAGGGCGGTGGATACGAAGTTTTTCTTCTCATGGAAAACTGTCAAGGGGGCGGTCTGATAGACTTTATGAACACTCGTTTGCAACATCGTCTCACCGAGCCGGAGATTCTAAAGATATTCTCCGATGTGTCTGAAGGCGTGGCATGCATGCACTATCTGAAACCACCGCTTCTGCATCGAGATCTTAAGGTCGAAAATGTTCTTATATCGCTAGCACCAGGTAAATCGCCGCTGTACAAGTTATGTGATTTTGGCTCCGCTGCTCCTCCCCGACCGGCTGCTACGTCTACGGCAGAGGGCAGGCTGATTGAAGACGATATTCAACGACATACTACCATGCAATATCGAAGTCCCGAGATGATTGACGTCTATCGAAAGCAACCCATCGACGAGAAGAGTGATATTTGGGCGCTCGGTGTTTTGCTGTATAAACTTTGTTATTATACGACTCCGTTTGAGGATGTGGGCCAGATGGCTATTCTCAATGCTAGCTACAAGTTTCCTTCATACCCTAACTTTTCTGATCGGCTCAAAAGGCTAATTGGTGAGTCCATACATGTGATACCGCTTACTGGCCGTTTTGAGCGACTAGCTAACTTTCTATCAGCGTCAATGTTGCAAGAAGATCCTCGAAAAAGGCCTACGATATATGGTGTCTTGAAGGAAGCATGCAACATGCAAGGCAAAGAAGTTCCCATACGTGACGTAGGTTTAGACGGTTAAGATAATTTGTGTTGCACAAGCTGACATGCCTCTGCAGATCTATGCCGAACGTACTCAGTCTGAATCCCGGCGTAACCAAGAATTACCTCCCCCTTCTTCCGAAGTCCCACGTGTCGGCGCTGTCTTCTCGCCCCCAATGCAGGAGACTCAGATCATACCTGAAATAGCTCCAATGCGGAGAGGTCGTCCGTCGAAACCTTCGTCGCAACAGAATTCCGCGCATCCAAGTCCTTCTCCATATCGTGCACGATCTAACAATGATCCATTCGCAGCCCTAGATGGTAACAAGAGAAACAGCCAAAATGCGGATGAGTTGGCAGCTCGGTTCCCAACCCTCGACCAGTTCTCATTACTGCATGAAAAGGGCGGAAAGTTTGATTTTGAGCCGACAACTGAAAAGAAACCGGAAGCAGACGATCTCTCTCAGCGGGTGACCAATGCGCTGGCGGATGATGCATTCGTCAAACCTGCTTCCTCTTACTTACCAGCAAAGGAAGAGGTTGAAAGCCATAGAGCCGTTTCGGCATCCGTTGCCGAACAAGCACAGAATCGTCAGTCACGCAGTCTCAAAACCGAAGAACCATCATCACGACAAGCTTCTACTCAACGACCAACAATGGTATCGACTGGTACAATGACGGAAAGTCCACCACCAACAATATCAGACAATCGATCTTCTATAAGTCGACCACCTTCGGGTCGCCCAGTATATAAGTTCCCGCCACCGTCCCAAGACCGACAACAGTCCGATCGGCCATGGAGTACAGATACCGACAAACCATCGCCAGGGTTGGGTACTGTACCTTCTCAGACGACAAAGATACAGGTTGTGGAGCCCAAACCGCGGGTGTCATCTGAGGACATCTCACGAACTCAAAGCTCAGCTCGACTGTCTATGGAGACTACGAGACCTTCGTTCCGTGAACTAGGCGATGCTCTGAACCGTCCACAGTCCGCAAATTCTCGTGTTCGACCTTCCAGCGTACATCTTGGAGGAAGATTTGATCCGTCTTCTACGAGAGAGCCAGTGCGGATCCCTGCATTGGACGCGCGTCGTCTAGATTATGAAGGCGGAGAGCCGTTGAAGCATGCCCGCACGGACGGAGATTATGACCCTGAACGAACAAATATAACCTCGGATGTGGATTACCTACGAGCGCGTGAGGAGGAGGAAATTGCTCGGAAGAAGGAGAAACGTCTGAGCGGCAGTTCATCAAAGCATGTCAAGCGCGGGAGTTTATCTTCACTGGCCCATTCTGGAAAGGGTCTTCTTACGGGACGATTTGGCGATGCTTTCCGTCGGTTCGAACAGAATACTTCCGATAACAAGAGTCGCACCCCTTCTCCCGGTGAAGCAGACAAGCAATTGACTCCTATTGCTGGGTCTGAGGCGACGGATGACCGAAGTGATGATGATGATATTTTGGGATCGGAGGCGACCGATATCTCTCCCGAGATGAGACGGGAGTTGGAACGTAGGCGACTATCACAAGAGGAGAAACGAGTAGCCAATGCAGCTGCCGAATATCGACTTCGAGTTGCCGGGCGAGGAACCGGGGGCCGAGAAGGGACCAAATCCCCCGCCATTCAAAACAGAGTCCAGTCACTCCTCCAGGATAACAGTCGGCCTCCGCCAAAGACCGCATCTGGTTACGGGAAATATACCAACTCAGAGTCCGACGGGCCTCCACAGGCACCCGAGTCTAGTGACAGAGAATACGCGCCACGATTACCGACTAGACCCAAACCTCCACCGAAGGATCTCAGAGGTACTCCCTCTCCAGTCAAGCCCAGTACCCCTGGCAACTCGGCTCAACCCGTAAAGCCAAGTCCCATCGAAACGATACCTTCTCAGCGCACAGCTCAACGACCTGCGGCGCCCCCGAAGCCCAAGAAACTCCAAACAGGAGGGAATCCCTCTTCGTCCACCGAAGTCGACCCTGCAAGTGCTGCGACAGAAGACTGGGAGCGAAATTTTAGTCGACGATACCCAAGTCTTTCTGGCCTTGAAATGGTTGAGACGGAGATTGACGTTCCGAAATTATCGTCTATCCGCACCAGAGAAGTATAGTTCGATAGATCGGGAAAGTTCATCTTGCTTGGTCATTGATTTTTTTTTTTTCTGGCTTTGAATGACAAATCAATTTAGCGCATGGTTCTACGCATATGTACATACATGACACACACATCCCATACAACCGACGTATATATATGAGAGAAAAACGTGCTACTTTTGTGATGCATATGATGCATGCATCTGTGTACGGCTACTGGATAGCTAAGTTTTGCTTGTTGTTGATTTACCCTCGGACAATTTGGAAGGAGAATAGAGTCATTAGACTTGGCGATATGTTGCTTGTGCTATTACATTCAGTATTCGTCGTAGTTAACTATATACTAGTGGTACATCGATGTAGCCATTGACTGCGTATCTCTGATGAGCTGCGACAGGTACCAAGTCGACTTTCAGGGTTAAGGTTAACGGATAAGAGATAACACATCACTAACCAGATAAGGCTAGCGTATATCCATATCTCTTGAGCAGTCAATCGATCAGCTTTCTCAACGACAAACGACATGCGCTACAAGCTACGCACAAGTGATTCAAGATATACTTCGTCTATCTGAGAACTTAGATAGCCATTCGGAAAATAAGCTAGTCGCACCTCTCCTTCCTGAACACAATGGCGCCTGTGGCATTAAGTACAGTGGAGAGTAAGTTTATCCTCTGATGGATGCTGATCATACAATAACACGCTATATCTATAGACGAACTCAAAGACGTGATTCAGCACCTATTCGAGATCCAATCCGCTGTTCACGGCTACCTAGGCTCCGAGACGCAGATCGAGTTGGTCCGAAAGATGTACGTACCACTTGACCAATACCAATAGCGCTACATACTAATTTATACTGGTATACTGGACAGAAAAAACCTCACCATCGCACTCAACACACTCTCAACAGACACAAAACCAGACCCATCCATCAACCCGGAGACATTCAACAACAACAACCCAATAAACCGTGACGATCCCCCCGTAGCAAGTATCCAACTCCCGCCCGAAATAGTAGATTACGTCGACGCCGCTCGAAACCCAGACATTTATACGCGTGAATTCGTCGAATTGGTACAACGAGGGAATCAGGATCTAAAAGGGAAGAAAGAGGCTTTTGCGAGTTTCAGGGATGTACTGGCTACGGAGATGAGGAGTGCGATGCCTGAGTGTAGGAGGGAGGTTGATAGGGCTATTGCGAACACGGCTGGTTCCAGTAGAGGGGTGTAAGGGCGGTTGATATTTGGGCTACGTACGTATCTATCTGTCTTTTGGGGTCTTTTATTTGGCTTTGTTTATTGTTGTTGCGATTGGCGAGGCGTCTCGGGGTTATCTTTATTCAGGTTCAAAGGGTGAGACATACCATAGTTAAGGGTTGTCGGGTGTTAAAAACTACAGATCTGTATTGCTATTGTTCTGCATGGCATTTGATGTTGAGCTGAGATAACCCTTTGTTCAGTCATAATTATACACCGATGCAGTCATGAAACTCAAATTGCCCCATGGGGTCGATTAAGTAAGAGACTCGAGATTTCGTTCATGGCCGATATTAATACTGAGATCTGCTGCTGTAGAAGGACTTGCATAATTATCGGGTGTAAAGCATTCAAATACGAACCATAGTAAAATCCTCAATAGGAAAATATGATGTAATTCATTCTTTGTCATCAGCTCACATGACCCAACCGTATTCAACGATTCCAACCCTCTTCTCTTTTCCTCCATGCAACAACCTCTCTGATCAGATCGGCAGAGAAGCGTGGACGCCACAAGAAAAAGAAAGAAACTTGGAACATGGGCATGACTTCTCCACACGAACAGTGGGTAGAAACGAGGACACGGACACTCATCCAGCGACTCACAGCCCTCGGAACCTCCCAAAGGACGCCTAAGCTACTACCAAGGCAGCTAAGCGACTCAAGACACTCCCCCGCATTGATCCCAATCAAGAAATCAAGATCCTCTTTGACGTGGTTTGCTACATAGTCTGCCGAGTTCGCAAGCAAGTCATGGATTGGGTTTGTCGTCATAGTCTTCAAACTCCCTCAACGAGACCGTGCTCGCAAGGCTTGGGGGTTAATGGATACTGGATACCGGATTGATCTTTTTTAATTAAGGCAAAATTTTGATCCTGCCTGCAGATGACTCTCAGCCAGTAAGCCTCGTCGAGCCTTGCTTGAAACGTGGAGCTTGCACAGCACAGTCCATGACCGCCCGATATTGTGCGACTTTACAACTCATGGTTATTGGAGTACGAATCTCTGGGGGCCGGGCTTTGTTCACATAAACATATTACCGGTACTTTGACTGAGGCCTTTCTTGTCTTGGGTTATTTTCCCCGACTAATATCCAAGAGACAATATCATATCACATGTATTTATATATGACTGTCAAGCATCGGTTCCTGTCCCACTTTACTCTCCTGGATCCACATCGAGTACCTGTGATTGTCCTTCCTCAGCACATGGCAAGAGAGATACTCTTAATACTCTCAGATATTCATCTTGCAAACATGCATTAGCAATGGTGTCCACCGCCGACAGTGCTCCCAGCAATGGCATCACGGGGGGCTACACAGGCCACGATCTGGGCCTTCAAATCGCCATGGGCACCTTCATCGGGATAGCCTGGTACAATGCCACCGAACTGATCGCCCTATGTTTCGTAACATTCCGCAAATACCGTGGCCTATACTTTTGGAGTCTGATAATCTCATCCGCGTTTGGGATATTGCCGTATTCAGTCGGGTTTCTGATGAAGTTTTTCCAACTCACCTCCGCGACATGGTTGTCCGTTACCTTGTTGAGTGTGGGATGGTATGCGATGGTTACGGGTCAGTCGATGGTGCTGTATTCGAGACTTCATCTGTTAAATAGGAACCCCAAGGTCCTTCGACCCGTGCTGTGTATGATTATCGTTGATGCGATTGTTTTACACATCCCCACGTCGGTGTTGACGTATGGCTCGAATTTTGCCTATTCCAACCCTCATTTCGTGGCTGGGTATAATGTCATGGAGAAGATTCAAATGACGGGGTTTTGTTTGCAGGAATTCATTCTCTCGGGAATCTACATTTACGAAACCATTGCCTTACTGAAGGCGAACCCGGAAAGCGGCAGACGCAAGATCATGTATCAGCTTCTTACTATCAACTTGATCATCATCCTGATGGACATCGCCCTATTGACGGTTGAGTACATGAACTTCTATATGATAGAGACCACGCTCAAGGGAGCCATCTACAGCATCAAATTGAAGCTTGAATTTGCCGTATTGGGACAACTAATTCGACTCGTACGCACACACGGCTGGAAATCCCAGCCAGTGATCTCCGGTACTATTGCTAACGGTCCCAATGGACTAAACATTTTCAACAACGACGATGACGACGACATGGTTTATCCTGACTTCGTCGACGCGACTCGCGTCGCTTCTGATCTTACGCATGCCACTCCTCCCCCTCCCACTCGACCGCGCAATAGCTCTCATCATCGCCATTTTGATGATATGGATGATATCTCAATAGCCATGTTTGAGCATTCAACTCCTTTGGCGGATGAGGAGATGGGAGGAGGGATGCGTGAGATATGGCCACGGTCTACGAATACGACTTTGGAGTCGTGGAGTGGTGAGACGAGGACAAATGGTAATCCGCAGCAGATTCCGGGTTCGGAGACGGTGGATTTTGGGAATGATGCACATTACCCCGGGCCGTCGGTACGGCTGTCTAATGATCACCAGCCGGGTTGAGCGGTTCGGGGGGTTTATCGTTAATCGCCTGAGACGGTGCGCTACCATCATTGCATAGGGGATAGATCCATGCGGCCGGCACTGCTACATATCAGCTGAGATGAGCATATCTCAATGAAATCTTGCATGTTATGCACGGGCAGAATACTGCCATGGATGCATGCAAACTATCCCGCCCACTCTCACAGTTGAGAGGCTACGGGAGTGATATTCCGGAATTTGACCGGCACCTGTCAATCGACTAGCCCACGCATTCGCGGGCTCCTGTTGATGCGCCGGAATTGACATGCATATCCATAGCAACTGCGAATAAACATATTAAGAGAACATAACATCGAATACCTCAGTCAAGGCAGACAATCAAAGATTTGTAGACGATCATGCCTTCAATCTTGTAACGATTTCTCAAACACCGACATAGATGTCTAAATCGGCGTTTACGTATTTCTGAAAACTCCATCTCACGACTTACGTACTTTTCCAACTACTTTATATTGCAAGTTTATTAAATCCCCGCTTAGACGTGTACGTAGTCCAAATACTACCTACCAGGTATATCCTAGTAATAATACCCATCGATGGATCCCCCATGGGGCCCCATCGCCGGCTTTTGGCTTGCTTTGACTTTCTTCTTCAGGTGGATGTCATGTAGATCTTTCTCTCTAAAAAACGCCAGTGCGCCGCTTTACACACGTTATTCATCCTTTAGTAGCCGGTATAGCTATTGAGGCTTGAGCTTTGACGAGGCAAAGACTCATTTGTCTGCTCGGCTTATTTGCGGGTCTTTGGATCGTGCTTTTCTGGGGATTTTGTGGAGAATAGTTCTACTACAGAAGACATGACTGCACTCGCCACTTGGAAGACTTTTCCTTCGGTTGAGACGAAATTCATCTAATTTAAAAACTTTTTAGATCGATGAAGATGTGGAATTTTACCTTCCTATCTCGGAAGAGGTGATGCTATTGAAAAAAGGTATAAAAGGGATGCATCCTCCTAATCTCGTCTTCCGGGTTATAGGTGTAAAATTTTTTTTTGACAATCAATATACTTAATTGTCTATGTTCACCATGTGGTGGCATCTCCTACCCTTGAGCGCGCTCACTGCTCTAGGAGCAGCTACTGCACCATCATGCTCTTCCGCTCCAACAACTCTGCATCTCCCCGATGCGCCATACGACAACTTCTTCTATTCTGGTTGCAACACCGCTGTTCAAGTTGTCGTGACCACTCCGCAACCTGACAGTAATCTCTCGCTAATCTCCCCGCGTCTCGTCATTGCTTGGCCTGCGGGAAATAGCGGAGTCTGCACTTATTTCGCGCCTCAGAACGGCGTAAATGGTAGTTTGAGTATTGAGGTTGTCAATTCTACTATTGGCAATCCACTGTCGGCAACGTACGACGAGAGGAATTCCACGTCCGGGAATGATACTACTCCCTTTTATGGTGTTACTGGAACCATTCGTTTCAGCTCCTCGGCCATCCTCACCGTTCCAATCCTGGGTAGTATCCGGACGATTCGAGACTTTGTGGAAGGGCCCAGTCTTTTGCGGCCTCAGATCCAAGATGCAATCAATGTATCCAGTCTATCGAATGGTGGAGCGTCCCTCAAGCGTATCTGGCTCGATAATGTGACCTCGACTCATTTGACTTTCACTCCTGCATCATCAAAGGGATCCGTCACAGTCAGCAAAAACAATACCCTGACGTTTGGAACCGGTGACTACATCTTTACAGCTGAATTCAACTACCCGCAATTGAAGCAACTCTCCCCAGCACAAGTGTTGACTAATTCCTCCACTGATCTAATGCAACGAGACTCAGAGAGGACATCGGCTTTGTCTTTCTTGTCGTATTCTACTAAGCTTTTGGCTGGCGCATGGCGTTTCTTGACGTACTTTGGTCGTGATTCTATGATTTCTGCGCTTTTGTTGGAGCCTATTCTTAGTAAAGGCGAGAATGGTGCTATGGAAGCTGTTATTGCGGCGGTTTTGGAACGTATCAATAGGACGGATGGTAGCGTGTGTCATGAGGAGACTATTGGGTAATTGATCTACTCTTCTCAGTCAATTCTCAGTCAAGACTCAGGCTAATCGAATATTAGTGACTATGCTACGTGGTTGAATGAGCAACAGTACGGGCTGTACAGCACTGAAGCCCAGTGTGACTACAAAATGGTGAGCGTCCTCGTCAAGTATAAGACATTTATTAATGATATCGACAGATTGACTCTGACTACTATCTCCCCATTTTGATGAACAAGTATTTTGTCGAAGACCCTATTGGCCGTACAAGAGCAGCATCTTTCTTGAAGTATGTACTCTTCATTCGTGTCTGAAGTTAGCAGTTATTCTGACTTTTGATCAGCACTTCGGCCGGAGCTTTCACAACACTTAACAGTAACCTAACCTATAGACAAATGGTAGCCATCAACGCAGAACGCATCATGAATTTGGCTGCACGTTTTGCAGGTCACAAGAACCAGACTAAGGAAAACCTGGTTCACCTCAAGGACGGTCAGATTGTTGGAGAATGGAGAGATAGCACTTACGGTAAGATTATCTCCAGAGCAATCAATAAAAAGAAACTGACATCTGGATAGGCATCGGCGGTGGTCGGATTCCTTACGATGTTAATACGGCCTTGATGCCTGCAGCTCTCCGAGCTATTGCATCTCTTGCCCGCAACAACTTCTTCATGAACCAAGAACACTGGGCCAAACTTGCCGACAGATACGCTCAAGTCTGGGAAGACGAAACCCTGCAGTTTTTCAGAGTGACTGTTCCCGAATCAGAAGCGAAGCAGCTCGTATCTTCTTATGCCCAGACAATCGGTTTTTCAGGGCCAAACCAAACTGACACCATTGACGGGGACGTTATGTATCATGCCCTTGCACTCGATGGGAACAGCAACCAGACCCAAGTCCAAGTAATGAATACGGACGATTGTTTCCGTCACTTCCTGCTCAATACGACCGGCAGCCAAGACCAGCTCACTGCTTTCGTGAACCAGACCGCGAACAATATCCGTCGCACATTCCCTGCCGGTTTGCTTACGGACGCCGGCATGGTGGTCGCCAATCCGGCCTACGGTCAGAATCCCGTGTACGCCAGCAATTTCACCAGTGGGGCCTATCATGGAACGGTGATTTGGTCCTGGCCCCTGGCTATGATGGCCAAGGGATTGGAGCAACAGCTCGGTCGATGCGAGGTTGTCAATAGCTCTGTTGGCCATGACCACCATGGCCACACCAAGATCCCGGACTTTTGTAAGGATGGTACAGTCTACGGTAATGTCAAGGCAGCATATAACATTCTCTGGGACTCGATTGAGGCAAATCAAGCTCAATTGTCGCAAGAAGTTTGGTCTTGGGTATATGATAATAACAATGAGACATTTGTGCCTACTCCCCTTGGAGTTATGCCTCCTCCACCTGGGACGGGGAGTCAGACTGGTATGTTGATTTTCGTCTTCCTTACCTATTCATTATTTATATTGGTAACTAACCGTTCTCGTGCTGTTAGAATCTGATATAAGGCAGTTGTGGTCGTTGACCTTTCTTGCTGTGACGAGGAATATGTCTTTCCGATGAATGGAATATGTCTCAGGGTATCTTGCAATAAAAAAAGGATGTATATAGTAGTTATACTATGCGGGTGAAAACTATAAATGTGATAGTCCAGATTAAATCGAAAGACAGAAGGGGCAGTCTTGCTGAAAAAAGACACTAACTATCTGGTAAAGATGGAATTTGCCTGCTCCCTGTAGCGCTCTGACTTGTGAGTTCAAGTTCTTTAATTAGGTCCTCGTCCCCTACCACCGAGGAACCCTAAAAATATCTGTATTTAAAAATACCTAGGTAGAGGATTAGTAGTGTAAAGCGATGTCTACCCAATAGTTCAGTCGAATATCATATTAAACAAACAAAGATTTATACAGACGATACTCCCAGGCCACAAGATAGCACATTCTGAAAGGACAACCAGAAAACCTTGGAAGGGGAAAGATCCCATTCACGAAATTCCATCTAACTACCGTCTAGCAAGACTTTCCTAGCCTCTCTCAATAGTTCTATATGTTCTTTCAACTTCTTTTATATCTCAGCCGATATTGCATCCTCCCGCGATTCGTTCGAGCTGGTCTGAAGATAGTTTTCTCACAAACATAGAAGAGGGTCCTGAGAGTAAATGATAATATGTTGCCTGCATGCAGCTATTGTTTGTAAATCGTTCCCTTGCCACTGTATAGTAAGCTTTTAGAATATCATGAATATCCATAATCGTGAGTTCAGTTCTATCAGTATCTTCATTCTCTGGCCTGTTTTCTCGATCTTCCTTCAACTGATTAACAAAATAGCGATTCAACATGATGAGCTGGCCGTCCCTTTCAGTGCAGAGAAGAAATTCAATGTACTGTATTGCTGTTTGATACCCGTCAAGCAGTGGCTGGATATCAATTGATGGGGAACAATCGACTACGAAGAGAGGAAATTTAGCCTGAAAATAATGTCAAGCCGCTCAACACACTCTTTAGGGGGAGATTCTCTGTTTGATACATAGCCTCTAAGAGCCCATGCATCCACAATAACCACTGGATCAATTGGTCGGATTTACAGCGCCATATGCAGTCAGGGAAACCGAAAACCCCGACGCTGTAAGTCGTTATCAAGGTACTTTGGTGAACGTCTTGTCCCAGCCTGGTGACTCTGCCCGACTTTTCAAGTTAACCTTGTCAGGTAATAACAGCATTTGTGCGGCGGCGGAATCGCCTTCCTCCGGTGTTCGAGATTTTGACCCTCGAATCCATGAATTAGATCCTCGAAACCAAGATTATTCATTAATTACCAGAGGCCGTCCTTCTTCAGGCTGTAAATAACCAGTAGAATTGATGATCTCTTTCACAGGACCGGTACAGTTCTAGATAGAACAAGCCTATCAGTATGTATAATGTCTTGCTCCCAGTTGATAGTCTAATAGCTTACATGAGCAAAGCTAACCGTCCATGGAACTAGAGTCACATAATGGAGCTCCCTGCAAATATTTCCCGTGAAGACTATACTATAGGAATAATCTGTGCTCTGCCTCGTGAAATGTAGCAGTTCGGGTCATGTTGGACAATGCCCACGCAGATTTACCAGCGTCCAATCAATACCTATGTTTTAGGATCTATCGGACATCATAATGTTGCCATTGCTTGTCTCGCAAACGGCTCTTACGGTACTACCTCTGCAACATCGATGGCCTTGAGAATGGTAATGACTTTCCGATCCATTTGTATTCACCTTGTGTGGATGGGTATCGTAGCTGGTGTACCATGTCACGGGCCCAATGATGTTCGACTGGGTGATATTGTGGTTAGCACGTCCGTAATACAATGTGATCACCTACAGCAAAGCTCTGGATGGTAATGTGTTTGCATCCACCGCTGAATCGAAATCGCCCTCCGAAAGCTTTGTTGACCGCGATCTCAAAGCCTGAAACAAGTCATATCATGAATGGTGGAAGTGACATCCCTCGGCTAGTGAAACAAATAGTAGAGAAAAATCCCAATGTGCTCTCCGAATATTCAAACCCAGGCCAAGATGAAGACTGACTGTTTCAAGCAAACTATCGGCATGCTTCTCCTCATCAGCCATGCAACGATCACTCCGACACCACCAAACTTGAAGTACGGCGCAAGCGTGAAAACGACGTGCCTGTAGTCCACTACGGCAAATTGCGTCCGGGAACCAGGTGGTTAAGAGTAGCTCCCTAAGAGATCGGTTAGCTCAGGAATTCAAGGTCTGAGCATCGAGATGGAAATTGCAGGTCTCATGGATGATTTTCCATGTATTCAACGTCCCCGAAATCATTCCATACATCCTGAAGGACAATTCAATCTGAAGGCTTTCTTGCAACAGCTGGCGAGGAAAAGGGATGATTTCGATAGTTGGGCGACGTTAGTCGTCGATCTGCTGAAACTGATTAATTTTCAGTCCGATTTAGACGCCCATAAGGAACTTAGCGATATTTAGACGTTCATAAGGGAGAGCCCAAATCCGCACGTCAAAATGACACCCTCCGTAAAGCAGTAATGAGGGCATTAAAGAAAACAAGGGCCGGGTACCCATGACATGGGAAAAGCGCCTGGGTATCCTTTCGTGACGAAGTCCGAAATCGAAGGGCGGATCTGAGTCATTATTCATTAATTGTAGATGGCTACAAATTAATAAGTCTCTTGACGTGTAGCTTTATGCATAGCATATCAGGACTAGCTCTTATCCATTCGTTGCAGCAACAGAAAGGAGTGTCAACAAGCAGGGCAACTGAATAAAATAGTAAACAGACTGGGAATATACTCTTGTAGGAATAGTTGATGAAAGGTTAATGTTCAAGCCATTGATATTGAAGGGAAGTAATGAAGGGGCATGTGCTCGAAAAGAACCTGAAGCGTTAGAGACAGACTGGGATTCTGAATTCATATGAGTAAATCCAAAGTCGTGTGATTTGCAAGAGATCTTCCAAGATTGAAAACGAGTAGTTATTTGAATGATCATTCGAACATAGTCACTATAAACACCCTCGACACCTATCCAAAAGACTTTCACATTCGCTCAACCCTCCTGTTACTAGGACTTGCACATTCAGTAAAGAAATAGGCTCTCTAAACATCCACCTTGACAATCTTCCCCGTCTCAACCTCGAACACATACCCCGTAATCGGCACATCGAGTACCAACGGACTATTCCTCAACGCCTCAACATCATCAACAACACTCTGCTTCAAATCATTAAAGGGCAAGAATGCGATTTGATCGACATTCTGTTTCAGTTCGGACTTGATCTTGTTGCGGAGATGCTCGTCCGTGAATGTGAGCATGCCGCAGTCAGTCTTGCATATCCATTAGTATGATTCATTATCTGTTTGTATAGGAAGAAGGGAAGAATACATGATGGATCACGACAATTTCTCGCGTGCCGAGGAGTTGTTGAGAGATGATTACACTGCGAAGAGCATCGCTGGTTCGTCCGCCTGCGTTGCGGATAACGTGGGCATCGCCTTCTTTAAGGCCCAGGGCTCGAAAGACGTCTATTTTCTATGTTAACAATGATGTCAAGATATTCGAGTTGGTTATATATACCGATACGTGCATCCATGCATGCTACGACTGCAACCTTGCTATATATCGAAAGATATAATCAGCCATCATACTTAGATCTTAGCCCGCGAGGCTGATCAATATACCGAGCAGGTGGAAGCGGTAAATGTCCCTTGTCAAAGGCCGAGGCATAATTCGCATTTGCAGCTTCGAATTCTTGTGCTACGGACATTTTGATTGATTGTCTGCCTTGAGTTATGTAAAGTATAAAGGATTTGTGTGTGGAATTTTGATATCAAGTTGGTTGATTAGAAGTATTACAAATAATGATAAGAATTGGGGTTTGGCCTGGTTATATACCATCTATTCCCTATCATACATGGCTCGAACACAGAGGATCAGTTCGCAACGGTAAGAACCATAAATGGAGGAGATGCTCGCGCGTTAAGAAGATAATTGGATCCTGACGACGAGAGCAATTTGTACTGCTCATTGCGTGCTTATCCCGTAGATAACCGCAAACAAGCAATAATTTTACCCCTCAGGACTGACAAGACTCAAGAACAGACGACTTGAAAAAGCAAATATGAGAGATCGGAGAATATTGGCATGATGTTCTGTTTTAACCTATCTGGATAGGTGCTGCAAAATAACCCTAATTGCTTTCATGAGATCCAAATCTGTGTATTGTACACATATATACAAGTCATATATCAAAACGCCACCTACAAGATGGACTCTACACTACAGACAGAAAAAAATAGACAAACATCACACTTCGAACGATCGACTCCCCTTCACCAACCCAGCATCAAGCTTCGTAATAGCAACCCACTCAGGAGTGTATTGGATCACTTCATCGAGTGCTGGAATAGTGCCTTGTGTGTTGGCGTCACTCCAGAGACACGTTGCTTTTCCAGTCAATGTATCTTTCCCACCGTCACTGTCATCGTTGTTGTTGTTGTTGTTGTTGTTGTGCGAGGCCCATTCAACATCTATCACCCACTCATTTCCCCAGATACGACTCCACAGACGAATTTCTCGAACGCCGTCTTCGGTCCCATCTTCGAGAGACGGATTACTCGGGAATCGGCTATCTGTAGCGGACCCGGCAACATGGAATTGAGAAATGGGTTTATCAAAGTGTAGCAGACAACCTCGTGTATTCAATCCACTTATTTTGAACTGTGCACGGTTGGTATTCTGACGACCGGGCTCGAGCCGTATAGCTTTGTATTTTACCCATTCGTTCATAGGAGTTTGTTGCTTTCCAGACCCGGGATGGGTGATGACATGAGGTATAAGATCACTCTCCCAGGAGCACTCTGTTCGATCACCTTTCGGAATGCACGATATATTCTGTCCATTGGCGCTGGGTATTGACGCAGCGGCGTCGTCGACAAAGGGCAATATACCTGTCAAGGAAACACGGTTCGCGCCAGTGTCAAGATCCACTTCTTGCAAGAAGAATAACTTGATTCGATTGTTTCCGGAAAACGGAAACGCTACCAGATTATAGATCAGGGTAGCGATGAATACCAACAATAAAAACGTAGGTATGTGGTATGTGTATCGATGGATAAAAGGTAGAGTAGGCATGAAGATTAGTGTAGTGAAAATGGCAATCATCAGATACGGTGCCAAAGCCGAGCTGCCGTCTTGCATGGTCTGATGAATGGCGCTTGTAATCAGTAAACCCAGCTGTCCGACAAGTATGGTAATTATTGGTGCGATCAATAGGAACTGCAAAATCCATGTCCACTTGGGCAAGTTTGCGCTCCATGGCTGTTCATACCCATAGACGTTGGCATCTCTTGCTTCAGACTCATCAGTGCCAACCCCTGTAGACAACAAATCGCCTTCACCATCGTCTTCTGCAGATCGAGTGTAGTTTGCAAAACTTGTCCGTTGACTACGCAAAAGAGAAGTGGACTCCGTAGGTTCATCGTCCTCCTGGTGTTGGCCAGCAAAGTCTGGATTGGGAGTCAGCAGGCGACTACCGCCCAGACTCGTTCGTCGTGACGATATCTGACCACTGAATTTATTGGCGTAGTCACTTCTCTTGGGCAACGAAAAAAGCTCTAGGTAAGAGATCCACGTTGCCAGAAAAGTGCCAAAGGCATAGAAGATGACGAAATAGCCGCTTGCTATACCGTCACGATTCTCGTATACAGTAGTAATCACCAGAAGAACCCAGGCCAATAAAAACATCCATGTCAAGACATAAATGCGGTGCAGAGCCGTAGGTCGAGCAAAGTTTGCGATTCGAGATAAGAACCAGGCAACAAAGATCCACGCTGAGATCATCATGCTCCAAACGGCGTATTCACTGCTGTGAGCAATCATAGGGTTTATCTTGGCCATCAGAAAAGCCAAACCTACGACGCTTGCAGTGGTGCTACCAAAAATGAACGGGAACCGAAAGAAACCCCTCCATCCACGAAGAGGCACACTTGCGAAGCCATCGTCAGCCGACACCGAGATGCCGAAGAGGTACATGCGATCCTGGTTAGCCAGGATAATACTGGTAATAAGCAACGTCAACGGGCCAACAATAAGCAGAGTGACAGAGAGCGCGAAAAGCGTATGAAGCTGGAATACAGCGAACGCAGTGCCAAACAGATCAAACCATACAGCTCCGGAACCAGTACCACTGGGTACCTTTCCTGGGCCCTGTGGGCGTCCTTCAAAGTCCCGACTCGTATCAGAGACCAAACCCTCAGTAGTCGCAACTGCAGCAGACAACATATGCCATAGCGACTGCTGGCTAGTATGCTTAGCATCGTCTTGGTTGGTATGATACCTGGCCCGAGGCTCTATGAAAGCGACATCCAGACCGCGAAGGCCCATATCTCCCTCAAAGATGACATAATCCGTCTCGCTCCTAATAAGACCAAGCTTGAATCCGGCATCTGAAAAGACACTCCCGAAGGGATAAGGCGATCGCTTATAAAATTTCGTGACCTCGGTATCCGAGCTGCGAAACAACGTTGCTCGCCCACCGGCTCCAGCGCCTTCCAAATTCAAAAATGTATGCGGCAATTTCGAAATAGGGTGTTGACTATAAACACGCGCGCCATTCAAAAAGTCTTCTTCGCCATTGTTGAATAACACAACCAGTCCCCGCAAAGGTTCATGGCCCGGCGTAGTGAAATATTTGATGAGTTGCAGGCACGAGATCACGCCAACACCGTCATCGGTAGCTCCATAACCAGTCGACACGCTATCGTAGTGAGCATTCACGAGCACGCCACCTTTCCCGGAGGGGGCGAGACCCGGTTCATTCCACCATTCTCTTTTATCATCTTCCTGTCCACGAACGTATACAATAATATTCGTACCCTCAAAATACACACCAAGATTGGACTCCACAACCGTCAAATTCGACTGATTATCGTCAAAAACAAACGTCCGCGCGCTGTCATGCCGAGTCAAAGTTTCCGCCGCATTGGTCGATATTATCTCGTCAATGCGAGTGAGCAACCAACTCCGCACCTCGTCATTTTTCCGTGAATTATAAGGATGAAAACCATTCGTCAAAGATTGAAGATCTCGCCAGGCTTCGAGTAAATCCAGACCTTCGGGGTTCGATTCTGGTACGGAGGGGAGAACGTGTTGGACGACAATGAGTGGAGCGAGTAATGCGATGTAGATAAGAGTAATGACAACCGTTACTGGGACGCGGTAAAATGCGAAGGGGTTCCAGCGCCCTGTCCTTAGGCGAGCCATGGCCTCAGAAGCACGGAGTCAGTGCTGAGGAGTTATACATATATTCTGCGCGAACCACAAGCAGGCGAAGTTCAAGAGAGAGAGAGCCTGGGAAGGTTGCAGGTGGGCGGGGACGTAATCAATTTCATACAATTCCTGTGCGGAGAAGCCCGCCTGAGCCAATCAGGATCGGTTACTGTGGGGGTTTTGTTACTTTCGGCGTATTGTATTGTAACGTTGATCTCAAGCAGATTAGGGCTCACCCAAGCGTTATCTCTGCGATAACAGGCGAATAAGATAGGATACCAGATATATGTCATAATATGCTACTATACCATCTATCTGTGTACTGCAATTCATAGTCTGTTCCTCATCTTGAAGGCGTGATGCAAACCAACCAAAACAAAAACAGAGAGACAAGAAACACTCTTCCAGCTGTAGTCCAAACCATCAAGTCGCTATGAATCCGATATGGGTATCAATTTGAAAACGCAAGAGAAAAGTTTTGCTAGTGCCGTACAATGAATAATACTCGAGATAGTAGAACCGCTGCGGCTGGCAAAGATATCGTTAAAAGAAAATGGGTAATTGACATCCCATAATCACTAGACCGAAAGAAAAGCGACACGGGCTGTTCGGTAGTTTCTGGTTCTTTAACGCTGCAGTACAGTTGGTAACTATCCACACTGATTGATCACTGGTCGAAGTCAACCGTTGGTCGTGACATTGTATGTTTATGTATACAGGTGGAACGACTGCAGGTTCAGCCAGTGGGTGGCCCAACTTCGATAACGCTGTCACCCATGTCGTCGTCATCGTCACGAATGGCCGCGGCGCTCATCAATCCGGTGACACGGGTCTCTTCTTCGTCTAGCTCCTCTTCATCGTCGTACATTGTAGCTTCAGTTTCCGAATGGAAAGGCCCGACATTCCGATTCAGGTAGTCGCGTAATTTCACTACGCCTTCGCCGCTAAATACGCAAAAGACCTCGCGTTGTTGTGGAGTGAATTCTGCGGGCGCATCACGGCAGAATGCAGTAAGGTCTTCGTGTAAGAATGCCTGAACCCCAGTCAGACTCAAATGAGTCAGGCGCGGGCAGAAGTTGAGGAGTGCATGGATGCCCTAGAGAATCCAGGTTAGCCATGATTATCACTTTAGTCGCGAAATGTAGTATAACATACCTGCATAGTCAGGTTCACACAATAACTAAGGTGCACCCTTTCCAGACAGCTGGGACTAACAGAATGCGCATGAGCCCTCGAGCGAGCAAGAGCCAATATGCTCCAGTCCGTAATTGCTTGGCACTTAACCAACCCTATGCGTTTCAACTTCGGTAGGGTTGCTAGTTGTTGAACACTCTCATCTGTGAGCAAATTGCAGCAGGCCAGGTCAATGTAGCGGATGCGGTTGCAAGACTTCACAAGCTGGGAAACTGCGGCATCGGTAATATTGAGACAGTGACCTAGGTGCACCAGATGCAGATTCTTCCCCAACTTGCAGATAGCCAACACGGCACGGTCCGTGATGAATCTGCATTTGTTGAGGACAAGATGTCGTAGTCGAGGAGCTGCATCAGTGATACGCTCAATAGAATCATCTCTAATCTGCTCGCAAGCAGTAAGATCTAGGGCGCGGAGGCTGTCGAACAGAGAATGGGGAGGAAGTCGAAGGAAGGCAGAGTCATCAATTTCGACGCATTGAGCTAAGCGTAATTCTCGCATGTTACGCAAAGTGGACAGCAGAGCTGTCACCGAACGACTGGTGACTTGTTTACAATCATGCAAATCAATTTCAAGTATTGATGGGCAGTTCTCTGCATAGGAGAGAATGGACGCGTCCGTAACTCGGCTTACGCCATTGAGTTTCAGCTAAAAATTCAACTATTAGTCATAGAAGCATCAAATAATTTCTGAGAATGAACCAACTCTTTTAAGATGTCTGCAGGCCTGAGATATCACTACTAGTGATTCGTCTGATATCTGGGCGCAACCGGTAATATTCAACCCTTGTAGACGTGGACAATTTTTGGCCACGGTATACAAGAAATTATCCGTCAACGAATGCAATTCAGAGACATCTAGAGCTTGCAGGTGTCGATTTCCCTCTACCAAATCCGATACGCCCCTGTCCGTCAACTTGGAACAATTCGTCAGTGTCAACCGCTCGATGCGTTTGCACTGCAAAAACGCCGAAAGTTCACTATCGGTAATCTTGGGAGCCAAACTCGCCAGGTTTAGGCGTCTAATAAGTTCGGAGTATGGAAAGAAATTGTCACTTTTGCCCACGGATGTCACAACGCTCCGAAGATTCTCGGTCCGATTACAAGATGGTCGATGCCAAAGGATGCCGACACAGTTTGCTGCCCATTTCCGAGAAACCAGCATACAGTGTAGCATATCAGCAGGCGAGCTGAGTTTTGAGAATATCGATATGAGGATTTCCGGAGGTAACCGCCCGATCGGGGGAATAATGATATCCAGCTCATTGCTGGCTGTTTGTTCACGAAACGTCCCTACCCCAATAGAAGACTGCGAGTCGTTTGCCTGAGCAAAGAAATCGGTATCATCGTCAGCGGCGCGTTCGGGGGAGCTCGACGTCGAGGACTCGGAAGGGGTCTTGCTCGAAGAGCGAGCAGCAGCCCGAGAGCGATGCATTGTTGGCCTCTATATCCCTTTCCTGCTGAGGGACCTATCCCCGTCGAGAGAAAAAAGTCGAGTCACGACCGCTGCCGTGGGAAATGGTTCTCTGATGTATATTTTGACGTCGTATCGTAAAATGAGTCCGACCGAGTGTTGTTTCTTGCGTTTGTCGTCGAGTATCTCCTCTTTCTTCCAAGAGCTGTCCTCAAGTATTGTGCTCAAGTGACCAAACTTCTACCAACGTGATCAGCAGTCATAGACGAGAATCGAAAACGTCGATATCGCACGTCTTTCTTAATCAGGGTATGGTCGCAGTCGTCGTATCCGGGGGATGTAATGCCTGTAAGCCGGTCAAACAAGAGTGGTGGTGGGATCGTCCGGACAACGAAGCAAAGATCCGATCAATGATCGTATATATCTCCCGGCCTCAGCGACAGGATTATGTAAGAAAGCAAGAAAACTACAGGCACAGCCAAATAAAATGATGAATGTGAAGAAGTGAAGCAAGCAAGTAGGATGTGGTGTTGTTCGTATAAGTTGTAGGTTGGGAATGCGGCGAATGGGAGTGGTAAGGTGGGATGCGGGATGCTTGCCCAAGGCACACGCTCCCTGACCAACCAAGTTGGGAGTTTTACCACCACAACACAGAGTCAGCTGAAGCAGGATTGCATATCTCCTCACTTTGGCTGTGGACATTACAAATTCAGTATTTCTATGAATTTAGCCTTATTAACATTTCATCATGACTATTCCTGCATTCAACCCAGACAGGTACAGGGCACATCTTGAAAACATACACCTCACTAGTAGCCCTGTGATCGGAGCATGGGCTGATTCAATGACAGCCTTGACAGGAAACAAATTGACCCAGGTGATGCACGAACAGGCTACTTTTGTATCACAAGCAAGGGAGATTCAGCCTCATAGCAGAACTTTCCCATCTGCAACTAAGCTTCCAGTTCATCATAAACGCGGTGAATATGTTGTGAGCAAGATAATGATGTATGATACTTCAAATTTACTAATTTTCTCTTAGTTCCTTAATAACATTTTATGGTATTCCTTCCTAGAATTACATCAGTAGCAGTGGTATGTGACACTATATTCATAGTCATTGTGGCTACCAAATATGTGAGACAGTGCGCTCCTAAATATCCAAAGATCTAGAACTTTATATACCGGACCAAACCATGAATCTATCAAGTCTCTCGCTTTGCTCCCTTGGCCCATTCCCGGAGGACATTCTTCTTCACCTTGCCAGTGCTAGTCTTTGGTAGTTCGGGAACAACCTCAACTTCGCGTGGAACCATGAATTTACTTATTCCACTCGCTGTTTTTGCCCATGCTATGATATCCGATCCCTTGACATTTTTGCCTGCTTGTACCGTGACGAATGCCTTGGGTCTCTCCCCCCAATGAGAGTCTGGAACGGCGACCACACCTGCCTCGAGGATGTCCGGATGATTAGCTAGCATCGACTCTAGAGCTACCGAGGAGATGTTTTCACCTCCTATATGTGCCAGTCAGTTAACATTCTTCGCACAGATGTAGAAATTATCAGACGTACCGCTGATAATGATGTCTTTGGCCCTGTCCATGATTTGAATGGCTCCGTCCTCATGCCAGACTGCGAGGTCACCCGAATGAAGAACTCCCCCCGCGAATAGCTTACTTGTGGCTACTGGATCCTTATAATAGCCTTTTGCGCATATGTTACCCTCAAACACTATCTCTCCTAGCTCAAGACCATTACGTTGCACATCAACTATGGTACCTTCAGGCACGTCCATCTTGATAACACGAGCCGGGAGACTGGTAATAAAACCGTGGCCCTGACGAGCCATCTTCTGATACTTTTCTTTATCAGGGAGTGTATCCCACACAGGCATATGATAGCCCTTTGTGATGGGACCGTAGGTCTCTGTCATGCCATAGACGTGGACTGGATGAAGGTTGAGGTTCGTCATTTGCTCGAATAAATGTGCTGTTGGTGGACTGGCAGCCACAGTAACTCTGACTGGTTCTGGAAGTCTTTCTGCTTCCTTGGCGGCACATAAAAGGGTGTTAACTGTCGGTGCTGCATTGAAATGGGTCACATTCTCGTTCTTCAGTAGATACCAGATGTAGGGGTAGTCGATCTTTCGTAAGCAGTAATGTGTGCCTCTTACTGCTGTAACCGCCCATGGGAATGTCCAACCTGGATCATATTAGCGTTAGCACTGTGATCTTACATCAAATTCACTGAGATCGTTGTCCTACCTATCGCGTGAAACATGGGCAAGGTCCATAGGTACCCGCAACGGCCCTTGTGATAGTTCAACCCTGATTCAATGACATTTGCCATTGCGGCCAAATATGAACCTCGATGACTGAACTCTACACCCTTGGGACGGGCAGTGGTGCCACTTGTGTAAGCGAGAGCAATAGTCGCATTCTCATCTGTAGTCTGGGTTTCTAGCGCATCCCATCCTTTGGCTCCTGTATCTTTATCATAATCCAAACCCTCTAGAATTGCTGCGTCAAATGGCCCACTCAGTTCTCCCTCTGTGGCATCTGTATCCGTATCAATCAAGAACGGGATATTCGGGTGCTCGCTCTTGAACAGATCCAGAAGTGATACATACTCCGCGTCGACAATAATAAGTTCAGCATCAGAGTGCTCAAAGATGTAACTAACATCCTCGGGCTTCAGCCGATAATTCACCGCTAAATGCCTATATCAGCGAGCTGTTTAAGTCAAAACAAGAGACAGAACCAACCAATGTTAACGCAACCAGCGGCCGCAATCCCAAATATAGATTCAAGAAAGGCTGGTGTATTTGGTGCTAGAATGCCCACACGCTTGAAATTACGCTTTTTGAGATAATAGGCAAGACCTCTGGCGCGGTCTGCCGTCTCGATATAGCTTCGCCGTAGAACCTTGTTATTCGCAGTCAAGTGGTAGATAGCCTCGGCCTAGATTAGGGTCAAGTGTTAAAACTTCGAACATTTTCTCCTGAAGACATTGGAAAGCTCGTACATCAGGTTCAATTGCAGCGGCACGCGGGAGAAAAGACGTAGGCGAGAGGGTATGATAATTGGGGACTCTGTGAACATCATGATCGACCTGGGAAGGGTGAAGAAAGTGGCCAAGAAGTCCTGAAAGACGAGATTTAGGACCCGACATGGTTCCGAACACTCAATTATTCTTGCTCCAGAGTCGACATGGGATGGAATAAAAGACTTGGGAGCAGGACAAATCCCGTCTTTTTCTGGGACACCGGCGTAAAGGAAGGGAGAGTGGTTTTGGCACGCGGGGAATGAAAGTCCTCGGTAATTGCCTGGCTATTCAGGCACCACTTTCGGATATTCTGGGGTAACGGTTCGGGTCGGCTATTGCTAGACCTTTTTGGGCTTAGGTAAGATCGTGGCTTCGATGACAGCTCCACATCGCGGAACTCCATGACTTCTCCTATGTTCTGCAGTTTATGTCCAGTGGTTGAACTTTTGAAGCCATTGGGATACGTTGCCTATCTGTCTATCTTACAGAGTTACTAACCAATTACCCTGGTGTCTATATACCATGATGAAGGAAGCAGTACGTTCATTTCCTACAGAGGAAGGCGTCGGTTGAATAGAGCTTCAGCAATACATTGATACTTCCTGTCCATACCTCGCAATTTGTGGTTATGTCGAAATTCCTCTTGATATCGATATGATTCTCGTATTTCTGCCTGATGGATCTCGCCGAGACCTGAATTATAAGTATACAGTGGTTCCTAGGCAACTATTGCATACCCGTGGTTGCTATCTCACCTATTCCAGAGCCGACAAATATTCCTTCCAGATCATTGAAATGTGTCGACTACAACGAGGTCAATGATACAGACCAGATGGCTCCGGGCCCCAGGCTGTAGGCGGTCATCTAGGCTCCTACATCTTGAGATTCCTATATATTCATCCACATCTGCTGCAGGAGCTACAGACCTATCTTGCACCGGATATTCATTTCCAATCTGCCAGGTCTCTTAAATTGTTGAATCACCAATATTTCCATACAAAGACGCCGTCCTGTCTATCCCTGCTTGTCATAAACCCGCTGTCGTCCCTGTCCTCTGATTCCGACCGCGGATATCCATACCACATCCTAAACCTCTGCTGTTATTGAACAGGAGCGACGACAACAACAAAACGAAGGATAGATCCTACGACGACAGTGGCACAAAAAGCCCCAAGTGTGCCGCTCAAGCCTAACATTCGGTTATACTAGAAAGCTCGCAGTCTTAACAGCCCATATTTGACTGCCGTGCCCGTTAATGGACAGAACAAGCATGTTGCTGACTGATACTGCTTCGATATTTTCTTCCCCCTTTCAACTCGACAAAAGATATTATTATACCGCATCCAAAAAAGCGAGCCCAACCTGGGCAGCATGGAAAATTCTGCTCCTGGTTCTTGGAGGTGCGCTAGTAGCATTAGTTATAATCTACATAGCATTATTTATGGTTACGGTGATCACAGAAGTTTGTGGCGGTTGGCGTCGTCACCGGAGTTCGCAAAAACCACAGAATTCATCAGCTCCTCGAGACATTGAACTGGGACACGTCGAGAGAAATGCATATGTCACTGACGGGCTGCCTAAGTACCCGGATGTTTGTTATACTCAAGGGTCTTAGATTGATACCTGATTCTTTCTTGCTGTCTTATTGCTATGTACTGCTGTGGATTGGCGTAGGATAGAAAAAAGAGTTGTGCGTCTTGAGTAGAAGACATTTGGTCGTTTCTTAGATTAATGTATTTGCTCTCTTACCGAATGATGTTGTGGTGATATTTAAGTACCTTAGGAGAACCAAATGCCAAATGAAAGGATTCCAGAGAGAAGGAAGCTATTCACTAGAAGTACTCCAAGACGAATAGTAAGCGTATCGCTTCAAGTAGACCGGTATATTCTACGAGCAGCAAAATCAATTTGGAACTTCAGAAATTCTTTCAATTATTCATGGCGCCACAAGAAAGATAAAATATTCAAGGCGGCACTGTGCCATACTGATATCATCATGTCTTTTTTGTCCAGGAGCGAGTTCTTCCCCTTGACAGCATCACCATGTCCATACCCAGCATGTCTGACTCGTTTGAAAATGATGACGTTAATTTTTTAATTCATGATCAAATGAAATAAAAATGCGAGGAAACAAAAATGTGACTCAGATTCGCCCTGTATGGTCCCGCTGATTTTTAAACCATACTAGCAATTCCATTTTATTCTTTTGTTATCACAATTTTGTTCCAGACACTTGTCTGCCCAACAACCACAAAACACCTTCACCGCCGACAACAAACCGCTTAGTATCCCAACTCAGCCAATTGGCTCTTGACTTTGTCGTCAACCTTGGCGGATTTTTGGGCCTGGGCGAGCTGTCGTCGGATGGCCTTCTTGCGCTCGTAGTATGCTGAACTCTTGACCTTTCGTCGTTCCTCGAGTCTATGTTTATGTTAATAAGTTTTCTCGCTGGTTTTATGATTGCCACTTTGGGCAAATAGAAAGAGATAAGATCATACCTGGAAACAACATCCTGGTACTTCCAGCCGACTTCGTGACTGAGACGGCCAACGGTGCAGTACTTGCGACCGGGCTTAAGGCGGAGAACACGGAGAGCCTGGGGAACAACAACACGCTTCTTCTTGTCGTATGGGGGAGGAACACCCTCGAAGACCTTGAGTCTCTCCAAGGCAGCGGCACCACGGGCAGTCTTGTGAGGAATCATGCCGCGGACGGTCTTGTAGAAGATGCGAGAGGGAGCACGGAAGTGGAAGGGACCACCACGGGTAGGGTTGAAACGGGTGGCCTTGCGAAGGTAGGCATGGTACTTCACTATACACAGAAAAACGTTAGTTTGTCATTCCATTGTCCCGAAATCTGTCTCGTTGGTTCCCCTGTCCATCACTGCAGGAGATATTTCGCATAGTCAAGTAGACCTGCTATCTGCTAAATTATCCACGTAATTCCACCTTTTTCTCCTTGCAGACGGAAACAAAAAAAAAGAATCGAGAATAGGAATGATAATTGACGTACGCTTAGCGCGGAAGAATTCGCCGGAGATGTTGAGGGCTTCACATCGAACGACGACAATCTTCTGACCGTTGAGCAACTGTTTAGCCACAATGCTGGCCAGGCGACCCAAGAGGTGTCCCTTGCCGTCGATAACGACCTATTTAAATAGCAACCAAATTAGCCCAATGCGCTCGACGTTTTGATTATTTCTCCCCGTTCCCGATCATCATGTTCTTCAACACCACAAATTCCGTATCAAGAGAAAGCGAGAAAAAAAAACTTCTGCAGCAAGCGGGATATAACGTACAACTGGCTCGAATGTGGACATCCTGCTCTTGTCACCGGGTTGGTACTCGAATAATATCCAGCAAAGTCGAAGGGCTGGTTGTTGGCGCGATGGGTTGTCGGTCTGGAGTTGCAAGTCAACGCTTTGGAGGTCTCGCTTGATTGAGGTGTCTTAGCGGCAGAAATTGGTGCGCTAGGGTTTGGTGCCCTAGATTGCCGTCCGTTTGTGGTAGATTCCCTTCCGCTAACCTCTTTTAGTTCAGTATCACGTGATTGAGATCCATATTTCCCAGGCTTGGCTTCGTACTGTCAACGACATCTCTAGACTCTAGATGTACGAATTAACTATGGGCGCAATAACCTAGCATGGTTCATTATCGGAAGACTCGTATAGTTTGTGTATCGGATACCCATGGCTACTCTCCAATAGAAGGGTTCAGTCTGCCGGCTGGTGATGTCCTGATCCATGCAGGAGACCTCTCAAACAGAGGGACCAGGTCTGAACTGGCACGCACGTTGAAGTGGATTGAAGAAGCGAACTACGAAGTAAGGATTGTAGTTGCGGGTTAGTATGTTGATGTTATTGCATGTGGAATGACTCAATGAGGATTATTTCCACTAAAGATCATACAGGCAATCATGATGTATCTCTGGACCCAGAGTTCTATGCAGAACATGGGTCGCATTTCCATGGGGATGTAGCGGCTCAAGAAGAGAACGCTACAGCTATAGATCTTGTGAACAAAGTCAAGGGCACATCATCGACGCCGATAATTTTTCTCAACCACGAATCTACCGTGGTCAAACTGACACGACCAGATGGACCTCAGACAACCTTCAAAGTCTTTGGGTCGCCATTCTCTCGGTTTTCGGGTCTTTGGGCTTTTGGATATTCGTCATCACAAGAAGATGGGAATCGATTATGGAGTCAAATCCCGCTTGATACCGATATCTTGGTGACCCATACACCTCCACTAGGGCTGTGTGATAGACAGCCAGGTGAAGATACAGCAACTGGCCGTCCCAAAGGTGGAGGTGGAATATACGGCTGCGAGCAATTGCTTGATTCTATGGGCCATGTTCGACCGCTTCTAGCTGTCTGCGGTCATGTCCACGAAGGTCGAGGGTATCAACGAGTGATGTGGAATGAGAATGTTAATGGAATCGCATCACCTACAACCATCAATGTCAACCCTCTACCTCCTGCCAGCAGCAAAAAGCAGAGTCTAATTGATCTTACTGGGAAGAAGCAGCGTGCGCTAGAAAACATAAGCAGTTGTGAGATACAACAGAAGCGCCATGATTATGCAGACAGACGCCTGAGGAAAGAGACTTGCATTGTCAATGCTGCTATTATGGCTAAGAGCTGGCCCTATACTGGTGGAAAGGCGTTCAATCGACCTGTTGTGGTTGATATCAACCTACCCGTCTGGGATGCTGCTTCCGTATGAGCATGTCATCTTTGGACTTGTTTCTTCAATGCACGTTCGAGGCCCGCCCCCACAAGTCTCCTACCGTCGAATAATCATCTTAGCTGTGCCTACACCATGAGCAAGCGCCAGCAGTCATATGAACATGAGAAGCTACACATGCTCATTACTTCTTAATGGGGATGGAGGGCACCTATTCATAGGAAAATATTCGACTCTCAAATTTCATCCCATCTTAATTAACTAGTGTAATTACTACCGTCTATTATACTCGACGAGATCATGAAATCGGTCAATCTTCTGACCTTTAGTGTGAAGGACGAAGTATTTTCTGATTGGCACACTTAACCGCCTTGATTTGTGACTCGACGTGCAGCTTTGGAGTGCATGACCGGACTGCATGACCGCCTCATCGAGCGATACTACTAAAAGTATTTGTTGATTACTTGTGTTCTTGTTGTGTCTATCAGTACGTAACTTGGATGATTGTCTGATTATTATTGTGTCAGTTTATTATGTCGTAGTGGGGTGACAACATAAAGGGTACGTATCACCCGCTACGGCTCGTCCCGCCAATCGATAAGACAAGAGACTCATATTTTGGTCCTGGCTGATAGTCGTCCATCTGATGACCTTCTTGGACAACCTAGTGAGTGGCTGTAAGTAATTTTTCCGATTGGATTTGACAAGAAGTCCAAAGCAGGAATTCTATTCTTCCGCTCAGACAGTTTGTGTCACATAAACTAAGTTTGTCATGGATTTCTATTGTTCGGGTTAAAAGTTCCTTACTTTTGACACTCGATCGACGACAACTTGTGTTGTTCAATGAATATCGTTCTCCTCGGAATAATAGCCCGTGACATGACCCAAAGGGTTCTGGGCTTGAAGCCCAACAAAGACCAAACCCGTCGTAAAATACCGCAGTCCCCATTTCTGAGAAAGTGACAACTCACTGCATCAGATCCGCAGTGGTACCTGTTCTGGCAGCAACGTAGCGCGCTATTTCGCATTTAATACGTAGCACAGTTAGTTAGTGTCCGCATGGCAGAGGCGTGGTGCATAAGCGTCCTGTGCTCATTTATCGCGAGTAAGTATTAGCTGCTAAGTGGTTGGTGTCGTAGCGGTTGGTCGCCTTCTAGAAAAGAGGGAATATGTATTGGTTCAAGGTCTCCAATCAGACTTTCAATCAGTTGGGTGGCCCTTTCGAGGCATGCCGTGGCGGAGCCTTTCTTGCCTTTCGACGTGAATATATCAAAGCACCGAAATATGCCGGACTGGTAGAGTTCGTTATTGAAGATTCGAGCGTGTCGAATCATTTGCACTTCTTTCCACTTTCTGAGACTTGAAGTATAGATTGACAGTGGATCATGGTATTGTCACATTGCCAAACTGATACAGAAAGAGGGGTGCGTAACTGAGACTGATGATGGATGGATGATTGTGGCTGCATCGCGGGGTGAGGAACAGCGGACCAATTAATGCACTCCTGTCTGCTGATTGGCGGGCGCAATGGGCCCAGGCCCTGTTTCAATCTGATACGTGATCTCACTGGTTGGCTGCTGCGTCCTGAGAATAAATACGGTACTGTTACAGTACGCTGACAGGCAAACAGAGCAAACACGACTGACTGCTGCCCTGTTTTGGCAGTCTTCTCTTCTCTTCTTCTTGGAGTCAAAACTCAACACCTAGGGCCTAAGGCCCTAAGGCCTTGGCGAGATAGTATGGCCTAACTAGCTGTCCCGGGTATGCTAGACAAGCCCCAACAGCCTCAAAGGATGACGAAACGAACATTCCTCGCTCAAACCGCGGACCTGAGCTACCATGTCTTAAAGTCAGGTATCTGAGGCTGACCGGATTCAATAAAGCTGATTTCAGACAGGTCAACGCTTAATCATTCAATCAGGCAAACTCATCCCCTTGAGGCGGTGTTGCTTCGGTTCATTCGACCTGTAAGATTCACCCTGGACCCCTGGATTGTTCCCCGGGTTGCTCCCAACAGGCTGACCCAGGCTACTCGCTTCACTCCCTTTTACGGAGGAGGTCGAATAGTCGATGCTATTGTATGCTGGAACTCATAGAAGAAGCCACCTATCTGTTGAACGCTTGAACAATACGAGTGCCCCTGTACTCTGTATCGGTCCACTATGAGTGGCAGCGTTGCTCTAACAGGTGTATAAAGGAGTGAACAGACCAAGAGATCGGCCTGACTAGAAGCCTGTCAGGCTACGGTTGATCATAGAGGATTTACCACATATAATATTTGACTGTATCATCTCTCCCCTTCCTGAAGTTTGTCGATTCTCGGATCATCACGAATGATCTCATATCTGCAAAGTGTACCTGTACCTAAACCTGGGGAACAACAGACGGTCTTGTCCATGTCATATCTGGGATTAATCATCCATCCATAAGCAGCGCATCTGATCTCTTGATGCAGTCACTGCATATCTACTATTCTTCTCACTCAATCGTCTGACCCTAGCGACATCATCCATCGTTGCGCTGGTCCCTTACGAACCACTCTACCGTATCGTACTAGAACCCCACGTCTCACAGCGGGGCCTATCGCAAGCCCCCTCAGCAACGAAACATTCAGTTACACGCATACAGATCTGGAGCACACTATCCAGAAAGTATCCATTGGACACTCAGCGATGAAACTTAGTACCCAGCAACAACACTGCTAGTACCAACTTATCCATATATTGACCGCCCATAGTGGGAAGAGGGGGCAACTCTGTTGCTTTGGGCAGCGCCTTCACCGCTGCTTTCTTTGTTAGTTGTCCGCAGAGACGAGGCAAGACAAGTTAACTCTTATGCTGCTGCGCCGCTGCGCAAGTCTAATAACACCAATCTATTATTCAGATGACAGTGAAGACTCTCGAAAGAGCTCCGGTCTAGAAGAACCCTCCAGGCTGTTCCTCTCTTGTCCAAGGGCCAACGGTCTCTCCGATTCGGTTTCACAAATAGTCACCCGGAAGTTGCAGGACGGAGCAATCGGACGTCTGCTGAGTAAGAGAGAGAAGAGAGACAGAAGAAGAAGAAGGAAGAAGGAGGGACCGGAGTGGCGCAGTTACAACGAACAATTTTCTAGTCCCTTTTTTATCTGATTCAAGTGGCCAGTGCCGTAAAGCCGCGATTCGCTGGTAACCGTGCGTTATTTCGATCTACAGGCTTACCCAACTGTAGTTAACGTTCCGTTGCTGGCAGCCTTTTTCTCTTCGCTTCTTTTCGCCTCTTTGCCTCCTCTCAGAGTTGACCCTAAGTGGACGTGGGGTCTAGACAGTCAAAAAGACTGGAGATCACGGGACCGTTACAATACCATTACCAGCAACACGACTACTGTTCAGTGCGAGTGGGTCGCCATTGGGACAAGTGGGCCATTCAGGTGTCTGGCTCTGGCTGGATCGTCCCGTGCTCGCAACCAAGTTTTGCCAGACAGGTACGTACCGTTACCACCTCCGTATTATTATTATTTACCCTCTTGTTCTGCAAAGAGGGAAAGGGCCCATCACATACTCTGCCACCCCGGCTTTTCGCCTTCCATCTACTTGTCCGTCTTGGCCGTTCCTGGATCTATCCTCAACTCATCTGTTCTCTTCTTCTGATCCTTCTTTTCTACACCTCTCCTTCTTCGACTTCCCGATCTCTACCGTCCCGCTGGGAGAACAAAAGAGGCTGTGTGCCTGTCGCATCCGATCTATCTAGTCACCTCAATCGCTATTGTCTCTTATATCCATGGCTATCGTCCAACTAATATTATTACGACTCATCTAGCTGACTCCGATTGACTAAGGATTATGCGTTGACTACAATTCATCATTCAATGCAAAGTGACGTTCCTTACTCAGTCATACGTTGATTCATACCATACCACGGGTGACTGCTACGTCGACCGACTCGACACATACCATCTTTTATAAGCCACCCGTCGTCCTTCTACATGATCCTTAGCACAGTTCTACTCATGATAGATCACCACACAACCATTTATCAAATATGTCGAGCAATTTACCCGATTTCGATCCTTATACCGTGTTGGGAGTCGACAAGAATGCTCCCAATTCAGCAATCAAGACCGCTTACCGCAAGCTCGTCCTGAAATGTCACCCAGATAAGGTCCAAGATGAGAGTCTGCGTGAAAAGGCTGTTAATGATTTTCAAAAGCTTCAAGAGTCCTATGAGATACTGAGCGATGACACGCGCCGACAGATTTACGATCAGGAGGTCTATTTGAACGCCTTGAGAAAGGAATCTGCAGCACAGAAAGCCTATGCAAGCAGAGAATACCGCGATGGACGTATGTACGAAGAGCGAGTACCAGCCGACGCTGGCTTTTTCACGAGTAGTGACGACATGTTCTACTCCGAGGAGCCGGTGTCTTATTCTCAAAAATACTACGACAGTGCCAAGCGCCCGCATACCAAGGCATCTGAAGAGAGGAAAAAGGCGAAATCCATGCCCGTGTACACCTATAGCACGACAAAGGCAGCAAAGCAAAGTGACCGAGATTATGCCAAAGCCGCCCACAACGATCGTGCAAAGACACGCACCAAGGAACGCCGCCAGGAATTCTCGGACAAGTACGAACGATACGCTACACATGTGTCAGATAGCGACGACGAACCCGGAACGGTTCGTTATACAGCCAAAGTGGAAGTTGAGACGAGATATCCTTCGCACCGTGAATCTGTTCCACCACGTCGCAGCAAGACAGAAACGGCTTACACAACGACGACTTCTCATCGTAGGCATGACTCGCCTGACGGTTCCGATTCGGAGCATAGTTATGATTACGATGAATTTGATAAGGAATACTCCAAATTAGATGGTCAACAAGCGTGGGCTAAGGAGTACATTGGCCGTAAGAAGGATCCCGTCATACGATCCCATTCATCTCGACACGCAGAAGCTGAAGAACGGGAGCGTCGTCATTCAGAGACTCCTCGATACTCAACTCGTTCTTCCCATAATTACAAGGAAGTCCATGTCGAGCCTTCGTCGCCCCGCACTTCTCGAAGATCTCATGAACGGTTGGATTCTCCGGACCGCAGTTATGATTATGAACGAGACCGGGAACGAGACCGAGACCGAGACCGAGACCGAGACCGAGAACGACGAGAAAGGCAAGAACGACGAGAACAACGAGAGCGTGACATCATCGAACGTGAACGCGAACTCGAACGGAGAGAGCGTGAGCTTGAACGCGGACGAACTGTTCCTAGTCTGTCAACTGCCGCATCTCAAAAGGTCTCAAGTCGAGCTCCCCCTACAATGACTCGCTCTGCTACTGCACCATATCCTCCTCGCAGCAGTCGACGGGAGGGTTCGAGCCGATCAGAGTCCAAGGGCGCTTTTTCGGGACTAGTCAACATGGTATCTAGTTTGACAACAGACGCTAAGGTCTCCGCATCTCGGCCCTCCAATGCACGTGCTACCTCGCGAGCAAGAGGCGTTTCCCGCACGCGAGTTACCGAGAGACATGACTCTGGTTATTCCAGTGGACCTAGCACTCCGGAAATGCCTCAAGGGGCATCCGCGAAGATCAAACAGTACAAATATGTCGATGCGGCCGACAGATCCAGAGAAACCATTGTCGTGGAACCGGATCGCTACTCACCACCTCCGCCTCCATCGTCGTCAAAATCTGAACGAACCAGAGACCGCTCAGCAGCACCCAGGTCTAAACAAACTCGCACAACAACATATACTTACGATGATGAAACCGAGGTCATCACAGTGCGGCCAGCCGCCGTATCTTCAAAGTCTACATCGAAGTCAACTTCAAAGTCTTCAAAGTCTTCATCAACCAGTCGGCACCTTTTCGGCGAGGTCCGACAGTCCCCTGAAGTCATATTGGATGGACGTCGATATGCCAGGACAGGGCAAGCAGCTTATTGAATTTTTGGATCCTTTTATCCTTACACACAAGTCTCAAAGCGACAGATGTTTCTCACCAGGAGAACAGAACCGCTTCTCGCGGTATTTGCATATTTTTCCCCCCGGCAATGGAGTTCGATCAGGTTTTGATCACCCTGTCTGGAGGATTTTTTTTCTCTTTTTTCTTTTTTTTTTTACTTGTTCATACAGCGATTTTTTGCATAATCTTTTCGAAATATCATATCAATAAATATCTATGATATGAGAAGAGAGGTCCCCCAAATCCATCATCGATTCGGTGGAAAGCGGTTGTTATCGGAACTGCATAGGTGGTGGTGCATCGGGAACATCAGGGCAGGGGCAAAGGTACACAGGAAGGGTTACTACCTAGGTAAATGGAGAGGGTGGTTCTCAATTCGGCGTTATCTTTTTTGGTTTTTGTTTATTGTTCCCTTGGATCATGGTCTCGGTTCTTCTTATTTTGGAACAAAGGGGACAAGGTTGAATACGTACCAGAAACGGTCTATACGACCTTCGACTCATACATGACTCTACTTTACAAGGGGAACGGTGTTTTGGATCTTGACCGGCGTCTTTCAAGTCTTGCTTGGTTTTTGAAATTGGATTGCATGAACACTTTTGATGATTGATGACGACGCCCCCTTTATATATGACGAAACCACCTATATAAACTTTGCTTACTTGTTTAGGTATACAAAGGTTTGCTACTTGATTTAGCTATACTTATGACTACAGTTCAAGTGAATACTAGAATGCTTTATTTTTATGCTTACAGTTCTCGAAATCTGTTTAGTGATACTGATTTGGCATACTCAATAACCAACCAACATTTATACATAAATGATATGTGTAGAAGCCATGTTGCTCTCTTATTAAAGCCTTCGCAATCATAAAAATAGTAGGATATCCACCACTTCACGCCTACATGTATCACCCAGTGATACTACAGATATCCTCCACCCCTATAATGGGGCTCTGTCTTTAGTGCAATGGTCTAATTTCCTGTTCAACACAAACACAATACTTTTCTACTTCTGACCCGCTGATCCTCAAGACAGACTGAGTAGACCTGTCTCATTCGTCTAGACTCTAAATGATGAAAAGAGCTGCAATGTTGTAAATATTTCATTGACAAATGTTCAGACTCCCCAATGCTACAGAGCCACCGTTCGCAATCCCCTCGTGCACCCGTGACCCTGTTAGCTCATCTGATAGCAGGTTCAGGGGCTCTGTTGATGTTACCTTGTTTGGACAGCAAAGTGGGCACGTTGCGGCCGACTTTGCATATTCCAACAGCTCTTTGCCAGAGCGAATACGCGCCGTTGCAGACATTGGGTTGGGCTCAACGCCGTGCAATCGGCCTGAACCTGCAACCTCTGTGTTCCGGCAAAGAATGGAAAATAATGAGACAGCACTGAAAATGGCCAGGTGCGCAGAAGGAGACTGCGCCCAGGTCAACGTGCTGGAATCAAATGAGGAGCCGATGGGGTGGAAGGGAGGTGCGTATAGCGTGCATTCGGTGTCATGATGGAGATTCCGCGAGTGGGTATACAGTGAGATGATGGCGAGATGACAGAGGATTAGGGTTGAACTGTACTGAAGAGAACTGGAAATTCGGCGATAGTTGGTTCCCCACACACTCGTTCCTGCTACACTGAGAAGTTGGTCGAAATACTCGTGCCATGGGGAACGCATTCTGGGGCAGACCAATCATACTTATACGGCAGGTTGCTTGCACGCAAAGATGTGAAGCAAGACCAATTGACGGGGCGCACTCCTAGAGGCCAGTCCAATCAGTAATCTAGCTCTTGCAACAATACAAGGTGGACATCTTACTTGACAAACCAACAAGTGGTAGAAGACTTGTATCGTTCTGCTCTTGATCCTAAATTGAGATCAACGATTTATCAGCTCGGAGAAAGTACTGCAACCCACTATTGAATGAGCCAATACCTGAGAGAATGCCCGTGCCGTGGCACGAGCAAGAGTCTTATGCCACCCGGAAGAAGAAGTGGACATTGATAGCAACGAATTTGAAGATCCTGGAATGGTATCCATTTCATTTGCGGCCGGAAAATCCGGATAATAAGATTGTTGGCGTCGAATGCTGGCATATCAACTATCTCACACCTGAGGTGTGCTGGAGGCAGTTGAATTCCAGCCATTGGATCTATCGGGACCGTGTCTGCCAGGAAAAGTGGCATATATAAACCCGACTACATTTCGTTGGCGATGAGTGGATTGAGATGATGCGGGTTAATTGCTTGGGGCCCAGGTGACTTCCAAGAATGGTGAGTCTGAAGAATATAGCCCTTTGACCAGCAGTTTGCGCATGGAATCCTGTTGTCACATCTTGTTTTGCGAACTTGACACTCATCGCATGCAACTTCTGTTCTCTTCGGAAGAAACACGAGATGTTGCTGGGGTTGACAAGTTAACACATCTCTGCGAGATGAGTCATCAGTTTACTTCAGAAATGCTGGGCGGAGAGAAGATCTATCATGTTGGTTACGTTGTCCATCAATTTGAATCATTTCATGAAACATGCCTGCGAGCGTACGATTTCCCACAGACGGCGCAAGTGTATATGCCCCTCTCACTGTGGGTTTTAGCGTATCTGTTGAGATGTGCTTTATGTTGAAACGACTTTGGACAGACCGGGAAGACACTGTGATATCTCTCAGATGTGTTTGATTGCTGCTGCTTCTAGAAATGATTTGCATTAGTTATAGACCCCATGGTCCAGTTGTGTGAATTCTCCATATTAGCAAAACGAGAAAGGACTGGGAATCTATACCGGTAACAAACAGCGATTATAAACCTTGGAAGGTAGAAATCAGAACTCATAATGATTAATTGGGTTTATTGTCCATACCGAGTTCCCATGGGCTATGGCAGACATCACCACTGAGGTCCCAAACCTACATCCAAAGAAGCCCTGATAAGCTGTATTCACATAATAATCCCTGAACCCCTGAGGGTATAGGGGGTCTTGTATACCAGTTTGAAGCCAGAGTATAGACGGGAAACAACCAACACAGGGGAAAGGGATGTCTATCAACATCAGCGGTGATATTAGGAATTGTCACCCACTTCTAGCCAGTTTTGCCCTAGAAATAAAATCACCATCCAGTCCTAGATAACTTTCCTATTGTCACTGAGTATACGCATTTATTGCCCAATTGTGGTCATATCATTTCTGGGGTCTTGAGAACGTTCTTCAGCTCAGCTTTGCGGCTATCAACCTATCGATGTTATTAAAACAATTGGTTTGTTTATACCTTTTATACGAGGACTCGATGGCTGCATATTCCATATCAAGCTCAGCTGTAATATACGGTTGATATCTACTAAGCTCGCAGCTATTTGGTGTAATTGGTTAGACCCAACATAACTCCGTATGCGGTAGCGAAATTATCAACAAACACTTGAACTTCCAATGATATGTCTGCAACTGAAGATAGTACAGTCCGTATGTGACATTTCGAGAGCCATAATTATCTATCTAAATACAAACCAACATGAAGGCGTTTTTATGCTCCTGTGCGCTTGGGGTCTAAGACCGAGTCGATCTGCACAGCAACGTTGGCGAACTCTTCGTCGTTCTGGGCTTTTCCAACCAACTGAAGCGTACAAGATCCTCCAAGCTTCTGTGTGGGATATTTGGCAAGCGTATTTTCTTCATGGATGGGACAAGAGGCTCACCTGTCTCTTCGATGGCTTTTCGGTAACTCTGCCCAAAACTCAGTTTCGTTTTCCTCGGAATTCACCAGTAGTAACACTCATTTCAAACCCATCTAGTGAAAAAGTTGCATAGATCAGCTGTTAAAGCCGCCCAATATCAAGCTTATCAGTAATCACAATCACACGGTGTCCAGCTTTTTCAAACCTCACAATTGATTCTCGAAGGGCACGATGGATGAGCGGCGTGGAAGTAAAACAGCCATCATCCATAATAACACCGATTCTGAGTGCTTTTGGTTGCTGATATCTCCGTGTCCATGGTATATGGTGGCAGGTGACGTCCCGCTTCCACGGCTCAGCCTCCATTATAGGTCTCAACAGAGAATGGCAGTAGCCACAATCCCAGCACTGGATTGCACAAACCGAATACCGGGAGAAATTGCAATCTGCTTATTGTCATAGGGGATGATACCAGAACTGGGTTTGAGTGCGTAGACACCAGTTGCAGAACAAGGACCGCGAACACTTCTCCCCATATCCGTAGCTACCCCGAGAATGCTACCTCGCAATGCTACTAATACGGCCTCCCCGCCGCTTGAGCGCCCCCGGCGTCATGTCGATATGAGTAGGATTGAGTGTTCGGCCAAGGACATTGTTATCAGAGTCTGCTGTCAGCATTAGCTGACCAAGATCGGTCTTGCAGTATAGAATGGCGCCGAGGGAAAAGAGGTCGTCTACGAGTATAGAGTTGACTGTTGCGGGCTTTCCCACAAAACAGGCAAGACCAATCGAAGAATCTTGTCCCTTTATTTTGAAACGGTCTTTTAATGAAATTGGAAGGCCATGTAGACTTGTAGTGGCCTAATCGGCCATTCAGGATGCAATCTCTTCCCCTCATCTAAGGCCCTCGCTCTAGGGATCGTTTCATCAAAAAAGACTTCGGTCAAGCAGTTTACCTAGAAGACAGCCTGTTAGTAAGTAGCCGATCCCCTTGAAAATCCAAGATAGAGATCTTATTTAAACCGGTCTCAAAAGTGCTTACAAGCTGTTACGCAATAGCAGCTCTCTTGCATAATGCTGTAGTCACGGCTTCGGAAGACAGTCTTCCACTCTTGATCTGCTCCAGGAGCTCTATCACATTGAACACTGAAGTGATCTTGGATTCTTCTTCTGTGAGGATACCGCAGGTGGTCGGCACATCAAGTAGACGTTTCTCTGCGGGTAGACAGCTTGGTGGGATCCTCCACGCAACGGGGATCGATCTTTCTCTTTCCGCCTGTTTAATATTGCATAGTTCCAGCCATCTCGGACTTGCCTCTGTATCAGAGTTTCCAGTCACTTGGACGTGCTGAGGCTCTTGCACTGCAATTGGGGGGGACATGGTGCGTCTGTTAATGGTTACGTTTAAGTCGTTTTATGGGTGATTGGGTACATAGGCACCATTCACCTCCCACTTGCTATTCTCATATAGGTTATGTGTTGGGCTCTAACAAAAACTGCACTATCTGGACAATTGTCTTCACAGAGCTGAGAAACACAGAGCAGAAACTTCGATTCTCCGGGAGACGGCAACCGAAAATGGCGCAATGAGTATGCAAAAAGATGCCTCCCTGGAGAAGCGGAGGCAATGCCGGAGTCATATGGAATGCCTGTAGAGCAGTTTATTGCAGGTAAACGCGGATGTTAGCATAGTCAGGGAGCGTGTAACAAGGTAAAACATCGTTCTTAGGAAGTAGTCAAGGAATTGTGGCCAGGGCTGCTGCACAGTCACGTACCTAGGTATCCACGTTATCCACCCCTAGTTATATTTGATTACTGAATAACGCTATCGACAACGAACTTGTATTAAATATGGTTTTTATACGTACGTACTTCAAAGGTGTAAGTTATGTAACATCCTCATACTTTCTCCTCCTTTCACCCAACCGTATAAACTTCGTAAGAATCTATCTGCAACTCCCTTTTCTGCCGTTTCTTCTCGTCTCGAAACTCACGCCATTCATGATTCTGACCAGTCTACTTGTTCAGTAACCGGGCTCGCTCCATCTTTGCCGTATGTAATACGGAGACGAAGTCGGAGTTTAGGCGGTAGTGCCTACAAAAAATCAATCAGTAAACAACCAGTTGTGATAAAAGGTGAAGGGTTGAACTCACCCCGCTAACAGCAGCAATCTTCATGACTTGCGTACCCTCCTCGCCTCCACCAAGATCCGCCTTGGTGATAGCACTCAATTGTAATCTCTGACTCTTGGGAACTGCGGCTTGTAATCCCACATTCGTTATTCGCGTGAAATCGGATTGGTTACGGAATCGTACTAGGACTTGAGCACCAGACCCGCTGGCGTTTCTTTGTACTTGTAAAGTGAGGAGTAGATCGTTTTTGTTGAATGCTGTGTGTCCACCTGCTGCTGCTGCTGTAGGAGGTGGTGGAGTAGATATTGCTAGACCACCGAGTCCTCCGAGAAGATCTTGAGAAGCGGAAGTAGGTAGTGGTGACTGAGTTTGAGGACGAGCCGGTGGTGGTGTACCGTTGGATCCGAAGAGGTCCATTATAGCGGCTGTGTTGCTTGTTGCTGCTGGTGGAGCAGGTGAAGATGTACCGCTTCCACCACCAAGGATATCCGCCAGCAGATCCGCCGTGTTTGCCGATACTCCATTCGCGCCCGTGGGACTTGAGACTGATGGGACGTCCGAGCCGCCGATAAGGTCGAGAAGCATATCTTCGGACTGTTTGACTGGTTTCTTGGATTTGTCCTTGAGCATCCGGCTTTGGCGCTTGTTGGTTGGCTCTCCGAGCACCCTTTGTTCCTCTCGGATCTCTGGGGCTGGCATTCGCTCCAGTACTCCACGGCGGATTTGGTCATACCCAAACAAATTGCTATACTCAACAGCTCTCTGCTGCACTTCCACGTTCAAGTCAGCTGTGCGACTGGCCAGGAATCGTCGCACCCGCTCTATTTGCGATGGATCTGACATGCGAACTGAGAGTTTCATGACTGCTGTGGTTATATATTCTGTGACAATCTGAGTAGCGTACGTGCTGTTGAGAATGTTGGTGAATAAGTCCATAATGTCACTTTCCTGGACTTCCTTGACTAGCTCCTCCTCTTCATATTGACCCCCTTGCAGAAGAGCATCTCCATATTCACCAATTACCCATGCAGCAGCAAGCGTCAGACCTTCTTGAGTTATATCGGACTTTAATGAGGCGTATAGCTTCTGCACAGCGTACGTCTGCAACTCGGGCGTGGTAGCAATGAGACGGACAAATGATGAAAGAATTTGTTCCTTCACATAGCCACCAGCGAGTTTCAACACTCGAAGCATAGTATCAACATGCCATCGCTTATTAGGAGCGAACCGATCTGCAGCAATTCCGATCTGGGTCGTCATGGCAGGTTTGAATTCGTTGTCGGCGACCTCGAGGAAAGCCAAGAGTTCACGAACGAGGACACGGACATTGCCCTCGTTGATCAATGTGAAGCTCAAGTCTAGCGCGCGTCGACGAATACTGATATCGGGATCTCGCAAGCAGTCTAGAATGGTATTTCGATGCCTTTGCACTGCATTTGGCTCCACCGCGACCACCTTGATGAGCGTGTTCAGCGCAACATATCGGATATTGTTGTCTTTATTTGCAAGGAATTTCCCCAGTATATTAACACCCAAAACGCGCAAACCAGAGTCGGCTTCTATGTCCAGAATCGTAAGGACCGCTTCATACAGAATTGCATTACCGACATTCTTCGACGACTCCGTGTTTGTAGCCACCTGGGCAAGGATATCGTTGATGAGCTCGCTCGTGGCCGCATCACCTCTTCCTAGTACACGTAAGAAACGAAGTATCTTGACCTGTAAGAATGGATCAGTCACGCCAGAGACATCGTGCTCCGGAGCATATCCCGATGTAGTCAAGCTCTTGAGGACCTTGACGAGTGGAGCTGCCAAGGGGCGGAAACTTTCAACCACGTCTTCGGGCCCTTCATCGAATTCCTCGGCATGTTCACAGAGATCGATAGCCAAAGTCAATGCGCAGAGTAGAACCCCATGATTGCGATCGGATAGGAGTATCTTGGCCTTCTCCAAGAAGTGTTCTTGTAAGTCGGGGACTTTGCGGCATATACGCATAGCACATAATGCAGCTTTCCGTCGAATATAGGGGTTCGCCGTAGTGATCAATGATTCTACCTCGGTGAATAAATCTCGAGACATCTCAACGGACGCAATGTTTCCCAAAGTACATAGGGCGAGGCCGACGATATATTGGTTGGAATGCTTCAGATCACTTGCTGTACGTAAGCAGAGGTACTCCTGCACGGAATGCGAATGATCTCACTTTTGTAGAGAATTGGTCACTAAAGTCAAGACTTCTTGGTTCTCATCCAGCAGAAGCATAGTGCCCAAATAACCCAATCGCTTATCGGCGAAGCGCGGAGACGCAAGTAGTTTCAGACATTCGATCTGACCGAAATGTGTCCGTTCTCCTAGAGTGAACAGGTAGAGTAGCTTCGCAACATTGTTTCTCCTATATAGCCATGACAGTTGTTAGCCAGATGCGCTGCCGTGTGTGATATTTGGCCTTCCACTGACCGAACGTTCGAGTCATGGCTTTCCTCTCGAAAGGAGGCCCGAATTGCGGCACTCTCCTTTTGCACGACGGCACGCTCGTCTGCAATTGTCTTCGCGGACCGGACATTACGAATGAATTGTTTGACTATAACGGAGCCTTGTCAATTCTGAGGACTCTCATCCAAATGCGTGGAGACAACTTACGGGAAGTCATCGTGGCCGCTGAGACCCCGTACGGGGTGAGAATAAAGACGAGTAATCACTGGTCTAAGAGAGGGAGAAGCAATCCAGCACGAAAGGAGACGCAGCTGGAGCGTGTGAGGTCAAAAACAATGGAGGAAACCCTCCAGATCAATCAAGAGACTGATTTTGTGAGCACGTCGGGATTCGTTAATGTTGAACGTGGTGTAAGTTGCTGCCCGCCGCAGGAGGAGAGCTTGTGGCTGACAGCGGCTGTGGCGCCATGTCTGTGGCTGGAGAGTATCGATGCCTCGACACCTTGATGCCTGAAAATCCTGTCACAAAATCTTGGCGACCGCGGCTCGGCGGCTGACTCCACTCGATTGCAGCCTTACAGCCTGAGGAACAGTTGACAGTTGTACGACAGCTAACAATAATTATATTATTATTAATTACACATCGAGTAACTATACATACTATGTATACACTGACCAATGGATGACAGCAGGAACAGCGTGCTGAGTGAACCACGCAGCCCAGCAGCCCTCCACGGTATGTGATAGCGTATTAGCGAGTCATTGGGGGCTGGCTTTAGTGGCCTGGGGCTCAATCATCACATCAGGGCTCTTGGCACGTCCCGGGGTTCCCGACTCCCGAGTCTCCGGCAAGAACCAAACTGACGTAAGTGCTTCGGGCCAGGATATTTATGGTAAGCAGCTGGACTGAATGCCGAACTCGTGACTACATACGTATAACTACCGATTTTTCCGGGACTGTCGCATGCCATCTCACCTGTTTGATTCCTTGACTGTCCGTGGCTTCATTTATATAAGAACAAGACTCTGTCGGTTTCATTGAAGGACGGATCGCTTGTGGTCTTGTCCTTCTAAAAGGTACACCTTGTTCATATTGAGCGACCTACCCCTCCAATTATGTCGACTGCCACTTCCAATGGCTCCATGACCTCTCAGGTCTTGAGAGCGCGAGCTATAAAATCTCTGCAGGCTGCAGATGAGCGGCTTGGGACTTCCAATTCGATCCCGGACAAGGAAAATGCCGATTCGAGGTACTGTGTCGAACCCCTATCCCACCGCAATTGACCGGCATACTAACAAGAGCTCAAAGCGGCGCATCAACACCAGTTCCAGAAGATGCTCCACCCTCCGTGAAGTCCATATCGACCGCGCGCAAACAAGTTCGAGCAAGACGGCGTCTATTTCACACCATCGACTATATTCCGCGGGTATCTCATTTCGATCCGCAAAGTGACTACCATAATTTTCGCGGGTTTTTCACATTGTTCTGGATCGGATTGTTTATAATGGTGGTTACTACAGTACTGCGCAATATTAAAGATACTGGACATCCATTGCGAGTGAAAATGTGGAGTTTATTGACGGCCAATGTATGGCAGTTGGCTATTAGCGATCTTGCGATGGTAGTCAGTTCGGGCCTGGCATTACCTATACAGAAATTGACTCGAAAGGGTGGAAATATACTCCGTTGGTACCGAGCAGGAATTTTGATTCAGAGTCTATATCAAATTGCGTGGCTCACTTTATGGATCAAGTAAGCATGCCCCTGAATCACGACTCTGGAAGCAAGTACTAATGTGCTCAGATGGCCGTTCATGTTACATTGGACCTGGACTGCCCAGGTCTTCTTTACTCTCCATACTCTGACGATTCTGATGAAAGTCCACTCGTATGCCTTCTACAATGGCCATCTGAGTGAGACTGAACGACGCCTGTCGGAACTCGACAAACCGGGTCAGGGGTCAATGGCGGCCGCAGTGCGATACCCAAGCTCCCCAGCTCGAGCTGAGACCATGAACGGTAGTTTTGAAATAAAAGGAGAAGAGCCACTGTCCAGATTACGCGACGATCTAGCGACAGAATTGACTTCTCCCCTCGGTCAAGTGACCTATCCTCAGAATCTTACGCTCGGCAACTTTGTAGATTTCTTATTCTGTCCCACACTTTGTTACGAAATCGAATATCCCCGTACACCAAGCATACGTTGGACAGAAGTCTTCTTCAAAGCACTGGCTGTATTCGGCTGCATTTTTCTCTTAACACTTACAAGCGAAGAATTCATCGTCCCCGTCCTACACGAAGCGAGCATCAGTCTATCCAGCGTGAATACCTGGTCCGATCAAGCACTCATCCTAGCCGAAACGACCAGCATGCTACTCTTCCCCTTCATGATTACATTCCTGCTAGTATTCCTCGTCATCTTTGAATACCTTCTCGGCGCATTCGCAGAAATAACTCGTTTCGCCGACCGACGCTTCTACTCCGACTGGTGGAATTCATGTGACTGGCTCGAATTCTCTCGCGAATGGAATATTCCCGTCCATCACTTCCTGCGTCGACATGTCTATTTCTCGTCAAAGGCATATTTCTCCGCTCCGGTCGCAATGTTCATTACATTCCTTGTTAGTGCGCTTGCGCATGAGCTTGTTATGAGTTGTATCACGAAGAAGTTGAGAGGGTATGGATTTTTGCTGATGATGTTGCAATTACCCATTATTGCTATCCAAAGGACGCCGTTGATTCGGCAGGCGAAGACTTGGAATGTATGTCGTCTCTCTCCCATCATGAATCTGCCCATGCTGACGGTGATCTCTAGAATATCGTCTTTTGGTTCTCCATGATCCTTGGCCTGTCAATGGTTCGTACTTCGTCCCTCTAGTATTTATATGTATAACTAACTAGAACAGATGTGCGCCCTATACGTTCTAGTCTAGATTCTGTCAATGGACTGGAGCCATCCATATAGATATTCCTATCACCGTCCCTTTCTTACCATCTTCACAGCGAATTTGTCGAATAAGCCTCATTAGTGCCTGGTTTGCACAGTTGAAGTCTCCGGAGACTACCTATTTTGTGGTTATCATCAGTCACATTGCAGTGACTCTTGTATTTATATTGTAGATTCACTATACCCCAGTGTACAATTATGTGTCTATCATTAGATTGAATGTTATTCTTGAGTGCCTATGCAGAATGTACCTAGATAGGTATAACAATGTTGATTGAAGCAAACAACACTTACTCCAGCTCCTATATAACTCCCATGCATGCGGGGAAAGGTAAATTCATCTCTAGACGTCCTGCGCCTCGAGCTCCTGTAATATATAAATAAAGACCACGACCCCCAAACTCTGAGATGCGTAACGACGGAACAAAAACAAGCCTAGATATGTTCAATCGGTTCCTCAGGAAGCAGCTCTTCATGCTCAAACTCTCTCCGCGCGGGCAAACACGCCTTAAGAGGCGCTCGAATAATATCATTAAACAAGAAAGTACCGTAAACCAGAAGCGCAAACCCCAGGACTTGGAGCCACTTGAAGGACTCCCAGCCTAGTCCCAGCGAAACGAGCCAGATGAATAGTGTCCGGGATGTGTCGATTGTGCTACGAGAGGTTGCGGAGACGGTTCGAGTGACGGAGAGGCCGAAGAAATTGAAGCCGCTGTTGCAGATAATCAGTATTTCGATCGGTCTAGAGAAAGGCAAGGGGTGGCTTACCCTATACTTATCATGATGAGGAAACTGGACACGGCAATAGCCCGGTTATGAGTAATCTGTCTCCAACCTTCCTTCAAATCAAAATATCCATATCGACCAGCATCCGTCGACCCGATGGCCAAATGTAAGATAACCATACCAATGGTCGTAACCAAAAGTCCAAAGAATCCTTCCCACCCGACAACGTTCAATGGATCCATAGCATAATGTTCCAGGATCCACTCCTCGAGTACAAACTGGGTAGCTGTGAAGATCTGCGCGGCAGCAATTAGCAAGACGCCGATAATGACTCTAACAGCCTCTGGGGTGCGAGCTGTGGTGTTGACGTCTCTTGCAAATCGGGACATGGCATTACTTATGCCGCTCTCGGGGTCATGGACACCCTGATCATGTCCGAAAAGAGCTCCGGACAAACCGACAATACCCACACCAAGCACAACAATTACCAAGGCAAACCATTGGTACATGTATAACCTGCGACGCAAGAACAAAACACTAAAAAGACCCACGAATAACACAAGTGCACCTCGAGTCATTTGGTAGATACTAGCGGCCACAAACAAAAGCCCGGCATTCATCATAGTTGTCCCCAAGATATCACAGCATGCAGGGGCAGCAAGCATAAGGATCCTCCATCCATTAAGTATCCGACGACCACCAGCATCTGTTTCGTCTATGGGTTTTGTGATTGTTGGATCAGAGGGGTGGTTATTCACGACATTCGGGTTTGTTTCAACGCCTTCAGCGTATTCTTCTGCTTCTTCTTCGCCATCGTGATACTCGGGGATATGATCGTCCTCACGAATGCGGCGATAGCCACCAGCGAATAAAGGCGCGGTCGACGATGTCCGCGAAGCCACGAATCGAGTATAAAGGTAAGATAATAGGACGACGAGGAAGCAGCCTAATTCACCGACGAACATTTGTGCCCTATAACATGCATAGAGAGTTCACAGTTAGCTTCAGCCGTCTCTTCATGTTAGATAGCCGATGTTCATACGTTTGGATAACAGGCTGCTCGAATAATTTGTGATCAGCCGGATTGAGCGAGTCGCAATTCCTGACACATTGCATGTCCTGAATACTTCAGTCAATTAAGCCTTTCTTTTAAAACAGACTGTGCCGTCAAGAGGAGAGGATCGTGACGAACCTGGTACTTGTTCAATATGGTATTACACACCCCCGTCACCAACATCATGGTGACGAGGAAGGGAATGATTGCTTCCCTCGCCATATTGATAGATGATATGTATATCACCCGGGATACAAACAGTTCTAGAAATACACGCAGTTAGATATTCTGTATATGATGAATTGTACGTTGAAGGAAGTCGTCTATCGTGTACCCCGGCAAGTGAGACAGAGACAGACGTCAGCAGGTACACTGTGGAGCCAGCGGGTATCCACACGCCGTACTTGAACTAGCCTTATCAATCGATTATCTCCCTCACTTATCAGCTAAGTTAAGTAACCTACATGTAATCGATAGTTACTGGACATAGACAATCATCTATTATTATCACCACTGTAAAGGTATAAAGGGAACAGCAAATTACCCAACAGTTCGCCATCCATATTAACGCAAATGGTATCCCACGAATCGATCCTTGGTCGCCTCAGAACTCATGATACATGCTCAAAACAAGATAAAAAAGAAGTAAGATAATGACAATAAAGCAGTATAACCACTTAGACTCCATACCCACGCAACACCTCCGGAACTGGGAAACCTCAACTTTTATCTCTCTCGCGACGCCTGAACCTGATTGTAGTAAAGAAAGATCAATACAAGGTGGAAGAGAAACATTACATGAATGAAGGCTGAGTTGACAAGAGCATAAATCCATCAAATCATAGACAACCATGCGCCTGGCAACATATTTTGCCCTCCAACACGCAAAGGTTAGTGGGGGATCATGATACTGAGAACGAAAGGCCCTTGTTCAGAGGCGCAGCTTCAAGCTCTTTGTTGACAGTTTCCCAGTCCATCCATGGATCGTCATTTCCAGAGAAAATCGGTCCAGGGTGAGAGAACCAGTTAGAGGGCCAAGAGCCATCATCCTCAACATCTTGAATCTGGATTGCCGAGTCGTCTTTCGCCATATCACCGTCATTTGGTGTCTGGGTGACAAATGTGTTGCTATCAACTGAATCTGGTGTATCTTCATTCTGGTTGGAAAACATATCTGAGTTGAGGAACATTTCGAAAAATTCCCCTCCCATGCCAGGGTAACTATCTGTCATCGGTATGTCGAATGTCTCTTGAATAACATCAAGAGACACCTTGCTGTCGGCCCATCCGTCTTTAACAGCTGCATTATCTGAAACAGGTGCCCGTTCAAGAACTGCCTTCGCCGCGTCTGTCTTGGCACCAGATTTGACTTGTTTGGCAGCTGCCGGTTTAGTCGCCTTCGCCGCTTGCAGACGTGGCGTTGTCATACTGGTAGATGCTGGTGATATAATCTTACCATCCGTCTGACTCATTAACCGGCTCATTGGTGTGGCGCCGGTAGCAGGGGTGACACCTTCAGCTTTGACCTCTTGTTTCACGAGTGAGGCTTCGCCAGACACCAGCTTCTTGTCATTCTCACCCTGCAGGTATCCTACGACGGACTCTGGCGCGCCAAGCCCGGTATCCAAGCTGTCCACCATGTACTTCAATGGATCAGTAATCTCCTCCTTGACCTTGTGCTCATCTTCCACATGTTTATTCAGAGCAGCTTGCGTCGGAAACCCCTTGACATGATATTCACAATCAGCAACAGTACACTTGAACGAGGCCTTCGCAACGTCTCCTTTGGCCGCAGCCTTCGCGGCAGCACCACCTTGTGGTACCGAAACTGATGCGTGACTTTGCTTCCTGCGTTTTGTAGGAGGTATTTTCAACTTGTCCGGAGAGAATCCACCTGGCCCGTAAGCTTGCGGAACTCCTTGAGGAGACGGGTCCCCCAATGGGAACGGCGGCTGCAGAGCTGTGGGTGCTGCAGGAACGTTTTGATTCTGCGTCCGTCGAGCTCGTTTCGCCTCTTCTTCCAGCTGCTGAAGGTTGGATGCGTTCAAAGGAGGTTGACCACCAACAGGCGGCATCGGGGCTCTTTGTTTTTGCTGTAATTGTTGACTTTGGACTCTAGTTATCATTGAGGTGAACATGCTCCTGATCATTCCAAGACATTGTTTAAGGTACTCTGGAGCAATAGTAAACTCATCATTGACTGTCCATTCCGTTGATTTGAATTGTCTCAAGAGGTGGATCCGCTAATGTATTCATGTTAGCCTCAATTCATGTACGCTATGGCGGTACCTCTTACCATAGAAAAAAGGTGCTTAATGTTTCTCTCATAATTGCTGAGCTTGATAAACCACTGAACGAGTGTATCCAACCTTGATAGCATGTCGGTAGAATCTTGTAGCTGCTTAGCCATGACTCGCTTATCTTCCGCTGAGATATCCTTAGGTGCTGCGTTAGAAATAATAGATTTGGACATATCGTGGTACCAAATTTTCTGTTGATCAGGAAGAGCATTGTTCCAGTTCTCTTCTGCAGCAGTTCTAGATATTTGAAGCCGGGTCTGTCGTTGTTGCGGTTGAGGTTCGGGTTGGGGTCGCTGAGATGAACCAGCAAGCTGCTCCCTGGCGACATTAGCGGGTGGACGTGCAAGTACAGATGCGGCAACTGCTTGAGGAGACACTTGTGGTGGTTGAGCCTTGGGGTTTTGAATCTCGATAACATCATCACTGTGAGGTCGCTTCTTGGAGGCCGTCTTGCCAGCTGCTCCACCTTTCGCTACCTTAGCACCTGTCGGTGTTGGCTGGACTTTGGCGTTGGCCATTTGCGGGGTCTGCGCTGGTTGAGCTGCCTGTGTCGTGGGAGGTACCATCTGCTTGTTGGGGACTTGAGCTGGCATTGGTATCGTTTGAGGTGGCTGGGCTTGATTTGGGGCTTGTTTGGGCTGCTGCACAGGGAAGCCCCGGGCGGCAAGCTGCTGCAAAAACATCTTCTGCTTGTTTCTCGCAAGGAAAGCCCTGAGTTGGTCGTCCGAGATATTCTGGAATTGTGGGCCGAGTTTCTGCCGCGCCATTACGAGTTCTTCGGGGGTTACAGTAGGTAGTGTGGGTTGTGGCCGTCCCGTCACGTTTTGACCAGGCATAAATGGTTGAGCATTTCCAGGCCAATTTTGCTGTCCGGCTTGTTCATTGTTTCTCCCAGCTTCACGTTGTTGTGACAGAGTATGCACAAAATGCAGACGCTGAAGATCCAGTAACTTGCCCGGATCTACGCTACCAGGATTCTGTGTAACGTACGTCTTTAACTGACCCCAGGTCTTCACTGCCTTTGGTATTGGAGGGTTCATATTTGCATTAGAGTTGATCATAGATGGGGGGAAAGCCATGCGATCCATATCTCGGATCTGCTCAGCAGTCATCTCAATATTCTGGCCCTGGGAACGCATCAAGGCTGCTTGATGTTGTCTTAAGAGGGCCTGCTGATTCTGTTGTGGCTGCGAAGGTTGCTGTCCTTGAATCATTGCATTATTCGACCCCGTCAGTCCAGTAAGGGACTGCTGCATAGGCATAGATGTGCCAACGTTGAGGCCATTGAACTGTCCAGCTTGAGAAACCTGTGATATATTTGTTTGCATGGACATCGGTTGACCATTTCCTGCTCTTGCCGCTTGGCTGTTCGCTAGAGCAAGGCGTTGTTGCATCAGATAGTTATTCACTTGTTCCGGAGTCATATTGGGCATGTTAGGAATTTGCGGTCGCATTCCCTGTTGTTGGTTGCCATGTTGCTGTCCATTCACACCAGGTTGTCGCGATGGTGGTCGTATTTGTCCTACTGCTTGCGCTGGTGACATGTTAGGACCAACTGGACGATTAAGCATCGGCATCGCGGGGCTCTGATGGGGCATATTCTGGTTTACTTGATTAGTACTCTGCCCGGCAGCTTGGGCCATTTTTGCATTATGCGCGGCCTGGGCTCGAGCTTGAGCCTGGAACTGTGATGTCTGTTGCATGCCGATCTGTTGGACATTTTGCGTGTTTTGCAGTTGTTGCTGTTGTTGTTGCGATAAGAACTGTTGCGGGTTGATGGGCCGATTCAGGTTTGGCTGTGTGTTTTGCTGCGGCACTCCAGCTTGAAATAAGCCATTAGGGTCTGCAAAGGTTTGCTGGCTAGACATCGGTGCACTACTCGCAGGGACGACCAGCTGACCAGCTTCCTGAGAGCGAAGCCCATCCGCTTGCTGCACTTGAATGTTCTCGATACTTCCAATGAATGCAGGGTCCAGGCCTTGCTGATTATTCATCGGCAACGCGGAGTTCCGCTGCAAACCCATCATATTTGGTGTCATCTGGCGTTGAGCGGCGTTCATCATGCTGTCTCCTCCGACCATGGACGCGTTAGGGTCTAGGCCTTGTGCACGAGGATTGTGTGGTTGGGCACGCCGAGCTTTCATACTCTTAAGGATTTGAAGGCTCATCACCCAAGTCAAAGGATCCCCATATTTCTGTGATATAATTTGTTTTTGCTCTGGAGTCATCTTTGCCGCTGCCGCATTTCTTCGCTTCTCTAATTCTTCCGGGGGTAACCTCCCCATCATTTCGCGTGCAATCTTAATAAGTGACTTGAAATCGGGTTGGCTGAGCATACTCAGTTCGTCGACCATAGGCATCCCTGAAGGGGGCCGTTGTTGTCCTATTTGATTCTGCGCAAAATTCTGTTGCTGTTGTTGAATCATGTTGGGATCATTCATTCCCATGTGCATGGGAATCTGTCCAGGCATAGGTGACGTTTGCATCGGTCGGTTCATCTGAGGTGTGAATTGCGGGGGCATCTGGTTGGGACGAACTACACCCGGCAACCCCCCATTGGCACCTCCGTGCTGCATTAACCCGCCTTGGTTGTACACGGCTTGTTGTCGCAATCTCGTTTCTTTAATGGCGTGGAGTTTAGTAGCACACTCTTTCTCGTAATCGTCCTATCGGGTTGACATGCAATCGTTAGTACGCTGAAACATTCCTGGGCTTAACAAAGAAACACTCTAAAAAGGGAGTTCTTGATCTATTGGATGTAGACGTACCCTCTGATTAGCTTCACGAAAAGCCTTTTCCTCGAACGATAGAGCAGCCTGGAGAGCGTTTTGAATTTCGATTCGAGGTTGTATAAGTCGAAGGGAGGTAATCCTTAGAAAGCTGAGGATTAGTTCAGGGTACTAATACGCGGCAAGTCAGACAACAAGGAGACGTACATCTGCAGGACTTTGCCGGCGCGATCTGGGATGGAAACTTCCGCGCGCCAACCGGTAAAAGGACCTTGATTTTGTAGGGCTACAGCGATATGGCGTTGAACCTGGGCATTTTGAGGTTGCTGCATAGGGCCTTGAGGGTTGGCACCGGTGAGCATGGCTCCAGTGCCCACGTTGGAAAAGTTGACTGGATTCATGTCAGAAGCCCTCCCTCAAGACGGGCAACTGTCGAAAAATCCACCACGCAGTCTGATAGCTGACGTCAGCACCATCCGCTGAAATACTGCCGAGAGAAAGAAATAGGATACGAAGATGGTCAGGTCGTGGGTGAAGCGGGTTGCGATACGATCTGCTGGTCTCGGCAGCGGTGTTGAGAAGGGTGAGCGTTGAGGATTTTTGGTCTGATAGTGAGGCTGCAGCGATCGGGTCTGGCAGGGGAAAATCAATTGGACTGATCCGTCGCTAGGATCCGGGGCAGTGGTGGAGTCTGGAAGAGTCAGGTCGACCGGAAACTCTGGCAGTGTCGAGATCGCATTGTAGACAGAGAGTCTAATGCGAAGAGCACAGAGAAAATGGTGGTAGAGGGAGAGGAAGAGAGAGGAAGGTGAGTTAAGGAAGAGAATGAGTGAATGAGGTGTTTGCTGTTTGGAGCCCGAGTCAGGCTTAGTGGGAGGAAGGAGCGTAAGGTTGGGCAAGGGCAAACTAGGAACTGTGATAGGTTGGCCGCAGGGGCAGGCGGGTCCGGTAGTGCCTTAGGGCGCTTGCTTGGGTAAGTAATAGGTACGTAAATTACATCGACGAGGAGGACAACGGAGTAGCGAATCGCCAGTTATATTACTCCGTGTTGTTATGTCTCTCGTACTTCATCTAGCGTACAAATACATCTGCTGTTTTCGTATGCGGGACGATGGAGGTATGGACAACGAAAGGTGCCTTGGCTTACCCGCGTTCCCTTTGACAGCGAAAACTTAAATCTATGTCTCGGTCCTTCCCATAGAGCTCCAAGATCGGAATCGGCCCGGGCGATGTCAGAAGAAGACAGAAGAGGATAGTTAACATTAATTTCTCTTCATAGAATGAAAAGCAAACTGCGAAGGAGAGACAGCAAAAGACAGCTTCGTGTCGACAACTCAAGGAAGATAAATAGCGAGGCCGTGTAACCCGATGCAATGATCAACAGCTAACAACCGGCCCCGGTCAGAGTCTCAGATTGTCCCGTGTTGAAACGTCCGGTTAATGCATGCGACATTTTCGTACGGCCTTCCGAAGTAGTTAGCAATCGCCCTCGATTGAACGATGGGCGATTCTGGCTCAGTGTGGAAGGTGATTGATTGAGTGATTTGTGCTGAAAATATGTATCGTCATCCAAGATCGGGGATAGATCCAGAGTATGATAGGATGGAAATCGATTAAACTCGGAGTGCTAAGTTAGCTCGTTGCGAGTGGTCCCATTCCAGACCGTTTGGAACCACTGGAACCCACACTAGCTCAGCCTCTACCCGCTCTTTTCTACGACTAGCTACACACATCAGGACAGTATATATACCGTTAAATTGTGACTACTAGACCTCTCACTCAATGTAGAGTTCCCCTATTTCATCATGAGGAGTTGGGAGGAAGTAAGTAGAGAGAGTAAGCAATGTAGTTATTAGTCCGTCCAGACTGGCCCACTTCCACCACTAGTCTGGCCCATTAGCCCGCCGCTAGTAAGTAGCACTAGTCCTGATTTATCACTAGCGTCCGTGGATGATAGGCTCCTCGCGTCAAAAGAATCAAAAGTAATTACGATGTGTTTATGCGCAGACGTTGAGATACTCATGGTTTTGCGTTACGTATGACAGTATAATATTGGGTCGACACTGAAACAGGAGCGGAAGAAATCAATTGCGTTTGGCAATATCACGGCAGACAACAAACACCCGGAAACGGCCTACGTATTTGTTTGTCTGGAGATCGTTTACCATCCGGATGCGCCCCTTTGTGCGCTCGAGGACGCTTGTTCTGAGGATATGCAAGTACGACGAAAAGTCTGACTCTTGCGAGTACCAGCTCATCAAGGAATTTGGCTACTCCGTATAGGATGATCAAAATCATGAGATCTCTTGGAAAAGTGGTTTGCTAGTAGTAGCCCAAGTTACATGTACCGCTGGTAAAGGTAGTTTTCAGGACACAACAGCCCTGACAAAGATTGCAAAACCAAATAGCTATTTTAACAGAGATGTTCTGGTTGAAATAGTATCTAGAGAATGGACAGAGTCAAGACCGCAGACTATTGATTGAAGATAAAATACCTTGCGTTTTTTGATTGGTCGTTTGCTGATGCTGTCGAAAGGTCACGTGATGGGCGCCGATCACTCTGGCGGACGACATCCATCGCTTCCTTGACGACACTCATCAACATCCACATCCACGTCTTGCACATAGTTACAACTTATCACTTCAGTTTTCGCTCTCGGTTATTGGCCGCTCTTCAATAACACAGAATCGTCACTCGGCCACTCTCAACATGATTCAGTATTGCGCTGGTCTTTGCTCCCTAAACATATAGAAATGGTATCTCTAGACTCGGCGTATGCCTCCATGGCAACGTCATCCGCAACCCCTATCGGCTCGACCGTCTTTCTATCCATTTCCTTCGTCGCCATCTGCTTGCTCACTTTGTTACTTTTACGGCGATTCTTGACCCTTCGCGCGACACCCGCATATATAACAGTCCCCGTCTTCCTGGCTTTGGTCCTTCCCGCTAGTGTTGTCCTTCTCGTTCCCGTGGATTTGGCATCGAGCTCAAGAGAGAAAGGAAAAGGCGCAAATGGAGTTTGGTTACCAAACCATGCGGTCTTGGTGCTATGGCGTATAGCATATTGGCTGATATTCTGTTTGACCTGGTTTGTCTTCCGCAACTGCTGTCACCCACCGCAAAGCGGAGTGCTAACCGGCTCCTTTTTCGATTAGGGTCATTCTACCACTGTTAGGTGATTTCGTGGATTCCGGATATCGTGACCCGAAAAGTCGTCTGATGTACTCCTTGCGCTCTAATGCTCGATATCAACTCACCGTTCTTTGTTGCGGTATCGTAGGCCTGATCTACATATCGATACAGAATGGATTCGACTTCACTTCCATCAGGTCGCTAGTCATGGCTCTTGCTTATGTGTGGGGTTTGATACTGGCTATCTATCTGATGGGCCACGGACTTGTCTCGATTCCTCGATCATTCTTTCGAAAGGCCAATACTGCTGATGCTCTACGAAGACTTCAGGCGCATGCACCAAAAATCCACGACCGTCTGACTGATGCAGTAACTGAACTGGAGGAAGTCGAGGCCCAAGTGGCCCAGCTACAACGGCGAAAAACCGGCACTGCACGCATGTTCGAGGACTGGATTGAAGAACTTGCCGATTATACGACCGTACCAGACTCGCGTCCTGCAGCTCTACACTCACTTGCGGAACCTACAGCGGTTCCGGCGGTAATTACAGAACGATATATGGCAGGTTTGTCACGACGACTACAGCGTGCGCGGCACCAGAAGGCACGATTCGTGGACGAATGGGACCGCCTCGTTCGCTCAGCGGCTGATTACCAGATGATACTCAACTCCAAGGCGTCGAAGAAGCTTGATTTTGGACCTGTCGGCGGCTCTGAGGCCGTGTCCGCCTCGCGTAGAGCCGGACTCATTTCCCCTTATATGCGATACGTTATATACGTACATGTACTGCCGGGCCTAAGGCTTCTTCTAGGAGCGACATTTTCCGCCGCGTCTTTCTGCGTCGTCTGGTCCGAAGTTATCAGAAAGATTGCCCCGAAGCTGTGCATTATTAGCTTGAGCTTGGTTCCTGATGCGGACAATGCCCACATCGGGCTAGGAGGTCAGTTAATAGCCTCGCTATGGCTATTGTACATGTGCACCGCTGCTTTGAAAGGCGTCAATGATGCCCAGGTCTGGGGCAATAGGGCTTTGGTACGTCGAAATACGTATGGTGAAAGTGCGTGCTGGTATGCTGGACAGGTTGCCAAGTTGACCGTGCCACTGGCATATAACTTTCTTACTTTGCTACCCCGTGAGCTGCAAGATGACACGACTTTCTACCATTTCCTTGGACAATATATTAATTTGACACCGTTGGGCAAGGGATTTGAATACTTCCCAGTCTTTCTACTTCTTCCAGTCTGTGCCACCATGTTCAACCTCTATGGACGAATCAAGAAGATCTTTGGTTTTGGTTTTGTGGATGACGAAGAAGATCCCGAGGCGGACCCCGGTGGTTTTGGGACGGGAGGCTGGAGAGAAGGACGTGCTCTCATTGAACGAGAACTGGTCGGATTAGGATCTCTAGGGTTGACTTCCAGATCCCTTGACTCTGGGCGCAATACTGGACTCGCTGCGTCTTCTTCTTCTACCTCACTTCATACCTCGCGCGCAGCTTCTCCACAACCTGGCTGGTCCTCATCGTCAACTCTACCAAGATCTTCATCTCGCGCTCCCTTGATCGCGCCCTCATCGTCGGCAAATGCGGTAACAGCTACTACTGTTATTGATGACGGGACCGCCGAAGAAGACAACTTCTTCCAGTCCTTTGCGCACCGGGTCCGAAATACCATTGATACGGCTTCCACTCCGAAATGGCTTCAAGGCGGGTTCCCAAATATCAGTGCGCCGAAATGGCTGAATTCGAGTCGGGAGAACTCGGGCTCAAACAACGGATCTACTGAAGGAGGTAACAAGATATTTGGAGGTTTATTTGGCCAACGGTCATCTGACGGACACGTACGGCTATGAGCCGTTCGACGTTGGGTTGGTTTATGAATGGCATGGGAAAGGCGTTGTCTCACTTTTTTTACTCTGGTTTTCTTTGTATATATTAATGTGTGTGGCTGCGTACACAACTCAAGGATAGGTTAATAGAGTAACATAATTCTAAGACTTGCTGGATATAACTTTTTATAAGATTCAGATCGTCTGCTTGGCCTCTCTGGCAAAGTATGATGCTGCAGGCGATTACCGGCATACTTGATCGAGCCATGTGGACATACAATTCACTCCTCGTGATATCGATACTACGTAGCTATAATTTCCGCATAGATAGATAGGCCTATGAAGCAATCTCGAGTGAGCATGGGCGGAGGCGCTGCTATCCAGCGATAGCGGTCCAGAACGATAGCCGGGACTCTCCGATTCTCATTCTCGTCATCTCAGGTTGTACCCGGAGGTCTGAATGGATTGAGATAGCAATCTACTAGTAGAACTAGACCGAGACTAACAGGAGGCATTCACTGGGACAGTAAGCAACAAGTTGCCAGGTCTGAGAGTAAGTATCGCATCCACACCGGAAATGCGATCACCCAAGGCGAGCCAGAAAATCAGACTTACTGACTTGATAAGATGTTTGATATGTTTGCTGTTTCTGTGGCGCACCACTGGTGACTGCGCCACCATTTTCCTGATGCCTGCAGGCTTAGGCACACACCTGGATAGCGGCTCTTTAGACTGTAGCTAGCAACAGCAAGTATATCAATGCTACTACAAAATGGAACCTGGTGCTGCATATGTAACTTATCCTCCCTACTCCGTACTATGCCCCTAGTCTGGACTCCAGGATTTAGTGGGTACGTCCGCGCTTAACTTTCCGCGTGGTTTGCCGCAAGCCGCCACCAGCCAAGAACTTCAGAGTGTCATGTCATTCAGACTGAAATCAACCCCCCGCCACTGCTTTTCATCCTCCTTGCTCTCACCACCCCGCCCTTTCTTCTTTTCTTTCTTTCGACGGCGCAGAGGCTTCCATGACTCTGCTGCCGGACTGGCCCGTGACTTTGTCCTCCCTGGGCGAGGCTTCCGTCTCATACCCGCAGCAGCTCATCCGCCGACTGTCATCTCTGATTCAGGCATCTTCAACAACAACAACAACAGCAAGTCAAGGAAAAGAGCATTTCTCCTTCTTCATCAACGATCTACTCGCGAAGTCTACCTCTCCTCTCTCTATCGCCGCCTTTTCCCTGACATTCATCGTTGGAATCCTCACAATCGTCGCAATGAGTTGGCGCGACACATTTGGGATTTTCCGGCGCTCGTCGTCCAATTATGGTCATAACGCACAAGGCGCACCGCCGCAAGTAAGCGATAGCGATTATTCCTATCTTACGAACGACGATATCGTTGCACCTCCCCGAACTTATCAACAACAATCCCATAATGACGGCCGACGAGTATTACGTCCGGGAGTCAATTATCCAGCAGAAGACGAGTCGCCGGATATTCTACTACTGAAACATCGCGGAGTGACTTATCCTCTACACTTTCCGGCATATGCCATTGATGATGGTGTCCTTACTGTCGGAGCAATTCGCCGTCGAGCTGCAGAGCAGACTGGAACATCTGATCTGAATCGGATCAAAATCCTTTACAAGGGAAAATTATTACGGGATGATAACAAACCATGTAAGGACGAAGGCTTGAGGCAACAGTCGGAAGTTATGTGTGTTGTATCCGAGGTAGGACCTGGCGAAAGCACCAGCAGTTTGTCCGGTAGCGAAGCGTTGAGTCTCGATAGCCGGAGCACTGATCATCGCCATCAGAGCCCGCCATCGGGTAGTGGAGGTGTGAAGAAGAAGGGAAATAAAAAAAAGAAGAAGAAGCATGACCAGCAACATCTCGCACCTGAACCAAGACCTGTGGAGACCAGACATTCAAATGATAACCTTGCTCCCCCGTCAGATGCCCGGCCTACGTCGTCTGGGCGTTCCTCAGCGGCGCCCTCACCATCGCCCAGGTTACAGCAGTTTTCTACGCCCAATGAACGAGTAGAGGCACTCCTTCGGTATCTACGTACAGAATTGGCCCCATTGTGTGAGAAGTACTTTTCGAACCCGCCCACAGACCCCAAGGCGCGCGACTATGAACATAAACTCCTCAACGAAACGATCCTGTCTCAGGTCATTCTCAAAGCGGATGGTATCGATTCTGAGGAAGCTCGACCGGCTCGTCGAGCTTTGATCAAAGAGGCGCAGGGGCTATTAAATAAGTTGGATGCACTTGCGCCTCAAACTCAATGATTGCATTCTTTCTATTGCATATACATACAAGCAGCGAGCGCTAGAGACTTTCTCAAGGTGCAGACATGCGAGGCTCTTTTGCATTGGTTTCTTGACATTTGCCGTGATCTTCTCGGGTTAAACTTTTTGAATTTATAATGTCTTCATCCTTTATGTCTGGTTATCTTTTTGGACTTGATGATGCATTGATTCTTTGGCACTAGAAGAGGGCGATTCATTTTATTGATTCGGAAGAAAAATCGAAAAGAACCCTGAACCTTGAGTTTTAATCATTGTTTTATACTCTGTGTAGGGCAAATTACAACGCCCCGAAACTCCAATCGACGTTTAGTGCTGCGCTTGTATCGATCAGGATAGTCTATGTACTGAATCAGTGGGTTGGCCGTTACGTTACCAGTCGCGAATCAAAGCGTACCCCGTAATACGAACTATTACTTGCTAAGTTTCTAGTAAGGAGCATCTTTGTCCAGATTAGAGCAACAGCTAAGCTCCAGCCACGATCAGGCGACCAGTAAACGGTGAGGAATCTACAAGTGGCAGAGTCACCTGTTCTAGCCCTGGGTCAGTGGCATACTTTGCTTGGTGAGAATAAGAAAAATTAAACAGTGAAAGGAGAAAGAAGAAGCCGTAACTAAGTAATTTACTGCTATAGTTACAATACGCATTGTACCGTATCGTATGGCTCCTTCTCCTTGGACCAGTCATCTTTCTTGCCCGCAAGCCCGTTCTAAACTTCTCCATCATCTCGATAATCTTCCTCCCAGAATCTGCGTGCAATTGAATCGATTGCAACGACAGTCCTACTTACGACCTCCAATAAAGGTACTCTCTTCTCCTTTTTTGTTTCGAACTGACCCCCGCCTGGCTTACTCTTTCTTTGATCTTCGTTTCGTCCTATCAGATTGGTGGATGCTGATCTAACAAATACGTTCGTCTAGCCCGCCTCCTGACCTGTCTCATTGTCTGCAGCACTTGTTCTGCGCCTTGCATCTTTTTGTTTCTGCTATCTCTTGCCTCACGCCCAGATATACACACGTCAATTAATTGTTTACTATTTTCGACCCCAGCGCGAAGTCCCCTCATTTCTTATCTCGGTTTTTTCCTCTTCTTACAGTCGTTCCTCTCCTTTGTGTCTCAATCGTTCTTCTTCCTCAACACCACGTATCAACTCAACAAACCCGCGCTGTAGTTGCGAGCCACAACAGTTCCAATCTCGACTGGATCATCTCTTGACGTGGATCAACAACCGTGCTATATCTACTGCTCGTTCGAAATTATGTCACTGTGACCCAGGCTAGCAGAATCGACTTGCGGCTTCTGGTCTGTTACTCCCGCTCTCAACCCCGACACGAGCTGGTCCGTCGCAATTTCCATTCAGTGGCATTCACTCTGTCCGAAAAGTCCACAACTACATGATTGAATGATATAATTGAGACAGTTGAAGAGATCAACATCTACCCTTCCCGAACTAGAACCGTGAAAACGCTTAGTTTGGTTGTCTCCACCTCCCGCGGGCCTATTTCTCTGGCAAAACACGAGGTCAATTGTACCTGTATACAATCCACGGGGTATATTCAGCTACGTCTGAACATCCAGGTAGTGGCGATATACTCGGTGTTGACGATATAGGAAACATTGCTTGTCCTGATGTCTTTGTGTCTTAGCCGGAAGTCGTGAACCTTGAAACTTGCTTTCAGGGTTGTTGAATAGTGTTTAGGGGTTGGTGGGGCAAATTCAAACTGCTATCCCAGTCTTTTCACCAGCTACCAGATTAATGCGTCAATAAGAGAACCGGCATTGTGAAATATACAAAAATTTCCGGGATCTACATTTGCAGGTTTCAAGCGGACGGGTGCAGCTTGTTGAGTTTTAGGAGATATCAGGAAGTCGTCCAACTGTTGGGATGGCTGGTACTGCCACTGCTATTTCCTCCACAGATGCGTTGTCATCTCCTTCAAGTAGCAGCACGGCATGGGACCTAGCTGTGCCATTAGGACCAGAGGTGAGTACTCTTTTGTCAAGTCTTGGATAGAGCAACCACTATTGGAAGCCTTTAACGTTGAGGGAAGTACTAATTCAATGCGTGTAGGCCGACACTATAACGCCGAAACGCACATCTAATGAATCCAGTTCGCTCTACAATAAACCCAATTACCGCCACCGGACGCCGAACGGCCACCCTCGGTCTCGTACCTCATCGCAAACCGGCTCAAGGCGGGGAAGTAACGCACATGACAGTTACGGACGTGAGATTGGACCTATGACTAAAGATATGGCGGATGCTTACAGCAATGGTCATGTTTGGAAGGGTGATTACTCTGGGAAGCCACCCGTGGATACCGAGGGTATGCCAAGTGACGACAATTGGATCCATCGAGACAAGCTGGCACGGATAGAGAGCGAGGAATTGCAACAAGCGGCCATGCGCATTCAACACCGTGTGCGTACAGGAAGTAAATCAAGCAGCATGCGTGGTCGCAGCCATGACACTCAGAGCTTTAACGGAACCATTACCACACCTCCCGAACAAACAGAACCCTGGGCAGGTTCAAGGCAACAATTAGAATCGCCAATTCCCTTGGAAGACTCTGATGAACAAGAAATCGAGGTCGAAAGGAGAAATTGGGATTTGCGACGACCTGAAGAAATTGCTGCCTCGTCTTCTGAAGTGAATGATGATTCTTCTTCTTCAAAATTCTACAAAAGTCCGGCCCTGAAGAAGAGTTCTTCGCGAATTCCCGTTCTGGCTTCTAGTCCTCACCAGGTCTCGTCAGATCCAAATGAACGTGAGTCATCCATTCAGCGCATTCGCACTCGCACCGTAGGCAGTGCAGACGAAAATGGCATATCCTATACCCCAAGTCGCAGACCCAGTGAATCAGCCGTAATTGACACTCCTGAAGCCTCTCCGGAGCCTGCTGATAGTACAACCCCTCCGTTATCCACTAGCCGGCCTAGTAGTCGAGCCGGTATGCTTTCACAGGCGCAATCGTCCCCTACGAAGAAAGCGCCTACCAAAGGCACTACTACCGCGCGAAAGTCGTCCGCTCCACCCAATAACCGGAAACCGTCAGGTGCAGCGAAACAGCGAGCTACTTCTGGAAGTAGCACGAGTAGAGACCGACCTGTAACACGATCTGGAGATAATCGCCCGACAACATCGGCGAACCCTCCTGAAGGTGATCCACCTTGGCTGGCTACTATGTATAAACCGGATCCTCGACTACCTCCCGACCAGCAAATGCTTCCGACCCATGCGAAGAGAATGCAACAAGAGTTATGGGAGAAAGAAGGCAAGACACCGACGACCTATGACCGTGAATTCGCGCCGTTGGCTGTTCAGCCTGATGAGCCGGCGCAACTTGCCCCTGCTCCAGAGGAAAAGAATGAAACGACGACAGATGGGGATAATTCTGCAACTGAGTCAACGTCCCAATGGCCACTTCAACCGAAGAGCCCTGAACCTACACGTCCGGGAACAAGTGGAACAAACTATAGTACCATGCCAAAAGTACAAACAGCGCCTCAGATTCCGCTGCCGACAACCCCAAGAGTACCTGCGAATATGTTCCCACCTCCACCCGAAGAAAAGGAAAAGGTGGAAAAAGGCTGTGGATGTTGTATAGTGATGTGAAGCGCGCACCCCCCCCCCCCCCCCCCCCCAACCCTTTTTTTTTTCATCAGCCGATGCTACCTCTCTTTGTTTCTTTTGACTTTCAAATACCCACGCTTCTCAAGAAGCCATTCTGAATTCTTTCCATTCCATTATTTTGTCGGTGGTCTCTCTGCGCAGATGTTCTTTTATTCGAAGCCTTTTTCCCCTTGTCTTCTCTAATTGCTCATTCTCTCTCTTTCTTAGCGAGTTGTTATTTCCAAGCACAAATATCTCTTCAAAGTTATGCTCTATCCGGTTGATATCTTCCCCTCTTGCCGGCGTCTACATATGATTCCTTTGTTGTTTATCCTATCTCTTCCATCTTCGATCTGTCTTGATATTGTCTAAGTGAGGTGAAGTTGCATTCATATTCATTAGATTATACTTCTTGGTCTACTCACATCCCGTCAGTTAAACTTACATAAGTTCTCATCTGCTTGACCTCTGTGGAATATACGTACTTCAACGAACTTGCTTACCAATTGCTATCCCTATATAGAGTACGGAGTATATCCGTACGTATATCCAACCAGCCAATCGGGCCCCACCCCCGTCGACTGATTACTCATCAGCCCAGCTGTGACGCAACCCCGCGGCCCAAAGTCATCATCTTCATATTATTCATATCGATCCCTCTCGACTTCCTACTACCCGTATTTCCGCCACTCTCAACCCTGACTAATTGCCATTCTCCAAACTTTCCTTTACTTTTTACTCTACCCATCAAGCAAATCATATACAAATATCAAAGAAGGTACGAGAAAGACTTCCGCCATCGCCGAGATAGTCTTATTTAAAAACCACCGACCCTCCTTCATCAACCCCCTCTTCTCGCATCAACAAAGCAAGCAACCTAACATACAAACTCTCAATAGGACGTCCTTTACTCCGTCCTTCAACCCACTCGTATTTAGCCCATCATTTCAGCCATATTCACTAGACTTTTCGGCAGCTTCGCCGCTCGCCCTATATCTCCGGGAACCATGTCTGCTGCTAAGGTTAAGGCTCAGAGTATCATTGACGAGAACAAAGTCGGTATGTTATTGTATTATGCTTTATATATCATTGGGAGGGCGATATGCTAAGTGTTTCTAGTCGTTTTCTCCAAATCTTACTGCCCGTACTGCAAGGCGACAAAGTCACTATTGAGTGGTCTCGGTGCGCCTTATTACGTTCTTGAGTTGGATCAAGTTGGTATGTTAATTTAATTCACCATCATACAATGTGTATGAACAGATACCTAATTATTATTATTCTGCAGACGACGGCGCCGCTATCCAAGACGCTCTTGAGGAAATTACCAGCCAGCGCTCCGTCCCCAACATTTTCATTAACAAGCAACACATTGGCGGAAACTCAGATTTACAGGGTCGCAAGGATGAGTTGCCTCAGTTGTTGAAGGATGCTGGTGCTTTGTAAATGATTTTCGAGTTTGAAGGATTTGATTGATCGTGTTGTTTCGCCAGCTGTGTTTGATTAATTGTGTAGTTGAATTGATATGATCGGTTGACCCCGGTTAGCATTACACGCGTATATACATTTTGATATCAACTCCTATCTTACATCATAACCAGGCGAAAGGGGAAGTGGAGATCTTGCAATAGGTACGAACTAAACAACCTTCTGCGTAACAGTCCCAACAGGTCTCTCCACAATACCCATTGTTCCTTCCACAATACTCTGTCTCGTAGGCTCGCTCGCAACCTGCTTTCCAGCGAGATAATTCAACCATACACAACGACTAACGCGTTCATCCGTAACCCGACCCAACCATTGTATAGGTTCCTTAGGATCCCCCTGGAAAAGCGCATCAAGAGCGCCCTGTTGATCGCGCAGCAATAAAAGAACTTGTCCCTTGGGAATGTTCTTGCGAGATCCGCCGCCCAGTAACGTCTTGAATTCACTAACCGCCTTTCCAAAGCTCTCGTCATCGAATTCGCTGCGTAACGTCGCGTCACCACTTGATTTGACCAGATCCTTGATTCTGGCTACGTCCTTCTGCGCTCGATTCGTCATGTGTCGTACCCATGCATCTCGCAAATGCATAAAATCCGTGTTGCGGGTCGGTACAATCCGAATCGCGGTGCGTATATTTCCTTCTTTCAGGATCGATGTCCATGCTTCTTCGCCGTATTCAGGGTCGAGTAATAATTTCTTCAATGCGTCTCGTTCCGTAGATACGAGCGACGTTGCTGCTTCAGCTGCACCCGCCGGGCCGGATTGACCCTCCGCAATAACATTGGGAGCCTGAACTCCAGTTTGGACCAACCGTCGCTGAAGGGTGCCGATATCTGACTTGGCCACATATAGCCCTACCACGTATACTTGAATAGCCAGAAAGGAAACAGTCCGTATCCCGAACCCGAGTAATTGGTATTCCTCTTCCGATTCAGGTGCAACAGGTAAGTCTTGACCGGGTGTCAACATCGTGTCACTCAATGACTTGGGAAGTTTGATGGTTGTCGGAAATAGTGGTACTGCGCTATTCCCTGTCTTGACTTGTTCGGCACCATCCTGACCCTGTATGCGGATTACTGATGGGCTGCTTGGGAATTTCTCGGAGGGTCCATCAAGTCTGATGCTTCCGTTATTCGAATTACGGGGTTTGTCTCCTTGCTCTTCTTGTTTTGGGGTGTTGCTCGCTTCCTCAGGTAAGCCGAACGCATTGCTTTTGACAGTCGCATACATCGTAATACCACATATAACGATACCGGCCGCGGAGAGCGCCATGCGCCGTCTGTAGTGCGCAATGGCAGCTTCATGTTGCACTTGACTGGTCTTTCGTGCAGGTCCGGAAGATCGAAGGGGGTTGACCTCTCCAGCTCGTTTGTTGGGAGGGATAGAGGAACGCAATTGAGAGCTACTGGACAGCTGACGAGATGACCGGATCGAGGAAACTACCGACCGGGATGATAGGTGCGGACGTATCTGTACCTGTCGTAGGCATTGTCGACATGCAGGTGGCGGAAGCATTGTAGCTGTTTAGGAGCTCGTCCTTCTGATTATTCTAGTTGTTGTTGCGGTTTCACTCGGAAGATGACGACAGGAACATCAGTTGATGTCACGTGATTCGAGATCGTTTCTGGAACGAGATTTCTTCTTAGAATATTGACCAATATGCCCAAAAATACGAGAAAGCTATGTATCCTGTGACGGTTGTCTACTAGGATTGGTTGTCGGGCAGGTCGGTACTCAATGTCTTTGCAGATGAATGAAATAATCCAGCATACTCAATGGGGTATCATATACACTGCCTAATCAGCGAATCCTACTATCCTCGATAATCTGCATCGTCGTCCCCTGAACCTCGATTTCTTGTACTCCTCCGGCTGCGCCTGTTATTCTGCTCACTCTCCTCAACAGCGGCATCCGTTGCCTCAGCTGCTAGGTTAATCCTACGCTTTGAGCCCACGCTACGAGCCAATCTCGCCTCAAAATCATCGTTTGCCTCTTCTTCAGATGTTGCATTGCGTCCATAAACCTTTCTGACCAAACCGGATACTCCGCTTTCGCCGACTTCGATTTTCCCTCTAGGCCCAACCATGTACTCAATAATCTCTTCTGCGCCATCCATCTCCCTATTCCGCACCAAGTAACCTTCCTTGCAGAGACGTTGTAGTAGACGATCTGTGCGATCGACAGGCGTATATTGTTCGATGTTGGTTCTTTTCAAATACCTATCGAGCTTTTGTTCGAGTATGGAGCCACCGGATAAAGTAATGACTGATATAATGAATGTGTAGAGCGCTGTATATGTACTATCAAGGAATGATGTCGGAGCCTTTGATGGTGGTAATATCTCTGGTGTGCGGAACGGTGGAGGTAGAGTGCTCATTACCATCCAAGACTTGTTCCCTGTAGATGACTTCTCGACACGTTGCGCCGCTAGAATAGAATATATATCAGTACAAGATTCCGACGGATGCTGTCCTGGACTTACCTCTACGCTGAGTAATGGTCACTTTATCCTTTGCCGGCAGCTCTATCATTTGCATGCCAAACCGATGCCGTAAAACTTTTTGTGCATCCTCAAACACCGCCTTGAATTGCCTTGAACCCTGCTCGCCTAGAACTTTTGCGCTAATATCAGTTCTTCGAATTGGCAGTCGTGCGTATTCGCTGGATAATGCTAGTCGCACCATCTTTTTCACCATGACATCTAGACTGCTCGGTGCGCGATGGCCCTCGTCTTCGCTGACATCGGATGCACCTGAGGGGTTCTCCGGAGATTGTCGCCGTCGCTGTGAGGGGCGTTGTTCGTCGTCTGAGTCTGCGGCATGCGCATTATCTTGTACTTCCTAGATAGATTGTCAGATACTATCCGACGCATTTTAGTCGCGACAGAATTCTTCTCAAAAAAGTACGTACAGAACGGCGTTTGCGACCGGGAGGCATGGTAGCAGTCTTATAATGTCAATGCAGAAACTTGCAAATCGTCGAATTGAGCCGGTATTACGAATAGGGATGAAGTTTGTGGTTGTCCAAAGTAGAACGTATAGTGTCAGTTGAAAACGCGCCAGACGCGTAAAGTAGAATTAAGCCTGGTGGGGCCGTCTGCGCTTCCCTTAGCCTCATCTTCAGGATTCAACTTCTGATTTTCTATAACTACAACACGACAACTCATTTCAACGTTCTTTTTCTCGCCAATTTCATCCATGAGAAGGGCATGGGAAACTAATCCTATCTTAACCCCATTTCCTTCGTGCCGTACGTGTTATAACTATGAACTATACATCAACACCCAAGAAGACCGTGAACACCTCCCGACTCAATATATGAACAGCTTACATTGCCGTACGCTGAAACATTCTGCGAAGGATTGAGTTTGACATTTTGGAAGTCGATGTTATAGCACGGATGAACATTCGAGCAAGACACCGAAGCGATACGGTTGTTCGCAACATTGTTTAGGTAGCCTGTGAAGTTGACAAAGGCAACATTCGAGATGGCCATGAGGCTGGTCCCTTTAAAAGTACCATTATCTCCGGTGTCTTGAGTGATGGCTGGACCGGTATTGGCCCCTTGAATATGGAAATTGGAGAAGAGGATATTCTCGACTGTACCCCAACCGCCGCCGTTTGGCAAACCGGCGCTCTCGTACGAGCTCTGTGGGACTCGTCCGCCCATATATGTCTTGATGTACGCCGAGTTGTGCATATCCTCGTTATAGCGAATGATCTGTATGTATACAGTTAGTATCATCATTATGAGGCGCTTCTGTTACATACCTCGACATTGTCTACTACCACGTTCTTGACTGAGGCGTCCTCAAGGTACTGGCCAAGGCTACCGATAGCAATGCCGTTACCTCCATGACACTTTACATCCGAGACTCGGATATTATATGAGCGTGGTTTAATGGCGATGCAGTCATCTCCACCCTGATACGTGAGACCATTCAGCTGGATATTGTTTGCGTCCATAGTATCTGTTCATTCAGCAACACATTAGTCTCGGTCATTCGTCCGTATATTGACGGCGGGTTCATACCAAAACCGTCCGTGTTCTGCACCCAGTTCGTGCCATATGGAGCATTAACGGCAGTTGCATTGCATGTGATATTGTTGAATACCATATTTGTTCCATTCATGATGTTAAGAGACCACAAAGGAGGATCCTTGACCGTGAAATCTTCCACGAGGACCTCTGATACATTCCAAAAGACAAAAGGCATCGGTCTTCCAGGCTGTGTGACGGCTTGTTCCGCATTATACCAAGCATTACCGTTGCCGTAAATCTGACCAGTTCCATGTCCCTTGATGGTAATATGATCTCCAGTTAGGATAAAGCCAGCATGGTGGTTTTGAAAGGCAATCGGATATGAGTTATTGCGCCAGTAGTCGAAATCATCTGAGAACTGTCTTTGAATCAGTTCAACGGCCTTTGTATTCGTGGTTCCAATGCTTACTGTCCACACGCCACGCCATTCAATTACAACATTGCTGACGACAGGATTGAGTCTAGTTGCAATCCAGTAATTTTCATCCTCGGGGAAGATGATGGTGCCGTGTTTTCCACAGCTCGAGAATGCTTCAAGGATGTTCTGGACATCGTCTCTCTTCCCTCCTAAAGCTGTGACTGTGCAGACATTGCCCTTTTTTAATACACCTCCCTTGGAGGCAGCAGCTGCGAGAGCTGTAGCACAGATCCAGGCGATAGGCGCAAGGTTCGTGAGCCAGTACATATTTGGATGATGAGACAACAATCCGAATGTTTGAACTTTTGTCCAAATCTCACCAGCAGTTTCAACTACTCACTTCTTATTGACCTTTCTCTTAGATTACAGACGCTAACAGACGTAACTGAACGTCAAATCAAGAGAATCAAGGATTATTCCGACTAGTGTAGTATCATTTTTTTTTTTTTTTTTCAGTTCGGGCTGTACTGGCCCGAGCTGTTCTCACGAGCCACTGAGCATTTACTAGGGAAACTCGACCATGACTCCAACAATTCAATTGCGGGGAAAAGACCGGGGTTAGTCTTGAGTCGATCACTTTATTACTTTCCTAATCGAGGCATAAGCAATTATTAAGGAAACATGGTATCCTCTGAGAAATGCCCAATGCGCGGCTTGCATTAGGGTTGGGAGAGACATTTCATCCCGGATGCTTCAATATTCCCACCAATGAATTTGTTCCTTAACTCCATACTTCCTTGCTTGTTATGATATTGAGTAACAATCAGCAGCCAATATGGTTAAGAAGGATTAATGGTTTGCTAAATTGCGTATTCCGGGACAATACTTTGGATTGTCGACGGCATAACTACTAGCGAGATCAAGCAAAAGCCCTAGCCAGGCCACCCTCTTAAACAGCAATTATTTCATGCTCCGAAAGACTGAATCTCGAAGTGTAGCAACTGAAGTGCGTTGGGAATCGACTGGAACTCTGCCAATAAGCTCGTTATGATCTTATTAGGCAAGATCAGCCTCGCCCACTTCTGGACGCTGGCTCTCTCTGCTGTAGCAGAGGCTGGGAGCTGCTGGAGAAATACAACCTGCACAGGTCCCGAAGATACATCATTTCCCGGCGTGTGGGAGAAGAACATTTATGCTCCTGCTTCACGTCAAGTCCGCCCGCAGAGTATACTTGAAGCATCAGGTTCACGAACAGAATTCAAACTAGGTTTGGGATACAACATTCTAACAGGAAATGGTTCTCGGATTGTCTTTGATTTCGGTATTGAAGTTGGTGGGATTGTCTCCGTAAGATATACAGCGTCAAGTCCAGGATTAGTTTTGAACCTGGCATTCAGCGAGGCCCGGAACTGGATTGGAGAGTACTCTGATTCCTCAAATGGCGCTTTCAAACAGGGGGATGGTTATCTCACCTATGATATCACGGCAGCAGGAGAGGGGTTATACACGATCCCTGACAACAAGTTGCGCGGTGGATTCAGATATCTGACTGTATTCCTTACAGCTGACAGTTTTAGCAATGCTACTCTGGACCTACATGATATCAGCCTAGAGATAGGGTTTCTTCCCACATGGTCCAACCTCCGCGCTTACCAGGGCTATTTTCACAGTAATGATGAACTGCTCAATCGTATCTGGTACAGTGGTGCGTATACAATTCAGACAAATATAGTTCCAACAAATACTGGCCGACAGATTCCTGCCGTGGCACATGGATGGTATAACAATGCTACCCTTGGGCCTGGGAATGCCATCATCGTTGATGGTGCGAAAAGAGACCGCGCCGTCTGGCCGGGAGACATGGGCATTGCAGTGCCTGCCACTTTCTTCAGCATTGGCGATTTGGAGAGTGTCAGGAATGGATTGCAGGTTATGTACGATACTCAGGTAAGATAAAGATAACCCCGGCATATTCATCCATTCTGACAAATTTTCAAGGCGTCAACAGGTGCTTTTGCGGAATCAGGTCCACCCTTGAGCCAAAAAGGATCCGACACATATCATATGTGGTCTATGATTGGGACATACAACTATATTCTGTTCACAAATGATACAGATTTTCTTCAGCTGAATTGGGCAAAATATCAAAAGGCTATGGATTATATCTATGGAAACGTCGATTCTAGTGGCCTCCTGAATGTTACAGGGACAAGAGACTGGGCCCGGTGGCAACAGGGATTCAATAATTCTGAGGCGCAGGTGATGTGAGCTAACATACTGTATAATACGATGTCTTCATGTAATGCTAACATGAATAATGTACAGATTATACCATGCCCTCAACACAGGAGCACTACTTGCCGAGTGGGCTGGTGACACTACCGGGCTGTCTAGTAACTGGACCGCAAGAGCCAAAATCCTAGCAGCGGTTGTCAATGCACATTGCTTTGATGAAGCATATGGTGCATTCAAGGATAACGCAACAGCCACTACTCTGCACCCTCAAGACGCCAACAGCATGTCCATCTTATTTGGACTTGCAGCCCAACATCGCGTACAAACCATTTCTCAGCGATTGACCGAGAACTGGACCCCCATTGGGGCTGTTGCTCCGGAATTGCCTGAGAATATCTCCCCATTCGTCTCCTCCTTTGAAATCCAAGCCCACTTCGTAGCTGGCCAAGCGGACAGGGCGCTGGATCTAATCCGTCGTTCTTGGGGCTGGTACATCAACAATCCCAACGGAACGGAGAGTACTGTGATTGAAGGATACCTTCAGAACGCAACTTTCGGGTATCGTAGCAGCCGTGGATATGATTATGACGCTTCATATATCTCTCACGCACACGGCTGGTCTGCTGGTCCTACGTCCGCATTGATTAACTATGTGCTTGGTCTATCACTCACCGGCCCGGCGGGATCAACATGGAAGTTGGCGCTGCAATTTGGTGATTTGACCTCTGTCGAGGGAGGGTTTACTTCCTCCTTGGGTCAATTTCAAGCTTCTTGGCATAGACATTCTTCGTCCTCATATGAATTGTCATTCAGAGTACCTCATGGAACACAGGGTACTGTTGTACTACCGCCCGTAAGTGGGAAGAAATTGGAAATGGCGTTGAATGGGAAGAATATACCATTTGGGATCGAGGAGACGAAGACGATCTCTATCACGAAGGGAGGTTCTTACAAGATTGCTGTTCGTATTAAGTAGCGAAAATGATGATTATTATTATTATTAGGGTTTGAAAATCATGTGATATTTTGAAGTATGGATTCTATATCTTGTGGGAAACAACTCTCCTATTCTGACTTTAGGGCTGAAGTAAATTAAAGTTTAGTACCTGATCGTAGGGCGCGGAACCACGATATAAGAAACCACATTTTGCCACTTATAATTTTCCTTTTCACTCTTAACGCAATACTCGGCTTTCTACAAAGTCCAATCACAAAACCATGGAGCCAATACCGCCAAATAAATCACAGAGAAGACGGCCATGGATCAAAACACCATTAATTGAGTCAGCCACACTCTCCAAAGCTGCAGGATGGTAAGGTTCATGCGAGTACCTTAATAGGAAGTCAAAAATACCGTACTAAGTTTCTCGATGGTTTAGTCGGATTTTTCTGAAATTAGACTGTTTACAACCTTCTGGTAGTTTCAAGTCGAGGTTTGTCGCTCATCTGTTTCGACTGCGGCCTCGTCACGAAAATGGGCTACGAACGTGGTCAGTGTAATGATGGATCATGCTAACGCTTACACAGAGGCATCGGCAACTTCATTCTCTCCCAACTATCTGACCCCTCAAATGATGGCAAAAAATTACACTTCTACAACTCCTCTGGCGGAAACGCTGGCCTTGCGGCCGTAGTCGCAGCTCGCGATTTGGGTTGTCCTTGTACCATTGTTGTACCCCATAGCACGAAACAGATGATGATTGACAAGTTGCGAGTCGCCGGTGCTGCTGATGTGATTCAACACGGAGCTAGTTGGTATGAAGCTGATACTTATCTTCGGGAGACGTTTATCAAGACATCGAAGCAGGAGGGATCTTCGGATGTTATCAGAGAGGCTGGTACTGTTAAGAATGTATATGTGCCTCCTTTTGACCATCCACTTGTTTGGGAAGGGAATTCTACCATTATTCCTGAGCTGGTTGAGCAGCTTCCTGCCCGCGAGGATGTGGACGAAGCACAAGAAAACGCCCAGTTCCCTGCGGAGGTGATCATATGCAGCGTTGGTGGAGGGGGCCTGTTCAATGGGCTTATCCAGGGCCTCCATGAATACAACAAATCCCATACAAGCAATAGCTCCAAAGGCAAGAAAGTGAAAGTACTCGCCACGGAAACCAAAGGAGCAGATTCCTTAGCTTACTCTCTGCAAAACGGGACGCTCAAGTCTCTCGACGCAATTACATCCATTGCAACAACTCTAGGCGCCTTGTGCGTGTCATCACAAACGTTTCAATATGCATCCGAGCCACCGGAGGGCGTCGAGGTTACGAGTGTAGTGGTATCTGATGCCGAAGCAGCTAGAGGGGTAGTTACGTTCGCGGATGAGATGCGTATACTAGTTGAGCCGGCCTGTGGGGTGTCGATAGACGTTGCCACAGGAAAGAAGTTGAGGGAGGCAGTGGGAGATGGTAAATTAGGGCCGAACAGTCGTGTTGTAGTTGTTGTTTGTGGTGGTTCGACTGTTACTCCTGAAATTGTGGCTGAGTATCGTTCAAGACTTGCACAGGGATGGATGTGATCAACTTTTTCCGTCGATATATTGTACCTACATAATGGTGACCTGAATAGCGTCGCAAAAGCTGGAAGGAATGTCTACCTACCTACGGTTCATGATACTTTATCATTTTTCTTTTGTATACAATTTGGAGAGAATGCATACGATGCAAAAACAGTATCCTAGCGTATACAATTCTATCGTCGATTCGACTCTGGTAATGATGTTGTTTCATTCAAGACATTGCTCTGACCTGTAAGAGCGCCCTGTCTCATATTGAGTGAATACTTGCACACTTCTAGTCGCTATCGCTAGCACTTCCCTCACCGCCCTCCGCCTCCTGCTCATGTTGTATATTTTCATTTAAGATATATTCAGCCTTTTGAAGAGCGGCTTTAATATCCGTATGACGAGGATCGACCAGACTGATTGGTTTTTGGCCATGTTTGTTTCGAACCCGTGGATCACAACCTGCCTCGCACATCATTTCAATCATTGCCAATCCCGCATCGTGATCTTTTTCGTTGGCGTAGCGGACTGCTACATGTAGTGGAGTATCATTGTCGATGCGTGTTAAAGGGTCGCATTCAAAGTATTGGATATCGAAGAGCATGTCCATGACATCGTCTGCAAGAAACGAGAATTGATCAGCATTTGGACCGAGTCAAGGAAAAGTAAGCTCTGTAGACTTACAGCTACCATACATGGCGCAGATATGTAGGGCATAATTGCCCAATGCATCTTTGACGTTATTGAAGAATTCCGCTACCTCTTCGTTTGTTTTCTCGTTCATGCTATCGAGGACTTGTTCGATGAGATGCGGTTGATCTCGTCGACAGGCCTCTACGACCAATTCGCGAGGAGAAGCACCCTGATTGAATCAATTATTAGCGGGCTTCCTTCCAAAGGTTCAATCAGATTGGTGGCTGCAGATACCTCATCGTCTGCCATTTCTTTGCTGCCTGGGAAAAGGCAAATTCTTGGCAAGCCGGATGTTATGGGAATTGTCTTTCGCGGAGATCAGAGCTTCCTCGTCTTCCAAATATAGATTTCGAGACCAAGAATATGATTATAATGATATCGAACCGAATAAATGCTGTACAAGAACACTGTCCGGTCAAGAAAAGATGTTGCGGAGAGGGGTTGGCGGTTATATCGCGGCCGTTTCAGGTGCTTCAGTTCGAGATAACCAGGTAGAAAAGGCGGCTTCAGACCCGGTCGGAAAGAGTATGTGTTCAGTGGACAGGCTTTTTTTTATCAGCAGTATAATAGGAATCGGAAAATATCACTTCTACCTACAAGCGTCAACAGTAAACATTGAATGCTTTACGGTCTGTCGGAAAAACTAATCATCCGGCCTTATCACCACTCTTCCCCGCGCCTAAAAATACTGCAGCAGAAATCCAGCTAAACCCAATACGGAATTGCACGATGCTTTTTTTGATGCTGTCGTCAATCTTTGCATAATTTAGCGCGACAAGACGACCTCATCTGCAGCTGAGTTCTTCATTACCACCAAGATGCCTCTGACATGTAAGTCCTCTGCGCTCCTTTGAGCACATTATTTTATGCCTCGTGAAGTGCTGTTATACTGACATCTATCAACCAGTCTGTCCACACTGCAGCAATGCGTTGACCGTCTCTCGAGCTGAGCCTTCGACGACCTATCCCATGGGTGTGAATCGTTTCCAGTGCCGCACATGTCCGTATCAATTTGTGATCGATCGTCTAGTAAGCGGAACCATATCCAACGGATCCCCGAATACCAGGAACAATATGTGCTGATAACTGGGCAGTATGTCGAAGAAAAAGTGTTGAAGCAGAAGGAGGTGGAAGTAGTCTTCAATGACGAGGAAATGTTCAAGAATGCCGATAAACTTCCAGGTATTGTCTCTGTTCTGGTCGATTGCGATGACAAGCGGACATGCAAGCAAATGGTGCTGACATGGTTCTCTAGTTCAATGTCCATCGGATACTTGCAACGGCGAGTACGCCTATTTCTACCAACTCCAAATTCGCAGTGCTGACGAGCCGATGACTACATTCTTGAGGGTACGTTTTGGTTTTCTGATACTGGATTTCGCGGCTTCCATTCTGACACTGTTATAGTGCACCACCTGCGCGAAGACATGGAGAGATTAGAACAGCCTCTCTCGAGTCATTATCGCTAAATAATGATTAGACACGGATACCTTGACGAAATAGGCGATTGGCGGTTTCTTTTGCATTGTGAATAGCGTGCGGCGTTGAAAAGGTTTTTGATATATACCCCGCATGAACTATCGGCGTTGAGTTTGATAATACAAAAACATACGACTTGGAACGATTGAGCTAGTACTAGAATCACTTCAAATGTACAGTTTGCTGCTCATTCAGTTAATCTACAGCCTTGTACGTCGTCAGCAGCCAGAACGATAGAATGTTCGTATCAAGTGTACACCGAGACATATCGGCAAGATTGTACCGCAAGTATCAAACAGATCAAACTCTAGATCTTCTGTGGCGACTCGCAGACACCAAATGCTGCGCAGAAATACCCTCCAATCACATGTCCATGCCACATACCAGTTCGAGTTAAATCATCGAAACTCAGGCCGAACAGGTGGAACTGCAACCGCCACTAAGGAGCCACTACCAGCGACCTTGACGACAGTTGCCGCAGAATTTTCCGCCTAGCAACGTACAAAGGTACACTTTACAGTGTCTCACGTTCTCATTTGACAATAATTGGATCAATCTTTTGAGCCCGAAAGACCTGTTCGATGTTGCTGCCCAGTTTGTTCTGCAGCACAACCCGATCCAAGAGAGGCAACTTCCATACAGTCGTATGTTGGTTATAGCTTAGTTAGAGCTAGTCACTGATAGGCTACGTGTTTAGGCTTGCTCTAGATAGAGGCGAGCAGAGGTGAAAATTTGTTGTTCGGCGTACGTAGTCAGTATAGTGGGTCGACCGAGGGGTCGATGGAGGGGTACGGAGTACTCCTACGCATATCGCTCAATTCAATGTACAGATTTCTCTGTATCAACAGCGTAAAAGAGAAAAGCAGGTAGATGTGAACGATACGGCGGTAACAACAGATTAAAACTTATTGGGGCATATTTGGGTCCTGACAAACAAGGCAGCAGCCCCTCTCAGCAAAAAGGAAGAAAAAAATTTACCAAAGTAAAGTGGGGCGGGCCAGCACTTGCCTCTCGCTTGCCCCTCCATATAAGACTTTCCCCTCCCCCACCCACAGAAATTTTTCTTCTCTCTTTTCTCTCCTCGTCAGCTTCAGTACGTATAAACCCTCCCTCCATCAACCCTCTCTTCCATCTTCCATCTTCCATCTTCCTCTTTTTCATCTCTCCAAATACTAACTCGTCTTGCTCAGCACCTCTACGCATTTGGGCCGTAGTATCTGAGCAATTCCCTGAACTCATCTAGTCATCTTCCAAAGAAACTACATCAGTTCTCCCCAAAAAACACACAAATAACCGTCACCATGGGGTTCGTTCTTCCTATCCCATTTCGTCAAGCCTGTTCATCAAACTGACTCTTGCCTTAACAGTAAGGACGAGCGTACTCACATCAACATCGTCGTCATCGGACACGTCGACTCCGGCAAGTCCACCACCACCGGTCACTTGATCTACAAGTGCGGTGGTATTGACGCTCGTACCATTGAAAAGTTCGAGAAGGTTTGTTACACCTGCAACACTTGCTTGACGAAACATGCACTGACTCTCAATCACAGGAAGCCAACGAACTCGGAAAGGGTTCCTTCAAGTATGCCTGGGTCTTGGACAAGCTCAAGGCTGAGCGTGAGCGTGGTATCACCATCGATATTGCTCTCTGGAAGTTCCAGACTGCCAAGTACGAGGTTACCGTCATTGACGCCCCTGGTCACCGTGACTTCATCAAGAACATGATCACTGGTACTTCCCAGGCCGATTGCGCTATTCTCATCATTGCCTCTGGTACTGGTGAATTCGAGGCTGGTATCTCCAAGGATGGCCAGACTCGTGAGCACGCTCTTTTGGCTTTCACCCTCGGTGTCCGTCAACTCATTGTTGCCCTCAACAAGATGGACACCTGCAAGTGGTCTCAGGGTGAGTTATCTTGTGTCCTGCCCTCGAGAATCATGGGCCTCTCATACTAATATGTCGCAGATCGTTACAACGAAATTGTCAAGGAGACTTCCAACTTCATCAAGAAGGTCGGATACAACCCCAAGACCGTTCCTTTCGTTCCTATCTCCGGTTTCAACGGTGACAACATGCTTGAGCCCTCCCCCAACTGCCCCTGGTACAAGGGTTGGGAGAAGGAGACCAAGGCTGGCAAGGTCACTGGTAAGACCCTTCTCGAGGCCATCGACGCCATTGAGCCCCCCACCCGTCCCGCCAACAAGGTTAGTACCTGCTCCCTGCTCCTGTCGTTTTGTGTTTGTAGCTTCTGCTTACTGACCGCTTTTACAGCCCCTCCGTCTTCCCCTCCAGGACGTCTACAAGATTGGTGGTATTGGAACGGTCCCTGTCGGTCGTGTTGAGACTGGTACCATCTCTCCTGGCATGGTTGTCACCTTGTATGTTATTTCCACTATCTTACCTTGGGTGTCTTCTGATACTAACTTGCATTCCGTAGCGCTCCCGCCAACGTCACCACTGAAGTCAAGAGTGTTGAAATGCACCACCAGCAGCTCACTGCCGGTCAGCCCGGTGACAACGTTGGTTTCAACGTGAAGAACGTCTCCGTCAAGGAAATCCGTCGTGGTAACGTTGCTGGTGATAGCAAGAACGACCCCCCTGCTGGCGCTGCTTCCTTCAACGCCCAGGTTATCGTCCTCAACCACCCTGGTCAGGTCGGTGCTGGTTATGCACCAGTCCTTGACTGCCACACTGCCCACATTGCTTGCAAGTTCGCTGAGCTCCTCGAGAAGATTGACCGCCGTACCGGAAAGTCTGTTGAGAACAACCCCAAGTTCATCAAGTCTGGTGACGCTGCCATCGTCAAGATGATTCCTTCCAAGCCCATGTGCGTTGAGGCTTTCACCGAGTATCCTCCTCTCGGTCGTTTCGCCGTTCGCGAGTAAGTTTTTCTCTTCTCCGTGATTTCAGCTGCTTTTCTCCCTTCCCTTTTCCTAAACCGTCGCACCCTAATTGTGAACACCTGACTGACCTTTTTACGTGATATAGCATGCGTCAAACCGTTGCGGTCGGAGTTATCAAGAGCGTCGAGAAGTCCACCGGTGGCACTGGAAAGGTCACCAAGGCTGCCCAGAAGGCCACTGGTAAGAAATAAAAATGTGCACGATTTTGGGTGAAAAATCTCATGCGTGGACGAATTTATTCTTTACGATCAGGGCTGGTTTTTAGCTAGAAAATGGACATATTTTAGACTTGTCTGAAAAATGACTCAATGAGAATTATGATTTCCTTTGTCTCTCAACTTATTCTTTCCATTTCGAATCCATCTTCTTGCTTGTAAACGATTAAAAACTTGGAAAAAAAAACGATGACTACGTCTCTTTTTGTTGTGGCGACATACCATACGGGTTATTCCAAGTCAGGTTAGTCTTCCCGCACTGTTATTATACTGCCACCGCCTTTTACCTTTTAGCAGTCAAACCCCTGAGAGCCACCATGTCAGAATCGAAATATCATTAAGGCAAGTTTATGACAAGGCAGCTGGACAGCTTGGTTGTTGATTGTTGTGCCTCTTTCCTTTGTCCATCTCATGATGAGCATTCACAACTAGGGAGGTATCAGCAGCAAGGACCTTTTCCATGACAATAATCCTCCCTTGCTACTGAAGTACTTGAATGGCAAGTTTTATCCAATTACTTGTGCTACCACGTCGTAACTAACTATCAATTTGGGAGATGACAGGGCAGATTATCTGCTTTTGTCCCATCGGCGGCGCCGCGGCGACCAAATCAGGCAAAGTCCAACATGAAGAACAATGAAATATCCACTCTGAGTGGCATCCCTGATGTCAGTATGTTGCATCAGCTTTCGCCGGGGCAGCAGGTGTTGCATGTCCACTGACGTTGTTTCTTTGTCTACAGACGGTTTTGTCCGTCAAATTTCGTTTGCTACTTTGCTGGATGATGGTTGTATCAGGAGGCTTTCCCACCTTTTCGACAGAAGACAATTCTTTCCTTCTACAACCACTCTGATATACAATTACGCCTAGCGGGCTTTCCATCCTTTTGTCGATTTCTGCCTCATGAGTGAGCTTGATACGATAACTCTTCGGAGAAGATTCATCTCGAGACTGTTGTATTTAGTCCATTTGTAAAAGTCATCGTGAATGATATTCCGAGGAGCCAGCTGCATGGATCTCTGTGATGTTGAAATCAACGAGCATGCCAAGGAAGTTCTACTTTCCAAGTGATCATCGCCACCAAAGACAACGGCTGAGGAGAGCAATGGTGGGGTGCACGACATCGCAGCACAACTCGCTGCCACCGATCGATCCGGTGTCCAAGATTTATTTGACACCAACCGAACGGCTGTTTTAAGGAGCTCAATGGCTTCCTTGAAGAAGTACACCTCAGCCTCAACGAACAGAACGGACTGACACCTTACGCGTTGGATTTTCGCAACGGTGCACATGATCATGTACTATAACCAACACATACTCGGAGCGTACAACAAGCCGTACGAAGGGAAGACATCGGATACTTATTCTTGGTGGCCGTCGAAGCCATTTAACGTCTCAATTTGATCAAATATGTACGGAAAATAAATATTATACCAGTGTGTATGCCACCTCATTCCTCGCATCTCTTGCGGCCTCTTGATGCGAGTTGTTTTGCCGTTCTAAAACGACAATATGCACGGCTTATTGAGCAACGCGTTGGCTTGGATTCAATCATATTGATAAATATGACTTTTTTATGGCTTTTTAAAGGCTCGTACAATGGCATATAAAGCTGAAAATATTCTGAATTGCTTCAGACCGACCGGATTAGTGCCATTTGATCCAGATCATGTTTATTGCGAAAAATACACATGAGGCCATAGATCACATGGTACTAAGATGTGTGACTTTGTTAATAGAGGAAACTAGGGCAATGTCAATAATAACCCTACATTCGCCTACCGGCCATATTATCTGATTATTTTTTTTCCCTAGACTCCACTGTCTCTAGATGTGCTAAACTAAATCTATTTTTCTGTAGTAGTTTGTCACCATCTAGGAGTCTCGGCCCAGAGATGTCACATTGGTGCTGGGCTGCGTTCTCTGGTACGAAGCTTTTCTCCATACTTGTAGAAAAGGAGTGGTCCGGGAACAAAAGCAAGAGCGAGGAATCCCAATAACGTGTTTCCCCAACCATGGTTGAGGGTTTGGTACATTTTAGGCCCGGCTAGTGGCAGAAACGTACTTGAAATGAACCGTAAGAAGTTATTTGCACCGAGAGCGGATGCCGCAGCCTCGGAGCCAAAGACGTCGATGAGGTAAAGTTGCGCAGGCATCTGTGTTTCGTTATAAATTGACCTCGAAAGATCTTCAGAAGAGAAGGAATGAAGAGAAATAGGTAACTTACGATAACAAAAAATGCGCCAAAACCTATCAACACTGTGCCAATGATAGGTACAATCCAGTGCACCCTGTAGTATGCTGTCCAGCCATAGATGAACAACCCTAGAGCCACGCAAGGGCTGAACCAGATCATCAATATCAGGCGATACTCCGGCCGCGGTTGTTGTACGCCATCAGTTTTCATACGTGCACCTTGGACCCGGCCATTCACAATGTTGAAGAGGAACATGCTTGCGACGCGCCACTCCTAACCCTAGGTATACTAGTCCAGAGATAGATATGCTGAATCCGTACTGGCCCTCGAAGACATCAGTGAAAGTAGTAAACAAGAGATACATAATCCCAAACACCAGAGTGACGTAGAGGGAGATGACAAGCAGAATGGGTGATTTGACGAGTAGCAATATAGGGTGGACAAGGACTTGAAGTAGGACCTGAGTTGGCGAAAGAGTTGCAGGAGGTTTGGTTTGTATATTGAAACTGTCGGTAGAGGCGTGGAGGTGGGCAAACCTGCGTTGGCGAAGGATTTCTGGGTGTGTTTCTCGCATGATGATGGCTGTTGCTATTCCAAAGAATCCCCCGAGAATAGCGAGTAGCCAAAACTTCCACCGCCAGCCTTTGCCTACTGCGAGGAAGCCTCCAATAACAGGGCCGAGGACCTAGTTTTTAACTATTGTTAGTGCAATACTTCGTGTGGGAACTCTTACTAAGCTCATTGGCCCTGCAAGTGGTCCGATACTGAATAATGACATTGCCGTCGCTCGTTGCTTAATGGTGGTGATATCCGCTATAGTTCCTCCGCCAAGAGCCATGGGTGTGCCACCTGCACATCCAGAGATGAACTGGAAGACCATGAATTGAGCAGGAGTCTGGCTTAGTGCATTACCAATAATAAACGCAACGAAGATGGTATTGGCAGTGTGATAGATTGGCCGACGCCCATACTTTTCACTGAGGGGGGCCATGTGCATCGGCCCAATGGCGACACCTAGCACATACAGAGTGATAGCGAGAGTGCTGACAACAGAAGACGTCATGTTAAGGTCGGTAGCAATTTCGCTTATGCCTGGTGCACACATTGTAGGAGCCATGTTCCTAAATTTCTGTAAGCATATCAACCAAAGGTACTTTGGGGAGAACGACCTACGTTATGAGAGCCAATATTGAAATGACAATAACATGTGCCCATCTCTTATGTCTTGGCCAGTTATGAGGATGACTTGGATTATTTGCTTTAGACCAGGACTCCAGGTTCTCTTTAGACTGACTCTCTTCTTCAGACGAAGACTCAAGCTGTCTTGGAGCGATGCTTTCCGGTTTGAATGCCATTTGTGTGTGACTAGGAAGAACAAACTGCTTTATTCAGGGTGAGCAAAAAATTAAATGATGGATATATAGGGAGTAGAGGAATCTTGAAAGCAACCTATTTATATCACCTATTTATATAATACCTAGTTACCTCCGGAATGATGGTATGGAGGTATACCTATGTCGTTAGGAGATACCTAGGTAGGGTTAGAGCCTGCTGGGTGAGGGAAATTGAACAATACGGAGATAGGAGAACAGGTTTACACTAGATCCATACTTGCCAGACATAGTATTGCTCTAGCTTTCGCTAACTTTAGTTGGTGATATATTATTCAGCATGATTGATGTCCTAGTAACCCGTGTGATCGGACAGTCGGCGGAGGATCGGAAATTTACAGTCAAGCATTCGGAGGTTGAAGTTATTCGCGGGAATTTATAGGTTACACTCTTTACTTGCGGGTCCAGGACATGTGCCCTTAAAAAAAAACGTAGGATGTTAAATAGCTGGTAACAGGAAAGAAAAATACATATGAGAAGTGATATTTGTTATGGAAAATTGTTGCGACTTTGTAGCCATATAACAACCCTAACCCTATGGCTATCAAAAATGGCGACGCTCCTACAGGAACTTTCAAGGTAAAGGAAGAGCATACGTAAGCATGCACCAAATAACATACTATAGCCGTTATTGATAACTTTAAATTTCACGAGAACAACCTATCCTCTAATTACTGTATGGGTACAGAAAAGCGACATGATCACGTGACATTAAAGCCCTAACTGAAGGTATATGTTCTTGCTTACAGTCCGAAAAATACGTGCAAGATCCAAATTCTCAACTGGTCTCATCAAATGTGAAAGGGAAACTTGGGACAAATCCACATCTATAATACCAGGGTGCAAATGGGCACAACAGGTAGTTCTGCAGGGTAGCTTGCCATCCCAGGTTGACACTGTGTGCCTTCTTGAGCGGGAACCCACCCCGTGGAAACGATAGGTTGAGCAATTCTAAGAACTTACTTCTTAAACTTCATTGACACCCCGAAATTGAGCAATATCTAGAATAACGTACCCGCCAAAGGTGGCAGTCTTGTTTTTGATATCGCCAACCCTAATTACTAGTCAGAAAGACCGGTATTACAGTTACAATACCGTATCCAAATACCAAATAACCGTAAGAACGGCTTCCTCCGCGAGCAACTCCGAAACTTGCACCGCCAAGTAAGTTGCTCGTGTAGAGATTGCCTTCAGACCTGATCATCCAGTCCGGCTCTTTCTGGCCCCTTTGGGAATTCTATTTATCCCATAACGTCGACCAGTCATCGAATGCATTCCGTGGCGGAATCACTCACACATGGTCCGGGGAATGGCACTTCCTCGCGTCCATCGCCTCCAGGTCCCCATCCTAGTCGACGCAGAGACAAACCTCAGCTATCCTGTGATGCTTGCCGACGCCGAAAGTAAGTATCTTATCTTTATTATCTGTAATCTCTGATTTGATGTTAACTTTGGCTCACAGATCACGATGCGACCGCCAAAAGCCTTGTTCATTCTGCGCGGGTCGAGGCCAAGTATGTACCTACCCTGATACCCAGAAGAGTTCGGCCCAGTCACAGCCTCGGCGGCCCGACATGCACGATCGTCTTGTGCAGTTGGAAAGTCTTGTTAAATCCTTGATTACCAACTCTCACACTAAAAAGTCCTCTGCTGGAGCATCTTCTGATCCAAGCCCTCGATCAGGGACTGGAGGCGACACTCTAGAGACCCCGACAGATGGCCGCTCAGAATGTGGTAGCATGCACATCAGCAGTTCGGGGTATCGCTACGTTGGAGAGGACCATTGGGCTTCGATTTTAGACCGTATTGCGGATCTGAAAGACCACGTTGACTGGGAAGAGCAACAGAAGCTGGTGGCGAATCCAGAGAATTCCGCATATGAAGAATGGGCAGGAGATAGCTTTAACATTCCCATACGGCGGCCCAAGTCAGGAGGATACGCATTGCTTCTATATGGTGTTGGTCGGCCCGTTTCTCGGGATCAAATTCTCACTGCTCTTCCCCCGAAAGCTTCAGTTGATCGCTATATCTCTCGTTATTTCAACTACCTAGACCTCGTATCATCCTGTGAGGGCACTTCAATTGATTAATAACTATAGTAGTGATACATGGTTACTAACCAGATCAACAGCAATTCACGGACCAAGTTTCCTCCGCCAGGCAAGCGCCACATCTCCTGTTATTTAACTAGTTAAATTTTCAGTCAAGGGGACTAACTTATACAGTACGAGGCATTCTGGAATGACCGATCTAGCGTTCCTATTCTATGGATTGGCCTTCTTTTTAGCATCATCTGCCTGACCTGTATAGTTTCGGAGGCGCCTGGTTTGGATAACGAACATAAATCACTTCAGATAGACCTATATCGAGAGAAGGTCGTGCAGTGCCTGCTCCTGGGAAACTATACTAACTGCGGGCCGTACGTGCTGGAAACAATCATTAACTACGTTTATGCCGAATTCTGTGTACACAGAGATGCTCACAAGGACATTTGGTTCCTGCTTGCGCTCGAAGTCAACCTAGCGATGCGTATGGGCTATCATCGCGACCCTAGCCATTTCCCTGGCATCTCACCCTTTGCAGGAGAGATGCGGTGCAGAGTTTGGGGAATAGTGAAAATGGGAGATATTCTTATTTCGAATCAAATAGGAATGCCACGCATGATCTGTGATTGGAAATGGGATACGGCCGAACCGCGGAATTTGAATGATACGGATTTTGACGAGGATACAGCGGAGCTTCCACCGTCGAGGCATGAAAATGAACACACAATATCCCTCGGTCCCATTGCACGAGGACGTATATTGAAGGCATTGGGAAAGGTGACCGACCTGACGGATTCTATTAAACAGCCAACTTACGCTGAAGTCATGCGTGTGGATGGTATCCTCGAAGAGGCTGCACGGAGTATCCCACAGCCATTACGAATGAAGCCAATAGCGGCAAGTGTGACTGATTCTCCGCAGATAATCATGTCACGTTTGTTTTTAGGCCATTTATTCTACAGGGGAAAGATCATTCTTCACCGACGATTTCTACACATGCACTCTCCCTCTCAAGATAATGATTCTTTTGTCTATTCGAGAAAGGCTTGCATCGAAGCCGCTCTGGGGACCCTAGAGATCCAAAGCGTGCTTGACGAAGAGACATGTCCAGAAGGTCAGCTTCACACAGTACGCTTTCAGGTGACTTCGATTATGAATCATCAATTTCTCACAGCTACAATGATCCTATGCTTTATGTTATATAGTGGCCAGACACAAGGGAGGGATGACGAGATACGAACTGCACTACAAAGATCAAGATCTATCTGGATACGAAGAAGCTCTTTTTCCAAGGAGGCACAAAAGGCCGCTGAAACTGTTAGCATTGTTCTTACCAAAGCCGGAGGGTATCCTGATACATGTACCAATAACTGGATGACGGAGATTGGAGCTATGTCAAATAACCTCGATGAGGGATACGATAATAGTTTCATGGTGAGCTTCAATGGATCGGAAATGTTCACGGGGAGTACATGTATGATCATTATCCTAGTCATGACCTGGAGACCGAGCTGACCATGCTATATAGGCCACCTGTTCGCCCTCCCAGATTTTACGACAAATCCGGCATCGTGCAATCCAGATGGTGAGAATCTAGATATGGACATGGAGAAAACTATAGAAGAGTGGACAGTTATGAACTCAGCGGGATTAGGGTGATTGCAAAGGTCGTAAAATTTGCTAAAAGGCATCGACACTCCTGCGGTTTCAAAGGTATCGATCAGTCCTGACTGACTGATGGTCTGACATATCATTAATAAGAAGATTTCATGTTCCAAGATGGAAGTTGAGTAGTAATCAATATTGACATAAATATAATAAATATCGATAAGTGTAAGAAGGAGAAGTCAAAAAGAGTGAAGGCCAATAAAAGGATGCTGCTATGTATATGCACGATGCGATAGGCAAGGGATGATTACAAAGAAAAAGCTTAAAAGGGGGACTCAAAAAAAAAATCAAAGAATATTATAGAACGATTGATCAGTATGGAGGTCGTCCAATACCACCACTTGTCCTCCGAGTGCCTCCATTCTGATCAACAAAGCTCAAAGTCGTGGTGGTGGTACTGTTATCGCGCGGCAGAACACCATCGAGCAGTTTCTCGATATCCAATCTGACGCTGCTGTTCTCTGTGCCCGCGCCAGCGGATCCTTCTTGCTGCTGTTGCCTCAGGCTAGCGGCTTTGTGGAGACTGGTGGTTGACCGAGTTCGTTTACCGCTTAGTGATCGATTGACTGTTGATCCGTTACTTTTCCCCTTGATGGAGCCGCCGGGTTTTATTTGACCAGGTGATATGACAGAGGACCGGCCGTCGGAGCGTGATGAGCTTTGTCGAGATAAGTCGGTTGAGCTGGTATCGGGGAACCCACCGGGAATGACGAGTCCTGAAGGGAGAGGTGGTACTGGCGGAATGCTATTATTGTCGTAGTTGCTAACGTTTGTCGATGAGTATGAACTCGTGATTGGAGCAGAAGCAGCTTTGGGTGTCTCAGAGCCCTCACGGACGGATTGCGGTCTGCTTTCTAGGTCAAAATCCGACGCGGAAAATGTTCCGCTAAGAAAGCTTTCACTACTTGAAGTGAGGACGCTGCTGTTGCTTGCGTCTAGACGACCTCGTAGCGGACTGGAGCGACGGACGTTGGAGTTTCCGGTCACTGTCAGCATTCTCTTCAGGTCGTTAACTCGGATAGTCGAGTCTCTGCTTGATATTCCAGAAGCACCATCTGCTGCCTGATTACCGGAGTAACGATAGCCCTGAGAACTCGACGAGCTGCCTGGTACCGGCCCTGTGGTGTTCTGATTGTTTCGGTTGAGACTAGTAGGCGAACCCCCATCATTGGAAATATAGCCGTTCGGATAATGACTCACATAACTTCGCCTTGCAGAGGTACCGTTTCTTGATCCGGCCACAGATGAGGCCCGCGCCTTCTCCTGCTCCAGGACTGCTATAGAGGCTTCTTTGGACCAGGTAGAAAGCATGTCTTCTTTGACATCGACGGGTAGAGTTGCTGGAGTCTGAGCACTGTTAAAATACCCGTATCCAGTACTTTGAGAGGCAACATGCTTCCCGGGTGAGCCAGGAGGACTTTGAGGAGCGGCAAGAGCTGCATTGTAAGCTTCCTCAATGTGCTTAACGAGGTCTTCCACAGCAGTAAACGGTCGCAAAGGCTCTTGGAGATCCGGCCTGCTGAGGCTTCCGGTGGCCGATGATGGAATTTGATTCATAGGAAGAGGCGGATACTGAACCATCTCAAGCCATGCATTGTTCTTCTGTCGTCTAGATATCTCAGCGGATATTGCAGAACCGAGCCTGGAAGAGCTGAAAGTAAATCTTTCAGTCAGTGCGGCCAAGTAGCCATAAACTAAACTTCCAATATGGACCTGAGATGTAACTGTAGCGAACGATTCACTCTGCAGTTTCAAGACCATAGGAAGTCCAAAACGCACAGCATTGACACCTAATTTCTCGACCATTTGAACGAGCACTATATAAGCCACCAATATGTCTTCCTGGTTATCTGCATATTCGACAGCCGTCTCGTAGAGCGACAGATGCAAAAGCTGAAGGAAAACAGAAGACGCATGAGTGTATGTCTTATCAACTGCTGCCGAGGATGTATTCCGTTTATAACCTTCATGTTCACGTTTGGATTGAGCCCGGGAAAGTCTGTTGTTCGAGTCTACAACCTTGAGATCGATCTTGGTGGTCTCGAGTTCAAGCCAAGATATAAATGCATCGGCGTATGCGTTACGCACATGACGATCGGATTCACGCAGAAGCCAATGCGTTCCTTCCCATACCTGCAGACCAACTCTGTTTCGCGACTCAATTTCTGGGCCTGTTGTGGTTTTCCTCTGGTTGGCGACCCCAAGAATATCTTTGACGGCCTCAAGGGCCACTATCCGTGAAACTGTTGAATAGAAATAATTCTCTGCCTGTCGTTCGCCAGTCAAGATGGATATATTGTTCGTTGATGCGTTGGGCTCACTAATTATCTTTGACAATGTGCCTGCTGTGATATCTGGAGGGGCTAGCGGGCGAATACGCCTCAAAAGGGTAAGAACCATATCAGAAATCTGATCGGCATAGTAGTTATGCGTGGCGAGGTCAGCAATACATTGCTTTAGCAGTGAGACCAGCTTCACATGTTCACCAGTAATAGTAGTCTCTTGCTGAGTCGTATCGTTTGTGTTAGAATCTCTGCGTATCGCTGAATCGCCTTGGCTAGGCTGACTCGATGGCGAAGGAGCTTGGAGCAAACGTAGTATGTGCTGGACGAATCCCACCAAAACATCAATCACACTCAACCCAATCATATTCACCGGCGATTTCAACAGTGAGTCAATCAATGAAGCCATAACTATCTGTTGATCAACAGGCTGGCCGTCAGCAGATATTCCTCGTAATATTTCAACAGCCGTGAAAAGAACGATGAACCGATCTTGAACGGGACACCATTTCGTGATAATGTCCATCAAGGAATTGGCCCATTTGCCATAGTCTTGTGGCGCTGTCTCAGACTTGTGGTCTCCATCCTTATCCACAATGAAGTTTAACACTAGGCCTGCTGCTGTTCGTATCTGTGGACGATTGCTGCTAACAACGAATATCTGTTCTAAGCATTTGATCGCAAGGAGTCGAACCTCCAACTCCGCTGCTTTGTCTGCATCAGCTGTAGTGCCGGAAGCTTCGGCTACGTTTCCGTCTGTAGTATCCACAGTCTGCACGGTCACTGTACTTGCACGGCGACGTCTAATCTGCTCAGGAACAGATTTTTCATTGTTCTGTGCTGTTCGGTGTAATGAATCCAAAAGCTCTTCACCGCCGTCATACACATTCTCCAAGATGACTGGCACGATACAGGCAAGCTGCTTTCCGCCATCGGCGTTGAGACCTTCCGAGCTGACATACTCTTTATAGCCTTCAAGCCTATGTTCTTCCAGCGCAATCTAACGGGGAGACTGGTCGCGGCCGGTCTAGACGAGATGGCCGGTTTCGAGGAAGCAAATTCGGCGTAAGTCCGGATTATGTACTCGTACTGCGTTGCATACCGTTGTTCGGCAGCTAGAACTGCGAGATCTTGGTGACTGCAAAATGTCTCGAATGTTTGTAGGGTTTCTTCTACCATCGCAATGTCATGAGACCGGAGAACTATTTCAAGAACATTCAATACCGAATGTCCATAGAGCGGTAATTCACGGGGTAGCTTCTCTACGAGAGCCGAAAGGATTTGAAGAATCACTTGGACATTCCTACAATTGCCAGAGCAGTTAGTTTCATCCAGGCGATAAGACAACTGCATACAATCGATTGGACCACTCTTACCCAATTCGTCTCCTTGACACGTCCCGCGCAGCCTTCTTCTCCAAGAAAGCGCCCACTTTTTGCAGTTTGCTTCGACGCGTACTAGCGTAGTACAGTAGGTAGGAAAGTTCACTTCCATTTGGTTTCACATCGAGGACGCCTTTTTGATAGCGTGGAAAGCATTTGAGGATGAGCACTTGGTGCTTTGGGCGCACTTTTTGACGCACGGATTCCATGATGATGATGCTGTCGCTGTGTACCGATACACGAAGCTGTAGCGACGTCGCCGCAATTGATTTTCCCTCGGGATGGATGCGTCGGTATGAAGGAAATACCTCCTAGCGACTAAGAAGAATGAGGGGTTTATATATCGCAGGAAACGAACTGCATCTGGCTCTCATCAAGGTTGTTCGAGGGACGTAGGGGATCTGAAATCTCGGATAAGATGGGAAGGGGCAATGCCCAACTTTTCCTCCGGAGTTTAGCCACTTCTTATGGATACGGCAACCAGATGCGGCAGCAAACGCTTGGAAATCTCAACAGAAAACTATAGAGTAATCTAAAAGACTCATGATGGAGGAGACCGGACTGGACGGATGTTGTAGAAGTGACTAACTTGTCGAAGTTGCAAGTGGTGCTGAACCGTTCGGGCGGAAATGACGGCGTGGGTTGGCTTGCGCTGCTCTGATTGGCGGTAGCTTTAATCCGCTACATTAACAAGATAACGAGATCTATATAATACACGTATACACAATTACTCTCTATGATCAGACACGAGCAGGAGTGAAAGAAGAACGAACATCGCTGATTTCTTTACTCGGTCTCCGGTACAAGTGTATGTAGTAGTTGAACCAGCAGTGATACTTCCTGAGTCCTGACCAACTATGAGATGCCGTTGTGCATGAGCGAGTGGGTGGACATTCCGATCTATCCATGACCGCTAAATACAGGGACCTCCAGATTGTGTGAAACGCACAATCATACTAGACTCTACTTGTGTCTATTAGTATGCAATAAGCACAGACACTGAATCAGAGATGCACATTGCTCTGGAATCGTTGGTGGGGTTTGTGGTGGGAAACACCAAAGAAAGCTCCCTCGGTGACACGTGCAGCCAGTAATAATCAGTGCTGATGCAGCCGAATAAGCCAGAAAGTTGTTGGGGAAGTAGTCAAGAACGAGATCGTCCGAAAATATTGTTCGTAGCGGAGAAGATGGATGCTTTACGGACTGGTCTCTGGTGTATGTATGTACTTGTGATCCATCCCGAGAAAAGGCATTAATTGTCGTAATCTGACCGCCCCTTCATAACCTTTTTGAGTCCAATACGAATTGAGATGTGATCTCGACGAGGGCGTCGAATTGACGAATGTCATTTCTGTAAACAGCGGGACTCGTTGAATGCCCCTCAGTTACCCCGGACGTGCTGATCACGGTGCCTGTACTTCATTATGTCGTTCGACCGATCCCTCGTTTTCCGCAGCGGTGGAAGCGCCCTGTACATGATCCCCTCCGGCTAGCAAGCTCTCAATGACCTGAGGCCGAATGATATCTCGCCGAAACGAATCTTCCTGCAGCAGTCGAAGCGCTCTCAGCGTCGCACCGGGGTGTGTCAGGAACTGGGCGTACTCAGGGGTCTTCCAGTAAGAGTAGAGGTAGGCAAGGTATGCTTGAAAGGCACGCGCTTCTTTTCCCGAGGCAGATGATGAGGCTTCGTCGCTGGCATCATCGTCACCTTTTTCGTCCACTGTCGACGTACCGAGCAGATTTGGGAAGGTGATTGCAAGGTGAGAGAGGTAGTATGGATTCGCAAGTGATAAAACGAACTCGAGTTCTAAAGTAAAGCGGGGGTTCGTGAGCGACGGCGGGGGTGGTTGATTGTCCATGCTGATGTAGGTCAGTTCTTGAATGGGATCTTGTCTTTTTATCAAAACAGTCGTAGTACGACTGAGGTGTAACCACCTCAGGTGTGGTCGCTTTCGAGAGTCAGGATAAACTCCAGGATGCTGAATGCTCTCTGTTCATAGAGTTGAGTGTTTGTATCACGAAAGGAGTACAAAGGGCAGCTTGTTTGCATTGTTTGTATCTATTCGGAACATTGATTTCGCGCTCCGTGCACATATCTCCGTCCCGAGCGTCGCATAACTTCTAGTTACAGTCTACAAGCATAACCATGAACAACACCAATGCATGTGCCTGACACCACTAAAAGCGCAAGCAATGAGAAGGAACTGACTATTTGCTGACCGCTTAAACTGCGTATTTGTGCCACTCTGTTCTCATGTTGTCTATCGCAACACAAGCTGACGTCAATATCTCAGCTGGCCATTATCTATTGATTATTTGAGTTCCTCAAGCATTTCAAATCGGATAGTGACTTCGGCTTCGGGTCATTTTGTTCAACTTATGTTGCGGGCCTTGACATATTGGCGGTCTCGAATGGTCTCACAAGCCCTGCAAGGGGCTGTTTCTAAATCAGTCATTGGCGTCCCAGGCTAGTTGAGTACGCCCATTGTTCAGAAATCAAGGAATAAGCATAGTGCATGGCCCATGCTACGTACGCACAAGTGTACGATACTCAGCATTTGGACTGTTATGTCTCAGCCAAGTAGTATCGTCCTATAGGGCACCGAGTTCTTTGACGTCACGAACATTCTTCACTCCAGCCACTCGATCTTGGATCTTTCTTGAGGTATATAGATAAGGGGCCATTCAGTAAGGTAACAACAACCCCATGCAGATAAGCATCACGACGTCGTTATCCCTGGACCGCTATGCAGGCCATCGCATACTTGATGTCGTAATTTCAAATCGCCATCACTCCCTCATCACAAGGAACGGAGTCACTCAGATCTGGCTCTGCCACGAGGACGGCCGTGGCGTCCCAGGTAACACACAACGGAATGTGATTGCTAGGCAAGGTTTGTCCGAATTTAATCAATTGGTGATCTTCGACCTAGACCTACGTATCATTAGAATAAGCAAGCATATCCGGAGAAATGTCGTCACCGGCGTCGTGAGATACGTGCGAGGTTGCATGCATCTGTGTGGTATCCCTGTCAAAAATCAACGTAAGAGTCTTAGACTGAGTGAAACGTCCATTCAGGTAGAATTTCCGAGGGCCTGGCGCCGAACTAAATATCGTTCGCAGCATTGTGCAATTAATTTAGCGTATCAACAATCAAGATGTTAGGGTTCAGTTCATTTAGCAACTTAGTCAGGATTGTTAGCTCACACAGAGTGAGAGAGAACGGCCACATGCAGAATGAAAAAGTACCGACGTCGCTGAAATTTCCCCACGGCGCCACGTAGCCCCCTCTTCTTTTACCTTAAAGGGGCTTTACACTAGCCTGGAACAGAAAGAGAGAGCTCATTCGACCCGCATTATCGCCTGGGGCCGTGCCTGAGGGGGAAATTAGAAACTCAGAAATCTAAGTGGAAAGATGACCTCGACGAAATGGTGCAGGGACTCGTTTATTCGATGAGATTCAAGGGAAAAAAAGGATAAGCATCCATTCGCCAGGGAGACCTCTTATCAGGACTTGGAGAAGGGCGATTCCTTTTGCAATCATGTTAGGGTCGCCATGTCTCTGGTCTGCGACAACCCAGGTTGATTCAACTGCCTGAGCGAAGATGCCAAGATGCCGGACGGTCTGTCTTGGATAGAATAGCGTGAACTGTGGCTGGAGGACGGACTCGGTCTGTACATAGTCTAGCTCTGTTGCTGTAATCCCGTCTAGAGTGAGTATATGATGCTCTGTGCAGTGTCGAGTTGGCTCTGTAAATTCTGAGAGGGTAGAGTGTAGAGTGTAGAGTGTACTCCGTCCGTACGGTAACCACGGGACTTCCTTCCCCACTGCGACCCGAACTGGACCTTGTACTCCTGATCCCATCTTCACCTCGATTTACCTGAAAAGAAGAACCCTACCCCTTATTGAGAGACTATCCTAGGGGCGACTGCCGGAGTTCTGTGCGCTGGCTTACTCATCGAGCCTAATTTCTTCCTCGTCCCTTCTCTGTTCTTCTTCTAGACTTCTACAATTTTATCTTTGGGGCCTGTGATCTCTCAACAGACCGGAATCAATACGTGCTACAGAGCAACTTGCACACCGATATCCAACCTCTCAGTGAACCCAGCAACTACATATCATCGATTGGTTACTCGCTACATGCCGTGCTAGCAATCCTGCGGCGATCGTCTGATTGCGAATCCACTTATCTCTCCGCTTAGAAGACCGCAGCCAACAGGGGCCAGCGAATTCCAGAGGATATCTGAGCCTTTGTCTGCCTTTAATCTTCTGTCCGTTGCTACAACCCTACAATAATCAAACCAAACGCTCTCTGTACAACAAGATTCTTTCGCGAAGTCCTTTTGCGGTTAGCCACCGTGTTTATCGTCCATGTATACCAGTTATAACGAGAACTACCGTACGTACTCGCATTTCTGAAACCTCCTGAGCACGTCGGCAGTGGCAATCGTTCCTAGACATTTCAGAAAGTGTCCACTTCGTCCAGCCCAAATAATATCCGTTTCATTTCGCTGTTTTGCCGCCAGTACCTCTGCGCCAAAACGTCCGTCGTCGCGCTCCTTGATCATTCCAATTTTGCTTGCGACAACTTTTCGCCATCTGCAAATCATCTTTGTTTCCGTATCTCGCAGTCCAATCGTACTATCGGACTGCAACCATATCCCATCCAATTCTGATACACAAAGGTCGACGCTATTGTTCGAATCTCAAACAAAGCGCGCCCACCATGTCGCTCGCTCCGCTCTCCGTGCCTGGTAAGTCGAGAAATCTTGTTTTTTTTTGCACCAACCGTTTGCTTGGTATCTGCGCTTTGAACGAATCGCCGTTCGACGTTTGATTCTTTGATTGCAATGCTTTAACTCTGGCCCGTCGTACGACTATTCATTCAATCATTCCTCCATCTACCTATCTTCATATCCACTGCAGTCAAAACAAGCGACGAATAGTATTTGTCACATAGCATTGCTCACGTGTTGACCTTGTTTCTACTTACAGAGCACAAACCCGCGCAGCTCAGTATTAATCTGGGTTCCAATAACCCATTTCGCAATCGTGCCGTGTCTCCTTCTAGCACCTCTCCTGTTCCCGCTGGCACACGATCAGAACGACCTCGCTCTACAAACCCTTTCTTGGACAATACTGAAATGATGTCGCCTCAATCTACTTCTACGGGGGCTATTCTATCGCCTAGGAGTGAGAAGCATTCGTATATGGGCAACACTGCCGAACTTTTTGTAAGTCTTGATGATGGAAACTCGGTCATATCGAAGGCAAAGTCAGCTGACTGACTGTATTACTAGGAGAACCTTGCACTTGACTCTGCTTCAAAGGAACGTCGACCTGCACCCCCTCCTCCAGATAAGTCATCTTCGTCCAGGCCTCCTGCACCGCGGCCATCGGCTTCCCGACCGCGACCAGAGATTCGAGATCGTGAGAGACCCAGAGATCCTTCCAAGGACAAGAGGCGAGATGAGGACCCGTTTGACATCTTTGCCGACCCCCCAAAGAAGAAAGAATCTTCTCGTCCCCCACGGCCACGAGAGGGACGTCCTCGCCCTCGTCGCAACTCTGAATCCTCAATTATGGAGAGACCAAAGGGTTTAGATCCAGAAGATGAAAGACGTCGACGCGAAAGACGACACCGTGAGCGCGAACGTGAGCGCGATGGGAAATCTCGCTCTAAGCGCCCGCCCGGCTATAAACTGGACGTAATCGACAAGCTGGACGTGACCTCTATTTTCGGCACAGGATGTAAGTCTTGTTGTTTATCTTCTTTTACTCTACGGATAACTGACGTTTCGATTAGTGTTCCACCATGATGGTCCTTTTGACGCATGCAATCCTCATCGCAACCGAAAGGGGTCACGACAAGCTCCAATGCAAGCATTTCCCAAGGACTCCAAGAACATGGCTCTCGGCGGCGCTGGTCCGAATAACTCCCGTCTCAATCTAGAGCTAATCCATGGTCACACCGCTGAAGGATATTTGGATTATGCTACGATTGGCTCCAAGAAAGATGAGACATTTGATTCGGCTCGTGCTGAGGTTATTCATGGTGCTGAGAGCATGGGCCTCGGTACAAGTACCTTCTTAGAGGGTACGCCTGCTAGCCGTGCCGCGATTCAACGACGCCAAAGCGAGAGTGATCAACAACCACCGACCGGTGGACTTCAGCGCACCAAGAGCTTGGCACAGAAATTCAAGGGTATTAACCGAAATGGGACCATGAGGGTTACATCTCCAGATTCCACTCAAAGAAGCCCAGTTAGTGCGGGGGCCACCAGTTCCGACCGGGCCCAAGAGAGGAATCCATTCTTTCAAGATTATGATGATGCTTATGATGCAAAGGGAAGCAGGATCGAAGAATCACGTGTTTCGGGACGGAATCGAGCATCTAGCAGCCCCAGACGAGCGGCTGGTTTGGAGAGGAAAACCACGAACGGATCGATGGGTGCAGAGGAGAATAAACAGAATGGAGGCGGCTTCATGAACCGCATGAAGAGTTTGAGACGACCGCGACCGGAACGAAGAGTACCTTCTGAATAGAGATCGTTCCGTTGTTTTATATTATTCTCTTGGGGATTTTGGTGGAAAAGCATGCATTGACCACGACCCGAGTTGCTTATTCTCAGCTATTTTCATTCAAATTGGAAGCATTTCATGGAGATACTTTGACTGGTTCGTGGTCACTATTCAGATTTATTGCAATGTCTTTTAATCATCTTCTCTTATTATGCAGGCGCACAGTCAGGGTATGTTATCTGCGCGATTATATTCTCCTCATATTAGATGTCTTAGCGAGCCATTATTTGTTCCATATTGGTATAGTTTAGGTAGTTCAGTTAATGGAGTGGGCATGCTTGTTAGCGATATTGCATCTGAGTATTAAGTAGATAACCAGCTACAGCCTAATTCTATCTATTCATGACATAGCAATTCGTCGTGGTGATCTGAAAGTTTTCCAATATCACGATCCCGCGGACCACCCTCATCAAACATCTTTCAACACCACAAAGGTTCGACATCGCCAATATATAGACGTTGCATATACCAGCATAAGAAATAATGACCACAGATCACCAAGATGTTTACAGCAGCCATGCCGCTTTCTCCATTCTAGCGTCTACATTACTACCTCGTTCACAGCAACCATCAACGAACAGGCCGTCAACCCAAACATCGACATGGGATTTGAGATCGTCCATCGATGAATTCTTCGAGTTATCAAAATATAGAAATGATAGATCGAAACTATTTCGTTGTGGGGTTACCATCGGATTATCATGGTTGCGAGATTGGGGAGATGGCAATCAGCAGAATAGAGATTCGCTTGGTGATGTGATTTTTGACCCATCCTTTTCTCACATATTCCGAAACAAGAATCGACTGCTGACGTGATTTGCAGGTATCAAGGAAACTCCTAACATTATTCCTAGTTGGTCTGCTTCTTGAGCAGCCATCCCAGAACCTGGATTCAGAGGGAAAGCGACAAGACGAAAACAGGATAAAGACGACAAGAGTATTTATTATTCATCCCATACAATCGATCATATTTGCGCCAGAAATATTATTCAGAGACCTTGTCGGAGCTCAACAGGCTCTTGACCACGACGGTGGCAGCAACGATACAATATCTGAAGAGCAAGCAATCAGCCTCCTGGATAGAGTGGAACTCTTACCTGTCCATGACTTTTCTTCTGCCACACAGGCCATAAATCAGGTGTCTGATGCAATATCAACCATTCGCGGACAGTATCGTCCTACATCAACAGATGAAAAGGAAGAAGAAACTCAACCCCCGGAAACACTCCTCATAATTGAAGGTCTCGACACAATGGCCGAAGACGTAATACACAACTCCAACGCTATGCGCGGAAGTGCGATTTTGACACCTGTTTTGAGGACATTGACACATTTATCGCGAACACATGCATCCTTTTTGTCGGTGCTGGTGGTCAGTACGACTCCGCTAGGACCTTCTATGCTTGCGCAACAGCATTCACAGTCTCAGACGCAAGTTTCTTCTACCCAACAGACTTCCCTCGGCGATGGTCGAACGACGACAATTGCCGGTGGAGGTCTATACTCTGCATTTGCGCGGGATTATACACGTTTTAAATCTGTGGATCATGGACAGACACAACAACCGCTTCTAAATACCCTTCTGTCAAGGACGATGGATCAGGGCATTGATACTCATCTACTACTGCAGGCGAGAAGAGGACAAACCCTTGTTGAGGTCATCAAAGATCGGACGGGCGATGGTTTAGGGAAATGGTGTATATGGAGGTCGTGAACGGACATAAAGTCATAAAGTGGATGGAACATTTTAGCTACATGTCATGATAAATCATGAAGCGATACCAGATTCCAAAGAAAAAAAGCGTATAAGTACATGTATATCTATCTGCGCCTTGAAAGATTCATTCCCCATTTTTTTTCGCGGGCTCTCTCTTGATAAGACAAATGAAGTCAACCAGCATGTATTCTCAAAATGGCCCCCTCAGCAATCGCATTAGCCTCCTTTTCGCATGCTCTAAACTCATCTTTCAGCATAGCTTCCTCAAATTGGATATCTTGCTGAACGATCTTGACCCATTGTTTATGCCGATCGCACCGTTTCTTCATGCATACGCCTCGCGACAATTCGGCAAATTCAGCGTCAGCGGTATTATTATTATGATTATTTTTGTTCTTCTTCTTGCTGTTGCTGTCGTCATCGTCGTCGTCCTCATCCTCGTCGTCGGTGGTAGCGACCCCATTTCTTAGGAGGTTGCCGATAGGTTCGGCTTCGAGTTTACCTTCTTCAAAGGCCTTTCGACCTGTTTCCGTGTTCTGGCACCAGTCGTCGAGTTCCTCCTCATTCCAAGACATGCGCGCATCCCAGCCGCAGATATCTTTCCAACCGCCCTTTGGCTCCTTGGCTTTGAGACGATCAAGGATTGCTTTTGCTCTTGCCCTCACTAGGCCCAGGAATTCATTGCGCCGCGATATCATACGTCGCTGACGTCGGTATTGTTCACGCCGTGTACGAAGTTCCTGTAATTTGGCTTCCTCCGCGGCCGAGTAGTTGACACCCGGTGGATTGATGTCCAGACCCATTTTGTTTGATTTGAATAATTCTTCCTCTTCAAACTCCTCACTATCTTGGACCGCTGTCGTTTCTCCACTGTCTTTCTCTCTCTTTAACTTCCTCTTCCCCATGATTTCGTCTTCGCCTTCTTCCTTGTTCGGTTTTGACTCTATTCGTCTCGCTGGTGGTGAAGTCGACGGTGGAGGCGTTATCAAAGCATCGCCCAGTCGACGAAATTCTGCAGATGACGATACTCCCATGATCACAGCCTTCAGATCGCTAACCGTCAAAATACCACCTCTACTACCCAGTTCTTCCGACATCATTCGACCACCATGATCGTGCTCATCGTCCTCGTCGTTGGTATCCATGACGGAGTCACCATCTATATCAACACTGCGACTATCCCGAGTACGACTCATATCCCGAACACGATCAAGGGCTGGCGGAGTAAGTGTGGAAGAACCGGCATGCGCCATTTTGAGTTGTCCAGTCATCTGGCGCATGAATTCACGGCCGTGCTCGTCTGAACAGTATTTGCTGACTTTTGTTTTTGATACTCGTGCTGGTTTCCTGCACCCTTTTAAGCGACACATAGGTTTCCATGTTGTTTGTCCCCTTCCAGCCTCATGGCAATTAGGACCTGTTTCAAATTAGCCAGATTCCCGAGATGTAGATTGTGCACTCACATATATAGTGATCAATCAATTCTTCATCTTCCTGCTTAATATTGACACACTTCCCATGAAACCAATCATCACACCCACCATCACAGCCGATCATCCACGTGTGATTGTCAGGTCTGCGACAGATACAGAAAACTTCATCGGGATTCTCAGCCTCGCTACCACCCTCGTCCTCCTCCTCTTCCTGCTGTTGACCATTTGTAGAAGTAGCGGCTGTTGTGCTTTGTTTCCCGGTAGGCTTCTTCTTTGTAGGCTTGCTCCTCTTCTTGATCTCCGGTGCTGGCGAGCCGTTCACCGAGGCAGATGCTCGTTTCTTGACAGACGGTCCCTTAGCCGAAGATGCAGGACTGTTGGACCGCCGCTCGTCAACGCTATCTGTCTCTATAGCATCTATTTTTCGCTTCTTCGATGACGGAATTTTGGTTGCAATAGATGCCTTCTTCGTGGATACGGATGAGGTTTTTCGTGCATTAGGTCCTAATTTTGACGGAATCAATGGAGCTGACGGTGAGGATCTGTCGATAGATGATGCCCTTGAAGTTGATCCACGTTTCAGGTCATGGATCTTCTTCGGTGTCGGGTGTTCGTCGGCACCGTCATATTGGGGAGTGTGAGCTACGGACTGCGCCGCTGGAACCTTCTCTATACTTGCCGCCGGTATCTCTGTCTTGACTTTCGGCTCACTATCTTTGGCAACATAACCCTGCACTGAATCTCTACTATGATCCAGGAAATCATATAGATCAGCCCAAGCCCCATCCTGTGTAGATCTTTCGCCGGAGCCAAAAATGTGTGAACGCTCAGGAATACGAAGTAATCGGTGGATCTTCTTCGCTCGTTCGTGTCCAAAGTAACCGCTTTGCCGCCAACCGGTTATTGCGACTACCCGGCCGTTGTCGACGATGATGTTCGATCGCACCATGTTATTATGCGTCAGGCATAGAACCTCGTCATCTTCCGCCTGGGCAAAGAGAATATCGTGTTCGACATCGGCTATGTCTGGTTGCGGTATACTATTCAAGTCATCGCATACATATGATGGAGCCGCTGGATAGTCATCGATAGCCGTGAGACGTCGTAGGATACGTTGACATTGCGCCTTGAAACTTTCCTTTTCGCTCGTCGACAGATAGTTCCATGCGACTTCTAGTGACACTCCAGGTATACGTGTTTCGATCACGACATTCTTTCCATCGATCGTTCCGCAGAAGACTATGACGGGGACAGCGACATCCAAATCTTTCAGATGTTCTTCGGCTTTCCTGGACGCGATCAACTCATTCTCATTCAGTCGCGAGTATCTCTCGGCAGCAGCCCCCTCAGCGCGATCGCTATCCACATGTATCAACACCTTACCAATTGCAAAAGCAGCGCGAGACCCAACAACATTCAACGAGTTTTCGGGCATACAGTACTTCCGCACAATCTCCGTCCAATACTCGCGCCGTGTCTCGGATTCGGTGCTGTGCCAGTCGCTGAATTTAGGCTCAAAGTCGTCTGTTTGGGGAGCGTAACGTCCGTAGTGAGGGCTCCGACTGAGGTATGGATCCTTCTTCGACACCCGCTTGGGGTCTGCCTCGTAGGGGTTCACCCCCATAGTACACAATCAGCGACTTTTGAGATATTGCCCTGCATCAGGATTATTGACTGTGAAAATTCATCTGACGTATGAAGCGAACATGCGATGTCGGTCAGAGAACAAGAATTATCTTTGTTTGCCAGAAATAGTTCCGCGGACCGAAGAATGGAAATGTCGCGCAAACTTTCTGCGCAACGTCGATGGTACAACCGATTAGACACGTGCTGAACGTATTATGAATGTTTGAAAACTCTCTCTGAGAGCTGGAATGAGTTCAAAGAGTTTTTGCTCAGTGATGTAAATATCTCGCACCAAATTTCATTTCGTTTGCGTACAGTGAAGAAATCAGAAATAGCGGAGAGGCCAGGGATTCCGAAGCGGGAGTCGTGCTGCAGCAACGCCACAAAGGACAGATGATGGCGACAGGTTCTGCTGCAAAAAAATAAAATCAACTGTTAAATTAAAATGCAAGACACCGTTATCCCTGTGCGCAATACGTCTTTCGGTGGTTAATATTGGTGTAAACGCCTGAATTTGGTGTAGGAACGGACGGGGCGATCAAGCTTCAACTTTCCAGCATGCATGCACGGAAGAATGAATCTCCGGCCCGACAGTCGCGCGACCAGACTAAGTCGATCTGGACGCGTCGCCGAGAAGGCCGACAGCTTCAATTTTACCCTTTTAGGAATATTACACAATTCACCTTGTAGGAGATCTTCTGATGTTCCATTCGTGCAAAGTCAATTCAATTTAGTTACTGGCTTGACATCTATCATTATATCAACAAACCTGCATAGTTCTGATCTTGCCAATCATAGGATCATTTCTTATGATCTGGTGGCTCAAAATATGTACATAGATGGCGCGTATATACATAACTTCTGTGCGCCATTCCCTGGTATCAATGCAACAACAACGCTTCCCAAAACAATAATGCAAACAGCCCAGAAGAAGAGAAAAAAGTCATAAGAAGTTACATAAGTACAGTAGTCAAAAAGGACTGGATAGAGAACGCTTATATGCCCAAGAACACAGCTTCTTGTAACGCTGGCATAACGTAGCTCGTTAATGGAGCTTGTAGTATTTCACGTCGTAAGTCACTCTCCCAAGAGAGCATGGTATGCTCCTGAACCTGGAGTGTCAGGCATTCAAGCAGAAAATGGTTAAGACGAAGCCATGACTGGAGTCCCAGGCGCTTCGCAACTTTGAGCATACGGCCAACAAACCACGGTCTGTCAAAGGGGGATGTTGCCATTTCGGGATATTGCGAAACGTCACCAGTCTCTCGAGACGCTGATGGTAGTGAAAGTGTGTGCAGAGGGTACGGCATAGTTTCAGTGAAGGCAAAGTCCTTGCAGGCCAAAAGTATTTGCAGCAGAGCCTCTACCGAGGCGTCTACATTGACCTCACTATCCCGTAGTTGAAGCACAGCGTGCTCTATAAAAGCTTCTGTCCGGAGTACAGAGTATCGATAATCCCAAAGCGCTGCATTCAGCATCATGAGAGCAGCCATTCTGGCAAGAAATTGCTTCCTGTCCCCAGTAAGCGTTCTCCGCTTCTCCGCAGGAGATGCTAAAATACGAAATAGAGTCGATCCGGATCCAAAGGCAGAGTATCGGACAGGGGCATCTTTTGACGATAGTGTCATGCGTTGATTCAATGACAGATGTTCGCATCTGGTAAGAAAGTTGATGAATTCTTCACATTGCAGGGCGATTTCCTCTTCTGCGCTGTTGGCGAAACGGGGGTATGTGGGTGAAGGAGAACTATCTAAGGTAATCGGGGATGCTGAATTTGGCGGTGATGGGAAGAAGGTTGTAGATGAGCCGATGGGAGAAGTTTTCGTAGTGTGGAAATAAGAGTTCTCATCTTCATAGTGAAACGATTCCGGATCAGAGACATACCCGGCCAGAATATAGTCTTGCCAGTTGATGAGCCTGGCTAGCTTGGTATTTTGAAAGGCAATGGGACCGCCGCGACGTCGTATTAATTTTTGAGCTTGGCGCATATGAATCCAGCTAATTTCTTTGTGTTCTGGCCGAGGATCGAAGTCTTCGAGAGCGGCGGCACTCATGCAGGCGGTGATAACGTTATCAGTAGTGTCATGAGGATACTTTTGCATATGGTCGCGCAGCATGGAAATGGCCAGTTGTCGATACCGCAAGGTACTGTCTGTCTCATTCTCGTTGCGGACCCAGGCCCAGGTGTTGGCGGCGTGAACAAGGACAGTATTGACAAAGGTCAGAGCACCTTTCATGGCCTCCGGGACGAATATTTCGGTGTACCAATTATGAGCTCGTTTCGTACGGTACTGGTGTCCGTAAGAGAGTGATGGCATTTCGTTCACATAAAAGTCAAACAGACGCTGGTCCTCCTTTGTCGCATGCCATGGAAGGGTATCAAACGGGTCGGTTCTTGCAGCACTCAACACAGTCCTAGGAGGTGATAACATGACCGATCGAGTTGGCTGAGGAGGGGTCCTTTGAAAGTCCGTTCCAAAGTCAATGGTATAATTATCGAGGTCATTGGATGTGTCGGGATATCGTGCAAACGAAGACGAGGAAGAAAAGTCGCTGTAATCGGAGCGCGTATATCGGTGGTTGCCGCCGTGCGGGAGGGTCACTATCCTGAAGGCCCCTCTTGCCTCTGTCCCTTCAGCATCGCGGGCTGTGCCACTGGTAGCTGTTTGTCTCTGCGGTTTGCCTCCAGTTATCGAATCCTTATCCTTTGTGGGCTTTATCGTCTTCGTCCGCGGTCGTCTGGTCTTCTTTGTGGAGCCTTTCAGGTCACTGTCTTTCTCATCGTCCTGTCCTTCTTGTTGCTGGGTTTCCATGCGTTTTTGCCGCATGTACTCTTGCATCACATGGCGTTTGACTTGTGTGAGATTATCGGCGCTATCTTTGGATAAGTCGATGAATTGCCATCGGTTCGGTGGCATGGTGTCGTCTTGGTCTCCCGTGTGCGAGCGCGGGTCGGCACTGCCACACTGCGTACTTCGATCGTTAGCGGTCTGAGTACGTATTATGTTTGATGTTTCACGAAGAAGACGGTTTGAATGATAACGGTAGCACAGAAGAATAGCAGCGGGCGGGGGGGAAGTCGGAAAGTTATCCACAGAATGTCAGGACCACGACTGGAGAAGCTGAAAGGCCGAACAGAGGTTTTAGCTTTGGCTGACCCACGCTGAGTTTTCGCCCAGCGTACATCCCGTATACATGGCGCATGGCTTATGTATGTTATTACTATTTGCTGCTTTCTTTTCGACCCAAAACTTATTCGCTGTAATGACAATTTACGTACAGAACTCAAACGTCTCAGCCAGTCGGTGCTTCTGGTGCAAGGGAAAAATTGCCGGGTGGTGTCCCCGGCTGGATTGGTGGAGAATCAGATCATAGGACAATAGCATGATCGGGGCGCCCGCTGGAGCCATTGATTATTTTGCGTGGAGATGTAGCATAGCTGATGCTACATGCTGAGGATACATGTTCCTTCAGGCTTGCATCCAGACTGGTCACTCCGTCCAGGCCAGAATAACATCGACGGTGATTGAACAATGGATAGCCTCTTTTCGCCATGGCGTCCTTCCAGCAAATCTTATTAGAGAGGACTAAACCCCATCGGTCGGGCTAGGTTTCACATACTCTTTACTCATTGGCTGCTAAGTGACCATTTTAACAAGAGTAGCATTGGAGATATGTTAAAGACTTGGATGTTTAATGCTTTCTGTGCCTGCAGATCTTCAAGATTCTATCTAGGGCATGCCACTGTGGATGCAGGATTTTAGCCACATGCAGCAATGTTTCCGAGATTCAACATCCGTCTTTCAAGAACCGCCTATACGACGTATGCGAGATTTATCTGATCAATGATCCTGGCTCTCGAGTCCACAGGGAAAAAGCAATATGATCTCCCAGAGGCCAGAGTGGGTCGCTACTTCGAGAACCGTTCTAGCTCATGCAGAGTCAGCATAGTCATTTTTTCAACAGGATTCAAAGTTCTTATCCTATGTCATCTTGTACATGGATATCGTGGTGGTACTAACACAGTGACCAGGTGGTCAATTGAAACATCTAGTCACTAGCGTCTTAGTGACTAGAATTAAGCATGATCCTTCATACATGAACTATCTTTTTGAGACACTACCGGGCCGTTTTGGTTGGACCACTGTTCCAGATGTCGATGCGTGTAACCTTATCGTCTGATGAAGTTATATTTAACTTGAGTCGAAACTGTGTCTTTGCCGTATGCGGTATGTTTGTCAGCTACTAGCATAATCGAGCACTCAATTCCTGCTTCTAACGACAAGAGAGAAGGAAGGGGCCGTTTTACATTCACATTCATTTCCAGGTAGGGTCTGTACGTAAATCAATCAGCTCAGCAACTACTCAGCTTACTCGGTTCGACTTCCATGTCCAGGACTCTGCACACTCAGCTGTGAACCTGGAAAGTGGTCCTCCCCGACTTGGCTCTCCCAAGGCTCTTTTCAACGTTGCATCGAGTCAGGTGTTTTTTAATCTTGGTCTAGTTAGTGCTTGTTTTGTGCTAAATATGTAGATCTCTGATTTCCCCATCCTAGTGCCTCGCTGACGGGACTTTATCAAACTCCGGTCATGCTCTTGATGACCGTATGTTACTTTAACCCGGAATTCCCATTGCACTTCCTCCACGATACTCGGCCTAGATTCAATGTTGTCTTTTATTACCTTATAACTGCACGGTGAGGAAGACTCATACTTTTATATGTCTAGAGATACTTGTCTTCAGCTTTTCGCCTGGTTAAGGTACCAAATATACCAGTGATGCTAAGACATTTCTACTTGAATGAGACCCTTTTTTTTGGCGATTCTTCTGTCTTCTAACATGGATCAAATTAGCAGCCGGTATGTCCATGCATACTCTCCGTCGTTAACTCTTTCCTATTTCAAGATGATGCCAACGGTACAGTTACCCTAACCCTCATGAGCAAACCTTCACCTTCAGCTCACGTGAGAAACCAATTCGGCGGCCCTTGCGGCTCTTGCGGCTCGTGCGGGGTCCACAGGCTTGTTTTCATCTGATAATCGGCTAAACGCTGATCAAAGGGTAATAATGTACGTACGAATCAAGAGCAAACGAGCATCATTATTAGTGTGTTGCTGTCGTCCCGGATTCTTTTCCTACGGCAACATGCTGCCATTGGTCCAGGCGCGATAAGCCTTGGAAATTTCAATGCGAGAAATAGACCCGAGTCCCTAAGTGGTGAGTAGTGACTGGTCACAACGGGCTCATCATGCACGTCGATTACTCAATTATACCGCGCTGTGGGATCACAGGGTCATCAGAGTTTTCTGGTGTCTTCCCGGTTCCGTAGTTCGAGTATTATCTCGATATCGAGATCTATGAATGACGTAGCGAGGCTTTCGAGTGATTTGCGATTATCGACCTGTCGGCCGAATTGATTGCAGTAGAAGAGGAGCTCTTCTATGATCCTTCCAGAAAGGCGATGATGACTGATCATTCTAGGCCCGGATTTAAAGAACTTAAATGTTAATCAATAGTGGATCCCCAGACAAGGGAAACGGAATATGCGCCAATCATATCCCACGAACCAAATTCCAGGGTCCTAGTATAGCTTCTCATTGGTCAATTCTATTTTCACGCGTATCGGAGTTAATACCGTGTGGTATCGGAAACGTGGGCCATGTGAATCGTTACACCGCGGTTTTGTCCACATCTTGCTTACATTGATATGACATTAACCTTCAAACCACCGTATGATAGTACCTTTGCGCTTGATCGTCAATTGCCTACACATAGGCAAATGAACAGCTGATCGAGGACAGACCAGTGTGCTAGTGGATAAGCTCCGTACGGCATGTCTCCGTATTCCGAACTCCGTGACAGCTTACTCCGTTCGGCCTATGGCTTGTCGATCCTTTTCGTCCATGTATTCTGGTCTACTCAGGTTTGTACTCGGCTCTACGGATGAGTCAGATGCAGCTGGCCATGGACTTTCCACGGACGATGCATACTTTCTTGTATAGTAAGCAACAATCCAGCAGATACTCATGACCTAGGTACATGCCATCCCAAAGTCAAAATGTTGTGCAGAAATTCTGATCGATCTGACATGACGGGCACTAGGCCGAGATCAGTCATGATAACTTTCCTTCTCTTTCTCTTTTCTCCGAACGGATTTAAGATTTAATATCGCGCTACTGGGTCAGAATCGTAGGTGGCTTTAACTATGTGTGAACAATCAGATTGTAGTGGAGTTGCCTGCATGAAGAGAGGAGAATTGCTTGCTAAGACGTGGGCAAGCTTGTGCTCTGCAGAGTGCATAAACGAGGCTCAGAGGGGACGGTAAATCGAGAGGATTTATAATCTCAATTCTTTTCTGGGCTGGTGATATTCGTTCAGCATATAGACGGAGTAGATCGAGTTGAACTAATACGAGTGAGTCAGTGTCTGAAATAATTGACTCAATTAGTCAGAAAGCAGTCCCGCGGTGGCTCCTGCCTATCGCAGCCAACGCCCGCTTGCCACTAGAAGCCCTAGAAGGTTAGGTTCGCTCGCTCCTTCCTCCTGATAATCGCAAATTACGTCTTTCTCCCTCTTTTTTCCCTTTCTTCAACTTCCTCTCTTTTTCTTTTTTTCCCTTCCCTGCACTTCCTGTTCACTCCTAGGCCTTTGCGGTATAGAAGACGAAGCGTATCTCGTCTTTCATCGCCGCAGCCAGCCGACTTTTTTCTGTTACATCGCCCGCCGCCTGGCGCCTTTGGAGATCGAACTAACTTGTTCTTGGCGAACCCGTTCAACGGACTGTCTTTCCATAATTCTTAATCGCAACCGTCCATTGAAATCGCAGCAACGGTCTGCGAAGAAGCTTGGATCTAGCATCAAGGATAATTATTACTTATTTCCAATACTGTTTCGCATTCGGTGCAAGCCTGCGAATCAGCAAACCTTGAAAGGGGTTCTCAAGTTTCGAGGGAAAGACCATCTCTATAACCGCCGCAAAACCCGATTCTCCCACGCCAATCTTGCTAGTGTCAAATCGTCTATCGATAAAGCGCACCGACTATTTAAAACAAATACGGATCGCGAAATGCTACTTTGAGGAGGAGCTCATATTGTTCGTTTTCAACAACATTACATATGCACCTATCTGGGAATAGCACCCAGTGGATTCTCTCGCCATGAATGACCAATTCAATTCACCTCAGGTGCCAAAGTATGCAGATGAAGAATTTGGCAAAAATGCGCCGTCAGACTCGCAGCCTCATATGCAAGACGATGGTGGAGATGCAGAGACGCATGATGAGTCATTAGAAGACAACCATCCTTCGCAAGGCGAGTCGGGCAAGCACCCCATACCCATTCAAAAGAGACGGAGGGTGACCCGCGCCTGCGATGAGTGCCGTCGGAAGAAGATTAAATGCGACGGAAAGCAGCCGTGTACGCACTGTACAGTGTATAGCTATGGTATGTTCAGAACACTTTCGGCGAACTCTACAAATGCGTTTCTACTGACACCGCGCCAGAGTGTACGTACGATCAGCCCTCGAATCGTCGCCGAAATCCCACCCCACAGTATATCGAGGCATTAGAATCGCGACTGCAGAAGGCCGAAGAAATTCTCCGAATTCTAGCCCCAGACCTCAATCTTAACGACCCTCGATTGCTTGCCGCTAGCCCCGAACAGATAGTATCGGCACTTCGACGTGATGACCCACGGGAAGCGACAGTCTCGAAACCGCAGGGAGATGATCAACCGAAACAAGAACCAGAATCGTGTCCAGATGGGTCTCTTCTCGAGACGATGATGGAAAATTCTGGTTCTTTAGATCTTGACGATCAAGGTCACTGGGACTACCATGGTCATTCATCGGGCATTATTTTTATGCAACGCCTTCGAAAACAGATTGGAAACGTTATAACGATGCCCTCGCGGACATTGGTTAAATCTGCGCCTCTTTTCCAGATGCTCGAAAGTCCCAAGTCACAGTCGGAGTCTCCGCAGGATCTTAGTAATCCTAATTCACCCCCAACTCATGATCTTCCTCCTAAGGATACTGCAAGGAGGCTATGTCGAAGTGCACTTGATCATGCCTGCATTCTTATGCGTCTCGTCCATGAGCCGTCTTTCTGGGCAACTTTCGAGCGCATATATGCTACCCCGTGGGATCAATATACAAACGAGGAACATACCTTCTTACCTCTCTTGTATGTCGCCATGGCCGTTGGTTGCCTCTTTTCCAACAATGTCGAGAGCACTTTGGATAAATCGGGCTACGAGGGTGCTATTGGCCAAGGGTATGCCATTACTGTCATTACAATTAGTCTCATTGCTCACGCGATTTCTTTTTTTTTTAGTTTCCAATATTTCAAAGCGGGCCGTCAGTTGCTTGACATCACCGATTGTAGAGATCTGACCACTCTTCAGGCAATCTGCTTCATGGTTCTATTTCTACAATCATCAGCAAAGTTGAGCACCTGCTACTCCTACGTCGGAATCGCTTTACGCGCTTCTCTACGTCTGGGTCTTCATCGAACCCTCAACGCCAACTTTGACCCTGTCGAAAGCGAGCTTCGCAAGCGGATATTCTGGATTGTCCGAAAGATGGACATTTATGTTAGCACACTTTTGGGTTTGCCACAGATGGTCAGCAACGAGGATATCGATCAGGAGTATCCGCTGGATATAGACGATGAATATATCACGCCTACTGGAATACTTTCCATGCCCAGTGATCGCACGTCGTTTATGGCAGGAGCAAACGCCCATACTCGCTTAGCCGATATCATGGTCAAAGTGGTTAAATATATTTACCCCGTGAAATTGACCAAATCACAATCCAAGGCAGACCATACATATATGGTCAGCCATTCCAAAATTCGGGAGATTGAAAGAGACCTGCAATCCTGGATGGAGGATTTACCTCCTGCTCTGCGACCAGGTAGCGAAGTCAGTCCCGAGCTAGAACGGTAAGCGCTTCGCCTTTCGAATTCTGTATCTCTCAATATCTAATATCTGTTTTGTAATAGTATGCGACAGTTGCTTCGGATCAGTTATGCTCATGTGCAAATGGTGATGTATCGGCCTTTCCTACACTACGTGTCCAACAGCTTTCAAGCGCAGGGCATCGACAAGAGATCTTATGCATGCGCAGCTGCATGCGTAAGTGTTTCGCGAAACGTCGTACATATTACAACAGGCATGTATCAGAAGGGCTTGCTCAACGGTTCCTACTGGTTCGTCATGTATACGACATACTTTGCTATCCTTTCGTTGGTGTTTTTCGTTCTTGAGAATCCGGACTTGTCCACTGCCAAGGATGGTATTCTCAAGGACGCTTTAGAAGGAAAGACTACTTTAGCCGCATTGGCTAAAAAGAGTATGGCTGCCGATCGATGCGCGCAAAGCTTAACTGTAAGTCATAAACGAGCAATTTCAAGACGCATTTCTGACTTCCATTAGGGCCTCTTCAAGCAGCTCCCTGAGAGGCTGAAAAACAGACAATCAGCAACCGGTCATGTAAACCTGAAGAGATCATCGCCGTCGGATACCACGACCAAATCAAGGATACAGCGCCCTGTGTCCATGTCTTTACCGTTCGATACCCCACAGCGTTCCAATTCCTTCCCGACACAACTAGCGGCTTTGCATGCAAGACAATCATATGAGCCTAAAAAAGCAGTTGATGATATGCGTGTCCCTCGACGGGCACAAACGTGGCTTTGGGATGGCAATTCCGACTCAGCCGACTCTACCGCATCTCCTTCATCTATGTCTGCACTTTCCCATGATCAGATCACCAGCCCGATAGGCAGTCAATACCTCAACCAAGCACTTACGCAGCAACCTTTTACATCAACACAGCAACTTGGTGCTAGCCAGATTCTTCCGGATCTTATGCCCATAATGTTCCCATCTGGGGATCAATTTGCTTACCCTGCACAGCCTTTGTCCACTCTTGAAGACGATCACTTCAAGGATGACCTCCCCAACTCGCCCATGCAGTTTACCCCGGACTCCTTTGCGTCAAGGGGACCCAATCCGCTTAATGGGAACTTTTCTCAACCGATGACGAATGGATTTGATGGGTTATCCGGCTTACAAGGACTTCCCGGGCAATTTCCAGGGTCTGCAGCAACGCTGGCTCCTCAACTTCAGCATCTTGGTCTGCAAACACCCTCCACACACTCATCGACACCGGACAATGTCCAAAGTCCGGACTTGGTGTCGTTACCTCATAACTATGTGTGGCAGAGTTTTAGCCTTTCGAATCCTACCGCTCCGAACGAGCAGACGTTGAAGGAACAGTCGGTTCCTGGAGGAAAGCCGACAACAGCTGATACCGCAGGACCGGACGGCATGTCCTCTCTGGGAATGTTTGATATGGATGTCAATTTTGGCGAAATTCTTGGTAATATAGGAACGAATCCTGGCACAGCTACGAATATGAACGACGAATGGAGTCAATGGATGAATACAGGCGCCTAAGGTGAAATTTTTTTTTCTTTTCTTTTCTTTCCTTGCAAGTATACCCGCGCTCTGGTTTAATGCTTCATGAACTTCTAAATCTCGGGTTTCTGTCAACATGGACCAATAATTGCACATTTTGTTTCGTTTTTTTGTTTTATACTTGGATTGTGCATACTACTTTTTTCTGGTGTCTTGCAATTATTGTGCTCTTATTTTATTTTAGATTCCCTATATTTGGCGTTGAGATGTCGGGAGGCTGGATTATGGGACAAAAGCATTTGCATAACATGACAAAATGCATATGTGAGATATCAGTGTAAATGATAAATCGAGGTCGATTCATGAGTATGAGAGTTATTATACATCATCTATCCATAGATGTCATGGCTGTAGCTAAGACCCACACACGCATACGCCGAGTTCTGAGCTCCTGCCGTTGCTTAAATTCTAACTTCATTCCGACACTCAACATGCCGAACAATCCCAATATAAATCTATCTACAGTGATAACATGGCTATTTTATCTCGTTCCCATATATATATTTCTCATATCTCCAGCTCTACGCATATTATCTCCGTCTAACGAGCATCAAAGACAAGATGCTGCGAATCCCATCTTCGATTGGTCTGCTTTCGATGACGCAGATTACGATCTATTGGTATCCGGATTGAATGTTACGGACGACAGCTTTATAAGCCCGGAAGACAATGATTTGGATAAACTCAACTGCCGCGAGGACGACTACCGGGTGCACATTTTTTCGTATAAGCCGCTGATTATATATGTTGAGAATTTCTTTAGGGATGCCGAGGCCGATTATCTCGTTGCTGTTAGGTTAGGGGGACCTTACCCTCTTGTCTTATGGGATAATGGCTAAAATGAATGAGTAGTGGCGGTAAATGGTCACCATCCATCATCTCCGACGGAACCTCTGTGCGAGTCGACCCGTCCGTCCGACGCTCTGATCGCGCCCTTCTCGACCGCGACAATGTAGTCCGATGCGCCGAGGAACGAGCGCGATCTTTCCAAGGCTGGCGACCATGGCTATATATTGAGCGCATGTGGACGCAACGATACAATGCATCGGGCCATTACCGACATCACTACGACTGGAGGGGATCAGCGGCACAACGGGGGGGGGACCGTTTGAGCACGTTTATGGTTTATTTGGACGCGAATTGTACGGGCGGAGGGACGAATTTTCCGCGCTTACGCATGCCGCGGAAGAGTCAGTGGTGTCGGTTTATTGAATGTGACGATGCGCATAGAGATGTCTACGAGGGTGTTACGTTCAAGCCGATCAAGGGGAATGCGGTCTTTTGGGAGAACTTGCGGCCGGACGGTACGGGGTATCCGGAGACATGGCATGCGGCACTTCCGGTTTTGTCGGGGAGGAAGGTTGGGCTGAATATTTGGAGTTGGTATCAGCCTCCTGTTCGGAGGGTTTGACTCAACTGAGTCGTCAAGCATATTGCATGTAAAGTTGATAGATGAGACTGTACTCTGTACTCTGTACTCTGTACCATAGTGCATATATATATCTCGGATATATCGGACATATTTAGCTACCATAGCAGTGCATACCGGCCCGATACAACGCTGGCAAATTCACTCGCATATCCGAACAATAATGTATGAATAGACAAAACGCACGAAATAATGACGTTTATTATTTATCCACCAAGACGACACTCGTCCATGTGATCAGGCTCGCAGTACTGTCCGCCGCCGCCAAGAGAGGACTAGAGGACTATTCCGTACATGAAGAATGAAAAATCCTACTCCGTAGAGAAGGTACTCAATATAGATCATGTTTCTTGGTCGAGGCTTGGCCCTTGGCCGCTGGCGGAGAGGAGCGTCCAAGAGTGGGCTAATAACCACGCTGGTCCAAGTCGAGCGCTGGTCCGAATCGAGCACAGCTGAAGCCAAGAGACATTGATACTCGTCAGGTTATTCACTCCAGTGTCTACTCCGTATTGGGCGTCCGACCTTCCCTTTTGGATAGCGGCATGCCTGATGGTTCAGGCAGTCCAGCGTATGCTCAGCCTTGGAAGTGGGCTGTTGGCGGTCGCTGATTGGCTCGGTGAGTCCTTGGCTGAGGGCTCCAAGCCCCGCCAAGCCTCACATTCTGCTGCCTCTCGCAAATCACGTTTTCCTGCCAAGAGCCTCGCGCGACAAGAAATTTCCCAGGTCTTGTCCTTCTTCCGCGGTCTGGGCAATTGCTCGGCGCGTGCCAACCCTCCCTTTCCTCCCCCCTTTCTCTTGTCCTTTCTGCTCACTTTATCTCAGAACACGTTGCTTTTGCTGAACATATCGCTGTTGGTTGTTTATTGACAAGCAGTGTGAGTCGAAGGAATTCACCTTTGCTCATTTGCGGCCGGTTACGCATCTCGTTTGAACCACAGCCGCCAGCCACATCATTCGATCCCTTCCCCGTCGCTGCATCTCTCTCTCTCTCTCTCTCTCTCTCTCTCTGTCTGTCTGTCTGCACTGCTGGGGCCAGATTAATCATTATTGGAATCTGTCAAGTCTCAGCGTCTGCAGTCCAGCCAACAAGAACTGGGGAAAGAAGTGGACCATCTCGACTCATTTCTTGTTGTCTTTTGCCTGGCCACCCCGACGTTACGCGACTCAGTCCCCCCCCCCCCCCCTCTCTCTCTCTCTCTCCTCTTATTCTCTTCTCTTCTTCCTCCCTCCCTTTCTCATCCTTACTTTCCTCCGTTCCACAACTTCTACCCCCGACAAAATATATCTTAGTCGGGACACACAAAATAAGCCAACAAAATAACTCGACTTCTTTGGTTTATTTGATTTCTCCAAAGTCGACCTGATCCGGGGTCCTTCCCGCCGAATACCAAGACTTCCCTCACGTGGCTTGGCATCATGACAGACACGTCTCCCGCTACATCGGCGCCTCCTGCTGCTGCTGCTGCCACCACTTCACCAGCGACGGCTCCTAATCAACAGCAATTTCAGAATGCGACCCAACCTGCAGAGGCTGCATCGACACAGTCGCCAAACGCGTCTACAGCTCCAGTTGCGAATGGTCAATCGCAAGCACCGGCACAGGCCCAGATTCAAACTCAGGCTCAGGCTCAGGCTCAGGCTCAAGCTCAAGCAGCCCAGGCCCAGGCCCAGGCTGCTGCTGCTGTAGCGGTCGTCGGTAATCAGAACAATACTAATGGCAATGCCGGTATTGAGGACTTTCCCTGTATGTGGCAGGCATGTACTGAACGCTGCCCGAATCCAGAGGCGCTCTATGTAAGTTTCCTCTTCCAGGTCTTTGCGAAGAATCACTTGCTAATACAGTAATAGGAGCACGTCTGTGAGAAGCATGTTGGTCGCAAGTCCACCAACAATCTCAATCTGACTTGCCAATGGGGCAACTGCCGTACCACCACGGTCAAAAGAGACCATATCACTTCACACATTCGAGTGCATGTGCCCTTGAAACCTCACAAGTGTGATCTCTGTGGCAAAGCATTCAAGCGGCCTCAGGACTTGAAGAAGCATGTCAAAACACATGCCGATGATTCGGTCTTGATCCGGTCTCCAGGCCCTCCAGACGTGAGAGGCCAGGAAATACCTTACGGTATGATTAACAACCCAAAAGGTTAGCTCTATACAGATAGGGCAGCTTGCTCTGGCTATTTCTAAACCCGTGGCTAATCTAAGTCTTGCTTGCAGGGTTTCCCGCGGGAGCTCATTACTTTGAACAACCAATGAATCCAGTGCACGCTGGCCAGGGCTACCACGCACAAGCTCAGTATTACCAGGGGCAGCCACACCCGCAACCCCCTAATCCAGGCTACGGCAATGTCTATTATGCTCTAAACACAGGCGACAGCCACCCTGCATATGATTCTCGAAAGCGCATCTTTGACTCTGTCAATGCTTTCTTTGGAGAAACTAAACGCCGCCAGTTTGATCCCACGTCGTATGCTGCCATCGGACAGCGTCTTGGCGGTCTCCAAGGCTTGCAATTACCTCTTACTGCTGGCTCAGCACCGGATTATCACGGCATGGGTGGCGGCATTCCCGTAGGCCCAGGTGGTGGCTACGGGCCAGCCTTGGCGGCCCCAGCTTATCACTTGCCTCCAATGACCAATGCCCGCACGAAGAACGATCTGCTTGATCTTGACCGCATGCTTGAGACTATTCATACAACCGTCTACGAAAGTGACGATCATGTGGCTGCTGCTGGTATCGCTCAACCGGGGGCCACGTACATACCTCGAATGAGCCACGGTGGTACTACACACCAGTCACCACCTATTTCGCTCCCTTCTAGCCATGCTGTAGCGACAACCAGCAACATGTCAAATGCTTCTTCTATTGTCGCTGCAACCTCGCCTGGCTCGACGCCAGCTTTGACCCCTCCTTCAAGTGCGGTATCGTACGTGTCTAGCCACTCCCCTGGTTCTTACACGCACCGTGTGTCTCCTCCACACGATCAGGACATGGCCATGTACCCTCGCCTGCCATCTACCACGGCTCATGAGATGGCTGGTGGCTATACGGCGTCGACCAATGCTCCACCATCGACGCTCAGCAACAGCTTTGACTATAGTGATCGTCGGCGATGGACCGGAGGTGTTTTGGAAAGAAGCCGCCCGGATGATTATGCCAAGTCGGCTATTGACGAGATGATGGAAGACGGCGAGCGAACACCCACTCGCAAGGATCCTCTTGGCAATGCGACTCGTGATAGCGATGATAAGTTCCACCATAGTCTGATTGACCCAGCGCTGCAACAAGAGATCTCTCCCTCATCGTCAGCTGATCCTGATGCTGATGCTGAAGCGGCTAAGCGCGCTGCACAGGCCGCCACTGAGGTAACCCAAAGGAGCGAGGAGGAGTGGCTAGAGAACGTCCGCATTCTCGAGCAATTGCGTGCTTATGTCAAAGAGCGACTTGCTCGTGGGGACTATGAAGAGGAAGACGAGGACGAGCAAAGGAGTGACAACGCAGCTACCCCAACTGGAGCGGCTGGAAGCCCTGCAGAAGACCATATGGAAGGCGTTGAGCAGACGGAACGTAGTCGGTCGACGGAAGAAATACATAAATCGGAAGAATCCAACCCACTTCCCAGCCTGGAAGAACTAACGACGTCATCATCATCATCATCACCACCGACGACGACGACGACGACGTCGTCGTCGCAAGGCTTATATCCTATATTGAAGGGGGTGGAGGACTATGCCGAGAGTACGAAAATGGAGTAGCTTCAGTCTTATTTACCGTTTGGGGCTCTTGAACTTTTCCTTTATTATGGTTACTCTATATATCAGCAGGAACTATATTCTGAGTTTATGTTTTATAGTTTGTTGTATTGTTAGGACTATATCCGTGCATTTTGGTGATTCTTCATTCTCGTCCTTGTTAACGCTGTATGATTGCGGTGTTGGATCGATCGTGTAACCGAATCTAGCAATGAATCGAAGAATGTCCCCGTATGGCTGGTAAATTGTAAGTGTTAGGGAGGTAGCATTTCACTGTTTTCGATCGACAAAGTAAGTGCTGGTAATCTCGAGGTCAAATGCATGTCATGTCGATAAGGGCCGCGATAGGCTTAGCCGAGATCGATCTGTATTATTGATCTAGATACGTGCACGATCCACTCGGCAACAAATAAATAAGACAACAGATGTGACAGTATAAACCGTAATTTCTGCTGGGCATGTAACTAATAACTAAATCATTTTGAGTCAGTCAACCTACTTTGTTCAGGCAGAATCGGAAGTTGAAGCCGTTTCCGGCGATGGAACCATATTTCCAGATGCGGACATCATGTACAAATCTCTGTTTTGCTTTTTGTTGAAGAGAAAAGAATAAGCTTTTTTCCTCTTCTTCCTTATGCATAAATCAGATCGGGAATGTCTGGCGTTGTAGGCGTATTTGATCTCGAATAGAGTAGTATCCAAGTCTAGTGGTCAAGGGTGGCATGTTACATAGATCTTGATCAGGGCAGATCTATGAAATAGGTCTTGCTTTCCTGTCGTTTCCAAACCTCTGGCCAAACGATCAGGCTGAGTTTTAGGGCATGCTGAGGCCAGATTGGCATTGGCTGAACCAGACATTAGTCCAGAACCGCGTCTACAAAGGCTGAACTGGTACTTTTTGTACGTACCAGATAAACACCAACACCGAGGGGAAAAAAAAAAGAGGAAAATTCAGAGTTTGGTTCAGTGTGTGGCAAAAAGAAATAGAAGAAGAGAAAAACAAACATACGAACATACGATACAAATAATACATCACTCTCTCCTTCAACTTGTCAAGGCAAATCTTCGTTGTTTGCCTCCTCCACCGTCATCTCGCGAATCCATTTATTCTTTTGGCGCGAGTCTCGATACTTGTCACTGGATGGTAAATAGTCAGTGAGTATTTCTTCTCTGTTTTTTTTTTTTTTTTTTTCCTGATCATCCTGAATAATGTGGAGATATGCCAGACCATCTCTTATCAATCCACTGTTCTCCTTTTATTGTTGTTCTCCCCATCGTCATCCCATCTGATAAAATAAAAAGATCTGAACTGATGTGAATGATGACACACGACTAGTCCCAGCCTCTCTCTCTCTTAGTGGCCCGCCGATCTATTTTGTTCTTTCTTCTTTCCCGCCGCCAACGGCCAACCGTGACTGACTTTCCCACCACAACAACTACAACATATCCACACTTACTCAAGAAAACCAGCAAAGACAGCTCAATTATTGCAGTATTCTTGCAATAAGGAAATTCTCTCCGACCAGCATTCCAATCTTTTCAACCCGGGGGCCTCGCCGCGGCCTGTCGGAAACAAACATGCCGCTCTCGAGTAGGCGTCGCACGCGCCGCAAGGACATTCATCTCCAAGAAACATCCGACGCGGAGGCTCCGGATTCCTCTCCCAGCCGCCCAGCCAGCAAGAAGCGCAAGGTGAGTTCTATTCAATCTCTTGTCGCAGAAGAAAAAAGGGAAAGGAAAGGAAAGAAAAAAGAAGAAAAGGAAAAGGAAGACTGACGCGGTCGCAGGTTGAGGCAAGACCGTCATCGCGACATATGCAAACACCAGAACCCGCCTCTGCCGATGACGCCGATCGATCTTCCCCAGAAAACGACTTATCGGCAAACCAGGACCTGGTCGAGACTGTAATTGCATCGTTGAATGTGTCGAGAGATGAAGTGAATGTGTTGCGCGACTATTCCAATACCGAGTCTGAGAATAAGCAATCTATCCAGGCATATGCGAAAATCGCCGGTCGTGACTGGACGTATTATGTTAAGACGGCGCATGTCAATATTGGACGTCCTCCAGATCGCGATCAGAAACTCGACGAGCAGTCGAGTCCCGTTGCTATTGCCGCTCGTGCCCTGCCAGAGGTTCATGTCGACCTGGGTCCTAGCAAATTTGTGTCTCGACTACATGCCGAGATTTTTTTCTATGGTGAAGATGAAGAGTCTTCTGCTTGGCGGATTCGAGTCAACGGGCGGAATGGTGTACGACTCAACAATATCATGCTGAAACGAGGATCAGACGCTGTCTTGAAATGTGGCGACATTATCGAGATTGCCAATACTCAAATGATGTTTGTCACTCCCGGCGATAAGGCAATGATCCATCCAGCCTTCGTGGAACGCGCTCAACGGATTGCCGCCGGCGAGGAAGTTTTATGGGATGGCTCGCAACATGCACATCCTACTACATATGATGCACAGCAACCCGGCCGGGCTGTCGATACCGGTGTTTACGCTGCTGCTGCTACTACTACTACTACTACCACTGTACAGCCAGGTAAACCATCGCTGGCTCCTGCTCCTCAGTTCCTTAAGCGACAGGTCACCCCGCCTCCACGGTCTCCAGATACCGTTGGGGGTCAGACGGCCACCAAGCAATCGCCCTTGTACAATCGTGGTATGATGATGGAAAGTACAGAAGAGATCGACTACAGTCAGGATGCCGCCAAAGATTTGAAGCCTCCATATAGCTATGCGACTATGATTGCGCAGGCTATTTTCTCGAGTGAGGAGGAGAAGCTTACACTGAACAGCATTTACCAATGGATTATGGAAAAGTATGCGTTCTATCGTCATTCTCAAAGCGGTTGGCAGAACTCTATTCGACACAATCTGTCTCTTAACAAAGCCTTCCAAAAGGTACCGCGTCGGACGGATGAACCCGGTAAGGGTATGAAATGGATGATTGCGCCGGAGCACAGACAGGAGTATTGGAAGAAGCAGTTGCGGAAAGGCAACAATTCATCTGCACCTTCGTCGCCAGCTACAAAAGAGCCTCCATCGTCCCGCGGCACTAACGGACATGCTGGCTCAAGCTACGAGGGCATCTTTTCTGCGACAAAGACCTCTCCTCAAACCACTTCGCCTGGATTCAGCTCATTCTCAGTGGCACCAGTTGAAGCCTACACGCCAGAAAGAGGGTCACGGCTGGGACAAAGGGGGACTGATCGTGTAAGGAATGGTCCGCATACCGACTTTGATGAGCAGTCTCCTCTTCCTAGTCGAATTCGGAATAACCAGCACGAAAACGGCAATAACAGTCAAAGCAATAGCGCCAGTAATGCCAACGACGGATCGACGACTCGTGCATATGGACTATCAGGCAATGCTACGGGGTCGCCTCCAGTGCTTTCCTCTTCCTATTATGACGAAGCACCTTCATCGATGATCACGCCAGCTCCTCAACGACATCAACCACGGTTGCCGCCACCAAGTACAGCTCAGATTCCATCCAAGTTCATGCCTATGAGTTCGCCAGCACAATTCTGGAAATTCGCCGATATTGGAAGTACACCTGCTCGTCTGGTGCCGGATATGAGTCCATTGAAAGGAGGTGTAGGGGCATTAGGCGACGGGTTAATGCCGAGCAGTAGCCCCCCGCCGCCGAATTATGCTAGTCCCAGCAAACCTAGCACATCGAATGTACGTGCTCTCGGTCCGATCAAAAGGGAAGAAGAGCCGGAGCAGATTCGGCATCATCGGTTGGGAGGTGATGATGAAGAGGAGGAAGAGGAAGGTTTCGATCTAGCGAGGTTTGTTTCGACCTATTCTTACATAAGGTTTTGGCTAATTACTCAACAGAGGCTTTCAACCTATCGGGTCATATCATCGACAGTTGAATAACTCTGCACGAGCGAGTGCGACGTCTTGACTTGGGTAGATATCATGTCACTCTAGCCATCTCGTTGATTGTTTTGATCAATGTATTCATTGGGGTTACTCGGGCGTCCGATCTTTTCAGGAGGTTATCTTTGGATTTGGCTGTAAATGCATGCTTGGTGTTTTGATTATTGCTCTAACGCACTTTGACACGTTGTGGTTTTTGTATTCTGATGATACACGTATGATAATCAGGTACCTAGCTAGATAGGTCCATGAATGTGACATATTCACTCGCACCAACATACTCACATACAGCTATTTCAACCTCCACCCCATTTCAGACCCATCACTAACAATCTCCACACTCCTCTTCTCATCCAATGATACCCTCCCCGCATGCAAAATCGCAGTGGTGGCAATCGTATTCCTCAACGTAGGCAAACCCCTCTTATCAAGTTCATCGAGCGTAACGCGCCCTTCGTTGAGAGCTGTGACAGCATCGATGAATTTCTCAAAGCTGATGTAACCGTAGCCCGTTTGGCCGGCGAAGTTGCCTTCTTCGTCGGGGGCGTAACGCATGTAGAATCTGCTCGCTTGTTAGTCTTTACGTTTGCTTATTGTTTGAAAAGAAGAGACGCGGGGGGACGCACGGATTGTACCAGACTAGATGGCCCTGTTCATCGTCCGCGATGTCGTAGCCACGTTTAGCTTGATTGATGCGAATCTCACCCTTGGATCCCATATCTAATCCCGTCAGTCAGCAGGCCACACATCAAGAGTCAAACGTACAATGAAAATACTGATTAGAATGAACACCCGCCTTCTGCGGCGCCGTCCAACTCGCTGTGTATACCCCCGTAGCCACCCTCGTTGGATCAGACTTCTTCCTCCAATCCACCAACAAAGTAATCGTATCCTCCGTTTCCGGTACACATCCCAAATCCCATGCCGTACCCGTACTAGCCGACGCAGTAACTTTTACAGGCGTATATTCATGCGCCACCATACTCTCGCAGATGTCCACATGATGCGAATTCAAGTAATACGAAATATCACTATCCCTACCCGCCCAAGCCTTGAAAGTCTCAAGTTGGAATTTCGGTTGACTCATGTAACTATAAAAATAGTTAAAGTCCCCCAGATTCCGCGCTTTGGCGCGCGCATCGGCATAGGCAGGGTCGAAACGTTTGTGATGCTCAATATAGACAAACACGCCGTATTTACGCGATTCTTCGAGTAGATTCAAATGATCCTGGAGAAGTTTTGTGGCTGGTTTTGTGATCAAGACGTGGATTTTGCGTTGGATTGCATACAATGCGATTGGGTAGTGTGTTGTGTCCGGTGTGAAGATAGTGATTGCTGAGCCTGGTTCGAGGGCGTCGATGGCTGTTTTGTAGGCTTCCGGATCGGTTTGGTCGTCTGCGGGGAATGATTGGAATGAAACGTCTAGCCCGTTGTAGACTTCAGAGATGTTTTTTTGGAGGTGTTGTTCTTTTCTATCTCGTTAGCCCCTCTCCAGCTTGAGCTTCTGAGGAGACGTACTGATTGCTGGAAACTTTCGTCCAGATACGCCGGCCATGCTCAATTCACCGACTTTTCCTCGTCGTCGTAGATCGAACAATGTCAGTCCGACTACCCCGACTTTCTTGTCTGAACCTGAGGCACCACCACCCACGAAACCGGTGGTGTATTCACCAGTGCCGACCTGGTTGCTTGTAAGTGTTGTCCATTATCTGTCCAGGTGGTGATGGCCTGTTGAGACTTACCATGAGAACACTTGGAGGGGCCATTGTGAGGCTGTTCAATCTTTCTAGGATATACTGATTATTGCAATGAACAACTGTCCTCCAGAAATTAAATAAATAGAAGGGGGAAAGTTCATTGGTAATGTACAAATGACGCGGCGGATGAAACTAAAGCTTTCAATAGCCGACGGACCAGTTACCACTTAGTGTTGAGGAACATAGCGCAAGTCATTGTATGGACGGAAAATAGCTGATTGTTGATTTTCAATTGGCTACTATATGCATTTTATTTTCGTCTGGCTTTTTTCTCTTCGAGACCACCTATGTATCTCGCAATGTATCCTGGAATCTTGCCCCTCTTCTGATACTCCTCGTTCTACTGGAGTATGGATTCCATCTTTCCATCTGCAATCAGAAAACACATCAAGAAGAGATAATTGAAGCCACTACAGATTACTTCTACTCCATACCAGCTAGAAAATAGAAAGTTGAACAGGATTGTGAAGGATAGACATGAATACCCCTCGAGTCTCCCCGCACTAGTTTTATCAGTCGGAATGCATGCCTATTGGCGGGTATTGATTTTTCCACCAATCAATCGTACGCCTTTAGAGACGTGCAATGCGGAGATTCTGATATCTGGAGTATATTGCACTGCTTGATATATTCGGGATATAGCCCATTTATCTGTGATTCAGTCATTTCTTCTTCTTGAATTATTGCAACTCACCTTCAAGCTAAGAACGAATTCAGTCTAGTCAAAGAGACAAGGCTAGATAAAATGCCAGAAAGAACTCCTCTCCGTCCAGGAGTCTACTGTCCAACAGTGACCTTCTTCCACCCCGATACCGAAAACCTCGACATCCCCTCTATCCGCAAGCATGCCGTCCGTCTAGCCAAAGCTGGACTCGTGGGTTTAGTCACCATGGGCTCCAACGGCGAGGCCGTACATTTGACTCGCGAAGAACGCAAAACAGTTACTCGCGAGACTCGCGCAGCTCTCGATGAAGCCGGTTACAAAAATGTGCCCATTATCGCCGGCGCAAGTGAACAGAGCGTTCGTGGGACAGTCGACTTGGCCAAGGAATGTGCCGAGGCTGGGGCTGAATATGTGCTCATTGTACCACCAAGCTACTATCGGTATGCGGTTGGTAATGACGACTCGATATATGAATTCTTCACTGCCGTTGCGGATCAATCACCGTTGCCGGTGATTCTGTATAATTACCCTGGCGCCGTGGCGGGTATCGATATGGACTCGGATCTCATCATACGGATATCTCAACATCCAAATGTCGTGGGAACTAAATTCACCTGCGCCAATACTGGAAAATTAACTCGAGTGGCTCGTGCCCTCGATGCTATCACTCCCAAATCCCCCTTCCCAACTAAGCCCGTGGGACCTATTACAAAGACTGCCGCGAATCACCCATACATTGCATTCGGAGGAATCGCCGACTTCACTCTGCAAACCCTCATCTCTGGTGGTTCAGCTATCATTGTCGGCGGCGCAAACGTGATTCCGCGTACTTGCGTCCAAATCTTCAACCTGTGGAGTGAAGGAAAGATTGCGGAAGCATACGAGCTTCAAAAGGTTCTCAGTGATGGCGACTGGGCTCTGACCAAGGTGGCCATTCCCGGCACGAAGCAGGCTATTCAATTGTTCTACGGATATGGTGGCTATCCTCGACGTCCGTTGAGCAGATTGAGTGAGGCCAGTGTTAAGAGTCTCGAGAGCAAATTGCAGGAGGTCATGCAGGTGGAGAGTAGTCTCCCAGATTTCGCATGAGCATGGATATGAGCAAAGGCCGTTTAGTCAAGTAGATTAACGATATGATAGCGTATGTTTTTCCCAAAAGGTATTTACTTAGTTAGTCTTTAATTGACGGAATAATATAATTCGGCGATTCAGCCAATAAGATTGTGTTGATATTGAACTCGGAGGAACTCCGAGGCGAGGGTCCGTGCTGACGATATGATTTGGTTGTTGCAAATGCCGGCCCGGCGGGACAGTTTGGGGTGACGTCGAGAAGTCCGAGAGGCACAAAATTAATCAAGGTTTTTCAACGATGCACACCAACTTTGAGAATTTGGTGCAAAGATCTGATGAAAGGGTTCCTCCAGTGTCCACATTATTTGCATTTTGCTATGACAGAGAATTTCCAGAAAACAGTGGCTGGTCATAGCTACAGCGCAAATCTCGCAGCCTGTCGTTACCCTCCCCTATCGCCATGATATGATGATACAGACATTCAGCTGTGATGTTCGCTGAAATGCGTAGGAATGCTGCCCAATTCGAAGAAGCTTCTTGCAGTCATACGTCCGGTGCTGGCCACTGGCAACAATGGACTTGAAGAGTCTCGCCGTAGATGTCAACGTTGAACAGCTCGAGTAACGATGTATGGGTGCCCCGCTTGCTCGCCAAATCGCTTTCAATTTCCCGTACGGACTAGCTACATTCAGTAGTCAGCCGAGTGCATGTTTTCCAAAATTCCTAGGTCGTATTCCATAATACGTATCAGCGTTTACTTTCAAGCCACTTGGATAAGACCCCCGTCTGCGGAGCCTGTTTAATAAGAATCGCTCCCCCCCCCGCCAGGTCAAAATCAGAAACCCATCAACTTCAGCTGCATCTCTCTTCGCCAAGTCAGGCACATATCTCTTGGAACCTCTCAACATGCCTTACCCAGAAGAAGCCCAGGGATTCATGATCGATAGTCCCGAGACATGGCTATCATTCCAGAAGCGTTATGTAAGTGACAGATAGCTTGTTTTCGGCCGAGTGTTGACCGTGCATTTCGCAGTTCAAATTGAAACCTTTTGGCGAATATGGTAAGAATTAGACTTACACTTATGTGGCCACGTTGTAGCTGACACATTCAACCATAGACGTCGATGTCAAGGTCGAAGCGTGTGGCATCTGCGGTAGCGATGTCCACACCATCAGTGGTAAGCACATCAGTCCGTCAGCTCATAAAAACCCTTGACTGAGTGTAAATAGGTGGTTGGGGGTCCCAGAACTGGCCTCTCTGTATCGGACATGGTATGTCCATTCGTTCCTCGATTCAGTTGCTTCGATGATAGCTCATACTTTTGTTTTAAGAAATCATTGGTACCGCGATCAGAGTCGGATCCAAGGTCACAAATATCAAGGAAGGCCAGCGAGTCGGTATCGGCGCACAAGTGTTCTCCTGCGGCGAGTGCAAGCAATGCAAAAATGACAACGAGACCTACTGCCCTAACATCATAATCGACACATATGGCTCAAAGTGGCCCGATAGTGGAATCATCAGCCAAGGAGGTTACTCGTCTCACGTGCGTGCTCACGAACACTGGGTCTTTGCCATCCCTGAGAAATTGAAGACCAACACTGCTGCTCCTATGCTCTGTGCTGGTATCACTGTTTTCTCTCCTCTAGTGCGTAACGGTGCTGGCCCAGGAAAGAAGGTTGGTATTGTTGGCATGGGAGGAATTGGACACTTTGGTATTATGTTTGCCAAGGCACTTGGTGCTGAGACGTGGGCCATCTCTCGGACGAGGGCTAAGGAAGCCGACGCGCGCAAGATCGGTGCTGATGGATTCATTGCTACATGCGAAGAGGGCTGGGAGAAGGAACACCGATTTTCTTTCGATGTCATCATCAACTGCGCCAACTCGTCGAAGAACTTTGACCTCGAGAAGTACCTATCTATGATGGACGTTCACGGTAAATGGGTCAGCGTCGGTCTCCCGGAGGAAGAAGGACAGGTCATCAAGGCCCAGAACCTGATCTCAAATGGTGTTTTGATCGGTGCTAGCCATCTCGGAAGTCGCAAGGAGATGATCCAGATGTTGAACTTGGCTGCTGAGAAGGGACTTGATGGCTGGGTGGAGACCATCGATATTAACGAGGAAAATCTCAAGCAAGCTATGCAACGCATGAAGAAGGCCGATATCCGTTATCGATTCACATTGACCGGCTTCGACAAGGCTTTCCCAGATGCTTAGATTATACATCCATGATTAGTTAGATGTCGAAAATGAATAATGCTCCTCTGAAGAGGAAGTGAGATAATGGGTTCAACGATATGTAAAGGAAGCGCGTATGTGATAATGTCAGGAAAGAGTGTGACGCTCTCTTCTTAAGGTCTTTCCTCCAAGGTCCTGTGTTGCCTGTTCCTGTGTTGCCTGTCACATGACCTCAATCTATCAAGCCTATGTTCTATCGCATTCGGCTGGAATAAATGCGCTAAATCAGTCCTATAAAGACAGATAGTATATTCCGCTAGTAATCTCATTTAACAGACTCTATTCTTTCTGGCACGATTTTTGTCCCAGGGTCCAATATGTGCATAGATTGAGGTCGAGTCGAAATCGATCAACCCCGGACTCCGGATTTTCTGCTTGATGAAACATTCCTAAACAGTCCCCGGAATTTTTAGACAGAATTGGACCAGCTGAAACAGACGACGTCCAATACGGTAGGTCGAAACATCAGATCTACGCTGACAATACAGAAGTGCAAAGACCATGTAAGATTGGACCATAGATCTTGCCTCGACATCCCTGTGCTCCTACTGGCCCATAGAGACTCGACATTATCTTAATGAATTGTTTCTTGGCAACACGGAAAAGCAAAGGAAGAGAAAAATTCTGACGAGTAGAGGGCGGTGAAACGAGGAAGTAAAATACGCCACATCCCAAGGGGCACCTTGCCTCTTCAGGTGACATCGTCTCTTATTTTTTTTATTCCCAGACTTACGCTCAGCCTGGCTGTCGTTCTTTTGCCATTTATATATTTTCTCTTCTTTTTTTGTCATGTTTATGCTCTCTTCTTATTGGGTTCGGTTCCTATTTTGGTGGTCTGTTTCTTGTGTCTATTGTTCTGTCTTCGATTTTGGAGTTCCTGGAGCGCCTACTCGTTACCCTTTTTGAGATTCATATGTCCGTTTTATCTCCCTGGCAGACATACATTGGCACCCTCACAGCGCCCCTTACGTCTTGGTTTGCAGCCATACAAACCATTTAGATCGCATCTACACATTCTTTCTCCACGTCGATTTTTCTTTTATTTAGATTGTGTTCTCGCACGAGCGATCGTGGCCGTGCCATTGCCAGAACATTGATTTTGTCGTTGCTGCCTCGCGACCCGCAAGTTTCTCTTACATCATGACACCACACGATTCATATCCTCACCGTTCCGCTCGGAGACGACCGTCGTTGCTTCTACGCGCTCGTCCAAAAACAGCAGGCCCAGGTGAAATGCCTGGTGCAGACGTTCCTTGGGTGAGCCCCGGTCCTTGGGCCTTCAATGCGTCCTGTAACAACGGCGACGACAGCCAAATCAGCCTTTGTCAACAGGTCCATGAGCCCACCGATGTGTTTGAAGAGATATCTGTATTCCCTGAACCGCCACCTCGTCATCGCTCAGCAAAGAGCTTCTCGAGCATTCGTCATGGTGTTGACGGTCTACGTGCGCTCGGCCGACGTCTCTCCGTGACGATTCGAGGAAAAGGCCCGAAACACAATCTACATGTGCCATCTGAAAGCGACCGATACATAGATGGAGAAAAACATTCAGGCGCCGTCCCTGAGGGGAGGCACCGCAATGCTTGGTTCAAGGGACATAGTATCAATCGCCGGCCGTCGCTCCACAGTGTTTCTGCCTTACACTCGTTCTATGCGCCAACTGCAAATGTTGCAAATTTCATTCCTGGTATGGGTTTTGAGCCCCCCGTCTTTTCTAATGATCTGTCCAGTGGTGCTGCGGCTCGGGCTGCCGCCGCCGCCCAAAATGAGATGGCTAAACGGAGTATCTCTCTGGGAGATTCGAAGATTTTCGACTCGGAAAGTGGAATTGGAATCGATTTGCGCGACCGGTCCGACCTGTCAGATTGCGAAACAGTTGTTGTACGATTAGGTGAGCTGAAGATAATTTTTAAAGACCTGCTCATGAAAGAATCGTCATTAACGCGTTGAGTAGATCCTGTGGCATACCTACCCGCTGAGCTCATTTCTCATATATTTTCATTCTTGAGTCCTGCATCGTTAGTGCAGTTGGAAGCTGTTTCAAAGTCTTGGAATAAGGCCGCTTCGTCGCATCATGTGTGGCGGAATGTTTTCCGTCAGACGTATGGCTACAAATTGTCTGAATCATCATCTCCTGCCGCGAGAAAGACTCCGTCAGCAGGTTTAGGCAAGATCCTACCTAATCAAGATTGGAAGAAAATGGCTATGGTTCGAAAGTCATTAGATCAGCGATGGAAAAGCGGCAAGGCGGCAGCCATCTATCTCAAAGGTCATACCGACACTGTATATTGCGTTCAATTTGATGAGTATGTCTGACTTTCCTTGCTTTTACATGGCAATTGCTGACTTTTCTTCTTCAGGCATAAGATTATCACTGGCTCTCGGGATCGCACCATTCGTATTTGGGATGCTCATTACCCATGGTCATGTCTCAAAGTGATCGGGGCGCCTGCCACCCAACAGCGCCAGTCGGCCACAAATAACACAGACCAGCAGCCTTCTGCCAACCCGCCGTTTCTTTCTATTTGCGCACCAAGTCAACAGTGGGCAGATGTGGTTGACCAGTCAATTGCGTTATCTGATTGCCACAACGCCTCAATTTTGTGCCTTCAGTATGACGACGAGATCATGGTCACTGGGTCCTCCGATTTCACTTGCATTATCTGGGATGTCAAAAACGACTACAAACCAATCCGGCGATTGGTTGGCCATAGGTCAGGAGTTCTAGACTGCTGCTTCGATGATCGATATATCATCTCATGTTCTAAGGACACGACAATATGCGTTTGGGATCGGGGAACAGGCAAGTTGGTTAAAAAATTGCTAGGCCATCGTGGGCCAGTCAATGCGATCCAATTGCGCGGCGATCTTCTGGTCTCAGCTAGTGGAGATGGTGTAGCCAAGTTATGGAATATTTCATCTGGTCTGTGTGTCAAAGAATTCTCCAGCAAGGACCATGGGCTCGCCTGTGTTGAATTCACCGAAGACGGCCGAACCATTCTGGCTGGTGGTAATGATAAGGTGATCTATCAATACGATGCCAACAGCGGCGACATGGTTGGAGAAGTCGACGGCCATAATGGGCTAGTCCGGTCTTTGCATCTGGATAGTTTGAACAACCGCCTTATCAGCGGTAGCTACGACTTTAGTGTCAAGGTCTTCGATGCTACTACCGGAAAGCTATCTATTGATTTCCCTGGGTGGACCACCAGCTGGATCTTGAGTGCCAAGTCAGATTACCGTCGCATTGTGGCTACGAGTCAAGATTCAAGTGTGGTTATTATGGATTTTGGATATGGATTGGACGGTATAGAGTTGCTGGAAGAATAGGATAGATCTCGCTTGTTTTCACTTCTTCTTTTTTAGATTCCCCTTGAATGTGCTTTCATTCTCAGTTCTGATTTTGCCACTTCTTCTTCTTTATCTTCTTCTTACATTGGCGAGTTATCCAGACTGTTCATATATTTTGTTTTGCTTCATTGACATATATTCACTTTCTGCCTGCCTGCCACCAGGATTGGGCCACCCTGGGACTATATTATTCTGCTTTTATTATTCTATCTCGCTTTATTTCCTCTTCTGTCTTCTCACCTTTCAGTTCTCATAGAACATGCGTTCTTCTCAAAAGTTGTCTATAGACATGGCATGCGATAGAGTCGCTACATATACATATACATGTTCTTTGTTCTTTTGATTTTATATCCACATACATAGCTGTGAGTTTGAAGGCAAATAGACCTGTGATCTTTTGCAACTTGTAGAAATTCATTTGCTCTATACTCGTGTAGAGGTGATCTTGGTACATGATTGGCGGCAGTGCTTACATAGGCTTGGATGTTGGTGGGGACCAGACTGGGCTGCCAAAACAAAACAAAACAAAACTTTGCCCTCTCCTCATTCTGTATCCTGTTTGCATCCATCCTTCAAGACACGCTGCGGCTAGTCTTACATTTTGTCATTTTGTGGGACTGTTCATTTGTCTAAACTGTTCTTGTCTTCATCTTCTTCTTATATTTGAAAGGGAAAAAAAGGAGGTTACCTGAGCCATCTGTTTTCCCTTTTTTTTCAATATCCATCTTCACATACCCCGCCATGAGTGAGTCAAGGTACGTGCAAGCCCTCGTTACTCGTTTGCGACTATCATTTGGAGTGGTCGAAGGTGTGTCTCGAGGTCGACAGCAGTACTGATTAGTGTATAGGCAAGAGCTTTTAGCATGGTTGAACAACCTCCTTCAGCTCAACATTACCAAAGTTGAGCAGTGCGGTACAGGGTACGTCGGAACCGTTTTTGAAATGTATAGACTGGAATTCTAACTGTTGTTACGATGTTTCTAGAGCGGCTTTCTGCCAAATATTCGATTCGATCTTCAGTTAGTCCTCCCCGATTACATTTACCGATCCGCTCGGAATGAGATTTCGCAGTTGTTTAAATCCAAATGGCGATACACACACTGACTTTCAATCTGTCTATCAGTGGATGTGACTATGAACCGTGTCAAATTCAATGTCAATACCGAATATGCATACCTCCAAAATTTCAAGGTCCTCCAAAGTACGTTTTCACCTCACGGCCGCACACTTGTGACCCATATTCGAGGTGATCTGATCACTAACTTTCCTCAAAGATACGTTTAATCGTCACCAGATCGACCGACCGGTCCCCGTCGAGGCTCTAGTGAAATGCCGTATGCAGGACAACCTCGAATTTCTTCAATGGGCCAAAAAATTCTGGGATCAACATTACCCCGGCGGTGACTACGATGCCGTTGCTCGTCGCAAAGCATCAGGCGGGCCGGCGGCATCAGCAGCTCCCGTATCAGCAGCCCGTACCAGCAGTGCCGGCGCTCGACGAGGCGGTACCACTCCCACCGGCGCCGGCGTTCGACCTCGTGTAGGTGGTGCAGCAGCCGGACCGGGAGTCGCGGCATTGAACCAGGAGATTGCGGCACAAAAGGAAGCCATTGCGGGACTTGAGAAGGAACGTGATTTTTATTTTGCCAAATTGCGCGATATCGAGTTGTTGCTGCAGACGGCTGTTGAGGCGGATCCGAAGTTGGAGGAGGATGATGATTCGTTGGTGAAGCATATCCAGGGTATTCTATATTCGACTGAGGTATGCCAACGCCCCCGGTTGTTTGTAGGAGAGGTGAGGGTTGCTAACAGCTTCTATAGGAAGGATTTGAGATTCCTGCAGAAGCCGAAGAAGGTCAAGAGGAGCTGGAGACGTTTTAGTCGTGGCATTGTTCGAGTCGTACTTCTTTTCACATCCTCGCCTATTGTCCTTTGAGTATACTATCCAAATACCCGCCTCCTCAATCCCGTCGTTTCTATTCTCAGCGTCATCCTCTCTTTTCTACCTTATCTTTACATCTTCGCCTCTCGGTGTTCCAAGAGTCGCCATCACTGGATCAACTTGAGTTGTCTCCTCAGAAAAACGCATTTACCTACCACGCCTTGTTTCCTTTGTTAGAGAGACTGACATAGTTGCGGACCTGTCTTGTAGCTATAGATTGTTTCGATTCAATGCACTGAAACATTAACTAGTTACGTAGTTACGTCAGTTTTCTTGTTAGGTAATATGTTAAAAAATACGACGTAGTTAACGTTAATACGTAAGTATCATGTTACTATTTACGGATTGTATGTGGGTATGGACAAGGAACTTTGTACGTATTGTACGTACTGTCAAAGATAGGGCTGCTTCTACAAACTATTCCACGATTAGAATCTATCTCGGTAGTGCATCTGATACCGTCACGCGATATGTGCAATACGGTGTATGTCCCTTCCAGAATGCTACTATGGAGCAGCGCAAAGCACAGCAATATACTAGATTAAATGCGACGCCGTCCAATGACGGCTCCTCAGACTGATATTTTCACGCGGGAAGGATTATCTAATTAAACATTGTACTGTTTACGGTTTAGCGCCAGGAACAGTGGGCTGCCAAGACTGGGTCTTTGACTTAGCTGACGTTTTCAACGTACACACTCATTCAGACGACGAAGCACGGAGAGTATCTGTACATAGCCTGAAAGCCTAGGATCATATATGAATATAGAGTACAGTCCTACTAAATTATCATTGCCCATGAATATATTCTCCGTACATGTTTGCAATTCATACCACCGAACTATGTATGTAATCGCAATACTGTATTGTGCAGGGATTCCCGCCGATACGGAAAATTACACAAAGCTGGGGCTTCTTTCCACAACTCTGATTGGCTGTACCTCAACTCCCGTACGGCCCAGAACAAAACACGGCACCGGCCGTCTTTTGTCTCTTTTCCTTTTCAATAATAATTCAAACCGCTTCTTTTCTTTTTCTTCCTCTTCTCCTTCCTCTATCCCATCTATCTCTATCTCAATGATGTGTTTTCCGGGTCAGGTATCGCTGTCTACCTCCCTCCGTCGCATAACCATGTGTTAGGCTCCATTGATACGTGTCGTCGCTCCTTCGTCAGTCACTCCTTCTATTCTCAGGGTACGTCTCGTTCGCTGTTCCGTCACGCGATGTCAGTCCGTACATGTTGACCGTAACCTAGACAAACAGTCCAGCTTTCGTTCTGTCAATTTTAAACTCATCTTCTCCCTGTTGGAGTATCCTTTCTCTCGTCATCCGAGTTTAGCTGCAGGTTGATTCACTACCTGCTGGACGTCCACTCCTTGTTATCACGGTCAAATATCTAGTTTTGCGATCATACGCTCCTTCGAATTCGCAGTGCGGCTACTTTCATAGTCTCCATTATTCAATCACAATTCTATTTCTGTTCGAATTCTACCTCTTCCCGGCATTTGTTGCCATTCAAATCATCAAACTATATTCACGCTAAAACACTCCACCAATCGAGCGACCATCAAAAATACGAATGCTGGAGTCCACAGTGTACAGTCTGGAATGCCGGTCATTGTTTGAGGTTGCGTTTGTAAAAAGAAAGGAAATCAGCATACGACCAGAAGTCGGGGGGAAGAAAGCTTGCTTGGAATCGGCAGCGACCTTAGGGTCGTGTCGCCGATCATGACCCACCATCACCATCACCACCATCATGGGGACCAACAACCCCGTATGGACGCTGAAGTGAGCAGGGATACGCTGGGCTCGGATGAGGACATCCAACTGAGCTACGATCAACGACTCATTGATAGTAACTATGCAAATTCACCACATACAAGTTTGGGGGAGCCATCAATCGATCCCTTCGATGTTACGGAAAAAGGTTTTGGCTTGGCTCGACGAGATACTAAAGAAGTGACACAGACTGTAACGGCAGTTGTGGCAACTGCAATTGACGTGATTATTGAAAGCGGCTCGCAGACTATCGCGCAAGTAACGGTTACATCACTTCCGGCAGTTGTATCGGTTCCGACGCTGGGTATAGTCACAATCCCAGCAGATCCTAATCCTTCAGCAGTAACAGCCGCAACGGCAGTTGTCGCAGCGACTGCTGGTCCCGAGCATCAGATACCTCTTGGATCATCATCTACATCTTCTTTGCCTACAGAGCTCACATCACAAGATCTTTCGTCCACGCAATCCACTCAATCAGACTCGTCATTTTCAACAACGTTATTACCTACCACTTCCGTACCGATAACCTCTACTCCATCCGAAACATCATCCACGTTTTCATCCACTTCATCCACTTCGTCCACTTCAACTACCGCATCCTCACTCACTTCTTCGGAACCCTCGATCATATCTTCCTCGTCACTCTCCTCCACTACGAGTCCCTCGTCTACAACAATCTCGACTAGCCAGTCATCCTTTTCTTCTACTACCTCCTTCTCTAACTCAGGGCATTCGACTACTAGCGGTACACAATATCCAACGTCCTCTTCAACTTCGTCAACATCAAACTCATCAGGCGGTGGGTCGGACACAGGAAAAATTGTTGGCGGTGTAGTTGGCGGAGTACTTGGCCTGCTAGTAGTACTGTTATTAGCATTCCTACTTTTACGATGGAGGAGGAAACGAGCACAATCGACTGCCGGTACAACGGAGACAACTTCGAGGGGTATTCAGGACGGCTCGGGACCCCGTTCAGCTGAAATGGCCTCCCAGCGTTCGAGTAATACACCGCTAGCGGCCGCCTCAGTTTTAGGTCGCTGGGCTTCATCGTCATCTCGTCGCTCTGGACGGCGAGAAGACGGATTCGGCGCAACAGGCGAGCGCGGATTTCAAAAAATCTCAGGTCGCAAGATTCCTTCTGTTCTTCACACGGGTGGAGATGGATATGGAGATGAAATCGGAGAAGAACCTGTCCCAGAATTACGGACTCCACCTCTAGAAGCGACCAGTCCGGTATCACCCGTCAGTGCGATCGGTGGTGGAAATCACCACTATCCTCCCATGCGCGATGATTTCATTGCAGCAGGTGTAGGAGTAGGCGCATTTGTATTGCGACCATCCCCTGCCCGAACACCAACAACGAGCTCAGTGGATCTGGCAGCTCCATCGCAATCGAGTCAGACAGGGGTTTCGCCCGCGAGACCTGATCCATTGGGACGAACACTGTCACGATACGATGGGAGTCGAAGCAGTCGCTTTACAGAAGGTATCTGATCAACCACACTCCCACCTATATCATACGAATCACGACCGTAATCTATATTTCTGGGACATGTCCGTTTTTGCCTTTTATCTATTTTTTTCACATCTGTGGTCTATTTTCGGCCTTTTCCCCATAGTTATTTTTCGTACATACCCGACTCTTCTTAAATGTTTATAGGATTGAGAGTCGATCTGTCCGCTCGACTATTTACCTGCTGGATGCATTGTATTTTATTCTGGATTTATATCATTTAATCCATTCATTTCTATCTCGGGAATTTTCCTCTGCCAATGTTCGATCGATGATAAAACTTATTCAGTCTATAACATTCGGTAGATACCAATCTGTACAAGGGTCCAGTATCAACCCAGGAAAGGGACTACAGTAGAAGCTAGCTATAACGAAAGGAAGGCCACTCCATATTTCTACTGATACCAGATGGGACTGAAGAGCATCCAATTTGTCAATACTAAAATGGATTAATATATTAGGGGTGCCCTAAATCGAACTCGCTTCTGGATATATGGACTTAGGCCCTGAGCGGCGTTCTGTTCGTTATCATTGATAACTCCGTACAGTGACTTTACACAGATCGCGGTACCTTAACTTTAACTTGCGGAGGTAGGGAAAGGTCTGGAATGTTTCCTTTTTGGTATCTTCACCATTTCTCGTATGGAAGAAACAAGTCTATTGACTGTGAATATGTATATAGATCATCTAGTAATCTAGTGAAAAAATGGAAGCGTATATAAGTCAAGATATCCAGAAGAAAAGGGAATAGCAAAAAGGAGGGCTAAATGCTCCTATCAAGTTTAATGGTTCGAAGACTCCGCTCCTTCTTCAGGCGTCCCCGGTTTATATCCTTCATTACTCACCACTGCATTATTCTCAGTACCGGTTGCAGTATCGGTAGATGAAGTGAGGAGAGCATTGGATGATCCCATTTCGGGGAAGTAGAATCCCGGGGCGAAGATTGTGAGGAGCATGGCTGGGTAGAGGACCATACTTTTATATGTTAGTTCAGGCATCTTCGAACTTGAGGGGGAATACTTACGCTCCCTCGAGGACGTAGAAAAGGACTTCATTACGCATGATGGAGTTTCTGTGAAGTTAGTATGCAATACAGTTCTTAGTTAGGGTTAGATGCGAACTCACCCCCATCCACCGGCCATTTCGGCGACACTAAAAACCGTTAGCCATATGTATGAACATCACACAGGTATAGAAAAACATACCGATAAATACATCTCACCAAAATCCCCGCATACGCACACGCAATAGCGGAACAAAAAACCCGAAACCGCCTCGAATACCAAATCTGCGCATTCGCCGAATTCCTAACCTTCTCTGACGGATTCTTGAAATGCTTCATAGCCGAAACGAAGAAATCCAACGACAGCAGCCCAAAGACAGCCAAATTGACCACTTGCAACGCAATACCGGCGATGATGATATCGTTGCCCGTTTTGAGAGTCTTTTCGTCAATGGGGGTTTTGTCGGAGGCTGCTGCGTCGACGCCGCCGCCTACACCTTGGAGACAGAGACAAAAGACGTCGAAGGGAATGAAGATCCAGGTGTAGAGGCGAGGTGTTATACGGGAAAAGTCTGGACCGACGGTGCGCGCAACGTGTTTGAGGGTGAGATAGATTCCCGCGCAGATCAGGGTTGGTGCGAGGATGATGCAGACGAGATCTAGTTTGAAGCCTGGGTCGGACCAGGGGTTGTAATGCATCAAGACTCGGCCAATGTATCCTTTAGTTGGTTTAGTTATTTTTCTCTTAGATTTGGATGTCGAAAGACCGGGAGACGACTAACCACAAGTCTCAAGCGCAAATCCAGCAGAGACCACCACGCCAAACACCCAGGTCTTTTTCCATAATCCGACACCCAGTGTGAATATGGTACAGAGCGCATAAAGCACAACGAAGAATATATTCGCCCCTAGATTAGGGTAGTAACCCAGTGTGGTTGCTTCGACGGGGCATTGCGCCGAAACTTCGGTGCAGCTCGCGTGGCTGGAGGGCATGTTTCCTCCTTTGTGACTTCTTATATAGAGATCGATTAGGAAGAACGAAAGAACGATACTGTAAGGATATATACGGGTGGCAGTATACTAGCCGGAAGAAAAAAATTGAAGGGAAAGATGGACTGGTTAAGTATGGAGAACTTGTTCGTAATTAATAACTAACGAAAATATACTTAACTCAGTTACTAGACTATGGGTCTGTTCCATATGGGACGATTGATTATGGGGCCGTATACCTCGTTTTACAACAGGGATGAGACTAACTACGTAACCCCAGTCCTGATCAAAGATAACATAAACAAAACGTTGTGGGTATAACTAGACCAGGCTGCCAATCTTCTAACGAACCAACCAATATTTCGTCCGAACCTGTGCACTGCCATGGCCGGCTCGATCAGAATACTAATGATGATGATGGTGAGATCTTGGCAGCCAGTCACGTCGCCCTAGTTGGTGGGGAGAGAGATTCTAGTCCATTCTTAGTATGTTGTTGGATACGATATGTCTTTCGTTGTTTCAGCTGTCACCCTAGGTATCAGGCCAGGGTACGTATTTGTATATGGTATCTGGATTCCGGAGATGTGAATGAAGAAACGGCCCGGGTCCAATGTGGTTGAGAGAAACACTAGAAGCAGATCCCACCTGGCGTACTGCGATCTGTGCCAATTTGCATCTCAAATCGTGTACGAGCATTACGAAGCCACTCGTTCAGCTCGTATTCTTGATGTCCCTTTGATATCGTACTCGTACTCGAAGATCCTTATTCGGCTAGTCTACTCCGCTAGATGGGCCCGGCTTCCGGGATTAGGGTTAGACTAGACCCTTACTGCTCGATAAGTCCGAAAGTCGGTATAGGGTCACCAAGTGACAGCAATTCATTCTTATGATACACTAACCCCATTAACAATTCCCAGCCCTACCAATTTGATTTACAACTCCATCGCACGACGCCATGGTATCATACCCTTGCGAAATAAACAAATATCCCAACGATACAGAGCAGTACCGATGCTTATCGCCGTCCACCACCCACTCGTTCTATACCATCTGGTGCCTTCTTCAGCTTCACGCGACACTCGGGACAGAACCATTTCGCACGTCGGCTTGGCGGTTCTTTCAAGCCAATGCATTCGAGATGGAACCATTCGCCTTCGCACTATCAAATTCGTTAGATCAGAACAATAAATAAGGTTGCTCATCATCGAACTTACATCAGGGTTTTCACAATTGATCATTGTCCCAAAACTGACATCCTTGCAGAGACAATAACGCGGCTCATTCGGGTCAATCTTTTCCAGAACTCCATCTTCGTCAATCCGGTAGTCCTCACCCTTGACAGTCTCCTTGCCTGGTGCCCGCTTCTTAGGTTTGGATTTGCGTTTTCCGTGACTGAGGGTTGCTCCGCCTTCTAGACTAGAAGAAACAGGTCCCGGGGCAGGTCGTTTCTTCCGTCGAGCACCAGTTCCTGCGGCGGTAGTGCCTGAATCTGGACCGGGCGTCTTGGAAGCTGGGGTGACACTCTTACGGCGCAGGTGTTCACGTGTCAACCCCACCAGCGGGGCGTTCATTGCACTCCCTGGCTCCATAGAAGTTGCTGCTGAACGTCGTCTTGATGATGGCCGCGTTGTTGGAGGCGTCGGGGTCGCAGCACCTTTGATAGTCAAGGTAGTTGTCTGTGGGATATTCTCATGTGATGCAGCTGATCGTGCCCTGGTTGGTGGTGGACTAGATGATGATGGCTTTAAAATCTTGGTCCCAGAGATTTCACCAGAAGCCGTAGCAGTATCAAGCAGAGGTTGAGACGAATCCGCCGCGCCGCCTGTCGCTTCTGCTGAGAGAGCTTTGCCGGTGTTGCGTTTCTTGGACGGAGGTTTCGACGACAGAGGCTGATCTGGTTGCTCCACTGGTAGGCTCTCTTCAGCTTTTCTTTTCCGAGTAATCTTCGCTCTGCCCTTTGCTGCGGGAGTTACAGGTGTGCCATTGGGTTTTGCGGAATCTGTAGAAGCGACCTGGTTGTTTTCGCCTGAAGTAGAAGAAAATAGACGCTTGAAGGTAGAACCGATATCACTTATCCGTTTGGCTGCCAGCTCTGCTTCTGCCGCCGCTGCCGCTGCCGCCGCAGCAGCAGCAGATGCCGCTTCTTGCTCCCGAGCCATATTCTCACGCTTGAGTCGTTTTGCTTCATTTAGAATCATGCCGCGGTTACTGGTTTTGATCTCTTCTGCTGCAGATATATCAGCAGTCGCCTCGCTCTTGCGGATAAGCTTTCCCGGTACATAAGTATTCTCGATGTCATCACAATCAATAAGCTCCTCTCCAGTAGCCTGTGCTCTTGCTTTTGCTGCCCGATACCCTTCCCAGCCTCTTCCCCCAGTCGCGAGTTCGCGATTGATCATGATTTCACTCGGCTGCCAGATCGCATTCTTCTTCATTTTCTTCCTTAGTTTCGTCATCTCCCAGTCAGTAAGCCTAAGCCATGGTAGATCGTCACTACCCAGTTTGGCGTCTTCTGGAGGTGGTTTCAATAACGCTAGCGCATTGCTTGTCGAGATTCCAGCGACAGAACTGTGCACATTAGTGCCCGCTCCCGCTAATCGCTTGTTACCACGCTTCTTCTCTTTCTTGGGCTGTAACGCCTCCTTTTCAGGGTTAATAACAGGCCCTCCACGACGTGATCGCGCTTTGGGTGTTTCGTTGTCCGACTGCTCTGTGCTGGCAATAGGCGAATCCGGGTCAAGGCCAGCAATCATTGATCGCCGACCTCTAGATTTTGGTAAGCCATTTTTGTCCGGTGTCTGGCCGTCGACGCGCAGCGTGATACGTGTCGCACCCTTTTCTGCCTTCCGGCCACCCCTTGAGCGTTTAGCGGGAGGAGTGGCGTCGCGAGACGCCGGGTTTGGGTAGAAGCTCAAGTTTTCTTTTAATATTTCCTAAGCGATCGTAGTGGCGGTCAACAACATCGTAGATTCGACATGCCTCTGCGTATGAGGCTTCACGTGCATTGATCGCGCGGTTTAGGTGGGTGGATATTTGTTCGCGTAGTTCTTGAGGGTTGCGTCGAGACTCGGGTGGCAAATCTGGAAGCTGACCGTAGATCTTCGTAAGCTCGTGAACCTTTTGCGTAGCGTCCAAGTACGTCTCGTCGAGTCCACGGATCAAAGTTAACGAGCGAATGAGGTCCGATGGTAGGTACTCTGTGTAATCAATGAAATCTGTGACGGTGGCTTGGGCATCAGGGTCAAAAGGACCCTCGAATATGACCCCGCCGCTATCATCCGTGTCGTCTGCCATTGTTAACACGAAAGTGATGGCGAAGACGGTCCATGGAAGGGGAAAACCATCTCAATGCGAGGTGTCCCTACACTTTTGAGGTTGGATCGCCCCAAGTGATAACTCACGGATTAATATTCCTCCATTAGCCGACGCAGCCTGATTGGCCAGAGAGGACACCTAACTGATAAAGCTGCTTAGTGCTTCTCTCATTTTTCAACAGCTCCATATAATGATAATATTGGCTATTTATGAGTGAGCTACTACCTACTGATACCCCTTGAGAGAGCCATTTAAACTATTTCATTATGGCACATACATAGCAGAGCTGGACCAAAGCCCATAGGTGACGGTCCAGCCAACATTTCAGCCAGAGGCTTGTTGTCAAGTCAGTCAAACTTAACAACCTCTAACACAGCAATGTGAAGCTTCTAATCATCAAGGTGGGTAATCTGTATAGTACCCATTATTAGATCAGGGTCTCTGTTGTGATATATCCCGGCTTTTGTTGTGCGATCAGACAAAGCCAAAAAACAAATAAAAGAACTTTGGATAGATGCCCCAGAGAAATGTAGGGGATGTTTGTATCAGCCTACGGTATCTCCTTGAAAGAAATTCCAGAGAAGTTTGACCACAGGTCACGAGATCATCTTGCTGTTTGTCATCAGTTGTGGCCGCCGCTTTCTTTTCATCTCATGCCTTCTTCTTCCTCTTCCTCTTCCTTCCTCTGCTGAACCCAACCTCATCAGACTTCTATCTAGCTAACTGGCTTTCCCCAGACACCTTCCTAGATTCTGACGAAAAGTTTCACCACAACAGATTGAAGATGGAGAAAGCAACGCAGCGGCTACATCTTCTGTTCGCCAATCACGAGTCCCTCCTCGCCAAAGACACTGGCTTACGTCTTCCTGGCACAAAGGCGAACCCTAAAGTTGTCTCTAGCATTGACAAAACTGTTACGGAAGACAAGAACACCTTATCGCATACCAAACATAGAGGGATTCCAGCAACCGTGGCTGTCAAGGAGATTAAGAAAACTGATGATATTCAGATCAGACTAAATGAGCCCGATGAACGCACCGCTTTTGAGTCGGGGATTGAACCGTCTCCATCTTTGGTTGCACACTCGTTTTGCCCCGCCGCAGCGATCGTGAAACTGCCATACAAGTACATGCATGGTGACACAGCGAGAGTGATTGGAAAACGCTTCTTTGACGGAGGCCAGTTCTGGTCGAGAGAGTGGGATCTGTAGGCATTCGATACTATTTCAAGCGACCCTCCACCTCTAATCCAAGTTCTCAGCTATTACATTGTCCCTTCTCGTGACCTAGCACCAGGTCCTCTGCTTTTGTTGCCTGCTTCCCAGGTACAACAATTCCTGGATCTGATTAGCAAAGAGTTCAACATTCGCTTGACTATCCCCATGCATCCTGAACTGGGCCTACTGCTATCCTTCCAGGAGGAAGGGATGCCGCAGCCACAATACCTTGGTCGTTCATCGGATAAAGATGCCAAAGATGATTTGGTCTCCAAGGTTCCAGCGTTGCCTGCGAGCTCAAAGGATTCCATTGACAAGCCTTCTGATGGTCCGGAAGCACCGGTCGACATAAACAATGCCTTTCGCCAAAGGATGGAAGCCGGATTAAGTGCCACCAGAAAGAGATCAAAGGTCTCAAAGGAGAAAAGGCGAGCGGTTAAGATCGAGAAACAACGGGAATGGGTCCGATCTCTGAAAAGAGCACAATGTTATCTCGGATTACATCCATGTTGCTCAGACCGTACGAATGACAGCTACGATTCTGTCCATCAATCCATTCAGAAAGAAGAGCTGGCGCGCTCCCTGCCACCTCTGGCCCTGGACATGATCGCACCATTTCCCTTCGTAGACGAGCCTATCTTCATAAGCATCGACGTGGAATGGAACGAGCGCCAACGCAAACAAATCACAGAAGTGGGTATTTCCACCTTGGATACCTTGGACATTGCACATCTAGCTCCTAGGCAAGGTGGAAAGAACTGGCGGCAATGGATTCGTTCTCGACACTTTCGCGTTAAGGAGTATGCCCACATTGTGAATTGTGATTTTGTAACTGGTTGCCCTGATCAGTTCGGATTCGGCAAGAGCGAGTTTGTCTCACTTCAAGATGCTGGCCGGGTGGTAGAGAGCTGCTTCAATCCACCTTATTCTGCTCAAATTCCTGTGAAATTCGTCAATGAGGAATCCACTGACTCCAAGCCAAAAGTTACGATTGAGACAGCAATTGAAGGGTACAAGTTGCACCGTCGCAACGTGGTTCTTGTCGGTCACGACTTTCAGAGCGACATTGACTATCTCCGCAATCTGGGTTGCAACATATTTCCTTACAACGATGCGATTCCACAGCCCCAGACATCCTCACAGACCTTGAGCAGTCCGACCGCGCAAACACTGTTCTTAGATACCTTAGACACGGCAATGATGTTTCTAGCGCTCAAACGGGATGTACACTCCCGCTCGCTTGAAAATATCCTCAATTCTCTGGGTATACACGGCAGGAACCTTCATAATGCTGGTAACGATGCCCGGTTTACCCTTGAAGCCATGGTGCACATGATTATCAATGCGAGACTTGCTCTCGATAAGGGGGCACAAGAGCTTTCTGGTGATTACATGGACTGGGCAGCGAGGCCTGTCACAAACGCAGACACTGCACTGCATGAACTCGCTTGGCAAACTGAAGTTGAGCGCCGTGTCTCCGAGGCTGATGCTACTAGGGAAGCGCAAATCCGTGATGATTGCAAGATCTGGGAGATGGTCACCGGCTGGGATAGCGAAGAAGGGCCAACTGCTGATGATATTGACGGTGGAGAACCGAAGGGTTTCATGGTCATGTTAAAATGAGTTTTGGACAGCCCCAAACATCATGGCTCGATGGCGTTAAACTCTCGCTACGTTGATGCTGTACAGAGGGCTCAAGCTCGTATTGCGACCGTTGCGGTTTTTCATTGTACGACATCGAAGTACATAAGCAAATTGAAGCAAGTACAAAGGATGCTTCTTTTATCTTGTTAGGTGTATAGGTAGGAATAGACATAATATTCAAAACCAGAGTCTCTGAACATGTACCAGTTTTGACGTCATCCATAGAGTTGCCTCAGGTGGCCAAGTGACGAGTTCTACACCTAGAGTCTACATCTCGCGCTTTTCACAATTCGTATTATCTTTCCGGACTCTCATCTTCTAATGATCAGAATCCATTGTATGACCTTCGTATCCGAGAACCCCGCCCGGTGTGGAAACCTACACTGACAAACCACAGCTGTCGCAAACAACGACCTTCAACCTGGAGCATCATTTTATCGCCTCTCTGCTTATACCAGACTCGGCTCACCCTCGAAATTTTGAAACCAATTGATATCCGTCATCCAACATGTCGACTATGCCACTTACCAACTTGCTCAAGATAACGAGCAAAGCAGCCTTTGAGAGAGCCACCAAACATCCCTTCCTAGAGGCTGCTGGAAAAGGAGAGCTTCCCAAGGAGAAATTATCCCAATGGCTCGCACAGGACCGTTTATATGCACAAGCATACGTGCGCTTCATCGGTGCCATGCTTACCAAAGTGGTGTTACCAAACAATAGTTTAAATAGCAGGAAGTCATCGGTAGTCTCGGTAGAGCAACATATGTTTGACATTCTGGTCGAAGCACTGAACAACATTCAGCGAGAATTGGAGTTCTTCGACGAGGTGGCAATGGAATACGGTCTAGATATCACTGCACTGTCTAATCAACAGAGCGAGAATCAACATTCGGGAGCAAGCTATTTTCGGCCTTCCTTTATTACTCGAGCATATATCGATTTATTCATGTCAGTGTCTAGCCCCGGAGTGAGCTTAGTGGAAGGAATGGCCGTACTGTATGCGACGGAGTACGTCTATCTACATGCGTGGAAGCACGCTGCAGGAATCATGTCGCACACTGCAGCAAGTTGCGAAACCCTAGCGTCTCCAGCTTCATTTTCGACCGGTGCGGAACGGGATTTGGATGGGGGTGCATTACGTCGAAAATTCATTCCCAACTGGTCAAGCCCCGAGTTTGAGAAATTTGTGAATAGGATTGGGGAAGTGGTGGATGAGTTGGCTGCATGTATAAAGGGGGCGGATGTTATTGAGACGAATAGGAATCAGTGTATTGGATGGTGGAGACAAATCCTTTGGCTGGAGGAGCAGTTCTGGCCTGATGTTAATGAACATTGAAATTTTTTAATCACATACGGAGCTGTTGGCTATCCGACTGTATAGTATCTGACTGACAAGATCAGAAGCTTGATACTATACTACGATATTTGCGTACATATCTTGACAGCCCTCTGAGTATAGATTCGCAAGCCTGTTGGGATAGGATTTCTTCTTTATGTTATTTGAATGTAACCACAGAAGAAGTTGAGTTCATCTTGCTGCCTCAGCCCGTAACATAAACATAGTTAGCCGGCTAGCAGCACTTTGGTTGACGCAAGCCCCATACATATGTACTGGGCTGTTTGCCTCCAAGTCATTCAATGATTATACTCGTCCAGCAGGAAATTAGTCATAACTGGATGGATCTGTCTTCCGTTGCTCAACGTTTCGAGGACCGTATTTTCCCAGCACATAATGTGGACAGCCAGCTTCCTCCTTTCAGGAACTCCTAAACTCGAGGTCTTCTTGTTGTACAGGATCATGCATCCAAAAAACTCATCGCCCTTTAACCAGCCCTGCGGGGCTAGCTGAACCTTGATTCTGTAAAATTGCAATCGGGATGGATAGACCGGACGACACTTATCCGCTTTCTCCATACTGTAGATTCGTATATATTTTCTCGTCATGGGTTTTGACGTCCGTGGTTGAATACAGGACATACTCAGCGGCCTTTTTCATCGCAGATTGACAGCCGACAGAGAAGATCATACTCTCTTGAAAACCAAGATGTCTCCACTCGCCACGCCACTTTGTCCGACGCCTATTCGATCTCGAAATGCTGTAAAATCTGGGGGATCAGTTTGTCCATCTCCATGATGGAGATGTTCTTCCCGATACATGTTCGGGAGCCGCAACCGAACTGCTCATGATTCATTAGCGATTGTCCGCTACGGATAGACAGGCAGATACAGTACCGTCATAAGGTGTCGATCCGTTATTTTAACCTTGTCTTCGACCGACTCCGTCCAGCACTCAGGTCGGAATTCCGCTGTGTCTGTGCCGAAGATGCTCTGATCATAGTGTATCACTACCGGATTGATCCCAACCACTGTGCCGGCCTCTAGATGTACCCCACAGAACGTTTCTCCAGAATGTATTGCCGACTAGTTCAATTTCATAGGGCCCGCTGACCAGAAACAGTCCAGCCCACGCACGTTAGAGACGATGTGGGATCTATCAGCGGGATAGTCGGATTGTTCCACCCTTGCCAGTAACCATCCAAGAAGCCGCGGCTCAAATAGTGGTATCATTCCAGCGTTCAATGACACACAGAGAAGCACCGGAGTCTACGAAACAAAGCCCCCGTGCAAGCTAGCTAGCAAGCCATAGGTTATACTATGGACTGCTCGTTGGAGGGCTCGTTCGCGAGATTTTTCGGGGGGCTCGCTCGAGAACTACCAACGAAAACGAACTTGCTCATACAGAGCACGTACGTGGGATGGTTACTCCTGGGCTTGCCTGGAAGTTGGTTCGCTAGTTATCATCCCGGGCACATGCAAATGATCTCCCTCACTTAGAAATAGCTAGGCAACATGATCACGTAGCAGTAAATGGATGAATAGGCTGAAAGGAGAGATTCGGGAGATCTTATCGGCTAATATATAAATCTTTGCAAGCGTTGAAAGTTATAAAAATTTCTCTTCATCCCGGACGCTAATTCAGTATAATCAGGTTATAATGAAAGGAAGGCAGCTCCACATTTACATTGATGTCAGCTTGGATATCTTTAATATGGGACTGAAGAGCATCCGATTTATTAATACTATAATAGATCCATATAGTGGAGGTGCCCTTCATCCCCTGAATCAAACTCACTTCTGAATATATTGACTCGGGCGTGAAAGGCTTTCAGTTCGTTATAGCCAGGTTCTACTGTAATTTAATATTACGACGCTTCCCCAACATAGGCTTAGCGTATTCTCTCTCCGCAAATCACATGCTAACCCCATGGGGTTCCAGCCAATAGAGTTTGAGATAATCATGATCCTCAAGGATACAACAGACAGTTTTCTGAGTCTCTTCTACAACACCTTATGCGGAAATCCAGGCATGGAGAGACGTCGCCGACGCAAGGCTTCACAGCAGGAACGTATATGTTCAATCTGCTCCCAAGCATTTAAAAAAGCAGAGTATCTGGCCCGGCATTTCCAATCGCACACCGAAGAGAGACCCTATAGATGTAGTGTCTGTGGTAAGTCATATTGTTGACAGTATGGTCTCTCTATATTGAATATTGGAGAGACGCTTAAGCAAACAGAAAAACACTGTTGCCGACATTTGCGGTCGTATCATCAAAATGAGAATCGAGAGATGATAGGGGACGACGGGAGTCATGAAACGTAGCCAATACAACAACTACGTATCTCTATAGTACCATCTGTACCTGATCAGGCAGAATTGGACGGTCCCTTCACTGATGACTGGATTCGTGACGTTCAGATCTTTCTCTGATAACTATCCAGACGATAATCGTCCCCACGGAAATGGAAGCTCTCGCCTGTGTGACAACTCAACGAAAGATTGTCAGACTACCCCAGCTTTCAATGGTGCCTGGGCTCCTCCTCTCTGGAGCGAGCAGTGGGATCCGGATTGGACATCGTGGCTGGCCGGTATTTATTTTGACTCTGATAATCTGAATCAGTGGCAACCTGAAATGGTCGAGAAATTTCTATTTGAGGGTGACCCAGATTCAGGCCATAGAAGTGATATTATTAGAAAAAAATGGCATACATTCTCCGAGAGAATAGCATCGTCTGGCCATGTGACCCGAGTTAGTCTTTGGGCCGGCAGCAATCGTTCTTATGAGGTGTTTCTTTCTTCAGACGAAGCATATTGACAAAACCTCGCCGAGAATCTCCGCCAACGTACCCAACCAGGAACGCTCCCATCTAATGGCTTTCTTGTATTACCCCTTAGTCACCCACTTACCGAAATCACACCGGCTCGATGGAGGACGGTTATCTTCTGACGTGCTAATAGGACCTTTGCCTTCGGGCGTATTTCGAGCACTTCCAGCCGATATTTCCTCTGGTGCATCTACCTACCTTCCGTCGATCCAAAGAGAATGCCATCCTTTTCCCTCCATGTGTTGTATCGGGAGCCTATTTCTTGGTTCATCACAAGCAACGGCCCATGGCATTAGCATGTGGGCGCGTGAAGCAAAGTTATTCCATCACGAGGAATGTCTACCAGAAGTCGAAATTTCAGGTTTGAAAGACAATACAGAAGGAACTTGAAAGAGCTTGGGAAGCCTGGATTCGAAACGAGGAAAAGAAACGGTACAAAGATAGCTTATTTCTACATCTTGTGGTGCTGATCTGTGCATATTAGCATCACTTTAACTATCCACATTCATGATATTGAGCTGGCTAAGCTTCACCACCGTGAGCCAGTTCTCCTCCATTCAGCCAAATAGCTACCGCAACTGTCGCCTCCAATTCTATTTGCAGCTACCAACGCGGTTGTTTGGAAATCGGAGCTCCTCCGGAGGATGACACCATGCTTTGTTCCACCATCCCCGGCATATCAGAGTTTTTCCATCGATCGTTTTCAAGAGAAAATATCAGGAGATCTTCAAGCGTACGCTGTTCTAGGGGCAACCGGCGCTCTTCGAGAGGATCGTGATAACCGAGAAATTTGGCTCACGACAGTTAACATCTGTCAAGACCAACTATTGCAATGGTATTGAAGGTATTTTGAATCCAACAACTTACAATGCGAGTCATCCCAGCCATGACAATGTATAGCATCTACCCTGCTTTAAGTTACTTTGGCATTCCACGTTCATGCACCTTTACACTCACTTTGATGAACTCGAATGTGAGTGCGGACGAGAAGGCGAGGCTGCCTTACAGAAGAGCCTTATTTACGCCACATCATAGGCAAGATCGCTTGACGCCAAGCGTACTATTCTCCACGCAGCCGTTATTCAGAGCCATTTTCGATCGATGCCGCTTGGCGCTGAACCGCCAATCCATGTGCCTATGGTACTATACTATTGTGGAATTGCATGGGCTTGCTTCACTCGTTTTGGGTCCGCTGACCATAGTACCGAACATTATGATTTTCCCAAATTACGGATTCTAGGGATTGACCAGTCTGCTCTATTTCAGGGGAAATCTCGCGGTATAACAATGGGCACGTCGGTATCCGCACCGTTGTTCGAAGTCATCGATCTCCTGGGGAAGATTAGCCACTGGAAAATATCTCAGAGCTTTTCCACTACATTCCTGACATTAGTGGAAGATACCATCCTGTTTTGAACCGAGCCTTGTCTTCCTGCGATATGTGTGTGGTGAGGATAAGATGACGGTCACTGAAATTCGAAAGGACCTACAGTAGTATCTGAGATCACTTACTCCCAAGAAGTTTAGAATGAGCATCCATACTATGATATCGCACATTTGTTGACTGCCCGATAAGTAGGATTCGTAATTCCCTTGCAGTAACTTTTCTTCCTCATGTTATTCTAAATATAACCACAAAAAGAGTACGTAGGTTGGAGTTGACTTTATATTGCTGCCTCAGGCCACAACATAAACAGTTACCCAGATCCACCACAGCCACCGCGACATTATCTCCGCATTGGGTGTCTGCTCAACAACTTTTGACCGTGATTCCATGAGTTGTACCCCTCGCTATTGACAAATACCATCACGAGACACTCTACAGTATTTTAGAGTGGCGAAAGAACAGTCCAATCATTGTGCGCTCGCAATATTCTGTGTTTATGATTGCGTATGTGCCGTAACGACCCCCCGCAGTCGAATTAATAGGTGCCTATCGCTAATCATTGTCCAGCGATTGAGAAGTGAGCCACACTCACGCAACCTCATACTGGACAAAGTACCTGAATAATTACTCACGGCCGCTGAAGATCATACTACACAATCTCAGCATCCATCGTCCTTCCTCCGGACGCACACAACCGCCCACCATGGCCCAAATAAACTACCGCACCATCAACATCGATGTACTCGACCCTGAGTCATCTATCAATTTCCCCATGGACACTCTCCTCCCAGGAAGCCTCCCCGAACCAACGAATTCGTCCGCTGCTGCCTCTGTCGCGCAGCAAGTGCGTCAATTACTTCGAGGCGGTGATCCGGAAGGTGCTCTTAGACATGTGCTTGATACAGCTCCATTGGGCGGCGATGCGCAGGCAAAGGAAGTCCATTTAGCTACGGTCATTGATGTTCTTCAGGGTATTCGACAGGGAGAAATGCTGAAGGTTTTGGAGGGTGTGATAAGTGGTGATGGTGGTACTGAACGAGCGGATTGCTTGATGAAATACATGTACGTTCTTGAACGCTTGCTCGTATTCCCGCAATTCCTCTGGATGTAGATGCATGAACTAACGGAATTTGTCTAAAAAATAGCTACAAAGGCATGGCTGTACAGTCGTCTGCTAGCGGATCTCAGTCCCCTTCCTCGCGCAAGACTCTTTCTCCGCAAGCCACTGGCTCGGGATTCTCTCAGGTGCAGGCTCGCAACTTTGGCGAGGGCGGTGGTGGTCAGCATATGAGTGTGTTACTAAGTTGGCATGAGAAGCTTGTGGAGTTGACTGGGCACGGAACTATTGTTCGGGTCCTTACTGATCGTCGAACGGTTTAAGGTTGATAGGAGTTTATAGATTCAAGTCGTTTCAGTTGTGTGGTTGCGTATCTACTAAAAATTTCAAGTACAAGTTCTGATGACGGCTAATGCATGTCTACTAAATGGCGTGAAAAGACGATGATTCCTCTGCGAGGAATGTCTAATCCTCCAACTGTCGTACAATCGCAACTCATCCTGCCTGAAGTCTCGTTTCAGTCGTTTATTTCGGTCCAAAGTCACCTCCACCGAGGATATCCTTAAGATTGACCTCCCCGCTACCTCTCTTCAGAGGTTTTGGTTGTCCCGCTCCTTCTTTCCATCCTATCATAAAAATGATTCTGAATGTAGCCGGAATGCCACTTTGACCATGCTCAGCTTCGCCGATCTCCTCTTTATGTAGTTCTCGGTAGATAGCCTCATTTGCTAGAAGAACGTCCTTCGATAGAGTGCCCATTTGCACCGTCGCATTGCTCTCACCCATAGCCTGGAGATCTTCCATCAATGCGAAAGTGTTGGGGAAATCAACGACAATATCTTCAACATCTACAGTCAACATCTTGAAGCCTGCTTTTGTCAAAAGACCTCCAACGTCCCTGACATCAGCCAGCGGTGAGATATGTGGTATCACACCTCCACGACGTTCCATGTTGGCCAATTGCAGAGACGAACGGAGCTCAAAGAGTGTATCACCACCAAACATTGCTGCAATAAACGGACTATCGGGTTTGAGGATATTATTGATTTGCGCCAATAGAGATGGAAGGTCGTTGATCCAGTGGATGGAGAGAGACGACAAGACGGCATCGAATGTGTTTGCTTCGTAGGGTAAGGATTCGAGATCTGGAATTACTTCTCGATGGATAGACAATTGATCATTAAACTCAAGATCTGCATCACGGTGTAGCAGCGCATGCGACGTCTCGACACATGTGAGAGTGTCGATGCGGTTGGATAGAGGGGGCGATGATTCTACCGCAGGGTCTGGGTTTGGAGCTGTTAGAGCTCTTGCAATGTTGCAACTATTTGCGCCGAGGTCCAGGGTATTTGGAAAAGATCTTTTTATATCCTATTGACCAACAACAGAGGTCAGCGGCTCTCTAAGATAATGGCCCAAAGCAATGGTTGATGCGCACCAGTAACCTTTCGCATAATCTCTTTGCGACCTCATCTTTAATATAATCCACCTGACGACTTTGTTCGACATTTCGAGCAGCACGGTCTTTTTGCATATGTTTGACTGCTCTATTGAATACTTCGAACGTCGGTCGGCCAGGTGCCTGAACGGCATAATTCCTCGTATGCGTGGAGAATCTTGATAATAGCCGCCAGCGGCGTGGAATTTTTGTGACAGTAGAAGGAATGGACATGGCGCCTGCCTTGCTGTCTTGTCCGTTTCAATTGCCTGTGACTCAGTTGCTCATTGTCAAAGGATAAAATTGCTACTGTGTTGTCGTCGTGACGAAATATCATGGAGGTGACAAAATCCAATCATCATCCGATAATAATATACAGGCAGAAATATTAGACACTAGGCCATAAACGTACTAGTTAGATCCACCTGAGCTTAGCAGCCTTAGCTTAGCTCCGCGTGTTTTCCGCCAACAATCTCCGCCCCGCGTCTTTTGTACATTCACCTCGATTTCTATACCGGACTAATCGGTGCTCTGCAGCAAGAAACTCAGTTTGAATGGTCCCGAAATTGAAGGCAAAAACAACGTGGTTCTTGCATACCCCGGCCGAGTCAACTCTATCAGCTTGTATCCGACCAATATATCGACCTGTCGCGAGGTTTCAGGGGTTGCTGCTCGATGATAACAATACTATGATATAGATACCCACGCAGTTCAACAGTCGTCAGATCGTCATTATCGATACATAGTAGAACTTCTCGCAATGTCGCGCCCATTTCCATATACGTTTATTTCATGTCCGTGTGCGCAGCAAACCAGGTCCTCCAAACTCTCGAAACGAAACTCGCGCGAATTCTCACCCAAGAAACAATCCTCTCCGCGTAAACCCGCGGCAAATACGCAACAGCCAGAAGATCCCGATTTGGAGAATGATGAAAGTGATGAGGAATCCGAGCAAACGTTTAATCCGCGATCAGCTCGGGCCAATTTTTCGTTGTACCCGCCGGAACAATTATTATACTGCGAAGACTGCCATCAGATAAAGTGTCCGAGATGTATAACAGAAGAGACAGTTTGTTGGTACTGTCCGAATTGTCTCTTTGAGACACCCAGCAGCATGGTCCGAAGTGAAGGTAACAGGTAGGCTACCCTTTCAACGATCAATTGACCAATTGAAGTGGTTTTAGTAATAACTGAGAACATGCCACAGATGCGCTCGGAATTGCTTCAATTGTCCTGTTTGTACCGCTCCACTCTCAGTCACTACCCTGGAGAACACGATCGAAAACAGCGCACAACAAGGTCCATGGATCTTATCATGTGGATATTGCATGTGGACGACATTAGATATAGGTATTAAGTTCAGCAAACCTACCAACATCCGATCACAGCTCTCCAAAATGTATGAGGAGAAAGGACATGGCGGTTCTGTGCTCACTGGTGATACCAAATCGTCATTGTCTATGGGTGGTAATCTCGAGGAGTTGGAAAGTCCCACGACGGCGGAGGCTGAGGACAAGGAGGAGCCTTTAGCACAAGTGCAGCATGATCACACCGAGCTGGACACTAACGCAAGGTTTGCAGCCCTCAAACGTTTCTATACAAAGCAGATTGAAGATGCCTCCGTCTCAGCTACGGATCCGCTGGCATCGGATTTCGGGGCAGCATTCTCTTCGCCTAGCGCATTGAGTCGGATCATGTCAATCTATACGTCTTCATCGCATCTATATGGAGGTGGGGCTAAGAAAGCCAAGTCGAAACCTCCAGTGATGCGAGAAGCCCTCACTCCAGCCGAAGGCATCAAAGTAACCACAGGCGCAAAAGAGCGGACTGTCATCAATCGAATGGCATCGGATGATTGCACATGGGACGATATCCTTTCCAAGGAGCAGCGAGCGTTTCAAGATCCGGAGGCACGATTCATGGAGGAGCTTCGTCCATTACCAGTGTTACTACGCACGAAACGATCCAAGCGCTGCAAGTCGTGCAAACATATTTTAGTGAAACCGGAATTCAAACCTGCATCAACCCGATTTAGGATCCGACTCATTGCATTAAGCTATATTCCACTTCCTACAATACGACCACTTATGCCGGCAGCGTTGCCTGGACAATCAGTATCCGCCACATCGCTACTTCAACCCAATTTAGACTCTCTAACACCGCTTCGACCTATTCAGTACCTTCTCACATTGAAAAACCACATGTTTGACCCTGTCAATGTAACACTGGCCACCCCGTCAATTACCCCTGGGCGAATAGGGTCAAAAGTTACCATTCTCTGTCCGCAATTTGACCTGGGTGCAAACAGCGATGTATGGGATGAAGCTTTACAAGCGGGGCCGGCTGCACCGACATCCTCGTCAATAGCAACATTAACATCGTCAGCAGGACGAGCCGGGACTATAGCAGGTTCCGAAAGGGTGGCCGAAGCAGGCAAAGTCTGGGAAAAGGGTCGCAATTGGACAACGATAGTCATAGAAGTCGTCCCAGAGGTTTTACCTGGGACGGAGCAGCCTGGTGTACAGGGCAACGCTGGAAAGAAGAAAGACCCTGAGAACGAAGGAGATGATGAAGACGACATTCAACTACGGGAAGATGAAGACGTTCTCGAAATCCCTATCTTTGTGCATTTGGAATGGGATTCGGAAAATCAAATGGATCAGGATGATGGAGCTGGTGGGGATAAGAGTTCACTACGGGAAAGAGGCGGAGGGAGTGATGCTCAAAATCCGGACTCGATAAAGCGTGAATTGGCGTATTGGATGGTGCTTGGGGTGGGTAGGATATCTCCAAAGCTTTTCTAGTTAGTCTTCTCGACGCATAAATAGCAATGACCTGTCATGAGCTCTTCTACTATGGGGATGATAGGAAGAAGGTTGAATATTGAAATGCAGGGTTGTAATTCAGGGATATCAGGACCTAAACTCTCTAAGATCAGGCATTGCGAAGACCCCCTATCTCACACATCGTCTATATGGATTTGCACTTTTTCACACTCCAATAGATCTCTTCTCGATTTTCCCCCGCCTAGACTTGGATGTCAAACCCCATTCTTCACTCCGAATTCTCCATGCAACCGCCGTCACGAAATATGTAGAGTAAAAGAACAGAAGTATCCGGCAGAGATGATTGATTGATTCGGAATTACCAACAAAGTAATAAAAAAGGGGCTCCCATACGTTAGAAAAGACACACACACACACGTAATAAAAAGGATGAAATAGAAATATGAACTGTCATGTTTTCTTCATTCCAGGTATTTTTGAAAAGTTGGTATTTTTCATATTAAATCCCTTCTATTCATTTCATTTTTTTAGTAGTCGGCAGCGCTGCTCTGAGGGAACTCGAAAACAACATTGCGACCGGTCAATCGTCGGTAAACCTCGCCATAGGCATCGAGGCGGTGGTCAACACCACCACGCTCCTTCTCATCGAGAATGACCTTGATGGTCTTGCTGCCGTCCTCCTTGGTGCGGACACGCTTTCCAACAATCTCGACGGGGTAGACGATGTCGGAGAGGATGGCGTCGTGGACAGCGGTCAAAGTGCGAGAACGAGGACGCTTCTGGGTGAGGGTGTTGCGAGAGCGGACAGAGCGCTTGGGGCGGGGGAGGATACGGCGAGAAGCAATGATGATGACATGGCGGTCGGAGAATTTCTTCTCGAGCTCACGGGTCAATCTGTCTGAATGTCAGTTTTTGATGTCTTGTTGGTTGGTTGTTCCTCGAGAAAACGTACCGCTGCTGGATCTTGTGGAAGCCCTGGAGGAGAGGGACGGGAACGAAGATGGCAATAGCCTTCTTGCCATGGCCGACCTCAATCTGTAAATGTGCAATATACGTTAGCGAACAATTCTTCCCAGGCTGCAATTTTCTTCCGTATCGTGTTCAATGTGCAATCCGTAATTGTTCGAAAATGACCATAAGCCGACTGATTCCTCGTCTGCACGATAACTCGTAACATGCTTCCCATATAATGATGCGACTTTTCGGAACACTCCAGATGAACACCGTATTGAAACACGCAGTCGAAAAGCAACATCTCGTTCTGGGGAGAAAGAGTATCCTACCTCACGAGCAGAGACGAATTGAAGAGGGCGCAAAGAAGCCTTCAAGTCCTGGGTGTTGCTCTCGAGATCGAAAAGCGCATTAGCCAGGGAGGACTCCAACTCAGAAGGGCTCTGCTTCGAGGGCGAGTTGGCAGCAATCTTGTTGAGGGCAGCCATGATGTGTGTGTGCGAAACGAAAGGATTGAAATCTTCTTCCTTCGTGGGATTTGTCGTGAAGAAGGTCGTCGTTCGTTCGTTCGGTCGGTCGGCGGAGAGAGATTGAATCGCGGATTAGTTAAACGTCCAAACTCTCACACACAAATGTGCGTCGGCTTCCACCAGCCAATCGCGTGCCAGGGCTCTCGCTTAGGCGGGGTGCTAGGCTTTTTGCGGCTAGATTGAACCATTTTGGGAATAGTGGATCCCGTGATTTGGCCCGCCCTGATATCAAGATTCAACTGAATCAACTCCGATGAATTCGATGGACACTTTAATGATGATAATTGGTGGACGCTGGTAAACCAGTCAAACTAGACTATAGACAGTATGCGTGGCAGAGGCTCAAATAAGAATAATCAGTAATAATAGTAACAGAACGGACTCGGACGATATCAATAGCACATTCCAAATAGTTGTACGCCCACGAGACAATCAAAAGGGCCAAGCAAGCGAGCGACACGGTAAAAAGAGTGGTATGAAGATAGACAAAGAAACAAGTTTGGTCGTAAGCATCGAAAACAAATCTCAACATGCGCAGCCATCCTTTGGCGTAGCAACTGCACGGTCACCCAAGTTGACCCTAGAGGAATCATCGCCTGAACGACCGCCTCCGAGATTCGTTTGACCACCTCCGGGTCCAGATTTGGCGCCTTTCAAGCTCGTCTCTGGGATAGCGTTGGCAATGGCCGTGAAAACTTCAGCGACATTGTAGCCCGTTTTGGCACTAGTCTCAAAGAACAGGAGGCCTTCCTCCTCAGCATAAGTGCTTGCTTCCCTAGTAGAAATTTTTCGCGCATCCGTCGTGGTGGAAATATCATTGTTTTCAACCTCCTCATCGCCCTCAGCATCGGGACCCGGCACACCATTATTCTCGGCCTCTGCAGCATCTTCGTTCGCTTGACCAGCGCCTGAATCAGTCAAATCCAGCTTGTTTCCGACTAATGCAATAACGATGCCAGGGCTAGCTTGTCGCTGAAGTTCTGCTACCCAGTGTTTTGCCTTGACTAGCGATGCGGGCTTTGTGAGATCATATACGACCAGTGCGGCCTGGGCATTTCGGTAGTACATTGGGGCAAGAGAAGCGAATCGTTCTTGTCCGGCGGTATCCCATATTTCGAACTTGATCATTCGGGTTGGAAGAGAGCATTTTTGTGTCAAGAAGGCGGCTGTTCACAAAACTTTCGTCAGCATGGCGATTCTGTTTTGCCGCATAGTATACGTACCGCCTATCGTCGGTTCCTTGTTCTCTTGGAAATCATTGTTCACGAATCGCAAGACTAGCGATGACTGGATTTTAGCTTTCCATGTTAGCTTTGATCAGTCGATTATAGTAATTGCATGGATGACCACACCTTTCCAACGGCAGCTTCTCCGAGCAAGACCAGCTTGACGCTGCTGCTGGGCTTCGATCCAGCGGGGGCTGATTCCGGCATTGCTTCGGATGACGGTTTAGATGGAGGGTGTGCCGTATGCGCTATGGGCTTCTGGTAGAGACGGAAGCTATTTAAAAGCTATTAGTCCTTAGTATTCGACGGGAGCCTGTAAAAAGAGTGACGCCGAATTATCTGAGGCATGCGCGACTATCGTAGAGGCTGGCAGCGGGATTTCCAGCATCATTCATGCATGACCTTACCTGACTGAATCGGGAAATCTTTAGTAGAGATGGACACAAAACTCAATCACGTTGAGTATATCTGAAGCGCGGAACCGAACTGCTTGCAACAAATATAAGGATTAGTGGTGATTATGTGAAAGTTGACCTCCAGATTAACCATCCGGGTTCGGGATGTTGTTGAAGCTCTCGGACTAGAGACTCGTTGGGTTTAGCGGCTCGTTGACATCGGCCGGGTCACGGGACCGTTCACACTAACGAGGCAGGTTGACATCATACATCGCAACTGTAACTACTCTGTGCACCTCTTCAATTTAGGTTGATTAACTGGTTCTTTTGGTCTTTCAAACACCGTATCGCAGATACCTAAGCATTCCTACTTATCGCTTATTCTTGACTCTTACAACAACTGTCGTACCCGGTGTCATATGGATACTCTTGCAATTTTGAGATTCTTCCACGCAACTGGGCCGTCCCGTATACGTTCAAAGCGAGCTGCGCCTTGCTCGTGATCTGTTGATGTATTATCTAGATGAAGAGCCTCGGCGTTGGAGAAGGAAACTTTCTTGGAGCAGGATATTTGACCCCAGAAGAGATAGTGTTTTACTACCCAACTACCTCAAGAACTAACACGGGTTCTGGACGTAGCCAAGGGTGTAGTAGACAGCTTCTTTCAAGCTCTGCTGTTAAGCTGGTCGAGGCGACGAGCATGTATCCTGGCACATTTCGGAAGGATGATTGGATTAGGGAGCGCAGAGACTTGCCGGTGGGTATGGATTAGCGGACGAGCTATATGCAAATTTTTAGGATGCGCGTTTCCCGCCTCGAACGACAGGGCACGATATGATTGACGATCTTTAATCCTACGCAGTGAACTTTTTAGTTGCTATGTGGCCAGGGCATAACAAGTTGCCATTTCTACAAGCCAACACGATTCTGTCCATCTTAGGGCTGGGAATACGAAGCACAAGCCTGCAAACTCAGCCTATTCATGGTTCTTCCTTATTCCACCACATAATCTATGATATGCTCAATATAAAATAGACCCAACGCATTTAGCGAACTAAGAGAAATATGTACATAAGGCTGAGTCTGCGCTAACGGTTCCCCTCAGCCGGAACCAGTCCCAGCAGTACGGATCACTAATTTTTTCCAAATCGGGAAATCTTTTGCAAGATGGTCGCTTTTGAACTTTCGAACGCAACTGATATCGACAGGGATGCTTTATTGAGTTGACAGACCTGGGTGTATGATCTCATTCTAGCATCTTCAAAATAAATTTGTCAGTTGATGGCCAATTTTACCTAATTAAGTATCCTGCATGCCAGTGATATCGCCACGTACATACGCAGTTATACAAAACCAACTTTCGGAACCGAACTGATAATCTTGATAAGTAGGTTCTATGTCTAAATAAGAATGAAAGAAATAAACGGAACCCAGGCCCCGAATGCAAGTAATATATGAATAGATAAAAAGGAAAAAATTGTCATGATACATGTCCCGCTAACCCTTGAGAATCCTCCATAATAAAAACCAACGAAAGCAATTAATAGTAGACCAGGCCATTGAAGGGCCTAAAGACAATGGTCAAATATCCTGTGGCCCCGCAATGCTTCCAAAAAATATTGTACATGAGTATCTTGATTTGGCAAAAAAAAAAAGTGCAGAAGATGAAGGGAAATGAAAGATGTTGGTATGAAGAGAAAAGAAAAGTTGACCGCGAAGTCAAAAAGGTTCTAAGATCCTGGTATCTCCCAAATTTTTCGCTTGCCCATGAATAACCACCCAGTCTATATTTGAGAACGCCGTGTATTTGTGAAAATCAGATCCGATGCCGTGTAAAGGGGAAAAAGGAAAACTTTTGGTGTAGAGAAAATCCGAAACGAAGTGATGTTATGAGGCTCCGAAAGAGAAATCAAGTCGCATGTTGAATCGCCGAAAGTCGAGGTATTGATACAGGGGAATGGTGGTTGATTAAAAGGTTGGTAATTCGGAGTAAGAAATGGAAGCCAGTCCAGAAGCGAGCCATGTCGTAACGAATCACTTTCGAAGAAAATGTAAAGGATGAGATCTGCGAAGATGTATCAGTATGAGTCCAGTTTGTCTGCATGTTTATATTGAAACTCACAGAAAAGAAGACGCCGCATGGATGGTTGCCCTCATCTTTAATATTGCAATCTTGTTGGTCTTCTGAGGCACAAGGAACTCCGAGATGAGGTTCCGTAGATTCGGATTCGGAGTCTGCGTATCACGTCCCAGAAACTCATTGCATGTAATTTATGCGCGCTTTGGAGGCTTAGGTTGACCTGGTTTCTTAACACCAGTAGTATCGTAGGCACCACGACCCATGTTGATAGTAGCGGATCCCCGAGTAATCATTGTGTAGGGCTGTTGACAAGGCTGGTTAGCTGAAGGGTTTGAGAGATAGCGGATGCTGGCGGAGGAATGCTTGAAGTGCTGGGGAGGTTGATGATAGAATAGAAAGAGTTGATGAAGAGGGGGAGGAGGTAGTAGTATTTATGTTGTAGAGCTTCCTAACTCACCTTATGTGACAGGAGATATGCAGACATTCACCGTTTAAGACAGTGACAGTTGAGATCGCAGCGGAAAATTGCTATAAAGTTGGCTCCGTAACGGCCGGGATAGGGCAAACAAGCGGTGGAACACAGTAGGTTACCGGCAGACTGAATCCTGGGACTGAAACCGAGGCAAGAAGGAGAAAAAGGAAGTTCGCTTCACAAAGAAGAAAGAGAAGACTGAATGAATTTGGAGTCAAAAAGGTCGACAGTTCCGTCTTTTCGGGTGGTACCTAAGGAAGAGTTCCCGGAGAGCTTAGGCAGGAATGTGACGCCAACCAAGTGAAGTAAATAAAGTATTCGCTGTTTGTGGGCCAGGGGTGATTTTTGTGTGTTTTGTTGGACAGATCGCTTATGTATGTTCGTTGGCAATTTTCTGGGTTTCCTTTGTTTTTGAATTCTGCGGGATTGTAGTAATATTTCCCTTCACGCTTTGTTTTTCGCTTCTGTTCGGAGGTAGGGTTGGCTGAGATGTCGCCCCAATAAAACGTCGACAATGCAAACGAGTTGCAAAATTTGGGTCCGGATCAAATGCAAGTATTACAGGGCTTGTGGAACTTGAAACCCGACAAATGCTTTTGTGTTGAGCAAATCAAATGTGCACAGGCAAGGGAGACGTGTGCAGGTGAGATTAGGTGTGACACGGACGGCGGCGGAAGGCAGGAAAGAGAAGCCGCTGGATCAGAATTGATATATCGCAAGGGGAGGCAAGGTATTCGCTGTATGTAACTTATTATCAACCAGCAACAAGGGAGACGGACGTTTGGTGGTCTAGGCAGATCGCTCGTTCGTTCGTTCGTTCGTTTCGATGACGGGAAGGCAAACAGCAGGATTGGAGATCAGACTGCTATATGTACAATATAGTCAGGTACAAACTAAGGTTGGTAGGTTGCTTGTTGTTCGGGTTGTTGCGTTGTTTCCAATTATTATAGCCGGAACCGAGGGGATAGATATACGTAAATAGGACAATATTAAGGATAATAATATAACGAGACTCGCTAGAAGGCAGAACAAGCAATGAGCTGAAGGAGGGTGTGAGAGTAGGAAAAAGGAATGCAAGAGAGAGATGCTGCCATAATAACAGAAAAAGAGAAAGCTAGCAAGAGCAGTCACATAGACAGGTAGATCGAGGAAGGGGGATATATTAATTATACATATAATACAGGCTTGTTATTCGTCTCATTTTTGTTATTTACGTTATTTATTTTAGTTTTGTGTTTTTTTTTTTTTTGTCCCATCCTATTTACTTTTAATTTTCTGGCCTCCCTCGTTCCCCGGGGCGCTTTTTTACCCCTGCCTAGCATGGATGGATTCATTGATGGGACGGATAAGTACCGTAACTTATCTCTTTTGCTCTATCGGGGCTAGTTCTTAGTATCTTTGCTTTTTTTTTTCCTCTCTCTCGTCTTTTTGTCACTTTCCGACTAAGGTTTATGGATGTGGATTTCCTGAGTGGATCGGCGGCGAGTCGCCAGTTGTAGCAAGTTGAGCAAGTTCGCAGACAATTCTCTACAGAGTCATGCAAGCATCTTTCCCAGGAGCAAGGTTGGTTCCTGGATGCCTAAGTAGTAAGGCGCGTACCCCCTTGCCCCTGACGGCTGTGCTTATCCTGTTTTGGGCTAGCCCGGTACGGCAGTAGGTATTGATACTAGCCTCAACAGGGAAATATTCAGTACAAAGAACTAAACACCGTATCGCTCTGTATTGGGTTTCCTGCTTTCTTTGGATGAAAGAAGAGGATACATATGACTCTTCAATTCATCGATCGATTACTGCCTGGCTAAAGAGAGTAGAAAGACTATGCTGCGGACATCAGATGGGTAGGAAATGTGTATGTTACATACCTGGGACGCGATAAGTAGGAGTGGATTCTTAGTCATTCTTAGTCGAAAAAGCGCCCCATTTCTGGAACATTTCCCAACACGGTATCTAGTATTTTTCAGGTTCAATCCTTGAAAGAAAGGCTGCAAAAAGATAAAATCATTTATATTCCGAGATGAACCCGGATGACCGTGACTGATAAATCTCGCCATTGGCTGTTATATACGTAAGTTGTTTTAGGCCCCAACGGTGCTGGACAGTTAGCAAGCCAGGGAAAGCCACCATGACATGTCCACAGTCCTGGTATCAGAGCCGCGATGTCTAGACTGCGTCAGTCTCGCGTGGCTCACCCACTTTTTACGCTTTCTACTTTCCGGGCTGTACGACGGAGGACGGATGACTGTCTCATGGATCTTTCTTTCTGCGCGTTACGTGTTCTGTGGCCGGGTCGGCCAGGCCTACCCTGGTCTTCTTTATTAGTCAGTACCGAGGTACTGAAGTAGCTTAATCGGGGAAGCAGGTGATCACTTCTAGTCTTTCTATCGGCGAATTCGATCAGGTGTTGGCGTGATAAGAGACGAAATCATCCTGCATCCTGCAAGCTGCAGCCCTATTGAGGGGAAATACTTCTAGTATCTCGTACGGGAGTGGTTGGTACAAACCCGTTCTCAACTTCTCAAACATAGTTCACTTTCTCTTTGGTGGTACGTACTAGTGCCACCTGGGCTTTAGCCTTTCAGTAGCGACTCCAGCGAGCTTGGGATCCCATCCTACTGGCCAGCAAAAAAAAAAACGGAGCAATTCACGGGTTTCACTACGTTACCGCGGTCCTACCCGCCCTGGCCGTTGTAGTTGGCCAGGGGAAATCCCGTCCCATTTCCAATCCCAAGAAACTCCACTGATGTCCACAGAGCCCACTTTCTCCTTTTCTGTTTCCATCATCCGTTGGGGTGCATATGCTTCCCGTGTGCTTCTAGGCTTCTAGCTGATTTCTAGCGCTGTTCTATAGCAACCACTCCCTTGGAGACGGACTTCTGGAACGTTGTCCACTCGCCTCACTATATGGAGTACTCCGTACACTGTCGTACAATAATATTCCCTCGCACGGTCTATATCAAGGCATGCGTACGAGAGGCTAAGAGGGCTCATGTCGGGAAATGTATTTCCACTTTAGCCGAGACGAAGCTTTACGGGGCACACGTGCTAAAAGGGAATATCCGGTGGCCGAACAGTCCGACAGCCGACCTTTGATAGGATTCTGTCTCTAGCAGCATAAAGTCCATTTTATACACTGTAACAGTCAATGTCTCATGAAACAAAAAATGTTTCTGTAGTACGTACCAACAGACAGGAAACGTGGCAAAATCGAGATCGTACGGCTTTGTCGGCGTTCTAAAGTTCTGTAGGATTCCGACCGTTGTCGATAGCAATCAATCATGGAATCATGCCGACGCCCTTAACAGACTAGACATATTACTACACTAAGACTGGGATCTGGAGATACGTACTAATCTGCTCTTTAGCTTTTTGTGTTTCATATGTCCAGAGGGCTGAGCGGGTATTGCCGCGCGGTATCTTACCATCGCGATGTCAGAAAAGTATGTAATTTACTTACGATGTTACGGAGTACCTCGTTATGTCATGGTGCATTGGAGTAATTCCGGGACTTGATATGACTCTGCAGAAAAAAGCAATTCTGGGGAAGATCCGTCTGTCTGGTACGATCTTCTGTCTCCGTGCTTCCACGTAAAAAGACTGGCAAGGTAATAAATGATTTGCGATCGCAATATTAATGTGTGGATTGCGTTAACACCCTTTACGCCGTCGCTATACATGTCGGTCCTACTCAAAAAACCTTCAGGTTTACAGGCCCGACCTGAAGGAATGGATCCCAGTGGATACGTACGACACAGAATTGATCGGGGAAGAGAAGCCGGGAGTCCGAAGTATGCAAAGAGCAAACCCAGCATCCTGGGTCTGTGGATATGGATCGTCCACAAACTGAATCGTACATGAGACTATCCTCCCTAGCTGTGTACCTGCAGATTCTTTTTTATTTTTATTTTTATTTCTATTTCGGTTTTTTTCTTTGGTTGATTTCTGGCTGTTTAGCTCCAATGATTTGTCGCTGTCACCTTGATCATAGAGTCCATCGAATTGGTACGTGTCATGTTTCGTGTACCATAGTAACTAGCCTGTACCTCGGCAGCGTCTAATGCAAGGCCCAGACTAGAATAGATGCCCACAGGATTTCATACAATCTGTCACTATGATTGACTGCTAGGGCTCTGCCGTTGCTGATCATTTGACAATTAAATCCAGCAAAGTGGCGGCGCTATACTTTCTCGATCAGGTACCTGCGATGCAGATTAGCAGACTATGTAGTATATCCCAAGCGAGTAGGGGATAAGTACTTGAAAATCTTCAGCTACCTGACATCGTACCATCGAGCCAATAGATGTTCCGTCTGAGAGAAAATGGAAGGCGTTCCTGGAGTTACCAATTCGTTGGGACTGAGTTTATTTGAGCGTGCATCAGTATAGTGTGTAATCGACCTACCCCTTTTGATACTCTCCTTCATTCCTTTCCTTTTCCTGGAATGAGCTTGATTTCTGACGCGATATCTACAATACATTGCCAACACCACTCTCAAAATTTCTTAACTATGAGGCTTTTTTCTTTTATTTTCTTAATTTTTTTTTCCTCTCATGGATCCTAGCTTCAAACAAGTTTTTCTGTCAAAATTGTCAATAATGATGAATCCCTGTCATATCACTACCCAGCCTTCCGAACGGCACAACCCTGTCTAGAGTAAAGGTTAGAAGCATTCCCAGGACTCTGGTTTCGATACGTAGCCTCGATGTGTCTCAATTCTCTCTCAAGACTCAAAACTCAAAACAGTCCGTACCAGACGCAGTACCCACCAAGGACTTTTCAGTACCGACCTATTCCGGCAAGTCAAGCAACAGCAACCAACGGAGCGACCCGAGCGGAAGACGTCCCGCGCTGCAACTAGCGACTCACTAACAATCAAGTGGGCTGGAACTAAGTCTGCGCCATCACTTGTGAGCCGCTCAGTTGGTACGGAGTACGGTTACTATGGTATGCCCTGGTTTTGGAGGAGAGGTGGCTGGGCTGGACCGACTGGTCCAGGCTGTCGATAATGGGGCTTAGATTTTTGAATCCTATTTTTGTGTGGGTTTCTCTCCTTTTACGTCCGTAACTGGATGCATCTCTCGCTAATCGCTCAAATTTGATGAATCGAGTATGGACTGTGGATAGTTAGGGCTAATCCAACTAACTACTACTATCAGGGATCAGGGAAGTCGGGAAGAATGGGATTTCTTTCTTATTAAAATTCTTTGTCTGATTCTCAACTCATAATTTGGTCTTTCAGGGCATCTATTCGATATTCTGGTTTTGGATATTTCATTCATCAATTATGGTCTCGGGGAAATGTACGGACCAGATCCAGCCAGACGGTATTCGACCACCTACCTAATATGGCAACGGATTGTTCTCGTTGATTCGTGAGTAGGCATCGCCCATGAATCATGCTCAAATTGAGATGATATATCAACATCTGCGCTGCTGACGAGTTTCAATGTTCCTTTGTCTGTAAGTCCCCATACCCATAAATGGTACTTACTATTTACTGCGGATTACAATCACTCCCTTCCAGTACCTAGGTAGGGCCGTCGCAGATTTGAATCGGACAAAATAAACCAAGTGCCATACACATACTGGAGTCTTCCAAGTAAGCTCTTTGTCTATTCTCCGACACCGGTGCAAATAATCAGAGTTCCTACTTATCAAAGCAGTCGAATCGTGGTACCATTGCTGCGGGACGGGCCGGCGATCACTCAATGCGAGATAGAGAACATCAACCTTTGTTTAGACGAACAATGAAATCGACGGATTTACAAAGAAAGAACGCCCGATATTTTCTAAATACCAATGAGAGGCATCAAAGGTTTTTGGTCTTTTTGAGATGTACATTTCGAACTAGTCATTTCTTACAGCCCATCTTTCAAGTTAGCAGCCATGGATGATCGATTGAGATCATGCCTGAAGCTATCTATGTATTTTCGAAAGTAGTACAGTACGCCGATAATTCGACTAAACTACGAGATCGACAAGGGCCTGCATACACACCACGAACAACTCAAACATGACTGCCAGCCCGATTCTGATATGTGCTAACATTTTTACCCTCTTGTCAAATGACACAATACATGCCCGACCGTATGTAGATACGGAGGATGTTGTTTCAAATACGCTATTATGTATCAATTTTCTCCTTTCACAGGGAATATTTCCATCGCGCCGAAAGCGCCGAAAGTTGTACGTAGAGGACGCCTATCTCCGAGCCAGCCACCAATGGCCCCCCCAAAATCTGAAGCCGTGTCATTTGACCCCCGGATTACTTCGGTATTTACGAATCTGAATTAAGAAAGTGTATTTTATAGCCCGATTTCAAGGTGGTGGTAAAGAGAGCTGAATCCGAAACATGTTCCAATTCGGGAAATTGACTGGGAGTTGGTAACACTGTGCATACTCCCAATGGCGTGGGTTTGAATGAATGGGTGCCAGGCAAAGTCGAGAATATGATTCTCGGATATTCATCTATGGCCAAGTTCAAATTGCACAATAAGTATCCAAGATTATGTACTACACGCCTTGCTGAAATCACCGCCAAGTAGGAAACGTTTCACACCATCTTCAGCTCCTCAAGGGTATGGTAAGCCATCTCGAACTACACCACGTCAGCTCATGGCATCATACACACGAAACTCAGATTGCTAATTCAAATCTGATAGGCTTACCTGTTCATCCGTTTGACATATCAAAACTCGCGGCCCCTTGTCCGACTTGGTGACATCGGTCACTGAATTGTCGTTGGCAATCCCTTTCTCATTCTTCTCCAGATCAACGTCGAATCCAAGACAGTTGCATTGTTGAGTAACCGCTCGACGTAGCAGGGCGCTCTTCTCTCCAATACCACCGGCAAACACTACTGCATCCAACTGGCCTTGGAGCTTGACGTAGTAGTTGCCTAAATATCCGGATATCCTATCAACGACGATATCAAAGGCGAGCTTGTGGTTTTCCGTCGGTGGGTTCTCGACTGCTATTTGCGCAAAGTCCGTGGTACCTGTCAGCCCTTTCCAGCCGGATTTCTTATTGAGAATTTCTTCTGCCTACTCAAGTTAGTGCTTAGTCCTGCATTTCTGGTTGGGCCGCCTTGTATGTAGACTACTTACTGTGCTGATGTGCATTTCTTTCGTGCTTGCAGGACTGAGACTACTAGCGTTGCTTGTATAGTGGAATACGAGACTATGAACGAGAACATTAGGTCTATACTCCTACGATAGAAATGTTAGACCACCTACCTAGGGTCAATATCGCCACTTCGAGTGGCCCCCGGCAGTCCAGCTAAGGGGGTCAGTCCCATGCTAGACGTGGATCAGTATCAGGGAGAATATCCAAGTCAGTAGGGTGATCCTTACGAGGTATCTATAGACTTCCCATCCTTGATAGCACAAATCGATGCTCCGCTCCCGATATGCATGACGATAAGATTTGTTTGTTCCTTCGGCTTGCCGAGGAACTGCGCGACTGATCGAAGAATGAACGAGTAGCTGATTCCATGAAATCCATACTTGCGCAATCCTCTCTTCTCTGCGACCTCCTGGTCGATGGGGTACGTGCGAACATGTAGTGGTAGGCTCCGGTGGAAGGCCGAGTCAAAATGCGCAATGTTTTTCACGTTGGGTAACTCTTTTCGGCATGTGCGAATGATTTCTAGAGCTGAGAAGTTGTGTCTAAACAATTGATGATTAGCTCGCTAAATACCAATCGCGCGAAATTGCTTACAGCGGGGCCAGGTCCTCAATCTCCTCCAAACGATGGTACGTCGAGTCATCTATCACAATCGCCTCTGTATAGTCTCCGCCATGTACTACTCTGTGGCAGATGCAGGCCAAATCGTCGACGTTCGCTATCTCCGAGATCTCCGCATCAGACAGACATCGCTCTAACAAGTACTTGAATGCTTTGGGCGGGGTATCGAGGGTCTCATCGAGCTTCTCCTTTTTATCGCCGGAACTCTTGCTGTATTTGAGTGTCTGTGGCGGCGATGTTATTCCCGAGACTTGAGCGTCTACGATCGGCACTGGAGGGTTCTGGGATCTGTAGAACGTCATCTTGACAGACGACGAGCCTGCATTGACGGACAGGATGATTTTGGCCATTTTGTTTGTCAGTTGGATCTACTCACAGAGTATAGAATTAGTGATGAATGAATGAATGAATTATAATAAAAACGATGCCGTCGTACGTTGTCCAAATTGGCAAGAGCGACCAACACCTGATGGCCGCCTCGTACCTTCCTTCCCCGCCGACGAAACAATGACGTCGTGGGCGATACGGACCAAGCTCCAAGCTTGCCTCAATTCATGTCAACATTTTATTCTTTTTTCTCTGTTTCCTTGAGTCTTACCAGATGCTGCATCTATACCAACTCGTGTCGACTGCTGCGAATTGCTTCTTCCATCTTCAGCCCTAAGACAAGCGGTCCAAAAATGCCTGGCGAAGTGATAGACCAGCCAAACCCACCTCCATTGCCATCAGATCTCCCTGAAGAGCTCGACAAATTTGCTGTGCAGCTCCAGAAGATCTCTCTCGACCAGAAAGACTACGATGACTTGGCTAAATTTCGAAGGGCGGCATGTTATATCGCTGCTGGTGAGGATCTCCCTATCACGACGCATTATACCGAGAAACGGGGCTGACGCTTTTCACCAGCAATGATATTTTTACAGGACAATGTGTACCTAAAGAGAGAGATTAAACCAGAGGATATCAAACCTCGATTGTTGGGTATGTCTGTGATGCGGGCTTTTCACGATTTCATTCCCTAACAAGTGTTACAGGTCACTGGGGAACATGCCCAGGTTTGATCCTGGTTTATTCCCACCTCAATTACCTGATAACTAAATATGATTACGATATGCTATATGTAGTTGGACCGGGTCATGGAGCTCCTGCAATTCTAGCCTCTGTTTGGCTTGAAGGTTCTCTCGAGAAGTTCTTCCCTCAGTACTCTCGCGATACCAAGGGACTTTCCAATCTCATTACCAGATTCAGTACCACATCCGGCTTACCAAGGTATGTTATGTATTTCCACATCACTGGTATACTGTGCTGATACTTGCAGTCATATCAATGCGGAAACTCCAGGAGCCATCCACGAGGGAGGCGAACTGGGTTATGCACTTGCGGTTTCGTTCGGTGCGGTTATGGACAACCCAGATCTCATTGTCACATGTGTCATTGGAGATGGTGAAGCAGAGAGTGGTCCCACAGCCACGTAGGATTCGCCCCTTTTACGAGACATGATAGCACTTCGTAGCTAACTGTCAAATCAGGAGCTGGCACGCGGCGAAGTATATTGATCCGAAAGAATCTGGTGCGGTCTTGCCAATAGTGCATGTCAATGGCTTCAAGATCAGCGAAAGAACGGTCTATGGATGTATGGACAATCGAGAACTGACCGCGCTGTTCCTCGGATATGGCTATCAGCCCCGATTTGTTGAGAACCTTGACGACATCGACACTGATATGCACACTTCAATGGTTTGGGCGGTTGGAGAAATCCGCCGTATTCAAAAGGCAGCTCGCGAAGGAAAGCCTCTGAGCAAGCCTAGATGGCCCGTTTTGATCCTACGGACACCTAAGGTATGTCTCCTGATGCGCTTGCTCGCTCGTGCCTGTGCTAATAAGTGTCGATAGGGATGGTCTGGACCAAAAAAGATCCATGGAGAGTTCATTGAGGGCTCCTTCCACTCCCACCAAGTTCCTCTTCCAAAAGCTAAAAAAGACAAGGAAGAGCTTCAAGCTCTTCAAGACTGGCTTACCTCTTATAAACCAGAGGATCTTTTCAATGAACAAGGCGGCCCAATTGATGCGATTACTTCAATCATCCCAAAGACAGATAGCAAGAAGCTCGGCCAGCGTATTGAGTCCTATGGCAACTACAAACCTCTTGAGATGCCTAACTGGAAACATTTCGTGGTCTCCAAAGGCTCCTACGAGAGTTCGATGAAGACTATCGGAAAGTTTATTGACGAAGTATTTGTCAAGAATCCTCAAACAGCAAGGCTTTTCAGCCCTGACGAACTAGAAAGCAATAAGTTAGATGCTGCCCTGGCTCACACTGGGCGAAACTTCCAGTGGGATCAATTTTCACGCAACAAGGGTGGCCGTGTTATTGAAGTTTTGAGCGAGCACATGTGTCAAGGTTTCATGCAGGGCTACACTCTTACTGGGCGAACCGCTATCTTCCCGACTTATGAAAGCTTCCTCGGTATTGTCCACACGATGATGGTACAATACAGTAAGTTTAACAAGATGGTGAGTCTAGTTATTCTACCTTCCTGATTTGAGTATGTCTAATTGACGCATTCGAGGCACGTGAAACGAGATGGCACAGCGATATTGCGAGCATCAATTACATTGAAACGAGCACTTGGACTCGCCAGGAGCATAATGGGTTCTCGCATCAGAATCCTTCTTTCATTGGTGCAGTGCTCAAACTCAAGCCTTACGCAGCAAGAGTCTATCTGCCACCAGACGCCAATACTTTCTTATCCGCACTTGACCACTGTCTTCGATCCAGGAATTATGTTAATCTCATGGTCGGGTCAAAACAGCCCACTCCAGTGTTCCTCAGTCCCGAGGAAGCAGCTATTCATTGTCGGGCCGGTGCATCTATCTGGAAGTTCTGCAGCACTGACGATGGCCTAGACCCAGACATCGTGCTGGTTGGCATCGGTAGCGAACTCATGTTCGAGGTCATATACGCCGCATCAATTCTACGCAAACGGGTACCGGAGTTGAGAGTGCGTGTCGTGAATGTCATCGATCTCATGATCCTCGAAAACCAAGGTGCACACCCACATGCTCTATCAACCGACGGATTTGATGCGCTCTTCACCCCTGATCTCCCAATTCATTTCAACTACCATGGCTATAACACAGAGTTACAAGGTCTACTTTTTGGGCGTCCCAATCTCGATCGTGTGAGTATTGCGGGATATATCGAAGAAGGAAGTACCACTACGCCATTCAACATGATGCTCGTCAACAAGGTTTCGCGGTTCCATGTTGCAAGAGCCGCTGTTGAAGGAGCAGCGAAGCGGAATGAGAAGATCCGTCTGAGACTCCAGGAATTGATAAGTGAGCTGGATACGAATATCAGAGAGACTACCAAGTACATTGTTGAGCATGGAACCGGTACGTTCATTCCTATACTAGTGTAACCCTGAAGAAGAAGAAGGAACAAATTGACTGACTGTCCTCGCAGATCCCGAAGACATGTACGGTATGCCAAAGTTTGGCTGAAGATAGAAATAGGAAATCTGCAATATCTCCCGCTATAGAAATGTTGGTCTGTCTAAATATCATGAATAATGTCATTAGTACGTTGAAAATAGATTGCAATGAATTTTACTTTTTATCATACTAATCTGAAATTTTGATGTTACCAAGGACACATTCATACTCCTGGATAACCACTAAATACAGTAAGAGCTGCTTTGTACGACCTTGCCTATGTTGGAGAAATATAGCCAGGGAATGAGCGAATTGAACAAACATCTACCCATATCTCCATACTAAGACTATTCCCTTATACAGTAGGACCTGGTTAGAATGAACAGAAGACCTCTCAGGGCCTAAGCCCATATATCCTAAACAGAGTTCGATTTGGGGATGAAGGGCATCTCCAATATATTAATCCATTTTAGTATTAACAAATTCGATGCTCTTCAGTCCCATATTAAAGACACTCTAGTTGATGTCAGTAGAAATGTGGAGTGGCCTTTCTTTCGTTATAGCCAGGTTCTACTGTACTCGTATCTATCATCCATTCGTCAGCAGCTATCCAATACTCAGCTCCAAGGAAACTTACTAGTCGTGCTCCTCTTCCTTGCACTCAGTCTTGACGACACCTGATTCAACTCTCCTCTTTCAAGCTCATCTTCCACAGCAGATTCTTCCGAGCTACGACCGTCATTTCCCACTAATATACCACCGTCACCACCAGTACCACGGACTGTACCTCCTCTGCTAATTGGCCGATCATCCATTTCAACATGTCCATAAGTCCCACCCACAGACTCCATAGTAAATGGACTCGCAGTCGGCGCATCCAACGTCGCAAGCTCCTCATCTCTAAACCAAAGCGGTAACAGAAACGAGCGAACCGGTATAAGCAACAAGATAATAACTGGGAACCCAATCGCCGCAATAGTCTGAGTAATTGCAAACGTCGCGCCGAACCCGAGCAGTTCCAGAATCACAAAGGCCCAAACTGCGCTTCTTCGTTCGAGGCGTTTTAGCGGGTTGGAGCCGGGTGTGAAAGTGTGGTCTTGGGCGAGGAAGATGAGTTTTTGGGTTATGCCGTTTCCTTGAAGGGCTTGGACGCCCATTATGAAGAAGAGTCCTGCCAGGACGTCTTGGGGTATTAGGTGTAGGACCACGAGGAGGGGACCGGTCATTGTGCCGAGGGTGAGAAGTCCCTGGGCGAGATTGCTGACTCTTTGCTCTACGACATGATCTGTGATGCGAATTGGTCGGCCTTTGTTGGTCTCGTCGTCATCAGACACTTGTCGCGTCACACAGAGTGCTTGGGTATGGAACGGGGCTTGTGGAATCAGGCCGTTGGGGAAAGGTATTCCTAAAAGGCCAGCGACGCCAGTCGTCAGGCCCAGAAGGAAAAGATCCCAATGGAAACCAGCTGGTTTGCGGAGGGGAAATTCTGTACCTTGTGCAATGAGAGAAGATACTACACCAAATTAGTATAATGGAGTACCCGTGACATATAATAGTGGCTATTTTACCGTTGTGATCAAAGTAGAATAAGATGGTAAGCAAAATAGCAAATGGGATTGCCAAAAACACCTCACCAACACTAATATCCCACAGACTAACAAGCCAGCTGCGATCCGCCGTAGGGAAAAATGCTTTGGAAGTCGGTAATGTCTCAACGGAGACATCCCTCATATGACCGATATGTACGAATCCCGTGAAAAACACAATGGTCAAAGGCGTGCCGTAATCCTCGATGAATTTTCGCACATATCTCTGGAAAAGCGTACTTTCCCCTAGCATACCGCAGAGGTAGCCGGACATCAGGACGAGAAGAGCAACCATGATACTAAGGTAAGCTGACGTCTCGCCTGCCATACCCCATTGACGAGTTAGGACCTGGATCCCTTTCTGTAGGTATATAAATGCAACGTAGAAGCCGAAGATGTCACACGAGAACCGCGTCACATATGTCAAGCCGTTGCAAGCATTGGTTATAGCAAGGATCCAGTGGAATATCAGAGACCAACTACACTGCCGTAAGTATTGACATTCAACTGTCCGGGGCTTATCATCTTACAGTCCAATCCAAAACATAAATGCTAGGTAATTTGTTCCTCGAGGGGTCATGATGTCGTATACAGTATAGTTAAAGACCGTAATAGGACCTTTTGACATTAGTTGGTCCAATCCAATGAAATTTCTATCATAAAACTTACCAGTCACGCCAACGATAACCAATGGTTGTGCCGCAGCGACAGAGAACACCACAGAGCCAAGGACAGAGGCCAACAGAACCTCATTGACTCCATAGCTCTGGTGTGTCTTTTCAAACATATCTAGCGAGAAAGCCAGAGCAGGAAGAATGCTGAAAACAGAAACAATCAGCATCAAGAAAGCTCAACGATGGGAGTCGCTTTCACATACTTTGCAAAATACATATAGACCGTAGCTGGTATGACTCGATAATCCCAGGCATCGGTCCAATCACTCCAGTAATAAGGTGCTCTCCGCTTGATATCTTGAATCATTCCACGGAACAGATGCACCTTCCACCAGGCCCCAGAGTCGGCAGTGGTCGAAGAACCGTGATGATCTGAATGAGTAGTACCTGCTCGAGGAAAATCCAAAGGCTCATGAGCACTAATCAACGACCTGTTCCGTTGCGAAGCTGATTGACGTGAAGATTGCTCTTGTTGGTGCTGAGTCGGCCAACTATTTTTCCTGGTTGAGGATGTATGAGAATAAAAGCTGGAAACAGGATGTAAAGCAATTTCTCCGCCGATGGCTTGTGAGCTGCTTGTAAGTCCATGGGATTCGCTAAGAGGCGACATTGCGCTTGTATCACCTATATTTTGGCGATCGTGGGCAGCTTGTATGGAGAGTATTGTGGTACAGCGTTAGTTCGCCGACTGCAAGGATCGGCTGCTCATCCAATCATTCAGAGACGGATGAATATGGTGGTGAACAACAAGTCCTGGACTCCTGGTGCGGTGTATTCGTAGCTTTGGTCTCTCAGTCACCATGCTAGGAAGAATCGAGGTGACGACAATCGATGGAGACCTACTTACTATTTTGAAGGTGAAGGATTCGGTCCAATCAACGGGCTCGGAGGCGCCGTCATTCTTGCAAGTCTTGGCATTAGCTATATGCCCTACGATCTACTCTTATGGAGTCTTGAGGTTAAACAGTAAAACAAGTCAATTCATATTAAAAAGAACAATACAATCAAATGCTGTCAAGCAAAGTTAGTAGTCACTATTAATCAATGAATCACATCCCTAAGCGCACCCACGAGTGACGCAGATTTTGGTTTACATTGGTGGAGGTGGTGGAGGAGGGTGATCACTTGGCGGCTGCAAAACGAATTAGCAATAATTCTTCAAAGTATAGGTTATATTATCGAAAATACTCACAGGAGGAGGGCCTTCGCCAGGGGGAGGTGGGGGAGGAGCAGCAGCGCCGCCGTAGTACATAGACTCAAGGCCGGGTGGAGCCCCGGGAAGTCCAGGAGGAGCTCCAGCCGGAGGTGGAGGAAGTCCAGCATAACCGTAGCTATAACCGGCTTGGCCACCAGGAGGGGGAGGGGGAGCTTGTTGCCAAGGTGCTGCTCCAGGGGCGGAATAGCCTCCATGATGCGATCCGTAACCGTAGTTTCCGCCACCACGGTTTTGTGCCCATGGGGCAGCGTCGCCGCTGTCGCGGGGTTCGTAGTCATCACGTCTACCATGCTGCTCCCGTCCACGTTGCTGCCATGGAGCGACATCTGAGACTGGAGGGGGGGGTCCACGCTGTTGCCAAGGCTTGTAGTTGGAATCTTGTTCGTAGCCTCCGGGGCCTCCTTCGATACGACGAGGGGCTTCACCATTGGGGCCAGAGCCACCGCCAGAAAGTTCTTGCATGAGTTGCTATTTCTGTTAGTAGTGAACTTTCGTCAGAAACGCGAAGTGATGACTTACCTCCATCTCACGGTCAACAGCATCACCACCGCCGATAGCACGATGGGGACCACGACCACCGTAGCCGCCGTTGTTGCGCCAATCAGTGCCCCGTTGACGATCAGGACAATCACGTGCCATATGGCCAGCATTTCCACAAACACGACAGATGATATTGGCGGTAAAGTTGCGCTGTTCGGGACAGTCGTATTTGCGATGACCGATTTGTCCGCCTATACATCTTAGCTCGAAATCTTTGATTCGAAACTGATCATGAAAATACTTACAGTTCTGACAAGCTTGGTTTTCATCGTCACGCAAGGTACCATTGAGGGCAGCGAGTTCACGAAGCTGGTTGCGTTTGAGCTCGTTCTGACCTTCAGGAATAGAAGCAGCCTGTAGTTATAATGTTGGTACTTATTGGTTGAAAAAAAAATTGGAAAGAACCAACTTACAGTTTCAATGACATTGTGGACCAATTGCTTGGCCTTGTTGACCTTCTCCTCCGTATCCGCCATGATCAAACAGTGAAGATCTTCTTCCTGGTTGCTAGTGTGAGCGGCATCAGATCGACCTTTTCCTTCCTTGACGGAACCTTTGCCTCGAATGGCAATCTTGGCTCCAGACTCTTTTTCCATGGTCTTGAGAGTGTTGCCACGGGGTCCGATAAGCAAACCAACTTTAGTAAAGCAAGGGAGCTAAGTGTTAGTATGTCTGTCTTCAAGATAATATAACGAGAAAAAGTCCAAATGGTCATTGGGTTAGCAAGAAACGAGGAGAGGCATCTTGAACATCGCGATGCCTCGCCAGCCCGAATCGAGCACGTAAAACAGAGAAGATGGGCAAGTAGAACATGGTTAGAGGGAGAGTTAGAGGGTTAGTAATCATACTGAAGTTAATCTCTGGATAATCATTCACAGGCACATAAACCTTTTCCTGTGTCTTGGTTGGGCGCCTGTAGTCAGAGGGCGGGTGATAGTTAGGTATAACCTTCATGGCCCTTTCGACAAGTTTGTGGCGCTCATCTTCCAAACGCTTGCGATAACGGTATTCCCTGGTGTTTACACGTCTTCCGAAGTTATCGTACTGCGGTGGCGGCGAGGGTGATCTAAATAAATCGGCATGTCAGTGAAAAGTTCCTTCAAAGCCCATCTGCGGAAGAAGAAACTCACCTGTCACCATCCGCAGGGACGACGTCGTTGATGCGAAGCTTCTGACTAATCTCTTCAATACGAAGATGCAGAGTGTATGCTTCGAGCTGCTCGTTAGTGAAATTGGCCATGATCATAGTCGGTAGACCCATGAGGCCAGCAGCCTTGTTTTCCTGAGCGTCGCCCCAACGGTTGCGCTTCTTGCGTCTTTTCACGCCGTCTGCCGGTGGATCGGCTGTAAAGGAACAGAGTCAATAAAATGTTCCAAATGAAGTATCATAGGAAGTGTTGAGACGCTGCAACTTACCTCGAGTTGGACTCCTGCCTCGGATCGCGCCATTGTCTGAAGCTGCGACTGTTGGTGTTGATGCTTCGCTTGCACCTTCGTCGTCTCCGAATCGTCTCTTCCCAAGAGGGATGTTGTTGGAACCTGTGATTCCCTGGTTACTGCGCCACGACATTTTGCTAGCGTCAGCGAAATGATTCTAGCGACTGCGATGGAGGGAGTTGTGTGTCGAGAGTTTAAAAAGAGTCTAGAAGACCCAGTGGCGACTAGCTGTATTTGGTTGAGTCAGCAGCTATTCCGAAAAGGGAATAGTCCCTATCATTGACCGCGCCACGGCTCATTGTCGGCTTATCTCAAGATCACATCAAAACTTCAATTAGGACTGAACTTATTTACTTATGTTTTGAAGTACAGAGGAGTCACTCTTAAGACCCAACATGCAAAGTCTTACTTCTTCGCATCATCAGCCATTCCCTTTTGCACCCACTGCGACGCCGCAGCACTATGCTTAGCCGCTAGTTCCTTATCCTTGAGCACCTCCTTAATAGTATGCTTCTCCGGAACATGCCTGCCCTTCTCTACGCCGGGACGCGCTGCCAATTTCTCCTCCCAGGCCTTGAGATGTGGGAATTCGTCGATATCGATACCGGCCCAGCCAGCAGCAGCAACCCATCCCCAGTGCGAGATGTCCGCGATTGAGATATGATCGCCTACGAGGAAGCCGGACTTGGAAGTGGAGAGGTGTTTATCTAGTACACCGTACAAACGCCGGGTCTCATTCTGGTAGCGGTTAATACCGTATTCGATGCGCTCGGGAGCGTAGCGGAAGAAGTGGTTTGCCTGGCCTGTTGGAGGATTTGTGTTAGTATTACATATTCATATCCTGCCATCTTCAAGTGTATCGCTTCCCTTGCATAGGCCCAACCCCAGCGTTCATGAAAAAGAGCCAATTGCCAACTTCATAATATTCTCGCGATCCACGAGGATACGAAATCTTATACTCGGGATCATAGTTGTCTGCCAGGTATTGCAAGATACTACCCGACTCAAAGATATTGATCGTTTTGCCGTCGGTAAAGGTATCAGTTATGGCGGGAATACGGCCGTTGGGGTTAATTTCGAGAAACCAGGGTTCTTTCTGCTCATTTTTACTGAATTCGAGTTTTTTGACCTTGTAGGGGAGGCTATACGTTGTTAGACATGGGCCAATTGACTTCGGGAGAAGAGGACGGATGCATACCCTAATTCTTCCAGCGCAATGGAAATCTTGATACCGTTCGGGGTCTGCGCAGTGTAAAGAGTGATGTCAGGAGTCCTTTGAGCAGCCATGGTGAACAAGAGACGAGTCAACAGTCGTTGAGACACTCTGAAGGTATTGCTAGTGGGGTAAAGTTGTTTGGCAATTTGGAGAAGGGTAATTGAGGTTATAAATAATCAGCATCAGCTTACAAATGCGCCCACCATATCGTCATTGCTAGGGTTCCCCACTGTTCGATTATTAACACACCTTGCCCTCTTCGATTCCATAATCAAGCTCGTTAACTAGTTAGTTAAGTTAGCTAGTTAACTAACTTGTACCTAGAGATAATGCAGACGTCTTGCTTTCGTTAAAGACAGGCTATACTGCATTTCCCAACCAGAAATACGCCGATGTGCCTCATTTACACACTTACTGCTGGCCAATTGAAAATAATCCTATAATGAAAACTGAGCACGAAGTATCGCAAAGTATATACCGGCGATTTTTCTACTATCAACAAGAATACCTAATATAGACAATCGAATGAAAAAAAGAATATAAGTCAATTGACTGCGAAAAAGAAAAAAAAAAAAAAGAACAGATCGTCCAGTCGAAACGTAATGTCCAGCTCTTTGTCTTTATATAGCAACGCCGCGGGTGTCGCTGCTTACCAAGTAAAGCTTTCTTCAATAAAGTCGATGTTGCTGATCATTTGTCTCTGACGACATGCTCGTCGTACATCGTCGCCCAAAGGACCACTACCACAGACTAAAACACCCATCGCTCCAACCTGCTGCTCAATTTCCTTGTCCACGACAGTCTGGATGTTTGGTCGGCCAGGGAACATTTCCACCGTTGCGCTCGGACTGCGAATTTCCTTGGTACTGCGAGGCCGAGTGATGAACAGCATGATACGCAGAACATCGCGGCGACGATCCATTTGTAAAATGCTGGTCATCCACGGGCGCACCCATTCGAGGTGTTCGGGCGATTGAATTGTCCAGACCAGTGTGACCCGACGAGCGGCAACGGTGCCGTCTGCATATCCTTGAACTAAATGACGAACAAATGGTACATGATGGGTGATACCGATGCCACCGGCAAACAATAACACTGTCCCGTAGGAATCCAGGTCATGGATAGCTCCATACGGTCCTTCGACGAACGCAGAGAGATATACACGGCCGTCCACACCCTTTGCAGCACGCTTGTATAGTGTGTCAGTAAACCCAGTTCGACGACGGACGAGGAGTGATATGGTCTCATTTTCCACCGACAACACATCTTGCTGTGTCATGACCAGGCCTTTTTCGTCTGTTGGGAGGTGTTCTTTCTCGCTCCATGCGACGCTGAACGGATGGTATGTCCATAGCCCAACAGAAGGAATGCATATATATACGTGTTGACCGGGCCGGAACGTCCAAGGACGAGCCAGCTTCAGCGTGATTCTCGTAGCATCACCCGTGAGAGCTTCGGCCTTGGCTGTAGTCCTGCCACCAACAAGGTTACGGTAAATATTGATAGCCAAGCGAATAAACCGCTACCATCCAAAATCAGCGATCTAGCTTCTCACATATGTAAACGAGTGCTACGTACCTCGATACCCCACGCAACCAAGGCAGCTGCAAGATAACTCTTCTGAGGCAGACCGTCCAAATGATACCACAGGCCGATGAACGCCATCAAGGCCAACAAGATGTGGAAATGAAGGAACGTCTCATAGAAAGCATGCCGTAGAGGGGAGGAAGCGAAAAGCACAAGTGCGACGAAACCGACAGTAGCCTATGAAAACTGCTATTAGTCAACATAAAAGTAAAAGCATTACATGAAGGTCGTCCATACCACCAAGCCAGTTATGAGCAACCGCGATGTATGAAAGCCTGCAACAATAGTGGCCCACCCACGTTCCTCAGCACTGGTGAACAGCCAGCTCAGAAAGTGGGCAAGACTTTCGGCGGCTACGATGCGGGCAAGCCACCGATGGAAGAAGTTCCAGGAATCGAAAGAAAGACCAAGTAGAGAGATAAGAGGGTTGTTGCGTCCGACAAGGATGACCAAAGGGATCAGATTAGCAGTAGCGAGGGTCCCTGTGCGATTCCTCAAGGTGTCTCCGTAGGTTTTGATATCGTTGCTGAACGGAATGTGTAGCACACATAGAACAACATTCATAGTAATCAATCCTACTAAACAGAGGGCCTGGAATCGACTGGGAAGAGTGCCCATATTTATAGCACGAGACAACTGGAACTCACGATTGTGTCGAACACGAAACAATGGAGCATCCACAATGTTTCTCTTGAACCAGGCCATTCGGTGGTCGTCGCGAGTGAAATATCGTTGACTATCGTTGGTCATTCCATGTAAACGTCGGATGTGCGAAGTCAGTCTGAGAAATGATTTCCAAGCGAAGTAGAGAGCGCAAGTTGCAGCCATTGCAATCAGCATGAAATGCGTATATTCGGATTGCAGTTCATCCAACTCTTGAGCCTTTGTCGGTTGAGCAGGTTGTCCACCTCCACCGCCTGAAGCAGCTTGTTGGTCGGCGTAGACAGTTGTAGCCATGTAAGCTACGATGACAGGAGTAGTCAAGCCGGCCATCTTATAATATCGTTATATATAAAAGAGTGCTTGCACTTTGAATGAATGAAACCTTCTATAGAAGAGGGGAGAATGAAGTAGAGACCAGCTCTACTAACGAATGAAGTATCCTCTTGAAATGGTGTGTGCTGTGATATCAAGATTGCCAGTTTTGATATTAGTCTGAAGCCAGGTCGAGTTTGTCAACTGGCCATGAACTGGTAAGTGTGTATCAGTAGTGATCGTCGAAACGAATCGGGATGCCGAGAGCCCGAATCAAGAACGAGCTGTTAAAGGGACTGAAACAGAGAGATGACCAGCACGTTCAGTAAAAGAGCGTAGACTATCGACGCCGTGGATCACAATAGTGCTGAGCGTATCCCAGTCACATCCCAATATCGTATAGGATCGAGGGGGAAAAGCGAAGCCAAGAAATGCCGATTGAACAGACAATAAAAGGCCGAAATAGACTATCAAAGCCTAAACATAATCCGATTCTCCAGGAATCGCGTGGCGAACAGAGAAAGAAGCCTGAAGGAGGAATCCGAAGAAAAGGTATGAACAATTACCGCCGACAATAACGGGAGAAAGAAGTGAAAAACATAAGTGTCAAAGCCACTGAAGGGAATTCGAGGCGCAAACACTAGCGACCTGGCAATCTCTTCTTTTAAGTTGCATCCACTTTGTCATCTAAGCATAAATTTCAGACGGCCAGGCCCGGTTTAGGAGGTAATCGTCTACCAGGATTGGTAGCTCATCTCACGCAGGCCTGGTATGCATTCTTGATCCATCCGAAGGAGAAACATCGACTTATTGGAGCAAACATGACCCAGGGCAACGTCCTGGAACCCACTCGGTATTACCTGTGCAGTAGAATCGAGGACTCGAAAGTGCCGACGGAATATCTCGAGACTAGGGCCGCCATGTTTGATAGGAAAATTGGTCCTTGCGCATTGCAGAAGTGGGCGTCATATTCCTTGGTAAAACGCTATACGGAGCGTAGCGGAGATCGTTAGGGTTTCAACTGAGTATGACTTGTACAGAGGATTGGCCGACGGTGGATCTGTCTGCAAGGGCTTGCATCCTAAGTCGGCAAGTACAGCACGTAGAATATTGGCAAGGACACGCGACAAGAGAATAGTGTAGTGAAACGACTGGCGATGCAGATGCCGTTGTACGTAAGTGGTGAGTGAATAAGCAGAGATTTCAGGAGGTGCTGCGTCTCACGATCTCCGGGGGCCGCCCAATCAGTCTCCCTCCCGCTATTAAAATCTTGTCGCCGCGCTTCATCTTTTCTCTCTGGTCGAATACTAATCAATAATAATTGGTCTACAGCGGCCGGATAAAGTGTTTCTTGAGACTCGCATTGTCAGGGTTGTCTGCCGAGCATTAATTCACGTCAAAGCTCATGTTTCTGACCATGTGAACCACACTAATATTCTGTCGTAAAACATCTCAAGTTCTCAACCTTACTCGGGCCGTCTTTCCATTTTTCTTCAGGCGTTTTATCTGATCTCCGTGTAATGTTGCACATAACTAATCGCTAGTAATCGATTAGAGTGACGTGAAGAAATGGCAAGATTACACGGCATGTCGCACGTTACTGCGATGAAACAGACTCGGGATGTCTCTACCGTTTGCCCAGAAAGGAAATATCTAAATATTTATCTGCTCAGTTAGCAGGCTTAGGATGCATTGCATAGTGACAGCCATGCCTAGTGCCCATATAGTACGTACATATACAGGTGAATGAAAGATAATGAACCATTAAAAACACACGATAAATATCCCGCACCATCCAAGTCCCAGGGTATCGAACGATCAAGATAGAAGCACACTTCCAAAAGAAAACAAAAGCAAAGTAAGTAGGACTGCGCCTCGGGTCTTCGGCAGTTGGAACGGCAAAGACACTGGCACATATCAACAGAAGACGCGAGATCATTTTGTAGGGTGACAGATAAGGGCTTGGGTCCGTTAGCCATATTCCGAAACCCTAAGTTCCCGTCCTTTAGGCCGTTACAGAAAACTCAACTCGTCGTCACTGTCTTCGTCTTCAGAACAAGGAATGAGCAAACGTCTATGTGACAGGTATTCACGTTGTTGATGGTTCGTTGCCTGCGAAGAAGATGAAACTTGCTCAATTGGGTGCTTGCGAGGCCGTCCACGTCCACGTTTTGGTGGCGCAACGGGCGCCGTGACGCCGGCATTGATGACCACGTCGAAATCCACCCGATTCCGTTGCCCCTGTCTATTTGCAACACTGCCCTGGAAGTCTGCACCGGCTGCAATGCTTTGGACATCGGTGGGTATCTTTTCCGCTCTGTTCTGTTGCGACCATTCTTCACTCTCGGATATAATCTCGGAGTCATCAACGCTGCCCGAGTCATCCTGTTCTCCCGCCTGAATCACTACTGAGACATCGCTGAGTCTGGTCGTTATCCACGTAGATTGTCTAGCCTTCTCGTAGCTTCGTCTCTGGTATTTCCGTCGGGGCCGCTTGGAGTTTCGTAGAGGGCTGTTGACAGAACTGTTCCTCCTCTTGATACCGGCTGGGTTAGGGGATGCTACCGAAGTCTTGCTGGACTCTGATTTGACACATGATGAAGGTGAGCTCGTACTGACGCTAGAAGGCGATCCAACCATAGGTATCTCAACCACTGGTCGAGAAAGGGCTCGAGGTAATGTAGTTTTGATCCTGTCCAAGGGAGTCTTTGCAATCCACTCGCCAATACCTTCTTCCCATCTGAAGGATTGCATGCTGGATTTTTCAGGTGTAGGAGCGCTGCTACCTTTGCTTTTGAGGCGTATCCGAAGGGCCGCAATCGCTTCTTGGATGTCAGCTGCGAAAGTATGATCTTCGGCATCTTGACTGTATTGCGCAAAATCCAAAGCCACTTCGATAGCTATTTTTCCGAGAAATAACATCAGATTGTCCAGACCGAATCGCTCAAACGTTAGCAGATGTCTACAAAGCCTTCGTGCCTGTCGGCATTGTGCATGTTCGCCGCGTTCGGAGAGTCGAATGATCTGGCAAACCATGGCTGCAAGGTTCTTAACGATACCCGCATTCTGCTCCACGAGCTCAAAGAAGAGCTCACAATCTGGGCTCAAAACAATATCCAGAGTTTCCACATCCGTGTCGTCTAACGGCAGGAGGTCTTGCTGACATTTCAACAGGTAATGGGCAAGGAGAATGTAGCCTTTTCTCAGTAGAAACGCTCGATCTTCCTCATTATCTTCCACCTCCGAACGACTGAGTGGCAAGGAACGTTGAATTATCAAAGCCAATTCCGTATACGCCTTCACTATCCTTGCTCCAGAGACAAAGTCCGGACCATCCATTTGCCCCATACGTACACCGTACATGCAGCACAGCGCAACATTTAAACTAGAGACTAGATTGCTGGTCGCATCTTGGAGGTGCACGGGACATCGATTTGGATCCGAGTTTGGGTCGCCAGCTTGGGAGTTCGAGGACTCTCGACTCTGCCGGCGCTTTGTTATCTTCGAGCGCTTCTTCTTTTGAGGTTTCACAACCTTTCGACCTCTGTGAGCATCAGCTGCTGTTATCATAATCACTTTCATCATGTTAAGAGCAGCGGCGTATTCATCATCCCATTTGGATTGCGACATGCAAGCAGCAACGACGCAGTCTTTCAAAGTAATAGTAACCAACCATTGCGGAGGCAGGATATTCCGCAGCAACAACAGCTCTATTTCCCTAAATGCAAAAGAGTTGTTCCCAGACAGCTCCCAGTATCTTTGTAGAAGCCGGATAGGATCGCGCCCAGGCGTGCCTGGTCTCCACGGATTGAAAGCGATGGGATAGTTGTAAGGATCCAGTTTTGCAAGCAGTGTACTTAGTATCCTCTCGACCGCGTCGTATTCTTTGACCTTTATACATTCGCAGATAAGATAGCATGTCGTCAATTGATTGATCCAGTTCTTTTGTACCATATCGCAGATCAAGAATATCCCTTGCGAGCGAACTGCTTCACGGAGAGGTTGCCATCCTTTTCCCTCAGAGCCATATGCCGACTCCAGTTCTGTAAAGTATGCATCCGCCATATCAATTTCGTCAGTATTGTCAAGTTCATCTTGTATTTGTTGTTCCTTAGCAATAAAATCGGGTAACCGTCGAATTACTGTCATTAGCAATGATCGAGTGCCTTTGGGAGAAGCCTTAGAGCCAGAGTTCGGTACTCGTGTTTTTTCCAAGAATTTCACAAACAAAGAGTCCAAGGATACCACAATGTCGAAGTATTTTATATCGTTTGTAGCATTCAGTGACCTCCTCCATTGAGGATCTGGGTGTGAAGGCCGATATTTTTTCGGCCTGCGCACAATCTTTTCCGCCATTCCCTCTGGTAATACAGAGTGAGTGGGCTTCTCTGAGCTTTTCTCATCCTGCTGACTGCCAGATTCCGATCCTCTGTTGTTCGGAGCGGCCACGTTCGCTAATTTCCCTGTAATCAACGGGGTCGCAACCTCAATCGCTCCAGGTAAAGTCTTGGTTGTCTCCGGACTCTGTAGCACCGACCGAACTCGCGGCTGAAATCGAAGCCGTTGGCCCCTAGCCACATATTTGTGTTTGACGCGCTTCGACTCGGGTTTTCGTGGGATCCAGGACGGGTCCCTGTCGCCATATTCGGAATCATGCTCAGCGTCACCGGAGATGTCTGGCTTGGAGGACTCGGTAATTGTAGCCGCAGTAATAATTCTATTGATCTCTTCTTCTTGCTCGTTAATAGATTCGCAATGCTTGCCAAGACGATGATAAAGCGAAGTCAAAGGTCGTAGCATTCGATTCGCCCATTTCGCTGTCATATGAATGTCACTCATGTCGAACAAAGGGAAATCATACAAGTCTATTCAAACAGGCGACTCAAGAAATAAGCTATGCAAAAGCATTTGGGAAGGGTTGTCGCATCAGGGTGGCACGAAGCCAACACGATAGTGATCCCTTCCACTAAGATGCAGGAAGTACGATCATAAGAGGTGCTTTATGCAAAACCGACACCTTCATAACCTGAAATGGAGATAAACTGATACAATCTCCAAAACATATCAAAATAACATGCTGAGGACAAATGCACTGACAATGTGAGAGGTAGACATTGACAAACGGAGTAAGACCGCGACAAAAGTAAACAGTTTGTTTAGACGCACGAACCATCCTTTATCGGAGATTCGGAGATACGCCACACTGTGGCTAGTGCTATCAACACCATCGTCATTCCCCTACAGTCGACTCTATTTTACTTCTATTACAAAGGAATCCGGTTCTTCTGGCCAAGCGGCTGGGTCAATTGAAACGAAGGTCACAAAGTACATGTAATCGGCTGGAGCACTCTATATCCATTTGTACTTGGTCAGAGTTCTCACCTTCTGCCTCTGGAGCGAAGCGAGAGAAGACAGACTTGTAGACATCAACGGATTCCGTGTCGTGTGTATTGCAAAGGGCCTGGGTAATAATCATGAAAGGTAAATAGAGTTGAGATGCTCTAAATAGTACAATATCATACAATTATCTTTTCCGCCCAATCATGAGGTTCTTACCCAGTACATGCCATGCATTGAACAAAAGAAAAGAAAGCCCAAATAGAACAGAAGAGAAAATCATACAACCGCCCGAAGCAAGTTATCCCAATTGCTTTATATAGTTGATTTAGACCGAAAAACCAAAGCGAATTTTAGTATTTTACAAAATTAGAAGAAATAAGGGCTCATTTGGATTGCTTCGTGCCGCGGAGCTTGGGGTTGGCCGTTCCTCTCTTTGATTGCTTGCCACGCGGAGTGCTAGTCTCCCCGCCTTCAATGAATTTCAAGAGTTCATCGATGCTTCGAGTGTCAAGCTGTGATGTGGCAGCCGGAGCGTTCTGTCCGCCTGCGGCTCCTGAAGCTGACTGGCCAACTTGTGGCTGGGGTTTCGTACCCAACGAGACACGTGTGCTGAGGTTGACTTTGCGAAGTCGGCGCGCTTGAATATCCTTGGCATGCTTTGCGATAGAAACGGCATTCTGTGTGAGCTGCTCCAACCAGCTTTCAGCTTCTTTGGTGTTACGATCTTCAGGGCCAAGTTCGGCAAGGAAGATATTATAAGCATCACGCATACGGTTCACAGCAGCCTTGGAGTCCTGGTCCAAGGCCAAGGCTTGCGCGAGCTGGAATAGAATAGTTGCCGTGTTAACGGACTGTCTGCCAAACAACTCCTCGCAGACCGTGAGGGAAGCCTCAAACCACTTCCGAGAATCTGAATACTGCTTGAGATGTTGCAGCATGACTGCGGCATTGTTCATGGTGGTGATGGAGTCGGGGTGGTTAGGACCATAGATGATCTTCCAGAGATCCATGGCATGCTTAACATACACCAAAGCCATCTTAGTGTTACCCGTAGCGTGCTCGAACAGACTCAAGTTCAGGTAACTCAAGATAGTGTCTGCAGAGTCAACACCCAGTGTGCGTTCTGTGACAATGACGGCCTTGCGTGCAAGTTCAACCGCAGCATCCTTCTCATCAGTTTGATAATACAACATCGACAGTTGATGATACAACTTGGCGACCTCGGGATGAAGGATGCCATAAATCTGCTCATGCAAAGAGAGCGACTCTAGGATCAGTTCCTGGCCAAGCTGCTTCTGGTTCTGCATCAGAGAAATGCGACCCGCTTCAAGGGCTTCCTCGGCTAAAGCACTTCGCGGAGCCGCATCCTTAATAAGCGGAACAATGTTTACAATATCATCCGCCACGAAAGTGGTAACCGGCTTGGCGACGGCCGAGCGCGTTGGCGAGGCATTGTCACCAGCAGCCTTCTTTTTCTTCTTTTTGCTATTGGTCTCCTCGTGTTTTGCCTCATCCGCACCGTTCGTCACCGCAGGTTGAGATGATACTTGGGCCTTTGTAAAAGCAAATTCCCGAGCCGCAAGTTGAAGGCCTAACTTGATGGAAATATCGCGCAGCAACTGCAAGTGCTTCATAGAGCTAGTCCAATCAGATGGAAGAGAGAATCGGTATCTAATCTTGACCTGCTTCTCAATCTCCGCATGCAGGCTAGAAGAGGTAACCTTTTCAAACGTGAAATCAGCCTCAGGGTAGATCTCGCGTAAGGCCTCATCAATATCTGCCTGAGGTTTTGCATTCACATCAGACCCAAGGAGACAGTTCAAAAGATGGGCAACGCACGAAGCAGCAAATGGAGGGGGTAGTGAGCGGAGATAACGATTAGCAATGTGTTTGAAAGCGCGGGCAATCATTTCTTGATTGACCAAGGTTGTTAATGATTGCAAGCGATGACCTTTCTGCTGAGACAAGCCTGCCAAGTGGCCCAAATAACGGATATTGATACCACGCTTATGGAGCAATTGGCTCAACGACTGTCCATCCATTGGGAAGCCAACATCTCCGTTGTACAGATCTTGAATAAGTTCAGGGAGCACTCGTGATCGCAGGTAATCACAAGCATTGCGGACTTCCTGCTCGTCCTCGGCCCATTGTTTCTTCTCTTCCTCCGTCTGAGGAACTTGACCGCTGAAAACATCCGGGTTAAGCGCAAGGTCGAAACCGGAGATATCTACACGCTCTTGCTCCTCTGCAGCTTTCTCGGCATCTTCAGGTTGGGTTTCTGCACCAGACTTGGCTGCCTTCTCTTCTGCTTTCTTGCTTCGTCGCTTTTCAACCTCCTCCTTAACGTACTGGCTCATCTTTGATCGCCAGTATGACTCTACTAACTCAAGACGCAGGATGGACATGCGATGAGGATAGGCATCATGATCACTTTCTTCATCTGCCCAAGAGATATCAAGAGGGGCAATGCGGTACAGATCGAGAACATATTTCCGACCATCCGTTCCGAGTAATCCTTTAGTTTCAACACTGCCTTCAAGATCGTGGCGTTTTCCTTCTTTATCCCAAACAGCATGCTTCTTAACTCGTAAAGCTTTTGAAAGCTTCTCAAAGACAGGGACGAAGTCAGGATGTTCAGCGACCACCTCTTTTCCTTCAACGCCGCCATAGTCGATCTGGTGTTCACCAGGCTCTCGCTGCTTGAAAATACCTGGGACAATACTTTGACCGACAACACGTTTTCCAAGATAGTCGACGACAACAGTGCCTGGTGTGAATAGACCAGGAATATCCAGTTGGTTGACTGCTTTAATACCCAACACATCCTTTCCGACCGCAACGCGCGCGGCTTCATCCCCTCCCTCGGATGCGAAAGTACCAACACCGTCCGCTCCAAACGAATAGAATATATTATTATAGACGAATATCTGGGCGTCACGACCCTCAGTGGGATTCAAAGGAGCTACTTCGCCTCTGGCAACCAATACAGCTCCTCGAGCGGCAGCATCATTATAATCAGCAAAGAGCTTAGAAGTCAACCGTTCCCGGAAGACTCTATCCTGTACGGTCTCGCGGGGAAGCTCTTTGGTGGATTGGAATTCTTCATTCCAGTCGCGAAGAGTCTCTGAGTTGTCAACGCCAGCAATCAACAAGTTCTCCTGAGACCGCGCCACGTCGGGTTGATGCGCATTCAGAGATGCTGCCGCGGGTGTCACCAACCATGGGCTGTTCGGGATCGCATTCTGGAAAGGGAAGGTGGTCAGGAGATCACGCTGACTGTTTGCCTCTTGCAAGGCACGGAAGCTGCTCTCAAAAGATGGCGAAATTTGTGAGATTAACGTAAGCAAGGAATGAGCGCTGTGGTTCTTGGGAGCCGGGCGGGGGAAAGGATCAAATTTGCTGTTAGAGCATTTATTTGCGTAGAAGCCAGAAACATGAGACGTGATCTGGTGTTGTTCACCCTCGTTAGTGGTTACTTGTAGGTAGAGGAGGTGGCCCTTCTGTCGCAGGTGGTAGGGAGGGGGGTTCCATGGCGAAAGCGAAATAGCCTTGATCGTTTTCGGGGTAGGCTCTTCTGGTCGAGGTAAGATTGTATTAAAACTTCCAGAAGCGTTCGGGTCGTAGCCGGTAAGGGGATGAGTCTCCGATTCCGACTTGTCTACCTCGTTTGCGACTGAGTCATGAAGCGACAAGCCCGTAGAGAGACCTTGCAAGTTATCGACACGGTCACCAGCAGCGCCGATTAGCTCCCTGATACGAACGACATGCATACGAGCCTCCTTCTCCGTGTATGGATCTTCGACAAGGGTGACCTCAGAATCGGCTTTGAGATCCTTGACCTCCGACAGCTCGATGTAGTCATTGATTCGCTGTCCATTAAACTCGAGATGGAAGCACGTATATTGAAAAGTGCCGGGAAGCTCGACGATGGACTGGCGAAGATCTTGCACTTGTTCTTGGCTTGAAACCTATCAATCATCACCAGGTCAGACAACCAGACGGCTATTTCCTTTCTTGGGGCGATATATCTCACCATCACCTGAATCTTATAAGGCTCGTGCGGTAATTTCACTGTGATCTGGAAGACACCTGAACCGCCCTGTCAGTAATGCCAATCCATCGAGTCGGAGTTATAGCAATTATTTACCTCCTCCATTGTTTTCCTCAGCATTTTCACCTGCATGATCGCCATTGGTGAGCTTTTCTGTGGCCAAAGTTAGCATCGTCGTAGCTCCCCAACGACCAATTGAGCGTCAATACTAACCTGGAGCGTTCTCCGCGACCGCATTGTCAGATGCCATGACTCCTGATATGAAAGTAATCGTGCGCTTGGATGGATGATCCACGTGAAAGCGACGGGCGAGTAGGTTCCCTTGGTACAAACAAGAAATTTCAACAAGCTATGCAAATTGCGAACGCAACCAGCACCAGTCCCTGCAAATTAAAAAAGAGTACAAGGAGGATAACCTGTCCCCAATTTTAAAAGTACAAAAGAAAAAATAAGTAAGTGAAGATGAAGGAAGGATGAAGAAGCTATTCAAAAGAAACAATTGGAAGACTATACGAAAGCGAGCTCTGGAGGAAAAAATTTAGCAACAGATACAGTTGACATCGTGTCCGGAAGCGGCTAGTGCAGGAAAGAACGGGCAGAGTGCCGGTTTTCCTGCTTAACCCTCGGAAGTGATCGGGCGGTGCTTCCTCATATCCGGATTCCCGGCACGTCACTTGGCTTTCACTTTTACATCGTGAAACAATTATATGAGATATGTTGATAGGCTGCTCAATGGTTATCGAGTATTGAAAATCGTTCGTTATCACAGAGTAGAACAGAGTGGTAAAGTGAACTACGAAGGATAAAAACACAGCTAGTCTCGACCAATTAGAGAGCTCGGCTGCTATGGCTGGATTAGCTAATGATTGTGGCGCGGCAGTCTTGGCGGCTGTGTTCCTGCAAAACCTCCAGCTGCCATCGTGGCTTCCCATCTCATTGTCAACAGAGCCAGTCGTTCTTTACTTTCTTCGGCTTGTATATATTTCTCTTCTCTTTTCGACACTTTCATCTTGCCGTTTTCAATGTTGACAGCTTCCTCCCCTTCCGGTATTTGTGATTCGTTTTTCTGTCCCTCTTTTTGGGTTTTGGTGCCTTCTCTTACCTGGAATCGGTCGAAGAAGTAATAAATATTCAAGGACAAATATCACTATCGAGCACGTGGCTTTCTTGAGCACTCATCAATTGAACGAAAATTCCAACAATCACACATTGTTGTTAGTGTTGTACGCCAGTCATTTCCAGGCTGCGCGTAGTTAGAAACCCGTTCAGGGGGGGAGCCCGAGAATCCAAGTGATAAGTAAAACCTTGAATCACTCTCACAAGAGGCGACAATGTACAATCCTTGCCCTCTAGTCCGAAAATCAGTGGTCTCTGGATTTGGCCGGGTTAGACCCCATCGCCCAGGGCCATGGTCTACAATCACTTTCAACAGCGCGAGACAGACCCGCCTCTGGTCGAGTGGGCTTCAAGTTGCAGTCGAAGAAGATTCTTCAAAGGACAAGTCCGAGACAAGTTGGAAGAGTACTGCTTTCAAGATGCTCGAGACAGCTGGAGCTACACTGGCATCAATAGCTATTCTAGGGTATGGCTCAACCTCTCTATTCCACCTGTTAGTATTGACCAGGTTCTAGCCTTGCTGGATATTCGTATCACCGATACTACAAGTATCTTGTTTTGCACAAAATCGATAATGCTTTCGAACCTGGGGATCCGGCTTTGGATGTTGCCGGGGCGTCACCTGGTAAGGAGGCGCCAGGTGCAGAACATTGGGTTGTGCGAGATGAACAAGACAAGATCGATCAGATCATTGCAGGACACTCTAAGGGGCACTATTTTCTTCTAATTGGCGAGAAAGGGACCGGTAAGACATCGATGCTCTTGAATGCCATGCGTAAAATCAACGGAGCACGAGTTGCAATGTTCGAAGCCCATGCAGATCTTGAAATCTTCCGTGTACGTCTAGGGAAAGCCCTAGACTACGAGTACCATGAAGAGTGAGTCTGTCATGTCGATCTTAAACTCTCGGGCTATTGATCGTTGACTTTTTGCCTACAGTTACATTGGTAGTTTTTTTAGTATTCGAGGGCCACGTGACACCACGGCCCTACTCGACATTGAGAGAGCCCTGAACAAGCTTGAAAAAGTGGCCTTACAGCGACGTCGCAAAGGAGAGTCCCCTTTGATTGTTATTGTTAATAGCACGCATCTAATCCGGGATGACGACGACGGTCGCGATTTATTGGAGTTGATGCAGCAACGAGCTGAGCAGTGGGCTGCCAGCAACCTCGTCACAATGGGTAAGTTTGGAAACCCTTTCTCATTACATCGTTACATGTAAGTGTTCCGATTTATATCAGGCAGCTAACAAATAGGCTATAAACAGTCTTCAACAGTGACGACTACTGGGTATACGAACGTCTGAAGAGATATGCAACTCGCATGGAAACAATTCCCGTTCCAGATCTGCCCAAGCAGAAAGCCATGGTCGCGTTAGCCAATTACAGGAAGAGATACCATGGAGAAGTAGTTTCTGATGATACGTTGGCTCTGGTCTATGATCAAGTTGGCGGCCGCTTGTCCTTCCTCAACCGAGTTGCCAAGTCGCATGATATGTTGCAGACATGCAAGGACATTTGCGAGGCTGAAAAATCCTGGCTTCTCAATCGCTGCTGGATTCTTGGTGCAGAAATGGATGACGATGTGATGGATGAACAGAAATATTCTGTATGTTGAGTTCTCTGGACCTCCATTCAAGATTTCTTACTGACTCCGTACAGTCTGCAGCATTGGTCCTTGCCAAGGCTCTTGTTGATCAAGAACAGGAGATGGATTCAATTTATGACGATGAACATGGACATATTTTACCCCAAATGCCACTTCACAAGGCCCGACAGGTGATGACGCGGGCTGATTTTATTCAGAGCTACGATCACGACAACATCTTTACCATCGATTCAAAGGCTATGGTACGAGCTGATTCCGTGCCAATGCAACACGCTTTTCGGGCAATTTGCTCGGAGCCTGGTTTCGATGATCATCTTGAGAAGACCTTGACTCGTATTGGAGATATTGAAAGCCTTGGAAGAACCAGAGAGCTTACCATCAAAGACCTTTGGGATCAGGGCAAGTATAGAGTGGTCGTACGTGATAACAGAGGCCGAGAGTCGGGTACTGTCGAGTTCTCTGTCAAGGAGAAGGAAGGGGAAGACGGTGATGATTAGCTACGTATAGATGTTAGAATACCCCATGAATCGATTATACGCCGATGCCCTCCCGATATACAAATGTCAAGTGAGCTATCTATAACCATACAGAAATGCGTAGATAGTACACAGATGCTACCCCATCATCTGAACATACCGAGTCACCCCCAGGCCTGAGAGACTACATTGACAATTGTCGCTATTCATCCGTGAAAGAGGTCTACTTGTAAACATTGGAGCAAGACTGCGTGAAAATGGGGGGAACCTCCAATTCTCCGGTGGCACCTAGAAACGCTCCACTGGAGTATACGAGCGAGACGGTGAACAACAAAGATAAAGAGGATGGGGGGAAAAGGAGAGAAACGAGAAAGGGAGAAAAGCCAAGATGATACCAAAGACGAGTAGAGGATGAAGACGACATTGCAGACTGGAGATGCAAGGCAATGGCTATTGCGATCAGGGTTATGGCAGGGCTACCGGAAGCGGATCAGTTGTTGAGCTTGGAATTTGTCGCCCATGGAGACTACAACTATGTCTGGTTGGCGACATGCTCTGTGGTAGGCAAGATATATGGATGACGCCTCTTTCTGTCCTTACTAACTTGCTCTGCAGAATCTCTAAGACGAAGACGATTGATATTTCCATCTGAAGAGCAGAGCTAATATCTTGCATTCTGTTATCAATGCAAAACTTGTTCAAGATATATCTCACTCAAACACAAGGATATATGTGTCAAAATTACAATACAGGTGAGCTCGATCAGTTCAGAAGTATTGTAGATGTCTGAATGGTCTCATTCGTCCTTTGTTGCTTTACATTGGGGATTAGGGTTACGGTTACCGCATCGACGATTAGCTAAGCCTATTTCGGTCTAGTTACCCTAATTCCAAGCTCGGTTAGAGCAATGGGGCGTCGCGGGTGATGTCATGTCACCATCAAAAAGAAAGAAAGCTCAAACAACTGTGTCGCGTCGAGAAGAAAGAGCTTTCTCCAGCTTTCTCAGAAAACATAGTCACACGTCTCGATCTTCAATAATTACCGTCTCGAGTCAGCTCTTTCCTTTTCATCTTTTTGCTGCTTATGCGGTTGAATCACTAGTGATCAACACATTATGGCCAAGAAGGTAGTCGTCGTAGACGAAGTCGATACCGACGTCGAGACTCGCTCATATCCCCGCTCTCGCATCGCGAAGATACCTCGATCGGTCCGATTTTTGCTCGTTATTCTCAGCAGCCTTCTCTTGAGCTCTAGTCTTCTCACCGTCTTTTCGCTACAAACAGCTGGGCATCTCGCGGGCATCAGCAAGCATTTGGAGGAATGGTGGGAGATTGCCGGGCTTATACTCTGGAGAGCTACTGAGCTAGGTTTGGCTTGGGTATTTGGGTTTGATGGTGCGTTAAGTTAATCACGACCGAGCATGAAAACCAAAAGTATCGCAACTAACAATGCTACTGATAAACAGGCTGGGATGTGACCGAGCTGACACTACTTACTCACGCGCCCATCTACTTCCTCCTATTTAACTTCTATGGCGTTGAACCCTCAGCTGTTGCGATCACCTTTGCCATTGAAATCGTGTCGATGACTATTCCATTTGTTCTATTTCGGGGTCCCAACTCGGTGCACGCCTTGTCAAGCCCTCGAGGCGCACAAGTTGCCAATCGCGATGTGCTGGAGGATCGTCTGACTACCCTCTACACATCTGTTGCCGCAGCTGCTATTTATGCGGTTGTCCTTTCTCTCAGCTTCTACACATGGCTACCAGTTCACCTGGTCTTATACTTTGATGAAATCAGAGATATCAGACTGGTGCATGCTGGCGCTGCCGGATTCCCGTCAGTGCTCGTAAGTCTCCTCCCTGCTGGATACGCAGCGTATGACCTTCTATTTGCGAGCTCAGCTGGCTGGTCTGCAAAGCCAGACAGCACAAAGATGGCGGTTCCTGAGGGGGAGTATCTCATTACCTCTTTGTATAATCGGACATGGGGGAAAATATCGCCAAAGGGGAAAATTTTGGCTAGCCGTTCTCTGATTTTGGCAACCATGACTCTTCTGAACACGATCATCGCAGGAACTGGGTCAATTAAAGGCGTTGAGTTGATGGGGTCTGTTGGTTGGGGCTCTTTGTGGGCTGGTGCGTCTCTAGTCGTCAGTTCCTTATTTGCTTGGGTCGAGGGAGTACCAGGCGTTTAAGCATTTTGCTCTACATTGTGGTTGGGGGTGTTGGTCTTTAGGGGGTAAAGGATGAACGTTATGAGTGGAACTTTTCTCGGTTTACATTCTTACTGATACCCGATTCGAGGTCTCTTTTGACTGGTTGATGGGTGCTGTGGAACTGGGCTTTTTATCGGTTTTTCTCGTATGGAATACGATTTTATCATGTGCTTTTTTTCCCTTTCGGCGAGCTGTGGCAGGCTGTTCTTTACTTCTCCATCCTTGACGGAGTACAGTCGATATTTCCTTTCAGCTAGTGGTGTGTCATATCCCTTTCGGGTTCACTTCCGTGCATATATTTGGTTTTTTTTTTTTTTTTTTAAATTGATTAGTGATAGAATATTCGATAACACATGAAATTTCAGTATATTCGAGTCTAGCTAATAGATAATGGGTATCCCGGAAAACAAGATTTTTGTGAAAATGATAGCAATGCCAACAATGCGTCTGCGATCTAGGAGAGCTTCAAATGAAATGCAACAGTCATGTAACTAATCTAAAAAAGCAAATTCAAACGCATCAGAGTCATCCAGAGAAAAAGGAGGAAAAGGGAAGAAAGGGAGACAAGAGATAGAAACGGTCTCATGCTAACCTCTCATTCATCGACACCTGTTCAAAGTCATCTACCGATTTCCTCGTAGGCATAAACCATCCGGGATGCACGAAGTTGAAGATTGCAACAGCAGGAACCATCATAGATCCATCCAAGGCAATGAAGTAAGCTTCGTGAGTGATCAAATATCCTGACCAGCCCTGCACCAACTCAATAACACGATAAATACTTCGGATATAGATGAGCACAATGGAAAACATCATAGCCAGAAGCAGCGGCGTAACATTGCCTTGCACAGTTCGTAGGAGTCTTTGTTTCAAGATACGGCGTAAAAAGTCGAACACGCAGACAGCGAAGACGGTGATGGATGCTAGTTGGAATACGATACCGGCAACCATGATATCGGTTCCTGGTTTGGTGTCGCCATCGACCTTACCGGCTTCACTAGATGCCATTCCACCGCCAATGGCTTGGACGACGAGTGAGATGATGTCGCAGGTGCAGAAGATCCAGAGATAGAGCGCGGGACTCAAGATGGAGGAGGAGCGGCCGAGGACGTTAATCAAACGGCCCAGAATAACGTAGATGCCGGCTGTGAAGAAGGCCGGTGCTATGAAAAGTCAGTCAGCTATAAGCTCAGAATTTGTGTACATGTATGAAAAATCGCACCAATGATGAGAGTAGATATTTGCATAAGAAAGGGTGTCAGCATATATGGACACTGAGAGGACCAGGCTCGTCCTGCCCAACCTAGAACCTCAACTGGAGAATTTGCATGTCAGTTGAGCCTCATCCGGGATAGAAGGTTAGGGTTACGGAATCCTCACCCATAGCTCCAACTGAGAATACAGAGCACCACCACCATCGTGTCCAAATAAATTGTACAGTGTGCGCAATCATAGACAGACCGAACAGTACAGTGAAGACAATTCCGGCAGCGAGAGATGGTACATAGCCATAATTGGTATCGTTGTAAAGTGCCGGATCCCATGCATGGCAGTTGTTTTGCAGTTCGATTTCTAACGGTGAAGACATTGTAGAGCGCGGTCTCCCTCTGTCTATCTATTAAATGTAAGGAAAACAGATGATGAACGAACGACAGGCCGATTTGGAGGTAGAAGTAGAAAGGAGAGGAGAGCTGATCACTGGGTGAAGCACTAATGATATATAATTATGAAAGGAAAAATAGTTTTTCGAGATTTCTCCAGAGGAAAGGATCTTGATTAAGTAAGTGATTGATATAAACGTGGCTAGCCAACGTCAGACCTGGGCCTATTTAAATAGCTTGGAGCAGGGATTTCCAAGACGTTAAGGTTGACGAGTCGGGAGTATCAACACTGCCCACTGTGCCCACTACGTATACCACTGCCGGAGAATCATGTTATGACAGAACTTTAGGCGGGATTTGGTCGAATCAGTGTTCGATTTGCTGTGAATGTACAGCTCAGACAACGTGTTTGGCACTCGCAAGTATAGGTTGAAGCCTAGAAGGCTGAGAACATACGCGTCAAGACTCAAACCTCGTAATTCTATCTTCGACAAGAGTCGAACTGATGCGAGCCAATCACATTCATAAGGACCACATGGGTAAGAAGTCCCATCTTGCGAGTCGCGAGACAAGTGGGACTGGATACCATATTTTGTCGACATGGGGCTGTTTCTTATGCTCGCAACCTGCTCGGAAGTCGATTCGGGTTTCGGATGAGCTGGAACGCGGACTTAACCAGTCAGATCGCTGAGCAATCGGTATCTGATGAAGAGCGTTCATCTCTCTTCATCAGATACCGAGATTAATCAACTCGAGGCAAGATGGTTGGTTCGCACGGATATGTTAGAATCTGCATAATCTCAATATCTCAGCGCAGTCAGCATGTAACAAAAGTTGCACCTACGTCAAGATGTCAACCTAAAGGTGGCAGGGCTCAGCCTCGAACTAACGTTAGTTAGCCCTAATATGGCTTACCTAATCTTCGAGATCTTCTATTCTCTGTTCGGTTAGCCTGGAGATTGCCGGCTTCCCGGACGGCTCAGGCAGCAAGGCATAAATCTTTATTGGATATTCCGATGTTGACCGCCTTGCCGATGAACATTTTCTGCCGATATTTTTTGTAGATTCGATTTTTGTTTTTCGTCTTGCCCACATATCAAGTTTTTCATAAGATATAGAAATGGGCAAACCAAAGATTATTGAGGAGCATCATATCGATGAGGATTCGTCTCAGTATTCTCAAAAAGAAGGCTCCGATGTCCCCTCGATCAACGACAGCGCAGCGGCACATGCAACCCGACCTGCGAAGAGGAGACGAGTATCTATGTCATCGAATGATTCAGACGACTCAACCACAGAAAATTATACTCCAATTGCGCCTTTACCAACTCTGTCCCGTATAAAGAAGAAGAGCAATGTAACATCCAGTTCAAATATACCTCAGATTGAAGAGCCGGTCTCAAGTCGAGATGCGCGAGACATTGGCCTGCAGGTAACTGATTCGACCTTTGCAAATCTCAATGTCGCTCCATGGCTAGTCAAATCTCTGTCTACGATGGCAATTCGACGACCCACAGCTATTCAGAAATCTTGCATTCCCGAGATCTTGCAGGGAAAGGATTGCATTGGTGGTAGTCGAACTGGTTCCGGAAAGACGATTGCATTTGCAGTCCCAATTCTACAGAAATGGGCTGAAGATCCATTTGGCATTTTCGCCGTTGTATTGACGCCTACTCGGTAAGAATCAAATGATTATATAAATACGCAGTTATTTTTGTCTAACGTATTCCACCAGTGAACTCGCACTCCAAATTTTTGAACAATTCAAGGCAATTTCGGCCCCGCAGAGTTTGAAACCAGTTCTCATCACAGGCGGCACTGACATGCGGCCTCAGGCAATCGCACTCTCCCAACGACCTCACGTTATCATTGCTACTCCCGGACGTCTAGCAGATCATATTCGTACATCAGGAGAAGACACCATAGTGGGGTTGAATCGTGTTCGAATGATAGTTATGGACGAAGCTGATAGACTACTGACAAGCGGCCATGGAAGCATGCTTCCAGACGTCGAGACCTGTTTATCTGCACTACCGCCCTCAAGCGAACGGCAGACTCTCCTGTTTACTGCTACAGTCACACCCGAAGTCCGCGCTCTGAAGTCAGTGCCACGCCCGGCCAATCGTCCTCCCATTCATGTAACCGAAATTGGCACAGAAAATATTGCTCCCATTCCGCCAACCCTCAAACAAACATACCTCCAGGTACCCATGACACATCGCGAAGCTTTCCTTCATGTCCTACTCTCAACAGAAGGAAATTCCTCCAAACCAGCCATTATCTTCTGCAACCGTACAAAAACTGCAGACCTTCTCGAGCGGATGTTACGCCGGCTCTCTCACCGTGTGACATCCCTTCATAGCCTTCTACCGCAATCAGAACGAACGGCCAACCTTTCCAGATTCCGGGCTAGTGCAGCACGTCTACTGGTAGCTACGGACGTGGCTTCTCGTGGTCTCGATATCCCCAATGTCAGTCTTGTCATCAATTTCGACGTTCCCCGCAATCCTGACGACTATGTCCATCGTGTGGGTCGTACGGCTCGTGCTGGGCGAACCGGTGAATCGGTGACTTTAGTCGGTCAGCGAGACGTGCAGCTCGTGTTAGCAATTGAGAAGAGAGTTGGCAGGCAGATGGTCCAGTGGGAAGAGGAAGGTGTCAGTGTTGAATCGCGGGTAGTCAAAGGTGGTGTATTGAAAGAGGTCGGAGAGGCCAAGCGGGATGCTGCTAGGGAAATTGACGAGGGCCGCGATATCCTAGGACGACGTACGAATAAGCTAAAGAAAGTTCGTTGATGTTCTAAATTTACCAGTATATAGGAATGATACCCACGTTATCTAGTTGACCTTCACACTACGGATCATTGCTTTTGGAATCTGTAATTTATGCATATGAGAAGTGCAGTATGAAAAGATCAAGGGTATCCTCGTAATGGTATTAAGTTAAGCTAGGATAATCATACACAATGAGACCTCCGGGGAAATAATGGGGCCAGGGTACTCTGTATGTAGCTCATCAGTCAATCATACTCCTCGTCAGGTCAGGGCGCGCCCTTCGGCCCGTCCTAGTAATTTTTTTTTCTTGATTTCCCGTCTAGCATTTGGTTTCTATAGAAAATGGGAATAGTAAGATAACTCCATCATTCATGCCTCGGCTGTAGGTATAGAATCAGTCGAAGATTGCGTCCACTTGATGAGTTTGTCTATCACTGAATCACTTTCCTGGCTCATATTGACACCAATGTCATGGGACTCGGTGATGTTATCCTGTCTTTTAATGTCACTTTGCTTGGGTGTCTTGTCGTTATCATGCTCATAATTTGGTTCCGCTTCGTCGTCCGTCGCGGGGGGACTGGCTATATTCAGAGATTCCGCCGATGGTGAATGTGTAGAGGTCTGCGCAGATGATCGAACAGGTCTTGATCGTGGTTGAAGAGGAAGAGGTGGCAATAATACTCGTGTTTGCTTTGTTGTTGATGGGTTTTGAGATATTTGCTCTTGTTGTGGTGGCTGCTGAGAAGTTGACGCAGATGAAGAAGACAATGTTCTTAGGAATGAGCGACTGTTTGCTTCGAATTGGGAAAGGGCTCGGTCGAGAGACTTGTCTTCGACGCGACGCATGGCAGATTGCAGTCTGCTTTTGGCCAACGCGGCTCTCTAAAATATAAATTAGCACACGCGTTCAGGCATCTAGGGGAAGAAACATAGGGTGATTGAGTAGACTTACCTGCTGAATGAATAGTTTGCGAGCTGCAGGTTCTGTTGGAACTCTGCTCAATGATTCATCTTTCGAACCCTCCCGGTTAGCTTCCACGTTGTCTCGAGACTTAGTTACTACCCCGTCTGTTTGTTGTGAAGTCGATGCTTCAAGTATCTAGTGCGGACAACGGTTAGTTTCAGACTGTTCAGGGGGGGCAAGTAAACTGTCAGGGTGTACCTTTCTTTTACGAGACTCTGTTCCATTGGCATCATTGAATATCTCGAAGTCCCTGTCCTCCTCTGTTTGGGAGGTCATTAACACTTTCCGCGGCTCAGACTCCGCCTCTTTGATATCTTCCACCACTTGATCTATTGAACGCTTCTGTCCGGCGTGACGAACATCGGACGAGACGTCTCGAGTCTTCGACGGTGAGATTTTGTTGCTCAGCACATTGAATGGGATTGCAGTTGTTTGGAATTTCTGTGAGCTTGCATCGGCGACTCTCTTCGTAGCGGGCGTTAATGACGCGTTGGCTGTCTTCTCCCCGAGCACGCGTCTCCCAGCTTTTTGCGGGCTGGGCTCTGGGATCACTGCCTGCATTGTCTGAGCAGGTATGGTAATTCTCGAGGCGTAATTGTATATGAAATTGGAGAAAGGGTGTAATGATGGAGGAAGTTTGTGGCAGCAAGGTCTTGAGGTGTAGAAGAAGTCCACTTAGGTTTATATGTAATGTGCAACCCGATCCAATGACTTTTGTAAAATGGTTGAGTGAAGGTTGAGGTATAAAAAAAAGGAGATCGGTTTCGCCTCGAAGGGGGTTTTCAAGTCTAAAGGTCGTAAAAAAGATCAATGGCGCGTCAAGACAAGTCGCGTAATTGTTGTACTTTTGTACGTATTGAGGGCGGTCTCCGCACTATCACCTGAAGTGGAGCTATCGCTCAGACCACCGCTCCGAGATGCGTTCACGTCTTTTCAATTTGACGTGTAGCAACTCCATAACGTCGCGTCTTGACCTGGCCTGCAAGGATTCGAAATTATCTTACGGGATACGTCTAGCAGCGTTTCGTTCATACTCTAGAACCTTACGCATCTCTTCCAAGAATGTCCGTATGACTTCAGTCTATGATCAATTGGAATGTTTCCAAACCGCGTTTTCCACGTGTTGGCTGCTGACTATTCGGCTGCGTTAGCATCTGCATTCTCAGCTATAGTCCACATGATGGTTCCTCCTTGTCTTACTACATTCCAATCATGTCGGTGAATCGTGTCTCTATCTCACGTTTACCCAACGGAAACTCGATCGTGTTGCTCTGATAGAGACCACTCCCGAGATGCGTCTACCACCAAATCAGGATTCGAGTCCTCTTCCATCCCCAACCAGCAGCAGTCATTTCTTGATAGGTTCCTTTGCTTGTTCACTGTCTAGGGTATAAATCACATAACATATCGATCGTTTTAGCTTGAGCGTGTGCCGGCGATCTCGCTCCCATGTTGTACTTCGGTAACCCTAACTTATCGATCTGGGGCTAGTCGTTGGGCATCTATTTTCACTTTTCTTAAGGGCATCACCCGTCTTCTGTCACGGTGCATATTCAGATTGGTGCCAGGTTGTCTGTGATCGTAACAGTTCAATGTAGGCTCTAGAGTCACATGCAGTAATCTTCGATAAGTGCATAGTAGGATTGTCTATCATCACTTCTCCATGTTTACTTCCATAAGTTCCGAGAAACCACACCCAGGAAATTTCATCCTTTCTCTTACATATCTCTAGTTGGTCGATTATACGGGACGTTAAAAGCAAATCACTAGGCTGTTCAATACCTAGGTATTTTTATCAATGTCTCGCACGGGAGAACATAAATATAGTCCATCTGAATTCGCTTATCAGGTACCTATGTAGTCACCACCGCTAATCGTTATACGAAACACAATCGCTCAAGGTACTTGCAATATCAGATTTATCCAATATTTGAGATCCAACGAGCGCAAGGGGTTCCGAAGAGGTGTACAAGTCCATTGCAATGATTGAACGTATCCATTTGATATGGAAATAAAATGAACCAATCATATTACAATTAGAATGCAGAGAGCTGATGCACCAATCACATCAGCCAGGGTCACGCTACCACGGATTAGATAATTGCGTCGCTTCAAGCCTCGAAACGAAGACATTCGATGTTGCTAGCAATACTAGAGTGATGGCCCACGAAAGCAATGTTTGTATCTACGTAGGAGTGACTGGTACAAACTCTTTCATGAAGTCCATCTAGGACTTTTGCGGGGAAGTCGATAGACGTTTGGGCCTTAGACAGAAACGGGCTAGTGGTCTCGCATGACCTCATCGCCTGCCAGGCACGGTAATCATCACAGTTGACCTCCTTCACTCCCGATACACTCTGTTCTCCAGCTCCAACTTCTCCTCGACCTGGTCCGTCGAGTCTCTACTTGCATGTATATACCTTATCACAGCAATTGACTATCAATTACATCCTTTGTCGTGGGTTTCAGTGTCAATAGACTAACCTGTCCCACGCGATGCGCTGGTCCGTCGCAGCCTTGGCTGGACCCCTGTTACAGGCCGTCCTGTCCGCAGCATCAACTCTCACGCCGCCTGTTCTTCCGTTAACTGTCAGAAACCCATACTTTAGTGCTTGGTTGGCCAACGCCCGAGACGTTCCTTGGTCGAAATGGCCTATCTTCTGGACCGGCGAGGAAATTGGCTTCTCGCTGCTGGCTCAAGTACCCAGTGCAGGCACTGTATATCCACTACTTGGAAGACCACAGGACTCTCTTCGGACAGATGACAAGGCTAGGTATGTTGCAGATAAGCTCATTTTCGTCGGGTTTTCTAATCGATTGATGGGTCCAGATATACGATCAACTATTTAATCTATGGGGGAGCTACCTATGATGCCTCGACTACCAATCTGACTTATACCCTTCCCATCTCCGACCACAAACTCGAAATAGTCTTGTCCTTTTTATCTCCCATTACGCCTACGTCGACTTTGCGGCAGTCAATTCCAGCCTCGTACCTCAATGTCTACGTCACCGGCAACGTCGATGTCAATGTGTACATCGACCTGAATGGGCAGTGGGTCAGTGGTGACCGCGGATCGCAGCTTGTCTGGAGCTTCGACCATGTCAATGCCCAAAGCGGAGCTACCAAATTAAAGAAATGGCAGTTTACGCGCCAGAATGAATTGCTGGTTTCCGAGTTTGCAGACCGAGCTGAGTGGGGGACCTTGCATTTTGTTGCACCAAAGGTAGACTCATTCCGCTGACCATCTGTATGTGCGTTATTACTGATCACCATCTGACCGTATTTTAGGATGTTCGGCATGAGTCTGGAACGTCGGCAATATTGCGGGATCGATTTGCTCGAACGGGCATCCTACAAGATGCTGTGGACACCCGCTTCAGATCCATCATGGACGAGGAACCAGTATTTGCATTTTCCAAACATTTCGCTCTTAACACCACCCATTCATCCACTAAGTCCGACTCGGTACAGTTCACAATTGCTCATACCCAAGATATCGTCGTTCAGTATGCCTCTGCACGGGGACTAACCTACATGCGACCTCTATGGAAGTCATGGTTCAATACGAATGACGATCTTTTAGCATTTCACTATGCTGATTTTTCGAATGCGAGCGCCCTGGCATCTAATTACTCAGCTCAATTGGCCATAGACGCATACAAGTCTGGTGCTGACGACTACGTGGGCATTGTCACACTTTCGGCCCGCCAGGTGCTGGGTGCCACCAGTTTTGCCGGAACTGCGGAGGACCCCTTGCTGTTTTTGAAAGAAATCTCATCTGATGGTAACACGCAAACAATTGATGTCATCTATCCCGCGTTTCCATTCTTCCTGTACACCAGCCCTCGTTGGTTGGCCTATCTCCTGGAGCCGTTGATTGAACACACATTGAGTGGACAATATCCAAATAAATACGCTATGCATGATCTAGGAACACACTTTCCCAATGCGACAGGGCATCCAGACGGAAGAGATGAATACATGCCAGTCGAAGAATGCGGAAATATCCTCATCTTAGGATTAGCGCTGGTGAATTCCTTGCGCTACAGCGATGATCATGAGTCTATCTCTCTGTGGGCTGCTCAGGGTGCTTTGGTGCCGGAGTTGACAGATGAACAAGCTCCTCTATTTACTCTGTCGAATTTGCAGACAATCTCCGAGATCGGGCACCAAGATGGCAAATGGGGTGGAGAAGGTCGTGGTGCAAAACATGCCCGTCAGTGGATTCAAAGAAGCTATAGGTTGTGGAAGCAATGGACTGGTTACCTGGTAGATTTTTCATTGGAGCCAGAGAACCAGCGTACGTATACCACTGAAGTCTTTGCTTTGAGTCTAATAACACGCTAATTCTTCGTCAGTGTCGACCGATGACTTTGCTGGATGGCTTGCTCTCCAGACGAACCTTGCTCTAAAGGGCATCATTGGTATCAATGCCATGAGTCAAATCGCGGACATTGCAGGCGAGGCGTCAGACGCGGCCTATTTCAAGGTAAGCAGTGACACTCTGCAAGAGCATTTTTGGAGAGCTGACTGACATGATCAAAACCAAGCGCATTGCGGATGATTACATCGCGAAATGGGAGGAATTTGGTATGTCCCGTGACGGAACACATGCCAAATTGGCATATGATTGGTACGGTTCATGGACCACATTGTACAACATTTATGCCGACGCGCAGCTCTGCTTCCATCTGGACGGCGCAGGCAATGTATACGATGGATCGGTCCAGGTACCACTATCAAGTAAAAAGCAAGGTTTTGTACCAAGACACATTTACCAGAAACAGTCAAATTGGTACCACTACGTCCGGCAGAGATATGGCCTTCCTCTTGACAGTCGCCACCTATACACCAAGACTGACTGGGAGTTCTTCTCCATGGCTGTCGTCAGTGAACAAGTTCGCAGCGAGATCCTTGAATCTGTGGCTACCTGGGTGAACGAAACCGAAACCGATCGGCCATTTACCGACCTTCACGAGACTGAAGGGAAGGGTGGGTATCCAGGCATATTTTTCATTGCACGTCCTGTCGTTGGAGGCCATTTCGCATTTTTAGCTCTGCAGCGAGCCTGTGGTGGCAAGGCCATGGATGGATTGTCTTTCTTGGACGATGTTGACCCTGACTCGGATACTGTCGCTGCTGCAGCCGCTACCGAGTTCAATCGTATGCTACGGCCGTCGTTGAATGGCGAGCTATGACCACAACCAACGATATGGAATGTGAATCTGTATAGTGATGGTGGACCTTTCAAATAACCTTAGAATCTGATGTAGGAGTCAGTGAAGCTCACGATACATGCATGAAAAGGGGCTATGGAGAGGCATTTTATCCGTATTCTTATTCTTTTGACGGCATATTTGTTACACTATCGTTAGATGGAGTCACTCTTTGCAGCTTAGGTTACACCCTCATATATCAAGACGTCATTGCCTTACTATCCTTACCTGAGAAGTATAAGGTGAAGACAGCCTAAGTACCCAGGTACTTATAACTCAAATTCCCTGATATGTATGCTCCTGTTGCCAAAAGAAAGAAAAGTGGACCGATCGATTGAAAATAAATAAAAATCTTTTTCACTTGTCCTTTGCACACAATCAACTAATCAATAAATAAATTAATCAATTGACTCTCTTCTCCATCAGCGTACATGCTTGAAAATCGAGGCTATGTTTCTTATATCAGATTAACCTCCTGTGGCAAAAAAAACCCCCTTTTTTCCCTTCATCAATTCCTGATTTTTCATCTTCTTTCCATTCCCATTTTAGTTCAAAGAAATAACCACGTCAGATTTGAAATGGTTCTGGGATTTTGTATGAGAAAAAAAAGACTTATTTACCGCCCAAGCTGGGGAAGTTCTTCTCGTCGACCTGGACAGTAGGGCCAGCAGAAGCGCCGCCACGGCCACCCTCACGGCGAGGACCGTCACCACGTCCACCACGGCCACGACCACCACGACCACCACCTCGGGGACCATTGCCACGGCCACGGGGCTGCTCAACGAAGCGCATGTCGACTTCGAGGAAGTTCTTCTCCTTGCGCTGTCGCTCACGCTTGCCCTTCTCTTCTTGAGGCTTGATGTAGGCTTCCTCATCCCCGTCGCGTTTGAGTTCCTTGGCGTTTTGCCATTTCTTGTCCTTGCTACCTTCGTTGGGGGCACGGGCTTCCTTGACACCGAGTTCACCGCGCTTGGTGGCAGCCTGCTCAGCGAGATATTCGGCATAGGACTTGGCCTTGTCAGCTGCTTCTTCGGCAGCGGCGAGTTCACCACCTTCGAGAGGAGTTTGAGGTTCGTTTTCCTCAGCCTTGGCGATGGCTTCACCGGCCTTTTCGTCGTTCCATTCGGCGTCGCCCTTCTTAGCACCCCAGCCTTGACCGACTTGCTTCTCAGTGTCACTGGTATGCGTTAGTATTGGATCCCGACAATCGCGAATAGACAAAAAGAAAGAACGGAAAAGAGCACGTACGTGTGAGCGGTGCGAACAGGGTGACGGTCAGTACGGGTGCGAGCACCACGGTCGTCACGTCCTCGGAAACCACGACGTCCGGCTTCCTTCACTTCGTCAACAGGACGGTTGCGGTTGTTGTAGCTGCCGGCATTGCGGTCGCGGAAGGCTTTTAAGAGAGTCGTCAGTCCTCTGTTTCTTTTGGCTAGTCCATTGCTAGCTACAACTCACCATCATCGTTGCCATTTCCGCGTCCACCACGGCCGCCACGCGCACCACCTCGAGGGGCGGTAGGGGGAGCTGAGGGCGCTTCCTTGGGGGCATCACGCTTGCCATGACGCTGAGCGGGCTTGTCGATGGTCTTAGTAGGAGGCTCAGGTTCTCTGTCGGAGTCAAGCTCGGGGTCATTTCCTATATCGCACGAAAAAGATGAAGATGTTAGAAATTTGCGAGGATGATGTAATCGTGATACGAAATACGCGGCCTGCTTAGGTAGGGAGGAAGAAAGTACCGAGAAGCTCGTACAGATTCTGTCGAGTAAAACGTCAGTCGCGATGAGCAATTGATGAAGGACGGCGATGAACAGAGATGTAAAGTCACAACGTACCTTTGACCGGACGTCAGCCATGACGCCTGGTTGTTTTTTTTTGGTAGAGGATGGCCTTCCGGGGAAGGCTTCCCTTTACTTTCTTATCGCAACAATTCGATTGAAGGAGAGGTTGGGAGGGATAGAGAAAGGCAGAATCCTAGTCGATAGGATAGGATTGCAGCCTTTTTGAAGTTGTTTCAAGGTGGGAAGAGGGGTAGGTCGGGGATGGAGAATCCTCAAAGGGAAGCAAGAAGGGAGTGTAGATGATTTGTGATTTGTACAGGTAAAAAGCCGTCAGAACGCTAAGCGATTGGATTAGCCAACCAGCCCTGCGGATTGCACTTCCGCACTTGGCCGGAATTGGCGGCCATTAGGGCTTAGGGCTTATCCCGGCTGCGGCGTTCTTTGTACACTTATCTGACCCCAAGTTAAAATGCTTTAAGAATTATTTTATTTATCTTGAAGATAACATTCATTCATCTCTGAAACAGATTTCTCTGTTAAAAACTCCTTGATGTGCCAGTGTATACAGACATCTTGGATAATACCATGCCCTAATAGACCCAAAAGAAGCAATCGACATGTACACAACGAAAAGAAGCAAAGAGCCTGACAGTAGCCACCAAACCCGGTTTCAACATTTTCAGCGAAGCGAATATAAAGGGATAATGGAAAAATAAAATCATCTTGATAGGGTATAATGAGTTTTTGAACAGATGAACGGGGAATCTTATGAGTACACTCGGAACGAACACGGTTTCAGATGAAAGCGAATCCAGGTTGAAACGTCAAAACACAAGTCGCACCGACGCCAGAAAAAGCACTTTTTAAGTCTCCCGCTGTCATAACACATGCACGCTTTTGTAATATGAGATGCGGAGTGGGTCGAAGGCCACAGGTAATTGGATCAGAAACACAATGCTATGAATGAGACTCGTTTCGTGAAGGTTCACTCCAAAGGCCATTTACAGCGAGAAAGGAAATCGATGGAAGAATTCGTATTGTTTGAAGAAGATCTGGTTTCGGATCTTCTTATTTAGTGACGAAGCATTTCTTGCTCGTAGCTGAATGGAGTTTGGAAGTGCATGCTGGCGCTCAATCCAAACGTATCGCTGTCAAGAACAGGTTCGTATTGGTTGAAAAGGGAACCACCGGCATTATACATTCCTTGGTCGTCACCGGTCTGCATTGAAGATGGGCCGGGTAAGCCCATGCGTCCCTGTCCCGTCGGCACGGGGGGCCGATTGAAGTCGGGAACATATGTATTTGCTTCAGAGCCATTCTCGTGATTCTCAGTGTCGTCGAGCATATCAGCCTGCGCGTCGTATTCTTGTTCTATTTGTCGGTTAGACACCCGATACTTGAAGAAGTTGTCCATGCCGACTTACCTAATTGATCATAATGTTTTTGAAAGGGAGCAGAGTAATATGATTGCATATGAGACGTCATGGTTGCTCCGGGTATCATAGGCTGTGTAGTCGCTGCATATGGATCCATAGGTCTCATTTGGTTCACGCCCAGCGGATTTTGTTGTGTGAAATCCCGTGGATGCGGGAGTAAAGGCGGCCGGTTGCGCTGTTGTGACTGAAAGTCGGTTCCTTTTGGAGACATGGCGCCCTGCAAGGCGAAGCCGGGTGATCTTCCCGTCGAGGGGGATGATACATGTGATGAGGGGGTGGGCTGAGGTTGTGGAGAAGTTGCGCTGTAGACACTGTCTCGTGATTGCGGAAGGCCGGAGTGATCCGGTTTGGGAGCGATGGCCCCGGAAGTCGGCCGTCGTTGTGTAGATGATCTCCCGATGGCAGCACGATCAAGAGGTAAAGGTTGCTTAGGAGCTAGCGTATTTGCATTGAGTTTTATGGGAGGGATGGTTGAGGAGTTTCCTGTTTTGAGACGTAGCTCAGCTTGAACATCGATACCTGTAATGGCAGAAGCTGTCAGCCGTGTGGTGCATTAGATTCGTCTGGACACAGCACTAACCCTTTTCCATAAGAATTCTTTCTAGGAGCGAATTTTTATAACGGAGCATCAGACATTCATCGGCTGCACTCCTATGGCTCTGTTGCAGCGACTGGAGAGACTCTTCATTACGCTTAATGGTCGTTTCTAACTGTTTGATATACTCGGTTCGCCTTTCGCGAAAAGCAGCTTGTGCCTGCCGGTTTCTCTGCTTCCGCTCTTCTGACGTCGCGTAGATCTGGAAGAGTATATTAGATACGGGCATAAATAACTCCTGGCACAACAACATACGGGTTTCCTTCCTCCTTTCCTCTTCTGTGTCTGAGCGACATCTTGACTCTGCTCTTCAGGCTCCGGCGTCGATACTGACGAACTCATAGAAACGTGGCCATCTTGTGCCACCTCGGTCTTGGGTACTACTGTGTCCATGGACATGTCATGGTCATTCATAGGCCTAGTGTCTACGGCAGAGACCATGTCAATAGACACCAGACCGGCGAAAAAAGAAACGGTGGTTGGACGAGCAGACCTGCGCGCACGATTCTGCCAGATAGGGTCTGCATGCAGGTATGCTATCAATCGCGGGGGTGTAGATTGGAGATCTTGGAGATCTGGCGATAAACAACGAAGCCCCAAGCAAAGAGGGGGAGGGGAACAGTAGACGCTAGAAACGCGCGGCTGGGCGGTTGATTGCAGCGATAGGCACAATACGCGACAAGCACGGACGAAGAGAGCAATTACTTTGACATAAGAAGAATTGCGTGATAGAAATATGTGTAAGAGGAATCAGAAGATGGAAAAATGTGAGGTAAAAATATTGAAAATACTGACTAAGAGAAAGAGGAGGAAAAAAAACCAGGCCCTTTCCAACTTTTCCCATCTGTTGCTAAGTCATCGTAATAATTTTTTTTTCCTCTTTCCCTGGCTCAGGACGGAAGACAAGACCCAATGACAGTGCCAGCGCTGGTCACTGACCATGTCTCCGCCCGTACGGGGTACACGTTTCTCGTACACGGTATTACTGCGGTTCGTTACAAACAGTACACATACTCAACCTACGGAGTACACCCTGGTATTACGGTATGTGTATCGACCGCGGAGTTGCTGAGCGTATTCAAAATACCGTTTATTTTACAGGCGTCTTTCTCCTCGGCGAGCTCCGCTCTCTACGATCTCGTTTTTGAGTGGTTATCCTCAAGTATTTGACAGTCCATTGGCTGGGTATTTTTGGTCCCTGTAATTTGGGTCCATTCTTGATCTCTCCGGATTTCCCTATTCGGCCATGAGATCTTGCTTCACTAAGGAGATGGAGTCCCTGAATGCTTTGTTTTTCCGGATTCTACTACTACAAACAATTGCCAAGTGTGCTCCGGGCGATCTTAAGTCTTGAGACTGACTCTTGAGAAGCTGCATACAAGGCCAAGGCAAACTCATCGACAGAAAAATTCATTAGAGTCACGCGCCACGTTTGCCTGAGGCCTAAACGCTTAGTTGCATGATTCTTCCGTTACCTCGTAATTACACATACATCGTTCTGCATACGGAGTATTGTCCGTATTTCCTCTCTGCGCCATTTTATCTGTTTCATCAGAACATCATACGAGCATGCCTCGTGTTCCACATCCGATGAGTTAACAGGACTAAAGACACGGCTGCGTCACCATACCTTCTGTTCCGATGGCCTCGTCGATGAAACAACATGATTAGTGATAGCTAGACCGGAACAGAGGACCGTTTTTCGTGCTGTATTGGAGATTGCGAACTGGCCTGTGCTGAAGACGCCAGCCCTATGGGAAGGTACTAACCCCGTCTCTGATGACGCGCATCGAGGGAACCACGCTTGATCGCATTCTCGTTGACGTTCCTCGAGGCCGAGGATCGCAATCACTACGGTCATCGCCGAGTCGCATAGCTTTCGTGAAACAACGTCGCCGCCACCAAAAGCTCTCTGGGCATACATACGCGATGGTCACACAAGATTCTCTGAGCAGTGCCATTCGTCTCGGGCCAATGTTCGGCGTCCATCAATACATGTCTCGGGGGGATGGCCAGCTCAATCTCGAAAGAAGTATGAAATGCTAGGTGAGTCCCGAGTTGTAAGCAATCTATCAATATAGGCCTGAGACAGTACGTGTGTGTGTGTGTGTGTGTATATTTAACGGCCGTGGTTCGTGACTCGCACGCTTCCCACCGATCCCTACTGGGACATAGGCCGCCGAGGGGTAAGCCTCGGGTTTCGGGTCCTATCAGATTTATGTACAAATAAGAGACTCTTTGGCGCATTTCCATAGCTGCCGTGGTCTTACAGGGAGGTCCACTTTGAGTGGGTTTTAGGTATTTGCCAGCTGCAATGGTCCGCCTACACTCCATGACCTATTACTCCACCACTATTATACCTGAACAGTAAGTTTTGCAGAGAGGGAAAGAAAGAAGAGAAGAGAAAGAAAGAAGGAGAAGAGGAAGAAAGAAGGAGAAGAGAAATATAAAGGAAGAGTAGGGCTGTCTTAGCTAGGTGCTAAGGAGAGGTTGGCGAGGGCAGATATCCTCATAGAAGTGGGTCTCTGCTAGCCATGAGGCTAGCTTTTGTGCTCCTTTAGCAGTGCCTAAGAGAAAAGAGATAACCTCAGAAGGGGGCCCAGGAGGCCGAGGGGCTCGTCTCTTAGCTATATGACAGAAGAAGAAGTGCAGAGGTGCTTTTCGTGCTCCGCATCGGCAGAGAAGATAAGCATCATCATGATTGAAGCGTTCATGGTAGTCTGCAAAGTCTCCATGACCAGTACGGGCCGCAATAACATGGCCGAGGTCAAGTCGGTTGAGTTGAAGCTCCCCAGGGCGCTTAGGGGAAGTGGTTATTTCTAGATCTTGATAGCTCTGTGGTGCCACCTTCTCCCATTGTGACTGAGCAGCGGATAGGGATTGAGTCTTGGCGTATCTCTTTAGCGAGGCGTATGAGGATTTGTGAGGATCAGGAGGGATTGAGGCAGCTCCCTCTTTGGCAGCGAGATCAGCCGCTTCGTTCTCAGGGATTTTAGCGTGTCCAGGGACCCATCGGATTTGGATAGATCCGCTTTTGGTGTGAGGAAGCCTTTTGCGAAGTGGCCAGGCGGCTGCAAGGGTGCGGAAGGATTCAAAGATTTCTTGGGAAGATCCTGTAGAGGGAGATAAAAGGCGTATGGCAACTTCCAGGTTGTCAAGGCAGATCCATAGGTTGGTAGCAAATTGAGCTGTTGGGTACGCTATTGCTGCTTGAGCGCCAGCTAGAGCTGCTTCTGCTTCTGCGTCGAAGACCTCTTTCCCGTGTCCGTATGAGAGTGAGGAGCGGAGGAACTGATGGTGTGCTTGAAGTCCAATATAGCCACCCCCTGCACGTCCGTCTGCTAGCCTAGATCCATCTGAAAAGATTACAATATCTGAGCTAGGGATGGTACGTTGAAAAGCCATGAAATTAGCCGCTGCCTGTTCCTTGGTGCGTCCCATGGGAGCTCCTATTCGAGCTTGAGCATTCCCACGAGGCTCGCGAGGGTACCAGGGAGCATATTGGAGAGGGTTTATCTGTTCAGAGTTTGGGAGGGCCAGTGTACGGCGGGCAAATCGGCTGATTTGTCGGCCATTACTAGCGATCTGTTCTGCGCGTCTTCGAAGTGGGTGATAAGGGTCGAGACGCCGTAGGCGGACAGTTGCAAGGAGGGCTATTCGATCTAGTTCGATTTCTGGTGGAGAGAATCCAGACTCTCGATAAAGGACTGGCTTTGGGGTTGTGCGGAAGACTGGAAGGACTGCTCTTGCGCCTGTTAGTATTACTTTAGTTAGTTTCTCAAGATGTTCTCCAACTCGGTTTGAAATCTGGGAAGGTCCAGGGCCGAGTACGTCCTGGCCACCAGGTTTCTGCGCCATAGTATGCTTTATGGAGTACACAGGCTGATACAGCCTGCTGTAGTAAATCAGGTTTGACTCCTCGAACAGTATTCCCTAGAGAGCGAAGAGCGTTGGCCACAGTGAGGGCTTTAGATGCTGTTTCTCTAACGTGCCATTTGAACGTTAGCTTTTTGTCAAAGAGGATTCCTAGCCATCGTAGATATAGCCATTTAGTGTTTTCTGATATTGTAATAGATCCAGCTTTCACTGAAGGTGTGCGGGTTGGGTCCTGGTCTGCTTTATGTCGGGAGAAGTGAAGAAGCTCGTATTTATCTGGTGCAAATGTAATGCCCTCTGCAGCGCCCCAATTAAGAGCTTCTTGAAGTGAGTCTGATAAGGCTTCGCAATTAGTAGTAAGAGAAGTTGAGATCGCCAGGTTGGCTGCGTCGTCCGCGTAACCAAATCTGTTCCTTGGGTTTCCTAGACGGAATAGAGGCGCTATGTAGAGCATGAAAAGAATGCCAGATACTGGGGATCCTTGTGGAAGACCGCAGGTAATGTCTGTTGAGGGGCCGATCTCTCCATCGAGTCGGATCTGAACTGATCTTCCAGTAGCGAAGGAGGCAATCCAGAGAACGAGATTGGTAGGCCAGCCCTGCTCGCGTAGTCTGCGGATCAGTCTGCCGGGAAGTACGGAATCAAAGGCGCCTTTGACATCTAGGGTAAGGAGTGAGGCAGTCATGCCTTGATTTAGCGCTTGTTCAACATCATGTGTTAGGCATGTGGTCAGGTCAGTTGCAGATCTTAGTGGGAGAGCCCCAAATTGTTGCCTTGCTAATACTTTATGGTGTATAGAGATCCATGCCATATTCCGTGCCACCAAGCGCTCCAGTCCTTTGCCAAGTACTGAT